TTATCCCTGCTTCATGATTCAGAAAGATGGCTCCCAAGCCATCTATCCTACCCCCTGGGCCCCCTGGTCTAGACTTATTAGAAAATATTGCCGAAGGGCTCGGACTTCCGCGGTACAGTATGGAGCCTGTATATTGCGACTATGCTGGGATATATATTGAGCATTTACCCTTCTGAAAAGGTAGCACAAAACAAACACCACTGGTGTACTTCCGTATTATCAAAATCCATGGCCCCTGCACTTGATTATGAGCCCAGCATAGCTCCAGCAGCATTTGCGGCAGGCTGGCGTGAGAAGTTCGGGTCACAACCACGGCGGGTTTCCTCCATCTACAGTCTTCCCGATGATGATTGTCCTTTCGAATATGTTGACCAACCGCTGAATACCGAAGCCAATGATGTGACGGGTAATGAGGTTGACCGTCAACGTACTGAAAGCGACAACTTGACGGCGGACCCTCCAAGCTTGGCTTTCCCCGACTTAGATAACCTGCGGCAACACTCTCCCGAGGTAGTCATGGCACTGGGGGGTACGTTTATCAGACAGTAAGTAAGATCGATCCTGGTCTCAATTTGCCCCTCACTCACAGCCAAGTAGATTAGACAGCCAAGTGCAGTGGGTCATTTCTCTAGACTACTTCCAAGACAAAAGACTTGTATATTGACTACAGCTACCTAGGGCGCTGGACGAGCAGATCAGGCAGCAAGATGTTTGGAACGACGGCATACAACGGCAGATGGAGGCCATTGTTGAACACTACCGGAAAATAGATGCCCTGGAAGCGCAGGTGGCGGCGCTGCAAGCAAAGCTGGATGTTGTATGCGGTAACAAGGAAGCGGCTAATGCAGGGCGCAGATCGGGTGGCCGCAGACGCCATGCACCATGAAGACAGCCCCATATCCTCAGAATCCATCAATGTAAATTTAGGGGATTGATATAGCCACTCGCCCACTCCCCCTTGGGTCATTCGACCCCCCTGCCTGAATTTGGCCTGATTTCCCGCTTACATCAAGGCATTAACTGACCGCTTTCCTCGCCGCCTCCTGGTCAAGCATTGGGATTTCACAGGTACTGCAACGGTACCTACACTTACTATGTAAAGTACTAGCAATACTAAGTCACTCTGCAGTCCATAGGGAACGAACAATTCAATACAGATTGACCTCCAATTTATTCATCAAATCTGGCTTCCAACCTGGTGTTTATCATTCTCAACTCATTTTTCATTGCATCTGTGTCCTCCAAAAGACTCAATAACATCATGTTGGGCCTTAAATCCCCCATGTCGGATTCTGATGTGGATGGAGTTCATCACAATTAGGCGGGCAGAATATAGAGATGCCTTACGGTTAGCGGGAAATCAGGCCAAATTCAGGCAGGGGGGGGGGGGTTTCGAATGATCCAAGGGGGGGGTCGCTATATCAATCCCTTAAATTTAAGCCAAGCGCGATGCCTCTTTCATCATCCAGGAAGCACTCCAAGACACCGTATTCCTAGTAACTGTCCGCTATTTGTGAAAGTGCTAATAGGATATCAATGCCCCTTCAGCGAGAGGTAACTGTGGTAACTGTGGTGGGCGATCACGCACTCCCTCTAGTTTCGTCTCCACCTAAGCGGCCGGGTGCTCGTGTACACGACGGCCCACCCGAGGCGCTTGACGTAAAGATCCTAAACTCCACCTTGTATGCTACCGTACCGGGGACAGACTCTGTAATACATTTACCACACTGCGCTGGTACAGGTACAGCATTTGCGCGCGTCCTGCTTCTGTACTATGAAAACATGTCCGGACACAACACCCAGTCGGCTGTTACTGTTTCTAAGCCTAAAAAGAAGAAGACTCTTATACTTGCGCCTAACGAAGGCAGTATTGCTTTAGAATTACCGCAGGTATCCATGTAGAAGGTGTAATGCCCAGCCGCGCGTAGCGCGGCGTACAGAGTCTAGTAATTTAGATACCCGACGAATGTGGGGCTTGGACACAGTAGGGGTGGCTACCACCCTGACAAGTCATCGCGGCTCCGCAAGTGATGCGAGGAGTCCATCTGTCGGTAAGGCATTGTTCGAGGATGCTTCCGTTGCATCGCCATATCCCTGTCGGGCAAGGACGGCTCAGGCGGCTGTCTGTCGCACCTGTGCACGTCCCTAACGCCGGGAAACCGACGGCATTTTGCACTGGATCGTCGTTAACTGGCGTATGGAGAAAGTTGGCAGCGGAAAGAGATGTGGACATTACGAGCGCAGCTGACGAGGTCGTCCGCTCTTCACTAGCCTCCGCGGGTGCCGTTTCGAAATTTACACCATCCGAGAAGTTATAGATCGTGTCATCCACAATTTCCCAAGCAATTTGAATGTGACCGTCAGCACATGCAGCTCCTCCAGACAGCTCTTCCAGGACAGAGTAACTAAAGTCGAGACCGGGGGCGGCGACCGCATTCCAGACGTCACTTGAAGCCGATCCTCCTGCACAACGCTGACATCCATCGCCGATAAAGAGCGGTAGGTTTGACTGCTCGCCATTGACCGTGACGATAACCCGCTTTCCGCAATACTTTGACATGTCCAATTTAAGCTGGCTATGATTCATGGCAACCACATAGTTCGAGTTCACGTGGTTCAGTGACAAAGCATTCTGCGAGCTACACTCCAGAGGGCCCAAATTTTGAGCCACAAACGATGTGTCGCAGGCCTCCACTTGCCTCACATCGTAGTAGTATGTTCCAAATCCGGTCCCTCTGAACATAGTTCTCTGCGCACTGACGCCTACCAAGAAAAGCAGACACACTAAGGTTCGAAAGTTCATGATATCGAAATCGGATTGCGAGCGAACGCAGAATGAGATATAGGCACTATATACTTGGGGAATTTCAACACCATGCCGCTAACATAGGCCCGGTCTCATAGCGTTGAGCGGATACTTGTTTTCTAGGAGTAATCGAACCACAACATTTGAGCGATGTAAATCGATATCAACGTCAAAAACCAAGCGCGGCCCTCATCTCTGTTTATCCTTCAAAGAGTTTTTTTTCATTCACCACATTGCCTGGCATTGTGGTTGAGAGCATAAAAGTCCTGCTTTACATCGTGGTCGGCCGCCAGCCTCATTTTGCAGATATGGTCCCCGTCATTGTATCTGACTCCAACAGGTGGGGAAACCTACTATACTTTGCTGCTGGCGACCCATTGAATCCGGAAATGAACTGGGCATACAGAAATGATCATTGTCAATTACATTTAGATCTTACCAGGTATAATTTATTTTTCAAATAAACTACAGCCAATGTGGTTATTCTGACTGATTAACAGGGGTGGTTGTTAGCCTCATGCTGAATCGTCCAGAAACACCAATAAACATTCCTGAGTATCTACAATAACATCAACATCCAGCCACAAAAGCTTGAAAGACCATATCAGATATGAGACCATGTCTGTGGGTCCAATTCACGACGGTATGTACCTCGACTAGAACAATACCTCAGTCACTCATTTGCTTCACAGCTCCAAGTTGCCATTCTAAGCTTGAGGAAGGTTGTGATTTCGACATGTGTTTTCTGATTTTAAGAAGGATGTTGCTATGACGATCTCTGTACTTTCTGTACTTCATGGACATAACTAAGTGAATGTAACGCCCTGAGCCTGGTGTCGGAAGCCTAAGAAAACAGGCCCACTTGTTTGTTGTGTTTGGTTATTTATTCAGCAAGTAAATTACCCCGCCCATATATAATATGCCAGAAATAGGGGTAATAAAAAAGCAGAGTCCTTGACATCACCTGATTGGCTGGCAGCAAGTTGTAGTTGACACATGGTAAATGCCTAAGGCCAACAAGCAGTGCAAACCCTGCAAACCCTTCGGGACACAGAACACCTGACAGTAAATCACGTGATAAATTACTCTTTTGCGAGAATTGTGACGCGGTCTTCGCCAATACAGCATCACCGACAACCGCCGCGTTTCAAATGGCTTTTATACTCTTGTCACAGACACTACGACGATTTCTATCAGTATGTTATAGTCTCAAGGACTGGATAGAGATTGCGTTGATTTCTCCTTTGTCACGCCTGATCCACCGGCCCACTTGTCACGATATTGAAGCGGTATAAGTCCGTCCCTTTCTATCGCAAGAGCTTCCTGACTAACTTACATAGGGACCTCAATACGATCACGAAGCAAATGAAACTAGACACGGAAAGGTCGAAACCATTAGCAGAGATGCTCAAGGACAATTTATCTCTGGTGGGCTAACTGGGATTGTGGAACTCCTTGGTGATGGTACCGTCCTCAAATCGCCATTTCCTGACGCTGAAATGGAAAACCACATCCTGGACATTGCCAAAGAAGCCAGTATCTATCATCGCCTTGGCCCGCATGAAAGGCTGGTACGGATATTGGATCACTCCAGGGATGGCCTTATTCTTGAGTATATGAAAAACGGTGACCTCAAAACCTATCTTCAAGCGCAAAACTCGATTCCGATGCGCCTGAAGTTGAAGTGGGCATACCAAATTGCGCAAGCCGTCTCTCTCCTACATAGTAACGGCATAATCCACTGCGACATCAAACCGCGAAATTTCCTCCTGGACGCGACTCTCAATATCAAAATCATTGACTTCTCTGGCTCTTCGCTAGACGGGTCTAAACCGGCCTCTGGTGAGGGAACTCGATTCTATCTCCCACGACATTGGAGAGACCCACCTACCGTGGCTACAGATCTGTTTGCGCTCGGGTCGACTCTTTACGAGGGTTTTTCAAGGAACCAGTCCCTACGAGGAGATTCCTAGCGATCAAGTGGAAGAATACTTCAAGAGAAAGGAGTTCCCTAATGTTTCTGCTATTCCATACGGACAGATCATCAAGCAGTGTTGGTTGTCCCAAGTCGATTCAGCCGAACATGTGCAGGCTTTCATGCGAGATATAATTCTATGAACTGGAAGTACAAGGTTGTTCCTGCACGATCGGTGCCAACACACCAGAACGTTCCACCAAAGGAGAACTCTGCTCAATGGCGAGCTCGATACTGTATGACTGGATGGTGACAGCATTGAATGAAGACTGGCTGGAGGAGGCAGATGCGGCTGCGCCAATATTTGGCATTGACGGCTTCGGAGATCGTATCCCTGGTGTCTTGGGTACGAAGGATTGCTTAGGGGATCGATTGGGATCTCGTCTCGGGGTCAAGTCTTGAGACCTTGGAAGACCAAATATGCTGGGCCTCTAACAATGGGAAGGACCAGGTAGCGTCTAGACAGGCACTGGAGTGGTCTTCCACTGGCTTGACGGGCATAGAGATGCATGTGGACGAACCGAGATGGTCCTCAGTCCTCACACCCAGTCCTTCTTCATGGCCTTTCTTTTCTGCTCGATGAAACGGAGAAAGGTGGACCGAATGTTAGAGCCCGCAGACATGACTGAGGTCGATATTGTGGAGATCGTTTGTTTCATGGCCTCTTGCTGAGCAGAGCGGTTCTCAACTCCGATTAGATGGTGGGGTGGTCCCGTCCAATGACTCTTTCGCGAACCAGGTGAACGAACTGATGAGCCCATCCTCTCTTGGCTTTGGAGATATGTCTCGACAAAATGGAGAAGACGGAAACCAATGATGGAGGCTCGTCACGTTACTGAGGTCGATATCGTCGCGGAGAGCCTGAGTTTCATGGCCTCCTTCTGAGCCGAGCGGTTCTCAACTCCAATTGACCGATGGAGAAGTCGCGTCCATAACCCTTTGGTGAACCAGGAGATATTTCCCCCATACATAAGAGCCGTGACGAGAATGCGTCGGGGCATCAAGGAGACAGGGACGACGACCTGCTTGCACTTCTTCGACCTCGGCCGAAGCTCACGAAGTACCAGGTTGTACGGGAAGGCCTCGACGCAACCAGGGGGCAGGAGTTGCGATTGGACTCTGGGGAAACTCCAGAGGAGATGGGTGGAGTAATCGGTAAGCAGTCAGCTGGACTGAGAGATGGGTATCATGCGTTGCTGCTTCGATGCCGATGGTTCAAACTTCCCGGGGCAATTGATCGACCGATGACACGGCATCGATTGATGTTGCCCGAGTTGGCTGCCATGGCGTCGAGTTGGCCATTTGTGATGTTATGGCAATCCTGCCCAGTGCAGACCGAGCCAGAGGATGGAACTCTGGCGTCAGGACTCAGGATTGACACGGAGGATCCATCCTATCAGATCGTCCATGAGAGCCTGAGAGGATTCATATTGGGATCGTCGACGTAGAATCCTTTCCCCTTGATGTACTTGCAACCAATCTACCGGTGCTTGAATGGATCGAGGGTGTCGTGAGTGGCGGTGAAGGTTGGAATTGTGGGTTGCATCCGTCGACTCGCATTCGGGTACACATATGGAGGGGTCGAAAGGTGGAAGCTCTTTCAATGAAGGAGACTTGATCGGCTAAGCATAGTCAGTGATGAGGAAGTAATGAGGCACAGACGGAAAAAGAATAACATACCGGTATATCCCAGAATATGGAGGATTACCATCCTTGAGCATCAGGGTATGGCCGCATCCAGCTCCGTTCCATTCTTTGCTCCCCCCCCCCCCCCCCCCCACTGTATGGTGAAGAGTGGTAGAGAGCTGCCGAGCTAGCTGGATCTGCTAGTCCATTCCAGAGAGGCTTTGGCTCTTGGACACTTGTTGGTGAAGCCCAAAATACGGATGATGACAGAGTGCGTCGGGGCATCAGAGAGGAACCCGAATCATTTCACATCTAGAAGGCATCCTCGTCTCCTCTTGAAGCCTTGGGTCCATGGTTCAGCTTCGAACGCCACTGATTGGGGCAGTTCGGTACCATCCTAACCTTGTGGAGGTGATGATGATGATGAAGGAAGAAGGAAGAAGAAGAGAGGGAGAGATAGGTTCATGGGTATATATAGTCGTCCGCAGGTGATTGTGCAGAGGTAGTCACATTACCTGCCACCTGTGGCCTGAGTAGTAAGTAGCTACAGATACCTTGTGACTACGGCACAGTGAGGGAACGAAGTGAAAGTAATATGATTAGATACATGTAGCAAAATTAAGAACCAAGAAGTAAGTGCAACACCTCATACGTGATAACCCTTGTAGATTGGAATATGAGGCCATACGTCCAATTCATCACTGGCTCTCCAGTAGGTTGAGACGCGGTCAAGGACACCGAGTATGTTACTGCTAACTGCTGTTGCAGGCTTGACGATTGTCGACGTCCACGCCGGTACCCTCACCGGTAGCGATGCAGGTGGAGTTTAGGCTGTGGCCGCAACCTGCCCAATTCCAAGGATGCCGTCGCTTTACGAGAGTGCTCAGGATCATATTTATCGACCTAGGTTGCTCACTGAGAATCTCTCGAGATCGGCATCAAAAGCCTGATCTGCTTTAGGGGGTAATTAGGTACTATCTTCGATTACATGGTATTTGTATGAACGAGCAAGAACAAGAAAGAAGAGACAAAAAACACATTATATGTTGACTCTATGGACAGTGCAAGGTTGAGTTGAAAGGTTGTTCCAGATCAATGCCAACGAAGGAGCACTTCCACCAAAGGAGAGAACTGATCAATGGCGAGCTCGATACTGGATGACTGGATGGTGGCAGCATTGAATGAAGACTGGCTGGAGGAGGCAGATGTGGCTGCGCCAATATTTGTCATTGATGGCTTCGGAGATCGTATCCCTGGTGTCCTGGGTACAAAGGATTGCTTAGGGGATCGATTGGGATCTCGTCTCGGGGTCAAGTCTTGAGACCTTGGAAGACCAAACATGCTGGGAGTCTAACAATGGGAAGGACCAGGTAGCGTCTAGACAGGCACTGGAGTGGTCTTCCACTGGCTTGACGGGCATAGAGATGCATGTGGACGAACCGAGATGGTCCTCAGTCCTCACACCCAGTCCTTCTTCATGGCCTTTCTTTTCTGCTCGATGAAACGGAGAAAGGTGGACCGAATGTTAGAGCCCGCAGACATGACTGAGGTCGATATTGTGGAGATCGTTTGTTTCATGGCCTCTTGCTGAGCAGAGCGGTTCTCAGCTCCAATCAAAGGATGGGGTGGTCCCGTCCATAAGTCTCTCGGGAACCAGGTGAACGAACTGATGAGCTCCTCCTTTTTTGGTCTTGGAGATATGTCTCGACGAAACGGAGAAAACGGAGACCAATGATGGGGGTCAGCTCACCCACCAGACTGAGGTCGATATCGTGGAGGAGAACCTTTATTTCCCTGATTTCTTTCTGGGCGGAGCGGTTCTCAACTCCAATGCAAGGATGGGATGGTCCTGTCCATGACCCTGTTGAAAACCAGGAGTATGTCTTTGACTGATGGATGGACTCGTACAAGCACGTGGTTTCTGATCTCGTCGAATCGCATTCGGGAGCACATAGGGGGTGGTGTCAGAAGCTGTAAGCTCTTTCAAAGAGGGAAACTTGATCTGTTAAGCATGGTCAGTGACGAGGAAGTAATGTGAGGCACAGAAAGCAATAACACACCAGGATATTCTAGAATATGGATTAACGTCTTTCAGCGCTATGGGCATGGCCGCACCCAGTTCCGCTCCATTCCTTGCTCCCCCCACTGTATGGCTAAGAGAGCTGCCGAGCTAGCTGGATCTGCTAGTGCATTCCAGAGAGGCTTTGGCTCTTGGACACTTGTTGGTGAAGCCCAAAATACGGATGATGACAGAGTGCGTCAGGGCATCAGAGAGGAACCCGAGGGTGATGATGATGATGGAAGAAAGAAGGAGAGAGGGAGAGAGGGAGAGAGGGAGAGATGCTTCATGGTTTATATAGTACTCCGGGCGATTTTGCACAGGTAGGTACTAGTCACATTACCACCTGTGGCCTGAATAGAAAATAGTTACAGATACCATGTGACTACGGCACAGTGAGCGAGTGAAGTGACAGTCATATGATAGAAATAAATGTAGTAAAAGTGATCAAGCATTGATTGATAAGGTGGGCCAAGAAGCAAATATAACACCTCACATGTGATAACCCTTGTAGATTGGAATATGATGCCATACGCCCAATTCATTACTGGGTCTTCGGTCGAGACGCGGTCAGGGACGCCGAGTATGTTGCAGGCTTGACGATTGTCGACGTCGAAGCCGGTACCCTCACCGGTAGCGATGGTTGGCAGTCAAATGTACTTCTAGGTACCGAAAGCGCGGAATGAACTAGAGTATTTATTTGAATAGATACCATGATTCTTTTAAGTTGTTCTTGCTTGCGCTCCTTGCCAATCAAGCTGCTTACAATAGTCGAAGCTCAAGAATTACCAAGAATAGACAAACATCGGAGTGTATGTTCTCCAGAGCTTCGCCGCGAACAAGAAACAAGATACTCTAGAAGTTTACATGTACTGGGACTCTTGAAGCGGAAACGAGGTCACAAATTCATTAACAGATCGAAAAACACCTAGGAGTTCCCTTGAGTACCAGATCCTCCATTAACGCGTCCACATTGAGATCATCGCCGCTGAACTACCCATGCTTGTCATACTTGCACTCAATTTCCCGGTGCTCGAATTGATCGAGACTGCCGCGAAGATTGGGATGGCGCTTTTGCAGCCGCCGGATCGCGTTCGGGAAAACGTAGGGAGGGCAGATAGCTTTAAGCTCTTTCAAAGAAGGATACTTAGTCTATCAAGCATAGTCAGTGACGAGGAAGTCATATGGGACACAGACGGCAAAGAATAACATACCGAGATATCCCAGAAGATCGATTCCCATACTTCGGCATCTGGGTATGGCTTTGAGAAGACTCCAGCGGCATGTTTAAAAGGCGGATAAATGATCATGACTCGGACGTTCGGGCAGTCGACGGCGGGAAGAGAGACTTCTCCATCGACACATCTGCACATGAAAATGTGCAGACGTGTCAGTTTAGGGAAAGAAAGCACTTCCAGGGCGCCAGAGGTCGCAAATAACTCCCTTGTCTTCTGGGAGTCAGCCCAAAGACGCACCGAACCCTCAGCCACATTGTTTGCGTAGAACTCACGTCTCTTGGGCTCTATAGCCTCAAAGACTCGCTCGAGCCACCCCGGCACACGGAACCACAACTTTGAAACCAGCTTTGCAAAACAAAATTTGTTGACCCGAGCGAATGAGGCGAGGTCCTGATGCCGAAGGTTTGTAGTGTTGGACTCATCAGTGTTGGACTGATCAACCAGCATGAAGCTGGCTATATGATCGAGGAGCTCGGCGATTCCAAACACACGCTGGGCAGCGGTCATATCTTCCTCTGGGCGAGGGCTGGAGCTTGGAGACATCCTTGCCAGTTGGTACAAAGTTGAAGTGTGATGCCTGTAGATAAAGGAGACGAAGTCAGATTTTATCACGCGAGATGACGGAGGGAGTGGTACAAAGCAGTGGCAAGAGGCAGAGAGAAGTTCGAAGGCATGATTTACGCAGTAGTTCGGGGACGTACTTTTGTCTCTTGGAGCAATGAATCAGGAGATGGTGTTGATGAAAGTAATGGAATTGATGAAAGATGTAGAGGGGAAGCAAAGTGTGAATGAGGGAAACTGGTGAAGAGCTAACAAATGATCTCGCCATAGAAATAGTTATCCGGTTCACTGCATTACGACTAATCTGAATGACTCGAAATTGCTCTCCAAGACCCAACTCTTCTCAACCACGCTTTGCTAGTCAACCTCTTTGTGCTCCTCTCTGCAATCCAGGCTGAGAGATCCTGGCAATGATACTTAGTCCCGCTGGGGCTTATCACATTGATAGCACCTCATTATTAGAGCCGATGATCTAGGTATAGTTTGTCCATACCTAGTACAGTACCTATACGGATTCCTATTGCTGGCAACGAGACTTTTTATACCATGAACCATCCCCAGCAGTAGAAGAGAGTCAGGTTTTCGATTCGAGAAGTGCAGCATGATCTAGACTATCCAGTTTCTTATATGTCTCTACAGATGTAGTCTAGGGTCTATAGACTCCCTAAGCCTATAATGGAATCTTCCCTCGCGACGAGACCAAGATAGCCTACCACCGAGATGTAGCTTTGCCAAAAGACGTCCAGATACAACAGTCTAAGGGATAAAGAGGAAGACTTGTTGGACCAGGGGAGACCAACGGAAAACAGTTAGCATGAGCTTGATGCCGTGTCTTGCCGGTGTGCTAGGTCTATGAGGAGGATCCGTCAGCCCATGAGCAGTCCATCCAATGGATATCTAGTGGCCATTCTGCACATGTAGGTAGTTTGTGTTGTTGTCATGACTCGAATTTTCAAGGTTGCACCTGCCTGTGCTGACCGAGTCTGACTCAGGTTTGTACATTTCCTGTTTCCATGGTTGGGCAGGTTCAAACCTGAGGCAAGTACGATCCTACTTCTACTTCTCCTTGATACCCCTAGTTGCTTCTTTCATCCAGTTAGCTCAGCTCGATTTTATTGATTCTGTCCATCTCAGTGCAGTTAAAAGATGACTCCGTTTTTGTGGAGGCTGACTACAGTCTACATGCTCAAGCTCGAAACCTCGAGGACCTCTCATCTTGAGGTCACAGGTCCGTCAAACATGGCGATAGATGTTGGAGTCTGCACATCTGACTATTCAGAAGCGACGAAGGCCCGCAAAATTGGGCCGTTCACTCTCCACACTCGGGTACTGCCAAATTCACATACCGTCGTGGTCAAGACTCGCCAGTTGGATCGAGTTCGCCAGTTGGACAGAATTCACCAGTTGGTCTGAATTCACCAGTTGGTCCCGATTCGCCAGTTGGTTCGAAGGGGTCCTATCCCCATAAATTGTTCATGCGATCATTCAACAACGTATTGAGTTTGCCACTCTGTAACCCCTCAGGAGTTTGACTTTGATCCTTGGATCAAAGACTTATGTCAGACCGTCTAAGCGCTGTCAGAGACAAGGGTTGATTGGTGGGAATAATCTTCCTGAATAGCTGTGCATCTTCTGGATGGACATGCTAATCTTTAGTGGCTTCGAGGCATTGAGTTTGATATGGCGCAAGCTAAGTTCGGTATGGATATCCCGGTTAGAGCCCTCACAGTCATGCACGGCGACTATTGTAGTAGCAATCGGCGCTGGCGGCTTCCGACCTCCCGGAAGGGGCAAGGCTCTCTCGTCAACGTTCGCATCGTGCATGGCTATGCCACTGCCGCGGCCATGGCGTGGCGTGTGCTACTGGCCGTTGTGGGAGATCCTACGACATGCGAGCTCGTTCATTATCGGTTTGTGCCCTCGGATTGGTCTGATGACTTAGGATCATCACCGAAAGTTAGAGCTCTCTGTGGACCGTGGTGCATCCGGCATATTTGCGGGGAAGAATATGATGTCGCTTTTTTCATGGCAGGCAAATTGCCAACTTGAACGTTGTTTTCTTTCCACTCGTCTGATTGGATTCGTGGTATGTTTGTGCACTGGCTAATTGGCCCAACATAAGATGAGGAAGGACGGACCGCCGAGGCGCCCGCGCCAGATAACCCGGCGGGTAATCACCCGCTTGTCCGCTTACCATAGGACCATTCTCTTCCGTATTGTTGACTTTTACATCGCTTCAAAGCGCGCGTCACAGGATGACGAAGGACGATGAATCACATTGGGAGATGGCGATGGCGGGGACTCCGCAGTAGGTAGCCTACTTAATCCCGAGACTCTTCCATCATTGTTGGGAATAGTCTTTCTTTGGTTCCACTGGATTGGAAAAGCAGTGACTATGTCTGCCACTGTCACGAGCACTACTCCTCTGAATCATGCTTATTCAGGTGAGCCTCCCACGTTGTCAGTTAATTCCCGAGGAACAAATGCTGACATCCCTAGGTTCAATGGTCCATATGGAGATTGGAGGGATGACCTCTACAACCAAGGCTTTGTGGTTATCAAAATGCTATAGATCCCGAAAGCGCCCACTACTATCAGCGCAAATCCCTAGGCTGGCTCACTTCTTTCAATACAGCCCTGGACCTCGACGGCCCTTCCACATGGACCGGGGGCAACTTGCCCGTTCAAAGTAAGGTGAATACATTTCACGGGTACTCTGTAACTCACGAGAAATTCATGTGGGAAGTCCGAATGGAGCCGACGATATTGGAGGATGGGGCACTGACGAGCTACTCGTTTCCTTTGATGCGCTGAACATCATGCTGCCGAACCGAGGAGACAAGCCCGCTGAAAGGCCATGGCCCCATGTTGGCCACTCACCAATACGGCCTGGTCTCCACTGTCTTCAATGATTCATCAATCTAAGCCATGCCGATCCCGAGGATGGAGCTCATATAGTGTTTCAGTCCAATACAGTGACTGAGGGTTCCTTCGACACGGAAACCGATCCATCTACCTGGGAGCAGAAGGACATACGCTTTTTAGCGAGGATGACATCCGATGGTTTGAAGACCATGATATGAAACCAACCAAAGTCCTCGCAGAAGCTGGAGATCTAATTGTGTGGGATTCCCGGACTGTGCATTGGGGAGGGGAACCGACAGCCAACAGCAACACCATCCGAACCGTCATTTAAGTTTGGTACGCCCCCGTTCAACTGGCCAGCGAAGAAAATCTGGAGCAAAAGAAAGAAGCCTTTGGATCCTATCGGGCAACAACACATTGGCCCGAGAATATCGTTTTACGGGACCAAGTGGTGTATCTCCCGGACGGCACCGTCGATCCCCGCAATCGATCGGCGGTGGAAGTGCCAGAATATTCTGATCGATTGCTTCGGGAGTGAAGCCATATGATAGAAGGTAAATTAATTTAAGCCATGTACAGTTGTGAATTTTGCTTGTTTGTGAACTAACCGTCTGATTATTAAGGGGCTAGTTTTTGTTTGCTGACGACCCCGCACTGAGTTCTTGACGATCTTCTGTCTTGCTCACAAACATGAAATCCTTTGAATCGCGCTCTTCCGTCGAGTATCCTCGAAAGCGTGCATCAATCGCATGTAATTTCTGTCGTCATCGGTAGGTTTCGTTCTGGTTGTGTTACACAATCACTAAGTAGGCTAGGAAACGGAAGTGCGATGGCCAAAAGCCTACATGTGGACTCTGCACCGACGCCGGGGCACACTGTGTGTATCAAGAAAGCGAGAGGTATAGATACCTGTTCCTCTGCTGAGAGTTCAGCAATAGTGACGATTCATAGAGTGCAGGACATCCCGTCAGAAATCCTGGCCCGCTTGACCCATTTGGAGACCTTGATCGAGGAACAAAGAGATGCCATCAAGGAGCTCACCATCCGAGTGTCCTCTGCCTCACCTCAATCAGACCAAGTTGATTATCGACCAAAGACCACCGTCTATCCCACCCAGCCACGATACGACTGGGACCCGTCACCAGACCATGTATATGGTGATAGGTCTTTATTCGGACCCTCGTCACTAGAACGGCCATACAGCCATCCATTTAGCATTACCCCAGGCCACCACACCCCAACAGGAAGCTTGTTTGCATTGGGGCAAATCAAGGAACTGATTGGTGAATACCCCGAAGACTTTTTCAGGCAGCTAGAATGGAAGCGCCCACTCCTCGGCCTGCAACTCCCCGGTGTACCTCGAAGTTTCGAACAAATCGACCGCAATCTTTTGCTACCACAAGTCACCAAGCCTCTGATCAATGAGTTTCTCAAATGCGTCCATCCCTTCTTTCCGATCATCGACCCGCAGCTACTACAGACATTATTCGAGACCTTCTCGACATACACCAAAGTTAATAGCGTCCAAACCTCACTATATCTTCTCATTCTTGCCCTCGGAAAGGTCTCCTCGAATCCAGAAAGGATCTTTGATATTGAAGCGGACAAAGAACTGAATGGGATGGAATACTTCGCTCCCGCATATAATTATGTGAACGACACAGTGGTACAGCAGTCATCGATGGCGGACGAGCTACTACCACTGGCCCTATTCTTTGCTTCCTTGTATTTGCGTTACATAGGGCGCCCTATTCCCGCATGTTTCGCCATTCAGAGTGCATCTCGAACGGTGCAACATGTGATTACCGAGTAGGTAATTTCTAGCGCATGATCTTGATACGATATTGACTGCAATTGGTTTAGGCAGCAGAAAGTGAGAACGGTGTCTGGCCTAGCTCCGCTATATCGGACAGCCTGGGGCTGTTTCATCCTCGAGTGGTTGGTTTGATTTCTACAATGGTGTCGCCGTCCGTCTAACAATAGGCCCAGTGATGACCTGGCGGAATTCGAATTTCCCCCCACCAATATCCAGGACCTTGCTGATAGGATGCCCTTTCCTGAGTTTCCTGCGTTTGGGGATCCAGAAGAAAGCCGACAGTGCCACACGCTATTCCTCGCAATGACCTCAATTCGCAAGATTCTCAACAGTGTGCACAACACTCTTTATGCAAAGCCTCAACCGGAAAACTACCATTCCTCCTCTCCCTCTCGACACGCAAGTGAGACACCCAGCGTACCTCCGCAAAAGCAACCGATCGCGTCTCTCAAAACCATCAGCAAGGAGCTCGATCGGCAAGTGGAAGTATGGGTCCAGAGCATCCCAGCATACGCCAGGCCATCCCTAAACAGTCCCATCTTCCCTGGCCATCCTTACCACACTCCCATTCTCGCCCGGTATTATGCAACCAAACACATCATCGGTCGCCCGAGTCTTCTATATGCCGCCAACAATCAGACCAGCAGCGTGTTGCCGGAGTACATTTGGAATAACTGTACCGACTGCGTGATCAACTGTCGCAAATTCCTACAGACGGCATCGATCCTTTTGAGGAAAAGAACTCACTCAACTTGGCTAAGAACGCAAGCGTGAGAGCATTCCTAGGGTGTCGGCAGATATTTATGAGTCTTTACTTACTTATCGTGTTTAGAGTACTGGCGGCCATCTTCACTCTCGCAATCGCTAAAAGGACCCCGTCTCTGGAGGCACTTGTACCAGATTTCGACGAGCTGGTAGCGGGGGCGATTAAATCCATTGAGCCATGGGCGCGGCATTCAGAATCGTCAGATACTGTCGTGGGCATGTTGAAGACCATCCGACAGAAGATGCGAGTGATGGTCAGGGGGTTTAGTAGATTTTTGACATACAACGGGCTAGATATACGTATTCCCCATTACCTACATTTGAATGCATCGTGAAATAGACTGCGCTGAACATCGCTTCAATTGGAAGTACCTACTGCTACAATACCTTAACATCCAGCCGATTTATGTCTAGGTACTTGGATGGAGGCGGCTCTTATCAATAAGACGAAGCATGACCGTCGAATGCCACCCCCACACCGGGCTGCGGGGAACCCATAACGAGTTCCGAATCTCTTTTAACACACTGAACGTGATGACATGTCTCCATCACGACTGACAAACCAAATCAGTCATATCCAGGGTGTTCGACTAGCAGGACAGCCCTCTACCTGGGATATCCAAATCGAATACTCTGCAGCTTCCCCCAGAGGTAAAGTCACATCGGTGACGCCGCATGAATCTGCCAGGCCTACCTCAGAAACCATCGAATCCCCTTTAGCCCTACCAGCCTTGACACACCCGCACATCCACCTCGACAAAGCCTTCATACACAGTGCACCTGAATATGCCGCCTTCCTACCATCAACCGGCACGTTCCAGGAGGCCCTGTCCTCAACAACGAAAGCCAAACAACAATTCAACCACTCCGATCTCCTCAAAAGAGGAGAATGGTTACTTGCCGAGTCCACCGCAGCAGGCGTTACGGCAATGCGAGCATTCGTCGAGGTAGACCACACAGTGCAGCTAGTCTGTCTAGACGCCGCTGTCGCCCTTCAGTCACAATGGAAAGACATCTGCGATATACAAATCGTCTGCTTCGCACAGGATCCCATATTCTCCACCGAACACGGAGACCAAAATATGAAAGTCTTGGAACTTGCTCTGCAGAAATACCCGCAGGTAGATGTACTCGGGACAACACCGTACGTCGAATCAAGCGTGGAGGCCGCAAAGCAGAACATCGACTGGGCAATTTCCCGTGCTCTACAATTGGATAAGCACGTCGACTTCCATCTCGATTATAACCTCGATTCAAAGAGAGAGCCGTTACTCTGGCATGTTCTACAAACTCTCAAACAACGGAACTGGACCGCACAGTCGACGGATAAACGTGTCATGCTGGGCCATTGTACGCGACTGACTCTACTGACGGAAACCGAATGGACTCGGCTCGCGACTGAGATCAAGGAGAATAACCTCCCGGTCAGCTTTGTCGGTCTACCAACGAGTGATATCTACATGGCGTCGGCTGGGGTTCGTGAGTGCGGAGCACCGCAGGATCGTCCCAGGGGCACTCTACAAGTCCTCGAGATGATCAAAAGGTACGGTCTGGATGCGGTGATTGGTGTGAACAATGTGGGCAATTCGTTCACGCCGTGGGGTCTGCCGGATCCGCTGGCGCTGGCTTGTCTTGGTGTGGGCATTTACCAGGCTGGGAGTCAGGCAGATGCTGAGCTTCTGTATGAATGTGTGTCGACGCGGGCGAGGAAGGCTATCGGGCTTGGATCGTCGAGTAAAGGGCTTTGTATAGTGGCTGGGCGTCAGATGGATCTTTTGGTGGTTCATTGCAGAGATGAGACTGGGTGCGGTGTGGGGAGGCCGCGGAGGAATGTTGCGGAGGTTGTGTGGACTCCGCCGGGGAGTTTGAATAGGGATGTTGTTTTTGGTGGGCATCTGAGGGTCTCGCCGTTTGTAGATGCGGAATCGGAGGGGTTTTATCAGTTTGGTTGATTTGTGGTCATGGTAGTTGATCATTGGAGAAGGTATCCATGTGGTTATATGTACATGATGATGAATGGAGCCGTGCATGCAAATTGGGCGATTAAGGGCATAAGATAGACCAAGGGCTAAGAGGATGTGGATGGCTGATCGGTCCTCGGGCGTGAATCATACGTTCTTCGGCCTCAATGCATAGAACTGCACCGGCATGAGATTCAAAGCCGTCGGGAACCCTTTCTGCAGTTCCGACTTGACAACCTGCATTCCGGCCTGCTCAAAGATCTGTCTCCACTTGGCGTCCGTCCGCGTCACACTGCTATCCTGGCTGTCATACAAATCTTTCCCAGTAATACTAGTAGAAAGATTCTCCTTGAAAACCATGAGTCCATTCTCAGTCAAGGACTTGCGACTGCGCACGGTGAAATCAACGAGCTGCGAATCCGTAAGGTGGCCCGCACACCACTGTACCCAGATCAAATCGTATCGTTTCTCTGGAGTGAAGCCTTCCAGCCCACAAGTGTATATCGATCCAATGACACCGTCTTTTTTCAATTGGCTTTCTTTCATCACTTGTGTGAACTTGGCAATTGGCTCAACTGCGTCAACCATTTCACAGACTTGACTCAGCAGGCCCTCCGTTACACGGCCGACGCCGGCGCCGCAGTCAAGGCCTTGACTGAATTTGCCAGGTGTGAGGCCTGGTAGTAGATGGCGGAGCTTGGCGAGGAAGTTCTTGGACCCTTGCAGGTCGATGCGTGAAATTGATGGGAAGTCGCCAAGCATGCTACCTGGGGTGGCAGGGACGCTGTTCCAGTACTCTAGAGCTGCGGCATGGTTGATTTGGGAATCGACGGATTCTTGGTCTGGCATGTTGGTGGTGGGATGTTTGAATATGCGTATGGATCTGAGTCTTGGATGCTGTCTGAGCCTGTCTCACAAAAACTATCTGATATCTGTCACGTGACACAGTCGATATTTATCACATTCTACCGTGTACGGAGTACTGCACAACATAGTACGGAGTATATATACTTCGCACTATGTATGTCGTGATATAGTAGTATCGGATCTATCTTATTCTTCGATATCTTCGTTCCTTAGTTCGCACCTTAATTGGCCCTAATTGCCCGATAACCAGGGAGGGCTGTGTATGATCGACAGGGATAAATGTTTTCGAGACTACACCTAAATAAGTAAAAATAATTTAAATCTCTGCGATCAACGTTAGCTTAGAGATTACGTGGAACAAGCACTGGACCACACTACCCGCTGTGATTGGAAGCCCATCTTGGGGGTCGAACTGCCGATCCTCACTTAAATTCATTTCTTCCCCTTATCTTCTTTCCCTTCAACATCTCCTCACCCACAGTCACTCTTTTATACTGTTATTTTCCATTTCATCATGGCCAACGGTCGCTCGTCGCAGGATGAGCGTAAGCTCGAGAGTGGTTCAACTGCCCCTCAGGACAAGGGCCTCCACCCGGCTTTCTACATTGCGTGCGTATCTCGATCTAGTTCCCTGATCATGGAACAATTGACTGAGACTCGATAGTCTTTGGATTACCCTCAGTTCCAGTGTCATCCTGTTCAACAAATGGGTTCTGGCGAGTGCCAAGTTCAGTACGATCACCCCAATCCCTGATCCCGATTCCCCTGTTTGATTTACGTGGGACTGACTGCTAACCTCGAACGCTTACAGACTTCCGTGAGTTTCTCCGCCAACCGACGCTTTGTCGCGCCCGATCGAATCACTGACATAAGATATCAGCGTTGTTCTTGACCACCTGGCACATGGTATTCGCCACGGCGATGACCCAGATCCTCGCCCGGTTCACCAATGTGCTGGACTCGCGTCACAAGGTCCCCATGAACCCGGCTACCTATACGTGAGAATCCCCGATAATGCCTTGGCTGGCACCGCAGTCCGACCTGAGTTTTTGATCGCTGACCGATGGTTTGGTATACAGTCGTGCCATTGTGCCCATTGGTATCATGTTCAGTTTGAGTCTGATTTGCGGTAACTTGGCATACCTCTACCTGAGTGTTTCCTTCATCCAGATGCTCAAGGTACGTTCGATTCCCGCGCTCGAATTTCTCTCGACTTGTGACTGACTGGACATCTTTGTTTAGGCTACCAACGCTGTCGCAACCCTCCTGGCCACCTGGGCTTTCGGAATCGCTCCTACCAACATGAAGACTCTCGGCAATGTGTCTCTCATTGTTGTCGGTGTTGTGATCGCCTCGTTCGGCGAGATCAAGTTCGACATGTTGGGTTTCCTCATCCAGGTCGCCGGTATCGTCTTCGAGGCCCTACGTCTGGTCATGGTCCAGCGTCTGCTTAGCTCCGCCGAGTTCAAGATGGACCCCTTGGTCTCTCTGTACTACTACGCTCCCGCTTGTGCCGTCACCAACGGTATCGTCACTCTCTTCGCTGAGGCTCCCCGTCTCACCATGGGTGACATCTACGGTCTCGGTGTCGGCACCCTTATTGCCAACGCACTGGTTGCCTTCCTTCTTAACGCCTCCGTTGTCTTGCTGGTAAGTTCTCACAAAACGCTATCAATGGTATGGTAACTGACACCCCCGCCAGATTGGCAAGACCTCCGCCGTCGTCCTGACCATGGCCGGTATCCTCAAGGACATCCTCCTTGTCGGCGCCTCCATGTTCATCTTCCGCGACCCCGTTACTGCCCAGCAGTTCTTCGGTTACTCCATTGCCCTGGCTGGTCTGGTGTACTACAAGCTCGGCGCTGAGAAGTGCCAGAGCCTTATGACGGATGTGCGCCTCCAGGTTGGCGAGTACAACCGCAGCAACCCCGCCCGCTTCAAGGCCATCGCCATCGGTGTGCCTTGCGCTCTTGTTCTGCTCATTCTGTACAGTGGCAGCTCGACCCCTGCTCAGGTGACTGTCTGAAGCACTACTCGCGTATCGGCGAACTGAAGCAATCGACGAAAATTGGGAACATGTGGATGGTTTCCATGGGGGCTTATTGTTTCACGAATTCCAGCTCGGGGAAGCCTTTTCCCCGATGCTTATGTTAAATTTTAAAGAACATGTCTTGTCTGGACAGGACGGAACATGCATGTAAAGTTAGGGGACATAGAGATGATATTTGGCGGTTTACATGGGGGGTTAAGTTTATAATACATGAATGGATGTACCTATTTTATTGGTGGCGTACGTTAAGTATACATTACACAGTAGGTATAGTATATGTTTCATACTTTCATTGCTTATCGCTGAAGTTGACTTCAAGTGTCTCATGGGCATTGCGCGTGTTTCTACCATATTGGGAAGAAATGCCAGCCATGTCTCGGAACTTACATGGGGCGAGACCTTTCAAATCAACACCTTTCTCAAAATAAACCTACCAAGTCAGTGATTTCACCTCGAGTCCTCGACCTTAACGGGGGCCTCACGCGCTGCAAACAACACCAATTTCCATCATGGCCAATCGAGGGATTGTTGTCTTCTCCGGAGGGAGCGCGGCGAACAATCTAGTCGACGTCTTCAGCGCCGTTCGTGAAAGCAAGAACTGCCCACTCAGCTACATAATTCCCATCAGTGATAACGGAGGATCTTCTTCCGAGTTAATTCGGATATTCGGCGGTCCTGGCATCGGCGATGTTCGAAGTAAGCAAAACAGACCACTTCCTAGCACAATTGCTCAATGCTAACCTTCTACCAGGTCGATTAGTGCGCTTGATCCCAGATTCACCTACGAATCCCGAAAGATCAGCAATCAAAGCACTATTCAACCACCGACTGCCCGCCGAAGCAGGCGTCGCAACCACAGAATGGCAATCCATCGTCGACGGCACATCGGCCCTATGGACAGCCATCACCCCCGCCAAAAAAGAGCTCATACGCTCCTTCTTTAACGTCCTGAATCTTGAAATCCTCAAGCGAGCCCGACCACCCTCCTCAACTTTCGACTTCACTTCCGCAAGCGTAGGCAACCTCTTCCTAACCGCCGCGCGACTATTCAGCGGCAGTTTCGAAAGCGCCATCTACCTCCTAGGCAGCATCTGCGGCGTCCCATCAGATCTAGTCCGCGTAATCCCAGCAATCAACTCCAATTTCTCCCATCACATCTCCGCCTCCCTGGCAGATGGAACCGTCATCGTCGGGCAGAACAGTATCTCTCACCCAGGCGAGGCTACAGCCCTTCACCACAAGCCGGGTTCAAGACGACCGAGTCTGCTCCTCGCCGATGGCGATGATGTTGACTATACAGACTCTGAACTCTCGGACCCAATGACCTACGAAGAAGACCATCTCCCTGGCTCCCTAGCTACGCTCCGTAACAAGAACATCAAGTTCAGCAAAACCGAAAACGAGGATCTAAGCGCCAGAATCACTCGCATCTGGTACATAAATCCCTACGGCCAGGAAATCCGCCCACCAGCCAATCCACGCGTCCTGGAATCAATCAATGATTCCCAGGCCATAATCTACAGCATCGGATCCCTCTACACATCCATCATCCCATCCATCGTCCTGCGCGGCGTGGGAAAATCCATAGTCTCATCTCCAGCGCGCCACAAAATCCTCATTCTGAACGGATCCCTCGATCGAGAAACAGGACCTATGTCCGCGCCATTTGCCGCTTCCGATTTCGTCGAAGCTATTGTCTGTGCTGGAGAGGAAAGTCGGGGTCGCTTGCAGCATCAGAGTCAGAGGCAGGAGCATGGAAATGCGCAAAGCTACTCGGATCTGCCGTATACGAGCTACGTGTCTCATATACTGCATTTGGAGGGGCCTGGGACGCCGCTGGTTGATCGCGAGAGGCTGGCTGATATGGGGATTGAGACGCTGAGGCTTTATGGGAGGAAGATTATGGGGAAGGATGGGGTGACGGTTGTTGGCATGCAGTATGATCCTAATGCGCTCGTGCAGGCTATTGAGGTTGTTCTGGGGAAGAAGGGGGATGCGATGGTTCGGGGGGCATTGGGGAGTGGGCTTGGGAGGCGGAATACTTTAGATCCTGCTAGGAGAGATAGATAGAATACCCAACTGGGTTGATATATGGGGTTGTTCACAGCTAGAGTTACCTATATCTGAAAATGAAGTGATTGGAAAGTATGATAGCTGGTCTACCTGCAAGACCTGATGGAGGATCCAAAAGTGCCTCTACATCTGAGCACGATGTAACTCGAGAGCATGAGATATCTTGGAACCAGGCTACAGGACATACGGTGTTACAGGAGAAAGAAACATGAAAGTAATGGAAGATGTCATTGCTAATTCAAAAGATGAACTCCGCCAACACACTGCTGATGCAATATTCATAATCATAAAAGTCGTGCATCGTCATGGAGAGCCCTGGCACCTGCGCTATGCCGCAATGAGATGAAATGGTAAGAATAAAGAAGTAAGGGAAAAGGGCGAGTGAAGATTGGTCAGTGAAGAACAGGGGAGTGAAGATGGTGTAACTGAAGATGAGGTCGGGTGAGTCGAAGCAAGTAGAAAAAAGTCGGAATCAACGGCGAGTGGAGGGGAGGTAGGATAAAAGGTGACGTAGACGTGAACCCTCCCTACGCTTCGAGCGAGGGTAGATCTTCCTCCTCCCTGTCCTCCCGCGCAAAGATAAGTGCAGTAAGCTCCCTCGGACCCCTCGATCTGCGTGTAATTGTGGCCCGACACACCGGACAAGCGCCTCTGGGGGTAGTCGCTCGGCCAGGCTGAGCACGCAGCGCAACGGTGAGATAGTTCATTATGCACTGGTGGCAGAATAGATGGCCTTGAGGAGAGAGTTAGAAAGGTGTACCGTCCATACGGCTCAACGGCACTAGCGTACGGGCGCACATACCACAAACGGTGCTTGTCGGGTTCTCCGGGCGTTCCATGCAGATTGGGCAAGTGTACGCGAGCAAGGCATTGGCCTCCGGAGGGTCAACTGGAGCACCAGGTCCGACGGCAGGAGCGGAGCGGGGAGTGGTAGTGTTGGACCGCCTTCGCCAGTCATGTCAATGGTTTCAATCACCTCGCGTCTCTGGCGGGTGGCAGCCGAGGAGGACTCAGCAGGTTCTTGGCTGAGATTGTGGCGGCGCTTGATGCCGCGTGGGGTGTTTGGAACTTGGTCGGGGCTGGGCGAGCGAGGCGAGCGAGGCGAGCGGGGGAAGGGAGTGGGCGTCGAGTTGCGCCTGTGGTGGGTGGGGGAATTGCCGGTGGTCAGGTCCACAAACTCGCGCGGTCGGCTGGTGCGACGCATCTCGATGGACTTGTCTTCGCCTTCAGCGGCGAACTTGTCCAGCTGTGCGCCGCGTGACAGCTGGCGGGGGAGCGGCTGGGAGACGCGCCGCGGAGCCTCGGGATCAAGAGATACCCGATGTGGAGGATAAATTATCTCTCCACGGACGAGAATTCCTTCCGTAGAAGGTGCGAGAGGCGTCTGGCTGTCGGCAGACTCGCGCCGACGTCGATGTCTGGATGGAAGGAAATTTCCAACCTTCTCGCGAGTTTTGCGGACGAAACGCTGCAACGACTGAAAGATAGCCATACCGATAACTGCTTATCACCTGATCACGTGGCTGTTTGGGTGGGGCTAGGGCGGTGTGCCGACGTGGAAACAGGACGGACCGGAATATCTTTAATCCGAACGAAAGGGTGCAGCAGTGACGTAGACACACGTGATCTTAGACTAGGCTCGGCAGGTACCCGCCAGTCGGATGATGGCTATCACTTGGATGTCCACACTTGACTACTGGTCTGGATTGATCCTAGGAACGTCGCCGGCAACCGAGCTGCCACCGGTATTGGTGGTGGAGATTGATTGATGGGAAGCCGGTGATGGGCGAGACGCACGTGACTGATAGTAACGGAGAAAGGTTAGGCCGGCCGGATAAATAAAGTGCGGACCAAAGAAGAAAGAAAAGCGATGTGTTCGGACAAATGTAAAAGCGTTCGGATAAAATAAAAAGAAGAAAGAAAGGCGAGGAGCGCGGATCGGATTATAAGCCATTCCGGTTCATGTGACTTTGGCCTCAGAAGAGAGCAATTCATATGACTTTCACCCTCAGAGAGTGGTTCATACAACTTTCGTCTGAAAGCGGCAGGTGGTCCCAAGGAAAAACTGATTTTCCGGTGTGCATGCCCAGACTTACCATACCGCGATAACTAGGCAATGATACGGGCATCAAGTCCGTCTTCTTTAACACATCGCTCTTTTTGTGCCCGATTTCCTTGGCTATCAGTGCAGCCGCACGGCTGTAGCCAGACTTTCTGAACATGACCTGACGTCCCCAAACTGGTTATTCTTATGATGTTATATTGGAAGTCCTCCCGCACTCCTTGTTCTAGGGGTGGCTTGAGGTCTTTCGCGCGACTTGGCTCGCCGCTCTCTATTCAAGCACAATCATGGATCTCTTCCAAAGGAAATTCGAGGCATTCCTCGTCATCCGCCAACAATGCCCATTCCACGAAAAGCACTCTTTCTGGTGTGTCCTTCGTCTTCCGGCTGAAGCTCAATAAGAAAATAAAAAATTCCAATACTGATCTTTTCCAGTCCCTTCCTCGTCTAGATTCAATGAAGTAGGAGTTCAACAGTTGAGCGACTATGTACATGCGCAAATCTTCCCGAACAAAGGTCGCATCCCGAATCCAGACCTGGTCGCACTCTCGAAGGATCATCTGTCTCGACATCAGCTTCTGGGTAAATCCCAGACCGGCGCTGGGCCTGTCGCCTTTGATCTTCCTACGCTGAAGGGCCAGACTATGGATGAGCACTTCTATAAACTCGGAATGGATTCTTCGGAGCCATATTTGACATACGCCAAGTCGTACGCGGCTCTCAACTGTCCGCCCAAACCGCGCAAATGGGTGAAGCGCAGCGGATGGACGAAATACCACAGCGATGGCACTTCAGAGCCTGTAGACGCTCCCAATGAAGCAATGCTTACTTTCGACACGGAGGTTATGTACAAGGACAATTCGTTTGCGGTCATGGCTTGTGCGGTCAGCCCAACTTCATGGTATGCGTGGATATCGCCTTGGCTGCTGGGCGAGTCAACGAACGAGATTCAGCTGGTGCCCTTGGGAGACCCATCCCAACCCCGCATCATCGTTGGCCACAACATTGGCTACGATCGAGCACGAGTCCTTGAGGAATATGATATGCAGCAGTCTCAGAACTTCTTTCTGGACACAATGTCCCTTCACGTTGCGGTCAATGGCATGTGTTCGCAGCAGAGACCGACTTGGATGCGACACAAGAAGAATCAAGATTTGAGGGATAAAATCGCCAACGAGCACCATTCTGTCGAACTGGCCGCGCTTCTCGAAAACAACATGTTGAGAGAAGAAGAGGAAGAACTCTGGGTGGGACGAAGTTCGGTTAACTCGTTGCGTGATGTGGCCAAGTTCCATTGTGATGTCACAATCGATAAGGCGCAGAGAGATCTCTTCGGTGAACTTGACCGCGATTCTATCGTGAGCAGGCTGGAGGAGCTTCTCGACTATTGTGCAGCCGATGTTGCCATCACCCACCGCGTGTACCGCAAAGTGTTCCCTAATTTCCTTGAGACCTGCCCTCATCCAGTTAGCTTCGGCGCTCTTCGCCACTTGTCCTCTGTCATTTTGCCAGTCAACCAGTCTTGGCAAGAATATCTTACCAGCGCAGAGGAGACATATCATAAGCGACTTGATGATGTACAGATCAAACTGCTCGCGCTGTGTGATGAGGCATTGAAGTGCAAAGACCAACCAGACATTTACACGAATGATCCTTGGCTACGGCAGCTGGACTGGTCCGGCCAAGAGATCAAAATGGCAAAAGGAAAGAAGAAGGGTGATCCTCCCCGGCCGGCAGCCCGGCAGAAGAAACCAGGAATGCCTAAGTGGTACAAGGACCTTTTTACGTCGAACGCTGCAGACATCAACCTGACAGTGCGCACTCGCATTGCGCCTATTTTGCTCAAACTTTCTTGGGACAATCACCCCCTAGTGTGGTCAGACCTACACGGGTGGACTTTCCGTGTCCCTCGTGATCAAGTCAAGCAATATGAGAACCAGCCAGTCGTTGTATGCGATATGACTGAGGAAAAGAACCTCGAATTGCGAGACGAGCGAAAAGCCACATTCTTCAAGATCCCTCACAAAGATGGCCCACAGGCCAGATGTACCAACCCGCTTGGAAAGGGCTACATGCAGTATTTCGAGCGTGGAATCCTGTCATCACAGTATGAACTTGCGAAGCAAGCTCTGGATATGAACGCTTCATGTTCCTACTGGATCAGCGCGCGAGATCGAATTAAAAGTCAGATTGTTGTCTACGAAGATCAGATACGAAAGGCTGGCCAAGGCGCCGAGACTAACAACAATCGCATTGGTTTCATTCTACCTCAGGTCATCCCGATGGGCACTATCACTCGACGTGCCGTGGAGAACACCTGGCTCACTGCAAGTAACGCCAAGGCTAACCGTGTTGGTTCAGAGCTGAAGGCTATGATCAAAGCACCGCCAGGCTATTCCTTTGTGGGCGCCGACGTCGACTCCCAGGAATTGTGGATTGCAAGTCTTGTCGGAGACGCCCCGTTCCAAATCCACGGAGGAAACGCAATTGGCTTCATGTGTCTAGAAGGATCAAAGGCCGAGGGAACAGATCTACACTCGCGAAGTGCCTCAATTCTGGGCATCTCACGTAATGATGCCAAAGTCTTCAACTACGGCCGAATCTATGGTGCTGGCGTCAAGTTTGCAGCCACTCTGCTTCGCCAGTTCAATCCGTCCCTGACTGAAAAGCAGACACAGGAAACTGCTCAAAATCTATACAAAGAGACTAAGGGGACGCGCACTTCCCGACGCCTCTTAAGTGCGTCGCCTTTCTGGCGGGGTGGTACCGAGTCCTTTGTGTTCAACAAGCTCGAGGAGTTCGCTGATCAGGAGCGGCCCAGAACCCCAGTCCTGGGTGCTGGGATCACAGAGGCCCTTATGCGACGTTTCATCAACAAGGGCAGCTTCATGACATCTCGCATCAATTGGGCTATTCAGTCATCGGGTGTTGATTATCTTCACCTCCTGATTGTTGGCATGGACTATCTCATCCGTCAATTCAATATTCAAGCCCGCTTGGCCATTACTGTTCATGACGAGATTCGTTATCTCGTCAAAGACGAGGATAAGTACCGCGCGGCAATGGCTTTGCAGGTTGCCAATGTGTGGACTCGGGCTCTCTTCTCGCAGCAAGTGGGCATCGATGATCTTCCCCAGTCTTGTGCGTATTTCTCGGCCGTCGACATTGACCATGTACTTCGAAAGGAAGTCGATATGGACTGTGTGACTCCTTCGCATCCTCACAAAATTCCACACGGTGAAACACTCGACATCACCCAGCTTTTGGACAAAGCTCACGAAGCGTTCTTGGACCCTACCATCACACCCAAGTCCCCTCCAAATCCCGACAAATACCCCTACACCCCGCGCGAATCGGTCATGTCCGCCCTCACAGCTTCTAATGACATTGACTTCATCAGAGCTCAGATCACCAAGGATGATAAAGAACTTCGTGATATCATCAAAGAAAAGACTCGGGCAACCACTGGCGACACTCCCAAGGCTCGCACCACTTCCACCAAATCAAGCAAGTCTACCAGTTGGTCCTCGGCAAAGCCCCAACGGGCGGTTCTGATGGACATGGAGTCTGCTCTCTATTCCGACTTCCACAGCTCGTCTCGGTCTAATTCCCATGGAGGCAAACAGCCCCAAATCGGGTTTCACCGACCTTCCTGGAAACCACGGCCAACGGCTCGAGCTTAGTGTCGACGATTTCCCTCTTCCATCCTGTCTTTCATTGTATTATGAGATTTCTTTTCTGCTGTAATTATTGCTTTACTCCTGTTTAACTATTTGGGTGGTTGTTATATCTGGAGTGATTGGGGGCTAGCATTGGGACGGCGTTGATGCATTGCGGTGGAATTGTATGTATTATAGTCTAATTGCTGAGCGTTAGTGAAGCAATAATATGTACTCCGTACTATGAATCATCGAATAAGCTCGTGTTAGACTGTTCGTCGTGAATAAAGCCAAATGAGCATAAGCTTCGACCATTCGAGCTAACACGGGGAATTTCTCCACAACGGCCCCTGTGCTCCGATCTGGACCCCTTTCTCCTGTTTCTGTCGAGATTTGTTCGAATTCCTATTTTTCGATGTTCATGTCATAGAATCCTTTTTTTAGAGGTCTCGTCTTGCTTGCAGCCTTGCAAACTCTGCCCGGCAGATCATCACGCTCCTCAGACGTCAGATCCCCGAGCGACATGTTCTCATCTGACTCCGTGGTGTCTCCATGAGACGCGAAAACCTATTTTGAAACCCCTGCTGGACTGCTAGACATTGCTGGTACATCACCCATCTCCAGATTCCTTATCGTTGAGGCGAAGTGGATCGGTCTTTTGAGCCGATGAAAACCCGTCATTCCAACGCGATCGGACGTGCGCCTTCTCAATTCGAGCCGCAAGAATGAGCGTACACTCAGTCGACTATGCGCAAGTCGACTATGCGCAACAAGGCGCGACACGATCCGACTTTGACATCGAGGCCGGTCGCCCATCGCTCGGCTCCCAAGTGTCTCCGACAGGAAGAGAGAGAGAAGGTAGTTCATTCCCCGCGTTCAGCACATCCGCAGCACGAGTGAACTCCACAGAGACGACGAAACGCCGAACCAGACGCTCGAACACGGCCCGCTCATACCATCCGGAGGGATTCGCTCAGGATCCGAATTGGCAGCCTGGAACCGAGCCTGGTATCGATCCCACCAAGCCGCTACCGCCGTACACGTCGGAATGGGCGTCGAATATCCCCGCGGATCTGCACCGGCGCTGCGAGATCACGATCGTGGATTTTTCACAGCATGAGATGCGGCAGTATGAGCTGGATAATGATACGCTGGAGCAGTTCTTGGAGCGGGAGAAAGAGCCGTGGGTGCAGTGTCGGTGGATCAATGTCAATGGGCTGAGCTGGGATGTGATTAAGATTCTGGGGAATCATAAGAGATTGCATCGGCTGGCGATTGAGGATGTTGTACACACTACCAATCGCACGAAAGCGGATTGGTACTCGGATCATGCTTTTGTCGTCTTGACATTGCAGAAGCTGATGAAGATCCAGGAGGAGGATTCCTCTGACTCGGAGGACGAGGAGGATGCTTCGGTCAGTCGGTGGAAGTCAAGGGACCGGAAAAGCTCGGTGAACAGTGAAAAGAGCTCGATCTCACTGAAGCGACCAACGAAACGGAATGTCATCATGGCCGCTTTGAAGGATATATTCACTATCAGATCATCGAAGGACCAGGACCGCAAAGAGAAAGCGAAGCTGGGCTCCAGCATTCGGCCTGGCCCCGGACGGGAAGGGGCAAAACATAACACGCACTTTGGAGATGTTGGAACAGTCAAAGATACAACTACCAGGAGTCTCCAGCGATATCGCGGTGGTCCCAATGAGGATCGAATCGAGTTCATGGAACGCCATGCTGCCCTTGCCGCCAAGGGACTATGCGTCACATTGGAGCAAGTTTCGATCTTCTTACATGCCGATAACACAGTGACATCCTTCTTCGAAACGAGCGCGGATGACATTGAAGCGCCAATCGTCAGGCGGCTGAACACCCCCGAGACTATCCTCCGTCAGTCCTGCGACGCCAGCATGCTGTTGCAGGCCATTCTCGATGCCGTGATCGATCTTGCGATTCCCGTCACAATGGCCTACCAAGATGCCATTGGAGACCTCGAACTTGAGGTCCTGACTGATCCAGACATTGAGCAGTCAAAGTCTTTGTATATCCTAACGTCAGAGATTGCCGTTCTGCGAAACTCCATGCAGCCTATGGTGGCTGTGATCAATGCTCTCCGCGATCACCGGTCCGAGCCTGTCAACACTCCAGGGTTTGGCGTTTTTCGAAATCCGCTCAGCCCGTCTACTACACCGGCGGAAATGGAGGATCCTCGCCCGCAGATCGGCTCTGTTACGCCCAATCTAAAGAGCTTGGGAGGCACCAGTGTCACGATCAGCTCTATGTGCCACACGTATCTGGGCGATGCCCTGGATCACTGTATCACTATTGTTGAAGGATACGATCAGATGCGGCGTAACGCTGATAACATGATAGATCTGATCTTCAATACTATTGGTATGTCGTTTCTTCTCTGTAGCGAAGACGTCCCAACTAACAGTGTTGCGCAGGTGCCTACCAGAACGAGAGTATGAAGCAACTCACTCTGGTGACTTGTTTGTATCTTCCCATGACATTTTTGACTGTACGTATACCTCGGCCCCCGATCCTGATGGGATCCGTCGCTTACACCAGTTCTAGGGCTACTTCGGAATGAATTTCACTACTTTCGGTTCAATTGAGCATAATGAAGGGTATGTTGAGCTTTGTCATTGATAGGATTTATGCTGATCTCGACAGATATTTCTGGAAGATTGCCGTACCGTTCGTTTGCGCCACGACGTTCTTACTGATGTAAGTGCCTGGTTCCCTTTGGGTAGAGTCGAAACTAACATCTACAGGCGCGACAAAATCCAGCGTTACGCCGTCATGCTTGCTCAACGGCGTCTCATTGTCAGCTCGAGGAAGCAAAGACGGGAGAGGAAGAAGAAATAGATGGTCTTGTTTATTATTCACTTGTAAGGTGTTGCTGGCGGGTTTTGCTTTCGGGCTACACATACGCATTAACAGACCATGTATTTGGGTCTTAGATCAATAGCTACATGTATACTACTTGGACATTATTTTGCATCAGTTAACAGCTTGATTCCAATCTTGGAATGACCATGTAGGCCCTCCGTCTAAATTGTTTTGACTATAAATACATATTGTACACGGCTCACCCTCAATCAAGAGACTTCCGACGATAAGCCGAATAGGCCTTCCACGGAAGTCTCCAATCTGACCGGAGCAAGGCTGGGCTGAAGATATCAAAGTCCTGCTTCTGCAAGCGATCCAACCACAAGCGTGCGCCAACCGCCGGCATGAAGACGCCAAATGCCCTATTCACCTCCTCGAGAGGAGACTCGCCGCTTCGACCAGGGGAAACATCATATTCATGACCCTCCTCACCCTCGTGCTCAAAATCATGACCAACATCCTCCCCAGCCCTCAGATTACTCAACATCTGCTGCGCCGTAATCAAATGATCACTTGCCCTTGTCGCAACAGTAAAGACTGCATCTCTCAGGCCCTCCGCCTGAGCTCCATTCCGGAGCACATCCTCTTCCTTAACGCCCGCCTGAGCCATAACATCCAGTGGCAACATAACAGCACCCTGCTTCGCACCACCACCAACGGCAGAGCCCGCAGCTCCACCAGGCGGTGCCTGAGCCGGCGGCGCGGGGAAAGCAACAAACGGCAGTCCACGCAGCACAGCGGCGATACCCACCGCCTTACCAATATGCGACGCAACATGGTCGGCAGTCACCGAGGCCATAGGCAAGGCAGACAGAGTCAGGTACATGAGCGTCGAGTATGTGTTCTCAGCGTACGACTCGAGCGCGGCGATATTAGGATACGGGTCATTTGTCAAAGTTTGCTCTCGCGAGTTGATGAGACGCATCAGCCAGCCTTTGCTTATCCGTGCCTGGCCCTCTGTACGCTCGTGTAACTCGGAAATGGCGGATGCAAGCAGGATGGCGACGGGTTCTTTTGGTGGGGTGCCGGCGATAATCTTGGTTACGGCGTCGCGCCAGAATTGGAGTCGCATTAGCCCGATTGTGGGGGAGGAGGTTGTGTCCGGGATCATGGAGAGGGAGACGTTTAGTGCGCGTAGCGCGATATAGAAGGATTGGGCATGGCGTGGGATGAAGGTGCTCAGTGTATAGGAGGGGCGGTCATATTTTCTGTTCGGAAGGATTGTCCGTTAGTACTCGAGCATAGATCTGGCTTCGGAGCTTCTATATGCTCAAACGGCTTAGGGTCACTCGGCTTGACATACGATAGTAGACCAATGCAGTAGTTGTGAGCGCCTTGGACTTCCTCCGCGGTGAGAGGTGCGGCAACAGATGGTGTCCGGCTGAAGTGACGTTTCTGTGATTGGAAGCTTCGGATATAATATGGGCAAGCCCTGCTTGCCTGGCAAGTCCGAGATGTCCCGAGGAAAGACATTGAGGGGGTTGAAAGTTGGTTGCGATTGCGAGTCTGCAAAGATTCAACGATGTAATCGGGGAGAAGACATTGGCCGAGAGACGAGCTTTGTCAGCGCATACAACCATCCATTAAGAAACAGTATAAAAAGGACTCTGGATGTATGGAAATCAAAGTAGATAAAATACCAAATACACTAATATTTCCTGAAATCCACAAAGATCTACGTTGTAGCTGATGTACGCGTTTTCCTGAGTGACGATCCGCCTGACTTCGCGTTCGCGTTTCTCCGCGTGGGCGCGTCTCCTTAGTCTCCCGAACTCAACTTTTCATCTTCATCAGATGTTACAGCAAATATGAGCGAAGATGGGGATCAACGGCCAGCAAAGAGGCAGCGCTTCTTCTCCGACCCGCCAGCACCACCTTTACCGACCGAAACTCGAGATGGACCGGACCTGTTTCGTCGCCTACTCTTACAACATGGCAATGGAGACCGCGAGCCTCGAACGGAGCATGACGCTACTATAGAGAACGGTTCGCTTGATACCGTTCCCGAGTACTTCCCTGCCTGGCCGAAACGGAGGCACTATACAAAACGATGTGGAACCAAGAACGACGATGTACCCATTCCCGACGATGCTATCCCATCCCAGAATGGAGCAGGCCCTCAAGGAGTTGCCAACCTTGATCGCGTTCCCGATTACTCCCCTCCCTCGCCAAAACCGAGGCAGTATTCACGACGATTTGGAACCAAGAACGACGATGTACCCATTCCCGACGCCGCTGTCCCTCCCCAGAATGGAGGCCCTCAAGGAGTTGCCAACACCGCACCAGTCGCAGCGGCCGATGGCTTTGATGTCGACCTTTTCACCAGCATCGTGGGCGAGAAATTGCCTGTCGATGCAATCAAAACAATTCGATCCGCCGCTACGAACAACATTGAGCGGGCTGTGAACATATACTTTGATGGATCATGGAAGAAGCCTGTGCAGTCAAATGGCCCCGTTGCTATCCCCCAGCCGAGAGATGTTCCAGTAACACCTGGTTTCGGAAGGGCGGATGCAGATGGTTTGGTTTTGCATTTACAGTATCAGCCCGCAGCACGGTACGTGGGCGGATTCGGCGTGGAAGGATGGGCAACTCGAAGTGGTCCGGCTTTGCTCAAGCATGGTGACACTGTTTTCATCGAACGCGCACGCTCCCAGCCAATGACGAAACGTGGCAGAGGAGGCAGAACATTTGTCAATCACAAATCCGATGTCTTGACCCGATTTACCAACAAGGCAGGCCAGGAAATTGGCCGGCTACCGCACGAGACCGCTGAATGGGTTTCTACGCTGATTGATCAGAAGATCTGCCGCTTTGAAGGAGTCTGCGTGTTTGTACCCGATAGGGTGCGAGTCAACGATACCATTTACCTGCAACTCCACGTCTATATGCTCAAAGAAGCGTTTCGGAGTGCGGCGTTCGCCGCTATGAACCCCGACGACAACAGATCTACCGGACTTTTCGAAGAGAGTGAGAGCAACGAGGAAAAGAATCTGCGACTCCGACAAGTTGCTCTTGTAAAGTTGTTCAACGAGATTGGCCTTCATCCTACCTCGACCAACCCGACTACCGAAAGGCACAAAAAGGATGGCATTCTACGTGCTGCTGAAATTGCAGAGCAATACGACACGAAAAAGGAGAAAGATAAATCTAGCGAAGACGAAACCGAAGAACTGCAAGAGGACCAACTCGACACTCTGTATCGAAAGGCACAGTCATTTGACTTCAACATGCCAGCTGCAGACCCTCCTCCTACGTTTACGCTCAGTCTACGCAAGTACCAACAACAAGCCCTTCACTGGATGCTGTCAAAAGAAAAAGATTCCAAAGAAACGCGTGAAAAGTCAATGCATCCCTTATGGGAGGAATACACTTGGCCCCTAAAGGACGTTGACGACCATGAGCTACCAAAAGTTCAAGACCTTGACCACTTCTATGTGAACCCTTATTCCGGAGACCTCAGTCTTGAATTCCCTCTTCAGGAGCAGCACTGCCAAGGTGGAATCCTGGCTGATGAAATGGGTCTTGGTAAAACCATCGAGATGCTTAGTCTGGTTCATTCACACAGGGTTGAGCCAGATCCGCAGCTGATGAACGGTCTCAACTCAGGCAATGAACTTGCGATGACTCCAAGCTCTACCGGTGTAATTCCTGCGCCATACACCACCCTTGTCGTTGCACCTACATCCCTGATCTCTCAATGGGAAAGCGAGGCACTCAAAGCAGGAACAATGAGGGTACTCGTCTACTACGGAGCCGACAAGGCCTTCAATCTGCGGGATTTATGCAGTATATCCAATTATGACGGAGCTCCACAGGTGATTGTCACCAGTTATGGCGTGGTGTTGTCGGAATTCCGCCAGCTCGCCTCCCAGTCTGCAGTGCCCAGCATGAATAGAGGTCTATTCTCTGTGGAATTCTTCCGGGTGATCCTTGACGAAGCCCATGTGATCAAGAACCGCCGTTCCAAATCCGCCAAGTCGTGCTGTGAGTTGAAAGCAAGGCATCGATGGGCACTGACCGGTACGCCAATCGTCAATCGTCTCGAGGACCTCTTCAGCCTAGTGCGCTTCCTGAGGGTTGAGCCGTGGAGCAATTTCTCTTTCTGGAAGACGTTCATCACTGTACCCTTTGAATCGAAAGAATACGTGCGCGCCCTGAATGTCGTGCAAAGTGTCCTGGAACCCCTTGTCCTTCGGCGGACAAAGTCGATGAAAACCCCAGAGGGCGAACCACTGGTTCCGTTGCCCAAGAAGATAGTCAAGATTGAGGAGGTCGAGCTACCGCAACAAGAACGAGAGATTTACGACCTCATCTTCACGCGAGCGAAACGGACCTACAACGACAACGTCGAGGCTGGCACACTATTGAAGTCTTACAGTACGATCTTTGCGCAAATTCTGCGTCTTCGTCAGACCTGCTGCCACCCTGTGTTGACTCGCAACAAAGCCATCGTCGCAGACGAGGAGACTGCAGCAATGGCAGCCGGCGCAACCGACGAATTCAAAGACGACATGGATCTGCAAGAATTGATCAAGCGATTCAACGCCGAGAACGAGAACGCCCAGTCCCAAGATACCCCGGGAACGATGGTAAAGTTCACATCCCACGCTCTCCGCCAGATCCAAACCGAATCCAGCGGCGAATGCCCAATCTGCTGCGAAGAGCCAATGGTCGATCCCGCCGTAACCGCCTGCTGGCACAGCGCATGCAAGAAATGTCTCGAAGACTTCCTGCAACACCAAAAGAACAAAGGCGTCCAAGCCCGCTGCTTCAACTGTCGAGCTCCAGTGGACGAAAAGAATGTCTTCGAGGTAATCCGCCATTCACCCTCCACCTCAGTCTCATTCAACGACGACATCGTCAGCAGCACACCACCAAGCAGCTCCCAGCCCGCACCACGCATCTCCCTCCGTCGCATCCACCCTCTCTCCCCTTCCGCCCACACTTCAGCCAAGATCCAAGCCCTCATCAACCACCTCACCCGTCTTCCCCCCAACACCAAATCCGTCGTCTTCTCCCAATTCACTTCTTTCCTAGACCTCATCGGTCCACAGCTTTCTCGTGTCGGCATCTCCCATCTTCGTCTGGATGGCTCAATGCCCCACAAGGCTCGCGCGGCTGTCCTAGCTGAATTCGCTAAAGAGCAGAGCTTTGACGATGACCTCGATGCGGAAGACGATACACCATCGAGTACCCCGGCCAGTAGCCGACCTGCACCGAAGACCGCATCCTCGACACCGGCTCCGACAGTTCTACTCATTTCTCTTCGCGCTGGCGGTGTCGGCCTCAACTTGACGGCGGCTAGCAATGTCTTCGTCATGGATCCGTGGTGGAGCTTCGCTATCGAAGCGCAGGCTATCGACCGTGTCCATCGAATGGGTCAGACTCGTGATGTTCATGTGACGCGTTTCGTGGTTAAGGATTCTATTGAGGGCCGCATGCTGCGCGTGCAAGAAAGGAAAATGAATATTGCCGGCTCGTTGGGATTGAAGATTGGTGGCGATGATGGTGATGATGATAAGGGGAAGGAGAGACTTGCGGAGTTGAAGATGTTGTTCGAGTAGTCTGTACTTTGCGCCTGCTCTGGTTTGTAAATATGGAATTACATCACTTGAGATTTGGGATTTGGATCTAGATACCGGCTATTTCGGTCTATATAAGCATGAGGATTGGATTATTCCGGACCTTGAATCATTACAGTTTCACTCAAGTCTACAAGCGATGAGAATGAAAGAAGTAGATATTAATACAGCCGAATGAAAAAGGATCTCAATATACTGTGTAGACATAGACATTCAATCTCAACAATCCAACAAAACATCCGAAATATCACACAAGCACCGCTCTCAGGTAAATTGTTCCGGAGTCTACCAAGTCCATTTATGAAGATTTATGAAGATGCTTCTTCACACTATCCTTAACCTTCGACATAGCCCCATGCTTCTGCTCAGACTGCCCAGTCTTACCATGAGCATGATCCTTGGCATCAGTCGAAGCATCTATCAAAACATCAGCATACACCCACACACCAAAACAGAAATGACTAAAACATACCATTAGCACCAATACCAACAGATTTCCGCTTAGACTCCTTCTCAAAGTCCTCAGCAACCTTCGGCGCCGGACCCTGCGGCCCCTTAAGCGCCTCCTCGCTCGCACCCTGCGGGTTCGCGAAATGACGAGCCTCGCCCTCGTCCTTCTTTCCCTCACCCTCAGACTTCGAGGCACCGGCACTGCTCTGCGCCTCATCCTTACCAGACTGCACAGTATCCGTACCGCGCTGCTCCTTGGCGCCAACGTCATCTTCTACACTACCAGTGGGCACGGCTGAGCCGCCCCCGGATACCGGCTTAGCAGCACTAGTTGGCTTTGCAGTACTGGTACTACTGCCGTGGACGTGGTCACCGGTACTGGTGCTGAGGCTTGTTCCAGCACCAGCCGGTGTTGAGAAGGGGACGTCCACATTATCTGTGGACTTGGCTGTCGATGGGTCGGCGTGGGTTGTGGAGGTGCCGCCTTGGGGTGTGTGTTTGTTGGAGAGGATTGGTTCTTGCGGGGCTGTGTTGCCGCCTTCTGTGGGGATTGTGCCGGGTTGTTCTGTGTTCTGTTAGTCTCTAGATCCAGTTCTGGATTGGTCGGAATTGGGGATGGAAAAGTAACTTGCCTTCTCGGTTGCCGCCGTCATAGGGGTCTGTGGCGTTTCCGGTGCCTTGCACGCCTGAGATGGGTTCTTCGCTTTGCTGGGCGGCGAGTCTCTGGCCTTCTGGGGTGTTCTCGCCCCAGATGACGTTTGAGGCGGACTTGACGTATTGACTGACGGTTTCCATGGTGGAGGTCTTGAATATCAATTGAGTAGATGTATGTAGATGTATGTGGCGAGTGTTGGGAGGTTGATGTAGAAGATATGTAGGTTGTCAAGACAAGTGAGATGTATGCAACCTTGGAATGAATATAGACAGTAAACTTGGCAAATTGGGGTATAAAGTGTTGTAAGTGTATAGGATTAAGAGTAGTTAAGAAGTCTTGGAATTCCTGGGCAGGTCAAGCTTTAATAAACCACAAGGCTGAGGATGGGCTTGGAATACGTCAGTGGCCTTTGGGGCAATATGCGCTGGATCCCCTGGACCCTGTGTTAGATCGATTCCACTGATTTCGGCTGCGAATTACAGCTCAGCGATAGATTGAAGCAGCTGGAAAAGCGATGATCGTCGATGGCTATGTCATAGCATGACGTCATTGAGGGCATCATGTGACCTCATACTGCAGCTGGTGATAACATCGATATAGACAAGCTGATGGACAGGGGTCAAATGAGATGATCTTGTAGTTCTATTGGTCTGTGCTATGTAAATAGATTGAAGCTGAAAGTGAAAGCAAGATAATCAGAATATCAAACGCTTGGCGCTTGACATGGGAGGAAAGTCATATCCGTAACGAAGAGAAGGGGAAGAAACGCCAAAAATCAACGCAAAAGGTTAGCCGTGAGATATTGAGGGTTTGGGGGTGGTTGATCCCTCGTCGGCTTTTGGATTCAATGGATTTGAACTGTCATAGCCGAGACTTTTCACAATCCCAAGTCCTTTCGTTTTGCCCTCACGGAAGATCACACGGTCTCCAGGTGTAAGGAATTCAGGGCGTTGGACGAATCTGAATGCAACCAAGGCTCGATCACCAGTTCTTATGAAAGGACGGTCTATGTCAATGACTGAACAAGTCTGACTGACCGCCCCAACATGTAGCATGGCCTGGTATTTCGGCTTGATAGTAGTTGGATGCGAGAGAATCAGAACTGGGATCATTAGTATGCGACAATGACAGCAGGCGGGTCTGCACGACATACCTTCCGCGACAAATTCACGATACACCTTCGGGGGTTCCTCCATCTTCTTCAACACCACCATGCCTTTGCGTACTTCCTTGCGGCGGACACGCTTTAGTGCGAAAGATCCGGATTGACCCGCAAAACAGGCATTCACCTGAATGCGTTTCCGCTCAATAGATCTGATGGCTGTGGTCGTGAACTGGCCAAGCGAGTCAGGTCCAACGACGACCGTGTCTCCCGCATGAATGACACCGGACTTGACTACACCGGAGACAACGGTCCCCACATGAGGGACGGAGAAGATATCGTTGATGATAAATTCAAACGATCCTTCGGCATCGTACTGACCACGGTGAGGCAGAACGTTCAGGAACGTCCGCACTAGGTCGAGATTCTGACCGGTAACGTTGGAAACTTGGAAGATAGGGCATATCCGCTGGCTGACAAACTGCGTGGCAGTGTTGATAGTTTCCTCCATATCCTTGACGAATATTGGGATTTTGCGAGCCCCAGGAGACTTGAGAATCTTTGTCAGTTGAGACAAGGTCTCCTGGAGAATATGGGCCGGGCATATGTCGATCTTGGTGACAATGACCATGACAGGTACATTGAGGGCCAAGGCAATTCCAAGATGCTCCTTGCTCATTCCGATGAGGCCGTTATTGGCGGCGACCATCAGCAAGCAGTAGTTAGGACTGCTGCTCAGCATACCGAAGACAGTGGTGCGCAGGTACCGCTCGTGGCCCGCCAGGTCAGAGAAGGAGATCACCTTAGCAGAGCGCTTACCGATCTCCTCCCATGACAGCTTACGGCCTTGCGAATTGCCCACGATTTCACCTCGGCTGTCAAAGCCCATGATCTCCAGCCCGACGGAGCTGGTACGCCCACTTTCAATCTCGTGCTTGTGGCGAAAGAGGTTGACTCTCGCACGACCACGTCCATCGTCCAGGTTGCCTTTCACGAGTACACCGAGCATAGTGCTCTTTCCAGCATCAACATTCCCTACGACGGCAATCCGGAGCTCCGCCATCTCCTCCACGTTATCAACGTGATGGCGCACCAGGACTTTACCCCAAGCACCCTGGATCCGGGCACTGTTGACTGCGGACTCTTCAGGACCCCCCACATTGTAGGTCAGCAGGACCCTGCAATGGGCGGGGATAGTCTCGGCCGCCTCGCGCAAGCGCCGTAGCGCCGTGTTCCACTGCTCGAGGTCGAAGCCCATGGTATCGCCGCCATCCTCTAGCCCGAGATCAAATATGGTTTCCCCCTGGCCTTCATCGATGCGCGTTTGCAATATCCCTGCAAGCACCTGCAGGTTATCTTCGAGAGCATCGCCTGTGCCCAGCAGGAGCTCCTTTAGTTTGGCTGTCCGAGGGGCATCGGACAGCCCGAGCTGGTCCAGAATATCGAGCTCTGCATGGTCTTCGATATCGTGCGATACACTCGCGGTGGAATATCCGCTATCGCTGGGCGCAACTTGGCCGGAGCGGTGGGCCTGCTGCTGTTCGGCATACTCGGCGAACTCACTCAGAGCCTAAGTGGGGAACTATGTCAGATAAGGGACTATGATCGGAGTTGAGAAAACATACAACTTCACCTTTTCTCCGCTCCTCGAGGCTCAGTTTCCCAGGTGCAGGCATGGTGGTGAGTTGATAAAGCAACTTAAGTGGACTGATCGCTGAGTCGCCTTCTTGGGGTAGTGACGTTATTGGTCGAGGGATCGGATCGCCGTTAGTGTTGGCGTCAAGTAAAGTGTATTCGAGTGATCATAGTTTTCTTTTGTTCTAGTGAACAAAAGATGAGTAAAAGATGTAAGTAAGAGAATATTCATAGGTTGTTGTTCAGCTCGACATTCTAGGGGTGTCGGAGCTTTATCGATAAGTTGGAGTCACTGATTGAGTCATAGGAGGCAAGAGGGCGGCAGAGGCTTGGATGACACAGCCTTGAACCACGTATCAGCCTCATTTCAGAATCATATACACCTCTATTAGGCTAAGAGAATGCCAAATCACTTGGATGTGACTATCAGTCAGCCTCTACAAATGGGGTGCCCGCAGCCGAATCCTACTATCCAAAGGGATGAGTATGGTCATAAACCAATTGCCATGGTATCGTTATCTATGTTGACTGCATTTTGTGGTATCTCGTGTCCTTCCAAGTTCCCTCCATACTCTCGCAGTCGCCGGACGCCAGTTCCTCTATTTCCGGGCATAACAGCCCCTCATGCCTGGGGGGAGATCAAGACGACGGAGTCTCCTAGACGTGGATTAGCAACAGGTCTGGAAGTTCAATAGTCGCGTCTTCCAACTCACCTCGAACGAACAGCATTTCTTCTTGTTTCTTGATTGTCTGTATCCAGATATCCAGATTAGCCCGTCGTCCGCGTAAATTGCCAAATCCAAGGGTCTCCTACCCGCACAGTCTCCTCTTCGTTGTCGTCCTCTTCCACCACATATATTGTCTCCTCCACGTCGCCGAGAACGAGGTTACAATGACTGTCGTAGGCCTGTAGACGCATATCATAGGTCAGTAGGTATCCTCAGCATTGTTCGATGGGGGGTAGCTCACGTGAAGACGGCCCTTGAGTTCACGGTCACCGCGCAGCTTCACAAACACCATCTCATCGAGGGAAAGACGGACAAGGTCCAAGGGCTCCGAGACGGAGGGACCGCCTGTATCTTCATTGTCGGCCATTTTAAAGAAGGGGGAGTGGATTGGGGTAAAGAGCAGGTCCACACAACGCAGAATCAACGAGCTTTGGTTGATGCCTAATGAGGACTAGCGCGTCCTTTGCCAAGAAACCGGATGAGTCAGCATTTTACCCCGGGTTTTCCCTTTGTACCCACGCGGGATCTAAAAGTGACAGGTAAATAGAGGGGGGGGGGGGGGTGGAGCACGAGATTCTTATACTTCAACAAAATATTCAATTTACATAGAAAGGTCAAAGAGAGAATAGAAAATACTCTCCAAGTCAAAACAAATGCCGAGAACCTCGCCTAGTGGTCGTGCAGGGATCTCACGCCTAGGCTGAGGCACAACATGCACAATACCCCGGTCACACCCCCCCAGGCCGGGGTCGTAGCGCACCTTCCCCTCATTTACGCCCCTGATGATTCGAATCTCATTGTTGTTCTGTTTTTGTTTTGTCAGACACGAAGCTGTTGTGTCGCATTGTTCATCCATGAGAAGATATCTCTTCAGCGAGAAGTTCGCTTCTCACTGGGGAAGCTCTTCCCGACCAGCTGGAGATGGTTTCAACAAGAGACATACATTTGTAAACCGAGTCGGTCGTCCCAGACTATCCCCCTACTACACGTCCACAAGAACGACAACATGGTCAAGTCCAAACGATCAGACCGAAACACACAATTCCCATCGACGATTTAGTATAAGTCAACGACGAGACAGCAATCTGGCGGTCACACGTCCTGCAGCCTCAGAAGAGGAACAGGCCATGCTCATGTCGTCCCTACCAAACTGGCAGTCAGCTACAGAGGAGGCGCAGTATCGAGACAATTTCTTCTGGATGATTGAAGGTGGACAACCGAACCAAGTGATGGATGCCATGACAGACCCACGGTCCATGGGGCTGGTGGGGTCAATGACGCGGGCGGCATTTATCAGATCTTTTCTTCTTCTCTCCCCAGCACACTTCGTGGAGCCATACCGACGTCTTCATCATACACTACACCATTGGGGTGTTTTAATGCAAGGACTCAAGCCTCTAGAAGCGATATTCGATGACTTCGCCCAAAATCTCCTCACGATCATTCAATATAGAGTTGCGGGTGGATCTATACCCCAACGAGTCGAATACACCCACCTCCTAGACTGCGCACGTTCGATGGGAAATGGTCCAATGGCGGATGCGTTATGGCATGCGATGCACGCCAACGAGGTCCTCCCGGACACTACATGTTACAACCATTACATGGCAGCAAAAGTCTGGGATCACTGCTACGTCGGGAAAGAAGGCTACAATCTTCGCATTCTTCCTCACACTTACAAGAAGCGACGTATGGAAAGCCAGAGCCCTGGATGGCGTGGCTATGGAACAGCGGGGAACAGTATCAAGCGAATTACCTTGAAGATCTTCGGTGAGATGAGCGAGGAGGGCCTCGTTGGGGACGAGCAGACATATATCAACATTTTTCTTGCAGCGGCCCGGGTGGGCGACCAACAAGTCGCTCAGAATATCCTCAAGACCGTGTGGAATGTCGATGTTGATGCCCTCATGGAAGAGAGCAATAACTCGCGGTTGCCACCAGTCACGCCCTATGAACGTGGGTCACCTCTCTATCCGACTGAGCGTCTTCTCTTCGCGGTGGCTCATGCCTTTGGAAATAACAGCGACATCCATGCGGCCATGCGAACTGTGGACTTTATAGCCTTTGCATACGGAATCAAGATATCGAACAAGGTTTGGTATGAGCTGTTTGAGAGGACGTACGCCCTGTCCAAAGAACACACGCGCCGACAAGCAAACGACGGGCGAATGGGCGGAGTGCCCCGAGAAATGGTCCACGAGATGTTTGAGGAGATGACGACGGAACCGCACAACGTTCCTGTGACTCTCCAAATGTATCGCTTTACAACTCAGGCTCATATTAGGGATGGCAACCTGGAAGAATGCAAAGCAGACATGCGCAAGGCCTATGACATTTTAAGCGAAACAAGGGCGAGAAGGAAAGAGGCAAGAGACCTGGTCATGCACTATTTGCAACCAGCTCTAGATAGCATGAAACCGGAAGCATATGGAAGGTCACCGCGGAGGTCAGCCGCACGACAGCGAAGAGGCTGTCAGCCACCAGATATGTCACTATTACAGTGTTCCCTGCTCGCCGAAGCCATTCACAGATACGACATCCTGCGGCTTGAAGTCTTCCAACAGATCTACCTGATGCAACGCATAGCATTTGCAGTGATCCGAAGAAGAGAATGGCGGGACACATCAACCAAAGCCTGGGAGCTCCAAGAACGACCCAAACTCCAGGAAGAGTGGAAAGACTTTCTGCCCGAGAAAGGCGTCTACGATATCACACATATGAGAACCGGCACAGTCGAGTTCCACGGCAAAACAAGCGCCCACAGCCGCTACATGAGCCGACTCGGCCGCATCCATGCACGGCGACTACCCGATCACCCGGAGCTCTTTCATCCAGTTGAAGAGAAGATCCTGGACGACAGAGTGTTCTGGCAGATTCTGCTTTACGACTATCCTACGCTGGACGTGTCCATTTCACCGCTCAATCGCCTCTACTCCTTCCAGACGGAACATTCTAAGGAATTGAAGGAGAAACTCCGCAAGTTCCAGACGTGGGTCGATTACCCGGAGGAGCATGCTCTGTCGACGGAGAATAATCCGGAGGGTGGGCTTTACGGTCGTGTTTTGGCCCTGGGCTTCGAGGTCGACCCCAATCGGAGTATCTTTTGGCGGGATGGGAATCCTTGGCTGTCTTGATTTGTCTGCATCATAGGTTTGAGCATTTGCGCTTGGTCAGGAGTAGAGATGATATCCCTTTGAGCATTTTTACGAGCAGTACCTATGATGATTATATTTTCTTCAACCTTGCCCTGTTGGTAAACGTATAAGTATTTGTTCCACCTACCTATAAGGTACCTAAGGTACATGGAGGTAGCGGGATACAGGCAGTACCTAGAGATTGGATATAGGGCATTCGGCCTAAGCCCGGTTATCTAGGTATGTACCTAGGTAGTGGATAGGTATGAAGCGTGAGATGTACACGAAAGGCGATAGCAATCATTAGGAATTGAGTGAAAGCAAGATCAAAGACTAGACCTTCTCCCGCTTAAGGTCATTGACAGTCATATATCTCCCAATGGTAATCCACCCCCAGCGGAACCAGACCATCTGACTCTTATGACAGATAACCATAGCCGACTGCGCCGTCAACCAGTCATTGATGGAGCTAACAAACAACAGCCGCGCAGGACCAGCCGCCGCAGCTTTCTTCTGCCTCAACCCAGCCCCAATATTACTCCACACCCCCATAAACATAGTAAGCGGCGCATCCAGAACACCAATATACTTCCTCAGAATCGACGTCGTAGTCAACGTATAAAGTGTAACCGGACAAGCATAGCCCTCATTCCCCTTCATAAGCGCCCTCAAAAACCCGACAGCCCCATGAAACAACGACCGATGATTCGGATGGTTACTAATACCATGCTGATCAAACGTAATAAGCACATCAATCGTCGCCGTCGGCGCCTTATCCCTTGCACCCTGTTTTCCTTTTCCTGCCCCCGCTTTGGCCGCCGCCATCTCCGGCGCGAACGCCGAAGCCAGCAACGACCCGATCTGTCCTGCGTCCCAGTCCTTGTCCATTCCGTCCGGGAAGCGCGCTGGGTCGTCCACGACGAAGACGTCCGCGTCGCTGCGGAGGCCGAGCTGGGTCGCGGATTTCTGGAGCTCGAGTTTGCGCGTTGCGCCGAGGCCGTCCGCGTCGCCGGTGCTGAGACAGAGAATTTTTAGGTGGTTGCCTAGTTCGGGTTTTGTGAGGGCTAGCACGCTTGGCGCGAAGAACATTGCTTCGTCGTCCGGGTGGGCGATGAGCAGGCAGATGCGCTTGTTTTGGAGCCGCGGGAAGGATCTTGTGAAGGGGGAGGAGGAGGTTGAGGAGAAGGTCCAGAAGATGAAGACGGCGGTTATGGCCGCCGCTAGGGCGGTACAATTGGCGGTCCAATTGAATGTGGTGGCCATGGTGTGTGTGTTGTTGTTTGGAGGGGAGATGGTTGGGTTCTGAGCTTTGAAGTTCCGGTGCTCCGCTTCGGGGGAGAGCTTGGGTTGGATTTGCGGGTTCCAAGTTTTGCTCAATTGGGTAGCCGGAGCTGTTGGAGTTGTTCGCGACTGGTGCAATGGCAACTGCTGCGTCGTGGTGGAATTGGTTACCGTCTGGATAAGGGCAATCAGGAGTCAAGACATGAGTATGGTGGGGAAATGCGCATCATCCACCCTCGTTGTATGTAGGTGGTCGAGAACTTTGACGTCGACTACTTCTGTGAAGAGACAATGACTAGATCCATGGCAATGCTAGACACTATTCAAAGAGAACACGGTGTCATGAGCTCGCGTTCAGATTAGGGGGCATCTCATTAGGGGGAAGCTCAAGTGATGTTGATCCCCTGAAGCTGGTCACGTGTGGCGTTATGCTTGATTTCTGTCACACGTTGAGGATGGTGAATTTAAGCCAATCAAGTGGACCAGTGGCAGTGGTTATGATGTTTGAATGATGTACTGTGTATTCTGTCAGTTCGAGTGCAGTGTCTGGTATGCTGGGTGCGGCGGTGCCTGGATAGCAAGGCCATGGGTCCGCTGTTTGCGGCGATCTCATTGATATTAAGCTCACCAAGGGGAAATCTTAATACAACAAGGTTACTACGTGATTTGCTGGGAAGTCATTTTGATTTTTGAGCTTAAGTGGGTGGAAATGCGAATATCAACTGTATCATTGTAGTTAACTAGTTCATGAATCAGAATCATTAAGTAGGTAGGAAACATGATGTTCTCCAGTCTGGGGGTCTGGGGTATTCACTAATCGGATCCGCTATGCCCGATTCTCATGCTGTCATGTGTTCGAACAACATGGTTGAGAACTTGAGGTACTCATGTAGAAGTGCATGGTCTAGTTATGACTCTTGTCTCCTAGTCAATTCTAGCCTGTCAACGGAGCTTACCCGTGGTGGAAAGGGCAATATCCACTACTGGATGAGTTCTCCACGGAAAACCTCTCAGCTAGCAACGATGTGGATGCGCGGGATTATTCTGGATTCTTATATTCCCTGCTGTCAATAGCCCGACCAAGCTTAAGATCAATGCAGGAAAATTCTCACACCGCAAACGAAATCCGAGTTGCCGTACTATTAACCCGGCAGACGGGCCGGGGACCACTAAGATCGTCTGACTGCCCTGAATGCTACCTTGAGAGACGACCGGCGGTCTCCGACGAGCTGGAAAAATATAATTCCCATTCAGCAGGTCCCTGGATCAGAGCGGCCAATGGCCATTGCGGGTCATGCTAAAGATCACGTTGCGACGGGCCGAACATACCAAGTCAAGTTCCGAGTGGGTGACCGAAGAAATTTTCTGCTTTCCCGCGCTTAAGCGGAGCCCCGGCCAGTCTCCGTGCAAAACTATTATTTACCATATTTTTCCAGATCTAGTTGATAATGGCGCCATTTGGGGGGTTTCTATAACGTGTTGGAAAGTAGAATGACTGTAGTACCATGTCCATCACCTACCTAGACGAGCTGCTTAGAAGTACGGATGACAGGATGGCGTTATTTCGATGTGCCTGAATGGGATAAGTTGCCCAAGGGGCCAAGAGAAAGGAGGAAGTCCAGCCATCAATTCTAGAAGACCGAAAGTGAGTTGAAACAGATCGGATCGCCCCGAAACAGGAAGTTCGCCTGAGACGGCACTTTCTGGCCTTGTAACCAGCAATTATTGGCTAGTCCATCCGAGACGCCATCGGCAGCCGACAGCCACTGATCTAGGACCGTGGTTTCAAGCCGATCAGGGTTATTCACCATAACGGTCTTAGATTCGACATTGATAGACTTATTTGGGTGAGTCCGGGGAGAAGACTCGGAGAGGTACTCCGTACAGTGTGGACCTAGAGTACCTCCTTTGTAATTTTGCATACTGCTTGGATCAGAGCTCCATTATCACCACCTATGAATCCTGGGTAGTATCTAAATCACTCAAATCTTCTACTGTATAACTAGATGGTATGTGCATATCCTCCGTTGTATGTAAGAGGATAGCTCCATCAACTGCAAACGCAAGTCATTTCATTTTTCCAATGCAAATATGCAGAAGAGTTGACGTGCCCGCATCTCTATCCTACCTACCTTGGAAGTATCAAAACACGGCATGGCGTGATCTGCAGCCCACTAAGCTATGGCTGCCACATGCCACATCACGGTTGAGTCAAAACCTCTTAGCCGCGCACGTGCCCTGTAAACCCGCACTTCTTCCAAGCTTCCACTGCACATCAGGCTGTACCGCCTGTACCTGAGCAACCTGCGTGCGATGCCGATGCTTATGGTGAAAACTGTGGTTCCTGTTAGGTAATTAGTTTGGACAGGGGGGATGGTGATTCGCCCAGGGAGCAACCTTGAGAGCACGGAGCATATCTTGACAGCGGAAGGGCTAGAACTTCTGATATAGCTGTTTGGAATTCATATGTTGATATCTCGAGATGCTTCGCTTTTTTCTCACTTGTTTATTCAACTGCGAGATCGCAGGATGTCCACGTATTTCGATGCTCAGGCCTCTACCCCCGCAAAATGCAAACCCTGCAGTGCGGGGGTGTCGGCGCAAAGCCTAGGTGAGCGCCGTGACCTCGGCGATGAAGAGTAAGTTTCCTCTGCTGTGCATCGTACTATCGCCGAATCCACTTTTATAGATCAGACGACTGAAATATTGGGGCGGTCAAAAGAAAATGCGAAAAAAAGAAAAATTTTCCTGGTGGAGCTCCGCGAAGGGTCCTTGTTCCAGTCTTTTTCGCGGTATGTTGTCCCAATGCGGGCAAAAGGCTTTCTTTGATGGTGGCGCTAGTCGAAGATCCTCTGGAACGGACGATGGGGCAGTATCCGTACGGTAATGGTTTAGTATGGTACTTTATGTCACTTACCCGCACCCTCCATCAGCCTTGTCAACGCAATCATGCCACGTGATGGCTGTGTTTAACCTTGGATCCCTTCATTTATTGTACTTGTCTTTGATATATATAGAAATAAAACACCTGAGACAAAGCTGTGTCAATGGCAGAGTGATGTTTCAATAAAAGGAATGAACCGATCAGTTTCTATATCTATTTTTATCCGGGCCGTCGGCAACTGGAGATGAAGATGCTAGAAGGTAAAAGACACCAGCTGATCGGATCTGTCTTCTATGAAGCAGTCAATACACCACCCGCAATAAAAAACCGGGGTTTCATTGCCGTGACCATCTTGCTTTTGCATCTTCTTGCTTCAGCGGTTCCGCCATCGGTCGTATCATACCGGTACATCAGATTGTACCCCGCGGACAAAGGGCCAACCCACACGCTAAGCTAAAATACAAGCCATGCAAGTGCAACAGCTCACCAAGCCGAATAGGCCATCGCAAACCCCTCCGATCGGTCGGGCTAAACTGGTCTGAAGCCCGTGAGTCATTTGCGCACGGGTCCACGCGAGCCAGGAGCCAGGCAGGAAGATCATGTGCATCCCGCCGACTGCCCTGATGAGGTCTAGTCTGGAAATGCAATGGTTCCCTCGTTTGTGATGGAAGAATGATGCCGACACTATTTACTTGTGATGTGGGGTAAAAAGGAGACAAGGCGTCAGGCGACCATCACAATTCACAGGGCATCTGGACAGAGTTCTACTTCGTATACTCTTAGGAGTTAGGATTGAGACTGCTGGCGTGATGGCCAACTCAGATCTTGGGCTCTTGCTCTCGGCACCAGATCCGGGATACCCGACACGAGTGTGATGTGATTGATAATCTGATGCTGAAACGAGCGATAGAATCGCGATTTCTCAATTAGAAATGATCTCAGATGACTCAGAATAAGAACATAATCAGCACTGAGAATGACATTACACTCTCTATGAAATATCCATAGGACCTTGGAGGTTAAGATCATAAAGGCTGTGTATTTTTAGTGCAGTTGAAAGGTATGTGTATTGTAATGCCCCACTATGACGCTGTACCATGCCCCACTTGCTAACTTTTTACTTTTTTGAAAATTTTCCTTATTGAATGCACGCCGGTACCTGGCGCAAGTGGACACAGCAGAGTGGAAAAGGGAAAAGAAAATTTCACAGAAAATTCTATTTTGTTAATTTCCATGGAACCATTTTAGTTTCCTCTTGCTTTTCCACGGATTCGGTGGATTAGCACATGATTGCCCTTGCCATTCAAAAGCAGCGGGTACGCCCTTGACAGGTTGAATTTCTCTCCATAGATCATATCCGCCATACCTACAGGAACTCAGATTATGTGTTGGAACAATCCATTGGCTTCTCAATTATTTCCACACCGTACTGCATCCTGAAGACATTGATATCATCGCCGTATCTCTCTTTCATTGAGCATCTCTCTGACTGAGCGCCAATATGCCGGGCCGTTTAATTCCCAACTTGATTCGGAATGCGAGTTCTTTACACTCCTCCGTTTCCTCCACACCTATCCACTCGAACTCCTCTTCGACCGTCTCTGTCAATGAAATCCCCGGACAGGGCAAAAAGCCAACTCACAAACCAGACCGCGCACGATCCCCCGAACGCCGCCTATCATTCACAATGGATCAATTGATTCACCCTCTGCGAGACCACAGCAAGGAGAAGCGCCGTAGCCTCGGACGCCCAGGACGATCCAAGGAGCGTTCCAGCCATGAAGCGCCGGCGCCAGCAGCAAAGCTGGATGTCCTGATCGAGTCGCCACCACTGGTCTGCTATGGCCCGCCTACCAACTCCACCGGCGCGCTGTTCTCTGGGCGCTTGCGCATCACTGTATCTGAGGTGGCTGGCGCAGTCGTCCTGAGTCAATTCGACGTCCGTCTCGTATCCAAGACCACCACCAAGAAGCCTGTCTCGAATCACTGCACAAATTGCGCTACTCGCACCGAGGAGCTGACCCAGTGGAACTTCATCAACCACAACCTTTCGCTCGCGGTAGGGGACCATGACTTCCCCTTCAGCTATCTGTTCCCTGGCCACCTCCCCGCTTCTTGCAATGGCGTGCTGGGTAAGGTTGAGTATTTCCTGTTGGCGCATGCGCAGAGCATCACCGGAGAAGAATACAGCATTAAAATGCCGCTGGAACTGAACCGTTCTCTGCTTCCCGGGCCTGATAAGTCTTCCATTCGCATCTTCCCACCGACAAACCTCACTGGCCGCATCGTGTTGCCTTCCGTGGTGCACCCCATTGGCAGTTTCCCCGTCGAGATGACTTTGAGCGGCGTGGTCGACAAGGGCGAAAAAACGCAGACCCGCTGGCGTCTTCGAAAGATGATGTGGCGAATTGAAGAGCAACAGAAGATTGTGTCAACCGCATGCCAGAAGCACGCCCACAAGATTGGCGGAGAGGGGAAAGGAGTTCTGCATCAGGAGACTCGCGTTATCGGCCACAATGAGGAGAAGACCGGCTGGAAGACCGATTTCGACACCGCTGGCGGCGAGATCACTATGCAGTTCGACGCGAACATCAACCCCTCCGCCAATGCCGTCTGCGACATGGAAGCCCCCGGTGGCCTGGAAGTCAAGCACAATCTAGTCATCGAGCTTATCGTAGCCGAGGAGTTCTGCCCCAACGGCAACACCCGCCTTATCACCCCGACTGGTGCCGCCCGTGTGCTCCGTATGCAGTTCAACCTTCACTTCACTCAGCGTGGTGGTCTGGGTATTAGCTGGGACGAGGAAATGCCTCCAATCTATGAGGATGTCCCCGCTAGCCCTCCCGGGTACACTAAGCCTCCCCCTCACAGCAGCTACATTGGGGATTACGAGGGCTCCCCCCTTTCATTGCCCGATTACGATGATCTGGACCGTATCGAGTCCTTGCAATTGGAGAGCAGCTCCACGAGCTCTTCCAATACTCATGGCTCTGTTCCCCCCCGGCTGCTGCGCTTTACCTCGGATGACCTTGTCGCCGGGGTATCTCCGGCTATCTCACCCATGCCTTCACGCGCGCCTTCTCGTGCCCCCTCAATCGACTCCTCGCGTGAATAAAATCAACGACCATGAAACACATGAAGCATCTACTCAACTCTTCTTGATATTGATTCATTACGACTTAACGATCCCCACGACCAACCAAAAAAATCACGCGATCACATACCCTTCCCACGTTTTATCATAATTTGCTTATGCTTTCCCATTTCGAACGTGGATCTTAATGCAGCTTGCTGTATCTACCGGTCCCATCTCGATGACGGGTCTCATGAAGTCAACTCCGGCAGAAGAGAAAGACATCGGCCACGACACCATTCAGTCGGGTCGCCACGCATTTTGCGGACGGATCTTGTTTTCAACCCAGTTTGCATGATACCCATTTCCGTCGTTCGCATGTCAATAATATCTCCCTGTTACATATTACTCCGTAGCTCATTAGTCGCCTTATGAGCTTGCAAAAATCTACATTCTACTCCATTGGTTCAAAGCTTCAGATTCTCTAACCATATCGTATTGTTTCATCTCCTCTACTCTTATACTTGGTCATCATATGTATTAGCAATGGCATAGTAACTTGGGGCCTTCTAGGTTCTGATCTAGGAAACCACATACATCTCTCCACTTGGTATGGTCTCAGCGATATCGGGAAGCCAAAGCTCAAAGAATATGCATGAAAGGGTCTTCACGCGCACTGGGTATAAAATATGTCTACCCTAATCTACGTTGTCCTGTACATATAGAAATGTTCACGCAGTGGCATAACACGTTTGATGAGGGGAAGAAGTTTGCCTAAGGTAGCAGTTCCTGCCTAAACGGGAAGGGGGGCTTGGCGGGGTCCATGGGTGGGACCCGCCAAAGAGCGGAAAGTGCCCCACCGACAAGATCTACATTTCACTTCCCGGCTCAAACGAATCTCTCTCTCTTCCACACCCCAATTTCATCACAACACACTGCCTCAATCGCTTTAATTCCCCCATCGCTCAAACGTGCGGGTCTCGTTCTTTTGAGACTCGTTCTCCGCATGTTTTTCCGACGTCTCTTGCGGAAAAGCGTGATGTCTGGGGGTTACCGACTTTTGTCGGATCCCTCACCCGAGATGAGAGACTCCACCATCGGGTTAAGCACACTTCCTGGCACGTGTGAGTTATGCCCTCTCCCTAGCACGACGGCATGGTACATCCATTCATTATGGATGTATCAATCGGAGCATGCGCTTTTTATTCCTGAGTCTTTGTATCCCAGTCTGATGGTGGATGAGGGACCTTGGGCGATGATACGATAAAGTCTTGCCCGATCTATATAACAACACTTTGAGGGCTATTGAAGCTAATTTTCATTATATACAGGCTAGAGAAACAAGAGAACTTATAGCTCCCTTAATCGTCGGGGGCTCTTTCAACGATCCCAGCCGAAGAACAACAAGTTGGAACCTACCATGTTCCCATACCCTGACCTGTCGGAGGCTTGCGTCAGGGGTCATGGACGAGGTCCGTTTGCCTTTGCCACTGAGACGGGATCTCTCAGGCTGGTGGGAGATGGGAACCCGCCTTCAGGAACAAGGTAGAACCTATGTCTAGGTACTTTGGTATGTATTATCCCTCGTCTACATTCGCTGGTGAATCAATAGGACTAACAATGCAATGCGTACCATAGCTCGCTCTTCCCGAAATGACTCAACTCGCATCGGGTCCATCATGCCGGACTCTTGATGAGAGTCGGGCACTTCGTGTCCGTACTCTCACCATCGGATAGGGTTTCGCCGGGGAATGGACAGACACATGTTGAGCCCTAACATGTGTCCTAACTCCAAGCACCGGAGAGGAGACACATGACACATCGTCACCTGTCCTGGTTCCAGCTGCGTGACAGAATGCGACGAGGCATACATAGTCGCGCGGCTGCCCAAACATCTAGCAGCCCACCATAGAAGGGGTGGCAGCGCACGAAGAAGCCATTTCGCGCTGGGCAGAAACGAAAGAGCTCGCATCCGCCAAGGCCGCAAATGGCTGTCGAGCCGACACCGCTGTGAGTGGCCTTGATTCACGCATTGGCATACGAAACTGTGTCAGTTGCGGCCACATGTGTCGGGGAGACTGGGTGGAACGGACAACGGAGGATAGAATGGACAGTTAACCGAATGGTCAGAGCCACATGATTGCTTTGAAAGTCTCCAAACCTGCCGTCAGAAACTGCAACTGTGCAGCTAATGGCCGGACTGACGGCGTGATTCATCCTCTCCATGAGCAGGAGAGCTCAAACAGTCCATGTCAGATCACTTTTGAGCCCCTGCAAGGCACAGGCGATGGCTCCCTTGTATCTGTGTAACTAACTTGCATTTTCGCCCCTTAACTAACTAGTTAACTTATTTATATTAAATGCTTTGCCATCCCGGCCCATAAGTCGTGACATGACTCGTCACTCGCTTCCCAGAAGTCTCGTGATAATCGGAGGAATAATATTCCCTAAAATTGACCTGGCCAGTTCTGACCTGAAACCCCTTTTCTTTCTTGCAGCGCGCCCAATGTCATCCCTTCCCTGAATGAGAACAACATAGCCGCGATTACAGCAAACGCAGGCTCTTTGCTTTCACGTGTAGGCAGAATTGGTAATGTCCATGTCTAGAGAGAGCAGGCTGTTACAATGGACGATTACCAAAGGCTCGTCGTGGCTCAGTTCTTCGAGACGCTGCCAAATCTCTCCCAGATATCGTGTGACCAGTTCGTCTTGCACCATATTGCCCCAATCCTTTTTCCCAACGCTACCGGCAAGGTAGACGTTCAACCCAGCCCTTTCCAGGGAAGCATGAGCTATACCGCTATATTACATACTCACTCCACGCACGCCGATCATCGCATTGCTGTCCAGTTCCGAAGCGAGAAGCAAGACCTCTTTGGAGTCACCGACGCTAGCCGCATTCATGGACCTATTGTACCCTTGGTAACATACCAGGGCATGTACGAAGGGCTGTTTGTGTATACCTCGCCTTTTGCAGAAGGGGCGCCGTATATCAGTGTCTTGATGTCTTCTCCGGACTATGAACTGCCGCTCCAGAAGAAGATGGTCACTGTCCTAGACCTTGCAGACCTCGTTACTCGGGGAGCTAGAGCGAACACTACTATATCCGACACTGCAATATCCGACCTCACCTCTACCCTTGATGAAATTCGTCATAAGGTCAATAACTACATGTTCCGAAACACAACTCTCAGAAACAGCATTTCTGCTTGCATCAGCAAACTCCTACCACAGTTACGCGATCTCGCCGCCCTCCCCGTCACCCTTACCCACCAGGATCTTGCCCCATTCAATTACCTTATCGACGACTCCACAGGCCGGGTCCAAGCTGTACTGGACTGGGATGGTGCTATATACCTCCCTGTTGGGTCAAATTTCTATTTTCTGGATAGTCTTTTCGGCTTCATGACCCCAAGTGGTTGGCAAGACACGGAGGATCGTCAGGAACTCGAGGGGGCGTTTTACGATCGGGCCCTGGCTAGTCTTGCTTCCCAGGGAGCTGGGGGGATAACAAAAGAGCAATTGGAGTCGCAGAAGGCGATCGGGATGTTGCTGTACGGTGTTGAGCGGCTTCTCAAGTTCAAAGACGAACGATCCGAGCATTATCTAGATGGATATCTTCGGGGGTTATCTTTCATGAACGGGTCTATGTCCTCGTATTAGCTTAGTATCTGGACGAGACAGACCTGTCTGTGTGGGGCATCAAAGATATTAGTATTGACTGCGGGGTGAGCGACTACCCATCCTCCAACCCCAAAAATCTCATCTCTCACTAAGGCTGACATGACAACTTACAATGGTTGAAAATACCGAGAATACGGAGAAGGACAGGAACAAGAAATGGGAGGCGGCATGGAAAGCCCGAATGAGGCAGATTGTGCCAGGTTTTTTCCTTGGAAATGTCGAGGCATCACACAAACGGGTAATGCTTGAAGAAAATCGAATTAACGCAATTGTATCTCTTACTACTGCTCGGTGGGCGCGGTGGAACTCCACTACAAGAAATGCAGGCATCCCAGCACATCGTCACAAATGGGTACAGTGTGCAGATTCGTCGACACAAGACCTCCTCGTTTATATGAGTGATATCTGCGACTTTATCGACCATATGGCATCCCCTGCTCTTTCATCGTTGTCCTCCTTGCCCGAGCATGAAAGCGACACGAATGATGAGCCGTCCGAAGCACCGGAGGCCATATTAATCCACTGTGATCTTGGGATATCTCGCTCGCCAACGATTATAGTTGCCTATCTCATGCGTAAACTCTGCATGCAGCAAGCGGACGTATTGGATTTCGTTCAATCAAAACAAAGAGTCAAACCGAGCCCGAATTTTACTCGTCAACTTCAAATTTGGGAGGAGGTTGGATATCAAGTATGGGAGGACGAGGACAAGACAGTCCCGACAGCACCCTACAAGGCATATTTGAAGGATCGACGTGCTCTCCTGGACAAGAAAGGGCTCACCGGGGATGAGCCGCTCGCGCCTCTAATTTTGTGAGGGTCGAGTCTGCAGTTACAGTGGACGTAGGTAATCATTATCATAGCCATGATTCATTTAGTTTCGCTCAGAGTAGAGAGTATCCAGACCTGATAGACAGATCAACTAAACGCAAGATCCCAATCCTATTCCTCCCATTTCACCTGAAATCCTCCCCGTAAACGGCCCTTAATCAAGCGCCTCAGCCTGGGTCGTCCAAATCCTCTCTCCCAACGCAACAAGCGTCTCCCCAAACTCCTCAAGCAACTCGTCAACCTCCGGACCCTCCTCCCTTGCCATCTTCTCATATTCCTCATCGGTCCCAAACGTGCCAACCTGCCAGGCCCACCTCCACTCCTCAATCACATCCAGGGCAACGTCATCATCAATATCGATATCCTGGGCAACAAGGTAAAATGCACCACTCCGCGCATTGCCACTCTTCGGCTTATACAGCCGAAGGGTAGCGGCGAACTGGCAAAACGCCCGAACAATATTGACAGTAGTCCACGCCTCAAGCCGATAAAGACGAATAATGAAAGTTCCCCCACACTTGACATGGGACAGACCCAGCACAAGCTGCGCGGCCAACAATCTTCTCTTTTCACGGTGTGCGCGGTACTCAGCACGCGGCTGATTCTTCGCAACCAGTCCGTCACAGATAACCAGATCGAATAGCTGATCCTCATCCAGCTCGCGCGGGAGGAAGTTATTCGCGTCGACATGGTCGGACGGGATCTCCTCATCCTCGATACCAATATCAGCAGCTAGCATGGTGATATCGAGGAACTTCAGGTTCACTTTCGGATGTGCAGGAGAAACAACACTGCCGTATCCTCCCTGAGAAACTGGAAGCGTGAATGCCACGACCTCGGCAGTGGGGTTCTGGCGCATAGCCAGCTCGAGGAAGGCACCCGGCGCCATGCAGAGATTGAGGATGGTGGGTGGGACTGAGTTGTTCTTGTTCTCGTCGATTAGAGCTGGGTTGAGCTTGAAGGCGTTGGTGCAACGCTCGAGTTCGCGGCCGACTGCTCTCATTGTCCTGTGGAGCTTGAGGGTTGGGTCTTCGGCTGAGTTGGCAGGTACCGGACCCGAGGTGCTCGTCGGAGTTGCGGGGACTCTCCAGTCCTGGTCGGTGGTGTGATGTGAGCATTGGTCTTGCATCTTGATGCATAGGACAAGATGGGATGGGGATATATGTGGGTTTGGATGGGAACTTACTGTCTTCTTGGCTACGATGAGTCGACGGAACTCCGGACTGTTGTTGAGCAGGTATGGCACGACTGATTTGAGTTCATGTCGGGGAGGGCGAGGGATGCCTTCGTCGCTGATGCCGGCGTCGTTTGGATTAGCCGGGATGGCGTTGGCTTGTTCCTGCGCCGAGCCGTCGCGCGGCGGCTGGTGGATTGAGCTAGACATGATGCTTGGAATGGCAATGGATAAAGAACAGATGGTAAAGAGGATGGTGAAAGGAGCGGAGGATTGTTGCTGGAACGTTTGATATCTTTTATGCCGCATTGTTTGCGCACGATGCAAAGCATCGTTGTCGTCGTTCCGCTTGTAAGACTGCCTGTTCTACTAGGTTTAGGAAGGAGATGAGCTTATATGGCCTTGATTGATGCGTAGCTAGTAGTATACCAGCGATTGACTGCCAACAAAGCGACAGTTGTCCCTCCCATTCAGTGCCTGGCATGCGGTGATATGCTGGTCAATTCATTTGGTACGCCTTCTTTTCTTTGTAACACGAGATCATGACTTTATTGCAAGTGAGAGCATAGACAGAGAGTTGATAACATATGGTAGACGTGGTCGAGACGTTAAAGATGAGACAAGGATATCTCCAACTCCAAAAGAACTCAAAAAAAAAAGACTCCATGAGAATGATACAAATGCCCTTGACAGGACTCCAGTGATGCAGTAATGGAATAATAGGACGGGACGTGGGAAGTGAGAAATGAAATGCGAAGGCCATGCAATGTATAAAAACAGAACAGAAATCAAATACCCTCGCCACGGAGTAGACGCCGAAGAATGCCCTCTCCGGGTCCTGCAATCTGGCCCTCAATTTCCGACTGGGAAACGAAGCAGACAAGACCTTGCTCGTCGAGTGCCTTGTGTGGGGTCGAGGGTCCATGGCCAGACTTCGAGGGTGTACGGCGAAGATCTGTGCCGCCTGCAACAGTTCCACCACGACCGCGGCCCTGATATTCTCCAACCAGGCCCATTGTCTCCAGGTTGCTGAGGACATCTTTGAACTCGGTGGCAGTTAAAGGGTGAAGAATATTGTCATTACGACACAAAGTACAATATGTATCAAAGGCTTGCTTGATAGTCGGTGCAGAGGCACGCGACTTTGAGGGCGTGCTGGGCACCTCAAGTTGGCGACGTTTGCGTTCGAGGGCAATCAGGGAGCAGATAGCGGCTTTTTGTTGCAAGTTCAAACTCTGAAGTCTCTGAACGGTCCCCTGACCGAAAGCTGCAGATGTGATTCGGGCAATGTGGGCGATGCTGGCTCGGGGCGCCGTAATTACCGTGTAGCTTGACATTGAAGTTGGCTTCGGAGCACTGCCTGCTTTTGCAGGTGAAGAGAGATTGGTGTTCACCCCAAGTATCGGGATATTTTCAGACTCCTTGGCTTGCTTATCTAGCTTTTGGAACGTTTCCTGTTCAATGACATCAATTGCACGCTTGATGAGCTCGTAAGCCTTGCGCAAGTCCCCTGTTTGCGAGGCGACCTTCTTGGAACAAAGTTGGATCGCCGCCGGTTGAACGAAAGGAACAAGCTTTGGGTCAGCTTCGGTCCCAGGAGGGAGCAAAGACCGAAGACGACTGGTCACCACATTGGCAATAGAGACGGCACTGTACGGCAAAAATGGCAGGAGACGGGGTTTCAAGTTCTTCGCTTTGAGCTGCGGAAGGGACCGGTCCGTCAAGTCGAGAGCGTTGGCAATACCAATCAGCATCAACTTAGACTCGCTTTGCAATGCCCATTCGAACAGGGACTGCAACACTCCAGTATCACCGTTCAGTAGATGATCAATCTCGTCCAAAGTGACCAGGAACAAATCTTGCGCTTTCTTGCTGGATGGAACAAACATCGATTTCAAGCGATCCGCTTCGCTTTTCTTGAACACATCCGTGTCCTCACAGAAATCTTGAATGAGTCGGCTGTAGACATCGCGAGAGATACGCATGCTTGCACAGTTCACATGCGCGATTCTCACGTTCGAAAGATCCAGATCAGCGCACACTTCGTGTACCAGGGCACTTTTCCCGGTACCAGGGGGACCGCTGATATAAAGGCATCCCCCCGTCCGAGACTCCATTCCCTCAGTGATAAAAGACACTAACTTCTCGCGCTCAGCATCACGTCCCACTAAGCGACCAGAGTTGGCACCTCGGGCAAACAATTGCCGGGCCTGTGAATACACGGAGTGCGCAATTGTCGGAGTCGCACTCTGTCGAGGGGTCGGAGGAAGATCGGCATGGCGAGGGGTTCGCGGCGTAATGGCCTTTGCTCCCACCTGCACTCGATGTCTGGGTGTGAGAGGAGGATGTTGCGGTAAATCATCTCGGAATCGCGATTTCGAAGGTGTCTTGAATTCAGGTTCAATGGGTTTTGTAATCTCTTCTGCCCATGGAATTAGCGCCGCCTCAAGCGCAATACCTTCGTCACTCTCCAACGTACCTTCCACTGGCTTCGAGACGGGAAAATGCGAATTTATCTTGACCGGCGACTTGGATTGGTCATCGCGCAGGGTATGTTTGGAAGGAATGACCACCGACACTGTCTTGTTCTGGCCATTTTCCTGGTCAGGTTCGTCGACTGCCTTCTTTACAGTTGACCTTGTTCGCCGTAATGAGGAAGGCGCAGCGGGCTTCTGATCTCGGGGAGCTCGGGGGGCAACTGTTCGGCGCTTGCTTCCAGTTCGTACGGGCAAGGCTAGGAAGGCGGGTGAGAACTGGAAAAGAGGAGGAAGGTGAGATGGGTCTTACCCGCTGGTTCAACAGCATCGCGAGTGCGCTTTCCTAAGACTGTTCCTGCCATGTTGAAAGGATAGACTTAAAATAAGGGTACAAATAAACAAGCTCGACTTCCTTCAGAGAGTTGGAGGAATGTCAAGAGCGAAGACCTCCCAGTTAGGAAGTGTAATTGGAAGCTCCACTCCTCGTGGGCCTCCTACGCGCCGGACGCGTCGCGCGTTGGAATACGGACCATCATAACGACCACTTGCGCAGCTCTACACAACTTAGTCAGCCGCGTCACTACTGCGGCCTGATACCTCAGGTGTCGATGATCGTCTCTGAAGAGTTTCGAATCGACATGACGGAATTCCTTCAGCCCACCTGAAGCTGCACGTTCCTTTGTTTGCCTGTTTTTTTCTTTATTCCTCATCAACCTCGTTATTGGCCCGTGGTGGTTTTCAACTTTCAAGCGATTTGTACCACGTTTCTCTTCCCCCACATAACCTCACCTCCGAGTCCTTGACCTCATCTCATACAACACCTACGCTTTCAGTCAGTAGGCAAAGCTGACATTCCATTCGCACTTTCTTCTCTAATACGAACCTTTCTATCAGGGGTTTAAGCCAACCCACCGCCCACCATGGAGGACGATGTGATAGCTCAGTTCACTGAAATTACCAGCTCCACGCCTCAGTTGGCCATACAGTATCTGCAGGTTACAAATTTCGAAATCCCCGAAGCCGTGCAGCTCTATTTTGATAATGGAGGTGCACCTTTGACCAATGAGCCTGCTCAGCCATCCCGGGGCTCTGGCCTTCGAGATGGTCATGAGGTGGTGACTATTGACTCGGACTCTGATGACGATACCTCCCACCGCTCCGCCCGGCCGACTTTCGATGATGATGAAGCTATGGCTCGACGCCTTCAGGAAGAAATGTATGGTGGCCCTGGTGGCGTACCGGATGAAGATGAAGTGAGAGCACCCATGGCGAGGACAACCGAGACATTGGTCGGCCCTGGGGCGGACTTCGACGATGGTGAATTCATGCACGCCGACATTCTCCGGCAAACAATGAGCCGCGCAACGCGAGGTAAGTGCGATATGCACCCCAGGTTTTGCAGCTATTGTTACTGACGCATTTATACTATAGGCCGAGCTGGAATCTTCAACCAACGAGAATCATCTTCCATCTGGGCAGGCGGCCAGGAGGTTCAGCCCGACGAACTGTCTGCAGCTACCGGGGGCGCATCAGAGGCTTCCTCCAAATCCAGCATGCTCGCCCAGATGTACCGTCCTCCATTTGAGATCATGTCACGAATGTCTTGGGAAGTGGCACGCGACGAGGGAAAGGATATCCAAAAATGGCTGCTTGTCAATATCCAGGATGAATCCATTTTTGACTGCCAAGTTCTTAACCGCGATTTATGGAAAGACCGCGGGGTCCAAGACACCATTAAGGAACATTTCATCTTCTTGCAGTACTCGAAGGACGACGCCCGTGCGGCATCTTACCTTCAATACTACTTTCAAAGAAGCGATGTCTCCGACAATTACCCTCACATTGCAATTGTCGATCCTCGAACCGGTGAACAAATGAAGGTATGGTCCGGACCGCCTTTGATCAAGCCCGCCGATTTTCTCATGCAGTTGCACGAGTTCCTTGATCGGTACAGTCTGAGCCACAACGTGCGCAATCCTGTCGCCAAGCGAAAATCCGAGAAGAAAGAAAAGAGCATCGATGCGATGACCGAGGAGGAGATGATGGAGATGGCGTTGCGGAATAGTCTCGGTGGTGCAGCCGAAGGAGGTCAGAAGGTGGAAGATCCTGATGACTTGACTCGCAGCACGGATAATACCAAGGGCAAGGGTCGGGCAATTGAGGAGGATGAGCTCATGGAGGAACCAGAGCCAGCTGCCGAGGATTCAGCATTTTCGTCTATCCCCAGCGACCACCCACACACTGAGCCGGAGGCTGACCCGGCTACAACTACGCGTATCCAGTTCCGACACCCATCCGGCAGAGTCATTCGGCGCTTTGCACTGTCGGATCCCGTCCAACGGATCTATGAGTGGCTCAAGGCCGACCCTCCCTTGGAAGATAAGGCCGGTGTCGAATTTGAACTAAACAGTATGGGGCGTAACCTCATTGACCAACTGGGCACAAGCATCGCAGAGGCGGGGCTCAAGAATGGCACTGTGATGATTGGGTACATGGAGGAGTGATACTCTTGCCATGTTCGTTCAAGCACACCGTCACGCTGCAACGAATCCTAGTTCTCGAAAGTCGTTAATGGACTTGTGTCAGATCCCATGGGACCCTTACCTCTCTCCGGCTTTGGGATCACCGCTTGAAGGGATCTGATTCAATATCAGGCTCTCCAGTCGTCTTTGGCATCTTTGGGGCCAAAGTGCTAGGGCGCACATAAATGGGGCCCTGAAGCTGGTCACCAAAGTATGCAATGAATCATGACAATCTAATCACGACGTCCAAGATTATTTTCACGTCCACTAGCACGTAGGCTGCAACAGCTGCAACAGAATAGTTAGTGATAGTTAGGTAAAGTGGCTGCTATCTTTCATCCCCTCCCCATTGGCCAGTTGCCATACGATGAGTTCATAGTACTATGTAGTACATAGTCTGATAGATAAGAGGCACACACCGCTTTGAGATAAGCCGGCAAAATAAGCCCCCGCAATGATAAACAACAGGAAGCAAGGGCCCTCGACGACGACAATATTCCCCTTGGACTCGTGGATGAGATGACTCGGCGTGGCAAAGTGTAGTTGCACTCGCCGGCTGCAACTTTGTCAACTCTCTATCTCTTCTTCTTCTTCTTCGTCTTTTTCTTCCTTCTCCTTCCCACCTCAAGGCTCAATTACATTTCGAGTTGAATGTTTCATCTTGCAGATCGCATCCAATCGCAGTCGCGTACGGGCATCCCGCTTCAGTCCTTGCGAGATATGAATCTGACCATCAATAGCTTTGAGTCGCACGCCCATTTCACTGGATCTTGTCATCATCCGACTCGGATAATCCGCCAAGATGTCCGGTCCAATTGACCCGGAAACTATCTACACCAAGCAAACATGCATCGGTAGGTGTCACGGTCCTCGGATCTGACCTGGAGTTCATGTTACTGATTGTCATGTGGTGTTATAGGTGGTGGAAGCTTTGGCAGGGTATACAAAGGGTAAGTCCAAGAGCCTTCCATCAAGCACTGGACTTCATTAAGGTAGCTGACCGAGATTGGAACTTTCTAGTCTGGATAAGCGCACCGGAGAGTCCGTGGCTATCAAGGTCATTGACGTCGAGAGCGCCGAGGACGATGTCGACGACATCATCAAAGAGATTGCCATCTTGTCCGAGCTGAACTCGCCCTATGTCACCAAGTACCATGGATCGTACTTGAAGGGGTCCGACTTGTGGATCATCATGGAGTTTTGCTCTGGTGGTAGTTGCCACGATCTTCTGCGGCCTGGTCCTATTCACGAGGAATACATCGCCATCATTTTGAGGGAGCTCCTGCGCGGGCTGGACTATCTCCACAGTGACCAGAAGCTGCACCGAGACATCAAAGGTATGAGAACATCATTTCGTTCAATGAAAATGTGCGGCAACTAACTTTTATACTTGCAGCTGCCAATATTCTTCTTACTGCGAGTGGTCAAGTCAAGTTGGCTGACTTTGGTGTGTCTGGTCAGTTGTCGGCGACAATCTCCAAGAAGAACACGTTCGTAGGCACCCCATTCTGGATGGCCCCCGAGGTCATCAAGCAGTCTGGATACGATTACAAGGCCGACATTTGGTCCTTGGGTATCACTGCAATTGAGCTGGCCTTCGGTGAGCCGCCTTACGCTGATATTCACCCCATGAAGGTGCTGTTCCTGATCCCGAAGAACCCACCTCCAACCTTGGTCGGCAACTTCAGTAAGCCTTTCAAGCAATTTGTGGAATTGTGCTTGCGTCGGGACCCTCGGGAGCGCCCATCAGCCAGGGAGCTGCTTGAACTCCCATTCTTGAAGCGAGCCAAGAGAACTACCTACCTAACAGAGCTCATTGAGCGCGCGGAGCGTTGGCAAATCACCCACGGAAGTCGAGATGAGGGGGATGAATATGATGAGGTAGAGCCTGAGCAATCACGAGAGAGATTACAAGAGAGAGAAGATCTCTGGGACTTCGGTACAGTTCGTCCAGTGCGACAGACGGCTGCAGTCCACGTCCCGCCGATGAACATTCCTAAGACCAGCGAGCGCCCCACAGAGACTGAGGAGTGGGATCTGTGTGATGAGACCACTCGACAGTCGGGAACATCACAACCTCAATCGCGACTTCGAACCCCGTCAGCTCCTGCTCCTGACATTGCTCCTACTCAAGTTCCTCTCCCTCCTTCTGCACCACCTACTCCTCTCAAGCAACATATCTCTCAGCCCCCTCTTCATCCACACAACGTCGTGCCTCCTCTAGTCTCTAACAAACCTTCCCCTTCTGTTGAAAATATTCCCGTCAGAGGCCCGAACGTGCAATTCGCACAGGCAAGACCCGATTTCCCAGCTTTCGGCATCCCACCGGATCATGTTGTGAGCAGACCAGCCCTTCATTTTCGTGACTCTGCTAATGTCATGGGGCTCCCACAGCCCTCACGCTTCCAGCAAGCAAATCTCCCCAGACCTCCCCGATCCATAGAGCCAATGCAGCAACCACAACCAGCAACAGGCCTCAAGTCGAAGCGCGCTCCAGCAAACATGGAAGACCGTTCTTCTCCCTTCCGCGCAACCCCACCCTCCGCCCCGCACGACCAGAATCATTTCAGCCGCGCTCAGTCCGAGGCTGCGAAGCCCACTGCCGTTGGAACTGTCATTCTCCCCGCTCTCCGCGCGGCGATGGACCGTCGCCGCAACTACCTTGTCAGTCTCGAACCCGGACGCAATCCCAACGATCCCCCGCCGACCGTGGAGGCGGACAGGGAGTTCGACCGGAACGTGCGCATCCACCGCAGCCTGGAGAAGGCCGCTGAGGACATTGCCCGCGCGTTCACCAACTTCCACCAATGGGATCAGGAGGGACCTGTCGACATGGGTGGTGGTGTGGATGCAGTTCTGGACGCGTTTCTCGAGGAGGTCCTCGTCCGTCTGCTACCTGCTAACCAGACCGTGTAGGTAACTACATGTCTTGGTTTTGTTTTGGGTACTTCGATGGTCTTATGGAACCCTCTGGGCTGGCCCATTAAAGTTTCCGCACTGCTTGTTTCTCTACGCTACCATCTTGAAGGGCGTTCGCTGAGCCTCTTCCTGTTCCTCGTTATGTTTATTTGTAAGAGTTAGGAATGTGATTACCAGTACTCTTGCTCGCTGTGCCTAGGTTGTATTAGACGCGGTTACTCGTCACTGGGCTGTCACTGTACTTTCCAGGAAGTGAAGGTCTCGTTCATTTACCTAAAAGGTCTTGGAGTATGTCAAAATAATCTAGAACCATGGTAACGTAGGGAACACCACCGTTCTATTCGGTTGATATTTTCCTTGATTCCAAAGTTTGAGGAGGCGTGTAGGTTTGGTAGGTCATAGTTATGACCCTTCCTCGCATCTATATAGACTTGCTTTTCACCTCATTCTTCTCTCCTTCATCCATCTTCTTATCTACCTTTCCATCATCCTCTTCATCTCTCATAGCGCCCATCAAGGCGCCCCCTGTTCAATATGATACTGAGCAGAAAATGGCTGCCAACATAGGCGTCTTCCGCCTAATTAAGGAAGAAGCGACCAGCCCTCGAAGATGGTGGGAAGAAACCCGTGACTCATCAAAAGGTAAAGTCCATTGCGTATCTTCATTCATTACAGCTTTGCCTAACCTAATCTTAATTCCTAGTCACCCCAAGAGTCCGCAGATATTCTTTACTATAGTTCATTCGAGGACAGTGAGGATAAAGAGAACAGCCTCCAAGTCTACAGGGCAACGATGGCAGTCTTAAAGCCTGCATGGATAAAATGGTTCAGGAGGCGCTCAATCTTGATTGCAGTTGCTCTCTGTCGGTCAACATGGCTTCCATCGATCTCAGCCCAAGCTACGTGGTGTCAACAATCCCTCGAGCACCCACATTCAGCCCACCTAGCCACCCTGAAATCGCGATTGACCTCCACCTGGCCAATGTTGTATGATGTATCTACTAGCCCTCGACTACCCACCCTTACACCACCGAGATTCCCGCCAATCAACATCAACCTCACCGTAAACCTTCCTAGCCTCCGGGAAGTCTTCTCCACTGAGGCCGCTCCTCACCCGGCCACTTCAGTCTCTCCTGAGGCCGCTTCTCCCTCGGCCAATTCCACCTCTCCTCGGGCCGCTTCTCCCCCGCCAACTCAGTCTCTTCTGAGGCCGCTTCTCCCCCGGTCAATTCCACCTCTCCTCAGGCCGCTTCTCCCCCGAACGCCGCTATTCCACAGCCCGCTGGCCATCGCCGAGTACGATGCCGACGCAATGTGGAGCAAGTGCCGGGTCCTCCCAGGAAGCGAGGTCATCTCCACCCATCCCACCACTCACGATGCCGACATCGAGATTTGGACGCAAGTCCAAGTCGTCGACCAAAGAGTTGGGGCTACCATCAGGGTTACCAGCAATGGCGAGAATACTTACGTCCTGGATTGTACCAAGTCGGCCAGGCTTCGGAATGGAGTGATGTCCGGGGATGTACTGGAATTCGATTTCCAGACTTTGATGGGGCGGGCGGCCGCCACGAAGCCGTCCGAACTGGCGCACTGGCGGTGATCCTGAGGAACGTGAGGATCGTCTGATGTGGGGTCGCTTCCCCGCGAGTTCCACTGGCAGAGACGGCTCCGTCAGTTCCCCACGAGGAAGTGACCAGTCAATGCAAGATGGTTCTTCCCCGGTCAGGGATAGCTTTATGAAGGATCGGCTATCGCCAGCCAGCCAATTGTCAGCCTCGGGGAGCGACGTCTCCATGTAGAATCGGCTTTCCCCTGACACCCCTTTGGAAGGGCCAGGCGGTGCGTTACGATCAATGGACTCTCATTCTCTCTCTTTTGCTCCGTCCGTTTTATTGTGTTCTGTCTTTCGTCTCTTCGTTTCTATCGTTTGGTTTTTTGTTTTGTTTTTCTTGGATGTTTCTCCACAGGGAGCCGGAATAGTCATGACAGTTCACAATATGATTAACTCATGAAAAGTTCAAGTGATAACCCTTTGCAAGCAGTGGATTACCAAGTAGAAGTTACGCCTGTACAACTGCCCAGATAATCCCATCGATAGCCGAAATATGATCTTTATAAGACCGAGCCATTTGTATATGATAGGTATGATGGTTTATGCAGGGAAATGCTATATCTCATGGAATACCATAAGCCTTCAATGCGACATCCCCCCATATACCCTTCTTCTCCTCCTCAGAGAGACCCCGTCGTATCAAAACCTCTTCCACAACCCGCCTCCATCGTCCCCATGAAACCTCATTCCCACCACCCCCAACACTGCAAACCGACCAATCCGACCCAAACATGACTCTTCCAGCCCCAAAGGCATCAAAAACAACATCAGTCCACGGCTGCAGGCAATCAACAATGCCCGAGATATCACAATCCTCCCCTTCCAACGGCAACAGCTCCGAAAAAGCCCCAGAAAGCTTCATATAAGTCTTCGGATAAGCCGCCATCTGCGAATGGGGGGTCGTCAGGTTGTCAGGTTGTCAGGTCTGGGAAATTACTAGTAGAAAATTTACCAGTCATTACTAGCTATGACCAGTCGGTATTAGTATTACTAGTCGCGACTAGTAAGGCTTACGTAATTTTTAAAATACCGAGGGGCTCGTCAGGTCGCGCGTGCCAAGTCCCGTGACCGGCCAAGTCAGACTTACTAGTAACTACTAGTAAATCCCACCACGCGAGGTCGGTCGTAATCTATAGCGAACCTGACAACCGATTACTCACCGGTATGGCAGAATAATCTTTTACTAGTAGCCCATGGTAATTACTAGTAAAATTGGTATTCCCGAGTGGTAATTTATCTACTGGTTATCACTAGTAGTAGCTATACGTCAGACAACCAGTGATAGCTGGCTACAAGGCTCCTAGTGACTCCTAGGATTTACTAGTAAAATGGTATCATGCAATTGTATTGCATGTGTATAGCCTGCTGCAATTTATAGAATCCTCACTAGGTTACTAGTCGTGGCTTACTGGTAACCACCAGTTGTCAGCTACTAGTAGTCACCATTTGTGAGATCACCAGTTATCTCTAGTAATAACTAATAGTTTAGGAAGAGTAGCTAGAAGATAGGACACTTGGAAGATTGACATCCCTCTGAGACTCTTCCTACAACTACCTATTGGTGACTACCAGTCCCTACTAGTAGCAGATTCCTAGTGATCCCTAGTAATAACTGGTAGTAGAGGAAGATGCAGAGAAAAGAACACTTCGAAGATTAACGTCCCTTCTGATACTCTTTTTGCATCTGTCAGTTATTACTAGTAATAGCTAGCTATAATTAGCTTAGCTTACTCCGTACTAGTAGTAGCCTTGGTTCGAGTATTGTCTTCAAAGGCTGTATGTGGGTAGTATGCCTCAAAGAACTCATAGATCCATTCCAAGGCCGAACTGGCCCTCAAGCTAGTAATTTGGATGTGCCACTAGTAACCAAGAGTAATAACTACAAAATATTCCGCGCAAGTCGGCTCTATGCTTGCTGTTGGGCCTCAAGAATGACTATCAGGAGCTGCTTAAATGTCCTAATATTCCGTAGGAAACGGACCCAGTCACCCGGCAGCAGATCATAACGAACGGAAGCTGTTGACGCCAGTCTCCGGGCAAGAGGCTTAGCTCTGAGCTGATCCGCCAAAACCCCCCAAGCCATAGTAATGGACTCACTGTTAGTAACGGCTAGCCACTAACAAGTCAGCGGGAATTCCAACCTAGTAGTTACCAGAGCTTTGCGTTTACTACTGGCCACTACTAGTCGCGACTGGGGGGGAAGTATGCCCAATTACCTATATTGAAGAGATTACCTACCCCATGGGACGATACATATAGGTCTCTCCACTTTTTGTTGACAAATTGGCACGTAGCCCTAAGAACTAGCCATTGCTACCTAGTGTAGTGGGGAGGTGTGACCTCCCCCTACAGGCATGCTTCCCCTGTCCACTCCCTTGGTTCTCACGTGAGCGTTCCTTACGTCAGCAGTTTTGCGCTGGAGATATAGTCGCGAGGTAGCTTCAGTTAGCAATACACACTCCTACACATCTCTGATTTCACTTCTTGTGCGCAAGCGCCCAACCTCTTTGTTCCTCTAGTTCGATGCTATGCTAGGTGGTATCTGCTGAATCGACCCGTGTGCCTCAGAGCACACAGCCTTCGAGCGTTCCCCTCTTTCACTAGGTAGCCCCGAGGAGTAACCACCTCAATGGTAGGAAGAGTAGCAAAAAGATATTCTTTGAAGTGTGCTTTCTTCTACTCTTTCTAAACTATTAGTTATTACTAGAGATAACTAGTAGCTCACAACTGGTGGTTACTGGTAAGCGATTACTAGTAGCGCAGTGACTATTCAATAAATTACAACGGATTTTACACTCGCGAGACATAGGCCCTTTACTAGTCGCGACAAGGGATGACTATCGACACGCTTACTAGTGGTACCTAGTCGCGACTAGTAAATTTTCTCTAGTCACCCAAAGCTACTACTAGTAAGCCAAGCTATAGCTACTACTAGTAGAGACTGATTGCTATATTACGGTCCGTATTACAATTACATACCGTAAAACTTTATTAATTACACGTAATTCACGTTTTTTCCTAATAGAATTTATTCTGCCATACCGGTGAGTAATCGGCTGTCAGGTTCGCTATAGATTACGACCGACCTCGCGTGGTGGGATTTACTAGTAGTTACTAGTAAGTCTGACTTGGCCGGTCACGGGACTTGGCACGCGCGACCTGACGAGCCCCTCGGTATTTTAAAAATTACGTAAGCCTTACTAGTCGCGACTAGTAATACTAATACCGACTGGTCATAGCTAGTAATGACTGGTAAATTTTCTACTAGTAATTTCCCAGACCTGACAACCTGACAACCTGACGAGCCAGTTGCCGGCCATCTGCACAACAAGTTCCCTCCACTCCACAAACTCATGATGCTTAGAAACATCCACACCACCTAGCCTTAGATTCGGCTTGCAAAGATGATCTGTCGTAACGTCAGCAAAAAAACCCCCAACAACAAACCCATCACAGATCCCAGGACCAAAGAACATACTAATAACAATCGTAACCCCCTTCCCCTTATCTAACCCCGCATAAACCCCCCTCAACATCTCAACAGCCTCCTTCAACTGCCCCAACTCACCAGACCTCGCATCAACACCCAGATCAAACACTACAAAAGGGTCACCAATATAGGCGGCTTCCGCCTCTTTGAGGAACTGCGAAGATTGCGCCAGGACATGGCAAAGGCCGACGCCAAATCAGCCCAAATGGCCGCCAAAATAGCAGCGATGAACATGAAGATCACGGAAGCAGACCTGAAGATTGGTGTGATGGAGTCGTTCAGAGACAGCTACCTTGACGTCCGACAAAGGACCGTCGCCACGTGGATCCGAGATGCCTTGAATAAAGGCACCGGACGCCGGGTCAAGGATATCCGGCGACTAAATAAAGAAGTCCTCCACGGCGGCGACATTCGGTGCGACTCGGTGCTGGTAACTGAACGGTACAGGAAGGACAGTACTGAACGCAAACAGTTCAGTACTCTCTATGGCCTCGCTGCGGAGGAGGTCAATGCTCTTGGTATTATCATAAATCCCCTCAATGCTCATTCTTCGCTAATATATTCCAGACCATCGAAAATGCGACGGCTCGTTCCAGGCATTGAATAGAGCAGCCTCTTTTCTTCTCGATAAAGCGCGCAGTGGGTCCTTGGGGGTATAGATGTAGAGATACATATATACCGTACCACGTCAAAATTCGTAGGTAAATAGATCTGACGATCACAGCTAGTCAGCAGTGCAGGGAGATTTTGTCTCGATACAAAGAAAGCGCCGACCGGGGGTGGGCTAATAGCTTCGCGGAGACGGAATCTGAGTCAATTGTCGCTCGCGATGCTTGCCTTCACCAGTTCCCTTTAGTCCCTGGTGAAATAGCACGGTGAACCGACTCCACTACGGCATAGCGCGCTGTTTTGGGGTGATTCAACGTGGTGGCTGTCCTAGCAGGGGGGCTGATAGTGAACGTACTGCATGTACGGACACTATAACCAGGATGCGAGACGTCACAACCTATAATGGTTGACCGTTGAGTGGACGACTCGATGTTGAATAATGTCATAATGAAAACATGGAGGGCTATATGTACAGTACAATCGTGGACATGAAGCGTACCCTAGTTCTGAGGACAACGAATAGAGGACGCCACCACGACGAGACTGCAACAATGACGGCTCGTAGGTTTCAACGGAAAGCTAATCAGGTTGATACCCTACTCGAAAGAGGGAAGCTCGTGTCCAGGTTGTTGTAGGTGGGGCATCGTAGTGAGGGGCTGCGCATCTAGTCCGCTAGCTCCGCACTCGATGTCTCTGTCACTCTCCGTAGTCAGGAAGATAAATACACCCAAAGGCGCCAAATCTTCGAAAGCAGGACCCGGATCCCTGTCCACTTGGACTCATTGCCTAGTCCCCCTTCGCGGAGTGATGCCCGTTGTGGTAATAAGTCATCACCCGAGGGCGGCAACCTCGTTAAAACAACGGTCGAGGGTCTTCAACCTCTGGATAAAAGAGAATATGAGGGCGGCAACCTCATTAAACAACGGTCGAGTGGATAAGTCAGGTCCCCGAGACCTTTCTCCGGTTCCACACGAAGACTTATTTCCATTTAAATCAGCTGTCAACATCTCGGGTGGAAGGCGCCCATTCAGCATTTGATGCCTGGAGGACTCGCTTTAATGCTGAATGGGCGCCTTCCACCTGAGATGTTGACAGCTGATTTAAATGGAAATAAGTCTTCGTGTGGAACCGGAGAAAGGCCTCGGGGACCTGACTTATCCATTCATCATGTACATATCGTAGGATATCCCCGTAATCTGCCTCATACAGATCTCGGAAGCATTGCCAACGTAGTTCATGGTCCTCCTCCGAATGTGCTAAAAACACAAGATCAAGCTGAGTTTTGATAGTTTCCCACCGTTCATTGACCTCATCTCTGTGTTGCTGAGATGTTCGGGACCGGCCAGGTTGTTCAGCGGCAACAACCTTATTGATCCGAGGGCGAAAACGCGCTTGGATGTTTTTGATCACATGCCAATAGCAAAAGTGTCTTGGTCTCTGGAAAAACTTATTTGGTATTAGTATATAAAGTAATATGTGTATATTAATAAGGGTAAAGAATGGATTCATACCTCAGACTTCATTCCGCAACGCCTTCTCTTTATCGGTCATGATCGTCTTCGGGTAAGGGATTTGCTGCTGGTCAAGAAGCCCTTGTAGCCACCGGAGCACCTGTGTGTAGGCTGGCTCTCGCTCATTGGCTATGAAGGCAAGCCCGACATAGAAACTTTTGCCAACCGAAGACTCCCCGATGATGTCGAGTAACGGGAAGTGGTATCTGTTGGTCTTGTAGGTGCAGTCCATCCACAAGAAGAAGGGGTTGTTCCGAAGTAATGCAATTGAACTACGGTGGACCAAGAATGCGGCCGTTAATTGACGATCTCCATTGACATCGTAGTGAATAATCCACTCATCGTCCTGTTGAAGTAGGCGTTGAATCTGTGAATAACCCCTCTGAGCCGGATTGACGATAGTCGAAGATAAAGCGCCTCATCCTCCCGGGATCTTCAAGGGTGAATTCCTCGCCCGTTGCTTCACACTGCTTCTGGATTCCTTTCGTTATGACAGACGGCGAGCAGCCTTGATGGATTCCAGCAATGATTTGGGACCTATACCGCTCGATCTGTCTTGTTTGGTGGATAGCGAAAGCAGATCCGGGTTGTCGATCATGGTTATGGCGGCTCTCAACCACCTCGATATCCCAAAGCCCGTGGTTGCTATGGGTCCGTCATCGGGATCGGGTCGTCGGTGGAGAACGGCACGATATGGGCACTCGGTTGACCGGGTAGTCGAGTGACGATTGGTGGTTTTTTGGGCTTTGTAACCTCTGCTTCGGGCGCAGTGGATTCGTACCCGATTCGGATGGGAGCCTCGCGTCGAGACTGCGAAGCCCTGGGGTTGGGGATGTATGTTGATAGCCTCAATAGCCTGCTCAACAGAGCGATAGAAGGGCTCACCAAATTCAGACATGGGTGGTGGGAGAGGGAGGGAATCGAAGACGATAGACATGATGGATATAAAGGCCAGTGTTAAAGGGTAGCTAGAAGAAAAAGCTAATGGCTAGGTAAGAGGGTTATCATTCAATCGATAGTTAGTTAACTAGTTACGAAAATTTGTTTACAGACCATTTAAAATACGGGGTACATCTGAAAATCAGGTGACGTCCTAATATAGTATAGCGCGGGTACAAAAAAACGCAACCTAATATTATCCATTTCGCATTCCCTTTTTACGCTCTCTATATTTGTTTCGGAATCCGATTCATTTGCCAGCGTAGCCCGAGGGCTCTTGGCATTCCTCGTGCGGTTGGTGTGTGCACAGAAGTTGAGGACTAGGTGGATAGCTGAGTGACGCATAACATTTCCAAGCCCTGGTATAACTTATGATGAGACTTGTCTGAGCGCGTGATAGGACTTCGTTTTGGAAAAAGCTGAGAAGAGACAAAATGAGAGGGTTGTGATTTCAAGATGGTCGAAACAACCAATCCGTCTCCGGCGTCGGGATCAAGTAGTTCGTAATGTTGAACTCATTCGCGTTGGATGGATGCCCATGGTCTATCACCGACCCATTCGAAGGCGCCGGACCAGTATCAGTCAGCCCGTGTATGGACATAGGATTTGGCACGGTGTTCGGGATTTCCAAATGAGATGGTGCACTGGTGTTTAGACCATGAGCGCGAGCAGGAGGGACTCGAGGGACATTGAAGAAGCCAAAGACATCGAGGTACTCGAGTTCATTGGGAGCAAAGTTGCGGGTAGGCATTGTCGACATAGACGACTGAGGCTGCTGGTTCTCGCCGATGCCATTGTCAGCGGGCGACTCACGGGGCTGGCGGGAGATCAAGAAGTCCAGATCGAATGCACAGCGACGCATATCGGCGAGGATCTTGACTGTTGACGGTGTGGATCTTTCACCATCTGTGGCGACAGATCGTTGATACTCGTTATACTCGTCCAGGACGCGTTGGAGAATGCTGCTGTATCGCTCGGCGACTTTCCAGTATTTGCCCAGCTGGAAGAGAGTGTCCACGAAGAAGAGGATGTCGGCGCTGACGGTGTGGGCGATTGTGGAACCGTGGACGAGGAGGAGGCGGGCTGATACCCAGAGAGTAAAAGCGAATGGTGGGCCCATTTTGTCGAGCATGTTGTTTTCTACTACGAATCTGGATACTGAGAGGATGTTTTCCACTGCTAGTAGGCATCGCTGGCTGGCGCTGTATGAGGGTGTGAAAATTGGGGATCGGGTTGTTGGGTATGCAGCTGAGGAATGAAGACGGATCACAGCACTAGAAGATTGTCGCGTTAGAAGATTGTTCCAGGGTGATACAGGACCTGTCGACTCACGTTTGGTAGGTTGCATGTAGCTGCACCCAATCACTGTGCAAAGCGCGGCCATGCCTGGGCCCATTGAAGAGGCGAGAGGAATTCTCATAGGCATATTCTGCGGGGAGATTGAACTCCCACGATGTCAGCTCACTATCGAGCTTGCGATAGGTGGCTTGCCATTCTTCTACGTCAGAGAGGGCTCCGATATCTACAGGCCGTTTGAGGAACGTATGAATTCGCGATAGGATACCCAGGATTTCGACATAGAGACCGAAAGAACCAACATTCTCCGCGTTACTGAGATAGTCCGCACGCTCACTGGAGTAGTGGAATCGTCGCGTCTCAACGGGTTGGTTCTTCATGAAGTAGTCATCCTTGCAAGGAAGCTTACGGTCGATGTCTCTGTCATCCAAAGCAAAGTTAAATGCTGTCGCTAGGGTGGAATAGCGGTCCAACAAGTAGACCATCCAGAACAGCCGACGTCGGCTTTCATCTTCGATCCACGAATTCGGCTCTGACAGAGTAACGGCCCTCAGGGTGTAGATTGAAGGGTAGAGGGGGTTGATGAGAGACGAAGTTGCTTCCACGGCCAGCCCTAATTGCACTACAGACCTGGTGATCAAGGCAAGTAGCTTCCAGCCAGGTGGGCCATTGGAAGATCCAACGAGGTCAAGTGCCAGAATTACAAGCGCTTGGAGTGCCTTGACAGAGGAATTCTCTAGACCATACATGACGACCTTCTGTTTCGACGAATCATGATAGCGCTTTCGGTTTTGATCATTGAGCCTGGCATCGGAGGAGAAACGTAGTGTCGTCGCCACAATAGCATAGAGCACCATTCGATCTGCCTCTTCTAGTGGTGAAGGGCCAAAGAAGGTGTCCAGGGTTGTTCGGCGGTGGAGGATCGGACACCAGGAATTGATGTGTTCGAAATAAAGATCTACCAAAGCATAGAGCAAGTCGTATGGTGGTAGATCTAGCTCCGGATTGGTAAGAGATTGCTCTTGATTTGAGAATATGTTGACGGGAACCTTCAGAGATGATTCATTCCCCGTGTAATCCTGCTGCGCATCTCGGTTCTGCACCAAGGGGGCATGTGATGCTGATCGAATGCCATGCTGTAGATGATTGTGCTGGGAATTATTCACTGAAGTGTCGGGTGGACTGGTAATCGATACATCCGCACGGCGCGACGGTAGAGTAACAGACGACCCAGGCTCGTTGAAGTAGAGAGCAGTACTGGGACTGGGTCCGTGAACCGCTGAGGGCTCCGAGGGAGAACTGTATGAAAGGGGACCGGCGTGGGGCAACTCATGGCCCACTGAGGACTGGGGCCGTATGATATGCATCTCAATGAGGCGAGCTTGGGACTGGATGATATCTTCCAATCGATCTAAGTTCTGGATGAGATACGATTTCGTGATAAGAATCTCGATCATCCACTTACCAAGACGTTGTTCCAATTCTTTCCCATACCCAGCTCTTAATCCTGGTTTTTTCCTTTCTCTATATTCGCATAGCTGGCCATTGCGCGTACACCAGCCACAGCTCGGCTGTACTCGGTCTACCAATTCCTCAGTTAGGAAATAGACATTGACCTATGAGGAAATGATGTACTATACCGCATTTCACTTTGCGCTGCTTGCAGAGTTCACAACTTCGCGAGATTAGTCTGGGGTGTGAAAGAAACCGGATAACCGAGGTGATTGAAGTACGCACGAGACAGTGAGAGGGCGTTTTCGCTTCAAGGCCCTTGTGGAGCCATTATATCCAACCTGGTCATTATCTGAATCCGAAGAATACTCTGCACTTTGATCTCGGTTATTGTCCCCAAATTGCTGATTGGCAGATGGGGTCTCCTGGGGAAGCGCAGCGTTCGGCATGTTGATTTAGCGAGATCGTAATTCGCTCTATCAGGGGCCGAGCATGCTGCAGGGCGATCACGGTGCAAGTGCGAATAGACTGGACCAGTTGATATTTCGATCTAGCACATTAATAAGGGACTCCCACGATGATAGTCTGACAACATTGAGCCCGAGGGAAAGAGGAAGAAGAGGCCGAGATGGTCGGAATCATTGGACTTGACGCCTCAGGCAGAAACCGGGGCACCCCGCATTTCTATCTTGGCGTTCCCCTGATTTCTAGCTCTTCCCCGACTGTCCCGACGGAGCTCAGCTTATGCCTACATGACACAACTGAGCTTTAAGCCTCCTCCCTTGCCGCAATTGTAGCACAGTAGCCTGTCTAGGGTGTCAATATCCCGTGACTATGTACGACACGACTCATCTGGGCACAGCGCGGTACAAAGAAGAAATCCGTCGCGTTGACCGGGCTGCCGAGAAGATCAAAAGGTCGAATCATCTCAGTCTCACTATCGACAGTATCGAGATGCCTGATTTTCTATTCAGCACTCATTGAGACTGAACCAAACCAGCTGCTGACATTGTTTGTGTAGCCGAGTGCGGTAATCTCCCACCTACGCATGCCCACATATCCCATTCCCATGAAATTGAAAATGAAGCACTTTCATCACCTAGATGAAATGCAATACCCTATGATACCTACGGTATGGGTGCTTCGCTAGGTAATGCTCAGCAATACCTAATGTTCACTGCCAACCGAATAAAATAATAGCCCACATGTGACATCCTAGCTATGCAGTCAATTGTCGCAAAATCTCCGAATCGCCGGTGGTCCGCTGCTCGGGCAAGCAATGCCCCGAGCTGCCCGCGGCATGTGGAAGTTGTTGAAATAGACGTGAATCCCCGTCATCGTTCCTATTCTTCTCTCTCTATCTTCTTCTGTAATTCGTTGGGTCTGTCTTTAATTTGCAGGATTTACTTGCTTATCTATACATCATGGGTTCAACAACGGCGACAACGGAGTTTCCCCGCATCAAGGAAGTCCGCACCTTCATCATTGATGGTGTTGGCTCTGGCGGTGATTACCACAATGTATGACTCTGAAGATGCCAATTGTTCTAAAATCGACGTACTAACTCTCTACAGGTCAAGGGAGGCCACTGGCTGGTCGACAGCAACATCTCCACCCCCATGACCAAGTGGGCACAGTTCCGTGGCTCGCGCACATCATGGGGAATCAACGTCCTGGGATCATTCTGTGTCGAGATTGAGGCCACCGATGGCTCCAAGGGCTTTGCTACTGGATTCGGTGGTCCCCCCGCCTGCTGGCTCACCGAGCACCATTTCAACCGCTTCCTGATCGGAGCCGGTATGTATACCATCGTGCAAGCATGACACCTAGGATGCCCCTCTCTGACCACGATAATACAACCAGATCCCCGAGACACCAATGACCTCTTCGAAAAGATGTACCGCGCTTCCATGTTCTACGGCCGCAAGGGTCTCCCCGTCGCCGTGATCTCAGTCATCGACCTGGCGCTGTGGGATCTACAAGGAAAAATCCGCAATGAGCCCGTCTACAAAATGATTGGAGGCGCCACCCGCTCCCGTTTGAACTTCTACTGCACCGGTCCCCAGCCTGGCTCTGCTAAGGCTGCCGGCTTCATCGGTGCCAAGGTCGCCCTTCCCCACGGCCCCGACGAGGGCACCGAGGGTCTCCTGAAGAACGTCGAATATCTGCGCCAGCAGCGCGAGAAAGTCGGCCCTAACTTCCCGCTGCGTGTCGACTGCTACATGTCTTTGACCGTTCCTTACACAATCCAGCTCGTCAAGCGCTGTGAGGCTATTGGTCTTGATATTGATTGGTGGGAGGAGTGTCTTTCCCCCGATGATTTTGACGGTCAGGCGCTTTTGAAGCGGGCTCACCCAACTGTTACTTTCACCACTGGCGAGCACGAGTTCTCTCGTTATGGTTTCCGCAAGCTGATTGAGGGCCGCAATGTGGATATCCTGCAGCCTGATGTGATGTGGCTCGGTGGAATGACTGAGTTGCTGAAGGTCTCTGCTATGGCTGCTGCTTATGATCTTCCCGTTGTGCCTCATGCTTCTGGGCCCTACTCGTACCACTTTGTCGTTTCTCAGACCAACAGTCCGTTCCAGGAGTACCTTGCCAACTCCGCTGATGGACACACTGTCGAGCCTGTCTTCGGTAACTTGTTTTTGAACGAGCCTATTCCCACCAAGGGTTATCTGGATGTCTCCGTCTTGGACAAGCCTGGATTCGGCTTGGAGCTCAACCCTGCTGCTCCCTTGATCCCTGCTGCTGCTATCCTTACTCCGGCACCCCAGAAATCTCTGCCTGCTCCTGATAATAAGGAGGCTGCCAATGGCTCTGCATAGGTGTCGATGATGCGATGAATAATTTTGTTATTGTTTTGATTTCCTTCTCGATTTCTTTCTCGAGCACCAGTTATTTACCCATTAGGTATACGAAAGTCATGTACATAGATAGGATGGATCAATTGAGTCAATCGACTGAGTTCAGAACACAACTTCACTAGAGTAGTAGAACGTTCAAATTGCACCTATATTTAGGAGGTTATGAGAGATCATGACAAGCACTAGAATTGGAGAATTGGACACTACGTCCAAATGAAATTAAATCCAATTAGCTCTAATCATCGTAATCTTTCTCTCCCTACTCTCGACCCCTCATCCGAGTTCGCGAACCTTGGAACGGTGCCCCTCGCGGGGTTTCCCCACACCTCGGGGGATCATCACCGCGAAACCCCGAGCCGCCTAATTAGAGACATCCCACCTTACGAGAGGGAAAAAAATAGCAGATCTCTCTACTGTATTATACCTTATCTCTCATATCTCAATCACAATGGCATTTCCACAATTACTAGTTGGCAAAGTCGCCGCCATCACCGGCGGCCTAACGGGCATCGGACGGGTACATCTACAGAGAAAAAGAAAAGCAAAGAAACTGACTAACGGAAGAACAGGCAATTGCCCTCGACTACATTCGCCACGGAGCCAAAGTCTCCATCAGTCACCTCGGCGGCGAAAAAGAAACACCACAACTCGAAGCTCTACGTCAAGAAGTCTCCTCCATCGACCCCGAAGCATCAACCCGCTTCACAACCGTAGCAGGCGACATCTCTCAGCCAGAAACCGGCAAAACCTTCGTCGCAAAAACAGTCGAAGCCTTCGGTCGTCTTGATATTTTCGTTAGCAATGCAGGCGTGTGTCAATTCGCAGAATTCCTAGAGTACATCCCCCATTTCGACCCCATACAATCAATTCTAACAAATCCCAGCCTCGAACCGTCCCTCCTAAACCACACAATCTCCACAAACCTCACAGGCGCCTTCTACGCAACCCAAGCCGCGGCCCGTCAAATGGCCCTGGTCCAGTCGCCCCCGGGCGGCTCAATAATCGGCGTGAGCTCGATTTCCGCGCTCGTCGGCGGCGGCCAGCAGACGCACTACACGCCCACGAAAGCGGGCGTGTTGAGCCTCATGCAGTCTACTGCTTGTGCGCTGGGGAAGTATGGAATTCGCTGCAATGCGCTGTTGCCGGGGACTATTCGGACGCAGCTTAATGAGGAGGATATGAAGGATCCGGTTAAGAGGGAGTATATGGAGGGGCGGATTCCGTTGGGTCGATTGGGACAACCGAGGGACTTGGCGGGGCCGGCGGTGTTTTTGGCTTGTGAGGAGTTGAGTGGGTATGTTACTGGGGCGCAGTTGTTGGTTGATGGGGGGTTGTTTGTTAATTTGCAGTGATTTGGTGGTGATAGTCTGGTATAGCAGTCTAGGACTCAAGGTAACGTTACATATCGCTAATTTGTCACCTGCATTGCTGCGAGTCTCAATTCTGCAACATACCTATCAGAGACCAACCATTGGGCATTAAACATTTACTGAAGACCATAACCATTCAAAATTTTGCAAATTCCCTCGCTTCCTTTGCTGGTGAGGCGCTGATCATACCTCTTAGGGTTAGCCCGGATATATTGAAAGCCTAAGGCAACAGCGACCCATGGTTCGCGGACACAAGTTGTACCGCTCCGAACTATATCGCGTGCCAACGACAACCCTGGATAGAAATGACAACATCAAAACGAATGACTGCGTTAATGAACTTTTCCAAACATATGAAGAGTGTAGAAATAAAATGTCAAGCTTGTCTCTTATACACAAGGTACTTGGAGGTACGATCTGCACCAGTGAGTCAGTGACCAGTCAACTTATTTCGGTTTACCTTCAGTGTGATTGCAAACAACACCAGACTTGTATTCATAGACTTGGAGAGCTCAAAACAGGAAGGAAGATAATACGAAGTCGGATCATCCAAAATAAAGTCTGGAGAATTGGAAGAAAAAAATTAACCAAAAAGTAAAAAAAGTAAAAAGTGGGTATGGGCATGGCGGCATGACCCATGGGGCATCGGAAATTCGGCATCCCGCAATGGAAAGAGCCCTGGGAGTATGGAGGTGGAGTAACAGAACCGTAAAGTACAAAGAATACAATGCAATACATTCTATTTATCATGAGAATTGACATTTTCTTATTACTATGAATTGCCGGTTTGTAATAATCTTACAGAACCAGGACTGTTACTGCCTCAAACCATCTTGGGTGGTCCTTCCAATCCTGAATTTGGCAGTTGCGCTTCTTCCATCACTGTTTCCATACTTAATCCTTCGCTTCCTCTTCTTCTTCTTCTTCTTCTTCTTCTTCTTCTCTTTTTCATCTCTTCTTCTCGTCTCGTTTCTTTCCCCTCATTGATTCCTACACATACTCTTCGATCCCTCAGCTCCTGCGGGTTTCTTTCATCACTGCTGGTATCGATACCTCTACTACACACGCACCATCTTAATAATATCAACAATGGCGATCAACGCCGAAAAGCCCGGGGCAAGGGATACCGTGCTGGCAGCAGAAGCTGCCCACGCCCAAGCCGTTCCCAATGCGGCAACCGGAAAATTGGAAGCAAATGATCAGATGGAGGAGCCCTCTCCGTTGCCGACCCCCTCCGAGGAACTCGTCCTTTCTGAGGAGACGTGCTACGACCAATTAGGCTATTCGTTCAGCGAAAAGAAAAAGTGGACGATCATCATGGTCATCTTCCTGGTCCAAACCTCCATGAATCTGAATACTACGCTCTATTCGAATGCCATCCCCGGTATCTCCGAAGAGTTCCACGTATCCGCGCAAGCTGCGAGATGCGGTGCAATGATCTTCTTGGTTTTGTACGCTTTTGGGTGTGAGCTTTGGGCTCCCTGGAGTGAGGAGCTGGGTCGCAAGCCCATTCTCCAGGCATCTCTGTTCTTCGTCAACGTTTTCCAACTCCCCGTGGCTCTGGCGCCCAATTTCGCTTCTATTATGGTCGGCCGTGCCCTCGGTGGTCTGTCATCCGCTGGTGGCTCCGTCACCCTGGGAATGGTGGCCGATTTGTGGGAGCCTGACTGTCAACAATATGCAGTCGCCGCCGTCGTCTTCTCGTCAGTTGGTGGATCTGTGATCGGTCCAGTGGTTGGAGGCTTTGTTGAGACTTATATGGCATGGAGATGGAATATCTGGATCCAGCTGATTGTCGGTGGTTTCGTGCAAGTCGCCCATCTTTTGTTTGTGCCGGAGACCAGAACTACCGTGATGATGGATCGCATCGCAAAAAGGATGCGCAAGTCTGGCGAAAACCCCAATGTTCGGGGTCCCACCGAGGGCTTGTCTTTCCGCAAACGGTTCCCTCCATGCGAAATCATGACTACCTGGATCCGTCCCTTCAAGATGTTTTTGACTGAGCCGATTGTCTTGACACTTTCTCTACTGAGTGGTTTCAGTGATGCCCTGATTTTCATGTTCATCCAGTCGCTCTCGCTCGTGTATAGCCAGTGGGGCTTCAACACTTGGGAAAAGGGATTGGCGTTCATCCCAATTCTGGTCGGGTATGTGATCGCATGGGTGTCCTTTTTCCCGGTAATCAAGCGCAACATCCAAGAGCGCAGGGACAACCCGGAAAGTGAACGGGCTCAATACGAGTCCCGTCTGTGGTGGTTGCTCTACACAGCCCCCTGCCTCCCAATCGGGTTGATTGGATTTGCCTGGACTAGCTTGCCGCAGTGCCACTGGATTGGTACCATGATCTTTGCCGCCATTATTGGTATTGCGAATTATGCCATCTACATGGCCACCATTGACTACATGGTCTGTGCCTACGGACCGTACTCTGCTTCTGCCACTGGTGGTAATGGATGGGCGAGAGACTTCCTTGCGGGTGTGCTAACTATTCCGGCCACCCCATTTTTCACTAGTAAGTTATATCGCGCAGCAAAACCTCGCTATCATCTTACTGACCAATTTTGACAGACATCGGTGGAGATTTCCACCTGGAGTACGCCTCGACGATTCTCTGTATGTCCATCCTGTTCTACGCTTCTACCCGAGCCGTTGGTCTAACATCTTTCTTAGTCTGCATTTCGGTGCCGCTAGTCGTTGCAGTCTACATCATCTACTGGAAAGGTCCCGCTTTGCGTAAGCGTTCGCCATTTGCCCAGCAGCTCGAAGACGCACGTGCACAAATGCACAATGAGGGCCTACGCGGATCCAAGATTCCTCAGGCATCTCGCGCGAGTTCGTATGCGCGTGCCCAACAGGACATCCGCATTCGACCTTCGCTCAGCAGCCGAGGAAATTCCCGTACGAACTCACGCCGCAATAGTCTCGCGGAGAACGTGTAATTCACCTTGTTTTGGTCTCCGCTGTGAAGACCCCAACTTCGTCAGCGGAGTGAAGTGGTTTTTGCTTTCGAGAGTGGAGACTTGCGAGGTTTTGTTATTGACTAGTTATGGAGTAACTAACTAGTGTAGTGGGAGAACAGCGTCACCCACAAGATGATGCCTTGGTGCCTCAGGCCGTGAGATTAGGTCATGCCCTAGACTACGTACAGCTCATCTTCACTAGGAGGATCAGTACAGAACACACATCTTTTGCCTCTTTCTCGGTTTTCCAGTATGGTTCTCGTCGGCTCTCTGTAGGTCATAGGACGTCCCTGCTACTGTCTCCTGGGCTGCAGTCCTCCCATCGTCCTGTCTGCGATGTCAGACCGCGTTCGCGCTCTTCCCACTTCACTAGTTAGTTAGTTAACCATGATAGTTCGGAATGTATTTCATTATCTCCGTCAAATAATGATCTGCAGAGAGGCTGCGTAGATAGATGTTGGGGAGCATGATATCCGCAATGGTCTCGACTCTTATGCAAAGTGCAGTAGTATTTTGTTCCTGAGTTGAGGGGTTTTGTGTAGCTCCTTCTGAAAGAGCAAAGCCTCAAGTGTTGCTGTATCCACATGCCCAGGTAGTCAACCAGAAATCGAAATATACCAGGTATTTCACATTCTTGAAGATACTCGATTTAATTGGGATTGGTCAATAGGTGAATAGTCTACTATCTCAGTGAGAATCGGTACGTTTTCATTTGGTCTTTGTCTCTACTTTTTCCATTGTTCTCATCTTATTGTCCACTTTCGTCCGTTTGAATAGGATTATTCCACAATCCATTTGACCATGAGGACATATTGACTGTTCAAACACTGTTGTTGTGGTCCTTGTTCAATGACAGCCATATAGCCTCATATCACGGCACCACAATAGACTCGATATTCTATACGCATTCATAGATCTGAATAGCATCGCAATTACAATTGCAGCATATCAGCCTATACCTCCAGCTATGTATAAAGTCATCCAAGCTCGCGCTTCATCCAATCCTTTCCCAACTCACTCTACCCTCTCCCTCATATCACCTGTGAAGCCGTGATTCAATCTTGATTGCAGTTGCTCTCTGTCAATGACCATGGCTTCCATCGATTTCAGCCCAATCTACGTGGTGTCCACAATTCCTCAAGCACCCACATTAAACCCACGTAGCCATCCTGAAATCGCAATTGACCTCCACCCGGCCAATGTGGTATCTACTAGCCCTCGAGCACCGACCTTCGGCCAACCTAGTTACCCGCCGATCAACATCAACCTAAACATTAACCTTCCTAGCCTCCGGGAAGTCGTCGCGACTGAGGCCGCTCCTCACCCGGCCAATTCCACCTCTCCCCAGACCGCTTCTCCCCCGGCCACTTCAGTCACTCCCGAGGCCGCCTCCCCCCCCGGCCACTTCGGTCTCTCCTGAGGCCGCTTCTCCTCGGGCAGATTCAGTCTCTTCTGCGGCCGCTTCTCCCCCGGCCGCCGCTATTCCACAGCCCGCTGGCCATCGCCGAGTACGATGCCGACGCAATGTGGAACAATCGCCGGGTCCTCCCAGGAAGCGAGGCCGTCCGAACTGGCCCACTGGCGGCGATCCTGAGGATCGCGAGGATCGTTTGACGTGGGATCGCTTCCCCGCGAGTTCCACTGGCAGAGACGGCTCCGTCGTTTCCCCAGGAGGAAGTGACCAGTCGATGAAAGATGGTTCTTCCCCGGTCAGGGATAGCTTTATGAACGATCGGCTATCGCCAGCCAGCCAGTTGTCAGCCTCGGAGAGCGACGTCTCCATGTAGAATCCGCTTTCCCCTGACACCCCTTTGGAAGGGCCAGGCGGTGCGTTACGATCAATGGACTCTCATTCTCTCTCTTTTGCTCCGTCCGTTTTATTGTGTTCTGTCTTTCGTCTCTTCGTTTCTATCGTTTGGTTTTTTGTTTTGTTTTTCTTGGATGTTTCTCCACAGGGAGCCGGAATAGTCATGACAGTTCACAATATGATTAACTCATGAAAAGTTCAAGTGATAACCCTTTGCAAGCAGTGGATTACCAAGTAGAAGTTACGCCTGTACAACTGCCCAGATAATCCCATCGATAGCCGAAATATGATCTTTATAAGACCGAGCCATTTGTATATGATAGGTATGATGGTTTATGCAGGGAAATGCTATATCTCATGGAATACCATAAGCCTTCAATGCGACATCCCCCCATATACCCTTCTTCTCCTCCTCAGAGAGACCCCGTCGTATCAAAACCTCTTCCACAACCCGCCTCCATCGTCCCCATGAAACCTCATTCCCACCACCCCCAACATTGCAAACCGGCCAATCCGACCCAAACATGACTCTTCCAGCCCCAAAGGCATCAAAAACAACATCAGTCCACGGCTGCAGGCAATCAACAATACCCGAGATATCGCAATCCTCCCCCTCCAACGGCAACAGCTCCGAAAAAGCCCCAGAAAGCTTCATATAAGTCTTGGGATAACCCGCCATCTGCACAACAAGTTCCCTCCACTCCACAAACTCATGATGCTTAGAAACATCCCCACCACCTAGCCTTAGATTCGGCTTGCAAAGATGATCTGTCGTAACGTCAGCAAAAAAACCCCCAACAACAAACCCATCACAGATCCCAGGACCAAAGAACATACTAATAACAATCGTAACCCCCTTCCCCTTATCTAACCCCGCATAAACCCCCCTCAACATCTCAACTGCCTCCTTCAACTGCCCCAACCCACCAGACCTCGCATCAACACCCAGATCAAACACAAACCCCTCCTCCCCCAACCACCTCAACCCATCCACAAACCCATCCATCGTCATCGTCCCAGGCTCCTTATCCTGAACAAGATACCGAACCCCACAAACCTTCCCGAAAGCATCCCCAGCCCGCTCCTTCGCAAGACCCATATACTCACGCAACAGCTCCCGTCCCCCCGGAACAGGCGCCCACGGCACGATGCCCAGACATAATTCCTTGTCTGCGGGCTTGTGGCCTTCGCCTTGAATGGGTGTGCCCAGCGCGATGCGCGCTAGGTACGAGACTTCGTCTAGGGCGTGGGTCCAGCCGGGGGTTGTGCTTGGTTGGATGGATGATAGGCGGTCGGTTTCGAGGAAGATGAAGCCCCGGACGCCTGGGTTGGTGCCGTTGGGGGTGGTGAGTGCGGTGCGGTATTCGTTTATGCTGTGTTGGTTGGCGAGGGGACTTGTTTCTGTGTACCAGGTGAAGGTTTTTAGGTGGGATTTTGGGAAGAGGTGGATGTGGGAGTCCACTATTTGGTGTTGATGGGACATTTTGGTGTTGGACTGTGTATTTGCTGGGTTTGGGATGGTTGGATTGGGTTGTACAATGTACGGTAGATTGTGAGGGTGGGTGTATGAGGTTGAGATGGGAAGTACTGTGTAAATGAGACAGAGGGTTGAGGGGAGTGACGTATATTAACTCGGTGTAGGACTGTAGGTTGTCCCGAATTCGATCGGCATCTTGAGATCAACACTCGGATGATCCCAAGTGTGGAGAAGCTACATTTAGCCGGTTGCCGGTAGACCAACGTCCCGGGGCTACAGTTACTTCGTACACTACCAATCCATGCTATCAAGAAAGAAAGTCATATGCAAGAAAAAGGACCAGAGTATACATACACCAAGTGGATAAACACACATGGGCAGAAAAGGGAATGCATCACACAACATAAGAAACGGCATTATCGAGAACACAGGGTGAAAGGGTTGCGGACAGTCCTACAATATAGTAGAAAAGATAGGGTATGTATGCATAGATGCCTCGAAAGGGGCAAATAAAAGTTCGAGAGTCCAAAAAAGGAACATAAAACACAAAGCTGAAGTCTCAAATCGTAAATTCACAGTCGTCTTCGCCCTTTTGCCCTGTCCAGGGAGCAAGGAGAATGCGTATGTGGTGTTATGCAATGCATAGTTCCCCAGACACTGCTCTCGGGTTGATTTATACAAATTGCCTCCCATCGATGCCTCAAATCTAGTCATCCATAGGCTTGTCTTCCAGAGTGACTCTATTAGGCTCGCTTTCAGCAATGCTGCTTCGGTTGGAATCCGTACCACTGGTGCCAACAGCCGAGCCGGTAGGGAAGCTGGATAAGCTACCAAGGCCTGCCTTGCGGCTGTATCGAGCGGAAGAGCGGCTCATGGAGTTGCGTTTATCGAACTCGGCAGGGGCCACGGCGGGAGTAGGAGTGGGAGTGGGAGATCCATCGGAGGCCATCTCAGGAAGAGGAGGAACGGGAGGTGGGCTGGGAGAGTCCGAGCGGGTGCTGCTGCTGGCAGGAGACTCGGAAGACGTGCCGTTAGTGACACTCGCGCCAACCTGAGTGTTCACGGTGGTACCATTCTCCGATGCAACTTGGGCACTGGGGATTGTTGGCACATCCAGACTAGTGCCGCGGGTGGATCTGCGATCCGAGGGGCTGTTGACGTTGATGGGGAATCGGCCGATCTCTGAGGCACCGCTGGATCGGTCACGTCGATGCCGTTGGCGGTTAGCAGGACTAGTCGCCCGGCTGCGGTTGACAATGGCCCGCTGACGGGCCTCCATTGCCGCACGTCGGTTACTCTCATCCGTGCTAATGGCGCGTGGACGGTTGGTGGAGCCGGTAATTCCGAGGGCACTCGATTGACGCTTCAGTTCGCCGAAGATGGCATCCTTATGAGCGAACAGATCACGGATCAGGCGGTAGCTGTGGCGTTCGTTCATCGTCAGACTGCTTTCCACGCGAGGGCGCAGGATGCAGGGGGAGAAGGCCTGTGCCAACAAAGCGATGTATTCTTCGTCGGCCGAAGTCAAATCAATCAGGCGCGTAAAGTGGGTCATGATGGCATCAAGCGTAGCAATATTTACAAGGCGGAGTTGTCCAAGGGTGCTTTGCAGAACCTTGATCCGGCCTTCTTCCGTGGTTTCATGGGCAGTGGTAGAATAGATTGTTTTCACGATCTCGTAAACCTGTGAGGAAACCAAGGAGTCTATCCGACAGTTAGTTTCAATCCGTGTATACCAGAGAGAGAGAAAGAGAGGGAGAGCCACGAACCCGGCAATTCAAGGAGGTACAACCTCAAAACGCTTGCGATAACTGGGATTTCGAACTGCGGCAACACCTCGCTGTAGTCGATCTTGCTGTTATTCAAGATGTGACGAAGTCTATGCGTCGTGCTGAGCTCGACTTCGGTCAGCCAGATCATTCGCCGTGCTTCATCGCCTTCCAATTCAGGATAGCCTGTGGGTTTGTGAGCGTTGGTGCGGGGTTCTAATGTTATTCAGGGATATCTTACGGTTGTCAAGATAGGTCAGGATGGTGGTCACCAGGATTGGGACACGTTTGCGGTCAGCGCGGGCTCTCGCTTCAAGGTCGACACCAAAGTTTTGTTCTGCTGGATATTAGCAGCTATTCGTCTCCATCCAGCGAGAGTTGCCATACCTTCCACGGAGCCATAATAGTTCTCGTATGCTTGGATCTTAGGCACAAATCCACCAGTACGATAGTTCTCCAACAGGTACCTCAAGTCACCCAGCGGCTGGATGGTCTCCTGATACAACATCATATGATCCACGGTGCTCTGCAGATTGGGAATAACGTTACTGATCGCGCCCGAGAAGTCAAGAACCACAGCTTTGATGGCCTTGAGGCGATCCAGCTCGCACTGCTCCATGTACTTGAGCTGAGTGATAACTTCCTCCTCCAGCCGACAGCGAATCTGGTCAAGTTTACGGACGGCAACCTTATAACGTTCATCGGCTTCCAACGCCTCCCTGCGGAGTTTCTCCGAGGGTGTCTCATTCGGATGGGGGTTGTTCAGGGGATTCCAGCCAGACAGCATCTCTGAGACAGATGCGATCGGCGAGTCGCTGCTGTTTCCGTCATCGCTGGACGCGGCGGAAGTAACACGCATGAGTGGCTTCTTCTTTTCGGGGATACCGGTAAGCTGGAACACCTTGGTGCGCCACTGATAGTTCATCTTGGAGCTATTGGCAAAGACGTTGCCCATGTTGCCAACCAAGCGAAGAAGGCCGTTATCCACCATGTCCTGTCCAATTTTCTCCACCTGAGCGAGATTCTCGGCCTCCATGTAGGTTTGAATGTATTGTGCAATATCGGCGCCGGTGGAAACGTTCAAGTAGGTGCCAATAATGGGAACTTTCGTCTCGCCAAGTTTAACGTGGTTGAGCATATGGGTGAGCAATTTCTTCAAGTGGTCCGGTGGGAAGATGCGTTCACCCAATTCAATAGGATCCTCGTCAACCTCTTCCTCGGCGGGAAGGATGATCTTCGGTGTACTTTTAACCTTGGGGCTCGAGTCAGGGTCCTGGAAAGCAAGCTTGTTCTCTTCTTCCAGATCCTCGACGACACGACACTTATTGAAGTAGGTGCTGCGCAGCTTCCGGACCAACTCCGCCTGCTTGGTGTGCTCTTTGATGCGAGACTGGAGGAGGTCATGCGAATATTGTACACGCATCTCGTGTTGTTCTCCCCAGCGTCGAAAGGGCGTCACGACCAATTCCCGAATATTGTTGGCGATCTTCTGGTGGTTTTTGGAGGCCTCGACCATCTCGGTGCGGATTCCTTCGTATGCCTGTAACGAGGTTCGCAACATGTCAGTCTCCCTGCGTCCCGATAAAGTCCAGGGGCTTCGAACGAACCTTTCTGATACTTGCGCCGTCGTCCTTTCCAAATCCAACCGGCGTCATTCTATCCACACTCGGTGCAATGTCACCCATGCGGAGTCCATACTGTTCTTCCGCATCTGCACGCATAGACGCAATGGTCAAGATCTGCCGGTTCTCCACAACTCCCTGCTGCAGCTTTCCATATAGTACCCCTAACCCCGAAGCGTAGTCGGGGGTCCAGAACGAATCCGCAAAACCGGGCATTATGGCGGTGGCTCAAAGCTGGTTCGGGCCGTCAGGCGCAGGGAAATGCGTGACAATCGGAGAAAGAAGAAGGAAGCACTCCGGAAGGTAAAGCAGGAGAGTTCGAATGATCGGAGGGAACAAATAATTGTAGAATGGTGTTGAGTGCAACTGAGAGTCGGTCGGAGCAATCGAGGTCAACGAGTTTTGCGATGAGACTCAGAACACCCAGGAGCTGACCAGCTGGCTTGTTTTTCAAATGTACAGTCGCTACGCTGGAAAGACACTGCGCCTAGACCGAGACACCAATGACGAAGCAGGGGACGATCACTTTGGAATGCGAGACCGGGAGAGGGTGCGCAGGCAGTTAAGCGCCGAGGTTGCGGGGATGTACTTGAGGCGGAAATGAGTGGAATCCAGAGCGAATGAATTGCGATGCGACGTGGTAAGAAGCTGGAGCTGGCAAGAAAAGAAAGACAACAATGGAAATAATGAGGATGAGGATTGTTGATGGATTTCCAGATCGCAGGCTTCGTCATGTGGCTCGTAATATTACGAGGATTTGGATACACCTGAAACTACAAATACCGGACAACATAGACCAAAAAGCCCTGTGATTCGGGTACAGCCTTTGTACAGCCTTTGTACAGCCTTAGCCTGGTTCTTATCCCCACTGTTTTTGAATCCACTGGCTATTTTTGGGCTGAAAATTACGAGAACCTTTAAACTCCCAAGTCCAGGGGCAAGTTCTGGTTTTGTACTGTGTAGTAGTTGGATACACTGGCTACGCTTAGAGGCTGCAGCAATACACATTCAGGTACAAGGAACTAGATGTGATACTATACCTTCAAGGCCACTGCAGCACCTTACTCCTGCGACGATGATCATGTCGGATCCTTGGGTCAAACGCCCCCACAGACGAAAAGCCGAGAGGACTGGAATGATAATCGCCATGGATATAAAGTGGTCTAGAAGTATCAAGAAAGGAGATTGCAGAAGTTATTGGAAAGTTTGAACTGGACATCCGTGTGATATTCATAGAATTGTGGTATCGTGATAATTGGCTAACTACCTCAGGCAAGATCTGGGTAAATGGCCAAGATGTAGGTACGGATTTCAAAGATTTAAAAGATGTAACATCTAGTTAGATAAAAGCAAAATAACACCTTAACAGAAGAACTTGTAGAACTTCTTCCACTTGGGCCATTGCTTCTGCTCAGCCCGTTCCTGCTCAATCATGTGCTGGAGATCCAGCTCACGGCGACCGGTCGCCAGGTCGACCTCGGATGTGCGGACAAACTTGGTCTTGTAAATGATCTTGTACACAACATAGCAAAGAACGACGATGGGAGCGGCCAAATACACCGAGAAGAAGTTGTAGACAAGGTCATTGGTGGACATCTCGGCGTAACCAACAGGGGCGAAACCGACCCAGAATTGCGCAATAAGCACAAGACAGTTGAAGATAAGACCGATCCATGATCCAATGACACCGGGTTGAGATTGGAACGCCAGCTCATCCAGGCTGTGGCCTTGTTTCTTCCAGGCGCGGCGGAAAAGGATGTGGGAACCACAGACGGAACCCCAAGTGAAGATGGAAGACAGTCCGGAGATGGCCATCATCCACTGGAAAGCGACAGTCTGAACGTCCGAGGCGGCGAGGTAGGAAAGCAGACCCAGGACAGATGCAACGATAATGGCGGGGAGGGGACGGCCCTTGCGATCGATATAGGCCAGGAACCTGGGAGCTTGCCCCTGCTCGGCAAGGGCAGCGAGGGTACGTGAAGATCCGTAGACAGAGGAGTTACCGACAGACAGGACCGCAATCATGATAACGACGTTCATGATGGAAGGCAGAACCTTGATGCCGGCGTTCTCGATGGCGATAACGAAGGGAGAGGCCTTGGCGTCGGCGGAGGAGGAACCGCTAAGGAGTTTCTCGTTGTCATATGCCACCAGCATACCGACGATGGTGAGGGAAACGACGTAGAAGAGAGCAATACGCCAGAATACCTGCTTGATGGCGGTGGGGAGGGACTTGCGGGGGTTGGTCGTCTCGGCGGCGGCCAGACCAACAAGCTCAGTTCCGGCGAATGCAAATGCGGCATTGACAAACACACTGCAGAGACCCTTGAAGCCATTGTGGAAGGCACCAGGGTTGTACCAGTACTTGGCGCCAATGTAACCACCTTCGGGGCCGCCACCGCAGTTGAGAATGATTCCAAGGATGCTAAGGCCAGTCAGTTGCATGCTCAATTACTGGCAGAGAACGGGGTCACTCACATGAAACCAATGACAGCAACAACCTTGATAATAGAGAAAACAAACTCAGCTTCACCGTATCCCCGTACTCCAAACATGTTGATAGACACAATCAACACCCAGAAGAGAGTCACCCAAGCAGCGTTGTTGATAGACGAGTTCCAGTAATCAACTGTGATAGACGCTGCGACGATTTCTAAAGGTAACACAATGAGCCACTGGAGTGCGTAGTTCCAGCCCATAGCAAAACCCCAAGCAGGATCGATGAAACGGGTCGAGTAGTGGGCAAATGAACCAGCGACGGGGAAGAGAACGGCCATTTCACCCAAAGCGTGAACCGTACAGTAAAGCATGCATCCAATCAAAATATAGGCGATGAGCACCGAGGCTGGCCCACCAGCTGCCAAAACTGATCCAGAACCAACAAAGAGACCAGTACCTGAAGGATGTTAGTAACCTATAGTCAATGTGACAGGCTATGCAGCTTCGAAGTACATACCAATCGAACCACCAATAGCAATCATCTGCAAGTGGCGACCCTTCAAGCGACGCTGCAAAGGAGAGTGTGCAGTGTTATGCGCAGCAGTCTCGGCGTCGAAACCAGAGCCATCGGCTCCAACATGGCCTCCAACGCGACCAGTGACGGTATGGTTTGGATCTCTCTTGAAGCTGTCCCAAATTCGCTGACCCATGGATCCTCGGGTGGCAGATGAATCGCCATAGGCCGGGGGGCGTCGGCCGTAGCCTGCACGGTAGGCTCCTCAAATTTCTTCTCCTCCATGGCGAGTATGTGAATAGATCTCCAATAAAGGTAAACTGTAGAACGATGCAAGAAATGAATTACTTGAACCTTCGGCCGGTTCAAGGATCTCAAGTGAAAGATCAAGAAAGAGGAAAGGATGTGCAAGCGTACTTAAAGACCGCTTGGTGACAATGGTGAGGAGAAGAGGGGGATGCAAGCAAACAGATAGCAGGGGGTGCATAGGGTATAAATAAGAGATAATGGCGACGCAACCTACGAGTTAACGGTCCTTCCTTTTCTGATAATCCAATCAGTCACCACCAAATCCTCTCTGCTTTCATGCGCTTAGACCAAGGAATCAGTTAGACTTTGCCACTAAGTACAGTTCAAACTCCAATCTTCTGGAATAACCTTGGCCCTTGGCACCAGGAACGCCCCCCGAAATCCTAATGTAGGAGATTTAATCTTTCTTCGGGAAGGATTTATTAACAAGAATTCTCACACAGTACAGTAGGAGAGAATCTGAAACGTGCTTCTCGCGTCTACGCGTGTTACACTAATGCCATGCAGACTCGTGGAAAGGGCTGCTGCAACCGGTCAGCCTTGTGTCAGTGTACATCAACAATGTCGAGCTTTGACCGGGAGATAAGCCCTTGAGAGCAACGTTTACGGTCCACGGATGCTTCACCTTAGTTCATTATTGTTTGAATTATAAAATAAAATAAAATAAAAAGGATGGAACGAGATATTTTATCGTCTGGTTACTATCTAGGGGTGGAACCCTGTCTGGTAGACGCCACAACTTATCTCTCGCGTGATTTAGCCTACCATAAGGGGACGATCTGTCAGTCGTCTTTCTAGCTCGCAGAATCCTCCCAGCTACTTCTTAGACCGGCCTGGACAGACCTTATCTGAGTAGTCATGCTGACATCTCCAAGACGTAGCCCGTATTTCGGGCACTGAGTATGAAACCTTTTACTACTTGTTCCGTGGAAATTCTGCGGGAGGACAAAAAAGCCAAGCTTCTTGATCCTGAGACGGCAGGGACCCCAAATCCACTAAACCCTATCTGTCCATCTCTCCGCACTTTGCGATAGTCGATCTTTGCCATGTGCCCAATCAAGTGGGCCGAGGGAGATAAGAGTCCATCTTTCCCAAATCCGCAACACTCCTTTCACTGTGTTTCGTTCTAAAAAGAGTACGGAGTACCTATCGACATGCAGCTCTCAGCATGTATTTACATCGGGGAAAGCCTTCTTAATTGAATCCTGGACCCAGAAAAAAATGAAAATGAAAAAAAACAATAACCACTAGAATTATCCTACTTGGCAGTGGCCGGAAGGGTAAGTGATGACCTTCTCACCCCCTTGCCTATGGGAAGGCTTCCCGACGGACCCCGTTATGGTGGCATGTGCCATGGCCACACAAATAGTATGTGTGCAATGCCCATATGTCTAAGACCCCTACTGAGTAATTGAGGCTGGTTCCCCCATCCTTGGCAGCTGGGCTTCCCTGGTCACTTCCTCGGCACGGGCTCTTGGCCTCGATCTGTGGGAGAGGATGACAACACGACATGGCGGAAGTGGGAATAAGACCGTCCCCCTCAGCCCGCCGCTGATGCCTGACATGAGGAACGATAGGTTTTATTTTCGCGCATATGGCACCATGGTACATTTGGGCGTTTTCGGGGCGATGGTATTGTGTATCGAGCGTTGCTGGTGGCGGTCTACCATTGATATGCATGGAAGCACGGGAGAAGCATAACCAGATAGCTAAACAGGATGGGCGGACGAGTATCACTGATGTACTAGTGATTGGTCCGTCGTCGGCGCTTTAAGCGACGTCCCTCGTATTCTATGCTGGGCAACGTGCAGAACGAAGCGATTCAGAACGTCTGGTAGGTGCAGGATTATGACCTCGCATCCATGGATTCTGTGTGGTCTGAGATTAGACTTCCATAAAGTTGGATTCGGCAATCTCCGTCCAAGAAGGCATCCATCAATTTCCCAGGTTGCCAATCGATCCTGAGATCTCGGGTGTTTGCTCAATAAGCGCATGACAGTTCATCTTGAGTAAAAGACGCCCACGGCGCGAAATCGGATTCCAATAACGGGCCGCCCAGTCTTATCTTTAATCAACATCTAGTTAGTATCCACTGCGTGTCCGCACCCTGGGCCAGGTCTACATATCACCAGTTTCTCAGATAGGACATCGCGCGATCACTTAGACCACCTGAAATGGTCCATGCGCCGTAGTCAGGGAATGAAGGGGGCGAAAAACAAAAGACGCATCAAGGTTCTCGGTCTTGAGCTGAATGCAGTGCTTGACTGGCAGCCACACAAGCCGCAAGCCTCGCCCAGCTGGGAGATCCACAGTAGCCACCTCTTACTGGCCTGGTGGCCACGCTCTTTTGCGCCATAGATAGCCACGGTGACATCGGGCTGGGTTGGCATAAGCTCGGGTGATTTGGCGCCAAGGCCGACCTTCGTTGAAGCAAGGCCAACTGCGTCCGAGTTTGGTCCGCTGAGATCTTTCGATCTGATAGCTGCGTACATCATCTAGGAGCCACGGTACCAGAAACTTGACTTGTCCATATTTGATCCCGAGACTTTTTACCCCGCAAATTACTATAAGAAATCATCGCCCCCATCCCTTCTCCCGACAACTCGAGGTTACTCAAGCCGATGAGACTCTCCCGAAATCAATACGGTCCAATGACAGCCACACTTGGCTTGGAGATGAGCTTCACGCCACTGCCATGAATCTTCCTGGTCCGCATTACTCAGGCTGACAAACATGAAGTTCATGTCTCCGAAGTCCTCTGTCATTGTTAGATATGGCTTCGTTTTGATTGACCCCTCGGCATGTTCGGGGGAACTCCCCGATTAGGCCCAGCAAGCTATCAGTATCACATGGGCTGTCTCACTCCAAGACAAGGCCTAACAAGAGCTACCTATTTCGAACATGAGTACGGAGTACAGAATAGAAATAAGAACACGAACGACACCATTTCTACACGTCGAATTGAACCCTGTAATTAGGTGCATATAAATTGCGGGGGTTACAATCTGTTAGGTAACAGGTTCCACCGAGTCAGTTTTCGAGTCTGGGGAAATTGTCACAGAAACGGCAATGATGCTCATGCCAATTCGGGAAGGTCTCTAAATCCGGGGTAATACAAATTGAGTTCGACGTTTCTTGATCTCCAGACTCCACGATAGTACTCGGAAAATACCCTCTCACTGGATATAGCCTGTCCTTGATTACGGATGTCCTTCTATCATGTTCTACCGAGCTTGAGCCACGGCTTTCCCAAATCACGTTGTTCTAGTTGGCTAATGATAGCTCCATATTGTCATTTATCGTTACATACTTGGTAGTTAGCGGTCAACGAATTTAGTCTGTAGCTATGCATATGTGGGGCAATGAGGCAATTTGGACCTCATGTTGTCTGTATGATGCCTGCGGCGAAGAATTGTCTGGTTATCACTGGCTTTCTTTCGTATTGCTTTGATTCAATTGCGAGAGAATGATTCTGGTCCTTGTCGATAGCCGGCTGTAAACTGTAAATAGCGCGCCATGGCCGGAATTAGCCGTTGATAGCCTGGTCGTATGTAGACAGGTTTGTGGTTCGAGGGCCTAGGTATCTTGGCCCGCGGGGTGTCTTATATGGATTACGGTGTAGTACTACATGCGGCTAAGTGTACACATGACTAGGCGGTTCATGCATGCTATATCCGGGTCTCATTAAAAGCTGCAGCTAACTAGTCACTGCCCGTGAGCAGAGTCAGCGAAGAGGTCTATTGTGGCTGGCAATACACATTCCGCCCGTAGATATCATGATCTCCCCTTGGGTGGCGCATTGGCAACATCGGCTCCTGGTCTCTTCAACTAGTGAGGCACATGCTACCTAGGTCTCGTAGAAACGATCTCCACCCAAAAGCATGAGTGGTATGGAATTTCATTCATTTGGCGATTTGCTCTGTCTCATCGCATTTCGGTATCGTAAAAACACAATTGTCTCTTTCGTTATGGGTAGAAATAAGTATCCCAGGCTCATGAGCTTGCCACGGGGCCTTCGCCACCGGGAATCAACTGAATAAACCAGTTAGTCAAGGACCGCATGCTCGTCAAGTTAAGTCGCTCTCACCATGCAAATGTTATTGCCGTTCAACAGGAGCTTCGGGAGCTTGATCTGGGCGCCATTGTAGTCGCTGGGAGGAGGTCAGTAGACATAAAGACCGACAGAGTCACCAGAAAGTGTGGCAATGAGTAGACAGAAAACAGACGCTTTGGCAGGTCCAGGTGAGAACCACTGCCAAGAGGCGTGGGTGCCAGGGAGTTGAGGCCCGCTCATGGGGAAACGGGGCGGTCAAAAGAGATGAACAATCAAAGTACGTACAATTCTGTCACGTCTTCCATGACCATGTCTGATTCGAGTGTTAGTGGCTGGCAAGATTCATACTGTTCACGCAGTAATACTCACTGACGTAGTCGTCAAATCCAAGCAAGGTTCCGGAGAATTCTTTATAAGGATTAGTGCGTGTTCAGACTTCGAAGCTGAACAATTTGGCCTGTAACTGACCTTTGTCACCTTTCATGACTACCCAGATCCGGGAGCCAACACACTTATCAATGAGCTCTATCAAATGAGTTAGCGGGGTCCTGGCGTTCGAGAGCTATTGGATACCGACCAAGGGGAAGAAGTTGAGAAGCCATAATGCTAAAGGACAGATGCCAGAAGTAGTTGCGATCGTATTTTTGATTTATCTTTGGAAACGCAGACAACGGTGTTCAAGTAGTCTATGTTCGCAAGATTGATATAGAAAAGGACGAGATCGTTTGTCGGTCGGCATCTCTGATGATCCGGCCCGGTGGATTAGTCCATATTCAGCTTAGCTCAATTTTCGAAGTTTAGTGTGCTCCTCGAGCTCCGCAACATGGAATGTGTTCCTGCTCCCGATTGATAACTACTTTCTCTATTTGCTGTACAATCGACTCTCCATGGGTCGAGCTGCTGTCTGTTGTCCACCGAACTCCTCGAATTTGACTGTTGCGTCGGGTCCAAGCTGCTCAACTATGATTGAGACGCAGTATGCCATCGCGGCCACATCTTCTAGCATGTCGGAAGATTCGATTCCCGATCACGAGTAATTCGGGTACATCCATCACCTACAAGGCACAGCGAACGGATGCATCTGAATGGTGGTGAGTCCACTCCGTTTTCTTCTGATTCGACCACTCTTCTCTAATCAAAGCACAGTGGCGCCCATTCTTGCACACGATTCAGCCCACAGCTCCGATGCGCCTCTTCACCGAGGGCAATTTCCTCTTATTCCAGGCCATCTGTTGCTCAGTCAAAGCGACACTTTTCTAACACCACTCGCAAAGATGGCAGCATCTGGGATGAAGATGATGACGAACTCCCCGAGCCACCTCCTGCGCGGCGCACTCCTAGCCGGCCGATTCGTGCCCGCCCCACCGTCCACAAAGATGTGAGCGACTTGGTTCGAGCTAGAGTAGATGGATCAGCTCGACGCTCTCAACGCAAAGATATCGAGAAACAATTCAATTTACTTGTGTCATATCAGGTTATGGTTGGGAGTTTCATTCAGTTGAAGTATCAACACCTCGACGATAAGCTTTCCGAACTCATAGATGTCAACAAAGGCCTACAGGCTGAATGGAAATCCCTCTCGGTCACCTTCCAAAAGCGAATTAGTGACGCGATGTCACGGATCACAAAGAAGGTCCTCCAAGCAGAAAGGACAACTCATGGATATGTGGATGAATGGGCAATGTTGTCAACCCGTATCGAATCGCGGTACATTGAGATGATTGCGGATACCAGGGATCAAGTTCTTCAAGCGGAGAAGACCACTCAAAAGTACGCCCAAGAGGTGACCCGCCTGTCGTCTTCCATACTAGGATTAAACCGGATCCAAGCTGCTGTCACGGAGTCAGAGGAAGTTTGTCGACTCATTGATCATGACTTCTGCCGCACTGTTTTCTATATGATACCAGAATGGAAAAGCAAGCTGAAAAGATTTGACCAGAACATCCGTCAGTGGCGAAAGCCTGTCCGCGCGGCTCGGATCAAACATTTGTCAGAACAAGTTCATTGTTCTGAGCGATCAATATCTCGGCTACGGGAGACCCTCAACAACGAGTATCGAGCGCGGAAGGCTGCAAGAGACCGCATTGATCGAGTGCTTGCCCAAGGTGACCTTGTTCATAAGACGTATAGCCAATTGAAAGCGTCACATCAAAGAATAACATTCAGTACTATCTGCAGACTTTGTGGGGAACTCTCACGCAGCGAAAATATTCGCCCACTTGATCAACACAGATTTCTTGAATTTGCGAGCGTCATCGCTGATGGCCGAAACGTCCTTCACAGTCGTCTGCATGCCTATCGTTCGAATTGGCTCCAAAATCAATGGGATGCTCATCCACTCCGGCAAAGTCAAGCATGGGACCTGCGGGGCATCACGAATGCAATAGCGAGAGAAGTTGGTGATCTCGGCAGCCATAATGTCATGAATCAAATTGCACTGGCTTCTCCAAATAAGATAGGGTTCATTCGGAGAAACACACTTCAGCTATCTCACTCTTTATATTCAGTGTACCGCCCTATTTGGAAGCAGAGACCAGCACGCAGCCCTGAGCTACCTATCTACTGGCGACAGTTGGATGTATTGGGGCCATTTCAAATCGTTAATTTTGCCTCGTGGCGGATTGGGGAGGAAGCTATGTATCTACTCAACACCCTCAAGGGACGAGGTGGGGATTTGTGGTCCTGGGTGCCTTCAACAACCCTGACACATACTATGGACAAGTTACATCAATGGTGCGCTACCGATCACGATCATCGCTCTGAGTTTCGAAGAGAGTTCACCAATTATCGACACTTGAATTGGTTGCGCCTCCGATCGGAGACCACTCTACATTCAATGGGTGAACCTGTCTATCTTGCCGGAAAGTTCGAAGTCCGGAATCCATTGAGCCAGGATGCTCGGCGCTTCGGGGAATGGACCAGGACAATGGGCGAGCTCATTACTGATGGATATGTCGCCCAGCTTGCCATGATCACGACGCCAGAGCAGTGGAATGAAATCTATCGCAAGCTTGAGCTGCTTGCCACGACTAAAAGCCGGGTTGAGAATTTGGGTTCTTCAAAGGCGTGGCGCAAGCGAAAGAAGGGACGACGAGAACCTGGGTCTCCTGGAGTAGCTCCTGTGAGCCAACCTTCGCGGGGCTCCGCAGAAGTAACCTCAAGGCGTCCGTGGGGACTTCCCCCACCTCCACTTGAATCCTCACCTGAGCAGCCTGCTGACACTGCAAGTATGTTACCAAAGCTGGGGGCTAGAGAGCGATCATCTACTCTGGCCACTAACAATGGCAGCCAAGAAGAGAGTCACCTTCAACACAAGCCATCAACCACCGCCTGGAAAAAGGCGAGGAAGTTCGCGAATGGACACCAGCCCGAGTCCAATTTCTTCTCAGGGAACCCCACTACCAACCAGGATGGCCACGGGCATAGCCGGACTGTGTTCACACCACGAGCCGCACCCTGGGCGACAACGAGGAGATTCTCGAATGAGCACCACCCTGAGTCCAGCCCATCTCCTATCAAGCCTACCGGCCAAAAGTATAAACCCCTGGCGAGTCAAGCAGATTCCATCAACCCACATGGTGTAGCCCAACAGGTTCAGCGAGTTTTGTCTCCAACGGTGACGCGATACCGCGATCAGAGCGACTCTTTGGGTGCGGCATCCAAGAAGAAGGAACTTGCCGAGCAGGCCTTCGACTTCCTATTCGCCAAAGGTCCACCACACACAATTCCGAAAGTGTCGAGCGGTTACCGCCGCCGCCTAGGTAGAATACGCAACAAATCCCACGTCGCAGCAACGCGACTGCGAAAGCATTCTTTGACACCAGGCGGAAATGTGACCAGAGAATACAGCACCAGTGTCAGTGTTTACGAGACAAAGTCACAAAGCGAGAGTGCCAATGATGATTCTCTGCGTGAACGGCCACTTGAGCATGATATGTCCTCGTTCTCAAACGCCGAGAATGGACACCGCCGAGGATTTAGTGAAGCGAACTTCCCCCCGGATGAGGCGGTTCCACCTGCCGAGATTGAACCAAATGCCGACAATCTCACAATGCCCCAATTCTGGACCCATAGCTCACAACAAAGTCCCAATGGCCAGAAGCCCATCGTGCATTATTGCCGGACCCTTCAAAGCACGGAGCAAACCATGCAACACTTCCTCGAAAGCAAAGTAATTGGATTCGACTTGGAATGGAAGGCACAAGCATCAGGCTCCGACAGCGTCCAGAGCAATGTTTCGCTGATTCAGATCGCAAACGAGGAGCGTATCGCCCTCTTCCAAGTCGCGCTCTTCAAGCCTGCTCGCTCCCTGGAAGATTTGGTGTCCCCATCATTGAAGCGCCTAATCGAGTCTCCCGATGTCATAAAGGTGGGCGTAGCAATCAAAGCAGACTGCACGCGCCTGCGCAAGTATCTCGGCATCGATGCACGCGCTACCTTCGAGCTCAGCCATTTGTTCAAACTGGTGAAGTACGGCAGAGACAACCCCAAATTGGTGAACAAAAGGGGCGTCAATCTCAGCGATCAAATGAGGGAACATTTCGGTCTTCCTCTTGAGAAAAGTGACGATGTACGCTGCGGCGATTGGTCCCGGGCATTGAACTATCGTCAAGTTCAATGTGAGTATTTGCAAGTCTGTGCACTTTCGTTGATTCAGTGCTGATTTCTCTATCATTCTAGATGCCGCTACTGACCCGTATGCCTGCCTTCGTCTGTTCCATATCATGGAGGCAAAGAGACTAGCCATTGATCCTACGCCACCTCGTCCTGCATATGCTGAACTTAATCAGCCCATTATCCTTCCGCTTGGCCAGAAGGTCATCGAAGATGAAAAGGAGCCGCTGATCTGACCGTGATGTTTATAGCCATTCAATATCGTGTTTTGGTCTTCTAAATACCCCACTCATTATTTTGCAAACGTTTCGATGCATTTGTTGTGACTTCTCTCATTATCACGGAGTCTTTTTGCGTTTCAATCCTCTCTTCTTTCCATTCCTACTCGGCGTGCATTTTGTTTTGTTGTGATCTCATCTGTACAAAATACTGGAGGTGCATGTCAACCCAAAATCACGTACGAAAATATAGAATACATGTACGCATTGAGTAAAAACGATAGGGTATATATATTCATCCAAATAACTGTGTACACATGTCTCGGCCGCGTACCTAAATCCTGAGATGGTGACTAGGAAAGCACTGGCCTTACACTAGGAAAGCACTGGCCTTACCCCCGCAGAGGAAGCACCTTCGAGAGCAAGACCTCTTGTCGACAGAGCGGACACTCGGGCTTCTCACCCACCCAATCCCGAACACAAATCCAGCAAAAGACATGTCCACAAGTAGTCAGACTAGGGTCCTTGAACGATTCCAGACACAACGTGCACTTTCGCTGTTGACCCTCGGGGATCCACGAGACAGCACTAGGATCTTCCTCAAGATCATATAAAGGAACAGAAGCAGGCAGAAGGGGAATCGCAGACGGATTTTGGATCGAGGAAAGAAGGGCACCACCATGCGAAGATTCACCAGTTCCAGACGGGTCTTCATCTTCATTCGCGCTCATTTTACGAATGTGCAGGAAACTTTGCACGGCAATCTGGAGAACAAGCAACACACCGAGAACCTCGTACCCGATGCGCTGCTCATTGTCTTCAATCTTCTTCGTGAAAACATATCGCAATCGCCAGATCCGCTTGGCGAGATGATAGTATGAGCCCGTGAAATAGAAGGTCGCAATGCTCAGCGCATAGATAGGTGACAAGGAAGTAATAGAGTCCAGGTGTTCAAGGAGATACTGCTGGATGCGCAGTTTAGTGAAGAACGGACGTGGCGTCGTTGAGAACTGCGGCTTCTCGAGCAGATTAGCCTGCTGTGCAGCTCGCATCTTTTCTTTGGCAATAATTCGCTCCAGCTTGCTGCGGATCTTGTGGCGCAGTGCGGGCAAGATCCGCTGCAGAGCCCATGGGACCAGGATGCTACTTAGGATGTAGCCCACGCGACGGCCTATGGAAGGTAATTGGAGGGTGTCATCTTCTAGCTGGACGAGGTCGCAGTATTCCTCGCCCAGGGTGCGGTTGCCAATGGCTGTTGTCAGGGTGAAGTAGAGGAGCTCGGTCAGATGCTTGATGGCGTCGGAGTGGGTGTGGGCGAATCGGGCGCCACGGAGAGCCCGGACGATGCCTTGGGATTGTTGAATTAGGGTTCCTGTGAGGTAGACATCCTTTTCATGCGACCGGATGATGTCTGGTGAGGTTGCGAAGGGGTAGAAGTGTGATGTCGGTGAGCCGAGGGCTGCGTTCGGAGTTGGTAGAGGAGGGTGGGAGTCGTCGTCCGCCATGATGGGATTGTTAGGTGTGCGATATGGGGTATAATGCTGGAATATGACCGTGGAAATTATTTGCAGACTTGATGCATCCTCCAAGACAAGTCACAGACTCAATTCACCCCAGCTTTCTGTGACCGTGTGGAGATCGCAGTTCCCCGGAGTCGTTGTTGCCTCGGTATACATGGGTCATGTGACTTTGGTGCCGGCTTGGAGCTCACGTGACAGGGACACAACCATATCCGTCATCAGTGTACCAAAATTACGATACAAATAATGCAAGCGGCCCACTTGCGGTACTTCAGCGGTACCGGTAGCGGTACCGGTAGTGGTACCGGTACCTCTCAGATTGTGGAGGTTTGCAGTGGCTGAAAGTATCTTTGACTTACGTCAGTTGTACCCCCCTTTTTTTTTTTTTTTCTTTTTCTTTGCCAAGGTTCCTTGCAGTTCCAGACTTTCAAAGCCCTTCAAGGGTATGAGGTTGGGGAAAGATGACGGCTGAAATAAAGATTGAAAAAGACCATGTCGAGTAATTTTATTTCTACTAATACCTTGTACGTCGCCATTGTCTAAACACAGCACGACCTTCCCTTGACAAAGATCATCGTCTCCTTAAGATGTGCTTCTAATAATACCCAATTCGACATACTTGTGGAGTTCCAGACCGGACTGTGACTAGTCAGGACCAGTCCACACACGCGTATCGTCCCCTCCGCTTATTAAACTGTCCTGAAAGCGGCTTCACCAAAAGTCTCTTGGATGTCGACTCACCTCTAGTCATTCTTTTTTCGGGTATTCTATATCCCCACGGGGTCTGTGATTCTTATACATCTCTCCCCCCCCCCCCCCCCCCTGATCAATGGAATAATGGCTGTGGATCAACATGCTCAATTGGACACCTTTGGGTTGATCTTCCCATTACCGCTTCGTATAGCTGCCATCTTGGTTGCTGGTAAGTGACGTTCCTATCTGCGAAGGGGAAGAATGGAGGCTCGAACAGCCAGGTTAACACAAGGGGGGAACAGGTTTCTGGGGATGGGGTATCAACCTTCAATACCTGGCAAAAGCCAACATCGTAAGTGAAACGCCCCTCACACGACCATTGTGTTCCCGAGTGCTAATCAGATCTTCTCTCTGCTCTCAGGACGTACCGGCGCTCGTCAAATATCCTGCCCGAACGAATAACTCGCAACGGCCGCACCACACTGCCGTCTACCGCCTGGCGACATGCTTCAGCATCCCACTTGCCCTATGGTGGTTAGTCTTCTGGATAGCCACCCACCGGTCTCCTGAATTGGTCGAGCGACTGGACTGGATACCCCAATCGGTCTACATTATCCTCCTGCTTATTCTGATCTGGCCCTTCAATCGCGCCTCCCGTGCGGGCCGAATCCGATTTCTCCTTACTTTCAAGCGCGTCCTCGTCGGAGGTCTCGCGGAGACCCAGGATGGCAAGTTTGGTGACATTCTGCTGGCAGATGCCCTAACTAGCTACGCAAAAGTGATCGGAGATCTGTACGTCAGCTTCTGCATGTTCTTCACCGATGGACTTGCCGCGACTTCTAAACCCAACCGGGCCTGCGGACACGAAATCGTCGTTCCAATCATCATGCTTGTTCCCAGCTTGATTCGTCTTCGCCAGTGTTTAACCGAGTACATTCGGGCTCGACGGACGGCTACGCGGAGAGAAACGCACAGAGGAAACCAACATTTGGCCAACGCTCTCAAGTATGCCTCGGCTTTCCCTGTCATTTGGATCTCCTGCAAAATGCGCAACTACAATCCGTTGGATTTCCGCGGTTATAGCGAGGTCAGCATGGTACGCCTTCTGTAAGATCTCACTTCTTGGCTATCATGTTATACTCCCCTAACCATCGACAGATTCATCGTGTCTTTCATCAACTCTGCCTACTCCTTCTGGTGGGATGTCGTCAAGGATTGGGATATGACTCTCTTCACCCAGCAGCGCCACCACCGCGACCATCCCTATGGCCTCCGCCGGCATCGCTACTTCACATCCGACAAGATCTACCACTACGTCATTATCGCTGATTTGGCACTTCGCTTCTCGTGGTTATGGCGCATCATCCCAGGCTTGGGCTGGGTAACAGAAACCGAGAGCGGGATCTGGCTGCTCATGGTCCTGGAAGTTGTACGACGATGGATGTGGGTTTTCTTCAGGACCGAAGCCGAGTGGAGTGAGTTCTTCCCCTGCACTTCTCAAGCCCGCGATTCTTCCTCTCTCTCCGAACACATCCACTAATGCATTCTGCGCAATAGTCCGAAACACCCACGGCCCTGGCCCAGACGACGTCCTCCTGGGAGAATACAACCACAAACTCGTCGCAGACTAAGCCACGAGTTATTCATATCCTTTTTTTCACATCTTTGATTCATACCCTCAAGCGACTCGGAACGAGAATGAGACCCAGAAAACAAACCCCTCTATCAACCCACGACGGTTGCTTCTTTTGGGCATATCTTGCTCCCTTCCCCCCTACACCTTCCACCCATGCATATCCCCCTCCCAATGCAAATGATAGAGCTGCGATGATTGAGGCCTGAGTTTGGCGCTTTCTCTTTTGTTTGGTCTTTCGCGTGTGAAATCACCGCACCTCCCCTGTACGCCTATTGATTTGTTCTGGTGGTTGCCTCCATTATTTATGTGCGTGAGAATCTCACGCAACGACTTTCTGGATTCCTTGAACTCGAATGCAGCCTATGACTTCGTGAGCGCGGTAGCGATCTCGAGCATAAATGTCCTTTTTTTCACCTTTTTCCTTCTCGGATTCTTGTATTCTCTTCTTTGTACCAATTATTCACCTAGGGTTTGCAACTCGGTCTTGCGTCTGCATCTACTCTGCTTTGTGTCTCACATATACCACTCATCTATCGGATCGTTCTCGACTTTCTGTACTGTTCTTTGTCCTGTTTTGTTCGGATATGTTGTAGAACCTGGCTGGGTTGGTGGTCTTAGGGCATCTTGTCATTTTGGGTCGAAGATAGATGTGCATTCCAATGAACTGGAGACTTGGATGTGGGCACTGGCTTCAAATTATGGCTTCAATGATGCTAGTTGGAATACAATTCTTTATCAACAATCATATTGAAGCTCTAGGGTTCTCGTCAGGTGCATCCTGACCTAGCACTGGCATCAACTCAGCTTCCGAGATGGGCAAAATATATGTTTCCGCAGGTGACGGGAGTTCATGGATCCACGATCCATGGAGATAGGTAGCTACCTTCTCCCGACCAGGCCTATTCAATGAATGGAAGTCATAATAGAAGGATTCCAAATTTCGAAGCTACCTGAGTCCTGAAGTATTTAGGAGAATACGGTATTCGGCCTCACTGTGCATCTTTTAGGGTGAGATCTGGAATACCGTATTCCTATTACTATGAGTATTCTTTGGGTATCCATAGGGTATTCCTGGGGCATTCCTACGCTACTCCCAGGTCTCAGACAAGAGGCTTGTCTAGATGAAATAGTCCATTGACTTCTAAAAACTAAATATCACACAGACTCATTGACTTCGTGCAAAGACCTCTCCATACCCAGGGAATAGAAACACAATAGATAACTACATTCGTAAGTACCAAGGTGGACCAGCCATTTAGGCCGTCCTATCCATGCTTCTCTTCTGTTGTCATCGCCATTTTCTTCCACCTCCACCTTCAACTCAACCACACCTCATGTCATGTCACTCATGTCGTACATGTTGGAACTTTTGATTTGTTTTACATTCGAACAACATCAAGGGTTTCCCTTCTGTATTTCATCATACTAATCCGAAGGAGGCAGATATGGACCGTCGGAGAAGCAGATGAGGGCTACCGCACCACAAGAATCCTTTACAGGTCCTTCTTGATGATGTGGGCCCGGGGAAGGGTGCCAGCGCGGTCGATGGCGCTCTGGCGGGCTCCAGCAAGACCATGCTGAGAAGGAATGCCTTCAATACGGTGAGTGGAGTTGATGTTCTTGACAAGGGTAAGCTGCCAGCAGGTGGCACCACCCTGGCGAGAGGTGATGGTGGAAGAAGCAAGGAAGTACTCCCAGATGCGGAACCAGCGCTTTCCGTACTTTGCCTCGACCTTGTCACGGTTGCCCATCCAGTTCCGGTACCAGCGCCAAAGGGTAGCAGAGTAGTGCACACCGATGGTGTCGACAGCCTTGATCTCGAAGCCGGCACCCTCGAGGCGGTCCACAACAAAGCCGAGAGGGGTACTGGCATCAGCACCGGGGAAGATGTACTTGTTCATGAAGAGACCCCAGATGAGGTCCTCGTACTGCCAGGACTTGCGGAGACCAGCAATCTGCAGGAAGAAAGTTCCGTTGTCGTCGAGCATATCGTAGACTTGAGACAAGAAAGAAGAGAAGTGACGGACACCGACGTGCTCGGCCATCTCCAGACAGGTGATGTGTTGGTAACCGCCTTCGACACGGGGAGCATCGCGGTAGTCACTGCAGATAATACGACTTTGGTCCTCCTCAATACCAGCCTTGCGAAGACCATTGTTACCCCAAGCAGTTTGGTTGCGACCAAGAGTGATACCGGTAACGTGGGCGCCGTAGTGAGCGGAAGCGTACTTGGCAAGGGTTCCCCAGCCGCAGCCAAGATCAAGGATCTTGTCACCGGGCTTGATACCGATCTTCTCGCAGACAATAGCGAGCTTGTTATCCTGGAGCTCCTCGAGGGTCTCCTCCTTGTTGATATCACTGATAATACCGGAGGTGTAGATCATGCGTGGGCCAAGGAACCAAGCGTAGAAGTCATCACCTCGGTCATAGTGATCACGGACCTGCTCCTCATCTGAAGGTGGGGTTAGAAATTTACCACAAAAGCTGCATAGAGACTTGCTTACCCTGAGAACGAGTGTGGAGAAGCATCTCGGGAATGAAACCAAACAGGAAGTGCTTGAAGAGACCAGTGGTGAACTTGAAGTTGGCCCAATCGTGACGGTACTCGAGGCACTCCAGAGCATCGCCCTTGAAGTCAACCTCGCCATTGAAGTACTTCTCGTAGAAAACCTCCATGGGGATCTTGCTCTTGCCACGGTAGGTAGCACGGTCATGCTCACTGTGGAACTGCAGGTAGTGCTCGACGGGGCGGCCACAGTACTTGGCCTTCTCAGTCTTGCGAGGAGATACAGCGGAGGAGATAGCCCAGAAGGCCACCAGAACGGGAAGGGAAGTGAAGATAGCAAAGAAGATGGTGGTGTAGAAACCTCCACCAACCTGGCGAGCCAGCCACCAAGGCACTATGATCAACAGGGCAATCATCAAGCCATTGGAGAAGCTGTCGCTGCCGGGAGAGTCGGCGGGGACCGGAGCATTCTTAATCGCCGGGTACTAGATAGCATTGATATCAGATTAGGTCTCGGAGTCATCTTACATCCCTCCCGGAGAGCTCTAACTGTGCACTTACCAGGGTAGTCGGGACACCGCAATCGAAGGCAGGCTTGGTCTGCTCGGGGGCAGCCGGAGTCTGGATGTATTCGAACTCCTCGGTGGAGTCCGGATGAATGGTCGTCATGGCGGCGAAGCGTCAATTGAGGCGAGTGGGAAGGGGAAAGGAGAGGCCACAGAGTAAATAAGACATGTGGGCAGTTCTAGGGGCGGTGTGGGCTAGAACCCAGGTACCTGGAAGTACCTGATTGGTACTTGGAGCTCTGTGGGCCGGCAAGCTGGGCAATTGGTACCTTCCAGGTACGGAGTACGTCGAGTTCAGTCTTTACCGCCTGTCCCTGGATCTCACTGATGTACGTCGTTTGCCATTTTAGGAATCAAGCTAGTGGTGAACTTTGAAGGTGATTTTGACTTATCGCTGTGATGCACATGAAATTCCTCGCAGCAAGTCTTGTGTCATCCAACGGCTAGCAATTAACAGAGCATCCACTTTTTCGTGGAGTTTGGTACTGCCTACGTGGTGATAGAAATACATGTGCGACCTCGCCTGGTTGACCCTCGGCAAGGGATCGTCAGGGTGGAGAACGGCCTGAAACAAGTATGATCTGCGGTTGAAACGGTACAAATTTCAGTTACAACTTACAAATACATGAGTGCATTAACAATTAACATAGTACTGGTATTGAATATTCAATAACGCCGGGATACCTTCGGCTTGCCGCAGCCTGTCAAAAAAATGCCGGTTTCCAACATGCCGAATCAACAAACGATATTGGACTAAAACTGAGACCCATTTGGTGTTGTGTTCTCTTGAAACGTACCAATCCTTACAAAGTGAGCTGGAAGCTCTGAGCCTCTTCATCTTCCTCAAAAGTAGGCAGTGATTCCTCGGGTCCCTGAGAGCTTTCCTCTGGAGTGTCAAAGCATCCGGCAGTTTTGCAACGGATCCACATTTCCGAGTCCAGCGGAGGCGGTCCATATAGTTGCATGTAGGTTTCGGGGGAGAGAACCTCAGAGCTCGAGAGCTTCTGCGCTTGGGCATTCTTCTCTCGTACCGTAGATGACACACTGCGGCCTTTGGAGTAGCCAAGGGTTGTCCGAGAAGCGGCAGAAGCCGCAGTATGGCGCATGGAGGAGGGATTTGACGGGACCCTGGCGTGTCTCTTGGGCATAATCAACGAGGATGCCAAAGATTCCACCCGTGGCTTGGGGGTTGAGACCGCTCGGGGGGCCGCAGTTGGTTGGGATGAAGCAAGTGCAGCGGCGGCCTCACGAGACCGAAGGGTCGACACGCTGCGAGTTTCTCGTGCGGTGGTCATTGGTTTCTTAGAGCGAACGGCAGGCTGGGGCGGCTTTGGAGGCTCATTCTCGGTAGAGTCTTCAAAGCCGACGCTTTCAAGTTGCTGCAGGATCATGTCATCCACCATCTTGTCGTACGCCGCAGAATCTTCCTTGAACTTGCGTTGTTTTGCCGTGAGTCCATCACTGCCGACTTCTCGCTTTCCGTACACGCTCTCCAAGCCCAATGCACGGTTCTTCGGTTGAAATTGAGGGAAAGTAGTATCGTAGGTCACATCGTCAGGAAGGTCCGGGAGATCTGTAGCCTGTCAGAAATATGCTTTTTGGAGCAACAGCGCTAGTTGTGTTTAGCGTACCTTTCGGCTTCGGCGGCATGTATTCAATATCAGGCACGTCATCCTCAACAGGATCGGTATGGACTTTAGTCTGAGCTTGCTGTGTGACCGGAGCAGCTTTCTTGATCTTCTTAGCAGTCGACAGCCTTCGGTTTGTCTTTGGTTGCTTGGTGGTCCCTCCGAATGGAGCAGGCGTTTGGAGATTGTTGGCTTTCAAGTTGGTAGTTTTCGCGCCCAAAGGCGCACGATCCTTCACTGCAATCAAGGGAAGAGAATGTCAGTTATCGCCAATCTCGAATCATTAACCATCCCAAAGTTCGCGTACCCATTGGCGTGAAAAACGCGTGGTTGCTAGGCTTTCCATTTTCCTGGCGGTTTCCGTTGCCTTTCACAGTGCGATTTCCCAAGGCCAACGGGTTGTTCTCATCGTTTCGAGGCTTGCCGGGGGTCTTGGGTGCCAGCTGCTTGGTTTGATTCAAGGGCTTAGCTGCCGCGGCAGTTTGGTGCGTGTTCACCAGGTTCTCCTGGTCACGAAGAGCCAGCATGGTGGCGAAGTAGAAGTGATAATTCTCATGCACTGTAACAAAGAAATAAAAGTCGCGTTGTATCAGGTTTGAAGGTGACAAAGAGCCAGGACAAGTTCTAGATGCAGGTGTTGTTGGATGGTTGCCCGTGGAGACGCGGCGATCCTTAGGCGGTGATTGGCGTAGGGGAAGAGGGGAGTGCGTACCTAACCATACAGAGTTACGCAGGTGTACACACTAAGTACATAGTACTTCCCCTGTAGTGGGACTAATACCTGTTACCTGGGTACTGTCTACTTGTCACTTGTCAGCCTATTATTCCTCCCCTTCCCTTCCAAACTCTCCCCGTATCATCTTCCGCACTCCCATCCAACACTTGACCGGTTTGTCGCAGAGCGAAAGCCTTAGTACTTTTCTTTTCAACCTTACATATTATCGCCTTTACTCCCTTCACATAACTTCAAAATGGACAAGATCAAGGAGGTATGTTACCAAGACCCCTGTCGGCGGGGTAGCTTGCAACTGTCTCCCCAAAATCACATACACCCCTCCTCATATGCAGACATGCATAAACCCCACGACCGTTCATCATTTTCCTAAATCGCAGCTATGCTAATATGTCGAGATGTAGCGCATGGTCGCCCTCCGCGCTGAGGCTGACGAGGCTCACGAGCTTGTCGATGAGCTCAAGGCCAAGGTCAAGGCATTGGAGCAGGAAAACCTCTCCAAGGAACAAGAGATCACATCCCTCAACCACCGTAACTCGCTTCTAGAGGAGGAAGTTGAGAAGGCCGAGGCTGCCCTGAAGGAGGCCAAGGATGCTGCCAGCCAGAGTCTCCAGCACGACACCCAGAACGAGGCCCTCCAGCGACGGGTGCAGCTCCTCGAGGAGGAGGCTGAAGAGAACGACAGGACTTTGCGGGAAACAAATGAGAAGTACGACCGGCTCCTGATTCTACCCCAATCATGTACTGACGTTACGGACACTCAGGCTTCGCCAAACCGACATCAAGGCTGGTCACTTCGAGCGGAAGGTGCAGGCACTCGAGGACCAGCACACCAAGCTGGAGCAGAGGTACGAGGATGCGATCAAGGAGCACCAGGCTGTCAAGAAGGAGCTCGACGACCTTGCATCCCAGATGGCCGATATCTAAGCTTGCTATAACCCGTGATGGGTGCAGGATACCGGGAGACATTGTGTTGGATATGGGCTACATTCTTTGAGTTGGCGCCTGACTTTTCAAGCCGTGACCATTTTTGTTTGTTGGACCTGATTGCTTGGGCCAGATGCAGCGCTTTGATAGCACTACCTTTCATCATGCAACATGCACTGCGGTGTCTGCTATTTTCTACCTTGTCGTTGAATTTTGCTTCATTTGAAACGCCCGTGACCCGTAAATTTAGTAACAGAGTATTGATAAAAGCTGAGTATATGCACATGTGATGTCGTATCTCTTTTAAGACCTGGTTGGCCTAAGTCTCCTTAGTATCCTTGCGCGCCTTTGCCCTCTTCGACTTCACAGCACGCTGCTTGAGCATTGTTTGTTTGCGCTCGACCTTAGTCTCGTAACGGAAGTTTCTCTTCTTCTTCCTCGCCGCTTCTGATGCTGCACTCCGAGGTCTTCTCTTCTTTTTTGTGTCAGCCTCTGTCGACTCGGCTGGGTATGTCTTTGGTTCTTCAGTTTCTGAGTCTTCTCCTCTTGCAGCCTTGAGCAGACCTTCCCGGGTTGCGTCCATTTCTTCAACCGTGACCGTTGTGTATTTGTCTTCATCGATATATTCGGCTTCGTAGTCCACTGCTGGAGGCTCCTCAAATCCTTCCCAATCTTCTTCCTCTTTCTCGCCTTCTGTGTCGCTGATATCTCCAGCATCTTCCTTCATGCGTTTGAGTACTGCTGCGTGCTCTTCGATAGCCTTTTCGAAGTCCTTTTTGCGCTCTTCGCGAATCTAGAAAAAATTAGTGGAAGTCTCTGGGCACCCATTGCAGGCCTACGAACCTTTCTTCTTTCGATCCTTCTCTCTTCTTTGTATCTCTTCGCAGCTAGTTCTTGCGCATGCTTGGCGCGCTGCACTTTGCGCTTGTGGAATCCAGTGAGGTATTCATGGCGGGAATCGTTGTCGAAAGTGACCTCTTCAACTTTGGGCTCAGCAGCAACTTTTCGGCGTTTCAGATTAGGACCCATGATGAATGCGATCCTAATAATCAAGACTTTGAATTCAATAAAGAGTAGACTTTTGTGGTGTGTGCTGCTAAGATAATGGCCGGCGAAAAAAAAGTCGATATGAAAGCTCAAGCGGGTCGGGGATTCTCGACCGCCTCCGAGGCCAAGTCGGACACCTCCCGCTGGCAACATCATCGCCAACCTGATCCATCCCCACGATAAACACAATGCATTTCAGCAAATTTGGGCTATTGGCCCTTGGAGCAGCTGCCGCAAATGCTTTCAGAGACACTTCGCCGTTCTTCCTAGCCTCAACTTCAGAGTATGCTCGATTGCAACCATGGACGCCGCTTGCCGCAGTGAACTAACGCTCTCCCTTAGGGTCTTGACGAACTCCGCCTACATCCAGACAGGAGCGAAGCTCCTCGAAAACCTTTCCTCATCCCTCAGCACCTGTCCGTCCGATTATTATGTCGTCGTTTATCAACCCGGTGTCCACAGCTCCGACTTCGCGACGCGCAAGTCGGCACCCCGCTTGGGTGCGAAGATGCTCGGGAAAGACAGGACCATCCGATCTAAGATGAGCGTCAACGAAGTCACTGGTCTGGTAGAACCCAAGGAGTTTAAGAACCTCTTGGTGGAGAAGTGCAAGGCCCAAATCACCGCCGTTAATGCTTCTTGTAAGTCGCTCTGGTGGCCAATGACGGACATGACATATTTGAAAGGGCATTGCAGCTGACATTATGAAGCTGGATCCTACCCCTCATACTTCGAATCTGGCCCTCGGATCATCGACATGGAGTTCCCCATGCTGTCGCTGGGCTCAGACCGCGCACAGCAGCTTTCTGGATTCGGTACGTATGCTGTGCATCTATGCATTTGCTTAACTAACACCGCTAGATGGCTTCCTGGCCGATGTCGTTGATCGCATCCCATCTTCCTCAACGTATACCATCATCTATATCACCTCGCCGAGAGAGTTCCCCGAGACGGACTCCGTTATCTATGAAGCCGGAGATTCATACCCAGACACGGCCCACATGGAGCTGAAGCGGGACTACTCCGCACACGGTAGCGCTTCGAGCTCATTGAAGCAGGACACTTCACTGTTCAATGATTATCAATTCTTCACTCCAGGTTTGTGTGTCAATACTATTTACCCTGTACGCTTTACTAACACATCATCAGGCATCTTCATGGGCCTAATGGCTACCTTCCTGTTCCTGGCAATCTTGTACATTGGCATCAACGCCCTGAGCAGCCTTGAGACTCCTTATGCTGCGTTTGAGAGGGATACCTCTGCTGCTGTGCAAAAGAAGGCACAGTAAGTATAGGATTTGCTTCAGTAGTTTCATTTGGAATGCATCTCAGTTGCTGCGATTGATTCTTCTTTTAAATCTTTTTTTGCGGGGTTTTAGGGATCTTCCTTCCCATGTATGATACAACATATCTTTCCAGGGTCTTTTTATCTGAATGTTAGCTCTGCCAATGTAAATGCATACCTTCTTTTCTTGGTCAGGTGACAGTCTTGGTCCTGCCTTAGGCATGAGTCGCCTTAGCGTTGGCGTCTTTTCGTTTCCCTTCAGTTCTCGCTTCCATTATTGGACTCTTCTTGTGGGCAATTTGAGACACTCGCTAGCCTCACTTCAACATAGTCATTCGTTCTTCAGGAGATTGCCCCGTCTCACCACGTCTCTCACAAATCTGTCGATTGCGCATCCGTGACCTGTAACCAGAGTCCAGCATCAGCCCGCCAGTTTCGCTCTAGAAACAAATTGCCGTCTCATTCAAAATTATCATCCAATACCTCATACTCACGTCCCTGCTGAGGTGTGCTCCATTGGTGGCCTGGTAGGAATCAATAATACATAAGCGACTTCAGTCTCGTTGGGATCGGCATCTACTCCGGGTGACCCGCACTTTGGTGGAGAACCGGTTGATCCTTTGTTTACACAGTCATGCGAGTTCTACCGCCAGGGCTTGGGAAAGCCAAGTCCTCATTCTTTTTGTTATTTCTCCTGGTACTTGCCATCGCTACTCAAGTGTCTGCTGTACCGGCAGATGATCCTTCACCGGACACCGATGTCGCCAAGGCCGTCGACGATCCGGGCACCACTACCACCACTCAAAGCACCTCTAGCGTGAGCGAGACAACCACCTCATCCACCTCCACCTCCACAACGTCGAGTTCTACTACCACCTCTTCCTCGTCCACCAGCACAACCATGGATCAGAACACAACGTCCACCACCTCCACCACATCCTCTTCCTCCTCCACGTCTTCCACCTCCATGACCGACACAAGTACAACATCAACGGTCTCCACGACAACGACATCAACATCCTCTTCCAACACTGCCGCTGCCATCGTGACAATACCCCCAACAGCGAACGCCCCATACATGCAAGAGAGCAATGCACCAGAAGGCACAGTATTCATCGCCGTCGGCGCAGCCCTCGGCCTAATCGGTCTCACCCTCCTCGCCTGGCGCGCAATGGTCGCATGGTCAGTCAACCGCTCCGTTCGCCGCGCCGCCGAAATGCACGCCTCAGAATCCAAGCGTCTCCTCCGCGGAAACAGAAAAAAGCGATCAACACCCTACGCGACCGCACCGACCGCCGACGTCTCGCTCGACAAACTCGGAGCCGCAACCCGCGCAAGCTACAAGCCCAACCGGGTCGCAAGCGCAGGCAGCGGCCTCTTTTTCTCGCCTACCGCAGCCGGCCCGACTGGATCGCATGCCAGTCTGAATGCTCCAGGGAGCACAGGGAACCGTGCCTCGACATACCTGCCTGCTGGGTACTATGCTGCTGCCAGCGGCTCCAACCCCGCCCCAAGCGGAGACCCTTTGTACTCGCCCACTGCTGGTCTCTCGTCGCCGTCCCTTGCCCCTACTGGCGTCTATAATCAGCGCCACTCTTATGTAGGCGCCTCGACGAGTTCGTTGAATCTCAACCAGGCGCCGCTGGGTCGGGCTCCTAGCGCGTACCTTGAGGATTTGTTTGAGAGCCATGTGCCGTCTCAAAACTCCGATTCGGGCCGTCGGTAACGGTACTTGTGCTGGCGGGTCATTTATGGAGGAATAATTTTGCAATCTGTTTTTTGTTCCTTGGATCGATTTCGAGATTTCGTCATTTGGTGTCTGCCATCTGCTCTACATCTATGCGCTGTTCTATTTTTCATTTCGGTTTCTGTTCAGCTCGGCGTTTCATAAACCCTCCGTTGGTATTCTGCTCCCATTTTCTCTGCGCATGATCATGACTTCCCTGTCGATATACATTGATCTTCCTCGCATAATAATGCATCTATGGACATAACTATGAAGCAACCTTTATTCTTTTATTGTGCTGAACTGGCATCAATCTCAACTTATTCTACAAGCAGTAAAATAGCCGATCAAAACCCCAGGTTCCATTGAAAGATAATAGCTCATGAAAATCGTTATGTCCATTCAACTGAACAAGAAAGAGCCGAGTCCTAAGAAAAGCAAAGCAGAATCGCCAGATAAAATTATATAAAGACACCCTCCGAAACCAAAGGATAGGTGCTTGAACCATGGACGGGGTATCGTGTATCTACAGGTTCCGAAAGAGAAAAGCGGACTTAGTCAATGCGCTTGTACAGCTTGGCCTTGGCCCCAGCAGACGAAGACCCAGAACAGCAGCCAGCTGTCTCCTCAGGATGCTGCGAGGACTTGTTGAACAGCTGCGAGGACTGCGGGACGTCAAGAGCCGGATTCTTGTTGAAGAAACCGTCAGGCTTGAGCATGACGCTGATACGCTCCATCGGCATGACAGGGAAGTCCTCAATGCGAGGGTTGTGAGTAAGACCGAAGGCTGTGGTGGGGGCTGTTAGCGATAATAGTACGGACAGAATGGAGAGGGGAAATACTTACTGTGCCAAAGGACGACATCTTCGTTCTCGGTGTTATCCTTACGCTGAACCCAGGTCTCGACGCCCTCGGCGCGACGGCTTTGGTTCGTGAACTCGCCTGCAGCGTACAGTTCATCGTCTTGGTACTTAGTGAGCCAGATAGGCTTGGTGGCGAACTCGGCACGGCGGAAGCCGTGGGCGTTCTTGCTGACTAGGAGCATTTGGCTGGGGGCTGCCATGAGCTTGTAGGCAACGGGCTTGTATGTGATTGGGTTGATGACGTTGTCGTTGCGGATCTTGAAGACACGGTGACGATCGATGCTGGTGTTGGCTGCGCCGGCTGTGCGCATCACTGTGCCCTCGGACACATAGCCGACAAGGTAGGGGTTGTTCTCGTCTTCAGGCATGGGAACGCTGTCTTCGTAGTAGACGGTATTCTTGAATCCGTCAATGGCGGGGTCGACACGCAGAGAGAACATGTGCTGGTGGAAGGGGGCCATGACACCAGGGCCAACGTTTGTGCCCCAGGGGACGGTCTGGCCGTTCTCATTGTCGAATGGAACAGTCGAAAGAATGCCGGTGGCACGGACTTCTAGTTCCACGTTGGCAGCTTGGTCGAAAATGTAGTTGAAGATGTACTCGTAGTTGGCAATGGTACAGATCATTTGCAGAACCAGCTGGCGGTTGCGCACAACGGTAGCAGCACCGGATCGATAGTTGGTGTGCTTGTGCTGCAGACCGTTGTCCTGTTCGTGCATGCAAACCACGTTCTTCAACAGCAATGGGTTGCCCCTGGAATCGTTGCGGTAACCGTCGAAGTACTTGATGTGACCGAGACAGTCGCATCCAAGAGATAACTGGTTGGCATTCATACCGAAGCCGGTGTCGCCAACATCGAATGCCTGCTTACGGTGGTAAGGAGCACGTGGGTCTATATTCAGGTTAGTCAGGTCTCGTGTTCCCCGTTCGCATTCCAAATCTCCCCGAGGGATCCAGTGCAGTGATTAGGCTTGAATGTAGCTTACCTCCATAGGGGACGGTCATCTCAGAAACAGCCAAGCGATAGAAAAGGTTCCGGTTATCGTATGTGACGTTATAGATGACCAAGCCTTCACGAGCGTTGAAGCCGACTCTGAAGCGCCACTTCTGCCAGTAGACAGAGTTGCCGTCCACAGAGTAAGAGGGTCCTTCGGGCTGTTGCACAATGTATGGCTTGAGATCTGTGCGGAGAGGCTCGTCCAAGAGATCGTGTGCATACTGGACTGCCTTCACAGGCTTCCAGGGTTGGGTAGCGGTGATCTCGAAGTCAGATCCACCGGGAAGGTAGTCCATACGGATCAACTCATGGGTGAAACCGTCGAAAACTGGTGAGAACTTGCAAGGCAGGGAGTAGTGGTTGTTCTGGGGGTGATCCACCTCGACCATGTACATGAAGCATTGGAAGAGACGACGATCCTCGTTGTCACTGTCTGTCCCATACATCCAAGGATCATTGCAGACGGTGACACCCTTGGGCAATTGCAATTTCTCGATCTCAGCCAGTACTGCAGGGTGCTTCAGGCACATCTCTTCGATTGCGGCAATTTCGTCAATATCAATGGGACCCTGTAGAGCAATATTTCGTTAGTTGATCCGATTGTATGCAATTAAGAAAGTGCTTTGCCTACCTGTACTTCCTTCGGAAGCTCCTTAGCATAGACGATGCTCCGCCTGTCGGCATTGAGGATGGCCTTGTAGAATGCATTGGTATCGAGGCGATGGAAGAGCACATAGAGAAGACGAGCAGGGGGCGTGGGCAGCGGCTGTCGTAGGCGCTCTGCTTCAATGTATGCGATCACATCGTTCTTGATAGGCTCATTGATATCGATGCGCTTATAACGTAGAGGTACACCGGGGAAGCCAGCCTCAAGGATGCGGACAGCGAGCTTGATCTCCTCCGGCGTGATAGGGTCGAATGGGTGAGGGCGGTGGCTGGTCACCATCTTCACAGTGTGGTAGATAGACGTTGTCCGAGAGTTAGTCGTGAGAGATATGGTAGTGAACCGGACAGGCCGTACAAGCTCACAGGGAAGTTAGGGCAGCCGAGCGAAGAAGCAGAGAGGGTACTTATGGGAGAAGCAGGCCGAATGAATGGGCTTAAATACATTTCCCATGATCGTCGCAAAGACCCCCGGAGAATCTTATCTGGTTACATAAGGTCAGGATGGACTTGCCAGATTGGGACGGGAACCAGTCAAGGGCAAGTGGGGCGTTGGAGTACGAAGCGGAGGTTCGACATGCAAAGATAAGGCCAAAATGGACTGAAGCTCAACGTACAAGGTGGAAAAATAAATGAATTTTACAAGGGCTACTGGGCTATATAACCCTATGTCTATCCAGAGGACATCATTTCACTCCGCCTCTATTGAGGCCCAAATTTCGTCAAGGGGACGATTTGGGGTACAGTTACACGTGATCTTCAATCCAAATCGGCATGTCACGTGAGTGTGGGGTAGAGCGTGAAATTATCCCAATCAGGCTAGCGTAAATGGCTATCGATAACGCTATGATAAAATCAACCGGTTCAATGGGTAAAGAGCGCATGCTTGTCTGGATTCGTCAGATATTGCAGTAAGCATGCGGCTACTAGTCTCTGTGATAGCATCGCCACATCATCTAGTGACTCCTTGACACTATGGAAGCTGCTACTCCGAATGGATCGGCGCAGTCGTCTTCTTTCGCGCCGAGCCAGCCCACTTCCGCCCCAAAGAAGGGTAGGACACGCCAGACTGGCACGGCATGGACTCGCTCTGGATGTATTACATGCAAGAAAAGGCGCAAGGCCTGTGATAAGGCTAAGCCAAGGTTCGTGCGCCGACTATACTTGGACTTCCGTAACTAAATCGTGCTTATTAGCTGCAACAATTGCCTCAAGCAAGGCCGGACCTGCGAGGGCTATGGCTCAATGTGGGTAGAGCCATTGGGTCCATCGGCACAGGTGTTTTCCCAAATGGAAACACCGAAGAGACGACGGCTTAGTGCGTCTTCTTTGTCTCAAACACCTTCGTCTGCGCCGTCACCGTCTTCGGATGCGTGGCTCGAGACCCGTCTGTCTCCTGGGTCAGCTAATTTCTTGAATTGGTCTGTTCCTAGTTCTCCTCTCGAAAATGGAGCATATGAGACGGCCGGAAGCCCGGTACGGGAGACAGAAGACCATAATTCCAGTGAGGGCTTCGATTCGCATGGCACTCTCGTGATGATCCCACAGCCCCAAGGCAGTATTGGTCATCTCTCAACCAAGGAGACTCACTACCTTCAATACCACATGGAACAAGGGTCCCGACTGCTAGCGAACTTGGAGAGCGACGACAATCCCCTGCGCTCAATGTTAATTCCTAGGGCGATGTCATCGCCTCTGCTGATGAAGGCCGTATGTGCCGTCTCTGCTCTCCACTTAGCGAACCGCTTTCAAGGCTTTGGTGCGCATACAGCTGCGGTCAAGTACTACGGTGGAACACTCAACGGTCTTCGCACAGCACTGGCGCGGTGTTCAACAGAGCCGTTGTCTGATGATGCCATGCTTGCAGTTGGTCTACTATGCAAATACGAAATCGTACGTGGCAGCGTCAAGCAGTGGGTTGTCCACCTCAACGCATTGCAGCGTCTGATTGTTTCGCGTGGGGGATTCGCCTCAATGGATCGAGAGGCAGCAGAGTTCCTGCGTGGATTGTATGTTCAGCAATCCAGATCCCCACGTTCATCAAATGCTAATGTGACATATAGATTTGTGTATGCCTACAATATAGCCCGGATCACCAATTACAATCGCATCACTTCCACAGATATTGTTGTCGACAGCGATATCGGTGTCCCGAAATTGGACATATATATCGGATACACCGAAGAGCTTCTCAAACTATGTGCACGGATCGCAGAGCTGCCTTCTCTTCAGGCTAATACATTAGCTCTTCGACTCAGTGTTGCATCCATGTATGTATTCCCCGGCACGCAAATCTAAATGCAACTCAAACTTCCCAGTGATGCACTTACCAACACACCATCACAGAAACGAATCCCTCCTCACCTGGTCTCACACTTCACCCCCATTTATCGTTCAACCAGGAACCTCACCTGCAACCCTAACCCGCCTTCAACTCGTGGCGGAATGTTTCCGCGACGCAGGTTTCGTCTACCTACATTCCATCCTGGAACGCATCAGCAGAAACCGTGCAGATGCTATTTTGAATTACGACGTCACTCTGGACACTCAGACGGAGGATACGTCTTTCTCAACATTACGCGATTTGACCCCTCTCATCTCTACACCGAAAAATCTCGCCGTCTACCGCTGTCTTTCTCGCATTGAGACTTTCCCGCTAGGGGACCACTGCGAGTACTCTGCGCTCACGTTTCCAATATTTATCTGCGGCTGTGAGACGGACAATGTAGCGGATCGAGAAGTTGTGCTTCGTTCTTTGGGAAAGTTGCAGGATAACTTTGGCATTGGGAATGTTCGGCGTGCGAAGGAGTTGCTGGGGATCTTGTGGGCGAGACGGGATGCTATATCTGATGCTGAAGTTGTTGGAATAGGTCAGGAAAAGGTTCATTGGTTGGATATTGTCGAGGAGCTGGGGTGGGATATTATTCTTGCATAGCTGGCTTGGAGGGTCTTGATACCCAGGAATACTGCTTTGCTCCATTACCGGAGATATGGTATTTTTTATAACCATTTGAAAGACTATTAGTACAGAATACCTGTTTTTCAAGAGTGTTATTACCTTATAGTCAAAATTTAAAACATGGTCTTCAAATGGTTAACAGAAATAACTAGTTTATAAATTACCGTTTTTTAACTATTATTGATTTACCACACCATCATGCCTCGTCAAATAATTGATATTGAGTCTCACAAGGATGATATCATCCCATTTTTTTACCAATCGAGCAACAATACAACAGCTTTGTACAAAATTACAAGAAGACTAAGTATACCATCAAAATCGCTCCTCGTACGACGAGGAAGCGCCTCAAAGCATGGGGCATTGCTAAAAATGCACCTCCAAAGACAATTGGAAACCTGGAAATTCGAAAACGGATCCAAACCTTACTTTTCCAAGTAGGTCTTGACGATTCTCATATCCACCAAGTCCTCTGCAATGAAGGGATTCAAATTGGTCATCGTACGGTCCAAAGAATACGACTTCATCTTGGATTTCGACGTCGAACAGATGACCATCAAAGCCAAGAAGCTGAAATCGAACAAATCACTACTATTCTTGAATCAGAGCTTGGAACTGGTCGGATTGAAGGCTTCGGAAAAGTCCATCTTCAGGAACATATTCGAAGACAAGGATATCTATTCAGTGGTAAACGTTTGTTTGATGTTTATCGATTGATGCGTCCTGATTTATTACAACGACGTAAACAAGATCTTCAACGTATAAAGGGTGTATACACAATTTGATTATGTGGAGCGAGAGAAACGTGCTAAGATCTATGTCATTCTTGACAAGAAGCCTCGTACGATAGAGATCAAATCAGATCCTATTTCTCCAGGACCTGCATCGCCAATTGCTTTGCAATTGGAGACACCAATTGCTCCTGAGCCACAAGCACCAGATGCTCCTGAGCCACAGGCACCAATTGCTCCAGAGTCAGAGGTATCAATCATTGATCTTGACGCCTCTGAGCCAGTGGCTATTGATATTGAAACTCTTGCAAAACCTCGTGAACATCCATTTCGTCCTCGTACGCATCGCAAATACTTCATGACCGAGGCAGAGATGAGGGCACATATACAAAGGATTGATGATGCAGTTGCTCGAGGTGATTCTGATGATGGAGGAGAGCCTTTATTCCATCCTGATGTCATTTCTTTGGGTAAACCACCACCTGAAGGGGAGCCATTTGATCTATCCTCTGCTTCTATAGCAGAAGCAGAGGTCGTACGACAAGCAAAGGAAGTGCCAATGGGGCTAAAATAGCGGGCAGCTAGTCCTCAGTTTATTTGGCCTTTGAATTGGGAGCCTGCACCAATTCCTGCGCCTGTGCCAATTCCTGCCCCTGCATCTAAGTCTGTACGACCGCAGCAGATAAGGTCAACTCAGAGGAAGCGATTGGAACCTACAGATGTCGGTACACCTCCAGCACGTCGAACTCGGTCTCGTCTAGCAAGTAAAAGGTAGTTTGGTTATTTTATTTATTGTAGAAGATGATTCTATAAAAAGGTTTTGCTGCTTTTCAATAGAAATTGATTGAAGGAAGCTCCAGAGGATAGTAAGAGAGAGAACCCATTGGCCCCAAAAACGCCGAGTATTCTCCTCCCATTGCTGTTGTCGATTCCTCCAGATCATCTGGAACAGATCCCTGATAGCGTTGAAGATCTTCCTGGCGAGATTCTTGATCATTCCCAGCAGGACGACGATTTCGAGCGCGACCTCCAGGACGTCTTTGACGGAAACGAGAGCGTCCTTGGTGCGATGGGGTTAGCGAACTGACCCGCACGGAGGGAGAGTGGGAGATTGGTGAAGAGGGGAAGAGGTTTGCGACGGTGAGGTGCATTGTATAGATCATGGAACAAAATAGACTAACCTGATTTGGACTAGCACTCGTAATCTTACATGATCGAATACACAAAGTGACAGAATCGCAAAATAGCAATGTAGTAAAAATCGAAAGGGCCTACTGGGCACTGGGTCATGCCGTACTCCACCCCACTGCGGTGCGCTGCGGCTCACCCGAGCCAATCAGCCTACGCTCTCACCGAAGAGCCTCATCTGTAGTTCTCCACTGGAAATCCTTATTGTATGGACTCTGGAGACTTGGTACGTAAGCGTCTACTTCCCTGTGCCCACCCTCGGCCGGTGAAGGCTCATTCGCCCTTTCTGAATTCCTCATCTAGCTTCTCGTATCGAGCAGAACGACAGTAAGAAAATCCATCTTTTAAACGCCTTTGCATGACATATCCCACTGCCCCCTCCTCGTCCTGTATCGATTTCCATTTATCCCAGTCATAGTCATCTTGATAGTCCTGACGGAATTTGCATAGCGCAAAATCGATCATGGTCACCTTGAAAGCATTCCCCGCGTCCTCACGCACAATGAAGTTCCTTGTCTTGACATCCTCATTAAGTATTCCCAGATCACCGATACGATGAATAATTCGAATGGCGTCTTGACAGATGGCCTGCCAGCTTTCTCTTGGCGCATATTGCTCAACATCGGTCAACGGGAAGCCTTCAATATATTGCAAAAGGATCCCAGGAACATCGGTATAACCGCCGTTCGTTTGACCTGGGAAGGGAATAGGCATAAGGGTGGATGCAAGGAATTTTGGTATGTCGGTGCCTTGAATCTCCTTCAGGTTGCTGATACCTGGACCTCTGTCTTGTACAGATCCAACATGTGATTATGAAGATAAGTTTCGTCCATTTCCACTGTGTTCATAGTCACTGTGTTCATCGTCACTGGCTTCATCGTCACTGGCTTCATCGTCACTGTCTTCATCGTCACTGTCTTCCTCTTCCTTGAGCTGAGTAACAAACTCTGCTGCACCGCCATCAAGGATAAATTGATAGTACTCAGTCTCTATGTCTGGGGTCCAGGGCCGAATCTTTTCGTCTTGCCGAAGCTGCGTTGCAAATCGCCGATCAAAGAGCTTCAAAATCATGTCGCCTTCCAGTCCTAAAGAGGAGCAGGCCATCCGAACAAGCACCACAGAGGAAAGAGTGAACGGCTCGAAGACTTTGATGATCTCAGCAACTGCTGTTGCCTCCAATCCACCTGGCGTCTTTACGTGAAACTTGATCACATTGCCGACAGCATACGGACATCTGAAATTATTAGTATGAGTATATTCTAGATCTGCAGGCGGGGTAACAACTCGGATTCGTGCGTCATCGTGATTAGATGTTGTCTTGAGAAATCCACTGTGATGAGAGAAAATTGCCTGATGCTCTGCGAGGCAGCAGGCTCGACGTATCTTGCAAAGTCTCTGGAACAGGGGCGGGCGGTTCAAGAGTGAAGTTGCTTCTGGGGCTAGTCGGTATAAGAAGTGCCACTCCTAACTCATCTGCCTTGCGGGTGACGAATGGTGAACCTACCTGAAAGATGGTGGGTCGATTTACTGTGAGAGTGGTGCCGGTCATGTGACTCTGTTATCATGTATTCCAGGTAAACTCAGAACTGTGCTTAATGTCCTCCGTACCTGTGTTTCAATTCTCATCAACAACAACTTACGATCCGGTAGTAGGCGCTTCGCTTACACCGTCACGACTCACACAAAGCGCATAAATCCACGACTATCCTTGAGATGTGCGTTATCACACAAGAGCACGCCAGAGCAAGTGAAACGAAGACTTGAATCAGACATGATTTACTAGGTATTCTCAGGGGTAGTCGGTAACTACAGAAATACTATGGACTTTTCCTACTTTCGTGTTCTAATACATGTTGCAAGCCAGAAGGAAAATGAAGGAAAGAGATGAGATGATCCTGTGGTGAGTTGGAGAAGGGAAGAAGGAAAGAAAAGCTGCGCAGAAGAACTCTCTCTTAATGTTCTTCTGCCGTGCTCACTCCTTCCCTTCTAGGTAGCTATGGAGTGCTCCTTCCCTTGGCTAGCTACACTCGGACTCAACCGTCTGTTCTTCACATTACATATACTTCTTCCTCTTCCATCCTTTTGGAATTCCTTCGCATCAGGAACAATATCATCCCCCTTCCGCTATTCCATCCTTCACCAGGAACACCAGTCGATTGAGACACGTCCCTTGGTAACTTGTAAGGCAACCCTGAAACCGTGGTACATACCTGAATCATGCTACCTACGGAGACTAACCTTAAAAGGGGTTAGTCTCCGTAACACGACCAATTAGGGGAGGATCGTTTCCCCACAGGATCCACACTTTGAGTATGTGGTTTAGGTACCTGGTAAGCTGGTAACCACTCAACGGATAGTCAACAACTCAACGGATAGTCAACCATTCAACGGGTAGTCAGCGACTCAACATTATCGACCTACCACGTTATTAGTTAAGGACCGACTCAACCGAGCATACCCTGTCTGACACTGTCTCCAAGAATCATTCGTTCCTCTATCCCAAGTCTCATCTACCATTCCTCCCGGTCAAGATCATGCCCAACGGCGTGTGAGTCATGACCTTGTACTCCTATTTCAGAAGCATACACTAACCTCCAACCCCATCAACCAGAAACAACCCATCCGGCATCTTATTTACCGCAACTGGCCCATTGTTCATAGTGAGTAGCCCTTCTGATACATCGACCGACCCGCCCACTTGGCACTAACAAGGCCAAAGATATTCGCACCTCTCGCATCTGCAATCACAGCACCCAATGGCATCATTCAAAATGCCATATCCACCATGCTCAGGCTGGTTGGCGGTGACATAACATCTGATCGCGCAATCCCTGCGCTTGCCCTTCTTTACGGGTTCTGGACTTTCGCCGGCAGTGGCGCTCTGTCCATCGCCGGGCAAGCCATGGCCAGAACAGCGGGTTACGACAATGCTAACCCTCGCAAGCACCGCGCGAGCTTGGACGGCCTCCCATTGCGCCTGGTATCCGCCCATAGTGCGCTGATGGAGATCTTCCCTCTATTTGCGGTTACAGCGTGTCTCGCCCAGGTGATTGCGCCCGGAGATCAACAGATCCGGAACCTCGTGGGTCTTCATGTGATCTTGAAAACCTTCGCTTATTATCCTGGATATCTTACTGGCATTCCCCGATTGAGATCAGTGTCACACGTGCTTTCGATTTCGGCCCTTTTCAGGACTCTTTGGTTGCTCACGATGTAATCAAATGATTTGGCGTTGGCTAGGCAGTGTAGAAAGTGCCACTAATATCTGCTTTTTGTGGCGCTTGGTGAGATCCATTCAGATGTAGTTATGTGGATAGAAAAGACGATAGATTAAATCAAGCATGTAGAATAGGGACTACCTAACGGATGCCCCAAAGAATATTATCGATAAACAACGGTCGTCACTCGTGCTGCAATATAACTCAGAAGTAAATGGAAGTGACAAGCCTTGATACTATGTTATCCGTCAAAAGAAAAGAAGCTATTGAAAAAAAGCTGCCCTGTCCGTGAGGTAGCTTTCATGCTCTCTCTCTGTCCAGCTCTTCCGGCGTTCACTCATTCACCCTTTCTGAATCTCCTCAAATAGCTCTGATATCGATCAGATAGACGGTAAGCAAATCCACCTTTTTAACGCCTTCCCATGATTTATCCCACTGCCCCCTCTTCGCCGTCGTACGATTTCCACTTATCCCATTCATAGTCATCTTCGTAATCTTGACGGAATTTGCATAGAGCAAAATCGATAATGGTCACCTTGGATCCATTCCCCCTGCCCTCACGCACAATGTGGCTCCTGGTTTTAACGTCCTCATTAAGTATTCCCAGATCACCATTACGAACAATATTTCCAATAGCTCCCTACAGATTGTCTGCCAGCTTTTTCTTGGTGTATGTTCTGCAATAACGGTCAAAGGGAGGCCATCGATATATTGCAAAAGGATCCCAGGTATATCGGTATAATCGCCGTTCGTTTGACCCGGGAAGGGAACAGGCATAATAGCGAATGCACGGAGTTTTGGTATGTCGGTGCCTTGAATTTCCTTCAGGTTGCTGTATACCTGGACCTCTGTCTTACCGGAACACCAATTCGGCGTCGCGTTCCGGTTGATGCTCGCAGGAAGGGCGAGGGATTTCTACGTCTCAAAGGTTGGGGGAAAAGTGAGGGAATTTCCCCTGATGGTCAAGATGACGAGAGAGCGCTTTGGCATGGAGGAGAACAGACAGAGGGCGACCACCATAGGGAGGAGACTACATTCCCTAAGGTCATCGCCCAGAATTTGGACAAGTCGCGCTCAGATTGTCTCGAAATACTTTTCGACACGCTCGAGAAGATCCAACATGGATTGAAACCAGAAGACCAGTCGGAGAGGAGCCTGCGGAACCAGATCATCAATGCTTGCAGAGGCGTCGAGGAGTGCAAACTCTGCCTATTTAGGCCATCGAGCGAGCTGGAGGGGCTACAGGCGGAGCTGCGATCAGCAGTTGCCAATGCGACCATTCTACCACATTCCGGGCAATTCCAAGCTTCCGAGGAATACGACGCGTACGATCATCATTGGACTGACCGCACATACGGAGGAAGAGGTCGTGGATACAGCCGCGGGGGCTACAGCCAGGGCAGGGGAGGCTATGGGTACGGAAAGAACCGTGAATCGGGACCACGAGGAGGATACCGCGGAGCACGACAAGGAAATGGAGGACCTCGTCAGAAGAGATGCTATATCTGCGGGAAACCAGGATGTTGGTCCAAGTATCACACCGGAGACGAACGGAAACGATCTGTCGGCAACTTCTGCGAGCAGCACTTCTTTGCGACGGGCGAGTCAGCCACACCACCGGACTTTCAATTGTTCCTGAGCGAATTTGAAGGCTCAGAGGAAAAGGGAGGCCCCGACGACGATGATTCGCATGGCCCAGAACAGATGCTCGCGACCATGGCCATTGATGACGAGCACGAGAGGTTCATGACGGAAATTGAAGAAGTCGACGGAACAAAGACGATATCTATCCTGAATAACCAGTCGACATACCATTTCCTCACCAAGGATGATATTTTCCAACAACAGCCCGACGGACAGACTCCGGAAGTGTTCACACCCGACAATCTGTACTCGTGTGATGACGAAGTTCTTAGCCAGCCACATTCTCTTAGTTCTCCAGCAAATAAGTCTGGAACTGAGTCAAAATCACTCAGTGATACGAGACAGTTGCAATACTCTTCTTCATGTTTAGCCTTAAGTGAGGTGAACACGCAGAAATTAGCCTTTCGAGAAGATCCTTCCATTTCTTCCACCTTCTTGTCAGACAGCGTCTACTCTCCCACGGAACTTAAGGAAATAGTCCACCAACCCCGGAGCATCGATGCCCCCATAGTATGCCGATCTTTATGTAAGTTTGGCCCCAAGTCAACATTGCTGACAGATCGTCTTCTCAAACGATGTTACCCGACCTTTCCCGAACGGGAAAATGGTAAAGATAACTTCCAAGTTCCATTGAGCCCTTTTGCTGCCTAACACGACATGGTGTTTTCTGTTGAGCGTATTTGTCATGGAGATGGAGTCAGCACTAGCATACGGAAGCTGGTTGAAGTGAGAATTCCGGTATTCGCTTTGAGGTCAAGAGGTATATAAGAAGCCGTGGGGACTGCCCTGTTGATCAACAGTCAATCTTCTGCAGATCACTCCAACGATAATCACTTACAGTCATCCACCTCCACCTCCCCCTCCACCATGACCAAGTCCATCCTCGCCCTCGCCGCCTTTGCATGCGGCGCTGATGCCGCCATCAAGGCTGTCTGGCAGGGCGGCTCGTGCTCCAGCCCCACGGGCCCTACCATCGACATCTCCCCTGTGGGCGTCAACACCTGCACGTTGTACAACTTCTTCCCCAACGACGACCCCCGCGGCCACGTCCAGGTCACGGTTGATGGCGGCACCAACGGCATCGCCTTTTTCCAGCTGCCCCAGTCCCAGGAGGACCAGCACATCCAGTGTGGCTCCTTGCAGGGTATCTTCCACCAGTCTGGCTGCTACGACTCCGTCACCCCGGCCCTCGACGTTGTGGTTGCCGAGTGCGACCAGACCGGTTGCAACAACCTGGCCGGCATCCCCTCTGGCGTCTTGGTCGCCGCCATCGAGCCCATGTCAAGCGTCTCCAAGGCTGACGTTGAGGAGCCAAAGAAGGTCCAGAAGAAGCGCGAGAGCATATCGAAGCGCCGCGAGAACAGTATCGTCCGCCGCGACGGCTGCAGCGGCTCTACTTCCGTCACCTGCGACGACTGCGTAACTTGCTTTTCTCAGGGCGCACGTGTCTCCGCCTTCATCAGCTGCCCCGCTCAGGGCCAGTCTTGCGCTGTTCAGCTGACCCAATCCATTACCGTGACCGACTCATACAGCATCTCGGTCGGCGTGGCTGACGTCTTCACTGCGTCGGTCGAGACCAGTCACTCCATCGCCGTCACCGACGGCAGCTCGCAGACCTTTACCGTGTCTCCTGGCCAGGCCGGCTTTGTCCAGTACGAGCCCCTTGCCCAGTGTGGTACCAAGACTGTCCACAACGGCGACGGCTCTGTCTGCGCCCAGGCCAAGGGCACTTTCATCCTCGACAACCAGGGTTCAGGTGGCCAGTTCTCTTTCGTCCGCTCCAACTAAGCGGTGGATTTGTGTTGGCTTGGCCATTGCTTGAACCTAATCCTGTGTCAATGAGATGTGCGGCTGGAGTTGGCCGAGGGTACATCGGGATAGCAATAGAATAACATTTTAGGTCAAGTGTAGGGCTGTCCTCGTTGCTCTCTACAGTATGAGGGAGATGGAGAAGAGAGGGTGAGACTGAGCCGAGGATGTGGTATCTGTGCTTCATGTACGACAGAAATCAAAAAAGTACTTTCCGTGTGATTGTCTCTCACTGTAAATGACTGAGCCAGACGAAGCTTCTGCGAGATAAATGGCACGACCTCAGGGGGTCTGTGAAGATTACATAGGTTCGTGCACATATACTGGAGAGCAATTATCAGGTACTCATGATCTAATAACTACGGGCTTCAATTTGTCCTGTTTCAGGGTATCCTGGTAAGATTGATATAATATGCTATCTACCTAGTAGGTATAATCCCCAGGATAGGTTGTTGTTTAAATTATGGATATGACAGCCCACCAGGCCTATGGAAGTTGAATTGACCCTCCCGATACATATTGCTATATTGTCAAACATATAAGATCAGACATCGACCTTGGATCGCAGGTATAGATACCCCCCTTCACCACAACCGAAGATATGTGCCCAGGCGGCGCCAGAACGGACGGGAATAATAATCCTGCAGCTCCTGGATCTCCTGGGTCGACAACTGCCGACGGCCAGTAACCAAGTCGGCAGTTGCGGGATCCCTCCAGGGGGTGCGGAAGAAGAGCTTGTAGGCGATAGTCGAGCCCACAATGAGCCAGAGGCCGATGGTATATGAGAAGAAGTTGTATGCTGCGAAACCGCCACCACCCTATATGACCAGACTGTTAGACAAAAAAGCCAGTGAGTTCGATATGGGAACCACGTACGATTGGAGCGATGCTCAGGTAAAGAACGCAAACCAACAGCAGGGCTGAAATGCTGAGAACCATGATCGGCGCGAGAGGCCAGAAGTTGGACTTCCAGCCGAATTCGTGCTCGAATACTGGGTTCTTCTGGGCTTTGACGGCGGCTCGGAAGCGGAAGGATGTAAAGCCAATGATGGCCCAGTTGGTGAAGAAGGATGCGCTAGTGATGGAGATGAGCCAGTTAAGGGCTTCGTTTCCACCAGCTATGTTGCTTGATTAGTATTTTCTCCGAGAGTTAGATCAATCGTAGGGGAACCAAAGTAGACGTACAGCTCAAGCTCATGTATGTCAGAATCACAGCCACAACAGAGGTGATTACAAGCGCCCATCGTGGTCGACCCTTTTCATCAACCTTGGCGATGAAAGCGGGAAGCAGTCTCTGCAAGGACATTGTTCGCAGGATTCGAGATGGCAGGAAAATACATTCCAGAGCAATGGCAATGATGCCGACGATCATGCAAGCGTTAATGAGGTCAGGGATACCTTTGATACCAGCATCTTCAACTGAGATGACAAAGGGAGAGGCAGCAACACCGGAGCCGCCGAGGAGGCGGTTATCATCAGATGGCACGATGATGGAAACCAACACAGTGGAGACCAAGTAGAAGACAGCCACACGCCAAGGAACCAAGTTTGCTGAGTGGGCCATGGAGAAACGAGGCGAGGCAGCCTCACCACCCATGACACCAATGAAGACCTGGTCACCGATGGCCCAGATAGCGAGAAGTGCGGCATTGGCAAAACCCTAGGAGTGAAGTGTGAGCATTAAGCGCGATAAATCAAAACTCTCAGTCTTGCACTCACTCCGAAGCCATTCTTGAAGGCTGGCAAGTCGGTCCAGGTGCTTCCATCACGGGGGAAACCTTCAGGTCCGGCACCTCCAATGATGGCAAGAGAGATGATAACAATGAAAATGAACAAAGCCACTTTCACAAGTGAGCCAAAGTATTGAAGCCACCCGAAGAACTTATTGGGCATGAGAAACACGACGAGACATCCAACCAAGAAGATACTGACTTTTGGACCCCAGACGATTAGTGAAAGGAACGATTCTGTGTGAATAGATATAACGTACGCAGAGCTGCATCTGGAACAGCACCCCCAGCCCAGAAATTGACCAAGATAACGAAGAAGACCGCCTCAGCACCAAATACAGCCGTCCAACCTGTGTTGAGCCGAGGTTAGCCCGAGATCTCCACAGGGTATCCACTAACCCCGGACAATGTAGGGGCTAGTAGGGACTCACCCAACCATTCGGCAAATCCAGCGCCAAAAGCCAAAGCAGGGTCAACCCAGCGATCCGCAAAGTCGACGTAGTTTCCAGAGGTGGGGAAGGCAATAGTCATCTCGGTAATGTTCTGCAAGTTGGCCCAGACACCGACACAAACGATCAGGTAGCCCAAGAACATGCTTCCAGGGCCACCGTTGGCCAATGCCTTTCCTGTACCGATGAACAGACCACTGCCGACGTTGGAACCCAAAGAAATGACCTGCGGAGATGTTAGCCCACGTTCAATGACTCGACCCATCGACTCAACATACATGAATCATTCGTGGACTCAATGTTCGGTGCAGGGAGCCGTATTTCTCTTCTGAGCGGAAGACATCCCCTTCTCCAACTGACAAGGCAGGGCTCGAGGCAACCTGCTTCTCGCTGTCCATCTCATCGGCAACACTATGAGCTTTAGGTTTGACCTCCATGATGGGGTAGTAATGGAGGATAGAAAGATGGAAGGTAAATGAACAATTGACCCCGTAACCATGAACCGAGAGCAATATATAGAGATCCTGATTCCTGAGATAGATATGGGGGGAAAGATAGGAGAGGGGAAGACTAAAATCGCTTTATCAAAGGGGTTTGTAGTATCTCTCAATCTCGCTCGGCCTCGCCTTCCTAAACCGCTTTCCCCGCAATCTCCGACTTTCTTATCGTGGGGAAAAAGGCGCTTATCGAGTAAATAGCACGAAACCCTAAAAGATGGCCTCTCTCAAGAGAAACATATTGGGAATCTTGTCTCCTTTTTTTCCCTATCTTTTCTTGGTCTTTTTAGACTATCAGATAAATACTACTATCAGCCATCAGCCATCGCTAAAACACTATAACCGGAAATACCAATGGCTCCTTCTGTGGACAATGGCGTTGCCACCAAACCTACTGGTCTTGCGGCGTTGTCGCAGGGCACTCCACTCCCTGGCATCCCCAAATTTGAGAATGTCGACAAGCAACGCGAGTACATGTTGAACCATATGGCCGGTGCCTTCCGGGTATTTGCTAGACATGGCTTCGTGGAAGGAATGGCAGGCCATATCAGCCTGCGCGATCCTGGAAACCCCCATCTGTTTTGGACGAATCCGTGAGTTGGCCAATTGACGTGAAAATGTCTACGAGAGAATTATGCTAACATGCAGATTATTTGCAGTCTCGGTCTTCACTTTGGTCTCATTAAGCCGTCTGACCTGATCCTCGTGAACGAAGAAGGCGAGGCTGTGGGCGGAAACATGTCTCGTCCAGCGAACGCTGCCGGATTCCTCATTCACAGCGCTATCCATAAAGCTCGACCGGATGTGAACGCTGCATGCCACTTTCACTCCACGTACGGCAAGGCCTGGTCGACCTTTGCTCAGCCCCTGGAGATGTTGAATCAAGATGTTGCTATCTTCTACGGCGGCGCGCAAAGTGTCTATGGGGAGTTTGGGGGCGTTGTGCTGGAGGAGGGGGAATCGGAGGCATTGGCGAAAAGCCTGGGTGGTGGGAAGGGGATTATCTTGCGAAATCATGGTCTCTTGACTGTTGGCGGGACTGTGGATGAGGCCGCTTATCTCTTTCTGCTGATGGAGAAGAGCTGCCAGATTCAACTGGTTGCTGATGCGGCAGCAGCTGCTGGTCGCAAGAAGTTGTACATGGACGATGAGGCTGCGCGGTTTACTTATGACAATACCAGTGATCCGGTAAGTTCTGACATTCGCCATGTTATGGATAATTTGAAATGCGTGGCTAACAATTTTGTAGGAGAGTCTGTTCGCCGAGTTCCAGGGTTACTTGCAGTGGGAGTCGGCTATATCGCACGATGGATACAAGGCTTCGTGATTCTGTACTTATCGGCAGCAATTGATCAATTGATTGTTACAGGACCCCTATTTAAAATGAAGTACACATTATTTAACTTAGAACAAGTACCCTCAACTCACTAAATTGCGCCAAAACCTCATTCCACGGAGTGTTCTGCATTCCCGGATGGCTCCTTGCCTGCCAGACCTTCTGCACAGCTTCCAAAGCCACATTAAACATGCGAATGCCATTCGACTGGCCGGATCGTTTAAGCCAGTCAGCGATCTGCTCTCTGAGCTGCGGATCGAGAGCTTCGCATCCCGCGATGAACCCGGGCCAACAAGTGTTAGCAGACTGGTCTTTGTATTTTTGCTTCATTCTGTCATATTCCGAAAGGTGATGAATTATCTGTTGAACGTGGGTCTGCAATATCGCAGCGTTGACGTCTCTCACGCAGCGGTAGAAATAGACAATCAACGCCTTATGCACGGCTTGTACGAGATGGTATGGGAAGAGTTCTCTTCCAGGCAGAGGAGTGTGAGCATAGTATCCCAAGTCCTCCTGAAGCACGTACTCCCAGCTGCAGATGTTGCTTTCTAGATCTTTGACTTCAGCCGCAAAGGCATCGTGATCGATGCTGGGTGGTCTCCCGGTTCTCTTCTGCTTCTCAACCATCGCTATCATATGCGTGGTCTGAAGAATCAGTTTGAATAATGACTGGGGCACGGAGTATATTTCCTCGAACATCGACTTGCAAGATGCTGGGCTCGAGGCGGAATCTAGATTTACACCGGATTCTGGTGACGATGGAGCAAATCCAATCATGCTGTCCCATTTGACAATTTCTTGAGCCGACGATGTAAAGGTGGGATCTTTTGAGCTCGTGGAAGTGGATGATTGAGATCGGTATTCGATGGTGGAAGCACGCTCCGTCAGAACGCGGAGGTAAAGGTAGATACTGTGAAGCATGCGGACTTTCGATGATCGAGACACCTTTTGTACGCCATGGAGGTTGATGATCTCTTCAACGTCTCGTAGGTAATGAGCTGCATTCCCCATCTTCCCGCTCACCACCTGTCAGAAGATTAGCAAGGGTATTATCGAAAGGACATCGTCAAAACTTACACTGATAGTTACCATACTTAGAAGAGCCATCAATATATCCTTGTATTTCTCTTTCTTTGCTTGCTTGCGAGACAAGTCCGCCAACGATAGTTTCAACCGTCTAGTCGCCCTCTCGCGATATAACTCTCCAAGAGCATTCCAGTCTTGGGACGCAGGTCCTGTTGAGGGCGACCTTCCATCTAGACTGAACGCACTAATTGCAAATACTGCAAAAAGCAGGGAGACCTTTGCATTACTGCTGTCGCCGGCGAGCCCGATTTCACCCACTGTGCTGAGCAAGCTGGGGATATAGATGGCTTCCCATGGTGACTTCACCTCAGTCCGGGCTGGAGTGAAGAAGGCCACCATATTGTTCCGGTAATGGTCGAGAAGCATTTTGGCAGTTGGCATGCTGAAATCCTCCAAGTCCAGTGCCGATGCGCGGGAAGGAGAAGATGCAAGGGGAAGCAAGGCTTGCTTGAGGGTCGCAGGAGTTGATGGATATAAGAAGTCGATTCCGTCCAGATCAAATGAATCGAGTTGTAGAATGGCGTCTTCCATAGCGAGGGGCTCGGAGGCATTTCCACGCTGGAGTGAATCGTCTTCGCCCTCGGCTTCCAGCATGTTGCTAACGTTTGTCAAGGCAGAACCCCAGAGCTCTGAGTCGAAGATATCTATAAGAGAATTGGACGGAGTGGGTGATCGCATATCGTTGGCTTGGAAGACGTGAAATGGTCCGTTGCATAATGTTTCATCCCCCTCGATATCTTCGGTCTTCCGGTCTAGTTCGTCGAGAATCGATAGGACAGAGCTGTCGCCCGCGATGCATAACAAGTCGGCAGCATTGTGAGCTAGGTCTTGAGCTATTCCAGTATGAATTGTAAGTCTTTGATCCAAAGTGCCTACCCACGTAAGGTGACGACATACCCGCAAACAAAGGCCGCCGCCGCGCATGCAAGTCCTCCAACTCATCGTCAGAACCAACCTTCAACCGCGGCCGCAACCACAGCATCCGAGGCGGCGCCACTGGCACCTCGCAGGTGAGCTTCCGTTTCTTGCATGGTGAGCATTGGGGTATGACTCGGTCGCATTTCACCTTTCTGGAGCGACAGTTCAGACAAGAGTTCTCATTCTGGGTCCGTGTTGCCATGGTGTACCGGGATCAACAGCCTGATGCAAAAGGGAGGAAGCAACGAGAGTCACAATGGAGTGATAATCGGACTCGAGATCATTGGTCACATTGTCAGGTAATCGATCTGATAGACTGATTCCCCGCTCGGCGCTATCTTGCTCATCCTCCCAGAGCCCCAGACCCGATCGGCCGTTATCGCCAAAAATGCGGAGAAAAAAACGCCGGGCTTGACAACGGCTCCACCTGCCAGGTAAGACCTCGGATATGATATCGGGGGGTTCTTATACTCGATGAGGGTAATCAGGTGAACGTACGATATAGAGCAGTTGAAGAGGAATCGATATTATTTAAGAGGGCTCTCAAGTCACAGTCAAGGTCATCACAACATCTACAATCTCGTATAAATTACAATGGCCGTTAAAGAACCCATCGTCCAGCGCATTGAGCGCACTGATGTGCCCGCTATCATTCAAGCTATCATCGAAGATGGTTGCGTTATTATCAAGAACTTCACCGACCTCGAGACCATCGAGAAGGTCAATGCAGAAACAAAGCCCTACATTGATGCGGACAAGCCGTGGAAGGTAAGTCATCAACTTCCCCTCGGATTAGGCACTGAAGAACCACATCTAACATCAACCAGGGCGATCTATTCCCACCCGAGACTCGACGCTGCTCCAATCTCGTCGGCCGCAGCAAGACAGCCCGAGAGCAATGGATCGTCGACCCGCTCATCAAGACTCTCACTTCCAAGTTCGTAGACAAGACCACCACGAACTTCTACGGCGAAACCAAGCACACCTACACCAGCGAAGCCATCTGCTCAATCGCCATGACCTTCGACGTCGGCCCCGGCGCCAAAGCCCAACGCCTGCACCGCGACGACAAGAACTTCCACGTCGACCACGAAGACCAAACCGCCACCGGCTACCGCGTCGGCTCCGACGTCATGATGGCCTTTATGATCCCCGGCGTCAAGACTACAGTCGAGAACGGCGCCACCATCGCCATTCCCGGTAGCCACCTTTGGGGCGCTGACCGGGCGCCCAAGCAGCACGAGGCTGTCCCGGCGCTGATGGAGCCGACTGATTGCTGGGTTATGTTGGGCGGACTGTATCACGCCGGTGGCGCTAATGTCACCGAGAGTGAGCGCAGAACTCTGCATGGCATGTTCTTTGCGCGCGGATACTTCCGCCAGGAGGAGAATGCGTATCTCGCTAATTCGACCGAAGAGGTGCTGTCTTGGGCACCGGAGGCGCAGAAGATTATGGGATACGAGCTGTCGAGTCCTAATATTGGGTTTGTGAATTTCAAGACCCCGCTGCAGTATATGCGGGGTGTGGAGATTGATGCATTTGGGGATTTCGACCCCTCACAGGAGAAGTAGGCTAGTAGCGGGGAAGTTTGATTCAGCGATATAGTTCTTACTGCGTATAGGAGTTAATGAAGTGAATGTCCATTGAGTATCAAGTCCACTGTTACTATTCAATAGTAAGGTAAGCATTGCCGACAATAAAGATAACCAGGGGAGTGGCAACTTGGTTATTGTTTTCTTGAAGCAGTAAACACCACACTTGGTGGGTTATCTAGACTTGGCGTAACGGCCTCCTCGTGATCACAATATCGGGGCTGTGTGAGGCTTGGCGATACCAATGGTCATACCATGCCAAGTACATTCAAGCGAAGATCGATTCCTTTGAGATAATCTGATTCCAATGAGGTCCGAATTGTGGAGCGATGGCGCCAAACCGCCACTACATAGTCAGAACGCCCTATGTCGCCCCACTTGGTCGAGAGCTCCGAACTTGCTGATAGGGACCAGCTGATTCCTTCGTGGGTGGGACAAACCGGGTGTCCACTTGGGGAGGCGTAGATGCATGGGCACAGCGATAGGGGCAAAGAGGAGGCAAAATGATGGACAGGGTGAGAGGATGGGAGGAAGAAGGGCCGATAGGTCTTCTGATAGGAACTATTGATTCAATACTATTGAATTTGAGGGAGGACATGACTCGCGTAAATATTGAGGCGCTAAACCTTAAGACAAAACACTAACCCGAAAAGGCAATCTAGTCCGATGCTCACATTGTTCAACTACAGGGTGGAACTCACATCTTTAAAGGTGATTCACAGGTCCTCGATTTATATACTACAAACCATAGGGATATAGAGGAACCCCCCAACCACAGATCCAACATCGTACCCCCCGGTAGCAAGTCGCAGAAGCCATAACGAAAGAGTCGCATATTATGTGAAAGTCAAAACGCAATCAACTCAGCCCCATATTCACTTCATCGCTGAGTCCCCATTCCCTTTCTGCCCTCTCCGTCCCACCAGCAGCCCTAGTCGACCATCGGTCAAGATGGTCCTGCGAGTTGGCAATGTCCTTGTCGCGCAGGCTGGCACTGTCACTAGTCGCCACACTTCCTTCGCGGGCATGGTGATGTTGGCGGGGATTGTTGATGCTGATAGGCTGTGAGGCGCCTGCACTTGAGCCCGTGGCACGCCCACTGTCAACGTCATCGGTAGCCTGCTCTTTTCCTGGGCCCTTGCTACCGCTGAACCAGCGGCGACGATGGGATGAATTGGTAGACGCGGCGATGCTCTGTGCATCGGCGTTACCGGACTCTTTTTCCCTCGACAGGGCTCTGGCAAGTCCAGACATGTTTTCTTCATCGGTGCCTGCTGGCGAGACCTCTGCTAACTCAGCGTCGCGGTACCACTTGCGTCGGCGGGTATAGCGATCCCAGCCGTCTTGACCGCGGCGTCCGTCATTCCACTAAGATCTGTTAGCAAACGATACAATGAACCTCATAGAAAGCACATAACCAACCTTATTATCATAGTAAATCCATCCCTCGCCGGTTGACCCCTTCGAGTCGGACTTTCCGTTAAAGTTGTCCGCTCCTTCGATGCGCCACTCGCTGCCCTCCACCCAACGCCATTTGGCATCTCCCGTTTGGACCTCTGGTAGTTCGAAGGAATCCTTGGCCGACACGGGATTCATATGCTCGTCTGTCCAGGGAGCACGTTCAGTCGGGAACAGCGAGTATGTCCACCCAATGCCCAACCAGCGTCGCTGATTCTCATACACCACGAAAGTAAACCGCACACCCGCGTTCGTTCCGCGGCGCCGAGTCGAAATGTTCAGGCCTTGACTTTGACCCTTGGCTTGGACCTGAGCCTGGGCCTTCTGTTGTTGGTCCGAAATACCCCCGAACGAGAGGCCCGTCGCGGCGGCACAGAGCCGACGCACTCCTCGAGACCGCCACAAAATGGATCGGGAGACCCTGGCAGGCCGGGAATGGTATGTCAGAAGGATAGTGCCGACGGCCATGACGACGCGGCGCGTGGTGAGCAGATAGAACGGGGGTAGAGTTAGAAGGATCCAAACAGGAGTGACCAAGAGGATACGGATGAATAGAGCCGTCAGCGCAGGTCTGGTAGTCGCGGATGTGGGCGTGCGCTGGGTAGAGAGGAAATCGGTGAGGTCGAGTAAGGGCTCAAGGAGGATATTGCATCTTGTTGTGAAGATGCGGAGGGTATCAACAATCTCATCAAGACTCTTCTGATGACGCAGTGAGCTATCCTGAGCAAGCTTTCTTTTGTGTTTTTCGCCCGTCGATGCTGTCGATGATAGAGGCGAGTAACGTCGCCCGTACATGCCGAGGATCAAGGCGACCACGACCAGGATCGGTCCTGCCCACAGAATGACAACATCGCTATATAACACGATCATCCAGAATGAAGCCACCAGCAGAAAGCTCTGCCATGGGTCTCCTGAGGTCCATGATAGGAGACCAGCGAGTTTGTTCAGGGGGAGAAGGAACGGGTGCGAGTAGGCTAGGGCTCGCGTGATAGCGGGTGGTGTAGCCACCAACAAAGGCGATTTTCGATGCACGATGACACTGGATCGTTGGCGCGAGGTCAAGGCCGAGCCGGTAATCGTCGATGGAGAGAAAGCTGCGACGGTCGGCGGTTGGGAATCCGACTGGCCAAGATCCTGGGCGTTCGTTGAGGGTGCCATGGAATCTATCCACGGAATATCGTCTGTCTTCAGTCAGTGACTGGGTTCTTGAAGGGAATTGACATGTACATACCAAGGGCTGCCATCCAATTATGGACATATCATAGAAAAGATAGTCTGCTCATCCTTTCTGGGACGAGTGAGGTTTATATGATCGTTCGTCATGTTCGGTCCAAGATCTGCGGGGAGATCGGGTTGGGCATGTGACTCTCGGTAGCAAACTGTCATGTTGAATATGAATGTTTTGGCAACTTTTGGGCATATCAAAAGGACCTTTAAATACAAAAAGTATTTTCTGAGTATACAATAACCATTACATATAGTCTACGAAAATAACATGACCTTGATAATCCATAGCTACTTTGTATATCACCGTCTTCCTTCACCCCGTGCCTGGAGCTCTGTCCCGAGGACTAAAACCCGCCGAAAATTTTCCCCTTCACATCTTCTTCCTCCACATATACACCCGTGATCGCCAACCCCTACGGCATTTCTCCAACATGGTATGTCCATTGATATAATTACTTCACCATCAAATAAAAGGAAATAAATCTAATTATCTCCATCCCCAGGCCCACCGCATCGTCTCTCAAGTCGTCGTGACCGGAGCCCGGGTCTTCGGCCGCGCCTTCGCCGAAGCCTACAAACAAGCCCAGGCGTCCGGAAAATATGCCGCTCATCAAAAGAAATCCGGTGGCTCCTCCACAACCTCCAGCGTGACCATCGAAGAGGCCTGCAAAATCCTGAACGTCAAGCCCCCAGCCAGCGGCGAACACGATCTCGAACACATCATGTCCCGATTCAAGAAGCTGTTCGATACCAACAACCCGGAAAAGGGCGGCAGTTTCTACCTGCAGAGCAAGATCCTGCGTGCGCGTGAACGGTTAGAAATGGAGTTCCGCGAGGCCGAGCGCAAGGCCGTGCATGACAAGGAATTGAAGGAAGGATGGAACCCCAAGGTCTACAAGGACAAATGATCCTGCACAACGGTGCGGTTCGCCGGGTTTCCGGTCTCCATACGAGTTTATCACCCGCCTTCCTGCAACTGGAGCCTTCGATTTCGACTGCCTTCGCTTTTTCGATCTGCTCGTCCGTTTCTTGTTTTGGCATAGCATGGCGTTTTGGATTATTGGGGAAAGACGCGTTTATTTCCTAGATTGCGGTCTTTCTCTTTGAGAGTTCTAGATGGGATCCCCGAATCCCTTGGATATCATCTCCTGTCGGAGGTGGGAATGTCATTTCCATCTCCGATCTCATTGACCTTTCGGTCTGTGTATATCATCTGTGATGCGCCGCGTTTCCTTGACCTTCTCCACTCTATCCCGGAAAGGATTCATGTACAATATCATATACTTGCATTAACCTGTGTGATGTCCGGTCTATAATCATTTACCTTTGTTTTGTACATAAACATGTAGCCAGGTACGAATGACTTGACATTTACTTTTTTTGCCACCGCCGGTTGTGCAGGAACAACCTCACTTCATCTTTGTACACAGTACAGCCATCGAAGAATATATCGGCTTGGCAACAGAAGTCACTCAAACATGGGATTGAGGAAACGTACCTCATAGCCCAAGCTCAATCAATCGTATGTCCCGATCTGGAGGCGATGTAATCCCCGCCATGGCGCCATCCGGAGCGGAGCCGAAATGGTGTTTTTTTTTGTATTAGCAATCTAAGCATTTGCGCTTTCCCAACCCTCTTTACCAATTGATCGTTTCCCAGAAGATACCCTTGAATCCATATCTACAAGCCCATGACCGTCGACAAGATCACCGCAAAAGAAACAATGCGCCCCTCAACCCCGCTGTCAGCGGCTCTCCCCCCGCTCATAATGGGCACCGCAACCTTCAACAACCAATACAACGCCGACCCATTCGCCCTCCCAACGACCGAACTCGTCCAGCGTGCCCTATCACGCGGTATCCGCGCCTTCGACACATCCCCCTACTACGGCCCAGCCGAAGAACTTCTCGGCCGCGCCCTCGCAACCGAAACCGTACAAAGCAACTACCCCCGCAACACCTACCACCTCCTCACAAAGGTCGGCCGCATAGCAAGCTCCACATTCGACTACTCCCCAACCTGGATCAGACACAGCGTGCGCCGCAGCCTCCGCCGCCTACACACAGACTACCTAGACGTCGTCTACTGCCACGACGTGGAATTCGTGACACCGGCAGAAGTCCTCACAGCCGTGCGCGAGCTGCGCCGTCTCCGCGATGAAGAAGGCATCCTGCGCTACGTCGGTATCTCCGGATACCCAGTCGACACGCTAAGCGATCTCGCGGAGCTGGTGCTGCGCGAGACGGGCGAGCCGCTCGATATCGTCATGTCGTATGCCAACTTCACGCTGCAGAATACACGGCTGCATTCGCATGCCTTGCCTAGGCTGGTTGCTGCTGGTGTCGATGTCGTGCCTAATGCCTCGGTGCTGGGCATGGGTCTGCTGCGTCGTGATGGCGTGCCGATCGGTTCCATGGGCGATTTCCATCCTGCGCCTGATGCCCTGCGCACGGCTATTCGTGGTGCTTCGGAGTGTGCTTCGCGGCATGGAGAGAAGCTCGAGGTGGTCGCTATCCGCTTTGCGCTGGAGTCGTGGCTGCGGCTTGGTGCAAGGGCTGGGGTCCTTGGTGCGCCGCTTGCGCGTGCGGCGGACGCTGACCCTGGGTTCTTGTCGGCTGCTACGATGGGCACGGGGAAGAGGCTGGGGGTTAGTGTCATGGGCGTTAGCAATTTTGCCGAGCTGGACGAGACTTTGCGCGTCTGGCACAGTATTGTCGACGGATTAGAGAATTGGCGCGAGGAGGATGAAGAGTCACTTTTCGATATCACGTTGAAATCGACTGAGCGGTCGGATTCCAAACCGGATGCTCTTATGGGTGTTGTCCCCACGGCATCGAACACCAGTATGCTCACGCCCCAGGAGGGTCTCGTTACGGATCGTGCGTGGTCCCATGCGCGCGGCGTTCGTATCCTTGAACTCGCACGAGAGATTCGGGGTGTCATCGGCAGAGAGTGGGTTGATTATGTTTGGGATAGTCCGTCACCGGACTTTGTGAACTTCATACCTGAGGATCATATCGCCACTTTGCAGAAGATTGAAGCTGAGCAAAGGGCAGGCGGGAAGATGGAGCTCCCAATATCTGATACTACGATTAGCGAGACCCCTATGCTGACCCCGCCGTCAGATGCGGAGAAGCAGATTGCATAGATATAACTACGAACAGACTCATGAATGCATAATGTACCTACATGTACTGTAAATGTAGGCCTATGGCGTCTTCCAATGTTACAGTGGTGATTCGTGCCTTCCTTTTCTACGTGTTTAGCTTCCCGCATGATTGTACAAGCATAAAACAAACGTCTACAGGCAGGAGCCATGGACTCCGGACAACACTGGGAAAGAGCCAAGGATTCGATATTGGACAGAAAGTGTAGTGACATGCGAGATGCTCGGGGATTATTGGCTGGGCACCATTTGGAGCATGCTGCATCTGGCCCCGATTCTACCGACAATCTCCTCGGGATCACATCCCGTGCCATCCTTTATGGGCACGTGCGCGCGACAAAGTTCCTGATAGTGATCCGCAGGCAAGACATGCACCAGTGTCAAACGGGGGAAACAGGAAGCTGAGCTCTACACTAGGTGCTCGAGTCCTCTCTCAGAATTCGCAAGTAGCGCGTTCTGAGTGAGGAGAGAGGCAGGGAAGGGGGAGGGAAAGGGAAAGAATAATAAAAGCCGACAAACATGATTGCCGTTGATTTTCATTGTAATCAGTACAAGTAAAAAAACTAGGTGCTTGTCGTGGTGGTCACAGGAGTCGGGAATTAGTCGAGGGGCCGGATTGACTTGCACTGACGTGAAAACGAGTGAGGTTTCGAGATTGCTTGAGAGTAATCATTGAGGTCGGTTCTTAATCAATGAAGATCGAGAACGTACTTTAGATGATAACCTCAGTCAACTGCAACCAAGAACAGGTTAACGTAATCTGTCCAAGTCAAGATCCAGGAGAGAAACCAATAGTCACCGTTTTGGCCTCAGCCCACAATGAATGAAGATTTCTCCCCCCTCACATCCGAGGACAGAGGCATCGAGTTTTGCCTAAACATATGAGAAGATATTCAATGAGCCACCATATCACCAGTGCAATCAGCACTGCATTCCTCCTCTTCCCCGCGAGCAAATCACCAAACCATTCGAAGTAAGGGGTATCATACAAAAATATCATACAAACAGAAACCAAAAAAAAGTCGTCACGGGCGTCGAAACGGAGCTTAACGGCATGCTGACATCTAACCGATAAGCTTCTCCCTGGCATCCAAGTCAGCCAGCATCTGCTCATCAGTCTCATAGCCTGCATGGCGGCGAGCTTGGCTGAGACTAAGAGTATTCGGGACTCTTTCCAGATCGGGCCTCAGGCGTTTGAGCCTGGCAGCACGCTCTTGACACGCCTGGCGCCGTGTCTCTCCCCTTCGCAATCGAGCCGACTTTTCTTCCTTCTTGGTGGGCTCCTCGTCAGAGGAGATGTTTTCTGGCTCCGATCGCGTGCCCTTCGAACTCGCGCTGGCCTTCGTGGAAGCCTTCTTGGCGGGATTAGGTACCTTGGGCGCAAGCACCTCGCGCTTAGGAGGAGGTCCGGCAGGCAACGGCGGCGGGGGGACAAAGGCTTCGTCGGCCGGCGGAGGAGGAGGCGCCCGGTAACGAGCGAACCTCTCTTCCGTCATAAACACATGGCGAAGTTGGTAACGCTGTTCAAGATATTCATCAAAGTTCGCGGCAATGATAGGTTCTAGGATGCTCTGATTGGGGCCTTGGACAAGTGCCAGGTACTGCATGCGTTTCTTCAGGGCATCGAAAGCTTGGCCAAAGGTTCTGAGGATCAATTCGACCTCCTTTGTACCGCCCGATATGTCATTGTCGGGATTGTTGGGATCTTGAATAGTGAGACGATCAGGGTTTCCAAAGTATTTCTGTTAGTGCGGGTCAGCTGGCGAATCGACAGTCATGGGAACAAATATTCACTCACCTTGGTGAAATAGCCAGGGGGATCCATCCGAATCGCCATCGTCTCGTAGGGGAAATTGAGCCCGTACAAGGAGAAAAAATCCAGCAATATGCTCCCCAGATTTGGCTCCACATGGCCCTGGGGAAGATGCTGTAGAAGGCTCGTAACCAAGCAAGTGATCGAAAATCCTCCGAGACCACCAGTTGGGACTTCGTTGAGGCCGCGAATCAGTAAGAACTGCTTGATCACGGCCAAGATCACCGGCATCATAGGATACTGCGCCTTCCATTTCTTGAATGTCTCATTGGCGAGCAAGCCACTGTCGTTATCGAAAGACAAATCGACCCGCAATCCAGTGAGCTTGTCAACATACTTCAGGATGGGTACTCGAGCAGAGGCAATGCACTCGATCGAGTTGGGAACAGCAATGTTCAAGTCCCTTAGGAAGGCTGAAAAAGAGTAGATCTGGCCCTTTCTCTCTCCGAAGTGTCGGACTCCCGAGCGCCTGAATTGCGGCGACAGCAATACTAAATCAATATCGGCCGTTGGCAAGTAGAGACCTGAGGCAAATGAGCCAAAAGGCTTGATTTCAGCACCAGGGTATCGGCTCCGAAACGCGATCTCCAAGCGGTTGACAAGATCCGTGCGCACGATGTCTTCGAAATAGTGTGGCTTCACCCAGTGATAGAAACTGAGGATCTCGTTGTGCAATCTAAGTCACATGTTAGAGAGAAAACAGAAAGGAAGGTAGCCCTAAGTACTGACTGTGTTCCGACGTGTAAAGTAGATGGCGTGCCCTCAAACCAAGGCGTGCCGATCTTTTGTGAGAGTGGTCTCCACTGGTCGATAATTGAACCATCGTAATTGAATCTGCTCGCAGGCTTTCCAGTCTTCCTGGAGTATCCTTTGATTTCATCGTCTCGGGTTCGCTTTCGGCTTGCGATGGCGGAATCTAACCCTTCCAAAGCCCTCGGTCCTCGGGGAGCATTGTTGGGAGCGTTGCTCTGGGGCATATCTGATTCATTCTCCATGCCGAGAGAAATGAAGTCTGAGTTCTGCTTGACAGCGTCTGTCTCGTCCACCTTGGAGGCAACTTCAAGTCTTGCTTTGCGAATCAACTTGACAACATCCACCCGTTTGTTTGTCACTTCAGCTGGAGGGGGCAGTGCGGTGTAGGGGTCGGGATTCGACCATTTAGGTGCAGGAACAGATGTCTCGATATCCTGGGCTCCATCCAAACCGAAACCGAGGGCACGTTTCTTGCGCGGTCGCTCGTCGTCAGAATCGTCAGATATGTCCATTTCCACCTCTTCGCTATCGCTCAAAGAGGCAAGAGGTGCAAATTTGAGGTTGGACTTTGAATCGCCAGACAAGAGTTCCGGCGCGCTTTCCATCCTCGTCGATAACAACGGTCGGTCCGCGGTGGCAGGTTTCTGGTACCGGAACGTGAACTCATGTCTTGGTCGGGAACCGCGCTGGTTCGAGTTTCCTCTGAACTGGAATGGAGGAGGCATGGCTTACAAGTAGCTGATTCTCAGCTGGAATGCAGACACAAGTAGGGCAAGAAAGTGATCAGAAATGCCCTAACGCGCGGAAAAAAAAGATTCGGCGAAATACTGCTGCGTGGTGAAGGCGGTGACGAAAGTTGTGAATGATGAAGGCGGTGACGAAGTTGAGTTGCGAATGCCCTTGGTTTTCTATTTATGTCGAAAATGTGACAATGTCTGAGGAACAGCTGAACAAGCAGGTACGTTGAATGTACCTTCCGAATATAGTTCATGACTTTGCTATGTTTGTTCTTTCCCCCTCTGAATATACTTTCATCCCACCTTCCAAACGATGAATCAGGTCCGGTTGCACCGCCATCTCTGCAAAACTGACCCGGCTGGTCGCCCAATCCAACCAGTCCTCGGCCCTAGCACCATTCGCCTGGAGCAATCCGACACTCACATCGAGCAGCAGCGGCCTCTCTTCACAATGCCAGAATACAGTAGCACCACAACAGCCGCAGAACTCTCTATATACCTCTGGTGAGCTGTTATATCGTCGCATAGTACCTGCCTCAAACGTGAGCGGTGTCCCGTCTGCATTGAGGATGTTGGATTTCGGCACAAAGGCCCATGCCTGCAGGGGAAATCCACTGCTCATTCGACAGGTGTTACAGGCACAGATTCCTGCGAGATACTTTGTATCTTTTTGACGCAGCCACCATTTTATATCGTGCGGATTCGCCCCCGACCCAGTGTGATATGGGACCAGGAGATCTGGCCAAGGTGAAGTTGCTTGAAAGGATGATTTGTCAGGCTTGGTGATATTCAAGTCAATTCCTCCACACAGACATTGTACTCTCAAACGCTGAGTAGTTGGTGGGATTTCGGCTGGTTCTACTCGTTCTTGGTTGTAGCTTTCGAGTCCGGTTGGAGTATGTAACCTGCAACCTGTGACTGTGGACTTTGTTCCAGTGAGAAATCCACTGAGTCCACCGTCACGAGTATCGCTGCTTTGCCAGTGCTCAATCACTTGTATTTGTGGAACGTCCTTTGCTAACAATCCCGATGCAACCATATACTGTCCACCGGGCTGCAGTCGAACGTAGATGTGGGCACCACATGTATTACAGAAGAAACGGCTAACGTGATTGGACTGTCGGTATTCCCGGAGGCCATCTAGGCTGGGTGGTTCATGCTGAAGGAAGTAATACGATGAAGCCAGTTGCCCAGTCACCGCGCGACAGCTGTTGCAATGGCACAGTTGGAGTTTAGAATGGTTGACATCAGAGTGCAACTGGACCGATGTCGATACACTTCCGCATAAGCAAGCTATAGAGGTCATGATTTGAGGACCTAGCTCCTTATCAAGTAAAATAGCAGTGCGTTGGCTATGTGCTCAAGCGGGGATTGCAGAAATGTGCTCGTCAGTGTCAGGTGAGAAGAGGAGCAAGGTCAATGGCTCAAAGAAATGTTAAAGTCACGAGTATATAAGCTCCCGCTTATCCCGGTCCTTCCCTCCTCTTTCTCCCTTCTTCCCCCACCCACAACCATACACTATACCTATATATTACCTTCAAGTCTTCACTTGTCTTCCACCAAAACATTCAAAATGAGTAAGTACTTCCTTAATGTTGTTCATGACTTCTCCGGCCTCTGAAGAACCGCGCTTTGCCCCGTCCTGATCCGATCTCGGGATGGCGGGGTCATAGCGGGGTAAACAATCGTGTCCATCTTTGCAGCACTCACTTTTGCTCGATGCTGACCACGATGATAGGCGACCACGGATGCACCTGCGGCTCTTCTTGCCAGTGCCCTGCCGGCTCTTGCAACTGCCCTGTACGTGATATCACTCCCTGTCTCCCTGTTACCCCTCTTCGATGACGTCTGGCTGATCGGAACCCCTCACTCCGCTTAGAAGAAATAAATCATCATTTTGCCATGGCATTCACGATGAATCAGTTTGAAATCACGTTGCGGAAGGAGGAGTAATGGCGTGCACATGAATTGAGGATATCTGTAGCCGACAGCCCTTCGGTTGAGCTATACCGATGCACGTAAAACAATGAGAATAGGAAGGACAGTTTGCCATATTCAACGATATGCGGTTATTTGACCACTTTTATTCTTCGTAGAACCAGTACCTTGTGGGCAGATCCAATCTTTGGGTCTTCCAGGTCGGTGGGGGTCGACCTTGGGAGCTCAACGGCCTGTATGACATGCTGAGATCTTCAGAGAATATCCCCGATGGAGATTTGTACATACATGGTACGGTAGTATAGACATTGACGTGTACCTACATCGTACAGGACACCTACACACACATATGCATGGCCAAGATCACAAAGTGGGAATACTTCGGAAGCTGGGCGAGTGGTTTCTGCGTTTCATAGTACTATCAGGCATCCTTCCCAACCCAACCACACAGACCACTGGCGATCGTCTGAAGCATCGTCACATTGCTCAGATGTGGGAGTATCCTCCCCGGTTCTGAGCAATCTGATTTGGTCTCCGCGGCTCTTCACAGTTTGCCAATGCGCCTTTTTGTTCCTCGAGATCAAACATTCTTATGAGACCCCGACACCTGGGACCACAAGTCAGACCCAGAAGACTTAAAAAGCGGGACCAAATGCTGCACGAGGCCAAGAAGAGTAGTATCCGATCGAAGCCAATCACCATCTTTATGCACCTCGGAGGTCTGCGATATGCTTTGGTAACTTCAAGATTCCAACGTGCAGCCTCTCCACTTTCTTGGTCTCTGCTGGATTGCCTTTCTTCCTCGAATTCGAAGAGGTTCCAATGTGCTCGCTTACAAAGTTACATGGAGCCCAAACATTTCCCACGTTTCAAGACTATCGGACCCGCTACAGCGAAGATGCTGATACCTCGAGGTTATCGGATTTCGCCTTTGACCGAGGAATAACTAACTACACAGTGGAGAACATCTTACATGCCCGTTTCTCCTCTGCATCAATATCTATCATACTATTGCATTTGCGACAATCTCATGCCTCTTCAACCCATACTACCGTTGTACAACAAGCCCCGAAGTATGCAGACAAAATTCCTACCTACCAGTTAGCCTCGCTGTCACACACTAAGACAAATACCCCAAAGTAATCAAGAAAAACACGGAACTCGAAACAACTTGGCACTCCACCTGGTGGACATGTACATGCATTTCAAGTAAGCCAAAGCTTACCAATGAGGCCCAAAAGCGCCCCTCCTCCCAAGGTCCACACGTGCAAACACTTGGCCGCAGAGGCTCCCACCGCGATATTCCAATCCTACGCCGCTGCAGGCGCTGGAAATTTCACTCTTGGCTCCTCCCCAGTTGAATAAGATGCACAACATACTTTGTACTTCCCTGTTGTAGTCGTTACAGCAAAGTACACATATTCCATCCATATACCCCATGGTGGGCATAGACATGTGTATGACTGTATGAGATAATAAGAGGCCCGTCCCGAAAGCTGTGGATCAAATAATGCAGATCAACTTCGTGCCCGAAACGATGAAGGGTTTTTGGGTTTAAATAACGCATTCATGGGAATGGGATAGCGTTGTGACTTGTGAGTTACACGTATACGCAGCATGTTGCTATAGTCAACAACTGTATACATCCACAAAGGTATCAACCCACATATAGTAATCAGCAACTTGGATCTAGTTGGAATTAGAAGCAAATAAACCCCTACATCGGTATAGTACAGACATTAATTCCCGCATCCAGCAAAGCATACATCGTTAACAACGCATACAACGACCTAACAAGTAATAACCACTCCACATGGAAGTAAACCCTGCGCCCATTCCTAGTTCTAGTGCAGCCCTGACCCATACCAACCACGTTGTTCGCATGAACCCGGCCCGAGCTGCAATCAGATCTACACGCCTGAAGCCTGATCAAGCGAACCCATCCTACTATGCCGTATGTATGGGCTTGGCCATACCGAGCAAACACCGTGGAGACGGGGGCGCATGCAGCTAGACAACCAAAGACCAAGATCGGAAAGGATTCAAACACCCCTCTAACAATCTATGCGCCATGTTCGCCCGAGAGGGGAGTTACACTTCTCTCCTCTCTATTGGAAGATTTGGCACAGGCAGAACCCGATAGGCCCCGCTTTATTGGCGAGCGTTAGAGTGAGGTACTGTCCTCGTACCATCGCAACAGCGCATAGCGCGTGAGGAAGAAAACGGAGATAGATGATAGGTGGGATGCATGAAGTGGGTTTGTATGAGGGGGGTCAGAAGTGGGATGCCAGCAAATACATGGGCTCATTTGACTCGCCCACGCGATGAGATGGGGTGTTTACGGACGGGGCAGGTTGAGTCCTTGACTGCACTGTTGTTAGGATTGGATGGAAGGCGCATGATAAGCGCATATGTGGGAATAGTAAGTATTATCTTACAGGATGCTGGTTCATATGTCATAAGTTGATGGAAACTTGGCTTCAGACAGAGAGGTATAAAGTAGGCCTCAAATTCCTTTCTCTGGCCTTTCTTTTCTTCTCTACCCCGAGCCGTTTTATATCCAAAGCCCAACTATCTTCAAAGCTTTTCAAGGTTTCTTACCTACCACATCTACATTCATCATGTCTCCCTGCACCTGCAACTGCTGCTCTGGCGAGTGCAGCTCCTGCTCTTGCGAGTCCTGCAAGGTATGTTGTGCTTGGTTCTTTATGTTCTATAACTACCCTTTTGGGAAGCATCGGACCATGGGATGAATGATTCTAACTATATCCTTTCTAGCACTAAGCCGGCTCAGAGGCCTTCGTCACCGCCATCCTCCTCCTATACAACTTATACCAGACCCGGACTCCCACTGCTAGCCAGATAGCTGGGATACGGTGTCTTGCCTTGTCAAGCTGTGATGTTCTGTTGTGATCATCCGAGATGATTGTATGCTAGGATCCGGGGAGAACAGGGCCTGGAGCCTTGTGGATGGGGTGTCGGTTTTATAGATGCAGATCTGATCTCGTGTACGTTCTTGTGACTTAGTTAGGCCAAGTGCTATATACAGCTATATGCTGCTTTTTCTGTGATTTGCATCTTTCGTACTCCGTATAGGTATCATCTACTCTAGGAAATGACAGTCATCCGGCGGCGAGCATCCCGAGACAATTCACTGCCTATGGCAGATCTTGGCCAAGTCGGGTGACTTGTTTGGGTGACATCCGTGCTCCGAGACTCTAGATGTAAGCAAATGAAGGATAGAGCGGGGATGCTCATCTAGATTATAACAGCTTCGGCCAATTGACGAAGGTCCTCGACACGTCTGATGAAAGCAATAGGAAACATAAGCGCTCAGACGGCAATGGATTCCAACTAATGGTATGCATATGAAAAACACAATCCAACAAGTAGCTATGCAACATCAGATGTAAATCGAAAACAAAATCACAGCTCATCTTTCGAGCGTGGCGTATCCGCCTCCTCGCCACCAACACAAGCGGCCGGCGAGGTAACAAGCATGGCATACACGCACTTCTCCTCTTCAGCCGTCTTCAGAATCTTGTTCTCCTCACCACATTCCAGAATGACCTTGGTCGACCGGCTAGGCCCATTCCAGCAGGACTGGCCACGATCGTACTCGAGTGTGATCTTCTCGATGTTGATGACCTCGCCAGCCTCGTTGACCTCTTCGACGCTTGTGGATCCTATCTTCGAAAACTTGCCCATGGACACGGAGCTGCCTCCCTTCCTCTGGTTCTGCCTCGTTGATTCGAGGAAGCAGTGCTCGTACGTGTACTCGCCCGCATCGTGGGAAATGCATACGCCCTTGAGTGCGCGGAAGATGGAGGCGGGACCGTAGTCCTGTTCGAGGTCGGCGCGCTGATCGCGGAGCTTGTTCTTGAGATCGGTGAGAGAGTCTTGGGCAGACTTGAGTGCGTCGCGTGCCTCGGTCACAGCCTTGGATTCAGTAGAGGGGTCCTCGTTGGTCTTGGGCAGGATGCCGTTGTCTTCGAGGAAGCTCCTAGCTGAAGCGACCTTGTCTTCAATGAAGCTGACCAGTGATGGGGAAGATAAGCTGCCAACTTGTATACTGTAGTTGTCAGTTAGTTGGCTGTCCTTGGTGGCCACCTCACAAAATAGCATGTAGTAGCTTACCTAGATCTGAGTCATTGCAACCATCCTCTGCGCTTTCCCAGTGCTCCCAGTTAACACCGTTGTCTGAGCCATCGGGCTTGGCAATTTCATCCAAGTCACGCTCCGCAGCACCATTCACACCCTCAGCACCCTGCTCGCGGGCAGCGTAGTCCTCGTAGCTGCGGACAGCACGTTTGACACCCTCATCGTTGAAGTTGGGGTTATATTCCACCTTGACCTTAGCCAGAATATCCTCCAGTTCCTTCACCCTCTCACGGGCTTCATCCCGCTGGCGACGCACATCCACCAAGGCATTGCGCAGCTCCTCAACACGGCCCTTGGCAAGGTTAGCAAGGGCATTGACCTTGCCTTTACCCTTGCCCTGCCCTGTACGGACGACCTTTCGGTCCTGCTCCTGGGCGAGCTTCAGGGCAGCCTCGAGATTCTCTTCCTTGACCTCGGCTCCTTGAATCTCAGCCTCTAGGCTGACGATATGATCTTTGATTTCCTGCTGCTGGCGACCAGCATCGACAAGAAGATCCTTCTTCTTCCTCAAGGCAGCAGTCATGGACTTCTGTGTCTGCTCTTCGTGTTTGCGCCACTGCTTGCCGATCTCCTTGCACCGGTCTTCACACTTCGTACCTCCGACACGAGCCCACTCATCGCTACCATCGCAGCACTGCTCATAATCGCAGATGCCATCGTTGACACGTTGGAACGGAACGTACGATGGCCGGTGGCCCTTATTTTTGCAGTAGAATCCCGGGAGCGCGAGCGCGACGTCCAGATCGCTATTCCCCGGCCTGTCGGCTACCGTCAGCGGCGAATTGCGCGAGATGTGTGAGCATGCAGCCGTGCCGGGCTCGTCGCTTCCGTCCGGACAGTCGCAGAAATCATCGTTGACTGCCGAGAAGGGGATTTTGATCGACGGGTTCGAGATACAGGTGAATGTGGTCGAGTCCTGGTAGAATTTGGCAACTTAGAATTCCATATTAGCATACTATTCAACAGAAAGAATCAATTGCCTTTCGTAGATCACTGTCGTCCGAACTCGCTGCGGAAACACTACATAACAATATGGGTGGATCTAGTCTGGGTCCAGGTACTCACATTCTGGGCCCACGCCACGGGGGCGGGCAGGCTTGTCACTGCTAGCCTGGGCCGTCGACGCAGCGGCAGCCAGCAACAAGAATGACTCCACAAGTCTCATGGTTGAGGCATTGAGCTTTGTTTGTGGAGGTGCGGAGAGAGCTTCTGGCCAGTTGTTGATAGCGGGCCCCGAATCGGGCCCGAATCTAATCAGTGCTGAGTCAGCGCTATCTTTCCATTGCGTCTTTATCGTGGCGAGTGGGCAACATTCCTCAACTGTATCGCCAACATGGGTAATGATGGTGGAAGGTAGGTGGTCGCTGAATTCGGTGTTTTTATATACTGGCTATCTGCTAACACAATGCTTTCTAGTATCCCGACGCGCCGCGAGCTCGTCCGCGAAGCAGCCCGCGCCCCGAGCACGGCGCAAGTAAAAGAAACCCAGCGCGAACAGCAAGAACACTGCTGGACCACCTGTCCGCTCTCGCACAAGTCTTTGGTCCGACCGATAGTCTCTGACTCCGTCGGTAATCTATACAACAAGGACGCTATACTCCAGTTCCTGCTCCCCGGCGACGACGTCGAGGGCATCAGCTCCAAGGCCGACTGTGAGGAGATCTTGTGCGGGCGAGTAAAGTCGCTGCGCGATGTGGTTGAGATGAAGTTCGAGGTCGACACCGAGCTCACGGAGCACCCGAGCGGCCGTGCTTTTGCGCCCCGCGAGCGCCGCGAGGGCTGGATTTGCCCGATCACCGCGAAGGCGTTGGGGCCGAGTGTGAAGTCTGTGTACCTGGTGCCGTGTGGCCATGTCTTTTCAGAGGAAGCTATTCGGCAGCTCAAGGGGGATAAGTGCTTACAGGTAAGAATGGTTCCTTCTTGTCTACAGTTGGAGATAGTTCCTGACATCTATGACTTTTATCAGTGCAACGAATCATACACCGAAGACAATATCATTCCGATCTTGACGACGAAAAAAGAAGATAAACAGCGTCTGATCGCGCGCGGCCACAAACTCGCCGAACAGGGTCTCACACACTCGCTTAAGAAAGCTCCCGGTTCAAAGAAGCGCAAGAAGCAAGCGAGCGCCGAGGGCGCGGCTGATGCCGCAGAGCCTGCTGGGTCGGATCCGTCTAAGGAGCCCTCTGACTCTAAGGGTAGAAGCAATACTTCCACGCCGGTGCCTGCCAATGCTGCTAGCAATGGAATTAAGAATGCTGCTACTTCCTCGCTCACTGCTCGTGTGTTGGCGGAGGAGGAAGAGAAGAAGAAGCGCCGGAAGTTGATGGGCCGCAATGAGAATATTGACAGCCTTTTCTCTAAGAAGGATGGGGGGTCGAAGAATCGCGATTTCATGACCCGAGGATTCTCCATTTCATGACCTGAGCGATTCCTATCTTGCGGTGCATGGGTCGCTCGTTGAGGGGGAGTTTCATGTTTGGAGTTTATGGGGCCTTTGCTTTTCTTCATCGATTGACGGTGACTACGACGTTGTATGCTGGACAGGAAAACAGGTAGCATGCCGACCTTGACGAAAATAACATCAATCTCCAATATTACGGAAATAGAAATATGAGAATGAAACCAGAAAATGCAATCCAATCAATAATTCTCTAATGTACAGAAGATTGCTCTCATATAAAGGGGAAAGACGCTCCCAGCATTCTACATAAATTCAAGACCTAAGCAGCCACAGTCTTAGGCCTTTTCCAGCGCGATATTTTCTGGCCCAAAGGCTTGTTGATCAAACCATTCTGGTAGAGTGTAGAGACAATGAGCTTCTTGCGGCCGAAGTCTTCATCGATGTGGTGACGAGTCTGGCGGACATCGGCGATCTTGACATTGGGCAATTCAGCCGCGCCATTCTTGTCCATGATCTCGTGGAGAGTCACGGGGTTCAATCTGACAGTCTTTTTGCGGAGGGACTCCTGCTGACTGAAGACCTTTCCGACTGTGTTGGAAGACGTAATGACGGAGTCAGAGATGCGCTCGCCGGTCAACTCGGAGAGTCGGGAGAAGAACTAAGATGTGACTGTTAGAAAACTGGCCAGATAGAAGAGTGAGGGAGTTAACGAACAGCGAACTTGACAGTCCCATCATCAAGCGGCAAGGACTTGAGGCTGTGCCCCTTGGTTTCCGCACCGTAGATGGAGTTCTCGAGCTTGCCGGCGCTCTTCAATTCCTCAATGCGTTTCTGGAAATCGGCCTCCTCAAGTTCCGGCGAGACAGACTTCTGTGCGGTGAGAAGGAGTCTCTCCATTGTTGTGTTGTTAGGGAACCGGAGACGGTCACCCCATTGTCCAGCCTCGCCTTCGAATTTGCATGACTTGATACTGGCTCGAATCACGCGCGCGCGGAAGGCCTCGTTGCGGGAAGTGAGCGGGAGCCCGAGAATCTGGTTCAATCCCATCTCAACGGCGGCCTGATGAACAGCCTCTCTCAGTGGAAGAGCATTTTCATTGGCGTACCATCTATACCAATCAAAATGGACATAGTCAGTAAAACGTACCGCGAATGCCATGCCGAGATGCAATAGCCTCAAATCGACTCAAGATCAAACATACGCTTTAACGACATCCGTTTTCTTGTTCTGGCCCTTAAGACGCCATGCATCCTCCGGCAGATAACCAATCTTAGGCATTCCCTCCCAGGTCAAGTTCTCCACCTCCACGTTCTCCGGTGCTTCAACACCCTTCGACAGACTGAACCCTTCATCTTCCTGCTTTTCCGGGGCAGGTTCGGAACCGGGCATAAGCTGACTTCCAGAGTACGGGTCTGCTGGGCCAGGGGGCTGATCTGTGCCCCAAAGCTTGCGCCGAGTGCGCTCGAGAATTCCGGGGGATTCGGAGGCGTAGCAGCGGACTTGGTTCAGCGGCGAGATACGGGGTGTGGCTTGAATTCGACAGCTGGAACAGACGAATCTTGCCTCCCGCAATGGGAGGCGCATTGATGGGCGCATTGCTGAGTGTGGGCGCGTGTGCTGTTTGAAGCGTCGAACCGGCGGAGTTTGGCTGGGACGGAGAAACAAATTCGAGAAAGGCGCAGGTCACGTGCTTGGTGATCTGGATGCTTGGCATTTTGGTCTACACAGTAAACTCGGCACTGATTTCTCGTAAAAGGAATGGTTCACATTGAAATTTCATATTACAATTTGTCCAATGGGCTGCTTTAAGCTTTTGTCTGATTTCCTTAGTAATTAGTTACTGTTACTACATGTAGTCAAGTGCAATTGACCCTGATTGTTTGGCGTAGAAAACCCCTACACAGTAGATCTCCAAGATCACCAACTAGAGTCACGTAAAATTTGAAAGGAAAGAAGAGAGTTATTTATAATTATGCGAACTGTATATACACATGCACCGCTGATACCATACTACCAATCAAGGGCAGATAAAACTATTGACATTGTGAAAGAGCAACTGACAGATCACTCGCGGACGAACATGCCCGCCATACCCATACCAGTACCGATGCACATGCTGATAACACCGATCTCCTGGCCACTGCGCTCCAACTCAGGCAGCAAAGTAGCCAGCTGGCGAGCACCGGTCGCACCGAGCGGGTGACCGATAGCAATAGCACCACCGTTAGGGTTAACCTTAGCCTCGTCAATGCCAAGCTTGCGAACACTGTAGAGCGCCTGCGAGGCGAAAGCCTCGTTGATCTCCCAAATACCGACTTCGGGAACCTTGACATCAAGAGCCTGCAGAAGCTTGGGGATAGCAACAGCAGGGCCGACACCCATCTCGTCGGGGGCACAGCCCGCAACAGCAGACGCGACCCAGCGCGCCTTGATGGAGCCAGACAGACCAAGCTCCTCGGCGGTAGAGCGGCGCATCAACAGCGCGGCGGCAGCACCATCGCTGACCTGCGAGCTGTTGCCGGCCGTGCTGGCGCCGGTAGGCGAGAATGCGGGCTTCAGGGCACTAACCTTCTCGAGCGACAGACCGTGACGAATTCCATCGTCCTTAGTGACAGTCACATCCTTGGCGGGGGCATCGGGGTTCTCGGGATCGAGGGTCTTGGTGGTGACGGGGATGATCTCGGAGTCGAAGCGGCCAGCCTTCTGCGCAGCAGAGGCCTTGGCGTGCGACTCAACGGCGAAGGCGTCCTGGTCGGCGCGGGACACGCCGTAGCGGGATGCGACATTCTCCGAGGTAATGCCCATGGGCATGATGCAGTCACGCGCATCCTTGGAATAGGACTCCTTCAACTCGGGCCAGAGGACTGTGGGGATGGCGCGGGAGCCGTAGTTGCGGGTCATGGACTCCATGCCACCGCCGATACCGACATTGATGGCGCCGGCGCGGATGCCGTTTGCGATCGTTGTGATCGCTGCCAGGCCGGAGGAGCATTGGCGGTTGATGGTGTTGAAGGGGACGGAGTGAGGGAAGCCGGCGTGGATCTGGGCCATGCGGCCGGCTTTGGCGCCGCCGAGTTCTTGCAGGACGGAGCCGATGAGGACATCGTCAATCTGGGCGGGGTCGAGGTTCGGGTTGGCCTTCAGTGTGGCTTGTAGCACGCTGGCGAGCAGCTCTTCGGGGTAGGCATCTTTGAAGCCGCCCTTCTTGGCGCGAGTGACGGGTGTGCGCAACGAGGACAGGATGACAATGTCGTTGGGAGACTTCTGGAGCACCTGGCGGAGGCCGCGGGGAATTGGGGAGGCCATTACTGGGTATGTATTATTTTGATGGATCGCTCAGGATAAGTTGCGACTGTAGGGTATTTCCGATCTTTCTCGACGCTGTCAGTTTGGTGTCAAGGAATCCGATCGGGGGGCATATACTTACATCTATACAATATGCAGCGCAGATGCGAGAAAGAGAAGAATAAATTAGCAAAACACCCAGAGGCCCACCCCGTCTCCGGGACTTCAAGACTTCATATAGGAATTTGCCGGGCGAGATTCCGGGGTCGGAGGTAGTTCGGTCGCCCCAGTCCCGGCACTGAAGATCGGCTAAGCGGTTTCCCGGAAGTGTGGGGAAAGAACTTGGCTGAATCTTCCTTTTATCACCTACGTTACTAGTCCTCCTTGTCCATGACTACAATATCTCCAACGACTAATACTATGATACTGCAACACCTTACTGGCAGTCTCTAGCCCTCATATCCCACCTCTGACCTGGGGAGACTCCAGTGCAACTCCCAGTCCCAGGGCCAGGGCAGATTTTCGGATGCTTATTATCCAGTTCCGATCGGAACTTTGGAGCCGGCTACCAAGCCAAGGACAGAAGCGGGAGCATTGCCGGCACAGATATCTGTATTGAGCTTGCATATCATGATATCAGCAGATAAAACTGAGAACTAACTAGGAATAAACTTGATGAGTTTATGGATGGTTCCCTTGCTCAACGAGCCGACCTCAAAGCTAGCTTCGTCGAATACCGTGCCTCCTGGTTTTCCTCCTTGGACACAAGCCAGAACTTGATCTGAATGTCCTTATCAAGCACGTTAATAGCATCTTCCAAGGCCTTGAACAATTCAGCGTTTGCAACCGGAGCACCCTTGCAAGTCTTCCATCCATTCCTCTTCCACTTGAGTAGCCACTTCGTCAGGCCAAGGACCACGTACTCGGAGTCCATCTTAATGACCAACGTACTCAGCGGGCGGGGAAACTTGCCCTCGCGCATCAGTTTCATATTTTCGTCGACGAGGGCAATTGCATGACGCAACGCCCGCAGGCAGGCGTTCAACTCCGCGTTTTGCTTTGTATGCTTGTCCTCGCGCGAAATCAACTCGCAGCTATTTGCGCAATTGCCGTCGCCATACCAGAGTCCAATGGCCGAGCGCGTTGTGTTCCCTTCAGTTACACACTCTCCATGGACACCGATAATGAGTGTGTCCTCATGACCTTCATATTGGTTGCAGCGCAGGCATTTAGTTTTGGAATGGGGACAGGCAAGACAGACCCACGAGCCAACGTTGACTTGGATTTCCTCTGTGGTGAGGAGAGGGTATACAAGCCCGGGGATAAAGAGACGATCTGCCATGACTATGTACTCGGCCATTTTGTCGTACGCGAAAGTTTCAGGGTCGATAATTTCTTTGGCTCCTGGAAGAAGGCTATGTTCAGTCCCTCTGTGCACGCACCCATGGAATATCTGATGCAATGTTCTTGGATCCATAAGTCCATGATGCTGGCTGTGTGTCAGTTAGATCAAAGTAGTGAGTACATGATCAGTGCGAACCTGGGGTGTGTGTGCAGTTGGGTGTGGCGCTTGGGCCACTTCATGTGTACCGGACGGTTTGGCCTTTCTCTGGTTTGCCTGCACGGCGTTACCAGGAATAGAACCTGGTGATTTCGAGGGCATTTTGGTTGCGAGAGGCACTTCGAAGTGAGAGATGGAAGTCTCAGACTGGGAATTATCCAGAGAGTTGGAGATGAGTCCAGGAAAATGAGAAGCAAAGAGTATCGGATGTAAGTAATTCCTAGAGCACTGACTTCTTAAGTGCATTCCACCTTCCATTGAGGAACAAAACGAACAAACAAAGTTGCACGTTGCCCTTCAAGTTTGTTTACATACAAATGTCTTTGTGTGTGTTTGCAGGAGACTCTCATAGTTTGTTCTCGTTTATTCAGGCTATCTAATTCAGACCTAGAGTGTAAAATAATCCGCATTTCTGGACTTTATATAGTCCAGAATAGCAGTACTATACCGATAGAAATCGTTAATAGTGATGGTTTCAACCGGATCTTCAATGGCATTTAGCTCGTTGTCTTTGACCAAAATGAAGACGCTCAGTTCAGGTATCTCCGCAAGTTCCGAAAGCATCGCTTCTAGAGGGTAGTAAGGGGGGAGATTTCCGTTAAGAGCACAGATCGCTCGGTATTGGCGTTTCAAAGTGCGGAGGAACTCTTCGCTCGTCGTAAATTGGCTGCGTGAAAGTTTCCTGAAGCTATGCACAGCTGCTTTCAAAGCTCCGTGGGTTTGACTCTTCATGTGCTTCTTGACTTCAGCAATAAAGTCATCGGCAAAATCCGTAGGTGTTCCACGAGCCTCAATCTCCTGTAATAGTGCAGGGTCCATACTGCTTGATAGCCATTCACGCACTTGTAAGGAGAGCGATCTCCATTTCTCGACGTTGGGATCGCTGGGATATGGCCAGGGTATGTTTGTGTTGATCAGGTTGTGAAGGTTATGGCCCCGTAAAGTTCTCTCGGCCTTGTTGATCCATGCGTGTAGGTCGACTCGGTGTTTCAGGGGTGGTGTGATTGTGTCTGGGTTAAAACTTCCTATGTCCGGAAGGTCAACACCCTGATCCTCGACAATAGTGTCTTGACGGTCTTGCTTTGAGTGTCAGTCCCTGCTTAGTTTGTTTGGCTGCGAGGCAGCATGTTGAGAAGAGGATTCAGCCATTTTAGCTGATATCGAAAGTGAATCGACAAGATAGCACCAGGGAAATATGCTATTTGTCAAGATTCAAAGGGATCAGGTCTTGGTACTTGATGAAAGGATAGACCTTGATAATGAATCAATAGAGTCTTTGATAGGCAAATGGATTTGTTAATGGAGGCAAAGGGGAAAAAAGTGGGCATCATAACCTGTTGGGAGGCTACGAAACTAGGGGAAAATCAGGAAGAAACCGATGAAACTATGGAAAGCAGGCTGCTTATAAGCCTCAATAACAAAGAGGGCAAACTATGAGAGCCTCCTGCAAACACAGAGACATTTGCATGTCAACAAAGTTGAAGGATAAACCGAACCGTAGGTAGGGCCGAGCCAGGAGAACTATGCCTACACAAGCATAAGGGCATAAGTCCATGAACTCTGAGTCTATATCTAGTCATATGACTCCCAAGCACATCTAACATTGACATTGTTAGCTGTCTTAATTATTTAGCCACTTTCGGCTAAAAGCCGACAAAGCATACAGCCATTGGCCTCTACTGGAATGATATCGCCGACGGAAACCCGAGACTCAATCGGTCAAGGTGGCGTTCGGTCTTCAGCTAGTAGAGGCGGGAACTCGTTGATGCTCCTGGGGATTACCCAGCCTTGAGTATGAGCTGAGCTCAGATGGACACCCTCGCCGAGGTGATGTAAGGGGACTCGGGGGAGGAATTAAGTTGTTCAAAGTTTGGGGAAGAAGAGAACGTATCAGATATAGCACAAGCCACGATTACGAAGGTTAGAGATGACTATGAGTACTGCCTCCTTGATCCTGACTATTCCTTTTATTCCGTACTGTGTTATGTCTAGTTACCCCGTACTTTGATAGGACACATAATCCGAGCTTCCCTCTGTCCAATCAGATACCTCGTATAGTGTGCCAGGTACCACATACATCAAGAACATAGTACTACAGCATATCACCATGATTGCATTGCAGGAGTCAGGTAAGATGATCACAGTTCAGTATGACACCAGCAAGTACACAGCCGGAGATGCAGGTGAGCAATTTCCCTAAAAATAATACAATAAGCAGACATCGTCCTTTTTGTACATTCGCAGGCTGGTGATTGGATGACTCCCATCTGCATGATGACTTCCTGTATGCAGCTGGACTGGCTAAGATGACTAGGACCTTGCCCCCGTACATATCACGGTAGCAATAATCGAATCTGATTTGACTACGGAGTACGAGAGAGAGAGAGAGAAGAAAATAATTAAACCGCTCCGTGATCGGGTCAACAGTCTACAAAAGGGTCCCGTCGACCCGTAGGAAAGTCACTCGGCCCACTTTTTGCCTTCGATTTTTTGTTCTTTTCTTTTGACCCTCGGCCCATATACCTGTGAGTCATTCCGGAGATTTAAATTCCTCGATCTTCTTCATACAGTATTATAGTCCATACTAATTGCTTCAGTGTTCTGTCTCACATCGCAATGCCTCTCATTAACACCACCGAAGTCAACGAGGACACTCGTGGTATGTGCAACTGCGAATAACTGCTCCAATTGCTTCAAATACTGATGGCCTTCGTCTTTAGTCCTCGGATACGACCCATTGTTGTCGCCCTACTTCTTGCAGAACGAGATCCCAGCGGTGAGTCAATTTCTTTCTCTTTTTTCCATCAACCCCGCTCTCTGCGGGGGACGACACACGCAAACCTCTTCAAAGCGCAACCACTGACAACCATGGTCCATATAGCCCCAGCGCGCCATTGAAACAGTCCGCTCCGGCCGCAACCAAGCAGTCGAGATCATCGAGCAGCGCGATGATCGCCTGCTAGTCGTCGTCGGACCCTGCTCCATCCACGACCCCGATACCGCCCTCGAGTATGCCCGCCGCCTCAAAGAGCTCTCCACGAAATTGGAGAAGGACCTCTGCGTGATCATGCGCGCCTACCTCGAGAAGCCCCGCACAACCGTCGGCTGGAAGGGTCTGATCAACGACCCGGATATCGACGAGACCTTCAACATCAACAAGGGTCTCCGCGTCTCCCGCAAGCTGTACACCGACCTCACCAGCACCGGTCTGCCCATTGCCTCTGAGATGCTCGACACCATCTCACCGCAGTACCTGGCCGATCTGATCTCCCTCGGCGCCATCGGAGCCCGCACGACCGAGTCCCAGCTCCACCGTGAACTGGCCTCCGGCTTGTCCTTCCCCATCGGCTACAAGAACGGCACAGATGGCAACCTGACCGTCGCCGTGGACGCCATCGGCGCAGCCTCGCACCCCCACCGCTTCCTCGGTGTCACGAAGCAGGGTCTGGCTGCCATCACCAAGACCGCCGGTAACGAGCACGGATTCGTCATCCTGCGCGGTGGAAACCGTGGCACCAACTACGACCGCGACAGCATCCGTCTGGCCCGTGAGGCCCTCCGCGCCAAGAAGCAGCGTGAGGTTCTTATGGTCGATTGCTCCCACGGAAACTCAAACAAGAACCACCTCAACCAGCCTGTCGTCGCTAAGTCGGTCTCTGATCAGCTTCGCGAGGGTGAGTCTGCTATCATCGGTGTCATGATCGAGTCCAACATCTACGAGGGTAACCAGAAGGTTCCCCCCGAGGGCCCCGAGGCTCTTCTCCGCGGTGTCAGCATCACTGATGCTTGCATCAACTGGGAAATGACGGTCGATGTGCTTGAGGACTTGGCTGATGGTGTTCGTGCCCGTCGTGCTGCCCGCAAGGCTTCGCAATAGAGTATTTCTTCTCTGTTTGAACGAGTCTTCCCTTCTTTTTTCTCTCTGATTTTCACAGCCCTTCTCCCGTGGAACTGGCGAAGAACGGGTCTGGCATAGATACCTAGCTTCGGTGCCTGTTGTGTGTTTTTCTCGGGTTTTCAGCGGTTTCCTTTGTAATTGTTTTTTCCTGCTTGTCCCCTGGGAGAACCCCTTGGGAATCATGTGTGAATGGTCATGTGTGAATGTGTAGTTGGGTGTCAAAAAATATGAGGGTCATTGTGTTTCGCTAGGACCTGTGATGAATTCTCGTTAGTATGATTGGGACAGACCATAATGAGAACGAAAAGTTTCGGTATGAAGAATGAGTCAAATTGGCCAAACTTATTCCATACTGGACATATCCTTCTACTTATAAAATTCACTTTCTCCACTACCTGGACCCTGCGTGTTTTCCAAGTCCCACGGCAAAGCGCTTCTCCGGTGTTGCAGATGGGTCCTGCCTCTTTGGGGTTTAGTGTGCAAAACTGAGTCCGAAGGATCGCTGGCTCAACGGCTAACTGAGGGTAATACCGGCTAGTTGTGGTTATGTATGTAACGGAATTCAAGATCGGTGGGACTAGAGGAGATAATTTGAAGGCAGATCTATGTACTGTACATGATTTACATGAAAGTCCACCTTCTCACCGTTCTCGGGTGTCGGGACAGACCAAACTGACTAGGAATACATCCAGAACAGCATATGGGGAAAAAATTTCAAAACGCCGTAAACCCCCTGGGAGAATGGAAGCAGGCCACGAGAAAAGGTCGCAGCTTGCCATGCAAGAGAAAAAGGTATTGCAGATGGCGATAAGTCAAGGTTGACGGGAGAGTGACGGGAGTAGATGAGCCCGTCCAGCGGTCACTGCTGCTATCAGATCAGCATCGAACCCAAGGACAGGCAGATATCCATTGACCCATTCAATACGATTCTTTCTTTTTGTGTTGCGATGAGGGCCGAACGTAGCCATCTACCGCCCCGTCACCCAGCTAGTCCAGCTCTTTGTCGTGGACTTCGCAGCCTGTTCCACGTTCTCAGCCAAGACATCCAATTGACCGGGCAATGGAGCGCCCGTCTTCGCTGAAGCAACATCCATAGCCTTCTGGGCCTGCACGGCCTCCATAACGCTGCCCTGGTTCTGCCCAGCGCCCTCCACAGCCAAAGCCGGCGCAGCAGAGGCGCCGGTGTCTTCCATATTCAGCTTCTCGTAGAGGAACCGCTTTGCCTTGGCCCAGGGCTTCTGTGCCTTCTCTTCCGCGCGCTTCTGCTTGATAATCTCGCCGATCTTCTCCTTCTTCAAAAGCTCCTCCTGCTCGACAGTGGCGGTGCCATTGGCATGGGCAATCTCAGCCTGCTTCAAAGTTTCGAGTTCCTTTTCGATCCAGAGTGTGCGCTGGCGGCGGTTATAGAGCGTGAGCGAGATCATCGAGTAGACTGTAAGAACACCGCATACACCTAGTAGAATCACAAAGCGTCAGCATAAAGATCGGAGCATGTATTCGTATAGTCCACTGCTTGTCATCGGTGACGCGGACTTCCGAATTCAAGGTGCATCGACCGATGTCGGTTGCTAACCACATCCACAGGAGAAAAGAAACATACCCGACGCGGCGATCAATGAGTAAACCATTCCCTTGTGAGCTTTATTCGCAAATCTCCGCCCAGTCTCAATCCACCGATCAGCACCACTTCCAGCAGCCTGTGCCTGCCGAGCAGCCCGTGCCTGCGCTCGCAATCGCTCGACCTTCTCCTTCGGTGTCTCCGGCTGGCCATTCGGACCAAGCTGTTGTGGTGATGACTTCTTGGTGGACTTTTTGCCGAAATCGGGCGCTTGGAACGCGCCGCCGGTCTTGGAGTTGGCGTAGGGGCCGGTGGCCGTGAACCGCGTTGCGTCTGCGGCGGATCGGGACATGATGGGAATTCCCGGGTTCCGGTGGGCGACCTCAATATAGGGATTGGAATTATGAATTGGGTTACTAGAATGCAGATAGCCAAGGGCAATCGGAGAACCGTGGTGGGGTGATGGAGCTGGAGTGAAAGCTGGGGATTTGAAGGTTGCAAGGTAAATTTTCAGCACGGAGGATGCGCCAAGACATTCGAACAGCTTCAACGGATAGCACTTTCAACTTCGTTCGACTTCGTATATCTTCATCTGTGGGAGACGAGATGATTCAATGCTAATGCTGAATCGCAATTCTTAATATTGACACAATTTTTTATTTACATCGCCTCGAAAAGGCGTGGCTCTTTAATTTCCGACCTTGATCCTTCCTCCCTTCGGAACATTTAGCATCTACTTACTCTCCACGCCTTATCTTGGTCCATCAACACGGACAGGTGGAAGACTTTATATCTGCATATATCCCGGATCAACTTCCGCGTCTCTTAAGCTCTTATTTGGAGATCTTACTCTATATCATTATGGCACGAAGCTCTTACGACGCCTCGGACCTGAACTCGGTCCTCAGCAGGCTGTCTAACCTATCTCAGCCTCAGAGCAGCTCTCAGCAACATTATTCCAGCCGCAACCATACACCAAACACCGAAGCCTCTGCCGCAAGTCTCAGTGCAGTTCCACCCCGGCCGAGGCCGATCACAGGACGGTCCGCTTCTGCCACCGATTCGTCAACCATCACAACGTGGCCCGAAGCGCTACGTTATGTGATGCGGACAGTGGGCCAGAACGAAGAAATCCAATCTCGCATCCGCGGTATGATCCGAAGTCAGCATCATCATGAAAAGCAGTGGTTTGAAGGCCGCCATGCATTATTGAAACAGCAGCAAAGTCGCCCCCAGAAACAAAGGGAGCTAGATGCAGTACTGTTAGTCACCGATTCTATGCCGCTGTTGCTATCAGTACCATTGGCTAGTCACTAATACTCAAACAGGCGATCGATTGGGGCCCCTGTCAAGGAAGATGACGGTTCGGTATGCTTGCGCTTTCTATTCCCTTTCCTCAATCCAGCTCAGCCTTTGTGTATACACCGTCCGACTCGTCATTCGTACTAACCGGTTGTCACTAGGCTGAAAAGGAGTATGCTGCGGAACTTGCTGCATATGATGCAAAGGTTCATGGGGCAGCCACCCAAATGAGTGATGCTCTCACGGCTGAACTGCGCGGTCTCAATGTTCCATTCTTCACACTCCGCAAAGATATGATACAGGAAGAACGTGACCGGAATGACCCTTCTGCTCCATCAAATCCTCCGGTGCCTACTGTTGGCTACGGTGGTGGCAACCCCCCAATCAGCAAGTCCGAACTTGTGAAGTTGCAGCGGCGGATGTTGGAGTTGCTGGAGGATTTATGTAAGGAATGAATTGTCTTGGGAACTATTTAAGTTGGCCCAGTATATCCTCCGGATGGGCTTCGGCACCGACAACCTTTTAAATATAGATCGAGCTATCCTAGGTAGCAAACGAGGTATCGCCTCGTAGAATGTTGCGTGTTGCAACTGATACGTGAACTTACTTGCAGTCATTGAACAGACCTGACAGCGTACACTACATTTGGAGACAGAGAGAAAGCAGAAGAAGATGACAACCCAAAGACCTTTCCTAATTCCCATCGGTCTAAATGTTTTCCTTCAGCTTTAAATGGGGACCAAGACTGAAGTTGTTGAGTGCCCGGAGCGCCTTGGCCGACCGCCCGATAAACGCCGATAGCCCGGGGATTAAACGTCATTCCTCATTTCATTGTTCTCTTACGCCTTAACATGACTCCGAGAACAAAAACAAGCGGTCTAGCGTCTCTGGCATGTACCGAATGCCGGAAACAACATCTCAAATGCGACGCTAGCAAGCCATCATGTTCCAGGTGTGTACAGAACGGGCTTCTCTGCCAATATCTACCCTCCCGACGCGGAGGACATAGAAAATCACGACATGAGCCCTATCAACGCCACCCGACGCAAACCCCTGTTAATGTCAGATCTTCCCATTCCTCTTCATAGTCCCATTACTAAATCAGATACAGACCAGATATGAGTCGGCAGTTCCTGTTCTGCCAATAGCCCCTGCGCAGACCCCAGACAATCCCCCGCAGGGAGGCAGGCAAACAGGACTCAACATTCCCACTGAGCCAGTGTCTTGGCCAGTCATGATTCCAGAAAATTCTCCTGTACAACAGACAGTGGGGTCGACAAGCAAACCTTCGCTCTCAGACGAGCGCTTACCTCGGCTGTACTATGAAAACTTCCATGTCGCCCATCCGATCTTGGTGCCCAGCTCCTTGTATCATGACCGCAACTACCCTCATTTTCTACAGCTAGCAGTGCACTTTGTGGGGTCCCATTATGTTGCGTCCATTCCGAGTCAGCCGTACAAGGATCAAGTCCTTGCTGAGCTGAAGACCAGCCCTGACCGGTCGGTTTCCATGGTCCAGGCATGGCTCCTCTATTCCATTGCTTTGTACGCCCGGGATGAATGGACAGAGGCGCAAGATGCCCTTTCTCACGGCATCGATATTGCCTTGGAGCTTGGGATGAACCGTTGGTCATTCTCTTCAACCGCAAACGCCGAAACCTCCATTGAGGCCGAGAGCATAAGGCGAACGTGGTGGGAACTCTATGTCACCGATATCTTCATGGCCGTTCCACTCAAGACAACGACATTCCGATGTAGCACTGTGCCCCCGGAGGTGGCATTGCCGTGCGAAGAGTCAACATATAACATTGGGTGTGATGTTCCGAAACCACGGAATATCCTCGAGTTCAAGCGTAGGATCCTGGCTGCAGAAGATACGATCTTTTCATCCTTCAGCTACCGCATCGAGGCCACGACAATATTGTGCCGGGTTCTTGTCCTGAATCGACTGCGTGACTGCCACCGCGATCATCTCCAGGCTGTCGAAAATGCTCTCGTGAGCTGGATCAACCACCTCCCGCCCAAAAAGCTCGACATCGTCGATTCGTACGGTAATGTCGACGAAATGATGTTCCAAGCACACTTGACGATAGCCTACGCCGCCATGCTCCTACACCTACCCCGCAGCGACCTCCCAACAGTCCTTTCCCAGTCTCAGCCAGATGATCGCTTCTGGCCCGGCCTGACAGGGCAACTCTCCTCAACATTCACACGTCTCGTCCACAGCATTAAAGCAACAGAGGCCTCACGACGGATCTCGGATGCCATATCCGTCTGCCCGAACGTCTCAAAACACACCCCCTTCATCATCCCCGCCTTGACCCTCTGCGGCCTCATCCAACTCGCCACATCGACCAGTCATTCCGAGGAATGCTTTGATCATCACTGCAACCGCGTGACACTCATTCTGGGCTGTCTCAAGAGCACCCAGCGAACATGGAAACTGGCCGAGTCGCTATACCATGGTCTGCGATCCTCTGCAGCAGACGTCTTGTCAGATTCAATGGCGAAATGGAACGCAGAGCCATTCCAGCGCTCCACTCCTGCAGCCACGACGCCTAATGATCAAGAACGACCCGGCTCGGGTGCGAATCAAGCGCCTAGCATGCCAGACGGACATGATTTCATGCCGCCGGAGTTTTGCCCGGCTTTCATCGATCCGACGTGTTACAATACTTCGTTTTTCAGCGCTATTCCTGACTTTGATATCAATTAAATCGGTTATACCCGGGGCCGGGAGTCTAATGGAGTAGTTCGAAAGAACAGGGAATATCAATGTGTTCTAATACAATTCTCTATCTACTATTTCTCGGCGTACGCATCAGCTGCCCTCGTCATGCAGCGATCTCAGTTTATCTGTCCATTAAGTGCACGCCAGATACGTAATGATAAGGGTCCAACCATCAACCTCATTTGCACATGCGTCAAACGCCGATTGAGAACCCGAGTCGCCGACCGAGTCAATCGCCGGATCTGATTGGCCCGCCCGACCTCATCGGCGTCCCACTAAGTTATGCGTGGCAACACATACATTTGTCCATCAACGTACAACAACCGGGCACTTGTCTATTGGTTCATGTATGGGCCTAGTCACGGCTCACATAGTCATAGAGAAAAGGGCATGTTAACGTAGCAAGAGTCGTGTCGCAAGGGTTCATTAGATGTTCTACCTCTCCGAGTCTCCGAGTCTCCGGGCTCCCTACCCGATGCCATGCGTCTTGCCCGTCGAACTTGGGAAAACAAACACTAAGGTATGACAGAGACCCTCACCGACTATTCCCCCTTTTAGATTGTCTTTATCAACTACCCGGTGATAGCCAGGTCCGTGTTGATATCCGCGGTCTTGGAAGAACTTAGAAGATAGGGATTTGCCTCGTGCATCAGCTGTTCGCCGATGAGTTGATGGCCGAAGTCACATTGCCTGAGAGATCTAGCATGCGTAGGCTCGAGCTCTTACATCATTGATCGTACGAGAGTACGGTGTACCAGGCTGTTGGACTGCAGCAAGCACGGTTATTGCGTTTGGTTGCCTGGTTATGGCGTTAGATGTGTTGATTTTGTCCCAAGACAACAGCTCTTCAGGACCCTGGATACGTAGAGGATATAGAAGAATTATGCAAAAGTGTATTTTACTGTTTTTGATGTAGACAAAGATCGTGACAATCTACCTATGAAATTGCAAGGTAAGTAGGGCTCTACTGTGTATATCAGGACCGAGAAGGATTGCCACGGAATCCAGATATAATAACATCCCCAACAAACTTCCCTCCCATTTATGATTTAACGTAGATCTCCCGTCATTAATGACCCGTTCAGACCTCCAATCCACCCCCCAGAGCATTGGGTGGAACTGCAATGTTGGAAACACCGGAATGCAAGGCTGCGGGTCAATCGGCGATCGAGCTCCGGTCCCATTCAGAGATTGGGAAATTTGCTGGAACAGCATATATACGACATCATCTGCCAGCTATCTTCGAACCACTCAGTAAACCATTCATGAACAATACCTAACAAGTCATCCTCTCAATCTCCCAACCTCAACTGTCATCACATCGCCAAAATGCCCACCGTCATCCCCTTAACACCCGCACTCGGCACCAGCCTATCACTCGGCAACAAACACTACAAACCCCAATACAGCCTAGACAACCTCGTACAAGACATCAAGACCTACCTAGGCTCCAGCAGCGGCATCTCGTCCAAAGACGTAGACAACGAATACCTGATCTCGCTGGCGCAGAAATACGTCTCCGATCCGAATGACTGGGCCCGCTATTTCTACAATGATACCAGCAAGAACTACACGCGCAATGCGATTGAGAATATCAATCAGAAGGCTAATATCGTGAGTTGTCCTCTTTTATTTGGAATCAAGTCTCGACATTTGCCGGATATTAACATAAATCAAGCTCCTCCTCGTCTGGAACCCAGGCAAAGGCTCACCGGTCCACGACCACGCAAACGCACACTGCATCATGAAGATCCTGGCTGGCACGCTACAGGAAACTGTTTACCGGATTCCTGAAGGGGATGATCGAGGTCCGCTTGAGATCAAGTCTGATACAAGACATGGCATGAATGATGTTGCTTATATCTCTGATGATATTGGCTTGCATCGGGTGCATAATCCGAGTAGTGATCAGATTGCTGTTTCGCTTCATTGTGAGTACATTGAGTTGATATGGGTCAGGGAATGAAGAAACTAATGGTTGTTTAGTATATACGCCGCCGAATGCTGCGGACTATGGGTACAATGTTTATAATGAGAATACGGGGAAGGCGAGCTTTGTGCCGCAGGCTAAAGCTGTTGAGTTGAAAGAGTGAGGGTTCTTACTGGATTTGCTTTATTTGTTTTACTTTGCTTGAGCATGAGCATTAGCCTGTTATATACCTGAGTGTACTGTGTTATTTTCCGCCCGGCGATGGCGAGGGTTGGTTTATGTAGTTGCTTGATGATAATGAAGACCTTTGACATTTTATATCGTATGGTTCTCGAAATTGTGGCCTGAATCGGTTCAATTGAGGCCGGCGGGCTTGTAGTTTGCACCGAATACATATGCGCTCCAGCATTGGCCCTAAGCTGAAAGATTAGACTGGGTCGGGTATCAGGACGTTGGGGTTGATTTCTGGCCATACTATATACAGAAGTGGGCTTTGTAAGGTAATGAACATGAAAAACTGTCAGATGTTGACGGTATTATAGAAGAGAAAAAAGATGGGAATGTGCAGAGATCAACTCAGAAGGAATCCGCATGTAAAGGATATCACTCAAATGCAAGCCGAGGATATAGATCGCATGAAGAATGGAAAGGAATATAACGCCATATGGGGGATAGGTATGATATGCATCGAACGATCGTGACCATGGTGTGTGCCAATGGTCTCATCTTTGTTTCTCTGGTGGCGTGCGTTTATTATGTGATTATGGCAGTCCGCGGTAATGTGTGCTTGTGAAGGTTCAACGTAATGCAGACGCGAAGCGAAGATGCAGTGCCAATTGCGCAACCTTGGAAGCTAACCACGAGGATTGGAAGCCAGATGGATCTCTTCCACAGGGATACCCTCCTCACCGGGAACGTGCTGGTAACGGACTCGGCGTGTGCGGATGACACGCCAGAGGGCGTAGCCAGCACCGCTCATGGTACCAGCTACCACGAGGAACAGGATGATACCTCCGATGCCGCGGATGACATCGTAGGCCTTATAGACAGCCTTGGCTACTTCCTTCGCTTCGGCGTACTGAGCGCTAGACCGGTCACCAGAGCCGGTGGAGGCGCTTCCACCGACCGACTCAGCCCCTTCGTCGGAAGAACCCGAGCTGAGGTCGGCACTGGCGGCGACCATAATAGACGGGTCGTCAGGGCTAGGACCAGAGCCAGAACCGACCCAGCCAGCGGCCTTCCAGTCGGACGGGGTGCTGGTGCGCTTGGTTTCAGAGGTATGCAGCACATTGCCGTCGGCGTCGATGGCCTCAGCAGAGACGAAGTCCATGTAGCCATCGGCGATGAACATGGTCTCAAAGTCGGTTTTGTTGCTGGTGCCGATGAGCACGGACTGGCCACCCTCGTAGGCTTGCGCATAGAATTTCCACTGGACAACATCGGTCGCGCCATTCCAGCTGACGTGGATGAGAGTCGTAGTGTCTTGCTCACGGGTACCGTAGACGGATGCCACTAGGTCCGGACGCCTAGTGGGTCGACCGGTGAATTCGCCCTTGTAGGAGCGATAGGTCGAGTACCGGTCCGAGGCGAAGCGGGCGGTCATTAGAAGGTCGCCATTCGAGGCGTGCTCGCTGGAGTAGCCGTATTCACTCCATCCAATGTAGATGTTGTCGTTAGGGAGGACGCGGGCACTACCACGGAGCTTGGTGACGCCGCTGTCAGGACGGTTGATCCGCTGGACCACTTTCGCAGTCATAGGTTGTGCAGCGACGTCTAGTTCAACAATCAACGCAGAAGAGAGGAGCTCATCACGGCCACGTTCATCGGCGCCGTTGTTCAGCAGCGAGATAACATGGTGGGTGTCGTTAGACGAGACAAACTTGACATCGTGCTGCTTCGAGAAATTGAAGTTCTGTTCGAAGTTGCTCTCCAGTCCGCCCAAGCGCCACATGATGTTTCCATCCTGGCCGGAGATCAAGTAAATGGTGTCGGTGAACCGCAATGAGATCAGGTAGTCACCAGCCTCGTTCTTGTCAACTGAATTAATATGCACGTAATCCCAACCGGGCGACTCGGCCGGGCGATCATCGGAGTGGAACATATTCGACTCGTGCAAAGCAATCTTATCAAATGTATCCCATTCAAACAGAACTTCACTCGTCTCGACATCCACTTCGACGAATCCACCAACTGTGACGAAGCTCTCTTCCGTCGGGCGTCCGAAATCAGCAAGGTTGATGGATTTGCCGCGATAGGTGCAGGCCAGAGCGGTCTTTCCACCGTCCATGATGTTGAACTCGTGCATGTTGAAATCATGCACATTCTCGGGGGCCTGAACCTCATTCTTCACATTGTAATGGTGATCGACAATCGCGCCATGGCCTTTCTTGGAATCATCGTATTCCCATCCCACAATGAACGACAAGTATGGGTCGTTATCAATGTTGTGTACCGGTTTGAAGTCGAAGACATTGTGGTTGTCGTATAAGGGTGCTCCTGCCCAGATAAGAACCTGTTACGCCAGAAGCGAGTCAGCTAGTGCTTGGCCGGGTCTCGGGGGCCACGACATACGCCACTGTCATCGTAGATGTAGGGTCCGACTTGGTATTGCTGATATTTGGCGGTGGGTTTATCTGGCGAGATCGTTGCGTACGGCGCGACGAACCAATATCCGGGGGCTAACCGCTCGCGGTCATGATATGCAATATCCCATTTCAAGGCTCGGACCTCTGGGAGCTAGACATAGCGATTAGAATAATACAGGTCAAGAGTTGTCAAAGATAGCGCACCGTCACGAAGGACATCAAATCCGCGTCATCGCGCTCTGGCGGCTCTGCTACGGCATTGCTCGATAACAAGAGCAATGCAGCAGCCCAGAACATCATGATTGACTTTAAAGAATGGCTAGGAAGTGTATATCTTCCTGAATGCAATGAAATGACTGTGAAAGTAGGGATGAAAGGGCCCTAGGAAATCGCTATACAAAGGCCGACACCGGATACGAACACATTGAGACAGCCGTCGTCAATGGCGTCAGTGAAGAGGAGTGGGAAACACTAAGAACACACGAGGATGAAGAGGCATTCTGAAATTTCCGCGAACTAAAGGAATAGGCTAATAGCCCATGTGGCATGAGAAGAGCGCGCAACGTAACGAAGGTCTTGGCGTTGTTTCGAGTGGGGAAGATAAAATGGCCATGTGCCCATAGCGTACGGCACACAGCGGAGTTGGCCTCCGCCAGACTCCGCTCATAATTTCTCCCTACAATCATCACGCTGTGTTCCGATTTTACCGGTTGATCAACAGAGAAGGATCGTCCAGGGGAAAGAAACAAGTCTTGGCATTCTGACCAAATTCGGTGAGGATAGACTTAGGGGGTTTCTGCTTGCATTTCCCCGGCTAACACACTCGATCATTTGGGAATGCCATGAGAGTTGGAAGCCAAAGAGCCCTAATATACACGTACAACGTACGAATTTAGCAGCGATCTAGTCTACCAACATGCCTCTTGACAAAGCGCAATAGTACATGGCATGATGCACTATGTACAACATCGAAGGCGGGTGGGGCCGACTGCAGCCCTAAACGGCTATCCCTTGTTTGTAGCCACAATAGGGCTGGAATTTAACGTAGAAAACGGCTTGAATATCTGACACGCAGGCTAGGATAAGGGGACATAGTGTATCTAGGGGGATGTCAGACTCAAACTCTCTACGGTCAGAGTTTGATCTTCAGTAGCTAAGGCTTCGCCTTGAGTCTTGAATCTGATGAGCCACAGCGTATCATGGCTGATCCTGTGTCTTGGTCTATTCTATCTCAGCTCTGAATAAGTGCGTACTTCTTGATCGGAGGCTCCTTCAAGACATGCGGCTGATAAATCAGCGCTTCAGCAACCGCAATCAGCACCAAGCCCTCAGTACCAAGCAGATCGGACAGCCCCAGCTCCTGCGGCAACACCTGTAGACATACATTCTCCATATCGACACGGGCGAGGTCGGCGGGCCCGTCATGGGTAATTGCATCTATAGCCACCGCCCAGGCAAGGGGATTGTACAGGACACCCTCATGGGTATAGAACCCCCCAGCGGGCTTTCCAGCGCACTCCGTTTGAAGGTGCACATTCTTGACGCCGACGCCACGCACGTCGCCCAGGATGGCTGACGCGTTCGGCCCGAACATCGGCTGGACGATCTCGTCGAAGGTCGAGTAGACAGTCGTTGTAGGGACGTAGGCGGAATCGCCTCCGTCTGCACGCAGCGTGCGGACGAAGTCGCTGTCCCATCCCTGCTGCCACAGCGCCGGCACGCAAATCAATGGCGCCAGCGCGGGACAGACGAGGGGTTCAACCACCGTGCCGTGCATGTCCGGACTGATGGCGATGAAGTCTTGCACGACTTTCCGAGTTGATGGCCAGTACTTCAGTGCCCATTGGACGTTGAGTCCGCCTTGCGACCACGACATGATGGCTAGGCTTGTTCCTGCGCTGATGGCGGAAATGTAGTTGATAGCATATGCGACGTATTCGGAGTTCACCTGTACGTCGGAGAGTGATGTTCGAGGGATGTTCACCCACACTGGATCCACGGGAATGCTGCCGCCTAGCTTGCCGAAACTGAATTGATAGGTTGTTCCAGCAGGGACGGCGGTTCCCGGTATCAGGATCACAGGAATTCGGCCGTTGCGACCGAATGAGAACCCATCTGGGATCTGAATTGCTGCTCGGAGCTTCGCCTCGGGGACGGAGTAAGGCGCATCCTCGGTAGCTTTTGAGGGATAGATCTTTGTGCTTGAGGCCGGGTTTTTGTTGTTGTGTGAGTTTATGGAGCTGTCGAGATATCCATTCAGTAGGGATAGAATGTCCGGTGGGACGAGACCGGCTGCCGTGATCTTCGTGGCTATATCGACCAGACTGAGGTTATCTTCTGACAGAATATTCTCAATGGCAGCTAATGCAGAGGTTGCCGAGTCGACTGTCTTGATCGACTGTATCTGATCAAGTTGCGACAAAAGGTCGTCGAAGGCATGGGCAGTATCCTTGCCTATCTCTGGGCCGTCTTCGGCACCGAACGAGAGCCGGTCAAGCAGGGTTGTGTTTGACACAGCAGATGTTTGCCGACTGGTGGTCAGCGGAGAGCCAAACACACCAGATACGAGACCGGCGCAGACAAGAATTGCCTTCATGATCGAGCAAAGCGCATCTCAACATACTTCATCGGGGGATGACCCCGAGTCATATACACACTGGCTTTGCGGGTCATAGCAGATCCATCTTGTGAAGATGATCCTTTCCTCCGATCCTCGGCTGTGGGATCATCCCGGCCAAGTCAGCCATGGCCATGGCAGTTGAAAAATTGAAATGGCACGGTTAGTCCATTGTGCACGGAGTATTTCAGCTTCATTGTCCAATCAGGTCTGCGTTCTGAGTGGGGGTTTCTGTTTTGTGGGGGTGATCGTCGAGATTATGCCGAGCCCAAGATTGGCATTGAACAAGAATCTGAATGGGCATCTACAAGACGCCCGACTTTGCTTGTGCTTTATCGAGGTGCCATGCATGGGCTTAAGAACTGACGTAATAACGTTGCGCCTGGCCTAGCGGGGACTTCGCACTTTCCCGCGGCCCGCGGCGTGATGGTGCAGGTCATGTACGATGGACAGGAGGCCATTGTCGAGTTTATAGGCATATTGATGAAGGACCGCAATAAGAGCGGTGCCCGTAATCCATACTCTTGAATCGTGTAGGTGATCATATTCCACTATGAATGAGCCATGTTAGCTTTATGCTAACCTGCTTACCTGCCACCGCCAGTCTGTTTTGGTGACTCGTTCAAACTAGCACAACACCAAAGGTTGAAAGCCTGAAAGGCATTAGGCAGACCTATTGCATGGGGAGCGAAATGACAGAAAAGCGAAATGCTTCTCGAGGACTTCGAGGACTTCCAGGTTTGGAATGAAAGCGGCTTAAGATGGCAGGGCCGTGATCACATGACCTATGCACCGTGGGTCGTGATTGGTCGATAGCGACAAAAGCACGTTACTCAGGAATCTTGCTAGGGAATTACGCGCACTTGCCCAGGGATCCACCTTCCCATCTTCAGCACCCCACCAACATCTTCATATGTTGCAGGTGCGGGGACTTGTTGAGCTGTCGGCGCCTCTACAGTCTACACACTGCTTGCATCCCAAATTGTCTACATGATGACTGATAGTATTCCGGACAGACTGGACTGTGTCTGTACGGCTCGCATACTGAAGCTGAAGGAGGACTGGAGGAGACATGACACGTCGATAACACACTGATCCTGCGGCGGCTTCATCTATGATCTCTGAGCTGGCTGATGGCAATGTGTTGGTAGCTGCATGGAGTTTGGGATTTGAAGTCGAATAAGCCCATTTGATCTATTCATTTGGCTTGAATCCGGAGTTTCCATGGAGCTACGAAACACATCGCTTGTCGAAATTCCTACAGCACAAACAGCAGCAGATGGTATGACGAAGCCGCTCGCCAAAGTCATGTTTCGTCGCTGGATTTTGCAGATCCAACCACGTGGACAAAGGTATGCCGAAAGACTCAATCAGGTACAGCACTTGTAGTCCAGACAGTCTCAACATTTTACCTGTCGATAACAGAGGGCTCATTTCTATACTGAAGGCTCTGAACCATCACAATCGCGATCGCTTAATCTCCGCAATAAAAGATCTACCAGGCCTGGCTTCAATTCCATAGAACGTGAATACTCATGGCTTATTGTGGTCTTACTGAGGGCTGAAACATGGAGGAATGGCCTTTCAAATACCTCTTGCTTTCCTTGCATCTATGGACTGATAATGTAGAGCTCGAACATGGGTGATGTCATGGCAATTGAAGCAAGATGGAATGTCTTCGAAGTGTATTATAAGATCGGGTGCGATGAGGCGATGAGGCGAGGTGGCTGAGATGGGTGATATTGGGGGTGGATGAGGCTCAAAGGGGAGGACCCTGTAACCAATGAGGTGTGACAGGGGCATATTCTACATCTTAGCAGATAAGGGGACTCAGTACAACAGTAGTATGATATGAGTCAATGTATCCATAGGTGAAATCTAGGCAAGTTTGTAGAAGTCACAGTGAAAGCATATCCCGACAAGGTGGGTAAGAAGAAGATAAAAATACAGAGGGTAACTTATTAGTCCAGCAGAGATGTTTCAGATTTGAAGACAAAGGTAGAGGAAGAGAGAGACAGAGAAGATGGGTGTTTCCACATGTAACCGTCCCGACTTAACTAGTTGGGCCGACTACCACCGTTGCACTCCAGGGGGTCATTGAGTACGTACGGGGAATGCGTATTCTATTCTTCGTAGTTGGGGGTATCGTTAGGCTGGTGATCTTATTTTTCTTTTCTTTTCTTATTTATGTTTTCAATCCTTTTTCTATCACTCGATAACTACTTATTGACCAGTTCGTTATGGCAGTTTAAAATTGTTCCTAATTGTAGATCTCCCATGTAACTCCACTCCACTCAGGTATTGACGTTACAGGCCCTGGTATCAAATTAAGCCATGAAACAATGTCAGAATATTCCAATGTGACACTAAAGTCAAGTACCAAGTAAAGCAATTGGCTCCGACCAAACAGCCAAGGCAATGAACAAAATAAATCCTCAAAATTACGGTTACAGTACCATACACCCCCCCCCACGCATTGCGACACCGCAAGGGCTTCGTTCTCCAAACAGTTGCACTTACGGTGACACTGCTCAAGAATGGGCCAATGTTGATCCATGCTTCGGGTCTTGAACCCTTCTTCTTCTTTTGCTTCCCTGTTCTATCTTCTCTTCCCTATTCTTGCTTCTCCCCCCTACTTTAAATCAGCAGGGTGGGGATTATTGTTTCTGCTACACTCCCACCGATCCACTCAAAACACAACTCCAGTGGGAGTGTCACATCGGCTTGCACTCCCTCCTTCAACCCTTATAACCTCACATATTTCCTTTTTAGTCTTTGGTCCTATCTGCTGCATGATTCCTGAATAATTCGGCGCCCGTGGACTTCGATCTCTTACTACCTCCGGTTGCCCTCGCCTTTCTCTCCGCCTTTACCCTTCCTCTCCAACCCGACCATGTCGGCCCCACTGGCCAAGGTGCTGCACCGACTGCAAGAGCTGTTCCATAACGTGGTCGCTGTGCTCGAAAACATGGTCCTCTTCCCGGACCTGTTCCGCGGGCTCTCGCGACGCCGCCGAAAGCCTTTTGTTGGCGCCCACTGGAAACGCCGTACTCTCGACGACTTCGCCGAAGAAGTAGAAACCTCGTTCTCGACGCCGCTATCAACGCGCAACATGCTCGATATGTCCGAAAAGATCCGCGCACAGTTCCGAGAATGTTTACAGACCAGCCCGTGCTGTATGCTCCCATCGTACGACACCGCGCTCCCGACTGGCTCGGAGAAGGGCACATATCTGGCATTGGACGTTGGTGGTTCAACATTTCGCGTAGCTTTGATCCAATTGAACGGCCGAGATGAGGAATTGCAGATTTTGAAGGAGTCTTCGACGTACATTGACGAAACAATCAAACTATTGGAAGGAACGGAGTTCTTTGACTGGATGGCGGGGCAGATTGATACCATGCTGAAGCAAGTTGGACCTGAGTATGGACGTGGCGACGTGCCCCTGGTTATGGGTCTATCCTGGTCTTTCCCCATTGAACAGACCTCGCACAGCACGGGCTTGTTGATTCATATGGGTAAAGGATTCAAGGCTTCCAACGGCACAGTAGGCCAAGAACTGGGTGGTCTCATCGTCCAATCATGCCGCAAGCGTAATTTGAACGTGGAGGTCGCCGCTATTGTGAACGATAGCTCGGCGGCTCTACTGTCACGCGCCTACGTTGATCCGAAGACTCGCATGTCTCTCATTCTGGGTACCGGTACAAACATGGCCATTCACTTCCCAGTGAGTGAGATTGGAACGTCCAAGTTCGGTGTCCGCCCAGAGGGCTGGTTCGACTACGCCAAGCACGTCCTTATCAACACTGAGATGAGCATGTTCGGTGGCGGTGTGCTACCTATGACACGGTGGGACGACGTACTCAACCGCACGCATCTGCGTCCGGACTACCAGCCACTGGAGTACATGATCACAGGGCGGTACCTGGGTGAGATTGTACGTCTGATAATCGTCGAGGCCGTTGAAACCGCCCGCCTGTTCGGCGGTGAGCTGCCGCACTCCATGCGTGACCCCTACTCCTTCGACACAAGTATCGTCGCCTTCATCGAAGAGGACTCCTCCAGCTCCCTTTCCGCCTCCGCCGCTTTCCTTCAAAAGCAGCACATCTTCCCTAGCCTTCCCTCCGTCGAAGACCTACGATTTGTCCGTCGCGTCTGCCAGACCGTCTCCCGCCGTGCGACTGGATACTTAGCCACAGCCATTCATAGCATGTGGTGTCTCCGCAACGAGGTGGAATTCCCCACACCGCCATCTATCACCGATTCCCTCGATAAAGAATCACCCGAAGTCACCGTCATCGAGAGCGAAGACAGCGACAGGAACTTGACTATTGCCTGTGACGGTACCGTCATCAACAAGTACCCTGGCTTCCGCGATGCCTGCCAGAACTACCTCGATCAGCTGGCTGAGGAGAGTTACCCGGGCACCGGATCCTCTATCCTCCTTAACCCGGCACACGAGAGCGCTATTCTTGGCGCCGCTGTGTCTGTGGCTGTGGCTGTAGCTGGAAAGTCCGCTCAGCCGTAAATCCGCCATTCAATCGCGATGGCACACTCAGCATAGATCTTCCTGCCGTCCCTTTCATTGTGATTATATTTTATCTGTTTTGGTGTGCAGCGGTCATCGGCGCATGATACCCGAGGTGATTTCGATCACTTGGGCTTTACTTTTGTTTCAACTGCATGGGCATAGTTTGAGAGAGCATCTTTCTTTTTCGTCTGTTTACCCCTATCATCCTTATTCCTTTCTCATTGGATTCAATATGCATATACGAGGAGTTTGTCATTTTTGGGGGAATCCAAATGGGTTTATCAAATGGGTTTCTGCGGGTTCAAGATTATGGATTGGCGGAGTCCGGCTGTGGTTCTCTTAACGGATTTCTTATGTCGCGAATGCAAGGCAATCTGACCTGTCCATTCCTTTAATTCTTCAAAATTTACTCGTACGTGTAATAGAGCTACTTGGTGCTATTGGTTCCTCAGGAGTGAAGAGACTCGGCAATGTCACGAGACGACGGCCAAGACGGAGCCAAGAGGCAGTATCGATACCTGAGACAGTGAGGTCCCAAGTCGGAATCCAGCGGCAATATGCATACCCGCAACACCAAAGAAAGAACTCACCTCGTACCATTGAAACAGACCCCTACCGATACGGTGCCCTTGCCTTGTTCAACGTGTGTGATCATGATACTGCAGCGATGTTCGATACCGGGCGGGGACACACCATCCCTCGCTCTGGTGTGGTCATTACGGAATTAGGAAACTCCGTGAGAGACCTGATTGACAGAGTATATCGAGTATAACTCCACGGGAAGCACGGAGACGGCTTGTGTAAGGTGCGACGAGATAAGTGCCCTGGAAGAGTACACAAACTTCCATGGGCCCGATTGGTTCGGTCTGTATTAGGCTGTTCATCTAGTTATGTGTATCTTGGAGATACTGAGATGTATGTGTAACACTGCAAGATCGCCTCTGCTATGCAGATCTGGGAACAACCTGAGTCGTTACGTAGTCCCACGACAGGCGGTTGCCTCGCATACAAAGTAACGATCTCAGATAGAATTATAGGGCTAGTAATGAGGAAGTACCGATCATCAAAACCTGATATTAATAGCTGTTGAAGCTGGCATAAGCCGAATGAGAACTATTAACAGAATATGTAAATAGACCACTATCCACTATTAAGAACTTGATGCAAAATAGCACAACAATGAATTCTCAGAGAACAGTCGCAGGATTCACATTTGGAGAGAGGTGTGTTTGCTTCACCTGTTCGAGAACCGGGACTCGGACAGCTCCCTTAGCAGCGTCCGCAGCATGGTCACTGACCGCCGAGGGGTTGGGTGACGGGCCGGGTGTGCGCTCACCCTTGTTCTGGCGCTGAATGAGACCGTTGGTGATGCCAAGCACGGAATCCACAATGACGGCGTCAATGCCTTCGGCGACTTGGTACTGTACGAAATGGTTAGGGGTTTCACCATGTGGAGGGGTACAGGATATAAACTTACGTCGACGTTGTTTCCGTCGTTGTTGAGCGTTCCGTAAGAGACACACACAAGACCGGATTCTTTGACGATACGAACCAACCGTGGGCAGAGGACTAATGGCTCAGCCTGGGTGACTATGCCAAGAAGGTTCCACCGCGAGGCGAACCGAATCGCCTCCTGTAAGCTGCTGGCGCGGATGTCACCCACAGGGGAGGCACCTGCGTCACTGAGGAACAGGACGGGGATGGAAGGCTGCTTGAAAGACAGGAGCAGACAGATATCGGGGTTGAAGCTGGAGAACAGCATGTCGCGGCCGCCTCCCAAGTCGTACACCTTGGTCAAGATGGTGTCGACAAAGGAGTTGAGTTCAATTGCGTAAGTGTCCATCTCTTCTTCCTCGCTCTCATGGAGCATGGGGTACTCTGGCGATCTCGGTTAGATCGACCGAATAGCCGTTCTTGGGGAAGCGGTAATAACTCACTCAATTCGATGTTAAATCCGACGGGCTTCGGAATCTTCCTAAACAGCTCCTCCAATGTGGCAAATGGTGCCTGAATGTGCTCGCCGCGGGTATTGCCCTTGAATCCCTTCTTCTTGAAGTCGCGGGTGTGCTTGATTTTCTCAGTCAATTCGGCAGGGTTGTACTCAGAGCCGCCGACCGACATTGAGCGCTGACGGGGACCAAGATCTGGTAGCTCACCGTCGCTTTTCACGGGTCCAGGCAAAGGCCGGCGGCGATGTCCAACGCCCAACTCCAGGAATTGATCAAGCGTCATAGTATGAACGGGCGCATCAATGCCCGTTTCACTGACCAAAAAGTCGTGGTAGATAACAGGCACGTGGTCTTTGGTGAGCTGTACATCGAACTCAACATACGAGGCACCAAGGTTGGCGGCGGCGATGAAAGACTCGACGGTGTTCTCGCCCAACTGCAAGGATTTGCGGCTTGCCATGTTCTTACCCAGCCCACGATGTCCGATGACCATGGTCGAGCTCATGGAACGCCAATAAGTCTGGTTGCCAGTGATAGACATGTTGGGATGCTTGAAGGGGGTGATGACGAGGAAGTTGAAGGTCACAGACCCAATTACCTCCAGAGTGTTCGCGGCAACAATCGGGACGGTGGAATCACCTTTGAGATTGATTCGGAGCGACCCGACAGTTGGCTTGATGCTGGAAAGCAAAGCCACACCCCGGCCAACGATCTTCTCCTTCGATCCAGCGTAGGTGGGAACAAGGTCGAAGAGTAAACGCACCTTACTGGGATCGGTGGTGTGGAAGACAATTGGCTCGGTAGAGATATTGTCCTGCACAGGTAAATCAATCACCTCCGGCTCACCATGAGCACCACTAGCGGTTACCACCATTGACAAGGATGTATCCAACTGGGTCGCGTGCGCGTTTTCCATTGGGATGCGGTCAAGGCTGACCGTTTCGAGCGGCTGGCGCATGTCCATTGTTCCCAAGCTAACCAAGATCATGCTCTCGTCAGTGAGATAGCGGTGGCCAAAAGTCTTGATAGGCTCAGTGGTGCGTATATTGGAGCCCCCAGGAGATGATCCGGGCGCATTCGACCGTCGTTCAGTGAGCGATGACTGAGCAGGGGGCGAGGAAGACTCGAGACCACGGATGTTGGAAGTGGAGCTTGAAAGATCGAGATCGGTGGTGGGAACGCCTGGGCTCACCTCCGCCAGACACCGGGCAATGTCCAGATGGCCCCGCAAAGCTGCGTGTTCCTTAGCCGTCCACCCCGAGGTGTCGAAGCGATCCACATCCGCACCAGAGGCAATCAATAGTTTCGCAACACCCAGGCGACCATCCACACAGGCAATGAAGAGCGGCGTCCAGCCATAAGTTTTCTCGGCCAGCTCCGTGTCTGCCTTCTGGTCGTCATTGCCATCGAGCAGAATCTGTGCACATTCATCATGGCCAAATCGGGCGGCAACGTGCAACGCAGTCTCTCCCTGCTCGTCCTGGTAATTGATATCAACACCGGCATCCACGAGGAGCTGCACAATATCGATAAAGTTGGCCTTGGTCGCCAATGCCAACACTGCACTAGATTTGGAGACCTGCTTTCTAATTATGACTCGTTCATTGCTGGGGCCATTTCGTTCCTCGGAATCCAAGAGACACCGGGTGGTCTTGGGGTGGCCGCCCACAACACTCAGATGGAGAGGAGCCCAGCCGTCGTCGTCCTGCCAGAGAGGGCCATCTATACCATCACTGACATCGAACATGTCCCATTCTCTGAGATATTCAATAATCACTTCACACACCACCTTGAAACCATACTGGGCGGCGTAGTGCAACGGAGTACGTCCGGATATATCTTTTGCCATCAAAGACTCCCGCTGGTCTGGGCGCAGCGATTTCAACAGGAATTCAAAGAGAGCGACGGCTGAATCGTCGCGGCCCAACTGCTGGGACATGTGCTCTTCTTTGACAATAGCGCGTGGCGGCTGAAGAGTCGGTGGCGCCGCAGGCGTAATGTACCGGGTAGTCTCCGGAGGGAAGTTGAGCACCATGGACGCCGCCGGCTCCGAGTCGGCCGAAGACTGCTCACGACCTATAGAGATGACCAGACGGTGTAAGCAGTTGCGTCTGTTGATATCGTCATCTTCTTCCAGGGTGTCGACTCGGTTTAGCAGAAGGGCCAGAACAGCCCGAGATCGATGAAGAATGGAGCGCTGTATTAAGGTCTTGAGAACCTTCGAATAGACTGTCTCCCCAGCCTCATCCGCAGTGGCTTTCAGGGTCTCCAGAAGCTCCAGTAAAACGTGAGTGTCGTCCTTGCGAAGTGCGTCATCGACAGCAGTGACGACGCTAGCGGGGAGGTTGAGATAGGGCCTAGTCGGACCACGCTTCAATGATAGGGAAGAATGGGTGGAGCTTGAGTCATCTCCCACTTTATCTTCCGCCTTGGACTGGTCGGTGATAATTGCCATCCAAGCATTGATGCGATCCTGGGCCTCAAACACGCGTGCGTTGGAGGCGAAGGGGGCGGGGTCGACCTTTGTTTCTAGATAACGCTTTTGAGCCTGGGCGCCAACCTTTTTGTCCAGCTTTTTGGTGATCTTGACGAAGCCACGACGATTGACTTCACCATACCATTGTAAGCGGCGTAAGTGGTACCGCAAATCCAAAAGCGCTTCGCGCAGGTCATGTCGGTCTTCGGGCTCGAGAGCATGGCGACCTTCCATGGAGTATCCATAACGCTCCTCGAGCAGTTTCAGTCGGCGGGTAAACTCAGCATACTTCTTGTTGTAAAAATAATCAACATCTTCGACATTTCGATCGAGAGAATAGAAAAAGCCTATAAGCCCAACACAAAGGTGAAAAACACCGGGTCCTGGTCAGTAGGGTGCTACTAGAAGATTCAAAAGATTAAATCCAAGGCAATGACGCATGAAGCTTACCAGCCAAATCCGCCTCTTCTCCAGTTCTGATCTGTTCAGCAGCAGATTTGATGAGCCGTTTCAGAGCCTTGTACTTTATGTAAGAGGTGCTCCACTCGGGAACAGTGAATTGCGACAGATTGCGGCCGAATTTCATGTTGAACGACTAGTTCCTGCTGAGTCAAAAGCCCAACTTATTTCCAGATTCCACCACTCCTTGTCGCCCGTAATTTCCAATTGCGTTCGGGGGGTGTTGTTCGGTGTATGTCGAAGCGGGATCAACCTGAGAGTCACGAAGAAGTGATCAGGTGAGCGGGCGAACGCAGGCAATGGAGGAAAGCGACCACGCCATTGAGATGGATAGGTAAGGATAGGGAGTAGGGAAGGTAAAAAGGAGGTAGAGGGGTAAAGAGACAAAGCTCAAAGCTGCATCAGAGTCTAGACTGTACCTGTCTAAGTGGAGGATGTCGGAAGATGAGGAAGACGCAGTACTTTGACACACCCGAAGAGAGAGATTGAAGATCGGGATAGGATAGATCACAGCAGAGGCCTAAAGAGCGTGGGCCAGAAGAGTGATGTGAGAGGAAAGAGGATCTTCAACCTTGGAAGCTTCGGAAAGCGTACCAGTTCGAGGTGTGCGCACTAGGCTGAAGATGATTTGTCGATCCGTGGGCTGCTTCCCCACGGTACGGCCTTAGGTTAGGTATATATCTCCGCCAAGGAGCACGTCCGTAGAGCACGTGTAGGTAGCTAAAATAGCTGAGGCGCTGGTAATTTGAAGTTTGCTGTTTGGCGGTGTGGAATTTTACCTTGGCGACGGAAAGAAGCTTTTCAATTTTTTGATTCACATCAAAATCACATGGTAATTTGTGGCCAACGTCATGCAGGAGTAGGAAGGATCCCCCGGGTCCAGTAGTGGCGAGTTGGAATTGGATTTGATCCCCACACTACGCTCAGGGCGGGGCATCTATTCCGTGTCATCTTGGATCGGAGGTTCACAGGTCCCGGTCCGTATCGTGTACGGAATTACTGGTAACTAACGCGAGCACAAAGAGAACAGTTATCAGGAGGGCACATGACCTCAAAGCCATCAAGGAATGTCGGTGAAGTCCCACTAAGAGATCAAATTCCACATCTTAAATGCAGACCCCGTGACTCTATAGACGGAAATAGAAGCGCCACAGCTCACAGGCTTGGTGACACTAGTTGGGGATCATATACGGTCAGGTGAGCAGTCGGGAGTAGGGGGTAAAACTGAGTCAATCATAATTCTTCTTAGGCAGGTACTGAGGTATGTTAAAAGCCATCCATGCACCCCATTGCACTTTGTATCCGAATTCTATAAATCGGGCACCGTCCCCCTAGGTGTCCCGACATAAAAAGGAGTCGCTAAATCTGTCGCTGTGCTCATGATCAGGTCATTGTGTGAATGAAAACAAATAAGAAAAAGGCAAATAAAAAACGATGAATCGTAAACTCCACTGGATCAGCCAGTCTATCCCAGAGTCACATGCAAAAGGAGAACGTTAAAAGGAGTTTGCTCAAGAATGAAACCCCCTGTAGGAGAAGGGAACATGCCGAACGACTAGATCTGGGCCTGAACCAGTGGCTTCAAGGCGTCAGCGCCAGCTTGTAGCACCGCTTGATTCTTCGTTTTCTTGAGGCATGCAGCGAGAATGCCAATTCCCCCAGCGTCGCGAACGGCTGCTTTGGCACGGGTACCAATATCACCTGTGGCAATGCAAGTGAAGTTGCGTACACAGACCACTCCGCGGTGAACCAAAGCATCATCGTCCTCCTGGCACAGTCCTAGTAGCAATTCCACGCCTCGCGGTCGGTCCAGGATTGCAACTATGGCGGCGTCGAACTCCGTCAACATGGCAAGGGCCCCACCGGCAGCCCTTCGTGTCGGGAAATCATCGGCATCGGTCAGAGCCAACAAAATGTGAAGGCGCTGCGCCGCTTGTTTAGAGCCATCCGCAACTTTGACGACACCGGATTCGCAAGTCATCAGATTACAGACCAGTTCACAAGAAGCCCGTTGAACTTGGGCATTGCTAGAAAGAAGGAGGTCTTCCACTGCCGCCCAGCCTTCCCGGACGATGAGTTTGGGCGCGGAGTCATCGTGCGGGTAGGAAGCAAGGTTCGTCAGAGCCAAAAGACTTTCAAACACGGGAAGTAGATCACGGGGTTGATCGGCAGAGAACGAAGGAGACTCGAGCGATGGGAGAAGAGAGAGTAGGGGTCGGACAGCGGATGTAACCTGAGGGAAGCCAGACGAGGGGAAAACATGTGACGGGTCAACGGAAATGAGAATGCGGGCCAACGCGTGGGATGCAAGGCGTGTGGTTTCATTTGGTACAATGCCATTGCTGCTCTGATGCGGGGCAGCAAGATTGAGTAACAGCTTCACCGCACCTTGTTGGGCCAATTTACCACGGGACTTTTGAAGCCTTGTCAGAGACAATAGGATCTGTGCCATGGACTCGTTGGTAGTAGACGAAGAGGTTCGGCCAACCTCGACCAGCAAAGGCATGATGCCTGCATCGATAACGGCGGCACATCGTGCCAGAACAGCATCATCTTGATCTTGAGTATGTGGTGCTAATGGCGCCTTCGTCTTTCCGGTTGATGCGTCCGCATAGTCCTTCAATTGCGACATTTTCTTTTGCTCTTCGGATAGGTTGGGTAGGAATCTGGTGAGGTTCGCGAAGACCATCATGCCGCCATAAAGTGGGCCTGAATCGGCGTGAATTCGTTTCAGTACAGCGATAAGATTCCGTAGAAAAGTGGGATCGAAGGCAAGCTGATCCTTGACGGACGGCTTTGTCGAAGTGTAAGCCAATCCTTCAATTGCGTGGGAGTCGGTGTCGACCTTTTGTTCAGACATCAGTCCCATAAATCGAAGAACGAGCTCGGAATCGCTATCTTGCTCCAAAACCTTACCGTTGCCATTCGAGGGCTGCTCGGGTTCAGATGCCCGAATCTTTGCCAGGGCCACTGCCGCTAATTCCGAGCTCTTGTCACTGCCATTGGTCAGGGTATGCGACAGCCACTCCCCAAATCGCTTCGAAACGGCCTCGCGACACGGGCGGTTGATGCAAGCCGCATTGAGAAGTTCCAAAACAGGAAGTTCCACCTTCTTACTTTTGGCGTCTCGGGTTGCCATCGGAACTAGATGTTTCATGAACTCTTCCGATAAGAAGAGATTGGCAGCTGCGGAGGGAGCCACGGGAAAGACGGCGGCAACCGCAGAGAACGCAACGATTAGATCGTCCATGCGGCCTTTGCCAAGAATCGACATGATCAAGGTTAACAGCTTCTTCTCGCCCGTCTCCTTGGCAACCTCGAGATATTTGGCTGTGGCCAACGTTGCCTGGCTCCGTACTTCCAGTGGCAATCGCATATCCAAGGATGAGAGGATCACCTCAAACCCTTCATCGTCAATCAAATGTTCCAGCTCGACAGCATGGACAGCGAGTAGTCTAGTGATACCCTTCAAGGAGCGGCCGTCGAGATCATGGCCCGATTCCATCAATTTGGCAATGAACAGCTGAAATAGTTCACTCTCGCAGTGGGATCGCGTTTCCTCCGATGTCCACACAGTGGGATCTAGCACCACCGTGTCCAGGCACACCGCTGCGCCATCACCCCGGTCATAAATCTCATCGAAGAATGTCGTAACAGAGGTCTGAAGCTCTGTAGAGAAGTACTGCCGAACGCTTTTGTTCTGCCGCACCAGTCCCGAGATGATATCGTCCTGTGTCGCTGACAGAGAGTGCGGTCGCTGTGCTAGCAACAATTTGAGGCATTCCAGGGCGACGTTTTCCGGTGATTTCAACCCATCAGTCCGGAGGTAAGTTGCGGCTTCCTTGCCGGCATTTTCATCCTTCTGTGTGGTGTATCGACGGCAGAGCTCAAGTAGCTGGTGGTCGGCTTTCTCTTCCTGCTGAACCTTCAGAAAGGCAGCTTTAACTTGTGGATTTTCAGGAGCGATCGAAAGGGCTTCTCGGAGATTGCGGGAGGCAGCCTGTTGAGGAAACTGCGCATCAGTAACAGATCCACTTCTTCGAAGGGGTCCTAAAGATACGAAATGACATACCTCTCGATGGCCGGCGTCGACCAATTCGACGGCCTCTCGGGCCAGTTGTACAGCGTGCTCTTCACCCGTTGCTTGGACCATTGCAGGGTTGCGAGGAAGATGAATAGAATGTATAATACTAGTTTTTGGAGGTCGAATAAAGGTGAAAGATGGGGGAAGCTATTTTTTTTCTGAGTGAGGGGAGGTGGAGAGTGGAAGCCCGGCGATAAGGTGGGAACGAGATAGCCGCTTTATATGGAGAAGCCAACGGCGGAGCCAACCTTGGAAGAAAAAGGAGATTGTTGGAAGATGTTGGGAATGCGTATACTTTTTATGTATATAAGTTTTTTTCGAATAGCCGCGTTGGCCTGATTCAATTGACAGTCACAGGTCTTTCTCATTCTGATATATACACCAGACCTGAGCATCCTTGTCCGGAGTCTATTTTCCTTCACGAATCGCCATTATCAATCGGCCTGATAAGACCAACCACAGCCTCCGACGCCGTCACGTTGATAAGCAACTACTCAGCTTAGTCCTAGGAGGACAAGGGGTGTCACAGGCTCACAGCCTATCCCCAAGCTTCCAATTCCGGGGTTTGAATATGGTGAAAGCCGAACTCCCCGCTAGCTCCGTGGGAACTTGGCTTTCTCATTGATGGAAGAAGTTATTAGGTACTACGGAATGCACAATATCATCTCTTGGCGCGTCCAAGGGATATGCCAAGAGAAGCTATGTCTTGCCTTTCAAATCGACCGAAGAGAAACTCATCGTCACAACAATAGATGCTCAGAAATTCGGGGAAGTTCCAGTCATCCCATCTGGGCTATCGGGAAGTATGCAAGGCAGCCTGTGTGGAGTGAGTTGCGGTGTAGATCCGAGTGCTGCGAGTTAAAAGATAGAAAAAGATTTGATTCAAAGCTAGCTGTATAGAAGAACAGATGAGAGTGTATGTCGGATGTAGATTGGTGATAATGAGATCACATATAGCAGCAGCTAGTCCTCGTTATCGCCCCGTGACTACCTTATCGCCTCAAGATCGTCAATTGGCCTTGACCGCGGAGCTGGAGAATAGGTATTAGGTACCCTCTGATAGCTGCTGGGCCCTAAGAGCCCAGTCCAAACTGCTTGAGCCCTATCGCAGTTTAATTTAACCTCGCAATGAGCACCACGCTCGACAGATCCGACATCTCACCACAATGAATTCAGTCGATGCCTCCGAGCATTACGAGTTGAAAGCTACCGGTTCGTCTTCCCAGTCGCCAGCACAAGCCGAACAACCCAGCTAATCCCATCGCAGACCTCGCCCCATCCCTCCTCACCATAGTAATCGACACGAATCCGCACGCCTGGGCCGCGCTCGAGGACTCCCTTCCCCTCTCCAAAGCCATCGCCAACATCCTAGTCTTCATCAACGCCCACCTAGCCTGCAACTACGCCAACGAGGTCGCAGTCGTCGCCTCACACAGCCAAAAAGCATCATGGCTCTACCCATCCCACAAACCCCCCCAGCCACCTCCAACGGTGACACTGACGGCGATGTGACCATGAACGGCGCACCCGACACCACACCCCAAACGAACAAATACCGGCCCTTCCGCCTCGTCGAAGAACAAGTAACTCGCAACCTCAAAGACCTAATCGAGTCGACGACCGGCGACGAGCTCCGCAATAATACATCGACAATGCTAGCCGGCGCGCTCACCCTCGCGCTGAGCCACATCAATCGGCGCACACTCGCCTGGGCGGAAGAGCACGGCGGCGCAAACAACGAAGACACAGTCGCCGAAGGTACGCACGGGGGTCCGTCTGCACCACCGGGCCGGTACTCCGCGTCAAATGAGGACGAGCGGCTGCAGAGTCGCATCTTGATTGTTTCCGTGAGCGGATCCAGCGACTCGGCGCACCAGTATATCCCCGTCATGAATAGTATATTCGCGTGTCAGCGCTTGCACATCCCCATCGACGTGTGTAAGCTCAGTGGTGATGCGGTGTTCCTGCAGCAGGCGTCGGATGCAACCAAGGGGGTGTATATGGCCCTTGCTGAGCCGCGTGGTTTGCTGCAGTACTTGATGATGGCTTTCCTACCGGATCAGCGCTCGCGTCGGCATTTGGTTGTTCCCACGCGGGTGGATGTTGATTTCCGGGCCGCTTGCTTTTGTCATCGTCGGGTTGTGGATGTGGGTTTCGTCTGCTCTATTTGTCTTAGTATCTTCTGTGAGCCGCCGCCTGGTAATGACTGCATGACTTGTGGCACGCATTTAGATCTCGGAGACAATGCCAAGCCTGCTCTTCTCCCTAGGAAGAAGAAAAAGAAGAAGCGCGTCAATGGAGCTTCCGGCACTGCGACCCCTATGTCGACGCCGACGCCGGGTCCTTGATTCCTCTTTTGCGGAAGCCACACCGTTGGAGCAAACAATACAAGTAGTCGGACCCTTTGTAGAGCACACTGGCATACACATGGAAAAATATACTGATTTAATGCTACGGACGATGCTACATGTGGCTATGCCGAAGAATTTTAGACAGCATCTCAAATCTTGGTGACTCATTAGCTACACGCATAGGTAAACAATGCCGGAGCCGCTTTGACAGATGCTCCGATAACAATGTTGGTGCCCGGTCTCGCGGGAGAAGACTATCTGGAAAGCATAGAGCACTGGAACAATCGCTCCCCTTACGCCAAGGAAGCAGCGACAGGAAACGGATTGAGGGGAACAAGTAGGGGTGGAAAGTGGGTGGTAATGGGCAAGAACTATCTGGTCGTTTGATCAGTATCCAAGGGACGAAAAGGACGAAAAGTTAGCAAAGCGAAGTGGCCGCTGCGGCTGAGTGATAGTTCTAGTCCAAGGTGCATTGCAAAATTCTAGTCAAATCATCAGTATTTTTGATTTTCTTTAACTTGACCATACAACTTACATCCAAGCCTGACTCGGCAACCACCTTGGGCCACAACACCTCGTGAGCTTCTAGACATCAAAGAAGACGGTTTTGCCGTTTTGCTAGACATAGTAGCAATAGCCTGAGGGCTTTGTTTAGCGACATATCTTGCACGGTGAAAATCATGGGATACTCACGAAAGAATCGGTGTTGTGCGCGAAATAGAACTCGATTGCAGAATTGGTCTTTTTCACGACCATTATTCCGATGGCGCCAAAGAGGATGCTGTTTTCCACAACGCTATGTCCTGAGACGCAAAAGCAAACAATTGTCAGTTCCTACAAAGGCACGAGAGATTTCAGAACAGCACTCACCAGTGAACTCCCCTTTCATCCACTCTCTGAGGGCCTCTTCTTCCATGACCTCGCAAAGAACACCATCATCGCCCTTCTTCTGACTGTGGTACATCCGCGTTGCGCAGGTGCTTGCCGCGAGCGTCCCAGCAATGAGCTCGCCTGTCCCAGACGTAACAGCCGCACAGGTGGTCCCATCGGGATCAGCTGGGTCTTGCGCAATGACATGGGTGCCAATGCCAATCAGTGCTGCAGGGCCAACCCGGCCACGGTGTTTCATGCCGATTCCCCCAGAAGAAGACCCTGCCGCAATATTTCCAAATCTGTCAATGGCAATGGCGCCAATGGTGTCTGTGACCATGTCCATCCGATCTCCATCTTGTATGCAATCGGCATCCTCGGGGTTGCCACTATGGGATAAGGTTGAAGCCGAGAGGGGCTGCACAGGTGGATAAGGCCCTTCGAGGTTGGTATTACTCTGAGTCGGATTATTCAGCGGCGATCTCCGATGCTGCTCCTTGATGCTTCTTAGATTGAGGCGACCGACCTGACGTCTGATTTCGTCACCCGCTCCATTGTCACTAGAAGATTCCGAGGATTGAACAGATGGACTCCTGGCTTCAGAAACCTGCTCGAGGCGAGCAAGGCGAGCGTCGACGGGAGTCATGGGGCGTCGAACCCAAGGATCAATCGCTTCACCACGAACTTCATTTTCGAGATCTTGCAGCTCTTCGGCCCAGGATGTGTATCTCAGTTTTGCGATAGGGGTGATCATGCTCTCGTCGGGCACGATGACTATACCGTGCTCCCATGCAAAATCTTTAGCCCCTTCTCCGACCAGGAAGTTCGGTGGCACCCTAGAGTGACCCAAATGTATGTTGGACTGGTCATAGACCTTGCGAGCAAGCATGATTGGGTTCTTGATGTCTAAAAAGGCTCGCAAGTCAGACATAGCCGAGGAAAGGCCCATATTGGCGAACAAACTTACTGGGAACAGCTCCGACAGCTCCACTCAGGCCATGATGATCGACAATTGAGGCATCACACTCAACAACCCCATTTGCATTCAAGTTACTTCCGAACCCTGCGTTCGTGATCGGATTGTCTTCGAGCACCATCAAGGCTGCTTCGACGGCTTCAACGGCGGTAGCACCCCTCTTCAAGAATGCCATTCCGGTGGTCGCAGCTCTGTTTCGCAAATGTCAGCTTTAACAACCATCTAAGGGGTGCGAGATGACAACTTACGATTCACATGCCTTGAGGTGCTTGCTCTGGTTCTCGCGGCTGTGAAAGCCTGCACCTGCATGAATGAAGATCGCACAGACACCATCAGTTACGCAAGTCTGAGACATGCTGAGACCCGTAATGGAACGGATTTCAAATGTCTGGGGTACTTTGCAAGTTTTCGAAAGAACAATCCGTGCAATGGCTGCAACAGCAGACCAGAGTGAGGATATCAACGCGTCGTGTAAGAACCCCACGGACGTAACGTGATTACTCAACTGAGATCCACCCAGTATGTTCAATTCGCTGCAATATCAGAGGCAAGTTGGGCTTGGGGAATAAAACGCGAGGCAGCAACTGTGAATGTGACTGGTTTCCTCTGGGTAACCCTCGAGTTGTGTCCCTCAATGAAGGAGCGATTTGCCAAAGCTTCAGGCTAGATGACCACTGGGAACCAATGCTCTAATGCTATGGCAGATTTCGGGACTGGGAACGAAGCGAGTGAGCTGAGTGCACGGCGGCACGATGCGGATCGGGCTGGGGGAATAATACTAAGGATAGAGGTCAGGACTGCATGCATGCAACCCATGAAAAAGGATACAAGTTTGAAGGATAAATGAATGTGTGCGTTAGGGATTGAGGATGTAGGTAAACAAAGTCATGGAAGAGAGAACGAGGCAAATTTTATAGGAGCAGCTTCAGCCTTGATCGTTCCTGCCATGGTGTTCATGGAAGCTTCGCAGGTGATTAGCGGTGGCGAAGCAGATATGAGTAGGGCACGTGGCTGATCCAGTGATCGCTGCTTCCTCTTTCTATTTGGAAATCATGAGAATATTCCCTTGAGAAGATCAGTATTCGTCTGGATGCTAGCTGAGGTTGACGTCCAACCACTGAGCCTCCCGGCAGTGTGGCTTGTCCTTAGTAATCGGACCTCCGGGCACTGCATCTCCACCCCCCGCCTTGTCTGCCTGTCCTCTTGGTCTCGCGAAGTCAAGGCGATTCCGGCTACCATTGAGAGATTCTGCCGATTCCCTTGTGTCTAACTGGTTCCATACCATACATCAGCTTCCTCGGGCTCCTTGCCGCATTTCCATTGATTGTACCCAAACCCAGTCCACCCGCCATGGCGTCCCAAACACCTGCCGTTGTCATGGACAAGTAAGTTTACAGCTACAAGGATCTTGATCAAGTGGTTAGATGCTGATTCGATATCTCCTACCAGCGGAACTGGTTATTCCAAGCTTGGTATGTTCTCTCTCTAGCTAGCTCGGGAAATCGCGATCACAGATTAGGCTGACATGCTACCTCCAATATTCCAGGTTTCGCCGGTAACGACTCCCCCTCATTCGTATTCCCAACTGCAATTGCAACCAAAGCTGGTGCTGGAAGTGCTGGAAGCTCCGGGGGCCGGCCCCCAGTCGCAAACAAGCCCTCGTTCCTAGGTGCTGGTGGGGGTAGCTCCAACCTGGCTGCTAAGCGTGGCACAGAGGACCTGGATTTCTTTATCGGCGATGAAGCCCTGGCTGCGGGCAGTGGTCCAGGCTATGGCGTCAACTACCCGATTCGCCATGGACAGATTGAGAATTGGGATCATATGGAACGTTTCTGGTCGAACTCGATCTTCAAATATCTGCGCGTGGAACCCGAAGACCACTACTTCCTACTCACCGAGCCTGTAAGACAAACGCGCATACTGTCGGAAAACTGGACGTGAATGAGATATCTAACCACCATGGATTACAGCCCCTGAACCCTCCCGAGAACCGTGAGAACACAGCTGAGATTATGTTCGAGTCATTCAATTGCGCTGGTCTTTACATCGCCGTGCAAGCAGTGCTCGCCCTGGCCGCCTCATGGACCTCCTCAAAGGTGACAGACCGATCTCTCACTGGAACTGTCATTGATTCGGGTGACGGTGTTACCCACGTTATTCCCGTCGCCGAGGGCTACGTCATCGGATCATCCATCAAGAGCATCCCGATTGCCGGACGCGACATCACATACTTCGTGCAGAGCTTGCTACGTGACCGCGGAGAGCCCGATAGCAGCTTGAAGACAGCAGAGAAAGTGAAGGAGGAGTACTGTTACGTCAGCCCGGATATTGTCAAGGAGTTCGCACGTTACGACCGGGAGCCAGACCGCTTCTTGAAGCACACCGTCACTGCACCGAACGGACGGAGTATAAACATCGACATTGGATACGAACGTTTCCTCGCCCCGGAGATCTTCTTCAACCCCGAAATCTACTCGTCCGACTTCCTCACCCCGCTTCCCAACGTCGTCGACGGGGTCATTCAATCCTCCCCCATTGACGTCCGCAGAGGTCTCTATAAGAACATTGTGCTCTCTGGTGGTTCCACGCTGTACAAGGACTTTGGTCGTCGTCTACAGCGTGACATTCGTCACTTGGTGGATGCACGAATCCGTGCCTCTGAGGCTCGCAGCGGTGGCGCTCGCAGTGGTGGTCTTGATGTCGCTGTTGTTACCCACAAGCGTCAACGCCACGGTCCCTGGTTCGGAGGTAGTCTGCTGGGCCAGACGCCTGAGTTCAGGAGCTACTGCCACACTAAGGCGGAGTACGATGAGATTGGTCCCAGCATCGTGCGGCGCTTCGCACTGCTTGGTGGCCCGGGAAGCTCGTAGAGGGAAAGAGTGGATATTGTCATTAGATACTCGTCAATTATCAATCAATGTAGCTCAGCCTTTTGTTCATAGTCGGTTGTATTTCTTTCTTTCGTCCGGTGGTGCCCTATTTTCTTCCATAGCAAGAACATCTTGCTGTTCATCAACATTTTTTCACTTTCATTACTTTCAATACTTAGGTTCAGGGCCATAGGTTGTAGATCAAACTGAGAACCTGTTAGATTGAGCTAGGGATGGCACCTCAAGATGTGATTTTTTACATTTTACATTTACACGATTCTTTTGCTATTTAATTACAGTGTACAAAAAGATGGAGCCATTTTTGCGCTAGTAGATTGTATGGTAACCGGATGTTCGAGGAAACAGCCCCTGTATTCTTTTGTTGACAAAAAACATCGGCCGAGAATTGGCCAGGTGGCCGAGATACTGCCGAAATAGGAAAAAATGAAGCTATTCCAGGTCGCGCGTAGCATCAAAAGGCCGTTTGGTCCCAATAACAACCACCAACTGGCCATCCAGCTGGCCAGTAGTACGCTCCATCACATAGCTTTGCTCCAGGTGCTCAATCTCAAACATATCAAGGATATCTGTATCAAGATCTTCAGTATCCTCCTGCCCTTACTCTTGCCCTGACCCTTGTGCCTTTATATCCTCCAGCACAGCGTCATTCATCTGAATATACACCAGCTTGTTGACCTTCTCCGAGGAGAACCGATTGCGTGTTTTGCGGTGGACAAAATTCATAGTAGAGAACGATCGTTCGGAGGCAACTGAGTTGTATAGGCGGAGGGCAAGCGGTGCGAGCGTCGCAGATTTGAGATCGAGCACCTGGAGCAAAGCTATATGATGGAGCGTACTACTGGCCAGCTGGCTAGCCTGGCGCTGGATGACCAGTTCGGTGACCAGTTCGATGACCAGTTCGATGACCAGCCGGATGGCCAGTGGGCTGTTGCTGGGACCAAACGACCTTTTGACGCTACGCGCGACCTGGAATAGCTTCATTTTTTCATCTTTCGGCAATCGGCAGTAATCGGTGATGGAAGGTGTGTTGGACGCTTGGTACGATTATCTCGGCCACCTGGCAAATTCTCGGCAAATTTCCTTTGTCAACCAAAAATACAGGGGGCTGTTCCCTCGAACATCCGGTTACCACACAAAATTACTAGCGCGTAAACGGCCCATGTAAGAAACCTTTTATTACACGGTAAATAGCCAAAAAAAATCGTGTACAGTGGTGTCTGATAAGTATTTAACCTCCGGTACATTGTGGGCCTAGGACCCACTTTAATACTGCCAAGCAGAAACCTCGGGGATTCGAATTCATCCAATAGGCGGTGACGCGCGAATTCCGATTAGCTGATAAAGTAAGCGGTCTAGATAGCGGTCAAAAGTAAAAGTGGGGACATAAGTACCGGAGGTTAAATACTTATCAGACACCACTGTAAATGTAAAATGTAAATTACATTTGCCATCCCTAACCGTAATTCACAAGCGAGTCGTCATCTCCAAATCACATAGTAAAAGAGGTCAATAGGTACAACACAGTATCTCAACAACGGTGGCCTCTACGGACTTATTGCTATAGTATATCATCCTTTAGGTCGTAATCAGCATCTACAGGGAGTTTGAGGAAAATTCAAGACTTTATGCTTGTGTTATATCGATATCTCTTTTCGGCACCGTATTTTTCGGTAATCTTTAGTATCACCATAATGGAGCCTTTTAATTTCTCTGAAATTGATAGAGGATGCTAGTTGCCCTTATCAATGGCTATCGTGAAATAAAGACATGAAATGAACTCGTGGTTGTTGAGATACTAGGTATAATTGTAGGATATATCGCATTTACTATCCATGGATGTGTTTTGGGGTTGACGACTACTTGCTTGGGCTGACGACTCGCTTGTGAATTACGTTAGTTACTTTACAGGGGTCTACACAGTAGTACGATAAACTGCCAGCCCTAGTCATTGAGCAGATACATTAGAAGATGAATATTGACTTCTTTTTTGTTCACCACCCAAACTCCGCGGACAATGCATATTTCAGAAACTTGAAGACAAACCACAAGCAAGTTATTACTATACAAAGACCAACACCACTCAAGCCTTCTCCTCCTTAGGGAAAGAGGTACGGTTAAGAATAGCAACACCCTCAACATGACCGGTCTGAGGGAAGAAATCGAACCCACGAATACTCTCAATCTCGTAGCGGACGTCATTCTTCTCATTGCCCTGAACCATGACAGCAACGTCACGAGCCTGCGTATGCACGTTACAGCTGACATACACCACACGACGGGGTTTGTAATCAAGCAATTGACGCAGGAAGTCATCAGAGCATCCCTTGCGAGGCGGGTCGATGACTAGCAAAGTCTGGTCTGGCGGGTAAGGAACGTCCTTGAAGAGAGTCGTGGCATCGGCAGCCGCGAAGCCTGTATTCTTGATCTTGTTTTCGACGACGTTTTGACGGGCGGATACGATGGAGTCGGTTCCGATATCGACACCAAGACTGGACTTGAACAAGGGGGAGAGTGTGATTGTGAACAGACCGGAACCGGAGTAAGCGTCCAAGAGATACTTGATTGGCTTTGTGTCTTTGTCGTTATTCGCAGGGATGGCTTTGGAGCGGATGTACTCTGTGAAGCCGGAGAGGATCGAGTTGTTATTTTGGAAGAAGGCGCCTGCTTTGTTCGTGAAGAGGTAGTCGTCGACGTACTCGTAGGAAGTGGCATTGTTATCTGTGACGCAACGCTTTTCCTCGGTGTAGGTTTCATGCTCGATGCGGATGACATCGCCCGTTTCGCGAGCGCGAGCCATTTCGCCAATGGACTTCCTTCGGGGGAGGTGGGGGAGGTGTCTTTGGGAATTCGTGTTGTAGACTCCCGCATGAGGAGAGTGGCACCTCGCTTGTAGGACGCGAGGTTCCCTGCGACTCGCTTCCTCTCACTTTTGAGGCCGCGGCGGACAATGTCTGTTCCTAGTGGACAATCCTCGATGTCTATCTCCTTGCGTTGGTTCTTGTAGGTATATCCAATTGCGGGAACCTGGGGTGCTCTGGGTATCCCATTGGGACCTTTGAGGTTGATCTCGAAATGCGGAGTAAGTTTCGTGCGATATCCGTATTGCTTTGGCGAAGCAAAGGTTGGGTCAACATTAGGGACAAGCTCCGGTATCAATCCAGAGAAATTAGCAAAGGCTTTCTCCACAACACGGCGCTTGTGAGCAAGCTGGTCCTCATAGGACATCATCTGAAGCTGACATCCAGAACATTGTCCAAAGTATTTGCATCCGATTCCTGCATCGTTTCTCTGGGGACCGGGTTCGATCACTTTAATAAAATCGGTCAAGCTGTATGACAAAGGCTGAAAATGTTTGATGATTTTGACGCGCGCAACGTCCCCAGGAACCGTGAAAGGAACGACGTATACATGTTTCCCATTCTCAGCAAGCGCTAGACCGTCGCCTGTCGAGGAGATCTCGGAGATCTTGACATCAAGCTCAGTGAATTTCTCTGGGAGGTCCAGATGCCCGCTGTCGACGTTCACCTCCGCCTGGAAATCATTCGATTTCAAAAGTCTGTCGATGTCACAGACCAGGACCTCGTCAAACCCATTCTGTTTATTTCTCTTGTCGATGAGCTTTTGCTTCTTTTGCTTCTCATTGGCCTTGGCCGCAGCAAGCCCACTGCCACTGGCCTTCTTGGGGAACTTGGGCTTCTGGTCTGGGCTGAAATTGCGTCGATCAGCCCTGGGAGACCCAGGCTTCTGCTCTGGGCTGAAACTGCGCCGAGTGGCCTTGGGGGACTGGGGCTTCTGCTGTCTGCCGGCGGATTCTTGCTTGGGAAGGTCTTCGTCCATGTCGAGTCCTAGCGCGTCGAGGAGACGGCGGTGATCGGATAAGTTGGAGGATAACCGCACTTTCAGGGCGGTTTGGGTCTGAGAAGACAGTGAATGAGTCAATCTACAGACAGAGGATCGTATCGCAAACATCAGTCGAGGCAAGCGACAGAAATAAATTCTGGGACTAAATTCGCTGGAAATTTATTAGAAAAGCATCTTTCGCGTCGCTGATTGGGTGGTGCCTCACCGCCCGCAGGAGAGAAATTCGTCCCGATGCTTCATCTCCGACGAGCCTTTTGTCTTTGCTCCCTCCAATTATCTCCGCTTTTTGCCATTTCCCGTATTCAAAAGCTCTCAACCGGCCTACCGTTGGCTGGTGAGCTTATTGCACCTTTACCATGAACGTGACACGGCCGGCACGATGCCTTCTTTGCAGCTTCACCCGTGCTGCCACCCCAAGCACGCGAGTCCCTCGACGCCAGTTCCACCCTACTCCCGCGCCTCTCTCGAATCGGAAACCCAAGTTCCCCAATGTGAAGGCTCCTCAGACACCGGATTATAAGCCTTACACGGAAGAGCAGAAAGCCGAACTTGCCAAGGAGTACTCGGCGGCACAGATGGCGGCCATTGAGGCCGGCGAAGCTGCTATCGACCCCAAAGACCTGGCGGAGCAGATGAACGAGCGCTCCGATCCTATGGCATTCAAATACCTCGACGACTTCTCAGTCATCGAGCCCGGCATCGATCGACACCAGCGCGCCCCGGAGTCGAACTCGGACTACAATTTTACGCTGAAGACCGAGGCCGATTTCATTAACGACTTCGGCCGCTTCATCGCCGATATGCCCGATAATGCGACAGGTGCGGACTTCGTCCGGTTCGCCGATAACCTGCGCGTCACCCACGGCAAAGAGGAGAACGAGTTGGACCCGCACAGCGCACTTGTGCCGGACCTCTTCGGACCCGGAGAGACCATAGATGAGCCCCGTGTGGAGGAGAGGAAGACAGCCGCCGAGAAGGGCGAGAAGGAGCGATCTGCAGAAGCGGAGGAAATGACTGATGCGCTCAAGAGTCTACTGCTGGCTACGGGCTACACGGAAAAACAGGTCAAGGACCTCCGGACTAAGACTCTGGTCTCACACAGTGTCACCAACCAAACTCGGCTAGGAAAGATTCGCCGTGCGTACCGTCTATCCATCGCCGGTAATGGTGATGGTTTGCTGGGTATTGGTGAGGCCAAGTCCGATGAAGCCTCCGATGCAAAGATCCAGTCGCAATACCGTGCTATCCGAAACATGCAGCCTATTCCTCGCTACGAGAAGCGAACCATTTACGGCGATGTCAAGGGCAAGGTGGGAGCCACAGAGTTGCAACTGATGCACCGTCCGCCAGGTATGTCTATTTTATCTCCGCCAACTTTTTTAAACTGCCGCTAATAACAACAGGCTTCGGACTCCGTGTCCAATACCTCATTTACGAGATGTGCCGTGCTGGCGGCATTCACGATCTTTCGGCCCGTGTCGGTCGCTCAAGGAACCAGATGAACACCGTCAAGGCCGCCTACCAGGCCCTCATGAGCCAGCGTAACCCCGAGCAAGTTGCTCACGCACTCGGCAGAAAACTTGTCGATGTGCGCAAGGTGTACTACGCAGGCAAGGTCTAGGTCTACAGAGCCTGACTTGCTGTTTCGTCCCCAGCGTGTATATAATGCTTCTCCTTTTCCTCTTCTTTTGTGTCTTTTGCATGTATTTGTATAAGTCGGTTGTTAAACATGAAGGGTCATCAATTCTCCAGTATCCTGGACTATCCATCGCATATCTGGAAAATCACATATCAACGTTTCTTTTGCATAAACACGATCTAATCCGCATCTTTCACAAACGCGGACTTGGAAATGAACAACAACACCCCGGGTATATTACGCGCGTAGCCAGTAGCAAAAACCATAAAACTCATAAGACAACATTCAATCCCGTTCCTCATTGAAACGTGATATCCCCCTCACCCTCATACCCCTGCAGGTAGTCGCCCTGGTCCTGCTGTTGCTGCTGCTGCTCTTCATTCTCATTCCAGATCTGCTGCTGCAAGACAATGCTATACACACTAGCCTTGAGCAAGGTGCACACGGTCGCAGTCTTTCGTTCAAGGAGACGGAGGCCATCGAGCGGCATGGAGGCGGGATCACCAGCGAGGTCGGCGAGTTTGTCGGACAGCTGTGGCAGGTGCATTGGTCAGTAAGTCAGATTAATAGCTCTGTAAGACAAGGTTCGTCGGGCAATTCCCAAGAAGATAGACCATTGTCTCTCCAAGAGAAGCTGGGAATCATCTCCGCACATACCTGGTTCACATTCCGCAGCAATCGCGCATATTCTTCCAGTACCTCCTGCTCCAGATCTGAGACGAGGGGATTATCGGACCCCAGAAGCGGGTTGTTCGAGTGGCCCCGCGTGTGCGTGGCGTCTGTGGAGGTGTCCATTGATTGACCTTGGGGGATCGGAGGGGTGGTGGTTTCCGCGGGGTCGACCTCGGCGTAGGAATAGTCGTGATCTGGGTCTGAGGGTGTGAATGCGGACATGATGAGGATGTTTTGTTTGAGGGTTTCGCGTGTCAATTGTATGTGGTCCCGCTTGAGTGGGATGTGGTTGATATCTTGTGATTTCGTGTTGATTTTTTATTTTCTGGGGTTCCGCTGGGTCGCGTTCCGGGCAAACAAAGCTTCTGATGTCAGGACCTACACAGGACGTCAACATAGGGATACTACACCAACTACGCGGTCTTCTTCCTTAAATCTTTTGGAATAACTACATGTTGATAGTTAATCTCAAAGACACTATTCAACTCAAGTTCGTATACTTCTTGTGGAGTTATATGATCTCAAGCTACCGCTAGTTGTTTCACACTACGAAGTAGATCATCGCATACGAGTATGCGACCGCCATATTTCAAAGCCTATGCCGAGTTTTACATTACATCTCTGAAAAGTGAGCCCTGTCTAGCGGGTGATCTTTGTACAGCATGTGGAAGATGCTACCACCTAGGTAGGAGAGCCCCCAACCTACCACTATATCGGGCATGGATATGTTGGATGGATGTCCTACCAGGTTCCTGAGGGAGAGGGGTCACCCAGACAGCAAAAGCGCATGCATGCTGTGTAGGTAGGTAGATTCGTCGACAACCTAGTGATGGGAATAGGTAACTTCGATTGAAGATATCGTGCTAGATCTCTGGCATCTTTGTGACATAACTCGTTGTCTGTCTCAATCGTACTGAACCTACAGAGACAAAACTCAATATATCGTAACACCTTCTTAGCGCAGCATAATAGTGGACACGGACTAAAATATTCGGAATCGACATATTAACCTAGGCACATGGTAACTACACTACCTAGGTAGAAGCATTCGAATCTCTATGGAACGCGTGTCGACACGAATGAGAAGAACGTGTCTACCTAATGGTCTATCGTAGGCATCCACATCTGAGCCGCTTTGGTGCCAGTTTGATCCACTGTCGATGACAATCGGAGTCACGACAGGAAGGGGTTTGATCTTCTACTAGGACAGTCGACACCGGCAGATGTGCCTGGATGGGAGGGGTTCAAAGAATGAGCTAGTAACCGCTCCGGCCTCAAATACCGCTCGGTGTCTCCATGTACCGGACTTGAGAGTGCAAGAGTCCTGCCTGCATATGGAGATAGAGTGAACCCCTTACCCAGTGGATTAATCTGGCATTCGACTATGTTGTATATACCGGGGCTGCGACTCTCTCCAGCTTATTTCCTAGTAGCTGCGGAACCTCTTTGGTTGAAGCTTGTTATTTACTTCGCCGGGAAAGCCACAGACTCCTCGAAAACGTCATAATTGGTGCTGAAATAAAAGAGAAACTTTGTTATATTCAAAGAAGTCGCCTGAAACCTACAGTATTTTCTCTGGCCCATGACATACGAATCCCGATTGAGAAGTGGATACATGTAGTCGTCGTAGTGGAGTTCCAGGTCCATTAACGTTTCTAGGAAACGAAGTCCCCTGAAATAAATGATGCCAAGAGTTCCGCGATGCTACCCAGGAGGCGACACCTTTCTATAATCTCTTTTGCTCCGCTCCGACGGAGGGCTATTGTGGCAGCCTCGAGCTCATACCAGATATCTGCGCCACGAATTCATTTGCGGCGGCAGCCTAACCACAACAAGGGTGTGCTATACACGGGGACACCGTCGTCTCGAGTACCCGATTTAGCAACTCTCGTCAAATGATCAGATCGTTGGGAACTTGCCGTCCCCAACATCGGATTGAGTCTAGTGTGGAAAAATGTAGAAAAAGAGTCTTGGCTCTGCGTTCCTTTGATATCACTATCGTTCCGACTGAATATCTTCACCGTTGTCGTATATAAATGTGGACCATGACCGCATATCCGAGAAAGAGGAAACGTCGCAGATATCGAGTGGCGAGTTTTGCTCTGGCATTGGATAAACGGGTACCAATCCATAGGCTGGCGATGTTAGCCAGTCTTCAAGATGCGGGGCTTGAGCGACCATGAGGGGTAGAAAGAATGGAGAAAGAAGGTCCCCTTTTTATTTTTCACCCAGATGGGATATGTCCCTGATCCATAGAGGATAATGAAGTTGAAGAGGCGTTGGATTTCCTAGGGTTGGGGTGGACACGTGTCGGTTTATTTCCATAACCGGTTTAGTGGCTTCCCATTATGGGCCAAGGTTGGTTAGCCAGACAACGCCTTCTACTCCATCTGCGAGTACTAAATCGCCACTTCCTAAAACAATGGGGTTTTGAGAGTTTCAAGGGGTTGGTATGATTGGAATTTATCTATTTTGAGGGACGAAGTTGTCAATGGATTCTATGATCCGGTGCTGATAGCGCAATATCAAATGCCCTGAATAAGAAGTAGAAAGACAACGCTTCACGGGTTCCCTTGTAGTGGAGACTGAATTGTCTTGGACAGGGGGCTCATTAATGATCTGAGTTTTTCAATTTCCGACAGGGGCAACCAAGGTTTAAGCTTGTTTTTAGCTCAACTTACCATGTACCATGTACCATATGCACCTAACAAGACCATTGCTGTATGGCAGTTTACTCGAATCCACAGTCGCACTACTTTACCCACTGTTATACTATCCACCTTTACTTCTTCCCCATGGAGTGTTCTTGTGTCCACTTCTCGGTTGGACAGACCACTTTACACTGCCCCCTTTTGTATCTTCTGGGTCGAAAGCAAATGTCTTGCGCTATGGTGCTAGCGCTGGATGTTATTTATGGACTCATTGGTCTTGCTGCCATTTGCTAGAGTAAAGCGGGTTGTGATTTTCCCTTATAAGCCTCTTGGTGCCATTATCTTCGTTTTATCTTGCACTATAATCCATACCCTGAAGCCATCATCTACATCTCATCGATCTTTTAGGTCGACTAAGGATGATGCTCACCCCAGCCGCGAGGGACAATGTCTTTTCAAGACGTGAAATCGAAGGCATGCTTGCCGATGGCAGGCTCATTACCATCGTCGACGGCGAAGTCCTCAAATTAGACGCTTGGATCAAATATCACCCCGGAGGTGATATGGCCATCAAGCACATGATAGGAAAGGATGCGACAGACGAAGTAAATGCGTGAGTCCCCCAATTCCTGCTCATTATTTTCAGCCCCAGCTCTACACATGAAACTAACACCCTAAAGACTGCATTCCCAGGAAGCCCGTCAGCAAATGCGCAAGTTTAGAATTGGCCGAATCGAGGGCCGATGGACCAATTTCCTCTCCTCCTATCCAAGGCGGCGTATTTCGCCCATACAATAAAGACGAGGTCGAAGAAGATCCATACATCACAGAACTATCAAGCTCAGAAATCTCTGCACCGCCGTCTCCCATCTTCGAACCCGCAGACGATACCCTCGGCCTAAGACGCCGGCTATCAGTTTCAACCATCTCGTCAGCAGTCAGCGTCGTTCCTCCCGCGACAGAAGAAAAGCCAAGAGGATACGTGGTAGACGCACGCACGCAAGAGGAGATTCACCTGGATGCCTCCAAATACCCATCCCTCGACGCCGAGGACCAAGAATACATCACAAAGAAATACCGCGAACTACAGAAGCGCATCGAAGCAGCCGGTCTCTACAATTGCAATTACACAGCCTACGCAATCGAGATATGTCGGTACACAATCTTCTTCTCACTCTTCGTCTTCTTCCTCAAGCGCTCCCACTTCTGCCTCTCAGCGTTCTTCCTCGGCTGCTTCTGGCACCAACTCGTCTTCTCCGCCCACGACGCCGGCCACATGGGCATCACCCACAATTACCAAATCGACACAACCATCGGCATGATCATCGCCGATTATCTCGGCGGCTTAAGTCTCGGTTGGTGGAAACGCAGCCACAACGTCCACCATATCGTCACCAACGCGCCCGAGCATGACCCAGACATCGAGCTTATGCCCTTCTTCGCGCTGTCGCATCGGTTCTTCTCCTCCCTGCGAAGCACCTACTACGATCGCATCATGGAGTACGATGCTTTCGCCAGGATCACCGTCAAATACCAGCACTACCTGTACTACCCGATCCTCCTCTTTGGACGCTTCAACCTCTACTTCCTGAGCTGGGAGCACATCATCGTCGGCCGGGGCCCGAAACATGGCGCTGGCTGGTGGCACCGCTGGTTCGAGTTTGCGGGGCATATCTTCTTCTGGATTTGGTTCGGATACGGCGTCGTCTGGTGCAGTATCCCGACCTGGTTTGATAGGGTTGTCTTTGTTTTGATTTCGCATATGGTGACTTCGCCGCTACATGTGCAGATTACGTTGTCACACTATGCTATGTCGACTGCGGATTTGGGTCCGCTGGAATCTTTCCCGCAGAAGATGCTCCGGACTACCATGGATGTGGATTGTCCGAAGTGGTTGGACTTTTTCCATGGTGGGTTGCAGTTTCAAGCGATTCACCATTTGTATCCCAGGATTCCGCGGCATAACCTGCGCAGGACGCAGCAGTTTGTTAGGGAGTTTTGTGAAGATGTGAAGATTCCGTATGCGGTTTTTACTTTCTATGATGGTAATAAGGAGGTTATTGGGCGGCTTGCTGATATTGCGAGACAGGCGAGGATTCTCGAGGAATGTCGCAAGGCTTGTGCTGCGGATCCTTACCATATGCATTAGGGTTGCTTCTGTACATCTTAGATACTCTGGTAATATATTGTTGATACTTTCCAACGTTGGGCTCTTGCCAAATAGACATAGGTAAACAACGCTGTGCATAGGTATGCGCTATGAAGGAAGGAACGACCTACATGTATGTACCTGCCGCCTGACGCCAATCAAGCTGGGACGGAATATCAAGGATATGCAAAACACGCCGGAGCACAATCTGCATGCCAACTTTATCTTGAAGTTGAGAAGCAAATGACACAGCATCGAAATCGGAAAGGTGTAATTGAAATTGAGAAAAGCATCCGGTAATCAATGGATGGATACAAAATGACACGCTGAAAACGTGACCCGAAAGGCAAGTCCATAACGCCGTCCGCTGCGAGATAGGATGAAAAAGCAGGTGTATATCACAGTTTTCAGGAAAGCACGCAAAGAAAAGAGAAAAGCCGACAGCTCAGAGGCCGTGACACAACCCATGCATGACACCGTGACGAGACGGCTTCATATCGATGCTGTGTCGTGCCTGAGTTGGAGGCGGAATCGAGGGTAATCCAAAATCCAAGCCCCGGCACGACGATGAAAATGCGATATGCAGAGCAACAAGGTGCAAGAAGGCAGTGTGATGGGAGGAAAGGAAGAACAGATAAAAGCTCAAATAGATCCACCAAAGAAAAAAAAACCCGAAACACTCCGTACACCCAGCGAGGTTTGCGATGGAAAAAAATAGAAAAAGCATCTAAGTACAGTCGTTAATGCATCATGGTCGTCAGGAGCCAATGCACATACGGCTGTTTCCTCAATGTATCAGATAAGAAGGAACAGGGACGACTAATGAAAACGCAGGCTTTACATGTCCCCTTGGTGGTGCAGGGTGACACTGTTGAAATCCTCAAAGGGATCGTTGAGTTCGCCGTTCGGAGTCGCAAGGCCAGAGTCCATGGGGACACCTTTCATCTTGGTAGAATCGGTGCCGCCAATATCCACACTGGCGCTCTCTTTGACGTTCCGGAAGTTAACCGTATCTGTACCGACACGACCCTGGTGGGGAATCATAGGCGGCTTCATATGACGAATGAGGGCCCATTGGGTCTGCCGGAAGAAGGGATGAGTCTTGACATCAGAGGCACCAGCGCGAGCACCTAGCCGCTTCGTCTCATCTTTGATCAACAATTTGCGAATCAGAGACTTGCACAAATGTGATGTCTGCTGCGCATTCGAATGTTCTGGGAAGTTCACCTCATCCCGCAGAATGCTAGCAAATGTCGCGTTTCGGTTTTTGCCTTTGAAGGGAGTCGTGCCATAAAGCATCTCGTAGATCAAGATACCTAGGGTCCACCAATCGACTGCACTAGTATGGCCGCATCCCTTGATCACCTCGGGTGCGATATACTCTTCCGTTCCAACGAAGGAATTTGTTCGGAAATCAGCGATACACGACTTAGTGTCGATTGTAGGTAAAGCCGTCAGGGAGTTACCACCACTGCGCGCAGGAATCATCGTCGGCGCACCTCCAGGTCCAGACTGCTTCGATAGATCGAAGTCAGAAAGCATGATGTGGCCGGACTGGTGAAGAAGGATGTTCTCTGGCTTCAAGTCACGGTAGATAAAGCCCATGAGATGGAGATACTCTAGCGCAGCAGTGACCTCTGCGGCATAAAAGCGAGCTGCATCTTCAGAGATACTCTTACCAGGGCGAGTTTGTAGAGCTAGGAATATAAAAGTCAGCGAGATGACTGGGAAACGAAGTCCAAGGCAGGACAAAAGGGAAGAGAAACGCACTCCTAAAGAATTCGCCGCCACTGCAGTATTCCATGCAGAGATAAAGGTAATCCTCCGATTGGAAAGAGTGAAAGAGCGTGACGATGAATGGATGATTGCTTGTAGCCAGAATTTCTTGTTCAGCCAAAGCTCGTTTGATCTTGTTCCGTTTGATCATCTCCTTCTTGCTCAAAACTAGCCGCAAGTCAGTACATAGTTTTGAAGACCAGCGACAGACATATGACAAAACGTACCCTTCATGGCATATAGACGACTCGACTTCTTCTCGCGCACGAGGTAGACTTTGCCAACATCACCCTTGCCGATCAATTTGATTTTATCGAAACTAGCGGGACCGACTTCCACGTTTCGGACTTTAATGGAGTTCGAACTGTATGTGCGGCGGAAAGAGGCATTATCTGAGAGTGAAGGCACAGATAGGGTAGTCTCCTCGCCAACCAAACCTCCCAGACCCACTGATCCACCGGATTGTTGCACCAGGGGCTCCTTTCCAAGGTCTGCCGTCTGAGGTCGGTCACCTTGACCACCTGTAAACAGGCCTTGCGCATTCGGGGCAGAAGCCACACGTCGCAATTTCCGCGCTAACTCCTCCTTGTTAGCAGTAGTGGCCTGTTCTGCTGCTGATACCCCGGTCACTTGCAATTCCGGGGTGTCGGGTGGAGAGGATGGTACTGAACCATCGTTGCGGTGTCGTAATGCAGGCTGGCCCTGGTGGGCAAAATATGGGTTGGCAGATGCGGTAGGCGACATCGCATCGTCGAGAGGGTTGCCCTCACTGGCGACCGTTGTTGAACGATTGCGGCCAATGCCCGGCAGGAATCGAGATTGCCGAAAAGCGGACTTCTCGTTCTTGACCGACCCATGGATATCCCGATCCCGTTCACGTTCCCGTTCATTGCTACCGGAACTGTTGGCATTCGCAGAGGAGTGGCTGCTTGCACTGTTGATTCGGAAAAAGTTCTTGATCCTTGTAGGCAAATGGCCGGACTCGTTAGAGTGTTTTCGCGAGGGAAGGGAGAGAGCGGGGAAATTGCCGCGCTTCTCGTTATTTGTCACTGCAGATGGACTGGAAGCGAAGAGCTGCGTCATATTGGATGATCGCCGAGATCGAGATCGCGATTCGAGGTCACTGACAATCACCTAGGATCTGTTGACAGGAAAATCCAAAGGGACTCAAAGAAGCAAGGCGTGAGGCGGGTGGAAGGGCGGTGATGTTCCAAAATGCCAAGTGCCGGCTGGGGATAACCGCGCGGGGGGAGTTAGTAAGAGGCGCTGCAACGGGGGGTTTCCACCCAAAGAACTGGAAGAAGATGGACCACAAAGCCTAGACTCATGGGTGATATGGCATGTCAGAAAAGAGAGGGTAGAACGAAGATCGGGATTGAGAGACTAAAGAGGAAGAGAACTCAGAGGCCAGTTGGGGGTGGAGAAGTTCCTTGGAAGGACGGGCCCTGAGCCAAGGATTAGTCATAGAAAAGAGCCGGGTACCTGGCTCTGGAGCCCTAACGACGTAGAACCTTAAGGCTTAGACATAGATTTACAGTAAGTTTAGTTATAGAATGGTTAGCTAGAAGGAGCAGAAAGAGACAAAGGCCTAGTTGGACAAATATCATAGAAAGGGTCGGTAGCAACCATTCTGATGGACTTTTACCTATTGTACTGCGTAATGTACCTTGTTAACTCGGTGGCGACATCCGGATTCCGGAATTACAATTATGAGATGGCCATAGATTGCTCTTTTACAGGTTTAATGGGACGAGTGATAACAATGCAGTTCCTTTGTTTTTGGTTTCGTCTGCGCTAAATACTTGAACAAAAGCTCCGGGTCAGGTCGTCTCTCCCATGGACATGGTAAAAAGGTTGGAAATCAGCGCTGGTGTGGATGGCCAGAGGCGTTGATCATGCTGGTATTCACTACTGCTACAGCAGTATGTTGAGCATTAGACTTTATAAATTGCGAGCAACCACGCGTTGGACCGGAACCCTGTTGGCTATCCGGCGAATGGAAACCAAAGAAGTTTGTTAGGTCCATCTCAACGTTCGAGTTCACATGGGGTGATAGAGACTCGCGCCCGCGGGGATGGGGTGTGTCTGGGCGCAAATATCGATCTTGACACCTACGGGTCTCCAGACTTGCTTTGATCATACGTAAACTACTGGCCCCGAGAACACCATCATGTAGAGCAGGTCGGTGGCGGATATTGACTCGCGGCATAAGCCGACGAGTGCCATGCCGAGATATCAGCGGGGTTTCCGAGTTGTCGGAGTCATCTGTTCGGGGTAGTTGTTGCTCGGCATTCGGGCCAACCGGGGCAGACTCGTTAATGAGTTCAAGTGGAGGGACGCGTTGTGGCTCATCAGTCGAACCAGGCAGGGTGGCACTGCCGGTATAATCTGCCTGGATGTTCTGTTGGCGATCAAGATCCTGATCAACACTGAGGGAGTCATCTCTAAACACTCGTCGCATCTGGTATGAACCACCCTCACCATCTAAGCCGAAGATTCGGCCTGTATCCTTCTGTTGGATAATTCCTTGATCATTATTTGGACCAAGCGGGATGTGTCGACTGAGGGAGTTGCCTCTAACCGCTTGCTGGGTCTCGCGTGAAATGTCCTGACCGTTCACATCCCGTTGAAGATTCGGATCGTGCACGACAAAGTTGGTGGAGGTTGGATCTCGAGGGACACGTTCCCATTGCTTCACTTCTTCATGAGACGGAGCGTTTGACGTACTGTCACAGCTGTGGCCCAGAATATTAGTATGTTACGACTGTTGCCGTTTGAGACGAGAAAACTTACGCCTCCACCTCTTTGCTTGACAGATCAATATTTTCAGACCCACATTCATCCCCACTTGAACCATGCGGAGCGATTGAGCCATCCAGACCGTATGTACCGCTACATGTTGGACGCCGAGAATCAGTATGTTATAAGCGCTTCCGTTTGCGATGAGGAAACTTACATTTCCAGATTGTTTGGCTTAGATCTTTCCATCCTTCCATCTGCGCCGGCTGGACCAACGCCGGTCCTTCCCTGGTTATGGTTCCTCCGAACTGCCTGGCTGTCATGGCTAACACAATCATCGTCCACAGGTCCAACCAATGAAATCCACGACATGATATCATCATCGCTCCATCCGTAGGAGCCATCTACTCCAGCGAGACTAGGCAGTCGGCTGGTAGCGTCAGTTAACGGGCCATTGCGTCCGATAGGCACATTGCCGTTGTTTGCGATATGCCCTGTCGGTTGATTGGGGATTTGGATAGGACGCCCAGTAGCTGGGTTAACAATGGCGACGCTGCGATTCCTGCCACCGGGCCAGACGTTACCACCTGAGTGACTATACTCCTTTCTCTCCCGAGGAACCTCAATGCGGATGGTGTTTTGTACCGCCGGTTCAGCGAAAGGGCCTCCACGCTCATATTGGAGCTCCTCAAGGGCGGCCAGCACCTTGCCCCGCTCTGTTGTGTGATATACACGCAGCTCATAACACACATGAGCTGGTGTAACACTTGGGTCAAACGCAATAACTTGGTTGACCTCAGAGAGCAACCTCTCATGAATTGAGAGCTTGTGTTGCAGAATGGTACTGGCCCAACCCTTGTACTGGGGGCTATATTGTACACACTGTGAAAATGCACAATAAAAATTCTGGAACGGTGAGAGCCGATCTAGATCGACAGTCGACATGAACGATCCGATCTCATGATCATACTGATGAATCAGATCCAACATCTGATCCCATCGTGCTTTGAACGTCTCATAATAAGGATGGATCCCCTCACGCGTGTGCGAATGACGCAGCTGCCCTGCAGCTGCAATGTGGCCATGGGGATGGACTCCGACTTTGCCTAGGGGTTCTAGGTTGATCCGTGCAGCATGCGAATCAGACGAACTCATAAAGCGAGGAAGGACGCCGGCATAGCATGGACCTGCCGGTAGGAACGGTGGCTCTATGTTCGGGTTAGCAACTGCAGTGCCTCCGGGTTGGGGTTGGGGAATGAGGCGACCTTGGTGGACATCCGCAGCCGGAAATTGGAACGACTGGACATTTGGGTGCGCATACGGACTATTTAACGCCATCGGCACAAGGTGTGGCCTAATGGGAGCCGGAGGCTGAATGATGTTGGCCCACATGGACGACGGTATCTGTTCCTGGAGCATGATCGGAGATTCCACAGAAGGCTGCTGGGTCATGGTATGATCTTGCATTGCACTCCTGTGGTGGCCAGTGACACCTCGACTAGCCTTCCCACTTTGCTCAAGCACGGAAGTGCTGGGATCGGTTACCTCGTATGGCCCGGAAGATGAAGTTACAGGGAGGGGTGACCAGGGTTGCTCCATTGGAATAATCCTTCCTCCTGCGGTAACTCGCTGGTGTGTTGGAGAGGCGTGCCTTTTCAGAAATTGGGCGAACCCGTCTTCTTTCTGCGCGAATAGAGGCGGACTGGCCTTTCTGCTGGAAGACACCTTTGTTTTCGACATCGGATGTTTTTTCGGTTGGGAGGACTTAGCTGGCTCCCTGCTTCGCTGATTTCGTGGGTTTTCAGAAAGAACTGGCCTATACCTTTGGCCAGGGCGCGGTAATCTGCCTATATTGATTATCAGGAAGGCTCTTTTCAAGATGTTAGGCCGAGTCGAAGGTCCTGCGATCAATGGCAGCTAGGGGGATGTGCTAGAAACCAGCCCACGCTTCTGCAGATAAATGGGCTGTACCTCTCTGAAGGGAATGTTCACTGGCGATCAAGAGCAGTGTCAAAGGGAAACTCACAGTGTCTTGCTTGGCTTGTCCACTTGCAGTGCACGTCTGTGCTCGGGCGCAAAGCTAACAGTGTTGGCACGCTGTACTTCATTGTGATCACTGGAATGGGATATTTACCTGTCGAGGAGATCGAGACTATCAAAGGAATGATGGAATTCGATAAGAAGGTTCGAAGCTGCCGATGGAAAGAGAGTGGAAGGTACGACGCGGAAGAAGGAACGAAGACCCGAAGCTATTCGACTTGGCTAGAAAACAAAAAGGTCACGAGCTGATACCGTCTGCTTCCGTTCCGTCGAGCTTCAACGTGGGCAATACAAGAAAGGATCTCCAGATGAAAAAGACAAGGGAAGACAAGGAGCTGAAGTAACGAACGTTTCGTCGCGGAGCGACAATACGCGACCAGCTTGATACGATCTATGCGATCTATACGCTCTCCCGGATTTTCACTGGTTGAAGACCACTGAGCACACCCCAATCCTCCTCCATCTCCTCGGGCAATTCCACTTGCGTCCCATGGCGTTTCATTTTTCCCTGCTCCATCTCCCAGCTTCCGGTCCGTTCATGGCCTTGTACAACAGCCCCGATTGGGCGGTCATTGGGTTCTGAATTGTTGGTGGAGGCTCCCCATACAGGCTCGTGAAACGACACGTCCACATCACTGTCATGCTTACTGGAGCCTTTAAACCCTCCCAGGCTTCCTTTATGGGATCTTCTCTTGAGAACACCACACAGAAGGAACCCAATCGCTGCTGTGATTCCAACAACAACAAGCGTAACGATGGCACCGATGACACCGGCTACCGCAGGAGACACATCCTTCTTCGTCGTTGGCTCAAGCGCACTCTGCTCCATCACACCGTTGCAAAATACAGCGTCAGAATTACACCGAAGACACCATTCCTGGGCCGTGGTCACGGCAAACGTCTCCAACTCAGAACGGAACTCAGTATACGGGATTGAGGCATGGCTGGGTCCGTGTGCAAAGAGGGAATACGCTTCAAAGTTGGTGGAATTGTCTGTCCCGTTGTGGAGCATGAACCGAACAAAGAGGCTGTCGATTCCAGGGTATGACGGGAACATATTGTTGCGGTCCTCAAAGCTGTATAGCTCGAACACAAATGAGCCCCCTCGTACTAAGCGAGAGAAGAAGTTGGGCTGGCTTTGACTTGCGAGTCCCGTCAGAGACGATAGGGCTACCAGTGGTTCGTCACTGCCGAAGAGCAGCGTCATCTTCTGCCGGTCACCGCTTTCTTGGACATTGAGATCGAAGGCTTCCAGGATACTCGTTGCCAACGTCTGCCCGGCAATTGGTCTGGCTGCTTTGATAGTTGACCCGCCGGACGATGATTCTTGGCTGTTTGTGCTCCACATGTACTGGTCCGCCAGTAGGCGGGCACGGCGGACGTCTGCTTCGTTCAAAGTCTCCAACAAACTGGCATTGTGCACGAGTTCATAATCCAGGTATTCTGAGATTTGAACGGCGTTTGTATAAGTTACCGATGATTCATCATAGACCCGAGATAATGCCAGTGACCGGAGCTTCTCATAAAAGGTCTCCGTGTCCCGGGTGATATCCACGACTTCCTCACTCTCACGGTATTCGGCTTCAGCGGCATCATACATGTTACACCCTGTCTGTCCTGTCACCAAAAGGGACTGAGGGTCTGCCTTGCCAACAGTGACGATCCGAGGATATTGGTATCCACTCAAGGATCCTTGCACAGTTGATCCATTCGCGCCTTGGGTACTCGATATATCCATGGAGCCAAGAGGAGGGTATAAACCCTGCATGAATGCTTGCGCGGAGCCCACGATGCTTTGATCCGTAGTCGAGAGCACATCCACGTCATTTGGATCTAGAATGATTGGCGATATGTTCTGGATCCCAGTTCCAGAGCCCCCGGCTGTCGACACATAACGAGACCGGAAGGCCGACCCAGCTGCGACCAAGTCGTTAGCTCCATTATCTGTCAATGTCTGAGAACTGGCAATGGCGCTTGGCTTGTTCTCTCCATGAACAGTAAATGCAAAGACTCCCCATACTTTCTCGGTCAAGGAGTCTTGGGCCGAAACCAACACCGGGCCCTGCAGTGTCAGGAGGGCAATGAATAGGCCGTTCAACAACATGATGTTCAGTGCGTTCAAGGACAGCAAGCAATGGGTATATCGATCGGTCGCTCTACAGACTACATACGAAGGGCGTCCTCTTTGTAATAAATGGACTCGGATCCTTGCGGTCCAGGCCCGCAGGATGCAGACTCAAGACTTTTGGACTGGCAGGATATCATGGAACCTGAAAGTGTGAAATATCCGCTTTCGGAGCCCCATACTTGTGGAGGCAGTCAACTTGACGTTCTACTCGTGGAACCAAGATCTTCGGGCTTTTAAAGTTCAAGGCGGGATCTTCGGGTAGTGGATAAAAGCCGCATCTTGACGACATTACTACTGAGCATGCATGCAATCCATCTATTTATCCTTTGCTATTGAACAGATCATACCTTCGTGCAAGTGGGCCAACATCCTTCAGCATCCGGCTCCAATTGGGCCACATCTTGTGCTAATGGCATTAAACAGTCCGTATGCGCACCCCAACTTTGAATCGTTCCAATTCCCGGCTGCGGATCTTCAACAACCTCGTCTCATTCACCAACCCCAACCCGCAGGTGTTGCTCACCCGAATATAGAGCTGCCGTTCCGACCGGCAGGTCCATGCTATGTTGGGGACCTTCCTCACCTTATAGGTTCATCTGATTCGCATGCTGCACGAATCAACCCAGAACCCCTAGACGAAGTCGGAGTCCATCTCTATGGCTACATGTCAGCTGCAGGGCGGCTGCGCCATTCCCACACGCATGAGGGAATCTAGTCTTATTATGAGAGCTTCATAGCACGATGCGATCAGATGTTGGATCTGATTCATCAGTATGATCATGAGATCTGATCGTTCATGTCGACTGTCGATCTGGATCGGCTCTCGCCGTTCCAGAATTTTTATTGCGCATTTTCACAGTGTTTACAATATAGCCCCCAGTACAGGGGTTGGGCCAGTACCATTCTGCAACACAAGCTCTCAATTCATGAGAGATTGGTCTCAGAGGTAACAAAGTTATTGCGTTTGATCAATCGTTACACCAGCTCATGTGTGTTATGAGCTGCGTGTCTATCACACCACAGAGCGGGGCAATGTACTGGCTGCTCTTGATGAGCTTCAACATAGGCGTGGAGGCCCTTTCGCTGGACCGGCGGTACAGAACGCCATCCGCATTGAGGTTCCCTGGGAGAGAAGGGAGTATGGTGGTTCAGGTGGTAGCATCAGGCTCGGTGGCAGGAATCGCAGAGTCGCCATTGTTAACCCCTACCCAGCTACTGGATGTCCTATGCAAATTCCCAATCAATCGACAGGGCATATCGCATATGCCGTGGACTTGTGGAGGCCCCATCCACATCAACATTTATCTCTTATGTTTCTCCTCGGGTAGATAAGAGCAGTTGGACTTGAGGACCTGAGGTTACATGCGATGTACAGACGGAAAAGGATCAATGACGCGCACACATTATCCGCCATGATTACTCGAAATCTCGAACGGAATATGAATAACTATCGGACAAACTGCTTACAAAAAACCGAATCCTGATAGCTGAATATCGTGAATAAGGGGTCGATGGCAACAGCATTGGCCCCGTGATTGCCCGTGATTACCAAGTAGTAGTTAGTTAAGGATTACGTCTAGGCTGCTGTAGGTAGTAAGTAGCCACCGGGACAAAAACCAAAAATCTCCGTAAGAAGGGAAGAGGAATATCCCAAGATGAGACTATCGGTAGCTAGCACTGCCCACATGTTTGCCAGGTACTGTGTACAACACTTCAGAGACCACCCACCTCCAGCTCTCACGGGATTTTCGCGTCTGGTCGGTCTTTCTTCGGTCTCCACGCATTTTCCCCAATTTACAGAACCTTCAAATTAAGACATTTACAAGTTTACAACATGAACTTTGCACATTCACTCATTCTTTCACAACTTCACTGATTCTATGATTTCTATCCCAACTTCGCTGATTCTATCACAACTTTGCCGGTTCAATCACAACTTCGCCGCCCGGCAGAAAATTTGATCTTTCTGCTCCTCGATTCTTCCTCCCGAGCCCTACAACTGCGCCCTACCCCTAAGCCCTCATTTCTGCTCTAGGAAGTTGACCCCCGGACCCGGACCCTAGCTCGTCCAAATGGTCGAAACTCAAGACCCGCGGCCATCTTACGATGGTCAGGAAACGTCTGACTTTCCTCCTTTCCCTTCAGAGGGAAATGACCTTGGTGGGTGTTCTCTTGCGCCTCTTCCGATCGTCCCGTTCGCAGCTTCAACGACCCCCGCCCTTAGCTACTTATGGCCACTGCCAAATCCGATTCAGTCGATAATGCTAACGGTTTCCATGTTAAATTATAGATCAAAAACCGTCGCATCCTCTCGAAGATCAGGAGCATGGCTCCCCTCCGGCTGCCAAAAAGCGCCGCACGGGCGATGGCCCCGACGGCGACATGATGATCCCCGATCAAGTCCTCATGATGACCGATCAGCATGGCGCTGGACATAAAATTGAAGAAGAACTGGCATCGGCTCTTGGTGAAGGTGTCATTGACACTGTTGAGCAAACCGAACCTACTGTTACTGAAGCTCTTCAGCACGGCGCCCATGACACTCCTACCGAGACCCATCACAATTCTGAACTCAACTCGGACATGGCTAAAATGATCTCTAATATCATGGATCATACGGACCGTCAGGAGCGGACTGTCGGACTGGGAACTGTTGAAGTTCCAGCTTCGAATGAGTTTCCCGGAGCCAAAGGCTTCGCTTTCCTGAAGGCTAAGTCTCATTTGAAGATTCAGAGTCTCCCAATCCTGGATAACCTGGTGAGTGAGAATTATTCTATGTGCGTCATTTTCTTATCTGACAACTTCTTCTTCATGTCTAGTCTACTCAAATCCTATCATTCCTCTCAAAAAACACCTACCAGGACCTCACTGCGATGGTCTCGGAGCCTGACTCCGAGAATGGCCAGGCATATGCGACCATGCGCTCGTTGTTCGATCACACAAAAAGAGTCTACACCACGAAACACTCGTTCCTTCAACTGGCTGATCTTGAAATCACGGATGCGGCTCAGATTGACATCATCCGCAAAGCGAACCTGGCGTCCTTCGTCTCGAGCATCTTTGGATCCCAGGAAGTTGGATTCGCGGACCTCAACGACCATTTCCTGGACGTGTTTGTCCCTGAAGGCGGTCGCTTACTCAAATCCCAGGGTGCTTTGTACCTCGAACTCAAAACTCAAGCTTTCCTTGCAGCCATGCACAACCAGGCTCTCTCGCGCACACAGCTCCTCTACAGCCTGTTCCCGGACGACATGGAACAGCGCTTGCTGGCCAGACGACCTGGTACCCGACAGTTGGCACCGTCCGAGACGGATTTTGTGAACCGCCTCACGTCTCGTCGCGACATCCTTCTTAATAACATCAATGACGACGAAGCGCTGAACTCTTTGCCGGATAAGTACCACTGGGAAGACTTCCTACGCGATCTTAGCTCTTACATTACTAAGAACTTTGACGCCATTAATACCCAACAGGTTTGTCTGTCCGCTTCCCGAACGATGTTCATGTGCTAATATCATCCAGTCAAAGAAAGCTGTCAAAGGGCGCCAGCCCTCGACCTCGAATGACGATTCCCACGAGACTCCTAATACCACACATCAGGGCCAATTTTCAGTCAACCAACATGTCGAGGTCCCAGTGGACCGGAACATGCATGGTGACCTTGTCGCGCGTGCTGCCCGAGCCGCGCAGATTGCTTTGCAGGGCCATGGCCTTCGGCGCTCCCAGCAGCAATCGCAACAGCAGCAACAACAAGTCCCTCAACAGGCGCAATCTCAGGCTAGTCCCTCACCAATGCCGCCGCAGCCTCAACACCAGTCGCAGCCACCGCAGCAGCAACCGCCGCCGCAAAGCCAACCCGAGAACCAGTACCTTCACGGCTACACCGCTGCACAGCAATCACAGCCTGCGCACCAACAGCAATACCACCATAGCCCGCCACCCCCTGGTGGATATCAGACCCAACAATCCACATCCTTGACTTTTCAACAGAGTCCGCTGCAGGCTACTTTCCAGCAATACAACCCTAATGCAGCGCAAGCTATGCAAGCGAGGGCGAATGGCATGTCCTCTAACCATGGATACATGCCGGGGATCCCCCATTACTCGCAATCACAGCCTACTCAGGTCCTTTACGAGCGTGCGCGGATGGCTGCATCGGCCAAGTCTTCTCCGACCAGCCGCAAAGCTGGACTTCCCAGCCAACGTCGACCCTGGACCACCGAAGAAGAAAATGCGCTGATGGCCGGCTTGGACCGTGTCAAGGGTCCCCATTGGAGTCAGATCCTTGCTATGTTTGGACCCGGCGGCACTATCAGTGAAGCACTCAAAGATCGTAACCAGGTGCAGCTGAAGGACAAGGCACGCAACTTGAAGCTCTTCTTCCTGAAGAGTGGCATTGAGGTCCCCTACTATTTGAAGTTCGTCACCGGCGAACTGAAAACCCGTGCTCCCGCGCAGGCAGCCAAGCGGGAAGCCCGTGAACGTCAGAAGAAACAGGGCGAAGAAGACAAGGCCCACGTGGAGGGCATCAAGGGGATGATGGCTCTTGCTGGAGCCCATGGAGCCCCGGTGTCCGGCCACGAGATGTCCGCCTCGCCCAGCCTTGCATCCGATGCCCATAGCCAGTCCGTGTTTGATCAAACGGCCGAACAGAATCTCATGCAGACTCTAAGCCAGGAGGTCCACGGGAGTCAGTACCCCCAGCAGCACACTCAACACAACCCGCCCACTCAGCATTCCCAGCCCGGCCAGGACCACATCGATCCTCATATGCAGCTGGGACAGTAGAAGATTGTCCTAGGAGGACATCTTCCCATTGTTTCCTCATTGAATTTAGCTTTTTTCCCGCAAGCTCCGCATGGGGTTCTGCTTTGCACTTGTTTTTCGGAGTCTTGGATGGAATCGTCAGAATTCGTTCCTTCGGGGACCTCGCCTTTTTCTTTTTCACTTGGATCGCATTGCAACGCTGCGCCAGAATGGCGACTGCTTTTGTGATACCCAGCCATGGGATCCCTTCCAACTGCTTTCCATTGTACGAGTACGACACAGATATTGAACCGAAATGAATGCAATGTATCAAAACAGTCTGATTGGTAAATTGTAAAATGGTCCAATGGATCGAACAGTAGTGAATAGATAGTTATAGACCTAGTTATTGATATAAGCATAACAGTAGTCAGTAGTACTATCCAACAAAGCCTTGCCGTAGTCTGGAGAAGGGCCGTGATGACCGATGTGGCCCGTGCACCACACGTGTGACTTTGAATCTCGCTCCCTCTGAAACGCGCCGCCAATTGATTGGTCTTGTACTTGAACAAACTGCAGCCCAATAATCTCAAAGGGAAATAACTTGCAGGGGTAATTCGCCGGAATCTGCCCATCATGGCCGACTCTCAAACACCTCAACCTCCCACACCTCAGAACGGAGTACAAGATCAATCCCCTCCACCCCAATCCGAAGATATCATCAAAACCGAACCCGATCTTGACGCCTCCATCGAGAACGACGTCGACATGGCTACCGATAAGCCGACCGAAGAGAACGAAGCTGCTACCGCACCCGGTCAAGACCCTATGGCCCCTGCGCCAGAACCCTCTAAGAAAGAGACGAGCTTGCGCGAGTTCCTTAGCAAGATGGATGACTATGCTCCGATTGTAAGTACATCCAGAAACTACCATGCCATGCCATCTAGCCCTCAAACCCCCTGATCTAGTCGTCGCCTGGGCGCAGACCTACACCGGCGAACCTACATGTACCCCAATCCCCAAGCCATCCCACGCCGATGATGCCGGAACAAGAGACATACCGGAACCCATAAACTGGAGGAGAACAATATAAGCTAACGATCCATTTCAGATCCCCGACGCAGTCACAGCTCACTACCTCACTCTCGCCGGCCTCCCCCTCCAGGTACAGGCCCCGGCCAAACCCCACCACACCTCGCCCGCCTGCTGGCACTAGCCGCCCAAAAGTTCGTCTCAGACATTGCAGCAGACTCCTACCAGTTCGCCCGCATCCGCGCCTCCAACAGCTCCTCAGCCAACAACGCTATCGGCAGTCTAGCTGCCGCATCCGGTCTCGGTGCGCCGGCCGGCGCAGGTGGTGTACCAGCTCCTGGCGGTGATAAGGGCAAAGCTGGTACTCATCTTGGTATTCAGCGGCCTGGGTTTGGAGGTGGTGGGTCTGGTGGTTCTGGACAGGGACGCACGGTTCTGACGATGGAGGATCTGGGGATGGCGGTTGCTGAGTATGGGGTTAGCGTGAAGAGAGGGGAGTTTTACAGGTAGATTTGGTGGAGGCTTTCTGAACTAGGGGGTTTGTTTATGCGTGAGGGTTCACTCCGCATGGTGCTATGGCGTTTAAAGGGTCCTGAGTGGCCTGGGATTCATGACTGCATTTGCCGGTCTGGAATGGAGGCGCGGCTTAGGTTTTAAAGGGATGGAGTTTCTGCTTTGGGGCTTTCTTTTCACTTTGTTGTTTGGCTGATACTAGATTCTAACTACATAATGTATGCCAAACCACAGAGATCCCACGGAATGACACGAACCGTTTCGATTGCATCGCTGATCTAGCTGTACATCTAGCTGGACGTATAGGGATACATAGCATCCTAGGATGAGCCTATCAGTCAGCAGCATACCGGGCATGTTGAGGAAGGTAGGGAGTGTAGCGCAGGTATATGACAGGAAGTGCAACTAGGTTGCAACCCGCAAGAAAAAGAAGAATGTATATTAAACTCCAACCCAAAGGAACTAATGTCACATAGAATCCAACAATGTATCTGTACATAGTGTATCAAAAAGAAATGCAAGACAGCCATCCCAGCGCAAAGATATATCTGCGCCAGGTGATCATGCGAATCGTCTATTTGTTCTTAGACTGCTTGTATGTGAAGCGCTTGCGTGTCCTGTGAGAAAATAGAAACATTAGTAGCTGATCATATCACAAAAACTCCGAAACTGTCTATCAAGCATGTCGAAGTCGAGCCGGGGAATTTGCAAAGGTAGCAAAAGGTTCACATACGCAACATATTCTCCAAGCTTGCGTCCAACCATCTCCTCCGTCACCTGGATCTCAACATATGTCTTTCCATTGTGCACAGCAAAGCGCAGACCGACAAAGTTGGGCAGGATGGTTGCTGCGCGTTTCGTGGTGCGGATGGGGGGTGTGTTCGGAGGAGGGGGAGAGTCCGCGGGAGAGGGAGGCTATATCGGGTCATCCAGAGTCAGCTTAGCGTTCCAGCTGTCATATTAGACTCTTGTGAAAAGGAGTTCTGGGTTCAATGCTAGGCGGAGGCTGGTTTCCATTCAGTATGGGTTGGTGGGTACGTACGGGACGATGTTTGGGCCTGGTCGATGGGTTAGCGAGTGGTCTTCTGTTGAAGTATCGTGGGCGCCAAGATCTTCAAGATCTGAGGAGACTCACCTTTCCAGACCGAGCGGCCGAAAAGCGCGCGTGTAGGGAACATCTTGGTTTGGGGTTTTCCGTAACTGCGATTCCGCGATGTTGAAGATCGATTTCGAGGTCTTGGCGAGATTATGTCATCATCTTTCTACGCCCGGGCTCACCGCCCAGTCCTTGGAGTATGAATGGGTTCGGCTGGTGGGAAGGTCTAGATTGCAGATTATTGGGATAACATTCGCCCATCATGTTGTGTAAAATACGATCCCTTTACGTACTTAAATAGTTGATATTAAAGTATTGCAATGTTGCAGAGCACACCCCGGCCGCCAGCGACCATAGGAATATGCCATCTACACTTGTATTCACTATTCACTCAGCTAGACCTGAGCTAGTTCGCTCATGATCTTGACCAGACTGCGCACACCCTTGAGAACATTCTCATCCGGGCCCTGGCCAGGTGTCCACTTGGCATGTGCAAAGTCAATCAAGCGCAGGTCATGGACTTTGGGGGCGTTCTCTTCCTCCTCGTCCTCCACCGCTGGCATCGGCATGGTTTGGGGATCAATGTTGATATTAATAGCCTGTTGGGGCATCCCAGCCCCAAGCTGCACATCAACTAGCTCCATAGCTCCTTCCGGAATCTCAAATTCCTGATCGTCTTCATCTTGATCTTCCTGTTCTTCCCGGGAACGGGGCGCCGGGGCTTTCTGTTCCTCCTCAATTGCGAGCTCTATCGCCTCGGGATCGCCTTCGTAGATAATCAGAACACTTGCTGAGTACATCCGACTCTCCTCGGATCCAATAATTTGTTGGAGTGTCTTCAATTCCTCTGCCAGCCGCTGAGCAACGAACTTTGATCGATCTACCTTGCCCACTTTCGCGCCAGCAAGGAAAGTTTCGAACCCTTGCTTGACATTATCTTCATTGAAAGAGCGGCCGTACCACTTGTCGTACCGGCGATAACCATCCTTCTCAATGACTTCGCCCTTTTCACCCTCTGCACCTTCGTGCTTCGTGGCATACGGATCTGTCCGCTCGCCGCTGTCGGCCTCACCATTATGACCAGTCCAGACCTTCATCCCCGCAATGCGGAAACCAAGACTAGAACTGGTAGTCTCGTTGGAAACGGCATCGAGCTTGCTCCGCTTGGCCAGCGGTGCATCGTCAGCCCATAACCGCGCGCCAAGCTTCACGTCTAGCACATTTGGTCGACGGAAGCCGCAGGCAATGTTTTCCAGCACGATAGACAGGCCGGTATCAATCTGCTTGCCCCCAGAGGGTACCCAGGCTGCATTCTCTTTGGCGGGGGTAGACTTCTCGTGCGATACGACAGCCTCCGTTGTCGGTTGGGTAGGGAGGGTGGAATCGACCGTCGCGTCACCGGAGGTAGGAAGGAAAAGGGCACCGGACTCTTTGGCAGCAGCAATGACGGGTGCTTGCTGTTGCTCGGAAGATGAGAGCGATCCGATATAGAGAGGCATGAACTCTTGGAAGGCGGGATGGAGTGCGCTGGACTCGTAGAACTCAATCTCCTCTCTTGTGCATGGTTTTGCAATCAGCGCGCCTGATAGTGTACATTGAACACCTTCACTAGAACAGGAAATTATTGTCAGCATGATCGAAGATTGTGTTGTGGGAGAGACCCCTGACGTCGATTCTGCCGATTGGCAGTGATCCGCGCGGGGTGTTGTGTCCTAGGAACACAGCGAGAGATGAACTTACTGTCCCGCAGCAGCATGGTCGAAAGGTACCAGATCCTCGCTGTCGAACTGAGGTCTTTTCCTGTTTTCTGGTCTTGTAGAGGGCATCTTGAGAGAGAGTACTTGAATATGCAGTTTGGGTGTCCCAACATTCCAGAATACTGAGTGGACCTCGGTTGAATTCGCGTAGTGGTTGTCCTTTTGAAACGCTCAGATGTGACAAAAACTGGAACTGATGTGGAATCTGGAGTCAAAATCGAATATAATGAGAAACAAAGTTCTATTAGAACTCAGGAACTGTAGGATAAGTATCTTGACGTGGACTGGTTACTGGACGTGAATGGGGACTGTCGGGGCCCCAGCCTCGGGGACATTGGGGCGCGGAGGGCGCAGGGGCCATGTCCCTGGGCTCTGGGCCTAACTCCATCTGGTAATCTTAATCTCTAACGTTGTATACCAACTAACAACTCCGTTTAATATGGCAGTCAGTCCTTAGTCCTTACCATGAAGATCAGGAATTGAAATATTATCTGACACTCATAAACATTAAACGTCGTTTACGATGTACCGTTTTTTTCGTCGATTGGGTGGTGGTCGCAGTAATATGATCAAAATCCAGCGATAGCAAACGTCCACGAGATCTACTTGCATCCATGGATCCAACCACGATAGCTATCTATATCTAAGTATATCGACTGAACTTTGACTAATAGCACAACTGAGCATCTGCTCATGTGATTGCTTCGTCCTTCGACATCTATTGCTGCCTCAGGTAATCCCTCAAAGTCCCCCTTCTCTTTCAGACAACCTCATCCTTCTCTTTCACGTATCACATCCTTCTTTTCCATCCAACATCATTTCATCCTCTTCTTTCTCATAGATTGCAACAGCAATCTGACCACCGAAGCTTGTCCATCTGATCCAAGTACCATGGGCAAGGGCCCTGACAGTCCACACTTGATGGCCTCGACTGAACCCATGGATACCACCAATGTGAGTCCTGTTCAGCAGGAACAGGAAGAAGCCACCGAAACTACTGGTACCTTGGATTCGTCTGGTCAGGCCTTTGCTCATTCCGAGGGCGAAGTAAGTAGTTAAGCCGCGTCAATACTGTCCAACAGGAGTGTCACACTGACAAAATGATCAAGATGCCAGTTCAACCTCCGGCCATGTCTGACCAGGCCGCGGTTCCCCGGGTAATGGTCGAGCCCCCTTCGCTATCCCCAGGTGAAGCAAAAGATGAGGATAGTATTCCGGATGCAGGGAAGGCGAAGAACACTCCGGATAACCCCGATCTGAAAGATGGCGAAGCCCCGAAACCCGCCCCGAAAATCGGTTTCAAGCATGACCCGGACGAGGAAAGGATGCTTGCCAACATGGAGCTTGATGACCCCATGCCTGCTAAGAAAAAGCCCAAGAGACGCCCCAAGTCAAAGAGGGGAGTGGTATGATTGTGATACGTTTCCATGCCTTCCACCTAAACCAACTAACGGCCTCTTTAGAACGCGCCTACTGGCTTCGAACCCTTTTATGCTGATGCTCCAATGACTCCCCAGCAGTACCAGGAGAACAAGAGGATTTATGATCCGTACGTCCATTAAACCCCTTCCATTAATGAGACATATTCTGACATTCCATAACAGTACTTTGCCGATCCTAGAGTAAGATCCTCGAATATTCCATGCGATATGAGACTTACTGACCACCTTTTTCAGGCGTATCGACGAAGGCATCAAGCGCTATTTGTTCAATCGACGCCTTGAGCCTTTCAGGCGCAAGATATTTCTCAAATTCTTGCAGTATGGCGGCGTCAACGTTGGCCAAAGACATAATCAGGGAGTGACCCCGTCGGAGTTGAAGGAAATGACCAAAGAAGATGCTATGGAAGCTCGGTCTACCACCGCCATATTTCCTAGCGAAGGAAAAGGTTGCAAAGTTGCCTTCAACGAGGTTGCCACTGGCTATCTGTGAGTTTTCTCTTTACAGAAACGAGGCCCAAATATTAACCTTGTTTTCGCAGGACTGGATACTTCATGGGCCACTACAACCCGGAAACTGAGGCAGAGATCAAAGAGTGTACTGATACCATGAAGAACTTCTTCACTTACCTCCTCTACCACGACGTTTGTCCCGAGCACAAAGATGATCTCGAAGAAGCCCGAAAGACCTGTGATCGATCTGCTAAGGAGTTGCGCTTGACTCAGCAACTCATACATCATGATGGTCCCGGAGACTTCAACCGGGGCTGCTCCAAGCTGTTTGGTGGTTATTACTTCGACGATGTCGACAATGTGGACACATGGAAATTGGTTCGATATGCCGACGCAGAACTCTTCACATCTGAAAAGTCCCGCAAGATCGTCAAATTTGGCATTGCATTTGCCACAGATGATCGAACCGCTAAGAAGTTCAAAGTCCTCGCCGACCGGGACTCAATCAAAGCCAAAAAGATTGAATATATTGATGGCTTTGAGATTATCTCCATGGAGCAACCGTCTCCTGAGACCGTCGGATATTACAACAAACTGGGCCCAGATCTCTCCCCAGTGGGCAAGGTAATCGCCAAAGAATTCCGTGATCCTTCTCGAGGCGCCTTTGATCTTACTCCTGCGGACAAGGTGGATTGGGAGGGTGGTTTTGCCCCGACCCACAGGTTTGAATTCCTCGTTGAGCCGTCTCTGCTTGCTCATATGGTTCCCGGCATGAAGATCATCTCGTCTGTCTTTGAGACCAACTTCGGCATGTACTATTTTGACCAGATCCTTTCTGCCTTGCCATCATTCTACAAGTTCCTTCATAATGACTGGATGATGGAGTACAAAGAGCCCCAGGCTGTTGACTTTATTCCTGACGAGGACGAGGTCGCACGTCGTTGCGCTCAGGACTCGGTCCTCCAGCCTCCTGAGCCTACACCGGCCGAGTGGGCTTTGCATATGCTAACTCGAGAGTTGGAATTCCCTGTGGGACCCAACGACAACCTCATGGATGCGGTTATGCAACAGATCAATTGTCTTGAGAGCTTCGGCTGGGACACGCAGGAGCTTCAGGAGCTTTGTGGCCTGGTGAAGCAGCGGGGCAACGGAGAGTCGGCCACAAAGGATCCGATGGCGAAGGAAAATAAAGCGACCAAGGAGGGCTTGTCGACCAAGGAGGACTTGTCGACCAAGGAGGACTTGTCGACCAAGGAGGACTTGTCGACCAAGGAGGGCTTGTCGACCAAGGAGGACTTGTCGACCAAGGAGGGCTTGTCGACCAAGGTCGATTCCTCCATCGAAGTGGAAGACACGGCTAAGGACAAGCAAGCTGCCAGCGATGAGCAGCCGAGCGAGCCGTCTGTCGAAGAAATTAGCAAGCTGTCGCTCGAGGATTCCTTGACCAAGGTGGAGGAGATGGCCAAGGGCAAACAAGCTGCCAGTGATGAACAGCAGCGCCAGTTCTCTGTCGGAAATTCTCCCGAGTTGTCTTACGATTCTCTTTTCGGGGATCGGGATACCATCAAGCCAGTACTTACACCTGAGATAATCAAGGCATTCCGTGACCAGAAGTTGGAGGAACTGGCCAAGAAGGGGAAGTTCAGTAGTCAGTTTCTCGATGAGACCCCGAGACAGCGTCTCGATCGCCTCATTGAGGATTTCCATAATCCGAAGAGAATTAACATGAGCCTCAGTCCCGAAATGAAGGAAGCGTTCCGGAGGGGTCACAATCCTTCACCTGAACGATGGCGTGCCGTCCCGGATTGGCACTTGCCCTTGGCGTATCACCTAGCCGAGCGTGAAAACAGCCATGAATCCTTGAAGTTGGGAATCAAGAGATGGCGAGAACAACTCCGTTTGAGAATAATCAATCGGGGAGTACGATTCTCGGGCTTGCCTAAGAAACAGCAGCCAAAGAAGAAGATGCAGCGTCGGATGCTCAAGCGGAAGATGGAAAGGCGCCAAGTTCATTCGGAGTAAGGCCTTGCAGAACTTCATGTCAGGGGCGCGCGCGATATTGGCGTTGGTGGTCGAAAGATTGCTGGGTGCAACCATGGGCATTGCTTTAACATTTGCTTTCAAGATTCATTTTTATCATGCAGCTGCAGCCATCTGGTGGTAATTTAAGTATCCCACGATGATGACATTGTTTACTTCATACCTATGCAGTGCCAAATTCGCTAGTTGGCATGGTATTCAGAAATAGTTTTTACCAATTTGAGCTGTGGCTTCGCATTATTGACATATAAGAATCATCTCGTATACACTAAAGCATTACTATCCTGATTCAAGGCCTCAGAAGTGGCTTTCCCATGGTCTTGCGTCCCTCGAGGTCCTATCGGTATTGTTAAAATGCAACCATACACGACCACACGCAAATAGGCATATTACGTACCTTGTGCACCTGAGCAATATCCTCCAACGGATAGACCTTGTGGATTTTAGTCTTGAGCTGACCCGACTTCAACAGGTTGAACAGCTCGTTAGTGTAGTACTCAAACTCCTCCCGGGTCTCAATGTATCCGAACAGGGTCGGGCGAGCGATCTTGACACACTTGGGGGAGAGTTTGCTATCGAAATATCATCAGCATCACCGACGAGAAACATTGTAGTCAAGTAGTAAACGTACGGAAGAGGAAGCGGGGGCACAGGCCCGCTAGCATTGCCAAACCAGACAATAGTACCCTTGCGCTTGACAGCTTCCAAGCTTCCCTCCCAGGTATCCTGGCCAACCGAGTCGTAGACAACATCGACGCCACGACCACCAGTAGCTTCCTTGACATGTTTAACCCAGTCCTTACCCTCCTCGCTGCGGTAGTCAATCACCACATCAGCACCGAGGCTTTTAACCAGCGCACACTTCTCTGCGCCGCCAGCGGTACCAATGACCTTGGCGCCCAGTGCCTTCAATATCTGAACAGCAAGGAAGCCTGCACCACCTGCCGCAGCATGGAAAAGAACCCAATCGCCCTTTTGGACGGGGTAAGTCTCCTTAACAAAAGCAAGTACGGTCAATCCGCTCAGGAAAGACGCCATGACATCTTCGTCACTGATCCCCTCTGGGATCTTGACAGACTTGGCCGCCGGTACAGCGGTGTACTCCGCATAGCCACCAGTGGCCATCCACGCGACACGATCACCGACCTGGAACCCTGAAGTCTCGGGCCCAATAGCAGCAACAATACCGGCGCCCTCACGACCCAAGATCTCGGGCTTGGGTGCGGGGTATAGACCTGTTCGGAAGTAGGTGTCGATAAAGTTGACGCCGGAGATGTTGTTGCGCACTAGCAGCTCTCCTGCTTTGGGGGTAGGGACTGGGTGCGAGGTTGTGAGCTGCAGCACTTCGGGGCCACCGGTCTGCTCAACCACTACGGCCTTCATTGTTTTTGGGACGGACATGGTGTGGAATAGGGTGTATCGATTCACGAGAGGAGGGGCAATGTGATTGCGCAATGCTGTAAGTCGAGGACTGCTGCGTAGAAGAGGCCGGAACATAATAAGACAGTGAGGGGTCAGGGAGATGAGAAGAATGCTCTAGTTAGTCGGCTCGACATTTGTCATCGAATCTCCGCAAGCAGCCCCGCAATCTCCGGCGGAATTGTTGCGCTCCGTTTCTTTAGTTAACCCACTCATCTTCTTTCTCTCTCCTCCATGTTCTTCCAACTCACCAATCCCAATTGTATGGTATCATACAGAGATTGTGAACATCATAAGGGGAATCACTTGTTCCGCCTCTATTATTGGTATCATCACGCTTGGTATGTCGGCTATTCAGGCATATCGAGCGTGATGATGTCATCCTGCCATGAGTCGAGATATACGGGGTACACGTAATTGTTGTACTTCAATACGAAGCACACAGTATTGGCACATCGCTTGCCTCGTACAACATTCAACTATCGAAGTCCAACAGACCCAGTGCCGCCGTTTCTCCCCGGACAGGAGGCGCAGTCATGTGTACTCAGAGCCCCTGAGAGCCGCTGGATCAGCGCTACGAGCCCGGAGTGCCTACTAAGTCGACAGGCAAGCCACCCGGAGCCCTATGAGGGGCCAATCTGACCCCAGTTCATGTCGTCCTTGCAGGCCTTTGCATGACAACCCTGGTCCAGGGCGAAGTAGTGCCTTTCTTTGCATCACTTGCCGCTGACTGCATTACAAACCTTTCAAGAAAATCGATCTTCCCCGCTCCGCTGATCGATTTTGAGGTTTCCCAAATACCACCAGCCCCTGAGCAGCAGTGTTTGGAGGTCTGCATTTGTTGCCCAATAATCCAGTCGTCCGATCTTGCTCTAAAAAAATCGACTGAAACACAACGGCAGTGCCCGGGGGTCCCACTTCGTGCCCAATAGGCAACAAGGTACCATTGCGACACCCCCTTGATGGTGACGGCGACTTGGCCGTTGGTCTTACTGTTTCCACTACTAACCCTACCTCGTGATTTCTCTTCAGCCTGAAGCTATTCTTGTTGGTATTTCGCTTTCGCCCAATCACCATAATGGCCTATCAGAGGCCCATTCTCTGAGGATGATGCCCGATGTCATCCGCCAATGCTTATATATCCTTGTACCCTGGGACGCGCACGCACTTAAATCGTGCACTTTGTCTAGTTTTTCAAAACTTTTTCCTTCTACTTCATACGTTAGGTGCATCGTTCTCTATTTTACAGCACTCAACTACTTTCCAAGCCCAACTATTTATACTATGAGCCATATTTCCCGAGCTATTGCACGAGATCTCAACGCGCCAGGATAACCACCTTAAATAAGCCCACTTAAATTATCAATTTGGCCAACCCATTGTCAGAAATGACTTACACTCGAAGCGCTCGACAAGGGCGCTCGCAATGGCCACCAGCGCCTTGTGTCGAGGATGAACCTCAATCTTTGTCAAAAGAGCTACATGGTCTCTCTCAGCTTGGAGACACACCGGGGGCCACTGGCGTTCACAGAAGAGGATCTATTGATCAGTACCCCATCATAGTGTCTGCCACGCCTCCTCCATCTTCTACCTCCCCGGCGAGTGTTCCCAGTGTGCTGGGGCTAGGGAGTGTGTCCTCGGATGATAGTTCAGGGCCAATAACCCCGCCCGCCCAAGAGCCAATCTTCCGGAACACTGTCAGATTCGAGACAGATGGCCAGCCAAAACATGCGCCACCATCGGCTGCGAGCCAACCACGAGGACCGTCCTCTCGCCCAGTTCCTCAACAACAGCCCACTCGTGAGCTCCATGCACAGCGAGAATCTCATCCGCCCTCTCATGCGCGGGGTAGCGACTCCTACCGACAAGGACCACCAAGGCAGAATGCTTTGCACGGCTCCCGTGGACCGAGCGCCCCGGATCGCACAGCTCCCAGAGCTCCCGTGCATGACCAGACATACCATCTTCAACCACCTAGGACCTCCCTAGGTCGGTCTAACAGTGCGAGACATGCGCCCATGTCAACACGGCCAATGCCAGAACGGCTTCGACGGGAGCCTAGTTCAGGATACCAATCTGATTCGGCCACCACATGTAACAAGCCACTTTCACATCAGTCCAAAGCGCCAGTACCTGTGGTTTCTGTACCAGAACCACTACCGAGTGTGCCAACCCTCGCAGAACGCATCGAGGAGAAACTCCGCCAGCGACAAGAACAACGGGACCAAGGATCTATGTCGGACCCGGAAATGCGAGAAACCCCATCTGCTGTGAAGCCTTTAAACCCCGCGGAGCCGGTCAATGGAAATTCTACCAAGATTTCTCCGTCAGCTACGGCTCGTACTTCTGCATCACACTCACCTACCCGTGATTATCAGCATATTCCAAGCCCGCGAATGCAACGCGAAGTCCCCGCAGTGTTGCGCACCCGCGCCGCATCGGCCACAGCGCCACCTACACGCTCGATGTCTGAATCTCGCCATACCTCGCGGCCATTGCGCGAAACGTCTAAGCCTGTCTCCAACCAAGTCACGACCCAACACAACCCTCACAGAACGATGAGTCAACCCGCACACAGTCGACATGCCGACACATCGCCACAGCGCCAGAACTATACTGGACCTGCCCTATCTCCTTGTCCCCGTACTATTGCGGTGGCAGGCTATGAAGACTGGTATACCCTCAAAGGCCTGGACCACCTCGACATCTGCCCGTCCTGCATGAAGCAATTAGCCAACACCCGATATCGAGACTACTTCATCCCAAGCCGCCCAAAGCCCGGCGAAAAGATCCGCTGTGCCTTTGCCAATGCCTGGACCCGTCTAGCCTGGACGCAAATGACTGAATTGAAACACGACAATCTCGAACTCCTCTCTCAAATAGCCCTCGCACCACCCGGAGCCCGCCCCTGTCCCGGCCGCAAGCCCACCGAACAACCCTGGTACAGCATTGTCGACCCAGATATCGGCACCCACATTCGAGGGTTTCAGATCTGCGGCAGCTGCGCGCGCAACGTACGCATCCTCATACCCACCCACCGTGACACCTTCACGCAAATGCCCAAACCCAGCACAGCAGTCTGCCACTTCGTAACCTCCAGCCCGCGGTTCATAAAGTTCATGGACCTCCTCAGCGTCTGCACCCCGCCAGACACGCGTGATTTCCTGAACTATGTGCGACGCAAGGCCATGCTCCACGACTGCGCCCGCGATAGACCCGTTCACAGCACGTGGTACTATATTCCCGATCTGCCGCAGCTGTGCGTATGCGAGGACTGCTATGACGAGATTGTGTGGCCGCTCAAGCGAAGTAATTATCCCATTGCCTGTGAGATGAGGAAGATGGAACCGAAGCGTGAGGCAAGTTGTCAGCTTTACTCGCTGCGAATGCGTAGGATATTCTTGAACGCGGTCGACCACAATGATTTTGAGATGTTGAAGACTGTCGCGCTGCAGAGATTTGCGGCCGAGAGGCGGTTCCTTGATCGTATGAGGGACTTGCAGGTTGCACAGAAGCAGGGGCTTGACTGTGATGAGCTTATGAGGAGGGCTGTTGCTGAGTGGAGGAAGTGGGAATGAAGAGCTTCGGTTTGTTTTCGATTACTTTGAAGGGCGTTGCATGTATAACGGTATTTTGAGGCATTGGGGCTTGGAGCATTGGGGGTGTATAACGATGTACAATGATAGGATGGATTTCCGTTTTCACTGTACTAGGTACCTAAAGTAGCATAGCAAAGCATAACATAGCATATCATATATCCCGGATGACAGAATCCAATACATTTCTACCTCTCCATTGCTTCTGTATGGCAACCTAGTCTTGGCTTTCCCTTTGCGCTTTAGTGCTCGTCCCATGCCGCGGCACATCCCCTCCGAGCACGGTATATTGGTTCGGACTCCTGCTACACATCGGCACCCCGCGTATTCGATTATTTTAATACTCTAACCAACGTCTTATGGGTTAGTACTCCTTCTCCTTATCGCTATATCCTTCGATTTTAAGTTTGTGGGGAAGTTCGGCCCGGCGGGAACGGGAACCCCCCCGCCCCCCATCCATTCACATCTATCCACGGTGATCGTACGATCGTACTATGGAGCAATAGAGCAAACAATATATCAGCGTATAGGATTGTTGCCCATCCTACCAAGTTTTCCATGCTGACATTGGCACAATTGTCTCTAGATCACAATGGTGCTTATCCTTTTGACTCGCATGTTGCGGATCCATTCATTGATACTGTGAAGCCGTGGGCGATTAGTACATATGACACAGCAAGGTTGTGGAAGATCCGTGAAGTGTTGGTGGGTCAGGAGTCTAACTACATAGTATCATGAGGTGGAGTACACCTGGAAGAAATGATGTGTATGATAACTATTCTGTCCAGTTTGTCAGTGTTTCGCGAGCTTCCCGTCAACTGGCGAATCTCCAGCCAACTGGCCAGTCCGCCGCCAACTGGCAAGGCTATGTTCCGACGAATTGCCCCAATAATTCCGCAGTGACAGCATGTATATAAAGCGAGGTAACCAAGTGGGCTCAATTAGAACAACATTATCATGGTCACCACACAGTGACACGTGCCGCGTTTGATCTGGTGTTTAATTCTATTCTGGTCACCTTACTGGTGCGAAAACCAAATCCGAGCATCTTGCTTTGGGGCGCGAGAGCGTTTGCTGGTATGGCTATGTCAAATTCGACAGCAAAGGCCGGCAATTCTGCAGCTTTTAAGTGCAGGGCGCTGATGCGACTCTCGGTTGGAGTAACTGTTCGGTACGAGCCAACCAGATGGCAGTTCCTCTGAAACGAGACTTATTACTTCTCCACTTCAGAGGTGCAGGTTACATAGGCTTGAAAGTGGGGTCATTTTCCCACTAGTCGGAGAACAGGGGATCAGACAGGGGACCATGCCGAAAAGGCTTGTTTGCTCCATTAGGAAAGAGTATGAGCGAGCTGCTACCCCTCAACTATCGAAATGATCCCATAATTTTACGACTACATGGTGATGCAGAAAGCGAAATTAACCTACGACGAGGCCCAATGCACTAGCTCGAAACATATTCTCCGATTCTGGTAGGGCTGGTCTATATAAGAAGCGCTCGACATGCGCTTTGACTAGGTCCGCACCTACACAATCACCACACTTTTACCTTCCATCTACCTGCTGTACATAGCAGAAAACATGTTTTCCAAAATCATTCCCACCATAGTGGCATGTAGCGGGCTTCTAGCCTCTGCAACCCAGACTTTCAGCAACACCGGCACACTTTCAGGCTGGGATGCGCAGACAATCGAGGACAAGGGCAGCATCCAAGAGGTCACCAATGTCGTCTACAAGGGCTCTACCGCCCTCAAGATGACCCAGATTTATGATCCCAGCTGGAGCGGCCGTTTCCACTCCGAAAAAGCCACGACGGGTGTGTACAAGCTCGGCGACCAAGGCTTCTATGGTTTCGCTTTCCGCCTGCAGGATGACTGGCAATTCTCCCCAGCCCAATCGTACAACTTGGGCCAGTTCATCGCCGACTTCACAGACACTGGGTGCGACGACTGGATGCCATCTAGCATGGTCTGGATTGTTGGTGACCAACTCTATACCCGTCTGAAGTACGGTACGATCTGCGAGCAGCAGATTCGGACTTTCAGCAACGTTGCTACCGTGACAGCAGGAGAGTGGCATCGCGTCACCATCCAGGCCAGCTGGCAATCCGACAATACCGGTTTCTACAAAGTTTGGTTTGATGGCAACAAAGTTGTGGAGGTGTACAATGTCCCGACGATGATCAACAATGCTCGACCATTTGACTACCACGTTGGTATCTATGCCAACGGCTGGCACGACGACGGTGGCATGAAGGGTACCCAAGACACACGCCAAATCTGGTTTGATCAAATTTCCGTTGGCACTACCTTTGCCGATGCGGATCCTGATCAATGGTAGAGCCCTCGGAGCATGACAGCATGTTGGTAGTGAATTGGCGGTCTGAGATAGGCGCTCAAATTGTTCAATAAACAACACGTTGAAGCTGTTGATGGCTTACAGCTCGCCAGACCTATGTACAGTAGTGGACCAATAGGAGCTAGTGAAATATTGGCGGATGCTAGCTAAGTGGGGTAATGAACCAATCGTATAGTAGTGGACGTCAGTCTCATCAGTGTATTGGTCGATATTTCGCACTAACGATACCCTAAGAGTCCTGACTTTGACAGCCAAGGGGATAATCGGTCGACCGTCGGCCCCACATAATGACTACTAGTACTCCGTACTATGGTCTGGAACCTTATCTGGGATTGATACCCTCTGATGGAAAGACCCGAATCACACTCTTGGATCTTAGCCTGGCGATAGGTGAAGATTAGCGGGCTACACCAACCATGAAAGAAGACAGCCCCCGGAGCATCGTCCTGGAGACGCCCAGACACTTTGAGACGGAATTTATTCACGTATCCAAATGGATCGCCTGATGCAGGCATCAAAGCAATGTTAACCCGTTATTGGAAAACAAATGCTCTGAATGGCGCGTCGTTTTATCAATATCCAACCTGTACCCGACGATCTCCTCATTTGACGGCCCCTAACAAGTTTTACATTGTTTAACAGAATCGCTGTGAATGCCAATTAGGACATGACGATCAACGATCTTCTTGCATAAGACCTAGAGCATGCAGGCATGAAATTTTCATTGTATGTCCATAGTGTGCTATATTTGCGTTTTGACATGTAGTCTAAGTCAATGATAGTCTAGCAATGGGCCTCGTTGTCAGGGTAGACGTTCTGCGTATTGCAGGTGTTCGGAGCCACAAAGAGAGGTGTAGCTGGGATGAATTAGAGCAAGCTCATGTCAATAACACCCAAGAACTTACTGTTCACGCCGTAATTAGTGGGCGGGTTGCGCACGATACTGTAGCGGCCGCCAAAGGTGAGATTGTTCTCGCAATCAATCTGATTCTGGCCGCCATTGGTGTCAGGTGATCCGGTCCAGATGTCGATGTGAGATTCCCCGTTGTTGTAGTCGGTAGCTTCAGGCCGGTCAGCACAAGATTTGGCTAGGGTATTTAGCGAAATACTCACTGCACTGGGCACAGTCGTCCTCGTAACGACCATATTTAGTGAGAAGCGGAATATACACAATCTCGCAGACATTCAGCTCGCCAGGTGCAGTGGCGATTGTGACCGGATCATCGTAGGTGCCGGAGCCTGTGGTTTCATAAGTCACAGAGCCAGCAGTCGTTTAAGAAGTAGCATACCTCCAGCAACGTAATTCCGGCCTCCGCAATCGTGGGCTGTAGCAGGTCCAGGAGGAGAATTGTCTGGATAGCCGTAAAAGGTGACTATAAAGTTACCCGGCGTGGAGCAGGCCGTGCCAACACCAGCGAAGGTTGCGGCAAGAAGCAGGGTGATACCGATCATATTGCAGGACAAAAAAATTGGGCTGATTTAAAGAGATCAATGGCTTAATAGGCGACGTATACGGCCGGAGCAGCCTACCTTTATAAGAAGTTTGCTATGATAAAGCTGCCTTTTACTGTGAAACTTTAACTCGTTTGTGATGTTATCTCAGCAAGCTTCGCCGATCGGACCCCGCAATGGTGGCATGCAATACTACACAGTATTTTGGGATTACTAGTTGGATGTGCTAAGCTTAAGGGGTGTCCGGTCTCCGTCCACTAACTTACCCACTTTAGTATTAAGCACGGATCTTGGTGATGTGATTGGCGCGAAATCTTCCACCCCTCGAACTCTAAGCCGGTTTATAGCACCCACAATTTAGTCCTCTTTCTCCCGTTGCCGTGTTTGCCATGGTTGCATTTACCTGCTTATTGAAGGGTCACTCAATCAATTCGAAACTGAAACTGCAATCAAGTAAGGAAACAGGTTGCTAGGGTTGCTAATAGGGGAGGAAGCGAATTACCCCGCAGAAGCAAAACTTCGCAAGATTCGAGGTCTACGTTTCATGGTATCTAGTGGTATGTAGTCTTTACTCTTCCTTGGGCACACATACGAACGATACCTACCTATGAGCGTGGTTTTCTCCCTCTAGAACATTTGATAGGTGCCTGAATACATTTCGTTCATGAAATTCATTATAAGTCACGTAAAACTAAAAATCCCTCTAAACCCCGTTCTACATGTAAGCACTTCTTTTGTGACCTCCCTTCGCATCGGGTCTGCATGAAGAGCTTTCGGTGGACACGCAACGGGTAATGATCGCTATTCGCATCCGACTTCTGGCCTATCACAGCTTCCCAGGTCTCGAACTGAACCTCCTCTCTGTCAGTGAGGATTGGGGTGTCAGGCATCTTCGTCAATTTAGGGTTCAAGGCCCCCACAATAGGTCCGCCAAGGGTCTTGCAGAACTTCCTCTGCGAGCCCCCCGCTTTCCGTCGATGATCCAGGTCTCCTTTTCCAACTCCTTGTATCCCTTTGAGGTTCCCTCTCGAGCATCATTTTCATCATTTTCATCATCGTCGCCGACGTCGTGATCCCGGGTTATGTCTCCGGAAATCGGTGTTGTTGGTTCGTGGGCAGGCGGTGCCCCGTCATTGTCGTCGTTCCGTGGCAGAGCCGACTTACCGCTGCGGGTACTCGGGATGCCGGTCGCGCCCTTCTTTGCTTCAGCCATGATGATTGGCTCCCGTAGAAAAGGTTTCGGATGGTGGAGATGAAGCGGGGCTGGGACCTCTTACAGCGTGTGACAATCCTTGGCACTTGCAGCCTTGCTGCTTCGAAAGAGTAAAAGACAATGATAGTTGTTGTTATGTGACATGCCAGTTCTTTGAAGAAAATAGTGCATTCAAATTATATAAAAACAAATATGAAGAGGAAAGGGAAAGAGAAGAAGAAAGGAATCAGTCAGGAAGCTCTTCAACTCCCCTCTGGTCACAGGACTCTTGACTCAACAACCGTCAGTCATCAACCCAGCCACATGACTAGTCCAACCCCATCGCTCAACTCTCATCATACACGTCTGATCGTCACAATTACTCGCAAAATAACCAGATTGTAATCAGAAACTGTACCTGAATTCTTTATTCTGTCGGTCCGTCAAGTCCAAAAACTCCACATTCTCCACGTGCTCCTGTGGTCGCTGGTCTCGTCTCTTATTCTCCCATTTGTAATAGAACAAGAGGATTGTGGTCAGCACAATGGTAGCAGAATCCACTGCCACGATTGTCACTTTAGCGGGTGTATAGTTTGGCGCATCTTGGTCTCGGAACGTCAGTGGACCAACAATGTTGCCGATACAGAAGCTCATAAGGATAATCGCGTTCACCGTGACCTTTTTAGTATGTCCCTGGTAACGGTCAGCTGGGTTTGCCACATAAAAAGTCTCGTCGAGTTTTGGCATGACAGTAAAAAAAAGCAACTTACAGCAAAATTTGCCCCGGCAAAAGAGTACGCGCAAGGTAAGAATGCACCAACAACCTGGCACAGGTAATTTCCGACCAGCTTGCCAGCCTTGTTTTCTTCGGGTAGGAAGGCCAAAAGTGAACCGCCAAGTAATCCTCCAATTGCTGACCATATGATAATATTGACACCTCTGGCATTGTACTTGCTCGCCAGCCAAGTTGCAGAAAGAACGCTTAAGACAGCAATAGCTCCACTAGGGATCTGCAGGAGTGTCGTTTGCATTTCAGAAAAGCCGAGGCTTTTAATAACAATACTCTGAAACGAGCTCACAGCTCCATTGGGAACGCTGCCAGCGATTGTTAACAGAGAGAGCAAAAGGACCTGTGGGTCTCGAAGACATTCCAAAACTTGGTAAAGTTTGAAGTGCTTGTTTTCGATACCAGTGTTGTTGCCTCTGATGCGGTCAATGGCCACGATTTTCTCCGCATGAGACAGGCGCGATGACATGGGATTGTCGGGCAACAGCCAGATAACGAGGCCTCCGACGAACATAGTGACAAGACCCACAACCAGGAACATGGCTTGCCAGCTCTTGAAAGTTTGGCTATGGTAGTGCTGGAATCCGAAAGAGATCAAGGCGCCCAGGATGGAGCCTGTCCCAACTCCGATGTACCACAGCCCTACTCTGATGGGCTGCTCACTCGTCTTATACCACATGGTTGTGATGATAATGAGTGATGGACTAATCGTAGATTCGAACATGCCAAGAAGAAACCGCACAGCTACCAGTGATCCGTAGCTGTTGCAGGCTGCCGTGCAGGCAACAACTGCACCCCAGCACATAACCATAACACCCAGATATTTGGCAGCCGGGAAGCGTTGCATTAAATAGGCATGTGGGAGCTCGAATGCAAGGAATGCGACGTAGAACAGAAGCGATAGGTTTGCGAAATGGTTTGTGCTGATATTTGCGTCGTCCAAGAGACCCATCACAGAAGCATAATTCACTATGCACAATGGTCAGAGAATACTTCAATTTCCAGAGCACAGGAACTTACAGAGACTCTTATCCAGGTACTCCAATAAATAACAACAGAACATCAATGGCATCACCATCCAGTCGATTTTGCGAAGCAGTGCTTTCTCGTCAACATATTGACTCTCATCGCCAACCTCCTGTTTCCGTAGGAAATTGAGCGCTTCGTCACTGTCCTTGACTTTCTCGGGAGTAATGGCTTCGTGGACTTCCGGTGTGCTTCGTACAGGCCCCTCGGCCACTTCTGGCGTATGGACCATCTGGGATATTGAGACGATAAGTAAAACCAATGGTAGCTAATAGCTAAAAATGCGCAATTGGCGCGGAGTTGTGCCGAACTCAGGTTTTTGTGTGAAGCAGATTTGGAAACGAGATTTAACCGGGTGTTGGCATATACTTATAAGCTGGGTTGCTATCTATTGCTCGTGCCCTTTGTTATCACTGAGATGACCGGCTAATGCCCGGATACTAGTTAACCCTGAAGAGGAAGGTAGTTTGCTGTCAACATGTCCCCGAGCGGGGTTACCCCATACTGTACATGCCCCCAATTTCTCTATTTGGGATCGAATCAATTCCCCCGCACATTTAAATTCAAAGACTCTTTCCTTCGTAGTCGCTTGATCTTCTCTGTTGAATGTGCAATACTAGAGAGTTGTGTTCCGTTACCCGTATCAAGAATTCCTGACCTACCTTTGGCCCGGTGCCCACTAGGGGATGATGAATTCATTTGCCTGATGTAGCCTGCTCTATTATCTATGCTGCTATGCGAGAATGCTATCAGTCTGTCGACTGCTGGAAAGTGGGTACCAGCCCATTAGACGACCGTTTGATTAAGCTCACAGCGCGAATGTCTAATCGGTCGTCCTCGAATACAGAAATGGATAAACGATAGAGAAAGAAATCTGCACATAACAAAATGACATGGTCATGGCCTCGTCGCTCGGCGAGGTGCCTTTTCCTCCTCACTATCTACCCCTCTCTATCTCTCCGTGGCTCCTTCGTATCACCGCGGACCTACACCGAGCGCTGAAGAATATCGACTCAATTCCTTTTGAGCAGGCTCTTCAGAGTTATGCCCTGCAGTACCGCTTATAAGTATGATGATTGTGCTCGCAGACAACCCAGCCGTTCCTCCGGGTACAACAACAAAATCACCAAATTATCCGGCCAATCCCACGTACACAGCGCAGTGAGAAACGATCTGCATATTGCAGATAAGGTAGATAGGGTAGACTCCGAATTGCCGCTATCGCAGGATGTCGGGGTAATGCGCCCCTCCTTTTCCCTTTTAAGTAGGTGCTTTGAAAATCGCATCCCGCTGCAACTCAATCAGCTGGGGATCTGCTGCCCCCGGCCCCCCAGAAACTATAAAAGGTCCGTGACCTCTCAGCAATGCTTATCATCGAGGTTGTTTCCATGTAGAGTTGATATCATACTCCGCCTCATTCCTTAATACGTAAACTGAAGTATAGTGGTTAACTAACAGGTAGTTACTCTGCTCTGTACTTTGTCCTTATGGCCAACAAATCCAACTATATCTATCGAACCTGTTTTCTTAACTTGAGGAGTAACAAATGCTTAAATCGGCGCTAATGGCCAACTCAGCCCCCTTGGCAGATAAGGCTTATCTGGCTTGATGGATACGGTGGATGTTTTCAATATGACACCTTTTACTAGTATTCCCTTCTGTGTCTCGCTCTCTCGCCAAGAAGTTTTCCTTGTGAGCGAGGTGCGGCTCTTCATTATTTGCCTTGGCTGATTTGGATTCGAAATTCGGGTCACAATGCGTCAGGAGCATTTGACTATTGCTCTTAGACCCTTTACAATTGTATGCTTCAGTCGACAGATATTCCGTTCCCTGAGGCATCGGGATATATGCAATTGAAAACGAGATCACAGATCATCCTTTGCACGGGTGAGCATAGCATACAACAGCCCTGCACCTCCCGCAGCAATAGTCCCAGAAACGTACATATACTACGGCTTTGCTGGCAGAAACAGGAGCATTACGATCAAGCCCATGTTGGCCGTCGCGAGCATAGAGCTTGAAAGGTAAACCTTGAGCGCACGGGAGCGGATGGCATCCAGGCCATCCACGAATAAGTATAGGCCACTAATCCAAGTCACCATCAGCAGATAGGTGACAATGGACTTGGCAAGTTGTTGCAGCCCCGGACGCGGGTCGACAAAGGGTGATGTCAGGCTGTTGCTGTCCAGTGACTCAGGGTTGATCTCTTTGTACAGTGTCTCCACAATGTCTGACAAGGCTTGAATACGGTCAAGAACGAGAGTCACATGATCAGGGTTATTAAGGTGTTGCCCAATTCCAGGGGAAGTGGTCAATGTGATGGCTTGTAGAAGTAAAGTTGACAGGACGAATACGCCAAAGCCGAGGGTGAGTTGCTGGAGTGCAGCTAGTGCAGTCAGTGCAGGCATGATCGGTTCCACGAACTTGTGAACAAGAAGAACGGAGGGTTCTTGGAAAGGAGTGATTAGTGAAAGATATACTCCTATGCGAAAGCGTACCAAGCGCCCCAACACACCTCTCGTGTGTTGGGGCGCTTGGTACCGTTACTGGCTGAATTACCCCAAGAGAGTTAACCGGCCCCTTTCATAAATTCCATTTACATATTACAGTCCCACATTTACGAATCGTGCCGAGGCCCGAAGGTCAAGCTTTGGCCAGGATTTTATGGCTTTACAATCGCAAAGCTTCCCCGCCGATTAGAGTTCAGATTCGCCCTCTATTTGTCCACGCGGGTTGATATCGTCAGTGGTCTGAGGTCTCGATTTCAGCTCCAGAAGACCGACCATGACATGCGCCCCTTATCCAGTACGAAAATCATATGTTGGCCTAAAAGGGTTTAGTATGGCAGCCGAATAAACGCAACCCATAACTCCCTTCGGGCAGCAAGTTCGGGCAGACATATTTCGGCAGGTCATCGCCGGGCCCTTCTCCTCCCACCCTACACTCACTCTACCACATTTCAATATGCCTCAAGATGCTTGTTGCTCTGACTGCAGCGGATCCGGATTAGAAGGCGGGTTCATCTGTGGCAGTTGTGGAGGGAAAGGAAAATGAAATGCGAAAAGTAAGTGACATGTCCTCTTTCTTCGCCTCCTAGTCCTACTCCCCTCTCTCTTGATCTTTTTATGTTTGATGAATATTGGCATTTAACACGACCGGACAGGACTACCAACCGCCGTTTCATATCGATTACATCAAGGTTCTCATAACTTTCTTGCCAGCAAGTGCTGTCAGGGAACAGGGTTCATGTGTTAGTTATGCGTACTAAGCATTGTTGTCTGATCAGGTTGTGAAACTCAGACTTTGTTGTTTCTAGTTAGTCGGACAATTTGACCATTGTGAACTTTATCATACGTTATGCCATACACTTGATTGCTGTCAATTTCGAAAACCTTGTGGCAACTAAAATCATAGAGAGAAAGAGAGGAAAGGAGAGAGAACGATGCACAGCGGGGAAGATATAAAGAGCGCGGCGCGTGACTAAATCGGAGCTGCAAAGTCACATGGAATGTATCGGGGTTTACCCCGTGACACTGTCATGCATAATGCATTCTCTTGCAGATAGCAATGAGGTGGGAACTAGATCAGACAACAGAAACTGACACAGCACCACCGGAGGCTCTGGACGCTTTCAAGCCGGTGTCCGCTTGGATGAGAGATGCGGAAGAGCCATCAAACGAGGTCCCATGGCTAGTTATAGCCAAATTGGAGTCAAAGGTGATCGAACCAAAAGCAGGAAGTGTGACGTCGGAAAACTCCTCCACAATCCATTCAGCATACCTTCCCCTCAAAGGATAACTGGGTTCATCGAAGTCGAAAGATTTAGATTTGCCTTGGGTTTCGTTTTCCAGGTAGATAGTACCCGTGGTTGCCGAGTGTGCTGTGATGTTGACGTATAGGGTATCTCCGCTCGACAGAGGAAGTTCGTCGGTCGAAAAGAACTGAGCATCTTCAGGATACCATTCATAGTATCCGCGGAACTGAGGATAATAGGAGCCATCGTCAGACTCAATCCCTTGGATATCCAGCCCGGCTTGGAACAGGTTGTCTAGGCCATCCCAGCCGTCGATGCCTATCCAAGCATATGCGGAGTACTCCGCGTTCATGGGACCAGTGACAGTGGGAACAACAATAGTTGATGAAACCGATTTGAATCGTTCGCCATCACTTGCTGCCTGTATAGAACCGCACCAATTAGTGGAAGCCAAATCGTTCTTGGCCACTGTGAGAATTGCGATGTTAGCTGATGACTTCAGCACGTGTTCAAAGGACTGCGCTCTTACCGGTCGAATCACTAAATGGAAATTCGGCCAACGCAGGCACCACCCCACTCAGAAGACAGATTCTGGTAATCCACCGCATGGTTTGATTGATATTTGGAAATGGGAACGACTAGAGCAATCTGTAGATAGGTTGTTTTACCTTATGCCGGGGTGAGCAACTTTATATGGGGTAGAATCGGAGTAAGCAAAGGCCACTTTCGAAGAATCCAGTATCATGAGACCAAAATCGAGCATTTTCATAGAGAGGAATGTGATCTCACTTTGATGATCGGCTCCCAGCGTTGCGCGGGGAGGCTTAGTCTAAATGACAAAGGGTAGCTTCGTGTCATATATGAAGCCGATTGCCGTATACGATACCGGCATTCCTCACATGGTTCATCCCTTAGAGGGTGTGTCGAACTCCTCTACTACTGCGTAGAGGAACAAGAGATGTTTCCCAGAGCGCACAACGGCACATGTCACATGGTTATGCATGCCTGGCTGATGTCAGATTCTTTTGTGTTAGCTCTCTTGTTACTCACTTCCATATATTGACTGAGGTGGTCTTATAGTGACAGCCATTTAAGACCAAAATTGTACAGTACGGCAAGTTCACGAACCCCTAGATGAACTCGGTTTCACATCCACGATCTGTCTAATTGATGTTGTTAGTAGGATAGGTTCGATGCAAGTAAGCTATTTAGGAGACGATACCTAAGAATGGGCATAATGCTTGACTCCATGTGGCATGTTCTGAAATGGACTTTTACCCATTTTCGTGGAATCGGTCATCGGATATGTTTTCCGTATTGACCACGTGGTCAACCAGCCCGAAAGACATATCAGATTCCAATCAGGAATAAACAATACTCCGGTAGCATGGATTGTCCGGAATCCAGGTGGCAGGAGCGTCTACCAATCAATCCCTGCTTGAAGATGCCCGTGGGCTGACCAAGGGTCAGTGAGGTATTGGGTCTCCACCTCGGCATATGAAAGGACACTCACTGCCTTGGAGATTTTTCTTTCTGCCTAGGTAGTCTTGATCCAGATAGACGAGATTAGGAGGGAAGAAGACTGGTGACCTAATTACCTGGTGGACTTGATATCTAACAGCGGGATTGTTGGGGCAATTCGTAGGGAGATAGCCTTGTCAGTTGGCGGAAGGCTGGCCAGTTGGCTGGAGGTCTCGCCAGTAGGCGGAATGAAAACTGACAACTGGGCAGAAGAATGTGTTGGTGTCTGATCGAGAAAAGTACTGCATTTCTATTGAGAGCAAAGGGGTCAGTCGTCTGATTACACAGTATGCTTTGCATCTGGATTGAATGGGGGAAGACGTACTTACATCGCAGATGAGTATACATGCGGCGCCTCATCAACCGATTCCGCACATCAGATCAATCAGGAACCTCTTTATGGCAGGTATACTGATTGGTCTGGGATGAAGGTTGATGGGGAATTGATTGAGAGAGGAAGAGGATCGATTGAGAGAGGAAGGGAAAGATAAAGTGAGAGGGAGGAGGGCAGGACACCGCACGTGGAAGACTTACGTCTTACGCGACAAATCACGAGACCAGCTAACTGTTCACCTTTTTATATACTTCTCACTTACAGGTACATGCTTCTGGTGTCACATGAGTGATTTGTCTCTTGCCAGGCCGCAGGGCCGGGGTTGGGTCTTGTATGTTATACGGAGACATACTCAGCGAGCTGAGAGGTAAAGTTTGTCTTCTTCAGTGCTCCCCTTGGTTGCTCTTGCGGGCCATGTGTATAGTCCCCTTCTAAATACTATATCAATGACAATATTCTCTCTGGTTAACAGTATCCACTTTGATGCTGAGTTCCAAGCTTCCCGTCAACTGGCAAGCCTTCCACCAACTGGCAAGGCTATCCCTACGAATTGTCCCAATAATCCCACTGGATCTGGTGTTCAGGGGAGGAGGGCAGGACACCGCACGTGTCACTAGGTGACGGGAAACCTGTAGGAATCATGTCAGTCTTATCTCTATTCACTGCGTGCTTCGACGATATCCACATGGCAAGGTGGAATCGGGAGGAGCCGTGTCACCCTGGTATCATGGCGTTAATTGGAACAAGGTGTTTCGAGCAGGCTGTCTCAAGCTTGGAAGAATTTGAGGGTCATGGCTTGGGGGTGTATGGCCGGGTTGCCTGAGGCCTTTCTTCGGAAGTCACAAGACATGTAAATGTCTTCGTGGTTGTGGCTGCCTTTTCAGATTGATTGACTGCCCAAACAGGCAGGTAGCTCTTGGATATAAATACCTATCTGGAACTTCGCTCAGTTCTTGACTTTTCTTCTTCTCTCCATCTCCCTTCTCCCCTTCCTCCTCTCCTCTTCTCTTCTCCCCTTCCCGTTCTTCTATTTTTCTATTCCCTTCTTCTCTCTGCTTTGGTTGCTGCTACAAGATCGCCATTCATATGGTTACGCTGTCCGCGCAGAAAGATGTACTTCGGTACTAAGCCGGATTGACCAAAAACTTGTGGGTCTGAGCGATGATCCGTAGCAACTGTCTCTTATTCTTATCTTGATGCTGGTCTGGAACATGGACCCCCGCAAAGAGATGTACTTCGGTACTAGCGGGAATGGCCAAAAACTTGTGGGCTGGAGCCAGGCCCCAGACCTACCACACACTAGTGGTCTCTTATTCTTATCTTGATGCACCATAGCATCACTTTGTCTATTATTCTTGTCTTGATGCCTCTGATGTATATAGTCACAAGATCTGCCGGCTTCTCTGTCATATCGATGGTCTGCCTGTTCATGGTCCAGAGGTGCGAGTCTTCTGTGGTCAGTTCATGCAGCAGACGACAGAACAAAATATTCCGCCGCCTTTATGATCAGTGGGTATCTCACCGGTAATACTGGCACTGGAAGACATTCCTAAGCCCAATATGTCCTGTTGGTAGCTTGGTCTTCTCAAAGCATTCGCGTCATGTGTCTCTGATTGTTCTCTATTGTTTCGTTGTCTACTATACCAACAACCAATCTCATAATCCAAGAACACTTGGAATCTCCGCACCTGGGTGCTTTCTATCCCGTTAGCACTGTGACCATTTTGAACGCTATGGTATGGACGGGTACCTAGTAGATATGAGCCACGTGGATCTGCAGATATCCGCCAAAACCCACTGTCGCGCGTTTAGCGAGCTTCCGCCAACTGGCAAACCTCCCGCCAACTGGCAAGGCGATGTCCCTACGATCGCCCCAATAAACCCACCGCGACACGTACTGCGTCTAATCTGGTTTTTGATTCTCCCCAGATACCATCCTTACACATTCTGCACTATATGCCCCCTACTAGTTAGATAACAAAGTCTTCTTAGTTAAAGCCAAGAGCACATTAATTAAGTGTACAACCATCGAGGAGAAGAAAGTAAGGAAGAAAGCAATAGTTGCCAGGAAGTCTTCTACAGACCAGAGCGACGCCGATCACGGGACATAAAACTACAACAACACAAGTCACAACCCTAGTTCCACTCAACCTCCAGACCGTGACACTAAACTCAGTGAACCATTACCCGCCTCGCTGAAAGTCTTGTTCAACCAAGCATAGATCGTTCTGAAAAGCTCCTGTCCAGCGCCAGTCTGGCAATGAAAGCTTGCAGCTCCCTTAAAAGTATGCAGAGTAGCCCGGTGGCCCAGCGCACCCGCCACCTGCTTCGGCTGTCCGACGTAACTGCTCTCACCCTGGTATCATGGCGTCAATCGAAACAATGTGTTTCCAACGGGCTGCCCAAAGCCTGTAAGGATTCGAAGGTCATGGGCCTGGAGATGTATGGCCAGGTTGCCCGTGGGCTTTCTCGGGAAGTCACAAGACATTTAAATGTCTTCATGGTTGTGGCTGTCTTGTAAAATCATGGGATGGGTTACAGTGGAACAGATATGTAGGGATAACAACATAGGAATGTGCGCATTGGCGAATATGCCACAATGATGCCTGTGGAGAGGGAATATGAGGAGATGAGGAGGAAGAAGTGCTGACACTATGTAATCGCCGTGTATCTAGTTACAGACTAAATACTTATAAATGACATCTCGCATCAGACCTGTACAATTGTTGCGAAGATAACAGAAGGGAAAAAAGGCAGACAGAGGATGGAAATATACACGTATAAAATACGGAGTCCCGCATGCAGACTATCTCAACTTCTTGGACAAACAGGTAACTCGATGGACACCTTAGGTCACAAGGAAAACCTGAAGTTATAGGTTCACACTCCCGAGACGTCACAACTCGGTTCTTCTTGCTTCTTACTAGAAGTCCAGGAAGAATGTCTTCATTGCCCTAGGCTCAATCTGCGCCGTGAATCTGCCGTCCTTGAATGTGAACTCATTGTCCATTGTCACGTTATGCTCATTATCCGTCAGGTATGAGACCGCATGCGAAACCTTCGAGCCGGACAGGTCCACATCCAGTGTATACGGGTAGTGCGCCGCATTGACGACTGGGATGGCAATGGTACCATTCTTGTTCATCCAAGCAGTGACATACAAGTCCTCGACGTTGGTCTCGGCATCGATGCGCACAGCGCCAGGGCGCGCAAAGCGGAAGTAACCAGAGAAGGCCCAGAGGCGGGCAGCAATCTGGTAAGAGGCGCCGTTCACATTGACAAGGGCACCATCGCCGCCATTCCAGGCACACCACCAGTGGGACCAGCCTGCGACATTGTTGCGGAACGCGTTGTGCATGTAGATGGCCCATTGCAAGCCTTCGAAATTGTTCCCAGAGATGTCCCATGTATGAGTCCATGTTGAGCCGCCGTCACTCCATTCCGTCTCGATGGTGGGTTGGTTGTGTAGAAGATCGTCGAATGGGCGCTTGATATCAGACTGGTAGTTGTGGTAGGTGTTGATATCGAACAGATCGAGTCCGCCTAGGCGACCGAGCTCGTACAGGAGATCGCGCTGCTGACGGGCACCAGTAGAGTCACAGCAGGACACGGCCAGGTCAGGGAATGCCTTCTTTACCATAGGGTAGAAGACCGAAAGGAAGTCATAGGCTTGGTAACCATCGGACAACATGGCGGAGTAAGTGAAAGGGTTGAAGTCAGGCCTGACAAGTCATAAGCTTCTTCAACACAAAGTTTCAAAGGAGTGTACTGCACTTACTCGTTGTATGCGCCTAGCATAGACACCTTGATACCACGCTCCTGGTAGAGCTTGACATATTCAATCAAATAGTTGGCATACGCCTCACGCCAATCTTCCGTACAATTGGTGCCTCTGACACCGCAAATGTATCCTCCGCCGGACTCTTCACCGGTAGTCTTGAAACAGCCGGGGGCGGACCAGGCATCGGCATACAGGAAAAGGTCCGGATTGTTCTTAAGTGCACCTTGAGCTAAAGTCAACTGGCAACTATCGTTGTTGGAGGTGGGGAACGAGTAGTTGAAGGGACCAGCAGGGGTCGCAGGACACTCAGGAAGGATCGTGGTTCCAGGGGATGACCCAATCAGGTTACGAAGGATGGAGAGAGCACCGTGATTCTCATCGAAAAGCGTCTTGACCACAGTCTGCTGGTCGGCTGTCGAGAGGGAGTTGGTTGAGCAGGCAGCACCAAAAGCACCAGAGCATCCTCCACCGATCATTGTCTGGTACTTCTTAGCTGTATTGACATTGAGGGTTGTACGGAAGGAAAGAGGCTCCGGAGAGCTGGGAGGGTGCGGAGAGACTGGAGGGTGCGGAGGACTGGGAGGGTGTGCCTGGACCGATAGTGCGGTCACCGCGCTGGCTGCACCAGCTAACATCAGAGAATACTTCATCTTGACTCTCTCAAGTAGTGGAAGAACCGAAGGATGAGGGAATGGCCTGAGATGGAGGTAAGCTTCAGATATTTATACCGTTCCATGTATAGCATGGTGAGCATCCCGCAGTTCCCTGCTGCTACGGATAAATAGAAAACAAAAAGTTGATCCGAGCGCAATCCGGGGTTAGTACGGACGAGTACGTTCTAGAGGGAATTGGACTCCCTAGATGAAATGAGAGTACGGAGTAGTAGGCTAGTAGCACTTCTCAACAATGCTTCCGATTAGCCAGCCGCTAGGCCGTAATGGCTACCCTGAAAGTCAAAATTTTACCGTTAGGGTAGGCAGGAAGCTATTTAGGCAGATTGCATTCCGAAACGCGTCTGATGGTGCTTTCCTTGTCGCTTCCAACTTCCCCCTGGTCGCGCATGGCCTATAGGAAAGCCCAATTGCGGCCGCTGACGGTAGTGCAGAGACCAAGCCACGCTAGTCGAGCCTTTCCGGAGATGAGCCCGGACACGCCACGAAGCTTGGCTATTATGGGCTGACCGGCTAGTTAGCTTACCCCAACTTTCAAATTGCGGGCCAAAGGTCGTTAATCGGGCAATTACCTAATTGGGGCTAGCTCCATATTTGTCAGGCCGACAGAAAATTTGAATGCCTGTATTGTACGGAGTAGTACCCAAGTCCTCATCGTCGTCCGGGAGAGGGGGCGGTGTCGGGATGTTTATGGTGTGAATAGCTTCACTTATTCAATACCACCTACAGCATACTGTTTTGAGCGGTGTATAACGACATTCGAAGCTAGCCTCACTTAGAGAAATGATAATAAAACCATAGTTAATACCGGGTAATCGATATATCACCTCAAGTTTCAATCTGACAAGATTTGTTCCGATCCTTCCGATCCCCAGCCTCAAGCACAAATGATGACAAGATCCACATCCTCCGCACCGACATCAAGGTCAACTGTAATGGCACGGTTGCTCGCATCGATGGTAGTGACGTATTCAAGGCGACTGTTAATATACACACCGTATTTGCCAAATGGAAGGTTCAAGACGACCGGTTGGCAAGCTACTCGACTCCCGTGCCATGTCCTGAAAGATGCAATCATTGCTCTGTTTTGCTCACTCCACTCCCCACGAAGGCAATCAATGCCTTGTCCAAAGTTGATACCGTCAATCCAAGGACGAGATTGGACCTCGTCTCGGGTCCAGGGGTGATCCCACATTTTCTTCTGTCCATTTTTGACATTTAGTCTCGCATAAGCGATCGCGGCATTTCCAGTGTGGGGATCAACGTAAGTATAGTTTCCGTCATTATCCCAGCCTTGGTCACATCTTTGGTAATATAGACCCCCGTGGGACCACGACGGAGTAAGATATGCATCAGCATGTCGAAGAAGCTTACTCAAGTCTTCAGGTCCCGCAATCTCAGAAAGCCATTGAGCAACATAGCCAAATACGGGAGACAGGTAGGGAAGTCGCCTATCGTTGACACCATTCGTAATCTCACGAGCACGGCTGAGTACAGATGGAGAGTCGGGGTCGGCATTTTCGGTCTTCACGATCCGTCGAATTTCGTTCGCGACAGCTGGAGGATTGATATTGATGCGATCATCTGTTCGGTACAGGAACCCAGATCCAATGGCTGGGTACAAGCTTTGGATCAAGTCGTAATTCCAAGGCATAAACGCCATTGTCCTGTCTTCTATCAGCAAACCGCACAAAGCACGCAGTGAAGAACGGGGTGTCAAATTACCAAGCAGAATGCCCGATATCATCAGCATCGACTGTTTGCTTTTGTCTCGTCGCGTACAATCTTCGGAATAGCCCATTTTCCCCGATAAAGCCTTTATCTGCCCACGCTGCTTTATACTTGCGCAAAACATCATCAACAAGCCGGGTGCCATTGCGTACATCGTTATATCGAGTGGCGAGTATCTTCATGTTATCAGCCGGGAGACCACTCTAATTCACAAAATTCCTCGGACTTACAGGAAACTGGTTGCAGATGATGAAAACCCAATTGGGCTCACAGCATACACCAACCCATCCTTCACTCTCCATCCCAGCAAGTATGGTCTTCTGTAGAGTGGTACGAGTGTAGCTGAAAGTCTCTTCGCCCATTCCCCAGAACAAAGGATTCCATTTAAACGTTATGGCTCCCTCCTGGTCAAACTGATCGTCGTTGAAAAGCATAGAGAAAAGAGAGACCATATTGAGAAGATGGCCCGAATACTATATTAAAGTGTTGATTAGTAGAGCACATTTGCTGGTATAGATCTGACGTACCATGATATTCTCCTTACAGACCGGGTCAGCCCAGGGTTTGCGAAGCTCTTTGAGATCTGGGTCGAGTTTTTTGCCCGACTGACTAGAGAGGTACCAATAATCCCAGACCTCGCGTCGTAGCATCTTCCGAATGAGAGCTCCAAACACGGGCTTGAACATGCTTCGCATTGCTGGTAGGCGATGGTAATGTGCAGCGCCTACAGCATAGCTCATCGTGGCCAGCTGGTAACGGCGAGCGGTGTCCCACTCCTGACCAGGCTCTTCACATCCCATGAATGCCCAGTCCCCATCCAGCTGCGAAGCCAGGTTGTAGATATGTCGCAGGTGACCGCATTGCTCTTTGGTCAGTTTAGGTGGGTCATGCATAAGTTGTCGAAGATGAAGAGGAAAGTCGGCGTTCACGGGAGCATTCGCAAGAGACATCGTGGCTGATGTATGATCGGGTAGTTCTGGTCAAAGTTGCTAGAGTAGCGCGTTTCTGTAAACTTGAGGAAGTTATCGGAGAATAGACGGTAAGACGGCACTGCCACCTATATCCATATTTATATATTGTTCCCTCCTATTCCAAGGTTCCTCCTGATGGATATGATCACCGCGAAATGTGGATAGATGTGACTGGGGTGGGGTATCCCGCCTGGGCGAACTTTCCTCCGCAAACTTAAATTGTTGAGGGATATAACGTATTTACTACTTGGAGTATCGAAATTAGATCCGATCTTTACTCCATAGTATCTGATGACAATATGATTCCGAATGATATAGTGTTTCGGTATTCATCTCGGCACATGGTTCCATTCGAGCACGGTATATGATTCGGAGTTCGGACTCCTGCTACCTTCGGCACCCCGCGTATTCGCTTATATTGATACCCTAGCGTCTTATGCTCTATCCGTTCTGTTCCAAGGTCCATAAAAGAGACGTCTAGGCTTGACGATAAGCTTCTCACCCCAGCAACACTTTTGGCTCGGCAGGGAGGTTCGGCTTGTTCATACCTTTTAGTGCAGATACACTGACACCAAAGCCGGAGAGGACCCCGAATGACGCCCGCTGGCAAAGAGGATGTTCTGTTTTGCTGTTTTCGGAGGGAAAGACGAGGGAACATAGAAATCTCACTTGCTTGCTCGTACTTCTCCTTTTCTTCGCCATATCTGTTACAGTACATTCGTTCTATGTACAGGAACCTATGAGAAGTCATTCTTTTGACGCGTGACGTACAGTAGTAACAAATCTGTAGCTACCTTTACGTTTATTTTTTCCAGTCATCCGCTTTTAGTTGACGACTTTCGTTTGCCGACAAGTAAAACTACCGATGTTCGTGTTCGGTAACTCGATTGGATATAGACGTGGCGTTGGTCGAGACTTGAGTCCACGTGGGTTTCGCTTTCGCTCAATGAGTTTGGCGAAAGGCGATCGGCAAACCCACCAAATGCGAGCCGTTTAGCGACGGGGACATATAAGCTTTTGCGATTGGCGAATGTATTTTTAAAGATTTAAAGAACCTTGGAAACAACCATTACTGTAGCTAGTAGTAGTAACTCTAATATATCGGTCTTTCTATTTCAATTGTCCCCGCACATCCAACTCCCCCGTGTAGTCACACACCGATGAGAATGGCGCCACCGAAAGGCGAGAAAAACGAGAGAGAATGGGGCCAAACATCCAGTTTCCGATTATTACATTGAACCTAGAGTGACCTTTTTTAACTGAGATAAGCATAAATAACAGGCAATTCCGCCTTGTTCCCACGCAATCTACGTCGAACCGTCCTCTTCAAAGTATATCGGTCTCACTCACAACTACCACCACCACCATGAGTCAAGTCCTCTTCAAGGCTCCAAAGGTGTTGAGCCGCTGTCAGATCCGGTCTCTATCAGCCCAAATCGGAAGGCTGAAAAGCTATCCGACATCCATCCGTCCATCCAGAGACGAAATCAAGCATGAACGTCTTTCCGATCAGAATCTAGAGGTTGCAATACGTGGCCTGTATCAGGATGGGCTTGTGGTTATTGAAAATGTCATCCCCCATGACTGCCTCGACCGACTCAACAAAAGGATGGTCGAAGATGCCTATTATCTTCAGTTGAAGAAAGAAAACAGTCCATTCAACTACAACCCAGGGAATATCCAGCAAGACGCTCCTCCAGTAAGGGAGTACTTCGAGCCCAGTATTTTCATGAGTAAGTCTCCGCAAACCCTGACACTTCCAGTCCCCGGCTGATAACTCTTGGAAAGACCCCATCGCCACTCAAATCACCTCAACAGCACTAGGACCCCGCCCAAAATGGACGTTCTGCTCGGGCAATACTGCAATGCCCCCAACTGCAGAGAACCCTCCAAAGTCCCAGCCTGTCCATTCAGACGCAGACTTTGCCCACCCATCTCATCCTTTTGCACATGTGATCAATGTTCCCCTCATAACCATGACCCCGGAGAATGGCTCGACCGAGGTATGGTTGGGAACGCACCGTGACACCGGCCTACATGTCCAGGAAGGGGAACACGGCGAGCGTGCCAGTGGCCGAATCAAACTTGATGAACTAGAGAAGCGTCGTCTAGACCGCCCGCCATGTCAACCCGTGGCTCCTAAGGGGTCTCTAGTTATTAGAGACCTTCGCCTTTGGCATGCTGGAATTGGCAATCAGACGAAGGATCCTCGAGTCATGTTGGCGATGAGTAAGTTGAAGTTCGTTCTTCCTGGCTGGTTTTCCCGGATCTCTAACGTCGATAGTTCACTTCGCGCCGTGGTATAGAAACCCTATGAAACTCGAATTTGCGGATGATCTGAAACCTGTCATTGAGGGCCAGACCGAGCTGGAGGTTCCAGTGAACTGGGTGAGCAAGTCGAAAGCACTCTCGCGGTATCTGAACCGTGGCTTTGGAAATGCCTACGACTTCAACCAGTACCCTTAAGCTGAAAGAAGTTGCCAGCTCGAAATAGCTTTTATTCAGGAATCCATGTATAGAGAAGCAGGTCTGGAGGTCATGACAAATGGAAGAACGGGCAGGCTCACCCTCACCAATCTCAAATCTTTCCGCTCTCGTGTTGTCATTTAGAGAAGATTGAAATGAAGTACCTATTGAAGTTTTCGATGTCAATACTACGCGGGTCATCATAACTTGGTTAGAGGCACTGTTATTATACAACAGCGTGATTGATTAACGGACCACGTCCGACGGAGAAAGAGCATCAGCTATAATGGAAACCGGCCATCCAGTCAACTTCCCCCATTTTCCCAACTCCTCTGCCATTTCGACGCGCTTATGGTTATCACGAATCCAAGGGCAACCTATTGCACAACATTCATCAGACGAAATATCCAGAGAACCCAGTCGGCAGGACTCACAAAAAGCAATTGGTCCGAAAGCATTGACCCAGACAGGTGCCGAGTCGCTTGAAATAGCCAGGGCACAAATTTCAGTGGCGTGGTATTCTAACCTCCGCCGTAAACATTCCATATCATCGATGCGTTGTAGAGCTTTCGGGGGTTGAGTTGCAGGCTGGGCCAGCCACATAATTCCCATGGCGGTATGGTAGTAATGGAGAGTGGACACTTATGAGGGTTAAAGGCTGTAGGGAATGTAGATCAAGTATACTCACCATGCCAGTTTCGTAGTGTCCAAATAGACGGGAAACTACTCTGTTGCCCGAGGCCGGGTGTTTGTATCGTGTCGAACGATGGCGGGAGTGATGACTTGAATCTGTCTAGACCGGCCTTCATAGCCTCCCATTCGAGAGAGCTCAGTGCACTCGAGTCGACAGACAGACACCGGTTGATGATCTTGCCCAGCAAGAATGTGATGTAGTTAGCAAAGTCGGCATCCTCTGTTGGTTCGGGTGGAGCATTTTGATCGGAAAGACTGATCATTAGACCACGTTGTTCTATGAGAGCGACCGTGATATCTTCCCGTAGGTAGTTCCAATATCCTGCGCTGAGCAGGTCTGTCGTGAGATCGATCTGTCGACTCGCCAGCAGAGAATAGCATCCGTGCAAGTGACTCTGAGAGCTAACGTTCTCTAAAGTTGTTAACTGTTAGCCTCTGTCTTTTTAATAAAATTTAAAAGCTAGAAGAGTCGACAAACTACTCACGAGCGATAATCTCATAAGATCGCAAAAGGCAAATGGCGGCAAGAGTTTCGCCAAGAGGAATGCTATCAATGTTTCCAGTGAGGGAAATCAATCTGCGCACACTGTCATAGTGGTAGAATTCAGCGATCTCCAGATACGCGTCTTCCCCAAGGGTGCGATGTTGGTTGGCAGCAGAAAATGCGAGAATGGCGCTAAGCAATAGTGGATTATATCGAGCCCTGACGGGAACGATATCCTTGAAATTCCGCTTGCTATCATTGAGATCATACCATGCTGCCAAGGTTCCTATGTAGTGCCGGAATAATTTGGCAACTTGGGGGTCCTGTAAAGCATATTCAGGATGCTCTGTGGAGGTATATCCGATTCCACGGTGAGTAGCTGGGGTCAAAGGGCTCGATTGGTATGCTGGAACTCTCGGCCCTGTTGTTGCGCCTGCTTCCGCGATCCAATGACAGTCACGGGCAACATGTTCACATGGTGAGCATTTGGGTCTTCTTCCGTCGCCTTTGGGTATATCAGAATTGGCGAGCGGTTAGTGACTGACAGCTTTCTCAGAGCCAAGGTATGCAATACTAACATTTGACCCGCCGTGACCTGCACGTTTGGCTGAGTAGTAATGCATTAGCGAGTTGTTTCAAGCTCCCAGAGAACCCATAACGAGAAGAAGGGAGATGGCACGGCTTGGAAGGCCGATGACTAGGAATAATTCGACTGACCAGCCTAGAGGTGAGTTAACCCCGGTTTAATTCCAGAGATCCAAAGCTGCGTGACCAGGACTTACGATTTTTTGCAATTGGCCTCGGCATTTACATTTCGCGTTTCGCGTTTCGCGAGGGAATGATTTGTTCGACTTGCAACATTCGGGGAATAAGACTGTTAAGACGTGAGGTTTGGCGAGGTTTGGCGAAGGTTTGGCGAAGCTCGCAGAACCTTTGCTTTTGCCTTTTGCGCCCCACTTCACTACTTGTGGCTATGACATCATCCGTGCTTTAGCGGCCAGCCATCCGCACACCAGTCGACACCACGTCGGGTATGTTGGATTCATACCTGACGACGGGAGGGCTGCAGATCAGGAGACGAGTACTCCGTAGTGGGGAGGCCGAGGTAATACCGTGCTCGGATGGAACCTATGTACCAAAATGATTACCTACTGAAAAGGTATCATGATGACACTTGATGACATTCCAGATCGGATATTACGGAGTAAAGATCGGATGTAAGATCGTGACTCCTTACCTCCGTATACGCTACCTCTATCGGGGAAGTTCGCCCGAGCGGGAAGACCCGGCCCCACCCCAGTCACATCTATCCACGGTAATCATAGGTACCAGGAGGAATAGGAGCGAACAATATATAAACCGATGTATGGGCCGCCCTACGAGGATTTCTATTTCCAAATTATTGACACGGGATTATAGACACACGCTGCATCAAAATGACTATTGCCACGAGTATGCCGGCCCCATACAACGCCAACACCACCACGACTGAGCTGGTCACCGACTATGCAAGCTTGATCAAAGGCAAGGTGATTCTAACAACAGGTGTAACACTGGGCTCACTAGGTTACGCCTTCGTCCAATCTATTGCCAAGGCCAACCCTGCATGTCTGATCCTCGCCGGCCGTAATTTGACCAAACTCGACCAATGCGGTGAAGATCTCAAAGCTGAAAATCCAGGCTTGAACGTCATCACGGTGAAGGTCGACTTGGGCTCTTTGGTCAGTGTTCGCAATGCTGCAGAGCATATCAATGCCAATACGCAGATCCCGGCTATAGATGTTCTGGTCAACAATGCTGGTATCATGGCTGTGGATTATGCTCTCTCAGCCGACGGGATCGAGTCCCACCTTGCGACGAATCATCTCGGCCCGTTCTTATTCACCAACTTGATTATGGGCAAGATCCTACAATCGGAGAGTCCTAGGATCGTGATGGTCAGTAGTGATGGGCATCGGTTAAGCCCGATCCGGTTTGACGACTATAACTTCGATGTAAGTGTTTTTCGTCTAGGTCTAGACTTTTCTTGTTTGACTTAATCGACTTCGAGGATTCAACTAACACAAGCACATCTCTTATTCTCAGAACGGCAAAACCTATAACAAATGGGTCGCCTATGGCCAATCCAAAACAGCGAATATGCTCATGGCACTTTCGCTCTCATCCAAGCTGGGTACCAAATATGGCTTGCTGGCGTTTAGCCTACATCCGGGAGTCATCGCCACCAATTTGGGTGGTCACCTGGACTGGAGTGTGGATGTGGGACTGCGTAGGTTATCCATATTGCATGGCTTAGTACTTTGAGTGATCATCCACAAGCCGATACTGACCACGTCTACCAGAATCCATTGATAGACAGCAGGGCCACCACGAGGGATGGAGTGAATTCAAGTGGAAGTCTTTGGAGCACGGTGCTGCTACTCATGTCTACGCAGCGTTTGACCGTGCTTTGAAAGGTGGGTTCTCATGCTCATATACAGCTTGTCATTGGGCCATTATGCTGATTGCTGACCTTGGCTCACTTTTATCTAGCTCACAATGGTGCTTATCTTGTTGACTCGCATGTTGCGGATCCATTGGTTGATACTTTGAAATCGTGGGCGATTAGCAGTTTTGAGGCAGAAAGGTTGTGGAAGATGAGTGAAGAGTTGGTGGGTCAGGAGTTTACCTATTAGTATAATGGAGTACACCTGCGCGGTCTCAATGGACAGACAACAATCAACATACGTTTGTGTTATATAATTCTCGTGACTTCCCAGTAGTCAGGACGTCCCTGCCACCTTCGGCACCCGAAACAAACAGCTGACAGCCTGAACCATAAGGCTCTCTATCGAATGAATCGATATGCAAGATGCCAGAAGAAACTAAATGGACAAATATTGAATTGAATAGTATGTGAAAATGACCCACAACTCCATGCTGAGAAGTCCAAATCCCCCCAATGCTCCACAACTCTCCATGCCTGAGAAGAAAATAGTTGCATCTATGTAAGATTCCAAGGGCCAAGTAAAAGCCCCAATGCAAAGGGATTCGATCCCCTAACCAACCAGCCCAACCAACTCACCGGGCCAGCGTTTCGCCCAAATAACAGCACGTGGCGGCATCCTCCCGCCAACAGGCGCAAGCACTCGAATGGTCCCCTTCTGCACGTCAACATCAGCAACATACAAGAAGCCCATGATACTCGCGTCGCGGACATCAGCGGGCGATGCATTCGTAGGCGCATGCGTGATCGCAAGCAGAGTATTTGCCAGATCCGATGGCGCAGGCGGGAGGACCTTCTTGAGTGGGACGCTACTGACGTTATTGGCGTTCTCAGCAGGCTCCGAGAGCGAGCCCACGACGCCGGGGAGGGGGGCGGCACGGTCTGGGTCTTGCTTTGGCTCGGTGGGGTAGTCGTCTTGGCCGCCGGGGAGGAAGGAGTTCGTTGCTAGCTGGGAGGGGTCGTACTCGTCTTCGTCTTCGTCGTCGGCTGATGTGACGGTGTAGTTGTAGAGGGAGAGGGAGGTGAAGTCGAGTTGCTGTGCGTGGGGGGAGAGAGTGATGGCGGACGAGGGCGAGGAGATCGGGATCGGGTTGCCGAAGAAGTAAGACCGGATCTGGGATTCACGGGTTGCTTTGCGGAAGGCTGCGTCGCGGTCGACACAGCCGCCGGATTTGGACAGTTTCACGACGGAGATTACTTCGTCGAAGACGGCGGCTGTTGCGCTGGAACTGGGCTTATTGTCGTATTGTCTGGCGATGGTGCTGTATAGGCGCTCTGAGCCTAGGACTAGAATCGTCGTGATGGAGAACTCGGTGACGATGTGGTTGATCAGATCCATGGCGCCGGGATTGTCTAAGCTGAGAATTCCGGGGGTATCGACGATGATTCCGGTTTCGCGCACGTCTTCGTCCTCGGCCATGCGTCCTGTGACAGACAGCGCAAGGCGCGAGATTATGGGTCGGTAGACAGCGCCCTCGCCGTCCAGCGGGCTCTCCATTGGGTAACTGTACACGAGCGGTAGCTTGACCGGCACGGGGCTGGGCCCGGACATGGGGCTACTGCCCCAGCCATCCTCGACATCCAAGATGGTACGGAATGTAGTCGCGGTCAGCGTACCGGGGACGCTGAGCATGCCCTCTGTCGGGTCGAGGTTGACAACCAGCGGCTGGCGGCCGATTTTCGTCGCATAGGCCGTGAGGATCTTAGCCAGTGTAGTTTTTCCTGTATTCTCAGGGCCAAGCAGGAGCACGCGCGGACCATCTTTTCCAATTGACAAGGCTTCTTCGCGCATTGTCTCTAGCGCAAAGTGAACGTTGGCATATTCAACCATTGGCGTCTCTTCGGCCGTGTATTCGCTCTGACACCCTGCTGCACCGCGCCCCGCCGTCGGGGTAATTCCATCAGATGTAGATGCCGGTTTATCGACCGCGGAGACCTCTAGCGAGCAGCCATGCCATGTGAAGATCGCTGCTTTTGTGCCGGTAAACGTGTAGGTCTGCGATTCGGCAAGCTCGGTACCGAACAGCTCGGCTGTTCCATTGAGTAGCTGCACCACCATTGGTTAGCACGATCTCGGTTCTCAGAACATAGACTGCAACGTACTTTGACCTTGATGATATGACCAAATGCGACCTCGAACCGCCACTCGGAGCCTGGCTTCAGACTGATCTGAGATGGCGGTGCGGGGCCCTGCGATCTTTCATCCAGCGGCTGCGTCAGCCCTAAGCCTGGGAGCGACATCTTATCGCCAATGTGGAAAGGCTCGCGGTAACTGCAAAGGCAAAACGCAAACAGATTGCTTCGTAGATCGCCTTGAAGCTATTCAGAGGGCGGTGAGTGAGATCAAAGTGGGCAGAATTTAACGAACTTTGGCTCCACAAACAACATGTGACATCTACACAGTACTTAACTAGTAGTAGTTAGGTTAGTACGTACGTAGTCCTATTTGTGCTCCACGAGTACTTCAAGAATGAGCATCGAGAGCAATTAAATCCAAAGTCAATGGTTGCAGCCCAGAGCAACATCCGTTTCAATCATCATATCTTACAATCCTACAGGACATCGGTAACATCAAGCATATCACTATCATTAAGCGAATCGTCCTTGACTACACGGAAGAATGCCACGAGGGCAGTATGTGAAGGTGCAAGAGGGGGAAGTTTGGTATCAGGGCAGCAAGAGAATGGGGTCATGAACTAAGCCAGAGGGTTGCCCCGAATAGCCAAGTCTGGAATAGAAAAAGCATTGAGAGGGGGAGGGCAAGATATTAGAAAATGGGTTGAATGGGAGGTACAGCTCGGGATCGCCGGCGGGGAACATATTTATGGTAACGACAAGGGGAATTGGGCATCAGAAGCGAAGATTGAGGGAGTTAAAACTGTCGCAAGCGACAGAGCATCCCGAACATAAGGGACCAAAAGTTTCAGACACACGTTACTTTGTTTGCACAAGAACTTCCGTTCTGTTTAGAAGAAGTACGGGATGGAAGCACTGTGCAGTATGTCAGTATTGGCTCGGGGGATGGTGGAAAGGATGACATACGCAAGTGCAAAGGCCACGGAAACACCGAAGATCGAGCGGTTGCGCACACGCTCCTTCTTCAGCTTGGCCTCAAGGACCTTGGCCCTCTTGGCCCGCTGGGAAGATTCGGCTGAGGTCTCTTCATCCTCGTCATCCTCGGACTTGCGCTTCTTGGTCACCTTAACAGACGTAGACTCTCCAGGAGTATTATCAGCCTGGGCCTTGATGGCGTCTTCAACCATGCTCTTCGCCTGTGAAATCATCGCTTCGGTCTCGGCAGCAGAGGGCACTTCTGGCAGAATGGTGGGCATCTCCAGGGAAACGGTGGTGTGAGCGGGTTTGGCATCATCAGTAGCATCAGTGGTCACTGAGATCTCGACACTCGGCTCCTCCTGCTCCTTGATTTCAGCTTTTTCTTTTCTTTCTTCTCGGCCTTCTTCTTTTCCTTCTTTTCCTCCTTCGCCTCCTCACTCTGCTCTTCGGGCTCCTCGGTAGCGGATCGCTTTGACTTGCGGCCTCGGGTCTTCTTCTCTGGCGATCCGTTTGTCTTCGCTTCCGCTTCATCCACGACTCCAAACTCAGGGAATCTCTCGACGTTCAATGCTGAAGCTGTGATGTCCAATGCTGACTGCAGGCTGGCGTTTGCGGCAGTCGTAGATGGGGTGCTAGTAATATCCTTGGTAATGCGAGTGGTGCGGGATTTGCGAGGAGACGACGACTTCTTGCTCGGAGAAGCGGACCGGCCTCTACGGCTGCGCTGCGGCATTTCCGGCTCACCCTCGGGAATTTCGAACTTCGGCGGAGGAGTGATCTGTTTCTTTGCGCTAGAAGGGCTCTGGACAATCTCTGTGGGGTCCAACAGTGCTCGCACCCATTCGTACATTTGATATTCCTTGGACAGTTCAAGAGCTAAGGAGTGGGGAATTAGTCAGGGAATGTTTGTCAGATGGGGTACATAGGATGTCGGACTACACATACCAAATGTGGGAGAGATCCACACATTACCAGCAACTTCCTCTTCACTGGTATACTCGCGAACCTTCAGGTATTCGCGCTCGTTTCTCTCTTCATCGGCCTTGGCCCAGGGAAATGCGATCTTGAACATTCCCGTAGCGCTGACATATCCATCTTTGCTGCGGCGCTGTAAGATAGGCGGAAAAGTTAGCCGCTATCAATTTTAAGATCAAATCGTATAATGAAACTCACCATCAAGAAGTAGGTCTCCGGGTGCGACTGGGCGGTGTGTGAAGGGAATATCTCGGAGCCCTTGAGATCCTTGGGCAACGGAGCACGGAGGTGAGCGTACTCGAACACACCCAAGTTCTCGGGCTTGGTCGCGTTCGAGGTGCCAATCTGGGCAGGCTTTACGGACAGGTTGGTCTTGCCGAGACGGCGGCGCGCAAGGAGCTCATCATCTGTAGTAACAAAAATCGTGTTAGAGATCATATTGTGACGAGTCGAGGGCGCACGAGGGGGATGGCTAGAGGATGCGCCCGCACGGTCGCGCTTAGTCGCGTCTGGGTTGAACTTACAGCTGGGAGCAACATCGGACCGGATGAGAGGATTGAACTTCTTTGGGAGTGTTCGCGACATAGTGGGGGATGTCGAGGGGGTGACAAGGTGGAAGACGTGAGATTATTTCCAGGGAAAGATGCGCCAACGTCGGCCACGTAGCAGGCGCGTCAAAGTAGCGAAAATCAAAAACGGATGGATTACCACCGACAGGTATAGTCTCTCTTGGCAAAGCGAGAAACAGCAAACAAAGACGATCGATAAGAAAAGAAAAAAAAAATTAATCCACAGAGGAGCGAGATAAAGAAGACAATCAGGAGGGAGATGGGGAGAAATGCGAGTCGCGAGTAATTGCGTCGTTCTGAAGCTTGACTTGTTCCGGTAAGGTCCGGTATGGCCCTTGTCAGGTGGGGTATTTGGATGGTGTGGTTGGTCAGTTTATGCATTACACCGTCATTGATCTACCTCACTGTAATCTATTTTGTTGGCCCCGTGACCTCGACATTCCTTTCTTTGATTGAATCGTATACTTGTCCTTTCTCGACATGGAATGTACTCTACTATGACCTCAACACCTAACTCACTCTGACTATGGAGTATCGTCAGTTTCATGCTCTATGATCAGGGGTCTGTTGACTTCGGAACTTCCCCTTCTACACCGCATTGAATAGTCTCTACCAGCCTACATCATAGCCTCATAGATACTCCTGCAAATGTCAACATCGACAGAACTACCATTGGAACCTATTTACATACATCTACATTGAGCTGCTGAGCAAGTCATACAATATTTTGCAGAAATATGCACGTCCCAGCATGAACGTGGGCAGCGATGTTCTGGTTGTTTCACTTGCAGGATGCTCAGTCCCCACTGTGTAGACCTAAAGTTGGGGCACGCGCTGTAGATCACCCAAATACTAGGGCTAGCATACGATCAATTCAACACTCAACGTTTCATGTTTCCACCTTACTGTTGTGTACATTGCCATAGAACTGTACATGTTACACAGCATGAGAATCGAGAAACACATGCAGGACCAGACCTAAGCAAGCTGCAGGCTCAACGGTGTACAGATGGATTGCCCATACAAGGAAATCCGAATAGCCTCGCCCCTCTTCCACCGCCTTTCTAACCCCACCATATCTCAGGAGACTATTCAATCTTAGCTTCGTTTTAACTTAAGAATCATCTCGAACTTCTTCCTTCTTTCCCTCCATCGTTCAATTTCATCATATCCTTTGTTTACCTCGTTCCCCATCCCCTTATATCCAATCTTTGGTTCCGTGCCCCGCTTCCTAAATTTGTAAACAATGGCCGACCACGAAGATGAGCTCGCCGCCACCCGCACCGAGGGTTTCAAGGTCGGAGAGAAGAAGACTCTCGATGAGTACAACCAGCTCGGTAAGTAGTCACCTGTCATTGGCACTCTCCGACCATGTCAGATCTTCGTTGATCTCAGCTAACCAACCTTATTCCCCGCAATAGACAAAGACGACGAAGCCCTGAACCGCTGGAAGGCCTCGCTGGGTCTGAACTCCGGTGAACCCATCGCTGACCCTAACGACCCTCGCAAGTGTATCATCAAATCCCTGGCTCTGCAAGTCGAGGGTCGTGAGGATGTCATTATCGATCTGTCGTCCCCCGGTTCTGTCGACAGCCTCAAGGATAAGCCTTTCAAGATCAAGGAGGGTGCCAAGTTCCATATCAAGGTTACCTTCCAGGTCCACCATGAAGTTCTGAGTGGCCTGAAGTACCTGCAAGTTGTCAAGCGCAAGGGTATCCGGGTCAGCAAGGATGAGGAGATGCTGGGTAGCTACGCACCTAATACCACCGCCAAGCCTGACTACTCGAAAGAATGTGAGTATAACTATTGGCTTGCCTAATTTTTGGCCTTTGCAGTATTTAGCATTTACTAACATCTATATAGTCAACGAGGAGGAGGCCCCTTCAGGCATGATCGCCCGCGGCCATTACAACGCTGTCTCCAAGTTTATTGATGATGACAATCACACTCACCTTCTGTTCGAGTGGTCCTTTGACATTGCCAAGGACTGGTAAACATGAGAAGGCTTTTGAGTTATTGAGCGGCTGTTTGTTTTCAAAGCGTGATGAGTTTCTTTCCTTAACAACATCATTGTTAAGAGATGCGTCCCACTGGCCCGATGCTTTGGACTCCAGTGTCCGGTCTTATTGTTTTATTCGTGTCACACTGAGTCTCAACCCTTGGAGAATCCCAACTCTTCATGAATGATAACCATGTTAAAAAAGCCACATAGCACATCTTGCTGTTTGTGAATGCACGATTTTATCCCAAACTCCCGTCTAGTGCTAGATACAGAAGCGAATCAAATCAAAAACAAGCAATAATCATCAACATTAACATCAACATCAACAAACATTAACCAATGGGTATCACAATAGGACTCTTGGGATTCACAAGAAGTAGTCAGGCATAGGACTGGAGCCGTCCTTCATCTGTTGTTGCTGCTGCCCGAGCTGCTCAAGTCGATGGGCGTCATTCTCCGGTGCAGCATCGAATATATTGAAGTAGCGCTCGCCCGAGTCACTGACTTCGAGCACACTCGCCAAATTTCCACAGCGGTAGCAGTAGTTCGGTGCGCTCCAAACTGTACTCAGCCGGTCATCGTAGAGAACTTGGTAGCCTTCTTGGCAGAGCTGATGCGCACGTAAGATATGTGACATGCTGTTGACCTCCAAGAATTTTCGCACAACCTGCGCTCCAAAGGTGTAGCCGGCACCACGCGGGGAAAGAGAAAATTCGTCCCGTTCAGTATCGGGATCAGACCAGACGAGATCGGCCATAGGGCCTTCGTGGGGGATCTCTCTGAAACGGTCGATGATCTTGATTTGATCAATAGAATGGATAGAAGGTGATAATCCGCCATGTACACAGAAGATCTCATCGTTAATCACGACGCTTAACGTCAAAAAGTCGAACATATCGGTGAAATAGTGCCACACATTGGCGTTGCCGTATTTGCGTGCGCACTCCGTGTAGAAGCCGTACGATTGGGTGACTCCGCGAGACTCGTGGTTGCCGCGAATCAGGTGGACTCGTTGTGGGTATCGTAACTTGAGGCAGATCAAGAGAGAGATAGTCTCCACACTGAATAAGCCGCGGTCGACATAGTCGCCTATCAATTAGACAGTCAGCAACCCTGCACACCAAATACCAGCACTTGAGATCTTCAAGGCCTAGACCCGCAGCGCCATCCCCACGGAATGTTTTTCCATGTGCGACTGACCGAGGAATAGATAATTTGTGTCCGGACAGAAACCACCGATCTTGAAGATCTCAATCATATCAAAGAACTGGCCATGGATATCGCCGACAACAGTCACCGGAGCAGCAATATGCACCACATTGCTCTCTTTCATCAACAGTTCTTTCGCCTTGAGGCAAATTGCCTCGATCACTGAATCCGCGAGCAGCTCCTTTCGATAGAGTCGTGCGATACACTCATCGAGATCGATATTTGCTATGAGTCAATAGGTCAGCATAACCAGACTTCGGACGATTGCCCATCACGGAACCAGAGCTCTGCACGTACTTGGTAGGCCGGGCATTGTTGCGGAAGATATGCCAACGCTCAGTCAAAAGAACGACAGACACTGCTCCTTGGAAGGTCTCTCAAATCCCCCAAAAATTGTAGATGACGGTGGAGAGCCCCCGGACCTAGTCCCCGTGTCGAACCGGACAAGTGAGCTAAGGTTCGGTTCTCGAGGGCGTGATCGAGGATGATTGAAGTAAAGAAAATGGATAGAAAGATTCATTCATCAACCTAACGGCATCCTGGAGGTACAGTCGATCCTCGTGCCCGTTGTAGAGGACAAGTTAATTAAAAGTTCGAGGATTCAGGCAACATGAAGGCCCCGACTGCGGGATAAGCTCAGGCACCTCCGACGCTCGGTTAGGACACCGCCTTTGCCCCTTGGTGCCGGAACTATAAGGCCACCAACACTCTCAACCAACTGGCCAACTGTGGATGCAAGATGTCCTTGAAGGTTGGTGTCATTGATATAAGCCAAAAAAAATGCATCTAATCGCCCCAAATCTCAAGCATCTACTTTAATCTTGTCCCAGCGTGAAGTAACAACTCTCCCATCCTTAACCACTGCCAATAGGCTTTCCTCCACTTTGTCAAGAATGGTGATATCCTCCAACGGATTTCCTTCCAAGATCAACAAATCCGCCACAAAGCCCTCCCGAATCTGACCCAACCTATCCTCCTGCATAATGAGTCGAGCAGCATTGACAGTAGCACTCTGCAGAATCTGCAAAGCAGTCAAATAAGAACTGCGCACCGAGAACTCCTTACTCTGCGCAAAATGCATCGGACCAAGCAGATCAGACCCATAGCAGACAGTCACACCCGCATCAACAGCCATCTTCATCATCTTCAGCCCCTGCTCAAGAACCTCATCATTCTTAGCAGCAGCAGAAGCGGGAAGGAAATTCATCTTCTTGGCCATGACATGCGCAATAAGCGTCGGCGTCAGGAAAACCCCCATCTCAGCCATCATCTTCGCCGTCTCAAGATCAATCAGATTCCCATGCTCAATTCCCCGAACACCAAGCTTGATCGCCTGCTGAACCGCCTGCGGCGTATAGCTATGACTCGTAACATACGTTCCGGCATTGCGCGCGACAGTAACAATAGCGCGAATCTCCTCATCCGAGAACTGAACATGTTCAATACGATCAGTGGGACTGGACACGCCGCCACCACCCATGATCTTGATGAAGTCCGCACCCTGACGTAGCTCCTCGCGGGCATACTTGTAACATTCTGCGGGGCCGTCGACGATCCTGCTGATTCCGGAGACAGAGCCGCCGCAGCAGAGTTGGCCGTCGTGGGGACCGCGCATGTCGCCGTGGCCGCCGGTTTGAGAGAGGGCGTACCCGGCGATGAAGAGACGGGGGCCGGGGATGACGCCCTCTTCGACAGCTTCTTTGATTGCGAGGGTTGCGCCGCCGCAGTCGCGGATGGAGGTGAAGCCGCGCTCAAGCATTGTCTTGAGGACGTGCGGCTGTCGTAGGAGACTGGTTCGCTCAGTCATGTCCCTGTAAGCTCGGAGGTCTACTTCGCCGGGGACGACGGCGATGTGGACGTGGCAGTCGATTAGGCCGGGGCAAAGGTATTTACCGGTCAGGTCAATGATGTTCTCCTCCGTGATGTCTTCTAGAGACGTGGCTGAGCCGTCTGTGACGATTTGGATGATCTTGCCATCTGAGATTCGGATGGTCGCATTTTTGATCAATTGGCCCTGAACTGGATCGATGATAGTCGCGTTCACGAAGGCCAGTGGTCTTTGAGGGTCAAGCTTCCATGGCTTGATAACTCGGGAGACGTCCATGTTTGTAGTGTAGTGCTTGGTAGTTCGGTAACTTCGGTAGGATCCTTCTCAAAGGCAACTCTCAATTGAATAGACAGACAGGTTCCCAACTCCAAAGAGTCAATGTGTCATTATCTATAGAAAGCGGGGGAGGCGCGGAGAAATAAGCTTCGTGTATTCCGGACATCTTGGAATGGTCACCGAGATATGAACAATGAACATTGCACAAAGTGACAAAGCACAGGACCTTTGATTATCGGCGGGACCCGACATCTCCCCGATCCCAATCGGGGATAGTCCTGGTCAGTGCATACACTTCTCCATATGGATCGGGCCTAGGGTAGTCTTCTCCCCGATCCGAGGAGATATAGACATTGGTCACATTGCCGAGCCGTTTGAAAGGCCGTTTGTCGGGCTTATTGTCTCATTGGATCAGCTAGATTGGCCAGCCACGATACAAGCTATCTTGGCGCCCAATGGTCTTGGGAAGTTAATTGCGCTCAGCTGCCGCCTAGGATGCTATGTTCTGATTCGTCCGGAAATTAGCAACAATTGCTTCGTAAAACGGACCAATCATTAATCCACAGGAACAAAGATGCGGGGAGACCCCTGCGGAACCCCGGATCTAAATTCAGGCTGCATCCGATTCATAAATAACAAATACGTAGACTTATCTGGATAGTAGACGAATAGTTAACAAGAGTTTACGTAGCGTAGTTAGTACTATACAACATAACTAGTTCTAGAATCTAGTAAGATCATGCCATTTCGATTTCTCATATTTTCAATATACCAAATTTATGCCCAATCAAGTCGTCATCTATACATGTGATCATCATGCATCCGAGGATATTCACTTGAGCAGCTGCTGTGCCTCTTTGTGAACAGCTTCAGTCTCAGAATCAGTCTCTTCTTCTTCAGAGTCATCATCCTCTTCCTCAGAACCAGACTCTTCTTCCGACTCTGTCTCTTCTTCCCCGGAGTCAGTTTCCTCTTCTTCAGAATCAGTTTCATACTCTGTCTCGCTTTCCTCCTGATCTTCCTCTTGTAGCCACTGATCAAGAGTCTTCTTCCCAGTCGGATCTATGGCAGCGCTGTTGCGGTTCCGAATTGGCACGGAAGTGATTTGATGTTCACGAAGCGCTTGGTCGAGGCGATCGCCTGCAGTCATGGCAGACGGGTTACTGGCTGTGTCTGGCTTCACATCCTCGATACGGAGGCTTGGATCGGGTTCCTGGCCTAGCTCGACCCAGTCTGGGAGATTCGCGTAGCCTCGGAGTCCATGATAACCGGCATCAGGGCCGACGACAAGAGTAGCAGATCCGATGAGCAGGTCCTTGCGTGTCTCGGATGGGCTGGGGGCGTGAGGGACGGGTTTTGGTGCCAGGAGGAGGAGGTTGGCAAGTTGGGTCGAAGATGGAGTTTCTAAAAGACTCTTGTAGAGACGGGCCCGATCACGCAGATCGTAGGATGTGTCGTAGCGTGCGAGAAGGAGAATATACCTCCATAGAAGGGTGATACGGTCTTCGGGTGCATCTTCGTCTTTTGTTTCAGCAACGTCATTTTCCCGTATGCTTTCTGCTCCCTGTTCGGTTTGAGCCGCATCATGCGGTTGGTCGTTCCCATTGTCAGTCCATTCGTTGTGGAACTCTTGTTGAGGTTCGTCTGCTTTCTCGGGCAATGACGATGGCTCGGTTGGTTGTGGCTGTTCCAGTGGTGGGTTCTGTAGGAGATGATGAAGGTACACCTTGGCCCCGAGAAGAACAATCTGCTGTTTGACATTTTCCATCTCATCTGCGAACCCTTTGATCAAAACGCGAAGAACGTCAGGCGCAATGTTCTTATCTGTATGAACGCCAGCGAACTCCCCGACAAGCCAGATAATGGTGGCTCGTGCATCTGGGTGTGTTGTGGTGCCCAGGTGCTTCACGAGCTGGAGGACAGTATTGGTGTGTGAGACTGGATCTTGTTGAATTAAGTGACGAATAACAGTCAGCGACTCTGACACGAGGTTACCGTCCGAGCTAGAGATCTGGCCGAGAAGAATTCGCAGACACATTCCTGAGGTGCTTGTGTCTCCTTGGGCACAGCGTCCGATGGCCCGCACACTCTCGCGTACTAGCTCTGGCTCTGTGCCTTTAGAGAAATGTTCTAGCTCGCTGATGATAACACCCTTCCAGTGCTTTCCACAATGAGGAAACAGGATGGTCAATACCTCCAGTTTAAGGCGCCAGATATGCGGCGGGTCGTTGGCATGGACAAGGAAGTGGGCAGTGTATTTAGCAAATGGCTTGGGAGCTCTCAGAGCAACGGCAACGATGTTGTATAAAGCGATTAGTTGCATGTCTTGCGGGCTTCGCAAGAGAGCCACGAGTGGGCCAGCTGCTGATGCAGTATATTCTGGCGGGGCAATGTAAAGGAAGCAACGGACGACGCTAACAATGACGGCGGAGTTCCGGCTCTGCAGTAGAACCTTGCAAGCTCGGAGTAGAAGCTCGAGATCGGGATCAATCACGGAAGCCTCATATTCTTCCCCCTCGTCCTGGGCCTCCTGCTGTGGTTGCTCATCATCGTAGAAGGCCTCCGGGGCCGTGTGCTTGACCTTCTGGGTTCGGTGGGGGAAACATTTTCGCGCATAAGATGTCAATAAGCGGAGCGTTGCGAGCTGACTCCATTCATCCATATCAACCAGCTTTTTGACCAAGCTGCGGTAGTGCTTATGGATGAGGTTAATCTCATCCGGACACAGATCTAAGAATGCCGCGACTGCGGGGCCGACGACAAAGTATTGGGAATCGCCCAGAAGCGTCTCCAGATACCCGATCAATTGCGGCAGTGTGTTCGGGTCCAGACGATAGCACTTCGGAATAGCCAAAGCAGCTGCCTTGCGCACGTGGGGACTCATATCACCGCATCCTCTCTTGATGGCCAACGACACGATCTGGCTGATAACCGGAACCCTGATTCCCGACATAGTCCGAAGCGCCATAGTCCGGACCTGTGGGTTCGAATCTGTCAGCGATTTCTGGATCGCATTGATGGACAGTAATGCCAAATCTGGTTCCGCCTCCGCATGATGCACCAAATAGATGTAGACGAGTTTCTTGATTTCGAGGTTGGCACTGGCCACATTCTTGACGACAGCGGAGAAGAAGGTGAGGGCGGGTTCAGACCGGTACATCAACTGTGATAGCGAATTGAGTCAGCCATTGCGATCCCTAGTTCTTTTCCACGTCCCCTTACCGAGATGACCCTCCGCATTCCGTCCAGCACTTCCCGCTCATGGCGACTGTCAAGGAGCTTCTTGATGTGCGCTGGGCTGTATGTTCGCGAATTATAGTCCGTGCTGGACGTCCGGTTTATCGTAGCGGACTGGGCTGCCTCTAACGTGAGCTCTCGAGCTGTGCGCACAGTGACGTTCCACGGTCAGTTCAGGCCAAATATAGCGGATTGCAAACGGAAACCGACATACCTGTCTCCAGCATCGAGGATATCCTGGAAATTGTTTCCATCTTTCCAGTCTCTGAGGGGGCCCAGTCCAAGTTCGTTGGGTGAGTCGGAGAAAGTGGGTGGTGAGGGGAGGAAAGGCGGAGCTGCTCCGCGGAGTGAAAGCTGGTCCAGTGATGATGTCGCGCAACTCTCGTCCGCTTTTAATCTGCACCGTTCTACTACACACCACAACAGACCCGATATTGCTGAGGAACATGGCTCTGTGTGGTTGATAGATCATCAGCTGCAGCGAAAATGATTTATTTCACGTTGGGGACCTTAGAGGGGCAATAGTTTCAAGCTACAATCCAGCTATTCGAAGCAATGGATCCGGGTCCAACGCGCACGATCGCTAGCTGCGATTCGGTGTCCGATCTCCTTCAGCAACTTCTCGATGGAAACTCAGACACACATCTCATTGTCTGTGCTACCAAAGCCGAGTTCCTGGTGCAGCTGACAGCAGCCATTCGCTCACAACGCGCTGATCCAAACGCTGCAACGAGCCATGATCTGCTTACAAAAACTATCGGGCTGCTTGCAAGATCTAGCAAGATACGGCTGGCATTCTGTCCAAGTCTAGAGAGTCTTCGAGCATATCTCGCCATCTTCAACCCTGCTGGTGGAGTGGCCACTGGCAACGGAAGACGCTCCCATGACCAAGAACTTCTTGCTGTACTCAACATGATGGCCTTGCATGTCGCGACTTCGGAGTTCTCAGCACAGGGACTTTCAAGAACACTTGCTTCTGCCGTCGAGGCCGGCTCTAGGGCAGGAATGCACCTTCGGCTTTATGAGTGCTCGAACGCCCTGGACCACTCGAGTGCTGACTGGGGAGAGAAGCTATGGGAGGCGAATGTCCCCTTACTGAATGGGTCGGTTAGAATACGAGGCGACGAAAGCACCTGGGGGAAACGGGGCATCACTTTAAAACGAGTCGCCGAGCGCTGGTTTGAGTTTGACCAGGACTATTGATGCATGGCAAATGTGGGATAGGCTAATTGCTGAAAAGAAACTTGACATTGATAAACAAAACTCCTGTATATGAATCTGTCCTGTCCGGGTATCCTATAGCCGACCGCTGAACTCCTGCTTCGCACATAAATGACAACTGGTTGATCACAGAGACTTCTCCATCTCTGATATGTACAGCTTGATATGTGACTCGAGCTTCAAGTACTGGTCGTGCGCTGCTTGAATCTCGCTCTCAATGTTCTCCTTGAGGTCGGCCATCTAGGAGAAGCGTCAGCAACAGTTTTTTTCTATAATGGAGGGTCAGCCATACCTTCTTCTCTGTCTGTTCAATGCGAATACGTCTCCGCTCCATGTCACGTTGCTTTTCTGCACGCTCCTCACGAAGTTGTTTTTGGACATTCCGGAGTTCCTCCATGCGTGCCTGTGCCAGTTCAGCTTTCTCCTGGGCATTTTTCTGGAGTGTCTGAATTCGTTCGACCCAACGGGCCAGTTGACGTTGCAGGAGCTTCTCAGTCTGCTCTACTTCACGAACACTGTTCCCCCTTTCGGAGATGGCCTCTGTGGTTCTAGCGGCCCGGGACTCCTCCTCTTCCTCTTTTTGCAGTTCGGCAGCAATATCATCGAGCAATTTGACACACCCTTGCACATCGTTGGAAACGACGGTAAAGGTGTCCGAGGAGGTTTGGAGTGCGCGAGCCCGCCTCTCCATCACATCAATAGAGGCTTTCTCGCGCATCAAGTGCTCAGACAATTCAGCCAATGATGTCTGGAGGGTAGCCGGAGACTCGAGCACATAAGGCCGCAGCTTCTCGGCTTCTTGTCGTGAACGGACAGTTCGTTCGGTCTTCTCTTCCAACTGCTGCTGTCGCCGTGCTCTTTCCGTCTTGACTCGATCAAGGGTTTCTGCGACTCGCGACTGCTCGCGACCAAGTTCCAATAAACGTGCCTTGAGTGCATCGTTTCGAGCAACCTTTTCCCTCACATGCGCTTCGTTCGCCTGGAGATCCTGTCGCATCTCCCTCAGCCGCAACTCCATTTCCTGGTTTTCGGCCAGAAGTTCGTCAATGCGCGATTTCGTTTTCTCGGTCTTGTTGAAATGTTCGTCAATCACAGGTGTTTGTGATTCTCGGAATCGAACAAAGTTTATTAGGTAGGAGAAGATTTTGACGAGTCGTTCATGCGTCGGTTTGGTCAGGTCTGTGAAAGTGAAGTCGTTGACACCGCACTGTTTGGGGCCAGAAGAGTTAGCATATTTCTCATAGTTTCGTAACCGATCACGCGCAAATACCTCCGCTAGAAGCTTTCGGAGCATCACGAAGAAACCCATGAGATTGCGGGTATCGTTGGGGACTATATCAGGGTAGTCGCCGCATAGATCTTCCGCAGCAGCATGCATTGCCGGTTCCACAGTCTCCCGCGTCGTGTTCATGAGCAGCTCTGCAAACCATTCGAACACCATCTGGATCTGCTGGGGGTTCGGTTTAGCCAGGTCGGCCAGTGTGAACGGGATACCGATGTCATTAATACATCCTGCGATCTCTTTGTCGGGCTATTTGAGATTAGTAAAGACCAAAAGCGATTGAAAAAACACATTAGCTCACCAGGCGCATCAGGGCGTCATTCTCGTCCTCCTTCTTGCGACCTCGACCATGATGCTGGTTGCCTTGGAATTGCTGGCTCATGCGGTTATTGTAACCCATCGCGACGGAGTTGCGCGACATGACGATGTGACAGCCTGTCGAGCAGGCAAGGGGCTTTGAAAACGAGGAGGGTGGGCTAGTTGTTGTTGACTCGGACTGATTGTTTACTTGGAGACACTCCCGCACACCGCCCGATCAGGGTTAGCGCCTGGAGGGGCACAGGGCAAACAGGACAAACACAGCACTCATGACTCTTTCTCTTCCGTCGATGTAGCTTTGTTCGCATCGTCTTCTCTTCCAACATTCAAACAGCATGGCGACTAACACCTCGGACACGGCTGCGGCCGATGCCAAACCGTTCGAGTAAGTAAAATATACTCCGCTGAAGCCCAAATACCCTTACTTACTGTTCCTTCAAGCATTGTCGCAACCTACAATTCGCTGCTTGATTCCGATCCCGACCTTACTATGCCTATCGCGGCCATTGAAGCCCTGGTCCTTGTTCTCACACACTGTGCCTCCTCAACAATATCAGAGACTCTGGATCTTCTCGCAAAATCTACCGCCGACCTAAAGAAATCTATTCCCAACCCCATCGGTCTCTCCGCCGGAACCGATCTCTTCCAACGATACCTGATTACCCAACTACAACGCCCTGGTCAACTGGGCCCTGCCGGTGACTTCCAGTCCACCCGCACGCATCTCCTGTCCAACGGACGGCTGTTCATTCGACGCGCCAAAGAGAGCCGAGACAAAATCGCATCATTCGGCCGCGGCTTCATTCGCGATGACAGCACAATTCTCACAAACGGTGGTTCTCGGGCTGTTGCTGCGCTATTGAAGAAGGCCGCAGATGATGCTGTGCGATTCCGTGTTATCTACGTCCTGTCCTCCTCTTCTACAGATTGCAATCGCCATAAGGAAGAGCCAGAAGGCATGGCGACAGTACGTGCTCTGAGAGAAAAGGGTGTCCCCGTGGCGACCATCCGCGAGTCCGCGGTGGCATATTCACTTGGCAAGGCCGATATGGTTATTGTGGGTGCAGAGGGTGTGGTGGAGAATGGCGGCGTTGTGTCTCGCATGGGAACGTACCAGATCGGTCTCCTTGCCAAGGCTATCGGCAAGCCTTTCTACGTGGTGGCTGAGAGCCATAAGTTTGTCCGTCTGTATCCTCTCGGCCAGTACGACCTGCCGATTGAGCAGCGAGTGCTTGAGTTCAAGTCCGAGGAGGACCTTGCAGAGGAGGACAAGCAGCAATCTCTGACTGCGGACTCAAATGACCAGACCCCGGCTAAGTTACCTGTCTGTCAGTCAGTTGATTTCACTCCGCCTCACCTGATCTCCGCATTGATCACAGATAGCGGTGTCTTGACGCCCAGTGCTGTCAGTGAGGAGTTGATTAAGATCTGGTTCTAAGGAACCCAATCTCGTCATTGCACTCCCGTGCTTGTCCAAGTCCTCTGCCAAAACCACACCAATGCTTAAGGTAGTGAAACCTGATGCAACACCCGCATCACATGTGCTACCATGTGGAAGATAAAAAAAGACAGTGATGGCCCCTCTTCCCAGCCTTTATCCCAATATGGAGATCTGTCAAACAATCACCGGTTGCAGCATAAGCATAAGCTGCAGGGGCGTCGACAATAATGTCCGTCTCTATTCCTGTCATCTAGCGTCTCGGAGAGAGAGTATGGTTATGGAATCATCTCAATATGGGACATGTTTACCTAGATGAAAGCCCACCAGAACACAAACACCCCCAAAAAATGTGAATCTCAAGTCTTCTAAACGAATGTCCAAATTGTAGCCTTGTCTCCCGTGGTATCAAACGCCGTTTCCCAAAAGCATATGGTCGTGATCATCAATATTTTTCAATCCTCCCTTTGTAATGTCGTAAATGTCGAGCATGACCCGCCAAGTCCATGGACGGTGTAGTCTGTCTCCATGCCTCGCAGAGCCATAACATAGTCCCCCAAGTAAACCAACCATCACATCTCTTCACTCCCAGCCCATCAAAGTCGTAATGACTGTCGTGAATCATGATTTCCCCCGTGCATAAAACCCCCAGATTTGTTTCTGTTTGTCCAAGGCCAAGACACGAGCGTCCAGCGGCCGTTTCCATCCCCATCAATCGCAGCGAAAAGAAAAGCTCATTTGGCAATGCGGTTTGTGACGAGAAACCACTCCTGCGTTTGCATGGCAGCAAAGGCATACAGAAGCAAGTAACCGAGAGCAACGAATATCCACAAGGCCGCCATGTTCAGACAGGTATGTAACGGGAAAGTCGGTGTGGATGAGCGTGATATTTATGTTTGCGCCCAGGTTTGTGATGTGTTTGTGTGATGAGAAAGGCCCGGGACGTGTTGGACTCGACAGGTCTCAGGACGGGAAAGGTTTGACTATTTGCCCGCTTGGCTAGTGGTTTTTCTTCCGTTATGATGAGTCTGACGATGTAATAGTGTAGGTGTTGGTCTATCAGGAGGACGTTCATGGAAGATGCAGCCCTAGAGGTAGAAGAGACTTCTCTCATGCTCTCTGGTCGTTTTAAATGCGACCAGACCGACACTTCCTAGACTTTTTTTGGTATCTTTTTCTCCGGGATTTCCCATCCAATACGAAAGCGAACTGGGGCTGTCTCCCATTTGACAGGGAGTCTCGGTCTACGGAGCGGGGTCCTTGGGATATTTATTACGGGATGTATTTTGCCAGTTAAGAGGTTAGATCTTTTTGACATTTCATAGTGCGATTTCCTGTTCGAGTCTTGATCGTCAGATATAGCGATCGATATTGGGCACCAAGACGGGTGTGATGTGGTTTACTCCGCCAATTAGATCATCAGTTGGGATAGTTTGAGGGTTTTTATGAGGATCTAGTCTGGTTGGTCAATTATTGGTCATTGGTGATTCCATGAAGAATACCTTATTCTTGACTGTATGGATAGTGTGGTGGAGTGAGTCTGGCTAGATCTACAGAACAACCTTGGTTCCAAAGAACCTTGTGATATAAATTGCCTCCACCACTCGATTGTCACGCGTACAGGTCAGCTTGACGAACTCTAAGTACGAGAGGGCCAAGACTCAAGAGTCAGTCGGGACATTGAATCCATGGATGGCTCTAATGCTTGTCACTGTTATTATCGGCAATGACGTTGTTAGCTTACGAGGTTGCGTACGTAGTGAAGATATCCTTCTCTGATCTTTATAGGAAACAACCCCTATCGGCATAGACTGGATGTATCATCAGAAGGGCAGAAATAGATCATTCTCGGCCAGACCAGATTGTATCACTTGATCAACGGGCTACCTTCTCCCCTTCTCCCGTGTGAGCACCCGGAGCTCGCGACCAACCATATCAAGCTCGACAAGCCTGAATACCAAGCTTCGAATACAGATGCATGTCCACCAAATACGCACAGAATTCCGAGCGCCCTACAGTACACTCCAGAAACAAGAACACCTCTCTCCACCAAGAAAGCGAACAAAGACGCAAGTACTAGTATCTCGTCAAGCCCCACAAAACCCAACCCCGCACTCCCAGTCCCTAACTAAACACCCCCAGCAACCTCACTCCAACCCCGAGATTCCCCAAACTGAACGCCCAATCTAACCCTCAAACAAGGCCTGCACGCCGAAGGATTCAACGTCCCACACATCCGGGATCCCACACTGCATTAGCCACTCGGCGTCTCGCCTCCGGCCTCTCCACCATATCTACGCCTTACCCCATCTTTCGCGTGTCAAAGTTCCTCCTAGAAAACCAACACCATGAATGCCCAATCACCATCAACAGACACCCAGCCTGACAACAAACCCCACCTTGACTCCCGGACTCAGGAATCCGGATCCCCTTCGACAGCCGATGGCCACTGCCACAGTGGCTCGTGGTCTCTTAGACGACTTCTGAGCCGCCGCAGCCGCAGATACAGTATGCTGGAGCGGGAGCCGAATCGTTTGCGGAAGCGGATGAGCAATTAAGCTTCCTTTTCACTGTGTTGGCATTGTTGCTTATCCTGATTGACATGTCTCATACTCCCACCGGTTCGTTTCCCGGCGGGAAAATCTGTACTTTGGGGTTAACTTGACCGTTGGATGTTTGTCACATGGAATGCGGGTCTTCTGGCTTTTGGGGGCGTTTGATTAGAATAATCCGGAGGCATTTGGTGTGGAGGGTATTGATATCTATTCGCCGTTTCGATTAATAATGAAATCGATTGCTGTTTGTATAGAGCGTAGGGCGTTAGTGGCTGTGAGCTGGCCTCGGCAATCTTGCGGTAGGGATTGTGGTCGTGGCGAATCCTCAATGGCTACGCCACAGGACTTGGAGAGGAAAATGCGAAATCATTTGGAATCGATTTGAGTCGGAGTATGTGCGATGTACATACAAAAATGTACACGGTGGTAATAACACCCGCTTTGATGGAAGAATTGGAGAATGAGATCAAGAACGAGCGGATACCTAGTATTCCAATCCAAACGCCTCATGTTGAGCTTATGTCTTAGTGAAAACCAAAGTCATAAGGAACCGTCTGCTCCTTGCAGATCTTGTCAGAGACCCCTGCCATCTTCGGTTTTCCTCGAGGGGTACGGTTGTCTTGGCGTTTGGTTGTTCGAATGGCCCTCTCTGAGGTTGACTGGGCCGGGGGTACCTACTAGGGGGAAAGTACTGTACTGTGTAGAAGGGTGTCTAGGTGGAGCAGTTGAAGACGGAGTCAGAGCTGAAACAGTATGGAGTGCTTACGCATATAACAATAGGCAATATAGGAGTTAATATAGCAATCTCATGTACTCCGTACCCTGGGTAGAGTAAGGAGGGGCTTTAGATAGAATAATTACTGAAGGAAGACCTTTGAATCCAGGCCAACCTAACAGCAGGGCAATTAATAGACTGATAATAGGCACCTTGCAACCGTTGGGTTCGGAATTGGATGGATATATTTAGCATCCCCGTACGTCCCTTGTTTAACGAGGATATTGACTAGAACCAAGTCCAGCGATATTTGAATTGCAGGATGCTCGTAGATGACGATAATAGACGGAGACAGCACAATAATATACTGTTAGAAGACAGGGTAATTATTAACCCAGGTAAGACATCCCCATCGACTATTCAGTATTCCCCCTCCATTTTCATATCAAATGTCCACATGGGCAAGTTCACAACTAAATTAGTGTGCAATAGTGCGATTCACTGTGCAGAAACTTTCGGACATGGTCGATCGACCGCATTCCCGCGTGTCGACCCAAACAAACTCGGCTTGGGCTCCACAGGGCGTTTAGCGGCTTGGCTTTGAAGCAGTAGTACGGAAGATGTTGTACAGATCGTTTGGGGAATTGGCTAGTTTGATAATGTTTTTGCATTGAATACAAAATTTACTATGAAAATATGAAGCTGCTATGTACTATGGCAATAGGTAGACGCATTGACTCGATAATATGTTTGTGCATTGACGGTCTGAATGTGGATCTCTTTTCCCCACAGGTCAACTGCCAATTTCCACGGATAAATCTAGAACAGTTATCGTGTGTGACGTACCGGGGTTAAACGAGATTTTGCTGCAGATACAACCTTAGGCCAGGTACCAGGTACCCGTGCGACAGGTGTGAGTACCTCCATATCTGAATATGAGTAACTGTGGGATTGACGCCGTTTAGGCCTGATATCGTCTCTCTCGCGGTAGTGAAAACTCTCTTATTACTCTTCCCACCCCGTAGCCTGGACGAAAGTTCCATTTCATACCTTCCAATCGGAAACGACCCCTCACGTATCTCCTTGAGCATGACCGAGCCGGATGGGGAGTCGTGCTGCAGCAGTTCATTACTACATTCCATGAAGCCAAGTTTCGTCTTCTCATTGCTTCAGGCATCAGAAAACATACCATCATGAGAAACATAGACATCGTAACTTCCGGGCGTCAGTGGTTGATCACTTCGTGGGATAGTTTGCCCGGATCTCGCCTTGACGGTAACTGGTTGCGGTACAACAACCAAACGATGTTGAGCAAGTCGATTGAGTCAACGTGAAGCTCAATTGGCCAAACAGCAGTAACATAGTTAACACCTAACTGAAGTAACTGTAAGCCAAAGGAAGCGCGATCATCACTGACGGTGGCCGATTGTCCTGAGGACCCGAGCATACGGGAATAGTGGGGCGTATCCGCTCACGTGCGGGATATATGACTAAGATTCTGGTAACAAAACACACTTGAAGTGGCGTCAAGTGTGGTCGTTTCAAATTGGCCGTTACCGTGGTGTAGTGTGGGATTGTACTGAGTATCCATGGATGTGAATGTTAACTATACGCAGCAGTTGACGACGATGTCGACTAGAAAAGAAGGAACGACCCTCGGAATGCCAAGACTCATTTTTATTTTATTTTTAGGAAAAACAAAAACAATCTAAAAACAATCTGGGCTCAGTTCGATTCCTTCACATTGATTCTTTTCCATTGGGCACTTTCCATTTATTTGAATCTCAATTTAATTTTTATCGTTTTATTTTGTTTTTTATTTGATTTTTCTCATTCCTTTCTTTTTCCCTTTTTCGACTCTTCCAATTTCTTAGTTCGATTTGCATTTTCCCTTTCTTCCTCTTCTCTCTCCGCTCCCTTGAATTACACTTTCCTCCATATCAAGTTTATCCTTTTCCTTTTCCATTCCCGATCTTATGACGCTTGGGCTTTTGCCACAAAGTCTGACTTTCTACTATCACAACCTCATCTATTCTTTCCACCTTCCCACCCTCCATGAGTTCAGTCAACCCATCTCGCGACCACACTGATAACGATAACTGATCTTGTATCTGGGCTCGTGCCACCCAACCGGCGCCATGGCGATATGGCCCTTTGGTCGCAAAAGCAAACGGCACACCATTCAAGTGACCGGTGCTGAAGCTGCTGATCTCCAGTCATCCTTTGTTAGCCCGACACCCGAGATCCAGCCCACTTTGGGTCGCAAATCATCAACACGCCAAAGCAACCGCAGGCCACGAGCGGAGCCTGCAGATAGTCGACGCAGCTCCGCCCTCGTGCCTTCCACTCGACCTATGTCATCCCTCAGTCACTCTGCTTCCCTCGCCGATCCCTCACAAAACGCCCCGCCACGTGAAAATGTACTTTCGAGAACTGGCTCGCTGTTGAAGCGGAAACCGAGTCAGAATGCTCCGAACAAATTACGACGCAGGCTGAGCAAGCGTAAAGCCAATGAAATTATGCGCGAACGTGAGATTCGGATGCTCTCATCCACCCCCATCGATATCCCCCACCAGCCGAATCCTGGCAGCGGAGATTATGTACTGGAAAGTCGCCGTCGGAAAGGAAATGGGAGACGTGCCGACCGGTACATGTCCGACATCAGTCTCTCCCTCCGAGAGTCGACCTCCTCCAGATCGGATATCTCAGACCCATATACGTACAAGGTCAATGCGTTCGCTGCCTTGACGCCGCGCCCGGTCGTCCGTTATGTAGAAGCCCCTCGCCTGCCGACCGCCAAAGGCAAGAACCCGTCCGCTCGAACTTCACGTCAGGATAGAGAAAAGCTTCAGGTGTTGACGATGTCGGAGGAAGAACTGTACTATTCGAACCGACGTGTCAATGAACTAGCTGATACATTAGATGCCGGTGCTTTGAGAGAATTACTGGATCGAGACCGTCGTCGCCGGGAGAAGAAGCAGATCGATGATCAGGAAAAGCTTCGCCGGAAGTTACAAGAGAGGGCCGACGCTCAGCAGGCAGAAGAGGAACAGAACGCCAAAGCCGCCACAGCATACCGGCCTGAGACTGAGCCCGAAATCGCCCGTGTGGAGCCGTCCATCGTTGAAGTCCCTGAACCCCAGGATGTGATGCAGAAGAAAGAGACGGTTACCCCACAAGTTGATGAATCGACGCCTCTCCCGACTGAGAATGAATCATGGCCCCTCGGACCCTCCAAGGATCGTGAGAATACTGGACGCGAATCCCGGGATAGCTCTCGTGTAATTGGAAATATCGATGACAGCTCTGTTCGCGAGCGGAAATTGAATCAACGTCCTAGCTTCGCCCCATCGACCGACATCACCATGTCCCGAACAACTCTTTCTCCATCCCATTCATCTGTTCGCCATGGGATGAGTAGCCCGACCCAATCACACAGCTACGGACCTGCCTCCACATCGGACCTTTCCCGAGGAGTCGAATCTGAACGTCGGCCTTCCGATACCAGCGGCCGCCGGGGTAACACTATCACGTCTCTATTCCGACGTGGTTCTTCTCGTCTCAAGCGAACATACAGAGAGCGATTCCAGGAACCTACCCCCGAGGCATCTAACGCTTCTCATGAATCCTTCTACAAAATCCAGACCCAATCATCACCCCCTCCATCCTCCATCATTCCTCCTAGGATTCTGATGCCCACTGGAACGTTGAAGCGCTCTCACTCCAAATTCACTGAACATTTCGGCGATGAACCATTGTCACCCCCCGAATCTCGTCTACAGTCACCCGATATCCCGGAGGACGTACCTGAGACCTCTCTTGAGAGGGATGAAACACCTTCCATGCAAGAGCCAGTGTCCACCCCCGGAGTGGACATCAAAAACCCGAACCGACGGCTTCAACATCGGTCATGGAACTCCGATAGCCTCGACGCAGAAACCGATAACGTGCCACTCTCACAATCTCTGGCTTCCATTGATTCGGAAGCATCTTGGATGTCTGGTCAATTCTTCCGTCGGATGTCGCAGAAGCCCAGCAGCCCTGTTAGATCGAACCTGACCTCATTCCGGGACTCGGTGGAGGTCTCGGCTGATGCACCCGAGGAGACCGAGTCAGTAGACGAGTATGGACACCCCGGAAGCAACGTCCCTGGCGAGTCCGAGTTTGAAACGGAACCCACCAACAACCTGGACAGCAAATCTGACGAGAAATGGCACAATGAAGTCGGCCGCCGCCCCGTTTTGGTGAACCCGGTGGTCCGCCCCAAATCCACACAAGGGATGCTTCGAGGGTTCTCCTCTCTGACTCCCATCTCCGCAGAGGAAGATTACATTGTTGAGGAGTCGGCTCCTTCTGAAATGCGGCGGGTTCCAAGCGCTAAAGCCGAGATTGGTTACGCCGAATAGATCGAGTATGGCGATCATCGTCATTCGTCAGCAGTTCAACTGATTCTTGCAATTTACGTTTGTCTCATCGTCCTCTGATGCTGTGATGAGTCGTTGAGCTGGTTCCTGTCCACGCATCGACCATTGCCGTGTCTAGGACGCAGACTGACACTCATTCGACACTTTTTTTTTTTCCTTTGTCATTTCCTTTGTCCAAATATTCCATCACCGGCTACGAGGTTGTTGCTCTGGCCCTTTGTACGATTTTGATATCCCCCAATGCCCTGTGTCCCATTATTGCCCGTGAACTTGCCATTTGCCTTCGATTTGTTGATACCCCACCTCGCCGCATTGTTTGATCGTTACCGTATGCATAAATGATATGCTTTTCTTCCTATTGTTGACTTTCCAAGACAAACGTCTATCATCCAAGCGTTCTTTTCTATTGCACATAGTTGGCGCTTGGTATCTTCCAAGGTCCATTGATGATATCCATAAGTATCAATAAGACTTATCTTTTTCTTTCGAATTCTCATACGCTAGATAGTGGTTTATTTACATTGTCAATGTAACTAGTAAATCTCTAAGGACTTAAATAGCACTTCAATGGGAAGCCAGCACTAGTTTTGATATGATGTCTTGCCGCTACAGGCCACGCCACCTGGAAAGAAAAAGAACAAAACATACTGCCTAATCAAACTCATTTCCAAAATCTTCAGGTTCCCAATATAATATAAGAGTGATTCTGTCTCGTTGATGTGGCTGAGTGCTGAGTGGCCATGCCATGTGGCCATGAGCTCTTGTCCAGACTCCATCTTATTCGTAAGCAGCCGAGGTCGGCAGCACGTCATCTGCGCATTCCCGGCCTCACCTCCTTCTGAACAGCTCCAATATCAAATTCACCCCTGACAAATCGACATCATGCGCCCAGTAAGTCCCCGATCTAACAGGATTACATATCTTCAAAGCCAACCAGATCCCAATCCCTCATTCCTTCTCCCTCCACGACACCTCCAGAGTCTTCTGGAGAGCCCTGCACGATTATTCAGCGTCTTACCTAATCGCTCGTGCTGCGAACGTCATTGCCCTATAAAAACCCAGCGCCCCTCAATTAACCGCCTACCCCTCCAAACCAAAATACTCATATCCACACCAGTTTAAGCCTTCCACCGCCTCCCTTCGCCTCGCTCCCAGAGTTATCAACAGAGCTTCATCGCTACTTAACCGCTCTCCCGTTCAGCGCCCCGCTATCCGGACCTTTTCTTCCACGCCTATCCCGCGCTTCACAAACTCCTCTTTCAAAATGGGTGTCACTGCTATCAAAACGTAAGTGCGCTCCGAAGCTTTCAACATTCCACATATACACCTCGACTGGGCGCTATGCGCTTATCAGATGCACCGGTTACTTTCTTCCCTACCCAATACCGAATTTCAAAGACAGACAGGCAGAAGAGAAGAAAACCAAAGCTAACAATTATCCAGTGCCGAGGAGTACAAGACCAAGGTCACCGAGGCCACCGGTCCCGTCGTCGTCGATTTCCACGCCACCTGGTGCGGTCCTTGCAAGGCCATTGCTCCCGCCCTCGAGAAGATGAGCGAGGCCAACACCAACGTCCAGTTCTACAAGGTCGACGTCGATGAGCTTTCTGAGGTCGCCGCTTCCAACGGTGTCTCTGCTATGCCTACTTTCCACTTCTACAACAATGGCCAGCGCTTGCAGGAGGTTAAGGGTGCCAACCCCCCTGCTATCCAGGCTGGTCTTAAGGCTATCACTGCATAGATTTGATTTGGGATATTGAGATTGACTTAAGATTAATTGAAGTGAATATATACCGTCCATTGGTCTTGGTCGAGTGTAGACAGGACCTCGACTCTGGTAGTACCCGAAAAGCACATGGAGTAAAGAAAGCTGTCTAGGTTGCAGCATTGAAGCATGCTAAATGGTAGATCTTGCTTACCTGCATTGACTATGCAGTTGGGAGTATCCACACTTGCGCTGGGGAGCTATTGTAGATCTATGATGTCCTCAGACATGCCCAGTTTTATCAATACTTTCCCTCCACGGCTTACCATCCACGGCTGATATCGCGGCTTGGGATACGACCTCAGCATCAGACCACGTAATCCGACGGGGTTCTTCAACGCTCATTGTAGTCATTCAAGAATGAAGATAGCACATCTACCTGCCCAAATTGGTATTGGAAGTCCAGCTCCAAAATGGCAAAATCTATCCATAAGGTATCACCCTTGTCCATAAAGCTTGAATACCGACATGGGCACGGTCCATAACTATCTCAATGGGAATCTTGTAGCAGAAGAATGGGAATCGAAATAACAACCAAAGCAGACAGGAGAAGGGAATAGAAGAGAAGAGGAGAAAGGGGAGAAGGGAGATGGAGAGAAGATGAAAAAGTGAAGAACCGAGAGAAGGTCCAGATATTCACACCCAAGGGATACCTACCTGTTTGGGCAGTCAATCAATCTGAAAAGACAGCCACAGACATGAAGATATTTAAAAATGTCTTGTAAGTGCCCAAGAAAGCCCACAGGCAACCCGGTCATACACTTCCAAGCTCATGACCTTCGACTCCTTACAAGTTTTGGGCAGCCCGTTGGAAACACCTTGTGTCGATTGACGCCATGGTATCAGGAGAGAATTGCACACCAGATTGGACGCGCTACGTGTCGCAGTGGGATCATTGGGGCAATTCTTAGGGATATAGCCTTGTCAGTTGGCGGAAGGTTTGTCAGTTGGCTGGAAGCTCGCTAAACACGCGCCACAGTGGGTTTTGGCGGATATTTGCAGATCCCCGCGTTGTCGGGCGGAAAGCTCCCATTTACCGCATTCATTTCTTCACATGTCTCGTTCATGTTACTGAGCATTGGGCGGCTATGGAAATTAACTATATTGGCAGCTGGACTGAGTTGGTGCCTATAGGCCTTCGTATCCCCTCACAAAATCAATAACTGCCTTGTGTCCCCGGTTTCTCTGTCTCGCATATGCCCAAGCCCCGACCGCTTCATTGAAAATGAAAGGCTTGATTGGCAATGGTTTGAGATGGCCGCTATCGATCATGTCGCTTGCCTTGGCCAATCTTTCTGAATTGGGAGAGACAATGAAGTGTACGTAGCGCACGTGAGGGCGGTCGACAGACTCGTTGGCTACGCCCCTTCCGTACGCCCAGGCGGGAGCAGGATCTCCAACAGTGACGATGATTCCGTCTTCCTTCACAGCGCTCCATGCTTGGGTCAGAATGTCCCCGCCGACCGTGTCTAAGACACAATCCACATCAGTTGTTTGGCGATTCCAGTCCGAGGTATTGTAGTCTAGCACCTCTTGCGCGCCAAGATGCTTCAACATATCGTGATGTCGAGATGAACTCAATGCAACCACGTTCGCACCGGCCAGCTGACTGGCAAGCTGAACAGCCATGATTCCAACTGCACCAGAGGCCCCCGTAACGAGCACTCGCATGCCCGGTCTGATGTTGATGTGGGATTCAATTGCCTCCCAGGCCGTGAGAAGCGGTATTGGTAGCGCCGCGGCCTCCTCGTGCGAAAGTGACTCTGGTTTAGGTGCAACTTCTTTGGGAAGACATATCACGTAGTCGGCTTGACCCTGGCCTCTGTCAGCGCTGAGTAGCGCAAAGACATCTTGCCCGATCTTCAGAGGGCCGTGATACTGTGGGCCAGTTGAGAAAACCACACCTGAGATGTCATGCCCAGGAATACGAGTAGCGCAGAGGTATGGTTCAGGCCAGAGTATTTCGTCACCGGTGATCCCGGCAGCGTGAACCCTGATGAGAAGCTCATCGTTTCGAGGTTTGGGAATATCCATGCTAGGATTTATGACAACCCTCGGGGAGGAAGCGTCCCCTTGGATCTGAACGGCTTTCATTTTCGGCCGAATACAGGATTATCTTTTGGTGTGCTGCAGAAGAGATGGCCGGTGCTTGGGAAAGGAGAAAAATGGTCAAAAGCCTGCTTAGGAGACAGCTTACAGAAGACTCAAAATCGCATTATATACCTGAGTTCAACGCAGATGGTGAGTCACCCGGGAACAACCTCGACCTAGGCGCAACAGGCTTGTCTTGTCGGGTAGCCGAATTCCCGGAAAGAACCCGACGTCTGATTCCCGCCGGGCACCGGTTAACGGATACCCCCGACGGACAGCGAAACTCTTTCCGAACGTCTTCCCGAAATGATTGTCCTTGATAGACCTGTTTTGACAAACTCCGGGAACTCGCCCTATACCGATGCCACCTCCTTGACAAAAGTCATAAAATAGCCTATAGGACCATGACAAAACATCCACTGGTATCATGTCTCGACAACTCACCTATGCGGGTATCCGTATATCGGGTATCCGTATGAACCTGATACGGCACACCCACCGACACAATAGTATCCAGTCTGAAGGGGAGCCGGGACGGTTTCCCGCAGTGACAGAGACATGTATGTCCCTCCGTACGGAATATGGGTATATAAGCAGGCATGAACCCGTCTTGCTCAGCATTCCGCATCACTCCCAACATCAGGCCCATACCACAACAACCAGCGAAGCCTTGTGCATAAGTTCGAAAAATGCCTCAGAAAATCGTGATTATCGGTACTGGATTTGCCGGAGTATGGAGCGCACTCTCAGCAAAACGCCTACTCAAGCTCGCGGACAAGGAGAAGGAGATTGAGGTGACCGTCATCTCCCCTGAACCAACCTTGGTCATGCGTCCTCGACTCTATGAATCCAAGGCCTCCACTTTGGTTCATCCTCTCAAGACACTTTTTGATGAAGCACACATCGAGTTCATTCCTGGTCTCGCCGAGGCCATCCATACCGAAGAACGCACTGTCGATGTCAAATATGTTTCCGGTATCGAAATGACCATCCGTTACGACTGCCTCATTCTCGCCGCCGGGAGCTACGTGAATCGTCCCGAAGGTGTGACAGGACTTGAGGAATATGCCTTCGATATCGATTCTCTCGAAGGTGCTACCAAGCTAGAAACACACCTTGAGGGGCTTGGTGCATTCCCCGCGAGCCTAGGTCGTGATACCGTGGTTGTGTGCGGTGCTGGGTTCACAGGCATCGAGATCGCAGCCGAGCTGCCGCGACGACTTGGTCACATTGCTAATGCGCGCGTCATTCTCGTCGGAAATGCGGATGAGGTTGCGCCCGACTTTGGATCTGACCCGCGTCTAGCAATTGCATCAGCATTGACAGACCTCGGCGTCGAGTTCAAGCTCGGGTCAGGAGTTTCGGCCGTTGATTCGGAGGGGGTAACTCTGGCGACTGGAGAGCGTATCGAAACAAAGACAGCGATCTGGACTGCTGGAGTGAGGGCCACGCCCCTGACAGCGCAAATCCCAGGCAGGAAGGATTCTTTGGCGCGTCTCTATGTTGATCAATATCTTCGGGTCTCGTCTGCAAACGATGTCCTTGCCACAGGTGATGCCGCCTGTGCAGTTGCCGACGGTAACAGCCAGTACGCATTAATGAGCTGTCAGCATGCAAACCAACTCGGTCGTGTATCAGGTTACAATGCCGCAGCTATGCTCCTGGGTAAGCCTCTCATGGAATACTCGCAGGCTGAATACAACTGCTGCCTTGATCTCGGGTCTTGGGGTGCGCTGGTTGCCAGTGGCTGGAACAGGGACGGCATCAAGCTTTCGGGGGACATAGCGAAGCGAGTGAAGTCCTATATCAACCAAAAGTTGATATATCCGCCGGACAATATTCAAGAAGCTCTTAGATTGGCTGATCCTGTTACTTTGGATTCTGATAGGTTGTTTGAAGAGCTAGCTCAAGTGGCCGGATGAGTTACAGAATCAAAGCTTTGCATATTCCTAGGAGTCCATGTATGTAAAGCCCCCATTAGCCTCTTCTATGGTGGCCATCTGTAATCTCCAACCTGGAAGTTACACAAATGGGCTTTGGCTCTATCATGGGAGAGAATAACGTGAACTCACCAGCTTGCAAAAGGTGGACATATGTCTGGTCTACCTCAAATGCCAAACCTATCATAGGTCTCCTAGGACACCTCTCAATGGAAGGTTATGGTAGAACATCGTGGTACGACATAACTAAGATCACTCATCATCGAGCACTGTAAGCGGCGCGTACCCCTCCTGCTTTACTACTTCAGTATCTACAACAAACACAGCGATCATGTTAGCATTCTCAGTTTGGCTGCTGTTCTCCGAAACGGTGTGGTGGCAGCCAGGCATCTCCATAAAACTTTCCCCAGCTTGATAGACCCGTGAGTTATCATTCATCACGCTCAGTATGGTTCCTTGGGTCACGAAGGCAACCAGAGTGGCTCCGCCATGCCTATGCGGAGGGGTGAATCCATCAGGTGGATACTCCAAATTGAAGGCAATTATGGACTTCCCGGGTGCATTCGTGAGTTCGTAATCATAGAGTACTTTGACTTCCTCTCGGGGTCGGGGCCTGAAAGATTCAGTTAGTAGATATACGGCAGATATTGTTGGCATAAAGCCTACGTCTTCGATTGAGAGTCTGAAGCCATGTAGTTGAAGTCAAGGATATTCATTTGAATTTGTTCGCTTGGCAATCTGGCCGAGGAAGGGAAATTGGTGAGATGGCTTCAGTCAATTTGTAACCCAAGTCGATGATCGCACTTTAAACCGGGATTTCGGGGAGCAGGGAATTTGGAGCGCGGACTAAGGCACGAAGTGGTTGGCAGTTGCCCTCCAACTATGATTTGCGCGGCCTTGGAAAATTACTCTTCTCTGTTGTAGCATATAATCCATGGCTCGTGGCTCATACCTACTACCCGTCCATACCACAGCGTTCAAGATGGTCACAGTGCTAACGGGATAGAAAGCACCCAGGTGCGGAGATTACAACTGTTCTTGGATTATGAGATTGGTCGTTGGTATAGTAGACAACGAAACAATAGAGAACATCAGAGACACATGACGCGAATGCTTTGAGAAAAGACCAAGCTACCAACAGGACATATTGGGTTTAGGAATGTCTTCCAGTGCCAGTATGACCGGTGAGATACCCACTGATCATAAAGGCGGCGGAATATTTTGTTCTGTCGTCTGCTGTATGAACTGACCACAGAAGACTCGCACCTCTGGATCATGAACAGGCAGACCATCGATCTGACAGAGAAGCCGGCAGATCTTGTCACTATATACATCGGAGGCATCAAGACAAGAATAATAGACAAGGTGATGCTATGGTGCGTCAAGAAAAGAATAAGAGACAGTTGCTATGGATCATCGCTCCGACCCACAAGTTTTTGGTCAATCCGGCTTAGTACCGTAGTACATCTTTCTGCGCGGACAGCGTAACAATATGAATGGCGATCTTGTAGCAGCAACCAAAGCAGACAGAAGAAGGGAATAGAAAAGGAGAAGAAGGGAAGGGGGAGAAGAGAAGAGGAGAGGAGGAAGGGGAGAAGGGAGATGGAGAGAAGAAGAGAAAAGTCAAGAACTGAGAGAAGTTCAGATATTTATATCGAAGAGCTACCTGCCTGTTTGGGCAGTCAATAAATCTGAAAAGGCAGCCACAACCATGAAGACATTTACATGCCTTGTGACTTCCGAAGACAGACCTCAGGCAACCCGGTCATACACCTCCAAGCCATGAGCCTCAAATTCTTACAAGCTTTGGGCAGCCCGCTCGAAACACCTTGTTCCAATTGACACCATGATACCACGGTGACACGCTTCCTCTCGATTCTTCCTTGCCATTTGGATATCGTCGAAACACCCAGTGAATAGAGATAAGACTGACATGATTCCTACAGGTTTCCCGTCACCGAGTGAACGCTAGACCCACTGTCTCATGTTTGATGAATGAGTGGAATGAGTGATCCTAATCCCCAGTGATCTCTACTGCATGCAATTTCTCCGCCTTGAGGCTTTCACCGAGGCATCTGCATGCTTGCGGCTCCGCCTTGTGCCCGCCCGGTCTGCACCCTGGACATACTCACCCTATTCTCACATCAACAGATATTTGTTTCTGGGGGTTTCGGGACATTTGGCATATACGAAGAGGTCCAGTGGTATAGGACCCTTACCGGAATGGATTGAAGATGGAGCCTCTGACTTCAATCCAAAATTCTGGAGATTGGTTGGGAAGAGACCACGGGGCTATTGTTCGCACTGAACTGCCCGTAGAAGTTGCAAGGCCGCAGGAGAATAGCCCGATGCCTCGGCTGTCAGCAAAGAGCAATAGGATACTACATTAGCAGCCGAATTGGCTTGAAATGTTGAACGGGGAGCCGAAGATTGCTGATGATAGCGCAAAAGGTGGTATAGTTCATTAAGAGAAAATCAGTACAAAGATCACGAGGTATTGATCGCCGTACCTAGACACCGCTGAGTTCGAAATGGATGGGATTAAGCAGTTTGTGAATCGACTTTCCAAAATCGATGCCCATTGTCATAGACTTAAACACCAGATCCAGTGGGAGTGTTGGGACAATTCGTAGGGATAGCCTTGCCAGTTGGCGGGAAGCTCGCCAGTTGACGGGAGCTCGCCACGCGTCTGGAAGTTACTGGAACTCGGCATCAAAGTGGATACTGTCAACGAGAGAGAATATTGTCATTGATATTGTATTTAGAAACGGACTATACCAGAAGGAAGTGCCCGAGCTGACCAGTCACTCATATTGCTCCCAGGATAGTCTCCCCTTTTCTCGCACTGATACCCCTTGTGAGAGCAGCATTAGTGCAAAGATAGAATTCTTTTTATCATCCTGGGCTATGAGGCTGCACATTACCAGAGACACCTTGGGAAGCTGTTTACCGACCCAGAGACACTCTTCGTCCGGTTTTCCAATGCGTCAAAGAGCTGGTTGATGTTCCTCTCCTCAGTTGGGGATGGGATTGTGAGATGGAACGAAGAACCCTAGAGTGCAAGAGAAGTCCACCAAACTCGTGGCATTCCAGTCATACCAGGCCACTCACAGCAATGCATGGTACAGGAATTGCAGGGAGCTTGCCCAAAGATTCCTGGACCGTTATGCGCACCAACCAATGTTGAGACCGAGGTCAAGTGCAATGCTCTTGATACCATGTATTGCTGTGAGTGGGCTGGTAAGACTGGAATGCCACGAGTTTGATGTAATTTTCTCGCACTCTAGGGTTTTTCGTTCCATCTCACAATCCCATCCCCAACTGAGGAGAGGAACATCAACCAGCTCTTTGACGCATTGGAAAACCGGACGAAGAGTGTCTCTGGGTCGGTAAACAGCTTCCCAAGGTGTCTCTGGTAATGTGCAGCCTCATAGCCCAGGATGATAAAAAGAATTCTATCTTTGCACTAATGCTGCTCTCACAAGGGGTATCAGTGCGAGAAAAGGGGAGACTATCCTGGGAGCAGTATGAGTGACTGGTCAGCTCGGGCACTTCCTTCTGGTATAGTCCGTTTCTAAATACAATATCAATGACAATATTCTCTCTCGTTGACAGTATCCACTTTGATGCCGAGTTCCAGTAACTTCCAGACGCGTGGCGAGCATATGTGAACTCGTCAATGACCACGCGACTAAACCTGAAGGCGTGCAAAAATGCCCCCCTAACCGTCTGGCAGTCTTGATTGTGACCTTTCGGTATATTGACTTCTGTGTGGTCATCCCTAACGGCCTTCAGCTTGGTACGCCTTTTCTTCTCCAGAGTGGACGAGGTGGTCTTTCGCCGTTTCTCAGGTGGACGTTCCTTCGCACACCCTGTGGGCTCCGACGTCCCCTGTGCGTGAGATGGTTTCGGTTCCCATCCCTCATTGGGGGAGGCCATGAACTGGCCTATCGACTTGCTTCCCGATGTTCTTGCGTCGCTGCGTCCTCGCATTCTCACCTATGGCTATAATGCCAACGTCACTGTGTTCAATGATGGAGCTTCGCGGGATTCAGTGGTTAGCCATGCTGAGACCCTCGCATCCAATCTCGCGGCGAATCGAAATGTAAGTGTGGCCTTTCGTCTGTTTACTTTGACCTTCTTCTTCGATGTCCGCTGGTAACAAGCTTAATGACTAACATTACTCCGGTTATATAGCTTCGAGACTGCTCGGACCGGTCAATCATCTTCATCTGCCACTCGTGACGAGAAGGCGCCATGGCCCGAACCATGAGCAACAATAACGCCGTAACAGTGCAGTGCCCTTGGTTCTTGGCATACTCTGGGCTTCCTCTTTGCTTCGTCTGCAACGGCTAGTTGCATCCTCGCTTCGTTGTCCAGCTCTGTCGTCATTCTCGTCAAGTGGGGATAACACATACATGTCCTCCGTGAGATGAGGTGGCATGTGATCACGTAAAGAGAACGTGCCGACATCCCTCGGAGAGGAGTTGACCCGACGAGGGAGCACAAACGCCGCGCACCAGATGGAACTACTCTCCATTCCTGAGGATCCTGTGAGAACTGTATTCGGGGATTCTTCGAATTCCTTCTTTTACATCGGATACCAAGCAAGCTTCGCGCAAAAGTCAAGCGGCAAGTCACGCAACTCTTGATTAAAGAATCTGGCGACCACCCCCATCACCCGCGGCCTGACCAGCGTGGGTCGAGGGCTCGAGGCCTAGTTGATGATGGCTCTGAGGATGAGTTGTTATCCCAGGCTATTGAGCGTTGTCGTGACGGGAAAGCGAAGACCAGTGAGCGGGATTTGATCAGTGTTCTTGTTCGTTTGAGAGATCGTGAAGGTCGGGATATCTTGTGCAGCCAGATAGCAAGAATCAGTATCATTATTCTCATTCAGATTGATCTTTTCGATGTTGTAGGTATCCATTCTTTCACAGCCCCGCTATTGCCATACCTCGACTTAAACACCAGATCTAGTGGGATTATTGGGACAATTCGTAGGGATGGGCTTGCCAGTTGGCGGAAGGCTTGGCAGTTGACGGGAAGCTCGCTAACCACGTGTCTGGAACTCGGCATAAAGTGGATACAGTTAACGGGACAGAATATTGTCATTGGTATGTTATTTAGAAAGGTGCTAATACACATGTCCCGCAAGAGCAACCACGGGGAGCACTGAATAAGACAAAGATTGCCTCTCAGTTGGCTGACTATGTCGCGGTACAACATACAAGACCCAACGCCGGGCCTGCGGCATGGAGAGAGACAAATCACCGAAGTGACACCTGAGGCGTGTACCGGTAAGCGTTAACTATTGCCCGTAGAACTATTGTAGTGGGAGAACTACACCACCTCCAAGGATTATGTCTCAGGCCACGTGCTACGTTCACCGCCCATTCGCCTTAAGAGGGGGCAAAGCACAGACATACACACATCCAACACACATCTCTTGCCTCTTTCTCAGTCTTTCAGTATGATTCACATCAGCTCTCAGTAGGTCTTAGGACGTCCCCTGCTACTGTCTCCTGGGCTGCAGTCCTCCCATCATCCTGTCTGCGATGTCAGACCGCCCTCGCGAAACCTGACTTCGAGGTCCAACATCTTGCCCATGCGCACAGTTGGTTCAGGGTCGCATCGATGGCGTGGCCATCATCTCGGCCACCATCTCGAGCAGCCCCCAAATGGGGTCTCACAACAACCTACCAATTGGGGCTGGGTGGGAAAGACCTCAAGGATTGGAACAAGATTCTGTAATGTAAGTACCGGGCCATCGTGCGACAAGGACCCAACTCCATCTGTGGGATCTCCATACTTACTCCTTCTTCCCCATAGTATGAACCATGTTCATGAGCGCCCTTCGTTCGCGGTCGCATCGATGGCGTAGCCAACATGTCGGATAGCTGATCCTGCCCCAGTTGTCGAGGCGACCGCGAAGCCCAAGGGCAAGAGAGGACGCAAGGCCCTCAAGCCTATTGGAGACAAGATTGTTGAAAATGGTTGACATGTGGACTGGATACATGGCCATTGATGCTCTCGTCAGGGAGGTGGAGGCACTCGGCCGTCAACTTCCCACCCATCACCGGCGCAAGGAAGTGATGAAGAATGTTCACAGGCAAACCTCTCGGACCGAAGCCAGAATAGACTCGCTGATTAGCGAAGCGGTAACATTCTGGCATCGGGACCCGGAAGGACCAACAGACGGCTCTACAGGGAGAGCGGGGGAACGGAGCGGGCGTTGAGTGTGTGGGGATCCAGTTCTCCTTCCCAACCTGGGTGATCACACTGCACATTATATGTGACTCCTTGGAAGGCATCTTCCTTGACAAGATGCGCCTCGCTCCCCCAGTTCCGACGAACTCCCAAACCCTCCACGCGGCACCAAGCGTCGCCACAGTGCGAACCTGCTGAATCCTCCTCGTCGGCTGCCACTCACCAGAGACGCGAGGTGATCGAGACTATTGACGCTGAAAGAAAAAGAGATGAAGAAGTGGGGTGTTGGTACCTTTGGAAAGAAAGGTGATCTTGACATTACCGCCATCACGCCTCCAAGACAGATGCCATTGCGCTTTCCATCGGGACGACAACATGCGAATCTTCCCCCGGTGCGCCTCTTCCTCCCGGGACAGTGCCCATGACGTTTGGGCTGGCTAGTCGAGAGCGTTGTGGATCCTCTATCACAAGTATGGGATCCCCAGCAGGCACGGGCGCGCGCTGCGAACACTGGCTCCATCTCGCCTTCTGACGGCCATTCGAGTGCTCGGAACGGCCATACGAACTGCCACGCCAAACCCAGTCGGAGGACTTCATGCGCTACGCTGGCGGCGCCGGCTTCATGAGCTAGGCTCATCTGCGATGTAAGTATGTCTGCTCCCATTCAACCCAGATGCAAAGCAAACTGTGTGATCAGACGACTGACCCCTTTGCTCTCCATAGAAATGCATCGAGTTGCAGTTGCCCGGCATATAATTGGGGCTGACCGGTGTTCTTTGAATGTGCTGCGGCGAACTTGCGCCGCAACAGCACCAACCTAATGGTGCTATGAATACGGCAAGGACATGCACTCCGAAGGGGTGATGGGTACCCTATCCGCGTCTGAACCAGAAGGATGTGCCCGAGCTGATCAGTCACGTATATTGCTCTCAGGATAGTCTCCTCTAGGCTTTTCTTGCACGTGAGATGCTTTCGGTTCCATCCCTCATTGAGGGAACCACGGATGAGAAAACGCCATGGTCTGCACCATGAGCAGCAACAACGCCATGACGGTGCAGTGCCCTTGGTTCTTGGCATACTCTGAGGTTCCTCTTTGCTTCGTCTGCAACGGCTAGTTGCATCCTCGCTTGACCGTCTGGCTCTGTCGTCATTCTCGTCATTCGTCAAGTGGGGATAACACATGTCCTTCTGGACATGCAATGGCATGTGGTCACGAACCAGGAGAACCTGAACTCTGAAGCTGAAATTGCTTTGCTTCGAGCAATCCTTTCGTGTTCTCTTGGTGCGATGGTGTCCTTTACACCTACCATCGCACCCTGAGTGTATGTTGCGGAGCTGCAAGAAAAGGGATTCAGCGAATCAGGGGGTTGTGTGGGGCCACCCCTCCGGGAGAAGAGTTGATCCGACGAGGGTGGAGCACAAACGCCAGGCACCAGATCGAACTCTCCATTCCCGAATCGTGCGAAAATTGTATTCGGGAACTCCTCGAATTCCTTCTTTTACCTCGGATACCAAGCAAGCTTCGCGCAGAAGTCATGCGGCGAGTCACGCAACTCCCGCTTAAAGGATCTATTGACCACACCGATCACCCGCCGCCTAACCGGCGTGGGTCGAGGCTAGTTTGCAGCTAGATAGCAAGAATCAGTATCATGAATTCATTATTTTCATTCAGATTGATCTTCTAGATTGGACAACCTTTATTTCTACTGTTCTCCTGTATCAGTCCACAGCCCGCTTTCGTTGTTGTATCCATTCTTTCACAGCCCCGGTTTTGGCTGTCATAGTACGTAGCCTAGATTTATGGTGACACTAAGCAGTTATTACTGACGAGTAAGTAGTGATTTGTGCCCGTGGTGAAGCTTGAGTTCCTTTAAAACCCTGCTGTATCCTGTGATGTAGGGGTAGGTTGTTTTTCTTCGGTCCGCTTACCTCTCGAGGAATTGTCCAGTCCTAGACTCCTGATAACATGGCATTGAAGAAAGATCCCGAGAGGACACTTCGTCGCCTCGCAGCTCGGTGACTGGTTCATCAGAGCGGGATGAGACCTATGAGTTCTATCAACAGCACCAAGGTATCGAGTACACACGGCAGGAAGCCAAGAGCGTTTTGCGCAAGATTGATATTCGTTTGATCCCATTGTTGTTCTTGATCTATCTCTCCAGGTGAGAACTGTAGCTTACAGCATGACATACTACCTATCTGGATTTTCTTCACTGTCGGGCAGCTTCTAATTTTCATCCACCGAGTAAGCGACAATACGCCCTTGCACAGTTAAAGGGTAACCTAGGTCTGATCTATACCAAACATGATAACGCGGCTCAACGTCTAACTACCCCAGAAGCCACAGTGAACCCGTAGGCTGTCGTCAAACCGGAAAATTCTCCAACCTACTATAAACATTGTTATGTCTCACATGCATCGCAGAAGATTAACCGTGACAGCATTTGACAGTTCGTGCCAGGCTGCCAGCCCTCGAGGCGCTTCCGTCACCTGCATGGAAGATGTATCAGACCAATATTCCCAGGACCCTTCGGTCGAACGTGTCCAGCATGAGAAGCGTGCCGAAACAGCCTAAAGCTAGCGGCGAAAATTGGGCAACGAGTCATCAAACGCCAAGACTGTCAGATGATGGACCGTCCAGCCGACGACGCTACGATCTAAGTGGCTTCGGTAGTTGCCAAGTCAGACCGATCAGAATGATTGCAGATGTTTGCCTTTTCTTTAGGCCTGTTCCGTGTGATGTGCGGAGTACGTGACTACGTGTGATGCATCGGCGAAGAAGGCCGTTCGTGTTGGCAGAAACCAGGTGGCTGATGTGACTGATCGCCGGAGGGGTAGAAGTTGCATATGCGAACGGCTCTGTGGCCCAACGAACACTTTGCCGTCCTTCGGAACACTAGATACATACTTCCGTCAATCCGTGTATGTTCTTTGGGAGAAAGAGTTCTGAATGATGTGTGGTGTGGACAGCTGAATTCGCCTGTTGGCTCGATTTCATTTGCCTACGAGGCTACGACCCATCGAAATGAGAAACTCACCATTGTTGTGGATGAGATACTCCATACAATCAAAATGATCAGAGGATAGTTACAAAATCCCAAGTTTTAACAATCCAACAATGACATTGTCCGCCATCAAAGCACTCAAGGGAGGAAGTTTATTCAAGACAGAATTGTGATGCAGGTCTTCGGGTGGTCAACCCTCTGATACGCTGATACGCCCTAGGGCCTAGGGCCCTAGCAAGCCGACGTCTTCCCCCCACAGTTCTTAGCCCAGTTCGATCCGATCTAGATCTCGAAAGACGAATCGCCATTACAAGCTTACAGTGTATTCGCACGACATTCCGACTAACTGGGGCTCTGAGAACTCCCAGTGTTTACACGAATCATCGACACGATATTAGATGTGGCCTTGTTTCACTATCGGTATTGACTTTCCAGAGGCTTTTGCCTTCTTGACGAAATTCTGGTGCAGCCGCGATGTGATACTGATGCCACGCGAAATGCGGGCTCCCGGCTCGAGAGTCTCTTGCAGACCAATGCACGGTTTGCGCTTTCGGTGGCGCTCGGCGCTCACTTCGTCTAGATCCGACTGGGCCTGCTGCCGCCTGCATCGTGGTCTTACACGTCAACTCATTCGTTGATTATCTTGAATTCGGAGAATTTTGCAGTGCCGCGGAGCTCTAATAAGTGGCTTGCAGGGGGTTATAAGATGTTATAAGATGTTCACAGCGGGCCTATATTCACTGACTTGGACTCTGTCTTAACAGACGATCATCTCTCTATGTCGGCAAGTCTATATTGACATAGTCCTCGTCGACTACTGCATTGCTCTCCAATTACACCGTGCAGAGCAATCGCGCCCGATGCGCAAGTAACACCATCACGGCTACATTACTCGTACCTTCAAGATGCCGATGGTGTCGAACAATGATTTCCAAGATCAGCCGCTGGTGCGGGTCAGATACCTTGCAGGGTATATAGTCCTCTCCTATGTGATCAGCACAATGGGATGCGCAACCACACTGGAACTGCTCCATCGGCGGACGTCGAGGTCCGGTCTATACAACTGGTAAAGCCCCATATCCCCACCGATCCCGACGTAGGCTAATCCAAACCAGGTACCTCCTCCTCACCTCGTCAATTACAATGGGCGGCATCGGAATCTGGTGCATGCACTTCATCGGCAACCGCGCCATCGTCCTCGGCGAAGGTGAGGCAGAAATACAAGCCATGTACAACGTCGCCTTCACGGGCACCTCATTCGTGCTTCCCGTACTGGTCCTGTTATTTGCCTTCTATGCCGTAGGTGTCGAAGAGAAAGCGGGCTATCTTCGCATCTTCATTGGCGGCCTGCTCACTGGTAGCTCTGTCTGCGGTATGCACTATGTCGGCCAATTGGGAATCTCGAACTATCGGTGCTCCTATCACGTCGCCAATGTCATTGGCTCGGCGATTATTGCTATTGTCTCGAGTACTGCTGCACTGGGGATTTTCTTCCGCTGGAGAGAGACTTGGACTGATAGCTGGTGGAGACGGGGACTGTGTGCCTGTCTGCTGGCTGGTGCTGTTTCGGGCATGCATTGGACTGCCGCTGTCGGGACGGTATATCGGGATCATGATCACAGGGTCATGGTTGGGAGCCAGTTGTCGAAGAGCCAGGTTGTGATCATCTGTGCTGTCTTTGTATGTTTCAGGGTTTCTCTGTGGCCGGGAGTTGTGTGTACTGACAACTATCTAGGCCTGTGTCGCATGTTTGATCTTGTCGGTGTGTGCTATTTTGGCTGGACGCGATCGCCGGAAGTCGACAGTTCGTGCCCATCAGCTTGTTCTTGCTTGTGCATACTTTGATCCCACTGGGCGGGTCATGGTTACACCTCAGGCTATGCTTCCTACGAGGAAAATTGTCGATCATTATATCGGACGGGTATGTTTTCTCAGCATTATTATATGCTGGATGCTTTGACTAACGGACTACGAACTAGACCTTCCGAGATGACGACTTTACTCGTACCCACCCGACATTCTTGTGGGCTTTCAGGGCAACTCGCAATTGGCCACTAGTTAAAGACCTGGTCCCCTTTATGCGGAACCGTCTTGACTCCGAGGAGAGCGCCATCGAGAAACATATGCTATCACGAGGAGTGTTCATGGACAAGGACACTGAGCTGCGAACTGACTTTGACACCTTGTTCAAGCAACTCTTCTGTGTCACAGCTCAGGAGCTCTCAGATGAACTGCGGCTACCTCTTCAGGACCTAGGTACCCTATACGACGATGTTCTCTCCACAGCTATACCCATCTCGCGACTCTCCTGGCAAATAGGCCGCTCATCCCTCCGCACAGGCAAGGGCCAGTTGATGTTCACCGTCCGCCAGCTAAACAAGGAAGAAGCAGCACGGCTGAGATCCCATGGCTTCCGCTTCGCGACCATCGAACATGTCACAGGCATGCTCTCACGTCGCATCCACGTCCCCGAAGCAAGCCTATCCACTTCACTGCGCGACATGCGCAACTACGCAAACTCGAACCGCGGCTTCGACGAAGGGGTCCACCTAATCACCTTCGTGATGCGCCCAACAATCCACGACCACTTCGAGATCCTCACCACAAAAGGCGTCGGCAACCCCCTCCCCTCCTCAACCCTCCCAATCAAGCAACTCCAAGCCCACCACCTCGAACTCCTCTCCTACATGGACGGTTGGACCATGGACTCCTGCCTCCGCTACCTCCAATCCCCCGCCGCCTCCCAAACCTTCCCCAATCTCTCCGACTTCGGCGCAAAACTCACCAAATCAATCGTCTCCCTCTGCGAATCAATGCCATCAGACATGCGCGCTGCAGCCCAACTCTCCGCCCGCCCCTTAACAGCCCCATGTCGCAGCAACCCCTCAAACCCCGAAACAACAGGAAACACCTGCACCCTCTTCAGCTTCTGCATAGTCGGCACCCTAGACACCCTAGTCCCCCACTCAGACTACACTTTCACCCCCTTCCGCCTCTTCCGCGTCCAGCAACAGATAAACGAAGCCCTCGCTGACCGCGACGATTTCGCCCGCGAGCTGGGACAGGAACTCTTCTGCACAGACGTGCGGTCTGGCTCAAATGCCAGCGATAGCGACTTCGCCTCGTCGGCCAAGATGGCCCTTTTAAGGCTGTGGCCTTCGAGGAAGAGTGCGCGCACTTCGCATGACTCGCGCGGATCCAGTGAGTCGTTGGTTCAGCCTTCCATGTCATTGGGGGATATCACGGTGCGGAAGGAGGTGAGGGTTGATTTTACGCATCTGCGTGAGAGCTCGGTGGATAAGGGGGATGATAAAGTTAAGCTTACTACTATTGCTGTAGGCGGGGATATGGTGCCGACGACTTATGTTGATGAATTGTATGCTCTTTGTCAGGCGCCGGGGATGAGGTTGAGGGCTGATGCTTCTTTGCATGTTTCTCATGGATCGGGGGGTTGATCTCTGATTATGTTTGAGTGGTTTTGGGCTGGTCCTGATGGTTGGCGTAAGGGAAGCGGGGCTCATGGTCTTGTCTAAGGATATCTGGACATGGAAGGGACTTAGGAGGTATGTATATATACGATTTTGAGTAGTACTGCGTACATAAAAAGATAGGTATTAGTACAAATGGATTGATGAATTTTGAATGTTATTTTGAAGATGCAGTAATGCATAGCATAGCTGCCCAGATGTCATTCACAAAGAGACAAGTACCTGCTGTCCACAAGATGACCTGGTAGAAGGCCAATAGCAGAGCATCGTCATATTCATCGAAGAAAGAAAGTCGCTAAACACCACATGCAAGAGATGTCAAGTACTCCATGTAGCACGCCGGCCAAGTATGAGCCAAACAAATGCAAAAAACCAAGAAGGACAAGCCATGTATTGGCCATTGACCATTATACCAACTCCATGACCAAATAACCAAAAGAATCCCCAGAAAATAACCCCAAAATCACAAATCACGTAGCATTCGGATCTTCCCGCTCCAAGAAAGTAGGATCAACCTCAATGCGCCTCTCAAACTTCGCCCACCAATCATGGAAGCTCTTAAGCGGCACGACATCCTGCCCCTTATCCGACGAAGCAAAGCTAGCCAGGAAATTGAACGCATTGCCAATGATACGCTGCGCCAGCACCTTCGTCGAGACTTGTCTCTGCGCAGCATTCTGCGGCACCAGCGCCATAGACATCTGATTCGAAGGCTTAGCCGCCTCCAGCGCAGCAAGCTGCGGCGCAATGTTCTGCGCTTCTTCAATCGAGATACCCAGCGTCAAAACGCCCGTTGCTGCACCGGCGCCCTCGTCGAGCATATCATCTTCCTCCTCGGCTTCGGAGCGTCGTTGTGTCGATGTTGCAGGACGCACTTTGAAGATCCCTGAGGGATTGTCGTTTGCCAGGGCGCCGATGAAGCGGAAGTCTGAGGGTTGGCCGGTTGTTGGGTCCGGGAGTTGGGCGTAGATTGCGGCGCCGGTGGTTGGCGGGAGGGTTGTACCGGGGAGGAAGAAGACTACTATCTCGCTGAAGGGGGTGGTGAGTGGGATTGTGAAGGCGAATTTGGTGGCTTGGCCGTTTGGTTGGCTGTCTACTGCGATGATGTCTGTTATGCACGGGCGGCCGGGGACCACGACGGAGAACATGGTGGATGGGATGTGTGGTGTGTGTGTGTGTGTGTAATATTGGGGTAGCTGGAGCTGAGGAATAGCTTAGGGTATCTGGGATTTGAGATTGGAGTGATGAGCTGCGAGTATTTCTTTGAAGCGAATTTCTTTAAGCTTCTAGAAGCTCTTTGGCGCGTTTTTTGATGATGAAAGTGACATAAGAGGGGGGTGCCCTTATCGCGGAGATAAGGGTTTGGGCTTGTACCGCTTGGCTAACCTCTACAAGGTCATAACATACAACGATTGAGATAGTGTATACCAAGGCATCATGGGAAAATCAAATCTAGACCTGGTCAGCGAATGTGACAAGTAAAGTTATTCCACACGTTTGCTCTCAATTCGCCCTCTTACACCCCGCAGCTTCCCCTACTACGAGGACGACCGCAACGCATACACAGAGAACCTGAACAACTACCATGCATTTAAAGTCTCAGGGTACAACTGCACGCTGGGATACATTCTCAACGAAGTCGTCGAGAAATTCCCCTGGTCCGACAACTGCTGGACCATCGACTCAGCCGCCCGCACCGTGACACTAGTGACACCCCCGGACGCCAACCCCGCAGTCCGCAGCAAGCTGGTCGCCGAGGACATCGCCAAAGCAGTAAAGCAAGACAAGTTCGAAATTTTGAAAGGCTGGCGCAACGAGAAATACCCCGTCTACGGCCCCGGCGGCGAGTTTCTGCTCGAGATGGAACGCGCCGCATCCCCGCTCTTCGGCATCGTCTCCTACGGCGCCCACCTCACAGGCTACGTGCACGACGTAACCGGTCTCAAGATCTGGGTACCGCGCCGCGCGAAGAACAAGCAGACATACCCGAGCTTGTTGGACAACACCGTCGCCGGTGGGATGTGCACGGGCGAGAGACCGTTCGAGTGTATTGTCCGTGAGGCGATGGAGGAGGCGTCGCTGCCCGAGTCTGTCGTGCGCGCTGCGACGGTGTCTAGAGGCTGTGTTACGTACTCGCATGTGCGGGATGCGCGGGCCGGCGGGGAGACGGGTCTTATCCAGCCGGAGGTTGAATATGTCTATGACTTGCAGCTTGATCCTGGGGTTATTCCGAAGCCTGGGGATAATGAGGTTGAGGAGTTCAAGTTGTTGTCCATTCCGGAGGTGCAGCAGGCGCTTGCGCGGGGAGAGTTCAAGCCCAACTGTGCGAATATTATGATTGATTTCTTTGTGAGGCATGGGCTTTTGACACCGGAAAATGAGCCGGACTTCTTGCAGATTGTGGCCAGGTTGCATCGTCGTTTGGAATACCCGACTGCTTCGCATTGTGCGAGGTAGTGCATTTTGAGTACATACACTGCACATAATGTCTATCACATTGAAGTTTGAGATGCGGTCACTTGTTCAACAACATTACATCGATATAGTGCCAAAGAGCCCTATAGAACCATGCTCTTATTGGTCAAGATTCATATCATCCATTCCATGAGAATCATATTAGATGATAATCTATTGGTATTCCCAAATCAAAATGCAAAGAACGCCTGCGCTGCACCCCATAAGAACGATATCAACATCGGTCCGGCTTAAATACACTGACTTTTGCCCCATTCGGCTCGTCGAGATAAATCCAAGATCAATCACATCCTGTGCCAAGGTCATAAGCAAAAAAGAGAATCCCGACATGCGACAAGCTTATTTCTTAAGAAGCAGGTAAACATGATCGATTCTCAACGGAGCAAGCTTCTTGTAAGGGCCCTCGAGGTAGAGGAGCAGACCTCCAAAGGACACAAACACGGCCCTAGAATTGAAAACATTAGTTTCCGCAAGATCAATTTGTCCAAAGAGCATCCGGGATGAAACTCACATGGTATCTTTGGTGGAACCCTCCTCAAAGCGGTAGACCTTTCCGTGGCAGACGTAATCATAATCATCTGCCAGGGACTGTTCACCCATGCTGACCTCCCTCCAGCTGGCGCGAGTGTCCTCCTTTCCATCGAGTGACAGAGTCGAGGCCAGGGCGAGGGAGAGCGAATCGCCGACTGCACACGGGTACAGCTCGGTGTTCACATCCAAGGTAAAGGTGAGGGAGGCATCGTTGGATTGGCAAGTAAGGCGGGAAACGCGGTCATACTTCTGGGCGTTGATCGAGGTGACCGTGAAGGTGTCTTCGAAGAGTAGAGGGTCGGACATGGCGAAGATTGCGACCACTGGCTTGTCGGTCTATGGACTGGTAAGGGGTATCGCGCAGATTACGTGCAGGATATCGCGAGTCGTCGTAGGGTCAAAAAGCTTGCAATGACGGGTTCGCGGAGGAGTGAAGAGGAGAGTTGGAGTCGGTGGAGAGATGATCGGAGAACTGAAGCTTTTTTTTTCTGCCGCTTTTGGTCCCGCCGATAACGATTTCGTTTGGTTGACATCAGCTTCTAGTTCATAGCTCTACCTGCTTCCTTTGTTTTCTTTTTACGATGTCTTTTCGCAAGCGAAACATTGGTCTTTCTCCCGGTGTTGACCGCAACGCTGTTCCCAATGCTACCGCTCAGCCCGTGCCAGAGAGCACGCCGGGCATCCGCCCCTCCCCCGATGATGGACGGCCAACAACCTCAACGGGGACTCGATCTCTAGATAATCTTCTTGCGGGTCATGCGGGCCTTCCAATGGGAAAACTACTGTTGATTGAGGAGAATGGAACTACAGATTTTGCGGGCGCATTGCTCCGTTACTATGCGGCAGAGGGCGTGGTTCAAGAGCAGAAGGTTCATGTTATTGGAGTACCAGAGCAATGGGGCCGAAGTTTGCCTGGCCTGATTGGTTCAGCAGAATCTTTAGATGAGAAGAGATCTGACAGACGCAAAGATGATCGCATGAAAATTGCATGGCGATACGAGCGACTGGGCGAGTTTGGAGCAGTCGCTGGTTCGCGCGGTGGTGAGCATTGACACAAAATACAGCTTGAGCTTCGACATGCTGATCTATGAAGCCCCTACTACCCCCGGAGAACAGGACGCAGCAGCAAAAGAAGCGCCCGCTTTTTGTCACGCCTTCGATCTCACGAAACGTCTCACACACCCATCTATCACCAACATGTCTTTCATCCCAATTGTGCCCTCGAAAGACTCGCCATTCCCCGCTATTCTCAAACGACTCGAAACTGCAATCACATCCAGCGCAGCCGACACCATTCACCGTATTGTCATTCCTTCTCTGCTCAACCCCACAATGTACCCGCCTGATGCCTGCCAACCCGCGAATGTGCTCCAGTTCTTCCATGCCCTTAAAGCGCTGATGAGTGCGCACACCACCCGTGTGACCGCAATGATCACTATGCCTCTGTCTCTGTATCCCCGCTCATCAGGTTTGGTTCGCTGGATCGAGTTGCTTAGTGACGGTGTCCTTGAGCTTTGTCCCTTTCCACACTCCGCGGATGCCATGGCTACCTCGGGAGCGGCGACCTCACAGGAAGAACCACCCCAGGGTATGCTCAAGACCCATAGACTCCCAGTGTTGCATGAGCGTGGCGGTGGAAGCGATCAGAATGTTGGACAAGACTGGGCGTTTATCTTGAGTCGTCGGCGGTTCGAGATCAAGCCGTTCAGTCTACCACCGGCTGAGGGGGACACTGAGGCGCAAGATGCGTCGGCTGCAGGCGGAATGCCCAAGAAATCGGATCTCGACTTCTGAGGCGTGTGTAATCAATCCCCAATACTCAATCGTCCTCTTCGAATTGTCGACGGGTCCCTGGTTCTGCTAGCATATCGTCCAGCTCGATTTGCTCGGACATGGCAGGGCCAGAATTGGCCATTGTCCGGAGATAATTCGCCCCATAAGAATCCCACCCTGGTCGGACAGATCGGAGGCGATTTCCCAGGCAGGATGAAGCTGCAAGCCATGCTATACGGGGTCAGTAATGCGGTAGTGATGGGTAGCCTTTCCGGCAAATGATGCCCATTACTGACCGACAAAAAGTAGCAGCGGCGCGAAGAATACCAGGAACATCAGCAGCAGGGAACCCATGATGTGCACGTATGAATAGAGATAGACTATCTAAGGAATGTCCCGAGGTCAATGAGGTTGATAAACAGAAGTCAGCAGTTCGCTTGCCAAGAGGACTATACCTAAAGGGGACTAGTGCCAAAGCTGAGCTTTTCCCTTTTCTTCCACTTTTTTTTGCTTCTTCTTCTTCTCTTCTGCAACTCCGACTTTGCTGGTCAATTACAACGGCACTCTTGTCTTTAATGATGTTCACGACAATTTACTAATTTCCTTATGGTAAGCTTCACCTCTATCCCTTCCATCCCTACTTCGCATGATTATTCAAAATACAAATCTGTCAATCCCCTGAAGCTCTTTGATACGTCAATTAGCGCTTGCTGAGAAACGTACTGGAAAATGATTCGCGAATTCCATATACACATTGCTGGCATCTGCATTTTTGCACATTGGACAAATGCTAACTGCCATTGCCACAGAATCATTGAAAATCTCTACAAAGCTCAAATCAGAAAAAACAAACAAAATGGATTTCCAACCAGACCTTCCTGTTCCGATCTCCTATGTATCCGGTAGATACTTGTTGTTCTCAATTGATGTCGTGACCTACCTGCGACGTGAGCATCATATCTGTGGTGTCCTCATCGGAACGCTGCCCCAGATCCCTCAGCAGAATGTCTTCCTGGGTCTTCCATTGGAGCTGATGCCCGAGGAGGCACGGCTGTTGGTGGACAAGGGTGTAGCTTGCATTGTAGATGAAACCAAGGCACACGATGGCATGAACACCCTCTTAGAGGAGGACCGCAGACGGTACCTCCGCGATCTCGAATCCCAGGGCCTGCATGTCTCCCGTATCCAAACGGATCGCAAAGAGCGGCTACGGGAACAAACGATGAAGAAATTAGAAGAAAAAGGAGCCAAGAAGAAGGCCAATGCTAGTGCCGCTGCCGCCCAGACATCCGCTGTCCCCGAGGATCCCACGTCTACCCCTCCGCAGTCACAAAAAGACGCTTCTACCGTCAATCTCTTCGCTGCAGACGAATCCCAATCGTCTTCCCCCGCCATCGAAGTCTCGAAGAACACAACCCCACAAGCCCCAGTGGCTATCACGCCTGCAACCTCTTACCCACCTCTTCCCACACCTTCGCCGTCAAGCTACCTCTCAGCACCCACAGTACCACCTTCATATCCTCTTTTCGCTCACCTTCACTCCAAAGGCTACTTCCTCTCTCCTGGGCTGCGCTTCGGATGCCAGTATATGGCCTATCCGGGTGACCCGCTACGCTTCCACTCACACTTCCTGGTGGTCTCCTACGAATGGGATCAGAATATCGACTTGATGGACCTTATTGTCGGGGGCAGACTGGGCACTGGTGTGAAGAAGGGGTTCTTGATTGGTGGAGCACAAAAGGGGATCGATGATGTTGATTCGGAAGCTGATCGTATCGACACCGTGCGGGCTTTCAGTCTTGAATGGGCTGGAATGTGAGGAGTGCAGGAGATGAAGGTTCTCACAGACCTTCATTCATTTCATTACCCAGTCCTAAGCTTATGGCTTTGATGCGCCTTTGGGATGGATACATGGCTCATACTCCACGCTATTCCGTCGTTCTCGTGGACCGGTTGCACCAATGTCCACGGAATTCGGCGCCGTGGTCTCTTGAAAGGAGAGGATCATCGCCAGTCAATATAGATACGGATGATACCATGGTGCCTTTGACCGCGCCTTACAATGGTAGTCTACCATGAGAGCGTATCTACACATTAGGGCCCTCAACCTTGCCTTCTGGCAACTTGGGCCGGGCCAGAAAGGGCGAACAAACGTATTGACAAGGTATTGACAAGGGCCAACCTGCCTCTACTTGGTCAATACATTGCCCGACTCAGCATCGCATCACGTTTGGCTACGATACCAGATGCAGAATACCTCAATCCAATAAACATTCACACGTCGTACCCGAGTCTTTACTTTTGAACATCGTAGATTGCTCTATGTTTCGTGGTAATAGTTTCAGGCTGTTGAGAGGCTGTATTCTTCCAATAATGTTGTGTCATGAGCCAGTTGAGGGACCACGTGATGCCTTCAGGCAACGGATGAACATGCCTCAAACAGCATCTTTGTTCCCGTGGATCTTCCCATTCGGCGATCGAATGTATCAATCGACGTAGGAGATTGCATAGGTTCTCGAAATGCGGCGACGTGTGCTATTTGCGTTGTGTATCATCATCCCATACCGACATTCTGTCTAGTAGGCTTGATTGACAAGAAGAGTGCCTATACCGGCGTGCCTTCAAGAACTCTGTGCACGAGACTGGATTGCCAAAACTCGACGAAGCCCGCATATGTGTCAGCCTCCTCAGCAGTGAGATCGCAGGTCAAATGCCGCTTGACAATCCTGGACACTATCGGCGATGAATTGATCAAAAACCAGACAGAAAGACCAAATCCCTCATACATAGTCGATATTCCTCCACTTAAACTTCTTATTAGCCCTATCCACCGGCCGGTTCTCAAACTGATTCCCATGCAGCTCGAAAGCCAACGGCTTATAACCACTGTTATCAGCCCCTTCCACCTGATCCTTGCCATCCCCCTCCGACCCCAGAACAGGCACTACAAAGCGAAAGATAGTATGCTCCTTCGGTATAGCTGTCAAAGACCCAAGTCAGCAATCATCCTCAAAGAAAATCACCCTTAAACAACACCAAAACTCACTCTTAACCTCATCCCGCTCCGTAACAACAACAAACGTAAACTTCGTATCCCGCACCACAATCCCCTTAACCCCAACCCTCCCAGCACACCGACTCCTAACAACCTCAACCTCAGCCCCATGATAGTCAGCACTGACCAGCTTGCTCCCATGCGAAACCGGCGAGATATGTGCCCCACCCTTCACATCCAGGATCTCATGCATATACCCAACCCACAGCTCATGCAGACCCTTGAAGATGGCGTATTTGCATTCTTCCTTGGGTAGATCGTACAGTCCTGACTCGCGCTTCTGCCGCGCGGATAACGGCCGTGGCTTCTGGTGTCGGATGAAGTATTCTTTCTTGCGGAGGCGGTGGAGGCGCCGGCGGGAGCGGTTGTCGGATGCTGTGGGGGATGTTGCGCGCAGGAAGAGAGGTTTTTGTTTGATGCGCTCCGTGAATTGTTGGGTTGCGCTGTCGGGGGAGTGGGCGCGGGAGAGGAGGGTGTGTGCGATGTGGGATTTTTGGGGTGGGGTGGAGGTCATTTTGAGGGTATTGCTCCGTCGTAAGGGCTTGGCCTTGGTTTTGACCTGGTTTGGAGGTGGACAATGGGTGTTGGGGGTTATGAGTGAATTGGATGTTGGGCTGCTGAAGTCGAAAAATTGTTTGATGTCACTTGCGTGAGTTGCGATAAGAGTATCGGTAGGCGCACCGGTGCTCCACTTTTTAACGCTAAGCTATATCTGGGCGTCACCTGATTCCCAGATGTATCTGTTGTCAACAATTGTAGGAGGGATAGTGTTGATTATCCTTCTAAATTGATACTCAACAATATCTATGAGCTTTCGAGAAACTAGAACTTGAAGAGGCGGGGCGGACGTTCTGTTACATAGCTTCATACCTAGTGACCTAGTGACATATACACCGGATTTTAGACCGAGCGAGATGGCTTTCCCTTTCCGCTTTAGTGCTCACCGCAGTGACATTATGTCTGATACCAGCCCCCCCGCGCTCCCTCGGGAGCTCTGGGGCTGCATTGCGTCACGTCTACCCAATGCCGACATAAAATCTTTGCGTCTGACATGCAAGCAATTCAACAATACAGTGCCTCTTCGACTCAATCGGGTTTTCTTATCCGCCAACCCCCTCAACATAGAGGTCTTCTGTAACATTGCTTCACACGACAAGTTCCGCCATCAGGTCAACGAGATTATCTGGGATGAGGCGCGCTTGCATCGGGGTCCAGCACGAACAGATGAAACTAATGAGGGACATGAATTGCTCCCGGACGAGGATGAACCCGATAATGACAGAGAATGGGCTGCGGAATACCACCCGGAATACAGAGAGGACATCATTGAGCGCCATAAGTATGAAGAGGGAGATAGGTGTCCGAAATGGTTCAAAAGGGGTTGTGAAGAAACCCTTTGCGTTCTAAAATGCCGGGAAGATCGTGATGTCGACAGGCCCGACCTTATCGTGCGCAGAGAACAGATTCTCGCTCACCCTTCGCTAAGGGAGCACTGGCAACATTATCAGCAGTTGCTGCGTCAACAGAAGGATGTTCTTGCCAGTCAGAGCGATTTGGAAGCGTTTGCGTTCGGCGTTAAGCAGTTTCCTGCCCTCAAGAGAGTTACCATCACACCTGCAGCTCACGGCAACCTCATCACCCCGCTTTACGAGACCCCTATGATTCGTGCTTTTCCGAAAGGGTTTAACTACCCCATTCCTCGTGGTTGGCTGTACCCGAGAGCCATTATGGATCCCGCTCTTGCATATTCGTGGAATCAATACCCAGAACTTAGAGATCGGTACCGCGGGTTCCGCACGGCGATGTGTGTCCTCGCCAACAAACCCAACTTTGTTTCTGAGCTGGTGATGGCTTCTAACTCTGTCCCTACGGGGATCAACTGCACAATTTTCGACGAGCCATGCGAAGAGTACAATCATTTCGCTACGGTGCTTAAGAATCCGGGCTTCCGCCGTCTGGATATTGCCTTGCTTGTCAGTGGTGAAAATGAGGAAGACCTCGAAGCATGCTCGCGATCACTGTGTAATGGGCGTCTGCGCCGGGCACTCGGTGAAGCAAAAGACATGGAAGAGTTCAGGCTGCATGCCCCATTTGATGAAAACCTCGACTATGACGACGTATATCCACTGATCCCATTACGGAGCATTGTGCCTCTGGAACAATGGTCGAAACTGCGTCATTTCGAACTCTCCGGCTTCGTTATCTCACAGAACGATTGTGTCTCTTTCCTCAAGACGCTACCAAACTCCGTTCGCTCCATTGAACTTAGTCTGCTGCACTTCCTCGATGGGAACTGGTATACTATGCTGGAAGAAATCAGGCGAATGGTATCGGAGAGCACGTCATGGGGAGACCGGGATGCGGGATCAAGGCCCAAAATTACCATCGGCGTGCCAATCGTGGAGGGGAGCCCTACATATGGACACGGCATATGGGTTGAAAAGGAGGTAGAGGGTTTCATCTACGGTGAAGGAGGAAATCCCTTTAAGGAACGTTATCCCCGTAAAATCCACCTTGGAGTTGGCGTGATGAGGGATGCATTGGAGCCCGATTTTGAACGGCCACATGACCGATGGGTACTTTGATACAACTGAATATTTGTTTACGGGAGTATATACTCCGTAGGTTGAATGGTTCAATGGAATGAAGAAGCAGAGAAATTCTGGCTAGTACCTTAGGTACATATAACTACCTATAGAGGACGCCTGCCATGCCGCTCCGCCCATGCCCGTTTCCATCAAGATACCGTAGTGATGCAGTAGGTATTTTGAGAGAATCGGTATTTGGCCTCGCTCTGCATTTTTGAAGGGGAAAATGAAATTCAAATCTCGAGTACCGTCCTCCCTCGAATACCGCATCACTAAGTTGGAGAACATATTGCAAAATAAACGCCCGGCTTTTAGACATTCCCTCGGCTGTTGGCTGCTTCCCCGCATACCTTAATGGCTATATGATCATCGTTGACCAGGGGTCCTACACTTGCAACCCTTTCATGGATTAGGATTTATTTGGATTGTGATACATCATCTACCTGCTTAAACCAAGATGCAGTCTCACAGCAACCAGAAGGATACACTTAGTAACTTCCCGGGAATTCCACCCTTCCCCGATGATGTCCCTACAGCACCACTTCTTCGACTGTCGTCGGGAAAGCTGCTAGCAAGTGACCCGGCAGAGTATGAACGACTGTTCCAAGCCTGCACCGACCTCGGGTTCTTTTATCTCGACTTATCGGACTCGCAGCAAGGCATGTCACTTCTCGATGACGCAGACAACCTTTTCAAAGTCGGCGAGCGGCTCTTTGAGCTGAGTCTGGAAGAGAAGAAGAAGTATGATTTCAGTGCGCAGAAGTCGTACTTCGGGTATAAGGCACAGGGAGCTGCGCTAGTTGACAAGCAGGGAAACCTGGACCGAAATGAGTTCTACAACGTAGGTCTGCACTAAACATAGCTATACCCCACGTCTAACATCACCATATCCAGGTTTCCAAAGATGACATTCTAGGCGTCAGCGATCCTCTTCCAGCCCCGGAGCTCCTAACCCAAAGCAGAGCCGAGCTGGGCTCATTCATGCGGGGATCACACGCAATCGTAACCCTGATACTGAACATCCTGAATGACCAACTTGCCCTACCGAAAGACACACTATCCAACCTGCACCGACGACAGGCCGTAAGTGGTGATATGGTCCGGTTCGTCAAAGCACCCCCACAACCAGCGGACGATAGGCGTACCGCGCTGGGCCAACACACAGACTTTGGAAGCGTCACGGTCCTCTTCAACAGACTTGGAGGACTGCAAGTGCTTCCGCCAGGCGAGGATGCCGAATGGCTCTACGTGAGACCGCTTCCCGGCCATGCCATTGTGAACCTTGGTGATGCAATGGTCAAGTTTACCAACGGGCTGTTTCGATCAAATATCCATCGGGTTGAGTCGCCGCCGGGACTCCAGGCGGAGTCGACGCGATACAGTCTCGTGTATTTTGCTAGACCGGAGGATAGCGTGTTACTCCGTCGGTTGGAAGGGTCTGAGCAGATTCCGGCTATGGAGGATGGTCAGACGGAGGAGGAGATCAATAGCAAGGATTGGATTATTCGGCGGGCTTTGGGTCGTCGTCCGGACCTTGTGAGTGAGATCGATTTTGAGAAATCTGCTGGGACGGAGCAGATCAGTCGCAGGATTAAGGTCTAGCACTTTTGCTTTGGGATTTTTAAAATTCATTGAGTAAGGGAAGGACCTTGGATTCGACCGACCGTTTGGGGGTTTGATGTCCGCGCAAGTTATCGAGCAGCATATGGAGAAAGGAAGAATAAGGGGCATCGCTATCTCTGGGGTTGATCTTTTGTTCTGTTTACTGTTTAGCCTTGGACTAGTCGTCTGCTTTCAGTGCTTTGAGGCCAAGATGGCCGATCTTCAAATACCGGAGACAGCTTCCGTTGGAAATGAGATTGAAAGGACCATACAAACACGGCTCCACTCCGTAGACTTCGAGGTACGGAGTACACGGAGCGAGCTAACGGAACTACTCAGTCCACTTCCAGCCCACACAATATAGACTACGGAGTACTATTCCCGGGAAAAGGGTCAAGATGCTCTCAATCAGCCACAATACCATACGATGGGAATAAAGCTAAATCGACATAAGAAAATGATATCCTGCAAACAGGCAGTTGAGATCTGACAATTTGACAGCCTCGATTGTTCAACCCCACTTTCTAGTAAAGACGGGCTGTCCGGAGAATCTGAACTGATCCCCTCGGTCCAGCCTCCTTACTTTTTTGATGCTATGTCTCGGATCCGCGGACAGCAGAGATTGATTACCTTTGCATTTCTTGTAATAAGTAATAACGCTATGCAAATCCCGAATAGCATAAAATGGCATAGAATGCACGTAGAAGTGCCAACATGGTCGTTGACGTGCCAAGGTCCAGATGGAGTAGGCAGATCTAACTACATTGATCTGGCTACATACTTCGTACCACAAGTACGCAAAGCACATGTTAAGCCAGGCTGGCACTGAGCGACCTAGGCAAGTGTTTAAAACGACGTGGCAGGGGTTTCTAACTGTCGCTGTAAATACACATCGAAGGAAACCCGGTAAATTGCCCGATCATCAAGTACAATGACTCTTTTGACTTCATATGCTACAGCGGTCATTCTGCACCCGCAGATCCTCCAGACCAGCTACCGCGGTTTCGTCCGTCCTGTACGGAGTACAAAGTAACGAAGAAAGGAAAAAAAAAAGAAAGAAAAGAGAAAACCAAAACCACTCAATTAGGTTAGCTGACCGTTGAGACCCATAAGTCCTGTCACCAGCCACCATTATTAGAACAAAAACAGACAGCACCCATCCCCCTGGTCCCGGGATGTACGCCCCCCGTGCATACACAGTGCTCCTGCTACGAGAACCTTGAACGAAGCACCAGCGCTAAGGTAGGTACTTTTGACACGTTGTCAATCTACATACCTTCGCTGCAGATCGTGTCTAGACCCGGGATTTGGATTAAGATTTATTGAGACGCCGAGTCCCAAGGCCCTGGGTTGTGGTCGTTACCCGTGCAATGGGTTTGACAGCGGATATCCCTTGCATCCACTGGGCTTGACCGAGCTTGACCTGGGTGTTTTCGACAATGTGTGATCAATCTATGGGCATAATACAATATGCAAATAGAGTCTAGACAGGCATTTTAGCGGGACGAACTCGGGTTTTGCAAGGATAAGCGACAGGGTTCGTAGACAGGGTTTGGTTTGCAGGTACTTTTGTTCAGCCGGAAAAGCAACGAAGACGTGTACGGAGAACGATACCTGGTCACTAACCTAAGCCGAGCTATTTTCAAACGGGCGATAGAGAGGACGCCAACACAGCTGGATCGACTGGATAAGCCCATTGATCAATCAGTAATAGACGAGATACGAGAGAATCTTCCATCTTGACTCTGCGGAAGTTTCCCGATTAATAAACCCCGAACTCTATCTCCCTCTCCCTCTCCAGTAAATCACCCCAATAGACAGTGAGCGAGGGCAATCGAGATCCCAGCGGTTATGGGTATCTAATCCAGGCCAATAAGCGTCTGTTCCTACGTATTCGGCCCTCCTGCCCCGCTATGCATTGCCTGACCGACAGTGGCTTGACATTGACGTGCTTAGCTACTATTAGTGTATTATCATGGAAAGCGATCCCCGAAAACAGAATTTCAAGTGCACAATCTACCGATAGTCTACGATAGTCCTCATGCTGATCTCAAACCCCTTCTCAACTGGACCCACGGGTCCAGTCCACTCTGAACTGGAAAACGGCTCGGACCGTCCATACGGAACCAGAACCAGACGGGTCGAATTCCCACCTTCCGTTTTCTACTGTACTTTTCACTTCCGCCTTAAGTCTCGATAACGGAAGTGTGGACCCAGGCGCCATCGTCATAGATTCATGAAGCACAAGCTACGTCTTCATCCTCGGTCGATATTCACTTGGAACGATAGAGTTGAGTCGGAAATGATTCCGCGGGAATCCTTGCACCCGTCTGGCTCGGTGGCGTTATGTCGCGCACTTCGTGTTTCGAAGCCCGAGGACACAGAGCTCGATATAGTGTTTGGATACGTATGCTGGAACTTAAAAGGATGAGAGATGAGAGCCGGAGGGCGGCCATGTGGTCAGAAACTTACACAGAGCCACGTTGTTGAGGAGACTCATGCGCACATGTGTCGATAAAGTATACACAACGTTACCCCCCACATTGAGAAATGATGTTCTAGAAATTTTCGAATGGGCTGGACTAGGTCCACTTGAACTAGGGTTGAGCGCCGTTGTGGATGTGGAGGGATTGGAGTGGACTAGTATAATGTATTCATGGATTGTTCTGGTTTGAAAGTTGACAGCGGAAGTATGCTTGTTTGCCGGGTGTATGCTCAGCTTTTTGTCTGCAATTGCGCCACCCAGGCGTGTACTTGTACATCTACGCACCTACTTCCCCTCGGACGTATGCAATCAGCGGAGGCTTTCGGGCGTTACGGAATATATACATCATCAGGTTCCATCATGGTGGAGGCGCATGTGCAGGGGTGCGTAACTTGAATGTGTCGAAAGAGGCGTTGCTGGTTCAGTGCAGGTTGCCGAATTTCAGAGCGGAGGCAGGACAAATAAGGCAATTTCGTTTCATTGCACAGAACTTTTCGAGGTACGTGTATGTACCGTATATCTGGATGATGGCTGGGTTATATGAAACGGAAAACAAACTGTAATATCGGACAGGAATTGTGAGGGATATGATCGCAGAAAATTAGAATCATTCGTATATCATTAAGGATTGGTTGCAAAGATCAACTCTGAGAAACCTAAGCGCAAGCTCCTGCTTCGGTGACTGGGTTTGGAGCGCGTGCTTGTGATATGGCCAGACCTGCTAGCCTGTCTTCGAGGATTTTGACAACCTCAGGATCCGGTTCTGGTTTGACTTTGTGGGATCTGTAAGATCGAGTCAGTAAAAAAGCCCACTCCGAGTCACAAAGATACACATCAAACATACGGAATTCGTATACTCGCAAAACACCTCTTCTGACCACATTCACGGCAAACGGGCTCCGGCCCACCCTGATACCAAGTTTCACAGACATGACAGACATAATGAACCCTGCGACGAGGTTTCTTGAACGTACGGTCAGGTCTCGCTCTAGGCGGATCTGCATCACCGGGATACCCATCTGGATATTTATCCAGTTTCGCTGGGTCCCGCGGACACTTCTTGCAACAAACGTGGCTGCAAGCAGGACAAGACTTCTGGTCTGGGGTAAAGGCTGAGTCGCAGAGGTGACAGAAGCGATGGATACGTTGGCGCACTGGCTTGTAAACGTGGTCCTGGCCGTACATGTATGACGGCATCTTCAGTGGCAAGTTGATGTCGCCATAAATCTTGAGGTATGGCGCTCTGGGTAGCATTCGGGGCTGAGGGATGCTGATCTCTGGGGCTTTCGACTTGCGGGTTGATGGGTCGCCTTCGGTAGTGCGGGCGGCTGGGTGGCGGGGACATTTTGTGCAGCGGGTGTGCTGGCAGTTGATGCAGAGTTTGTCTGCTCCGAAGGTTGTCTCGCAGCGGTGGCAGGTGCGACGAACTCGCATGCGGATTGGTTTTGCTACTCGCTTTAGTTGGTGGTCGGGCGGGGATCCCCAGACGGCTGGGTCGAGAGTCAGGCCGTATTTGGCGAAGAGAGCTCGCGCTTTGTCATTTTGTGTGAAGCTATAGTTGGTAATCGTGACTGGCTGGGAAACGCTGAACCCTTGCGCTTGTGCTGTAGCTGGAGTTGGAGCCTCTGTGGGTTCTTGTGATGCTGCTTGTGCTGGTGTTGGAATTGGTGGGCTGCATTGAGAGAAGGTTAGAATTGTAGGTGCTAATTGAGGGACCAGTGGGATATATCGTACGTTCCAGGTGGAGCAGTAACCTGAGGAGTGAGAGAATGTCGCTTAGACCCTGACCGAGGACGAAAGACGTTCCTCATGCGCTCGAAGTATTTAGAGAGGCCCTCGGGCCTTTCACGGCCATCCCGTGGTGACATGTTCAGACGAAAGTGAGGTCAGAATGTAATGATGCTTTTGCGGATATTAGTTGATGTGCCAAAAATCCCAGTGTCCAATGTGGACTCAGAAGTTGACAGGCGACAGGGAAGGGAAGCCAACGTTATTATAGAAAGAAGATAGGAAGGTAGAGTCTATGAAATATTCCAATTTCATTATTTCATTTAATTCAAGGTTTCTGAATTACTAAGTTACTGTGTTACCTGCATACAGTTTTCTATTTTCTAATTGACAGGAGTATATCTCCGGAAGAACCATGTGATACATCCACTAGAAGTATCTCTGCGTATTAAGAACTGCAGGGAGGTACCGACACTCAGGTACCGGTTCCTACATGGACCGTGCTCAGTACAATAATCTAAGACCCATTTGGCCCCATTTATTCTCTCCGATCAACATCCTCCACTTTTCTCTCCCGGGAATTGCATTGGCCTCGGAACCTAGTTAGCCTTCAGGAGCTTCCTCCCCCATAATTGACTAACCCAACCCATATCCGAGAATAGCGTGCCCCTCTCAAATGGATCTCGCAATGGAGTCTTCTGCGTGACCTCATTGGCTCTGCTCTTCTCCTAGCTTTCCTTCACGGGGCGTTACTTGTCAGTTGAACGGTTGGCAGACAAAGTACCGGCATACGTGATACCTATGATAGGCATATGTACATCAGCCAGATGGTCGGCCGATAATATGACGTACAAAGCCTGGTCTCAATGGGAAACCCAAGCACAGGGGTACAGGCGTGACATCTGGTACCGACGGAGTCGCCCTTGATCGGACATCGATGGAGCCTGGACATCGTGCGGAAGTACCCGCTCTACTGGCTGCCAAGCACAGCCACTTGGATCTATCGGTGGGAGCGGAGCGGATGGGGAATTCATAGTCAACGGGGGTACTAGATTGCCGTTCTTTTAGGGGGTTGCGCCAACGCTTCTAATTTATGACGGTCGATCAGGAGGGTTCGTGATTTCGATTTGAAACCGGGATTTGAACCCCCGTGGAGATCATGACCTCGTATCTTCTCGGCTTGCACTTCCCTCGTTTGCTTCATGAATCATGGCATTGCTGGTCTGTGTGTACCCTGTCGTGCATCGTACGATGTACAGGGGGTCGTTAATTGGTATGTCCCACAATGGGAATAGTCTGTAAGTATGTACCTCGGCATAATTGATTAACTCGTTATTTCATATTCAAATATTCAATCATCTTTTTCGATCATATGTTTGCAGTTCTACACAGTAGTTCTTTTATGTGTGATGACAAATTCATAGGAAATCCCGACAATCAGATGGGTCCACGGCACTGGGACTGTGAAGAACCTGCAGAATCCCTGTATGAGGGACTTTCGAAGGATGGCAAAAGGCGTGGGACTTTTGACAGCTGCACGGGCATCGCTCGCCGACCAGTGATGGTCGGTCGTGCATGATGCATAGCACGAGGAGTCCGAAAACAGGAAATCCGTATATAATATTCGCCCAAAGCACGGAGAACTCAATCGAAATGCCATATAAATCGACGCGAGATTAGCGCGGCCATACTCCGGTACTTGAGAAAATCTACGAACCAAACTGCCGTGAAAAAGACAAAGGTGAGAGCAATAAACTGACTTTAACCCGTTGAGACGCTACTGCAGCTACTGGAGACTAAGACTCTCCCACTGTTGATCATCCCAATTTTGAATTTTACCCTCGTCTAACGGCCTCTTATTCTTAAGCCTTGTTAAATACACTATGTATGTCACTCTAGACCCTGCAAAATCAAATTGTGGGAATGCAGAACGGTCTGGAAAGGACAAGGGTCACCAGTTATGAACTAGAGGGAAATGTCCAGTCTCAATTGATTCAACATGGAGCCAATTTCAGACTCGACCCGGCTTCCTGGACAGAAGAAAAAGCAAAACTACAGTATGTACTCTGTAATGAACTGGTTCGTACCGAAAGTCAGTGGTCAGTGGTCAGTCAGGAACAATTTTCCTTAGGGGCTAAGAGACTCCAGCGCTTCCTGGGGTTTCCTGGTCTCGAAGCCTGATCGCTGGGTCTAAGTGGGTCTACACGCATTGTGGACCCAGAAACCAACTACCATTGGTCTATCTGAAATGGAGGCGGGCGGTCGGACCGCTGGTCCCAGAACCGTGGAAGCGTGCTTGCGAGCCCACGGGTAGATTTGACACTGGACACCATAGATCGATCTGACATTTGACCTTGAAAATGAGATTACCTTTCGTTGAGAGCTTTTCTATTCAAAATCTATCATGTATGTTGTACTTTCCTCTGGATTGGATCGATCGATTGATGTCCCATACACTACACTCAATCCTTCCGAGGGCAAGGTACTTGTGAATGTCCGTCTGGTTTGTACAGAAGTATGCTGTATACCACGCACGATACAATAATGTATGCCAGTATGGAGTAGCGACATTGTCTTCTGTACATCGTACTCTGCACCGAGCACCCACATACTGTACGTCAATGTAAACTCGAGATCAGGACTATACCCAATTTATGCACCAATCAGCTATTACTACCTATACTCCGTAAGCTATAGCAGTGGACTTGAACCAATTCATACCTCCAACATTCATGTCCCTACATCTTCTAAACCAAACTAAGACACGTCGTTGCTATCTTGCCTCCTGACATCGCATCAGCCAGAAGCCATGCATACACACTCGACCCAGCGCAATGGTCCACAAAGCCACACACGGACGGCAAGCCTCTTCGCCACCACCATCCCAAATACCAGACAACAAGTGCCGGAATCCCGCCCCCATTTCTACCGTTCTGTTGGGTTTTCAGAAGTGGACTACAGTCCTTGGTATTCTTGGTATTGCCATCTTGCATACACCAAAGACTTTTCTAAACTACATCGTACTAGAAATCTGCAAAGAGATTTTGAATTTCACCAGCGAGGTAGTACATGCGTACATGGGACGTGTTGCATGCACCAACGCAAAACACGTGTCTACATTCCTATCAGGTCCATGGTGCCCGGTGTCCAACTTTATATGCATACACGGATATCGAACCGTGCTGAGCTCCAGCGAAGCAACAACACGACTGAGTTTCGCGAACGGTGGAGGGGAAGGTAGGCTTTGTAGTGGGCGATCACTTTCGCACGAGAACCAATCAGTCACTGTCATACCGTTGTTTTCTCTATCTAATCGACGCATTGTGAAGAAAGAGAACAAGTCCAGATTGCACCAACGAGGAGATGCAAAGATATGCTCGCCAAACAAAGGGGGACCAGTACGTAGTCACACGAGTGGAGACTATCGGGCAGCAATGGGTTTGTGAGATCGAGAAGACAATGGGATGGAGCTGAACCTGGTGGGGCTAACTATCTGAGAAAAGGGTTCAGCTTGGCTATCCATCTGTGGCTGGCGGCGATCCTTGGCTTTAACTGGAGAGATGGTGACATCCCCCATCTCAGAGAAGGATGGTCTATTCATGACTGGTGGATGTATATGCTCCAAAAGAGATCTGAGCAACTCAAGCTGACCAGTCTGGCTGAGCTGAAAAGCGGGATTTCTGAATGACAGCGATCGAATTCTCCCTGTCTACAGCGTACTCCGTAGAAAATATGGGCTATATCAGATTCATGACTCGTGTGATCTACCGTACGATCTACCGCTAACTGAAAATTGGGTCGCTGCACCGTTGCAAATCATTGAGTTGATAGATCAGAAACCCTAGCTCAAGGATCGGGTTCCTGTGAGATCGACGCCAGCCCAAGACTCCAGGAACCTGTTCAGTGCAGACAGGTGCATGTCAGATTCAAATCCAGAATTACAAGGAGTCTCATTCAACACCGCATTTATGCCCTGTATCTTTGTGTGTGCGTGGACGGCATTTAGAAGCCAATAGGAGCCAGCCAATTTGCATTAAAAGAACGCCCTCTACACAAACCCCCCGCATTGGGTATATACTCATTCCAGTGACCCATTGATCCCTCGAAAAACCTCCCGGTGAAGTGATGCATCCATTAACCCAGCCGGCTTAGTCCGTGCCGGTCAGCTTGGACTGGATCTTGACGATATCGTCGTCGGACTCCACCTCGATCACACGGTTGACTTGTGCGCTGCTGCGCATCAGCTCCACTGCGTTAGCATACGACATGCGCTGCATCGGGTTGCAGTTCTCTGGTAGCCAGTAGAGGAGAACGTAAGGGACTGAGGGGCGTCCGTCTTTCTGTGAGGAGATAACCTTGTTAGTATACGGGACGAAGGATGGGTCCAGCCTCATCATTGAAAGCCAACTTACCGTAGTCAATGGGTAGCTGAGAAGGATGAAGCGGGGTGAGGATTCGGGAAGATCATCGGCTAGATCTTCCATCTTGGTGTAGACTGTGTCGTCCTGTGGCCGGATCTCTTGGGTCTTTGCATCAATGATATCTGTCCCGATTGTCAGCTCAATATTGAGGTAAGGGTGCTGGTATGGCTCGAGTGACACATGGCCACAGTATGTGCCAGCAGCATATGTATAGACAGTCTTGTCTCGAACTCGTCGGATACGTGAGAAGCAAAAGCGCAGATCTAGGGGCCCGTACAGATGACAGCCTGCGCATCCTTGGCTCTCGATGTGCCTAAACGGAATTTGCGCAGCTTCTCCTTTGTCTCTGGAGAGAATGAATAAAGTCGTGAGTCAGACTATCCAGTAATCAGCATTTGACGAGGAAAGTCGCAAGCCTACGCTGCCAACTTCAGGCAGACGACTTACCATTTTGCGTGTTGACCGTAACGTGAAGGATCAATATAAACGAGTGTCTTGGTTTGCTGCTGTGTTTGTTGAATAAAGGATATTGAACCTCTATCCCTAACAAAGATGAAGAATTTTGTAGGAGTGAGGACGCGACGATGCAATTGCGGGCGGAGTTTCCCTTTCCCCCACTTGACCTCCTCCGCTTGAACAATCTACGACTAACCCTCCTACACAGCTACACCTCCCTCTTCATGCTCAGCCGATTGAATCTATTGACCCGCCACTTACCACGGCCATTTACTCCTTCTCGTGCCACTGTTCCTGCCTACTCAACACCATCTCTGGCCCCCCGCACTGGTCCCTTCGCTATGACATCAGCTGTGAAGCCCATCCACACAGCAGCATGCTTGATCATCGGAGATGAGGTTCTCGGTGGAAAGGTGAATTGACATATCCGCACACTCCCTGACTTAACAGACCAGGGTTTCTGACATTATTTCAAATCATAGACCATCGATACCAATTCGCCGTACCTCGCCAAGTTCTGCTTCTCGCTCGGCATCCAGCTGAAAAGAGTCGAGGTCATCCCAGATGACGAGGAAGATATTATTGAAGCCGTGCGACGCATGAGCGCTCGCTATGACTTTGTCGTCACCAGCGGTGGCATTGGGCCCACGTACGTCCACCCCATCCCCATGCCGTCCCTTGTTTCCTCGTGGCCGGACCACATTCAACAATGCGCAATGCGCAATGAGCACAACACCCCATACCAGAATAGCAAACTAACACACATCTCCACAGACACGACGATATAACCTACTCCTCCATCGCCAAAGCCTTCAACCTAAAGCTACAACTGCACGAACCCGCCTTCGAGCGCATGAAGCGCCTCTCCAAGCCCCACCCCATGCAACCAAACTTCGACTGGAACACACCCTCCCCTGGCCTAACGGCCAAACTGCGCATGGTCGAGCTCCCCTATGACCCGAACGTCCCCGCCGAGTCGCAGGCCGTCTTCGTCGCCGACGACCTGTGGGTGCCAATCGCAGTGGTGAACGGCAACGTGCATATCCTGCCCGGCGTGCCGCGGCTCTTCGAACGTCTGCTCTCGAACCTCAAGCCATCTCTGATCCCCCGTCTGGCGGACCCGGAGGGTAAGGGGACGTTCCGGATGATGTTCAGCACGCCGCTGCCGGAGAGTGCTGTTGCGCCGTATTTGACTGAGTTGGCGGCTAGGGTGGAGCCTCGCGGTATCAAGGTTGGCAGCTACCCGCGCTGGGGTAAGAAGCGGAATACTGTTACCTTGGTGGGTGTTGATAAGGCTTTGATGGAGTCGTTGGTTAGTGAAGTCGAGGAGAATGTTCAGGGTAAGCTGGTTACCAAGGAGGAGGAGTTGGATCCTCCGTCTGACACGGAGCATGTCTATAGCCAGTAGTTTTGATGGTTTTGCGCTGTACATAGTTTGGATTGGGAAGTTCCCAGTATGTGCCGGACATAGAGCATATCAATATGTCATGTTGATTCAGTCAAGGCGACGCGCATCCATGGCTACCTAGTCTTTGTTGTAGAAGATAGAAGCCATTACTCTCATTGACATACCAACCAATGACCGTAGATCAAGTCGAATGTATTGTTATTGCACCACCTGACATAAATGGACATGGGTAGAACCAACATACTACCAAACAGAACCATACTCGAAAAAAAAAGCAGAACCTAGGATGATAGGGCCATGTAACGGAAGGCAAGGAATCCACCTTGCCGTGAAAGAACATATATTGACAGCCGTGTCGTCTCGTATGGACCGACAAGGAAAAGTAATAGAGAACGCGGTAGATAACAAAACACCAGGGATCTTTCGCAAAGTCAAAAACAGTGAGAAACAAAAAGGAACAAAGACGCAGACAACAAAAGGGGAATCAAAATGGTTCGTGAGACGAGGTTGGCGTCAAGTTCGGCAGTCATCAAAGCGAATGCAAGCCCGAAGAACCCACAGCCGTAACACAAACGACGAGGCCACTTCTTTGGTTTGTTATTTTTTTACTGGATTTGGTTTTCTGCTCTGTCGGGTCGCAATCTTCGAATTGCAGTCTCCAAGTTCCCTCGTGTGTGGCGGATTTTTTTGTTGTATGATTAAGGCCATTAGAAATGGCAGACGAGATTTTCATCTTTCAGCGGGTCGGGATAAACGCTCAGACATGTGAAGTCCCCAATGCGCTGCGTATTTCGGATTTCGGAAGGGAGGGTATGTCTCGTAACTCGAGGGCGCAGCGATTCGGATCATTTGGTGTTTTTACATGACGACGCACTTGGAGCAGCAGCCAGCGCTCTCGCCAGGCTCGCTCATGTCCATCTTCCCTTCTGGTGCGCGGGCACCGAACGCGCCGGAACCAGAGGGGTAAGAGGACATCTCCTTGTTGTAGCGGCGGATCTCGCGCACGAGGTCGTAGAAGGCGTTCTCGACGTTGATACGGGACTTGGCGGAGGTTTCAATGAACTTGCAACCGAACTGACGGGCGAGCGCTTCACCCTCTGTTGTATCGCGATAAAAATGGTTAGCCAGGGAGTTCCAGCGCAGTTGCGGATATGAGCTCCTCGAGAATACTGAAAGGGGGAGGGTGACAATAAAGATTGGGACATACCCTGCTCGGAGACCACACGCTCCTTCTCCAAATCGCACTTGTTGGCCACGACAATGATGGGGAAGTAATCCTTGTCCTTGACGCGCAGGATTTGCTGTTGGAAGGTCATGATTTCTTCGAAAGATTGGCGCGATGTGATAGAGTAGATGAGCAGGAAGCCCTCGCCGGTCCGCATGTATTGTTCGCGCATTGCCGAGTATTCCTCCTGACCTGCTGTATCCAGGACGTCCAACAAAGCGACCTCATCATCGATCACACACTGCTTGCGGTAGGAATCTGTAGGCGGAAGAAGAGTCCGCAGTTAGCCATGTTCTTTCGTCTGGCCGAGTCCCCGGAATCGCGACCAAATCTGCGCGAGGTATTCGAGTCATGCAAGCTTACCTTCAATTGTGGGATCATACTCATCCACGAAATGACTCTGGATCAGCTGAATGGTCAAGCAGGACTTGCCGACACCACCACCGCCGACCACGACGAGCTTGTATTCTCTTAGGAACTGTTGGCCAGAAAGCAGCACAGGTTAGCTATTGAACGTGCAGAGCTCCAAAATAAACACAATCATCTGATGTGAGAGGGAGAGTTCAGATCGGATAGCAGGGGTCGGCATTGCTTACCTTTGAGGCCATTATGAATCTATCACAGGTTGAGGCAAGAATTGAGACGAGAAAGACTAAGTTGATAGGAGAAAAAGGATTTCCAGAAGAGTAAAAATCCTAGAAGCTTTAAACAAAGGGTGGGAGGAATTAGGGGGGAAGAGAGGGAGAGGTTCGGAGGTTGGAGGCGGGAAGAAAATAAATGGGGAACTTTTGAGCTTCCACTTCTTTTTGTTCTTTTCCTTCCTTTTTGTCTCGATCACTTCAAGGATGGTAATTTGCAAATATTCGTTATGAAAAATATGCCTGATTTCTCTTCCCTTGCAAAAGAAAGAAGGGAAAGAAGGGGGTGAAGGGAAATTCAGGAGATGGTGGGGAGGAATATGGTGATTGGGCAATAAAAAGGAGAGATGCGCGCCATTCAAATGTGTTAGATTTGGTTTTTATTATTTTATGATCTTTATCTTCATACTGTATACGCAGTGTTTATGAGGTTATCTTGATTCTACTGTTTGTCTGTCGAAGTATCGTTTGATCTCTATTGCAGCCCAATCTCTATCCTCGGTTATGACGGTGTCTCTACCCAACTGAGATTCTAGATTCCAATTTGGTGCTAACAAGGTCGTTGCTTTGGTACGCTACTAAATGGCATCTCATCTAGGGAATTGATTGGCCTAAACCACGCCCCGTTGAGGAACGTGCCATTCACAACAATGTACGGAGATTGCTTTCTCCCCTTGATCTCGATTTAGATTGCATACTAGTATCGCAACAAATAACGCATACTTTCGGATCGCAGCTTGACTCTGAACTGATACAACCTCCAGACTCTGGAGGTCCAGCTCCTCCAAAGTGGATCTGCCGCGGTGGAGATGGCTCCTCTCGAGGCGTCCTTAGGGCCGTAACGCATACTCCGTAGTCCGTACATTCTTCCCTAGCGCCTCGGGTTCAGAAATAATGCACATAAAGCAATCCAGCAAAGACCGGCCAAGGTGTTGGGCACCGAAAGAATCCAAAACTGACAGTCTGGAAGTTTGTTCGAACAGCAAATCGACCTTGGCTTTCTTTTAGGCCTAGATGGCTTGCAGTAGACGCCCACCTTGCATTGATTGCATCATCCCGCCGCAGAAAATTCACCTGTGTCATTTTTGATGATTGGACGCATCGAAAAAATCCTTGATTTGGTCAATTTTTCATCCTTTCGACCCCAGCGGATACAATGCATTGGAACATTTCATGCCAATCAACTTCGTTTTTCTTACTGATCGCCTCACCAGATCATGGTGGCGCCGTTTCTGACAGATGCGAGGGCTGCATATCGGAAGTTTTGATCTCCGATTCCCTGCCTTATAACTTTGCTTCCTTCAAGGTTCTGAATACGCGTAGACCCTTAAAATCAAGGCCTAAAGTTTGAATCAGGCTCCAACCCCGCGCCATCATTTGATCCGAGAGGTGTGCAGAGTCACATTGGAGCGGGGATCCTCTCGAGCCAGGTAAGGATCGGCTGCTTCATTCTTTGACCCTTTGCCAAGCGGAAGTGCAGAGGTAAATTCGTGCATCTATGTTATTTTGATACTCCTTCCACGGTTATTCCCCGGGCGCGATGCCTATCTCGATCTAGCCACGACTTTGTTCCTTCCGCGTGCTCCTTCCCATGGACGACCGGAACTCAATTCCTTCCACTACAACCGACGTTGCCTCACGATAAAAAGAGTGAATCCCCGACAATCATCCTCCGATGTTACTTCATCTGGTCGACATTCGAATTTCATTCTGAGACCAGCATAGATTATGCCTAGTAGCTGCAACTCGATGACCACTAAGACTATATCCGTTTGGGTTGCGATATCGGCGTATCCAGATATGACTCGTCAGACGGCGTCAAATGTTTGCGCGGTCTGTGATTGATCATGAATCTAGTTTTCCCGCGTTGAGTGGTATCAGGTAAAGTAGTACGAGTGAATGTGTCTCGAGGACTCTCATATGTCGAAGCAGCGCATGGAAGAAGCTACGCTGAGATGATGGCAAGAGATCGTGAATGAGCCGCATGAGATGATGTGACAGAAAAGCTTATTGGCAGGCCATTGTCCAACAGTCATGGCCGATATCCGTTACAGGTCACACCAACGTGGGACATATCACAATATGGTTAAGAGTCAGTGAAACCCTACACCTGCATAGTGTGGAGGGGGATCGACGACATGCCTGCACTGCCAACGGTCAAACTTCCAGATGATTGTGCATCTTGCGTCCATCTCCGATAACAACAGACTCAGAGTCAACAAGTTCGTATCCGAATCGCAGCGGCCCTGGCAGATCAACAAATTCATCACAGCCAAGTATTGCTTGTCGCAGAGTAATCAAGCTGCGCATGACACGACGTGGTACCTGACACATCGCCAATCGCTTGTATGCCGGATGCAATGGGCCATGAGTCAGAAATTACCTCCGCAAACAAGCGTCGTGTCAAACAACGTGTCCACTGTCGGAGAATTAAGCATACGACATGCTTCCACCGCTCAACCTAGGCGAAGCTCTACCCAGCCAATGCCTACCCAACAATCCAAGACATCAAGAAACCCGCCGGTAAAGCCGATCTCGGGGATCTGACTACCGACCAATCACACAACAATGTCCCTGCAGACCTCAAGGTCTCCGGACTATGCCATTCCTCAAGCCCGCCAAGACCCACCAAGCCCGATGAGTTCACTGGTCTATATCTTCATTTGAGACACAGAATGCGGACTGAGACCTGTGCATGCGTACAAAGGAACGATATTCAGGCTCGCTCTTCTGACGGGTCTTTTCAGAATATCTGATATGGCGCGGCCATTGCTGGCGCGGCCATTGCATCCTTTTATGGAATCGGATGATGCAGGGAGAAAGGCTCTGCCAGTTACCTCTACCGGTTGGATCTTAGACGACCTGGAAGTTATACGCAATGTTCTCAAACGGTTAGAAGTGATGCTCAGTTGGGGGATCACGGTTAAAGACTAAAGCTCGCATCATGGGTAACGACAAATCAACAGGCAAACAGATAACCACAAGCTCACTTAGTCTTCAAGACAATGTTGCAGCAATCGACAACAACCCCAGCCCAGCAGACGCCGCTTCAACGCCCGAAGTATCCTTCTGTGGAGGATAGCTAACACGAGCCAGCCTCGACAACTGCACAGCAAGCAAATGCTCCCTGAAATACATATCCAACCCACCAACCATATGAATACTATGATCAGCCCCATTCCCACCTTTCTTCTCACCCCAACAGAGCCTCGGCCCAACAGTCTCATCTTCCATCTTGCCCGTCCGACTCCCGCCCTTAGCCCACACCCGCTTCGTCTCATACAAAGCCTCCCAAGCAAACCCGAATTTCCCAAACATACCACCATCCTTCTTCCCCTCTGCCGCAGCATCTTTCCAAACAAAGTTGCGTCCTCCGTACTCAAATCGCCGCGGCGACCAGTCCCTCCGCTTCATCTCTCCGTCCGGAATCTCTGTTATCGCGCCCATATCGGGAACAGTCCTGGTTATCAGCCGGAAGCTGCCGCCTTTCATCTTCTGCAGTCGAACGCTCGTCGCTCCGACTTGAGGGAGAAATTCGCCTGCGCGGCGGAGGACGGTGTCGACGATGGGGGCATCGTTGTTCCAGACGAATTGGAGGGCGTATAGAACGTGTGTGTTTGTTTCGTCTTTGACGAAGTACCAATGTGAGCGCATGCCTAAGTTGACGAGTTCTGAGGAATGGGTGATTCGATATGTGACTGTGGGTAACGAGGGGGAGAGTGTGAGTGAGAAGAAGGGACGTTGGGACGGGTCGGTTGTGAGGAATGGTTGGAGGTGGACAGGTGCTGCGCTGGCGTCCGTGGGATTGGCTTTTCCGAAGGTATGCAGTCCCTTGCGGATCTAGCAGTTGTGAGTTGTCGGTGATCTGGGGGTGTACGTTATGGGTGTTGGGGAGATACGCACCTGTGTCAATGACCTGTTCTTCCCGTCCTCCTCCTCCTCCACTTCTTCCATAGCGTCTAGGATTGTTGGCGGCAAGATTATACCGTCAAATCTGCCTTTGCGCTTTAGATCCTCGAGGTAGGCCAGACGTTCTCGGTGGATTTGCACCTGTCGCTCAAACATTTTCCTGTATATCTTGGGGGAGTTCCCTTTCTTGAACGTGTTCGTTGCCTCATCCAGAATGGTAATGGCATTCTTATAAACTTGGATTGCTGCATCGTAGTCGCCGTCGCGTTCAAGGATGAAAGGTGCGGCGGCGAGTTTATACAACTTGTTCTTGGTGTCGATTTGGCCCGCCATGGTGTCGAGTAGAAGTCTCGAGAATATCAGTTGGCGATGACTTCCAGTATGACTCTATTGATGATATTCGTGTTTAATCTTCGTGTTTTGAGTCTCTGAGCCGTTCGAACACCGCGGCGTAATAGCACTACGGACGTGGTTGCCATGTCGCGCCTTTATAGATGTCCGACCCGGCGGAGCCCATTCTTTGAAGACCACGCCAAGGTCGAAGTATGCCTTGCCGAGAGTTATTCAAGCATGATTTGACCGCAATAGGATGTTGCGCTGTCTGCATTCATCACAAATAGCTAGACTCGATGTCGATGGCCCCGTGGGCTTGGGCACGTGGCTGCCTTGAGATAGGAGGAATGGGCTTTGAACAAGCACCGATCCGCTGCGGCTTCAGCCACATTACTACCCTACTCTCGAACAGTTAGTGCCAAGGTATATGAGATAGCCTTACTACAGTGGAGCACTAGCTAATCGCTTAGCATTGCCCCCTTTGAAGCTTGGCTATCAATTCTGACCAATCACCCCAGGGACGTAGCTGATGCAGTACATAGCAGGCACTGCTAATTTGCATGTTTTGATGAACGTCATTATGCAAACCGTATTGAACATGGTGGCTCAAGGTCCACGGGCTCATTTTACAGGGCTGTGTTTGCATGGACTTTTGACCCTTGTCAAAAGGAGGCTGCCGGTAACCTTCGGACTTCCCAAGATGAATTGCATTCCGAGATAATATTGTTATCAGCTTGAAGGAAATGCAAGAAGATGCAAACATGCAAGGATGCAAGAATGCAATTTGTCTGCAACAATTGCAATAGGATGCCACGAGGCTATTATGAGGCTGTCTTGACTCGGGAACCCTACTGTCCGGGTAAGTCCTGAATCATGTGGGAAGCGTTATGATCTCCAGTGTTGACAGGGGGGCCTCTACATGGATCATATCGGGTCACTGCCTGATCGGAGCTCTCACAAGTATCTACAAGAATGGGCGCAAGGATGGGTACAAGGTTGCATAGGGAAAATCCGATCTCCGACAAACATTTGAGCCTCCATAGAAGCGACGCCAGAATTGAGTTATCGATTAGGTTAATTGTCACGGCATCGATGATCCTAACCAGTAAATCTTCATACGATCTATGTTCAAGCTTTTTACGGAGTTTTGGACCCACGGTTCGAGCGCAGCATGCTATTACCAATCACAGCCATTTTGAGGTGGGAAGTATTGATGCAAGAGCCCAGCAGACCAGAACCTTGGAACTGCCGGACAGTACCAAACTTGCTTGGCTATAGCGAAGGGTCCCACCTAAGACACCGGATGGCTATTTGGTGGGTATATCAACTGCATTGCGTGTAAGTGGGCGCCTGGCCCATGAATGAGGATGCTTTGTGGAAAAGCTTAAGTAGTCTGAAAAACCTACCATAAGGAGGTTCGTCGCCTATGAATATGATTGCAACTCTATCTTATAAATAAAGATAGACTTCCGAGGTTCCCTTGACTCGGCGTAAGAGAAATGGCAAGCTGCGGCTGCTCGGCTTCGGGCCCAAAAAGCAAGTATATAACAGTCAGGAATTACCTAGCGTACGTCGTCCAGCATGAGCCCTGTGTTATTCACTTCTAGGTTTGTATTTTAGCCGCGCTGCTGTGTGACATTACCTTGTGCGATGGTTTTGACCATGATTCTGCTGGTATGATATGATGGTGTTCTCACGAGGAACGCCACTACTCAGTGGCAAATGGCCCGTTCCAGGTTGTTCAGACTTTGCAGAAGCAATCGCCCCTGAACCCTGAACGGGGCTAAAGCCCCGAAAGATCCGGCCAGCACGCCAAGGGATTTGAGCCCTTGCCGAAATTGGAGGGATTCTTCCAAATGAAAGTAGTGCTGACACTCGCATTGCCACCCGAGGTAGTGAAGTTGTGCGCTGCCTAAGAGCAGAATATCCCCGCACAATTTTGCATGTGCATTGAACTGTATTCACAAAGAAAAGCGGACCATTTCATTCTTTTTTCGTACCTTTCTGTGGGGACCGCGGGAGTTCGCGAACCATTAGATGATCGTCCAATCACCGAGCTCACAGAGAGATAAACTCGGTTATATCTGCCAACTTCTTTTGATTCGCTTCCACAAGGGGTTCGGGGTTTGCGGAGATTGATAAATTCTTCTTCTGGGGAGGCCACTGGCCAGGGGGCCTTTGGAGCCGTCCGGGTCTTCAGGTAGCGGCCGCCACTAACAGGGAGTCAGCTACCCTTTTAGGTATAGTCGAGCGAACTTTCGCCGACACTAGCGCTTGGCTAGTGCTTAGACAGGTTAGCCTTAAATCTTAGCGCGTCTATATATATTCGTAAACCAATGAGAAATCTCTGTGGGAAAGCGGTAAGGCTATCTAATATGGCCTGGCTTGGATTCTATCCAGGCTGACCAGGTGACAGGGATTAGTTTAGACCCTGAAGGAATTCTTAAATATGGGGGAGCCCATGGATGTTTTTGTTTCTCTCCGCTCTTTTCCTCAACCTCACTTTCTGTTCATATACCTCCAGCCAACTTTGTCGCTCGTTTGACTACACTTTCGTTAAATACTTAACCTCCATACAATATGCGTGTCCAATCTCTTCTCCTGGCCGGTGCTACCGCTGCCACCGCTGCCCAGACCGTCACTCTCTTCCTGCCCGGATTTGACAGCCAGGATATCCATGCCAAAGTCCTCGGCTCGGTATGTACAACTCCATCTGTACCAATTAAGCCCAGTCCCACTAATAGATTCCAATGCAGAGCGGTTCCATGACCACCTACCTTCTGGGGTGCCCCGCTGGCACCGACTCCAATGACTGCGGCATCCCCAAATTTGGCGTCACCGCCATCCAGGGCGTCTCAACCGCCACGATCGCATATGCATTCGGCCGCAGGTAAGGAAACCATATCCAGCGAAGATCACTTATGACTTATATGCCCCACACTGGACACCGACGTTGATCTTTACCCTTCGCAGGACCGTCGAGGAGAAGTGCAGCTACGACTCCACCATGGCCGTCTGCGAAGCCTCCATGGACGAGGAAGGTCTTACTACTTCCTTCAGTACGTCGGTGCCGTTGACTGAGTTCCCCGGTCGCGTACTCATGCCCGTGACCATCACCGGAACCCAGACTGGTGCTGCCGCAGCGGCTACCACCGGTGCCTCGGTTTCTGCTACTACCGCTGCCTCTACTGGTACCTTGGCTACCACTGCTTCGACTTCCGGTACCACTGCTACTGGTACCGAGACCAACAGCGCTGCTGCTACCAGCACGACTGAGACTGGTAACGCTGCTATGCCTATGATTACTGGTAACGCCCGCTGGGCTGCTGGTGGTGTTGCTGCTGCCATTGCTCTGGCTGCTCTCTAAGTGTTTGGTCTTTGAGACGAGCTTGTACCTATGGATGTCGTCAATTGCGGCTTTTCACAGACTCTGTGATAGTTACTCATTTGGTCATGTATACTATGCATATACGAAGCGAGATACTGTTTATTTGTCCCAAGCTATGGAAATTTACAATTAATTTATCCCATTTATTGTTGGCGGTCGGTATGTAGTTCATATTTACACCGCACGGCGCGCTACCTCGGTAACATGTACAATCGGTTATCTGAAAACCTCTAAATCTATATCTGGGATGACACGTAGCTTAAGACTTGCGGTGCATGACACCGGCAGAAGCCTATTGAATGATCAGAATCTTTACGCAACATGTTCAACCGGGATATAAGCTTACCTGGTGGCTGGGGAAGACCAGAGTGTCGGCGATAACGACATTCTCGCGACGACCGGCCGCAAAGACAATAACCTCGGCGATGTCGTCACCGGTCAAAGGCTCAACACCCCTACTGACGGTTAATACTTATGCATTCAAGCTTTCTTGGCATCACTTACTTGTAGACGGCATCGGCCTTAGCCTTGTCTCCGTAGAATCGCACAACGGAAAACTCCTGCATTCATTATTAGCTCTATACACGAGATAGACCGAATAAGCACATACTGTTTCAACTTGACCAGGATCGATTTCAATAATGCGAATGCGTGATGCGACAAGCTCCTTCCTTAGCGCATCCGTGAAGGACCGAACAGCGGCCTTGGTAGCACAGTAGATGCTGCCACCAGAGTAAGGCTCGCGGCCAGCAATGCTACCAATGTTAATGATATCGCCACGGCCACCCTCAGAGCGCTTCTTGAAGATAGGCAGAATGGCTTGTGTCATGTTGATGAGACCAGTGACGTTGGTATCGAACATGATCTTGAGATCCTCAGCCGCAATTTCAGGTGCCTGAGCCATACCCTTGACCAAACCACTGCATGGGACACATCAGTAAAGTTCGTGGATGTGTGTCTATCAATGATGCGCGCGACTCACGCGTTGTTAACCAGGACATCGATCTCCTTGAATTCCTCCGGCAGGGAGGGGACGAAGTTCTTCACATCCTCCGGGTTGCTAACGTCCAGCTTGACAGGTAGAACCTGGACACCATCGCCAACCTCCTGCTTAATCTCCGCTGCGACCTCCTTCAATGTCTCGAGACGGCGCGCAGTAATGATCAGCTTCAGGTTCTTGGGCGAAGTGCGCGCAAACTCCTTGGCAGTGCTCTTGCCGATACCGGACGAAGCACCAGTCACGACGATTGTCTTGCCCTCGAGGCGCTTTGCCATTGCGGAAGCCATCGTGCGTCGGATGACAGTTGGGTGAAGGGTTGAAGTGAAGGGAGAGAGTGGAGCTGTAGATGGGTGTGAGAGCCGGCGGAAGTGTCCAATCGATCGAATTGAAGCCCGTAGAGTGTTCATGGACTGGAAGATCTATTTTCAGGGGAGTTAAGCATAAAAAAGCAGCAGAAATAGGACAACTATGAGCTAGTGCGGGGGATTTCTGGCGTCATTTCGGTTACATAAGCACATACTGCGGCTCCGGGGTCGGGCCGGAGAGAAGGCCGATTCCGCATCTTCGATATAGATCAGACGTTATGGGAAATGCACAACATGGAGAATTGTTTCTAAACTCCTGCTATTATTGCCTCTGCTTGGAACTGGCTCAAGGGTTTCAGTTTGAGATTGGGCGCTTGTTTCACGGGGACCGTACGGAGACAACAAATGGGATAATAGTCATTGGCCGCCGAACAAAGACTTCAAAAGCGCTAACATGGCATAGAGCGAGTCTCGTTGTCTCGAACAAAGAGAATAAAATGCCATTGTTTACCTTTGCCTTTGCTCGCAGAATCGACTCATACCTCTATAAGCAGCCACTGCCCTCCAGGGCTACATGCATATAAGAGATGGCGATTCGCGACGTTTATGAAACCCAACAGTCACAGGATCCGTCCTCGTTCTGTCTGAACATAGTTCAGTATAGGCCACTACAAAGGAAAGAGCAAGCTAACGACCTCCCTGTACTCGAACACAGGGAAGGTGCCACGGTGACTTGACTAGCAACCTGACTAGCAACCATCTTGTTTACCTCCCCTCTAGCTTTTAAGCTGCACATAACTATTGGTATCCACGATAAACAAGTATCATTGCTTCAACTATCATTGCTTCTTCAACTATCATTGCTTCAAAGTGCTTGTTTTGAATTTAAAAACAAAGCAAAGTCTACATACTCAGGATATCAATTTGCAATATCATTCACGAGTATCATTCACGACTATCAACATGACTTTCAACGGCAAGGTACGCTCTCAAACTCCGATGACTGAACGACATGAACACTCACATGAACAGGTTCCATTTGAGGAGGCCCATACTAAGGATTTGCTCCGCCCGGAAGCCTTTGACTGGGCCGAGGATGTTGAAGAGGCTCTGGCCGCTGCTAATCAAGCCACCGCCATTCCGCGCAACATGCCGAGTCCACCTGACCGGCCATGTGGGCCTATACCATGGGCAGAGAGAGATTCACACTTTGATGACCTCGAGCCAGCCCAACCCCCTGGGTTTATGACACGATTCGGATTTCACGAGTTGCTGTCGACAATTGAGGAGGAAGGGGAACCTATTAATGGCCGTTCGAGCAGTGAGGTCCAAGCTATGGACTCTGGCACCACCAGCGCTACTGAAGATGATTGGTCAGGCTCGAGTGATGTTACTAGCCCTACATCCAGCATTGAGGAGCCTCTTCTCCCTAATGGGGAGTCCACTAGCCAATGCCCGTCCGATACAGAGGAAGCAGCCGCTGCAGCACTTGCGCAGACCAACCTCACCTCTATTTTCGCGGACCGGCAGCTATGGATTGATTTTGACAGGGACATCCATCACTTCAATTGGATGGGACTGCGTAGCTACACGCATTACTCTACCACCCCGTCGGAGTCACTGGCGATCATTCTATCGAAGCCAAAGGACCTGCAGGGAAGTGACAAGTTGAGGAGGCAAGCAGTCCTCAACCAAGCTATGCATCACATTGACCCCGTCATTGTTCGTCTCCACGGCCCTGATGACAACCTTATAGATCTACGAGGATCTGCGCTGGCCAGGGAGTCACAAGGACGGGTTCACAAGTTCTATTCACCTCATGGAAGGTGGTTGAACGACCAGAGGGATACGACAGATGCTTGCATCGATACTGGCAGCATAGACATCTATGGGGCTACTAGGTTCGCCGTTGGAAACGGTTTCGTTGAATCAAGTTGTATCCCCTCAGTGCATGAATGGATGGAGTCCAAGCCTGAGGTCTCCGGAGGCTTGGAATCCCTTCCACGAAAATCGACATGGAAGGCTAAGCCCTCCCCCTTGAAACGTCACCAATCTACAGGCTCATCTGTTGGATCGGCTCGGAGACGTCGCCCCATCACGACGTGTGTGCGTGATGCTCCGCCCGAGGTGTATACCTCGTTTCCGACTCCTGTGTTTGCTCGCACTCGCCGGACGGGGATCAAAAGGCTCTGGGAGAAATCCCGGCATAAGTTGGCGGCTGCGCTCTCTTCGGTGAAGAGCAAAATGAAGTAAGACTTGAATCGTCAATCGTGCTATTTTGGAGCATCTTGGCCTGGGTCTTGGTTCTTGTTGGCCTGGTTGGAGTGACCTTTTTCTGGGGTTTCGAGATTTTGTAGGAACCTATTTAACAAAATAAAAAATGAAAAATAAGAAATTAACTTCCACCTTCTCCGGTCAGTGCCATCTGGAATAGTATCTATTAATATTTTTCTCCGTTTGGAGGTTCCTAGGTATACACCTGCGTAGGTTCCCCAGTATGTTTAATGTATCAGAAAATGTAGAGGGTCAGAAACAGGGGAACGACTTGCTTGTGGCCCGCACCACCGACTGGCCAACCTTGCGACCGCCCTCAGGCTGACAGCAGAGCCCATGCCCGCGGCGTGTCGAACGTGTGCTCAGTCAACTGGTGAGTTGAAGAATTGTAGCGCCTAACTCAGACCGAAAGCCAGACTAGAAATTCGTCTAAGAACGAATCGACTGACATTTACTGCCATATCGATGGGAAAGATGGGGACCATTACATCAATACCTAGAAAAGCGCTCCGTGAAATCCGCTATACAGACAATGGAATGCTGCGAAGCTTGAACTCGACAGTTGGCTCAACCCGCTCAACAGCTAGGTAGGTACTAGTTCAACAGAATTCTTCTGCCCTTTTATGTATGCAGCTAGATCATCGTGCATCAGTCTCTTTCCAAAACTGTAAATGAGTCCGTAACAAGGGCCGGTGAAAGTGCCTCCATCAATTAGTGATTCCAATAGGAGACGTCTGGGAAGACACATTTGGGTCTTCATGTTTGGCACCAAACGTTAAAACCCAAAAAGGAATGGTGCGCCTCCACCTGACGGGACCGGTACCCACTGACCCACGCTTATCCGCTCCTATGGCGGAGAATTTACAATGCTGTCATTGGCTCGTCTACGCGAAAGTACATCGAAACGCGATCAGACTTCCGGGTTTTAGCAATGCTCTGAAAGGTGGAACGAATAACGATAGAAACGCGGGAGCGCTCGCAGGAGCTTGGAGGAGAAGATGCCGTGTTGTCTGTACTGTAGGTACCTAAGGTAAGTCTGAAAGTCCCGACATAGAAAGATATGGGTTTCCAATTTCCAAATGTAGTCTACGTAGAGTCACAGCGAATTGACCGGATTCACGGATCCAAATGAGGTCAAGGAACTGAGATAGCTGGGAATCACAACAGTACGTTATGCTTATAGATAGCACCGCCAGATCCTCCCGTCATGTCCTTCCTTCCTTCATTGCTGCAAAGGACGACGTCAGTTTGCGTCGCAACTTGTCGATGAACCTTTTGATCCCCATTTGGCCACTGAAGTGCGGGGTGGGGAAGGAGGTATATATCCCAGTTGAAGTGTCAGTCACCTCGGTTGTGACCTGATCGACATGTCTGTCGCCTCGTCTGGTGAGCTGTCCATGTGAGCATCGGAATCCATCGTGGTTTCACTATCGTCTGAGGGCGAACCTTGTGAACGAAGCACATAACTAGTGTGCCACTTCAACCTCTAAATATCATTAGAACTTGAGCGCGAGCTCATCAGCTTTCGTAGTCACATATAATCACTCACAAATCACACCTTAAGCAATAATCAGAAGTGATGCAGGATAACTGATCTGTAAAGATGCAGAGAGTGAACAAGACGGTTGCTAGCTAAGAGATAAGTGTTCATTGCCCGAGGAAGAAACGCCCTACTTGCACGCTGGCCTGCTCTCCTTTTTCTGAGAGATTTTCTCTTCCAAATGCTGGGTGGGTAGGTGCTTCCTACTTCGGTGTATACGTGCCTTCCTGAATAGGAAACCATAAACCCATATAATGTCCGTCCCTCACCTCTTCCTCTTTTTTTTCTTCCTCCTTCAACTCCCCATCTTCCATATATCTCATCTTCATTCCATCAACCATGCATCCTCCATCGAGCCATCCATGAACCATCCATCTTCCATCAAGGTTTCCATCAACCTTCCATCTTACATCAAGCCACCCATCATCGGTCAGTCTCATCTGTCAATCCATCTATGCCCCACCTAACTTCCATCAAGTCCTCCATCAAACACATATCTGGCATCATGTCTTCCATTATGAGTCGATCCTATCCATCATCCAATCGGGTCTCATAACATCATGCGTCATCTGTACATGACCACTCACCGTCACCACTTATCCAAGGTGCCTACATTCACTGGTCAGTCTACTCTTTCCGTACTGCCATATGCTCCTCTATTAAACACCACTTAGCCTGCATACCCAATCTGGCTTACATGGACTTGATGGCTCAACCTACCAATTGGCAACCAACCACCTAAACCCAACCGTGTGCGTCTCATGGCAGCGGGCTTCGGCTTCAGGAAAATCGGAAGAGCGGATATCGCAACAACCCCCATCCCAGCACGTCCGCTTACTCTCTTTTCACTCGACTTTTCAAGGATATCCAGTCTCACCGTGGCGGGCCTCACGGCTTCAGGACAATCGGGAGATTTGATATAGAGACTATGCCCGCTCAACAAACGTCCACTCGTCTTGACCCACTGAACTATATTGTGTCTTGCCGTGGCGGGCTTCGGCCTCAGGACAATCGGAAGACTGGATATAGCAGCCACACCCTCCCAGCTGCATCCGTTCACTCTCGTTTCTTCGACTTTTTGTCAGACTGGGATACACTGGGATAAGGCCTCCCTAGGCCATAAACAGGAACCTTGGGTTTTCTTGTGGTCTAGTGGTCATTATTTCCGATACTTTTCAATAATATACAGTCTCGCCGTGGCGGGCTAAGGGCTTCGGCTTCACGGCAATCGGGAGGCCGGATATGGTCACCCCGTTCATGGACTGGTTTTACTCTTTCTGGGGTTTCTTCGAGATTTTGTAAAGGTTTAACAAAATAAAAAATTGGAAATCAAAGATTAATTTCCACCTTCTCCAGTCTGAGTCACTTTCCAGTCTAAGCCAATAAAAGTCAGCTTCCATCCTATTCTTCATGTAACCTCTCGAGAATTTTCTACTCTAGGTCTTACCCTCAATGATGGCTACGTTGTTGACTTCGGTGCCATCACATCCTCAGTTAGTTATTGTACTGTGTAAGTACGGAGAATGCAGATAGCAAACTGGAAATTCATTGATGAATCCATAGCTAGGTGCACCAATGTACTAGCGGATTTCCTCTGCCACTTCTTGGCTCTCCCCTTCCATTTTAGTGCTCAGACCTTACCGCTTTTTGCTCACTGATCTGATCCGTCCGTGATCCTGACCTGAGCGCCCTGAATACCCCAGCCTGCTCAGACGGAACATGATTCGCTGGGTCATGCTCACATGACATGATGACCTGCCTGAGTAACTTGGACCTACTGTGTTAAAAAGCTGACACTGTGACCTACTTCGCGGCCTCTGCCTGAGACTCCTACCTGAGTAAGTGATCTACGACTTGTTAGGTTTCCCCAACGTACCCGACAATAAACTTATATAGACACTTAGTTCAATATGGCAGGAAAACATCCACTTCGGGTGCTCGCTATTGTATCAAACAAGAGTCCAGCATGGAAGCAGTCGCCGGAGGACATCATGCAGCTTGCTATCCAAGTTATCCACGAAAAAAGTCTTTACGATCAGAAAGAAATTACCATACCCGATACAAAACTCTTAGCGATCCAACACTATCTTGTTCGTGAGATGTTTGTGTTCGACATTTCGAATGAAGATTACGATCCCGAAAAGGGGCATTTATCAGAACAGAATCAACTTCCCGTCGTTGTGATTCGTCTAAGTGACCGAACGATCGCTTCTAGGCCTCACCCGGGAGAATGTGCAAGAATCAACGAAACTATTAGACATCTCCATGATGCCAATGGCTTTGGATCCATCCCGCCTTTCATTGAAGACCACACTTCGGGGACTCCACCTAACTATCCAAACCCACGAAGTCTCAGACACAGCGGACCTCCCCGTGAAGCGCTGTGATCATATCTCTCGTGGCATGTACTTGGCAATTTACCGTGGCGGGGTGGACAAGGTGCAAGTTGCACAACGAGTGTAATCATGTGATGAGACGGTGAGATGTATATCGAATCGTGGCCAGCAACGCGGTAGCAGTGTTGAACGCTTGGTACGATTAGTGATAGCGTTCTAAGCTATGATAAGTTAAAAAGATGAAGGTTTTGGTTAACCGTGGTGGATCAGAATATGATATTGGAAGATGGTGAAGATGAAAAGGAAAATCAAACAAGATGCGTTGCTGGGACGTGTTTTATGTCGATTCTGTGAAGCAACGGTCTTGCCATTTATTCGAAACCTGTCGACGAAGGAGCAGACATCTCAAATTGTGTTGAGGTGGACCAAACATTCTAAGGTACCTCCATCAAACCTGAAGCATATCATATGACCTTGGTCCGAAACACGTCTAAACTGGGTATATAGTCTGCATCACTCGGAAATTTTACTTTTCTACCTACAACTACCATGTCTCATCACCAGTTACGTCCTCCCCTCTCACCTTCATCTCACCACAAGGCTCATCCATCTCGATATCATACCTATCTCACCACTACGTCTGATTAAACATCATGACCACCCCCAATGTAAGCTGGACTGACTTTGATCCTCCTATCTTGCCAGCAGACCCAACATCGATACTAATTTGAAGTCCTATGGCACAGTCTCAGGTCGTCAAAGGCCTCCTGCCAGAATCCAATATCAATCAGCTCGATCGATAATGCTGAACTCAGGTCCGCCCTCCAACGGACGCTACGCAACATAGGACACAGCTTTCCCGGTTCGTCAGAGACCTTACTCAGTTGACACCTCTGGGGTCTTCTAATTTGCTGCTTCCAGCATCTGATTCTACAAACCATGTGTCAATACTTTTATCACTCTCTACCATGTGCTTCTCTTTTCTCCCTCCTCCCGCTTCTCTCACCCGCCGCTGCTGCGACAGTCCACCTCCTCTGAGGTCTTGTCTGATAGCTGTGGGTGAGGACCTGGGTCTTCACTCGACCCTCGCACATTTCGATCGTTGTCTTTAGCATACCCAGACGCCCATATACGTAGTTTCGGACGTTGAGGACGCCGGGATGTCCACACCTTCTGTCCTCGAGAATTCCATTTCGGAAAACCTTACGTCGGCCCGAAAGACCAGACTTCCAACAATGTCTGCTGACTCTGGCACCTCGGACGTCGAGCAAGCAGACATCGAGTGCTTCGCGGCGCTGCCCCACGACACAGTCCAAGCCACCGGGGTGACGGAGAATGCCGTACGGAAGACTATCAGAGACAACCAAGACACCACCGACGTGGTAAAGTACATACGTTTCACGAATGTCCCACCAGCCGTTGCCGACAAGTTTTCTCTGCGCAATACTCGCCAGATGTTCAATCGCAGTACTCGATACATGATCATCAAGCTCTTAACTGGGGCCCATGAACCTTTCCTGGTTTGACCTTTTCTGTGATGGATACATGATGTGACAGGACAGGGACAGCTTCGTCATCTCGTCGGGTTGAATTGGACTCTGTTACCTACAGATTTAGCCTGTGTCACATTTTCTTGGAGTTGTCTCCTTGAGATTCCAAGAAACAAGATGATTCGAAAACATCAACACACAATACCAAAAGTTTAATGGAGAGCAGTTGTTTCATAAGAGGGAAGGGAGAAGCTACCTAGTGAGCACGTACGATCTCAAATATCCTGGTGTGGGTGCCGAATTCTAAACGCGGTGAGCTTCCCAAGCTCCCGCCAACTGGTAAGCCTCCAGTCAACTGGCAAACCGTCCGCCAACTGGCAAGGTTATCCCTACGAATCGCCCCCAATAATCCCACTGCGACACGTGCGGCGTCGAATTTGTTGTTTAATTCGATAGTATCAATATCTATAGCACGTATCTAAACCCTTTATTATCAACCTCCGTTTTGTCCTGAGGAAATAAAATGTCAGCATCCAAGTGTCAATACCAGAAGGAACAATTTCTCACCAGCATTCCGTTCTCAACACCCTCAGCCTCAACCTCCTGGCTATCAATCGCCATATTGTCTCGACGCTTGTTCTCAAGGTACATGTAAACATACAAGGCAACAATGGCGAGCAGTTTTACAACATAACCAGCAAGCATGCTACCAAAGTCAGTAAACCCGATCTCAATGTTAACATCCCCAGGGATAGCAACTCACGCAATATAAGCACTGTGATATCCAGGCGCCTCGGCCTCTTTGAAAGTCTGAGGCCCAATAATATTGCCCACACAGTATCCGGTGAACAACAGAGCACCGGTAACCTGCTTCTTAGTGTATCCAGCAATATTAGAGCTAACAACCGTCAAGCTCATGCTGAAGCCTAGGCCCTGGAAATAGCACAACCAGAGTGCAACAAGTCGGCCCCACTTGTTCGTGCTTGGTAGTCCGACCAGCAGACCGGCTCCGATGATGCAGACTATACATGCGACAATCATGCAGGCGAATCGTGAGTGAAACCTGCCGTTGAACTTTGTTGCGATCCAGCCGCCGGCGATGAGCGTCACAAACTGCACGGCACCGCCTGGGATTTGAAGATATTGGGTGCCGAGTGTGTCGAAACCGAATGTGCCGACGATGATGGAAGTGAACTGTTTAGTCCGTGACGTTAGTTTTATCTATATCCCAAGGAGCGAGAATCTTGGAACACATACACTAGTCAAAGCGGAATTCGGGACTTGCGCGCCAATCGCCATGACGAATAAAAGCCACGTCTTGGGATCTTCGGCCGCTTGGCGGACCTGATACCATTTGAACTGGCGAGTCTTCACGCCTTGGCGGTTAATCGCTACACGCTCGACGGCAATGGCTCTCTCGCGCTCGGTGAGGAACTTGGCGGTGGACGGGAGATCCGGGAGGAAGATCAGCGCGGCGATTCCCACTGAGGCGGAGACGGCTCCAAATATCAGGAAGACGTACATCCATCGTGGGAGTCCGGTGGTGATGTGTCCGACGGCATATCCGATGAGGCTATCCTGCATTAGGTTATTCTCTTCTGGTGTTCTTGGGGCAGGTCGCTTACCCTCCAAACATTGTTGCGATACCGTTGGTGCAGTACCAAGCTTCGAGACGCAGAGGCTGCTCTTCAGAGGTATACCACATGCCTGTCATCAGGACGAAGCCAGGTGTGACGACTGCTTCGGTCATTCCCAGGAGGAAGCGGTTGATGGCGATTCCGGTGAAGTTGTAGCATGCCGGCGTTGTCATCAATAGGCCACCCCAAACTGATACAGTTAGTCTGGCCCTGGGTTGCCGTTACAGGATCATCGCTTACTTATAGTAGTGATGGAGAGGAATCTGCCCACCGGCAGTTTCTGCATTGCATATCCGGCAGGCCATTGTGCAACGAGGTATCCGAAGTAGAAGATAGAACCTAGATATGTTAGAGGTTTATACACTGAACTGGGGGAACCTAAGAGATACTCACCAAGCCACGAGTACTGCTGTCCCTTCAGGTGTGTGTCCTGCTTCAGGCCATAGACGGAGGCAAAGTTGATGCTGTTCTTGTCCAGGTACTGGGGCGGGTTAATACTTCAGATAGAATTCGGGAGGAGTATGAGATTCTCACCTGGAGCATATAGATCAAGAACAACAATGGAATCAAACGAATATCAATCTTGCGCAAAACCTTTTTGGCTTCCTGCCGCGTGTATTCGATACCTTGGTGCTGTTTATAGAATTCATAGTTCTCGTCCCGCTCTGATGAACCAGTCGCCGAGCTGCTAGGCGACAAAGCGTCCTCGGGATCCTTCTTCAATGACATGTTACCAGGACTGGACAATTCCTCGAGAGGTAAGCGGGTCGAAAAAACAACCCCTGCATCACAGGAGACAGCAGGGTTTTAAAGGAACTCCTGCTTCAACACGGGCACGGTTCAGTTCGATGGCATAATAGCCACGATCGGCCCCACGCATCCTAGCAGGGAAGGTTCCAAAGGGAGATAAACAGGACTCAAGCTACATCTGGAAGCTACACGGGATCCGTATCATCAATGTCTCCAATCATATAGCCTGCTATGTGCTGACCGGCGGGCGACAAGCAATAGCTTAACGGTCGGTGAAGGCCCGAACTGGTAAGTAAGCGTTTAGAGTGGCTCAATCAAGATACATGGCTGATCTTGCCGGTCGCTTCAACTGGCTGAAAGCAGGTGCCTGAGAGCGTTGGGGTGGTTTGAATTATGCGGGTGGAGCTTGGGGATCACGACATTGCCGCTGCAATTGCGCATTTCGAGGGGAAGATGAGCAATCTGCCACGTCGCGGACTTGGATTCGGAGATACTCCGTGCGAAGGAAACAAGAGACTTCATTCGGTTTCGATCAGGCTGTACTCTCAGCCTAAAAGCAATCTGAAGGTGCAGTAGCTTGACCTGGGTTCTCTGTCCGGAGCACATACTGTAGTATACTTGTCTTGGCGCTCCAGATTTCATCAACGTTCGGCAGTCTCCAGTAATTCGAGATTTTGCCAACAAATTATATCCCCTGTTCACCCTAGCGCGTCTATGGATCGTATCGAACTGGTTACTGCTGTCTTACTGGATGAGCATGGATGCACAAACAAAGTGCAAGTCCGAACGGCCAAATTGCGGGGAAAACCCCTTCAAGATGTGTACAGACTACAGAGTAGGCTATCCCTTTTGGGGCTGTTCATGCCTGAATGCCTGACTGCCTGAATTCCTGGATGCCTGAATTAGCACCGGTCCATACACCGCTCTAGGTACAGACTGTAACTAGACTTACAGTACACAGTACGGAGTATGGTGAATTTAAAGGGGAACTAATCCATCATGTGACAATGTCACTCGTAGTTGCCTCGCCTCAACTTCTTAGTTCTTTTTCCATCCGCTAGTTATCAGGTCAACAAACTCTGTTCCGTTGATGCCTGGTTGCCCGAGGCATCACACTGTCACACATATGATAAAACTCAGCTAGTTTGCCTGCTCAGGCTGCTCTTTCTCTTTCTCTTCCTCCTCTTCATCCACCCGAATGGTCTGACGCGTTTATTCAGCCTCTGAAATAAGCCAAGAACAATACCTGTCCTTGCGAGTACTCACCGTGATCAAAAGTTACATGGACCAGGCAGTCCTGATATTCTAGGTCTAGGGGCTGCCTATACGGACGCAGTCAAGCGGCTATCCTAATTTACACCCTACGCAAACTACGTTACGTCAAGTCGGTCCGCCACCAGAGATCTATCTCACCTTGGAATCCTGGCAGAGATGATCTCGCACATATGACAAGCAGCCGCCACCATCAGCTCCAGGTACTTCAAGGACTGGCTGAGCAAATGGGAGATGACGACGAGACGGTAAACTTGTCCCTTGTGGAGCATCTGACAGCGATCACAGCGGCTCACCCAAGAAACGAACGGGCTGAGTGGATGTGGCATCGACTCGAACTCAAGGCCAAGTTTCGTGGCGCCTATCTCACAGCCAAACAGACGGGTACCTGAGGACGAGAAACGGCCGCCGTATAATTGTTATGGCACTCATCGAAACCAAGGCTCGCCCACGTTGGACACACGAACCGCAGGTATCTATGCAGGAGGGCGCGCAAATTGTGGCGCTCCTGAAAGACAGGAAGCCACCAGCCGGAGAGTAAGTTGCACAGTCTGCCTCGGATGCCCATTTAAGGTATCAATTACACCATGGCCACTAACTACGGGCAACTAGACCAGTCTTCCTCATCTCACAGGATGGTCCCGAGCTATATATAAGCACAGCGACTCCTTCAGCAGCCTACCTGGCGTACATCAAGAATCAGTCTTCCAGCCTTCACGGAGAAAACTTCCTGCAGATCCATAAATACGGGCCGTACGACATCAGAGAGGACATGAAGATGCACGCATTCTCATGCCTTGCCCTGAGCATCGTTCTGAAGGCCACCAGTTAGACATGCGCGCGGTAGGAGGACGAGTACCTGAGGACGAGAAATGGCCGCCGTATAGTTGTTATGGCACTCATCGATGCCAAGGCACGCCCCCGATTGACACACGAATGCCGGTATCCATGCAGGAGGGAGCTCTAATTGTGGCGCTCTTGAAGGACAAGAAGCCACCAGCAGGATAGTGAGTGTGACAGTCAGCTGCCGATGCCTATTTAAGGTATCAATTAGACCATGTCCACTAACAACAGGCAACTAGAGCGGTCTTTCTGATCTGCCGGGGCGGAAGCGAGCTCTGAATACCCGAGCGATTCCCTCGGAAGCCTACCTGGTTTATCTCGAGAATCAATCTTCCAGACTTGACCCAGCAGATTTCTTGCGGATCCATTGATACTGGCCATACGATATCACAGAGGAGGAGAACGTGGATAGGTTGTCATGTATTGCCTACGCACCGCAATTCAACCATGGGGATGGACACTAATACTCTCGCCAAAGATGGCTCATTGCCCGAGAAAGAGCGCATGAAGTCAAATGCCCATCGCGATAAATTTACGGAGGGAAATCTGGTAGTGGAGCGATATTTCAGACGAGACGAAAATCGATCTAAGAAGATGCAGCTCCGCTGGAAAGGGCCTTATCTCCCCCAAAGCCTCAATGCGGTACGGGCGACGATAGCCCCCAGGTCTGACTTTGATACTATCGGCCTTGTATTGCTAGGCAGAAAATCAGTAATATGCAATATCATCCAACCGGTTAACTATAACTAGTTACTGATGTACTCTCATTTGAGTTAGATTAACTACACACTCATCAGTAACTAGTTAACTAATGACTGCTTAGTTGCACCATAAACCTAGGCTACGGGGTACTATGACAGCCAAAACCGGGGCTGTGCAAGAATGGATACGTGTACTGATAAGTCTGATATCAAGGTCCAAGGACAGCAGAACTAAAGGCTGTCCTATCTAGAAGGTCAATCCGAATGAGAATAATGAATCCATGATACTGATTCTTGCTAACTATCTAACGATCTAGTTAACGAAGCTGCAAACTAGGTCCCGAGTCCCGACCCACGCCGGTTAGGCCGCGGGTGATCGGGGTGGTCGATAAATCCTTCAACCGGGAGTTGCGTGACTTTTGCGCGAAGATAGCTTGGTATCCGAGGTAAAGAAGGAATTAAAAAAATCCTCGAATATGTACAACTTTCGCACGATTCGGGAATGGAGAGTTCCATCTGGTGCCTGGCGTTTGTGCTCCACCCTCGTCGGATCAACTCTTCTCCCGGAGGGGTGTCCCCACATAACCCCCTGATTCGCTCAATCGCTTTTCTTGCAGCTCCGCAACGTACAATCAAGGTGCGATGGTAGGTGAAAAAGACACCATCTCACCAAGAGAACACGAAAGGATTGCTCGAAGCAAAGCAACTTCAGCTTCGGGTTCTCCTGGTTCGTGACCACATGCCATTGCATGTCCAGAAGGACATGTGTTATCCCCACTTGACGAATGACGAGAATGACGACAGAGCCGGACGGTCAAGCGAGGATGCAACTAGCCGTTGCAGACGAAGCAAAGAGGGACCCCAGAGTATGCCAAGAACCAAGGGCACTGCACCGTGATGGCGTCGTTGCTGCTCATGGTTCAGACCATGGCGGTTTCTCAACCGTGGTTCCCTCGATGAGGGATGGGAACCGAAAGCATCTCACGTGCAAGAAAAGCCTAGAGGGGACTATCCTGAGAGCAGTATAAGTGACTGATCAGCTCGGACACTTCCTTCTGGTTCAGACGAGGATAGGGTACCCACCACTCCTTCGGAGTGCATGTTCTTGCCGTATTCATAGCAGCATTAGGTGGGTGCTATTGCGGCGCAAGTTCGCCGCAGCACATGCGAGGAACACCGGTCAGCTCAAATTACATGCCGGGCAACTGCAACTCGATGCATTTCTATGGAGAGCAAAGGGGTCAGTCGTCTGATCACACAGTTTGCTTTGCATCTGGGTTGAATGGGAGCAGACATACTTACATCGCAGATGAGCCTAGCTCATGAAGCCGGCGCCGCCAGCGTAGCGCATGAAGTCCTCCGACTGGGTTTGGCGTGGCAGTTCGTATGGCCGTTCCGAGCACTCGAATGGCCGTCAGAAGGCGAGATGGAGCCAGTGTTCGCAGCGCGCGCCCGTGCCTGCTGGGGATCCCATACTTGTGATCGAGGATCCACAACGCTCTCGACTAGCCAGCCCAAACGTCATGGGCACTGTCCCGGGAGGAAGAGGCGCACCGGGGGAAGATTCGCATGTTGTCGTCCCGATGGAAAGCGCAATGGCATCTGTCTTGGAGGCGTGATGGCGGTAATGTCAAGATCACCTTTCTTTCCAAAGGTACCAACACCCCACTTCTTCATCTCTTTTTCTTTCAGCGTCAATAGTCTCGATCACCTCGCGTCTCTGGTGAGTGGCAGCCGACGAGGAGGATTCAGCAGGTTCGTGACTGACACTGTGGCGACGCTTGGTGCCGCGTGGAGGGTTTGGGAGTTCGTCGGAACTGGGGGAGCGAGGCGCATCTTGTCAAGGAAGAATGCCTTCCAAGGAGTCACATATAATGTGCAGTGTGATCACCCAGGTTGGGAAGGAGAACTGGATCCCCACACACTCAACGCCCGCTCCGTTCCCCCGCTCTCCCTGTAGAGCCGTCTGTCGGTCCTTCCGGGTCCCGATGCCAGAATGTTACCGCTTCGCTAATCAGCGAGTCTATTCTGGCTTCGGTCCGAGAGGTTTGCCTGTGAACATTCTTCATCACTTCCTTGCGCCGGTGATGGGTGGGAAGTTGACGGCCGAGTGCCTCCACCTCCCTGACGAGAGCATCAATGGCCATGTATCCAGTCCACATGTCAACCATTTTCAACAATCTTGTCTCCAATAGGCTTGAGGGCCTTGCGTCCTCTCTTGCCCTTGGGCTTCGCGGTCGCCTCGACAACTGGGGCAGGATCAGCTATCCGACATGTTGGCTACGCCATCGATGCGACCGTGAACAAAGGGTGCTCATGAACATGGTTCATACTATGGGGAAGAAGGAGTAAGTATGGAGATCCCACAGATGGAGTTGGGTCCTTGTCGCACGATGGCCCGGTACTTACATTACAGAATCTTGTTCCAATCCTTGAGGTCTTTCCCACCCAGCCCCAATTGGTAGGTTGTTGTGAGACCCCATTTGGGGGCTGCTCGAGATGGTGGCCGAGATGATGGCCACGCCATCGATGCGACCCTGAACCAACTGTGCGCATGGGCAAGATGTTGGACCTCGAAGTCAGGTTTCGCGAGGGCGGTCTGACATCGCAGACAGGATGATGGGAGGACTGCAGCCCAGGAGACAGTAGCAGGGGACGTCCTAAGACCTACTGAGAGCTGATGTGAATCATACTGAAAGACTGAGAAAGAGGCAAGAGATGTGTGTTGGATGTGTGTCTGTCTGTGCTTTGCCCCCTCTTAAGGCGAATGGGCGGTGAACGTAGCACGTGGCCTGAGACATAATCCTTGGAGGTGGTGTAGTTCTCCCACTACAATAGTTCTACGGGCAATAGTTAACGCTTACCGGTACACGCCTCAGGTGTCACTTCGGTGATTTGTCTCTCTCCATGCCGCAGGCCCGGCGTTGGGTCTTGTATATTGTACGGAGACATAGTCAGCCAACGGAGAGGTAGTGTTTGTCTTATTCAGTGCTCCCCGTGGTTGCTCTTTTGTCTCGTTGACAGTATCCACTTTATCCCGAGTTCCAGACGCGTGGTTAGCGAGCTTCCCGTCAACTGGCGAGCTTTCCGCCAACTGGCAAGGCTATCCCTACGAATTGTCCCAATAATCCCACTGGATCTGGTGTTTAAGTCTATGACAATGGGCATCAATTTTGTAAAGTTGAGTCACAAAATGCTCAGTCCCATCCACTTCGAACTCAGCGGTGCCTAGGTACGGAGATCAATACCTCGTGATCTTTGTACTGACTTTCTCTTAATGAACTATACCACTTTTTACGCTATCATCAGCATTCTTCGGCTGCCCGTTCAACATTTCAAGCCAATTCGGTTGCTAATGTAGTATCCTACTGCTCTCTGCTGACAGCCGAGGCATCGGACTATTCTCCTGCTGCCTTGCAACTTCTACGGGCAGGTCAGTGCCAACAATCCCCCCGTGGTCTCTTCTCAACCAATCTCCAGAATTTCATTGAAGTCAGAGGCTCCATCTTCAATCCATTCCCGTAAGAGGCCTATACCACTGGGCTTCTTCGTATATGTCAAATGTCCCGAAACCCCCAGAAACACATATCTGTTCACGTGAGAATAGGGTGAGTATGTCCAGGGTGCAGACCGGGCCGGCACAAGGCGGAGACGCAAGCTGCAGATGCCTCGGTGAAAGCCTCAAGGCGGAGAAATTGCATGCAGTAGAGATCACTCGTGACTTGGATCACTCATTCATCACACATGAGACAGTGGGGCTAGCGTTCCCTCGGTGACGGGAAACCTGTAGGAATCATGTCAGTCTTATCTCTATTCACCGGGTGCCTCGACGATATCGAAATGGCAAGGAAGAATCGAGAGCAAGCGTGTCACCCTGGTACCATGGCGTCAATTGGAACAAGGTGATTCGAGCGGGCTGCCCAAAGCTTGTAAGAATTTGAGAGTCATGGGCTTGGGGCCTTGGAGGTGTATGATCGGGTTGCCTGAGGTATGTCTTCGGAAGTCACAAGACATGTAGATGCCTTCATGGTCGTGGCTGCCTTTTCAGATTGATTGACTGCCCAAACAGGCAGGTAGCTCTTCGATATAAATATCTGAACTTCTCTCAGTTCTTGACTTTTCTTCTTCTTCTCTCCATCTCCCTTCTCCTCTTCCTCCTCTCCCCTTTCCCTTCTTCTCTCTTTTTCTATTCCCTTCTTCTATCTGCTTTGGTTGCTGCTACAAGATCGCCATTCATATGGTTACGCTGTCCGCGCAGAAAGACGTACTTCGGTACTAAGCCGGATTGACCAAAAACTTGTGGGTCGGAGCGATGATCCGTAGCAACTGTCTCTTATTCTTATCTGATGCACCTCACCTGATCTCCTCCTCGTTCCTCCTCCTCCCTTCCTCTGTCTGATTTGGTTCATACTTTGATTACACACCCTCGGTTGCAATGTTCCATTTTACCCCCGAACTACCCCCAGTGGACAGGTGTGGTCTGGGGGTTGGACCCCCGCAAAGAGATGTACTTCGGTACTAGCGGGAATGGCCAAAAACTTGTGGGCTGGAGCCACGGATCCCCCAGAACCAACCACACACTGTCTCTTATTCTTATCTTGATGCATCATAGCATCACTTTGTCTATTATTCTTGTCTTGATGTCTCTGATGTATATAGTGACAAGATCTGACGGCTTCTCTGTCAGATCGATGGTCCGCCTGTTCATGATCCAGAGGTGCGAGTCTTCTGTGGTCAGTTCATACAGCAGACGACAGAACAAAATATTCCGCCGCCTTTATGATCAGTGGGTACCTCACCGATAATACTGGCACTGGAAGACATTCCTAAACCCAATATGTCCTGTTGGTAGCTTGGTCTTTTCTCAAAGCATTCGCGTCATGTGTCTCTGATGTTCTCTATTGTTTCGTTGTCTACTATACCAACAACCAACCTATTTCATAATCCAAGAACCGTTATAATCTCCGTGCCTGGGTGCTTTCTATCCAGTTAGCACTGTGACCATCTTCTGTGGTATGGACAGGTAGTAGATATGGGGCACGTGGGGGATCTGCAAATATCCGTCAAAACCCACTGTGGCGCGTGGTTAGCGAGCTTCCAGCCAACTGGCAAGTCTGTATCCCTCCGAATTGCCCCAATAATCCCACCGCGACACGTACTGCGTCTAATCTGGTTTTTGATTCTCCCCAGATACCATCCTTGCACATCTTGCACTATCCGCCACCTACTAGGTAGCCAAGCCTTCTTAATTAAAGCCAAGAGAACTGGATGAAATAATTGTACAAACATCGAGGAGCAGAAAGTAAGGAAGAAAGCAATAGTTGCCAGGAAATCGTCTACAGACCAGAGCGACGCCAATCACGGGACATAACACTACAACCACACAAATCACAACCCCCCTCCAGACCGTAACACTAAACTCAGTGACCATCCCCTGTGTTATTGAAAGTCTTGTTCAACCACGCATGGATCGTTCTGGAAAGCTCCTGTCCAGCGCCAGTCTGGCAATGAAATCCAGCAGCTCCCTTAAAAGTATGCAGAGTAGCCCGGTGGCCCAGCGCATCCGCCACCTGCTTCGGCTGTCCGATGTAGCTGCTCTCCAGCTCAGCGTCACCCACAAATACAGGGATCCTGATTTTGTGGATGAACGACTCCACGTTGTACGATTTGATCTGGGTAAAGAAATCAGAGGGCGAGTGCGTGCGGAACGCCCACAGACCTTGGTCGATGCCCCAGGCGGCGCCGGTGGGGAGCTTCCCGGCCTCTCTAGCGGAGAGGAGGACGTCGTCGAATTGCGTGTAGTTACCTGCCTCATAGATCGCGAGAAGTTCAGGTGATAACTCTCTTGCGTACGCAGCGTAGTTGTCCCAGACGCCGTCGATCAAGACCGCCGCAGACAGGCGAGGCTCGAAGGCCGCGGCACGGGCAGCCAGATAGCCGCCCATAGAGTTGCCGAGAAGGATGAGACGGGTGCTGTCAACGACGTCCTTCTTTTCTGAGAGAACATAGTCCACAACGGGGGTGACGACCTTCTCCCAGTCGGGGATGAAACCCAAGCCCTGGTTACGGCGCACAGTTGGTTGGCCCGGGCCCTCGTAGGTGATGCAGTTCCATCCTCGGGCCAGGGAGGGCGCGACAAAGTTGTGATAAGAGTCCTCCTGAGCAGCGTCGAATCCGTTGCCAATGATTAACGTCGGTAGCTTCTTGTGCTTACTCTCGGAAGCAGAGTACCAGATGGCTTCAACGGTGAAGTTGCCCTTGGTGGCCGGGATGCGGATGCGCTTGCCAGGAATAGGCAAAGCAGCTATCCCTTTGTTGAAAGCATCAAGTTGCTCGTCCCACAGACTTTCGATGAGCGGATTGCTCCAGTTGCCGTGGAGGTAGTTGTCAGCCTTGCGGAAATACCCCGCGGCAGAGAACCATGTGTCCCTGACATTGACGGGGTCGTAGGCATTATCCGGGTCTTCGGCCTGGGCCTTGGTGTCATTGGCGAGCTTATAGAAGACCTCGGTGAAGGATGTCATGTTTCCGGCTTTGACATCTTTGGCGGCGGCAAGAATCGGTCCGACGTCGCCTCCTCCGGTGATGGACTCACCGAGAGGAGTCAGCAAGTCGAAGTTCATTGTGGAGTCATTGCTCAAAAGCAGCAAGGGGCTTTTAGAGGTATCGTATGCAGCGGACGCTACACCGGAATGCAGGGCAGCGGCCAAAAGCGAGGCCGCGTAGGCAGAGGAATGGAACTTCATCACGAAACTCTGAGTGAGAAAACTTTCAGGGAATTGTGATGACTTCGTTGCTTGTCAAAGCTATTGTGTTGGGGTGACTTCTGTGATAATTTCTCTTCCATCTCTTCAACTTTATACCTCTTCCCATGTCATTGAGATAGGCAGCCATCATCTTGAAGGGATATACTTCGTAGGTTAGGCCTTTCTCGGGCTAAACCGCATCGAGTATGGGTTTTGCGACTGCTTTTCCTCATTGGTCCCGCCCGATACGCCGTACCCGCCTATGGTCCACCTATGACCCACCCGTGTCCCGCCCGTGACTCGTGAGGCTCCGAAATTTCTCAATCCCGTATGCCGAATCCCGAATGACGATACCGGCAAGCCATATTAAATTTAACTATTAACTTCACCCATCGCAACAGAATTCCTCTTTTCAGCATCCTCGCTATCACAATGGTCAACCGTGGACGCTCCAGAGCCTGCGTCACATGTAAGCAACGCCGTGTGAGGTGTGACGAGGCGAAACCCGAGTGCCAAGCGTGTCACCGACTGAAGCTTCGCTGCGGCGGCTACAACAGGCCCAAATCTGTCAAGCTAAAGTTCAAGGACCAGAATCACAAGTTCTGCAACACCAACCAAGATGTCAATTGTCGCAGTCAGAATGTCGTGAAAAGGTCGACTAGTTCGGGTGGGCGGTCTGAGTTGGATGTTCAAGACCAGAAGGCTGCGAGGGCTTTGACTACGCGGCAGCCTTCTGAGCCCGACACCGCCGTGCCGTTCTATCTTAGCCATTATGCCAGCATGGGCCGCGATATGGGATCCACGCGCGGGTTCTTCGAATTGCTCATTCCAGCCTATCTGTCGGAACGGGAAGAATCGCCACTCTCGCTTGCCGTTTCCGCCTTGGCTTCAGAGATCTTGTCCTTGTGGCGGCATGACGCCAGCAGTTTCCGATCACCGCGGAAGTCCTATTCCCAGGCAATTACGCGCCTTCGGGCTGCAATACAGGATCCCGTAGAACGTGGCAAGCCGGCAACTATGCTAGCCGTGCTGGTGCTGCAGACATACGAGAATGCCTCTGCGGTTTATGATCTTCGCCGGGTGTCAAGCACGCACCACAATGGTGCAGCTTCTTTGCTCTCGTTTCTGGGCTCGCACGACATGGACGGCATAGTGCGAGCCTACCTACAAAAGTTTATGCTACATACCGAAGTTTCAACCGCAATACGTCAGAAAAGGCCACTGAGGAGTATCGCATACTCATGGATTGGGAGCCAAGATACGATGGCTGTGCCAGACAACCCCAGCGCAACACTCGATGCCATAGGGATATCCGTTGCTGAATTGCAGGCCAGCTACACGCAGTTTGTGACGCAGGGTAGCCCCACGACATCGTTGGGCCCTTTTCTGAAAGAGTGGATGGCGGATGCAAAATCGGTTGATGCAGAGCTTCTGGCGTGGACGGAAGATGTACCGCATCACTGGAGACCGGTAAGGCTAATAAGTGGTCGGGATATTGATTCGTCCATACCCACCTACCGGTCTGTTTGTGAGGTGTATCCTTCCTGTCAAATTGCCAGCATTTGGAATCTATGGCGGTTCCAACGCCTCCTGCTCGCCAAGACCACACTCGGCGCCCTCAGTGCACTCTCAGATCTGGGCTGCGCTGGGTCCGCCAATGGGCATGTTCTCTATCACAGTTCAGATTTCGTCAACTGCCAACAATTACTCCAAGAACTGGTCGATAGTGTGTGCTACAGCATACCCTTCTATCTCGGCAATCGAACCACCCCAGTCAGTCTCACAGATTTCACTGACCGGATGGTTCTTCTTCCCAGTCATTATTCACTGGGAGCGGAATCACGACTGGATAGGGATGGACTCGATGCGGGCATATCGATGGACGACCACAGGCGCCACGTCATTGCGCAGGGGCCGTGGCGCGTCATGCACCCGCTGAGCCACCTGTTGACGCTCTTCTCAGAAGATCACGGAGAGCTGATATCGACCTTGCTTAGGCCTGGACAGCAGGAATGGATCCGCGAGCAGTTCCTGCGTGTCGTCACGTTGCTGCATCTTCCGTCGGAGTCGGGTAAGGACATGGAGAGTTCAGATTCGACGCCATCTGCAGATTCTAAGGCAGAGTATCTGGCCAGAGGGATTAGGAAGGGCGCAATCCTTATGAGTGGGCCGTAAAGTTTGGACAGTTTATACTGAGTGAGGTCTAGTACTGGCCACTCGCTGGGGGGATCGCTGCGTATGCGTTATCTTAGGATATACCGAGGTGCATATCTGGCTGGTCTCATTCCATCCATGCTTTCACGGGCAAATCAACGAATAGAGCCGGGTTTGGTTGAATAATTACACAGGGGCAAACAATAATATATACACTTCAGCTGGAATAGCCCAAGCAAAGCTGGTACCCAAAACCTGATTCCCGATCTTGCTTTTCAATACTGAAGAGGCTCTGGTAGAGTGTGAAAAGTCTCAGTGAACCAAGCATCAAAATCAATATCCTGCGGCCAAGGCGGTATCTCATCGAATTGTGTACCGATCACATCCTGGGAGCCAGCATTGGAGAACCCACCAACAGCTGTGTCAGATGTATCAGGGCCCAGACTCATTCTTGCGAATGTTGAAAACTTGGCCAATATATCCATAAAGTCAATCGTCCTGTTACTGGCACCCGGTGAACCTAAGGCAGGATCAGCAGTAAAGATTGCATCGATCAGTGCAACGCCTCGCTGAGCAAGGACGTCATTGATTCGAGCATCGAGACGGAGGCGGGCAGCCACGATTGCATCCCTGTGGCTTTGCGCGACATCGGGTTGATCTTCCGCGATTGCGTTCACTTCGAAGCATAAGATGACTGCAGCGGTGATTGCAAAGGCGGTATGAGTCCAGATGGAGACATCCTCTTCACTGACAATCACCTCGTGCTCGCGCAGAATGGTCATTGCAGCTGCAACACATGTCCGTCTTGTATAGATGTAGTTTTGGTCATTGAAAGACCGGAAGAGGAAGGGCCGATGGATCATGATGATCTTCTCGGCTGCAGTGATGGCGAGACTTCGCCGGGCAATAGCGAGCCAAGGGATGCGAGCTTCTTTGTATCTGTCCGCGCGCAGAAGAAACGGAGGTATGTTCTTTACAACGCCTCTCATCTTCTGGTCTATCTGCAGTATATGCTCGTATTGCTCTCGCATGGGCTTTCGGGCTTTCATTGGACCGAGTCCATCAACTAGCCCCGGCATCAAGTATGCCAGCTCCACGAGCACGCGAACATAAGTGCTTATGGTGGGAATGGTAATCGGCTGATCCTTCAAGTCATCTTCGCTTGCATTCATCGGACGACTTGTAGAGTAATGCATTGGCGAGATACTATAGCTGTCGGTAAAGGGGATGGCGAAGTGGTCTTGGATGATCATTTGACACCATACTCTTTTGCCCACTTCTCGCTCCACTTTCTCGTCCCATGCTTCTCTGCCCTGAGGAACGTTCATGGGATCGTCCTGAATTTTGTGGATTCCAAGACACTCGGCAATGCGTACTGCTGCATTGAACAAAGTCGCATTTAGTTCGCTCAGGCCAAGATTATGGGCTACCTCTGTCGAGATGGCAATTGCCTGAACGGAGCGAATTGAGAGGTTTTCAAGGAAATTCGAGTCATAGAGAGTCTGTACCATTGCCGCGAACAGCTGCTGACTGGATTGCACCGCCCGCAGATCGACGCCAGCAATCTCTCTTGCTTTTGCACTATCTTGAATGGAGCTAACGGTGGAGTTCAAGACAGAGAGATACAGAGCTTGCCAGAGAGGCTCGTCCATTCTTCCTGTCGCCCAGTATAACTTGCACTCTTCGAGAAATGTTGGAGCATGGAAGCAATTATGATGCCACGCCAGATGATCAATGTGAAATTCAACCAGCTTGCGGGCATCAACAATGCTTGGAAGCATGGCTTCCATTTGAGCAGTGGGGACGTGAAGTGGAACAGGGTTTACTAGGGGGCCATCTTTGCGATATTGACACGCGCACGTCCGGTGCGGGAAGCATCCAGCAGAGTTACGCCCCCAAGCAAGGTGTTCAATTGCTGTCAGAAGTGAAGATTCAGTTTGATGTGATGTATTCTCAGTCACGCTGAGCGACGCTTTGCCAAGTCCTTGATCCGTGGTGGTACTCGGTGTACCGGGATCCTGCTGTGTCGAGGCAGCATCAGATACGGGCCGTTCTGGTGGATCTTGGCCAGTTTCTAACCGGAATATTCGATCTTTGATCTTTTGAGTAACATGGGACACCTCATCAGAGGAGAGCGGCTGGATGTCTCCCAATAATGAGTTCAGAAATTGGATTTCAGACCCGTGTTGCACGGCGTTGCGTCTAAGCTGAACAACCTCTATCGAGCACTTCAAGTTCAAGCGCTTGCATCTCGAGCATGGTACCTGCTTGTCACATTTTCTTTTCCGCTTGGTACATTCTGCGTCGTAACAGTCAGCTGCATCCCGATTTGCATGGGTGGAGAGGTTCAGGGTTTACCTCGGCAGGCTTGCGGCTGACGCTGCGACACACGGACTGTGGTCGGTTGGGACGACGCAGATGCGCTCATTGCCCGTCAGCCTTGCATTGGAGTTGTTCTGCTTTTTAGGGGAAGCTGAATACTCCAGGACCCCGCAATGTTCAGGAGAAGTGGACAGTGCGGAGGTCTCCGGCGGCAGAAGTTTGCCGAGTCTTGGCACTGATCACCACGTGGATCGGACCTGCCGTGGAGCTACCATTGTTGATTCCACATCTTAGACTGCAGATCTACGGAAGTTACGACTGTTAGTCTGTTTGTTGTTTACTGTCTGGGGAGCAATCGCCAAGTTGGGTAACTGCGCCTCAGATTTGCCACCAACCTTGGAACTCCCGTGTGGCTGAGTGCCACGAAGCCAGACATGGCCCAGTCATAATATCTGCATTGTTGTTCATAAGGCACATTGACTATGTTCAATTATTTCAAATCGCGTGGTGCCACAAGCGGGCTTCCTTCAATCTTCGAAAAGTCATGTGCATCATAACATGCCTGTCTTGAGTTCAGAAAGCTTGGCTCGGCGCGGGCGAAGACATCCTTCTCGTATGCGGTGAGAGAAGATGACAAGTTGACGGATTCAAAAGATCTGCTTGTTCAAGAGAGGTAATCAGGGTAAGGTCTTGGAAAAAAAAAGATTTCTAGACCACCAGAACCTACCTTGGCTGCTGCATATCAACATGCTTAACCAAATCCAACACGTCGACGATTGCGTTGTTGGCGCCTTCCCCACGGACTGTTCGAAGTTAGCAATGCAGATCCCTTCAAGACCACATATCATCCGCATCGGAAAGGGTAACATACACATAGTCATGGTGTGTGCCGAATCTCCCACCAGCACGGCCCGGGGATGCGCATGTTTCCTGCCGAGGCGGAACATCCAATCCTCAATACGAATTGACCGCACTTCCGCGTCTTTCGGGAGCTTGTGTAATAGCGAGCGGAATGGTTCGGACCAATTCTCAGTCAGCTGTTGCATCAACGCAATCCGCTCAGCGTTCGAGTTAGGAACGGCGATACCCTTCGAATCAGCCCAGGAGATGATGATTTGACAGTGATAGCGGTCCTTGCTACTATTTTCGAAGTTGCTCGGGGTGTCTAGAACTATGAAGGGATCAGCATTTGATGTATTCCATGCATGCCCTGCCAGACGTACAACTGAAGAAGAGAAACACGTTGGTGTCTGGATGCGATCCCTGGAAGATGAAAGGGTCGATTGATTCCGCACCGTCCAACTCCTCGGCACTGTACAGTGTTGATACCCCCAGGAGCTGTATTGGTAACTGGTTCATCTGCACGCCTGGGTAGAGAATCTCGCGCGTACGCGACCGTGCACCATCGCATGCGACCAGTAGTTTCCCGGTGAAGGATGTGTCATCTTCAAAGTGCGCAGTGATTGTGTCGGCAGATGACTCCACGTCTCGAAGATTTTTGTTCCACTGTAGTCATGCATCAGTGCCCATGAAAAGTAGGATGCAAAACAAAACGTCTGTACGGCAAGCGAAATTGAAAACTTACTTGAATATCCAACCCCTCAGTCAGTAACTGTCGCAGACGAACCCGGCTAACGCGAATGCGTTCAGCAGCGGGGACACTGTACAGAGCATCTCCAGACTTGAGGTTGAAGAACTGAAAGCGACCTACGTCGCCCCGTGCCGAAGCCTGCTTATTAACAAATGTCTCCGGGAAGCGCTCGACAAGGTGTTCGGGTAACAGCTCACGCAGAGCAGGAAGTGACCAATGCAGCGTTAGGCCCCATCCGCCGCTGCGAGCGTCTATCGCGAGGTCCCGCTCGAAGATCTTGAATGGTACATTATGCCGTCGCAGGTACTGAGCGAGGATGAGGCCGCTGATCCCCGCGCCAATGATCAGGATAGGAGGGTCGGACATGCTGGACGATGTATCGAGTGTAGTTTCAGTAAGACTTGTGCAGTTCGGTGACCTCGACACCTCCGCTGCTCGGAGTATGCCAAGTCGGACAGTGAACTGTGCTACCACCCTATGTAGATGAAACAACCTCCGTGGAAGCTTCGGAGTGGAGTCTCCAGGACGAGGTATCGTAAGCGTTCAGCCACGACCTCGGGAGGTTACACCCGTGAGTGTGACCGATGGACGGCCCCGTAGCGGGGGCCTAAAATAAGATTTGATGGGGCTGTCCGGACCGTGGTGGGGAGGGCCCACACAAATTCCTAACGCAGTAGTAGTAGTACAACTACTACGTACTTGTAGTATCTCGAAGACTCCATTCCATAATCCAAACTGAGTTATTTCTTTACGTGATGTTTCAAGCCCCTGAGCCCAAAGCTTAAACTCATCAGGATGCTGGTACACGCTATGCCAGATGTAGCCTAGCTGTGGAGCCGACCCGGTCGACCACCCGCGATTGGATCTGATAATTTGCACGATCCAATTCTGGCGCGCTTCGCGCCAGATACATGACTACGTGACTACTGTTACCTTGTATGTGCTTGGCAAAGAGACTGTACTGCATTTGACAGTAGATACAGCGTGCTCGCTTTTTTCTCCTTTCAACAATGCAATCAGATCTCCTCCCAGGGCGCATACAGACGATCTACACTGGCCGTGCCGGCTCACCCCGTTTCGGAATAGCCCTGCAGATCCCGTTCCTCTAGGCGCCCGGAGATTGATCGGGCGAATTGACCAATATGGCAATACCTTATAATGTTAATCCCTGCCGAACCTAAAAAGGCCGTCGGGACCCCGACTCGGGAGGATCTCCTGATCCGATAACTTATGATCGCGGCGCCGGGCTTTACAAGTGTACCGATTCTTTGAAGTTTGCCGGAAGCTTAGAGAAGGTGTTTTGAAGAATTGCGGACTACATTCTGTCGGCCGATGCCTCGATATGCAAGGAGTAAGGGATGGTCACACTACCCTACACTACACACCCAAAAGAGCATTTTATGTGGTACCTATCTACTATCTAGTTCTCGGCTTCTAACGGGCCAAACTCTCAAAGATAATTGTATTATATACAGGCCAAATGGCGATCGACACCATTCTCCCCAAGGTTCAAGCTCCTATTTAGTCGGATTACCTTCCGAAAAAACCGTATATTCCACTGTCATCTCAATACCCCCATGGTTCGGCTCCCCGCCGGCCAAGATAAGCTCCTCACTCGCCGTGCGTCTCGGTGCCCGGCCGGATGCCACAGACTGAATGTGAGAATGCTGATCTCTCGACCATTTGTCCATCACGTAGCCCCTATCATGGCTCCGGTAGTAATATCGCGTTGGCTTTTCAGTAGACCCAAATCCTCGCACAAAGCCCTTGAGTAGCGGTGCCAAGTATGGAGCACAAGTAACAATATTCTAAAACAAAGAAAAGAATTAGCCTTCATAGTATGCGTGAAGCTAGTCACTTCCACTTACGCCGACATTGAATTCGATTGTTCCCCATAACACGAGCATAGTCGAATTCCCGTCTCCAAACGCCACACGCTGGATCTGAGTAAGTCGCATGATGGAACAGATTGTCGTGAACAGGCCGAGGAGAAAGAGACACACGACGCCTGCCTTTTGGGCGGTTCTGATATTGAGGCTAAGCAGTAATGGGATGGGGAGGACTATGATGGCGAGGTCCATGATGATGGTGAAAATAGCGAGGCCGTAGAACGTTGGTCCTACAGGTAGACATGTACCCGGAACGTGAGCGTTCCATGCTCGTCGCACCTGTGTAGTGAGATGGCGGTTAGTCTTTTGCTTTTTGTTTGGCCTTTTTTGGTAGGGTAAATGGTAAAGGTCGAGAAGAGGAGGTATATTGTACCGGTGTGCAATTGAAGATCAGGCTCAGGGCACCGCCGATATGGCCCAGGGTGGACACCACGATGACAATCCAGATCACAATGCGATATACATGCTTCGATGTTCCATCGATGAGTCGTAAATAACTGAGGCAGAGGGATGCCTTGAAACCTGCGATGCCGATTTGGTAGAAGGGACGTCCGGCATAGTTCAACTGCGTATCATTGTCTCGTTAGTCTGCGTTTCGACTGCAATAGGCATAGTTAGTAGAGGCTGAAGGTAATCACCTTGACATATGTCGGATAATTTAATGCAGGTCGCTGTTTAAGCGGAAGACCAAGACCATATCTACTTTCTGCGACTGTGAGAAAGATCCCTCCTGTGCAGGTGGAGGTGGAGGTGCCCACGAGAGATGCAGAGTGCACTGTATATAACACTGAAGATCTTTCGACTGTCAGTTGTATCCCTCTTGTGTGACATGCCAACGTACTTACCATGCTAACAACCATCACATAGTCTGCCGCTGCCAATCGACTGGCTCGGACCCGAAGGAAAAGCCGCGAGCAGACGGTGAGAACCATCACGATGGTCAGGGCCAAGCATACCCCGAGAATGAGAGGGTACTGCGATGCAGCCTCAATCTCGGGCGTAGCATTGTGTACCCAGCCCATTGTCGGTGCAAGTAAATGGTAACTGGGCAGAGTGTCAACTGGCCCTTCAAGTTGGATTTCAGGTCCCTCTAAGCCCGATCAAAGATCTTATGCACTCATATCTGAAAAATTCTTGTCACACTGCTGTTTCCTTTTTGGAACTAGGGCCGATTGGCAGATATTAAACTTGCTTTTTCTCTTCAAGGCTAGCTTACTATCTCTCGTCTTGGCTGGGCAGTTCCTTTGATCCACTTCTATAAAGTTCATGTAGCCCTAATCCCTGTCTGAACCATGCGTAAATTGCCCATGATTTGCCGGGCAGAGTCTGTGAGACATGCAATATGTAACTCATGTCAATCTACCGGGATCAACGCGGCCTGCACGGTAAATTATGATTTGGTCGCATTAACCCATTGTGCCCTCCTGGGTATTTCCCACATTCTTTTTCGAACTCCCTTTTCCCGAGAATTTCGTTTGTTATTTCTGCTTTCCGTCTCAGGGCTCTTGTTCATTTATTTCTTATCCCAAGTTGCGATGGGCGAATTACACCCCAATGTTGTGTCACAACCTTTGAGCGCAGACCAAGCTGATGAGGCTGTGATATACCTTAATCGCCACGCAGATGGGGCGTCCAATCCGACTGTCAACCTGCGGGCGCTTCGTCGTAAGATAGACCGACGTTTGATGCCTTATATGTTTTGCTGCTATGTCCTGCAGTTCCTGGATAAGGTTATGCTGAATGTAAGCCGACCTCGTGGGACTTTTTCTTGATCTCACAGGGCTGACAAGTAAAAAAGTACGCAGCTGTCATGGGAATTAAGAAGGACTTGAATCTGGTAGGCAATGACTTCTCGAATACCGCAACATGGTTCTTCATTGCGTATTTGATCGCAGAGGTACCAAATGGTGAGTTCCTTGATCAAGTATTCCGCCAACGTCCCCATTCGCAGTGTAATTGCTGACCTTCAATGAGTAGTCTACTGCCTACAGAAGGTACCGCCCGGGAAGTGGCTCGGAGCGAACGTCGTCCTCTGGGGGGTCGCGGCTGCCGCCTCCGCTGGCGCTCACGGATATCGGGGCTTACTCGTCGCACGGATTTTCCTTGGTATTTTCGAAGCGACTGTAGGCCCATCTTTAATGCTCATAAGCAGCCAATATTACACCAGAAGTGAACAAGCTCCGCGATTCACGGTGTGGTATATGGGTCTTGGTGTGGCCCAGATTATTGGTGGACTCATTTCGTTCGCCTTCCAGCATGTTCAACATGCCTCACTCGAGAGGATGGCGGATTATGTTCCTTACCTTGGGACTAGTTACAGCTGTTGTCGGCAGCTTGACGTTCTTCTTTCTCCCCGATACACCAATTAAAGCCTCTTGGCTTTCTGACACCGAGAAAGTGGCGCTTCTTCAACATGTTAGCGAGAACCAGACTGGTGTTTGGAGCACCACTTTTGATTTGAAGCAGATCAGGGAGGCTGCTCTCGATGTTCAGTTATGGCTCTTGACAGTGACAACAATTTTGGTGTGTATCTACATTTGGTCCCTTCCATACTTCGGGCCGCCTGCAGCGGTACACTGTATATTGTACTGACCAGTGTGGCTGCGGCAGATATCCGTCTCGAGTGGCGTTGTGACAACATATTCCTCCACGTTGATCGCAGGATTTGGTTTCTCTGGTCCCATCTCAGCTCTTCTCAATATGCCATCCGGCATCGTCAGCATAGTCTTCACACTTCTTGTGGGGATCGGTATCAGAAAGACTTCGAATCGGTGGGCGTGGAACGTATTATGTACCATTCCCGGGATCATTGGTGGGGCGCTGTTGTCTTTCCTGCCCAAGACTAACAAAGCCGGCGTCCTGATCGGTATCTACCTCGTGAACGCGATTGTAGCAACTCTTCCGATCTTGTACCAGTGGACCATGGCCAATTGTGCTGGACATACCAAGCGTGCGTTTGCCAGTGCACTGGTGGCTGGGTCGTTCTCAGTGGGCAATATCATCGGCCCGCAGACATTCCAGTCGCGGGATGCCCCCGAATATCGACCCGCCAAGATTGCTGTGCTCGCAACGCAGGCTGCTGCCGCTGTATTGTCGGCTGTACTATTCGTCTATTACAAATGGCAAAATCGTCACCGGGATCAAATCAAGGGTCATGTAGACGAGAGTAAGATGGATGGGACGAAGTGGGCTGGACTCACTGATAAACAGAACCCTTCCTTCCGCTACGTCTATTAGACGTGCGATGAAGGGTCAAATACATCATTTCTCTGTTTCCATCATTTTGGAGCATTGGATGGAACGTCCTACGTGTGTAATATAGACACAGCTATGTGCCAGTCATGGTGGCGACGAGAGTAGATAGTTGGTGCGAGTGAATATAGTTATCGATGCTGCCCGTTTATGCCGTAAAGTATGTTCTTCCCTGCGTGGATGCTAGTTGCGAAGGTCTCTACTCCTTCTTGTTTGGCACACAGCTGGAACCCTGCACTTCCGACTGCTGCGATCGAGAATCCTTGTGGCATAGGCTTCGGTGTGTTCCGTTGTGTGCGCCGTTCTTTTCCGACTGGACAGGTGTCTCTTTCTGGCATAGTCGGCATACTGTCTCCAAGTAACGCTCGTTCCATCTTCTTCACCGTGTCCTCTGTGTGCGAGTGGTTGTATTCTCTTCGGATTGTTGGACTTGGGTTCTTAGTGCTGTCGACTCGCTCCACGGACGCTTCGAATTTCTCTGCTTTTTCGAATGCTGTGTCTCTTCGGTCTGCAACCTTCTGGTGTCTTGCGCTCGTCTCTTCCGTGGGTCGTCTCAGAATCTGGATCGGAATAGGTCTCGTCATCTGGCAAGCAACCTCTTCCTGCATAACTTTCCGTTCCTCACCCCGTGCAGGCTCCGGCCACACGAGTTGGAGGTTCTTACAATCGATGGTGACGCCTCTATCTGCGCACCAGAGTCTTCCAAGGATCATGTCATGCCGACCCGTGTAGGCGATCAACATGGGTACGTCGATCTGTCGCCTGTTGCCCACTATCAGCGGTGCTCGAACACCGTGAGTGATGGGGTTCGCAGGTCTCCCGTCAAAGGCGCACAAGGGTTGGGGCTGTCGGAGTCGTTTCGTACGGAGTCCACAAGGTGTCAGTTTGGGAACTACCCTAGGGTGAATCAATGCGTATACATTTGCTCCCGAGTCTACAAGGGCGTCGATCTGGAAAAATAGGGAGCTGACTGATATTTTCGCAGAAACAGTAAAGCTCTTCGTTGTCAACAATTTCTCTAGATCAAAGCCCCGAGTGGACTTCGATGAACAGCCTGAGGCGGAGACTTCCCCCAGACTCACACATTTCCCGAACTTGACGACGAGTCCGAATCCTCGGCATCCCTGAGACGTCTTTCTGTGGCGCTTACTGTTGCCATCTTCGTCTCCCCACTCTTCCCATCCTTGTTGTTCTCTGGGCAGTCACGACTGAGATGTCCCTGCTGCCGACAAACGAAGCACTTTCCTTCTTTCATAAGTGCCTGTCGCTCAGCATACGCCAGACTCTGCCTTTGCTCCCCGCTGGGAGTCGTGGTTCGGATGGTGTTGTGAGAACCCTTGTTGTCGTTCTCCGCGTGCGGTCTCGACCTGGACTTTCGGAATCGGGTCGAGGTCTGCATGCGTGACAGTCCTAGAGCGCTGCGTCTACAACTGTCCACAAATTCTTCGAGTGTCACGCGGTCATTAAACGCGTCCGACACCGTCAGCGTCTGGAGATCCGGCACTAGTTTCTCGAAAAGGTCTCCCTTCTGGAGCTCTTTGTCCGTCTGGCTCTGGAGTCGAAGACGGACGAAGAGCTCCAGAAGGGAGACCTGTTCGAAAAACTAGTGCCGGATCTCCTCCGGTTCTTCGTCGGGCCATATTCTTCTCTTGCCGGATCGCGTCGTTGACATTTTCGTTTTTTCTGAGTCTGGTTCTGGTTCGGTTCGGTTCGGTTCGGTTCTGGTTCGGTGGTCTACCGGAACGTCAAGACCGCTGTGCGAGGGCACGCAGATGGCGTTCACGAGGTAGATGAAAAGATAAAAGAAAAGTGAGTCTTGTTGTAGTGTGATGACGAAGGTTGTGAATGTGAGTTCAATTCCTTTTACCTAAGACAACAAGACTAGTTAGTTAGAGAGGAAAGAAAAGAGAAGAAGAGAGGAGAAAAAAAGGGGTAAAGAACAATACAGCCGAGATCTTCCTATCACGTGATACGTCCCTTCCTCCTAGTCCTCATTCTATGTGCTCTCGTCACAGCAACAACCAGGTGATGGGGTACTAAGTTCGTCGCGACGGCGGCGCGCAGAATTTCTAATATCGGACTTGTCAGCTAGAGGACCATTCGTTGTGTTGTGTATTAATTGTTGGCCTCTGAGCCTGTACCCAAGGACGGGTTAAGTGGCCTTGAGGGTGTTGAATCTCGAAGGGTCCTTTGGAATGAATTGACATTACCTTGAGCAAGTCAGTGTGGGTGACAAGAAATCAGTTTTGCCTCGACTACAGTCGCATATAGTGTCAACGCGTGGGAGACATCAACATATAGAAAATAAAAAGCAATGGGCCCAGTCGAGATGGAGCGTAAGATGAAGTGAGAGCAAGCAGAACGTGACGTCAGTTGTGATTGTGTGAATAGACCCAAGAGGGAAGAAGATATATTGGAAGGTGAGGAGACAATTACTGTTGAGGTGAACAGGTAAATTCGAGCATCAAGATAAGGAAGGTAGGAGAAAAGGTTAGCGGCTTCATACAACGTGATGGAAACGGAAGGGGAAGTTCGGGTAACCTCAATGTGGAAAGAGGGTGAGGCGTGAAGGGTGAGATGGATAGCATCAAAATGGAAGGAGATAGAGGTGAGAGAATGGGAGACAAACAATGTCAAGGAACACGAAGGGGAGATGAAGAGCACCAGGAAGGGAATCTGTGAATAGCATCGCAATGGAAAGAGAGAGAGGTGAGAGGATGGGAGACAAATAATGTCAAGGAAGGAGAACGGGGGGAGATGGAGAACACCAGGATGGGGATATGTGAATAGCATCAAAATGCAAGAGAAAGAAGTACAGTGGAAGATGAATAGCATCAAAATATACCAAAAAAGTGCCCCATTACCTACCAGTGGGTAGGTACTCCAGACCGCTCCTGGACCATCAGAAGCCCCGGGGGGGCTACGAGACTTCTCCAATCTTCATCGCCTGCACCTCCACCCTCTGTACTAATCTACGGCCTCCCTCCTAAGTAACGCCGTCCGCTGCGACAGAAGTCCTTTGGGTCAAAGCGCGGAGGGTTTGCCTAGCGTAGTGCTTCGAGAGAGCTTTGGCACAGACGAATCCAACAGGCAGCGGCTAGCAGAGTAGGATCACGAAGAGGGACTAGCATTAGCCTGGCAATCGTGGTTTCCCATCGAAGGAGCCCTAGACACCCTATTAACCACTAGACCACTGGGGGGGGAAGGTTGAAAAGGAGCACAATTTCTTCCTCATAAAGGAACAAATGGTATTTTAGATCGGCATTTTGGTGGCTTTATAGGAAGGCTGGGGGGCTGAAATGTAATATATAGAATCTGAAAATACCCAGCTATGTATCTGCTAAGTTATAGGACAATTGAACAAGTGGTGGTGGTGGTGGTGGATGGGAATATAACTTTTTGGGGTACATCCATCTCGACGCAAACATGAGGCTATTCAGAGCACAACTCTATGCCGTGGGCATGTGACGTATCTTGCCTTGAATCTCAAGGCCCGGGGTTCAATTCACGACATCGTCAAAATTATTATTCTTTGAACGCATACCATTTCCTGGTTCTTATGAGAAGAAGAAAATCGACACACGACCCACCAGCCCATATCAGAACACCATTAAAGTCCTCTCTCACCCACGCCAGTCTCCCCAATGGGATAACCAAGTCGAGTCTCGTACGCCTGTTGACGGTACAAATACCCACTCAGCTCTCAAAGCCAGGAAATTTAAAATACCATATCTTCCTGAATCAATCCTCAACCTTCGTACGAATGAGTCTTCGGATGGCGTTCCATAGGCTTATCTGGACCCGTCTCATCCAGAGGTCTGCAGTTCCACGGGCATCTTGCTAGATTATGTCTTGCCATCCTTCGATAGGTATGGCCCTTCCCAGAGCGCTCATCACAATCATCCTGACCTAGCTAATCCATGATTTATCTTTATATAGAACCCAGGACTGAACGCCCAGCAGACTGATACAGGACCATATGGAATATCATCTGAATTGGTAGGTATATGCATTGCTAAATACACAGCAATCTACTATCCAGAGATGGGTGTTTTTCCGAAGACTGTGATGTCAAGCAAGATGCCAGGTAGTCGAACAGGCATCACTCGTCCCTTCCTTGTCATTCACAATGTCCGCATTGTCCATCGTTCCTGCCATTGTTCAATGGCGTTGCTATGCGCTTAAGTAGATTGTTTTGATTGTTTACTTCTCCTATATGGTGCAATTAATTTGAACTTGTTCACCATTGTTTACTTCTTATTTCATGGCCTTCACCTCCGGCACTCTACATTCCGTTTTGCACATTTATCATCTTCCTGAAAGTCGTCTTTTCTAAACGTCAATTTTCTGCATCTTTTTGCAAATCTACCAAGATGTTGTTCAATTTTCCCCTGACCTTCGCGCTTCAGCTTTCCTGGATTGCTCTTGGTGTTGCCAACCAAGACCTAACAGTTGTATGTTTGCTCCCTCAAACGATGATTGAGCGTTGATCTAACAACAACAGACTATTCCATGGGTTACGGACGCGCCTGATTACTTCAAGGGCTATGGAGCGAAGGTTATTGGCCTTGTATGTGTCCTGTCCCACATGTTGTTGATTTCACTAATCGCTCAAGTAGAAAGATGGAGCCACCGTCTATGGGATCAACTGTCTCCCCGATCAATCATCTTGCAACAGATTTAATCCTGATTTAACCGTTGCTTATGGACCAAGCAGTAAGTGCATATACAAACCCGCAAGCTGAATATTGTCCTAATCATTTTCTAGCATATGAGATGTTCGCAAGCGGCTACAACTTTGACTTCACTTCGGGTTGCACTTTGACTGGCTCTCCGACACCGACCGAAGCAAGCTGTACCGAGACAAAGTCGTTTCACAAAAAAGCTGTTGTTGACACGGCCACGGTGGTTGTCCCAGCCACAGGGACTGATTCCAGCCTAGGAATCTTCCCGGCAACCCTGATTGTCACGGATACTGGAGATTTGCCTGCGACTTCTACCGCCACTCGAACTCAGCCGGCCCAGTCTGACAGTTCCACCACTAAAGCCACCATCACTGCCACGGGTCATCCGATCATTCCTACCGCTAATGCCACAGTCGGATACCTGAACGCGACCGGCACTACCACTGGTGCCCCAGTTATTTGGCAGAATGACACTTCTTCAACCGACAACAATGGTCCAACGGTGACGGTGACGGTTCTCGCCAGCCCACTTCCTTGCCGCTGTGAATGTGACTGCAGAGGGACTGTGACCCCCCTGTCCGCGGCTATGAACTCTACAAAGAAGGAAAGTCATGCAGTCAAGATAGTGGCACCTATGGCGCTGGCGACTGCGCTCGTTGCTGCTGTGTTCTGGTATTGAATCGGTGGTGTGATTCCCTTTCCCGACAGGTACTCCGTCACAGTGTTAGCTTGAAGACTCGAAGCTGCGTCACGTGGCGAGATCTGGTCGGTTGATTTCAGGTACTGCCGGAAGCGAACCGCCCGGATTTAATGATCAAACGCTTTTCATTGGCTGGCCTCTCTTTTTTTTTTGGTACCTGACAGGAATGGATCCCGCGACAGCCAATAGGAGACTGTTCGCAAGACTGCCTACTCTGTCGTGCAATGGATGCTTAGTAGTGGATTACTCACGAGTCACAGCAGCTGATAAATCCTTCAGCCACCCGTCCGATCTACCGACGTTCAACCGAGTCATCTACCACAGTACGAAGTACTCTCATTAATAATGTACAGAGTAACCAATAATAGTGCTTGGTAATAGTCTGAAGTAGCTGGGTGCGGTGACAGATCTCGGCTTCTGTAGCTCCCGTATATCCGACTACATAGTATATTCTCTCTTCTTATTGGCTGTAAGTGGCGTGTTAAGCCGAGATGGAGACTATGGAGACAGCCCCTCGACAGAAATCGATGGACAAAAAGAAGACTGGAGAACATCTCTCGCAATGTATAAAAGCCCCATTCCACTCCACATATTCTTCCTCTTACTCGGACTCACACTCAACCACTTCCTCTCACTCTCAATACCCGACCTCCCGTCACTTAGTATATTCACAATGGGCTCCGTTCAACCTGAATACAAGAACCAGGCCACTGCCACTCTTCTGGAGTTGGTCAAGTCCCGCCGCTCATACTACGGTCTTAAGGCCGAGAGCCCCGTCTCCGACGATGTCATTGAGAGCATCGTTCGCGACTCCGTTCTTCACGTTCCCAGCTCCTTCAACACCCAGACCTCCCGTGTTGTTCTCCTGCTGAAGGAGGAGCACCAGAAGGTGTGGGATATCGCCATCCAGGCTATGGAGGGCCTTGTGGCTGCTGGCCATGTTCCTAAGGAGCAGTTCGAGACATCTACTAAGCCTAAGTTGAACAGCTTCCGCGCTGCATATGGAACTGTGTGTTTATCCTCTCGGAGATTGGTTTCTTCTTATTGTAATAGTGGACAATTCAGCTAACCGCGCAAACAGGTCCTCTTCTTTGTTGACTTTGACTCTCTCGCTCCTATCAAGGAGAAATTCGCTCTCTACGCGGACAAGTTCAACCCCTTCGCCCTGGAGTCGAACGCCATGTCCCAGTTCCTGGGTATGTGTTTTCTTCCTTTCTTAGTCTAACCTGACAAAATCTAATTTATCCTTAGTTTGGACCGCCCTTGAGTCCGAGGGCTTCGGTGCCAACCTCCAGCACTACAGCCCCCTGATCGATGAGCAGATCACTAAGACCTGGGACCTGCCTGCCTCATGGAAGTTGGATGCCCAGCTCGTCTTCGGTACTCCTACTGCCGAGCCTGGCGAGAAGGCCTTTGCTCCTATTGAGGACCGCTTCAAGGTTTTCGGTAAATGAGCGTTTTCACCTTGTTGTATATAGATTTAGCATTACGAATGAAAGCGGCATGATTTGAGATTTCAATTTGGATCTTCCTTCGTGAACATTGTGGCCGGGCTATATGTGTCGCGTGTTCTAGCTTTGGGTAAAAGTCTGGGGTTTGAGCTAGACATTATGCATAGGACACCCAGTAGCCGGGTAAGAATGGCAACGCTGAGATTCCCGCCACAGAGTCGGACGTTACCACCTGAACGACCATACCCCCTTCTCTTCCAAGCAACCGAAATGCAGATGGCGTTCTGTACCGCCGGTGCAGCGAAAGGGCCTCCACGCCCATATTGAAGCTCATCAAGGCAGCGAGCACCTTGCCCTGCTCTGTGGTAAGATAGACACACAGCTCATAACACACATGAGCTGGTGTGACGCTTGGATCAACGCAATAACTGTGTTACCTCTGAGACCAATCTCCCATGGATTGAGTGCTTGTATTGCAGAAGACACTGGGCCAACTAGTGTGATGGGGGCCATACTGTACACATCCCTGTGAAAATGCCCAATAGAAGTTTTGGAACGGTGAGAGCCGATTCGGATCGACATTTGACAAGTGACATGAATGCTTCGATCTCATCATCATCCTGATGAATCAGATCTAACATCTGGTCCCATCGTGATTTGAAGCTCTCATAATAAGCATGGATTCCCACACGCGTGTGAATGACGCAGCTGCCGTGCAGCTGAAATGTAGCCATGGGGATGGACTTCGACTTCGCCTAGGGGTTCTGGATTGATTCGTGTAGCATGCGAGTCAGATGAAGCCACAAGGTGAGGAAGGATCCCTGCATAGCATAGACCTGCCGGTCGCAACGGCAGCTCTATTCTATGTTCAGGTGAGCAACTACAGTGCCTGCGGGTTGGGGTTGGTGAATGAGATGAGGGTGTTGAAAATCGGCAGCCGGGAATTGGAACAACTGGACATTTGGGTGCGGATACGAACTGTTTAACAGTAATGGCACAGGATGTGGCCCTATTGGAGCCGGAGGCTGAAGGACGTTGGCCCACATGGACGAAGGTCAAAAAGGAAGCCTGGGAGGATTCAAAGGCCCCAGGAAGCATGCCAATGATGGGGACGTGTCGTTTCACGAACTGTATGTGGAGCCTCCGCCAACAATTCAGAGGCCAATGACCTCCCAATTGGGGCTGTTGTACAAGGCCATCGACGGACCGGAAGCTGGGAGATGTAGCAGGGGAAATGAAACGCCATGGGATGCAGGTGGAAACCGTGGAATTGCCGGAGGAGATGGAGAAGGATTGGAGTGTGCTTAGTGGTCTTCAACCAGTGAAAATCCGGGAGAGCGTATAGATCGTATAGATCGTATCAAGCTGGTCGCGTATTGTCGCTCCGCGACGAAACGTTCGTTACTTCAGCTCCTTGTCTTCCCTTGTCTTTTTCATCTGGAGATCCTTTCTTGTATTGCCCACGTTGAAGCTCGACGGAACGGAAGCAGACGGTATCAGCTCGTGACCTTTGTGTTTTCTAGCCAAGTCGAATAGCTTCGGGTCTTCGTTCCTTCTTTCGCATCGTACTTTCCACTCTCGTTCCATCGACAGCTTAGAACCTTCTTATCGAATTCCATCGTTCCTTTGATAGTCTCGATCTCCTCGACAGGTAAATATCCCATTCCACTGATGACAATGAAGTACAGCGTGCCAACACTGTTAGCTTTGCGCCCGAGCACAGACGTGCACTGCAAGTGGACAAGCCAAGCAAGACACTGTGAGTTTCCCTTTGATACTGCTCTTGATTTCCAGTAATCATTTCCTCAGAGAGGTACAGCTCATTGGTCTGCAGAAGCGTGGGCTGGTTTCTAGCACACCTCCCGAGCTGCCATTGATCGCAGGACCTTCGACTCGGCCTAACATCTTAATAAGAGGCTTTCTGACAATCAATATAGGCAGACTGTCGCGCCCTGGCCAAAGGCATAGGCCAGTTCTCTCTGCAAACCCACAAAGTCAGCGGAGCAGGGAGCCAGCTAAATCCTCCCGACCGAAAAACATCCGACATCGAAACCACCATAGGAGGGCAATGCAAGATCATACCATGACCCAGCAGCCTTCTGTGGAATCTCCGATCATGTTCCATGAACAGATACCTTTGTCCATGCGGGCCAACATCCTTCAGCTTCCGGCTCCCATAGGGCCACATCCCGTGCCAATGGCGTTAAACAGTCCGTATGCGCGCCCCAATTTTTGAGTAGTTCCAGTTCCGAGACGCGGATATCCAACACCGTCATCACATTCCCCAACTCCGACCCGAAGACCCTGCAGTTGCTCACCCGAACATGGAGCTGCCGTTCCGACCGGCAGGTCCATGCTATGCCGGGGTCCTTCCTCGCCTTATGGATCCATCTGATTCGCATGCTGCACGGATCAACCCAGAACCCCCAGGCGAAGTCGGAGTCCATCCCCATGGCCACATTGCAGCTGCACGGCAGCTGCGTCATTCACACACGTGTGAGGGGATCCATCCCTATTATGGGACCTTCAAACCACGATGGGATCAGATGTTGGACCTCATTCATCAATACGATCATGAGATCGGATTGTTCATGTCGACTGTCGATCTGGATCGGCTCTCACCTTTCCATAACTCGTATTGTGCATTTCCACAGTGTGTACAATATAGCCCCCAGCACAGGGGTTGGGCCAGAGTCTTTTACAATACAAGCTCTCAATTCATGAGAGATTGCTCTCTGAGGTCAACAAAGTTATTGCGCTTGACCCAAGTGTTACACCAGCTCATGTGTGTTATGAGCTGCGTGTATATCACACCACAGAGCGGGGCAAGGTGCTGGCTGCTCTTGACGAGCTTCAATATGAGCGTGGAGGCCCTTTCGCTGAACCGGCGATACAAAACGCCATCCGCATTGAGGTTCCCCGGGAGAGAAAGGAGTATAGTCGCTCAGGTGGTAACATCGGGCTCGGTGGCAGAAATCGCAGCGTTGCCATTGTTAACCCAGCTACTGGGCGTCCTATCCAAATCCTCAATCAACCGACAGGGCATATCGCAAACAACGGCAATGTGCCTATCGGACGCAATGGCCCGTTGACTGACGCTACCAGCCGACTGCCCAGTCTCGCGGGAGTAGATGGCTCCTACGGATGGAGCGATGATGATATCACGTCGTGGATTTTATCGATTGGACCTGCGGAAGAGGATTGTGTTAGCCATGACAGCCAGACAGTTCGGAGGAAGAATAACCGGAGAAGCCCTGTTACCTGTTGGTCCAGCCGGCGCAGATGGAAGGATGGAAAGATCTAAGCCAAACAATCTGGAAATGTAAGTTTCCTCATCGCAAACGGAAGCGCTTATAACATACTGATTCTCGGCGTCCAACATGTAGCGGTGCATACGGTCTGGATGGCTCAATCGCTCCGCATGGTACAAGTGGGGATGAACGTGTGTCTGAGAATATTGATCTATCAAGCAAAGAGGTGGAGGCGTAAGTTATCTCGTCTCAAACGGCAACAGTCGTAACATACTAATATTCGGGACCACAGCTGTGACAGTACGTCAAACGCTCCGTGTCATGAAGAAGTGGAGCAATGGGAACGGGTCCCTCATGATCCAACCCCCATCAACTTTGTTGTCCACGATCCAGGTCTTCAAGAGGATGCGAACGGTCAGGACAGTTCACGCCAGACCCAGCAAGCGGTTAGAGGCAACTCCGTCAGTCGACACATCCCCGCTTGGTCCGAACTATGATCAAGGAACCATCCAACAGAATGATACAGGCCGAATCTTCAGGTTAGATGATGAGGGTGGTTCATACGAGATGCGACGGATGTTTGGAGATGATTCCCTCAGTGCTGATCAGGACCTTGATTGCCAACAGAACATCCAGCCGGATTATACCGGCAGCACCGCCCTGCCTGGTTCGGCTGGTGAGCTACAACACTCGACTGATGAACTTGTTGACGGACTGATGTTGTCTTTCGATGGCACTTGAGGCGTCCCTCCGCTTGAACCCATTAACGAGTCTCCCCCGGTTGGTCTGAATGCTGATCAACACCTCTCCCCGAACAGATGACTCCTCGAACAACTCGGAAACCCCGCTGATACCTCGAGAAGGCACTCGTCGGCTTACGCCGCAAGCCAATATCTGCCCCCGACCTGCTCTACATGATAATGTTCTCGGGGCCAGTGGTTTACGTATGATCACAGCAAGTCTGGAGGCCCGTCGATGTCAGGGTCGATACCTGCGCCCAGACACGCCCCATCCCCGCGGGCGCGAGTCTCTATCGCCCCATGTGAACTCGAACGTTGAGATGGACCTAGCAAACTTCTTCGGTTTCCATTCCCCGGATAGCCAACAGGGTTCCGGGCCAACGCGTGGTTTCTCGACATTTATGAAGTCTAATGCTCAACATACTGCTGTAGCAGTAGTGAATACCAGGATGATCAATGCTGCTGGGCATCCGCACTGGTGCTGAATTCCAAACATTATACCTCCATATCATGTCCCTGGGAGAGTCGAAATGACCCGGGGCTCTTGTTTAAGTATTTAGCGCAGACGACACCAAGAAAAAGGACTTGCATTGTTATCACTCGTCCCGGTAAAACTGTAAAAGAGCCTATTCAGCTCGGTATTGCTGGATAGGTAAAGGTCTATATCAAGGCGGAGCTTTTCTAAATCGTCGGTTCCATTGAGGTTATAGCCCGGTATCATACCCCAGTGGGCTTTAGATCGAGATCCTGACTATGGCTATTGTGGTCGTGTAGATAGAGAAACTTGTGAAGATTGTATGTTCCATGTATTATACCTAATGTTCCTTCAGAAGGAAAGAAAAGAAAAGAAAAGAAAAGACAGAATTGTCAGTTATCCATAACCCAAACGTATACACAAATACCCTAACCCTAGGTATCCCATAAACAAAAAGAACTTGCCGCCGAAGTTTGCCGTCGCAATGTCGTGAAAGATAAAAAAAAGCAAATGATAAAATGAGCTGCGAATATACACAGCAGAGAAGAGAAAGTCATCATACATCCATCACCAGACCACGTTGACTGGCGGTATCTTTCTTAACCGACTCTTGCATAACACTCATCTCAGTTGTAACCGCGATACCACCGAGAGAGCTGTGGCTGGAATGGTTACCAGGTTTGACATTGATCGAGTACATATCGTAGTCTTTATCCTCGTTCTGGCTGAATAACTGAGTATGTCGGTTCATAGTGCGAGTCTTGGTGAGGTTGGTTCCCGTGGGCTTGGTGCCAGTGTTGTTGTACATATTGTAGCTGCTGTTGGCGAATAGTTTGGGGAAGATACAACTGATGATGGGTCGTAGGAATGGAAGACAGGCGCAGATGATGGCGACGTTGCATTCTGCTGCCGTCCAGTAGGCGGCTCCGACGTTACTGTCTGTTTGGTGGGTTAGCTCGAGTTCGAATCGGTTCGTTATGAAGGGGATGGCAACGTACAGGATGTATCGGTGCTCTTTGCTACTTGGCGCAGACTGGACAGTCGGAGAATACTGGTGACCACCACCAAGATACCAATTGCAAAGACGCCCATCAAGGCGAATTTCTGTCTGCGAGGCAACTGTAGATTGGAAAGTAGCGGCATGGGGAGGAGCAGCAGGGTGACATCGGTCACGATGTTCATGGATGCGTTGAAGAACCAAACAGCTTCAAAGCTAAGACAGTTGCCTGGCAAGTCGTGATTCCAGAATTTGGCCACAGGTACACAGTTCACAAAGCCGCTCACAATGGCCCATGTAGAGTACAAGGCCACAACGCCCATCACGGAGTAGCAGGCGTAGCGGAATGATCGGCCGGGAAAGATGCGTAGGTATTGGAAGAGAATGGAGATCTTGGTGAAAGCCATGCTGGCGTTGTACATGGGAATTGCCGCCCACAAGCACTGTGGAGGGAGTCAGTCAGTTTATCCTCATATTGATTTCTATGACAAAAGAATTGAGCATACCTTCAATTGTTTCTGTAAAACAGCGGTAGAAAGTAGTGCTGAATGGATACCCATGCCATAGTGCAGTTCTGTCATACATGTCAGCGTCATTGATCTTTCTTCTCGCAATTCGTTATGGACTTACGGGCAGCAACGAGAGACAGGTATATGAGGGAGAAGACCTGTAGAGGTAGTGGATTAGCCACAGTCAAGTGCAAACCAATGATTGAGAGACCTACCAAAGAGATCAGAATAGCCCAATCCTCACGACCGGTCATCTTCATCAATCCAAGCCGTGCGTAGAACCGCATTGCCACAATTAAAGTAGAAAGAGCAGTCAACACAGCAGTCACGACCAATGCCTGCTGGCCATGCGCGGCCCCCATCCCATCATCGCGGGTAAGTAACATGTGGGATGAACTGTCCATTTTGTATGTCGAGTAAAGGAGCGAATATAGTGGGAGCAGTCGTAAAAAGAGCGTGTATGTGGAGTGTGGAGAGGTCAAGCGATCATGACCAGGTCGGAGGAATGAACGAACACCTCGAATCTAGTCAAATCACCTCATTGAGTATCTCCTGTCTTGTCGAGAGTAGAGAAGCAATTCTAGCGAATCCCCTAAGTAAGCAAGGTCAGAACAGGATGCGGAGAACAAGCTCTTTTGAATTCGATCTTGTGGTCGATCAATGCTTGCCCAAACTGCGGAGAATCATTCCCGTGCCTGAGACAAGACAACTTTGTTCGTCATTTCATGGCCAATCCCCGCGCAATTTTGAATAGTGTACTCGATAGTGTCGCACCAGACGGCGATCCCAGGTTCCCAACCAAGTTGTCGGGAGGCCTTGGCTTGCTGGACGTCCGTGTCGGCGTCTACCGTGCGGGATGGGACCTGCATCACCTTTGGATTTGCAATAAGAAAGTTCTATGCAAACCTCTAGCGTGAAAATGTAGTCGCCGATTCCCCACTCGAGCAGCACAAATCAATCTCCGTGGGGCGGAGGCTTGCAAAATGTGGATAAGATTTACGCGTGGCTGCGGCGCCTTCTTCGTGAGAGTCTCAGACTATCTTCTCAAATTTCCTTGTTGGGTCTAGGTGGTGTGAGAACAGGCCTCGTGGCTGTCGATATGATCCACTTTTCGTGGAATTATGCTGCCCTATCCCGGGCAGCTGTTCATTCTGGCTGAGACTGAAAATGGGGAAAGATATCGAGGGGAGATGAGATTGGCTGTACACTGTACAGCCAACATCCTGGAATACGCTGTATCCGTACGGTACAACACGATGTGCTTCAATCTGCATGCTAAACTGCTAATCCTGCACATAGGATACTGATGGGGCTGTCCTAGAGGTAGCCATGTTGTTCATGGCAGACCGTGTTGGGATATGCCATAGTTGAGAGCGTTCCCCTGCGAGTTGGCAGATACTGAGAGACACCAATTCGAAGATTGAAGTGTTCATATGCCAACAAAGTGGCAAGTGAAGAGTAAAGATCGTCGTTGGCGACACATGTGATCGCTGTCATCATTTCCTATTTGGGATTAGGGTCGAATCTCCCCTGACACGATCAAAATGCTATTGTTCCTTCCGAATCCTTCGTCCTTAGGTAGAAGAATATTGACATTCCACCTATGCCAGCGCAACGAAAGCTCATTCTGCATTCCATCCACTGAGCTCAACAAACAAGCCCTCAACAGGCACCGAAAAGTTTTGCTCGAGCTTATGCACCCCGTATGAAACATCACGGATCATCGCCAATAACGCAGTGGGGAGTTCCCACCAGACCCAAACAGTGATGTGGCGCACGGAACCTGCCGTTACATCTCCTCGACTGGCTATTTGCAACGCTAACAGACTGGAAGTGTTTACCCGGAATGTGTGGTGGCCATGTCGTCTCGGTATATCTCGAGGGCTGTTGCCGGGCTGATCAACACGATGCACGTCTTTCAATGTGTACCTTCAAAACTAGCTGCTTAATGCCTAGACTTACAGGCACATTGCATCGTCATGTCGCTGGTATGGAGGGCCTTTGACCAAAACAGGCAATCAGTCAACTGGTCAATATCGTCAATTGGATCTAAAATTTGTCACATGCGCTCCCAAGACCCTGAAAGTCTGGAATGGCCCATTTATGCAGGTAAACAATGACCTCCATCTCGTGTTGGGTGATGCACATAATCAATAGCGTCCATAAGTGGAAGCTTAACACGATTCTAGCTCGATCACCAAGAACACCTGACAATCTCAATCCCAGTTCCATTTTCCTATCAATCAGTAGGTTCCCCACCAGCAACCTGAACAACAATCTCGCCCTCACTCCCCAGCTGCTGGAATCTAACAGTCGTCCCCAACTCGGCACTCAACCCCCGAATCCTCCTCCTAACCCAAACATGATCCTCATCCGTTGAATCCAACACCTTAGCCCTAAACCTCTCAACCCTCGTCGGAACAATCTCCAACCTCTCCACACCGAGCCCACCACCTCTTTCACTAACAACAACCCTCCAAAGCGCCCCAAGATCATTCCGATACTCCTCATTCAGCGCATAATCGTCCACGAAGTCCCCACACCCGTAAATAATAAGTCTCCCCTTATAAACCTCTACTCCCTGAACATGATGCGACGAATGCCCATGCACAATATCAACCCCGCACTCGTCAATCAGGAAATGCGCCAGCGACCGGATCCGTCGATCCGGCTGCCAAGCATAATTCGGACCCCAGTGCACGGAGAAAATCTTCAGTGCCGGCGCGGGTGAGCTGACAAGCATATCGCGGAGGCGGGTGCGAGTCTCGCGCGTGTAGTCGAAGAGATGGAAGCCTGAGATTCGGGACCAGTCCCGTGGATGATCGGAGGCGGAGTAAATGTGGACTGTGTAGGGTTCTTTGTCTGGGTCTGAGGAGCTGGGGAGATGGAGTATGGCGGGGCGACGTGCTTCGATGGCTGTTGAGCCGGCGCCTGCGAATGCGATCTGGGCTTGCTGGAGGGTTTGCACGGTTTCAATTAAGCCGGGGATGCCGAAGTCGAGGGTGTGGTTGTTGGCTAGGCTGGCGTAGTCGACCGCGGCGGAGTGCAGGATGGGTGCTAGGTTTGCTGGGTGCATGCGGTAGTTGAAGGCTTTGCCGGGCCATGGGGTTGGAAATGTTGTTACTGAGGTTTCCAGGTTGATGCAGGTTAAATCGGAAGATTGGAGTAATGGGAGAGCTGTTCCCCATGGCGAGGCAGGGGTATAGTTCCCCTTTGCTAGGAGGGTTGGATGGGCTTTTTTGAAGGTTCCGGCGATGCGTTCGTCACGCTCGTTAATGACATGCTCGGGCATTAGTTGGTCTAGCAGGCGGCCGAGCATGACATCACCTGTGAATGATATGGTGAAGGTCTTCGGGCTTGACATTTGGATATCTGCTGCCTTGTTGGAGGCTAAGTCGCTTGTTGAGTGCGAAAGGTTTGAATCGAGTTGATCCATGTTAGGGCATGGATCCGGAGAGTCATTATGACATCGATGCTCACGTAGAGACACACAACCGACTGTTAAGATGGAAGAAGTGGAAGAATGATTAGAAGTAAGAAGCTGTTCCATACATTAAATACAATTGATTTGATACGCTTTCGCCGGATAATAACACAGCCAGGGACAAGAGTCCCAACAACGTAGGTGGTATCTTTGTGCGCCCTTGTTTTCAGAAACACCGATTTGCATATAATTTGAATATCATTATTTTCGTCACTGTTGGGTCGGAACTATCGTCTCATCTCTGCCAGTTCGCGCTCCTTGGCTCTGAGCAGCTCACGCATCTGTTCGGCTTCCCGTTCCAACCGGGCACGGCGATCTACCGAATCCCCAAGAGAGGCAATGCTAGGCAAAGGATGTGCTGGGTGAGGCGAAGGGGAGACGGAGTGATGAACAGGCTGAGCGTGTCCCATATTGGTATCTGGACGAGGCTCGGCGCGAACATCAGACTGATTCAAGATAGATGAGATGGAACTGAGCCGGCCAGGCGGAGTAGGGTTGACCGAAGACATGATCGGAGGCAATTGGTTCGATCCACCTTCCAGTGTAGATGGGACCGGCAAGGCTTCCGACGTACTCTCGGCCAAAGTTCGTTTCTTGGGAAGATTGAGGCTATTTGGTGATGCGGAGCGTCGCCCGTATTGAGATACAGGCGATTGTCCCAAGCGCTCTACTCCCAAAGGCTTGGGTAGTCCGTGAGGGATGGGCATCCCGTGAGAAATTGGAACGGATGAGGCGTTATAACCAGTAAAATCAACCGGCGGAGGTGCAAAAGGCAAGGGCCGAGGTGCGTCTTCGGGCTTTCCAGGCGCCATGTGGTAGTGCTCCAGAGGTTCACTGCTCATGTACCTATAGTGATCGTCATGGCCATATGCCAGAGTAGCAGGTGATGCCTCCGGGGAAGCCGATGAGCCATTGGAGGAAAGGGTAGCAGCGGTAGGAGACTGCTCTCGTAGAGCGGGGACAACTCGTTTTCGACGCTTAATGATGGACTTTTTCATGTTGGTGGGACGATAGCATCCGTGGAGTTTATAATACAACCCTGCGTTAACGTTAGTTATATCGATCAATCGACTTTATCGCACCGAAACTCACCACAAGCATTGCAAATGGGGTGACCATGTTCATCACGCCGCCACAGAGGGGTCACAGTTGTACCGCAATTTTGACAAGCCACCAAGGCATTGGTTGCATCGGCCGCGGCAGGAGCCTTAGTTGGCTCTTCTTGTGGCACCGGCTCGGCCTCTTGCGTGGGAGGCTTGCCCCATGAAGACTGGGTGGTAGCCGCCCCTCGGGGCGCAGACTTGTAGATGCGGTTGTTGTATGCTGGACACCCGTCGCATCCCTCTGCGCCACCAGTGCCATTGCAACTGCCGCCACCAGGGCATGACCCCTTGCAACCACCTTCTGATGAACCACAGTGAGAGGTAGCTGGCCGAGGCGGCTTTTCGCCGCTATCTGATTGCATACGATTTCGTTTCGTGGGACGAGCGACGTTGCGAGCTTTGAGATACAGGCCGCAGGCGTTACAGATCATTGCACCCGTCGGGGAACGACGCCAAAGCGGGGTGCTTTTTGTGCCGCAATTGCTAATAAGAGAAAGGAGTCAGCTTTACACTACACGAACGAGTGGAACCACTTTGTCAAAACCTACCTGCATGAATGCCCCAGAAAGGTTGTGTCTTTTGGACCCCCAGGGGATGTTTTGTCACTTGGGGCTTCATTGCGATCAATCCATTGATTTGATCCAGGTTGAGATCCATGTGCCATCGATTCATCCCGATAGTGATCTGCCATGTGTTCACGACCCGCCTGCGCTGAGGAGATCAACTGCTGCGCAGCGTCCAAATCTTCCGCCGACGGTTGTCGCATTGTAGTGTCCGAATGTCGAGGCAGCGAGTGAAGCGCTTCCATTTGTGGAATGGACGCTAACATTACCACTTGGATGCGGGCTGTAAAACCTAAGGCCGTTGGGAGGTCTGAGGACGGCAAGGTCGAATACGACAGCGACGGAAATAAAAGGCGAGTTGAGAAAATCCCAAGAGACCAGGGTGACGTCGCACCACAGTCGATAGCGGAATGCACCGTATCACTTGAAACCCAAATGTCGGTCAAGCTGACAGGTAGAGAAAGGTGATAAAGGCAGTCCAGAAGGATGATCTGCAGCCACGATACTGCAGGCTCGGGGAATCGCAGGACGAACGATGACTCGGGATCGAAGACAAAAGGCGATGAACTCGCCACCACAGATGGAACTTGGTTAATTGAGCGACGAGTAGATCAGACAAGTCGATCAGACGAGCCGCTCAGCCACCAAAGTATGGAGCGATTGTATGGGATAGTGGCGACCCAGCGGCGTGAAGTGGTCAGGTGATTGTGATTGCAGTACTTAACAGCAAACCAACAGGTACTGGTCTGACTCGCGACCGATCGTGGGGGGTCCGATTTCGTTCGACTGGGGGTGCTGATGCGAACCGACCACCAGCAAGTCAGGGATTGGTTGGGAGGCTAGGGAGCTGCAAGATGGTGATCACTCCGCGTTAGGACTGGGCGAAGTGGGCACACAAGATGTGACAGGGGCGATAAGGAAGACGTAGATTCGAGGATAAGAGAAAGGCCGAGGATGAGCGAGGAAGGTAAGAGCTGGAAAGCTGGAAAGCTGGAAGAATGAGAGGGAGAGAACAAAGACGGAATCCAGACCGAAATGCTTATCGGCGAAAAAAGGGATTGGGGTTTATCGATCTAAGAAGGGGGGATCGACGTATCAATCTATCACTTAATCTATCCTGCCAAGAATCACATCAATCTCATCTAATCACTTCGATGAGATCTTATTCTTTATTTTACTCCTAACTTTAACTATCGCATATTCAATCTGATCCTGCATGTCTTCATCAAATTGCCCCCAGATCGCATCAGACCCCACCGTAGCCTGATGAAGTTTAGTTCCCAAGCGAAAAAAACACAGAAAAGGTGGAAAAGAGTGGAAAGAGTGGGAATTACACCTTCCCGCTTGAGGTTAGAGTGGGGCGATGCTGGGAAATCAGATTTAGAAACGACATGATTGGTTAATTACTGCTGACAGGGAGTGTCATCAAGACTTTGACTATTCCGATTGGTTCTTCGGGGATGGAACCAGCCGAAGCGATGCGGCCACGCTGTGCTGTTTAACCCAATGTGGTACAGTATCGGGGACATATTCGAAAGTTACACGCAAGTACACAGAAGTACATCTTAGACGCAGATCCGTTGCTGTCCTCACCGGTAATTCGTGTATCAACAAGTCCAGGCTTTTACTGTGTACAAGGTTGCCTGCGTCCCCTGCGCTAGTAGCCCCCTACTGTGTAGATAGTACAGTACACAGTAACTAGGGAATAATTATCAGATGAGCTCCACGGGTCTCGCCGGCTTCCGCAATAAGCGAGAAATCAATCATTCATTAGAGCATGTCAATGATGTGCCAGATACTACCTACTAGTTCACACCTCCCGGATATAGTACAGATTTCTCGATTGTTCAAGCTGGTATCAACAGAATTTCTCGAAGAACCAGCGAAAACGTTTCCCCTTCCAGCCTCTAAACCTCCGTCGTATAATAACATCCTTCCTTTGACCAAGCTCGGAGAGGAAACCTCCAAGGTCGTCATGTGTCATGTCAGCCCAAAATGCATATCGCATGAGCGATACCATCTCGGCAGAAAGTACATAAGCGTCCATCACGGCGTTGATGCGGTGCGCGCCATCAGAACACGTGAGAACTGATCATCGCCTCCGGTGTACGAAACTCCTTTACACCTGCTCAGCACCCCAGCCCTGGTCAGACTCGCGCATGTTGGAGGGAGGCTCGATGGAGGGAATGAATTCGAGGGCGACGTATCCCAGACCGATGAAGGCGATCAGGGTGCCGTCAATAATGCGCAGCACGTGGTCGTGGAGCAGGATAGAACCGATGAAGATGTAGACTACAGACGAGTATGATTAGCCAATGCATCTGATATAAGAACACCTGCGCAGGCTAAATAACTTACAGACACCACGACCGAGGAAGGAGAAGAGGAACGATGCATAGCGATAGGCGTAATCCGGGACGTGAGGGAGGAACTCCAGTCCACCGACAACTAGGATAAGGTTAGCACTGGCTCTTCTGGGACAATATCCCGAACGTCGCAAAGACCTACCAAGACCGAAGACAACTGCGTATGCGCCCAGAATGAATGCGCTCCAGCTGCCACTGAAGAAGTTGCTGATACCACCAAGCACCATGAACACGCCCACAGCGATGTTGACAATACGGCTGCATCAAATCAGTACTTTGCTTCCTCATTCCAGAAAGATCCAACATACAAGAGGTTTGTGAAATCCATTGTATCGGATTTTTGAGTGAGATTAACGGTTCAAAGGGTTCTGCGGTTGCGAAACAATAGTTCGGAGCGCAAGTCGTTAGGCAGCCGTGGGCTGTTGCAGAAGGTTGAGTGTCGTAAGAGTTATCGAGTCTTCGAATCCGAGAGTTTTCAGTTAGTTATCACGCATACAAAACTCCCAAAGTTTGCCTTTGAGTCTGCCAATGGCTCGAGGCGAGAATGGAGGCTATGCTCCCCAGAGTTCTCTAGGCCGGACCCCATTACAAGGGGATAGAACAAAGGGACACACACCTATGAGCGGAAAAAGGAGGTCTGAACAGACGAAGGTGAATAGCACGCCGTTTTATGAAGAACTTTTCGATGTTTGGAAGGAGCTGAACAGGGGCGAAGCGGAAATGAGGGCGTCAACAGCGGCTTCGTTGTCGCACGCAGCGGGTCTGCCAAGACCCATGGTAGCTCACGTGATCAGCCCCAGGCCTGTGCGGACGCTATCCCATATTCGGCAGTATGCTTCTTTGATGCAGGGCTATCCTCTCAACTTTCCCTTCATTACATCTTACGATATGGTTGGTGGGATTCTGAATCCTAAATTGATCTTATGTTCATAGGTATGACTATGAGTATGCCTCTACGTGCCTAACTCGTAATCATAACACGAATTGAACCCCAGAATGGGCGCGTGGGTGATATATCTGGGCCAGCTACCTAGGTGGAGGCACAACCTACTATGTCTGGGTACCTCCGTCCACCTAGTACCCAGGTTGGACGTAACAACCTACCTAGGTACCTAAGGTATGCAACAGCAAAACTCCCACGGAAACCTAGAAAGTGGAATCCATGGAACCTAGGTAGCAATGTATTGACTATCGAGGGCTACCTAGCCACCTATAGGCTATCTACTTTGGACGACGGACTATCAAAGGTTATGGCAGGCAGGTAGGTTCCCACTAACTAGGCCACACAGCTACTATACTCGTGCACTCCGGATCCCACCACGATGCGTTTCTTCTCAGAGCCAGAAGACGGCAGAATAACCGTCGCCTGGCTATTGGGGGGCACCTGAACAGTCAAACGGAAGGCACTTTCCTTCTTCGGACAATCATTCTGGCTTTGGCTCCCGCCCAATGTCCAATGCGTCGAAATAAGGCCATATGGACTTGTGAACTTGGTTGTGGCCTCACTCAAACCGCCCCCAGGACGTACTTCGACATTGAACTTCTTCCAACCAGGCTCCGAAGGGGTCAATCCACCAATGTTTTCATGGATCCAGCTTCCCACCGATCCGACTGCGTAGTGGTTGAAAGAGGTCATGGAACCCGGGTTGACACTGCCATTTGCCAGCATGCTGTCCCAACGCTCCCAGGTAGTGGTTCCATTCATCACAACCTGGAAAAGCCAGCCCGGATCTTCCTCTTGCATCAACATGCCATAGAAAGCATCTGCCGCGCCGTATTGAGTCAATGTATGGCCGAGGATATGAGTCCCGGCAAAGCCTGTTCCGACCTTGTATCCGTTTGTCTTCACAAGGTCGACGAGCCGATTCGTGGCAGAGGTATATTGTCCTGGATCGGAGAACAATCGGAAATATAGGGGTAACGTGAGTCCTGTCTGCGTCTCATTTGCCACGGTGCCATTCTGGGAAACCCAGGCATCCTGGAAGGCTTTGGTGAGTTTGGTGCGAGATTCGGTATATTTCTCCGCGTCTTTGGTAAGCGAGAGATGGGTGGACATGTTAGCCACAAGCTCGGTGCTGTGGATCAGATACGCATCGGAAACAAGATACTTGTTGGTTGTCGCATCGCCTGCGTCCTCCGGGGGTGCCAAAGGGTCCAGCCAGTCGCCGTATTGGAAGGTCGAACGATTCCACAGTCCGACTTCATTCCTGATGACTCCCTTATCAATCCAATCTTTGGCCCCCATGTACTGCTCCTGCAGCATGTCTTTGTCACCAAAAGATTGGAAAAGTTGCCAAGGCACGCCCACAATTGAATCGCCCCAAATGGATGACGCCGGCGAAGCGCCTAGCACATTTGGGATGACGACTGGCGGAGCATCTGCAGATTTGATTAGCATGTAGAAGTGGTGTTCCTAGAGGAAAAGCCTCTTACATTTGTTCTCTTTTTGCTCTGAACGCGCATCCCGTAACCACCCGCGAAGGAAGCCAGCCGTGTCGTAGATGAAATTTGCTGTTCTGCTGAATGCATGGATATCACCTGTCCAGCCCAACCGTTCATCACGCTGAGGACAGTCGGTAGGGATACTCAAGAAGTTGCCACGCATACTCCAGAGAATATTTTTGTGAAGGCGGTTTAGGAGCGAGTCAGAACAATCAAAGAATGCAGTCTGCTCCATATCCGTATGAACGACGATTGCACTCACCGAATCTTTGTCAAGCTTGGTCTCATCTGGCCAGCCTTCAACCTGAACATATCGGAAGCCGTGGAACGTGAATGATGGCTCCCACTCATCATCTCCGCCTGAAAGAGTGAAATGATCTGTTGCTTTGGCAGTGCGGAGGGGACGTGTCGCGACCTCTCCATCTTCCATCACTGGGGAGAGTCAGTAGCTGAAATGCAGGTAATGAGTTGTCAAAGTATCATACCTTCGGTGTGAACAAAACTGATGTTCTGCCCTTTCGGCCCCTTTACGCGGATGCGCAGCCAGCCCACCAGGTTCTGCCCAAAGTCCAACACCGTCTTTCCAGAAGCACTGGAAAACACATCTGCAAGTTGATGCTCCTCAATACGCCTCACTGGTGGTGCATCTGGAGCAGCGAGGACGTCTTTGGAAAAGTTGAGCTCCCGGACACCCAGCCAACTCGACTGATCAAAGCCTGGAGAATCCCATCCCTTTTGCTCCAGCCTGGAATCATACGTTTCCCCGTCATAAATTTCGGAAGAGACAATGGGGCCCGTGCTAGACTTCCATGTCGTGTCACTAGGGATGTAGGTCTTTGTACCGTTCGAATTGGTGACTGCAAGCAGACAAAGTGCGCCGAGCGAATCGCCATAGATGTTTCGAAGGCTGTCCCACGTCAGACGTCCTGAGTACCAGCCCTCACCAACAGTGACGCCGATGGTATTGTCGCCGTTCTTGATAATATCAGTGACATCATAGGTATTGTACTCATGGCGATGCGTGTACGACTGCCAGCCTGGAGCGAGAACATGATCACCAACGCGCTGACCGTTCAAGCGAGCCTCATACAGCCCCAACGCGGTGATGTATAATCTCGCTGAAACAATATCATTGTCCAAGGCGAAGTCTTTCCGAAAGTGGATTGGTCGATGTGTTGCGTTAACCTCGGTAGGTCGATCAGAGGCCAAAACAACCGCTCCTTGCCAGTCGTCGGGACTAAGAAGCCCTGCTTCAACGGATACAGGGTCGGACCAAGATGTGCCAGGTTTGCCTGCGCTTCCGGACGATTTGACGCGAACGGTGGCCTGCTCTCCAGACTCTAAGGGATCACTGGGCCATGGAACAAGAACAGACTCCGCGGAATCCACATGGAATGTCTCTGCATCTTTTCCTGGTTTCTGAACTTCAAGATCATAGGATCCTTGGTACCAATCTGACACTTGCCCATCAAACCGCCAGGAGATCCGGGGAGAAGTCTCCCCGATACCTAAGGCGGTCCGATGGTGCTCGAATGAGACCTGAGAAATTGAAAGAGCCATGATGATGTCTTGCTATCCATGTGTAGGTGCTTGATGCCATTTTATATCAACACAGTGCAACACTGCTCATGATCATCCCGTTCCATTATTCACGATCATCCTACTCCATTACCTTGAATTGCTGAATATGGCCCGTTCGACCCCGCATTCAAGAGTCCGGGGTATCTCAGAGAAGGAAAGATCGAACGTCATTGCTTGATGTCGGTCCTAGCTATACCGAACACCACATTGATTCCATGATTGTCAATCCTTCATTGAGAAAATCATTTCCCAAAATTCATCCTTCAGGGGAAAGCTTTCTGCAGCTGAAGTGTAACTTCTCGCATTTTGCCCCACCCCTCCGACTTCTTGGCGAGATGTACATAGTGATTATGCGTGTCATTTCGGCATAAATCCAACCCGAGGTTTAGAAGACATAAAGACATTGTCTCAGTTCGGTCGTAATGGATGCAATGGATGTTATCTCATTCAGAGGATGAAGAGGGTTGGGTTTGCTATCACGTGATGTCACACGCGATCCGCCGAGCCCCGGCCCCGATCCCCGGGAGCCGACTTCCTATCTGGTCCAGATAGTTTAATCCTCAGTCTCTCGTCTTCAGACTCAATAGTCCCAATACACCTCTGTGTGCACTATCTGCCCCTTTCGCTAATAACAAGGATTTACACTGGTGTTTCTTGTGCGTCGATTGATCGATATGTTCAGCGAGAAGAAGGTGCAATTGTTGGATACGATCATACGTTACAGTATTTAGTGTATGCAACTGCCAGTCTTCCTTGTCCCTCTAACTTTCTTCATCTCCCAAATCAAGGGGCGAGCCCATACAAAATGCCTCTCCATATCATTGACAACGATGATCCCGAAACAGTTGCTTGGGGAGAATTTCCATTAGAAGTCTACTTCCTCTCCGAGTGGGGAAAACCCCACCTGGACCCCTCGCAATCCAATGAATCCCCCGCAGACCGTCGCAAACGACTTTTACGTCAGTTCCTCGTATTGGGATCCGAAGGCAGAGAGGTAGATCTCCTATGATACTCAATATGAGAACCGCGACCCTCAACTAACCAAATATTAACTTTTTAGCCCTACTGGCCAGGAGATTCACCACCGATACCCACTGAAGCCCAAATAGACGAGATTCTTCGGCCGATACGCCCCGAAGCACTACGCACCTACGCTTGCAATACCTGCGCCGAAAAGGGTCTTTGGCTACGTCTTTGCTACACTGATGAAGAGGCGCATAACTCTCTATGGGCCGACAATGAAGACGCAGAATGGGTTACTTACGATGGGGTAGTACTCGACGACGAAAGTATCTTTGGTGGTTTGGATTTGCAAGGCGCTCTGGAAATCCTTCCTGAGCGTGTCACGAATGAGGCTCTCGATATTGAGCGCAGAGACAACGAACTCCGAGAAATATTAGCTGCTCAGCGAGAAAGTCCAGATCCTAGTGCAGAAAATTACTCTGATGAGCTCAAGGAGGAATTGGCACGAAGAAAGACAGAACGAGATGAGAACCCTCTTTTAAGGTATGGTCTATATCATGCCGAGTGTGTTGTTACTCATATCTATGTGGAGGATGAGGTGGTGATCAACGGTGGAGGTGTATTGCATGTGTTTTTAGATGATCGTGGAAATGTGGTGAGACAGTGGCGGGTGCAAAATGATGGATCGGAAGATAATTATGATGGCGCCTGGTTTGAACGTCTTTGGAAAGATAACTTTTCATACGCTTTTGGTGAAATTGGCCCTGCTTACCATGAGGGTGGAAGCCGAGGCCCTTCATACACCCTTTGAAGTCCCGGAGCTGTTGGGTAGTACGTGTACATAGAAGACACAATGCGATAGAGAAAAGGGTTCAGCGTGGCTGCCGAATAAACGCAACCCTGATAGAAGTAGTCTATCAGTTGACATTGACCGCTCTTTTATGCAGCTTACTTATTCCTACTAGTAATATCGACCCCCGCATAGCGCGAACTGGTGGGAGTGAATACACAGTTCTGCTGAGGTGGTACCTTGAAACTCGGGTGATCTACCAACAATGGCTGGTTCCATGGTTCTAGATATCTGTTACCCATGTTCCAAGGGAAAGTGTACGATGTATGCAAACTTGCGAATGTTTGGCAGTGGGATCTGGATCGTTGTGTCCTAGATAGTGGTGTAGTACTCTAGAGTAATACTCCACTCCAAGGAAGGACAGCGTATGTGATCTTCCCCTAGTGAAGCTTGATCTTACACCTTGCCCCTCACATTGAACTATCTTCTCGTTCACCCCCACCACCCCAACATCGTTGCATTGTCACAACTGTGTCTGGACATAGAATTGATCCTGCTTCAGTCAGGGTATTTTATAAACCATGATGAACAAAGACACCCGGAGAAGACCATGGTTGCTCGAGTTGCGCTCATCGAAGCAAATGATCGCCCTGGGGGTGTTTTCAACAACCTTCACCGATGGATTTCTCTACGGAATCGTAGGTATCCAATGCTCAGCCCTTGAATGACAGCCTACCTAACTGATATTCCATACCAGATCGTATCTGTGCTTCCTTTCTCACTGACCGTCCGATCTGGGGTTCCAGAAGCCGATGTCCCGTTCTGGACATCGATCTCTCTAGCCGTTTTCGGAATTGCCATGACACTTGGTGCCCCCATAGCAGGATGGGTCGTCGGGAAATGCGAGAGACGACAGATACCGTTCTTGGGCGGGCTCTCTTGCGCATTCGGTGCGACAATGTTATTCATGCTCGGAGTTAAGCCATGGCTCATAATCGTCGCGAGGATACTTCAAGGTCTATCTGCGGGCGTTGTGTACACCGCGGGTCTGACGCTGTTGGTTGATACCATTGAGTCGCACGAGCTGGGACCCTGGATTGGCTTTGGCCTCTCGGGCATGAATTTTGGGGTACTCGTATCACCTACTCTCGGGGGTATAGTATATGAGAAAGCAGGGTTCTATCCTGTCTTCATCATGGCGCTTGGTGTTGTCTTCGTCAACCTGGTGCTCATTCTGCTCATGATTGATAAGAAGACTGCTGCACAATTCGAAGGACAGACTGGCATAACTCAATGCCCCTCCACTCTGGATCAAAGCCAGAGGAAGCTTTGCATCGCGAACGGGAAGCGGCGGTTATCGAGCGTCGAAGACGGCCCTCCTGACATCACGACACCACTCATCTCACACTGTCGTGAAATGCCTGATGTGGCTAGGATTGACCCTTCTTGGTGGACAGTTGTCGGAGGGTTTCTTCGCGATCAGCGCGTTTTTGCTGCACTATACGGATGTCTCATTAACACCATCTTAGTCACCGCCATGGATGCCGTGTTGCCAATATTTGTGAAGCAGACTTTCCACTGGGTGTCCGGTGCCACTGGAGCCATGTTCTTGAACTTGACCCTTCCATCATTGATAGCTCCATTTATTGGACTGATCTCAGACAAGTACGGGGTCCGATTCATCTCTACCATCGGGTTCACATGTTCAGCTGTGGCTGTCGTTCTTCTCTCTTTCATCGAAGGCGATGACAGCACAAGCAAGGTGATGGCGTGTGTCCTGCTATCGTTTGTCGGTAAGATCAAGCCCGCTATTTGCAAGTTCCAGTAATACGCGAACTCTGACCCCTTGGATAGGCATAGGTCTGAATACCTCGCTGGCTCCGTTAGTGACGGAGATACCTCGCATTGTGGAGGCTATTCAAGTGAAACAACCTGAGATATATGGCGGCAAAAGTACTGTCACAGAGGGCTATATGCTTCTTGATGCTGTGTTTGGAGCTGGTACTGTCTTCGGGCCATTACTTTCAGAGCTTGTATTTGATATGTATGGGTGGACCGCATGCACCGCTCTACTTGGATTACTCAGTCTCTCGGCCATAGTTCCGGTGGTAAGTGGCTTGTGACCATGAACTCGAGGTCTCTCTCACAGGGTTGCTGACTTCGAACAGTCATTCCATCTGCCCCCGAATCCAAAAGGCCGATGAATCATACTGGACATTGACCTTTTTTATAAAGTCAAAACATCCTTAGCGCGGGCGTTGGTGTCTTCAAGTCAAACTTCTCCTGGTAACTCAGATGCCGAGTGAAGAGGACACAATAACTCATCGTATATGAAGGTATACTCATGACTTTGTCATTTTATTGAATCATATCATTGACAATATCGCTAAACCCTATTCATGGGCACCCTCACACTTCCTCAATGACGTCCTGCCTTTTCTCCAGTCGAACCTCCGACAGACCATTGGCAAACCAACTCATCCGCACGGGGTCTTGATCCAGAATCTTGTAGATTTGATTCAAGTTTGTCCCAATCCCAATCTCGTCCGCGGCCTTCAAGCTCCGTGAATCGATAAAGGGAGCAATGCTTGGCCATACGCTCTGAACATTGTTCAAAAAGACCTCCGCTGCCAAATCGCCAATGCCCTTCACTTCTTTCAACAACAGTTTGACTTTCTCGGGTTTTCCGTTCGCCTGCTTGAGGAGATTATTCAAATCTCCATCTATCCTCACATACCACAGTTAGTATGCTCACCGCGGGCTGATAACAGCATCACCAGCTAGATAGAGAGTAACAACTTGCCATATTTTTCAACTACTAGCTTCGCGAGCTCACCGAGATTCGTAGCGCACTGTTCCCGATATCTGTTGTACCCTCCGTCTTCCAAGACCATCGTTCGATCATCCCACGTGCTGTTGGAAAGAACATCGATGTCATGATAATCGGCTTCAATCAGCGTTTTGATTGTCTTTTGCGTCAGCTCGTGCGAGATAGGTCGTGCTTTGATTAGAGCGTCTATAACCATTGCCAGCACGATCTCCGGGCGCGCATCGAGGGTCGGTGGGTTGGCGAGTCTGGTCCCGTGTAGGGGAGATCTGCCGAACTCATTTAGGACCTTGTCGACCTTCAAAGCTATTTCTTTGGACATTGTAGATTGAGGAGGAATTAGACCTGTATTGCAGCTAAATCATTCTCTTATTGATGAGTGATAGAATGCGATAGGCAAACATAGCAAACATACTTGATTGACGTCACGATGACTTATAAGTTATACTTATGCAGTAACGAAATGGGAAGGTGCTATGCAATACCATGCAATTATTATGCAGTACAAAGATGTTTTGCATATTTCAAGCCCAATTCAAAGCCTAGCGCGAGTCTTGTTCCGCAGGACCTCCTTGGTCAGAGCCACCACATCATATGCACAACCAAAGGAGGCCTGGTAACCAAATCCTCCATGGCCATAGTTGTGAACAACGGCAACACCGTTGATATTGTCTTTTTCAATGCGAGTGCCACCCTCTCTCAGCGGCCGCAGGCCAACGCCATGTCGAACTATATCTAATCCCTCGATTCCCTGTCCCTTCTTGACGAGATTGGGGCAGACTCCAATGCAGCGCTTCATGATACGGTTGGCAAGATTCATATCCGGGATTGGATCCCAGTTGTGCTTTTGGTAAGAGCCACCGAGGATCGTGCCGCCACCTATGAAGAATAAGCCAATGATCGAGCTGTGAGTCCAGTATGTAAGATCTTACCTGCAGCACGAGTCATGATGTACAACGCTTCGTCTTCTCCGTCGTCAGTTCCAGATGTGGACATCATGGGGCCGGGATCGTTGCGAACTACCACGATCTGGCCACGTGCGGGGTACATATTGCTATCGAGAACACCGCCAAGTGTTCTGGATGAGAGGCCGGTGCAGTTGATCACCACATCAGCTTTCTGACCGGTATGGTGGGCGTCGGCCGCGTCGGCGATGTGCTTGAACACGGCTCGCTTGAACACGGCGCCATTCTTGATACATTGGCCCACCAGCCATGGCAGGTAGACGGCGGTGTTGATGCAGACAGATGTGAACTCCTGGCCATTATCCACTCCCGGGGCTAGTTGATCAGCCGGGACATTTTTGAACTAGAGTCTGTATGTCAGTCCAGGAAGAGGTTATAGAGCATCATCTTGTGATTGAGCATACATCAGGCACAACATCCTTAAACCACGGCTTTGGCTGGGTCAATTCCGAGAACCATTTTCCGGTGTCTGATTCTTGGTCCTTCTTTCGGTTATAGATTAAGGTACCTGAACTCTATCAGCGGGCGTCCGGATGCATAACGGGTTTGGGAGAGCTTACCTCGGAAGTGGATACCGGCCTCGGGGTACTTCTCCGTGATTTCTTTCAATGCTGGCCAGGTATCACGTTCCCATCTGTGGTGAGCGCTTCCTTCTTTTCCTACCCTGTGTAAGATCTATTTGTCAGAAGGTAGTTCGGGGTGTAGCCGGGTTCGGTTTTTCATACGGCATATAGTTGGCACCGGCCCATGGGGACGCATATTCAATATCATAGTCCCCCGGCATGTGCTTTGCCAGCACGGTGATCTTGTTGGCGGGGTCTTGCGACAGTAGATAGGCTGTCGTCAAGCCAGACACACCGGCGCTGTCACATACGTCAGTGGAGGCTCAACCTTGTGGCTGCGGAGCTTGAGAAACTCAGAAGCCCTAAGCTAGCTCAAGGATCTTACCCTAGGACCACAATGTTGTTTGTCATCTTCGTCTCACGGACCTTCCTGAAATTCTTGCTTCCAAGGCGAATACTAAGACGATTGGATCAAAGAATCGCTGGCCTTATGTGTGGAAAGCCGAGGCGAGCGGGGTGAGGGGACAAAGTCCAGATCTCATTTAGCCTGTGTAACAGTCTGGTAAGGCGTGGTAAGGGCTGAGTACCTAAGGGTCTGGCTTAGCCTATTCCTGGATGCTCTACCGAGGCGGTGTAACTAGTATCCAATCAGCTCCTTTGCAAACTAAATAAACGCGCTAGAGTTTTTCGGTGGAGGCGTGAATGGATACGCGGTCAACACCAAAAATACAACTCCGCATAGTGCGGAGGTGATGCGTACAGATACTTCTGTAAGACATCGTAGCTACACTGCTACAGCTTTGTATGAAAATTGGATATCTTAATGCCTTCAGGGTTAAAGAAGGATCTTGGACTCTTGACGCAGTCGCCAATTATTGAGCATCCCAGCCCTAGACCCAGCAAGGAGAACTCCGTAAAGTCCCGTGTGCTCCATCACTCCGGACTCCACTGCAATAATCCATCCATTTGTTATCGATCACATTTGTTCTCTGTTGGAATAATTTGTTTTCCTTTGCTTGTTCTTTATAGCTGGCTGTAACATGCGATCTTGGGACCAGAGAACATATTAGAAGCTCTATTCCACCGGTGATGCCTCAATTGAATCTCTAAATCCTTGTTAGCTCCGGAATCTGCAAAATCCGATCGATGTCATAAGTGGGCGGACACTTTCGGGTAACCAATCACCGAGCCCTGGTTCTCACCGCCTCATTTCGGCACTGAATGAAGCGCCGGAGATCAAAATAATTTCCTTTTTCAAACCACCCGCAGAGCCGAATGAAGTCCCTCTGCGGGCTCATTGTGTTTACCTTTATAGATCAATAACTCCATTTTTATCTTTCTGATCTTGCTCTTTACTATTGTTCCTCTATTCATCTATTGATCTATTCATCTTTTGATTCACACCCATCAATGCCGACTGATCTTGGGTCTTCAACATGTCACACATCACCAATGGTGGCAGAATCGTGCCCATACTTGAGGGCACCTCTTGTCACAATGGTGCCCTCGAAAATCGTCAACCCTTGGACGTCTCTCTTCCCTCACTCACTCCTTCTCTGATCTCTGCTTCTCTTGTTCCTTCAGCAACCATGCCTCGCGTGTCGCAGGACCGACACGCTAAGCGAGTCAAGCCAGTGGACCACGCGAGCTTGCAGATGCCCTCTCTACAAGAAAGAGGTCTATATGCGCATCCCACTGAAGGTGATGGTATGTAACCCACATTCCACTTGGAGGCCAAGCTTCACCTTGGCCTTTGGAAGCTACATCACGTTGTTTTAACTCTATTCTGACGCGTCCACTCTCAGGGAATTGTCTCTACTACTCCCTCTCCGATCAACTGTATGGCAACACCCACCATGCAGACGAAATCCGCCAGCTCTTAGCCAATCACATGGCCGCAAACAAAGACTATTTCATGCAATTTGTCGTTGCTGAAGGTGGCGAGCGTCGTCGTCCCAGACGTGCGGCCGCATCTGCATATGCAACTCGCTCGGCCACTGTTTCCGCTCCATCCCATCAGGACATGGAGCGCCGATTCCAGGAAATGATTGCTACCTCCCGTAAGAATGGGGAATGGGGTAGCTCTGAACATCTCCAGGCATTCTGTCAGGTCTTCAAAGTTGATCTGAATGTCTACACCATGCAAGGTGTCTCAGAGTTTCGTGATATCAACGCGGTTCCTGGTGAACCTCGAAACGTTTTACATGTAGCCTTCCACGTAAGTATCTGCTGTTGCATATGCCATCGAGCTGCACACTAACCGCCGTAGGATTTCAAACATTACTCTTCCGCACGGGTTATCAACGGCTCTCATGATGGACTTTATGCCAAGCTGAAGCCTGTTCCCCAAACTGAGAAGATTCGGCCTCAGGCCTTCCCGGATTTGAAATCTGAGATTGACCACAAGCAAAGTATTCTGCCCGAAGAGAAAACGGGTGACCATATCAAGCAAAGTCGGACTGAAGCCACAGCGGATTTGAAAACCAAAGTTCATCCTAATCAACCTTCGTCCGAAGGGGAGGCCGTTGATGATACCAGGGGGAGCCAGTCTGAAGTCTCAAGATCGGACGACCTTTCCAGCAAACAACGCACCTCACATAAAATAGAGACTGCTGATCATGTGGAAGAAACTCAGCATGCAGCCATCTCGGACTCCAAGTCCGAGACGGACCACAAGCAAATCACTCCCCCGAAAATAGCCCAACAGCCAAAGGCGTTGGTCTTGATCCCGTCCAAAGAACGGATGTACCATCAGCGAAAGCTGTTTGCCACGCCGGAAACGATGGTCTCGCCGTTGACCTTTATCCACCCTGGGATATTAAATCAATTCAGGAATGTCTCGGTGGCAAATACGACCGGGAAACCATAGTGGATATGCTTCAGAAATGTCGTGGCGACATAGACCGTGCCTTTGCCGCCTTGCTGGACGACCAAATCGATGTGCCATTTGACAAGAAAGCCGTCCCTATGCCTGTCAAGCCAAGCTTGCAGGCATCGCGCTCCTCGTCTCCCTTTAGTACAGGGAGCAAGCGATCCGCGGAGGACAGCGATGATTCGGAGGACCCTCGTCCTGCCCGACGCAGACGGCCCAGGAAACGCCTAGTCTCAAATCTTACCTTGGGCGTCGGCATCTCATTTAGAGATGAGCAGGATGAGGTCGTCTCCCTGAATCTTCGGGTCAGTCATTCATCCAATACTTACTTTTAGTTGACTATTTGCTGACTTTCATTGAGAAGATGAATTCCCATGCAGAAAACGGTCAGGTCACAGACCGCTCTACCGAAGAATCAAAGGATGGTCAGGTCACAGACCAGTCTTCCCGGGGAAATAATACCCCAGAACAGTCGGACGTGGAGGGAAACAAGTGCCGCCGTAGCGGACGGCTTTCACGCCGACGCCCCGTCTGACCTTTGTGTTTCTTTGTCTTTATTTGTGTATGCAGTCTCTGGCTTGGGCCTTTGACCACTCTGAGCGCTTTATTTTGCATCGATAGATGGCGTTGGTGAAGAAGCGATTGAGATTTTCCATGTTGCATTGCCCCGTGGGGCCAGCGAGCTGTGGGCTCGTGGAGGGAGGCGTTTCTGGTTATGAACGAACTTGAATGAAGACACTGCCTGGAGCAGACTTGAACGACATTGTTTGCGAAGATACCAGGGCTTTTTGCTTACCTTGCTTACCCCTTTGGTAGGGTGGCTGCTTTTGGCTGCCCTTCATTTGTTTGTTTTGGCCCTTGAGCCATGACCTGGCATTGATGGGTTATTTCTAATATGAATCCTGGATGTTACACCAGCTTTTTGACGAGATCCATTTGTTTCACTTTTCTTGTAGTCTCCGGTCTTCTTCCCAATTGTAGTTGGTGGGTGAACCTCATGCTTCAAGTAGGTTACACTACACCTATGTTACAACGCAAACCTCTTTGTGATTCCAAGTATGCACACCTTCACTGCTTGTCTTACAGTATCCGAGTGCCATCAATATGCCATGACTTATCTGGACATAGGTTGCAGCCAGTCTATGTACACAAACTGCACCAATATGGTACCAAGGGACGCGATGCAGCACTTGCGAGACCTCCACTCGAGAGCCAAAAAAAAGTGAGGCCAGGTCTATTGAATATCAAACATGCTCCGTGTGACACCGGAGGCGTTCTCCATTCAGTCCTCTAGTAGGAACTTCAGGAACACCACAGCAATATTGACACCATCATGTTCATTATTAGCCCTCGCCAGGGCATCCTGAGCTTGGAGTTCCGTGAAAATACCCTGCTTGGCCCGAATCTGAATAATCTCCGTAATAATATCCCCCGTAAATTCAGGGTGGCCCTGGACGGTGATAAAGCGGCGTGGCGAATACATGCCCTGCACAGCACAGCGCGGGGATGAGCCTAGCGGAGTCACGTTCGGGGGATACTCATAAACGATATCTTGGTGCATTTGTTGGATGCGCTGTTGTGTAGAAAGAAAAGTCAGGTCAGGTGTCTCCATAGATAAATGTATGTGCACGCGTATGCAGGATGCTTGTTACGCAAAGGCGCAGACACAGCAGGACTCACAATTTTATCCCGCCCAAAGAGTTGCTTGCCCTGATCAGTCAAATCCATATCGCATACAGAAATCTCCCAGCCTTGATCGCTTTTTCCAACCTTGCTTCCTAATGCGCGGCCGAGAATTTGGTGTCCGAAGCAGATTCCGAGTAGGCGAACCCGATCTTGGGCGAGGACTTGTTGGGTGAATTCGACAAGACGGATAATCCAGGGGGTGTTATCGTATGAGTTATATTCTGTTTGTAGGTCCTGTTAGTTTATGTTCTCGATGCGTAGGGGGTACTGGGTCAACACACTTGATCCTGTCAGAAGCACAGCATCGATGTCTTCCAGCTTCGGGTATTTGTCGTCATTGACTATGTCCCAGGCTGTGACTTCCAAGCCCGTTGCTGGGTCCAGCCTTTCGGGCTGGTTTAGTGATATAGCGCCGGCTTTGAGAAGTACTTGGAAGACCCCGCCATATCCGTTGTAGCGGCGGTTGACGCCGTCCACTGGAGTGTCGCATTCCAACACGGCGATACGAAGCGGGGTGTGCATTCTTCGGGTGTGAGACTGTAGATTATATTGTGTGATACAATGAGGACTTATTGTCTTTTAACAAGAAAAGCTGGAGTTATGAAGAAAGACGCAACAGACATGTACTGTGTAAACTGCCTCCTGATAACTTATCGGATTAACCCCGAATACCCCGAAAGTCAAATCTGGTCCCGAGGTCGGAGGTCGGACAATGGTAGTGTGGTGAATTGCGTTCCGCTGCGAAGTTCTTCCACCTCTGGAGACTGGGCTGTTGCACTTTTGATCTAAGCCATGTCGTGTTGCGTATAGGGTCTTCATAGCCCTAGCGCAAATATAAAGTGTCATTGACCCTTCGCTTTTTGCCTTTGTTGTCACCACTTTTTTGAAGGCCCACACGTCCGCGTCGATGGCGTTTCCTTGATTTGTTTTTTTTTTCCGTGCTTCCTACAGAACTCAAGTCTCTATCGAGTACAATAACATACATTCATACATATTGGTCTTCTTGGATTCTCTCTTTCATTCTCAAGCCTTTTTCCTTCGCTCCGCGAAGATGCCAGTGGGTGACAATGAGGGGCAAGCCACTGGTCTTGGCCCCTCTGAGACCACTCCTCTCTTGCGCAACACAGCCAGCCAGCATATGAGCCACACTGATATTCCACATAGTCAAACAGATGTTGAATCGGATGAAGAAGAGCCTCTTATCCGTTGTCCTTCCAGCGTGAGCTCTGCGCCCGAAGGCCTCGAAATTGAGCCATCTCTAGAAATTTATGCATCCAAGGCTGGTACTCAGGGCGCTCCTGGCGACCATTCGAGTATCCCAGGTCAAGATGAGACAGATCATGATTCAAGATTCATTGACATATCACCAGCGAGGTTCTGGGCCATCTTTGGCGGTATCATGATGGGCTACATGATCGGTTTCTTCGATTCCACCCTCATGGCCTCTAGCCATCCAGTCATCACATCATATTTTAACGCAGCCAACTCCGCATCTTGGCTATCAACGGCTTTCCTGCTGACCTCCACCGCGTTTATGCCCCTGTTTGGGCGGGTTTCTGACGCTTTCGGCCGGAAACCTGTCTATCTCTTCTCGATCACCATGTTCTTTGTCACGACCGCAGGCTGTGGCTTGGCACCTAACATCGCCACTTTTATTGCTGCCCGCGCACTTTGTGGGCTCGGTGCTGGAGGCATCTTTTCAATCGGTCAGATCATCTCCAGTGACTTGGTACGTCTCGAGTATCGCGGGGTCTACCAATCATACCTCAACCTGTGTCTTGGCACTGGGAGTAGTCTTGGCCTTGCCTTTGGAGGTTATCTTTGTGATCATATCGGCTGGCGCGGCGCTTTTCTCATTCAACTGCCATTCATCTTCATCTACTTGATTGCAGCTGCGTGGACTGTCCCAGCGGACCTTGGCATCAAACGAACTGGAATTGAGCGCATGAAGGTATCACAATTAGTCCGAAGTATAGATATAACGGGAGCAATCATTTTGATCGTATGTGTGACCTCGCTGATCATGGGTCTGAACTTCGGAGGGAATGTCTATCCTTGGAGCCATCCACTCATTATTACTTCCCTGGTAACATCGCTTGCCTTGGCAGTGCTATTGGTCTTCTACGAGCGACAAGTCCCACGACCTGTGCTGCCAATCGAGCTCATGTTGAAAAATCCCCGGGCCAGCATCATCTTCGGCAACTTCTTTGCATCCATGTCTGTTCATACGATGATGTTCAACGCTCCGTTGTATTTCCAAGCCGTGAAGTTGACCAGCCCAACTGCTTCTGGTCTACGCCTTGTTGCCGCCTCTCTTGCCGTCACTATATCTAGCGTGAGCACCGGGTTCATGATCAATTGGTCTCGACGTCTCAAACCATTTGTCATGGTTGGTATATGCCTGATGGTGACGGGTGGATGTGCAGCTGCATCCATGGGCATCGACACCTCCCAACCGATTTCTATGATATGCATATCACTCACCAGCTTCGGTCAAGGTTTCTCGTTTCCCTCCCTGATGGTGTCTATCCTTGCTACGAGTGAGCAAAGGGATCAGGCGGTGGCAACCACGACCTTGGGACTGTGGAGAAACTTGGGCGCTGTCATGGGCGTTGCGGTCAGCAGCTGGATCTTCCAAAACACCCTCATCTACGAACTTGACCGGAAGGTCACCGGTATCGATAAAAGCCAAGTCATTGCACTTGTTCGCAAGTCGGTTCAAAGTATTGCTCACTTAGATCCACTTCATCGCCGACAAGGTATGTGCCATATCGCTTTCTCGTTTTGACCTTGCTAATTACTACACAGTCACTACGTCGTACTCTGCAGCTCTTCGTCTTACCTTTCTGTCGGCGGCCGTCTGGGCTGTCATTGTGTTGTTATTACTGTGTCGAGTCCGATTGCCGCGATTGGGGAAAAAGGCGTAGATATGTCTTGGAACATTTCAAGACTGACACGAGAGTGATGGTGTTAGACCACCTGATCTGTGGATTTATCTCGTCTTAAACAAGACATGTGTATATGTGCTCGAGTATCTTTCTATGAATGTACTTAAATTCTTGTAACTAGGTCTACTTTATAGAGTTCAACGTTAGCGAATCCAGCCCAGATTGATCCTGATCGTAACCCCATAGTCCTCTTACCAGCCCTATCATCACAATGCTAAAGTTCGACTACAGCTGGATTGATGGCGGGGCTACGCGTACCTACTTAGTACCTGGCATTGTTGCTAATGAGTCTGTTGGGCTGAGTAGGGTGTCTTCACAGAAGCTAATAGCATCTCTGATAAGCGGAATCTCCCAAAGTCCCCTCTGCTCCTTCCTTATTTTCACTGGGCAAGAAATGTCACGGGCTCACCTTCCTCATCAGACCTCCCTTTCCCTTATATTTCCCCTCCCCTCTCTCTTCTTTCTCTTCTCTTATCCCTTCCCTCTCATCTCTTTCTGCTTCCTCTCGTATCCCTTCCTGCTCATCTCTTCGTTCTTCTTCTCGTACCCCTTCCCGCTCATCTGCTCTTTCACTCTTCTACACAGTATTGCCTTCATCCAATTGATAAGGTAAGGATGACTGATTACTCCAAACCTTATCCGAAGAACTAAGCCCATAAGCCCATATACGTAGTTTCGGACGTTGAGGACGCCGGGATATCCACACCTTCTGTCCTCGAGAATTCCATTTCGGACAACCTTACGTCCGCCCGAAAGACCACACTTCCAACAATGTCGGATGACTCTGGCACCTCGGACGTCGAGCAAGCAGACATCGAGTGCTTCGCGGCGCTGCCCCACGACACAGTCCAAGTCACCGGGGTGACGGAGAATGCCGTACGGAAGACTATCAGAGACAATCAAGACACCACCGACGTGGTGAAGTACATACGTTTCACGAATGTCCCACCAGCCGTTGCCGACAAGTTTTCTCTGCGCAATACTCGCCAGATGTTCAATCGCAGTACTCGATACATGATCATCAAGCTCTTAACTGGGGCCCATGAAACAGCTGCCCATGGCCTCAGTGGTGCAATGCAACATGAGATATACAACATGGGGCTGGAAGAGGCAATCTGCCCTTTAGGGTCCAAAACCGTCCATGGCGTATTTTGCAGAAAGGAGGCCGACGCGGCGTATGGCCCCGCGCAACATGTTCCAGGTCGCAGTCCCCAGTGGCCGACCGTTGTGGTGGAAGTGGGGGTGTCGGAATCATATCGAAAGCTGCGGGCGGATGCGGATTGGTGGCTGACAAACTCAGGGGGGGATGTAAAGCTGGTAGTTATCGTGTCCATTAGTAGAAGGACCCCGAATATCAGGTTTGAGACTGTTGCTTTGAACCCGACTGTCGCCTCCTTGCGACTGCAGCGGCCCCGGTACGCCCCATACATACGGCAGACCATTACAGCATCCCGCAACGCAAACGAACCAAACTCACAGACTTCCATCACACCCTCGGTACCTCTGACCATTCCGTTTGAAGATTTGTTGTGCCGTCCACCAGTTCCGCCTGAAGGCGACATTCAAATACCACCGCATCGGTTGGAAATAATCTCAAAACATGTGTGGGCGGAGCAAGGATTGTAGATTCTTACTGTGTATTGGCCGGCAAGGACTGAGCACTAAGACGGAAATAGAAAGCCAAGAAGTGGCAGAGGAAATCCGGTACATAGGTATGAACTACTGTGTATAGCTTCGCTAGATACTGGGAGCTCATTGAAGTCGTGGATCTTTACATGCTGACGCCTCAGAAGTATACAATATAACCAAACAATCTGGAACTACAGTAGGTCAAGTGGAAAAGAGTCAATAGTCAGAACTTGATGTGCTATTAGGTGGTTCTAACTACATCATGAGTAGTACAGAAAAAAGCAGATTCACCAAGCTCCATAATAGCAATGTGCTCAATGTGTCAACGTCGAATCATTCCATATTTCATATCTCGTGTGCGGTCGTTAGGCGTTCGAAAACGCTGAGGATTGGATAGTGATCTATCCAATAGTGATCTTCTTGGAAGCAGCAGCAGTTGCCTTGGGGACCTCAATGGAGAGGATGCCATTTTTCAGATTGGCCGAGGTCTTGTCGGGGTCGACGCGGCTCGGGAAGGTGAAGGAGCGCTGGAACTCGCCGACGGAGCGCTCACTGGCCCAGAAACGGTGGCCAGACTTGTTCTTGGTGACCTGGTTGTCTTCGGCCTGCTCGGCACCTTCCTTGGCCTCAGCCTGAGGCTCGGGGGTGTGGTACTCGCGAACGACGCGGCCCTTGATGACCATGGTCTGAGGGTCGGGGAACTCAACGTCGATGTCCTTTTGGGCGATGCCAGGCAGCTCGCCATCGAAGTGGAACGCCTTCTCAGACTCGCGGACGTCAAAGCGAGGGGAGAAAGCACGAGCCGCAGTGTGATTGCCGCTGGAGCGGTGGGCATCGTAGTCGTCAAGAAGACGGAAGAGAGGGGCGAAGTCGCCAGTGCGAGGGAAGCTGGCACGGAGGAGAGACATGCTGATCGATGTAGAAGATTTGAAGTTGTTGTTGGCTTGTAGACTGAGTATTGAAGATGATCGTGATGGATGAAAGATGGGAGACTGGGGAGAGCTCATGGGGACTTTTATAGCCCAGAGCATCTGGGGCACCTTCCAGAAGCTGTTGGTGTTGATCGAGTTCTGGAAGGTGCCCTCCCACAGATAGAACACAGTGTAAGACAGTAGCTGCTTCTAGCAACTGCCTGTTACTTCTTGTGTCACCTTTCGAACCTTCTCCAACTCGCGGGATGCTTCTCCAACTTAGAAAGTCTTGGCATTTCGGTCCCACTTTTCTTTTTCCGCTGCAAACTTGGCATCCACTTCTCCACGACTTCAATCTTTTGATTCTTTGCGGGTTGGACAGGGCCCAGTGAGTTAAATCAACTGATCACGGGGAATATCAGCTGACACTTCTCTGCCTCCAAGAATTACTTGCCGATCCCTTCCCCTCATGCGCCCCCTTGCAGTTGGATTCAAACCCTAGACCAACTCTCCAACCCCAAAGACGATCGGAGTCAAGTCACTTTCAGCTGGACACAGTATTGCCAAGATCCTACGATTTCAAGTGTCAATATCGAACATGGCCATTCGAGAAGAATCAACAACGGCATCTTGTGTACTCGGACAACCTCCTTCAATTCGGACTCCAGTAGGCGCCGGGGACTAGCACGTACGTGCATTATAGCCGGACACCCTAATTTTATGCATCTGGGTTAAGACGAAATGAATATCCGAAAGACCGGGAAAGGACAGTCGCAATCGCCTAATGCCGACACACCGACATCGACCCCCCAAAGCCAGACAAGCGATTCGCAAAGTAAACCTCGCCCCCGCACGAGTCGCAACAAATCTGCCAATGGGCCAGAGACAAAAGCTAGGAGAGTCCGCACAGGCTGCCTAACATGCCGTCAAAGACATCTAAAATGCGACGAGGCTGTGGGACGATGCCTCAATTGTCGAAAATCGGATCGCATCTGTCAGCGCGGCGTCCGCCTCAACTTCATTGACACCCAGAGCGTAGCGCCTCCTCATATTGTCGCTCGACCGCAGGGCTCGAAGGTGACATTTCGGGACGACTCGCGCTTGATTGCGGATTTGTACGTTGGGGGATCTGAGATATATCCGCCTGTCCAGCCGGAGAGCCCCGTCGAAGAGAACGATCAGACACAGAATGGCCTTGATATCATGGGCTCTGATGATTTGACAAATCTCTTCCAATCGGTTGCAGAGTCGTTCGACCCACTGGACTTTGAAGTCTCACATCAAACCACAGCGGACTTTGCTGGAACTGATACTTGGCACCAGTCTCACTTGGTACCAGGGGACGAGCTTCTTCCTCAAGGGACGTCTAACTTTGCGAGGAAGCTCGCTGGGAGACATCAACATAATACTTCCCTCACCGACCCAGAGCAAGTGTTTCTTCTCAGGACTTTCGCCGAGGAAGTCGGTCCTCGAATGGACCTAATGGATGACATGAACCATGTATGTTAATCGTCAAGTCATATTCTCTCCAGTTGCTCACAAAACCCAGTTTTCCCAGATTCTTCCAGGCTTTGCCGTTGACGAGCCTCCATTGCTCAATGCCTTCCTAGCGTGCGGTGCTAGACATCGCTCTGTTATAGACTCTTCTTATAGTCATAAGGCGTCATACTATTACAGTGAGGCTACCCGGCAACTCTTGACAGCTCTGCACCACCCCTATCGTGACTCGGTGCTATGTGCAACAACAGCCCTAGCCCTCGGTTTCTTCGAGACCATGTCTTCCCACTTGACCCACAGCGGCCAACACAGCACAGGCTCCCGGGCTTTGATCCGAGAATGTGGCTGGACTGCCAAGACTCCGGGGCTAGGTGGAGCATGCTTCAGGATCAGTGTCAGTGCGGAGCTTTTGGACTGCATGCGCCATAACTGGACATTGGCTTGGGATCCAGACACCTGGGGTATAAACATGCAAATGTGCCATGCGCGGGATACCTACGAGAGCCGGCAGGATATATGGTATCATCGAATCCTTTACGCTTTTGCGAAAGTGGTGGCCTTTCGAGCATCTTCGCGCCCATCCCAAGGGTTTGGGGGTGACAACCCAGGCGCAGCTATAGAGCTCGAAGAGCGAGAATGGGCAAGCTACAACAGCTGGTGTATGCAATGGGCGGAATCCGTCCCTAGATCTCTAGTACCACTTGGATATCTGTCGCAGTGGCCAACAAATTCCGAATTCTTCCCTGAAATTCTGTATGTTTGAGCTCTACCTCACAATTATCAGAATCTCCGCTAACTCAGTCGCGTCTCCAGGCTTACCCAGCGATCTGCAATTGTGGCTCGATTGTTCTACTATGCCGCCCGTATTCTGCTGGGCAAGACACATCCTTTAATGTCAGAATCCGACAAGGAGATGCGGATAAAGCAGCGAAATTATGCATATGATATCTGTGGCCTGATTGCCCATACAAAAGACCGGTTAGTCAAAGATCATCGCTGAACATATCACCAATGTCCGGTGTCTAACAAGTCGAACAGAGGTATTGCCGACATCGCAGTACGGTTTCTCACGCTCGCTGCAGAATACATAGACTTCAAAGAAGCCCAAGTGGAGGTGCTCGGGATCGTTGATACCATCACCAAAGTGTCTGGTATTAATTCTGAACCAATCAAAAACGAACTCAAACAGATCTGGCATTGGAGAGAGTCTCCCCCTGGCACGGTGGACCCTGCCCAGATGCAAAATGATCTTTACCCATCATATCCATACCAATTTACCGAACATACGGAGACTTCTCCAAGCCTCAACAATCCGCTTTTGACTCGGGGAGACTTTGGGTTGGAGGATCATCCATATCAAGGGTTCTATGTGCGGCCATTCCATGCATACGGCTCTGTCCATCATATGTGAATATTTAGCGTCTTTCAATGAATAATGACTTGTTATCTGCCTCGGCTTCACTTGTAGTGTCTGTACAATGTACATGTCTGTTGAAGTCTAGTGTATCTAGTGTCTTGGAGGATATGGTGCGGATGAGCTTGTCTTGTGTCATTGTCTGTGGAAGCTATCTGCCCTGGATATGGAGGTTTTCTTCCACTTGTCTTCTCCGGAACATACTACTAGTACCGTTCCGCACACAGGAGCAAGTCCGATCACGTGGCTTGTCTTGGCAAGGAGCGACCCTGCTTCGAGTCTTCGACAATGTCATGTCCTTGGTACTTTGCAGCTGGGCCGGACTGTGTCTAAAATACATCACCTGTATGTGATTCGACGTGGTAAATGGTTACCGTAATTATTGTTCATTCCATGTTGGTAGGCTCACATTTCAATCCGTGCATTTTGAATAGCGCTCACAGACATACTGTGTAGACTGTAGTGTGTACTGCGTAAACCAACACCTAAGACCAACAGAGATGAGGCTCAAGTGGGCGGTGTAGACGGGCAATTCCACCACCATCTTGCCGTAGCTCATAGATATCGACACAGTCAACAACCACAAGTCACTTGGGATGGACACCAAACCAGTTCAGGCTCAATCCCCAGCCCCAGTATACATACTCCGCGGACATGCTTCACCAATCCATGCCCTACACATCTACAACCAGAACCTGCGACTAATATCCGGCGACGCCAATGGCTGGATCATTATCTGGGACTTGGTCACCAAACGGCCCGTGACGGCATGGAAAGCTCACCAGGGAGCTATTCTGGCAGCGAAAGGCTTCAACGTCGGCTCGGGTGTAACGGAAATCTGCACGTAAGATACATCCCCCCAGCTTTGTCTGACGATTGATAATCAACGCATCAAAACTAACATCAGCAACAGACATGGTCGCGACCACAAATTATGCGTGTGGAAGCTACGCCCAGAAGATGAACCTTTTCTGGACAAGACGCTTCCAGTGGATGCGAGTGAGCCCGCACAGTCGAGCAAAACCCAGCCGTGGCTACTCCACTCCTTGTCTGTGAACGCGCTCAATTTCTGTGCGTTCTCAATGGTGTTCGTCCATGCGGACGGGCTACCTCTGACATCTCGGTCGGCCAAAGCGGAGAATACCCTCTTTGCTGTCCCCAATGCTTTGGACTCTGGTGGAATAGATATCTTCCATCTACCATCCGAACGCCGGATCAGCACTATTCCTTCTGACAAGTCCACTAAGACCGGAATGCTGATGGCTGTGAGTTTATTCGTGTCAAACTCGGGAGAGCTATACGTCGCGTCTGCGTACGAAGATGGCCATGTGATGGTATTTGTTCATCGTGAGGCTCTCAAATCGGTTCGCTTTGAGCGTGAGTATCTGAGCAGCAATCCGCTGAGATGGGAGAGGCTTTATGTGGGGAAGCCTCATACGCAGCCGGTTCTTTCCCTTGATGTGGCTGTTTCCCGTGATTACTTCATCTCTTCTTCTGCTGATGCGTTGATCGTCAAGCATCCTATCCCTAGTACAGAGTCTGCTGGGTACATTCCCACACAGGTGTATAAAGAAGAGTCACCATTGAAGATTGTCAATACCAGGCATTCGGGCCAGCAGGGTCTGCAGATTCGGTCTGACGGGAAGGTGTTCGCTACTGCTGGCTGGGATAGTAGGGTGCGGGTCTACTCGGGCAAAACTATGAAAGAATTGGCTGTGCTAAAATGGCACAAGGATGGGTGTTATTCCGTGGCGTTTGGGCATGTCGAGAGTTCATCTCTACCAGCGTCTACATCGCCTGAGTCCACGGATGGAGACCACGACAATACAGAGGAAGGTGCAGCAGGGCAGACAATCATCAAGCCAAGCGATTACTCCCTCGCGACGGTACAGCAGCAACGGAATCAAAAAGTCCAACAAACTCATTGGCTAGCGGCCGGGTCCAAGGACGGGAAGATTTCATTATGGGATATCTACTGAGATAAATGCTAATGCTATAAAACAACCATGCGCCCATGCTTTTTCGAAAGAAGCCAGAAAGTGAGAAAAAGAATATATCAAGCCAAATTGAACTCGTTGGCTCCAGACATATGCTCTCTCATCTTGGCTCTCATCTTGCGAGCAGCCTCGTCCGCATTCGCATTCGTGGAAGGAGCGTCATCGGCCTTTCTCTTATTGCCCGCAGCACCGCTGCGAGAAGCCTTGAAGTCTTTCTTGGTGTCTTCTTGTCCGGGGCGCAGACCAGGGACGTTGATTTTACCGGGTCGATCACGCAGGGCGAAACTCTTGGCAAGATGACCCAAGTGGAGTTCCTTGATATCGAAGATGCTCCGTTCACTTGCGATGTGGGTTGCATAGGCACGCACATGAGATTGGAAGGCTCGTCGAGCCATCTCGAGATATTCCGGGTTACCAAGGGCCCAACGTTCGACATCCATTTGCCAATCGGTCGTCTTCTCTTCCCAGTTCTTCTTTCCGGTCTCGTTTCCACCGAAACCGCGTCGGAGAATCTCGTTTGCATCGGTGCGGGTGAGCGCCTTGCCTCCATCGCGGTAGCCGCGCTTGAGAATTTCGACATAGTTCTCCTCGCAACCGGGCTGGAGGAAGACGAGGGCACGTCCGTCCCGGCCTACACGGGCTGTGCGACCAATGCGGTGAGTGTGGTCGTCGGAGCTGAAGGCTGGGTCGTACTCAACAACCAAGTCGACGTTGGGCAGATCCAGACCACGCGAAGCGACATCAGTACAGATCATGACGCACGCTTCAGTACTGCGAGAGAAAGACCCGAGGGTGGCTGTTCGAACATTTTGGGGAAGAGAGCCGTGCAGCCGATGCAAGATGACTGGATTGTTCGGCGTGGAAAACGCTCTGCCGGGAGCAATGGTACCATGGGGTGATAGTTTTTCTCTTTCGTCGTCTTTCTTGTTTTCTTCTCCTTCCTCTTCATCATCCTTCTTTTGTTGCTCGCGGTCTTGATTCCTTGCGAATAGTTCGAAATGGAAATCGACCACGTCGGCGCAAGACATGAAAACAATTGCCTTCATCACTGATCCCTTGCGCATAAACGTTCTCTTCAAGTAGGCCGTTAATGAGACCAGACGTAGCTTGGCAGGGACAATGGCATAGGATTGCTTGAGTTGTGCCGGAACGCGGAATCCTTCTTCCTCGTCCTTATCCTTCTTCTCCTCATCATTGTCAGCCGGATCAGCCTTGATGTGTACCGCGTCCTTCAAACTGATTTCACCCAGCTTTTGGACATTCATCTTTAGCGTAGCAGAGCACAGGACTGTCGTCCTGCGAGTAGGAACACCTGGAACGCGACTGGGCCGTTGTCTAGCATCGAGTTTCTTCACAATTCCCTGCAATTCCTCCTCAAAGCCCATGTCCATCAAGCGATCACCCTCGTCAAGCACGAGCCATCGCACATTGCTAACGTCCAGGGCTTCCGTATTGTCGAGATGATCTACCAATCGACCAGGCGTCGCGACAAGAATATTCAATCCTTTCCTCAATCGTGCCTTCTCCGATTTTTTCTTTTCTCCGCCAATGACCGTTCCACACACAAGCCAGTTCGCACAGCGCAGGATATTCTCCAACACAACGGAAATCTGCTTGCACAGTTCACGAGTAGGTGCCAAGATAATGGCAAACAATCCACTGTCTCGGTGGACCTGGGTATCGGTATGTTCGGTCTTTGCTTTTGAAAGATCCATGATTCGCTGCACAAGCGGCAGAAGATAAGCCAACGTCTTTCCGGAGCCAGTCTCAGCCTGAATGAACGCATCACTCTCCTCCTTAAGCAATTGTGAGATGGAGCTTTTCTGAATAGCCGTCGGCGCCTTGAGCTCCAGTTTCGTGAGCAGATGCGCCGCCAGGTTAGGAGATAATCCTAGGTTTGTGAAAGTATCCAGCCCGTCAATCAGCGGCGCATTGGTTGGTTTCGAGTCTTCCGTCTCTCTTTCTTCCTTGGGTTCTTGAGCATTGCGCGGTTCGGGATTGCTACTGAAAAGCGAGGAGACGAATTGGGTCGGGTCCCGCGGGTGCTGCGGCCGGCGGTCACCACCAGCGCGCGGAGCACTGGGGCGGTTGAATGAGTCGTCGGTCTTTTGTCGTTTCACCGGCCGGGTACCGAGTTCGATCTGGTTCGGGTTCTTGGATGATACGTTGCGGGCAGAGGCATCACCGGGTGCTTTGTTGGGGTCTCCTCGGTGGGCTGAGCGCTTCTTTGCGATCAATCTGTCTCGCCATGTTCCTCCTTTAAACTTCGCTTCGGGCTTGATGACACTGTCACCAATGGTGAAGTTCATCAACATTCCATCATCGGCCATTTTGATGTATAATAATCCCCAGTGAAAATGGAGGGGAGTTGTGAGGTTTATGTTCAACCGGCAGAAGCTTTGGAGACTTTTTTTTTGTGCCAAGACTTCCAGGCTCTTATGCAAATTTTCTCCGCCTTCACCCCCCACTTTGTTTACTCCATATCGAGATGAATCGAGAATCTTCATTCAATTATATGCTTCTATATGATTTTTTCCGATGATGCTATGTGGATTGTGTTGACAAAAATCTCTATGTTACAGCGTTAGATGTTCAGTTTATACGTACTTGATATATCAAGCACGAGGCTGCAGAATGATATTGTCAATCAATCGTACGGGGACCTTGCCATCGCCTAGTCCACAGTCCTCGTCTGGCTTGGTCTCTTCCAGGGGCGCCATCTTGAACGCGGTACTCAAAACCGCACCCTTGGCCGTGTCGACGATTTCCAGCTCGTCGAGGGTATCGGGATCGGCGAGAGAAATATAATCGACCTCATAAAGGGCTCTCTCAGCAGGCGAAAGTCCCCGCTGCGTGGACAGGACTTCATCTGCAATCTTCTGCGCCGCTCCAAGAATATCTGCTCGGCTGGTCTTGCCGGCCAAGTAGGCTTCCTGGGCGGCTTTCAGCGTCTTGTAGACAGTGAGGCCGACAGCTCGTCTGCGCTCTCCCAAATAAACGTTTCGGGAGCTCAAAGCCAGGCCATCCTTCTCACGCGTGGTCTCGATGATTCGCACCTGAGTGCCAACATGGAAATCCTCTACCATCCGCTTGATGACCACGGTCTGCTGCACGTCTTTCTGGCCGAAGTAGACACGATCAGGGGTAGTGATGTTGAAAAGCTTCATGCAGACAGTCGCTACACCCCGGAAGAATACCGGACGCGAAGCGCCCTCCAATTTCGTGGACAGCGGAGTAATTGTGACGAAGGAGCCATGCCCATCAATTTCTGATGACGGGGGCAGACCAGGGTACATGACCTTCGAGGTCGGTGCGAAAATGGCAGTGATGCGCCCGGCGCTCGCACTGTTTTCTCCCAACCGCTCGAGCTCCTCGTTTAGCTTTTCCAATTTCTCAACGTCGGTATCCCAGGTGCGAGGGTAGCTAGACAAATCCTCCGTGACACCGAATTGTGTGGGATTGACGTATATGCTGACAAAGATGTCTGTATTCTCGCGAGCTGCTTGCCGAATTAGAGCGAGATGGCCTTCGTGGAGTGCGCCCATGGTGGGAACAAAGCCCACAGTCCGATCTTTTTGCAGCAATTGGCGCCGTAACCCCCGAATTGAGGAAGCATCGCGGAAGACCTGGAAGCTGGAGGGTTGGCGGATTGATTGTGAAGCCGCGGTGGCGTCAGCAAGGAAGGATGAAGCTGTCGCTGGTGGATACGAGTGAGCTTATTGGGCTATAATTTCCACAAAAGGGACATACTGGAGAACGACCTCACCCCATTGACCAAGCGAGACATCTTGGTGTGGCTTGTTGTAAAATAAGCTCAATGGAAGTGTCAAAATGTGCAAAGTGGGACAATGAAGCTATGAACACGCCCCACGTGACTACCTCGGCAGGATCCTGGGGAAGCCGAAGAACATCCCGATGATCAGCCGTCGTGTTGCCGCTTTGTTGGGAGCTCGGGGCTCGAGCTATGGTTGGGGTTCTGTCATTTCCGAACTTTCCATCTTCATCTTTCCCTCTATATTCCCTAAGCTACACTCGCATGGTCCGATTCAAATCACAACCGCCCTCTCAGCCTACCCCACAATATGTCATCTCCCAAGTCGCCGCCGATCGATGACCATTCTGCGCCAGATCTCGAGATCGCCAGCTCAAATGTGACAATTCATCCCTCTGGATTTACCGGAGGTCCTGAGTCCCACGATGACCAAAATACCGAACGCAACCTGGTTAGGCACATGGCGCGGTTCCGCGAGAACCCCCTGGATTTCCTCCGGGAAGTGAGCCTGTACATGTCCGGTACGGGCTGGCGTGCATATGATGAGCCCATTGGTCAACCGATCTTCTATCCTGGCTTCTCCGAAAGAATGAAGAACATGATCTTCGCGAGTCCGCTCTTGCAAAGTAAGGTCACGGAACTGGCCAATCGTCGTCTAATTGTCGAAGAAAACGAAGGACTGTTGGCAATCAAGGAAGGCACAACGCTGGACGAAAAGCGCGCACGTCGCAAAACCGAGATTGAAGACAACCTTCGGGAGGTCGTGGACACGATGATGGAGAACATGATCTGCAAAATGGAAAGCAAGAGGTTTATTCGGAGCGCTTATTATGGATGCACGCAACTTTTGACTCGTGCCTATCATCAAGGTATTCTTCATTGACGAGTTCTGTCCTATCTCAATTCAATGCTAACTCTATTCCTCCTAGGCATTCATGTGTCCAGCGAAGAGGTCTTGCGGTTACGATCAGTAGCCGAAACTGCCGCCAAGAAGAAGCAGTCAATCGTCTTCTTGCCTTGCCATAAGTCCCATGTGGATTACGTCTCTTTGCAACTTATTTGTTATCGTCTCGGCATTTCTCTGCCTGTCATTGTCGCGGGCGACAATTTGAATATACCGTTGCTGGGCGCTTTCTTACAACACGCAGGTAAGCTACGCCTTGTCGTGGCTTAAGGATTTAACTAATGCTATGCAGGAGCTATGTGGATTCGACGCAGCTTTGGAAATGACCCCTTATATCAAACTGTTGTTCAAGCCTATATCGATACTCTCCTTCAACAAGGTTTCAACTTCCAATGCTTCATTGAAGGCGGTCGTTCTAGAACTGGAAAGCTGCTTTCCCCCAAGTTTGGAATTTTGAACTTCATCATGGACAGTATCCTGTCAGGTCGAGTGGAAGATCTCGTTATCTGCCCTGTCAGCACTCAATACGACAAGGTTATTGAAACTGAGTACGATGCCCCACTGTACTATTGATTCCCTGGTTACCCTTACTGATCGATTCTATAGGTCATATATCAGCGAGTTACTCGGACAGCCGAAGCCAAAGGAGAATTTGGCTGATTTCCTTTCTTCGTCTTCGGTCTTGTCCCTTAAACTTGGCCGAGTGGATGTTCGGTTCCATGAGCCATGGAGTCTTCGAGAATTCATCGAGCAGCAGTTGTCGCGCCTGGATCTCCCTAGCACCGACATTAATAACAAGCTTAGCTACACGGACCGAGGCCGCATCCTTCGAACATTAGGTTATCGGGTCCTCTCCGATATCAACGATGTATCTGTGATGATGCCAACCGCCCTTGTTGGAACTGTCCTTCTGACCTTGCGCGGCCGTGGTGTCGGAAAGGCCGAGCTAGTCCGCCGATTGGAATGGCTGTGCGAGCGAGTACGCGCCAAGGGTGGCAGAGTAGCACACTTCTATCGCTCACCAACGGAGACGGTGGTTGACCGCGCACTGGAAGTGCTAGGGCCCAAGCTTGTTGGTTGTATCTCAGGGCTAGTCGAGCCAACATACTATGCGGTGGATCGGTTCCAACTCTCCTTCTACCGCAATATGCTCATTCACCTCTTCATCACTGAAGCACTGGTCTCTGCTGCTATGTATACAAAGATCAAGCAAGGCGGTGGACCCACCAATCAGCGAATCACCTACGAAGGTTTACAGAAACAGGTCTCATTCCTGTCACAACTCTTCCGTGGTGAATTCATTTTCCCGCCAGAGGGATTTGCCAGCAATCTCGAAAACACTTTGCGCGGGTTGGAAAAAGACGATGTGATCAAAATCACTCGCGATGAATCCAACACGCCGATGTATGTTGAGTTGAGCGAGACCGAACGCCTATGTGGTCGGGAGAACTATGACTTCTATTGCTTCCTCATCTGGCCTTTCATCGAGGCCTCTTGGCTAGGCGCCGTGTCTCTTCTTGGCCTGACACCACCTCTTGATAGCCCAAAGGAGGTTTGGATCGACTCGAAGAAAGCACAGGATAGTGCTCAGTTAGTAAGTGTTTCTACTTGAATGCGAGCATTTCGTTGCCACTAACACTCCGCAGCTCGGTAAAACGCTATACCACCAAGGCGACCTCTCATACTTCGAGGCAGTCAACAAAGAGACCCTCAAGAACTCATACCAACGCTTCGAAGAAGAGGGTATAATCCTCGTTGCGAAATCCAAAGCATCACGTGCCGGTCAATCTCTCCGACTGGCTCCTGAATGGGCACCCCAGCGCGACGAAGCCACTGGAAGGGTCCTGGAAGGCGGCCGACTATGGGACTTTACCGAATTGATTGCCCAGTCTCGCCGCGAAGGGTGAGCAACTTTCCCAGCACCACTTCTCTCAATGCATGACTTGACTAACCTCCTACAGTAAAAACCGCCGGGACGGTGCAACGGTCTCCTCGCGCGTTCTCACCATGTCTGATGCTGTTGGCCGGAAGCTCTTCCAGAGCGCGGCAGCTCCTGTGCCCGATGATGTTTCGTCGCCACAAATGCGTCGGAACGTAATTGGAACTGAAGCCAAGCTCTAGTGGTTCCTTTTTATATCCATATAGGCAGCAATATGCAGACTGCTACTAGATCTAATTAGTTTGTTACATATGCTACTCATACGTTGACGAATACGAAGATACTACTTCTACTGTAAGGTTACTATGAGATGGATGCAGGTAAAAAGACAATATTCCAATTCTTCATCTCGCTAACATCGCTGCCGTTACCTACATGCCCTGTATTCTCCAAACAATGGAACCTGTAAATGCCAGACAACAAAACAACCTACATGACAAGCATCAAACGCATGGAAATCCGCTAGAACGTCCAATATAGTCTTAAAACAAAATGCGCAAACAAAAGAAAAGCTGAAAAGAAAAGAAACGAATGAAAGACAAAGGAAAATAAGGCTCAGACGCTATATAAGAACAGTATACCCCAACCCCAAAACAAAACTCCAATCACATCCTCATAAACTGACCCTTAGTCCCAGGACTCGTAGGAGCAGACCTAACAGTCATAACCTTGGGCGTCTGCACATCAATAGCCAACTTCTCAACCCCCCTTCTAGCAGGCGACGTCTGCCCCTGCTCAGCAACAAGACAGTCCGTCGACCTCTTCGCCAACTCCTGCAGCCTCCCCATAACAACCGCCGAATCCGAGTACAGCACCACACCCTGCGAATAAGTACAAGAAGACACCTTCTCCTCGTCAGTAGCAAAGTCCTCATGCGCCGCCTCACGCATGATACGCGGGAACGTGCGCAGCACAACATGACGAGTAGGCTCATTACCACCGCCAACCTTCTTCAGCTCCCCATTAGCCGCATACTCAAGCCAGCCCTCATTGGAGACGCTCTCCGCGTCCGGGGCCGGGAAGCTAGCGATAACAAGCTCCCGTTCAACGCGAGCGTGTCTCCAAGTTTCGGCAGCCAGTTTGACGATTTTGCGAACGCCGGTTAGGAGGGAGTCTAGATGCTTCGGGTCTGCGAAGTGCTTGATGTGGTCGATGATTTCGTCGACGATGACTGCGGCAGCGACGTTGATGGATTGTTTGGCGTCGGAGGTTGTGTAGGCTGCTTTTAGGGTTTGTTGGCGCCAGAAGGCTTCGCGGCGGACGGATTTGCGTCGGATGTCCATGGACAGCATTTGGAAGAAGGTGTCGGCTTTGTCGTAGCGTCGGCCCAGGGTGAAGAGGAAGGGTTGGAAGACGCGGAAGGTTAGGGTTTTGGAGATTATGTGTTGGATGTAGGCGCAGCGGAGGTCGCGGGAGGCTGGGGTGTTGTCGAGGAAGGGGGGCAGTTCGGAGGGGATCTTGGAGAGAATGTCTTTTGGGGGGTCGATGGGGAGGTAGCTGAAGTGTTCAAGGGAGAGATCGTGGATGAGCTGGGAGAGTTCCGTGAAGCAGTCCGAACTATGTGAATGGGGTTCATCAGATTCGTTGTCCATTGTTTTCGTTATCAACATGAGAGTCTATAAGAGAATGTATCGCTGATGCAGGATCAAAACAAAATGCAGGTTTTTGACAAAGGAAATGTAGAATGAATGGCGTGTCTTCGAGGAAGACGGGAAAACACAGAGAAACAAAGTATGCAAGTAGCAATCCATAGGGCTTCAGAGATCACTTACAAGAATTGATCGCCCTTGGTGTTTCTGAGGTCAGTGGCCTCTCCCAGACTGAGCAATGTCTTTCTCAGTCTGTCGCAATCTCCACCCAGATTATCGATGGTCATTCGCATTCCGTCAACTGCGCGTTGAAGATGCTGCTCTTTGATGATTCCTTCCTCCTCCAACTTTTCCTTCTCTCGTTCAGCACTGGCGAGTTCGCTTTCCTTCTCGGCGAGGTACTTCTCAATAGCGGCGCGTTCTTTGGCCCAAAGCTGTTCTTTCTCGTTGAAATGTGTCTCGATAGCTGCAATCTTCTCGTGCATTTCCTTGGTAGCAGCAGCGAGATGCTCATCATGGGATTGTCGCAGGTTTTCCAATTCACCGGCATGGCCTTGTCGAAGTTGTTCAGATTCTTGGGTATGCCTTCGGTTGGCTTCCTCCAGCTCGTTTCGTGAAGCTTCCAGTTCAGCCAACCTCGCTGTCAGTTCCTCGCGTACAGATGTGAGCTCGGCTAGTTTGGCTTGCAGCTCGGTCTCTTTGGATTCCAAGGCGGCAATCTGGGATGCCACCTCTGTCTTGGTGGCTTCTAACTCAGTGCTCTGGGTTTCGAATGATTCCCGCATTTGGGTCTTCTCCTTCTCCCATTCGATCTTCTTGGCTTCATGCTCGTCACGAAGTTCCTTTTCGCGAGCCTCCAGGTTCTCTGCAGCTGTCTTCTCGTCTTCGCTCTTGATCTCCTCAAACAACTCAGTGAGCTCCTGTTTCTGTACCTCAAGAGCCCTTTCCTGTTCATTCTTCCGAGACACCAGCTCTTTCTCGTGGGCCTCTGTCGCCTCTTTGATGCTATCATTCAGCTTGTTGATTTGGTCTTCGAGCTCGACCTTGGACTGCGTCAGCTCCTCGTTGGTCTTCTGGTGATTAACGAGTCCGTCCTCAAGATCTTTTTGCTTCTCTTGCAGGTCTCCAAGTTCCAGGCGCAATTCGTTTATGGTGTGCTTCAATTTGGAGGCTTCTTCGGCGCTCTCATTGGCGGTCTTCTTCATCTGGGCTTGCAGAGCTTCAATGTAGTAGTCCTTATGCATTAATGCCTGTTCATGCTGGCTCCCGATATGTTTCATCTCAGCCTCTCGGGTCGAGAGCTTGCTGTGGGTAGTGCGGAACCCATGCAGGAGACGGTTGATGTCTGGAAGGGCCGACTGGATGCGTTGGAGAAGTTCAATGTGCTCGCTATCTCCTTCTGGGGGAGAGCCATTGTCATAAGGTTGACCCATGGAAAGGTTTTGCAGGGCCTGGTATGATGCCGCATATTGTTGATCCTGCATGCTGTAGCTTCGTTGCATGTAATGAGCATCCGCTGCATGATGGGGGGAGTAGGGCGCATAAGGAGACACCATTCTGGCAGAGGTCATGACGGGGGTTTCGTAGGCAGTCGGGACACTTGGAGCGGTGGAAGGAGGTGCTGCTGGAGGGGCCATTGGCGCAGCAGGGGGATCCTGGGGAGGAGGAGTTGCAGTAGGGGACATAGTGGGAGACATTTGGGGCCGATGGGAATGTGCAAGTGGGCTGCTGACTTTGGGCACTGGCGAGGCAGTATAGCCTACTGATGAGGCGTGGGGCACTGGTGAACCGGCGTAAGGTCCGGGTAAACTGTAGGGTATTGGTGAGGCGTAAGGCGCTGGGGAGCCGGCGTACGCAGCAGGTGAAGTGTATGGCACCGGAGAACCAGCGTAGGAACCAGCGTAGGAACCAGCGTAGGAACCAGCGTAATATGCAGAGTGTGGTACCGGTGAAGCGTACGCGTTTGGCGAAACGTAAGAGGTTGCCACTGGCGAGGCAGCGTACGGCACTGGCGAAGCGTAGGCGCTTGGAGAGGCGTAATGGGCTGGTGCTGAGTACGGATTGGGTGCCGAGTAGGGGTTCGGTGAGGTGTAGGGATTCGGGGAGGCGTAGGGATTTGGCGAAGCGTAGGTATTTGGTGAGGCGTATGGAGAATACGCTGATGGTGCAGGATGATAAAGCTGGTTATCTTGGGAAGGGCTTGACATAAACCGTGCCTCGGTCAATGAGGGCGAGGGCAACGGCACACCAGCGGCGACAGGGGAGAATGGGTTGGCCGGTGGTTGCGAGACCACAGTTGTCGTTTCTTCGGAGGGTCTGTCTTGCTGTGGATCGACTTGCGTAGTCTGGTCAGGCTGTTCTTCTTTTGCTTCTGCGTCCTCAACTGGAGACTGGGCCAAAATGGGCGCCTGTAGGGTCGGTTCCTTGACTTCGACGTGCTCGATTGGAGTTTGAGTCGAGCTTGGCTCGTCCAAATGTAGCTCTTCGTCGAGAGGCTTGTCGACTAGAGGCGACGAATGATCTGCGAGAGGGTTGGGCACTTCTTCGGATGTAGGCTTGTGGTCAAGCACCTCGTAGGCTGATACGGGATTTCCGACTGGCGGTGCTGGCTCTTCCACGACAGGGTTGGAGGCTTCTTGGGGTGCAGTGTCGTGGTCGAAAACCTCGTAGGCTGATACCGGGTTCTCGGCCACAGGTGATTGCTTGTCCACAACAGGATTGGAGACGTCTTGGGGTGCAGTGTCGTTGCCAAATTCTTCGTAAGCTGATACAGGCTTGTCGAGAACAGTTGATGGCTGATCTGCGACTGGATCGGGGTTGGCTTGAGGTGTAGTATTCTCGTCGACCACCTCGGATGCTGGTACAGACGGTGGTGCCTCGACTTCGACAGGTGGTTCAGCAGCAGGTACTGACTGGTCTTTGTCTTGCTCTGCTGTCTGCGCCGTAAGTACAGGGCTACCAGGAGCAGGAGTCTCCGTCGTAGTTGGTTGAGGTTCTGTGACCTCTGGGCTCTTGCCCTTCTTATTCTTCTGTTTGGCCGCGGCCTTGCCATTCTTGTCCTTGGCCTTGCTTTTCTTGCTGCCCGCAGCCATTGCGGTGGAGTGATGAGTGCCCAAGTGTTCTTGTCTTTGCGAGACGTGTTACCAATAGGATCAATGTGCTAAATGAAGCATGAGTAATAGTCCGATCATAAGTTTCATGGTATACTGCACTGTACATTTGCAGCCCTGGCGATGCTTCAAATATAGCTCAAAAATTGACTATCACAGGAGGGATAATGGCGCGAAATGTATAGAAGCATGAAGGGTAGCCTTGATCGGGCAGGGAGCTGAGACTCTTTTGAGTGGGCGCAAATGAAGATCCACGACACTCGACAATTTGAACGAGTCCAGATAGCAATTCCATTCAGAGATGTTAAAGAAAGGAAAAAGGAAAAGAAAAGCAAAACCCGAGAGAAAAAAAATATCTAGACTCGAAAATTAGCCGTCGAGGTACAATAGCGGACCGACCCTTAGCGTGTTGATACCCATCCACTTGCCCCAATGTGTGGCCTAGCGAATGATCGCGTGGGTTGGGGGGAATATCGGGGCGAATATCAGGACACAAAGAAGATATCAATCCACACATTCCATTCTGAACCGAAGCGAGACCAGTTGGAGGACGCCATGGCATTGGGCATCAATGTGGGTTCGGGCTAGGAGCTATGTACAAGGTTGGTGGGGGTATGCGACACCGACAAGCTGACATGTTCAATTGAGAGCCAGACACTAATTCGCATGGATTGGTCTATTAGAAGGAGGCGATATATCCATTGGAGTTATGTTGCCCAACGAGGGGGATGCGAAGTCCAGAAGAGTGAGGGAGAGTAAATAATAGTGAGGCTGGCATCGAACAACACACCTCGGTTACTAGATGAGGTTGGGAACATATGCCCCATTCCACACAGGTGCATATTGGACATAATACGATTGTCAAAGTTGGGCTGCAGTTGGATTCTGGGACTTTTTCTTTTTATCGGTGCTACTCGGGAGTCGACGGGGTATGAGTACAGCGTATGAACTGTGTAGTATACAGCTGGTAGCCTGGTATATTAGGCTGACATGGAATAAAATTTGTAGAAATGGGTCACTGAGATAGAGACCAGAGGAACTAGAAGACCATAAAGAATCCTTAACTATGGAGCAGTCAAGGAGAATCTTAGAAGTCAACATTGAAATGACGCTGTCTGTTGAATGTTCATAAATGACCCTAAACCCAATACGGTAATCACGTGCCATCGACTTTCGCTTTCCACCTCGCCCTATCACTGCTCATCAAAGGGTCATCGAATCACCACCAATTGCTTTCCCTCCACACAATGTTCGCTGCCAGACGATCTGCTACCTCCACGCGGCAGCTGCTGCGCACCCAGCGCCGCTGGGGCTCCCACGCCGCTCACGAGCCCGTGAACGAAGGCTTCGGCGTAAGCTTCTCTCCCCCGCCGACCGCGCGACCAGATCCCGAATCTGGAAGCAGTGGCTCAATGGCCCTCCCGACCAGCTAGCTAACCCACGCATGTCCACTTAACAGCGCAGCTTCTACGTCACCGTCGGCTCCATGGCCTCCGCCTACATCCTCTACCGCATCAGCAAGTCCAACGAGGAATCCGGCTCCCCGTCCTGGATCTCCGGCCTCATCGCCAAGCTCACGCCGGACCAGGAGGTCTTCGAGCAGCGCAATGCTATCCACACCGCTATCATGGAGAAGGCTGCTTCTGACCGCCACTTGCTCGGTAGTCAGGGACCCCCCGAGGCATACAGCCTCCGACAGACCGAGTATGTGACTTGAAGACTCTGGACATAACTCTTCTTTGGGTCGTGCTAATTGGACCTTTTTTTCGCTCGCAGGATGATGAACTCCGGCTCGCCTTACAACGTTTCTCCCGGTTCGCAGGCCGACCTGAGCCATGTCGTGGCTCACTACAACCGCAAGAACCAGGAGCTTGAGGAGGCTCGGGTTGCGCGCATGAAGGACGGCAAGGTGGTGTCGCTCTATGATTAGATTGGTGGTCTGTCTTTTTCTTTGGTTCGCCGTCTTCAATAGACATGTGTGGAGGAAAAATCATGTACATATACGTTGGGACTTGACGTTCAATCCAGCGCTTGATAATTGGATTCTCTTTTGTTTTTGCCCTAAGGCCCGGTGGAGGGTACTACCTCCAATACTACTCTGCCCACACCCTCCGACTGGACGTTCATTTTCTGCTGCACGTCGAGCTCGTTGACACAAAGTTGCCCTAGAACACCAAGGAACTCATCAACACCACCACCAACTCCGAAATAAACCTTCTTCGCCGCAATCAGAGCCCGACTTCTCGCAGATGCAGTGTTCGAGCGGCGCAGCAGCGCCAAAAGCGTCTCGGAGAATGCCATCAACGACGCGGGCGAGTAGATCGTCTCACTGGCAAGTACAAGAACTTTGCGAGCACTATCACTGGATGAGAAGACCAAATCCACAAATTCAGGCGACCAGGCGCCAGAAATAAACTCAACGAAGATCCCACACTGAGCAAGATCATTAATGAAATCCTGAACCAGTTCAGGCGTGATGTCCAGTTCTTCTTCCTGGTCTGGCGCAGATGAGTTGGCCGACACAGTCGTTTGTGAGCGGGCATTGTGCCACGTCAAAAGGAGATTTGGCAGCGTGACTAGACGAAGTACATCTGAGTTGTAGTCTGCAAAAGTAAAGAAAGTCTTCCGTTGACTTTGCCCGGGTCGGGCTTGACTCAGTAGACGGGCGAACAGTGTCAATGATGGGACTGCTGTTCCTGCACCAAGCTGTTTCATGTATGTTAGCCTGTTCTAGGTACTTATGAGGAATTGGCTTCCATGATTTCATGATCGTAATGGCATACCTCGATTATGTGAATGTCCACTGGACTCTCGGGGGCTTCGTTAAGGATCTCCTCGTCGAGAGAGAGCTTCGCTAGATCCAGGGCACATTCCCAGGTTTTGAAACCACCCTCGTAGAAATTGGGCGTGATGTCGCCCTTTTCGATGCCGGAGATCAGTTGTTCGTTATCATGGCCTGCGCTGTCTTCGGCCATGAGCTGGGTACGAATGTCGAAGATCTCTCGCCGAGCGATGGTCAATGTATCACTGATTGGAAGCTTATTGTAGAAGATTTGGGAGGGGAGGATTGCAAGCTGGAATCTTGGTTAGATTCGGTCCTCTTTGGGTTTGACAAGGTAGAGCAAAGTGATCAATTCATGCTCTTGTTGCCAGTAGAGCGCGAGATCTCATTGACCCTACGTGGGATTGGGAGTATACTCGCTAACCCATAACATTCATCATAAGAGCGAATCTTCAATACGCATGATTAAACAAGAAGGAAGCCGTTGATGGTTTACTTACCCATTCATGCATATCATGTTTCTTCGCTTTGATGAGCTCGGGAAGAGAATTGCTCGTAGCTTGTTGCGACGGCACAGAGATATCATTATTGATTTCTGAATCATCGATGTCAATATCATCTCCAGAGAAACCGAAGCTGAACGCCATTTTCACGTGGGTCTAATTGCTGTCTTCTTGCAAGACAATCCGTTGTGTGTAGGTGGGTTTTCTGAAGTGGATGCTGCGGATGGTGAAAATACGTCGAAAATTGCTGATTATAGAGACACTTGCACAAGATCCGGCGCAAAATATGGAGAATTTTCGAGGAGCGAGATCTAGGCAAATATACAATGATCAATCCTCGAAAGTTCTTCCACAAACACTTTGATCTGATCTCATCTTCATACCAAAATTGCAGTGGGAGCCTGACTAAGCAAATAGCTGCCCCAGGCATTGAAATTACTGTATGTAGGGCGACCTCGCGACGTTTCACTGGAAGTTCTAAAGAGGCAGAGGCTACAGAGTACATGTCAGGGAGATGATATGGGAATCTCGAACTCATAATGTCATTCCAAAACGACGCTGTCTACTTTTATCTCACAAGATGCAAGCTAGTATATCATTAATCACTACCCGAAGGCGACTATGCTTTCTGGGGTGCAGCAGCCAACTCAAGGGCCTGAATCACATCGGCATGCAGATCTACGGCATCCTCAATACCACAGCTGAGACGCACAAGGTCATCGAAGACACCGGCAGCCTCACGCTGGTCCCTGGGGATACCAGCGTGGGTCATGCTGGAGGGCACCTCACACAAACTCTCAACGCCTCCAAGACTCTCGGCCAGTGTGAAGACCTTGGTGTATTTGCAGAAGTCGTGAGCAGCCTGCTGACCACCCTTGATGCGGAAGCTGAGCATACCGCCACCCATACCCTGGCGGTGCTGCTTAAGGGCAATAGCGCGCTGGGGGTGAGAGTCGATGCCGGGGTAGTTGACCGAGATGACGTGAGGGGAGGCCTCGAGAGCCTTGGCGATAACTGTGGCATTTGTGGTTGCTTCGCGGGCGCGCAGGTGCAGGGTCTTGAGACCGCGGTGGGCGAGCCAGCAGTCGAATGCCGAGGGCACGGCACCAATGGCGTTCTGGAGGAAACCGAGACGCTCCTTGAGGCTCTCGGAGTTGAAGGCGGCAACGCCCATCAGGACATCGGAGTGGCCGTTAATGTACTTTGTCACGGAGTGGACGACGATGTCTGCACCGTGGTCCAAGGGATTCTGCACGTAGGGGCTCATGAAAGTGTTGTCGACGACGACCTGGATGCCATGTTGGTGGGCAATGTCGGCAATGGCGCGGATGTCCACCAAGCTGAGAGTGGGATTTGAGGGGGTTTCGATCCAGACGAGCTTGGTCTCGTTGGGACGGATCAATTGCTCCACGTGCAGCTCAATTGAGGGGGAGAAGGTGACTTGGACACCGTGCGCCGAAGCAACCTTGGTGAAGTATCGGTGGGTACCACCGTAAACATCGGAGACCGAAACAACGTGCGAGCCAGCAGCAAGAGATTGGAGGATATTCGCAGTAGCGGCGGAGCCAGAAGAATAAGCGAGAGCGTATTTTGCGTGCTCGAGAGCTGCGACGGCCTTCTCGAAATTATCACTGCAAGTAATGGCTTATCAGTTCACCTGATCAATGTGTCAAGGGTTAAGACTGGTGAACTAACCGGTTGGGATTGGAGCTTCGTGTGTACTCGTATAGACCAACAGGATTTCCAACACTGGTCTGAGCATATGTGGTCGACAAAGAGATCTAGTCAAGGTATTTGTTAGCATCATGCCTCGACATGTCTCCTAGACTGCGACACATACCGGCTCAATGACAGCGCCGGTCACAGGGTCATGAGGCGAACCGGCGTGGACAGCCAGTGTCCCAAAGCGGCGCTCTGTAGTGTGTGTATTTTCCGTAGAGCCCATTTTGTATAGAGAAGAATATCTGCGCAATTGAGCGAGGGAGGAAGTGAAGTATGTATGATTATCGATAAGATGAGATCACAGCTCTTTGTATGACTGCGAATCTTAAATTAGGCTCGGATTGCGCCTTCGATTGCTAATCAAGGGTGACGATGGCGCAAAACAGGGGCAAATGTCTGTTTTCAATTGTTTTTGTGCTTAAAAATTCACCTGCAAAGAAAACTCTTCTAGAAACGAATGTTTTAGGTACTGCCAACCTCTGAGGGGGCGAGGACAATGGCTCGCGCTGTTATCACTGGCCGAGAGCCCGGCGGAGCTCCACCGGTCGCCGCGGATCTCGATCGGAGAATCAGTTTGGTTCTCCGACCTCTCGGAGTGTCGGACTGTTCGGATCTTACCGGATTGCATCTTAGTCAGATTATATTGGGAACTATCTAGAAGACGATGAAGCTGAGCAATTAGCTATATACTGCTGGTGGCTTTTGTTAATTTTCTATGAAAGCAATGGATCGTCAATGCGTCCGTGTCTAGGTCGGTTAGCTGGCGCCGAATGCGGATCAGAGTCCTAGTTTGAATGCGACAGTGCATCACATCTACAACTATACTTGCATTGTTTTACGCAGCTATCGACTACGAGCTTCCTGAACTGTTACTCCGTGAATTCAGTACCAGCTAAATCTCTCATAACCATTGTGAAGGCACTTGGGTTGTCATGCTTTCATGTATTCATTTGCATTGATTCGTATGGGTATCTAATCTAACATGTATGCGGGGAAGAAAATGCGCGAGATTTGATAATGGGCCGCAACAGACGAAGCGACAAGGAAACTGTCCATGAGACAGGAATAGGCAATATTCCAGCAAATCCGGACTACCACCACGTGATGGGTCCCGTACCTCCCATCTGCATTGATCCCTAGAAGATGGTCAGCGGGGGTCAATAGATTTGATATCAAGAGACTAACGAGAATGGAATAAGGAGGCCGCCTCTCCTGCGGGGTCTCATCGCCAAGCTCTGGTGCATTGGGGATCTGATCATGCCATTCTTCGGACTCGACACGGAAGCGGACAACTTCTCCTACATCGAAGAAGAACTCTGTGCCACCTTCACTCTCCCAGATCCATACCTGTTCGGCATAGTCGCTGTCATACGCATTAGCATGTTACAATCCTGAGTGAAGTGAAACGGGGATTGGCTCACAATCGAGACTTCTCCATGAGCATCTGCGGTGGGATCAGAATATCATTGAAGAATTCGAGACCAACTGAAGATCGTTAGCCTTTAGTGCTCAATGCCCACTAGGTTCCTTTCTGTATAGGACATACTCTTGATTCCATGCTCTGTGCCACTGGAAATCTTCCCCAGCAGGATCTCGCCTTTGAAGGGCCGGAATACAATCATGCGGAACTTAACTGTGGAGTTGTCAGTAATGATTTTGGTCTTAAGCGTGGTTACGACAACCAACCATTGACATTGACCAGGCCAGTGCCATGGCCGATTAGTCCATCAGAAGACTCGAGCAGGTCATAGAAGCTTATGCAAAGGCCGATTTTTTGGATGACCTATAGCATTGTGAGCATTCAGAGATTGATAAAAGCCTTCAATACGCACCTTGTTGGCATATTTTGCGTTGATGTTGTCTTCAAGGGCGACAGCACTGAACTTCGAGAAATCCTGAGGTGAAATTTGGATCAAATCTGAGATGGTGGTCTGCTAGGGTTAGTTGACGTCCTTTATATGGATGACCATCAAACCTACTAGGATGAACATGATGATGGAGATATGAGAAGAAACGGGGGAAAAGGCGAGAGACTGCAGCGGGAATTGAAAGAGACAGAAAACCTCTTCTCTTTCCTAAGAAGCCGTTGAGCCTATTCAAACGGTGAACAATATGAAAACTTTTTTCTACTTCACGTTCTGCCAAAAGCCCACTGTCAGCCATCTCGATCTCCCGTAGTCACGTGCTGGACTCTAAACTGCCAAGACTTTCCGCATGTCTCACGTGCCTTATCGAGCCCAAATTCTCGTTATCTATTCATCACGTGCTCGGTTTTTCCAGCGCGCTTCCAAAGTTGAGCTTAACCAGTCAGTTGAAGCTATATAGATCACTTGATCATTAGCCTAGGCTCCCCAAAGCTCCAAAAGCTCTGAAAATGAGCTCTCAGGGCTTTTCCTTTCCACCTCCCCCTCCGCCCCCGCCGACCACCCACCAACCGTCAGCGAACCCCCCGGTGCGACATGGACAGTACTCGGGTGGAAGAGGTGTAGATCAGAGAGGCCGGGGGAGAGGACAGGGTAACCGAGGCCGTGGAGGAGGACACCAGAACAGAACTGGAAGAGCGCCGTCATATTCTGCACCTGGACCTCTCGTTGCACAGCCAAATTATGGCGGATATATCCCTCAAGCTCTTCCCACAGCGCCTTACATGCCCCCGTCACCCTATCATCACAGCCAACCTTCCGTCTACCAGAACCCTCAGGCTCCGTCCTCATTCCAGCCTCAACAATACGGCCAGTCGGTCCCCCCTCAAGGCCATTTACACAATCAACACTCTCAACACCCGCATCCATTTCCATACCCGTACACCCAGCCAGGAACCACAGGTCATCCACAACATATGCCCACCAATACCCCTCCTGCGCAATACACCCAAGGTTTACAGGCACCTCATCAGTCAAGTAATCATGCAGTAATGGGCGGTGCGCCGTGGCATCCTGGGATGCACGGTGCCGGTTCATACATGGGACCCCAAATGGGGAAAGCACGAGCGCCACGACCCCCTCATAACAACCACAATTCCAATTCACAACCTCATAAAAGGAACCATTCATCTGCGTTCAGCAAGCCCCAGACTACTGCACCCCGAACGCCGGCTGCACCAGCCGTGCCAAGCTTTGGGAACCCTCTGCCATCAAAACCACCTCTCCCCGCAGACGCCGCGGCTGCCTCAAAGGCAAAGAGGAAAAGACGGAAGCACAATCAACTCGGTTTGACCCCTCATGCCAATGACCAAGAGTCCAGTGAGGATGAGGGGGCTGAGGATGAAGAGTCCAAGCTGGCGCAGAGTGTGTCTGAAAAGGCACCTCTTGAGGTGTCTTACAAAGGAAAAACTTCTAAATTAGAATCGGCATCGGATATTGCTGCTTGGATTGCGGAGCGCAAGAAGAGATTCCCCACCCAAGCTCGGATTGAAGAAAAGAAGAAGGTTATGGAAGAAGCCAGCAAAGCCCGGGCAGCAGTGCGTCAAGAAAAGAACAAGGAACAGCAGAAGAAGCGAAAAGATCATGGACAAAAACAAAATGAACCGATCGCAAGTTCTGCTGCTGAGCCGGTGACGGATGCTCAGCGCAGAGAGACTATCCAGCGCGACCTTGAACGAGAGGAGCAACGGATTCTGAAAGCCATGGCTGAGACTGAGGCTGCTCGTCTCCGATTGGAAGCCCTAAAGAAGGAGAAAGAGGCATTGAGCCTAAGTGCAGGGTCTGACCAGAAGAACGCTACTGCCCAAGATACACAAGTGAAGCACAACGACTCGGCGCTGGAGTCCGCCACTGAGCCGAAACGCGAAGACTCAACCCCAGGGGCTGTCATGGAGGCTGAGCCCCAGGAACCACTTCCAGACATTCAACCCGAACGCGAAGAACCGGGGCCTGTCATCAAGCCTGAGCCTCATGTGCCTGACACACTGCCCGACACCTCTAATCCAGAGAACCAAATTGAACCAGAACACACAGTCAAACCTGAGGTCCCCTCCTACAATGAGTTAGATGTTGCTATGGACCTTGCGTCCAATCACGGCAGTGACTGGACCTCTTCGAGCGGTTCCGGCTCAGATTCCGACAGCGACAGCGACGACGCGCCAGAACAAGCAACTTCACGTCGTACAGGACCAGAGCGAGTGCCTCCCCCGCCCCGCGAAGGCAAAAGGATGGTATGTCGCTATTTTGCGCGCAACGGGCTCTGCAACCGCGGCGACCAGTGCAAATTCCTCCACGATAATGAGACTTCCGACCGTAATCCCAAGGCAAAGGCCAAGCCGACTGAGAAGAAAGATAAAGATACCAAACGCAAGGGACTCTACCAAGCTGTAAGTTCTTACTTGATGTCGCGGCTCCTATTGAAATTTCTAACTCGGATTAGTTGCTGGACCAACAGAAGGAAGAGGACAACCAGCGGGCAATGGAAGTGATCTCCTGGCTGGGTCAAAACAACATGCTTATGCCGGCCTCAGATGAAGGGCCTGCTCCACATGATACCCCCAACTAGTTAGTGCCAGGGCTAAATAACTAGTTAAATAAACTGACAACCTGACGCCCTGACGAGCCATTTGCCTCAAATAATTCCAAAAAGGACGCCGAGGTATCTCGCCCTGGATGTTTAGATGAGGCTTACAGCATTGGAGGTCTATTCTTCCAAGCCCTACTCCGTATTTTTTCAGCTTGTCCTGAAGTGAACAGCAAAAGAACATAACCTCTACCTAACGTCCTGTCATTTAAATTAGCCGTCTCCCCACAATAATCACGGGATACAATAGCCGAGCAGTGGAGCTTTCATAGGTACTTCCCAAGGTCGAGGCCCAACCTAGTCAACGGAGCCGATTCCCGGCCAAGCGAGGAGAAGAAGCCCGTTGAGGCCTTTCAGTGGCCAAAGTGGCCCATTGAACCTCGTGGATCGCCACGCGGCGTCTGTTCTCCTCTTTGAGCCCATGGTGATGGCCAATCAGTCACCTTGCTTCCTTTGTATTTGTTTTTCCCGTCCTTTCACATTGCCCCTAGTTCAATGGGCGGCATTCATACTCCGGTACACCTGAGTATAAGGACTAACCTTTGCTAGACTCTGATCTCCGGTTCATCTTTTCTCTGTTCGCCTCTTTTTAGCATTCGCCATTCTTTTGAGGTTTTGATTTCCGACCAATTTCACTCTTTATATCTGGATCTTCCACCTATTCCCCCTTATATCCATAATATTTCATATATCGCTATATCGCTATATAACCATAATGCGCTTCTTCACCACCATTGCCGTCGCTGTCCTGGCCGCCGTTGCCTCAGCTGATAAATACGCCAACCCCTTCAACATCCCCGTCACTGGCTACACCTTCAAGGTCGGCCAGCCCACCACCTTGAGCTGGGCTCCTACTACCTCCGGAACTGTGACCCTATACCTGCAGTGGGGTGCAGTGACTACCGCCGGCTCTGGCATTACCATTGCCTGTAAGTGATGACATGCAGGGACAATATAACCCTTAGAAACCTCCCCCGGGTTCGGCATACTGACCGTCTGCAGCGGGCCTTGAGAACGACGGCAGCTACACATGGCACGTACCTTCCGACCTGGCCGCCCAGCCCGACTACACCATTGAGATTGTCTCGGACGAAGACAGCGACGACTACAACTTCCTTCACCGCTTCACCGTTGAGGGTGCTACCGTCTCTGCCCCATCTTTCACTGCCAGCTCGACCACCACCTCTTCCACTTCTACCGAGACCTCTACCTCTACCACTGAGACTACCTCGACTTCCGTGGTCAGCACCACCAGCTCCTCCACCTTGACTACCGCCACTTCCACCACCACCCCTGCTAGCACTCCCGCCAGCACCTCTGTTACTGAGACCTCTACCTCTGCCGCTGAGAGCTCCCCCGCTGCTTCCACCTCGGCTAGCGCTACGGAGACTGCTCAGGATTCCGTGCCTACCACCAACGCCGGTGTCGCCAAGCGCGTCTCCGGTGGTATGCTGGCCCTCGTCGCCGGTGCCTTCATGCTGTAAATGTATTACCGTGCATACGGTGACATGTTTTAATTGATTGTATTTTTTTTCTTTTCTCTTTGGTGGACATGAAACTTCCCATTAATTTGACTGCGCCTCATTGCCCCCTTTTCAAGGTTCGGGCGCTTTGTACAAAATCTCCGTCAGGGATTTGAGGCATTTTCTACTCTCTCGCTGGTTATTTTTGCGGCCGTTCAATGGTACATTCTGATCTACTACTACTAACACTACTACTTCAACTACTACGACTACGACGATGATTGTACAGTATCTTTCTCATCCATGGCCAATGCTTGGCTCCCCGGGTAAATTGAATCTGTGGAGAGATTTAATTAGGATCATCCACTTTTTGTAGTCTAATCTCGCTAATTGCAGAGTCTTGGACTCTTGGACACACTATTTATGCACCCTAAACCCAAGCGCAATACGCATATACGCAAACTGCAAAGAGCTCATGTTACCACATGAACCCCGTCAATTACTCCGTAAGAGAGAGCAAGGGGGCACTTCCTCTTTGTCTTCTCTTTCTAAATAATGATCGACCGGAATTAGTGGAGACTAAGAGCGTTAGCAAGTTAGCGCTCAAAGTCACAAATCCTAATCCCCATATGCGCACATGAGCTCAGTCTGCTCGCTCATTATTCATTGTTATTCTCCGTTTGATCTTCGCGTAGAGTGGGGATCGAACTGCCGTCCTTCGCTACCGTGATGAACACCTACCCTGTACACAGTACACATATTTGTACCCAGCTCTACTGTGTACTGTGTACAATTCATGCATATACTCGGGGTCTAGGACTTCTATCAATGCAGTCCCTGTCTCGTACACCTTGGCGGTTCACCTTGGCGCGTCTGCCTGGGTGCGCGTCTGACTCGTGACCCCAAAGCACCAGGCACCAGGAACCTGAACTCTGCCACGATGAAATGCGAATCTGCTGAACCACCTGACGTTTCAGGTCCGAAAAAACGATGTCGTTGCCATCTGGACCACCTGAAACCCATGTGTTTACAGTGTCTACAGTGGAAAAAGAGATCCAGGCGAGCCGCATTACTAGGCCTATCTCCCACCAACCCTGGCATAACGACCAAACCCAACAACTGCATGCATGTCTCTACCAACGTATATACGAGACACACTGCAATCCCATAGAAAGCAGGAAAAAGGAAAATCCTCGTATCAGTGCCCAGATTTATTAATAACACCCTGATCGTCATCGAAACTCAATTCCATGCAAGGGTCTTAACTCTTGACGAACCCGATCTATGAGGGGAATAGTTCATCCTACCTCGTGTCTGCGAGAGCAAAGCTCCTAGCTTTCTGCAGGTTACTACTACTGTAACTGCGGAGAGATACTGTCGACTGGCGAATCTACAAGGGCCGAGTCTGGCTCCGATCTCTGATCTATCAGCCGATGATCTCCCTTGAGAGAATGTGATTGCCCATATGCAATAGACGCAGAATACATGCAGAAACTGGGGATGTAGTCATCCACTGCTTTTCGAAAGGATGGCCTAGCTTCATCTTTTAGGCCCTATACTCTTAGCTATTGGCTGGTTTGTGAGGACGATGACATGACAGCTCGGTTTGCAATGATCGACCCCTAACTTGCAGCAGAATCCATTGATGGGCCCGGGGATCCGAGATCAGGATGAAGTCTTTTATGCATTCGAATCTGGGCCGTCGTCACACAGCCGTTCTGCCTGATGACTTCCTATAAAAGGCGCAGCTGTACCCGCCCCCAGGTGTTGAGACTTCTCTTCTCGGTCAACTGAATCACCGAGTTCCCAGAAACCACGCCTGTTCAGTTGAATCTAGTAAGCATAGGATTCACCATGCTATCTACCAAATTCCTCTTTGCGTCGGCTGCGGCCCTCGCTGCGCTCTCCGGCCTGGCAAACGCCCAGACAAATATCACCGACCACGATTGCGCTTCCGCATCGGAGTACTCAAAATGCAACAGGAACGTCGCAGACCGATGGAGCTCTTGCGTTAGAGACTGCCGTGGCGATGGTAACTGCATTGTGGACTGTGGTTGTGACTCGCACCAGAAGTATATCAACTGTATGGCTGAGTCCTGCTGGAATCAGGTATGACTTCTTCCTATGCCCTAAACCCTTCGCATGTTCTGAACATTAGAATCTAACAACCGACTTTCCAGGTCTATTCCTGCAAATACCAGCTCTTCGTCCAGCAATACTTCGCCATCTGCCCCAGAGCCAGAGAGCCAATCCCCTTCTGGCCAGCACCGGACAATGCTCCAAACCGCTGCTCCTGCGATCTAGGAAAAGTAACCCAAACAACCCTCTCGTCCCGGAATCAGCAGATAAAATGCATGAAAGACGTCACAGACCACATCCGCGACGACATAAGCAGCATAACCGACCTCTCAAACATCGGTAACGGCCTCGACATCGCCAATCGCGCCTCAGACTGTGCCTGCTGTGGTGCAAGTGCCAGTATCTCCGCGTAAGCCTAACCCTGTAGCCCTGAAATCCACCATCTAATACTGATGAAAAACAGAGCCTGGGACATCTGCCCACACACAAAACCCACCCTCGCCGGCGCCGACATGTGGAACCTCTTCTTCCCCACCGACCTCCCAAATCTCTACACCTCCCTACCAAACTGGGCCTGGTCCTCCTGCGACGCCACGCTGCAGGAAAGCACATGCAAGAACCTTGGCTTCACAGACACAGACAAGTTCTACAAACCCGGTGATTATCCCAGCAATGGTACTTCGACGCTGTATGAGGTTGGGGGCAGAGTTACGGCGCCGCCTAGCGGGACGGTCCTTACTTGGTCGCAGGCTTCGGCTACGTATACTGTTACGGCGACGGGGTATGATAGAAAGGCGGTTGCGAGTCAGAGTGAGTATCGTGCGACGGCTACGGATGATGAGGCGTTCCCGTCGCAGACTTCGGATGGTGCGGCTGCTAGTCTGCGGGCGGGTGTTGGGGCGGTTGTTGGGGCTGTTGTGGCGGTTGTTATGTTGTGATTTTCCAATGGTTATGTTGGTCTGGAGGGAGGGTTGGGCTCATGACAATGATGGATTGTGATATGTGATATGACCTATGACGGGATGATGGATGGTGGCATTGATGATTTATGTGTTATATGCCCAGGTGATTGCTTTCGTTGTTTGGTGGAAGTAACAGTGGATAGATCCAGTGGATCCGTATCATGATCGGGAGATATAAGAGAAAGAGCTGTGCAAATGAATGTAATATACGCCATAAATGTGCAGGACTGCAGGCATAGATCAGTGTAATGGAACTACGGAGCTTATAGGTATTCGCCTAGGTACGAGATTATGCGATGAGGTTCAAGCAAACGAAGAGACAATGCCATCCAATTCATAGCTTGTAAAGTAGCTAAGTGTCAAGAGAATCCATCTGAAACCTTCCATTGAACGCCAATTACTCCCAAGGTATCAGTATCCATCAAATCCCAACCCGCTATCCCAATGCACAAAACACCAGAAGTTGTGTCTTCAATCGAATATAAAGTCCAGAGAACCGGAAGCATCAAAGGCAAGAAAATCAAGAAGTCCACGACGGAACAACCCGCTTCAAAAACTTCATAAACTTCCAAAACCCAACGGCATACTCCTCATTACCAAGCGGGTCAACAACCCTTTCCGGGAACGCAATGCCCGCCCCAAACAACCCCGGCACATCCTCGCTATTCCCAGCCTCATGGAACCTCCCACTATCATGATCAAAGCCAATAGCAAGCGGATTCCCATTCTTAAAAAGATCCGGAAGCGAGCCACGCGTAAACCCAACCGCCTGCACCAGATACTCACATCCAGGCATGTATCTCCTGTACTGACTAGCCTCAGCCTCCTTCCCACCAGCACAATCAATCTTAGTCAGAACCTGGCCCGCGCGAGAAGTACGCAGCTTATCATCCTCCAGCTCCGAGCGCGCAAAGTCAGCTGCTAGACCCTTGAGACCGGTGTTGTCGCGCAGCACCCAGCCGTCCTTGTACTCCGCGTAGCGGAGGGCGTGACGGGTGAACCATCTGATGCGGAGCAAGGGGTGGGAAGTCTGGGCTAGCGTGGTGAGGTTCAAGATGGCCAGGATGGCGCTGTGGGATGCGCCGACGACGGCGACTGTCACGGGCTTTTCGGCCGGCAGGGTCTTGGCAAGATCCGAGGGCTTGAGGACTAAGTCAAGGTCCAAGCGCTGGATGTCCAGTCCCGCGACTGGGATCGGGGCTGATGTGGGGAAGGAGCCCGTGCAGAGGATCAGGCGGGCGGCTTCAATCTCCAGATCTTCGGAGGAGTTCTGCTTAATGCGGATGGTCCAGTTCGAGGTCTGACGTCATTGTTAGTTTGTGAGTCAGGTTGGGTTTGCGCTGCACTTACGGTTTCGTTGAGATGGGCTGATCTGACGGAGCCGTGGCATGCGTATACATCGTCCATCTTCATTAGACCTTCGGTCAGGCTGCGGACCATGTCTGCTGCGTAGCCGAGTTGGCAGGTTGACTCTTGGTCTAGCTTGGCCAATGCGGAGAATGCATTTGGGGCCTTTGTGTTGTTGATCACTTTCTGGAAAGGCTGTGTTGCCGTTGCGAACGCTTGGAACAGTGAAACCTTGGTGTTACTGGAGGATAGCCCGTTAGTATACTCCGTGTTTACGTGCCAGGAAGCCTAGACGCACCTAGGGACCTCGCGGTACTTGCTGTGGACCCGTCCAGCCTCGAAAGAAGGATCAATCCAAGCGATTGTGCCGAGCTGGCGCTCTAGCAGGTTGCCCATAACAGCCACTCCGGCCGGGCCAGCTCCCACGACGACAGCTGCGCATTTCCGAGTAGCCATGTTGTGGGGATCGGGATTGGGAGATAAGAAATGTGGGTAAGATGAGTGTCGGTGAGAGTAGAGTGAGAGAAGATCGTCAATTCGGAGTTCATTCAAATAACTATGATAAAGCAGATATATCGCAAATATATCCCGCGGGGGGCCAGGTCGGGGATATTTAAAACATTCAGTAGGTTAGGATTCAGGAAGTGGAAGGGACCCCTGGGTCAGGAACACATCATCGCCGATAGGAATGCTTGGTAGCCCCCAAGTATCGCGAGAATCTTCATGCAGATAACGCAACCAGCGTCCAGTCAAGGCCTCGCTATGAGCGGTACATTATTCTCATCCGTCGCGTCCATAACCGCATGACACATTTGTCTCTCGGACGAGATGGGTCGGCGTTCTATCGAGCGGCACTAGCCAATCCGTGATCCACAGGGTGGAGATGGGGCCTGAAGCGTAGGGCGCACTTGGCGGTCTGGGGGGCCTGAGAGTTCTGCCAAACGGCGACTCAATCGGCGACTCATTTTCGGGTGCGGTCAATCGGCGACTCGGCCCCACTGTGCGCTTCGCGTCGGCTTGTGTTTGCGTTAGTAGGAGAAGATGGTACTTCTCGTTCCAGGGGAAACACCATCTTTCACGGTGAGAGACTAGAACGAAGCAACGCCATGTGGGACTGGAAATGGCTTATCACACATCTGAGAAGGAATTGATTTAAGAGCGCAGCTCGAGGAACCCAACGGCTTTATATTGTTCTCTTTTGGCGTCGGTCGGGTAGGCTTGGCGGAATGGCGTGATCGATTATGAGCTTCCGGGCCCCAATCAGCGTTTGGCAAGTATATACAGGGACTTGTATACATCCTACATGGATGTAGTCCAGAGCTGCTTTCGTGATTCGATGTGCGAACTCAGAAGGGAAGTATCGATTATCATTGATTCATTTGAGCTCAGCTTCTTTAGTGGCCAGCCGCTGGGCAAGCTTCCCATCTACATGACTGCGTGGTCCTCGATTACCATCTATGGCCCTATACAGCCCAGTAGATTCTCACGCTCGCTCGTTTGACATGGTTTGTCCATCCAGGAAACCTCGCCCGGGCCCAAAGAGCAATCGAATCGCCAACCTCCAACTCGCGCACCCCCGCCCATCGAGGGTCAAACGCCCACGACCCTGATTCCTCTCAATCTCAAGAGCCTCAGTGGAGTCTGCGTCCATGTCGTCCCGATAGTCCCACACAATTGTATTGTGCTGCGTCTCACCTACATGCGCTCCATTGACCTGCAGTTTATTTGAACGTGGTAGTAGGAGCGCATCTGCCTCGGTGTAGTGCTTTCGAACTTGACCTTGCTCATTATTCAGGATCTCTTGTTCAACCCCGTCGACATACATGTTTCGCGTATGAGCGCCGTGGATGACTTCTGTGTCGAACCAGGTCCACGAGAACTCATACATGTTCTCGCGGGATCTCCCGCCGCCCTGGTCGTGGGAGGATAGTTCGAAGACTATCTTGCGGCAAGGGTGGGCGCCTCGATGAGGTAGGGGGGTAGGACTTGGGTTGTGCTCTAGATCCTAAAGAAAAAGATCAGCGTGGACTCATCAACTGAGTTTGAGACGGGCAGATATACATTTCGATCGTAGCAAAGTGGGACTGTTTTGAGCAGAACTTGATCACGGTCCTTCTGAATGACTCGCGGTTCACGTAGTGTATGCTCTATTGAAGGCCAATATTCCGCATCATCGATTATCATATCGATGAGTTCCTCGGGCATGCGTTCTGATTGCAAGAGATATCGGACTTTAAGCACATCAGATAAGCTCGGATTGAAGACTTGAGACCCTGGCTCTGGGGTACTCTCTGTTGGTATATCAGACATTGAGTGGTTCGGATCTGCAGATCGCGGTTGATGGTGTCTCCCTCGACGAAGGCCGAAAGGCAACATAATGGCAGGTGATGTATAAGGATCTAGATCTTAATTTGAATTTGAAAGGTGAGTCAAGGTTTGGTGCCACCTAGGACTGTGTGTGGCGTTAGACCTCGAAGGTGAAGCGGATACTGTTGCCTTCAGGTCAAACACGAGGCCGCCGCGTTCAAGGTCGCGTCGTAAGATCACGAGAATTTATGAAAATGGGAATAGCGAGCATATAAAAACTAAGAAAGTGCTCCAATGAATTCCTTTCTGTATGACCCGAGTTAGCTCAGGTCTTTGTTGACGAACACCTAACCATCTCCTACCTGAAAGGCCTTCTTTGAGCAGTTCACTTTGACCTTCTGATCACTTATTGAGTAGGATGAGACGTAAGTAGTAAATAATAAATGAAACAAGAGAGAAGGGTGTGGTGACCCGTGACCGTCTCTGGTAAACTGTTGACTTGTTGACAATGACGTCAAGATCAGCCAGAGCATGTACCTACTGTGTTACATCGTAGACGGCGCCAGTCTCAACATCCACAGTAGAGTACGCATATAACGAGTAATATAGATGCTAAACCATGACTGGTCTCGAACTTTGTGATCTTTATTCACTATATTCAAATGCCCATCCTAACGCCGTAAAAGACACAACATGGCTGATTCATTTTAACCCTTACGACCATACGTAGCTTTGTATGCTGCAGCCCGCTTGCTGCTCCTGCTTTCTCGCTTGGCCTTAGAACCACGGCTCTTCTGCTTCAGCTTGATAGACGATGATCCTTCGGTCGCACGGTGACCTTCAAACACAAACGAGTTGCCGGCAATAGTACTGTTTGCCTCGGCCTTGACCTTAGCAGCACCAGCTCGTCCAAGTAGCCTGGTGGCACGTCCCTGCATCGTCTTCTGTGCCTCATCCACACGGGAGCGCTTGGCATCGGGAGCGGAGGACTCCTTCTTTTTGATGACCTTGCGGGCACGGTGGACACGCAATTTGCGGGGAAGCATAGGAGGGAAGTTCTTCCCGTTGAGGGGGAGCGCCTGCTCCACGCCATTGCCATCGTAGAACTGGACGTAGGCGAACCCTTTACCAACACGAGTGGTGCTGTCACGGATCACGCGCACGAACTCGACACTTTGCTTAGGGTTCTTCTTGTCCTTGCCGCCGGTGTGGGCATTGAAGATGCGCCACAGACCCTCTTCGATATCAGCTGGTGCGCGAGCCTTCTTCTTCTTGCCGGTTTTCTCATCTTCTTCGGGCGTCTCGCTATCAATGAAAGACAGGTTGCCCACAAACACACAACGCTTGTGGTCGATTTCTGCGGGATGAGCGAGACTATCGACTCGCAAATGGCGGTCCAAAACCATAGTGCCGTTCAAGGCAGAGGGAGCCTTGCGGGCAGCTTGAGCAGTGGTGTACACAGCATATGCGTTGGTGCTGGGTGTGGTTTCGTCAAGCACCTCGCGCTTGGCGAAGGAAGCACGCTTGGGGATACCACCACCGCTGGCAAATGCAACAGAACGGAAACGTATCGACTCAACCTTGTGCGGGCCGGTGGATTCAGGCAGCGTGGAGCAGAAAGAGGCCAGATGCCTGAGGAGGGTCTTCTTGGCGGTCTTAGACTTGATGGCCTCAGTGGAGACATTACCCAGGAAGACCGTGCGGGAGGACTTCTCAAGCTCATCTGCTTTGGCAGTACCAGCCACACTCTCGTGCACCGGGGCGGGAGCGGTCTCTTCGTCGTCGCTGCCTTCTGATGCCGATTCTTTGTCGGAGGCTTCTTCGTTTTCGCTGCCTTCTTTCTCGGTCTCTTTTTCGGTCTGCTTTAGGCGCTTCGCTTGCTCGGACTTCCTCTTTTCCGCGTCCTTTTCCTCCTCCTTTGCAATGCGACGCATATATGTCTCCTCAACATCTTCGCCAGCATTTCCACGCTTGCGTTTCCGATTTTGTGGTTCCATGGGTTTTTCTTCCGCTTCTACAGCCTCCGAATCGCTCGCATCGACATCCTCCATTTCCTCATCGTCTAGTTCGGAGAGTTCCTCATCGTCGGCAGCATCGTCTTCGCTCTTCTTTGCCCTTGCGACGGGCTCGACATACTTGATCACAGGGGTTTGCACAGGACCAGCCTAGCAATTGTCAGTTCGAGTTTCATGGATTGTACATTGAGAACGATAGACATACACTTTTCGCGAAAAGCGAGGACAGCGTTGGATCCAAAGTTGCACCGCCGAAGGGTAGGGTGCCAGCGGGCGTGCTGGACTTCTCCTCAGTCTTAGATGAGGATTTTGATTTTTTACCCATTTTGAAAAGAATGTGTTTGGTCTGCGTTGGTAGACCAAAAGTAGATGATCAAGTCGTCGGTTTCGTTGCGATTGACATTCCCCCGATGATAGCTCCGACTTTTTTTTTTCTTTAGTCTCTGCTTATCGGGTCTTGGCGCGGAAAGCCGCTTATCACATGACTATGTTGCAGGCGGTTGATCGACTCTTACATTGATGTTCCTACATGTATATTGTATGCTTTAGGTAGCTGATCGAGGTGCATAAAGATCTTCTTTGCAGGCGTATCATCTTGATTACGCGTTTTGACTTGAGTATCGCCTCGTCTTTAGCAATCAAGTGCCTGAAGTTATTGCTTGTGATTTCAAGGTTGTCCGGACTGTAGGCTCTGAGTCATGTTGCGACCAAGGAAAGCGATACTTCGGTCCCTGGTCTCTTTTACTCTGATCTAAGGGATTCAAAGTTCAAGTCTCATTCCAATAGGCTGTTATTCTGCATACAAAGTCAATATCCTCGCTTTCCGGCTACGTCAGATACAACCTCACGTGACTGGGGCTTTTCTTCGAGCGGTGAGGCTTGCCCTCGCCGGAACGCAACGCGGCAGAATCGACGGTCACTCGCTTCTGTTGCTGCACCCCATCATAGCGATCTGCTGCTTTTGTCTACTGAAACCCCCTCTTTGGCGTGTTCTTTCCAACCTTGATCATTGGTCGATTTTGGTCACAGTCCCTGACCTCCTTCATGCCGCCAACCCCCCTGCGACTCGGTACTCTCGTCTTAACCGCTTGCTAGCCAACCTCCCCTCGCTCTCCAGAGTCGGTCTACGCAAGATTCGTCGGACCGAAAGCTCCACGAGCTACAGTCTCGGTGACACGCGTGGGTCTGAATTCAAGTCATAATTTGCGTTCTAGAGACGCGGTGGTTCTGAGAACCTTGCTCGGTCGCGAGCAGCTGTGCTCATTACCAGCGTTGCTCCCGGCGCATTGTCGAATCGGTACGTCGCTTGTGGTTTTTTACATCCATCTCTGGGGTTATCTGGCCCTTTTGTCAAAGAGACGATATATCTATGTCTTCTGGAACCCGTGTAGCTAGAATATTTGCTTTGCGCGACCTCTAGCCCTCCCTGGGCCATTGTTACTGACTTGGGGGCGCTCGATGATCAATCTCCGCACCACCGCCTTCTGGAGGCGCTGACCTGTCTCGCGCACCCACCACCCACTTTTTGCCCACCATATCTTATCTCGCACTGTTTTTGCTGAGTTGACATGGCAATTGAGCTAATACGATTCGTGATTTTGCTAGAATTACGAACGAAGCACACATTTCCCCAACCGGTCCTTTTTCCTCCCTCTCCTCACAACTGCGGCGAACCCCAACCTCGCTGCGGACAAACAAAGCATTCAATACCTCCTGGAATTCTTCCTCCACAGTCTTGTTGGAACGCGCCAGCTTTATAAGCTGCAGGATTGTCGATGGAGGTGGCCGATAGCAGAGAACAAGCCTCCGTTGGTCCCTCAACGGGGGCAGAGCCAAGACTTCCAAATGGCGAGCGAAACCCCTTTCTGGATGACCCGCTCATGGACGACGATGGACGCTCAAGTAGCTTGAGTGAGATCGACGACGTTTCGGACAATGAGCCTTCTGACTTTGAAGATCCCATCAAATCGGATAAGCTCGAGAACGATTCGGAAGCGGAAACGGAGCGCATTGAGGATTCTCCCCACAACATTCGGAAACGAGACATTGTTTTAAGTGCCGCAAGTGCCGGCCCAAGTCCCAGCAAGCTTCATCAATCCACGACACTCGAGGATGTCGATGATGAAGAACTTGTGGCGGACGACTCACCGAGCAAACCGCGACGTTCTTCGAAGAACAATGGCTTGACCGACGATATCCCAGACCTCGGTGGCCACGGCGACTCCGAGTTTTCAGAGAGCATCGGCAACAAACGAAAACGCGTCGAAGGCGGTGATGAAACCGGCACCGAGTTGGGCGACGAAGAACCCTTGAAGAAACGTCGGAGCTCCATCAAGAGTGACTTGTTAAGTGACCCGATGGACGATGATATCCCTCTTTCGCCGGAGCCGCTCGACAATTCTCACGATGTCAACGAAGATGGTACACTGGTTGACGATGTTCCTGAGTCGGACCTGCCAGCCCCGCCTTCGAAGAGCAAAAAGGGCAAAAAGGGTAAGCGGAAAGGAAAGAGAGACCAAGATGCCGATGGGGAGGCAGATCCCGGCATCGAAGGCACGTTAGAAGATGTCGCTGATGAGATTGTTGGAGAAGACGAGGAGCCCGCAGAACGAGATGAGCCTGATGGCCCCGAGGCAGTTCTTCGAGCTGAAGAGTGTAAGTTTCCCCTTTCAGAAACCTCTGGTGCGCTACAAATACTCATACCTCTTACAGCTGTGAAAAAGATGTCTGCTATGGATTCACTGGCGACATTGGAAAAAGAGTTTGCAACGTTACGTGACAAGTAAGAGTTTTTGTCCCATTTCTGAACTGCTCGGTTGCTCACCGTCCCAGGATTTATGACGAACGTATATCCAAACTCAATCGCGAGTTGGAGATGCTTACCGGGCCGAACCCAACACATCCCGAGTATTTGCGCCAGATTGAGTGTGTGCAACGTCACTGCGCCTCTAAGGTCGAATACGAGGACAACTTGTACCGATACCGCATGAAGTCACTCATGCACAAGGCCCTGGCCGAGCGAGCGCAGGCACACAGCACTTACTTCCAGCGAATTCGTGACGCACGCGAACGGCATTCGAGTGCAATCAGCAAGCAGTTTTATGCCATTCAACACGATCGCTTCAAGACAGATGAGCTCAGTCCACATCATATCATTCCATTCCCCACTCGTCGCTCGCAGCAAATCGCACATCAGGCTGCATACAACCAAGAGGTTTCCATTATGGCTGGTGTGGCCAAGTATGTCGGTTTCCCTGCTGCTCCGTCCTTGATGGGCGCACGTCCGAACGAACTCGATGATGATCTCGAGAAGATGGGGGTAAGTTGCTTCATCCTCTTTTTTAGCAAGTTTGGCCTCTTGCTGACAGTAGCGCATAGATCCCCAATGAATCACGGGCTTCGGCACCGCGGCATTCATCGGCGGTCCCACCGCGGCCTATCGTGTCTACCATGTCTTCCAATGTCTTCCGTACGGCAGAAGAAGCGTTCCTCGAACAGACTCCTTGGGCCAACCCACAACACCCTATTCATCAGCAGCAACAACAACATCACCATCAGCCTCCACAGCAATATCGGCCGCAAGATCGCACACTTGAGCATCCGCAACCCTCATCATATACCACACCAGCTGCTCAAAAGAGGATGGTGGATATTCATGCTCCCAATGGCTCGGCATCCACTATTCCTGAGAATGCCTCGGCTGCCAACTCATCGGCCAACAACACCCCTTACGGCATGGAGCATGAGCCAAGGCATCAGACCCAAGGAACCTTCCACAATCCCGACTATGATGCAGACCATCGCAAATCAGGGTTCCGGTCCTTAAGCTCATCCCCGTTGGATGTGCGGAAATCACAGCCACATCTCTCTCATGCCCTCGAGCACCGCTCTACTGTCACCGACCCCCCTCTCACAATCATGTCTTCTCTCCTCCTCCCGCGCGGCATGGTTTGTTCCAGCCTTCGGCAGCTCTTCCACAGGAAAATTCGCCATCCCTCCCATCGAATCCTGTGGATTCGGTACATTACCGCGCTCACCAATCTGCAATTTCAACAGGGTCTGGTACAAATCACATGCCAAATCGTTAATCGATTTCACCAGATCATGTACTTGAAATGTTTGCGGATACTTCCTTTAATACCCCAAGTCTTATACACCTTATTTCGTGTATCTTGTTACAATTCTCTTCTCCCGTGACAAATTTGATTCTTTACACTCCCCGCCCTTGTCACAGACTCACAGAGCAAATGTTTCTTGATATCACCTTTATGTACACCTTAGGAGGAAGATCCCCGTGTTGCATGGATGGAATGTCGATCTGAGGTTTTTGGAGTTTTAAGAGCGTTCACATATGGGATACTCCTGTTCTCATTACTTCTCACTTCAGAATTAACGTTTTCATTTGAATAGGACGGAATATAATTCGAACTGCTATGGCTCTATCGTATCATAAGGTTCCAATATGTTATGGATTTGTGCCTCCCGTCAAGGATGATGTTTTATATAGATCGCAGTTCCTTTTCGCATTCCCATCGCTCTAGTGTATCCTTCGTCTTTTTGCAGACGACACCTGAGAAAGGAGGTAGATCAGAAGTTGGTCGTCCTGATAATCTTGAAACAACTTGAACATCGATGGGGCTGAACCATGGCACCAAACCGAGCCCTTGGCTTCCATCTACGGAGGCCGATTATTCCGTCGCTAGGTGGAGCTTATCTGATTCTTTACTCTGCTTGGCGTGGAGGTCTCTGAGCCTCGGTCTGTTCTTGGCATAGTCTCTCATTCTATGATATCTGGTATCCCTCCAGTGAAGTTGTGCTTCTTAATATCTTACAGGTTACCCGTCATTCGACTCCCTGTGCCTGGAGGTCGTGGGAACAATCCTCTCTCATGATGGAATCATTAGTAAAGGATTCTTTCACTGTTGTGAAGAGCCCGAGGTTGGTGAGGAATTAATTGAAGTGTTCAAGACTGAAAGGGATCCAATCGTATTCATAACTGCGCCTTCTGGTTTGCGGGTGGTATTACTGTAGTTTGAATGCAAGGAACTGCCCTCTTTTTCGTAAAGTATACCTATGACTCGCGAAGCAGGTATGTGCCTATGTTTGCGTACTGAAAAGTGACTCCCAGAAGTTGAAGATTGACTCCGACTCCTCATCCATTAGTGCATCAATAGCATTTTCGCCTATTGTGATTCCTGCTACGGAATCATCCGCCGAGGCATCCTGCGGTGGAGAGGATTCCTGTATAGCAGGCCCGGGAATAGTCGATTGGGCCACATAGTTTGGGAAAATGTGACGCATAGCTTCAAGGAAGATACCTCGAAAGACCGAAGAAGAGGGGTGAGTGTGTTGCATTTGTTCCAGGACTATCATGCACAGCTCTAGTTTGATGAGCCCTAGATGTCGGGAAAGGGGATCGGTAGATTTGCAGTTGAGGAGGTGGACGTGCATTGCTGGGACTAAAAGAGGTGGCCTAGATAGATTGTTAGGCAAGGCATCGTAGAAATTGAGGTAGAAACGCACGTCATTGGGCCTGAAAATCCTAGCAGTCTCTCACGTACTAGAATGTCCAGAACGGCATTTGTCTGTAGTGCGGCCATCTCGATCTGGTTGCGAACATGAGCTTGCCATTGGCTTCGATAGGATTCAGGTATCCCTTCCGGTGATTTTGTGATGAAGGGGCGGTAAAAGGTAATAAGAAAGGCTCTTTCGATCGTCAGTATAAGAAACAAGATGTCAAATAGGTATGTGAGTTTGACGCTTACTGGTAATGAAGCTGTAAGTGATATAGATAGAAGGTTGCAAGCGGACTATGTGCCACTACTTTGGTCTCCGGCAGTCGAAAGCGCACGATCTCTTTCTCAAGCCCTTCAACCTGCCGGAAAGATGAGGAAGGCCCAAATGGTTGATAGCTCAAGGTGAGAGTATCTCCCAAAAGCCTGGTGAGCTCGACCATTGTCACCCAATATTCTGCCAGCTGCGACAGGTCCTCCGGGATATATGACGCCGAAATGGATTCAGGTAATGCAGAAAACTCACTCAACATGTCGTCTGCTGATGGCATCGCAGTATTGCAGTCATTTTTGTTGATTCTTAACGGACGCCCCATTGTGAGACTTAGCCATCGGTCTCTATAGAAACAGATCCACCAAAGACGTCGCCAAAGACACTGTTGTTGTACTGGTATAGGTGAAGTAGCGCATACTGCAGCAGAGCAACGATGCAGACCCATTGATTGGGAAGTGCTAATGGCAACACCGAGCCATAACCATGGTTGTGTGTAAGTACCGGCTTCTGAGGAGTAGAATCCCAGTAGGAGTGCCGATTGTAGGAGAACAGTTTGGTCTCTTTCACCACCATTATGGTGCAAGCACTGAAAGGGGCCATTAGATTGACTCTGACAAAGATATAAGTTGAATGTCGAAAAGCAAACCTTTGCACGGGAGTACATAGAGTCTCTCATCTCTTTCCTGGATGTATAGCCCTCTGTCCTCCAAACCTCGGCCGAAACATGCTGTATATTATTGTTAGCCAAATTGAAGCTTCGCATGGCGAGAAGTAAACCGTTACTACTTGCATTCGCTGCAACATAGAAAATGCTCCACAGAAGTAGTAGATTGCATTGTTGGCTGCCTTCATTGGCGTGGAGATATGGAAGTGTAGTAGCGTCGATCACTGGCACAATAGGATGCACGTGGTGGAAGTACGCACGCAGGAGTGCGTCCCAAGTTTCCCTTTTGGGCATGCTGAAGACTCCCTTATAATGTAAGTATTGTCTATCCTCGGGAGATAAAGAGACAGATGTCTTGGAAGCGAGGAGAATGTGCCTTCGGAGAGGCTGTTGTGAAGGCGAGCATATATCAAACACAGCTCCGAACCCTGGTGAATCACCTGTACATAACCTTGCATTAACCTCAAGCACCATGCATAGTGCACACTGCGACTACTTACCAGTATAGAAGGGCGCTTGGCCAACTCTGTTACTTTTACCGAGAACTTTGGTTGCAATTTCAACACCTGTCTGCTCCTCGTCTTGACGCTGGGAATGATCCGGCGGGCTGGAGACACTTCTCATGCCAACCACCTCAGCACGATCTATACGCGAGGTGGATGTATTTGCAAACGCATCAAGTGGAACCGAGGATTGAGGTATCAGCTCATTAGCAGTGGTATGGGCCGGGCTATTGATAGCTGACGAAGTTCGACGTGTATGCCTCTCACGTATGCTGTCTTGATGAGTAAAATTTCATCGATACTGATTATTGATTGCTCACGTCTGTGTTTTGTTCGGCGGGAGGTTACATTCTCTGCGATCCTGCGTGCATCCTATGCATGGTATACCGGTCAGCGTCACGCTACAGCGGACTTTACGCTGCCGGCAATTTTGGCAAGCAGCAGCCGATCGATAGCGCCGTGTAGACATAACGAATCTGTAATAATCCACTGCCGAGATGGTTGGGTTGCCGAGTGGTAGCGTCAAATAGCATCTGGTCGACCTCGGGATGTTCCAAGTTCCAACAACTTCCGAGGTAGCCGGGGCTGGCACCTCTTCCTGAACCGACCGAGGCTCTTTGTGGGGAATTTCCAGGGGACCTTCCTTGTCTAGCTGGAAGGAAACAATTCTTTACTTTCGAGGAAGGCGCATGCTTAGATGAGGGAAAAAGGAAGGCGCGAGGGCAGGCAACGTACTGTCGTCGTGTGGATGCCAGAGGCCCAGAGGCGTGGCCAGTTAAAATTTAGACAATCATTCTTATGACACGTTTCACAACCTCTGAAGCACTTGATTCCTACATACTACATAGCTTAAACAAATAAACAAGAACTCGCTATCATACTTCAAGGCCATAGAAGAGCAATCCCAGAAAAGGCTCGGTTGTCGTCAGAGCGAAGCTTTTCCTTGTGGGTGCCATCAAGATCGCAGCGATAGATCGATCCGCCCAAATCAGTGAGATAGATGTGGGAATTGACGGTATCCAATTTCAGACCGATCGCCTCATTCAGATTCCTGGTGATCATCTCATACTTTCGTGAGGAGTCGGTTGGCAGAGGAAGCCCGTCTTCGCCCAACCTCATTCTGTTCAGCGAGTTGCCCCAGGGCAATTCGCCACGATCAGTCCAGTACAGCGTGCGAGAGGGTTCGTGCACATCCAAATCAATCGGTTCAGGGAGATCAGACAGAATACACTGGACATCATCCCGAGCATCAGGTGATTGACCTGTGGGGGTTACGATATTGGCGCAGAAGATTCGCCCGTGGCCACCCTTCGACGGACCCTTTTGAGTCCAGTAGAATTTACCCTGACTGGGGCTCACGGCAACGCCCACACACCATCTATAGCTAGCTTCTTCTGGGGTGGGATCTTGGCGATATCTATCAATCAGGATCTCAAGATTGGAGCCGTCAAACGCACAGCGGTAGACTCGGCACCCTTCACGGTCACAAAAATAGACAGCTTGTGCGGCGGGGTCCAGAGCCAGCTGTTTTGGCGTGTTGATGATTCCGGGAGCAACAAGGATCTTGAGATCGGTGCCGTCCACGTTGGCAGAGTAAACGGCTCCCTCCGACTTTCCTGGGACACCCATGCAAGTCCAGAACATGCGGCGGGAGGGTGAGTGCACAGCAATCCCATCGGGCAAATATTGGCCTTTCAGAATTGCTTTTGGTAGCTTACCATCTGCAGAAATCCTGATGATCTCTCCGGCTGTGGTGGTGGGAGGGGTGGCTGACAAGCCCAGATCCAGCACCAAAATTTCGGGTTCTGTTCTAGGATTGGGCTTGATGACAGTTGACTGGTCAACAGGAGGATAGAGACCACCCTTCGAGCACTTTGACCCAAGTTTACCGTGGTCGAGGTACTTGCTTTTCAAAAAGTCAACCGTTTTCTCCGGAGAGAGCCCGCGTTCATTGACGTAATGACTTTCGATAAATGCAACGGTGTCTAGACCAACATCTAGGCAAAGTCTGTCAGCAGATTCTACGAAGAAGCTGGGCGAAGAACTTACTGTCCATTGTCTGGCAGGGAAGGTTCCCTCCTTTGAGGAACAGTTCTTTCCACATAGCATCAATCTCCTCCGGCACCGAAACACCCTCGGCTAAGATGGTCAAGACTTCGCGTTTCATGGCAGCCCATAAGCGATTGAAGATGAGCCCAGTTGACTCCTTTCTTGCCACATACGGAATTATGGCAGCTTCCTTGGAGCGCTCAACCATGAAAGGGAATATCTCCTGGGCAGTGTATCCATCCGTCATCAGTTCCACAACCATACATACTGGCGGCATGTAATAGTGCATGTTCAGGATTCGTGTTTTAGTCAATTCTGAGACCTGGCTGATCATTTCGGAAGACTTGTATGAGGATGAATTGGTGGCCAGAATGCAATCATCCGGGGCAAAGGCCTCTAATTCAGCGAAAGTGGCGATCTTGAGGTCGATCTTTTCTGGAACAGCTTCAATGACAAGCCAGGCATTCTCGAGGGCTTGCTTCATGTCTTCGAAAGCCTCAAACGAGCCATGGGCTTTGTTTGCCTTTGCGGGATATGAGTCGACATTCTCCTGAATGTATGCAAGTCCATCTGCTCGCTGCTGAGCGCTGGGGTCTCGAATTCGGACATCGTAGCCGGCAGAAGCCCAGATGCATCCTAATCCCGGCATTTGTTAGCACTGATATCTATTAGACTGCATGACGCGCAAGAGGTAATTCGTACCTATTCGTCGGCCCAGAACACCTGCGCCGAGGATGGCGACTGGACGATTACGGTAGTCTCGCGGAGGTTCCCAGTTTGGTGACATCATGTGAAGCAGAATATACGAGCGTTATAAAGGGGCCTATGCTTGGTGCATCTGGTCTCCATTAGAGTGGCAGGGCAGATCCTTTTATACCCTGATGTTATGGTTATTGGTATTCCGGCCGTTCCTCGGAAGTACAACATCACATTGAGACATCGGAATCAAGATCCAATCCAATCATCCAGACAGTCGTTGATCTCGTAAAGAAGAGGACGCCGATGACTGCCTATCTTGGAGCATGCTGCATGCCTAGTCACCTAAGCACTGAAGAAAGCATATGAGGAAATGTCTGCTTCCGACGAACGATTGGAGATTCACGGTAGACTCGCGGCATTGACGGCATTGCAGACATCATAATGGCGATCTACAACCCAGTAAGAGTCTCCACCTGGCGGGTGAAGGCTTTGGTGGGGGCCAGCCACGAGGCCCACTGCCCGTGCACTTGTGGAGATGCCGAGGAAGTCTACCTCGGAAAGTATGTAGCTTGGTTTCATGTTGCGGCACTGTTTTCATGACCGCGAAAACACCTATATTTTGCCTCTCATCACTGAGTTTTCCTCTAGAGGTTACCCCCGAAGGCGATTTACTTATACAGAGATTGAAAAATCAAAAGCTGCTGGCTCGGTCCTGGTGGGAAACATGAGCTGCCTGAACAACTCAGACTTCCATCACTTTCCAAGCCTGCCTATCGAGATACGCCTGATGGTCTGGGAATATACCTGGCCACCACCTCGAGTCATCGAAGCCGTATTCTTCGAGGTGGGCTTTGACGACGATGATTACGAAGAGTTCACGATATTACGGCGGGTTCCGTATCTAAGTTTTTGAACCACCGATTTGAGTGGAGGAAACTAGAAAGCAAGCCGTTGGAAAACTGTCCTCATCCTGTGGCCCTAGGCGTGTGCCATGAGTCTCGACAGCACACGCTGAAGCATTTCCTGGCCATGGAACATTCTAAATCGGATGCGGGCTCGTTCTACTTTCGTCCACTTCATGATTTGCTTGGTTTAGTCTTGACTTCACCGACGAAAAGGAGCGCCTACAAGACTTGGTTCATTTTTATGGCGACCAACTCCTCTGTTTCCAGGTTGTCCTTGTTTGTGAAGATGATTGGGTCACTTTTTCTCCAGATGGGTATATGTCAAATTATCTTTCCCCAATGGGACCATTGGAGGAGATCCATATTCTCTACAATGATCTTGACGACGACGGTGAATTGGTAGAGCCAAAGGCAGAAGATTTATCTGTACGTGCTCAAGAGTTGAAGGATGAATATGCGGACTTGATAGGGGACATGCATGGTGGAAATGGAAAGGCAAAACGTATTCGATACCTGGACCGTTGTGAAAAATATTACTAGTCAGCGTCAAAGATCACTGGAAGACGCATTTGTTATGCAGCTGGTAGTGTTGCAAAGCCGCACCACCAGATTCAATTGCGCCACGCTTAGTTATCTGAAGGCATGCCTTCGTCAATAACAATTATTAGTTGAGGGGATCATAGGTCAGGTGCCAGGTGGCTACGCACTATCCGTGGCCGAGGTGGTCAAACCGCACTTATACGCAGTATATAACAGGTCTCCTAGTAATGTAGTGGGGAGATTCTTTCAGCATGGAATGACCGAAGAGGTTACATGAATGTTGATCACTGATGCCTTCGGATCTTGCGGCACGTAGACTTACCTTACGCGTCACAGATCAAATCCACCGCGATGTTCTCGATACCGCGGAAATCCAACAATGCCTGATCTATTGCGAATCGATAGGTGATCAATGAGAGTCCGAGGAAGTAAAATTCAAGTTCCGCGGTAGTATCGACCAATTGGAAAATCGGCAACGCCCCACAAGCCGAGGAAACGGCCCGAAGTATGAAAAGACAGGGATCGGTTTGACCGTTTGATATGGACAGTGGACATTGGACAGCTGATATAAAGGGTTACTCTCCCGTACTAGCGGGTGCAACTATCAAAATTCAAAATCACAATGCCTGCAGTGCGATTCTATCTTCTTGGAGAACCAGTGTCTTCTGCCAGGAACATTGATGTCGATCCCAGCAGCGATCTGGGTGGGCTTGATTAAGGAGTTGATAGCAGCTCATTTCGATTAATCAGTTCGATATGGTTAAGATGTTGGCGTAATTGCAGAATTTACAGAGGCCAGTCAAGATAAAGTGAATAAAACGTGATGATACACGGGCTGAATAGCTTGAAACTAGATAGATGTGCAGCATATGAGATGCTCCAAGGTTGGTGCTACTCATCCCTAACCCGTTGTTCGATATTGCGGAAAAGTGAACAAGTCGTACGTATTTTCTCATTTGCTGTCCATCGAGACTATCATTCGGCAGCGGCTGGTTGCGCCTCTGGATTTGAAGGCGCTGCCGGTGCTTCTGGCGCTGCCGATGATTCTGGTGCCGCTGATAATTCTGGTGCTGCCGATGGCTCTGGGGCGGTAGCTGGAGGAGGCAGAACGGTGCTTTGCGGGCGCCACTTGGTGAGGACTTTGGTTGCGGCAGGTCGTGATTCTTCGTCTATTCATAGCAAGTTAGACGAGCTCTTCAAGTGAGGATTGGGGTGATGGTATGCATACAAGCCCGATAGACATCTTCTACGGTGTTCAGACACATTTCCCGCGCGGGAGGTCGGAACATGATCAGGTACCTAAATGCAAGTCAGTAAGATAGAGACGGTGAGAAGGAGGGATAAGCCATACATCAAAGATTGGACACAGAGGTTCACGCGTTCCGGGTCTTTAGCCAAACCGGCCACCCGCTGCGTGATAGCCATGGTAATCTCAGGAACTTCACTGAGGAATCGAACCAACACCTTGATATCTCGAGCATCCAAGTAAGCCAGGAAGCCATCCAAAAGTCGAGTAGACCAGGTATCATAGTTGAGAGCCAAGTTTGGCTCCGCATCTTGGTCTCCATCGCGCTGATCGGCAGCACTTTTCATTCGGATTCGGTCGTTGTACCACTCTTCATTAAGCCAGATAATAGCAATGTTGAGTCGTCCTCGGAAATCTTCCAAGATGAATCGATACAGCGTCTCGCGAATGGAGTCGGCAATGGTTGTTTGCCTGCGTGCAGCGGGGTCTTCCTTGGTTGACTGATCATTTTCGAGACCAGCAGGGGCCCGCGTAGCCAACCGAGTAAGCAGAACAGACCATGCGTCTCGATCAAATGTGCTACCTGCTAACCGAGCAAATCCAAGCTTTTGTTGATTTTGGTTCTTGGCCGGTGTGGGTGACGTTTCAGCTGCACTCAACATGCCGAAGACGCGCGCCACAGCACTCCGTCCAATTTCCCCAGCCTCCTCCTCGCTCAATGGAGGGGGCTGCGGCAGGACAAAAGGGCCCAAGGAGACCAGATCTGGTTGAAGATCTGCTACCTCTGCCGCGACTGCACTAGCCTCATCCGAAACTACCGATGCTACATCCATGGGTTGATATTCTGGCTCATAGTCGTCATCCTCATCTGCAGCTGCTGCTTTTAGTTGCTGCTGCCTTTGCAAGTTTTGCTCTTTGGTGATGGTCTGATATCGGGTACGAACAGCCTATGACAACGTTAACGGAAGTCAACTCGTTCAAGTGCATGACAGTACTTACATCGGCAGCTTGCGCGAGTGTCGCATCTTGTACTTGCGACAAGAGAGGTACGACGATCTTGAGGACTAAATCGATTGGAAGCTGTTTTACGTCGAAGGAGGACAGTCCAACGTCCTCGGTCAAAGTGAACAATTTGTCGTAGCTTGCGGGTCCCGGTGCCATCGGGGGAATCTTAAGCATCGGCGGAGTCAAGGCGTTGAGGCGTGCCCGCTTAGCATTGTCAAGTCCGTCAGTGGGTTCGGCCGGCAAGCCGCGTTTCCGTGAGGCATCGTCAGCGACTTCGAGACGGGATTGCATTAGCCGCTCGATGTACATCTGCATCCGACCCAGCAGGGGGTGATTCGGGTTCCTGTACAAGTTAGATCAATCCGCAAGTTATGCAAGGACAATGATTTACTTTTTTAGAATGTTGATCACCAGAGCCCGAGCTGTACGCTCCATAGACTTGACACTAACGCGGACAGTCGGAGTGAATGGTGGGCGGACATGCTTTGCGGGATAGAACTCCAGGACCGTGTTCACGATCTTGTTTGCGATGGACTGGCGCGTTCGGATGAGAGGTGCGAGGCAATTCAGAGTCGCGTTTACGAGAAGAGCATCACTATATAGGGTTAATACCGTCTTGGCTTTGGTAGATCGACCAAGCTCCATACCTAGTCTCCTCCTGGAATACACCGAGCAATCGATCAAGGAGACCCGAAGATTCAGCTTCTAAATTCGGTATTGAGAGAAGAGCGTGATTTCGGGGAACGACGGCTAAAGACGTCTCATTCTGGTCCGGTCGCTGGAGGCAAGCGTTAGTATCATTATCTTCGTCCAGGAATTGTTAGTATAACATACCCTCGGGTCAGCAATCACTCCAGGCGTCTGAACCTGGACCACGCGCTGGATGAACTTGGCACAGCAAAGCTTTACTGGACACGGGAATGAGTCCATCCGTTTGAGAATATCATGCTTGATCGCAGTTATCGTCTCCCATGACTTGCTATCCTGCGGGGTTTTCACTCTGCAGGATCCGTTAGCATCGCATTAAGTTTGTATTCCCAGCACGCGTCAGAACCGTGGCTGCACAAGATCGGATATAACCTACACATGTCTGAAGACCAGAGGGTACAAACTAGCTGAAGTCTGTACTAAGCTCTGTAGGACTGGCGTATCTGTCTCCGGTAACTCTAGAATCTCGCGGATTGTTTGTAGGACACTCGGTGCCAGCTGCTCCTTCTGCGCTGCAGGTAGCATCGGGCTAGCAAAGGTTTCTGCTAGGAAATTCGCTCCCCATCTCCGAAGTTCCAATCTTGTGCTAGCTCCGACGATGGGAAGGATGCCGTTCACGATTTGCGGGTAGAAGGCGGCATCACCGAGGACGAGGCTGCGGGCGGCGTTTAGCTGGGCGAGCTGGTCAACAACATTGTCCATCGGCTGAGCCATTGTAGCTATCAAGAGAGGGTTGGTATTCGGTATGCGACAAACGTGTCGAGCTCGAGTTGGGAGCTTGGACGTTGGAAGGAGGGAGGTGGTTGATGGCTAAGTCGTCAGGTGAGAGGGAGTTCTTGAAGCAACGCGCGTAAGCTTGAAGGTGCGCTATGCGCGACGCGAATTCCGGTCACAAGATAACGCCAGGTCCAACAAGAATAAGTAGTTAGGCAATATGAGTGAGTGAATGACGGTTGAAAAGCGAGGTGATGGCTGTCGAGGATGCGACAAAAGCTGCGGAGCTGCGGAGTCTGAAATGCCAAAGATGGCCGACAAAGAGCCCGATGTGCGTATGCAAATTGTACCTGTGCTTATGTTTTCCGCCCCAACCACGCCATTGAACAAGTTGTGGGTATATCTGAACTTGTAGAACTAACAATTGAACTGTAATATATCTCAATATTTGAAATAATAAGCTCTACTAACGTAAAAGTACCACATCCAAACCCGCATCACGTTGTCGGGGCCTCGGACGCCAAGACTTTTCCTCCGGGACTGCCTGACAGCCTGTATGGCCTCAACTTGCAACTTTCCTGTCTCACACATCTCTGTCCACGAACACCCTCAACATGGCTACCGGAATGTATGTGTTGCTGTCATGTAACTCAGAGAAATTTTACCGTGCTAACCTCGTGCCTCTGTCACAGCTTCAACTCCACCTATTACGGCAAGGACTACCGCGCCGGTGCCGCCCTCCTGCGTGCCCGCCGCCCATACCTGTTCAAGAACGCCTTCACAGGTCTCGGCTTGTTCGCATTCACGATCGCTGTCTGTAAGTAAGCCTGCGACGCATTGCGCTTATACCCTGCTCCCATGCCTGGACCGCAGACGGTCATGCCACCAGAACTTGCCCGCCAAAAATCCCCCCGCGAGTTCGATACTCCCCAGAGACAGGAGCTTTTGCTAATACGTATAAAATTTTTAGACAGCTATACTATCAAGGCTGTAGGCCAGGAAGAATTCTCAGACGTCAAAGTCCCCGATGCCCCCGCGGACAAGAAGTAAATCACGCCCAGCGCTGTGATTGAGCATTGAGTTGCTCGGTGTGTGCCATGTACCGGCCGTAGGTGCACATTGGGGTTTTGGAGTCTTCGGGAGACCTTATTTTTTTCAGATCTGCAGGTTTAGCGAAATAACAGCATATGTGCTGCCATGTATACAAGGGTTTGGATTGAAATATGAACTGTACAATGGATCCATTTGGGCTACAGACATCTATTACGGGCATATCCTCGGCAGGCTGCCGTATAGCACTTCGGCGCACTAGACCTTAACGGCGTGAAGAAGATATCTAGGTATCTGCTCACTACTCAGCTTACTTGCGACTCATCCATGGCCTGACAGGCAGAGTGACATAACAGCGCTCCAAGAAGCAAGGCATTGATATACTGCTAGGCCGCTTGGCCTGATGTATATCGGGCAGAATTTTAACGTACAGTAAGAACGGCCTGCTATTTCGAAGGAAATCATAACAGACAAGACAACAAAACGCAAGATGAATACGGAAAAGAGACTTCTACTCGGTTCGCAGAACACGAGGGCCCTTGTGCTTGGTGGCACGCTTGCGCTTGAGCCCCTTGTCAAAGGCAACAGCGCTGCTGTGGTCACGGCCGAGGTTGTCCAGGTCCTTGACCTTATAGAGACGGACGATCCAGTTCTCGCTAGTGAAAGCCTCTTCCAGTGTGTTGAGCTGGGGGCTTTCCTTGGGGACTTTTGTGCCACGGACACGGTCCATAGCCTGACCGGGCGGGAAGAGGGACTGGAAGTTGTGATAAGACATCTTGTACCTGTTCGCGGTGTTAGCAATGATCCCAAATGAGCAAGAAGCCGGGTTCTTACATCAAGCTGTTCTTCATGGCGGGAGTGGCCTCCTCGTCAACGCGGTACTCGCCACGGGCAGTGAAGAAGTCACGCTCCTTCACCTCGTCCGGCCAGATACCCTCGGCGATACGAACCATCCAGAGGAACTTGTTCAAATCGTCACCCGAGTAGCCAAGCAGTCCGCCGAAGACGACCAGGACGTAGTCAACATCGTGCTGGCGCAGGATGGGGTAGCTGACTTCCTCGCGCGAGCTCATAGCCTTGCCAACAGTGGCAATGTGGGTGTTGTTCCAAGTGTTGTTGTCAACCAAGGTGGGACGGTCAGCCATACCACCAATCTGGTATCCATAATCCCACCACGCCATGATCTTGGCATTATCCGGGGTGTTCTGGCGGAGCCAGTAGTAGGCCTCACGGTAGTCATCGATGATGTACTGGCTTCCATCAGGTAGCTTGCTGGCCAGGACAACGGATGGAGAGGAGTATGCGTTCGAAGTAACCCAGGTGCAGTGTGCGACGAACAGAAGCAAGTAGACGATGACTGAGCCTACCACCACAGACTTGGAGAAGAACGAGTAGATACCGACAACTGGCTTCCGAGTTGACCGAAGGGACTTGTCTTCGGCGGTTGGCTTCTCCTTAGCTTCAGAGCTAGAGCTTGGGGTAGACGCAACTAGGAAACTGTCGAGGATGCTCGATAAAGCGAGGGCAGCTGCAACACACACAATGGGAGTCAGTGTGAGCATCAGACGGACCATAACGCCGGCAAAGTAGCTGGCAAGGACCGCATAAATGACCACAAACACATGCTCATCCTTGAGTTTCTGGAAGCACATGAACACGCCAGCCGGGAAGAGCCAGATAAGGAAGTTCAAGTCAAAGAAGAATGCAGGCCAGGCAGTGGGCTGGTGCTCAGAGACGGAAGCAATGATTGGAATGTGGATCTTGGCGTAGCCGGTATCCCACAGAGAGTAGAAACGACCACTCCAGGGAGCAATTACTCCAGAGACCGATAGCAGGACTAGCCCACCGAATCCGAGGCCGACGGTAAGCAGGATCATAGAAGTAAGAAGCTTCTGGAACTCCTTGCCGGGAAGGTAGGTTCGGATGAACTCTGCAAATGCCACCAATTGGATCAATCCAAAGACGCCTATTCAATGGTTAGAATGAAAAAAAAATAGTGGAATCAAAGACCAAAAGTCTTACCAAGAGCAGACATGTGATCGCTGTTTCGAATAGGCAAGAAACCAACAAAAGGAATCTGCATGCTTCCCAATGTTCCCAGGGCATACCAGGTAGTGTAGCTGATGTACACTCGGTTGCTGTATCGGCCCATGCACAGAAGAACAAAGACATGCAGAGGAATCAGGTTGGTAATGAAAACGTATCCACCCCAAGCCGAAACCATGTAGCCGTAGAATAATGCAGTCAAGGCTCCCCACATGATCGAGCCGTTCTTTACAGCCTTGATCCAGAGGTAGAATGTGAATACTAGCAAGAAGATCGCAATAGCTTCATTGTCGTAACTGCCTGCCACGGATCGCGAAATGTAGCCCGGGGTAATACCCATGAAGGCAGCAGCCAGGAGACCCGCGGAGGGGGAGGTAGACATCTCAGAGGTGAGGAGATACATTGCTAGGGCCGTCAATCCAGAGAACCCGGGGGCGAGCAGAACGCAGATGTTGCGAATGTCGACGGGGATGGTGAGAAGACGAAGAATGTGGTAAATGACGCCGCTGGTGACCATCAAGCCAGGGTATAATGTGCCACCTGTAACACGACCCAGAGGATGCCATGTTCCTAAATAACGACCAATTTCATCAGTTGCATGCACTTGATCTAGATATTGGGCGGGTGCGAGACCGCGGATAAGGGGGCCGTACGGTCATCAAACCAATCCCAGAAGCTATAGAAGCCATTTTCGATCAAGTATTTCGTTGCACGGAAGTTAAACCACGGGTCGACTAGAGTGAAGAGGTATCAATATTGCGTTCATAAGCTCGGGGTAAGGTGACTGCTGCGTCTAGTACGACGCAGGGGTTTCATACATTCGTGGATGATACTCTCGAATCCTAGAAGAAAATTAGTACCATGATCATCAGAAATCTCAGTTGAAACATACTAATAACACTGAACAGTCTGCTAGAGACCGCGGCGGCTGCAATGGTACAGAGAATGATAACCCGCAATAGACCGCGCGTACTCCGGCCGGAGCTGCCTTTCAACATAACATTGAGGGAAGACGGGGCCATGATGGCCTTGTAAAAGGAGCAAAGTCCAAAACCAGGAATCAAAATAGAAACATCAAATCAACGAATGACTTGGGCTGGAATGCCAATGGTGAGGGCCGTAAAGAGAGGTGGGAAGAGCGAAAGCTGCGCAAGGTGGTCACTTCTGAAGGTCTTGGCACCGGCGAGAGGGCGCCACCTCCGATTGCTCCCCGCAATACAACGAAGTCACCACTCCGTGTTTGCTGGAGCCATCCTCGATCACACGTTGCGAAATATCTATCCGTATCGAATACACCTGCATCTGACAAAGAATCGAGTCATTTTTACCTTGTCTACTACTTATATCTCCTATGGAGCTGCCTCCGCTTACCATGGAGCAGCTCTCGCAGCTAGTGGCCTCCAATGCTCCACCATCACAACTCTTCGCAGCCTTATCGCGGTATGAGCAAGAAGCATGTCTCATGTGGGCACGCAGTGGTAATCCTGAGGCAGGCAGAGGTGATCCTGCGCTCTTGGGCCTGTTCTATTCAAGCTTCTTTTTCGTCCACCTTCTTACCGACCAAGTGTTAGTCGTCTGGTGAGAGTGTTATCAATGGTAGCTACGCTGCTGACGAAGCTTGGTGACAGATCCGAAGCCCGCGCGTTGACGAAACGAATGCCAGAACCCCTGCTCCACCACGATCCTTCACTACAGAATTGCCTGGCTTTACTTCGAGCGGTATGGCAGGCTCAGCATGGCCAGGTTTATGAGATCCTCCGAGCGCTACCATGGCCAGAAGCTTTGCAGCCACTGGTCAAGAGATTTGAGAGTGCGTTTGCCATTTCAATGCTGCTTCTTTGTTCTGGTGAAGCTTACATCAGGCAATTGCCTTATCCTTAGGTTTCTTCCAAGATAAAACCTTGATCGCAGTGAGCACGTCTTATGAAGCTATACGGCTAGCTACAGCAGCGAACTATCTTGGCCTCGACCCACAGCTTGCCGAACGAGATGACCCGAATACAATCTCAAACTTTACGAAGTTTGGATGGATATGGGACCAGGAAACAAAGTTGCTGCATCCCAAGCCGATCGTCGCAACACCACCCACGGGCAATCAATCATCCAATGGCATTCGCGAAGCAATGGCAATGCTCGGGACTCGTGCCAGTTGAAGCTACATGAAAGCTCGAGTATACGTGCCAGGAAATACATCCGATCTTCTGTCTGTGTACGATTTACTGTGTACGTGACTAACGCCTCCGTTTGTCTCACGGATGCGAAGCAGAAGAGGGAGAGCCAGAACAGGTTTGATCTGGTACATACGAGGACCATTGGGTAACGCCGGAATGCATAACACGATCTTTTGCTCTTGGTAGTGGTCCAACTGTAGTTTACAGGCGCACGACCGCCCAGGGTATGTACAGGACCTAGATAAAACGTCTAAAAATGAGAAACAGAAATCATTCCATCTTGCGCTCGCAATGCCACAGCTCGGGAGCATATTAAACCCAAACAATCGTACAAAAAATAGACCGGAGTCGAGCAGATCACGTCTAGTACCCTGGGGGAGGTGCATTTCCCGCAAAGAGATCATTGCGTATCATTCCTCCTCTATACCATCCATCACATTTACTCTCCAGCCTTGGCCTTCAAGAATGCCTCCAGGTCGAACTTGGGGTCCTCCCAATTCGTGATGACTAGAGGGTGGGTTAGCACTCGGGTTCTAGGGATATGCGGCAGCTTCGGATGGTGCTGCATTCATCCGAATCGTATTATCGTAGGGAATAAACGTACGTCCGCTGGATTGTGTCTTGGTCTCCTGCTGGGGCTGAGTCTTCTTCTTGTATTCGGCCTTGGCCTGCTCGATCAGGCGCTCCTTGCGGGCATACTCCTGCTCAATCTCTGCGCGCTTGGAAACCGAGTTGAGGGAGGATTGGTGGTAGACACCGTAGACGAGACCGGCTACGAGAGCCGAGTAACGGAGGACCTGTTGGTTCGAAGACGTGGTCAGGAGCCGTCGGGGGAATGGGGAGGTGACCCTTAGCCGATACTCACATTGACACCCTGGCTGGCCATTTCTGCAAGTTTTCCGGAAGGTGAGAGGTGAATGAGGGAATAAACTGCGTAAGAAGGAAAGTCGGTTCAACAGGTGTCAACCGTCAATGGCAATGAATCTCCAGGTTGGTCAATGGCGAGGTTCAGTTCTTGTTCTGCGCGCGCGAGTTTTTCCGGGCCGCTCCAGAGTTCCCGACTTCAGGGCGGAGGCTGAGTCATCACTGTCATCAAAGCGCGCAGCATTACACTTAGACGCCGACGCATCTGGTCTAATCTTTCCTTGGTTTTACAAGATGTCGACGATTCAGCAGCGGAAAGATGAGATTCTTGCCAAACGAGCTAAGCTTGCCGAGCTGAAAAAGCAGCGGGAGCTCCGCCAGAAGGAGTTCACCTCCCGGAGCAGCATCGGGGATGCTTCAGAGGTACACGCGACATGACAATGAATTTTGAAGCTTATCTAGGTCTAACAATGTTGCCAGGTTGTCTCCCCAGTACCGAGCCGCGCGGACAGCCGACACGATCTCGACGACTTGATCTCTCGTCTGGTCGACCGCCCAGGGTCGGCATCCCTCAGCCACGGTGGTGTCGAGAGCCAGTCGCGGCGAGGAAGCCGACCAACCTCAGTATTGAGCGCCAGTCAATTGAGTGGAGATAATGCCGACACATATCCAGCTTCATCGCGACCACAGTCTCAGTCCATCGCGGTCCAGACCACAGATGAGCCTTACACTCCATACGCAGCAGAAGCCCCGCACCCCCCTGAAGTTGGATCTGAAGCTAGACCGGTATCTAAACCTGAAGTTGTCACCTACAGCAAGGGTGTGCAAACCGATGGGCTAGACTTGCAGCCCGAGACTCCTGACGAGTCTGTCGCTTCGGACAATGAGGAGGCACCTGGTACCACTCGTTCGAGCAAGCGTCTCAGTCGACGAGACCGGGAGCGCGACGAGGAAATCCGACAGAAGCTCCGCAAAGAAATTGAGGAGGAGCTGCAAGCTACTAATCAAAATGCCAATAATGATAACTCCGCCGCGCAACCCGCAAAACTGCGGTACCCTCTACGCATGCTCGATGACGATGAGCTGCAGGCAGTCACGTCGTCTGACGATTTCCTAGACTTCGTGGAGCGTTCTTCGAAGGTCATTGAGCGAGCTCTAGATGAGGACTACGATGTGCTGGCAGACTATGAGCTTGGTGGTACGGAAAATTTGCAAGAAGATGAGGAGACAGGCAAGAAGAGGCGAGGAATGCATGAAGTGTGCCATTTCTGGGACGAACGATGGAGCAAGAATCGTATCATCAGTGATCTTGGCTTCTCTCCCAAGGTCAGTGCTATGGCTTTTTCCAATATTATGTGCTTATGCTGACTTCGACCATAGTTCCCTGAACTATTGCTTGCATCATACACCAAGAATACCTCCGCGCCACACGAACCTGACGGCCTTGTCCAGATCTGGAACCAGCACTTACAATCTCGTCCGGAATACGTGTTCCATTCCACATCCGATATCCTTACCGCGAAATTCTCTCCCTACCACCCAAACCTTGTTGTCGGAGGATCCTACTCAGGACAGGTGCTTGTGTGGGACACACGTTCTTCTCGCGCCGGCGGAGGCTCTCCTGTACAAAAGACTCCCCTGTCCGGGGGCGGTCATGCTCACCCCGTCTACAGTATCTCCATCGTCGGCACACAGAATGCACACAATATCATGACCGCCTCCACGGACGGTGTGGTCTGCGGCTGGACGATGGATATGCTTTCTTATCCACAGGATCGTGTGGAGCTTACCACACCTCCCCCATCCAAGACAGAGGACCTTGCGCCCACCACCATGTCATTCCCTCACACCGACCCTACATTCTTCATCGTCGGCACCGAAGAAGGTGTCATTTATCCCTGCCACCGATATGACCGGGCCGGAGCGAAGTCTGGCACAGACCACCGCCTAGCCTACAAGGGACATACGGCACCAATCATGTCAACCGCTTTCCACCCTGGCCGTGGGCCTGTGGACCTCGGAGACCTCATGCTGAGCTCGAGTCTGGACTGGAGCGTTAAGCTCTGGCGTGTGCGACCCCCCGCGACGACCGCCTCTGCCACATCCGGGTTGGCCCAATCCCAAGTTGTTTCCCCTATACTGGACATAACCCGCGACGATGTTGTTTACGATGCGCGCTGGCACCCTACTCGACCTGGTGTATTCTCCCTGGTCGACGGTGCCGGCAACGTCGAAGTCTGGGACCTTGCTACAGATACCGAGGTGCCGGTGGCACGTGAAGTTGTCGATAATACCCACGGCAACATCATGTCTCGCAGCCTCAATAAGGTTGCGTGGGATGAGCGTGAAGGACGCCGCTTGGCAACTGGTGGCCTCAACGGTGTCGTTACTGTCTTTGAAGTTGGCAAGGGTCTCTGTGGGCTTCCCGAGGAAGTGCCAGCGGACGAGTGGACAGGCATGAAGCGGCTTGTTGGGAAGTTGGAACAGAAGGACAAGGATCGGGTGGCTTGAGCTTATCACTTCAAGGCCGAGCTCATCTTCTCCAGTGGTTGTTGTGATGTATGTTTCTTCAGCGGGCCGACTCTCCCTGTCTGCCTTTTTTCCTGCAAGGTTTTCCGTGCTGCTTGCCATATACCCCTTTCCATTCGGTCACATAATTCTTGCATGTGTATGTATCTCATCGCTATTGTAATGGATAGATACCATGTCCCTTGATCATTGCCCTATCTTCATTGACTGAATTCCAGTCAAGGCACCACATAACTCGGTGGTACAAGAACACCAATAATGAAGAGATGCGAGTAGGCCAAGGGCGAGACCTAGAACATCTCGTTGCCAAGGAGCTTTCTACGGCAATGCTCATAATCATCTGACTTCCATAGTCTTGAAGATACCAGGAACAGAAACCCATGCAGTGCTTCAGCGGAATATCCTCCACTGCCTATCCCTTCAACATAACCCGGCCAGAATAGCCCTCCTCTTATTCTATGTTCGTATCTTACGTTAGTCTGTCATGAATCACATTGTAACTATCGTCCTCAAAGATGTTGAAGGTCTATCATACGACTTTCAAAGGGGTATCTAGGTATGCAAGGAACATATTGACGAGGTTTCGTAATCCCGCTTGGTCAATAAGTGTATCTGAAGCCGGACTTTCAAACCCCATTCGTTAGCAATATGCTCACCCGACAGATGAAAGGTGAAAGAGCTTACCACGCCCTCAAGCATTTTGAAACCCCGCTGTTGTCGTTGATTGGCCATATAGAAGTAAATCGTGAACACGCCCACTATCGCAATGAGAAGTATGTGTGAACTGACACACTGTTAGGAACGAATCCGACATTCATTGACTTTTGAGACCTACCCAATTGACACCCAGACTGCAGTCTGATAGTGCGGAGCCTCCTGTTGCCGGACAATGAAGCTACCCGCCACGCCGCCGAGCCCGTTACAAGCAGTCACAGCAGCGGCAGTGGCGACTCGCTTCCACTGCCCGACGATATTGTTGGCTTGGAAAGCGTTGAGGGCCGCCCAATTCGAGATATAAGCACCTGTCGCCAGGAAGGTCCCAATATAACGCACTGCGACCTGGGTAGACACAGGAAGACCGAACATCAGGAACCCGGCTATGAGGACGAGGGCGTTGAATATGATCAGAGGTCCACGAACGCGGTAAAAATCTCCAATAAGTGATGTGAGCAGGACTGGGATGACGGCATAGTAATAGGGCTAGTATGGATGTCAGCAACCGGGGCTCACTATGATCTAGATCAGCTTACAGGTGTGGAGAGTAGGATAGATTTGTTCGAGCTGAAACCCATCCCAGACTGTAGGATGATCGGGAGGAAGTACGAGAGAGCAGTCGATATGAGGTTGAGCAGAAAGAACATGCACGCAAAGCCATATATCTTTGGATCTTTGAAGTTAGCAAGAAGCGTGCCCCACGAGAACGGCTCGGGGATAACGTCGGCTCGATCATCTTGGATTCGGCGAGTTGCGACCCGAGCTTCTCGGTCTGAGAGGAAGAAAAAGCTGCGCTGGGAGTTCTCAGGGAAATCGACCATCCACCAGTAGGTGGCGATACCCAGGACACAAGTAATAAGACCCTGGACAACAAACATCCAGCGCCAACCCGCCAGACCAGCCTTGCCGTTCAAATGATTGAGACCATAATTGACAAGATTGCCCGTCGCCAAAATAACAACTTCTCCAGACTGCAAAAATGCAAACCGGAGCTGCTGCTCACGTCGCGGGTACCAGGCGCTCACCAGGTATGTCAGACCAGGGTAGATCCCGGACATGGAAATACCAAGCAGTACGCGCAGGATAATCATCTGCTTCCATGTGTGAACGAACGCAGTGCACAATGTCAGCAGTCCAAAAATGAATGTAATCATCGAAAACCAAATGCGCGGACCAATCAGTCGAACTGCCACCGTACACGGCAGTTGGAAAACCACACTGGCAATCGTGAAAATGAAGATGGAGACGGAGTACCGGTTCCCCTGGTTCAATTGGAGATCATTGAGCATGGTCGTCACCGAGGCAGAGGACAAGATGCCCGAGTCCAGCAGATTCAGGCTGCATAAGAGCCCGCCGATGCTACACAGTCGGAGATCGACTTTCCATCGTACCCGCTTCTCGAGAGCGGCCCACTCATCCCCGCGATCTAGGTCATCCCCCAGATTGTCTGAGGTGGTTTGAACGAATTCATTGGTTTTTTGGGTCATCGGCTCCACGGAATGCAGTTCATGGGCCATGGTCTTCGTGGTGGCCAAAGTCTGACTCGTTTCTGAGTCGAACCGTGTGCGTTATTAGGCCGATCCCGATGTGCCGCGAAAGATGTGTCACAGGGTTATCATGTTATGTTGGAGACAAACTGTTTTCTCACCTCATTTTTCAGTTTTCGTCGGCATGCCAGGTGAAGAACGTGATAGAAGCCGGTCGGCGCGTGCTTACTGCATAGCGCGCATATCGGACCTCGGAGGATCATCAATCCAGAATTCCAGATCGGCTCGGGATTTGTGGAGAAACGATCGAGAGTCTGGACTTGGGTGGTTAACTGGATTACTGGATTGCAATTAATTGTTTGATGTTCTTTCTTAAACTGCAGAGACACGACCAAATTCTCTGGCAGTCTTGTATAGCATAGTGCCCCGGTAGTCAAAGCGAAAGATATCGAAAACAGGCGGCTAACTTCCTTGTCAGTCTTGTTGTCCCCCAACAGATTCAATAAACCCCTGAGGTATGGCTTTCTGTCGCATCTTGAAAGCAAGAAGATAGTAGTATATCCCTTTCATCTGGTTCGCCTATCTATGCATATGGGATTTGTCTCATTTGTTCCGTATGTATCTTTCCTTTTCCTTTAGACGATAACAAAGCTATGAAGATTGTAATTCGGTCGGGGGCTGGTTCTACTCCGAAGATTGTCTCGGACTGTCAGTCTGGACCTGTGATATGGGATGTCGGCTTGCAACGAATATACCCAGCTCAGTTCATCGTAAACAACCTCTAGGCTCTGGGAATGTTCATTGTACGGAGTATTTATCCACGTGCGGAACGAGATCCGCAAGGGCCAATGAAAAATAGAAAAAATCGGATTAGAGTCTCTGCCGTCAGCGCAAGGATCTAAAATAGAAAAAGATAAACAAATCCAGGATTACAGTGATAGAAACCAAGAAACAAAGTTAAGATCTAAAGAAACGAGCATGTAACCTTAAAAAGGTACCGAACGGCTACAATGAGATTGAGCCCGTTGACCCGCGGAACCAAGGTAAGCTTTCAGGTCCGGTGACTGCTCTGTTTGCCCCACGTTCGGTCGAATGGAGCGAAGCTTCTTAACATCTTTCCTTTGCTCCCCCGGAATTTCTCCTCATTTCTCTCTCCGCATTCTCTACACCACTTGAAGCATCATGGTCGAACTCATCAACCCGCCCGAGACTCGCGAACTACTACCGCCCCTCCTTGCATGTCTTCCGCTAGCTTTTGTCTCGCCACGTCCTCCTCCAGCCCTGCTACCGCTTCTCTCCCCTATTCTTCGCCAACGAGTCGGCGTCCTCAGTTCGCTTTCCACATCCTCTACTGAATCATGGTTACAATTATTGTGCTGGGATGCTGGGAAAGCGGAGCGTCTGCAGAGTGTCATTGATGGTGCGACCTTCGAGCCACACCCTGTATCAGGTGAAATAGAGCTCCCAGACGAGCTCCCAGTGACGTATAAGCGGGTTGACAACGAGACACTCAAAGCGCAAGTTCCACTTTTGGAATATAGCTTGACGGTGGTCTATTTGTGGTGCCCGACAGACGAGGAGGGAGGTGGCCGTGGTTGGCGAGTTGCAGAGCTTTTGCCGCGCCAAGGTCCTGCCGATGAAGATAGTACCTGGGCCTCTTCTATTGGAGAAGCAAACGTGCAGGCAAGCGACAGGCTCACGGCTGATGTATTGAGGCATGACCAGGAGGAGAAACCCCAGGACAAAGAGATGGCCGACGACAACGACGACGACGACGATTATTGGGCCCAGTACGACTCTACACCCGGAGCCAAAACCCCCGCACCGCGTGCTGCTTCGACGAAGGGACCGTCCGGCCTCTCTGAGCAGTCCTATTTTTCACAGTACGGCGACGTACAGCCGGCCATGGATAATCACGATCCCGAAGAGGAACAACCGGAAGTTGGGCCGTCATCGCTCAACGGAGATATGCTGGCCAATCTTCTGCGACGACAGGTGGACGGTGGTCTCAATTCTGAGGAGGTGCCTCGTACCAACGGATATTCCCCAGAGAATGTTCCTAGTGACGAGGCTGCACGGGCTTTGAATCACCCGCGACCGGCCTCTGCATCTTCCGGCAGCTCTGACGCGATCGCTAAATTGGAGAAAGAGGCAGAGAGCCAGTCCACGTACGAGGTTGGTGTGAAACAACACATCGGTTCCAGCATCAAGGGATTGTTCCGTCTGGCAAAGGCAACTGGAATGCCACGCGCAGAGTTCCAGGCTTTGGTTTCAACCGAATTGGAGCTTCTGGATGTTTCGGACGATGCGTAATACCATCTACTTGAGTGATACCCATGGATCATTGTTTGAGATGTCCGGTTTCGAATTTTTTGCGTGGCGAATCCGTTTTGCATATATGCGGCACTATTGGGAGTGAAGGAGGTTTAGCATTTGCATTATGTTCTCTAGGTTGTGGACTGGTATATCAATAAAATCATTACACAACGCCGCATTCCCTACTGGAGAACGTACAGCATACTTCGTTATGTTGAGGCTGTGAAAGAAACATCCAACCAGTGAGAGGCCATTCTCGCACAGGATCCCCGATAAGGTATAGCGCAAATGCAGTCAGCTTGGCAATCCGGCAACCTTCAGTGAGCAACCCACAGGGCTGAGTTGGGTCTTAAGTTAGTTACTTACTGCGTATTCCTCGATGGTAGGTATGGGTTCAACCAGACTCAACCTAACCACACCTGTGCATAGTTGCGGGAACAATTCGAGGCTGAGCTGAGAGCAGACTTGCTTCCCTTTCTCTAGCCTTAAAAGAACGTCCGCCCGATAGTTGGAACTTGGAAGATAGCCGACAAAAGAGAACGGCAGAGCATTTCCTCTTTATTTTATTCATACAAAATGGCAGACGAAAAAAGGCAGAACCCTTTCAGAAGCATGGGTTCCTCCAACGAAGCAGAGGCAGCAGAGCACCCTCCGGCATACAGAGCTCCAGAGCCCTCAACACAAGCAAGCCCATCGACATCAGCGGCAGCTCAAAGGAGTACCTCTCAAACAAATAAAAAAACGATCGCGATCCCAGCCATCAGTTCTTCTTCCGATTCACCTTTTATTCGAGCCTACCCACCAATCCTACGAAATTACCAACTCCCCAAGGAATCCTTCCTCACATTCCTCGACCAACTGAACAAGGACATAGCAGCCAGCCCTCCTCTCCAAGTCCTAGATGCAACAGGCGGGATCCTAAACTCCGTCCCGATTCTGTTCCCGCTACACTGGATTGGTTCCGCCGTCAGCGGGCTCGCAAACCTGGGCAGCCAAGGCATGTCCAAAAGCCGCACGGACTCGTCCATCAAACAAGCCAACAGGGACATTTTCGGACCCCGCGGCTTGAAAGTTGAGGTTGCGAAGCTAGATGCGCTGGCGCACATCGCCCAGATTCCTATATTGGATTCTCAGGGGAAGATCAATCGACAGGCGCCTTTGTTTCTGCAGCTGCGGGATACTACTGGTGGAGACTATGAAAGACAGGAACAGGAGCGAGGGCAAGGATCGGAGGTGCCGCAGTGTATTAGAGCTTTGCAGCCCTGGATTGCTGAGCTGGAGTTTGAGATTTTGCCCTGGTCATCGAAGTCGAAATTGACGCGATTCAACGCTGCTTTGAGGAAGAGGAATGGTACTGGTACTCACTCTGATGGGAACAAATCGGAAGATGTTTCATTTCGGAAGGCTTTGTGGCTTATCATTCGAGAGGTTGAGGTTGAGTGAAGGTGTTGATGTCCGGATATATAGCTGCATTACCTAGGTGTTCCATATATTCCTAGGTTCGATTCCATCAATTTTCGTTCCATGTTATTCTGGTCTCTAATTGGACCAATGGCCCAGTGAAAAGCTCGACACTGAAGCAGAATTGGATGTAGGTAGTTCGTGGAAGCTACATGCAATACCCCTGTCTCCTCAATAGGCTTTCTAGTGCTGCGACAAAGAGTCGCTCTTATTGACACTCAGAGCTACGCCACTTTCCGGAGATATCGCACGAGTTTGGGCACATGATTGGTCGGAAAACAGCATAGCTCATTAGAACCGTCCTCGAGAACGAGGAGTCGAGGACTCGACTTCGAAATTTCACTCAAACAAAGAAGAATATACCACGTTGAATGTCTGGGAGTGGGCACTCCCTTTGTTGTCTGGAGTATACGTAGATCCGCCCCGGCCACCGCCCAGCCGGGACCCCCAAGAAGACACGCAACGCCATCTCATCCCCTCCACATCTCCTTTTCTTTCTCTTGATATTCTCGGCCTCTATTGTAGGGTGCCATGCTTTTTTGGTGATTCCGGTGAGCTTCTTCTTGCTCAGGATTTATTGCTTGATTTATTGCTTCTCTTTCTCCCACCAACCGCCTCACTAACACCGCGGAAGTCTATTTAGGTATAGGTAGTTTCTCGGTCGCTCTCTACATTTCATACTTTCAGCATGTCGTCCCCTTCGTCCTCTCTGCGCAAGAGAGGCGGACAGAAGGAGGCTACCACCGCATTGCCTTCAGATGATGGCTCAATGACTCCCGTGGCACCGGTCCCGGCCAAACAGAAGTCGGAATGGGACTACTGGCTGGCCATTTCTATTCTGACCCTTCTGGCTTTCGCCACGCGATTCTATCGCATTGATTATCCTAATGAGGTTGTTTTTGATGAGGTTCATTTCGGAAAGGTATAAGGTCCGATGCCTTTTTGGCAACTCCAGGAAAAAGAAGGGGGCTGTTTAGCTGACATTGTTATTGCCCGGCTAGTTCGCTTCTTATTATCTCCAACGTACCTATTTCTTCGATGTGCACCCGCCTTTTGGAAAGCTGCTCTTTGCCCTTATGGGTTGGCTTATCGGTTTCGATGGAGGTTTCTTGTTCGAGAACATTGGCGACTCGTACATTGACAACAATGTGCCCTACCTGTCCCTTCGTGCTATGCCCGCTACCCTCGGCGCTTTGACAATTCCCGTGGTCTTCCTCATTATGTGGGAGTCTGGTTACTCCCTGCCGGCGTGCGTGCTGGCTGCTGGTTTAATGGTGTTTGACAACGCTCACGTGGGTGAGGACCGACTCATCCTCTTGGACTCCACCCTCGTATTGTCAATGGCCCTCAGTATTCTGTGCTACGTCCGATTCTATAAGCTGCGTCACGAGCCATTTGGCCGAAAGTGGTGGAAATGGCTGCTCCTGACCGGCTTCTGCATGAGCTGTGTCATCTCCACCAAGTACGTCGGAGTCTTCACTTTCGTGACCATCGGTGCGGCAGTTCTCATTGACTTGTGGAATCTGTTGGACATCAACCGCGAACAGGGAGCCCTCAGTATGATCACCTGGGTCAAGCACTTTATGGCTCGCGCTGTTGGATTGGTTGTCATTCCCTTCATGTTCTACTTGTTCTGGTTCCAGGTCCACTTCACCATTCTCAATCGGTCTGGTCCCGGTGATGACTTCATGTCTCCCGAGTTCCAGGAGACTCTGAGTGACAACCAGATGACTGCTCAGTCCGTTGGCGTCCAATACTTCGACACCATTACTATGCGCCACAAGGACACCAAGGTGTACCTGCACAGCCACTGGGATACCTACCCCCTGCGTTATGATGATGGCCGCATCTCCAGCCAGGGTCAGCAGGTCACTGGTTACCCTCACAACGATACCAACAACCAATGGCAGATCCTGCCAGGGGAGCATCTGGTGGACACAACTGAGCCCCAGAAAGTGCGGAACGGCGATGTTATTCAACTTCGCCATGTTGGCACCGACAGTTTCCTTCTGACTCACGACGTTGCATCCCCGTTCTATCCGACCAACCAGGAGTTTACCACGGTTTCGCAAGAACTGGCTGAGGGCGAGCGCCACAACGACACCCTGTTCGAGCTCAGGATCGAGTCGGCCAAGTCTACCCAGGAGTTCCGCACCCTTGCCAGCCTGTTCAAACTGGTTCACGTCCCCACTCGCGTCGCCATGTGGACTCACACGACCCCGCTGCCGGATTGGGGCTACAAGCAGGCCGAAATTAATGGTAACAAGAATCTCCTCCAGTCCAGCAACACGTGGTACGTCGAGAGTGTTGAGAACTTGGAGCCCGACAGCCCTCGTCTGGCCAAGGAGGAGCGCAAGGTCAAGACCCTGCCCTTCCTGCGCAAGTACTTTGAGCTGCAGGGTGCCATGTTCCACCACAACAATGCCCTGACCAGCAGCCACCCCTATGCTACTGAGCCCTTCCAGTGGCCGTTCCTGTTGCGAGGTGTGAGCTTCTGGACCAAGAACGATACCCGTGAGCAGATCTATTTCTTGGGTAACCCCATCGGATGGTGGATTGCTAGCAGCATTCTGGCCGTATTTGCTGGCATTGTTGGCGCTGACCAGCTCTCGCTTCGCCGTGGTGTTGACGCATTGGAAGAAAGTAAGTTCAGGAAAGATGACGGAAATACTCATTCCCTCTATTGTTCCCCTTTATTGGCCCGTCAGCTAACCCTCTCCTTTAGTCTGGGGCCCTGGTACCCGCTCGCGTCTGTACAACAGCACCGGGTTCTTGTTCCTGTGCTGGGCTGCGCATTATTTCCCCTTCTGGTTGATGGGTCGCCAGCGCTTCCTGCATCACTACCTGCCCTCGCATCTGGCCTCCACCATGGTGTGCGGCGCGCTGATTGAATTTATTTTCAACGTGCAGCCGCTCGACCCTCGCACTGCACTTCCTCCGGTCGATGACCCCACTGGCAAGTCCAAGGCCCGATCGCTCCGCAGCCTGCGCCGCTTCATCACGGCCAAAGAACGCATGGGCTGCCGGTCGCTCATCGCGGGCTGGATTGCCACCCTTGTCATTTTGGTGGCCACCATCTGGGGCTTCCTCTTCTATGCGCCCTTGACCTACGGTACCCCCGGTCTCGACGTGGCGGGCGTCAATGCGCGCAAGTGGCTGAACTACGACCTGCACTTCGCTAAATAAGCTCTTATGGTGGCTTTGGCTTGCCAAAGTCGGGAATGGGATCCCTTGGAGATGATGGGCCGAATTGAAATTGCATCCAGCAATGTTGTAAGATAACTTATAATGGGTGGAAAGGTTGAAGTAGATGTTTCGTGTGATTTGACATGTTGAAGTGATGATTATAGCTCTCCCTAGCATCTTTCTCGTTGTATGTATGAGTCCATTAGCTTCTCTTCTTTCGTTGTTTTCCCGAACCGGTGATGTAGTACACCTTCCGTCTCGCTCAGAATGCATCGAGTCCTGTGTGACCGTGGCACAGATGTATCAGGCCCTTAGTCTCCGATAGATTGATCCAATCCTGGGATGGGAAGATGGGGTTAATCGGAGATATGTCCATACATGTAGGGATAAACTCCAATCCAACGAGAATCTCCCGTCGATCATGATCATCGGGACCCCGGATTACCACGTGATCGGCGATCTTGTATTTTTCTTTTTATTCTTATTTTCCTTCCTTTTCCTTCCTTTTCCTCATCTTGTTCTCTTCATTTCCTAAATATTTAGGAGAATTGCCTTCTTCTTATCTTCTTATCCTGTGAATATTCCATCAGAGTCTATTACATTCTCTCATACATTCCAATCGAATAGCCGATTGATCCTCCAATCAGAAACCTCTAAAATAGTTGTTTATTTTTAGAGTGAAAACCACTCAGAGCCAGTTGTTTGGGCACAAAGCAACTGCCCACTTACTATACATAGTAAATGGTTTCACATTCTCGCCCTTTTCAAAGTCTAGAACTCTATGTAGATGCGTAATTATACTGCGTAGTTACAATGTAGGCAATATTATGGTGAAGTATCATTAGTTAGTATCATTAGCATCATTACTAGGCCCGTTCGGTAAGAAAGACCAATAATCAAGCCATCTTAGCCTCTTAGTCCACAGGGTAAAGGGACTAGACTTAGCGTCTCTTGACTCCTTCTGTGCCTATTCTGTCCATTCTTTCAACATTCTCTCTCTCTCCATCTTGCAATCTCTGAATCTCTTCATTCCTCTCTTCTCCTGGCCGGTTCCCCGGGTCCCGATCTCGCTCCACTCCCCACGTCTCCAGTTTTCTCGGACTTTGGAAGGGTGTTCAGTGTTTACCTGAATCCTCTGAAACAATCGTTGCCTGACCACTGATGGTATGTTCAATTTTTCTCAGATAAAGACGAAACAGAGAACATCCACCTTTTCAACAAAAAGACCTCCAGGATTACGAAGCACATGCAGCTTGTCACCTCAGATCTGTGGATTCCTGCCGGGCTTTGATCAGCCGCTAAAACAAACTGTCTCTTTTGCCAGAAGCTTCTTTGTAAACTGACTCTCTCTTGCCACAGCTTGACCCCTGATCATCCTTTTGCTGTCTTGGACCTTCGAATCGTTATACCCATCCATTTTGGACTTGTCGCTTTTTCCTTGGATTACTTGCAGTTGACACGTCAGGCCACCTCAAGATCGTCCAAACCTTAACCAGAGCTGAGGACAAACGACAATAACAAACCTCGCCGGTCATTCAAGTACCAGGCTCTCTTTCCCTCCCCCCAAAAAAACCTCTCCCATACCCATGAAGCTACCCAAGAGCTTTACCCGGCGCAAATCGTCCGGCAATGTTCTGGAGGAGATTGAGAACCCCCAACAATCCTCCTTTCGAGTATTCGAGCGCCCTGGACCTCAGCGATCAATGAGCGATGGTGCGCCACTGACCAAGCTACTGAGTGAGGGTAATGTGGTGGGATCAATGGAGGACTCCGATAACATCTTTGCCGGAAGAGATCGACCCCTGGACAAGAACCGGTATGACCGCCCCTCGACCGTGGATTCCCTAAGGAGCCGACTGATTCGGAGACGTGACAGTGGAAATTACGAAAGTTCTACGTCGACAAGATTAAGCTCCTCCTCTACACTCCCATCGTCAACCGAAGTGCCCCCGTCCGACGAGAATCAATCGCCGCATGCTAGAATTCAGGACATCCCCGCTCCACCACACCTAGCCAGTGCGCTGCGCGCCGCTGGGCGGACATTCTCGTTTGGTGGACGGTTCAGCAAATCTGGGCCGCCTGTTCCTCGGCAACAGACACCAGATGCGGCAAAGAACCGCCCGGTGACAGGCAGCACCGACCGTACGGCTACACCGCCCAAGCTGCCTGATACGAACTTTGCCGAGTCGCAAGATGATTTTAATAAAATGTTTGATAATATGAGCACACGAGATGGCCCATCTCCTCAGCCGGCCAAGGTAAGTTCTATGATTGCGACCTCAGACGAGGATAAAATGCTCATCGAACTGCAGTACTCCTCCTCTCCACCGACCCAGGCTCTTCCCGAATTTCAAACAAGCAGGATTGACGCGCCCGCGGCGATCAATACGGACCGATCGGCCGTGGTCGAATCACCCCCTTACTCTTGGGCTCGGCGTCCCTCAGAGGAGGGCTTGCTACGTGAACCGGATTCTGTACCCTTGAGCGAAACCCACTCCACCCTCGAGGCAGTTGTTGATTCCCGGAAACTTTCACCATCACCTAATAATTTCACATCAGCCACAACTTCTCATCGATCGTTGGAGCGTCCCCGCGGGATGGATAGGGGTGGACTGCGAAGGAGCGGAGTATATTCGCCGCCACCTGAATCTGCACCTTTTGATGACGAGGATGCTAAACTGGTCCGTCAATCTGTCATCTGGAGCAAAGACAGCACGTCACCATGGGGTGATCCTAGCCCTTCTGGGGAAACACCCTTGATCGACAAGGGTAAAGCTCCCGACTATTCTGGCGAGATGAATTCGGAGCCCGGTGATATGTTCCAATTCCGTCGTTCGCCTCCTCCGGCCGACGATTTGGACCCTTCAGTCGCGGCTCAGGCGCGATTGGCTGTGCAGTTTGCGGATAGTATACCCAAGTCGACCTCTCCGGGCAACAAGGTGATGACTCCATCCCAGTTCGAGCACTACCGTCAGCAGCAAGAGCTCCGACGTTCCAATAGCAGTGCAACCAAAAGCGATCAAGGATCCGATCAGGAGGAGTTTGACGATGAAGAAGATGAGGTGGAGAAGCAACGGGAGACGGAACGTCAACGGCGGAAGCAGGAGGCTCATCTCTCAGTATATCGACAGCAGATGATGAAGATCACAGGCCAACAAGCACCCATTCAACACCTACGCCCGGTGATGAGTGGAGCGAGCAACAGCACGCCCAATTTGCTCACCAGTCGTCTGTCGGTCCTGGGCGACAAGTCCACTAGTGGCAAGAGCAGCGAGGAGGATGATGATGATGTGCCACTCGGCATTCTGGCCGCACACGGTTTCCCCAATCAAAATCGCCCGCCCACCCGCCTGAACAACGTCAGCTCCAACCCCAACCTTCGTGCCTCCATGCAACCCCCGTATATATCATCGGCTAGCTCGGTCTCTGGTGCCGAAAACATTGGCAACCGGGGCAGCCTACCTCCCTTTGCGAGGCACCTGCCTCGTGATCCTTACTACGGTGCAGGTATCGTCAACAATCCAAATCGGGAATCACTGGCGCTTGGGGGTGGATCGGTATATGGAGGCCCTGCGTCCCCGGCACCTCCCCCGGAGGTCTTGTGGGCGTTATAGCGAATGAGGAGCGGGCCCGGGCAATGCGCAGAGGAAGCCCCAACACACAGGCAATCCATGACATGGGAGGCGTCCCCCGGCCATACTCGATGATGCCACCACCCCAGCAAACCGCCGGCGAACAAGCTTCCATTCAGCTGTCTCAACAGATGAATAATATGATGCAAATGCAGATGCAATGGATGCAGCAAATGATGCAGATGCAGGGCATGCAGGGTATGCAGGGCCAACCAATGATGCAAGGCATGCCAACGCCTCCCATGATGATGCCTGGGGGTATGATGGCCCCGCCCCCGATGAGCCCACCTTCGGTGTCGCCTAATCCGAACATGCGACCGATGTCCATGCCTGCAGGATCCGTGCTCAACTTGCCGCCCTCGGTGCCACCCCACATCGATCAACGTACATTAAGCATGTTAGACCCCAACATCTCCACTCGTCGGACAGGCTCGCCTATGCCCAATCTTTCCGGGAGCCCATTCCGTCCTCGCAGCGGTTATGCCCCGTCAATTGCCCCGTCAGAGCGTAGCAATGCTGGCCTAGCGCCTCGGTACCGGCCGGTATCAACCATGCAACCGGAATCGAACTACGCAACCGCATCCCCAAGCAACAAACCCTTTGTCGATGAAAATCTCCACCCATCCATGGCAATGCCTCAATCTCATATTCCCAAGTCACATCTGGCAACGGTGACCGTCCGTCCTGTATCACGAGGCAGTCGTCCTGGCACTGGCCTCGGAAGCCAGCCTCTCAGCCCCGAGGACGAGGAAAACGACGAGGAGGCCTGGGCTGATATGATCAAGAAACGTGACAAGAAAAAGAGCAGCTGGAAGATGAAGCGTGGCACGTCTTCATTCTCGGATCTGCTGAGTGCTGTGCACTAAATCCCGCTTCAGTCCGACTACTTCATTTTCATCCTTCGACTCATCACCAGACCCTGCCTGCATTGCATCTGAATAGAAACCTGTTCTGTTACCCTGTATAGCCCTTTCCTCCCTTTCTCCTTTGCATTACCAGCTCAGCTCCCTCTTCATCTTTCTCTCCCCGTCAGCATCATGAATACTCATGCACATATCATCAGCCCGGAGGCCTGCCTACACTCGTGGCTCATAATGAATCCCGCCCTTACCATCGCATCTCGGGTGTCACTTCGTTTCTCATTCCAGCCTGGAATCATCATCCCCTGGCTACCCTCATTCCGGGACCATCCAACATCCACAAGCATGATACATATGCTTCCTTCAGACTGTCTTGTATTCCGTGTCCGAGTCTGGTTCATTCTGTTTTCTTGTTTTACATGACCTTGGCGCAGGAAGCGAACATGGCGTTATGCGTTATTTATGTGATAGGCTTTCTATCTTTGTTTTTTTTTGAATCGCTCTTTGCATCGTCTTTTTGCCGGGCGCGCTGCGTTTACTTTGACTCCCCTAATACATTTCGGGCCTTGGGGCCGTTATATCGGCTTTTTCTCTTCGTTTGGGTTGAGTTTCGGTGCGGTGAGGGTGTATATCTAGTCCATTGTAGAACTAATTGAGATGATGGGTTTTCAGGGTTGTCATTGGATATTGCCGGGCTTGTCACACCTAGAATTACCTAGGACTATGTAAGACCTATTGTATGCGTCAAGACTCGGAAAAAGGGGACCTTGGGTGTATATTTGGTGAGATGTGTTGAATTTCCGTGGGTAGGTAGTTGCGGTGTGTATCTACCTTCATCAAGTGAGTCCAACCTTCAGAGTGTGCATTTAAAGTGACGAACATGGATCTTAAGATCTGAAGCAAGTAAAGTCTAAACCTGGGATCAGGGATCTCAAACTACATTCATTAAGCAAGTGACATCGATCCATGGATCGTTTCGCATGGGCCGATGCCTACAAGGTAACTAGTCTACTAGGTCAAATATAGTCACGTGTAAGCCGAATCAAATCACGTGGTTGATAGCGATATGTAGGTCGTTATCGCGATATCTTCATCCCTCCACATTTGACATCGAAGAATCAAGAAGGCACGCAGACAAGTTCAAAGTGACGTATTAGAGGGGCGATACTGAAAAGGTCTTATTCATAAGAAGCCTATTATTATTCATAGGGTTCCTGGAGCGGTAGCCTGTCAGGGATATCGTTGTGTTTGCCTGCAAATCTCGCACGCCGATCAAGCATTCTACCAGGCGAGCTCTCAAGGCTACAACACTTCTATTCAAGGTATCGTTTATTCTTTTACAGACTTTCTTCAAAGTTCATACATCTTCATATATCTCCTTCGTCCCCCTCGCGACTCCACACCGCTTACAAAGTTCTTAGTTCACAGAGACGTGATAGTTGGGTTTCACTTTTTCCTATCCCAAATATCAAGATCACGCCTCGAACATCTCTTCAATATGAACGCCCCTGACCGGTGAGTGAGAATAATTTCCTTGATCGGAGGTTGAAAATTGCACAAATGGATTTCTGGTCTGTCGATGTTGCCAGTTATCCGTCGTTTGTCTTCCCCGCAAAATGAATCACTTGGTCGTGCCTTCCCCAAGCTCGACAAGCAAGAACGGGTCCGAGGATCGTGCCTTCCAGTTTGCAGGGGACAAACTGACAGGATCTCTGTCGTTTTCTCGATGATCCCGATTGCCTCTTGTCTACAGCTATTTATTGAGCTCCCTGAGATCCTTTCATTGTCTCTCTTCTTCTCCTCCCCAACTTCCTCGTGTTTCTCATCATCTCACCTTCCGCGTGCCCATTTGTATCATCTGTGTCAACCCTGTCACCCTAAGCGCCATGTCTCGGAGTATCATTACTGCGACTACTGCCATCGCCAGGGACCGTGCTGGTCATCCCACCAGAACAACACCTGCTCAGCGCCACGAGCGTCCCGTGCTGGCTGATGATCCTCCCGAGGTGTTAGTTAAATTAACCAGCAGTCCTGTGGCGCTGGAGATGCACTTTCCTTACCAAGTCCCTTTGCCGTCTCATCTTCACGTCATGTCAACTCTTGTCCGTGAAAAGCATACGCTAATCAATATCTCTTATACAGCTACGAAGCCATTTTGCTGGCTCCTGGCGAGAAGAAGATCGACGTCGAAGTTGATACCCGTGAGTTACATCGGTCATACCCAGCTTACACAGCTTCACTGACGCTGTCTCTTCAGGCCTCCCCTCTGCTGCCATCTTCACCTTCCACAAGGAAGACCACACCCTTGGCAACATGCTGCGCACCCGTCTCTTGAAGACTCAGCATGTCGTCTTCGCTGCCTACCGCGTAAGCAATCTGGTTGAAGCACATAGAGTAAACACTGACCATGAACGATGCAGGTCCCCCATCCGCTTACTCCCGAGTTCCAGCTGCGCGTCCAGACTGACGGCGAGATCACCCCCGCCAGGCTGTCATCAACGCCTCCCAAGCTCTCATCAAGGACCTTGGCATATTCTCGCGCGAGTTCACCAAAGAGTACGAGCTACGCAAGGCGGCCAACGCTGCGAACCAGCAACAGCAGCAGAACATTGCCGAGTAAATGGCAGTGTCGCTTGTCGCCGCCTCCCTCTTTTTTTTTTTTTTTGGGTTTGAAAATTCGGCGCAAGGAGAAATGATGATGTTTTATGCTTTGCGTTTCCCTTTCTGTTGTCTCCAATCTGGGGACTTTTTATGGGCCCTCTACTTGCTGTGATTTCTCTTCACATTTGCTTTCAACTCGACGGGCTTCTACGACATCCAATCATCCATAGTCTCCGGCATAATGTAAGACCGGAAATACAACCAATTTCAAGCTTTAAATTCTCGTGTCCCATTAATTATTTTTGTTAATCTCCTGTACTGTGTTACGTGTATGGTCAATCAGGTATCTCGTAGATCCAAAAATATCTCACGCTGCACGTTGATATTGACTAAGCAACCAACCGGGCTTAGCGCGCAGGTGCCTCCGCGTCTAGCATCAGCGTCATTGGCGTCCTCCTGAGACTCAACTCACCTCCCACTTTGCATTCGTTCCTTCTCATCAATTTCTTGTTGTTTTTTCCGCATTTATTTGGCTCATGCGAGCGTGGTTTGTGTAATGTACTCCTCGTCGAATAATTTCCTCGGGGGTGGTGCCACTGGCCGTCCTGGCCAGGCACCATTCATGCCGCAGCAACAACAACCCCCCTATTCACAATTCCCCCAAGGCCAACAACCGCCATCAATTCAACAGCCTCAGCCCACTGGATTTGCTCCACAGCCGACTGGATTTGCTCCTCAGCCTACTGGTCTTGCGCCACAGCCCACCGGATTTGGCGGTCAGCCCTCGCCATTCGGTAGCTCGCAACTACAGCCTCAAGCCACCGGTTTCCCCGGCGGACAGGTCCAACCGCAATACACCGGCTTCCCTGGTGGCGCGTCCCAGCAGCTTCAGCAACAACAACCCCAGAGCCTCCAACAGCAATACACCGGCTACCCTGCCCAGAACCAGGCGCAGCAGCCGCCTCCGGTGCCACAGATACCAACTCGGTTCAAGACCTCGACGGACATTGCGAACTCTTTCCAAGATGCTGCAGGGTCTGGGACACCTCCCCAGGTGCCGCCCAAGACGGGATCGAAAATCCCAAGCATTCGGCTTTCCTTCATCACGGCGCAGGACCAGGCCAAGTTTGAGCAGCTCTTTAAATCGGCTGTTGGCGACAGCAAGACGATGGATGGTGAGTTCTAGGAGATGCCCTAGCTTCAATTCTATAGTAAGACTGACATGGTTACAACAGGCGACAAAGCGCGAGACCTCTTGTTGCGATCGAAGCTATCGGGCCCTGATCTTTCTAAGATCTGGGTTCTATGCGATTCAACCAAATCAGGACAGTTGTTCTTCCCTGAATTCGCGCTGGCTATGTACCTCTGCAACATTCGTCTCACCGGCCGCGAGCTTCCTGCCTCCCTACCTGAAACGATCAAGAACGAGGTTTCCAGCATGGTCGATATCATCTCGTTCGATGTCCCCGACACCGCGCCGGCGCCGGCCCAGCAGCGATCAAATGTTCCGAACTTCGATGCGCCTCTCATAGAAAACAAATCAACACCGCCAATCGTTCAACAGCCTATTCCACAGCAGCCGAATAATGCACAGCTCCTGTCGCAGCTGACGGCGCAGCCAACTGGGTTCTTCCCGCAGCAGCCGAGCATTCAACAGCCCAACCCTACAGGATTCCCTGGCCAAAATCAGTCCCAGTTCCTCCAGCCTCAACAAACCGGATTCATGTCTAACCCACAAGCTACTGGATATAGTGGACCTCGGCCTCCGATGCCTCCTATGCCCACTGGATTCGGCTCGAACCTTAGCCCGGCCCAGACTGGTGGCATGCAGGGTCTGGGTGTGCAGCCCACGGGCTTGGCAGCCCAACCTACTGGTATTCCAGGTCAGTGGGGTTTCATCAACACCCCGGCACAGGGATTGCCCAACATTGATGCGATGAAACAACAGCTTATGCCGCAGCCTGGACGTGAGGGCGGTTTCAGTGCTGTTGGTCTTTCAGGAAATGCTACGGTTGCTTGGGCAATCACCAAGGAGGAGAAGAAGATTTACGATGATCTTTTCCGCGCATGGGACGGTCTTCGCAAGGGCTTCGTCAGTGGAGAGACTGCCATTGAAATCATGGGCCAAAGTGGTCTGAACCGGGAAGACCTTGAACGGATTTGGACCTTGGCGGATCCTCATAACCGTGGCCGACTTAACATGGATGAGTTTGCTGTGGCTATGCATTTGATCTATCGTGCTCTCAACGGATACCCTGTACCTAGCCGTCTACCACCAGAGCTTGTGCCCCCTTCTACCAGACATCTGAATGAGTCTATTGGCACAATGAAGTCTCTTCTCTCCCAGGATGCCGAGACGCGCAAGGCCACTGGTGCGTTCCTGCAGCCGCAGAAGACCGGTGTCAGTTACCTCAAAGATCACTCCTTCCGTGGTGGCGGTGCAGGCGCCTCTGCTGCCAGCCGCAAGGATGCGACGATGTTCAAGAACAATGACGCTGCTGGAGGCTATCGCTCGAGTGCACGCCGTCGCGTCGGCAATGAGGCCCGTACCCCGTCACCCGCCGCCTCCGGTGCGTCAGAGGAGGAGTACTCCGTGGAACAGTTACATAAGAAGATCCGCGAGACTAAGATCATGCTGGATGCTGTCGACTTCCAGGATGAGAACCGAGCCGAGGATGAGGATGCTCTCGACCGCCAGGATCGCCGCGAGGCCGAGAGTCTCATGGAACGTATCCGCCGTGTGCAGGATGATCTTGACACCCACCCCAATGCCGCATTCCGTAAAGTGGATAGCGGGGCAGAACGTCGGGCTCTTCGTCGCCAGTTGCAGGCATATGAAGATCAAGTTCCTCAAGTTGCATCTGACGTGCGTCGTCTGGAGCGTCAGATCGCAGATGCCAAGCTTGAGCTCTTCCGTCTCAAGGACGCCAAGGCGCACCCCGGTGGTGCGTCCAACATCGTCGGTACTGGCCCTGGTGGCACTGTGACCGAGGCGGACCGAATTAAGGCCCGGGCCCGGGCCCGTATGCAGGCCCGGGCTGCCGAGCTTGCTGGACGCCCCGCACCCGCGACAGAAGATGATGATGGCCAAGCCGCTCGTCGTCTAGAAGCTGAAAGCAACAACGTGAAGGCTGAGCGGGAGCGCAACGAGACCATGACACGCGATGTCGAAGAAAGTGTCCGTGATTTCGCCCACAGTTTGGAAGACAGCTTGCGCGAGGAAGGCCAAACCTCCACACGTGAGCATGAGAAGCGTCGTTGGGAAGATGCCTTGGGTGTCGAGGATGTCATCCGCGACTTCATATATGACTTAAGCCGCAATGCCCGAACTGCAAATATTCGCAAAGAGGAGTACGTTGTCTTTGCTAGAGCTTGAAAATTTCCCAATGCTAACAATTCACAGGCGCGACCGACCTTCTCCCGAAGCGTATTCTTCCCGGGCATCCCCAGCGGCCGGATCCCCCGCTGCACGCCCCTCGATGCCTCAGTCTGTCGACTCGTCGTCCTCTCTTCCTGGCAACACCCACGAAGACAGGGTGGCTGCTGCCCGAGAGCGTGCACAGAGGCGCATTGCTGAACGCATGGCTGCTGCAGGTCTCAAGCCAAACGACACCTCGGAGACCCTTGCTCAACGACAGGAGCGTGAGAAGAAGGAGCGCGAAGAGCGCGTTAGGCGTGCCGAAGAAGAGGACGCCAAGCGAGAGCAGGAGCGACAGCGTCGCCTGGCTGACGAACGTGGTGGTCCTAGTGCTGCGGCTCCTAAGATCGCAGGCAAGAAGCCACCCCCAGCGCCGCCAACCCGCAGGGCCCGGACTGACAGTACGGGCCAAGCCGATGCCAAGAAGGCAGAGGATTCCGCTGTCCGTGGGCAGGCCATCAAGGAAGAGCAAGAGGTCCAGGAGGCGGAGACTAAGCGCCTAGAGTGAGTGAAACATTTTGACAAAACAACCCTCTTAGAATTTGGCTAACACATCTACAGGAGCGAGGCAAGTCAACGCGAGTTGGAGTTCCAGCGGGAGAAGGATGCCCAAGCTGCTCGTCTCCGTGCTCTTGAGGAACAGGTCCGCCAGGGCAAGGTCAAGAAGCAGGAAGAGAAGCGCCGCAGGGAAGAAGCTGCCCGGCAGGCCAAGGAACAGGAAGCTAGTCTCGCAGCCCAGCGTGCAGAGCTAGAGGCGGCTAAGGAACGCGAGCGACAGTTGCAGCTTGAACTGGAGGGTCTGGATGAATCATCGTCCGATGAAGAGGGTCCTGCCGATGTCACGCCTCAGTACAGCACGCCGACGCAGAGCCAGGTTCTCCCTGCCCCTCCTCCCGTGCCAACGATAGCCACCCCAGAGCCTCCCGCTCCGGCACCCGAGCCCGAAAATGTGCCTAGCCAAGCTAGCTCGCCCGAAAGCAGCCGTGCTGTCCCCGCCGCTACTGCTGATGCCGAGTCCAAGAACCCGTACTTCAAGAACATGGGCCACCCAGAACCTTCGCACGCAACCTCGCCGCCTGCTGCAGCTCAGTCAACCAACCCCTTCCACCGCTTAGCGCAGCAAGAACCCATCAAGCCCGCTTTCACCGGCGCAGCTCCTTTAGAACGCAAGACCCGTGCGCGACCCGAGCAAGATGACGACTGGTCTGCTGCCGGCTCTGACTTTGACTCCTCGGACGAGGACGATGACGATCGTCCCAGCGGCGGCAGCGCAAAGCAACTTGCCAGCATCCTATTCGGCACTATGGCGCCCCCGCGTCCTCTGAGTGCCATGGACGAAGACAAGTCTGCCTCCAAACCTGCTACCCCCCGTGCAAGCCACCCCTGCTGCACCTCCGCCTCCACCCCCGGTGGTCTTGCCTCCTCTCCCCGGCCTTGGCGAAGGTGCCTCCTCTCCAGCGCCTCCATCTGCAGTACCTCCTCCTCCCCCTCCCCCACCGCCTACTCCAGGATCCGGTGCACCATCCATGCCGCCACCCCCTCCTCCTGGCGGAGCTCCCTCAGCTCCTCCCCCACCACCCCCTCCGGCTGGTATTCCCCCTCCACCTGCTCCAGCTGCTGGCGGTGCTGGCCGCGGCGCTCTCCTCGCATCTATCCAACAGGGTAAGTCTCTGAGGAAGACTCAGGTGAACGATCGGAGCACGAGCTCGTCAGCTGGACGTGTGCTGTGAGGAAGAAGTCGGTGGCTTTTTTTGCTTTTGTTTAAGAGTACTTGCTGTACAGATGCTGAGATGAGGGGAAAGACATGACCATGCCTATATGATTGAGAACAGATGGTCGAGGTCGATGGATAATTGCGTTGGGAGAGTAGTTAGCAGTGTTTCTGTACCTTTGGATTATGCATTAGTTGTGTCCATGATCATTATACTCATAGACCAGATTCTGTCAAATACATCCTCGTAGTAGATACTTAACATCAGATAGTACGTGTAACATCTTGCAATCAGGCATGTGAAACCAATCTCAACCCCGAAAATGCATTGCGTATATACCTTGAGTGAACCACACACAAAAACTGTACAAGGACTATCCCGAACAGCAAGCAAACAACTATACGTGACGAACCCCGAACTGATGAAAAAGCAGAGAAACCCACCAGAAACCGCAAACCGACATCAAAACCAAAAAAAAATCAGTACCAAAAAGAGAATTCACGAAACAACCTCCGCAATGACATTCCCCAAAGTACTCACACACCAAACAATAACAAGCCCCCAACCAATCCTACGATCCATCCTCCAATGATTCATCGGCACAACAACCAAAAGCCCAACCAGAATAACCAACAGCGTAGCCCCACTAATAACCAGCACCTTCGAGATAACAATCTCATACGGGACCTGGACAGTGGCTGCGTCCTGCACAGCCGCGCTGTGTCCCTGTTTCCCTTGGTGGAGAGTCATGTACATGCCACCGAGCCCGATGCCGAGGAGGATGTTGAGCATTGGCCCGCCGAAGCAGGCGCTCAGAGCCATGACGGGGTAACCGAGTCTGGCGACTGTGATGTCGGCGACGAGGTCGCCGAGGGAATTGCCGACGGCGAAGACCGTTAGGCCGAGGAGGGAATCGGAGATGTTGAGGATTACGCCGATGGTTTTGAGGAGGGAGACGACTTCTGTGGCTATTGTTGCTATCCAGGAGATGGCGACTAGGAAGCCCAGGAGGGAGAGGAAGGGGCGCCATTGGGGTGGGAGGGTTGGGGGTGTGGGGTTGGAGGAGTCGAGGGGGAGGGAGATGGAGCCGGTGGGTTGGTGGTGTTTTCGGTGGCGGCGGGTGCTTATTATTAGGGCTGTGAGGCAGATTGAGGAGAAGAGGAGGGAGACGAGGGTGGGGAGGATGAGGTTGTGGAGTTGACGGTCTTCGTCTACTGTTGTCCAGGCGATGAGGACGGCGAAGAAGGGGCCTGTGAAGAGCTGGAGGGAGACTAGCCAGCGGTTCCAGTCTTTCGTTGGGGCATTCACGCAGTCGGAGACTCCCGCTGGGACGGCTGGTAGTTCGGAGTCCCAGCGTGGGCGACCGGTGACTTCATAGGATGACTTTCGATGGGTATGTGTTGGTCGCATATTCGAAACCGATCCTGCGTGATCATATGTCTGTGCTACAAGCACTGGACTGTCTGCTGGAAGGGTGACTCTTGGAGAAGGATTGCCGCCATCGGCAATGTCCTGGGTGAGTCCCGAAGGTATGGGGACTGCTTCCAGTAACTCTGGTTCCTGCGGTTCAATAACTGGAACTGTGATTGTAAGAAGGAACACGCTAGGAGCGGCGATTATACCAAGAAGTCGTCCCCAGACGCTCTTCGACTTCCAGCCTGCCAAGGTAGGGAATAGTGTGCAACCAATCTGCTGGAGAGTGGGATACGAGTCAGACCACCAATTCCTCAAGGATTTGCGGAAAGGAAGGCCTACATGGATAACATCATCACATTCGTCTTCGAGTTGCAGCCGTTCTAAATGGGTAGCAGAATTGGGGAGTCGAATGCTGGGTGCTCGGGAGGATCCCGCGGAGGGTAGATCAGTGTATGATGGGAAGGGAATTGAAGGGCTTTCTGGGCCGAAACCTGATACATGGCGTCTTGTAGTGCCTCGAGGAGATACTGACTGAGGGGAACGATCATGTACCACCCGGTCACGATAATTGGGACAGTGGAAAGCATCTGATGGAGCAAGCAGCTCGGGTGTCTGAGGGACTGTTTCTATCGGAGTTGATGTTGCAGATGGGTTTGCAGAAGATGAAGGCGACAAATTCAGCACCTTGCCAGTGTCAATTCGAGGGAGCTGACGTGACTGCGTCGAATCTTCGGTCTCGTCAATGGAAGGCCCCCTTACTGTAAGCAGGGGACCTTGCGATGGCCGGTGTTCCGAGACACTAGAGTCTAATCTCAAGCCCTCGGCATCGTTTGCTGATACAGCTCGGACTCGAGAGGAGCCTGCTGCGCTGTGTGGAGACAAGCGGTCGTTGGAGCCAGATGGGCGACTGGTGCGGCGAGGAACTGATGCCACAGAGCGCGTCTCGGTATCAGACTCGCCGTCTGAATAACTGTTCAGACTTATTGTGGGATTTCGGTGCGTGGTTCTTGATTTCTGGAGTGAGCGAAGTACGGATTGGAACTCCAGCGCACCGACGAGACTCGGTCGAATGGGGTTCATCGTATTCCGCCTCGTTTGCATTGGCCGAAAGACGTGCATGTTATCGCTAATTTCAGCCAAGTACCGATTGCGGGTCTCATCATCCTCATCCTCTTGTTCCTTCCACACAGGAACAGCGTCGGCGCGTTCCAAGAGATCAAAGTCCTCAGTTGAGGCTCCGCGCACGAGACTTCGCGAGTCTGACGCTACGCCAGGATCATCATCCTCGGCTGTCTCTTCAATCTCCAGCTCTTGATTGTCCGGTATATGGAAGTGAGCCCGCGCTGCGAGGTTTCTCTCATTCTTTCGGCGTTGTCGTACCAAATACCAGTGCCAGGTCACCACCATTATGACATAAAAGACATACAAGCATACCATCGTAGCGGACTCCCAGGTATGGAGTTTGCCGTCGGCCAGAAGAAGCATACTGAATGCGACGGCGATTATGAAGTAGCCCACGTCACGAACGAAGCTTCTTCGCGCAACCTTGAATGGCCGGACCAGGGCCATGGAGCCCGCGACAACTGAAGTGATGAAAGTGGCAGCACCAAGTAACTCACCAATTGCCAAACTTCCACTATTAGACCGCATGGCGGCAAACGTGGAGAAAACATCAGGACTTCCATTGCCAAATGCAAGGAACGTTACGCCTGTGAGACTCTCACTCAATCCAAGAATGCTGGCCAATGTGCTCAGATCAACGCACAAGAAATCACTTGCTGCGATGCCAATGGTACTGAAGAGAAGCGACAACCAGAGTACCAGAATTATGAATGCTACCGGTTTGGCATCGGCCAGCGCGCAATAGTAGAACTGTAGGTAGGAGATCAAGCCGTCTTCGTGATCGGGGCAGTTGGCGCGAACGTAGGCACACTGGTCTTTGACATTGCGGACCAAGCGACACTATATCGATGTCAGAGGGACTGTTTAGCCTTTGGCACCATCACACAGCAAGCAACATCGGAAGGGGTAGACATACCTCAGGTAGTTCGGCCTCGCGCTTGAATAGGGTATTAGCAGCAGTACCCGGTTGCGCAAACTGCCCATGACCATTCTGGGCGCTTCTTAAGAACCAACTCGCCGAGGCAATGAGCGTGAATATCAATACAGTGGTGTAAAATGGTCGGACTGAATATCTGGATCGCCTGCGGACGACCGGCTGCAAGAATGATGGCAGCTGGTTCATGATGAGAAGTGTGGTTGCATCATGAGCCAACTGTATATGCTGTACGTTGTAAACCAATCTATACCCAAGAAAAGCGACCTTAGAGAGTCAATCCATGTAGACCGATGTTTGAATATGCCGGCGCGGTGACCTCGGGAGGTGAGTTCGGTGATGTCAGGCAGCCCGCGGGAGTGGGCCAATGCGCGTGGTGGGCCGATCACTTAGAAACAAGCCAAGCAGTAGTTAGGAGGGGCCGATAAGAGATATAGAAAATGCTTGTACAGGAGATGAGAAGTCAGAGGGAAAACTGTTTCCATCCAAAATTGGAGGAATGACAGCTGGGAGATCCAACAGGAAGCCCAACCCTCTGAACCCTGTAGCCTGGAAGATAAACACCTGATCCCTCAGGCATCAAATTATGATTACGTGATAGGAAGTGCGTCTCGGGTATATCCGGGCAGCCGTATGTTTGTTGACTTCCCCATTTGTTTTGCGTCGACATCAAACCCCTCTCCGACACCTTCCATTTCAACGTTATCGCCAGACCCTATCGGGGTAACCGCAACCATGCCCCGTGTCGCAAATAAGGTGCATCGCCGTTCCAACGGCAACACAACTCCTCACAAAAATACCCCAGTCAAGTACGTACGCATCTCCTGGGTGATATCAATCTAACCAGACTAGGATACCCCTCAACGATGATGAACGCGAGAAGGCAGCGCGCATGGAGGCTCGTCAGGCACTTCATGATCGCCAAATGAGTCAGATCAAAGCTGCAGTCAAGACGCCTATGCCACCCCGTCGATACACCAACTACGATCGTGAAGACGACGATAGTCCCTCAACTCCCCGAGCATCCAGTCATCGTGGCCGCACCAGTGATGTAAATGGGCGCGCAGTAACGCCGATGAAGCGCGTGCCCATTTTGGCGAATTTCGAGGAGTGGATGAAAATGGCGACCGATAATAAGATCAACGCGAATAACTCGTGGAACTTTGCGCTGATTGACTACTTTCACGATATGTCACTGTTGAAGGAAGGAGACGGCGTGAATTTCCAGAAAGCCAGTTGCACCCTGGACGGTTGTGTGAAGATTTACACCAGTCGCGTGGACAGTGTCGCAACGGAAACCGGAAAGCTTTTGAGTGGATTGGCCGATAGCCGCGACAAGAGAGGGCGCGGAGAGGAAGCAGAAGATGGGGAGGAGGATGAGGAAGGCGAGGATGGTCAGCCGCGCAAATCGCGGAAGAAGGTATGATCTGGACTGCGTTAGAGATCTTGGATGTCGACTGACTAGGCGGTGTCTAGACTCGTTCCCATGAGGCTACCCTCGCCCCATCGTTCGCATCTTTGCAACTGAAGAAGTTTGAGCTAGAGTTCGCCGTGGATCCGCTGTTCAAAAAGGCCTCCGCAGATTTTGACGAAGGAGGTGCTAAAGGCTTGCTTCTAAACCACCTTGCTATTGATAGCCACGGAAGGATTGTCTTCGACAGCAGCGACGATGCTGTGGACGACAGCGCGAAGACCGCAGAAGATGACCGTGAAGGGTCGATGGATCCTGACCAGCAAGCCGAGGACCAAAAGCCAGTGCAACAACCTGCAAGCGACACTTTTGAAGATAACACCGAGATTGATCTCGGCTCACTAGCCAGCCAATTCTTCCCAGATCTGGATCGTCTAGATGAGCAAGATATTTGTCCCTCACTCAAGAACCTCGATCTAGGTGATCCTAGCGGATCGCTGGATCTTCCCCTTCTCAAAGCGCCCGAGGAATGGCGACAAGACAAGATGGATGAAGATGGAAGAACACATGACGACCCATCTGGTATCATGCTCGACGATGACAACGCTGTTGGATTTGACGACGATGATGCCACCCTAGCGGGCTTCGATCTCAGCGGCGACACCGGGTTTGGGGATGGAGGAGAAGCCTGGGCTCGGGAAGCCGCCTTGGAGCCTATGTTGAATGTCCACCGAGTCGCTCGCGATGCGGATGGTGAAGGCGATGATGGTGATGAAGATGCATACGCGATCTCTATGTCACATCAAACTAATAGCCACGACCACGAGAATATTCTCAGTTACTTTGACAACGCACTGCAGAAGAACTGGGCTGGCCCAGAACACTGGAAGATCCGAAAAATCAAAGACAGTTCGACGCCTGCTACTTCTGCGCCCAAGCCGCGCAAGGAGAAAGAACCATTTGAGATTGATTTCGCAGCCCCTCTGGATCCTGCTATCGCTGAATTGATCTACACCCCGGCTAGCTCTAACTCTGCCGTCTCATTACCGAAGACGCAGTGGAAGACAAAGGGTCGCAATTTGCTCCCCGATGATAAGCATTTCAATTCCCGCAATCTCCTCACATTGTTCCTCAAGCCAAAGGCAAGAATGGGCTCGAAAAAGATTCTAGGTAAACGCCCTCGGCAAGATTTGACGGCTGGCAACGGCGAGATGGATGAGGCATTCTGGGCGAATCGAAAGCCCGAGGAGAACGCCAACGAGGAGGGCGCTGCTGGTGCCTATGATGCCAACTTCTTCGCCGATGATGACGGTCTTCCTTTCTCGAATGGCATGGATCTCGATGACGACGATGACAATCTGCCTTTCGCGGATGCCCGGGAGATGCTGTCTCCAGCCGCAGACGGACGTCCAGGCACCGCAGCCGGTGAAGCAGGAGGAGCAACTGGGCTCAGCGCACTATTAAACATGGTTGGCGCCACTCCTGGCCGACCCGGAGCTGGTGGCTACGGCTCACAATTAGTGACACAAGGTGGTCGCCGTGCACGACCAGACTACGTTGCATATGCCCGTGTGGCGAAGAAGGTCGACGTTCGACGCCTCAAAACAGAGATGTGGAAGGGCATGGGCGAGCGTCTGGTTGATGCCGTCGACTTCGCATCAGCTTCTCAACCCGGGGCCGTGTCCAGTGAAGCCCCCGCGGAACCCGAGAGTGAATCGGATGCCCCTGTTCCCCCAACACCCAAGGCCGGGAGTCCACAGCAATCCCCCGATGGCAAGGACACATCTGGTCGACTACGCTTTACGCAAATCATGAACTCCTTGAAGACGGTCTACCCCGCAGAAACCCTACGGGACATCAGCACGTCCTTCGGGTTTATCTGCCTCTTGCATCTTGCCAATGAACAAGGTCTCGTGCTCGAGAGTGATCTAGGCAAGGTGGGCCCTAATGCGGCTACGCTGGAAGAGATCTTCGTCAGCAGGGATACGCATGCCATCATCGAAGAGGGTGGAATGTGAGAGCTCTGTTTTGTTGAATTGCATGTACAGTTGATACGGCTAGAGGTATTACGATCTGCATGCTGGCCACGATGGACAGGACGGTGTGACTTGTGGAGTTTGGGTTTTGCTTTTTCCTGCTCGCAGTGAACGGCGCTGGGTTTTTAACTCTTGGTGTTAATATTTGTCTGATCAATTCAAGTGCCTTCAATCCGTATTGTTCATTGTCATGAGGTGATACATTGCTCCATGCATAAGGTCGACTCCAATAAAGTACGAGATACCTGTGCTCGCACCTATCAATCCAATAGAAAGGGTTTATGTAGGCAGTATATTCATTCAATGGACATAAACCAAAGATAACGGTAAATACACAAAGCACTAAAGTCCAAATAGGTATCTGTATCTCACTCCGGAACTCCCCCAGGGTGTGCATTAGACTCCATAAGCAGAGTGAAAATAATAAAAAGGAGCGGATTGACGTCCATTTTGAAGCAGGCCGCTGAAAGTGACAGCCCAAACTGGTATTTCAAGATTTTCACGTTTTTTTTTTTTTTTTTTTTGTTCCATTTCTGTTCTTTTCGGGTGCTTTAATGCCAGAGCCAAGAAAGACCAAGCTTGCAATCACCCATTACCTACGCGCAGGAGCAGGGAACGCCGGACCCGTGGGACTCCCGTACGCGCCGGGAATCGGCACCGAGTCATAGGTGCGCTCACCAGGAGCACTCCCTCCATTGACTGGAGGCGGCGTAGACGAGGGCGCAAACTCCTTCTGGGCCGTCTGCGGAGTCGGCTGCTGGACCTTGATAGGCGGCGGCTGGAGCTGGAAGGAAGGTGTGGGACGGGTAGGGGAGCGCGGGGAAGCATACTGGGTATGGGCGGGAGGAACCATGCCCTTCTCAGCCGTTGAGTAAGGATCGACTGGTGTTGCGGCATACAAGGGAGACTTGGGCGGGTAGGAGGTGAAGCCAGCGAAGCCGGGGGTGTTGGGAGCTGACTGCAGACGCAGCTGGGCGAGGTAGAGGTCTGAGCGGGCGTGGTCGCGGGTATCCATTGATTTCATGAGCTTTCGCTTACTCCAGACGCGGTAGAAGACGACGACGTAGATGAGGATGACGAGGAGCTCGATGACTATCTCGATGATTGCGCAGACGAGACCCCAGTCTTGGAGGCGGCAGAGGAGGGCGTAGTCGACGGTGTTGTGATAGAGTTGTTCGCGGGTGTTCTTCGCGCAAGACCATCCCCACATGTCCTTTTTGTCGCCGGTGGCCTTGGAATGTTGGTAGACTGCTGCGCCGACGATCCACATGATGAGGTTCAGGGCGAAGAAGACTATTGAGAAACTGGTGTAGTAGACGGCGGCTTTTTCGGCGCGCCCGTGCCCGCCTTTGCGGTAGGCCCAGAATACTATTAGACAGGCGACGAGGGAGACGCAGGCCATTCCGAGCAGGAGATACTGGGCCCATGGGTTTGTGCCCGGTGCCCAGGCTGGGAGGCTGTTGCGAGTGGGGAGGTGTTTGGTTGCGTTGAAGACGGTCAATGTCACGGCTATCAGACACAATACGATGAGACTGCAGCCGAAGTTGACGAAACGAAGGAAGACCTTGGCGATACGGACGCGGAGTTTGATTCTCTGAAACAAAGAGTAAGTAAAGTGTAATGATACGTGGGTCGATTCGGGGATTGTTCTTACCAGGTCACGGGCGTTCTCAACCTCGGCCTTCTTTTCTTGCTTCTCCAGAATATACTCTTCCCGGAAGGTGGGACTGAGTGGGTTCAATGACTTGGCCGTCTGAGGTACCTTGAGATCAGGTCTGAACGGCGACATTGGCACCTGGTCATCCGCATGCTGGGCCGCATTGTTGGCTGCCACATAACCGAATCCGACATCTGCCACATTCCCCTGCGCCTGGGACCTGGGAGGGTCGGCAAACGGCGATCGTCCAGCTTCTGTGCGATCGATGGGAGAGTGAATTGATGTCGCCTCGGCGAACCGAGCAGTGCGTGGACTCTTGAGCGAGGCGTTGCTCGTATCAGAATCGGAGCCGCTGCGATTCTCTCGCACGGTATGCTGTGGTGGAGGACCCATGGCGCTGTGATAAGAGCCACGGATGATATCTGCAGGAACAACTGGCTGGTACGTTTGAGGAGAATTGTTTGCACTGTCGTCTGATACAGCCATCGAAAGGATGTGCGATGTAACAAGAAATCACAATATTAGATCAAGAGAACCAGCTCTCGTTGAAGTGCGCAAGACGGGACTGGGATAAAACGACCCTAAGTTGAGTCGAGATTATCCAGAGACCGCCAGTATCACAATGACTGAAGTATATCAAAAGGTTGCAGTAGTTCACCAAATACCGTGCGCGAAACCTGCGTACACGGGGGATATAAACGATGGCGAGGAAAACAGAAAAGGACGATAGTCAGAAAGTGACCAGGAAGCACCTTGAATATCAATCAGAGAGGGGGTGCACCCAAATGCAGGTTGTCGGTTTTCATCACTCGAGCCGGGCCAGAGTAAGCGCCGGAGAGGGGAATTTGCAGCTTGCAAGGGTGGAATCAGGGCCATGATTGGAAGATTGCGAGAATGCCAAACCCCCTCTGGCTGCAAGTGGCTGCAAGTACATTTGTAGCTTGTTGATGTTGAGGGGAAGTGTGACTGGTGGGAGGTTGGTTAGCCAAGCTTGTCACAGTGGAGTCAGCTGGTGAGATCGAATGAAGTCGTCAGATTTGCTCCTCACAATGCACCTTCGTCACCCTAACCCGGCGCTAATCCGCCGATCGTCTAGCCAACCAGACACAGTGTAGAACCGCTCGACTGTCTGGAATAAATGGGAGGGAAATAGGTAAGATGTGAACGAGTGGATGAGGATTTTCGTCAGGGCAATTCTGACTTCCAGTCATAACACTCCATTAAGCACCTTTTGAGCCAGAAGATGTCGATTTTGCTAACTTGAAGCTGGATCCTACAAATGAATTGAAGGTCTGTGCCAAACTCGAAGCTATTTCCGTTACAGGGATCATATGCGCGAATGATGTGAAGCACACCGGTCACACCCGTGATAGTGGCGAGTTAACGCATAGTCACCTTCACCCTTGGTCAAGGGCGTCAGCTTTGAGGAGAGGGGTTCTCGGATGCTATTTTCAGCGAATTCATTCCGTCGCTAATTCGAGAGACTAGCCAAGAGTACAGAGCATTCTTACTGTGTAGGGTTAGGTAGTTCGAATCGGCTGGAGCGTCCTCTAAGGCTCTAACCCTAGAACCCAGCTCTAGCACCAGCATGTTCATCGCGGGGGAAAGCAGATAGAGACTCCTCTTTCCTCTCTTTCTCATATTTTGCCCGTCAAGGAATACCACGGCGTACCATCTCTGCGTCGGCTCATCCAGAAACTCCTCCACATTTCTCTTATTGCGGCGCGAAGCGTCGCCTATCTACGACCAAAATTCTCTGTATGTACTTTTGGTACTACTGTCAGCAGATTCGACTCGGAAAAATGCAGAAGACATGCAAGCCCGATATTTCATATTCGCGTTGGTGTGCGAGAAATTGCGAAATCTCCAAAAACGCCCCCCACAAAGACGTAGTAGTAAACACAGAAAATCCCCGGCACGTGCGATGTGGCCCACGAATTTCCCAACCCAGACGTCCCACAAGAATGCTGATGCAGTACACTGGAAGACGCAGGTGGTGGAATGCCCAATGTCATCGCCTGTTTTGGAGGGCGGCTGAGGGAACTGAGGTAAGAACATAGGATCGGTGTTGCTGAGCGCCGCAGTCAAGTCCGAAGACCATTGGGCGTCGGGATGCCTTGTACATCTGGATAAAGACAGAGACCAGATCGCCAGTAGACGTTTTGCGGGATGGGACTGTCGTGGCGTATCCTTTATCCCCGGGGAGGCTAGGCTATGAGGATAGCAGGTGATCTCCCATCCGCGAGGCTCGGGGTTAAACGAAGTGATTCTCACTCTTCCATCCTCTTCTTCGCTTTGGTCGGCTTCGCTATGGTCGTGACTGACAGAATCCTCTTAGACAACATCGTCGCCAACTAAGAATAGCAGAGACCAGACGACCACAGCGAAGACCGGGATGATCCAACATCGGTTAGCCCCAAGCCCCGCGGATGGGAAATAACCTTCTATTCTCAAAGCCTCCTTAGGGATACAGGATACGCCTCGCCAACCCCGTCCCCGAAAACAACTGGCGATCTGGTCTGCGCTACGTCCAGATGTGCAAAATACTCCGGCGCCGGTCGACTCGGATATCCTCTAATGCTGAACGGAATGCCTCGCTCTCTAGATCCAAGCCCTGCTGACGCACGACTGTATTAAGCTCGACTGTGATGTTGAACTGGTCGTACGTATCCAGCGCATGCAAGTTGTTGGGCTTGAGTCGAAAGACGCGGGGGAGACCCCCGCGGACCCCCCTACGGTTCTAAACTTAGGCTGGATTGTCGGGCATTGCGAAGGTGTAGACCGTAGAAAGAGGATAGGGGTTGCCGGGTTGGGCGTTGTAAGGGCGATAGCTTGACTTTATTGTGTACAGGGGGCTGGACTAGCTATTTATGACAAGCCACCCACCACTAGGGCTTCTTCACAACCGACCAATCAGAGCCGAAGGATTCCGTCAAGTGAGAGTTTCGAGTTTCGGCCGTAGATAGTCTGATAGGCGATGCCTCGCGCCGCAATGAGTGTCAATCAATACAACAACTAGTTACTGAATCAGTGAATTCTGCGTAGTGGTGATGCTAAGAGTCCGCACGCTGTCATGTGAACTTGTCTATACAAGTCGTCCCCGGAAATGATGGGCTTTAGTCTCTATGCTTTCTGGGTTCTACATTCGCTATGTGATCGCTCTTTGCCTTGAAGCTCAAGCCGTATAATGTATTACATGCGACGCTGACACTTCGTAGAACAATAGAGCCGATTTGCCGAACCGATGACTTGCCATAACATAGCTGGGCTGAATCTACAATCTTCAGTTGCATGATACCGGTCACTGGACTGCGTGTTGGCTTTGGCCCAAAGTGTAAAACTATTGGGTGCACTTGTCAATCTGAGCATGTATGAGAACCACGCTTCCTGGACGCTATTCCACTCTATGGGTCTCGGGACGCCACTTCATGAAGCAGCGGAGTTCGGAACAGTGTATGTGGCTCCCTACTTGATCACTGGTCAGCGAAGACGCCAGCCACACTCTTATAGATGGATAGGACCTTAGAGCGCGCCCAAAGCTTGGATCAGTGGCGAGTCATCACCGCGTCTGAGAGAGGAACCTAGTCCTTTCTCTTCGGTACTCGGTACTCACGGTATGTTTACAGCCGAGCCTCCGAAACGTCTCGTCTTTATGGACAACGCCCCTGGGAACCCATTGATGTGGGTACACTTCTTCTATGCTGAGCTGGCTAGTACATGGGAATCATGTTACCTACGCCTCATTTGGTTGCCTTAGTGAATTTGAGGCAACCGCGAAACTCCTTGAGAATCAGTATTTCACATACTGTGGTCTAGTATCTGGGGTGACTACGTATCATGGTGCGTATTAATACTCTATTAGGTTCCAGTACCAAGCTTCTTAGGCGCCCTTCTAACGAGCTTATGGCTTGTGAAGAACCGGGTCAGGTACTGGTGGATAATCATGAGTGGAAATCATGCTCTATGGGCGGGTACACTGCCTGACAAGCTGAAACATGGCGCAGCAATGCGTCGTTGGTATCACCGTTGGACGATCCGAGATGTGAGAAATAGAATGAAACCATCCGAGTGGTGCCCTGCCTATGTGGCTGATACAGTTTACCCCGTGAGCCATATATTACATTCTCCACTGTGTATGGCAAAGAATGCCCGTAGAAGCCACCAAGGCCAGCGGCCCAGCGCCTCTTTAGTCTTTACCTGATCTCCAGGGCTCCACAAGGAGTTCGCCCCCAGGAAATGGAGATTACACCCGGTACAAGTGATCTGACATCACCCGAATGGTCAAGTACTGCGTTATCGGGTCAATGGGTAAGCATACATAGTGTAGACATGGATCTGATCTTCTTCATGGGGCTCATTGATATCATTATCAATATCTTCTTGGGATATCTTGGGATATCTACTCCGTACTTCGTAAAATATATCCAAGTGTAAGGCAACGTGTTCTTGGAGAATGAGAGGTCAGCGGAGATGTGCCCCACGAGCCAGCCACACACAGAGGCGGTCTACACAGCCTCAATCTAAAGGAAGTACTGGGTACTTCACTATTCGATGGCTGGACCATACAAATCTCAAGTATCCGGTACCTACCCCCTCAGGGTTCCCAGAGCCTCGACTCTTCTGTCCCCACCAACCGTAATCTTCCCTGTTTCTCGTCCACTTCGCGTTGTTTTTCTTTTCATTGGGATCGGAGTGAAATGGAGTAAGCAACTAGTTCTCATTGTTCCATCCACTTCGCAAGATCTCCAGTCATTCAGCTTATGTTTCCGTCTCCGCTTGTTTACAATTATCCCCCATTTAATGTCATCCACTCATTCTTCCGCTATTCTAGACAAAACCCCTGAAAGGTCGAGTGGTTCTTGGCCTTACAAGTTAGAAGCTGAAACCACTCGTCAGCTTGCGCCACACTCGTGAGAAATCCGCCCCACACGCCCTGGCCTTCGCTCTCTTTCCCACTCCCAACCTCGTCTGCTTTGCAACTTTGAGCTCTCTGTGCATGAAAGTTAGTCAAGTCTCTCTTTTCCCACAACTATTCCTTGCATGATTCTAACATGACATCTCAAGTAGCCATCGCTTTCGCTCGTCCACCCTTTGAGGCTGGCGCGAAACCTTCTTTCTCCATGGCGACGTTGATGTCGAACGAGCCCATCGCCGTCTCCAACCCGATATCCGGAAACAATCTCACCAGTTCTGAATCACTTTCCTTATTCAAATCATCAAAACCCGACAGTCTGAGCTCGATTGCCAGCGCCGGACTACACGTCTCGCGATCAAGAGATCAACTCCCTCCAATGACAAGCCCAACATCCGCACCGGCGGATCGGCCGGAGCATGAGAAGGACGCTGAAAGAAACAGTTCACAGGTGGCCCGGGAGGCCCTGGGTGCAAGCGAAAAGTCGCCAGGGGCCCAGATCCACGAACCTTCGGTCCATGCGTCTCCCGAACATATGCAGATCGACTCGCACGCGACCGAGCACTCCTCGGACCCATACGGGTCTAACGACCCCCATCATAATTCATTAATGCATTCTTCGACTGTCGCTAGTCCTGGTCCAATTGAAGAGTCGACCTCGCAGGATGGAGATAGACGGTCGCGCGATCCTTCTGAGATTGACCATGATGGTAAGGCATTTTCATATCCAATGCCTACCGGTAATATGAATGATCCACGTCGCGGACTCAGCCTACCGACTGCGGGCTACAGTCGAGGTAGCCCTCGCTCTCCATCGGCGAAAAAACACCGCTGTCCATACTGCGCGACCGAATTTACCCGACAACATAATCTCAAGAGTCATTTGCTCACTCACAGCCAAGAGAAGCCATTCGTTTGTCAAACATGCCAGTCGCGTTTTCGAAGACTACACGATCTAAAGCGTCATACAAAGCTACACACCGGCGAGCGACCACATATCTGTCCGAAGTGTGGACGTCGTTTTGCCCGAGGCGATGCGTTGGCACGACACAACAAAGGACAAGGAGGCTGCGCAGGTCGACGTGCGAGTATGGGCAGCTTTGCCGCAGATGACGAGTATGGCGACGGCACGACCGGGCAAACGGACGACATGGATGGGTTGATGTACACAGCGGAGCCGGAGCGCATGGATGAGGAGGATGAGCGACGACTGACCATGCCGAGCATTCGCAAACATGAAGCAGATGGCATTGCTCGTTCGGATTCACTTCATCCACGCCAGTCGAACACCTACCCACCAATTGCAGCCGGTCGCCCTAGCCACCTCTTCCCGCCCCCGGCCAATCATGGTGGCTCAAGCATGTCGACATCAACATCGCAATCTACACACATGACTTTCCCGCCTGCGGGCCTCACGTCGGGCTCATCTATATTCCCAAGCAATATCAACGACAGTCCCAAACCACTGTCTCCGAACGCACTTTCATCGCAACACGAAAGCGCACCGCCACATCGTGCACACTCCCCTGGTATAGGACAATCCTTGCCACACCCGCAGTCTTCTTTCGGTCGCACCAATCAATCGACAAATCCTGCACCGCCTACATTAGGGTTGCCGCTGCCGCAGCCAGGCGCCCCCCAGCTGCCTCCGCCGCCGGGTATGACTTCGCCGGATGGTCGATTTGGCATGCAAGCTGCAACCAAGCATACCCCTTCGCACAGCCACTCTAGCACTCACAGCCTCTCTCATCACAAGGGCTTTGATGGGCCTGACAATAATTCCAATCACACTGATCCCAATGAAGTAAACAAACTTTGGGCTTATGTGCGGACACTGCATGATGAGTTGACAGGCTTGCGCGCTGAAGTCGCCAGTCTGCGGGCGCACGTTGCGTCGTCAAACTCGGTTCCTCTGGCCCCAGTGGAAGTGAATCTCAACAATTCCGGCCCGCGTTAATGGGTCTGCGGTTTTTTGAGTGTGTACGATATGGCTTCCCGTCAGCCGCATGAATCGGCTATAACGGTCTCCCTCCTTCTCCACCCTCCTCCACTTTGTCGATATGTTTTGATTAGCCCATTCTCCGTTGGGTGTCAAAAACTTGATGCCCTCATGACCACCACCGTCACCGGCGCTGGTGCTTTTTATTCCCATCAGATTTTCTTTGTCCTTTCTCATCTCATTCCCGGGGTCATATAATTCAGAATACCTTTGCGTTCTAGCCTCCTTTCTACTTTCATGTCTGGAATGGGCTGCAAACTGTCTCCTTTCTTTACCCTCTATTTTTCCTTTTCCTTTTATCTTCTCTTCACCCGTCAAAACGGTCTGTCATCGCAGTGGAATGAAAACATTGCGAACAAGACCCCTTACATGTCCTGCTATCAATTTCCCTATCACTTCAAGTTGGAGTCTACGTGATTGTGTTAAGGTGTGCATGGATTATGCTGGATTGCGGAGTTCATCTTTGTTATGCTGTTGTTCCCGGCTTAGGTAGTCATAATACATTCTCCACCTCTCACGACGAATGCGCCATGTCTCTTAGATGGATCTCAATGGATTAATGTCGGACACTATCCCTATGATCTCCTTCCATTACCTATCCTCTCGACCCAAGCTGCTGGTGATTAGGTAGGCCCAGGAACATAAATCAGTCAAGACATTTTGGAAATGATGTACTGAAGATCGTCTACAACAACCAATATGTACCTATGAAGCTAATTCAATGAGTGGTGTCGACCATCCTACCCTAGGTCCTGAACCCGCAGCATCAAAACATGGAATAACAGGCTATTGGAGCTAGGCCAGGTTCACGGCCCCCGTCTAGGGTACATACCTCATAGGAGCATCAAATAGTATGGACTATGGGGTAAACATTGGGGCGAAAAGAACCGAAGATCAGTAGCTTAATTCCACGTTCACATTCAACTAACCTCGGACGATAAATTGCACACGGCCCACAGCCCTAGGAGCCGAGGCACCCTCGACGATCACCACATCTCCACTTCCAGGATATCATAAGAGTCGTCTGCAGGATGGCAATATCTCAATAGACCAACCATTCAACCTACCCATAAACATCATAATCAAGAAATCATAAACCATGGCTCCCTCCCTCCTCCAAGCATCAGCAGCTTCCTACGTCTTGCTCTCCCTCGGACACACGGTAGGTTAACTACCCCTAAAGATTCATCGAACCCCTCACAACCTTAAGACAAAGCAACTAATGGAGTAATATAGATCGCAGGCAGAGACTGGACCTCCGACCCACGATTCAAAGCCATCGCACGCACAAAGCCCTGGGCTTGCGGGACTGTAGGCTGGTATCAGGTATCGTCCAAACTTTCCAACTCTAATCTACCATCTAGTATGTTTCTTGGTATGGTGGCTGATTCTCGTTCGTGTATACAGGGAAGTGGATTCTTGCTCTTGACTGGTAAGTTCGATGTTCTTGTCTCGTAGCAGGTCAAACAATCGCTGACTATAGCAGGTCTTCTTCACTGGCAGTGGGCAAAGGATCCTAGTCTTCTTCAGGACCCGGTTAATAAGGCCATTGCTGGGATTGCCAACTTTGTCCTCTGGGCTAGCACGGTTTGGTATGCTAAGCATGGTATTCATGATACTGCTGCTGTAGTTGGGTTGTCGGCTGCGTTGCAAGCCTTTGGGGTTGGGAAGGCTATTCTGTGAGGGTTTTTGATATAGTGAGGATACATGTTTGTAAAATAGGTACCTAGGGCGAATTGCAAATAGTTGACGATTGAGCAGAAAGAAAGAAGCTGCATTTCAAGTTCCAAGCATGTTTGGTATTGAGGTAATATGCTGGGGGAGTCCCAAGGCTTTTGTCAAATTCGCCGAGATTCACTGTCCGCTCGATGCTGTAAATCCCATTTTGGAAAAGGAAAGAAAAGAACACCCCAGAACCAACAGGCAAATGTACCAGGGTAGTTGATCAACAGCCGCAGCATCGTATACACGTTGGATCTAGTGGCTATGCACAGCTTCATCCTCATTACGCCAGATCCGATATCCCCACGTCGGTGTAGAAGTACAACCGAGCTCCAATCAGACCAGATAACATTCTTGAAAATCTCCGAGGGTCCAGTGGGCGTGTGCTCTACTGCTTCCATCACACCAAACCAGTCGCTCAGCTCTCATCTTCTTCATCAGTCGAGGCATCCTGGTCAGCTTCGTTTTGTTGCATTGTGTACCCGGCAGACTTTAGGATTCGCGATATGGTTGAAGTTGATATCTCCACACCTTGGAGGCGAAGTTCACTGGCAATAGCAGCATATGATTTCTCACGACCGTTAGGATCACGTTGAGACTTTATAGCGATAACTTTGTCCAGATCTCCTTTCCTTGGCCGGCCAGAGCGAGGCTTATCCTGCACGTGTTTATCTGCAAGGGTACCTGGATTGGTGGGATCGAAGCCGCGTTCGATAGCCCTCGCATAGATCCCATCCGATCAACGGTAGCCCTGGATATACCACAGACTGTAGCGATTTCCTCAGAGCTCTTGTTGGTATGTACTTTCAAAGCTACAACATGGGTACGCAGGGCAATATCGCTGCTAGTCATGGTGAACTTGGCAGTGTGTGTGTGTGGTGTGTGCAGCGAGAGAGAGAGGGGATATTCGAATAGGGTTTGTTACATAGGCTTTGGGGTTTACCGCTAGTAAAATAAGCCAGTGGGTCCGCGTAGTTTTGACCGTGCTCAGTGCTCACTGCTCCGTCCTCCTTAGCCTTCTAACTGCACATCATCCGAATTTATACGGCGAAAATCTTACCTCAGTAGTATCCTCAGACTATATGCATCACATGATCCAAAAATTCTGCCAGTTTTTTAGCGCGCTAAACCTAATCATCGCCGCCAATGCCTCTGTTTAGTTATGCAGAATGATCGCCCATCATCCGAATTTATCCTCTCTTTTCTCTTCTTCATACTCCACCCAATGAACAATCCCACATCAGCAACAACAGCCTTAGGCACACCCCCAAACATCCAACTCCTTTGAACCCACTTCGGAATCCCCCCGCAGCCTCAGAAGTCGTCGCCATAGTCCAGCGGATCTGCCGACGAGGCGACGCACGCGTCCCTTCATCCGCAGACGCCGACGACGCAGCAGGCGGGAGAAGCTTGACGTGCTCGACACTCGCATATCTAGCGAAGATCGTCCCAGGTGGGACGGCCTGCATGATCTGCGCGTACAGATCCTTGAACTGGGAGTCCGCAGCGTCGGGCTTGGCAAGGTAGAACTTGAAGGGCACCTGGACCGTGATGAAGCCGTTTGGTTGGGCTTCTTCGCAGTCTGCGTCTGATCTTGTTGCTGGGTAGGGCCCGTTATTGTAGGCTGCTGACATACTCCAGGATATGAAGGCGCGCGGCCGGATTAGGACCGTTGGGTGGAAGGTGTGGACTATGAGGTTGACTGCGAATATGTACAATGCATCATAATGTGAGTGGGTGCGTGTCGTATTTTATATGGCTTTTTGGGGGCAATTTTGGGTACTTACGTTCGATATTGAATTGCTTGTACGTTGTGCCGGAGACCAGCATCGAGGTATTGGGGTTCCATAGCTCAGAATCGGTCCAGTTTAGTAGTTGGTGGACGCTCGTCACGCTGGGCGTGTACTCCATTTCGTGTTCAGCATGATTAGTTCGTAAGCCGTCGTTGAATTCGGACCACGAGGCTGTGCCATCTAGAGCATTGGAATCTTCATGGTCGCTTTCGCGACATACCCAGAATTCCTTGCTGGGGAAGTGACCTTCTCGGGATGGGAGGGTTCGCCATCCCTGTGAGAGCTTTACTTGTGCCTTTGAAGGTGGCGAAGGACGGAGCTTGCTGTCCGCTTCTAGTGTCGCTGGGAGCTGGTCTAGTAGAGGCCGAGCTTCTTCTAGTGTGGCGCGGACAAAGCCTTGGATGTTTGAACCTGTGGGTACCTCTGGGATATTGGGGTGATGAGGTAGGGTGGCGATGGAATGTGGTTTTAATCGAATTATCGGCATGATCGGCTCAGGGCTGATTAGAGAACAGTAGAGCTGGAAGAGTGGAAATCGATAAAACTGCGATTTTTAGGGCAATGTGAGAAGGAAGAGCTTCCAAGGGAGGAAAATCGATTTATCTGAAGGGTTCAATGTCGTTGACGTCGTTTACGGGCCTTGGGATGAAGTCGGGCTTGGATTTCAAAGCGCATTGGGATTCGTATTTGGGGGCTACGCGGCCTTCGGGGTCTGGCCGCTAATCACCGGAACTCGACTAGTCTCAGAGCAAATGGAGCTTTCAAGTAAATATTGATTGCAAGATGTTCATTATTCTATGCCTGGAATTGTCTACTCTCCAACTTGCCAAGGACGTTGATGTGCATCGTAAGTCATTTGAATACTAATCTACAGGGGTATAAACGGTAACTATAAGCAGCGGACCCCAGGTCCAACGCTGCCAGTCTCAAACATCTCAACTAGTCCCGCGCCTAGTGCTTCCTCTAGTGCCCACCGAAAGCTCATTCCATATAGCTCTTTCCACTTCTTGGTCTTACCTGGTAAGACTCCGGTGAACTCGCCACGAGCCCGCTTGGCTACGTGGAAGCTCTTCTCAGTCTCAACAGCTCCATCCCAACGGTCTTTCAACAACCCTAGAGGGGCTTCGCCAGAAGCGGATCGCCGAAGAAGAGCGACCATATGTGCGCGACCTAATCCTAGCAAGCGGAGATAAGAGCCCGTATTAGGTAGCGATAGGAAGAGAGTGGCAGCACGAGCTTGAGCAGCGGTTTGCACTGGGCGCTCGGAAAGCGGAATAGACTCGTTTCGGCTTGCTGACGAAGATGCCATCTGCGGCAGATTGGGCAGCGAGGCAATACTTAAAGTGCCTTGCGTATAAGACGACGAGGAAACGATAAATCCGGCACGGAGCAGAGCCCTGTACTCATCCGTCGTGAAGACCCCCTGCGATATTGCCGACGAGGTCCCAATCCGTTTCAGGATATCAATAAATTTATCTGCAGCTGTCAGCCCATGTTCTCTAACAAGGTAAACTTCGCATTTCATGATTCACCTTTTACCGGTTGCTCTAATTCAGAGCTTCCCTGCACCAGCTTCTCCCAGTCCTCTGCTAATACCAGACAGTCACCCAGGCCTGCCGCATCATTGCCGCGTCCAGGGATGATAAGTCGACGAATCCGGCCGGCCTTGATCTGTTCGACTATCTCCCTTTCCACTTGCGTGGGGGCGTCCAAGAGGGTATGGACATGGGCCACAGAGGCTAGTGGAGGCAACGAGCGCCGTAAATTCAGAACTTGTGCAATCCGTGTGCTGTTCATGCCTGCACGCGTTGGAAGTTCCTCGAACATTCCATCGCGAATATACTGAATAGCCTGTAGAACATCCTGGACTGGCGCAGTCTGCGATATGAATCGAGACCCGCCTATGTCGGGAAGCGGGTCATCAAATCCCGAATCAGCCGTCGGCTTCAGGCTGCTGGGCCGACCAGATATCTGTTTAGTGCGTGCATGGGCAGCAAAAGGCGAGGCGCGGGGTTTGGGAGCAGAAGCCTTTCGTTTCTTAACGCCAGACACCGGAGCGGACGTGAGACGCAATGTCATGGCTTAAGTGGATGGACTTGGACAAGGATTGGACTATGCGGGATATTATTACCTCATGTCAGGTGACTTGGCGTCGGGAGTTCCCGCCAATCAAAGAGGAGCTTGCTATAGTTCTGTACTTGAAATACCGTATTATCACATCTCACCCAGCTTAAAGTGGGGTAAATGCAGTATCAAGACTGTAAATCAGTGGAAGTCAATCTTGTCAGACGATGAACGCAAGTCGCCCGAAGGTGGCATCTTCGACTTTATTTGGTTCCGCAAATATCCTGCCTGATAAGAGACAAGACAAGTTTTCCTTCTTCGATGTTGGCCTTGATTCGAAACGTCTAGAACAGGCTGAATTGTGTCCCTTGGCAATAACTTCGTCCAAACTTGCTTCAAATTCAGCCCACTTGCCAATCTTTCACATGACGTAGTCATGAGAAACCCATCGTGTAACTAACCTTAGTACTTCTTTTTTTTTCTGTCTCACTCTCACTCTTCATTTCAGCTTGCTATCGCTTGGCCCCAAGAGGCGTTCGTTTTTCTTGTCGCCTACTTCTTTCTAGCGCATTCACTCAAGATAGAATCTCACTTTATCCCCGCGCGTCCAATCCTGCCTATCCGTCTAGCTGGACCCGAGTCGATCATCATGACTGTCTTGATAGTATCTTTGTATGCAATCTATCACATTCAATTCCCTCCAACCACGGCTAATTCATGGCTATCTAGGTTTCTGCCCTACACGGTGAACTTCCATGTCAACGACAACTCGCGCAGCCGCTCTCCCCCTCTTGTTACCCCAGCCGCAAATCCCATCGTCGAAGGGATTCCTCCACCTCCCAGTACCGCCACCGCTAGCTTGTTCGAGAAGCCTAGTTCGGGCACTGTGCCGGGTCTAACGCCAGGCGCTACAACGGATCATGAGCGCATTTTCGCGTCCAATATAGCGCAGGCAGAACAGGAGCAAACCGGATACCCGTTCCCTTCAACCGGTGAGCTGAATAACCGACTTTTCACGGAGAGTGAAGGAAACTCCCCATTATGGGGTGCCACCACTTCGCTCAATCAGCCCAAGCCACAGGCAATCCCGTCGCCGTCGCCATCTATTCTGAAGCACCAAGATCCTCGACCCGTCAAGGAAACAATGTCGCAGCTGCCAGCCGTGCCCGAGCACGTTTCGTCCTACTCTAGACTGAGAAAGGCCAGCACGGCGAGCCGAAAATTATCATTTTCGAGAGCCGAATGGACGATTGAGACCGCCGAACAGGGTAATGGTGGCCTGCGCAATGCAGTGCGATCTGCAACTGATGCTGGGGTTTTGGATGAGTTAATGTGGGTTGGCACTCTGGGGATGCCCACTGATGCCCTGGAAAAATACACCCGGAGAGATATCGCAGAGAAGTTGGAAGATGAGTATGGCTCTTTGACCGTCTTTGTCAAGGACGGTGACTTCGACGGCCATTACACCCATTTCTGCAAAACCATTCTGTGGCCGGTCTTCCATTATCAGATCCCGGATAACCCAAAAAGCAAAGCCTATGAGGATCATTCATGGATTTATTACGTTAAGTTGAATCAGGCTTTCGCCGACCGCATTGCGAAGCACTGGAAGCGGGGTGACTCGATCTGGATCCAGGATTATCACCTTCTACTGGTCCCAGCTATGCTTCGCAAGTTATTGCCAGATGCACAGATTGGATTCTTCCTGCACATCGCTTTCCCGTCCTCGGAAGTCTTCAAGTGCTTGGCACCACGCAAGGAGCTCCTCGAGGGCATGCTTGGCGCCAACCTCATTGGTTTCCAGACGGATGAATACTGTCGACACTTCCTCCAGACCTGCAGTCGCATCCTGTGCGTGGAAGCGACTCCCGAAGGCGTCCAGTTGGAAGACCGCTTTGTCAACGTCGGCACTTTCCCTATCGGCATCGACCCGACCTCCTGGGATAAGCGCCGCAAGGCGATTGATGTGGAGCGATGGGTTGATACTATTTCGGAGCGCTATCAAGGAAAGCGCCTCATTGTCGCACGCGATAAGATCGATTCCGTTCGGGGTATTCGCCAGAAACTTCTTAGTTACGAACTTTTCTTGAATACCTACCCGGAATGGGCGGATAAGGTTGTGTTGATCCAGGTCGCAACCAGCACCACAGAACAACCTGAGTTGGAAGCGACCATCTCTGACATCGCGATGCGCATCAATTCCACCCACTCTACGCTCGCTCACCAACCTCTGGTCTTCCTCAAACAAGACTTGGCCTTCCCGCAGTACCTTGCGCTTATCACTATCGCAGATGCCTTGATGATTACTAGCTTGCGTGAGGGCATGAACCTGACTAGTCATGAGTTTGTCTACTGTCAGGATGGCCGCTGCGGCGATAAAGGCTTTGGATCATTGATTCTCAGCGAGTTCACCGGCAGTGCGTCAGTTTTTGGAGACCATGCCCTGTTGGTTAACCCTTGGGACTACCGCCAGTGCTCCGAGGCCATCCACACGGCCCTCACTCGTGGTGGGGAGGAAAGGAAGAAGATTTGGGAAGAGCTCCACCGTGCGGTTCTCAAGAATTCGACTGCCAACTGGGTCAAATCATTCAATGAAACTCTTAGTCGCGTCTGGAACGAGCAATCTTCGCGAGAGATCATGGCGGTCCCCCGACTGTCTGTATCCCGACTCACCGAGCGGTATCGTCAGTCTAAGCAACGACTCATGATCGTTGATTACGAAGGCACCCTGGCCTCTTGGGGATCGCCACGCAGCATTATTCTGACTACACCGCAGCGCGCGATCACAACCCTTACCGACTTGACCGATGACCCCAACAACATTGTTTATGTGATGAGCTCGCGCATGCCAGAGGAAATGGAGCGCCTGTTCCGACAGGTCAATAACCTTGGCCTGATCGCCGAGAACGGGTGCTTTGTGCGCGAGCCGAACTGTGATTCGTGGACCCACCTTGCTGACAAGGTTCATGTGAAGAATTGGAAGGCATCGGTATCCAACATCCTTGCGTACTTCCAGGCGCGTGTCGAGGGCAGCTGGATTGAGGAGCGCCACTGCTCCCTTGTTTTCCACCACGGATCCGCCGAGGACCGTCACGTTGCCGCTCGATCTGCCGCTGAATGCGCAGGCAATATCAACGATGCGTGCGCCAACCTTGACGTGCACGCTGTGCCCGTTGAGGGCGCTTTGATTGTGGAGACGACTCATACCAACAAGGCATCCGCGGCCGAGTTGGTCTGGAAGTGGGTCTTGGCGGCTGCAGAGAAGAAGGAAGAAGCTGTCAAGCCAGATTTCTTGCTCGTCGTTGGCGACAATCGCGAGGACGAGCCTGTTTTCCGCTGGGCCAATAAGCTGCAGAGTTCCAAGGCCGTCGATTATGCTATGACTGTCACATTGGGTTCACGCAGCACGGAGGCCAAGGCTACCCTGACTCAGGGTGTTACTGGTATGTTCCTGATGATATTTTCGAACGTCCACACAGTTTGCTAACCTTTTCAATTTCTCTAGGCGTTCTCTCTTGTCTGCAGCAATTGGCTGCCTCCAACGGCCAAGCCAAGTTGCCGCTGCGATGATTATTTGCTTTTGATCTACATCATATCACTTCAAAGTTTCGGGGTCATGAACATGCGAAGACGAAATACACGAAAGCGAAACGGAATGGAGTTCTCACTTCTGTTGCAACTGATTTTTAATGCTAGCATACATTTCTGAGGCGCTTTTTAATCATGTCGATACGTTACATATGCGGCGGTTCTAGAGGAGGACATAGGTATTTGCGTGGCATTTTACACCTTGCAACCGATCTCATGTCAAATAAGTACTGAATTCGTGGGGGAGCCTTATGTCCAAGCTCCATGAGCAAAACGAACGCAACCTGGCTGCTGGATTCGAAAAGCAGGAACCTGGTGTTACATGGCAGGATCTCTCCGTCCAAGTAATCAGCTTCGAAGCCGCAGTGAATGAGACTGTTCTCTCCCAATTCAACATTCCTATCAAGAGACGACAATGACAATTACCTAGGCAGCACCTCATGATGTGCATGTCTTTAACTGGCTTTGCTCTTGCTTAGGTTTCCCCGAGTCCCACTTATAGCTTCGCCATAGAATTGTTGTAACCTACTTGTAACACTCAAACCTGATTCCCATTGGAGACTTAGTATATACATGAATTGAACTCGCTATACATTCAACCAAACGACTTAAAAGATATAATCAAGACTTGCTCCGATGCAGAAGCTATTGTTTTTCATCAACCCGCACCACGACACCCACGCAATGTCCAGGATGCCAGATGGCAAACAGCAAGACCACCAGCGCCACAGGCGCGAATTCAAGGCATCCGAAATAAATCTCGTTACTCTGCAGCTCACCCATAAGACCCTGTGCCGTCTCGGCGAGACGGAAGCAAGTTCTCAGATAAATCATAATAGTCGCAACGGAGAAGACAAAGCAAAAGAGCGACAGACCCTGCTCTTTGAGCACCCGTCTAGCGCGGAACAGAAACGTCGCCACTAGAATCACGAAACAAGTCATCACGAACACCTGGTACGCAAGACCGCCCAGCAGAATATTATTAGCGGTCTCGGGATCCTCGCCGCGCGAAGACTTCACACCAACCAGCGACGCACCGGCGACCTGCACGATAGTGGAGATGACATCGGAGGTGATGAAGAAGGCCAGAATGACTCTTGGTGGGATGAACGAGTACCGTCTTCCGACTCTAGGGATCAGCGCGGAGAGAATCGTGTAGATGCCTGCGGCCAGGAAGACGGGCGCAACGACGATGAAGAAGTAGTTGAGGATGAAGTAGATGAGGTTGTAGGGGTTCTTCTTGGCGGATAGCGATCGTGCTATGTATCCGATTATCTCGAAGACTAACCCCACGGTAAAGGGGATCCACCACCAGCTGCGGATTCGGATGGTGCGCACGAGGTGGATGATGAAGTGCACGCCGAACCAGGCGGCTGCGAAGGCGGCCAGCGTGATGGAGGGTGTGTAGCCATAGATGATTATTGAGGTGTTGTTCTTGTCCGTAGGGTCGGGGTTGGGAAAGTTGGGGTCGATGTAGCCAAAGGACGCTCGTGCTTTTGATTCTGTTAGTGTTGGGACGATTGAGCCTGTGCCATTATAGAAGACCTACCTGCGACGATGTGCTCCATGGTATATTATGTACTAGGTATTATTGTCGCCCTCGGATTCATGGAAATAGCATCCCCTTATATGTACGCTGTCATTCTAACAACCTTGGAAATGGATCTGATCTCGTTTTCGTATCAGGAGAAATCGCCAAATTGCCTCGACCCTCTCTCTACGCGAGGTGCCAAGGCCTGCCAAGGCTCCGCCGACGGACAAATCAATCCGCGGTAGAAGCGAACAAGACCGATCGTAGAGCGCACCTATGTCATAGTTTATTTCCGAATTTCGATCGGTATTAGATCGTTCGATCTCGAGTTCTACATTCTTCTTAAGGCATTTGCACAGCCCTGTCATGACCTTGAATCACATCTTTCAATAAGTCAAGGTCTAGGCTGGCGAATCCGGGAGGCGGTGCCGCGGTGGGTTCCTTGATCACGACGTAATGTTCCTCATCCCATCCGCGCCAACATGACTCGCAGAGTCGCAAGTCATTGGAAGTGTGATGGACCTGGAGGATCGGCCTGACAAATGATAAGACATTAAGACAGTAAGACTCCTTGTACCTGTAGTCACTAGTCTGTAGGCCCCACAAGTCTAATGACAGTGTCGAACACTCGGCCTGGGAATTTCATTCTCATTTCTCAGGTGACGCAAAATCACATGACTTGTATTTGCTGCCCAGTTGGGCGGCCCCGCAGTGGGCTACTCTTTATCTTGCAATCAGTTCCATCACTCTTGAGTGCGGTCTTCCACAAGTTCTACTCCGAAGGCAATATTCAAAGGCATACCATGCCACTGCTGCTTACGCTCGCCGAGAATTAGCCCAGTGACACTTTCTCGCAATTCCAATTTAACGCTCCCACGCGGCCACGCCCTAAACCACCAACGACAACCAGCCGAACGTCGGGATCGTCATGAACAAAATTAATGAATCTGTATTTCAAAAGCCAAGGGCACAAGATGATAAAGGCTTGGAAGAGGAAGCAAAATCCTTGTTGGTCAAAATCCTGGACGTTTTGCGTTTTCCAACTGCTTACCTTCCTCTTTGTAGAATGGGAAGGCCGTGATCCTTGGAACAGAGTATTTCAACGGACAATTATTAGATTCAAGTGTCGCCCCAGCGGTATTGATACACGGAGACGAGGGAGCGGGCGTCATCCACTCGCGCCTTGCCGGGAGCGGCATTGATATCCTCATAACAGGCCCCAAAACGGGGAGTGGCCAAAGAATTCTCGTTCTGAACGATGGAAGTACTGGCCTCGTGTTTAGAAACGTATTACTACGACGTTTCCTTTCCCGCGGCGCCTGATGTCTGGAGCATCCGAAGATACCGAAGAAGGAATAACTGGATTCCCGCGATACAATGATGTTAACGTTTAACCCGGGAGGCAGTTGAGGATTGACATGGTCAGCGCCAGCATGACTTGCACGTCATTGCAATTTGGAAATGTGACAGACGGTCAGACCTGGAGGATCGACCTGACAGATGATAAGCCTCCATATGTACCTGTACCTGTAGGCCCCACAAGTTTAATGTCACACGGTGGGCCTGGGGATTTGAACTGCCGCACGATGTTCCATTCAGTCAAGCAGCAGGAATACCTAATTTCTCAGTGGTGCCCGGAGTACATATGCAATTCATGTCTGAGAATATGCATGGCGAGGATTGATGTTGATGCAAATGCTCGGATATCTGTCGTCGGGCTAACCGACCAAATAACCGTGGAAAGATGGAGGCAAAAAGGAGGTGATATTTTTCCGCTCCCCGGCCTTTCGATGTCATCCCAGATATTCCCAAAACGTATCACACTCCACCAAACCATAAGGTTTCTAGATATCTGATATGCTGAGTCAGTTCGGCTGTCCTGTCCAGGTGGGGAAAATGCCGAGGTACGCCGATGCGGGCCACGGGTGATAAACAGGGGACTGCTACAGCCGCGGTGGGGTATTAGACTACATATTGTATACTAATCATGCTTCTATAGATACCCCTGTCCTTTCAACCTCACCCTGCTTTCATCTCAAATCTGCAAAACCATCTCTCCCCATCATGTCCACCGTCAACCCAGCCTTCGAGGAGGCCATCAAGGTCACCCCGCTAGGCGGGAACAAATACAGCGCCCACCTCTCCCCGGAGTGGTGCATTGGAACCGGTACGATGACCTCAATCGTACAATGTACGCGCACCCTGTTGACCATAATGACCAACAATCCACAGTTCCACACGGCGGCTACACAACAGCCGTAATCTACAAACTAGTCCTAACGCACTTCGCTCACGCCCACCCAACCCGCTACAAGACCCCGGCCTCCCCGATCTCCATGCAACTCTCCTTCCTCCGTCGCACATCCTCCGGCCCCGCCATCTTAGAAGTTGAAGATGTCAAGCTTGGCGCGCGTACAAGCACAATCCACATCAAGCTCCTGCAACCTTCCGAAAAGAAGCCAGGCACACACGAAGTCATGGTCGCCGGCTACGTGACTGTCAGCCCGCCCGAGGCTGAAGTCGGTATCACCGCACCAACAGGCTGGAAGCCTTACCCCCTCCGCCGCCGGGCTCGCGCGCCGATGGCTCGGTCGATCTGGTCAAGCTGGGCCGTGATGGCGTCGACGGCGCCTGGGCCAAGCTCGACCCGCCTTTCTTGGAGTTCCGTAAAGCGGCTGCGCAGCTCGAGCTTTATGGGCCTGGTACTGGGGAGACGCAGCAGAAGCGATCGGGGAGTATGGGGATTGATCAGTGGTCGAGATTCCGGCCTGGTGGTGATCAGAATGGACGGTGGACTGATGCGGCAGTTGCGTATCTGGTCGATATGTTTCCCATGGCGTTGGATGGGTTCGATCAAGTGTCTGCTACTGCTGTGGCGGAGGAGAAGGGGACTTCTGTTTCGGAGCAGAGGGCGAAGTTCTGGTACCCCACTGTTACGCTTAATGTGGATATGAAGAAGCACCTTCCTGCGGAGGGTGTGGAGTGGCTTTATAGTCGGATTGTGACGAAGGTTGTTAGGGATGGGCGGACGGATCTGGAGGTTACTATTCTTGATGAGGCGGGTGAGGTTGTTGCATTGAGTACGCAGGTTGGATTGGTAGTTAGTGCCAGCCGGAATATTGGGTCAAGGAAGGCTGAGAAATTGTAGATGGTCGAGTTTTGATAGATATTATACATTCAGAGAATAGATCTTGAGTTCCGATGCAGTTTTGTTGGATGCTCTATACATTTCTCAGCCTGTATATGGTTTGTAGGTATGTGCAAAGTCGGATGTGTACCTGGTACATGCTCCAACCGTCCTCAAGGTATGTACATATAAGATCAGGGACATCGAGCCTCCAGTCTATGCCTCTACTTTGTGAACGCTCACAACTTCGCCTCAGGGGTCACAATCCAGAAGGCCATAGCCTCAGCCTTGACAACCTTCCTCTTGGCCCACTCCAGATGTCCCCCGGCATCCTCGGCCTCCTGCAGCGCCTGAGCCCGCACCCAAAATTTCTTTCCTTGCCTCCCAACAACCCGCGCCTTAATAACCAACAAAGCAGGCGTAGCCACCCGCCTCTTATACCGCACATCCAATTGGGCTGTGAAAATCTTTCCGCGCGGATTTTCCTCGGCGGCATGGGCACTAGGCGCACTGGTGTGCACCGCAACAGCGAGGGACATAGCCTCGTCAATCAGCGACGCGACAATTCCGCCGTGCACAGTAGACGGGTGGCCTGATATCCCTGGGCTGCGGAGATCAAAGAGCATTATAACGTCCGCGGGATTCACTCCCGGTGTCGGCTTTGCGGCTGACTCGGCATCTTCTTTCGTTGCGGGGAGCCAGGCGGGGACTTCCGAGGGCACGGGTGCGAGATTGCGCCGTTGCAGTGTTAGGCAGTAGGGGATTGTGGTGGGAGTAGCAAGGGTTTCCGCGATGAAGCCATCTTCGCCGGTTGATTTCGGGCGTCGGGAATCTGTCGGAATTGGTATGTAGTCCTCTGAAGAAATGAGGTTGTTCGCCCATGAATTGGTGCGGAGATGGGAGATGGCGGGGGCCGGATCAGCCATTTTTCGACTTTGCTTTTCAAAAGCTAGGATCGCGGTCGGTTGTGGAATATTTGGTGAGAAAATGGAGGACCTGCGCGCTTCTGAAAGGTTTCAATTGTATAAGGGCGTTAACGGTATCAACGGCATATAATTAACCTCGGCTCCGGCTATGACCGATAAGGGCATGATTGACAGTCACGTGCATCCGTTGAACTGGAATCCACGATCCACGTTGGCACGGTCCAATGGATTTGCAAACTTGATATGCGGTGGAGTGATATGAAGCTTTATTTTTGGTGGTAGAAGGTGCCATGTGCTCCTCAAATGGAAGAACCAATGATGCATGGCCTCTTCAGGTACGAATAATGCAATTGTCTCACCCTCCCCGGCATGTACTTAATCGGCAATCGACAGTGGAGTTGGGTATCCGGAATTTGGGGACAAGAATGCGAGAGTAAACAAGCAGAGACCTGGGCATAGTTAATAGTGCACTCAATTGACTCCAGCAGACCTCCCCCTATTGGTGCGGGCCCAAGGGGCAGGGGCCAATTAAACCTGACTGGGTTTTACTGGATAGTTCGGCACGCAGCCCATAGGACCCTAACTTCAATCTAACCTGTTTAGGTGTCGTACCTGGTATCTTGGGCAGTCTCTTCTTCATGTCAGGTGCCGACTCATCAAATTCATAGGGCCTGTGCAACTGAATCAATTAGCTCGAAACGTATTAAATCAGGACACTAGTCCATGATAGTTCAATTTGCGACTCCATAGATAGCTAAATCCTCCACCTGGTATGCTAATCAGGTCTAGTAGAGTACTTGGTGTTACCCTGGCAAATTATCCCATTTAATGTCGTTGGTTTGGAAACCAAAATAAACCTTGGAGCCATCCTTGGATACAAGTAGCACCTGCCCATTCTTTGTTTTTCTTCCCTTTTCTCCTCTTTTCCTCTTCTACTCCCCCTCTCTCCAATTCTTTTCTCTCCGTACACATCCTTCCCCAACTCTCATCTATTACAATTAATTCATCATGCGTACCTCTATTGTCTTCCTCTCGGCTTTGGCCACCTCGGTCATGGGTGCCAATTCCACCACTTACACCCTCCCCGCTGGTTTCAACGTTGGCTTGGTGGACTCCAGCGAGCGCAGTATGTAACCCTCTAACAGTTTGCAATCGACAACGCGCTAATAATTTAGGCGCTTGGTGCTCTGCTCAGCGTAACACCTGCCCCGACATCTGCCAGGATGGAACAAGGTTGAACTCGTGCGACTCGGTATGTCACTATGTATCGCGTCTGTACGCGCAACGAAACTGACATCTCTAAACAGAACACCTTGGACTTCAGCTGTGTCTGTGCCGACGGGTCCACTCCCGATGTCACCCCCTTCAAGCAGACTGTGCCTTTCTTTGTCTGCCAGGCCAATTACGGCCAGTGTATCAACTCGCACCCCGACGATGCCGAGGGTCAGCGCACTTGCAAGAAGAACGCCGTGTGCGGTTCCAAGAACGCCACCGAGGAGGCCGATAGCTCTTCTTCTTCCACTACTACTGCGGCTTCCACTACTCTCGCCATGGCCACTTCCACCGACTCTACTGCCTCCCAGACTTCGTCCGTGGCTGCTGCCAGCGCTACTACCAGCAACCCCGCTGTCGCCCTCGGTGGTGATATGACCAAGTACTCCACTGGTTTCATGGCCGGTCTCATGTTCGTTGCTGCGCGCATGATCCTGTAAAGGAATGATCCTCCTTGGATAGTTCGTCAACCTTTTGTACGGTTTGGTCGCATAGCGTCCTCTTTGTTTGTATTCGTTTAACTCATCGCGATGCCATTAGCTTTTCCCTCTCGAGACATTCGATTCCTGAATAGTCTTGACTTATGATTTTTTACATGTCTCTGAACGTGGCGCCTGTCCTTTCATTAATCCGATTTGGGTTGGAGTTCCCTGTCTATTCTCTGCGCAGGCAACGATTTTCGCGCACAAACTATTGCATTAAAAGTAATACAACCAATTATTGGCGACCCATTGCACGAGAAATCCCCGCGTAATCAGTGTAGAGGAATTTGTAGTGTAAGTAGAGAAATTTGAGATGTCGTAATAAGAGTAAAAGCCAACTTCTGTTGAGATGTTCGCTGTGGTGTTCCTTGCGCCAAGACTTTTTTGGCACACACTGAAATTTCTCAACTTATCGATAGACTCCACCATCAAGAACTTCACGTTCTCTCCTCCTCTCACATCCAACATCATGCCCGCCCCTACCAACACCCTCCTCATTGAGGGTTCCTTCTCCGAGCTCGCCGATGAGTTTGCCCAGTACATCGACGCCCTCCGCAAAGAGGGTAGCCTCCAGTCCGAGATCGCCCCGCTCCTCGAACCTCTCCGCCAGCAGGAACAGTCTGAAGGCGAGGCCGACCTTAAGCAGCGCGATGAGGTCCTTAAGAAGCTTGTGTCCTCTGCGACCGCTTTGAACAGTGCCCCCGAGAAGGGTAAGTGGTGAAAGTGTGGACAAAGAACCGATGATCTGCAGATAGTCGGAATTTGGCTGCATTTTGATCTGGTCATGTCGAGATAAAACTAACCTAGTCTGGAAATGCAGAGATCACTTCGGCCTACAACCTTCTGATCCACCTCGTTCACCAGTCTTCCGACGTCGATGTGTTCCTCCCTCGCATCTGCACTTACCTCGCTAAGCCCATCACCACCTCGCCCCAGTTCGGCCCTACGCTCGCCATCTCCACCCTCACCACCATCTTCAACACCCTGTCCTCCACCGATTCGAGCCGTTACCACGTTCTCCTGGCCATTGTCGCGGTGATCCGCCAGTCTGGATCTGGAGCTGCCTTTGAAGCCCTCCGTCCCCAGCTCACTTCTCAGCTCCCCACGTGGCTCTCGGCATGGGAGTTGGACAACGACGACGCCCGCAAGTTGCACATTGCCATCGCCGAGGCCTCCAGCGCTGCCGGTGATGAGGATCTGGCCCAGACCCACATCGTCCGGGCACTCGAGACCATCGACGTTGCCGATGTCAGCAAGCCCGAATCCCGCGAGCTGGCCGTTCGCGCCCTCGCTACCGCTCTGCGCCGCCCCAGTGTCTTCGACTTCACTCCCCTGACTGCATCAGACGCCGTGCAGGCCCTGCGCACCAGCGACAGCACCCTCTTCGAGCTGCTGGAGATCTTCACCTCGGACACCCTCGACGCTTACGACTCCTTTGTCGCTGCCAACCCCCTCTCCTCCATCTCCGGCGGCGTGCTTGCCGAGTCTGCCGATGCCCTGGAGACCAAGATGCGTCTTCTTACCCTCACTTCGCTGGCGTCCTCCACCCCTTCGCGCTCGATCCCCTACACCACTATCGCCTCCGCCCTGCGCGTTCCCACCTCTGAAGTCGAGGTCTGGGTTATCGACACCATCCGTGCCGGTCTCGTTGAGGGTCGCTTGTCTCAGCTGAAGGGCGAGTTCCTGGTCCACCGTGCCACCTACCGTGTCTTCGGCGAGAAGCAATGGTCTGAGGTTCAGGGTCGCCTGATGGTCTGGCGCCGCTCCCTCGAGAGCGTTCTGAGCGTCATTCGCTCCGAGCGCGAGCGTTTCGCCCGCGAGGGTCCCCAGGCTCTGGGCGACCAAGAGAACAACATGCGCAATGACCGCCGTCGCGTCCAGCCTGCGCAGACGCGTGAGGTTGAGGCTGGCGCTGAGTAAATTTGATTCTCCATGGAACAGTGCCTTTTCTTTTTTTTCTTACGAACGGAAAAGCTCACCGACCACAAAATTCTTTTTCAGTTAATAGATGAGGAATCGATGGGGAATTTTGCTGTCTTTTCCTCATGCATTTCCATTTTTCCTGACCAGTTGTAGGGTTGGTTTTACTGCCCCTGTTGGATGTCGAGGTTGGGGACTCCACGAGTCATGTCATGTCAATCTTAGTCTTGTTTATGTTTCCCAGAGGGATGACTTTTCTTTTGTTCTATTTTTTTTTACCTTGCGATTCGAGAATATAAAGCTTCTTAGACGCAGACTGGTCTATATGGACATGGTATATGGGTTGAAAAGGAAGTAGAGGATTTCATCTACGGTGGAGGAAATCCCTTTGAGGAACGTTTTCCCCTTGGCATCCTTGGAGTTGGTGTGATGAGGGATGGGATGCATTGGAGGATACAGATGAATATTTGTAAAGAAGATTATGATCCGAATGAATACAGATTTGAATCCAGAATGGGAAATGGGATTCCATCACAACATGGTGGGCAAATACCTCTTCCTTGTGCAGCGACTGGAGTGTCAGACCCTTGCAGGATCACGAGGAATTGACACCCGTTGCGATTTATCGAGCCAATTACCAGAGTATGTATAGCCATGATGGCGAATTGAAAAGCTTGCTAATCGATATAGTCGAACATGTCTTCGAAGACCAACTCATTGGTGACTTCTTCTCCCATTGGCTTGACCAAGGTAAGATTGTCAATCAATCACCGATTCCAAGTAACCCGCAACCCAAATGGTCATGCCACAATGCAATTCAATACGTCGTCAAAGATGTAGTGTGGAAGTTACGAACTGGAAGGGGACGAGGGAGGGCACGTCTTTCTTCATGGTGCTTCTACAAGAACCTGGCAGCGAAGATCACCTGGATAGACGCTCGTCAAGGGCCGAGCTACATAATGGAATGGAAGGCGGAGTAAGTGCTGGATCTCTTAGACTACCACTCCTTTTAGAGAGCGCATTGCTGGTCTCGAAACAAGATGTTCGGAGGGACTGGGCTGGAGCCAAGCTCACGATCGGGCCGAAAGACTGGGGAAGGGAAAGCGCAGCCGAGGGGGAGCAGCCTCAAACCACCAAGACAATGGGCATGGTCTTCGAATACATGAACCAGTAACCACCCAGATGTATGGGAGAAGTACTGTGCCACATACGAAGCCATCTATAACCGTCTAGGTGTGTTTGACGACTACCACTCTCTGAAAGGCAACGACTTCCCTGCATTGCAAGATGAATGGCCCAATTATATCGATGTTGTTCTCACGTCCATGGCCAATCGGTCAAGGGGTTCTCTGTGGATGTTCCAGCAGCGCGCGTACCGTGTACGTACTTCACTTTCTATTAACCTTGGTTATTTGTGCTACCAATACTCACCATATCCCTAGAGAGGAAAAAAAAGTTCTACAGTCTCATCTGGCCCCTGGGAATCAACGTTGGCAAGAATGTTCGCGAGATCACCTTGCCTGGGAAGTGTCCTAATCTGCCTCGGTGTTAGATGGTCATTGGTCCATGGGGCATGGATGTGGGCCGTGGCTGCTTGGAGTCTTGGAGAGACGCTGCTGACGCTCTCATCAAACTGTACCTATCAGTATCTGAACGTTCGATGGATTCAGTGTCAGATTAGAATGATATACAGAGTAGACCATATATGCAACCATGAATACAGGTAACAGATTCATCTAAGAACAGCAACAGAAGTTACCGACTAGGTTTAGCGCGCCAAAAGTTCGCCACAATTTGGGATCATGTGATGGATACGGAGTTGTCTGACTACTGTCTGACAGTCTGAGGACGTGTTGAGGTTGGGCGCTTGGTACGATTAACTCAAAAGGGCGGCCCCAGACATTGGCATTCTACCGCCTGCGTTTTCCAGCGAGCTAAAACATTTTTTTGCCGTACGTACTCCGTACTGTGTTGATTTAAATCCCGTGACCCAGGGCGGTGCTTCGCTAACGCTCAGCAATAATAATCACAGTACGTATGGACCATGGCTTATACCAGTCCCCCCGCGCTTCCCCTGGAGCTCTGGGGCTTCATTGAGGCACATCTATCCAATGCCGACATCAAATCTTTGCGCCTGACATGCAAGCAATTCATTCATATAGTGTCTCTTCGTTTCGATCGTGTTTTCTTATCCGCCAACCCCCTCAATATAGAGGTCTTCCGCAACATTGCATCACACGACAAGTACCGCCATCAGGTCAACGAGATTATCTGGGATGAGGCGCGCTTCCACCGGGGTCCAGCACGAATATCTAACACTGTTGATGGGCTTGAGGGACATGAATTGCTCTCGGACGAAGATGAACCAGATAATAAAAGAGAATGGGCTGCGGAATCCGATCCGGAATTCAGAGAGGAGATCACCAAGCGCCATCGGTATGACAAGAGAAATAGGTGTCCCAAATGGTTCAAAAACGCTTGTTATAGTTCCCTTTCGAATGTGCGTTACCGGTTCCATTGGGACGGCCAGGTCGCGCGCAGATACCAGGCTTTCGACCAGCCTTTGCTGAGGGAGCACTGGCAACATTATCAGCAGTTGCTGCGTCAACAGAAGGATGTTCTTGCCAGTCAGAGTGATCTGGAAGCGTTCGCGTTCGGCGTTAAGCAGCTTCCTGCCCTAAAGAGAGTCACCATCACACCCGCTGCCCACGGCAACCTCATCACCCCGCTTTACCAGACCCCTATGATCCGTGCTTTCCCGGAAAATTTTAATTACCCCATTCCTCGTGGTTGGCTGCACTCTAGAGACATGGACGACGGCCCTGATCCTGTTCTATATAGGTGAAATGAATACCCAGAACTTAAAGATCGGTACCGCGGGTTCCGCACGGCAATGCGAGTCCTCGCCAACGAACCCAACTCTGTTTCTGTGCTGGTGATGACTGCCACCTTTATGCCCACCGGGATCAACTGCACAATCTTCGACGAGCCCTGCGAAGAGTACGACCATTTCGTTACCGTGCTTAAGAAGCCGGGCTTCCGCCGTCTGGATATTGCCTTGCTTGTCGGTGGTGAACGCGAGGAAGACCTCGAAGCATGCTGGCGACCACTGCTTAATGGGCGTCTGCGCCGGGCACTTGGTGAAGCAAAAGGACTGGAAGAATTCAGGCTGCATACAACATATGATCGATTTCTCCACTATAACGGCGAATATCCACTGATCCCATTACAGAGCATTGTGCCTGTGGAACAATGGTCGAAACTGCGCCATTTTGAACTCTCCGGCCTTCTTATCTCACAGGATGATTGTGTCTCTTTCCTCAAGACGCTACCAAGATCTGTTCGTTCCATTGAACTTAGTATGCTGCACTTCTTTCACCTTGAAGACTGGTATAGTATGCTGGCCGAAATCAGGCGAATGGTATCGGAGAGCGAGTTGTGGGGAGACCGGGATGCGGGATCAAGACCCAAAATTACCATCGGTGTGCCAAATCCAATCATGAACACATTCCATCAATCCGGTATATGGATTCAAAAGGAGGTAGAGGATTTTGTCTACGGTGAAGGAATAAATCCCTTTTAAGTGTTTCCCAGGCGATGACATCAAGTTTGGATTTGGTGTGCTGAGGGATGCAAGGGAGCCCGATTTTGAACATCCACATGTACCACTCTGGTCGTGCTCTTGTTCATCACACTTTAAATAGCAAGCACCCGGCCGTGGAGCTGTCTGCTACCCAACTATGTCACCAGTTATGACTCCAAATGTATCCTTGGTGATGAGAATGTCAACAACTCCTCTAGGTAGTCTCCCCGAAGAGGTTCAGGAAACCAGTCTCGCGATCCGCGAGGATCCCGGTGAATACATAGCCTTTCCCGGGGAGTCGGGGACTTCAACGCCGGACCTAAAAGTCAAGTCTAAGCCGCCGACTGCAAGTGAGATCCTCGATTAGAACGTGTTGGAGTGGATCAGGGTCCCGGGGGCGCAACTGAGGGCCCAATTGGATGTAAAGACTGTGGGTCTTGCACCGATACTAAAGACAAGAAGGGAAAGAAGAGGTCCCATTGTTGTTGCGTGGGTATGGACTACGAGTGGTGCAGACCCATCTACCCTATAACAGCAACAGCAGCTCTACCAACACAGAGCGGTAGTACTGAGAGCTGTGGCGAGTATTACGGGCCACTCACGGGCGACGACTGCGCCATAATTGATCTGAGATTTGGACTCGATTTCACACAACTGCAGAATCTGAACAGCTGTCTCTATATTGCTCTACCCTCAGGCTCAACTATGTTTGTGGTTGAATGTGGGGTGTCTGAACCGACTGTCTCCATAGGTCTTCTCATTCTGGGTGGCTGTCACTTGAACTTCAACTGGAAGTAGACTAAGGACTTGGGGACTGGGAAGTATCATTCCATTTAGCTAGATTTACCTCAGTTCCCTCAGCGGCGCTTATGAAAACGCGGTGACAGTGGCATTTCACCGCCTACCTCTTCCAACGAGCTGAAACGGCTTTTTGCCGTAAGTAGTACCCAGCATACACAGGCGGTGGGGAGTTATTATGCCGGGTACTCCGTACTGTGTTGATTTAAATCCCGTGACCCAGGGCGGTGCTTCGCTAACGCTCAGCAATCACAGACCACAGTATGGCTTATACCAGTCCCCCCGCGCTACCCCTGGAGCTCTGGGGCTGCATTGAGTCACATCTATCCAATGCCGACATCAAATCTTTGCGTCTGACATGCAAGCAATTCATCCATGCAGTGTCTCTTCGATTCAATCGTGTTTTCTTATCCGCCAACCCCCTCAACATAGAGGTCTTCCGCAACATTGCATCACACGACAAGTACCGCCATCAGGTCAACGAGATTATATGGGATGAGGCGCGCTTGCATCGGGGTCCAGCACGAGTGGAACACGATGATGGACATGAATTGCTCTCGGACGAGGATGAACCGGATAATCACAGAGAATGGGCTGCGGAATACTCTACTCAACGCAAAGAGGGCATCATCAAGCTCCATGAGTATGAAGAGGGAGATGGGTGTCCGAAATGGTTCAAAAACGCTTGTGAAGAAACCCTTTACTCTCTGAAATGCCGGAAAGATCGTGATTTGGACAGGCCTGACCATATCCCGCGCAGAGAACAGGTTCTCGCTCACCCTTCGCTGAAGGAGCACTGGCAACATTATCAGCAGTTGCTGCGTCAACAGAAGGATGTTCTTGCCAGTCAGAGTGATCTGGAAGCGTTCGCGTTCGGCGTTAAGCAGCTTCCTGCCCTAAAGAGAGTCACCATCACACCCGCTGCCCACGGCAACCTCATCACCCCGCTTTACCAGACCCCTATGATCCGTGCTTTCCCGGAAAATTTTAATTACCCCATTCCTCGTGGTTGGCTGCACTCTAGAGCCACTTATTATCGGGACGCTATTGAGGCTATTCCATATCCATGGACTCATTACCCAGAACTTAAAGATCGGTACCGCGGGTTCAGCACGGCAATGCGTGTCCTCGCCAACGAACCCAACTCTGTTTCCGGTGTAGTGGATAGTGGTGGTCTGGTTGATATGGGTAGCGACGAAGTCATCGTAGCGGGATCGGGCACCAGGGGCCTGCTCCGGGGGAGTGAGCGAAGGCAGCTTCTGCAAGCATAGCAGGGAGTTGATATAAGACTTTTTCTGGGGTTGGGTGAAAGTGCGCCAATCGCGACGAATGCGCAGGTTTCTTATTGAACAACCGCTGCGCTTCTCGAGATCAAAATCAGCCTCGATATTCTCGAGGATATGTTCATATGCCAAGCCGGCCAAGCTGTCCAATTGGTTCTCAGCGGGGGAAGTGGAAGAAACCACGGGAGCCACGGCACTTTTCGTGGTCGGAGCAGCCAATGCCTGTGGTACCTGTGTAAACAAAGCCACCAGAGCGAGGAGAGAAAGAGCGACCATGATTTATTTACTCCGAGGTAGAAAGATTCGAGGGGAAACGTGCTTTGGGGGTTTGCTTGTTGCTTTATGGAGCTGAAGAAGGACCCCTGCAACGAAATGTCGATCAGCAAACTAAACTAGTTCTCTCTTTTGACTCCGCTTGGAAGATATCGAGTCAATCAGAGGCCTATCTTTTGAGCATCCCCGTAGCGGAATTGAGAGGCCCCGGAGCTAGCCACTGTTTTAGGGCATCGGCCCATGTCCCGCTTCGCTTAAGCCCCACAGATGGGACATTTCTGCAGGTCTTTGGGGTTAGAACATGGCCATTTGGGATGATCATTACTTCTCCCATTCAAAACCGATGGAGCTCCGGACCGTCCCTTGGTTTGAATACCGGGAGGTCCCAGTCCCAACCGACCTGCATGCCCAAAGCATACCAGTCACATCGGCCGCCACCTCGTGCAGCCCTATTTCTTGGCGACTTGGAAGTTGGCACATCTCCTGAGGCGAACCCGATCACCAGCAGTCAATTTGGTTTCGGGTGAATCTAGATGTACCTTCTACCATAGCTGCTCAGGAGTTAGGAGTCAGGTGGTATCCTAGGCGAGCTCTGATCAATTACCACAAAAGACCCCTGACCCCCACTAATTCTCCGAATGTGGATTTCCATCAGATCCGAGGTCAAATCTATGGTCTAAATGGTTTTCGGGCCGATGGCACCATCGCTCTTCATTGGCCATGTTTCTCATATTTCAGTTGGATATCCTGGATCTCGGGGTTCTGCGGGGGAATATGGAGCCTCGTCTGCACGGGAGTACAGCATTGTTCTCGAATTGGCGTGGTTTATATGCTGCAACGCCGACAGCCAGTTCATGCTTTTTATCTCCATCATGACTGGTACCTGACGCAGGTAGTTGATGGCGATGGCAGCATCGTCGGAACCCCTGAGGCCAAATCAGGCCATTGACGATGTATAAAGCCCAAACTCAATTCAACTGCTTTCCATGGCTTTCGCCGCCACAATAAACGGTGATTTGACTTGTATCTATGAAGGCCGAAATAAAAAGAGTAACGCCGAGTACTCGATATATCCCCTCTGGTTTAATCCTTGGGCGGTTCTCTTCCTTCCAACGTCCAGTTCTCAACAAACATCGACACAGCCATGACGGATATTGCTCATCCTGGAGGATTAGGCCTGCCGGATGTCGACAAAGGACCTAAGATTATCATAGCCACGGCTATCACAACTGCCGCTGCATTATTGTCCAGGTGCGGATACATCATAACTATATTAATAGATGCCTTATGAGGCTTCCTTTGCTGACCTTGTCCACCTCGAGTATGGCATAAGGCAAGGTTTGGGGACACCCCCCAACGGTCGATAGTACCACCCCCATTAGTCCTAATATGGCAAGGGCACTTTTGTCTACATGATATTCTCCACCAATCACATCCCGAGAATCTTAACTAGTCACAGAGATAAGTAGACTAGATTCAGTCTGATATCAAAATTGAACAATTCGGCCTTGAGATGAATAAGATGTAGGGCAGTATCAATTGATGCGACTTTTCGCCCAAAACCTCCATCCAAATTATATACAATGTGAGGGCGAAGAATTGATGTACTGGCTAGTACTGAACATGTCCAAGGTCCAATAAATCAGATGATTGATTAAAGGTTCTTACATCCGTTGAACGATCTCAGGGGTCTATACACAACACTGTACCTCCGAGTCTGCCCGGAATACCATGCTAATACTACGGGGAATTGGGTGAACGATGAATAAGCCTGTCCCGAAGCTGTTATGTACGAGCACTCTGAAGAAGATTAGCTTTGGTAATGTCTTGAATATCGGAGAATAGACCCACCTTCCACGGCATGAATTTATGAGTAGTTCGACGTAGCTTGCCTCCATGTTCCTGGCGAGCCATTTGAAGCCAATCAAGTCCATGGCCATCGGCATGGTTTGAGTTGCTATTATGACTCTTGAAAGCAGCGTCCTCTAAAGAAATCTTGATTTTTTCATCGTTTGCGATACCAAGGACTTCCATGACGTCCTCTAGATTCCTGTCTTTAGAGGCAAGCTTCTTGTGGTGGTCGCTGATGCCGGGTCGAAATCTGAGGTGCACTTCTATGTGCCCGAGTTTCGCGCCGTTCTCCCGCTCACAGTTAGCTTCTGCTCGCTTGAGGTTACCTTTCCACACTGGCAAGGTCATCGTCTTCTCCTCGTCATCCGGGATATCTTTGAGCCACATAATAGCGAAGGTTGGAATATGATGGTGGATGCGATTGCTTTCTTGGAACTCAACAACAAGGTTGGAGCAGTAACGCTGTTGTACCGCCAATTCAACGGGCTGACCATAATTGCCACTCCAGCCATCAAGTTGTACCCTCATTTCATCGCTCTGGACTGAAGTATGTAGTTTCAGTCCAAGTCCCTTGTAATAATCGGGCAAGTCGTCCGAATTGATAATGTGCGTAATCTGAAGAGTGCCGTATTCCCAACCTAGAAGTTCTCTAGGGGCTTGTAATTGTATCGATCGAAATATCATCGAGATGCGAACACGACCATGACCTACAACGATAAATTAGTCGGAACGGACGTATAAATAGTGCAAACTCACCAATGCCGCCGGATAACGAGAAATAATCATTGACTTGAGATCTTTGCTTGAAGGTCTCTGCGAGTGGCAAGACAACCATTCCAACCAAAGGGTCGTGTCCATGCATGCGCATATCACGCACTGAAAGTATCACCTCTGTAGTCCGCCAGTCGCGGATGAATCGTTCTGCCCCAACATTGAACTGTACTCGAGTCAGTTCAGTACCACACTGTGGATAAATAACAGCAAGTCTGTTCCATGCGTGCAAAGTTCACGTGAAGACCCATCCACAAAACGGCCAATCCCTGTACACCAGGAGATTTTGTTCCGATGCAAGGTCGTAAACGATTTGAAAAAGGGACGACTGGGATAGGCTCATAAAGAAGGAGACATACAGATGGGTTTGCACTTTTAGGTTTCGTCCGCGTCTTGAAGATTTTCTGCTGATTCAAGATAATAGCGCAATAGCTGCTGAGCAGGTCGTCACCTGCTTGGCCTTCGTCTTCGAAAACGCCATCCACTTGCTTTCTCTTCACTTTTTCAATCCCTAGGCCAAGAATTTGATGAACCTGAATTGCGAATATGCCGCTAGGATAATCGGGGGAGGGTGGAGATGAGATTATTAGCTCATCTTCTCTGGCCTGCGCAGAATCAGTAAGTATAAAGACAAATTCACTTCAGTGCAATGGCTTTTACCTTAGGATCTTGCATTTCCTGCTGTTCAATCTCATGAAATTCTTCTTTCCTTGCTTCTAGCATCTTCTTTGTCGCCCCTCCTGCTACCAAATTGTTCTTGGGATCATCGATGCTTTCGGCATCATGATTATCAAGCTGAGTTGGTTGAAATCCTCTTTTAGAGCAGTAACCCAAGCTCCAATCGAGAGTGCATGGTATATCCCCTTTGGTACTGATTTTTTGTAACTTGTCTCGTCGAACCCACATCTTTCCATTCGTGCGAGGGTTTTGCATGACCTCGTTGAGTCCAATATCTATAAACCCTAGATCGTCGTCAGTTGCGGACGAATTGGAGTCCCATAGCTGCACCCCTGTCAAAGTTAGATCCCGAACACGCAATGAAAGAGCGAATAGAAACCCCACTTAGTCTTTCCTGTGCATTCAACTCTTTAGGCCCGATAAGAATATAGCCAGTCTCGTCCCAGCTCGGCTCCATTTCCGACATAATCACTCTGGTCGTCCACACAGTCTTTCCGAACTTGGTCCAGCTGACGGAGACATACGAACCAATAGACCCTTTCTTCAGCCTAAACAAGCCCGTATCACTTCCCTTGAGTCCTGTGGCCTGCTTGATCCGGACGACAATCACACCGTGAGTGGTCGTGTCTTTCTTAAAGTCTTCCGCCATAATCATGTCCTTTAGATCGAGCGTCAAGCTCTTGGGAGCGACATAGTCGGCTATTGCGGCATCTACCGAAGTCTGAACGAAGCTAGAAATAATCGGAAGATTCATGATGTTAAGCCCATGCTTGAACATGGGCATGCACGATAGGTTGACCTTGGGTTGCCCCATGAAAGTAATAGTACTTTGAGAGAGAAAAGGAGGGTCAGGTATGAGTTGGAGTCGGAGACGGAGCATCCCCACGATGCCTTCCACGCCAACCCAGACGGCTAAAGAAAAGACGATGAGCTTGTATGTCACCAAAAACTCGAAATAAGAGGACAGAAATACTTACGAAGGCGTATACCTGCCGGTAAATACATGGCCAGAAAGAGGTGAGCATTCTTAGCCTTCGTACTGAAGTCACTAGCAGCAGGCCTCGCTCTGTACGCAAAGGCAACCTCGAGACTGACAAAGTCTCCTTCCTCGGATTCCACGACTTTCATGAGATCTTCTTGTTCCTTTTGCGGTGCATACTTGGTGCACTGGCCGTGGTCCTGGTTCTGCCGCTGACTGTTGGGATCTTTATACAATATGCTTTCTTGGGAGTCACTCTCCCTGTGAACATTACTGTAGCTTGAGATCGAGTAGGCAGTTGTATCAGGTGGAAGCCATCGTACCCCCAAGATGCGAGGTGCTTCGCTTCCTTGACCTAGGTCTTCAATGTTTATCATGTTGACCAGCTTGGGTAGACTGGCTTGCATGGAATCCTCCAGAATATCTGCCAAGCTTCCGAACAGGTCTGGATTGACCAGCGGCCATATTGATGCCAGGAGAGAATTCAGCCATTCTGTTGACTCAGGTGTATGAGTGTCTGCATTCTCTCTCCCCCCTGCATCTTACTTTTCCGGACCTGGCCCTCCCAGAAGTCGTCAACTTTGCTTTCTACCCAACGGCGAAAGACCCATACCCCGAATACGAACACAACTGCTTCCAAGGTAATTGTTACCAGCATGACAGTAGCGTGCGGTCTTTGGCTGACCTCATCGGAACTCGATGACTTCTTGCTGACGTCGAAGAATTGCACGAAAAGAAGACTCAGTGCCATGAGCAAGAGAATAATTGCCATTCCGGCGTTGACTGCGAATCGGAATTTTCTGATCAATTCGGTTTTCGCATACTCGTAGCTTGAAGCAAATAACCCCTCATGCGGTTCTTCGCCCTCCAGAGTTTTATCTGACTGAATTTTGCTCTTCCGATATTCTCCAACGTCGCTCTCTCGTGGCTGTTGGCTGCCAGTCGGGGGCATTGTATCAAGAGCATTCTTGAGCTCCTGGCTTGTAAAGTCATGTATCATGACTGGAAGATGTGTAATAGGATCGGTGACTTCTCGTTCCGAATCGGCCACCTTCCCATGATTTGCGTTACCCTGTTTGTATTTTGGGCCTTGTTCGCCCGATGGAGCTTGCGACGTGTTCACTCCATGACCCTGTCCTTGAAGAATTTCTGTCTCGCCTCGCTCCAGCTTGCCATCTTCAGATTTGTCAAACACAGCCTGGTCCTGGTGTAATTCTGTTGTGTCATGTGGGAGACCACGCTCATTTTGAAGTCTACCTTTGTCTGCTTCATCCTTCTCGTCCATGATTTCGTTGGATTTAGCAGTGCTTCCGATCTGTGTTGCTGGTGTTGTTGCCGGTTTTGGTACCGTGGGAAAGTGTGCAATGGAGAGGTTATGGTGAGGAGAGAATCAGCACAGCACTATGGACCCAGCTATGCACGCTTCGTTTGAAGCCCTCGATTCTTGTCGTACTCCAACGGTGTTTGGAACCGCTCAGAGAATCAACTTAGATATAGTAGCGGAGGCTCGTGGGGTTTGTATCTCCCAATGCGAAGCAGAGGCAAGTGAAGATGAAAAGAAGCCTTTGGTCTTTTACAATATTGATAGGAGAGGTCTACTGTGGAGCTGTAGAGTGCTCTGGATAATATCGTATGCGTCTAGTTGTGGAGAGATATCTACAGGTGAGGCTAGCTAATGTGTGCGGGAGCAGGCGAGGTCACGTTACCTCTAACAAATATGCAGCTCCTTACAACTGCATAAAAAATTGACAGCAGAAGGATGCTCCAGGTAACGCGTACCACCCCGCGAAATGACGTTTCCGACTCGAGTGTGGGTTCTTCAGGTGGACCGAACCACCCAATCAAGCCTTGTATTCCCACGTCATTGTTATCTTCATCGTCATCTCACAACTTTGACCACTTCCAACTTTCTTTGACCTGTCTCACCCATCCAAAATACCTGGTGCTGTGGGTCTAAGGCCAGCTGTCTCGGTATCTTGGTTGACATCGGGATATGGATGCTTCATTTTCACCCTTTCTTTGTAGGTTAGATAATCGCCCAATCATTTGCATTGGAGGACAGAAAAATACCTATGCCTACCACATAAATTTGCAACGAAATTCAGTCCAAGCAACGGATCTATTTGACAATGAAAGGAGTGAAGATGGTGAGGATAGTCACGGGAAAATCAATGTAAGATCGGTGGCGTCGGGCTGGTATGGCCATTGCCATTCCCATAGCGAGGCTACACAGCGTCCAATTCTGCTGCCTGCCAGAACGATCCTCACTTAGTTGATCCTCAAGGGCGCGCAACTATACAAGTAATCTCATAAATCGACAATGCTGGCCGGGCGACATTATAATGTACTGCCAAACTCAAACCTCGTTTCAGTTATTATCTCATGATCGGTCATTATATAAGGTTGCTAGTCCCCTGCAGTAAGGTCAGTACATACACAATAGGTACCACACCCACGGCGCAAGTGGGAGCTCACGGTATCTGCGCCAGCCAGGCCATGGATTCTGAAAATCACTTGATTGAGCAAAGTCTCGGTACCGCTTTACAAACGAAGAAGCTGTCAAATGGGCGAAGTCAAATCTCCGATGAAAGCTACATTAGTTGCATGATCCTGTTTTTACTCGTTTCGGGCACCTCCCCAGTGAATTATACCACTGCCGTCGAGAATGAAACAGAGCGGCCAGTGGGAAAATTGACGGCGACAATGCCCAAGCTTCACCGTCCACCTTTGGACCTAGCATTTCCTCCGATGACTTTGGTGTCGAATCTTTTGGCCCGAACACAGTCTACTCAAGTTCCGCAGGGAAGAACGGGAGATTGCAAGATTACGTTCCCTATCAAGAAATCTCGGCTACGATTAGTGGACACGAGTCAACTTTTGACTAAAATTCAAAATTTGAAGAGACGAGGCTGGCCCAAGCTGAAGAGATTGAGCCAAGCTGTTCATCGCAATCCATGATGGATTTCGCTTCTTCATGCGCACCTATCATTATTACAATCTGAGCTCGAATAACGGACTCAAAACGACTCAATGAAGACAATTGCGTGCAAGCAGGAGCTGGCTGAAACTCACTTTGCCCCGGGCCGGATGTATCTAGTTGGATCTTTTTTGATCCGGCATTATCTCAAGACACGGAATAAGGGGCCAGTTGATGGAAATAGGTTGAATATTCCAGATTTGGCCGCTCTGCTGATTGACCAATTCCATTGCCTACACGCGTGATATTATCCATTTTGTGTTCTCTTGGCTATTTTGGGTGGGAGTGCTGCCGACATATTGTTTTATGGGTCATGTTAGTAGACTATACCTCTTCCATAGAAATAGACCGAACAATGGTTGAATTACGGCTGATACTGCCCTTGATAGTACCAGGAGCGCGGACTTGAATTGTCGCGCTATATATTGCAAGAAGAATATAGAAATTGGAGAATAGTTCGAGTCATCAAGTTCGTGATGACTATCAGACTTACTGTCTGAAATGTAAGGCAGGAAAGTGTAGATAATCAACATTAGTGCCGAGCTTATACCAAGCTTGTTCCATTCCATGGAATGGATGTCCTCCCAGCGGCGGACTACATTGCATCTCATTAACTTAGAGCGCACAACTACCTTACTTATTTATGATGAATCCATCTAAAGAATATATACTATAGATTGCATAATTCAGCTTGTTTTTCCCAGGATCAATACTTCGATAGACTTATTTACCAATAAGCGAAACAGATTGATACATGCTTTGTGATATAATAAATGGATAACAGAATAGGTAGCTTTTACACGTCTCACTCACGCCGTCCATAGTCGATCGTACTCCAGGCTTCCCCCGTACTCATTACAAGCCTTCTCCTTGGCGACCATAAAGTTTGGGTGTGGTGATTCGAGGCGGTCCAAGCAGTACACTTTTTATCCCGATGTTATAACAATATTGCAGAATTGAGCTCGGGGAACTGGATATTTACCTTTTGCGCCGGCTTCGATCAGTGCTTCTGCCATCGACAGCCCCAGGCTGCGTCCGCCACCGGTGGCGGCATTCGTCGTAACAGTATTTGGTACAAAATCTCTAGGGGTCACAGTGACTTTATTACGAGCATCTAAAACGCGTTGACAATATTCTGATTTCGAACCGGCGCATCATACACGCTTTGTTAAAAAGTATCGAGACCGTATTTCCTCCTGTACTTTGTAATCATAGACGAATATGTCGGTCGAGCACGACAGCCTCAGCCTTGTTTCGAATAGGCGCAGATCGCTTCAATAACTGGCTGCCTAGTATTCCCAAAATCAAAAACTTGAGCATGATCCAACTGCTCAAACCACAGCAGCTCAAGGCCGTATCCAATCCAGGGCCTATTCTTCCATGGCTGTGCTGCTTCTTTGTCAATTGCCCGGACTTCTGATGAACCCATCAAGTACTGTCCCACTGTCTCGGTGTCCACGATCAAATCTTTCCCACTTAAAACAACTGTAACATTTCTACCTGCGTGTTGGTCTTTTTCGGCTTTTATCCCAAAGTCTTCCTTCCAAATGATGTTGTCAATCCAGGAGAATCTTTTCGCCAACGTATGCGCAACTCCTATGTCTTGACTTCCGAAATACCATAGCTGGTATTCATTGGCCCTTGCTGGCGGGCGGGCTATGAAGTTGTATGCCACGTCAGGTAGATGAAGAAGGAATGATACCGGATCGATGAAGACCGTAGGCCCGATGAGCGGGGCAAACTGATCGGACTTATGAAGGTGTGCAGCGATTATGGAACCATATGAATGAGACACAAGCACGAACTTGCTCCATCCATGATACCGAATGATCTCCATGATCTCACACACCATCACCTCTTTTTCGAGAGCAGGATGGGTTATCCGAGAGCTTATCGGCATGATTTCAAGTGCGATGATGCCGACCTCACTATCGGCGGTTGTTCCCGCCTGTAGTTGCTCAACTAAGTCTCGGAGAAATATCGTGTAAGGGTACAAGCCAATTCCGATACCATGTATGAATAGTACCGGTAGCCGTTTCTTAGACGTATGCCGTCGATGCCAGTATGTGAGATGCCGCGCCGGGGATCGGTAGGCCGTGAGTATCGTGAGAGGGCGAAACGGAAAGAGGGTAAAGAATCGCGAGAGCGAATTGCGATAGAAGTGAAATCCATTGTATAGCATCGTGCAGTACATTATTGTGTCAACCACAAAGACGCACTAAAGTGAATTTAATAATGTTAGTTTGAAAGAGCTATGTCATACACACACAGAGAGAGAGAGAGAGAGAGAGATAACTAACACCATACCATAACAGACTTCGATGTGAGCCACCTGCTTCATTTAAAAGCCGTCCTAGGCCTTTCACATCTATCCTTCCCGATGACAGTTTTCGTCCAATCAGCTTCTCAAGTTCTGTTGTGTAGGCCTCAATTTCCCGCTCATTCTGCTGGTCTTGCTCCTGGGTATGTTCGGGTCCAAACAATGACCATCTGATAAAGTCTTTCACGTTATCGCGCTTTATGCATTCGGCATCTGAAACCATAAGCCACTGGCTGAGGTATTTCTCCAGATTTGGCACAGACTTATTGCACTTCCTAAACAAGTTCTCTCTGAACTCCGCAGACAAAGACCTGTGGCAGATAGGAGAATGGTAGAGAGTGTATGTAAGTGGTATGTAGACAGTTGTAAAAAAGACTGCCTCTGCAGTGAGCCAAATTTGGACAGCGTAGGGTGTGCGTTCAGCATAATTTGGCAGATGAAAGAATTGAACGACCAGTAATTGAATGCAGTATAAAACACTGATTGGTGCAATATTGTGAAGAAACAGGATGCAAATCCGAATAAAGAAGTACTCAGCTGTAGATGTTCCAATCATGGTGACTTTTGATAACGTGTCTATATAATATATATTGATGGTTACATGGTAGAGAAAAAGCAGAGTTATATAGAGAACAATGGCCTGCTCAACAAATTTTTTTGGTCTGGAGAGCCTTTGTTGAATTTAGCATATTGACATGTGATTTCATGTATATGACGTCATATAAGTCGGTATTTCCCACCAAGGTTGGATCAACGTATTTCACATGCGAGCCGCCCACAAGCAAGCCCCACCCCAAACCACCGGATAAATAGATACATGCGAATATTCTCCATTTATATCTCAACAATCAGGTTTTCATTTCATCTCCTTATTTGTCGGTAGTCATTGATAAGACTTATTAGCACTACATATCAATCCTCAAAGATTGTTTTTCTGCCGAACCAAGAACGGTGAAAAAACCACTATCCGCCAATCCAAGGCGATTCTGGAATACTTCGAGGCACGGTTCCGGGATACTGCACCACTGTATCCTCCCGCAATGCAGGATCGGGTGCTGGTGCGAGACCTAGTCAATGTTATCGCTATTGATACGCAGCCCCCAATGAAATCTCGCATAGCGCAGCGGGTGGAATCCGTTCGAGGATAGCTCGATGATCAGGTCGATTTCGTTAAACAGGTCTTTACTGGTGAATTTCGAGCGTATGAGAATTTGCTCGAGCAGGCTGGAGAGGGGAATTTCTCTTTCGGTGCCATCAGTCTCCATGGCTGATGTGGTTCTGGTCCCCGCTGTTGATCAGGCTCTGATGTACAGATGGGATCTAGACTTCGTGCCTGATGTCAAGCGGGTCTGTCTCGCTCTCAAGGAATCGGAGCCTTTCAAGGCTGCGGATTGGCGGAATCAAGGGGATACACCGACGAAATTTCGTATCCGTGACTGTTAGGTTTTAACGAATTGGATTTAGTCAATGCTTTGCTACACTGTCTTTTCGTGTGTACTATCATATGTGGGGAGAGTGAGATGGCAACAAGTTTTAGGTTAATGTTTTGAAGATTATCGGTACATGTGTAACAGATAAGTCTTGTGGGAACGAAGAGAGACAAGGATTCAAGCGTGGACGCGTAAGCCACTAGTTCTTTGGTTTTTTAGTTGGTGGATGTTTTTGTAAAGCGGGCCTTACGTTACATGCACTAGTTGTCATACTAAATTCAGAATGGAACTTCCAAAGACAATTCCATTCTCACAACCACGCGCATCCTGGAACAGCAGCTCCCCGACCAGCAACAGCCTTCTCCCCAAACTTCTCAACGTACCACTTCCGACCCCAGCGCGCATGCGGCAACATGTTTGTAACAGCATTGACAACAAAGATCACAGCGGGTAGAGGGAGGGGGACAGAAAGTTTACCAGCAGCCCAAGCCATTGGTATCAACCAGGGTGCAAGACGCAGCGGAGGAGCGATAGCGACAGAAGACACCGAGGAAGACGCAGACACAGGCAAAGCGGAGAAAGGCGCTACTGCCGTACCGGCGAGAGAAAATCCTGTCCACTCGAGCCATTCGAAGACGTAGTGCGGATACAAGATGTATCGGAAGACACCACGAGCAGGCGGGATAACATAGACCTTATGGTACTTGTTTCCAGTATTTCCAGCTTCACCAGCCAGTTGAGAGTCATCTGTCTTTTTGGAGACACGTTTTTCAGCTTCTTCACGACGAAGCCGGAATAGTGATGTCTCGGAGTAGATAATATCAGGTCAATTACAACCAAAATTTTAGTATTAATTCAATCCAATATTCCAGGCCTCCACATTTGCAACCTGCGTGTTCGGCATTGTCTAGTAACTAAGTGATTGTTCACGAGATGTTTTCTACCACGCGCAGGTGGCGCACAGTGAGCCCGTTCGCAATGTACTTGGAGAATGTGGAATTTAGATGTATTCTAGTGATGACCTCAAACACGAAGCTGCTTACTAGGTACATAAAATCAGATCAGACGAAGGCAATGTTCTTGGCGGTTACGATGGTTCCAACATGGACAATTCAGCTAACATTCTGCAATTCAAACCCGCCAAGATACTTTTGTGTCTTGTCTAGTTATAGATTATGCACGATTAACAACAACGTCTTACTACGCTGACTATTGCATTCATCTCGGCTGGCTTTTGGTGCAGCCCAATTCGCATACCAGCTTAGGGAAAAGCATGCAATGAGCCAAGTTTCGGTCAAAGGCTAATGAAATATTGTGGCATCGATCATGAGGAAGGAAAGGAGACTTGCAGTACCTTTCAGGATGAACATGAATTTGCTGCGGAAATAAGGGATCGTCAGTTCACTACAGTGTGTCTACTTTAATGACGGGTCAAGTCCGGGCTTTCTCGCTCTTGCTAGTGCATCTTCAGAAAAGTTTGTGAGAGAGAGAGGGAAGAAATGCTGGAATTGCTGTACTTCCTCAAGTGCCGACAGAGATTGAAGAAAGCCAAATTACCAGAAAATGACAATCTTGAAAGAGCAAACAGTAAAGGCAAAGAAAAGGTAGACAAAACAAAAACATACAACAGTGAGGATTCGCTGGTGGTCACCCACCCAACTACTAACTCACCGGCGTGTGGCTTAAGTACGGCTGAGCGGACGGGAAGCCCTGTTTTCCACACCCTATGGTCGTATGTACTGGGTAGCATAGTCAGCAGTATTATATTTAAGACGTGGCTGAGTGAACTGGATTGTAAGGGTGTGGACTCTGGAGGGTTGTAGGATAGGCGGACCAGGGTTACCGCTCAGAGTAATAGACCATTCAAGAGGCATGGTTACTTGACAGGTACTTTTAGCTTGTCTGGCTGAATTATGACCAGGACTCAATGAATTGTCAAAAATAGAAAGCAAAAACAAAAACAAAAACATACAACAGTGAGGATTCACTGGTGGTCACCCACCAACTACTAGCTCACCGGCGTGTACGGTGTGGCTTATGTGCGGCCAGTAGCTCGGTGGGTGTCGCCGGGGTGAGAAATTGGTGAGCGCCGCTTTACTGTCGCGCAACTGGGGGTGACAAGGGTGAGTGCACTATAAACGGAGTGCGGGTTCTGGTGCTCTAACCTCGTTCCTGGGAGTCAAATGACCCCACTTGATAGGGTCAATTCAAGTAAACGGCGCCATCCGCATCTTTAATTTAAATGTGTTCTTGTAATTTTGAACTGCTCGATCTCATCCTTTCTCAATATTTTTGCTGGCTGTTAGTGATTGATACAGTAAACTCTTACTGGACAGGATGGAGGTGCTTCAATTGCTTCCTCCGACTGCATAATCATATCTTCGACGAGTGGGAACGCGAACATGCCATGGATTAAACAAATACACACTGGGAAGTGGCTATCCTTGGTCAAGAGTAACATTTCATTATGGCTGGAGGAAAAATAAGATTTGCTGACAGAGGATGTTGGGGGCTGGTAATTCAATAGGTTTTAGCCAGATTGGATAGGCGATTGAGGGGAGCGGTGATTTGATAGGGTAGTTAACCTGGTCAACCAATTCCTATGCAAACAATTATTTTTTACAGTAATTCGACCGGTCTGACCTCACAATTTGATTTGTTTGGTCACACTAAGACATCAGAGAATTGTGATGGATGGTGTGCAAAACGAGTAACTACAAACAACTGTTTACTTTAAACCTCGGCTGAGCAGATTGTTTGTTCATTTCATCGGATTTACATTCCACTCTCCCTGCCATCACTTAATTACCTGTTTATTGTTATAAATCTCTAGTTGCTCCATGCAATCAACCTTTCAATTAACTTGAAAAGCTATCCGCACTTTCCTGCCAAAAATTAATTTTCCGACTTCCCAGCCACTTTATTGACCAGAGCAGTAGCCAGCCCTACTTTGCTGTTTTGTTCCTTTGACTTTATCTCTCTGTATATTATTGTATGTATCTCAGCAACCTTGGCATTCTGCTCGTACGGTACACCCCCCCCCCTTGGCATTTCAATAATGAGAATGTCTCCTGAGATAGTAAGATCCCAGAGACAAAAGTAACAATGTCCGGTGGCGTTTTGAGGGTTGTTAATTGATGGTGCCAAGAAGATGCGACTCGTTTTTGCTTTGCCCCACCCTGCGTTGTTGGGCAGATAGCTTTGTCATCCTCCATATGGTCATTTTTCTTGCCGCTATGTGAAGCTTTTTCAATTTTATGGTGCGTAGTATTATATGTTTTGTCCTGAATTCAGATGCCGCTTAGCTATTTATCCTTTACTGACCACTTGGCCACTGGGCGATCGTACATGTCTACTTGACCACTTGGCCACTGTCACGATCAAAAACAAAATAAGATTGTTGTATCAATTACGAGAATACTAAAGCTGAAGAATAGAAAGAAAGGAAGGAAAAGCGGGGCACGGCCTCAACTAAAATATCAGCCCGGCAGAATCGCAACCCTCCGCCTAGGCTTAGACCGTCACAGCCACTTGACCACTTGACCACTTGACCACTTGACCACACCCGTTTGACAACGACGTCCACGGCATGTGTAATATAATGTAAATATACAGAGCTAGTGAAAGAAACTATTGGGGCGACAGGCGAGATTGACGTTGCGATAGCAAATCCAGAGCTGATTCCATGATGGTTCCATTAACCAGGTGGAAATTGAGGCAACATTTGCTTATCGATTGCTGGAACCATAACAGCAAAATCCGACATTGAAACTAAATATACAAGAATTGGTGTAACTTAATGTATGAAGGTCTACTGATTGAATATTCAAAGGTCATCTTGGTCATAGCCTCTCGATATCAAGGCGCGCAAAGATCGCCATGATGGCAGTATAATCTCTAATTCTATCCTGCAAATGGGAAGCAGTCACAGCCAGATCGTCTGCGGAAGGGTCTGGATGGTCTTGCATCAACGAAAATGACGTCCTTGGGTAATATCAGTTACGAGACTCGAAATCCGTTCAAACAGCCTACCCCAATTTTCATTCTGCTGTCCATCCTGGGTTTCTGCCTTCTCCTGCCTTTAAAAGCCGACGCAATGTTCGCAGAAAAGCTCAACACTATGTATATATGAGCGTCATGCACCCGAAGATCCTGGAGGCACTCACTTTGGAGATGACTAGACTGGCCCTGTCAATACTGCACTCACTTTCTAGCGATCGAATGGTTCTCCGGGGCGACACGGACAGCTTCGCACTGAAGATTCGGTATTGAATTCAGATGACCCCATCCTTTGCTGAGATCGATATATAGATTTATATTCTCTCGGAGGAATACGGTGTGACATCGACCTCTAAAAGCCAGAATAGCTCTCAAAAGCAAGATTCAAAGCAACACAGTTCATGAGTCGGTATTCGTTTGATGGAGCGATTAGGTGAAATACGATGACTCTTGATAGATATCGTAGGCCAAAAGGAATATAAGCTGCAATGGCACCATACGATAATGGTATCATACATGATCATACCTGTTTTATGTCACTCTGAAATTACAGATGTTCTAAGTATTGTGGCTTATCTGTTTCAAAGCGGGGGCTATGCAGGTTGAATAAAACCAATGTAATTACCTTACACCGGTAAATAATGCGCAATTGTATCGAATACAAGCCCAGAACATAGCTGACTAACCTGATTACCGAAATGGCCAGGCTATCTTCAATAGAGTCTCAAGGCGTAATTGCACTTTCACGCGTCGGTTTTCTAGGTTCTAATATGTCTCCTGAGATGTCCTAGGCATCTGGAAGTAGGTTGTCGCGCCTTGCCCATATATCGCCTGTTTGAGCCAATCTCACACACTAGACTGCACCGGGGGCTGTGCTTCGGAGAATTATTGTCACGAGCCAATTCTTGATGAAAAGAGTGCTGTCATTCAGAATACTAAACGTGAGGGAAAGAGAAAAAAGGAAAGCAACTATCTGCGATGGGCCTTTTATCTATCATGAGGCTTTGTCCACTCTTCCTTTGTCCTGGATCTCATAGCACGTGACAATTATGGGGACAATTGAGAAGGGATGCGAACGTTACGAGAGTATTCGTTATCGTAGTGGTGATAGAAGGGGCGAGGACTCATTTTCAAGTGTATATGTGGCATCTTCAAACTGTCTCTTTCGGTTGCGGAACTCCACCTGGGACCTTCTGAGTCTCTGAAGGAGTACTATTGTACCATATAAATCTCATCTAAATAAGTAACATGTAAACCAAGTTCGTGAAAGGCTCAGATATCTCACAGACATTGGTCTATGTCGATGCCTGGCATTTGATGGAGAAGAACGGGCGTCGCGGATCAACTCACTTGCGTGGAAGAGGCTATCGTTGGTTCAGCTCAATCGGGGAAGCACACCATTCGCGTCTGGGTAAATGACAAAAAGAGCATGTGCAAGTACTGTGGGCTTTAGTACATGTAATCAGACCGAAAAATCAAGCTAGGATCTGTTCTCTCTCAAATCTCAATGGATTTTACGCTACTAAATTCAGTCAGCCACAGGCCCCCTGCAAATTCTCGCGCTCCCCCTGGTAGAATAGTGAGTGTCACTTACGTCTTCCCATTAGGTCTTGGCCATATATAACAGATTCAGAGCTCAGTAATATGCAAGAAATGGCCTTGCAACTCTAATCGGATGGAATAATTGGATATCTACCAGGTTGGCGGTTTTCTTTGCAGCATCAGAAAATCTGCACGATATTTAGGTTTTTGCTCTGGCTGAGGGGCTGGAAAGAGACAGACCCCGGCGGGAATGCCGACGGTTGCTTGAATTTATGAGCAGTCTCGAGGAGAAATGCTTGAAACTTGGATATGTTCACTCTAGGAGGGATCAGTGTTTCTTTTATATTCTTTCGACTCTCAGCATTAGCGGCCACAGTCCCCGCAAATTCCAATCACCGGCACTTGAGCTCCTAGGGTCTATACTCATCTCACCAATCATATTGTCGTGGCACGGAGGGCCTGGGAGCTCCTAGGAAGGCCTATTAGGCTTCATTTAGTTATGATGAGGGATTTCTAAGTGCTAGATAGAATACCAGGTAAATGAGGAGGCACAAATTCCGTCATGGGCAGGTAGATCATCCAGTAGCATGACCGGTCTAGAATATTTTTGTGAATGTCCAGGTCGCTAGAGCTCAATCGTACTCCTTTGTTCCTAGGAGCAAGTGGCGGCAGCAAGAGCGATAGTTCGTTAGGAATCAAGAGGAAAAAAGAATCAGAATAAAACACTAAATTGGATTTAAAAACCATTTGATTGGACTTTTCTGAGATATTCCTCAATATTGTAGAACCAAAATTGGGGGTTGGATATTTCCCGCAACTATGTAGAGATGTGAATGTGAGACTTGACGAGTTGAATAGTGGCATAGCCGCAGAATAGTAATGCCAACAAATGCGGGCCCACTGTGCATTTGCCTCCCAGCTAGAGGCGAAACAACCAGGATCGACCGCCACATTGATAACGCTAGCCTTTCGTTAAGGGGACAACGGTCAAGAGTGCTGGGTGAACGGCTGCATTGGGACGGGGCGAGCGTGGTGCATTTTATTGAGGTGAGCTGCTGACTTAGCTGCTCCAACTTTGCTCAGGCGACGCTCAGTGAGCGACTTCATCCGGCTTACGTAATGATCAGGCGATGCTCAGTGAGCAAGTCAGAGTACTCAGGTCACGCTCAGTGAGGAGGATCAGGCTCCTCAGTGAGCAAATCAGAGTACTCAGGTCACGCTCAGTGAGCGGGTTCATCCGGCTTATGTAATGATCAGCCGATGCTCAGTGAGCAAGTTTCATGATTATGTAATACTCAGGGACGTGCTCAGTGTTACTCAGTGAGCAAAAGGCGGCAAGGGGTGAGCACTAAAGCGGAAATGGAAAGCCATGTCGGGCGGCCTAAAATCTGGTGTATATGTGGTTTTAGAAAGGGTTTCTACATGTAGTTTCGGTCCAACTCGAACTGAACAGTCCGTTCAAGAAACGATGAAATGCATTGTAATCTCTATCTGCAAGTCAAAACCAAGCCACAATCACTTTACACCCACCTTCTATATACAAGCACAAACAAAATACCTAAGAACGAGGCAACAATCCCCTCGCCTCAATCCCCGCCTGAACAAGCCGTGAAACCTCCTCAGGAGAAAGATCAGCCTTGACCGTAACAACCTTATCCTTCTTCCTGAAATCCTCCACCACAGGCATAGAAGTCTCAACAAAAGTATGGAACCTCTTCCGAATAGAAGCAGCATTATCATCATCCCGTCCACTCGTCTCCCCCCTCTTCAAAAGTCTCGTCTCCATAACACTCTCCGGACAATCCAGGAACAACACAAGCTCCGACGGACAAACCGTCTCCTCAAAGAAAACAGCCTGATCCAGCTTGCGCGGGAACCCATCAATCAAGAAACGGGCCTTTGTCCCCGCAGCCGGCGGCGAGGTCGACAGCGTCTCGGCCATTGCGTTCGACAGCAGCGCGACGGTGACTTCCATGGGAACGATCTTGCCTTCACGGATGTAGTCGCGGATGAGGTCGCCGTATTGGGAGCCGGAGCGGACCTGTTCGGCGCGCAGCAGGTCGCCGGCGGAGAGGTGGGTGAAGCCGTAGGATTTGACCAGGTTGGCGGATTGGGTGCCTTTTCCGCTTCCTGGGCCGCCGAGGAAGAAGACGACTGTTACGTCGTTCGGGGAGAAGCGTGGGGTTGTCATTTTGGTGGGGGTTGGATTTGTTGTGGGTGGGTGAGTTGGGAGGGATGGTGAGGTGTGACGTTCAGGGGTGGGAATTGGGGATTTCGAGGGTTAGGTTGAGTTGTGGGGTTGTCGGTGTAGCGTTGTGGAGGGGCACCACCGGCTGTGAAACGAGTTGGTTAGATCGGGGGGTTTTGTCGGAGGGATTGTATATGCTCACGTTATTAGTTCTGGCGGGTGTTGATGCCTGTGCGGGCCTTGACGAGGTAGGCGTAGGCGCCGGAACTGATGGCTGTTATGAGGATGATGGGGATGATTGGGAAGTCGGAGCGGCTGCGTTGAGGGGCGGGAGGAGGTGTACGTGGCGATGATCGTGTTGAGTATAGGCGGTGGGGGAGAGTTGATTTCAGGTGAGGGAGGACTCGAGGCTTGGAGATGACTCCGGTGAATTGACGGGCTAGAGAGAACATAAGGATGGGTTTGGTCGTGTTTTTACTTGTTTGCAGAGAAAGAAAAAAGGAGTTGGGCCGAAATTGGATTAGCTGCTGATCGGTGGATTATCTCGATGCGTCGATGGCTGTGGCTCAGTGTGGACGCCTTCGGCTTCAGTTTGTGGCAAAGAAGCTTAGGTAAATTATCCTTGGCATTCACCTAATGCATGGTCATCGGTCTACTCACTCTACCTGACTACATACGAAATTCTCTAATATGCATAATGCACGACATACCACATCATCCACATGTCCTCCCGGCTCTGCAGACCTGCACCATGGTAGCCGCCCTAAGTTGGGCCCAAGTGGCGCCAGAGCTTGCACGCGTTTGAAGTTTCTTACAGCGTCTAACTACTAACTGAGAGCATTCTCGTGACCGGAAAAACCAACATTGCCAGGAAATGATATTTCAAAGTGAACAAATAATTTAATAAACCAACGGTCCAACTATTTCCCCCCTGCCAACGCCTCCCGTCGTCCAGTGCTCTTAGGATCGAGATAAGGCCTCTCTCCAAGACCGACAGCACGGTGACCAGTGCGCGGGCCAAGGCCCTCATAATCCCAGGTTGCTGCGTGATAAACCGATCGGTTATCCCAGATAGCTGTTGCAAAGTCAGACTTGTATTGATAACAAATATAGGAAGGGACAATATACCAAGATCGTTAGGATTTTGCCAGCGGTTGCGCACCTGCAGGTCGTGGTTCTCAACGATCAGAGTCACGAACCAATCGAGAAGATGACGGCTCTCCTCATCAGAGACACCGTTGACTCTCTGCACGTGCGAGCCCACAGCAAAGACACTCTTCCACCCGGTAACAGGGTTGGTGCGGATGACAGGGTGCACAGCTTGGAGCTCGTCTCCAACGTTTTCGGGCGCGCCGCGAGGACCAGGATGAACTGTGAAGTCGTTTTTCTTGGCAACCTCATTGAACCTAGGCTGGGCATAGGTTGCTGTCAAGGTCTCCAGGAATTTCTGGTAGGGCTCGGAGATGCGGTCGTAGACTTCATAGCCGGAAGCCCACAAGGTGTCTAGAAGGGAATTAATTACATCTGGGAATATCTGGGAAGTCAAAGGAAGGGCTCTTACCACCGCCAGTCTTTGGAAGCTCTGTGAGACGGAGGAGGGTGTAATCGCTAGGAATGGGCTCGAAGGTAATGTCACTGTGCCATTCTTTCCGAGCGCTCTGATTCCGCACGTTCCGGTCTTTGTACAGCTTTTCACGCTGTGCCGAGCTGATTACACTAATCTCGTCGTCCTTGACGCTGTGTTCCCGGCCTGAGTTGGCGATCGGGTGAATGTGCAATCCGGATGTGCTGGGCTTGCCGGAGAGCTCGCCAAGTCGTTGGATAAGCTCCTTTTGCAAGTCGTTGGTTAATCCATCTTGCTTGCGGAAGAAGACGACACCGCGCTGGGAGACTGGAACGTCCCGTCAGTCTAAGAAGAACCAACGAGAAAGACTCCGATGCAAACTTACTGGTAATGGCAAGATCCCGAAGCAGATCATCGGAATTGGGAGCGCGCAGGAAATCCTTCAAGTTGGCATTGGGGAATTCTCGTCCGATGACCGGAGTGACATCGAAAGACTCGAAAGCGTCGAGAGTTCCGCTGGACTTGAGGGGCTCGCGGGCGAGGCCTGTGAGGGTGATTTTGTCCTCAACAATGGGGACAACCGGAGTTGTGGTATTGATGATAGAAGATGCCATGATAAGTAAGGTCGGAAAGTAGTAGCGCTTGCTGGTGCTTTGCGTTGCGAGATGATATTGATATTTCCCGGGTGCGACGGTCCTTTTAACCTACCCCTATATCCCATCACTTTCTCGATGGTGCCGAATACCCGTTGACGACATTTGTCTCTTATGGGTGCTCATCCGTGAGGCCGTCCTAGGGCCTCAGGTCTGCGACGTTCTTGTTGCTAGATACGAGGCAAAGCACGTCCTGCATGATGATTGCATCCGATAACAGTAAATATGTTCTGTCACAACTAACACTCGTCATTTCCATGGAAATCATCTCAGATCCAGCCACCCAGGGATTCTACCATTATAGAATCATATGCACTGCAGGTCGCGCAAAGCAGTTCGGTGCCAATGGTAGGTCTACAGCAATGTAGGCATTTACAGGGGTATTTCTCTGGGCGACCGATATCGCTCAATCATAACGTTTTGACATGGCTGTCGTGTAATTCTATAATAATTCGCCATCCGTGCAGGTGAATTGGATATAGCCCTAGGTTATGGCGTGCATGGTGATCCTCGGACCTCGAGCACGCCATGGATGAAAGCTTTAAGCAATCTCAGGCGGGCACCAAACAGAAACGCTTTGGACTAAACCTATCAGCCAGCTAGATATAAATAGGCAAGAAGCTTACTTCTATCGGTTTAGTTGGAATAATCAATATCGTGAAGTTATCCATTGTCATTGGTAGGTATACTGTACTATCTGACTGCGGAGTATAAATGCTTGCCCTAACGGCCGACCCCGGACATTTGCCATATTCCGTCACACGTGTCAAACTCTTCAGAACATCCTACCGGCATACTCAATGGGCGAATCGGAAATCCAATCGCTTGTTCCCTTCGTCTTTGGTTGTTGCCAAGTAATGCCTCTTCTCACTGTCAGACATGGCGTTCCATTTCTTGTCGCGACTTTGATTGCGCCAGACATAGTATGTCTTAGCTAGCAAATAGATAAACACATTGGAGACCACTAGTCCTACAAGGACACTGTTGCCTCTCCGGTACCGGGGTGCATCATCTTCGTCAAATTAGCACGCGCAAACACACCAGAAAAGAAAAGGCGGGGAGTCACTAACCAGCGCGGTAGATGTTGGAAGATATGATCCCAGAGGACTGGACACACATATTGTACATGGCAGCGGAGACCGTGCGAGATCGCACAGTGTTAGAATTGCGCGAGTTCCAGGCAACTTGGATAGCGTGTGCTGGGATCTTGTGAGCTATAACCATGGGTATGTGGGCATAACCCCGAGATGGGTACAGGTAATCTTACCATTTGGAAATGCCAGTAGCAATGTCATCACCACCCAAACAGCCCATTTGTTCACAGCGTTGATGTCGACAATGTAGATGTAGAGCAGGAAAGGAAGGGCCCAAATTTGCCCGACCATAGCTGTCAACGTTAATTCACCGGTAATCTCGGAGATATAGGTAATTGTCAAGATAAAGAATATCGACAGCACCTCGCTGGGAATGACCAACAGATTGGTCACGAAAGTGTTGAATCCGAGGCCTTTCAGGGTGAGAGTCAGGTACTGCTTGGGGGTTGCCATTGGCGTTTGGAAGGTGAGCCCGATGATGTATATCGGCCAGAGATCATAGTCATTGAGACTCTTCCAAAGGAGCTTGGGCGTAATAGGCTCTCGGTTGTGCATGGTTCCTTTGCTAGGGTCCTCGCGAATTACTCGGTTGACCATGATAGTTTCCTCGCTGTATTGGATCTCATCAGTACAAGTGACCATGTTGATTGGGATATGGTAGGATATAACATACCGCGGGCTGAACCAGCCTGATTTCCCCCGAGACCAATTTGCAGTCTGGCAGGGCCCGGGGGGCATCAATACGTATGCGGTCAGCCCAAACACGAGAGTCAGAAGGCCCTGCAATGGATGTTAACAAGGTATCGGCTCGGGTAATAAGGATATGCCGACTCACCTCCAGCAAGAATAGCCAGCGCCATCCCGACTGACCTTGAACACCACGAAGGTGTAGCAATCCAAATGCCAAGAAGCCAGCAAGAATATCGGCGATATTCATGGCGGTCCAAAAGAATCCGAGTCGCAGTGACAGCTCGTGGTGCTTATAGAAGTAGGAAAGATACAATATCACCTGGGATTGTGTTAATGGGTATTCCAAAAGGGTAACGCGAAGAACTCACATCAGGGATGAACCCGCCTTGTAGGATACCGAGGAGGGCACGACACAAGAGAAATGTTGTCTTGCCATTGAGTGCATACTGTGCCATAGCAACTCCAGACCACAAGACCATTTGCGTAGGAATCCACCGATCAGGTCCAACCCATTTACTGACAAGCTGAGAAGGAAGCTCGGCACAGAGGAACGAGAGTTTGAACACTGTATTTCCAAGGTTGTAGTCTGAAGTGGTCAGCTTGTGTCAGCAGCTATCAAGTGCCGAATCTTCACTTACCATTCGTCGTCAGGTTCAACTCAGGAAGCATGTTGTCAGTTAGAGCTTGTGCCAGGTTGGAGCGGTCCAATTCCAGAGCCATGAACATAAGGCAAGCGAATACCATAATGCGCATATCAATCTTCCGAATCAATTTGTATTCCTCGCCCCATGTCCACCGGGCCGATGGGTCGAACCGGTGAAGATTCTCCCAGTCTGCTCGGGGTTGGTATTCTTTTGCAGTATCAGGGTTGTCATAGACTGAGGGTTGCGTTGCAATTGCATCCGGGTTGTAGCCTTTGCCTCGTTGGAACCAAAATCGACGTTCAGCTGATGGCTCCCCCAAAGGCAGAGTGTCCAGACTGGTAGAGGAGTCCGTCTCTGCTAGTGCAGAGATAGACTCCTCAGGTTTCTTTGCGATGAAGACTGTTGTCATCTTGTATATTAGCAATACCCGTGGCTATCCAGAGAGGTTTTGCGTTTCAAGTCCAGCTTCATCGACTTGAGAGTCCTCTGGTTTGTTATTATGCACGCGGTCTCACCATTGTCATCGGGATATGACGCCATGAATGTGTTTGATGGCAGGTCCCTGTCTTTGCCTCACGACATCGAGCCAAGTATTGAACAATCCTCATGACGATGGTGTTGTGAGGGGTTCCCGAGGATTGTTGTTGTTTAGTGTAGATGACATCTTGGTGTCTGAGTATCACATCATTGAAACACCCCAGTATGTCCGGACAGCAACTAATATCCTATGTCAGCTACTGATAGGTACAGGTTATAAACCTTTACCGAGAAAAGCGCATATACTCACAAAAAGGCTCGCTAAGAATCCCCTCATTTACGAAAGGTTCTGGGTACTGCCGAGCAGGTGTACGGTCGAAGGATCCTGCGTGGAAGGGACCACCATACCTGAGATTATGCATGGATCTTTCTGCAGAAACACGAGGAACTTTCATGGAGTTCAATCCCAATCTCCATAGATCGCTCTCTCATCATGCATCCCCGTATGTTGTAGAGAAAAGTTGTCCAGAACTCTCTGAGATGAAATCAACAGAATGCGAGAGGCTTCGACATCAAGAATAACTTTGTAACCCAACGAATCGATGATTCCGGTATGATCTAAAAGCCGGGGCATGGTTAAGTTCGGAATGACTACCACTGAGCTGGCTTTCTTTGAGCAATCTGGTCCGATGCACATGACGGTCCTCGCTGGAAGATTTGATCTGAGGACCTTACATACCTGGGACCTGATTTGAGCTTCAACGGTGGATATAAAACCACATAACATCCCAGATTGCGACGGTTTCGGAAAGAGAGTTGGCCTTGGAAATTGCATCCAGCCCCCACTAAGGCCCAGCCCCGAATGCTGATCTCCGGCCTTGCTCGATTCCAAAATTAGCATGGGCAAAGCAATGTGGCTATGATACCACAGCAAATATGGAGTGAATATTTCCCTGTCAGTGGGGAAAGCATCTATGGAGCAACCCCAGGTGAAATCTGGAGTTTGATGCTATGTATTAAGTGTTTTCAGTGTTTGGGAAGATCTTGGGCTTTCTGCACTCTGTCATGTAGGCTAAGTGCCTAAAAGTACGACTTCTAATCAACCTGCGGCTCTGAGTTGCGCTCCGTTTCTGAAGTCGTTACCCATGCTAGTCTCATATTCACTGCTTGTCTCATATGGGGGGGGGGAAGTATGACGTGAACGGAGGCTACAAATCTAGTTATGCAGGAATACTATTCTAGGCTAAATGGTTCTGTTCCATGTGTATAAGAACAGTATTGGTGCATGAAATGATTCCGAATATGGGTGAGCAGTTAACTAACTCAAAACAAGTAACAGCATGATGAGGATCAATGGACAGGTGCAATGACCATTGCTTGAAACTTCTAGTTTGATGACGAAGTGGATACTGGGAGTGCTGAGGCAGGAGTTGGACGCCCGACCGTGAAGTGTACGTACTGTGTATTCCAAATAATGTAATCATTAGTGCCAATTACCGGCCCTGCGACCTTCTCTGGCCCTGTCAGGGGATAATCATAGTACTACTAATCATAATCAGGCGGCTATTATATTCAGCCCCCACGTATCAAGAAAACCCCAGTATGGACCCCAGCTCTCATCCGAGGCGATGTAACACTCCACCACAGACTCCCGTGGGTCTGCTTAGTTACCGCGTATGCTGTAAGCAGTAAGCACCATAAATTCCTGTGGAGACGGGTAGCTTATTTGGTGTCCGTGGAATGGCAAAGGAACTACAAAGACAAAGAAGAGGAATCAGGCGAGGATAAATGTGTGATGCACCCGTGCTCTGTGATCAGAACAGTAAGTCCCGCAGAAGTACTCCGTACTTTAAAGGGGAAAGAGAGCAGACGTCCAAAGTACATTTTACTGTACCATGGATACTCCTGAGTGTACCCATGGAAAGTGTCTAAGCTTAGACGGGCCTAGTGGGGTCAAAATCTGAATCTGGCACCTGATTGGTTAACTAAGGCTCGCATATGCATGTTCAACGCCAAGCAGGCTAAGTGGGCCACACCCGGGTGTGTTGAGCCTCTTTGGCGAAAGACTTGATGAGAGTCGCAGATCAACAACGAGCCGGATGATGTGTATGTAAGTTGAAAATACCTGAGCGGCCTCCAAACCAATCATTGAACATCTTGGTGTCGGTTTTACTAACGTTTGGACTCAGCCTGCTAGGTTGTTGCAACATTCATGCTACTTACCCAACTGCCCTACACCGCAATCATCCACGTGCAATTCTTGCCAAAAATACTAATCGCACAGCCCTAAAACCTTCAATCCAAAGGTCATCCATGCCTTCCCAAATTAGTAAACGGATAGGCAAAAGTCCCTGGACGATGAAGTTTTGATCGATAACAGTCTATCTCCAGGGCTACAGATCGCCCCACCGTTGGAACAGGAGTCGTCCTTTGACCCTGCGTTTGTTACAATGCGTGCGCCCGTGGGCGCACTCTTAAGATGTAACTCCAGTCTGCTCAATATTCGAACACACCGCAAATGAGAACTCCGAAATGACTGCATTGGTCCATAGAGACCCAGTGGGGCGTACATGGACCAATTGATCCGGAGTGTATAAGCCGTGCAGTGGGGTGACGGATCGAGGAGGCTGAGGCTCTGATCGACTGTTGGCGAGGGGACGACCCCGTCATTGTCGAAAATCACCGAACTCCGCTCTGTTTGCTATTGGCCCGACACATCCCTGTTAGCTGAAAATTATAATCATTAGGCGTTTTTGGGGGTCGTTTGAGGCTTTTTTGGCTGACTGTTTGGGTGCTAGCCCTGGTCTGGGTTATTTTAGCACGTTGAATTTGTTGCAGGCATTTCGTGGATCCGCGAACTGGGAGTGTTTAAAGACACGACCGAGACTCCCCGAGATGTCCACCCCTGATACAATACATCTAGACCCTTTGACTTGAATTGACGTCTTAATAAATCTCTCTTCCCTTTCGCTTTATTCACATCTATCTCTCTCTTCGTGTCACTTCCCCACAACTCGGACTCGTGCCCCTGTCGCAGCTTCCTTAGCACGTCGTGTAACTGCCCCGAATGGCCGTTGGGAGAAATCAATCACGCAAGAGTAAACTCAAGTGTCACTTTATCATGTCTGCTTATAATGTGTCGGCTCTTGCTACCCCTTATGCGACATCTGGCCCGCCTCTCGATCCTCGATGTGCTACTCCCCGACCCTCCGCAGTGCGCAACAACACAGCCCAAACGGGAGTGTATATAAGCCCTCACACGAACATGCCCACACCTAGGCAGACAAGCGTGCCTCGGGTCAGCAAGGCTATGAAGGGTAAACGGGTTCACGCATGCCAGCGCCCTGGATGTTCGAAGGTGAATACTGACAGTGATTGCTACTGAAACATGTAACATGTTGCTCACCAATATTGCGCAGGTTTTTACCAGAGCTGAACATCGCAGACGGCACGAGCTCAGCCATGACCCGAAAAAGAAGTACCCTTGCACTTACGAAGGATGCCACAAGGCGTTCCATCGCCCCGATTACTTGACCCAGCATCTGGGCCGACAGTACGTCTCTCCGGTGATTGGGGGAAATCGGAAGAAAGACTGAATTTTTGAGCTAATCTTGAATAAAGTGCATCCTTAGTATCAAAAGAGAATAAATCCGACGAGCACAGCGATACGTCATCCCATCGACTACGCCTGCAGCAACAACAACAGCAACCGCAATCGCCACCCCTCAATCCACCTCCTATTCCGCTTCAGTCGAATACCACCGATGTCTACCCCAGAGCATGGGAAAGCATGGATTCCTCGATATCATATCCTGAGTCGTTCAGGGACCAGAGCCAGTGTTCTACATCCGTTAGCGACTACCCATCGCCTTATTCCTATACAAACGAGATATGCAGCTCGCCTGTCGCGAGTGACTCATTCGCAAACCCTCAATATCCCACGTCCGGAATGCCAGTAGAGACGGTAACTGCTGTGGATGAATACCTTCGCAGTATCCTGAAACCCGAGGCATTTTCTTCAAACCAGCAGCAGATAGACCCGGCAATTTGGGGCTCAGATATTGAGCTGGATCCGGCGTTGACGAATATCGAGATTTCAGTAAGTTTATTCCAAGACTTTGATCCCGGTGATGGGCTATATCTAATGGTCCCTTCAGAATCAGCTGCCACTGCCACTGTATTCATGGGCCCCCACACAGCTGTTACAATACGGAGATCCCTCAGCGAATGTCGACTACAAGCCACACGGTACTATCTGAAAGCCTGCAAGATAAGGACTTGATGCGCTTGCCTTGACTCGTGACCTGTCTCAATGGTTCGAGCTTTTTCCAATTTCTCGCTGGCTTTGTCGCATATTCCCGACTCATCGAAGAGGGGCGTTATTATTATACCTAGGGTTTCTTTGAGGGTAACTATTTGTATGCCTTGTTCTATGTACATTCAGCATCATATCACAGCAGCGCACTGTGGTGGCTGATGCTATCCTCATACGGCGCTTGACTCGGAGAGAATGCGCAGAGATACGCACGATGTGGACATGGATCGTGCCTCATGTTCTTGATTTGGTGATTTGTTGTTTTCTATTTTTCCTTATTATCCTACGATACCCACGAATGTCGACTGAACTCTTCTCAATCACTCTACACGACTCGCAAGTAAATTTCTTAGAAAATTATAGTGTGTAGATAGCGTTTGACAAGGTTCTGCTCCATCTCCCAAGACCAGCGAAGGCATACCTGCACATAACCTGCATATCAACCTAGGCTTCTTACCGGTTGGACCTGCCGACTGCCACATTTCAGTTCAAGATGGGAACTTTTCGGTTACAGCAACGGTGCGATCACATGAGAATCTTAATATCTTGTATAGGCATCGGCTTGGACAGCCTATGCACGTGGCTTTAGTAGTTGCCTTGGTGCCTCAACAAGGCAGCCGGGAAGACTGCGATAGTACGCCACCTGCCTAGGGTAACACTACATGTGCACTACCTATCGCAACCCTCATTGAGGATAATTTGGCCGTCAACTTTGGCTATCTACCTTTTAAAGTTCATGCCACCGGTTGAAGGTTACCCGGCCCGGCCCGGGCCTTTTTACCAAAACCTTAGTGGAGCAAGTTTCACATGCACAAAGTATATTTTGGTACTAGTATTGTGTAGTCTATATAGCTGGACCCGCCGCAACTCGGTTGAGATATAGTAAGAGAGTTTGTGGGCGATGGACTGAAAGGAGGATGAGGATGGAAAGGGTAAAACCGAAAGAGACAGTGAGACACCCTTGAATAGATAAGCGTGCTGCGTCGAAGCATAACTTAGGGCACTGTCAGAAGTTACCTAGAAGATGTAGCCAAACGACCATTGAATGGATGAGGAATATTCTCAATGATCGGAGTGTCTGGATGCTGGAATTTGGTCCACGAAGTTTTGCCAGAACATTGTCCCTCTCCCGGCTGAAGGACCCAAAAACCTTCTTCGTCACATTGAAGGCGTTTCACGGCGTGTTCTTCTTTGAAGAAAGAGCGCTACTAGCTAGATATGCATTTGCGGAGATTCCTGGCATTCGAAAGACGTTCTGGTATTCAACCTCGTGGTCAACCTCAGCGAGCATATCATCGGCCATGATCTTCGGGTTCCGGTGGCATCTTTTCAGCCTCTGAAGGCTTTTTCGGCCTTCCGGATCGGGGCTTTGAGGCTCCCTCGCATCGCTCGGACTCTCTTTTTATAGTATATTAGATTGTTGAGATGGGAATGTCCGGATAGCGCGGATGAATCCGCTTATATCCCCATCCAATGGCGTGAAGTTCGCATATACGCTCACGGATAGCAGGCGTGAGCTCTTTCGAGCGGGCCATAGAGAAGGTAGGAAGTACACAGTAGTGTGAGTATTCGTTAATTTATGTTGTGTAATCACAATATAGGTATGGCCGCGGCTGAGTGAACTGAGGTAAGCACCTCGCTGGCGCGTAGCTGACCGAGGGGTGCAATTTGAATAGCATCAAGCTGCATGCTAGCTGCAGATTTGGTTGCTAGGGCCGACGGTCTGCCGGGCACGGCTTCCGTGGCCAAATAGACATAGCGCTGAACGCCCGACAGGGGAACATTACCTATGTTTGAAGGTCTCTGGCATCAAGGATATTGTACATATCTTCGACCTCAATGTAACTTCCCTTCTCCCATGTCTTGTTATCCAAGCCAATTGCATCCATGCCAATTGCATCCATGCCAAAGATTGTGAATCCCAGATCACTCGGCTCATCCGGAATCGCGTCCGAACCCCTCTCCGCCGATGTCAACGCGAAGGGCTTGTCGTTGATTACAACTCTCTCTGCAGTCGAGCACGGCGAATACATCCGTCTCGCAGTAAACAGGCCGTCCAAGTAGTACATACTGGCTTTAAGCTCCTCCAACCTGGCTGTGCCAAGCAAATTTATGTCGTTGAGGTAGTGCGGGTTGGATGAATCTTTAGCCTCGGCATAGATACGCGATCTGACGACTTTGGAAAGTCGAGTGGCTTTGGAATCATTCGGGCCATCGGATGACCCAGTCAGAATTTCATCCCACGCATTTTCGTAATCGGCGACAATACATGCTCGTAGACAAGACTGGAGAATATCAGGCCTTTTCTGAGCGAGACGCACGTATGTCACTGGAGAAGCGACACTGGGCCACCAGATTCTGTGAGGTACCAGCCATTTCGGGGTACTTGGTGTGATACAAGTAATATCGTCGCTGATGATGCGTCGAACATTGATTGCGCGCCTTATGTCTACCTCATACCTTTTATCGGGGACCTCCGGCACCTGTGTGCTCCACCATCGCGCCCAAAGGGGGTGGTTGTATATCCCCAAAATGATGGCGTGGAATTCCTGATCAATCATCCGTGGGCGTCGTAGGCGTACATATCGATCCACGTCACCTCTATATGCAGCCGATAGAATCAGGTTGTCTTTATTGACTGGTGGAAGGTCTGACGGCAGAGGCGAATACAGAAGTGGCCAAAAGCTGGCCAGAGGCTCGGCACCACAACTATGATCGTCGATCCCCATATCCTCAGTGATGTTGAAGTGGTTATACGTATTGTATTCTCTGTCAGCCCACTCGATGTGATCAACAAGACGAACGAAGCCCCTGGTATCGCTGCTGCTGCTGTAGGTTTCCACTCCTGCATGAAGCATCCGTGCAGTGAGATCGGAAAAAACCGCCGTATCTCCATTGAGATGTGCCGGACGAGGATTTTGAAGATTGACGGATCGATCATAATCATTCATGATTTCAAATTTCACATGATTCGACATTATTTGCTCGTATATTGCCTCGCTGCCTTTGTTCTTTCTTGCTAGGCTAGCGTCGCGAGCCTCGGCAGCAACATGAACCTCAGGAAGAACCTGAAGCTCCAAGTAAAGATCAAAATACCCCGCCACGGCACAGGAGCGAGCAGCGTGATAAATCATGTTGGGATAACGCTTCACCAAGTTGCGAAGGGTCTCCTGGGATGGAGGTTCCGGATACCAGATGCAATAGGGTATCTCAGCGGAGTCATTCATTTCCGGAATCACTCCGCTCATAATTGCACGCGCGTTGAGTGCACGGGTGAACTCCGGCAAGACGCCGCGTAACTCTTGGGCGAAACCATCGTGGTGTCGAATGCCACGGATAACAGCGAAGCGTTGGACATTCAGTCCGAGAGAACCGGTAATCTTTTGGCCGCGGATTGCGGCATTGCAGTCATCCCTATTGTACAGGGTGGCTCTGAGTCTTGTTTCCATCGGGCGATCTTCCAGGGGTACCGGGGGGCTTTGTTTCTGCGCCTTCTCTCAGTTCTGCGGGTCATGATAAGAGACCGGTGAGTTCAAAGTACTTTTCTGCTGGGTGGAAGTGGAATCTGGGGGAGGATTAGTGGAGAATGTCCAGTACTTAAACGAACTGTGCGCAAGAAGGCTGGGGATACGGCGAGGCGAGGCGCATTCCCCCGCTACCTTAAGCGCCGCAATCAGCCAGCCAATGGAAGCTGCTGCTAGGTTCTAAGCCTCCTGTTGAGCTCAGGCTCCTTCTAGGTACTGCTTCTGAGAAGATTGACTTCAGACGATTCGATTGAAGCCTCCGGGTTTATACTCAGATCACAAAATTGCATTATGATAGGAAATTTTGCATATAGGAACTTGACATAGGTTTCCTTCGGACGGCCACACATAAGCTGTCTGGAGATGTTTATGGATACAGACACAATCACGCGATAACTGTGTAGTACACTATATACAGAGATCAGAGGTCAAGCTAGAACCACTAGATACGATCTTAAGGCTTTCTCAATCCAGCACGTCTGCGCAAACTTGTGGATGCAGAAGGATTAGGCCCATTGAGTGTTGTGTTGTAAGTCGCGTCGCCGTCAAGCACCTCGAAGACTATCGTAGCATTGCCCTCTCGGTAGTCACTTGTGGGAGCTCCCACAGTCCGATAGCCACCATGTGGTCTGAGATGCTTCTTGCCAGTCGCAATATCTTTTCTCGAGAGAATTCTCTCGAACATCTCCAGCGAAGCCAATGGTTGATAGAAAGGCACCTCATGGCCGGACTCGTAAATCCGCGTGAAGCTAAACAGGTCGCTCTGACGGACTTGTCCATGAACGACGCCGTCTGAAGTAGTGATGTTTACGAAGCCTGCATCTTTGTATCCTCGGGCATTGATCTCCTCGGCCACAACCTGTCCACCAAGCCAGTTGCAGTTGTAATCCCTGGAACTTGAGTCAGCGCTTACTGACATGTTGTTTCGCGGGCATATAGGCACTTACGCATCTCCGAAATACAGGGCAACCTGGACTCCGGCAGCCAGCAGCTTTCTCACGTCCTCGATGGTATTGGATTCGCGGTCATCGTCGCCAGTGCTTGAAAAGCTGGTGCCTACAGTACCGGAGGATTCCGAGAAATTCTGGTATGCCCCTATCGCGGCCTGGACCTTTGGGCTGTTGAGATAGTCGACGTAGAAGGAGTATGGGAAGGGGTCGGGCGTCAGCTCGCGCACATCGTACTCATCCCGCCCAGAGTAGATGTCAAAGAGTGATTCCACTTTGGATGCGCAGAAGTTGTCGGCGGCTGCACAGATGTCGTTTCGGCCTGTAGCATAACATTGTCGAGTTTGGTCAACACAGTTGCCTTCTCCGTAGAGATTGTTGTACCACTCTGCCTGCACCGATTCGTTATACGGATTATAATCGTATGTATTACCCGGGAACACGGAGAAGTTGTAGTATGCCTGGTACTGGATCAGCGGATCGAACCAGCCATTTCCAATAAGCACATTCTCAAGATCGATGTGCTTCGCGCCGTGAATCTTTTTGGCGTTCTGCTCAATGAAATACTCTGCTCCATGGTCAGTATCAGTCTTGGTCGTTCTCACTTGGAATCGTTACCGTTGAACACGGGGCCATAGTGCCCTCCATAACTCTCTGTAGCGAAGTTGAAGCCGTTTCGGGAGTACTGGGGGAAAGCCCCCATGAACCCTTGCAATGTCTTCCACATGTTGGGAGCTGCGCTTGCGGTTGTATTGGGCACTAGTGCAATATCTGGCTTTGAGTACGTGCCGCACGTGCCGTATTGCTGAGCATAGTCGGGACAGTTCTCATCGGGCAATTGGATAATGTTGCCACCATCATCCTCATAGGCAGGAATGGGCACTGAATATGATAGTCCAACCGTAGCAGGCTGGTCGACGAAGAGCTGGTGATGGTTAAATTATGTTCTCCTAGTTCAAGGGTATGTATCAACATACCATGTTGCTAACGTTACTCCAAGAGTACGGGTTGTTGAACACGTTGCCATCATGATCAACACCACAAGGGCCGAGTTCTTGGAATAACCCGATCATTGAGGATGAACCTGGTCCTCCATTGATCCAGACCGTAAGAGGCGCCTAATTCAGTGTTAGCTGGCATGGGACTCCTTGAAGGAGTGCCCGCCGAAACATACCTCTTTAGGGTTTCCATTTCTCGCCTCAAAGAACCACCTGCGTGCATTAGCTTCAGATCCTTGAAACAGAAATGTGTGCTACACCTATGCATCCGGAGTGTCTCACCAGAAGATATGTTGGTCTTCGCCAACATCAGCATATCCAGAGTAACTCTTGACATTGGGGTCAAGTTCACAAATTCCTGGAGGCACCTCCTTATATCGCACATTAACACCTGCATGTCCCTTCTTTGTGATCAGGTCAGTTGGCGCAGGCACGAATTGAGCGGTGACACATTGTGCCACCAGTGCAAGTGATATCTTCGTCCAGCTTATCATTTTGAACCGCAGTTGAACTTTTCAGCTCGCTCCAGGTCTTGGAGACTGCTCATTAATAACCCCCAACTAATCCCCGACCCCGCAGGGTTGGAGATACCCAGGAGACATTGCTAGGATCGATCGGGAAGGCAGTGGCCATAAACTACTAAGATCGACATTCCATTGCCCTAGTCTGTTTTGATCCGACGGGCTTCCGAGTGAAGCTCCGAGCAGCGGAGATGACCGAATGCTTATCATTTAACCTTATTTAGGCCGAGGCCCCGAGAGCCTTGGGCTGTAGCCTGTAGAAGAAATGATATCAGATACTCTTGTCAGTGCCTGCATACTGTCATATTTTTTAATCATAACATAGGTATTCAGAACGGATGGCTTCCCCCTGGAACTCTCAGCCCCCTTGGTATAAAAAATGAACCTAGTAGGCATACTGAAAGGTTTTGGCCTTCGTATACTATTCTTTTCTTCCCAGCATTCAGACCACAGCACCCGCAACAGGTCGGGTGCCTAACTATACTATATATCCTCTGTCGGGTGATCTTAGCTCAGCTGCACAGACGGCCTCACATTAAGCATCCATCCTTGATGCTGGAGTGCAAATCACTCATGCCCACGCGCACGCGCCGACAACCAGCACGCGAGTTCGGTCTGGCGGCGGCTTCCACGCTGGGCAATCCAGCTTGTGCGTAACTCACGGGAACCGTTCGGGCAGACGCAGTTGGACGTTCAAGGGCATAGACCTCAACCATCCACTCATACCAGACCTTGCGATCATCGGTTTGACGGTACATCGTGACGACAATCTCACCATTGTCAGGAACACTGAGTGGGGTCTAACACAACAAGATGAACCGTCAGTAATTTGGAGGTGAACGTAGATAGGAGGTTTTGATTTCGAGTACTGACCTTCAATGGGAAGTAGATGGGGAACCAGCTGATCATGTCTGCGCTCTTGGCTTCCATGGTCACAGGGTTGGTAGACAACTCAATGTCACCGTAGAGTACTGTTTCGAAGTAGCCTGCCAAGCCGTGACACACACCTCGGCATTGGGAAGGGAAGGAGAGACGGGTTTGGCGCACATTGTGGGCATTGGAGATAGTTGACTGCATGCGGGATTGAGGAGGAAGGTGTCGGTTCGGATGCGAGAAAGACCAGGCAGTCTGCACAAGCGGGGTTGGGAATTCAGTGGTTGCGAATGATCCCGATGGAGTGGAGGCCCTGTTTGCTGGGTTGGAGCTTTCATTGCTAGCAGGCGTATCGACGGTGGAGAGGAAGTCAATAGCGTGTAGCATGACGACATATGGGGTCTCCGGGGCCGCCGGGTTAGACACTGTCTGGTTCACAACATCTGCGTGCAGTTTGGGAGCGGATACTGGAGTGAAATGCGCGGAATACGAGGCTGGAATGGAAATGCCGTGGTCGGGGTGGATCACATCGTTCACACCATCCAGACACTCTGGAGAAAGTTCGTTGTCCGCAAAAGAGCCCAGCAGCTCCGAGACAAGGATATCAACATGAGTGTAACACACAGCCGGTTCGGCAACTTCAGGTTCATGACCTGGGTCGTTCTCGCTCTTCTTCGAGGTATGAAGTAACGAACTCTCGATGCCCAGGGATTCGCCCACAGGCTCCTTAGTAGCCTGCGCCCGCTGCTGTCGAACCAGAGGCCCTTTCCAGCTTCGCATATCTGACTGTACCAAGGTGACCTTTCCGCCCCAGATTGTATCGTTGTGTCGCTGTAGCAACACAAAAGCGTTTTGGTTCTTCTCAACAGCCCACATGTCAATTTCCACACCAGCTTCTGCGCTAGCTTTCAGTGCGCGAGTGACCAGAGGGCCACGGCCAGCCCCCACAACCGCGACGATCACTTTTCCATCTGGGTGGGACGTGGGCTTTTTCTGGTCCGCCCAATCTCTCAGGGCTTTGTAGATTGCTTTTTCATACCACTCGTATTTGATGGGGTCTTTTTCGAATACTTCGTATGTGATACTCTCAAGGTTGACTGTCAGCGGCTGTAGAGGAGCCTGCAAATAATCCTGGTATCCCACACCAAACCTCTCGATGGCCGTCCGTGAAGGTTGTCGCTGTTGCAAATTGCGGATATACGAAAGATGGGGTGTAGGGTCGTGGTGCTTCTTTCCAGCCTGTGACAGGCTGGGATAGTCAGCCGCAGATAGTGAAGCCTGGTTGGTATCAGGATCTCCGGTATTTTCAAGTCCAGGTATAGGACCAACGCCACAAAGAAGAATCCACGGCGCGGTTCGCAGACGCATCATCTTCGCGATAAATCCTTGGTGCGACTTGGACAATACCGGGTATCCCTTTTGATTCTTCAGGAATGCAGACCCCTCGATCGTGAGTAGATGCACCGGTTCTGAGTGCCATCGAGATTGCACAAAGAGCGATGGCAATTGCTTTGGCAAAGTGAGAGCTATAACGCATGTTAGCTCGCAGTTCAGAATCAACGCAGGAAGAGCGACTACGCTATTGAAAGGGCTAGTTCATACCGACAAACAGCCTTGTGTGATATTTGCAAGTTTTTCTGATGGAATCCCAAGCTTCCCAGGTGCCAAACGGATCAATGCTGGCGGAAGCTCCCTCATTCGAATGTGTGTATTCTGCTCGGGCAAGCGGTGCCAGGTCACCAATTGTATCGACCTCGGCTGCTGGGTTGTCTACCATTTGCAGCCAAATGTGAAATTGAATATATGGGCCGAGATTGAGAGCATCTTGAACCGCGCGGGCATAATAGATCACGCCCTCGGAATGCAAAGAACCATGATGCAGCTTCGGGCCAGGGATCAAGAGATATCCAATTCCGCAAAACGCAGCGTATGCAACCTCCAACATCAGAACTTGGCGAGACAAGTCCGCAATTAATGGATCGGGCGAACACAGATCAATCCATGTGCTAGTCACTCCCACCAACTGACTGGTTGCATCATTCGGAGTCAGGTATGAGTCTGCCGTGGAAAGTGACGGGACCACAAGAGGCCGAGTGTTGGAAGTAGTGGCCATGGTCCCGATATGATCATCATGGGTCGGGGACTGCAAGTCGGCCAAATAACTGGACAACAGGCGGAGGACACGGGAATGGAAATGCGACGTCGTGATTGGGACAGTCATCATGTCGTACTATCAAACCGAGTTAGTTTTCATAAAGCTGATATTATCTGATGCGAGAAGGAACCGACATTGCTCTCGTGCACATTTTGAATGACTCGAGGGGTCACAGTAATCAGCCGATTATGCTCATGGTGGCCAACGCAGAACGCTGGCCCTGGATCCTCTGAAGGACTGTAGCTCTCCATATTGACAAGAAAGTCCGGCGCAATGGTGGGGGTGATGTGAAACTAGGGATGTAGATAGAAGCTGTTGACGACCAACAAAGCAACTGCTAATCTTGCTATCAGGCAGTTCTGTCCGAAGAATTCACACGCCTCGGTTATAACCGCGCAGAAAAAGCCCAGTCAAAAACACCAAGGGCGTCAACAATCCCAAAGATTCTCGATCCCTTTGTGGAGCGCGGCAGAATAGAATGGCGGTCAGCCTGATAGGCAGCTGTGGCGCGCGCCCGACCTTCCTATCTGAGATTTTTTTTCTTCGCTATCTCAGCCTTTGCTTTTCGCCGAATTTACCCTTCGACACTCTCACTATTCACCTCCACCATGACCGATAGCCGATCTGATTCCGAAGGTGGCTCACGGGCGAAGCGCCAGAAGATGGATGCTGGGGACCCAAAGAACAACCCCTACCTCGCTCACATGTATGAGAACGACAATGGCTCCGAGAGCACAGTTCTGTCCAAGTTCAAGCGGCACCAAACCACCGCCGCGATGGCGAGAAAAGCCGAAGATGGTGAAATCAACCCTTTCACTGGCCGACCTTTCTCCAGCAAATACTTCTCAATCCTGAAGACTCGTCGTGATTTGCCAGTCCAACAGCAACGGTGAGTGCTGCCCGACAACCATCCTGGCGCAAAGTTGTGCTGACCTCTTTCATTTCAGTGATGAGTTCTTGCAACTCTACCAGCAATCCCAAATCCTCGTCTTCGTCGGTGAGACTGGTTCCGGCAAGACCACCCAGATCCCCCAATTCGTTCTATACGATGATCTCCCTCAAACTCAGGGCAAAATGGTCGCTTGTACACAGCCCCGTCGTGTGGCTGCCATGTCTGTCGCCCAGCGTGTCGCGGCAGAGATGGACGTCAAGCTTGGAGAAGAAGTTGGTTACAGCATTCGTTTCGAGGATATGACCGGCCCCAAGACTATTATGAAGTACATGACCGATGGTATGCTTCTGCGCGAGGCCATGAACGACCACAACTTGTCGCGTTACAGCACGATCATGCTCGACGAGGCTCACGAAAGAACTATGGCCACCGATATCCTGATGGGTCTTCTGAAGGAAGTTGTGGGACGTCGACCTGATCTGAAGATCATTATCATGTCTGCTACTCTAGACGCCCAGAAATTCCAGCGCTACTTCCTAGATGCGCCCCTTCTTGCAGTGCCTGGTCGTACCCACCCTGTCGAGATCTTCTATACCCCCGAACCCGAACAAGATTATGTCGAGGCTGCGGTACGGACTGTGCTGCAAATCCACGCCACCGAAGGAGAGGGAGACATTCTTCTGTTCTTGACTGGTGAAGAAGAGATTGAAGATGCTGCGCGCAAGATCGCACTCGAGGGAGATGAGATGGTTCGCGAAGCCGACGCCGGTCCTCTTAAGGTCTACCCTTTGTACGGTAGTCTTCCGCCACACATGCAACAGCGCATCTTCGACCCTGCGCCTCCTCCTCGCCGGCCAGGCGGTCGCCCAGGCCGTAAGGTCATCGTGTCCACCAACATTGCCGAAACATCTTTGACCATCGATGGTATCGTGTACGTCGTGGACCCCGGATTCTCCAAGCAAAAGATCTACAACCCCCGCATTCGTGTCGAGTCTCTCCTCGTTTCACCTATTTCCAAGGCCTCCGCTCAGCAGCGTGCTGGTCGTGCTGGTCGTACACGTCCCGGAAAGTGCTTCCGTCTCTACACCGAGGGTGCTTTCAAGAAGGAATTGATCGAGTCAACATACCCTGAGATCCTCCGATCCAACCTGTCATCAACGGTCCTCGAATTGAAGAAGCTTGGTATCGACGATCTTGTCCACTTCGATCTGATGGACCCACCTGCCCCCGAGACTCTGATGCGAGCATTGGAAGAACTGAACTACCTGGCCTGTCTGGACGACGATGGAAATCTCACCCCGCTAGGCCGTCTAGCCTCCGAGTTCCCTCTCGACCCCGCCCTCGCGGTTATGTTGATCAGTTCACCCGAATTCTACTGCTCCAACGAAATCCTCTCCATCACCGCCCTCCTGTCCGTGCCACAGGTCTTCGTCCGCCCTGCCGCCAACCGCAAGCGCGCCGACGAGATGAAGAACCTTTTCGCCCATCCGGACGGAGACCACCTGACAATGCTGAACGTCTACCACGCATACCGCGGCAGCGACGCCCAGGCCAACGCAAAGCAGTGGTGCCACGACCACTTCCTCTCCCTGCGCTCCCTCCAATCCGCCGACAACGTGCGCTCTCAGCTGCTGCGCATCATGGAACGCGAGGACTTAGAGATGATCTCCACCCCCTTCGAAGACAAGAAGTACTACGAGAACATCCGTCGTGCTCTTTGCGCCGGTTTCTTCATGCAAGTCGCCAAGAAGGACACCGGCGGTAAGAGCCAATACCTTACCATCAAGGATAACCAGAATGTCCTCCTGCACCCCTCTACCGTGTTGGCTCACGAGGCCGAGTGGGTCTTATACAACGAATTCGTCCTCACAACCAAGAACTATATCCGTACCGTGACTGCCGTCAAGCCTGAGTGGCTCTTGGTATGTTCCCTTCCCTCTTCCCTACTCTCATTTGTATGCAGGTTCACTAACTCTCATCCAGGATATTGCCCCTACATACTATGATATCAACAGCTTCCCTAAGGGTGATATTCGCTCTGCTCTCACTCGGGCCGCTGATCGTCTCGCCCGCAAGGAGAAGATGCGCGCCGAGAAGCGCAAATAGACTATTTTTTCTTTTCAGCCTAAAACTCACGCATGATACACTTTTCTGTTGCGCTATTCCTTCCGTCATGATGCCTGTATTTGAATATAGAATCCATTGCTTTCTTTCCTCTTACCATACCATTCCTGCTCAACGCTTTATCTGCTGTTTGCCGGATCAGAGTCTATGAATAACCTGATGAAACCAGAGAATCAATCGTAGAGGTGTTCTACAAAATGAAAAAGATGAAATGTAGATATCAATTGTATGCACCGCCAACGCCTTGGGTTGGGTGAAGTACATGCAGAGCTGCTTGCCCGGAGTGTTCCTGTAGGCTCTATTGAAACAAATATAGTCATTTAATGTACAAAAACTCCGTTTCATTCTCGATCGGAGGACACGGTGAAGTCGATATACCGTGGTTTGTTAGAAGAACAGTCATACTTCAGCGCAAGAATGCGGACGCTCGGAGATAGGATCCGTGTTTCCTACTGGTGCATGTCTTGCACGAGCTTTTCGTCGCGTTCTTTTCGTGGTATATGTGGGAGTGAAGATCATTATTTCGATCTTGCAAGACGGATCTGACCCGAGGATCGAGTGAAGCTGTGACTTAGCGAGGGGTCGGGATGTCGCGGGGTGGTGAGAGGTATAATGGTTTCGGCGGGTGGAGGGAGAGGTTCGTCGCTAGTCGGGGCATTGGAAAAGGAGTCTTTGGGGGAGGAGTTGAAAACGTGGTGTTTGCGAAGTTCATAGACGAGTTCACGAAGCTGGGCAACTTCATTCTTGAGCGTGGAAATGTCGTCATCTGAGCTGCTTCCAGTGGATGGTTGACCCTTCCTAGAAGAAGATGCGCGGTGACGCCCAAGAGAAGTAGCAAGAGCATTGTCTGCGTGCTGATCGGCCAATCTGCCATTGCGCCGAGAGAACGTCTTCTCTTCTGGCACCTCGATTTGGCTTAGATATTCGCCGAAGGTGTTGCCAAAGTCGTAACACTTCTGCCATAAGGGACGATCGATGTTCTCCTTGGGCGTTTGCTTCGCGGCTTTGGTCCATCGGTGGGAATCAGCGTGAACGAACGGCGCTGAGTCCGCTTGTCGTGATAAGAATTTGGGGTCGAAGCCGCTGTGGACAGCTGCTTTGACTAACGCATCTGATGCGTCTAGTCGGTCACAAGAGTCGCAGAGACCGACCATTCGTCCTAGTAATCGCTCAACTGAACCGAGATGGTGGTCTGTTGATGATAAGAGGTAGGTGACGGCTCTTTTCAGGACGTTCGCACCTTTCTCCCAGTCCCGTCGGATGCTGTAGAATCGTAGATAGCTGAACAGGGTCTCCCAACTATCGAAGAAACCACCACCTCGCGCAGCCTGGAGCCAAGCATCGGCTCGCTCGGGCTGGTCAAATCTTAATGCAGCACCGATCAAGGCAGCGTAGATGACTGGGTTGCTGCTGTTCAAAGGTGGTACAATTATGTCCAGCCCATTGACCTTTCGGTGTTTATAAACGCCCCGGCTCCCCAGGTTGACGGAGTAGCCTTCACCGCCGAGCATCTTCAAGAATAAATCGAAGTCCTTCAGGTTCTTTGATTTCCTGAAGAAGGTGATGATCGTAATGACGAGCGATGGGTTCAAGAAGAATCGGTTCGGCAGTAACGTCCGCAAAAGCAGCTCGACCAAGTCATTTTGGCGCGTCTGGCCGAATGCCATGATCATCAGCCGGAAAGCTGTCGGTCGGTCTGGATCCCTGGAACTCAAGATATTGTTGGATATCCGCAGAAGCAGTTCCTGCAGAGACATATGCTGACCCATGTATGACTGGATGTCCTCAGTGAGCTCGGCATCGAGGGCCTCACGCTCTCTCTTCATCTCACCGAACTGGCTCGCGGCATAATCACTCGTCACATCGGTGAACGTGGCGTGCCTATTCGTTTTCAATGTGTGCAGTCTGTTGCGAATATGATTCAGCTCCTCCAGAAGTTGAGCGACGTTCACTTGTGGAGTCTCGAAATCCGCTGCGTAGTTCATCGAGATGCCAGAATACCGATGTGCGATGGCCGGTCGTAGTAGAATCCGTACAGCGAACTGCCTCAAAGCGAGTTTCTGTATAGCCTTGAGACGTAGATCGTCCTCCAAGACCCAACTTGGTAACGTCTCCTGCGGAAGGAATATCTCGCTCTCATCCACTTCATCAAGCCCATGCTCCTCCTCCACGTCCTCCGCTTGCTGCGTTTCCATCATCCGAGCTCCGGCGGCATTTGAGCGACCTCGTTGTGTGTGGAAGGCCCTTATTGACCTGTTGACGCTAGCCGGTGATTGAGACCCGAGGGAAAGCCGAGGACCAGAACCGAAGAACCCCCCAGCTTGAATCAACCGATCGAGACCCCGAGTTTCTCTTCGCGATTGTAACGACGCCAGAATCCGTTGCTCTTCATCCACCAACTCGCTCACCTCGGCCTTCACCGCGGCAATTTTTTCATCCCAGTCATGTCGTCGACGATCCTTGACGCTCGCATCGGCGATGGCAGCAGCGGCGAAAATGCTACCGTACAGCGCAGTAACGGAGTTTCCAATTCGAAGTCGTTTCCTGCTGGCATTGGCTGCCCGCGAAGTGACCCCGTTCGAGGTGGTGCTCAGACATCCGACGCACCGGCAGGACGTCTGCTTCGAGACAGCGCGGGACCACAAACCCTGCATTCTCAGGGCATTGCTATTGCGCAGTCTAATGGGGATGGTAATAGATACACCAGTGATCAATTGGACTCCTCTCGGAGCCCCGGCGGCAAGTAGTATGGAAATAGATGGGATAACATGCAATTAGCAAAATAATCTTGCAAGTCCGCGAACGCTCGGGTCGGCGGTGCAAACATTGCAAACGGGCTAGCACTCCCGTAACTACTCCCTGCACATCATTGAATGTCCACGAGCTAGTTTGTCCTTATCTTCTGTCTGTTTTGAATAAATTCCATTGGACACATTCTACAATGGTTAATAAATTGTTCGGAATTGCAGCCGGGCTGCTTGCGTTGAGTGCACTTGCCAATGCCCATGGCTCGCATTCGAGTGACGAGACTCCCTCAAATGATTGGGCCACGAGACACATGATCGGTAAGACACATTGTTCATGCAAGATTGGGGAACCTGACATTCTTTACTCACACTGTCATTACTAGAGGAACACCATATTGAAAACTTTGACCCGACCTCATTCTTCATCCTCCACGATTACGATTCCTCCGGGACATGGACCCCAGAAGAAGTGCGCAAGACGTACGGTCTCAATGATGAATCCAACGCTGGCGTTACCGAGGAAAAGAAACAAGAAGCTGTCCGCAGAGTGTTTGAGCTTTACGATATTGGCAACAAAGGTTTCGTCAACCGGGAGGATTGGTTGGCGGGAATTGCTGCGGGCAAGCGGTTGCCAGATCTTGGCTACGGCCCTGGACACCATGGCGATCTTGAATATGAGTACGAGATTCATCACTTCGAGAAGTACCACGGTGACGACACCACGGAGGCGGACTTGACTCATCCCGAAGATATTGAGCATTTCCGCAAGCATGACGAGCTGGAGGATGCTGAGATTCGACTGGAGAAGATGGAGCGGATCCAGATTATCGCGAACAACATTCCTCAGAAGTTCCGTCGGAATTTCTAGATTGAATTATCAGTTTTGCTCTTTGGTTTATGTGTACATATGCGCTACGATATATCGGTATCCGACCATTACAAGCTACAAGCATTTACAAGCGGCGACGCATCACCTCTCTGATTTTTGTATATATTGGGATCACATCGCAGATCTAGTGCTAGCTTTAGGTATTTATGCAAGCCACAGCAGCCACTGAAGATCACGTAAAGATAGGTACTTAGCCAGCCATAGTGAACCTTGGAAGCAGACCCGCTGAAACAGTATGTACGAAATAGGAACCCACGCCGGAGGAGAGTATTGAAACTTGAAACGCTGAGAAAGGGAAAGCGAGGAATGATTCGTGGCACAAGGCATAAGAACCCGAGTGAAGCGCCGGTGAAGCCAACGCCAATGCCAGACAAATGGAAACAACAAGATCAAGAAGCATTGGGAAGCCGCCAAATACGCCGATGACTTCTGATGTGGGATATTCGGACCATCGTAGGATTCAGAAAAACACTTTGCGAGGAGCAAAACCAAGCCTGTACTTTAAGTTGCATTGCATGAATACTCTGCTCTCAGTATTCTGAACCGAACCCCAGCCTATCATTTGAATCAACAACTCTGCCAATATAGTCAGCCATGGCTCAAACCGGTCATCATGGGCCCGAACTTACGAATACTGCTTTGTCAAAGTTCCTTCTCCGCCCTTTGACAAATCGATGTTGAAATTGTAGAAATTACCATCGCTGGTGACAACCATGACCTGGGGAGTGTTGCTGCTCATGGCAACCACACTTCTTATCGGACCCACGCCTGGAGAACCACCTGCACCTGGGCTCGGGCGTGGCAGTTTGATCCATGCAAAGTCACGGGCTGGCTCCCACATTTCACTCACTCCCTTGGGCAGGTATCCGCCAACCCTAGCTGCAACTGCACCACCAACATTTTGCGATGTCCGGCGTAGCAAACCCATCAGTGTACCATTATGTTTGCGCGATGAAGAATCCGAACCAGCGTCGCCACCCGGCTCATCCTCCTCGGGAGAATAAGTATGGTCATGGCCTGGCGGAGAGTATGACGAAGACCCGTCTGAAGATGGTCCTTGCTGTGTTAACTTAAAGATATGAACGGTCTCCGTAGATGAAGAAACACATAGGAGTGTGGAAGTGGTGTTGAAGGACATGCTGTAAATGCGCGAAGGCATGGACCCTCGTCGGAACTGATACAGCTTGTGGCCATGTGGGACTGAGAAAATACGAATGATGGTTCCTTTGTCTGAGGCGGTCGCAAGGAGAGTTCCGTCGGTATTCAGGGCAATGAGCGCCAAGGGAGAGCGATGGGCTTCAATGACGTTGATAGCCTCTAGCTTTACGGCATCGAAAATCAAAACATCGCCTGTTGTGGGAGCTACATGCGTTGTGCCAGGTGGAGCATGCGCTGGCGCATTTGCAGCTGCGGGTGCCCTCTGCGGAAGCGGATATGCCATGTAGCAATTCTCGGAAGACGGCGCAAGAGCACAAATTGCTATTAGCGTGTCAGCGTGAAGCTAATATCAGAATAGCAAAAGTGCGGGGCGATGTACCATTAGGGTTCGGTGAGGTATCAATGGTGGACAAAAGCTTCATGGTCTGGATGTCGTAAAGATAGATTTGGTCTTCCAGAACAATCACAAGCCGCTTACGATTCATCTTTACCGCAAGAACCGTTGTTGGGAATGTCAACTCGCATATCGTGCATTGCCGCTAGTTCAATGATCAGTTCCATATCGATACGAGCGGCCATAGTGACATAACCCTATGTCCGCAAGACTTCAGCATACCTTAGTATTTTGGATCTGCAGTCGCCGCGGTGATAAAATAAGGGCCACTAGAGATGTAGAGAATAGCATCTCAATCACAGCAATGTTCCCCTCCTTCGCTTCATAGCTCTTGGCAAAAGGTTCAGTTGTGAAGATCTGGAATCCCTTGGCCGTTGCTATAGATGCGGTTAGTGATCATCCTTGGAACAATGATAGAGACGGAAGAGCGGATGCAAGCTTACCTACAGCCAGGTAGCTGTAATCCTGGTTGAACGTCACGAAATTCATGGCCATTGTGACAAGGGTCGGAGTTAGGACAACTTTTGGAGGTTGGAGATACCCCGCTTAAAGGCGCGATCGAGAGAAGGCCGAACCAGCAACGCTTTGCCCGTCACTGGCCACTTGCAAGCATCACTCGGTTACAGCAAAGTAATATCATGTATGCTTTAGAGACAAGGATGTGGAGAAGAGAGGTTATGATCTCAGTAAAGTGAGAGAATCTCGTGAGGTTTACGCTTGGGCCACACCTTGATTCTCCACCGCCTACGAGTTATCTTATCGTTATCGACAATCGACGATCGCGGTGTCAGTTTTGCTTCGGGGAATTTGGGAGTCTACACTGGGATTGGACTATTAGGAGCTTGAGGTGATGGTAAGAGCTTAGAGAACATAGATGCTCTAGTCAGATGAGAATTCGTTTGTCAGTTATGGAAGTTGATTGTCTTTTTATTGGATAGTGCATAGTAGATGCGCTTATCTTCACTCTCAATGAGAGAATGACGTAGGGTTTGTTTACATTATCACTGCTTCAACAGAACCACCAAGGGTTGGGGTCTATGAGATGTGAGATTGAGTTGCATATGTTTTTCAGAGCTACTGCAGGTGTGGCGAAATACCACAGCAGTCAGGAGTCAGTACCTACCTAGGTGCACCGTGCACCTTTATCTGGCAGGTAGTCTGGCGAGGCCGCGAGACCCATTACCTATATATAGGTTGTACACGTAAGGTAAGTACCTACCTGGTGAGTCGTCAGGTGCCCTTCCATGCCCGGAAGGTACCTTCCGCCAGGCAGAAGATGGAATTATGCCGAGTGGAAAGAGGCAAGCTACATATTCTAGGCAGACAATATCCATAGATATGACAGCAAGAAGCTCACGGAAGAATCCAATGTAAGTAGCAAACTTCCATCCATGTCATCCACCATTGGATCCTGGGGCTAATGAGCATTTACATCCATTCACTGAACTGTCTCCGGTAGATTTATTGGTCTGTTTGCTCCAGAAACCTTGGAATCAAAGAGGCCTTATGATGATGGTTACCTATGTCTGACACATTCATCTACTTGTATCGCTTAGTTAAGATGACTACAAACTAACCCAAAGTGCTTAGGTAGTCTCGCTCACGGGCCAGGTACCACTAAAGCCGATATGTAGGAGCATTTCCAGTCCAGTAACTGGGTAGAAGAGCCCAGAAAGGAATCTGCCTACCTAGTCCACCAGGTCAGGACCAAGTGCCGCGCGTCAATTCGAGAAGCTGGGCAGTTCCAGAAGATCTCAATCACGACCGTGTCACGATCTGGAAGTAATTCCTGGCGATCGTGACGAAAACAAGGTACGGCAGCTACCCGCCTCACACGGCAGCGAGCTTCATACATGCCCGAAACAGCCCAAATGGGTTAGTTGTTCATGCCGCTGGGTGAATGAACCTAGCTTAGAGTGAAGGCTTCCACTTGAGCGCCCAAGACATAGCTTTTCAGTTAGGCAGTGGTCGAGACCTTCACTATATTCCCGTATCTGTATTTATTCCAGTTGTAATGTAGCTTCAGATACCCGAAACGCATGTTGCTAGTAGTAACAGCTATGCAGCTCGCTATTTCCAGAACCAAACCCGGTCACCATGTGGCTCCACTGGGATATGGACTGGACCCGCTAGTTAGCTCGGACTGTCGGACATGGATACAGGTCAAGCAATCCTCCGGACTGGGCAAGTCACGAATAGCCGACATTGTATATCAGCTTGAAGACAAAGAAGAGCCTCTGTATGTATTCTGTTTCTGCCCGATGATGTGTAGTCCCTGCACGTTCCGACTGGTGAACCTATGAATTGCAACAGACCCTCACATGTGGGTGCCGACGTGTACGACGTGATCACACTCAGCCACACGGTCACACCACAACACCAGTGGCACCCATGTATATACCAACCCAGGTAAAGGAGATGTTCAATACCTACCGAGTAGACGAGTCAAGGTTGTGAATAGCATCTTTTCCGACTTGACGGAAGGGTGCAGTTGTCATATATCCAAGGGCAGTTGGGATTTGCAGACCCATTGGAAATCGAGGCAAGATCTGCGTAGACGCCCGATCGGTTGACATTCCGCTTGACGTGGACCACTTTTGTTGACAACGGGTGGTTCGGGAATAGCAGACAATCAGTGGCCAATGGGGATACATCTGGAAGGGTCCTCCCGTGTGGCGGAAACTTGGAGTATGCGCGGGAGAGATAAGACGAGTTATTCCTGTCGTACCACCTTACACTTCACCTGGGAATACTTTGCCTACTGTGTAGTGGACATAAATACATGGCTTGTTATTAGGCGTTGGCGTGGTTGGAGGTATCCGGTTCGGTCCTTGGGCAACCTGCATGGAGATATCTTCACAAGATCTTTTTCCTGTTTCGAACCTCGGAAATGTTGGGGCGACATGGATTGACACGGATGTTTTGAGACCATTGACGGGCTTAGGCATTCAGTTTGCTATTGGGCATGTTATAATAAACAGTTTTGATGCTCCCCACCTCGAGTGGATCACCGTGGCGATCCGGGGTTAGTCCAACCCTGTATTCCGTACACATCGAGTTCTGTACATGTACAGTAGGTAGATGATCTTTGTGCATGAAGGTGGATACTAGGTTGAAGCACAGTTGCTTACGCTTTTGGAGGCACGAAAATGAAACATCATATAAATGTAAATAAATGTCGACCTTATGATGCTAGGAGACTTCATACCCAGCTCAAAGGTAAATCACGTCGAGATTACGTATGAGCCCAATATTGTCTCTTATCAACTATTTCCACACCAAACGGATGAGCTTCAGCTTCGGCGGGGTTTCTCATCCGGGGTGGAGCCGGATATTGACGCCAGGACATCTGCGGGGTTTCGATATTTTTCTTTGTTTTAACTTGCTAACCAAGAGATTCGAAGTGGAGAACTAAGAATCTTAGTGAAACCCCCTCTCTGTTTTGAACGCACAGACAAGGCTGGACCGAGAAGGAGATTAGTGGAAATCGTATCGTCATCGTGGCCGACGATGAAGAATAATTGGCCACATCCATTTTATGGTCATCCACGGGAGGGGCCATAACAAAAAGTGGTCAGAATCCCTGGGTGGAAAGTGCCCCGGTTCGATAATCGGATGTTACAGGGTTAGGATAATTATTCTGACCCCGGTGTGTACCCGGTGGAGCGTAGTGGAGAAGCTGGGGGAAGATGGGGAAAATGGGGGAAGATGACGCCGATGCTAAGTGATGATGATGAGACCTGATAACTATCTCTACATCTCTATCTATCGTAGAGATAGAAACAAAATAATCAGATTGTGGGAGAATGTACATGTGCTCTCACTCTTAACTCTCTCCCCCTTCCCAGATCTTGTCCCACGTTATCATTCTCATCCCCCTCCTTGAACCTTCAGTCCTCTCCACTTCTACCTCCATCTTCTCTTTTATCCTTGTCCTTCTACTTTGTACTAGCATTTATCTCAGATCTTTTCTTCCCTGTAACCTCTTTTTTATCTCGTCATTCCTTCTCGACTTCCCCCTTGCGCCCCCTTATCTCTGGTATTGTATGTTCCCCTTGACCTCGGATTCCTCTCACGTCGCATTGCGCAGTTGACTCGAATATAATGATCCCTTTCGTCCTCCTTATGCCTGAAACCAATCCATATCATAACCTCAAAGTACCACATACTAACAAGCTATTCTTTCAGTCGTGACTCGTGACTACACGCCTCTTAGATCACCAACCTACTTCCAACCACATCTCAAATGCGAATGAGGTGACCGTCTATTTCCGGAGCCACCGAAACACTGCAATCGCAAGTGACATTTACAACATAACCATCTTCATCATTTGGTAATCTTCCAGTGTGCAGACACACCATGGCAACAGTTTTGGTCCAGCCGCAGGCGCTGCACCGTGCGACCCCTCCTGCTTCTCCGATCCCCTCCCCCTCGCCTGTCAATCGACGACCGAGTCCAGTGATTCCACTTATTCCAACGTGCCCAACAAGTTCTGTTCCGACCTCTCAGCCGACCCCAGACACCCCAGAATCCCCGTTCAATGATCCGGTCCCTTGGCCCTTGGACTTGGACCTGAACGAAAAAGTACGCATTACAGACGCGACAGAACTCCCTGTGTACGCGATTGATGGACCCACACTAGCAGCTGTGATGGCACACCAGGCATCCCGGCCTCTCCCTGACCCGGCCACGATGTTCCCTTGGCTCCATGGGCTGCATCCATCAAATCACCTGCAGGTGGGGTTCTTCGACAGCCGCAAGAAGCGTCACAGCCGACGCACCCGCCGCAATTGGCGAGGCATCACAGTGGTAAAGCTTGGAGGCGACCTGACGAAGTCACGCATCAAGGGCGCAGTCAGCCCGCAGGAGTTGCTTGCACCTTATGGTGACCAGTTCTTAAATCCGGATCCCCCTGAGGGATTCTCCGTGCGCAATTTCCAGATCCAAACCGCCAAGCTCGCTCCAGTCACGGATATTGTTGTCTATGCCGAAAGCCAGACTCTTCACCGAGAAGCTGTCGATCTGGCCAAGCGGTTTGCTTCGGCGCAGGCGCTGTGGGCATGCGGATCGGAGAGTCGTAGATATCGGACGCCACCGCCGTGCAGCACTTATGTCCTGATGGGTGCGTTGCAAATTCCCACTCTCATGTCTTTTGAGTTATCAACTAACCTAATGATCTAGACGACTTTGCCGACGTCGCGCAGAATCAGCCTGAGCTCATTGCGATTGACGCGACAGGCCAATCGACAGGGCAAGCTATGGAGTTCGGTGAGTTGGAACTAGAATGCCAGCCTGATACATCCCTTTGCTAACAGTGAGATAGCCCGATGGGAGCGAAAGGAAATGACTACAATGTCTCGAGCATCCGAGATTGCGCCCAATGTCTGGCTGGGGCCCACTCCGGATTACTTCCGCAGGACTGGACCTTTTGAGTCTTCGGAGGATGACCCGTATGACCTCTTTATCGAAACAGGCGAACTAGCCGACATTCCGGGTCCCAGGTTCCTCGCCATGCTGGACAAAGACATTGAGAACGGTCCTCAGCGCATGCAGTTCCCTTGCTCGGGGACTCTCCTACTTCCATCTTACAACGACCGAGAAGTTGAGGACATCATCAACACTGTTCGATGGATCTACTATCTCGCAAACCCGGAACCGGAATCAGAAGAATTAGCCAGCGACGGGGTTAAGCCAGGCACCGATACGGACATGCTAGAACTCAACGATGACCAGCCCGGAGATGCTCAGATGGATTCCGATGGCAACGCCGTGATCCGGTCCGATTGCGATAGCGAGGCCGCGAGCACCAGCCCGAGTGTGAAACCTCGCAAGATTCTTATCCATTGCAATGACGGATATACCGAAAGCTCGCTGTTGGCCTTGGCCTACTACATGTTTGCAAAGGGCGTGCCTGCCCATGAGGCTTGGCTTCAACTGCATACAATCCAAAACCGCAATTTCTTTGCCTACCAGTCGGATGTGGCTTACCTATGCCACATACAGGGACGTCTCTTGCATGAAAGCCCTGCCGCTCAATCATTGAATATCACGGAGATGTCTGATCCGGATTGGTTTCACCGCATCGACGGCTCCTTCCCTAGTCGGATCCTGCCGTATCTGTATTTGGGCAATCTGAATCATGCGAACAACCCGGAACTCTTGTGGAAGCTTGGAATCCGGCGTGTGCTCAGCATTGGCGAGTGCGTCAATTGGAAGAACAAGACCAACATCGGATTCCGCGATAGAGATGTGATGTACATTGACAATGTCCAAGACAATGGCATTGATCCTTTGAGTAAGGAGTTTGAGCGTTGCTTGAAATTTATTGGTAAGTTCCCAGCAATCTTCAACTTGACATCTTCAGTTTGCTTACTCTTGTATAGAAGAGGGTCGGGACAGCGGCACTGCCACGTTCGTTCATTGTCGGGTCGGCGTTTCTAGATCTGCCAGTATTTGCATTGCCACCGTCATGGCGCACCTAAACCTCTCTTTCCCACGCGCATAGTGAGTTTCCTTACTCCACAGTCTTCCCTCAGTCTAACTTTTCAATAGCTGCTTTGTTCGCGCGAGGCGACTCAATGTCATTATCCAACCTCACCTTCGCTTCGTGTAAGTTCCCTATGTCTGCCTTGGATCCAATGAAGAGATTTGCTAACGCTCATTCACAGCTACGAGCTTCTTCAGTGGGAGGAGGTCTTGATGAAGAAAAGAGGAGAGCCCTACCGGCGCGAACTGGAATGGACCACAATCGCACGTGAAATCGCCATTCTCAATAAGCCCTATTCCAAGCATTAGGAGAACTTTGGGGCTCTGGTGCCAGCCTCAACTCCAAATGCAAATCAGCCTTCGATTTGCTGGCTCCTATCAAGTGAACGTTGCTGCTGCAAGCAATATCACTGCCAACCCCGCACCAAATTCCCGCTAACCTGCTAGCCGAGCTGCAGGCATGATACTTGGCTTCATGTGAAAGCCACTCGAACGGTCTTAGACCTTTCGATTTCTAAGGACTTGTCTTTACCCCTCTTACACCATACACCACGATTACAACGAACCTACACGACTTCTACGAACAAGAGATGATTCTGTGATTATTTTGGCGCTCGGCGTTTCGAGGATCTCAGGGCATTGGAGATATTGCAACCACTATTAACGACGCAATGCTTCTCTCTTCTCTGCTTGCTCAATCTTCTTCTCGAGCCAGCCCCATTACATGAATTGACTCTTGACTTTCTGTATTCTTTTTCTCTACACCTTAACTTTTACTTTTGTGTGTTTTTCTTTTTGGGTGTTGTTTCTGTGATGCCCTAATAGTTCAAGGTTCTATGGTTTCTGCCTATCATTTCATTGGCATTTCTCATGATACACCACATCTGTTCACGGATCATGTCTTCATGTCTTTATGCCACACTGCGACTTTGAAATGGAGCTTTCAAGATGCTGATTCATCTCATAAGATGCATACCACAGTTTCGTAATGCTATTTTTCATGACATTCATTGGCTGGGCGAGCCATCGTCGACTGTAGTTTCCATCCTGCTTTTTTTCTAGATGTCGCATCTGCTCTCAACTGTTGCATCTACTGTCAACTGTGGCACCATCACTACAAACTGAACGGTGTTATGAAAAGAAATACAAATGTTCCCTTTTTTTGTCTTTCTCTCGGGTCCCTGCCACGGCGCTTTGCGTACATCTGTCATGTAGGCTGGGCCGTAGATAGTATGATAACATACCAACTCCCCCCTTAGCAACGCTCAAACACCCGATACAACCCCTTCAAATCAGCAACCTCAACAACACCCCGCAGCAACCGCGACGTAGCAACCAGTCTCGCACGCATAGCAGGAAAAACAACATACTCCAACATGCGCAACATCTGCGCACGTCGAGCCTCAACAAAAGCATCTTCCTCTTCATCCTCCTCCCCATCAACTCTCGCCGGCACACTCCCCACACCCTCCTCAGCCGCCACCTTCCGCTCAGGAACCGGCAACTGCTCAGGCGTATAAAAAGCCGCCAACTCCCTCAAAAACGTCCTAAAACACCCCTCCTCACAACTCCAATCCACAAACGGCCCAAGCCTCAACAGAAACCGCGGCAGCTTCGCCAGCGCCGGCAAATACCCCTTCAACAACAATGGTATCGTGAGCAAGTCGCCCTCGTCGCTAATCTGCAGCGAAAAGTACTCATTCAGCATCTCGCGTCTTGCAATCAGTGTCTCGGCAATCGCATCCGGCGCGTTTGCAAAGATACTCTCTGCTTCTGTCTTGTCTGCGCTTGCGGAAAGTTGTTCTTCTCGTTCTGCGTCTGCGCCGATTTTAAGCAGATCTACCAGCTTCGGCGGAGGGTCTAGACGGATTAGACCGAAATTGCCGAAGTCTGTTAGACCGATTTGGTAGAAGAATTCGGAGCAGGTTAGCCCGTAGTCGATTAGGTAGAGCTTTACGCCGGATTGGATGGCTGCTAGACGGCGGCGGGAGTCGACGAGGCCGACGTAGGTGTGGGCGGCGAAGGTTTCTGTTAGAGTTGTGTGCATTTCTGCGCGGACGGCTGCGCGGAGGGATTTTACGGATGAGAGGGCGATTTTTAGGGGTTGGCGGTTTGTGGTTTCGTATTGGAGGGTGGTGTCTAGGGGGGTTGGTTGGGTTGTGGAGTCTGGGGGTAGGTCTGGGTTTGTTGGATCGTTGGAGGGTATAGATGGGGCGAGCATTGCTGTTATTTTGCGGACTTTGGAATCTGTGCGGACGAGGTTGTTTTCGTAGGGCCGTTTTGTTGCTGCGGGTGTTTTGGGTGTTGCATGACCCTTTGAAGTTCTGGTTGTGGTTTCGGTTTGTGAGGCGTCTTGCTCGCGGTGGAGTGTCTCAATCGTTTGTATGCCTGGTAGGAGGCTTTGGGTAAGGAATGTGCGGCTTGAGTCTACCTCGGCTAGCTTGGAGCGGATTTCGGTGCATATCAGCTCGATGATCTCGTCTTCGTTGAGGAAGTTCACTTCTCGCTTTGTTGGGTGCACATTGACGTCGACACGGTTGGGCTCGATCTCGAGGTCGAGATAGACGAAAGGATGGCCGCCCTTGGGCAAGAATGAAGAGTAGGTCTGCTCGACTGCACGCTTGACAACAGTTGACTCAACTGAGCGGTGATTGATGAATAACAGGATCACAGTCTTTTTGACGTGGTAGTTGGCGTTGGTAGCGTAGCCTGATGCACGGAATCCGTATTTCGTGTCCTCGGCTTTGAACTCGACGAGCTCGTTCGCTACGGCACTGCCGTGGATCTGGCGGATCCGCTCGACAATACTCGCGCTCGCTGGTGTCGAGATACTCACGCCAGAGTCGCCGTGCTTACGGCATGAGAAGGCGACCCCAGAGCAATGTACTGCATATCGACCGACGACGTCGAGGATTTTGGCATATTCCTCACTTGCGGAGCGGAAAGCTCTACGTCGAGTGGGGACGTTGTAGAAGAGATCCTCGACCTTTGGTCCCGTTAGCTCGCTGAAATGGATGGTGCAGGTCACATCGACTCACAGTGATCTGAGTCCCTCCTCGGCCAGCTGTTGCCTTGGGAGCAGAACTCTGGCCTGGCTTTGCCGGTATCAATTTCCCATCACCGTAATGTGCTCGCCAGGCGCAACTTGACCCAGCGGTTTTCGTTGTAACGGTGAGATGTGCGATGTGACTGATACTAGCTAGAGCCTCACCCCGGAATCCATAGGTTCCGATAGAAGTCAAGTCTTCAAATTCTTTGAGTTTAGAAGTAGTGAATCTTTCGCAAAGAATGGGAAGATCATCCCGCTAGATGGGGTCAGAGACAGTTGGTATCACTTGGAGAATCGACTTACATCAATGCCATGGCCATTATCGGTAATCTGAAGCAGCTTCAGACCTCCTTCTTTGATCAGAACTTCGATTGAAGTGGAGCCAGCATCGACGGCATTTTCAATGAGCTCCTTCAGCGCGTGCATTGGAGCAACAATAATCTCTCCAGCAGCAATTTTGTTCACGACATCGGGGTCTAATGCCTGCATGAATTTAGTATATGGCGCAATTCAAGTACACGACGGAATTGATCGATGCACACGCGTGGTCTTACCTTGATCTTCTTTGGCCTGGGGTGTTCCTGAGGCTCGGGCTCCTCTGCTGTGCGCTTGGTGCCATGCTGATCAAGAGGATCAATCTCCATATCGCTTTCCATCCCCATGAATCCCTATTTTGGTGGTATAATCGAAGGGAAATAGATGGCAAGGTGCGCGTAGTTGGAAAGATCGGACCCGATAAGGCGATAAGGGAGCCTCGGCGTCATCGTCTGTGGAGACTGTTTTCTCCGCGCGCTCAACCTCTCACCATGAATACGTGACAAGTGGATTGCATTATTCTCTGTGTTTTATCGCTTCAATGTCATAAACGGACTCATCGAGCTCACCGAGCTTGCTTATATCAACCCGGGTGCCCACAATGACCCCCGCAAAGATGCCCCTGCGAGCGGATGAAGAGATGGGTAAGAAAGATGACGACCATCGCCCATCTGATCAAGCGCGCTTTTTACCCCTTCGGCACCGAGTCACGTACCGACCTCGCCGCATTCTACTTGCTATCATCGCGCTTGTTCTTGTCTATGAATTCTTCAAGCACATGCCGACGGACGTGAGACCCGCCGCCGAACGATATAACCCTGGATTTAATCCTGCCGTTGCAAGGTTGCGAGAAGATAAACTTGCCAAGTTGACTGGGACGGATACCGCACCTGCTGTCAATAAGCCAGGTACTACGCCACCAGCTACGGCGTTGGATTCGATCCGGGAGCCAGAGGTTAACGAAGAGGATATCAAATTTCCCCAGTTGGCGCACTCTCTCCCGCGATACAAGTACACGCGGAAGGTAGCTAGTCGAGCGGTCCTCTTCGCTGCTTCGAGTCTCCACAGCGTGTCAGACCTTTTGCCGCTAGCTTGCCGGATGACTAGTGAGAGGCTGAATTACGTACACTTTGTCCTGGTGGGCAAAGAGGAAGTTTCGATTGAGGGAATTAAGGAGGTCAACGGCATTAGAGATGCCGATTGCCCGTTGACATGGCACGGTACGGCATGCAACTTATACGACTCCAATGGATTTCGCTGACTCGCTTAACTGGTAGATGCTCGTCCGGACTATGCACCAAAATCAACCGATGACCGTATGGAGCGTTCCGTGACAAGAGGGTTGCAAACGATTCACACCTACATCAAGCCTGAAGTTATCATCACACAAGGTAGAGGTTGGGAAGATGTGTTCTTCTCGCATGGAGTCGAGCCCCATTCGCGCGACAGCCGCACCCCTCACATTGCCCTATCTGCTGCGTCAAGGGATCTTATGTGGATAGCTTCGCTGGATAGCGCAGCACTTCGAGGTAAGCCACATTATCCGGGCTGGTTGATATATTGTGTCCGGACCTACTGACCGTTTGCGCAATAGTGTGGAACGACATACATGTAGAAATGGTGGTCCATGCGCACCCCGAGGCCGCTGGCTCTTTGATTAGACTTGTGCAGTCATTAGATGCAGCCGACTTTTTAGGCTCAGCCCCAAGCTTGACAATTGAGCTCCCCCAGCGCGTGGATCCACAGCTGCTTCGGTTCTTGCAGAATCTGGATGGATCATCACAGACCGCTGGCCGGATCTCAATTCGGCGGCGCATCATGCCACGGGATATGGACACGATTGAATCGTCAATTCGAACCGTCGAGGGGTTCTATCCCCGAGACCCGAATGACACACATTTGCTTATGCTATCGCCGCAGACAGAGCTTGCTCCATCGTTCTATCACTACCTGAAGTTCGCTATCCTGAACTACAAACATTCTGCCAAAGGGAATCGGATATTCTCCAATTTGATTGGCATATCACTTGAACTGCCATCGTCCAAACCCACGACTGATAGCCAACAGTTCATCCCTCCGGTCATGCCCAATGAAGACAAAGAACAATCGCTCCCCTCATTCCTATGGCAGGCTCCAAACAGCAATGCGGCTTTGTACTTTGGGGATAAATGGGCGGACTTCCACTCTTTCTTAGCTAACCGCCTCTCTACCCTGGAGTCCGCGGCGGCCCCTAAAGGAAAATTGGTATCAGAGAAATACCCGGCCTTCATGGAACATTTGCTCGAGATGATCCGTGCCAAAGGATACTTCCTTCTTTACCCAGCCTTTGCAGGGGTCAAATCCCCTTCAATTGCCACGGTACACAGCGAGTTGTATCAGCCCCCAGAAGAATTTAGGGCAAGCGATATTGCCAGCTCGGATCCAGCCTCGAAGAATGATCCGACCCGGCCACTTACGGGTACTGGTCTGGGATCTGTTGAAAAACCGCTGGGTCACGCCACAGGTATCATGCCACTGCTTGACCTATTCTCCTCAGGCCTCCCCGATCTTGACCAATTACCTCTGCTTTCATATGACGGTGACGAATTGACGGCGGCGGCGTACACTGAACGTACGCGAGAATATGCCAAGCAGTTCAGAGTCAATTATGGAGGTTGTGATACGGAGAGCATAACCGATGACCCTTCAGGAGACCTATTTTGCCATCATGGATGAATGGTGATGTCTCTAGTGGGCGGTATCTGAGTAGCCATGAGGAGTAGCCGGTCGCCGGAGTCCTTCGAAGTGTCGTGGAGATATTAGTATTTATGTAAAATTAATCGGTAATCCCAATATGAGATGTCCAAGTCATTTCGACATGACTTATTCCCAATGTGTTTCCAAGAAATAAAGTCCTGGAGTGGAAGTCGAGCATAGCAAATCCAAAACAATGACGAGGCCCTTGGCGCATTATGTCTCCGTAATTTGGTTCCGGAGCTCAGACCATATCACATGATTCAGAAATTCTGCCGGTTTTTTGATCTAAGGTCTGAGCTTTGAACGCGTCTCAGACATACTGTCTCGCGGCAATTTTCCCCAACCTGCTCCATTCCACATCTAAAACTACACATTCTGCTAAATTATGGCAGATATGATTGGCTGAATAACTCTTCCACATCAAATTCCCAAAACCAATCGCCATGTCTCGAAAATGTGCCCGTCAATCACCCGATTCACCCCCAGAGTCGCGTCCGCAAACCGCGCCGCATGAACTTCCAGACAATTACACCTATGTCGGTAGGTTGTCTGATCGGAAAGGGTTGATATGATACTTCGACAAATGTATGAACAACATCGCTGGAGCCTCAAAACCTTTCTTTACCACCTGGTAACGGCGGAGCCTGAGCATAAACAAGCTTGGTCAACTGAGTATCGCGCACGGAGGCTGTATGAAGCCCTTTATGAGCAAGAGGAGGTGATGACTGAGCTGAACAAGGTGACTGGGAGCGCTGTGTCATTAAGGCAGCCGCAGCTGCAGCATCTGGTCAAGGCGGGGAGCTTGCTCAGTTTCATACACCTAAAGTTGGGCTTGGCCGGTTCATTGCAGACGAGGCGGTTGTTACAGACGGGCCAGTTGTCACAGAGGAGGCAGTTGATCTGCATGTGCCTGAGCTCGCTTTACGTGTGCAATCCGCTGCTCCTACCTTATGGAATTTCCTTACCTGTATCATGACACCGCAGCACCCAAGTGCTTGTGATACATCTCAGGAGTATCAGGGCAGAATCTTTATGATCTGCGTGATGTTGGCTTCAGCCTTTGCTCCTCGGACCTGCGAGAAATTCCTAGTCATGCTTGGTATTCATTTACATTCTGCGGGCGTGAGACGACGTACGATCGATTTTCTCTGTCGTTTGGGGGTTACTCCTCATTACTCAACTATCATGAATCGAAGAAGTAAACTAGCCAAGCTAGGGAAGGTTGTTCAATAGTCCACGGCCATAGTACTACACAGTACAGAGACAACTTAAGGAAGCTGCTCAGTCTTCTCATGGCAATTTTGTTATACGTTGGGACAATTTCGACTAGGTACAATCAACGACCGTCATCAAACCCGACTCTTCGGGACCACTCTCAACATATCTCTGCTACCACTGGGAAACCCTGTATTGGTCAATTTAACCCAGTCGGAGGCCTACGGAGATCAATGCTCCATCCAGAATCCCACTCCGACCTCATGCTCTCTTTCGAGCGGGAATAGGCTAGTAAGGTTAGGTACAATTATTGCACATTTATTTTGAGAATTTGGGAAAATGCAATACAAACAGACAGGGGGACTCATTACCTAGAGGACCTCGTCGCCCGAATTTTGATAATTGCGTTTGTTGTCAAGAAAATGTAGAATAACTTGGTTTCGTCGCGCAAAAATCTCGCGACTGTTTGGGGAGCCACATAGAAAGGTCGCGACTTAATATGCCCACAGTAACATTCGCCGCTCAGGCTCCCGCTAAACGCCGAGTCAGCAAACAGCAGGCGGTGGATTGCAAGTTCACCGCCTTTTTTGGGGGGCGGCTGTGGGAACTGAGGTAAGCACCTCCGAGCTCTGCAGGTGCTCTCCAGTCCATCACCAGCTTCCAATCCACTCGCATTACTCTTTACTTGCAGAACTTCATCTAATTCTGCTTTGTAACACTATCCTCTTCTCATCTGTTTGATATATTTCTTTGCCACGCCCCTTCGACTTTTCCCAACTTGGTTCCCAGCAAGTATTAGAAATGGCCAACGAGGGCGACCGGCCAACCTCCGCCGACAAGGGCAAGGGCAAAGTCGACGATGTTCGCGAGTTGAACGGCAAGAACGCCGAAAATGGCGAGAAGCCAACAAACGAAAAGAAGAAGGATGAGGTCTCTCAAGATGGTATGTTGCGATAAGGCTTGCCCAAGGTTCTTAAACGGAGCATGTGGTTTCTCTTCGAGGCCCACGCTGGCGCTGAAAACAATATGCTGACGGAGTGTCGTTACAGAGGAGCTCAGTGAAGAAGATCAACAATTGAAGAGCGAACTCGAGATGCTCGTTGAGCGGTTAAAGGTAATTGCTCTCTTGCCCGGTGCGCATGGCATAATGACGTTAATCATCTTTTGCACTCTTATAGGAACCAGATACCACGCTCTATGCACCCGCCTTGGACGCGATCAAGAATTTCATCAAGACATCTACATCCTCCATGACAGCTGTTCCCAAGCCTCTCAAGTTCCTCCGACCCCATTACGATGCTTTGGCAGGGCTATATGATGAATGGGTTGCAGGCCCCGTAAAGGTTGGTTCTGCACGCTTTTTCATCGCTTTTCGACTATCTAATAACCTTCTTCTTCCAGAACTCATTGGCCGATATGCTGTCAGTGCTCGGGATGACATACGGAGATGAAGAGAAGCTGGAGACTATCAAATATCGCCTGTTGGCCAAATCGGAGGACCTTGGCTCGTGGGGTCACGAATACGTCCGACACCTCGCACTGGAAATTGGACAGGAATACCAGAACCGGTTGAACTCAGAACAGGACACCCAGGATTTGGTGGACCTTGCATTGTCGCTGGTGCCTTATTTCCTGAGTCACAATGCTGAAGCTGACGCAGTGGATCTCATGAGCGAGCTGGAGATTATCGAAGATATCCCTCAGTTCGTTGACGAGAACACATATGCTCGTGTCTGCTTGTATATGGTCAGCATGGTCAATCTCCTTACTTATCCTGAAGATCAGCAATTCCTTCGAACCGCGCACGAGATCTACGTTCGCTACAACAAACTTTCGCAAGCTATCGTGCTCGCCATCCGATTGAACGACACCGATTTGATCAAGAGTGACATCCACGCCACAACCGACATGGCGCTGAAGAAACAAATGGCTTTCCTTGTTGCCCGGCAGCAAATCTGGCTCGACCTCCCGGCCGAAGATGAAGAGGGAGAGGCATTGGCGGATTGTCTCAACAACACTTCCATCCCAAAACACTTCAAATCCTTGGGCAAGGAACTTAACATCCTGGACCCCAAGATGCCGGAGGATATCTACAAGACACACTTGGAGAGCAGTCGCGGAGCCGGCCTCACCAACCTGGATTCGGCACGACACAACTTGGCGAGCGCCTTCGTCAACTCATTTGCTAACGCCGGCTTTGGTAACGACAAGATGATGCTCGTGGAGGGTGATAAGGGTCCTTGGGTATGGAAGACCAAGGACGATGGCATGCTTTCCACAACTGCATCGCTGGGTATGCTGCTGCACCGTGATGTTGAGGAGGGCTTGGACAAGATCGACAAGTTCACCTACGCGCAAGAAGACCAGGTCAAGGCCGGTGCATTGCTCGCTATCGGTATCCTAAACTCCGGCGTTCGCATTGACTCTGATCCCGCTTTCGCCCTTCTGACTGATCTTGATAACCTCGAGGCGAAGAACGTGCCGATGAGAGTCGCATCCATCATGGGCCTTGGTCTGGCATACGCCGGATCCAACAAAGAAGAGCTGCTTGAGGCCCTTCTTCCCATTGTGGAGGATACCTCACTGGATATGCAGTTGTCCGCCATGGCAGCTGTCTCACTGGGTCTTGTCTTCGTTGGTTCATCTAATCACCGAGTCAGTGAGGCAATTGCGACGACTTTGATGGATGAAGACCGCCAGAAACAGCTCAAGGACAAGTGGACAAGGTTCATGGCCCTCGGCCTGGCACTTTTGTACTTCGGCCGCCAAGAGGAGGTCGATGTCATTCTTGATATTCTCAAGGCGGTCGACCACCCCATGGCGAAGCCTACCTCAGTCCTTGCCTCGGTATGCGCCTGGGCGGGCACTGGCACAGTGCTCAAGTTGCAAGAGCTTCTTCACATCTGCAATGACATCATTGAAGAGAAGGAGGAGAACAAGGGTGATGAGCTTGTCCAGTCGTACGCTGTACTCGGTCTATCTCTTATCGCTATGGGTGAGGATGTTGGCCAGGACATGATCCTCCGCCAGTTTGGTCATCTCATGCACTACGGATCAAGCAACATCCGCCGGGCAGTTCCCCTGGCCATGGGCTTGATCAGCCCCAGCAACCCACAGATGAAGGTCTACGACACATTGTCTCGGTACAGTCACGATAATGACAACGACGTCGCCATTAACGCCATTTTCGCCATGGGTCTCTGCGGAGCGGGTACCAACAATGCCCGTCTCGCACAGCTGCTCCGCCAATTGGCAAGCTACTACCACCGCGACCAGAACTCACTATTCATGGTTCGCATCGCCCAGGGTTTGCTACACATGGGCAAGGGTACTATGACTCTTAACCCCTTCCACACCGATCGACAGGTCCTCTCCCGTGTCTCAGCAGCGGGTTTGCTTACTGTCCTTGTATCACTCATTGATGCCAAGCAATTCATCCTCGCTGAACACCACTACCTGCTCTACTTCCTCATTACCGCCATGTTCCCTCGCTTCCTTATTACCCTCGATGAGGATCTTCAGCCCCTCACTGTCAACGTCCGTGTTGGTCAGGCTGTCGACGTAGTCGGCCAGGCGGGTCGTCCGAAGACTATCACTGGATGGCAGACTCAGAGCACGCCTGTGCTCTTGGCTCATGGTGAGCGAGCCGAGCTTGAGGATGAGCAGTATATTCCTCTGAGTAACATTCTCGAAGGCTTGGTTATCTTGCGCAAGGTATGTCCTTCTCGTTCAATCCCTTCAATCCCCTAGCCAACTTGTACTAACCTGTTCTTCAGAACCCCGACTATGAAAGCCCTGAATAAGCTAAACGAGATATCTCTCGTTTCAATTTATATCCATCGCTCGCAACCAGCGGGACTCGTATCTTGGTCGAGTTATCGTTGGATCTAATGTATTCAGAACGAATGAAGAATAGCATGGATTTGTTTCACAATTAAATGTGTTTGGCGGTCTCTACTGTAACTGCTTAGGTGTATGGATAGATTTCATATTGTCGGCCTCGGCGGCTTCATGGGCGCGGCGTACGAGTCAAGGCACTCGGCTCAAATCAGCTACTGAATTATCATATGCTTTTATAGATTCTTGTGCCATTCTGTTGTAGATTGATGTTAGCTGTTTAAATAGAGGCGAAGCTATCTGAGTTATCGTCCAGGATAGGCAATAGGGCTTAGGGCTAGGTTCTTATCAACTTTTTTTCTCCGCCGCAGTGTAGACCGATCCAACTCGCCTTGAACGTCTAGTCGCCAACGAATTTGTTTCTCAGATTCGGAAGAAAGTTGATATCTCCTCCACTTTCTCGCAGCCATGAAACTCGACGCCAAGGCTATTCGCTATCTCACATCTGAGGATTTCAGAGTTCTTGCAGCGGTACTTATCGGCCCCTCCTCTTGGGTTTACCCCGCGATGTCTTTTCTCAAGGATCATCTGTCGCGTAATCTTCATCAGCTAACGTGAACGAACTGCTAAAGGTTGAAGCTGGAAGCCGGAACCATGAGGTCGTCCCAACGCCGCTGATCTCGCAGCTTTCGGGCCTCCGAGGCGGTAGCGGTGTCAACCGCGCAATTTCGAACCTCGCGAAGATCAACCTTATTGCAAAGGTGAAGAACGCCAAGTGTATGTATTCCATTGATTCCGTGCATCTTGATCGCATTGCTTACGCGACATTTCCCTGTAGATGACGGTTACCGACTTGCATACGGAGGATTGGACTACCTTGCGCTGAACGCGCACCAGAAATCAAAGACCATTTACTCGGTGGGCAACCAAATCGGCGTCGGAAAGGAATCAGACATTATCGTGGTGGCACAACACGACGGATCGCAGCGCATCATGAAAATCCACCGTCTCGGCCGTATCTCGTTCCGAACCGTCAAGACAAACCGTGACTACCTACGACACCGCAGCTCAGCATCATGGATGTACATGTCGCGACTGGCAGCAATGAAGGAGTTCGCTTTCATGACAGCATTGCGTAACCACGGATTCTCTGTTCCAGAACCCATCGCCCAAAACCGACACACGATCGTCATGAGTTTAATCGATGCCTTTCCCCTTCGCCAGATTGCCAAAGTTGCAGATCCGGCCTGGTTATACTCAGAGCTTATGAATATGATATTGGAGCTGGCAAGATATGGGTTGATCCATGGTGATTTCAACGAGTTCAACATTCTTATCAAGGAGGAGCTGGACGACGAGTTCAAGAATAAGGGACTCACGGAGGAAGAGGAAGATGAGCATATCCGGCTGGTCCCGGTTCTTATCGATTTCCCGCAGATGGTGTCGGTTGACCACCCCAATGCTGAGATGTACTTTGATCGCGATGTCGAATGTATCAAACGGTACTTCAAACGGAAGTTCCACTTCGTGAGCGACTCGAAAGGTCCTACTTTTGCTGAGGCTAGGAAAAAGCTCGCTAAGAACCCCGGCAAGCGTCTTGATGTCGAAGTTGAAGCCTCCGGTTTCTCACGGAAGATGGCCCGTGAGCTTGAGGCTTATATGAAAGACGTTGGAGTCAAGCCAGATGGAGAAGCTCGCGGTAGCGACGAGGAGGACGACGATGAGGATGAGGAAGATGAGGAGGAGTCAGGATCTGAGGCCGAAGAGTCTAGTGAGATTCATGAGACGAAAGACTCCGGAGACCTCGCTGCCAGCACCCAGCAGCTAGAAGGGCTTCAGATCTCAGGATCGTCGAAGCAGTAGGATGTGGTTCTTACCTTTTTCTAATGACCAGTTACGATGAATCAAGCATGTAATATAGGGTTCAAAAATTCCGATCAAAACACAATTCATGACATCCAAATTATGAAAATCATGCGCTTAGTGTAATTCATGAGTACTTCCTATAATATAATTGAAATCAATATCGAATCTGACCCCCAGCAGTGAGCGGTGCATTGTTGCCCATTGGCATATACTTCAAGGTCACCTGACCCGCCCGGCCCATGCAGTTTTGATAGGATCCGCAGCACCTCCAACTCTCCAGATCTCCCACTCCAACAAACACAATGGTTCGTCTCAAGAGCGTGGAAGCCAAGGCCCTGCAGCGCCTGCAGAAACAGGCCGGCGTCAATCAACCGAAAGACAAATTGTCTAGCGTCAACGGCAAGAAAGTGTACCTGTAGGTTCAATCCAAAAATTCCACCGGGGCTCACTCATGCCAGCAACCACGACAACGTCCACGCCTCAATTCGAATAAGGCCACAAAGCCTACGAAGACCACACAGCTAACTCTTCGCGCTCACTAGCCCTCAATTCCGCATCGCCCTCGTCCGAACCCCCAACCTCTCCCCCCGATATGCTCAATTCCGCGTCCCCCTCAACTTCAACAAGTTCGATCTCCGAAACTACCTCTGGAACCTATACGGCGTCGGCTGTCTCGGCATCCGCAGTTACGTCCAGGCACAGCCCATTACGCGCATCTCGCGCGATGGAAAGGGTTACGGGCCATGGCGTCGACCCAAGTCGCAGAAGCGCATGACTGTTGAATTGAAGGAGCCTTTCGTTTATCCTGCTGAGCCGAAGGATCTTGAACCGTACGTGACATGCACACACCGTCTTTACATTTTAATTTCTTCCCGCTACATTCCCCTTCTTTTTCCTGCATATTTTAATGCAGATTGCACCCACCCAATCAAGCCAGTTTCATCGCTAACATATTTCCAATTACAGATGGGAAAAGGAATCTTGGGAGAAGGCCGAGAAGTGGCAGATCGAGCAACAAGAGAAGGAGAACCCTAAGCGGAATGCCGGCGAAGAGCCGGACCACGCTTTGCGTGCCGCCTTCAAGGAACAGGCTAAGCAGCTGCTCGAGGAGAAGGAGACTTGGAGACCGACTTGGAAGGCTTTGGGTCTTGAGCCGCATAAGGCTAACAAGGCTAATTTCGTTGCGCCTTCTACGCTGCCGGCTTGGTATAATAAGTCGCGTAAGCATGGCGCGCGGTAATCGGGGTTTGAGGGTTGCATTTGTTCTGAATGGTTTTCTTTTCGGAAAACTTGGTGTTTCTTGATTTCTGGCTTTTTTTGGGCTGGATCTGTGTATTATACTCTTGGGGTAGATTGTATACAATTCGTGGCGTCTCAAATCTTCTGGTCTGGTTTATCTTTTTCATTTTGCCTCTAGGTGAGGCGTGAGATGGTTTGAATGGTAAGTACTTAGAGTAGAACTGAATTCAGTACATCGAAAAGTGCTATAGACATGAAAGAATATGGACAGGCAAAAACGCATAAACGAAGCTGATTAGATACAGAGTCACTGGGGTGGTGTGTTATTATACGCTATGCAAAAACCAAAGTGAGGAATGAGGAGGATCAGAAACGCTAGACAACACGTAAGAGCGTCATGATCTCAGGTATCGAGACGACTGATTAAAGTCGGCTCTCAACAAAGTTGATCTGGTGCTGGCCCGGCCACTGGGCATCGGGCCAGACCTGACGCAGACCCTCCCAAATGTGCCTGTGAGAATCTTGTTAGCAATTGAAGAAAAGCAGCAAGAAAGGGTGCAGATAACATACTTGACATAGATGATCTCCAGACCATCCTTGACCTCCTGAGGGACATCTTTGACGTCCTTGCGGTTCTGGTCGGGCAGCAGCACGGTCTTGACTCCCGCGCGCAAAGCACCGATCAACTTCTCCTTGATACCACCGACAGGCATAACCCGGCCGCGGAGGGAGACTTCACCCGTCATGGCAATCTGCGGCGGGACGGCCTTGTTGGTGAACAAGGAGATCAAGGCAACGGTGTGGGCAAGGCCGGCAGAGGGACCATCCTTGGGGATAGCGCCAGAGGGGCAGTGGACGTGCAGGCTGCGGCTCTTCATGATATCTTCGTTGGGGTCGTGGGTGAGACCGAGCTCGAAGGAGTGTGCCTTAACCCATGTTAGGGCTACCTCGACGGATTCCTTGAGAACGTCGCCCAGCTTTCCGGTTAGCTGGACACGTCCATTGCCGGGCATGTCTGCCACCTCGATGAATAGGATGCTACCCTGGCCACCGGTAGAGTAGGCAACGAGACCTGTGACGACACCGGGACGGCCGTGCTTCTCAGCGATTTCTTCCTCGAAGCGCTCGATTCCAAGAATATCCTCCAAATCGTCGACTGACACAACGGGGTTGTAATCGTCCAGACGGTCAGAGTCACCGGCCTCGGCATATTGTACGGCCTTGTGGCGGCAGATGGAGCCAAGCTCTCGCTCCAAATTGCGAACCCCCGATTCACGGGTATATGATGTGATCGTCTTGTCGATCACCTCGTCAGACAAGCTGACTAGGCTCTCAGTGAGTCCATTAGCTCGAATTTGCTTGGGGATGAGATGTTGCTTGGCAATGTGCCTCTTCTCAACGGTAGTGTATCCAGACAAAGCGATAGTCTCCATGCGATCGAGCAGAGGTGCCGGGATCGTGTCCAGAGAGTTGGCCGTAGCAAGGAAGAGAACTTTGCTCAGGTCAATGGGGATATTGATATAGTGGTCGGTGAAGGTGTGGTTTTGCTCGGGATCCAGAACCTCCAACATGGCAGCGGACGGGTCGCCTTGGAAATTGGCACCGCCGACCTTGTCAATCTCGTCAAGCAGAATGACAGGATTAGCCACGCCGACCTTCTTCAAACCGTTCACAATCAACCCAGGCATGGCGGCAACATAGGTGCGTCGGTGGCCTCGGATTTCCGCCTCGTCCCTGACACCACCAAGGGAGATGCGGTGGAACTTACGCCCAAGAGAAGCGGCAACCGACCTTGCCAGACTGGTCTTACCAGTTCCAGGAGGTCCGACCAAAAGCAAAATAGGGGACTTGTCGGTCATACGCTTAGATTTCAAAATCTCAAGGCGAGTCTCCAGCGCAACTCGGTCGGACTCTGACAGCAGAGGAACATCCTTTTCGACATCGCCCACTGCCGTGGCATCCAAGTCCCTGGAGAGTCCTGAAATCTGGCGTTCAACATCGACGTTGGTGGATTGCTTCAACCGCAACACAGCGAGGTACTCCAACAGCCTCTTCTTGATGCGCTCCAGACCATAGTGATCCTCATCCAGCTGCTTCCGGGCTCTCTTCAATGTGTCCGGTCCAAGCTGATCCTCGGTCACCTTGGTCCACGGAATTTCAGACAAGTTTTCCAGGTATGTCCGGCAAACGCCATATTCGGCATTGGCAGGGTTCATCTTGCGCAGACGTTTCAATTCCCTGTCCGCAACCTTCTTAGCTTCGGGACTAAGCCCCGCATCATTCAGCTTCTGTTGCAACTCATCCACCTCATTAGGCTCCTTCTCTTCATCGCTGCCACGGCCACCGGGAGGTGGCATGCCAGAAAACCCAGAAAGTGCGCGCTTTGCAAGAAGCTCACGTTCACGGGGATCAATCTGGCTGATATCCACCCCGGAGGGAGGGAATGAAGTAGAGGAAAGCGAGGTGACCCTAACGCTGCTCTTAATGTGCTGTGCCTGTCTGGTGAGGATCTCAACAACCCTCTCCAGGCGTTCCTTAACATCCAGCGAGCTGAGAATGCGCAGCTTCTCCTCAAAGCTGGCGTCAGATACATCTGCCATAAAATCAGCCAGCTTCCCTGCCTGGCTCAAGTCTGTCTTGGATATGTAAAGCTCAAACTTTCGAGCAACGAGTGGCGAGAGACGTGAGGAAGCTGCCGACAGCAACGAGGACAGGCGCAGGAGAGTCAGAAGTTCCCTAGATAGCTGTCTCAATTGTTGGAATAGCTCCGCAACTTCCGCATTACCTTGGCCGAAGTCTATAAGAATAGAAAATGTGATTAGCCACGTGGAAACGGGACTTGTTTGTGAGACACCTACTGCTTTCGTCATGGATGAACACCTCGGCCTCAAAGTATGGCCGGTCACGCAAGACCTTCTTGATCGAGAATCTTTGCGTGCCCTGGACAAGCAAGAATGGCTCCGCATAGGCGCGACGTTGAACTCCGATGACTTTACCAATGGTTCCATATCGGAACAAGTCTTCCTTTCGCGCCTGGCCGGCATCAATCGCGTCGTATTCCTCCTTCTGTGCTGCGTCTGTATCCTCGCCTTCAAGAAGTTGCTGTCCATCACGGCTCAAGAACGGCGAGTTGAGCGGAACGCAGCCGAACGTGATGGTCCCCGCATCTCTCTTCGAAGGTCTGTCGACAAGTGACGAAAGAAGGTTGGCAAGGTCGGGACGATTGGAGACCGGGATACGTAGGGTCACTCCGGGTAGCAAGACTGAGCCCTTGGCAAGGGGTACGAGGGGAATCTTGGTGATTCTACCGTTGGATCCCATCCTGTGTATGGCGCCTGTGACGGAATAGTGTGGCAAAAGACGGGATCCAAGAGACAGTTAAGGTGTAGTTTGTACGGGAGGGAGTGGGGAAGCGAGAAGGTAAGAGGATGTCGAAAGTGCAATATATGGAGAAAGATGCAATACGGAGTGAAGTTCCAGAATCACGTAGATGTAGATGGGAAGTCCGGGGGAGGAGATAAGGTCCGAGTCCCATGTCTCGTAATCTCCACGTCCCGATGCCGAGGTTGACGCAGATCAGCTGGGGAAGATCCTCAGAAGTTACATATGTCCGTCCGATGTATCACTGTTTTAGTTGATATTTGAGGTCTTAAATCAATCATCTACTATTTACATTGCATTTTACATACTAATATTTCCTGAGTTCCATGTACTATTAGTATGTTGTCGGGGTGAAGATATTACCTGACACTTATTGGAGTCCCGTGATCGGGGAAAGTGCTCCAAATCCACTTTTGCCTCGTCTCTCGCCTGACTTTCCTCGGCTTGGGATTCTTTGCATAGCTCTTCGCCTCACCTGATTGACTTGCTTGAATTTTATATTAGTCCACTCTTCGGCATACACTTTTCCCTTTCCCCTCAAAATGACCACCCCCGCCCCCGCCCAAAGGACCATCACCATTGGCACCCGCAAATCCAAATTGGCTCTGGAGCAGACCTACCTCGTCCGCGAAACATTGAAAAAGGCATTTCCTCAGTATGAATATAAGGTCTTTTCCAAGGAGACAGCTGGTGACCTGAACACCACCATCGCACTGCGGGACTTCACCACCAAGAATCTGTGGACGGAAGAGTTGGAAGAATTGATGATCGCCGGACAAGTTGATCTTATTGTTCACTCATTGAAAGGTGTGATAATGCTCAAATCCCCAGCAGCGTAGCTACATTGTATTCAGTTCTGGGAATGCTAACTTCCTCTCGCTAGATGTTCCCACCACTCTCCCCGCTTCCTGCAAGCTTGGCCCGACTGTCCCCCGCGAAGACAGCAGGGATGTCCTCGTGGTGAAACAAGGCTTGCCGTACAAGTCTCTCTCCGAAATCCCCGCCGGGTCCGTAGTTGGCACCTCGTCTATCCGTCGCACAGCACAACTGGCCCGGAAATATCCCAATCTTAAGATCCAGGATGTCCGTGGCAACATCGGCACCCGGCTATCCAAGCTGGACGCTGAAGACAGCCCTTACACTTGTATCATTCTGGCGGCTGCTGGTCTTCTGCGTCTGGATTTGGCCGATCGTATCACCGAATACCTGGACTCCAAGAACAGCGGCATGCTTTATGCGGTCGGGCAGGGTGCCCTTGGTATCGAAATCCGCAAGGAAGATACGGAACTGCAGAAGATGTTGGACACGATCGGTCACCAGGACACCACATTCTCTGTTTTAGCTGAGCGGAGTCTTTTACGAACTCTCGAGGGTGGCTGCAGTGCCCCGCTGGGTGTTGAGACTGAATGGATCCAGACCCCGGAGGGTTCAAAGCGATTGCGCATGCGATCGGTGGTTGTCAGTGTCGATGGCAAGGAGTGTGCTCAGGTAGAGCTCGATGGTGAGGTCGCCTCTGCTGAAAGTGCTGAGGCCTTCGGCATCACTGTCGCCAAGGCACTGGTTGCCGACGGCGCCGGGGCCATTCTCGAGGCTATTCAGCGGAACAAGCCCAAGGAGACAGTTTCCACTGTTGTCTAAATGATTATATTACAAATAAATCTTCATATAGATCTATATTGTTACTATGCTGATATACCCTGTCAAAAATGAACTGAACGAGTTTATGTCTCGAATACCTGGCGTAAAATACTAGACAAGTAGCAATGCTGGTCCGGAGCTCCGTCTATCGTGGCTTTTATGGAATGTGTCAATGCCGCTATGCGATGCAAGTATTTCTAGATCATCCGCGGTTCAGTGTGTTTCCAGCACCCTTAGGGTTGGCCTCCGTAAACTCGTCCCAAGCTCTTGCCTTCAATGTTTCCTGGTCAGCAATGTCATGATCATCCTCGTCGACTTCCGGTTTGATGCCGGATTTCTCCCCTCCGCCTTCAATGATACCGCCCCGTCTGTGTTCTTCGTCGAGATAGTCCTCAATTGTCATAGTAGGAAGGTTATGGCCTGGACGAAAGACTCCTTTTTGCATCTCCGATCGCCGGCCCAGCAACGTGAATGGCTGCATGGGCTTTCCTTTGCTATTAAGGAGAGGCCCACCTCTACCGCCCCTCAAAAGTTGTGACGTTGAAGGGTCCAAACGTTCTGAATAATTTAATCCTCCGATGTTGCTTCGCTGTCTGGGATCGTCCGTGGGTGGTGGGCGGGGCGGCGCGTTGCGCATGGCTGAAAGTATCGATAATTCCTGGATCAGGAGATCTAAGGCCTGGAAGGTTTGGTGGGTGTATAGCTGGATCTCTGCTAGGTAGAGGGACCGGGTATCATCATCATCGCTTTGCAGACGAGCTTCATTTTGGGCAAAGTACTTCGGATAAGGTCAGCAAAAGGCCCTGGCACTTGCTGGATGTCCCTGCAACATACCTCCAATTTCTGCTTGAGCTCCTTTTCTTCCCTGAACCGTCTTACTTTGATCTCTCGTCGTGCGGCGGCGTCGTTTGCAGGTGCCAGTGTAAACGAAGTCGAATTGGCCATATATTGCTCAAAGAGCTTCTTATCTCCTCCCGATAGTAGCAGGTACTCATCCAAGCGCATCAGGTATTTCTCATAATATTCGAGGGCAGACTTTAGGGCGTTTTCGCGGTCGGAGCTCGTAGCCCGCTGCATGAGTTCGGCTAGGTGATATTCGAGCGTCATGTACCTGAACAACTATATCAGTCAAACGGCTCATGGGTATTGCGGGGTAAGAGTTGCGTACTGGATATCGGCTGTTGACACATCTTCCAGCAGCTCATTGGAGCTGAACAAAGACAGCATGCTCACTTGCCGTTGGCATTCTAGGAATTTGGCGATCGTCCCAGTCACCTCTTCTCGGTAGGTCTCGCTGTTGGTGTCGCCCCGCGATCCTAGTGCATTCTTCTGTGCCTTGGCTGCGGCGAACAGAGATCGTAGACTCTGAGGTTCCTCCATTGATGCCGATGTTGATCTCGACCAGAATTTGAGTTAAAGATAGAAGGAAGGGCTTGACGTGTTCTTTTGGATGGCTTGTCCCCGCGATTTGAATCTGAGTTTTGGAATTGCGATAAGCTCCGATAAGGATCTGCTTTGCTTATCCGATGGGACTCATGGGAGCTTCCCTATTCAACGGGGTCTTTCCAGTTTTAGATCCTCGTTACTTGATACTCAAGAGTCAAGCGTATGTTGGTCCAGTATCATTCCTACTTCCTAGTGAATGTTAAACAGTGTGAATGAGAATCATGAAGGCATTTCAGATTCCGAGGGCATGTAAGAGCAAGAGCAATTCACCATGTCAGCCCGGAACCGGGCAGGGATCGATATATCCCTGGATCCATGTTGGCTTTGTTCCTGCTGCTATAGGTGATTCCATGGATGCAGGTACATTCCATCCGTGGTATCTAACAAGGACTAATTTCCCCCGAAGTTATATACCTGAACAGTAGGTATATCTTGTACTAACATCCCCAAGGTCTGCCATGGAAACAGTTTGCTGGGTAACATTTGTCACTTCCAGCGTATGGACTCTACTCACCCAGACGCTGAGACTGATTTAGTACTACAAAACTATTTCCCTACATAGCAGGTGTGACTCCCTACCTAGGCAGATACATCAATGCATTAGGTGAAATTTGTTGCTTTCAGCTTATTTGCAGCATACTCTAAGTATTGGCAGCTTGGGAAGAAGACAAACAAACCTCAGACGCCGAGAACTATAAATCGACTGCTCCTGCCTGACTTGCTCTACTCTCCACCTTCAACATATTTTCGACTATTTAGGTTATCTCGGCAAACTCTCACTGTCTCAGCAAACTCTTACTGCGTCTCCCATTCCAACCTTCCCGGTTCCCACAGAAGCATTCATAATGGATCCAGAGGATATCCCGTCTCTCACTGCCTCACCCATTCCAACGTTCAAGGTTCCCACAGAAGAATTCATAATGGATCCAGAGGATATCATGTCTGATATCTCTGATGATGAAGTTGAAGAGCCGCAGCCCAAGGTCACCGACAAACAGAGAAGCCAGAATGCTACGTTCACTGCACTGTTGGTCTCATTCCTTCTACGTGAAAAGTGAATATTGCTAATGTTTGAAAGCCTTGAACAACATGTTGTCAACGGATCTATCGACGACCTTGATGGGACATATACCGGGCCATCGGATGTGGAACTTTCCACAGCTCGTCTTATCGCAAAGTCAGACATGGGAGGGGGAGTCCTAGACCCCCGTGAGTACCAACTCGAGCTCTTTGATAGAGCCAAGAGCGAAAACACGATTGCGGTCCTCGATACAGGTTCGGGAAAGACTTTAGTGGCTGTGCTCCTGCTCAAGTATATTCTGGAACTCGAGTTAAACAACCGTCAGAATAAGATGGAGCATAAAGTGGCCTTTTTCTTGGTTGATAGCGTCACCCTGGTCTTTCAACAGTCAGCAGTCTTGCGAAGAAATCTCAACCAGAAGGTCGCCTATTTCTACGGGAATTTAGGGCCTGATCTTTGGGACCAACAGACATGGCAAAAGCAGCTTAAGTCGTACATGGTCATTGTATGCACGGCAGAGATCCTCAATCAAGCCCTACTGAATGGGCATCTGAGGATTGATCAGGTCAACCTTTTGATCTTTGACGAAGCCCATCACGCCAAAAAGGAGCACCCTTACGCCCGGTATGTTGATCAATGCTCTGTGATGCCCTGCTGGCAAAGGCTAATATTGATCTAGCATCATCCGAGATTCGTACTTGAAAGTAGAGCCTCACAAGCGACCCAGAATTTTCGGGATGACTGCTTCACCGGTTGATGCTAAATGTGACATACCGACAGCAGCATCGTGAGTTCAGCCAACATCTACAGTCTTGAGACATCTGCTTACTTGATATAGCCAGCTTGAGACCCTTCTATGCAGCCGCATTGCCACAATCTCGGATCTTAGCCTCCTACGACATTTCGTGAACACACCAACAGAGGAGGAATGGGTATACGAGAAGCTTCGTCCGTCGTTCGAAACAGACCTGCATGTCGCTTTAAAGACCAAGTATGGAGATATATCGATACTCGAGAGCGCGTTTCGGTTCGCATCAGTTGCAAGCTCAGAGTTAGGGCCCTGGTGCGCTGATCAGGTGTGGCGGCTAGCACTAGCAGACGACGTACTGCCCAAGCTCGAGGGCAGTATCAATAAAAATGCCAACTCCGATATTCACTGCTCCGAGAAGGCCACTGAGGACATCAGGCGTGTGCAGGAAGCTAATCAGTTTGTCAAAGGCTACGTCGAAAAACAGCAAGTTTCGCCAAAGGATCTTAGCTCGAAAGTTGAACTCCTGATAACAAAGCTGGGAGAACAATTCCTAAAGTTGCCAGATACCAAATGCATTGTGTTCACGCAACGCCGCAATACAGCCAAAGTTTTGTTGCAGCTGTGTGAAAAGTTGGAAATCCCAAACCTGCGCCCTGAAGCCTTAGTTGGGGTTCGCAAAGGGGATGCCCTGGGTATGAACTCCACGTTTCGTCGTCAATTTCTTATCTTGTCCAAGTTCCTAAAAGGCGACCTGAACTGCTTGGTGAGCCTATACATGAACGAAACATCGATGAGAAGGAACTACTAATCATACATAGTTTGCAACTTCGGTGGCTGAGGAAGGTCTTGACATCCCAGACTGTAACCTGGTGGTCCGGTATGTCATCTATTATTTATGTCGTTGCTGTAACACTCGCTGATTTATCCAGGTTTGATCTCTATGATACGGTCATTCAGTACGTCCAAAGTCGCGGCCGTGCCAGGCGCGCTGACTCAGTGGTAAGACAGGCCTGACCTATCTCTATCTGGTCGACAGCATTTCATTGACTGACTCTTGGTAGTACGCAACGATGATTGAATTTGGTAACCGCACTCACCGCATGAGACTACAGGAAGTCCGAAAGGAAGAGGTATGGGCTCTATTCATATACTTTATAGAAATGCCTTGTTCGATTCTGAGCTGACTTGAATATGAAATAGAACCAAATGAGGAGCTTTTGCAATCAACTACCGGACGATCGAAAGCTCGGGGGGGACGAGGAGGATTTGAAGCGCCTTATCTGTGGAGAGGACAGGAAGAGGTCGTACACTGTCCCGGCCACTGGAGCCAAATTAACCTATCGCCATGCGATTGGTGTACTCGCAAAGTTTGCTAGTTCTTTGGTAAGAGCCACTCTCACATATGATATTGTCCTGTTAGAAACTGACAGTATCAACCTTCAGCAATATCAGAATGAGACCTCGGCCAGCGTCTCATATGTAGTCACTCCGGAGAGGGATTTGTTCCGCTGTGAGATAATTTTGCCAGAGAAGTCCCCTGCCCGAGGGGTGGTTGGATATCCTGAACCAACGAAAGCACTTGCTAAGCAGTCCGCTGCTTTTGATACATGCTTGTTGCTCCGAAAGCACCGTCTGCTGGATGACCACTTCAACTCAGTTTATCACAAGCGCTTACCGGCTATGCGTAATGCCAAATTGGCCATTACATCAAAAAGAACTGACCAATACAGCATGCGTACAAAGCCTTCAGTCTGGGCCAGACAGCAAGGAACCATCCCATCACGCCTCTGGGCGACAAGTATTCGCCTCACTCCATCAGCACCTCTTGTTCGAGCCCCCGGAAGCCTCGTCTTGCTGACAAGAGAGCCAATTCCCCAAGCCCCGATATTCCCGGTCTACTTGGACAACGATATCATGACCACAGTCCAGTCTTTGCGCATCGACGGCTTCCTTGAGGTTTCATCCCGAGAACTCGACAAGCTCACTTCTTTTACACTCACTGTCTTTCACGATGTATTCCACAAGACTTATACTCCGGTCTCGGAACAGTTCCCGTACTGGCTTGCTCCTGCTCGGCAGGATTTTGACGCAGGATTGCCAACTAGTGCCTTTGAGGTAATTGATTGGAAGGCTCTGCAATACGTCCAAGACTACCCAAAGATTTTGTGGTCCCCGGATATGAAGCCTGAAGCATTGCTAAATCGGTTCATCTACGATGACTGGAACGGAAAGTATCGATATTTCCCACTTGATGTCGATCCGAACCTACGCCCTACCGATCCACCTCCTTCATATGCGCCATCTCGAAAGTGGTCGGATAACATCATGAATTGGACATTGAGCCTCAGCAAGAATTCACGTCCAAAGTTCTTCGACCGATGTATCTGGGACCAACCAGTCCTACAAGCCGAACTGGTATGTCTTCGGCGGAACTTCCTCGACAGAGCTGCCGCCGACGCCAAAGCAGCCAACTCAAGATGTGTCATCTGCCCTCAACCATTGGTTATATCGCCGGTTAGTTTGCCGTCAGTAAATGGCCTAGTTTACTCAGGAACTAATGTATAATACAGATTTCTCTGCCGATAGCTGTGACATGCCTCGTTTTCCCAGCAATCATCACCAGAATGGAGTCGTATCTGATTGCCGATGAGGGGTGTACAATGCTAGGCCTTCATGACATCAAGCTCGACCTTGCTCTGGAAGCGTTTACCAAGGATTCTGACAATACCGAAGAGCACCGGAGTCGACAGATTCATGTTCAGCGGGGCATGGGGAAAAACTATGAGCGTCTCGAGCTGCTAGGAGACTCCGTTCTCAAAATGGCGACCTCAATCTCGCTCTTCGCTCAAAAACCAGAAGATGATGAATACGACTACCACGTGAATAGGATGTGCCTCGTCTGCAACAAAAATCTGTTCAAAGCCGCGACTGAACTGAAGCTATATGAATACATCCGTAGCCGCGGATTCTCAAGGTATGTTTGACGTTTTCTTTCTGAGAGAGAAAGTCGGCAGTCAGCTGACACTTCACTGCAGGCATTTGTGGTATCCTCCAGGTCTTTCGCTTGAGTACGGTCGGGACCATGCCAAGTTCTTTACCACTGAAGCTAGACATTCTTTGGCCGAGAAGACCATAGCAGATGTTTGCGAGGCACTGATAGGGGCGTCGCTGCTAACTGGAGGAGTCGATAATCGTTATGATATGGCCATCAAAGCCGTGACCATCTTCGTCAATAGTCAGAGCCACACAGCAACATCATGGAAGGACTACATAAATGCATACTCGCTGCCTGCATACCAGACTACGGGAACTAATGCATTCGAAGGCGACCTTGCTGATCAAGTGTTCGAGAAACTAGGCTACAGATTCAAGTACCCTCGTCTTTTGCGGTCAGCTTTTACACATCCATCTTATCCCAGTGCCTGGGCTAGTGTGCCATGCTATCAGCGACTCGAGTTTTTGGGTGATGCTCTCATGGACATGGTGTGTGTGGAACACCTGTTTCATCGCTTCCCAGATCGAGACCCGCAATGGTTAACTGAACACAAGGTCAGTAAGATTCCAGGATTCAATCACTCTATTACTAGCTAATGCAGCCAACAGATGGCTATGGTATCCAACAAGTTCCTTGGCGCTCTGGCTGTCAAGCTGGGGCTCCATCATCATCTCCAGCATTTCAGTAGCCCGATCCTGGTTCAAAATACCAAATATGTGACTGAGATAGAGTTCGCAGAGAAGGAAGCTAAGGGGGAGGTAGACTATTGGCTGTCCACATCCGATTCACCCAAGGTCAGTTCCATTTTCGTATGAGCATGTTTCCCATACTCACAGAGATATAGTGCCTTCCTGATATGCTTGAGGCCTATATCGGCGCCATATTCGTCGATTCAGGCTTTGACTTCACCATCGTCGAGGCATTCTTTGAGAAGCATGTTCTGCCGTTCTTCCGGGACATGTCCATTTACGACACATTTGCAAACAGGCATCCTACAGTAAGACCACCTCATGCTCTTGCAACTCTACCTTCGGTGCTGACGTATTATAGACATTCCTTTATAGCAAGATGGCTCAGTTGTACCAATGTGCTGACTACTGCTTGAAATCAGGAGAGATCCCTGGTGTGAGTGGAAAAACTTCCAGGGTCTATGCGGTGGTCATGGTGCATAACCAGCTCATTGCTGAAGCAACCTCTTCGTCGAGTCGGTACGCTAAGGTGAAGGTTAGCAGCAGGGCATTGGCTGTTATTGAAGGACTGTCCGTTTCTGAGTTCCGGAAGAGATACAACTGCGATTGTCAAATTGAGCAGATCGATGGGAACGGCTCAGATATTGGCACAAAGTTCGGAACGGCAATCTGAGCGAGGTGCTTATGGAGAGCAGCGCTGGGATCTTCTCAGGACCTGCGAAGATATCGGCGGGAGGAGATAACCAGACCTCGGGAGAACTCCAAAACAAGTAGTGGAATAGGAATACAGCGGGTATCGTTAGGTATCATCTATCAGGTTCAAGTCAAGACCAACTATGAAGTTAGGTAGCGACTTAGGTCGTGGAATGGAGTCTATCTTTCGAGTTGCTGTCGTTCCCCAAACCTGATCTCCTCTTCCGCATCAGGGGCATGAGACATGCTAGGATTATATCGGTGATTTACCACGCACTGAACCATTGAGACCCTGATCGTAGCCGTACTGAGAGACTGCCCCATGAGACAAGGCCAATCAGTGTTTGTGCCCAAATCATGAGGTTGGCTGCCGCTGGCAGTAGAAAAATCATTGAGCCAATGTCTACCGTACCGATCCAGAGGCCACCGAATCCGTTATCCGATAATCCGATGCCATATGTAGATGGAAGAACGTAGTCTCAACTCTGTATTCAAAGCAAAGGTTGTATACCCACCTAGGTGCTTAGGATCAGGAAATATAGTTCTCAAGTAGACGGGCCGGGGACAAAGAGCCATGGATGAGCTGTCGCATGGGGTCGTGTCACGCTAAGCTGAATGGGGGATAGCGTACATCCCCTGAAGTAGAGCAAACACGCCGCGTATCTTTTGATCTTCAACAGACCCGGGACGGCAGAGGGCTGAGATTTACCTATCTTTGCATCCTATCTTAATCCGTTAGATTTCTTCTTCCTATCAGGCTTTGTCATTATCCTTTGCCCTATTTCTCAGCCCTATTCTCGGTCGACGCGATCTCCGTCAACACTGAAGACACCGACCCTTCCCGCACTCTGAACAATTCTTACTACCGATGAGCCTTTCGCATTCGTCATAACACATCCGAAATTATGGAGGTCGCCTCATCAGGCGTGCCCAATGGCGTTCCAACAACAGAGAACGCAGCCCTGGTAGATTCCGGCGCGATCATTCAGTACTTGACCGAAGTGCTCCAGGTGACACTGGGAGCCCAGAGGTCCGAGCTGGAGAGCGCTGGGAATTTGCTTTCAGAATCAAAGTACAATGAGACCCTGCAGCGGTGTACGCGATTTGCCTCGGAATTGCAAGTCGTACTCTATGTACAGAAAGACATCGTGACAGCAGATGATACCAACGGCGAGACAGAAGACCAAGGTAGGATTACCAAGTGCTCAAGGATGGATAAATATGATGCTGACTATCGCGGTGAAGATACAGCTGTACAATATGCCTACAACCTTGCCTCTGATATTTCGTCCGCTTCCACAACCGTGGCCTCCGTGGCCATCATCAAACGGCCCGTTCCTATCGACATGAGTCTGCCCATAGCATCGCAAGTCCAAATCATGAACCTTCCTGGGCCCGCTTCTCTCACCAATGCGCCGGCCCAGCAGGGGAATTCCATGTCGCCCTACCAGATCTTACATTTGATGATACACCATGGTCTCAGTCCTTACTTCGAATCCTATTCTCGCAGCCAAGAGACAGCGGTCGGCACGAAATCAAAAACGGATACGGAGGCGAAGACTGGTATTCCGGGGACCAGGAAGAGAATCGCGGACCTGGAGCTTGGTTTGCAGCATCTCCAGCAGAATGTGGAGATCCCAGCCCTGAACTTGCCACTTCATGAAGTGGTGCAGGCTGCTCTGAACGAGGCGGAAGCGCGTGGTATCAAACCATCTGTCGAGCTGATTCCATCGGCGGTGCTGGAGAGCAGTGCTTTTACGAACAGCATTCAGAGTGTCGTGAACGGCTGGATCAGATCCATCCAGACGATTACCAAGATGTCCCGTGATCCGGACAGTGAATCTGCCTCCCCGGAGGTCAATTTCTGGCTGTCTCTTGAGGCTGCCCTGGAAGGAATCGATGCCCAGCTGGAAAGCGAGGGTGTTCGGTTGACTATGGACATTCTCCGCCATGCGAAACGATACCAGCCGACACTCAGTTTCGTGGCCGACACTGGGCTGAAAGAAGCCACCGATTTGGTCCAGAAATACAACCAGTTGATGCGAGACTTCCCCCTTGATGAACTTCTGTCTGCAACCTCCCTCCAGAAGGTCCAGGAATCACTTAACTTGATTTTCACTCACCTGAACAAGAAGTTGAAGATTTGTCCCTACCCCATTAAGCGCGCGCTGTCACTTGTCGAAGCCATCTCAGGCGACTTGGACAAGAAAATCCATGAACTTATCACTGGACGTACCATCTTGCATCTAGATTACCGTGAGTTCCGGTCATTGATGAAGACGACGCAAGCTATTTGGCGCACATGGGACGAAAACTTGAAGGAATTCACAAATGTTGCGCGTGAATCTACGAGGCGTCGTAACGAAAAGTTCATCCCAATCAAGATCAATGCGAGACACGACAAAACCCGCGAGCGGGTAAAGTATGTGGACACTTTCAGGATCAATCATGAGCAGCTCCAGAAGACAATCATCAACGTTCTCGGACCCAATAGCTCTTCATCAGCTGAGGGAGGAGCCGGGGTCGATGCCGACGGCGCTGTGATCGTTGAGGAAATTGGCGATGTCGATGCCGTGGAGGAAGTTGCGCTTGCCTATGCTGCTCTCAAGGATGTGGACGTGCTGGATGTTTCACCCGAAGGATCTCTTACCTGGGAGCAGGCCGAACTCGCCTACAGTGAACGTACTTCCCGTGTTGAGAATTCTATCATTGCTCGTTTGCGTGACCGTCTAGCGACTGCCAAGAATGCCAATGAGATGTTTCGTGTATTCTCGAAGTTCAATGCCCTTCTGGTCCGTCCTAAGATTCGCGGTGCAATTGGCGAGTACCAAACGCAACTCATTGATAATGTCAAGCGCGACATCAGCGCCTTGCACGAGCGCTTCAAGCAACAGTACGGTAATTCGGAAGCTCATGCCATGGCCCAATTACGCGATTTGCCGCCTGTTTCAGGTGCTATCATCTGGACTCGCCAGATCGAGCACCAGCTTGATGGCTACATGCGCAAGGTCGAAAATGTGCTCGGTGAAAATTGGCATCTGCATGCCGAGGGCCAGAAGTTACAGAATGAGGGCAACTTGTTCCGCAAAAAGCTCGACACCCGGCCTGTCTTCGAGTCATGGCTCTGGGATGTTCAGCGCCGCCATTTCACAATCGCTGGACGCCTGTTTAATGTTGTGCGCAACCGATCGGCTGGAAACATCTTAGAACTAGCAGTCAACTTCGACCCCCAGATCATTGCTCTCTTCAAGGAGGTCCGAAACCTCATCTGGCTCAATTTCCAGGTTCCTCATGCTGTCAGCAATATCTCTAAAGAGGCAAAGCGCGTTTACCCTTACGCAATCAGTCTGATGGAGAGTGTTCGCACGCTGCTGCAGACGAACCGAGCGATCGCATCGATGACCGGTGTCAACATGTTGCTCAACGGATACATGAACGATGTGCAGACTATGGTTGCGAAGGGCATTCCTCTCCGCTGGGAGTCCTTTGTTCATTCTTACGAGTTACACGTCAAGCAATCAGCATTGGCAAATGGCGCAATTGATGCATCCTTGCCTGGTCGATCCGAAAGCAAGCACGTTCAATTTGTCCGCGAGTTTGCGATCGCAGCATCCACACTTCAGACGAAAGCCAATGTCCTTGATACCATTAACGAGAACATCCAGAAATCCATCCATGAACTCAAGACTTGCCCATATGATTCATCCGCCTTCAAACAACGGCTGGACAGCATTCAAGTCGCCGTTGATAAACTCAACCTGGAGAACTACGTGAATCTTGGATATTGGGTTGCCGAGCTCAACCGAAGCATCGAGGCCATTCTGCGTGATCGACTTCTCCGCGCTGTGCGCGAGTGGATCAGCATCTTCCAAGGTACCACGAACGAGAACTCGACTACTTCTTATCATGACCTTGCGGCCGAAACGGATGCCTCGAATTACAAGATTCAGTTCCCAGAGCTATTCCACGAGATCTTGATGAAAAATCAAGTTCTCCACCTGGACCCTCCCCTGCAATACGCTCGGGCGAGTTGGTTCTCCCACTTCGACACATGGCTTGGTGTGATCTGCAATTTGGAAAAGATCAAGCCTTCACGTTACCAGATCTCCATTGGTGTGCAGAATGTCCGTCAAAATGAAGTCTGCTTCTCCGACCTCCCGCAAACTTGCACCGATGAGCTCAACAATGTCTATAACGTTGTCGAAAGCAGACTGAATGATGTTTCGGAGTATGTCGATAAGTGGCTTCAATTCCAATCGCTTTGGGATCTTCGCTCTGAGCAGGTTTATGAGATCTTGGGCGATGATCTGTCTCAGTGGCTCCAGCTTCTCCAGGAAATCAGAAAGAGCCGGGCCACATTCGATACTTCTGAGGTCAGCCGGGCCTTTGGTAACATCAGAATTGATTATGAACAAGTTCAAACCAAGGTGAACGCCAAGTACGATCAGTGGCAACATGAGATCCTTGTGAAATTCGGTTCCAAACTTGGCAGCCGTATGCGAGAGGTTCATTCTGAGATCGCTGCTGCTCGCCGCGACTTGGAAGGGCAGACCCTGGAAGCCTCTTCAACGGCACACGCGGTGTCTTTCATTACCATTGTTCAGCAGTGCAAGCGGAAGACTCGGGTCTGGGAGCCTGAGGTGGATATTTTCCGCCAAGGTCAAACCACACTTGCTCGCCAACGTTATCAGTTCCCATATGACTGGCTTCATGTTGAGAACGTTGACGGTGAATGGGCAGCTCTCAATGAGTTGCTCAGCCGTAAGAGCAAGATCGTCAACGAACAGACTGAGGGCCTCCGTGCAAAGATTAGCGCTGAAGACCACGTCATTGCCGGCAAGATTGCTGAAGTTATTAGCCAGTGGAATGACGAGAAGCCCGTGTCTGGCACTATCCCGCCCGAGGAAGCATCCCGTACCCTGAGCTCTTTCCAGTCTCGCCTCGAGTCTCTCCAATCCGAGTTTGAGATGGTGTCCAAGGCCAAGGAAGCTCTCGATCTTCCTCCGAGCTCCGAGTCATCACTCCCTCCAATTCTCGAGGAGGTTCAGGACTTCATGTCTGTCTGGGCTGCTTTGGCCACTATCTGGAATAGTCTCAATGACCTCCGCGACGGGCTGTGGACCAGCGTCCAACCTCGAAAGCTCCGACAATCTCTCGATAACTTGATCAAGATGACCAAGGAGATGCCAAGCCGCATGAGACAGTATGCTGCTTTCGAACACATCCAGAATGTTCTTCGCCAGCTTCTGAAGGTCAACTCCTTGCTCTCTGACATGAAATCGGAAGCCGTCAAGGAAAGACACTGGCACAAGATCTACAAGAGTCTCAAGCCCGATAAGCGTTTTTCGCTTGTCTCTCTAACTCTTGGAGATGTTTGGGATTTACAACTTACATCAAGTGATTCTATTATCCGTGGTATCATTGCACAGGCCCAAGGTGAGATGGCATTGGAGGAATTCTTGAAGTCTGTTCGCGAAACTTGGCAGAACTACTCCTTGGACCTGGTGCACTACCAGAACAAATGCCGTCTCATCAAGGGCTTCGATGATCTGTTTGCCAAGTGCAGCGAGAATCTGAACTCCCTCCAAGCCATGAGACATTCCCCTTACTATAAAGAGTTCGAAGAAGAAGCCACTTCTTGGGAAGACAAACTGAACCGAGTCCATGTTCTATTCGACGTCTGGATTGATGTCCAGCGACAGTGGGTTTACTTGGAAGGCGTCTTTACTGGCAATGCTGATATCAAGCACCTTCTTCCTTTGGAATCCGGCCGTTTCCAGAATATCAATTCCGAATTCTTCGCTGTCATGAAGAAGGTGTATAAATCTCCATTTGTCTTGGATATTCTCGCTATCGTCGACGTTCAGAAGTCCCTGGAGCGATTGGCCGATTTGCTCAACAAGATCCAGAAAGCACTCGGTGAATACTTGGAGCGCGAGCGTGTCTCCTTCCCTCGCTTCTACTTCGTTGGTGATGAGGACTTGTTGGAGATCATCGGTAACAGCAATGACATCTTCCGTGTGGCCAAACATTTCAAGAAGATGTTCGCCGGAATGTCAGGCCTTGTCATGGACGATGATAATAACATCGTTGCTTTCACCTCAAAGGAGGGCGAAGAAGTTCGCTTGAAACACCAAATCAACATCGTCAAGGTTCCCCGCATCAATGACTGGCTTACGATGCTAGAGACCAACATGAAGATCACTTTGGCGGAGCTTCTGGGCGAGGCCTCTGAACAATTCGAGACTCTTTATAGTAGCGATGATGTAGATCCGACTGGCTTTAACAATTTCCTGGCCAACTACCCTGCGCAAATTGTGGTTCTTGCTAGTCAAGTTACTTGGACCCACGCTGTGCAACGGTCTTTGGAAGAAGGAGGATCAAGCCTCCCTACTTTGCACCGTGCCGAGGTTCGAATCCTCGAATTGCTGGCTGCCACGGTGCTTGGTGAACTTGACCCGATCACCCGCAAAAAGTGTGAGCATATGATCACGGAATTCGTGCATCAGCGCGACTGCATCGCCAAGCTCATCAGTCTCAATGCTACATCGGCCACACACTACCATTGGCTTCTTCAGATGCGTTATGTCTACAAGAATGACGGTGATTACTTGGAGCGTCTGTATGTTCACATGGCCAATGCCAAGCTCAATTACGGATTTGAGTACCTAGGTGTGCCTGAGCGTCTTGTCCGTACGCCTCTCACAGATCGCTGTTTCCTCACCCTCACCCAAGCTCTCTGTCAACGACTCGGTGGCTCGCCCTATGGTCCTGCCGGTACTGGAAAAACCGAGTCAGTCAAAGCATTGGGTCTGCAACTTGGCCGTTTCACCCTTGTCTTCTGTTGTGATGACACCTTCGATTTCCAAGCCATGGGCCGTATTTTCCTCGGTATCTGTCAAGTGGGTGCGTGGGGTTGTTTCGACGAGTTCAACCGTTTGGAAGAACGCATTCTGTCCGCTGTCTCCCAGCAAATTCAGAACATCCAGATTGGTTTGAAAACGGGTGGGGATGGCGAGAAGTCCCAGATTGAACTTGTTGGAAGACGACTTGCAGTCAATTCCAACACCGGTATCTTCATCACCATGAATCCGGGTTATGCTGGTCGATCCAACTTGCCAGACAACTTGAAGAAGCTGTTCCGCAGTGTCGCCATGTCCAAGCCCGACAAGGAACTCATTGCGGAAGTAATGCTTTTCTCCCAAGGTTTCAAGCAAGCCAAGCCTCTCTCCAAGCAAACTGTTCCCTTCTTCGACCACTGCGCATCCCAACTCACCAAGCAAGCTCACTACGACTTTGGCCTTCGTGCATTGAAGAGTGTTCTCGTGAGCTCAGGTGGCCTCAAGCGTACTCGTCTTGCCAATGCAGGTGGAGAGCTAGGCCCTGATGAGATTATTGAACCTCAAATTATCGTGCAAAGTCTTCGGGAGACGATCGCCCCCAAACTTGTCCAGGAAGATGTGGAAAAGATGCTGGAAATCCAAGTGCAAGACTTCCCTGGCGTGGATTATGTGCCTGCCAACTTCGAGGAACTCACCCAGGCGATACGCGATATTGCCACTAATGAGCAACATTTGGTCGACAGCGAGATGTGGATCAACAAGGCGCTGCAACTCTACCAGATCCAAACCATTCACCACGGTGTCATGATGGTTGGTAAATCAGGAGCTGGTAAATCCACAGCTTGGAAAATTCTGCTACAAGCGATGCAACGTATTGAGGGCGTCGAGGGCGTCTCCCACATCATTGACTCCAAGGTCATGTCTAAGGAGGCTCTCTATGGTAACCTTGACAGCACCACCCGTGAATGGACAGACGGTCTCTTCACTGGAATCCTAAGAAAGATCGTCGACAATCTCCGAGGCGAGGATAGCAAACGTCACTGGATCGTTTTCGATGGTGATGTTGATCCGGAGTGGGTCGAGAATTTGAACAGTGTTCTGGACGACAACAAACTCCTCACTCTTCCAAACGGAGAGCGTCTCAATCTGCCTCCCAATGTTCGCATTATGTTCGAAGTGGAAAGCTTGAAATATGCTACACTTGCCACTGTCAGTCGTTGCGGTATGGTGTGGTTCAATGCCGACACAGTCACTCCGACCATGATGATTTCCAATTACGTCGAAAGTCTCCGGACAAAGACATTCGAGGACCTCGATGAAGACAGCGCACCTGCGGGTGCAGCGGCAGTCCGGACCCAGGATGCCCAGGTCACTGTTGCAACCATTCTCAAACAATTCCTGGAGGTTGATGACTTGGTTCTCAAGGCTCTGGAGGAAGCAAAGAAATACAACCACATTATGGAGTTTACGGACATTCGCGCTCTCAATACTCTTTTCAGCTTGCTGAACAAAGCTTGCCGGAATGTTCTCGAGTACAATGCTCAGCATCCAGATTTCCCTCTTGATCCTGAACAGATCGAGTCCTATATGTCCAAGAAGCTTCTTCTGACCCTGGTCTGGTCTCTGACCGGTGACTGTCCCCTTGCTGACCGCAAGAGATTTGGGAAATTCATCACTGGAATGTCTACTATTGATCTGCCGCCGGATGGCGATTCATCTCTTATTGACTACGATGTCTCTCTTCCCAAGTGCGAATGGAACAGCTGGCAGTCACAGGTGCCCACGATTGATATCAACACACATTCCGTCACTCAAACCGATGTCATCATCCCCACGGTGGACACTGTCCGTCATGAGGATGTGCTTTACTCGTGGCTTGCTGAGCACAAGCCTTTGCTGCTTTGCGGTCCTCCTGGATCCGGAAAGACTATGACACTGTTCGCCGCGCTTAGAAAGCTTCCAAACATGGAAGTTGTGGGTCTCAACTTCTCAAGCGCTACCACACCTGATCTCTTGATCAAGACATTTGAGCAATACTGTGAATACAAGAAAACTCTCAACGGTGTGGTGATGTCTCCAAACCAGATTGGTCGCTGGCTTGTCATCTTCTGTGACGAGATAAACCTTCCCGCCCCTGATCGTTACGGTACCCAACGCGCCATTTCCTTCCTGCGCCAGCTTGTGGAGCAGAATGGCTTCTGGAGGACTACTGACAAGACCTGGGTTACTCTTGACCGCATTCAATTTGTTGGTGCTTGTAACCCCCCAACGGATGCCGGCCGTACGCCAATGGCAGAGAGATTCCTTCGTCATGCGCCTCTTATTATGGTCGACTACCCCGGCGAAATCTCCCTCAACCAGATTTATGGCACATTCAACTCTGCTGTGCTTAAAATCCTCCCATTGCTGCGTGGATATTCCGAGGCCCTCACTAGGGCTATGGTCCAGTTCTATCTTGAATCTCAGGCCAGATTCACGCCTCAGATTCAGCCACACTACGTTTACTCGCCTCGTGAGCTCACAAGATGGGTTCGTGGTCTTTATGAGGCAATCAAGCCTCTGGAGACTCTTACTGTTGAGGGTCTGGTCCGGATTTGGGCACATGAAGCCTTGCGTCTATTCCAGGACAGACTTGTGGATGAAGAAGAGAGAGCTTGGACAGCCGACGCCATTCGCCGGATTGCATTGGAGCACTTCCCTACAATTGATGACAAAGAGGCACTCAAGGGTCCAATCCTGTTCTCCAACTGGCTGTCTAAGAACTACATCCCTGTCGAACAGGAGAGCCTCCGTGAATTCGTGAAGGCACGTTTGAGAACCTTCTGTGAAGAAGAGGTGGATGTTCCGCTTGTTCTGTTCAACGATGTTCTTGAACATGCGCTGCGCATTGACCGAGTCTTCCGCCAGCCTCAAGGTCATCTTATCTTGATCGGTGTGAGCGGAAGTGGAAAGACAACTTTATCTCGCTTCGTCGCCTGGATGAACGGTCTGAAGGTCTTCCAAATCAAGGTACACGGAAAATATTCCTCGGAAGACTTCGACGATGATCTTCGTAGCGTTCTCCGCCGGGCAGGATGCAAGGGTGAAAAGATCTGCTTCATCATGGACGAAGCAAACGTCCTTGATTCTGGCTTCCTGGAACGCATGAACACTTTGCTTGCAAACGCAGAAGTCCCTGGTCTCTTCGAGGGTGATGAATTCTCGTCACTGATGACTGCCTGCAAGGAGGGTGCTCAGCGTCAAGGCCTGCTCCTCGATTCGCAAGAGGAGCTGTACAAGTGGTTCACTCAGCAGATTGTCAAAAATCTTCACGTTGTGTTCACCATGAACCCTCCGGAGGAGGGCTTGTCTTCAAAGGCAGCGACTAGTCCCGCTTTGTTCAATCGTTGTGTACTGAACTGGATGGGTGACTGGTCTGACCAAGCCCTGTTCCAGGTTGGCTCCGAACTCACTCAATCGGCCGACCTGGACAAGCCCAACTTCGTCTCGCCTGATAGCATTCCAGTGGCATACCGCGATCTCGTCCTTCCAGCATCACACAGAGATACTGTCATCAACTCTATGGTGTATATTCATCACTCTTTGCACCGCTTCAATGGTCGACTCCAGAAGCAACAGGGCCGGGCGACTTTCCTCACCCCTCGCCATTACCTCGACTTTGTTGCACAGTACGTTAAACTGTTTACCGAGAAGCGCGAGGATCTCGAGGAACAACAACGTCACTTGAATATTGGTCTAGAGAAGCTCCACGACACCGTCGACAAAGTGAGCGATCTTCGTGCCAGCTTGGCACAGAAGAAGATGCAACTGGAGAAGAAGGACACGGAGGCAAACGAAAAGTTGCAGCGCATGGTTGCCGATCAGCAGGAGGCAGAACAGCGGAAGCACGTTTCCTTGGAAGTGCAAGCCGCGCTGGAAATTCAAGAGAGGGATGTGGCAACTCGAAGGGAAGTCGTCTTGCACGATCTGGCCCAAGCCGAACCTGCTGTTATTGAAGCCCAGAAGAGTGTTAGCAACATCAAGCGTCAACACCTTACTGAAGTTCGATCCATGGGTAACCCCCCAGCCAGCGTGCGACTTGCCCTGGAGGCCGTGTGTACACTTCTCGGTCACACTGTCGACAGCTGGAAGACGATTCAAGGTCTTATTCGTCGCGACGACTTCATTGCCAGTATCGTCAATTATGACAACGAGCGCCAGATGACGCGCAGACACCGTACCAAGATGCAGAATGAGTTCCTTTCCAAGGAGGACTTCACATATGAGCGAGTCAATCGCGCCAGTAAGGCCTGTGGTCCTTTGGTGCAATGGGTTGAAGCTCAAGTTAACTATTCTGCTATCCTTGATCGCGTTGGCCCTCTGCGTGATGAGGTCGACCAACTCGAAGAGCAGGCCTTGCAAACTAAAGCTGAAGCCCAAGCTATCGAGAACACCATCAACGATCTTGAAAGCAGTATCGCTACTTACAAGGCCGAGTACGCTGCCCTGATTAGTGAGACACAGGCGATCAAGACCGAGATGACCCGAGTCCAGTTTAAGGTCGACCGCAGTGTTCGTTTGCTCGATAGTTTGTCCTCCGAGCGTGGCCGCTGGGAAGATGGTAGCAAGTCCTTCGAAACCCAGATCAGCACTCTCGTCGGCGATGTGCTCATTGCCGCTGCATTCCTTGCATACGCTGGTCTGTACGACCAGCAGTTCCGTAAGGCAATGGTCGAGGACTGGGTTCACCAACTGTCGGCCTCTGGCATCAGCTTCAAACCTCACAACCCCATTACAGAATACTTGTCAAATGCCGATGAGCGCCTGTCATGGCAGAGCAATTCCCTTCCCGTTGACGACCTTTGCACCGAAAACGCCATCATTCTGAAGAGATTCAACAGATACCCACTTATTGTTGATCCATCTGGCCGCATCACTGAGTTCTTACAGAAGGAAAGCAAAGATCGTAAGCTTACCGTCACAAGCTTCCTGGATGACTCCTTTGTCAAGCAATTGGAAAGTGCATTGCGTTTCGGAAACCCCATCCTTATCCAGGATGCCGAGCACCTGGATCCCATCCTCAACCACGTCCTCAACAAGGAGTACCAAAAGACCGGCGGTCGTGTCCTCATTCAACTGGGCAAGCAAGAAATTGATTTCTCGCCATCCTTCAAGCTCTTCCTCTCGACCCGGGATCCGTCTGCCTCATTCCCGCCGGATATTTGCAGTCGTACCACATTTGTCAACTTCACTGTGACCCAGAGCAGCTTACAGACACAGTCGCTGAATGATGTTCTGAAGTTCGAGCGACCTGATGTCGATGAACGTCGCAACAATCTCGTCAAGATGCAAGGAGAGTTCAAGGTCCACCTCCGACAACTTGAGAAGCGCCTTCTGCAAGCTCTCAACGAGTCTCGAGGTAACATTCTTGATGATGACAACGTCATTGAAACACTCGAGACACTCAAGAAAGAGGCTGCCGATATCTCGCTCAAGATGGATCAGACAGAAGGCGTTATGCTTGAGGTGGAGAACGTCACGCAGAACTACAGTATCATTGCCCGATCATGCAGTGCCGTCTTTGCCGTTCTGGAACAGCTTCACCACATCAACCACTTCTACCAGTTCTCGTTGCAGTACTTTGTCGACATCTTCAACTCGGTCCTGTACGAGAACAAGCGCCTTGCTCAAGAGAAAGATCACTTCGCCCGTGTGCAGATTATCCTCAGGGATTTGTTTATTAACACCTACAAGCGTACCTCGCTGGGTCTTGTCCAAAAGGACCGCATTACGCTTGCCATCCTGCTTGCTCAGGCTACTCCCTTCCCCATGGATAGAACCATCCTCGACCGTGTCCTTGACGAGACAGTGGAAGACGCAGACCTTTCTACCGCCGTGGACGGCCGCGATCAAGTGTTAGGCAAGCTGGCCAACATGTCCATCTTCAAAGAGCATGTTCCGAACGTCACCCAGGAGCAATGGGACATCTTCTTCAGCGAGGAGCTCGCAGAGAATGTCGTCCCGGCCATGTGGGACGAGAGTGTCCCACAACTCGACCAGCTCCTTCGGTCCTTGCTTCTTGTCAAGATCTGCCGCATGGACCGATTCGTTCCAGCCGCCGAGCGTTTCATCGAGGCTGTATTCGGCCGCGAAGTCTTCGAGGGCGGCGCCGATCTAAAAGATGTCGTCGATCAAGTCACTGCCACCCGACCCATCGCCCTCAGCTCCAGCCCCGGCTTCGACGCCAGTTACAAGGTCGACGCTCTGGTGGAAGCCACACGCGCCACCTGCGCCAACATCGCCATGGGTTCCAACGAGGGTCTCGAGAGCGCCGACAAGGCCATCAGCAACGCAGCCGCAGTCGGAAACTGGGTGCTGGTCAAGAACGTCCATCTGGCGCCTGCTTGGCTGCAGAGTCTCGAAAAGAGACTGGATTCACTCAAGCCACACAAGGAATTCCGCCTTTTCCTGTCCATGGAATCCAGCCCCAAGATCCCCGTCAATCTCATCCGCGCCTCGCGTGTGCTGATGTACGAACAGCCTGCCGGTGTGCGCGCCAACATGAAGGATTCCATCTCCTCGCTGAATACCAGGGCAATCAAAGCCCCCGTCGAAAAAGCCCGTGTCTACCTCCTCCTCTGCTTCCTGCACGCCGTCGTCCAAGAGCGACTCCGCTACGCGCCTAGCCTTGGCTGGAAGGGCTTCTGGGAGTTCAACGATAGCGACGTAAGTCCCACTCTCTCTCCCTCTCTCTCTAAACCTGTTATATACAAAGACAACTAACATCTTGATTTCTACAGTACGAATGTTCAGCCTTCATCATCGACTACTGGGTCGACTCAGTCTCACAAGGCCGATCAAACGTCGCCCCACAGAAAATCCCCTGGGAAATGATCCGCACTCTTATCGCCGAGATGTACGGCGGCAAAATCGACGACGCCGGTGACTACGCCCAGCTCGAGACCTTGGTCAACTCCTTCCTTACACCGGCCGCTTTCGAGGACGGTTACAAGCTTGTCTCTGGTGTCGAGGACGATAGCCTACTCACCCTGCCGGATACCACTAGCATGCGTGACTTCGTTGCTTGGGTTAATAACTTGCCGGAGCGTGAGCCGCCGACTTATTTGGGTCTCCCGGCTAATGCGGAGAAATTGTTGCTTGTTGGTCATGGTCGGAAGATGATTTCGGATCTCTCGCGTGTTACGACGCTGCTTGATGAAGGGGAGCAGTTGATGGTTGATGCTTGATTTTACCCTTCATTCTTTTTCGCTTTTATTCTTGTGTGAATGCTCCCTTGTACTTTATTCAATTTCCTATCTGTACATTTTTCTTGTTTCATTTTCTGGGCCAAGGTAGGGTTCTCCTTTGCAGCCTACATGTATCATCTTTTAGACATACCGCTGGAACAAGTCAATAAGCATTCCAACATTTACAATAAGACAGTTTCAAGATATAGTCAATAGCATTAAGTATCATGTATACAGTCTGTGGATTATCTGGTCCGCACGAGGGAAGCAGTCAAGCAAATCCTCTAGACATAAATGTAGCATCACGAAAATCATCAAAAATGAACGCCAACAAGTCCCGCAGGGGAGAATGAGTTCCTATGTACTGGGCTAAAACCCTCTACGAGATGAAAGTAGACTCAGAGAACATGGTTCCTTCCTCAGTGATCTCCTCGTCGCCAATCTTCAGCTTCAATGACAGCTTCTCCTGGGGCGAGTACTGTGCAACAAGTTAGATTCGGAAGGATTTGAACCATGAATAACTTATGCTTACCTGGAAGATGTACGGCCGAGTCCCGGCAACACTGCCAGCAATGCTCTTGATGAAGCCTGGCACCTCAGCCATGACGTCGATGCGGTCCAGACGAGGGCCGAGGGGGCCTTCGACTACGGCGGAGAGCTCCTTGCTGTCGGAGGTCTTGCCGGTCCACTCCCATTTGATTGCCTGGGGCGCAGGCCAGTCGCTGCCCTCGTCTTGGCCGGTTGCTGTATGGGCGACGGTGTTTGTTGCGCCGGCGTAGATGATCTCACCGTCCTTGACGATACCACCTACGTTGACCTTGGTGGAGCCGTAAGAGGGGGGAGTAGTGAACTCCATCATAATGGCGGAGTAGGTGGGGGTCTGGAAGTTGATGAAATTCCAGCGGGCGGCTATTTATGTCTCTTATTAGCATGGTGTCGTTTTTGATAAGTTTTGCGAGGGTTCTTACCAGCGTGGTGAGGCTTCATGCCCTGCAGAGCCATGATGAAAACACCACGACCGGCCAGATCGTAGGTCTGGTCACTTGTGGTGATGCTGCCTTCGACGGAGCAGCGGGGCCAGAAGGCGTGACGCATGGAGCCCCAGGGGTTCTTGGGATCGGTTCCGAAGTATGAGGTGCCGTCCTTGCCGACGACGAAACCGGGGGCGGTTCGGGAGAACTTGAGATCCACCAAGCTGCCGCTGTTGACGGTGGACTTGATGGTGTAGGAGTCGCCATCCTCGTTAAGAGTCAGGGAAAGGTTGTCGGCGCCAAAAGAGGTCATGTTCTCATCGAACATGAAGTTGGACAGAGGATCCGAGTACCACTTGTTGTTGCCCTTTGAGCTGAGGTCGAAGATCTTCACGTTAAACTGGGCGGTGGTGTGAATTCCGCTGTGGTCGTAGTCAAAGCATTAGAATCCATTGTAATAGAGGCTTGAAGCTCCGAATGGAGGTATAGTCTTACACAATGTTACTGTAAATAACCTGGACGAACACCACTGTCCCGTTGTCGGCCATGATGTAGAAGGTCTGGGTCTCGACATTGGTGTAGGAGTATGCGCGCCAGCGCAGAATCTCCTTGTTCACCTCAGTGTATGGAGTGGTCTCGGTCTGTTGTGCAACAGACTGGATAGCCTCTGGGCCATAGATAGGCTCCTCGGTGCCCACCACAGCGGAGAGACTGCCCGCATAGAATCGGTCAGTAACCACAACAAGGAAGGGTCGATCGGAACGTACGTTGACTTTAACCAGTTCATAATTTCGAGGTTGAATTAATCAAGAATCTAAAGAAGAGAGGGAAAAAGAAAAGGGAGGTGAAGAGGATGGGAGATCGACACGCGGGGCCCGAGAGTTTGGGTAGTTTAGTTCGGATGGCAAAGGGACCCTCCGGATGTTGAAGGATACAAACAAATAACTGCCAAAGATGATAGTTAATATGGGAATCAGAGAACAAATAGTATTCTTAGATTAAAAGAGAAATTGAAATTGAACAAGCAAAAGACAAAGAGAAAAAGAGCATCTGATGACGTTGCTTACTCGCTTGCCGCCTCGGCCAATTAGATCGGCCCGTCGACTTGAAAATCTGCGTCCGACTTCGTTCTGTTTTTGGTCTTGGACTTCGATCTATTCCACCCATCACACAACATGGCACGAAACGCATTGGCTAAAGAGCAAATTGTCAAGCTCATTGTCGGAGCTGGTCAAGCCAGTCCCAGTCCACCTGTTGGTCCGGCCCTGGGAAGTAAAGGTGTCAAGTCCATGGACTTTTGCAAGGTACGTTTTGGTTTACCCTGCGAGTAGCTTGAAAACTTCGTATTGACAATTCTTTCAGGAATTCAATGCCCGCACAGCTCACATCAACACCGGTGTCCCCATTCCCGCCCGTGTCACCGTCCGCCCCGATCGATCCTTTTACTTTGACCTCCGCACCCCGACCACCACCTACCTCCTCCTCAACGCTGCCAACGTCGAACCCCGGAAGAACCGACTGCGTGGCGCGATGAATCCCGGCCATGAAGTGTGTGGCCAGATTTCCCTCAAGCACGTTTATGAGATCGCTCAAATTAAGCACACCGAGACGCGGTTATCAGGCTTGACCTTGGAGGGCTTGTGTAAGAGTGTCATCTCTCAGGCCAAGTCCATTGGTATTCAGGTTATTCCCTGAATGCCGCAATCAGCGACATAGACTTGTATAATTATCGGATGATTGTCACTGACTGTAGGGCTCTAAGGGGCTCTCTACTTGTTCTGACTTGGGTCATTTTACCGGGCGTTTTCTGGGAACTTGGGGCAGCTGTTTGACCTGTTGTACGATACCGATTCACTTTATTTCCAGACTACATACATGCAGCATTTTCAGCAATTCAACGGAAGGCACTGTAGCATCCATTGAATCCGTCATATCCGTCATGTGACTTTTATGTAAGATATGTCATGTGACTTAGCCGCGGATGCCGAACAATAAAGTAGCTCCTTGCGGATATTGATATGGAGAAGACGCTATTATCTTAGTGCTTTGTGACCGTATGGCATGTTGACTGTTGCTGTCATGACTCATAGGGGAGGCTTAAGAATCTAGACATTTTTCATTGCATAACTTTACTGTGTATGACCACGGTTGAGGGGGAGACGATGACTGGCCAAGAACTGATGAGGTCACGGATCCTCGGAGCGGAGGACTTGGCAATCCTGGCCAAGGAGTAGCATTGCATGGTGATCCTGACTCATCGTGATGCTTCCAAGGTTGACAGGGATGTAGAGAAACGTGGAGGCTCAAGACAGCCCAATCTCAAATCTCACGTTGTACATGGAGTCCCCAGGACCCTGAGACGGCGGTGGAGTCACCAGATGGAGATATGGACTAGCCCCATTCAGGCAGTTTTCTAGATCATCTGCAAGCCTCAATGGAGTACAGAATCATGGCCTGCATATATATTAGGTGTGAAGTATCTTTGGGTGGAACTTGGAAGTAGCAAAGTACAGAGGTCCAGCCCGGCAAGCCGGCACAGTGTAAACGACATCATCTCCGACTCTTAACTCCGCGCTCATCCGAATCAACCACGAGAGCTTGGGATTTCTCGGATATATTGTACGGAGAATAAGACCAGGCCTTGAATGAGTTATCTGTGAAATTGAAGGAAAAAAACAAAAACAAATCAGAACAGGGAAAGGGAAAAAGAGGACAAGAGGCGATAAGATCCTGCCCCACTGCGCTTTCCCCCCCAAAGCAAGTTTGGCCTAAGGCCCAGGCTAATTCATCATCTCCCCTCTTCTCAACGTCCTCTTCATTTCTCTACCTGCTCGTACTTCTTCCTTACTTCAACTCGTCTCCCTCTTCCATCTTCTTTTACGCTCCACTTCGCAGTATCGGCATTCCCGGATTCCTCTGGCTAAACGCGGTCGGCTGCTTTTGAATCGCATTCGGCAGAAAAAAAAAAGTCAAAGGAAGAGTTTTGCCTCTCTCACCCATTCAACTTCTTTCAATACTCTACGAACTGGATCTGAAAATCAAATCCTGCGGGTTTGACATTGAACTGGTATTCAGTTCGCTATCTAGGGTTCTTCCAAGTCTCGATCGTGAGGGGCATGTGTCCCACCACGTCCCGAGCTGGCGTCGAAGACTATGACGTCTGAAATGATTCCAAACTCTATGGACTCAGGTATGTCTTGGCTACCATTGCTGATCAGTTGGGGATGGCATCTCCCTGAATTCCCAATAGCCTAACGCATGACTGTCCGCTTAGAATCTCATACCATGCAAAGCCACGCCAAGAACCCCGGGCAGGCCTCGGAACCCGGTGACGCCGACGCCAAGTCAAGAGCTCATCCTACCCAGGTCCGCTTTTCGTCCATCACTGAGGAAATTGAACCATCACGGTCGGAATTGTCCCCTGTACCTGAGCAAGTGCCACAGCACCCAAACGGACACACGGTACCTACCGACGAGGAGCAATTACGGTCGCTGGCGATGTCCCTGCAGGGCACCCAGCTTCAGGAGTCGCGTCTACGGAATTTCTCCTTTGACCCCATGTCTCTTCCGTCCTCCAGGGTATGTCTTCTCTAATTGTCATTTCGATCGTTCTCTGCTCTCCTGCGCGCCCTCAGCCACTTCCCAATTTCGTATCTCCCTTCACCGGCCGCTGGGCTTCTCGCGGCGAGCAAATGGACTATGAATAACCCGTCATCATCGTCATACTAACTCCGGATCTTTCAAGGTTGCGTCTCGAGACTCGAGCGATCGTAGCGGGCATCTCACCGGTGCCTTTACATCTCCACATGCCTCTCCGCCCGTCTCCGCCGTGCAGTCGCCCCCTCTAACCCCGGCTGCAACCCATTCCCGCGAAGGCAAAACCAGCGATATTACTTCTGCGAATGGCCCCAGTCGACCCCACGTGCACACACATTTCACCCCCGAACCATCTCCCCCAGTTGGATCCACCGACATGCACGGCACGCCCAGACCCATTTCATCCTCCCGACCCTCGTCCACCGATCATCTGCCCACCAGACAAAGCGAAGGTTCCGACCGACCTCTTAATGCCAACCAACTGCCCAGACATCGTGCGCAATTCTTTATCGGGCACGATTCCCAGGAAGAAAGCCCGCCCCCTACCCCAAGAGACTCCATCACCCCGCCCGGGGCTATGACCCCTGCCGGCGAACCTAATGACCCATATGCACGCCACAAGCGGCCGCCTCAAAGCAACAATCTCTCCCAGTTGGACCCCCGGTTCATCTTCAGTGGTCGGGATGCTAAGCGATCATTCCGTCCGGCAACTCCTCGGTCCACCAGCGCAAGTGACCTAAGCAAACCCAGCGAGAAGCGGAGCATATTCAGCCATAGCAAGAAAGATCACAGCAATGACAAGCACAGCCACGGTCTTTCACATCATCATGGCTCTATGTCTGAGCTGAAGCGGTTTTTCAAGATGGGCCATCGCAGCAAGCGATCCGAGTCCCCGACCTCTATGCCAAAGAAGTCGAGTCGATCATCTGGAAAGTCCACTCCCCCATATCAGATGGCTCCGGACAATGTTCCATTTGCGGATGATCATGGGCTGAATTCCAAGTATGGAAAAATGGGCAGAGTACTTGGGTCTGGCGCCGGTGGCTCCGTACGTCTTTTGAAGCGCAACAGTGACGGTGTGACTTTTGCTGTGAAGCAATTCCGAGATCGTCACAGTTGGGAGAGCCTGAAAGAGTATTCCAAGAAGGTGACTGCGGAGTTCTGCATTGGCTCCACCTTGCACCATGGCAATATCATCGAGACACTGGATATTATCCAAGAAGGTCCTCATTGGTATGAGGTCATGGAATATGCGCCGTTCGATCTGTTTGCCATTGTGATGACAGGCAAAATGAGCAAGGAGGAGATTGCTTGCTCTTTCAAGCAGATCCTGAGCGGCGTGGCATACATCCACGGCATGGGTCTGGCCCACCGTGATTTGAAGCTGGATAATGTGGTGGTCAATGACCGTGGCATTATGAAGCTCATTGATTTTGGAAGTGCAGTCGTCTTCCGCTATCCTTTTGAGGACGACATTGTCCTTTCTTCTGGTAAGTTTTACTTATTCCCCGCCAATATTCAACGGTTACTAATCCGCATCAGGCATTGTCGGCTCGGATCCCTATCTTGCTCCTGAGGTCTACGATGAGAAGAAATATGACCCCCGCCCCACGGATGTTTGGTCGCTGGCGATCATCTTCTGCTGCATGACATTACGCCGCTTCCCATGGAAGCAACCGCGCACAACCGACAACTCCTACAAATTGTTTGTTGCCACTCCGACACCGGGCACCATGGGTCCGGACTCCGACCCTCGCCGTAAGCCTAGATCGAGCCCCGATCTTCCCTCTCAGGGCCAGGAGAACAGGCATATTACTCCTGGCTCGAGCGGACCTTCAGACCATTCCGGAACGGAGCAGAATGGGAATGCAAACGGCAGCAAGCCAGATTCCCCGCAGGATCAGGGCGATCGCTCTCCCGACACTGCACAGAAGCAGATCAGCGAAACCAGCAACGCCCCCAGTGACAAACCTCCTGAAAAACCCACCCGCACAACCAGCAAGGAGGCACCCCCGCTTCCCCCCGGATCCGCTCAGGCTTCTGCCCAGCGCCAGGAAGTTATCAAGGGCCCATGGCGACTTCTCCGAATCCTGCCGCGGGAAAGCCGGCACATCATATCTCGCATGCTGAAGGTCAACCCGAAGGAACGAGCGACACTTGACGAGGTTTTATCGGACGAGTGGGTGAGAAGCATCATTGCATGCTCACAGGATGGAACTGGAGAGATTATCAGCGCCCCGGGTCATACACACGTTCTGGAGCCCCCGTCCCAGAGCCCGCCGGTGGCTAGCAGAGCTAACAGGGCCAGGTAATATCCCTTCTTTTGTATCGATTTATCACATGTGAATAGTTTTAGTTTCATCTGTCCACGATGATGTGGCCTTTTGACCCCTTCTCTTTCGTTTTCATAAGTGATTCCCTACTAGCATTGTAGATGATTCTGCCGGTTGCCCTCAACTCTCCGGCTCCTGTTTGCGCCGTGGGTTTTCATTGAACAAATTTCTGGCGTCTCCCCATTCGAGTCGCTGCCTGTGATCTTACTGGGAGTTTGACTCCAAGCTGACGATGGGGCTGTTTGTGATAGACTTGGGGTGGTAGTTCTGTTTACTGTCTAACTATTCCAACACTTCTTTTGTCAAAGCTCACAGTTATGTGAGATGCTCTGTTTTCCTTATTTCTAGTACATACATATCAGTACAAATCAATGAGTGTACATTCTAATGGTTTTTGACTATCAGCTTAGGCAGAGCCTGACGTAGCCCAGTTCGGCGGTAAAGGGCCATCGGGCTGACCGCAGCCCGTCCGCGGAGCAAAATGAAACTGCCATCCGCGGAGCTCTTCCGTTACGACGCATTGCATTCTCGCTTCTAACCCTCAATTGGCCATGTTTTTCTGATAGAACAATCTCCAACAACTATATCCTCAAAAAAATGGCCCAACATGAAGGAGAGCCATTGGTCTCCTCCCTGTGGACGAGGTCATTGATCGTACGCAACCTTCTCCAAGCTCCTCCCGAACACCCACTAACAGCTCACCAGTCCGGCGCCATCGCAGGCCTTACAGTCGACTGCTCCCTGTATCCCCTGGACACCATCAAGACCCGCCTCCAAAAAGCCCGCGACCACACCGCACCCCAAACCCGCGTTTCCCTACGCCAAACCTTCCGCGGCATCTACGCCGGCCTCCCATCCGTCCTCTTCGGCTCCGCCCCCTCTGCCGCCTCCTTCTTCATAGTCTACGACGGAGTCAAGCGCTCTCTCCTCCCTCCGCAAACCCCCGGCACCCAACCAAACCCCCAATCCCGCACACACATAATCTTCACCCACTCGCTCGCCTCCTCGCTCGGCGAAATCGCCGCATGCGCCGTCCGCGTCCCAACGGAAGTAATCAAACAGCGCGCTCAGGCCGGTCTTTTCGGCGGCTCCAGTCTCCTCGCCCTAAAGGACATCCTCTCTCTCCGCCACGCTGCGCCATCCACAACCGCCTCCGGCACCGCACAGCGCGGCTATGGCCAGGTCATCCGCGAGCTGTACCGTGGCGCGGGTATCACCATCGCCCGCGAAATCCCCTTCACCGTGTTGCAATTCACGATGTGGGAGTCCATGAAGGAAGCATACGGCAAGCGGTATCTCAGATCTGCAGAGACGGCCTCGTCTATCGTCGAGACGCAGATCCCGGCTTCTACGAGTGCGATGTTCGGTAGTGTGGCTGGTGCTATTGCGGCTGGTCTGACGACGCCGTTGGATGTTATCAAGACGCGGGTTATGCTTGCAAGGCGGGGTGATGGTGGTGTTGAAGCGCCGGTAAGAGTCAAGGAGATTGTGCGTGGGATTGCGCGTGAAGGACCTGGGGCTTTCTGGAGGGGGATTACGCCGCGTGTGACGTGGATTGGAATTGGAGGGGCGGTTTTCTTGGGGAGTTATCAGTATGCGTCGAATACGCTTGAGGGTCGGAGGGAGGTTGTGGAGAAGGGGATTTGATTGGTTTCTCCTGGGGTTTGTATATTATGTTTTCTTAGAATTGGGTAGAAATGGAAAGTACATAAGGTATGCAATTTGTATATCTCATCTGAACTCATCCTCCCTCACTCAACCCTCAACATCCAATCCATTTCCCGTACTTGCTCCTCAGTCAACAATTCCTCCATCTTCTCCCTGCGCAGGAAATCATGATCCGCAAATTCAAAGCCGGGAACGACAACCTAGAACCCATTAGTCCATCTCATCCCATTTCCAATAGACATAAACATCCATGATTCATGAAACCTACCTCACTAATCAACAACCCCTCCTTACTCTCCCCCGAACCTCCATCCTCCAACAAAAAAGAAGCCTTATACTTCCCCCCCTCAACAACCCACTGCATCCTCTCCCCAGCCGCAACATCCGGCCCAACAACAAACGTCTCAACCCGCGCCTTACCCTTCCCCCCTTCCACCTCGTCCGCGTGGATTATGACATATCGTCCCCGTCCGCGCTGCCAAACATGTACCGTCCGCCCCTTGTTGCGGTGGAAGGCACCGAACGAGCGGTTTGGCGTGAGCAGGTAGAAGATCGTTGTACTTGCGGAGCGGTCTTTGTCTGTGTCTGACGTGGGTGCAAAGGGGTTCGGGATGCGAAGGGGGTCGCGGTCTGTTTCGACGTAGTAGCCGCCTTCTGGGTGCGGGAGGAGGGATAGGGCGTCGACGGTTTTTTGGATTTGGGGGGATTCCTCTTCGGGTTCCTGCTGTGAGGGGTGTGGGGGGTAGAGGGGTTTTAGGTTGGGTTGGTTGGACATGGTTGGGGTTTGTAGGGGGTACACGGTTAAAGACTTTAAGGTGGTTGTAAGGTGGTTCTGGAGTGGTGGGCTTGGAGCTATGCGGGTGGATTGCTGGGGTTTATAGAGAGGTGGGGAATGACGGAGCGGGATGACGAGAGGGACCCTTGAGGCGGATTATGCGGCTTATTTTTTTCTATTCTTGGGGATACGCAGTGAGATTCGGATTTAGGAATTAGGAATTACTGTGTATAGTCCGTCTTGCTGTCTACAGGTAGATGCATGTAAGATTCTAATACATAGGCCTTTCAAGGTTAGAGCGCTTATAGTTTGCAGTGAACTGAAGTACACTGATTCGATCTGAGGGTATATCCACAGTAGAATACATCTACAACGTCAGTATCCCGATCGACTGCCCAGGTGTCGTGACATTTTAGTATGCCTGTCGGTCGAGGCCAAGCAACCTGGGCACCGGCTGAGGCTTATGCGAAGCAAGGTTGCAGCATGTCCCATCCCAGTACATACTCCAAGGGTAGGACTACCACGATGTTGACAATGATCAATGACCCAACGCAGCAGACACTGGTGGCTCTGAGCTTGTACTGCGTAGGTACTATATGTTCAAAGTCAGGAACGCTTTGTTTAGAAGGTAAGGAGCCGACGGGTGCGTTCAACCTTCCCCGGTTGTTTCCCGGTTGAAGAAGAGGGACTCTCCCAAGCTGCGGGGGGTTTTCATATTGGTCTCTATACACAGTATGCTGCAATGGAGCCCTTCAGCGTCTATGCTGTTTCTATGGCCCGCAGAATTCTGCGACTCGCTGGTTTACATCTGTTGATAAAGGACCGAGAAGAGGGGGAAGACGAGAGCGTCCAGGATGAACGAACTGCGCTGTGTCGGATAAATGTTCATAGCTGGCCAGGGTAGTATAATCCGCTAGGATGAGATAGACAATAAAGCTAGACAAGTGTTGGATTAAGAGGATATCCCCGATGTTGGAACTTGAAGTTGGAAGTAGCCGTTGGAGAAAAGTGACAGAAGTATACCTAAACATGGGCTTGAGTCGCTTAACCAAGATGGGCTTACGGGGGGTCCTGGCGCCTCCAACTGGCAACTTTGACAGTGAACCTCCCAACTTCCCCTCATTTAACGTCCTTTCCCTTCTTAGACTTGGGACTCACTCCTTCCTTGATGTGATATCCGTCCCCACTCAAATCTCAACGATCGGCCTGGCGAGGGCAGATAAGCTCCGCATTCTCATCTCCGCAATTGGCTTCCCTCCTGCAACGCATGTATGGCACGCAAACTTAGCCACCAGAGGGTCTCCTACGGTAAGTAAGACATCGCAGTATGTCTCACTGGGTCTGACTGTCTACTAGTCCTCCCTCTACCTGATGCCCCAGGTGGACATCGGTTGGGGATCAACGGCCTGGCCGTTGACCGTCAAAACTCCATACTGTAAGTATCTCACTGTTCTATGAATCAAGGATCAGGACTCGAACTGCCGTCGTGACTGTGATCGCAATATTCTGGAACAAATCCAGCCTCCTTACCCGTGAGTTGCACAGGCTAACATGACCCCTCTCCTAGGTACTCCGCAGGCCGCGACGGCGTGATCTGTTCATGGGATCTTGACCTCCCCCTTTCCTCCTCATTTGCTCCCAAACATACACCGCCATCTGGAAACGGACCCAACCCGACCGCCTTCAGAACCCAGGTGCAAGCCCACAGCCATTGGATCAATGATATTGTCTTGGCGCAGGACAACTCCGCGCTGGTCTCCGCTTCATCCGACACAACCGTGCGCCTATGGCGCCCGCACTCCGAGTCAACTGAGGTACCGGAGCGCATTGGAAAACACACCGACTATGTGAAAGCACTGGCTAGTCCCAGCAGTCACGCGACTTGGGTTGCCTCGGGCGGTCTGGATCAAAAGGTCTACATCTGGGATCTGAACGGAGGCGGCGAAATACTGAACATTAATACCCGTGGAGGAGATTCTACAGACAAAGGCTCTGTATATGCGCTGGGCGCTGTTTCGTCGGTGCTTGCTAGTGGCGGCCCTGAAAATGTCGTGCGAGTGTGGGATCCCAGGTCTGGAAACCTGGTGACCAAGTTCGTGGGCCACACCGACAACATCCGTGACATTCTGATCAACCAGAATGGAGATACAATAATGACCGCTTCGTCTGATCAGACGATCAAGATTTGGTCTCTAACAGCCGGCCGATGCATGAATACATTGACCATGCACAACGATAGTGTTTGGTCCCTTTACTCGGACCACCCCGATCTCTCTGTCTTCTATTCAAGCGACCGATCCGGATTAGTGGCGAAAACCGATATGCGGGGGTCATCTGATCCCGAACAGGGAATCTGCGTCGCGGCACTTCAAGAGCACGAAGGCGTTTCCAAAGTGGTGGCGGCAGGAGACTACGTCTGGACAGCCACGCCCAAGTCGAGCATCAATCGCTGGCGAGATGCCGATACCACAGCCGGGATTGAGCAGCCGCCCGATCCTAGTCGTACCATAGACTCTACGACGGCGCCCGATTCTTCGGAGAAAGGGCCCAAGAAGATTCCATTCAATGCCGTTTTGCAGTTGTCAGCGACGTCGGTTCTCGGCAGTGCAACCTCTAAAAGCAATTCATCAGAGCCTTCCTTGGAGACGATTGGCCTGACCATCCCGGTCCACTCACTGCCCGAGGAAACCATCGAGGGCCAACATGGCTTGATCAAGTGCCTGATGTTGAATGATCGGAGGCGCACGCTGACCCAGGACTCGGCCGGTGAAGTCGTTCTGTGGGATTTACTGAAGGTGATTGGAGGACATCTAGGTCAAGTATGAGACATTGGCTGACATGAGTCTAGTGCACTCCTATCCAATCGTTCGGCAAGCGTCATATCGATGATGTTGAGGCGGAAGTAAACACTATTGACAGCATTTCACACTGGTGCGCCATCGACGTGCGTACTGGCAGGTTGTCAGTTATTCTAGAGCCCAATCGTTGCTTCGATGCAGAAGTCTACGCGGATGAGACCGATCTACCATCCTCTTACGTGTCAGAATTGAAGGATGATCAAAGAAGTCAGTACATCCGGTCCTACTCATCTGATATGCTGTCATGCTGGGAATTGCCATACTAACTGCGCACAGTCAATCTCGGCAAATGGATCTTGCGTTGGCTGTTCGCTCCAGTTGTTGACGATGAACTCCGGCAAGACAACGAATTCCGCCAAGCCGCCATCGCGAGAGCAGAGGAGAATGCTCGACTGAATCCGGTCAGTACATCGACAACCGCCGATGATATCCCTCGCAGCATCGGTATCCCTATCTCTGGTTCGAAAACGACTCTCCGTCCAAGCTCAGACATCCCTGCTAGCCCGAACATGGGATATGGGATCAACATTGGCACGCCATCGTCCAACTACCTGAGCACTTCCATGCAGAGCAATTCCCCGTTCCCCATGTTTGAAGACACGGCCGAGGCTTCCGCGCCACCAACGTCCCATCCAGATGGTGGGCCGTCCTCTTTCACAGAGAGAATGGGTGACTATTTCTCAAACAGGGTTCTGGCATCCTCGCAGCCGGATACCGACAAGCCTCTTATGTCTCCCTCAGATGGAGTTCCGCAATCTCCAGCCGAGCCAGACAATCCAGAGCGCAAAAAGAGTCTGTTTGGTAAGAAGTTCCAGATGAACTTCCCCAAGAAATTAGGTGGTCGCAATTCATCAGAAACGAAGCCACAAATTTTAGAAGAAAAGGCCGAGGAGTCTGAAATCTCCTCCGTCAAGGAAGAGAGAGTGTACGAACCCAACCTCTATGGTGTGGTTGAGCGAATCCGTCATGACTATGAGGAGTTTTTGGCTACAAATCCAGACCGGGAACTGGAGACGGCGGTTTTGCCTAGTGCCGAAGATGAAACTCCGCGGTTAGAGATCCCATCTAAAGTTGCAGTCTTTATTCAGGAGGAAACAGGTGACACCGCCGTTGCCTCGGATCTCTATCGAGGAAGCGTGGGCCGCATTGGCGAGGATCTAGAGAGGCTCAAGAAGTCGATTCCTCATTGGCTTGGCGAGCTTCTTCTCAAAGTAGGTGTCTGGTCCAATGTGTGCTGGTTTACTCACTAACGATCGTCTGTAGAACCAAATCCCTTTCAAGGAGCAGGTCAAGATCGCCTTTGTGTTGAAGCCATTCGACGATACTTTACCGCCTCTAGTCAAGCCCGATCCGTATGTCTTCGATCGTTCAGCTGAAGCGCATGTGGTTGAGACTAATATTGTTTTTCATCTAGGCCTGCTCCTATGGGTGCACCCCCCGGTGCCCCGAATACCAATAATACCAACAACGGCTCTCGTCTCAATGCCAACCGCATGCTCCGGGCAAAGAAGATTCTTGCTTACGTTGCAGAACGCATTGATCCCGCGGATCCCAATGAGCCTGCGGAATCCGCTATGCCGCCAGAAGAATACCTTGAGCTGTATTGCCAGAAGATGGTAAGTCTTCATCCCTCTTGTACAATTTGTCCATATTGACCGTCTCCCAGCTCTGTCCACCGAACATGACTCTGGCAACGATCCGCACACATATGTGGCGCAGCTCAGGAGATATGGTCCTCCATTACAAGACGAACGGGAAGAAAGAGATTCACCCGCCTCGAGAATTACTCGGGCTCGATGACAACCATCTTCTTCTAGGGAACTCTCATGGTTCTGGAAATAGTCATACACATGCACCTCCCGGGAGTATCCATTCCATGGCCAACTCGAGTTCCGTTGCCGGCTCTGTCAACAACCAGTGAGAACTGCCAGTCCTTGGCACTTTCGTGGTTTTCTTGTCCGTTTTTTATTTCATTTTCTATTGGCGTTCGCCAATTCACGTACATTGACCTCCGGTACATACGGGCGATCAGCTATTCGATTATTAGGGTTCATTACTGCTTTCGATGTTTCGCACTTCACATATCATTTTGGTGTATTGATAGAGCACCTGGCTTGGGCTGTTGCCTCCTGCTTTCTTTTGGGCAGCATACATTACCCTGTATCGTTGATAGCCATACCTTGAACTGGCGGAAGCGAATCTCCGGATCTTCGAGATCTATTCTTATTCCTGTTGAAATTGGATTCTCGTAGACTTGCACCGCTTGACGTAGCGTCGTAGTGGCCCAGTGGGAGAGTATGCCGAGAGGGAAGGGTATAGGTACTGGGTCAGGGGTGCTCTTGTATGCCCCTTGGCTGTCTACACTATTCTACTGTAGGGCGCCCAGGATAGGAGGAATGGTTCCGGGGAGAGTCCGGGAAAAGTCCGGGGAAGAAAAGAAAACCTCGAGTGAGACGAGTGGCGAGTGGGCTCATCGGGGAAATACTTATACGCACCTGAGAGGCTGGGTAGGAGTTGGTGACAAATTCCAAAGTAAATTATTTTTCACTCAGACTGCAAGATTCAGAGTGTTGTACTTTCATAAAGTGAAAAACCATTGTAAATCCATCCCGTTGACGATCGGGATAGCACGTGGTACCCGTACACCGTACACGTGAAGAGGCTATTATGTGGCTGGAGGTGTAACATAGACTCGATCCATTACAATCACAACAGAACTGTCAGAACTCCGATCGTCAATACAACCAAGTCTGCTGACAAGTGGAACCCCGCCCTAACTACGGGTACCTAACCCCGAACTCTTCTTCCTCATCTTCCCCCAACATCATACGATCATACGATATCAACATGCCAGACTATCCCTACGATCTTGGTGCCTACGGAAAGACCATCACGACCAGCAGCCCAGAAGCTCAGATATGGTTTAATCGTGGTCTGGTCTGGGCATACGCCTTCAACCACAAAGAGGCCGTGGTATGTTTCAAGCACGCAATTCAGCATGATCCATCCTGCCTGATGGCCTACTGGGGCTTGGCCTATTCCACCGGTCCCAACTACAACCAACCCTGGAATTTCATGGGGAGTGACCTACCCGCCGTGGTGGAAACGACATACCAAGCAGCATCCAAGGCGTTGTCGCTTTCGTCAAATGCAACACCGGTGGAACAGGCCCTGGCCAAGGCCATCTCCACCCGCTATCAGAGTAATAAGCCTGCTAGCATGGAGCAATATCAGATCCAAAACATTGCATATGCCGATGCGATGAAGGAGGCATACGATCAATTCAGCGATGACTTGGACGTGGTTACTCTATACGCCGACGCCTTGATCAGTCTCACGCCCTGGAAACTGTGGGATCTCGTAACCGGCAAACCAAACCCAGGCACTCGCACCATGGAGGCAAAGAAGGTGCTTGAGATCGCCCTTCAGAATAACAATTCCTCGAAACACCCTGGACTCTTACATATGTACATTCATCTCATCGAGATGTCCCCGTACCCAGAACTAGGCCTGCGACCAGCAGACCACCTCCGCGAACTCGTCCCAGACGCAGGCCACATCCACCACATGCCCTCTCACCTAGATGTTCTAGTCGGAGACTACCGAGGCGCCGTCCGGGCCAACCAGCGCGCCGCCATCGCCGATGAGAAATTCCTCGCACTGCAAGGCCCAATGAACTTCTACTCCGTCTACCGCATGCACACCTACCACTCCCTCATCTACGCAGCCATGTTCGCAGGGCAGAAGAAAGCCGCCCTCGACGCCGTCGACAGCATAGAAGCAACCCTACCGAAAGAACTGCTAGTCGCCATGGCCGACTACATCGAAGTCTTCATGTCCGTGCGCGCACACGTCATGGTGCGCTTCGGAATGTGGGACGAGATCATCGCGCTGCCCCTGCCTTCAGAACCAGATCTCTATTGCATGACGATAGCCACGCTGCACTACGCCAAGGGCGTAGCATACGCAGCGACCGGCCATCTATCCTCCGCAGAGCGCCAACGCGAACTATTCCGCACAGCGCGAAAACTCGTCCCCGAAACGCGCCTGGACTGGCCGAATAAGTGCGTCGAGATCCTGGGCGTCGCAGCCGCCATGTTGGACGGCGAGATCGAGTACCGGCATGGGAACTACAAGGTGGCTTTTGAACATCTGCGTCGCTCGATTGAGCTCGACGATGGTCTCGGCTATAGTGAGCCTTGGAGCTGGATGCAGCCTACGCGCCATGCTTACGCGGCGCTTTTGCTGGAACAGGGTCTTGTCGAGGAGGCGGCGGCTGTGTACCGCGCTGATCTGGGTTTGGATGGGACTCTTATTCGGGCTAGGCAGCATCCCAATAATGTTTGGGCTTTGCAGGGGTATCATGAGTGTTTGGTTCGTCTTGGGAGGATTGATGAGGCCAGGGTTATTGAGCCGCAGTTGACTATCGCTCTGGCTGTCGCTGATGTCCCTGTCACGTCTTCGTGTTTCTGTCGGCAAGTGTCGGTGGGTAAGAGCTGTTGTTCGAGTTTATAGGTATCGGGTATATACATCTACCTTATTGTCACTTGCTTCAGGTCAATCATTTCTTAGGTACCTAGTGTTGCTGGGCTGCAATTCGTAACCTCAAATATCTTAGCACTGCAGCCACCCACCACTTGTGTTATTCTTGGGATGATGGTGATGTTCTTATTAACACAATTTAGCTCCCTTTACATACTCTCGCTGTGTGATTGGGGCAATTCGTAGCAATATAGCCTTGCCAGTTGGCCAGAAGCTCGCCAGTTGGCCGAAAGTTTGCCAGTTGACGGGAAGCTCGCTAAACGCGTCTGAAACTCGGCACAAGTGGATACTGACAACTGGACAGAATAGTTTGGTTGATATTTTATTTAAAGGTACTGTACACATGTCCTAATCAATTTTTGTATACTGTGTATAGTTAAGTTAACATTTACAGGAACCTCAACCAGCTGCAAGCCTGCAATTGACCGCCCTAGAGAAGAGCTCCCGAAGGCTTGGGAGGTTGGTATCAACGAAAGCCAGTCGCCCTCTTGTCGGGTGCCGTCTTTAGCCTGGTCGATATCCCAGTTCATACCACCCATGGTGATTCCGGGGTTTGGTTAGACACCGGCACATGCTGGCTTGCAAGACCAGCGACATAAAACATGCTCTGTCTCATAGAGACAGACGGAATAGATCTAGGACCCTGAGAGGGTCCATAGACGTCGGTTGAAAACACACCCGGGAGTACTCCACATGCCATTGTCCGTTTGGCAGCTGGGTCTCTGTAGGTTGAGGGGTATAGAGAACTCCCCCGGCCACGCCTCATCTCCTTCACGAAGGTCGCAAGCCGGGGTGTTCGTCTCGATGTCTCCCGAGGGCGTATCCTTAAGGAGAGAGCCATTTGCCTTCACCCAGACCTCCACATCGCCCTTAGAACCCGCGGTTCTAGCCGCCCGACCACAGCCTTGGACGAAGTCGGTAAGAGACCATGCGCCGAGGAAGTAGAGGATATACCCCACGTTCGCGAAATCAAACCCAGCGCCTATAGCACTAGTAGCCGCGAGAATTGGCTTTGCACCACTCGTAAACAGCTCCAGATTCTGCGCTCGGGTTTCCTCAGCCAGACCAGCATGATAGCCAGTAACGTTGTCACCATATAGCTGGGAAATGCGGTCGACCTGATTCTTATAAGGAAAGAAACATATCACCTGGCCCCCGTGGTCCCGCCCTGATGTACCTTGTCCACCCCATTGAGCTCTCTAAGATTGTTGCCGCCCTCTCTAGGCGTTGGCGGGGGGCATACGCGTCGACGTAGGGCGCCCCTAGACCTAGAGCATCAAGCTCTGCCTGATCCATGTCCAAGTGGCTCATGGTGAGTACTTGCAAGGATCCGAGATCCTTCATATATAGGAGTGGCTGTCCGAGGAGGCGCCTCGGACGAATACCATCCGGTGTATCGTACGCCTCACTTATGGAGTGGTCTAGGACCCACGGAACTTTCAGTTCCCCGACCAAACTCAACACGTCGTTGCCTTGGAGAGTGCGGGACAGGCCAATGACGTCTGGTATTTTACCATACTTGATGCCGGAGCACTTGAAGTCGCCGAAAGTCAGATTCGTTCCCTGGGTCTTCAGGGCCGCCCCCAGGACTTGCCCGAACCGCTTGTTGAAAGCGGCCTTGGAGACTTTGCTCGTCCCCAACAGGAACAACATCTGGCTCCATCTGGTGCGGGCCGGGGCTGACAGGACTTGTAGTACTGCGGCCAAAGGCCTGGGCATTATATAAATATAAGCTGCCTCGACCTGGTTCTGAAAGTTGGGCCACGGGCCCAAACTTCCGACATATCTGAGCCTGTGGAGTGGACATCCATGATGATTACCAGGTCCACTTGGTAGGGTCATCTTCCCAACCAGACTGTCTGGGTGGCTTAACTAAACGCCAGAGGACAAAGGTCATGTCGGAAAATTGCTCGTCGGGATCCTCGAAGCGCACGGGGCCGTGGAAACCTCCAATATGCCTAAAGATGGTTAGCATATTCTGTTTTGTAGTATACAGGTTGTATATCACATACATATCCCCGGTTGACTCGTAGATAATATTTCGCAAAAGAGGGAACCCTGGCTGCCATCCACAGCGCTTCAACTCTCTTAGGTTTGTCAGTATCACTCTTAACACGCTAGAGGGGATTCTGTAAACATACTCCCAGACCTCGCTCGCGGAACTTTGTGCAGACGGCCTTGTGTAACTGCGCCGATTCAGGTCTCCAGAACTGATTTGCATCAAGTGGCTTCCCCCTGACCATTTCCCACACAATATGTGTTATGTGGCCGCCTGGAACTAGGCCGTTCATGTCTTGCTGTCCTTGATCGTAGGCGAGGAGAGTTGGGACCACAGTACACCGATGTTTCCCGAGTTCCCTCAAAGCTCGTAGCTCCCTATTCCCACGGCGTGGAAGTGCCTGTTGTTGTAGAACCTCAGGGAGCTCGGTCTCTGTTCCGGGGTTAAGAATCTGAAAGTAAATTCTCATGAATGCCTTCTTGCTTCTGTCTTTCGGACTGTAGCAAAGGTACTTGGACATGGCGAAGGAAGGCCCGCCACCCAGCTCCATTTCACGTTCGGTCGGTCTAAAGAAATGCTCGGTGAGCCTCTCCTCGAGAAACCACTCCTGAGGCGAGGGGTAGGTGAAGGCCACTTTTCTGCCTACGCAAAGTCTTAGAAAGATCTGGATATCCCATGAGAGACATGTTGAGATTTGATGACAAGAGTGCAAAAAGAAAGAGAAAAAACTGAACAGAGATTAAAGTAGGTAGAGTGAAGAGAAAGAAAATGAGGTGAAGGCGTCACAATGACTTGATTTCTCAGTCTCGTGGATCAGGCACCGTTTGTGTCATCATATGATCCTACCTAGTACAGTGAGTTCTGTGTAGCCTGGTCGGCCCTGTAAACCAATGACCACAGCTTACATGTAATAGGCTGGTGCTCCCACTCTTTCAGAACTAGCCTCACGTTTTGTATTGTACTGGAGCATGATCAGGCGTACGGGACACGGGTTCTTGCCTCATCCGGAAAGAAGCGCCTGCATAGCCATTACGATACTGGTTAGGCTCCAACAGGTTAATAGAATTTTGATTGATTGACTGCATGTCAGAGACTATTGAATTGCACGATGTGCACTAGTTAGCGAAATTCGTGAATACCTAATGAGCAGTGACCTTGAGTGAGCATCCCGAGGTCCATCAATCCATGTAGACCAACCTAAGAATGCCCTCTGATCTGGTCACACTTACCTACACCTGCTCACCTGCAGTGGACCTAAGCTTGAGCGTCCTCATACAAGCTCAGACAGGATAGCTCCAGGGGAAAACAAGTACATAGACAAATCTGGAACATAGACTGAGCCGCTATTCTATTACAAATATAAAAAGGGGAAGCAAGAGCGAAATCAAGAGAGATACATCGTACACCCACGAAAATGGCCTAAGACTCCTTTATGTACTTCCCTCAACGCCTTCGGGAGACGGAGTCCCGGTGTTAACTGCCTCTACCTCGCCACTATCGGGCTGAGGCAGGGTATCCTCGGTCTTAGGCTCTACCTCACTAGCCTGTTCCACCTCATCCGGCTGTTGTGCGGATAAGAGGGTAGAGCTTGGGCGGGACTTCTCTGGCTCCTTGGCGGTTTCAGGGAAGATCTCCAAGAAAAGGTCCGGCAAGAAGCGGCCGAGACGTTTCCGAGTCTCGACCCAGAGCTCTTCCTTGCTTGGGTCTTGGGATGGTGGCACGAGGTAGCCGCTATCAGCCATCACGAGAAGGATGTTCTTCAAGCTTTCGGGGATTGCTTCCGCCTAGAATACGAAAGAAATTTTGTTAGATGGGGGTGGCCTTTGTGTGTTCGAGCTGCAGTGGACTTTTGACTTACAAGACTATCACCCTGACCGCTGTTCATCATGCGATCGAGGATGTCCAGGATCCTGAGCCAGAGAGGAAGCACGCCCGTGCGGTTGGGCTGCTGGTCAAGGAAGCGCAGGAAGATCTTGCAGACGAGCGTTGCGGCCTGGAATCTGGTCTCGCTCATCCCTACGGGGTCGGAGTGGTAAACCTCTGGCTTCAGAAGAAGTAGGACAAGTGGAAATAGGATTTCGTCGAAGATGCTAGTCCACTCCTTGTCATCGCTTGAGACCAGTTCGGCGGATAGAAGAGATCGCTGTAATGTGGAGATGGCGTGGTGTCGGATATCGCGACACGGGTTGATGCATTGACTGGTCAACGACTGGAAGATGGGTGACCAGTAGGCGGCCCAGGCTAAATTGGGACATATCAGTATTTGGCTACAAGAGTGATCTTAAAGGCGCATTATTACCTTCGCTCTCCTCGAGGTGAGACTGTTTGATAAGAACCGGGACTCGTCCAGTCAGGTGATAGATCAGGCCGATTGCCTTGACGCCGCGAGTCACGACTTGGTTCTCACTATGGGCGGGTTCGTCAGTATCAACACCGCTGAATGAATGGATGGTCACATACCTTGTCTTTGCTTGCTTGATGCCCTTATTACGACGGGCCTGAACATCTCTGTGCCGTTCTTCGATGGAACCTACACGTCCGGCACTGACGAAGTCGTTGGCCAGGCTGACTACAAACTCGTAATTATCGGCGGTGACGATATCGGGCATCGACTCGACAATGCTTTGGAGGAGATCGAAGACAAGGGAAGCGACCGCCTCATGTTGGTGGAGTCTTTGGAGGATTGACCAGAAATCCGGAGAAATTGTGATCTCGTTTCGTAGACGCCCTGTATGAGCAATGCATCTAGAGAGACCCTTCACTGTGGGCGTAGCCACGGTTTCCAAGATGTCCTGGTCGAATCCAGAAATAGCATGCAGCACAACAGGTACCCGCATGAAGTGTTGGTCCTAGAGACAGGTCAGTACAAGATCATAGACCTCCAAGGCCTGGGATGAAGCGGAGTGCATACGTGGCTCAAGCGTAACAGGTTCAAGAGGTAAGAGACAACACGAGAAAGAGCCAGCGGATGGAGATTCTTCGCATCGCGCACAAGTGTTTGCAGCGTTGTTGCCAAGTTTTCACCAAGAACCTCCAGGGTCTTCTCATCACGAAGTGTCAGCACAGTTGCTAATTCCAGAACGAAGATCATCGCGGGATCATATTTGGGCTGGTTAGGATCCGTTCTGCTGCTTGCAGCTCTTGAACTTGGTGTCGGCCGTTCAGGTTTTACGACAATGACTGCTGGTGCATTCTCTTCAGGAAGCGAGGACAGTAAAGCCTCCACGAGCATCTCCAATGAAGATGGTGGGAGGGATCTATAAGATAGTTAGCATCCTGGCCACGATCCGTTCAATGCAACATGTTCACTGACTGGATATTTCTTAAGATCTCGGGTATTGAACACGCTGTGACACAATCCACTGTGCAAAGTGTGTTGTCAAGTTCTTCATCTGAGGGTTCAGGGGGATCATCTGCTGCGTAGCTTGAAAGGTAAGATGTAAATGCAGATAAGATTCCCGTGTCATTGTTGCGTCCATCCCGATCGACCACCTGTGACGGAGGTTGTAGTGGAATTGGTGAGATTTCAAGCTCCGCCGTGAGCTCGGCATCAAACGGCGGGATAAGAGAGTTGATGAACAGGTTACTCAAAATACGGACGATGTAACCCCAGCTATGTTTGACAGCTGCCTCGTTTGAGGAGAGGACTCGGAAGAGCACCACTGTTGCCAATTGTGCTCTGAAATCTCGGCCAAATTTGACGGCCAGCTCGCTGACCATCACACTTTTCTGGCCTACCTGGACCTCTGTGTTGAGTGCTGTGCTCGGTGGTTTGCTAGTAGCCAAAGTGCTAATCGATGCGAGAGAGAAGATAATACGATCAAACGCCTCAGTCAAGCCGTAGCGAGCCGCGATCTGTGCGCACTGGTCGAACCCATTGACAACACGGGAATACACTGCATCATCTGAAGCAGACATGAAAACATATGAAAGGGTCCCGATCACTGGCTTCCACGTAGCTTGGAACATTTCGGCATCATAGACGTTGGTCTCTCCAACTATGACGTCGCCGGTGGTTGAAGTCTTCAGCAACAGTTCCTTCCAAGCATAATCAAATGCATGCTTGTTCTCATGTTCGTCGGGCAGAATAATTTCGTTCGTTTTGATAGAATCGTAGATATCCTGCAGGAATTCCTCCGCAAAATCTCCACCCCCGTTGACGCCTCGCAGGTTTCTTGCGAATCCAGCGCAAGTCATGCGGTTTTGTGACTTCACATTGGGATTGTATAATTCGGTGTTCAGCATGATGATGGCGTATGTCAAAATATAAAGTGCATCTTTGTCGGCGATACCGTCAGGCTTCACTTTTTCCATGTAATGTTCCGCAAAAGTCGTCACGATTCGCTCGATAAGAGGCGACTCGCCGGGGAGACGGAATGAACTGAGCAGTTCGCGAAGTGCTTCAACTGCACTGCGTCCCGAGAAGTCGAGAAGATCCACGAAGGCGCCCAACAACTCCTCGTTGTCACGCTTGGAGATGTACTCTCCTAGTACCTTCTTTGACAAGCGCGAAGTTCCTTTCAGGAACCGAGCAACCAGAACAGGGTTCTTGGCGTCCTCGATGACACCATGGCCTGCAAGGAAAGCGATTCCCTTCTTAGGGTCCTCATTGAACATTTGCGCTCCCTTGATGATAAGCTTCTTTGTCTGGCGTTGTTCTCTCAACTGTTCTAGAGGAGGATAGTCTCCCTGTATCTGCTCATCGTCCAACCGGTCGTAAATAAATTGCACATAGCCCAAAAGCGCATCAAGACATAAAGGGGGTACATTGGTAGTGCTCCAGGTCGCAGAGTCGGGGAAAGCGTTGCGAGAGAGCAATCCAATCATGTCCTCACACAGATCCGCCCGGTCCACTTCGCAGTCGTAGTTGACGAAAAGCTCTACCATAAAGCTAGGTATGCGTGACAAGACGCCAATGCTTTCAACCATTGCTTCTCTGGTTTCGGGTCTTCTCGATCCACCCTCAAGGCCCAACTTCTGTCGATCTTTGACAGGCACAGGTGTCGACCTGCCACTACTGGCCTGTGACGGTGGCGGTTTCACCAATTTTGGTGCTTGTGGGATGCCTTCGTAAAGCGATGGGTCAATGCCAGGTTCTCGGGGTATCTCCACACGAGGATGCAAGCAAGCCACCAAGTATGAGATATAAAGTTCTTGTTGTAATTTCAAAACTGGCCGGCAAGTCGATAATAATGTGCCAGCGACTCTCAACGAGCCAGTTAAGATAGCCATTTGTTCGGACCTCACCAACTGGAAGAGATAACGACACAGATCATCCTTGGCCAGGGCGGCCAGACTCGGATGGCGAGCAATGGAAGGACCTGCCACCTCCAAAGCGACATCAATGATGCGGAGTGCCATCACCCGCATTGCGTCGGTATGTTGCCGGTTATGAGGATCCAAGAGGTCGATCAAGACACGGAACAATTCTCTGATGGACGGCAAAGAATAAGGCTGAAGCTCCGCTTCGGCATCTTCTTGCGGGCTCGGTGGCTCTGCTGCTGCGCTGGTATTTCCGGCTTGCTCAGGTGAACCCTCTCGGCTGGTGCTGCGTTGGTCTGTGGCCGCTGTGTCTGCGCTATTGGCTGACAGGTGCTGGGATGTTACGGTGTCCCCGTTGACCGACGGGTCCATCTTGAGACGAGATGATGGGTCTTCTTTTGTATCTTCGTCTGCGAACGGTTTCGGGCCTGCGGGAACTTCTTGGTCAAGATGCGAGAGCCGCATGAAGATCACTTGGCACATTTTGATCATTGCCATCTCGGCAGATCTTCGCAGTACCTCTGACAGACGACCTTGGCAACACATGCTTAATCCTGTTTCCATCATCTCACACACACTCTCATCGCCCAAAAGCTCGCCCTCGGGTCGTGAAAGTATCCCCTCCATCAACTTCAGAATCCTCAACAGGACTATCTCGTCCGCCGACGAGTCGCTAGCTTCGAACCGACAGTGTGTGATTGCAGCGGAGAGAAGTTGCATGGCCATAGGGAGCCGCGGAGAATTGGGATTGATGATATTGTAGGAAAGGAATTTGGTGATAGAGACCAAAGCGATAGAGGTGATTGCGGCGGAGGTCGAGGAGGAGCGGATGACCTGTAAGAATGGGTGAAGTAAAGCCGGTGTATCGAAAGTTCGGATATCTTTGCAATCTTTTAGATCGCTTCGCAGTCGTGTGAAGGCCGATATCAACGGATTGTCCTGCATGCTCTTGCCCTTCTTCCCTCGCAGACCCCATCGATTGGCCAGGACATGATCTTCGTCGGGACGAAGCGTCGATTGACCATTTCTGCGGGGATTTGGACTCGGGGGAGCTGAGGTATCCCGCTCATAGACACGAGAGGCTGCATTGCCGCCCAAGATGGCGGAGACGGAGGAATGAGCCCAGCGGGCATGCTTGCGCATGGACGAGGTGACGGTGATACATTCAGTGGTCACCAAAGCCACCGGATCGATGGCAATTTTGAGGGGCAATTCCATAGTGGGGTCGAGCATCGCAGCAGATGCTCGCTGTTGTGACACCATTTTGGAGGTTGGAACGAAACAGCTGGTCTCTCGATCATCATACTGCTGCTTGCCTCATCGAGGTTAGCGTCTTCCCCGCCGACTGACCGCCTACGCCAGGGGGTGTAAGTAAATGTTACCAGAATTCCAGTATTAAATGACGCTCATTGGATGAATGTGTGTAATTTTCAGTCTTGATGGACCATCGGGTAATGGACTGCATCCATGGATTCAAAATGTTTGATTTCGTCAATGTTGACCTCCTTCAACGACACAAGGCAATGTACTCTATGCCTAGGAATAGGGCAATCAGAAAGATAACTAGATAAGAGGATACAATAAAGGCTTGCTAGATTGATATAAAGTAGATGAAGATGTATGCAATTATCAGCATCTAGCTAATATCTCTGGCAATCACCGACCTACATGGTGGCTGACATAGGTATTTTCCGAGTAAACAAAGATGGATTTTCGAATCGACCACGGTTATGAAACGATCTCTTCCGAGCTTGTCCAACAAATAATGCCATTGTCTCTCACACACTGGACAGTTAAACATCGAATCAAGCCTCTGTACAACAATTTGAAACAGTTACCATATACATCTTCAGCGAATCATGCAATGTGACATGTCACACTAGTAGTGCCTTGCAGCAGCTGGGGATCGCAACGATAGCAACGGTGTTGATAGCGTTGGCCGGACAAACATAGTAGGGTAAACAATAAAAACAAAGACAGAAGCACTTTGAAAGAGAATCTTCTAATTCCTTCAAGACCGAGTATCCAGGTCAAGACTCTCGTTCAATCTCTTACTGTTCTTGTCAGCCTCAGGTCAGGCGCTAATACCCGCTCTTGAGCTATCGGAGAGCCTATCGCGATATCAACCCACCGCTTCTCTATCCCCGCCTCAAAACAAACGCCTCCCCTCAACCTGACGATTCATCTTATTTCTCCCTCGGGGGATCTTCCTTTCCTTTATTTTTTTGACACCACTACACGTGCTTACCCCAGCGCGATTCTATGAATTGAGTGGGGAGTTTGCTGTTCAGCTTCCATGGAGGGGAGCGCGAATGTTGCGATCGCATCACTAGAGGATAACATATCCTACATGCGATCTTAAGCTGTCCTTCACTCAATCTACCTAAGAACAATCCTTTCATTTAATCGCAAACATTGCCTCATTTACGATCTCCTTCACTCGCTATCTTACCGCATCCCGTCGCTCCTTCTACGCCTGACCTCGACGCCTTTCATTTGTTTATCGCGCCCGAAAGCGCCTGCTCGATCGCTCTACGAACTCCGCGCCTGCGTTGTTAGTGCATCAATATTTCGTCATGTCCGCAATCGCACCTCCCCCCGCATGTCCGACACTGGCAGACTTGCCCCTCGAACAACTCAGCCTCTATCATGTCGTCGACTCATGTTTAGCATCTATCTTCGTGTTCTATGGCGCCGTCTCCACAGCCAATGCCACTGTGAGCAGCTCGCGCATACAAGCTCATATATTCACACCTGCTGGTTTCCACAGCTACCCTCGAATTACGGTGTCCCCGGCAGCCCCCGTGTATGCAGCAGTCAACCATCTACCCCGCGAAAAACAAGGTGATGAGGTGTGTCGCGGATTGGCAGTCAGCATGCTGAGGTACTTTGCCGAGTTGTCTGATCCGGTCAAGCGCCACCTGAACGGGGTGGCTCGAACTGGGAGACCAGGAGGAAGGGTCCCCAAGATGTTTGATGAGATGCATGCCGCGGATCTCGCCAACCGTATGATCAAGGTGGATGACCCATCCGAAATCATTTATGATCTTCGCAGCGCATACCAGGAACGCAAGGTGCCATGGATCGACATCGATGTGGTGCTTCCCGCGGGTACCATAAACGCATCAACCCGACGTGAAAGCGCGGGATCAGACATCGACGAGAGCCAGAATCCCCAGTACGGTCCCTATACACCTCTCATAGAGGCTCTGGGTGATCCTATGTTCTTGCCAACCTCTCGACTGAAGCGTGCGCCCTCTCAACCGACCAATGTCAGCAAATCGCGACTATTTGCACGAAGTCAGAAAGAAGCTCTTCGTCTCACGATGTGTGAGCTGGTTGACACTGAGGAGAGATATGTTGCGAAGCTGTATTCTCTGGTCCATGAAGTGGCGGAAGAGTTTCGACAGAAGGCCTTGGCCAAAGGTCCCTCGAGTAACAGCCCCGACGAAGCAGCTTTGGCGGCCTTGTTTCCACCATGCTTGAATGAGATCCTGGAACTCAACCTCGGATTCCTCGATGATATTCGACAAGTGCTCGATGAAACCGAAAAAGACGCCATTGCAGATATTGGTCAGGACACGGAACTCCCTTCCCTTCGTCGAGGTGTGCCCAGAGATCGAACGGATCCACTCGGAGCACTGGCATTTGCGAAGGCCCTCTATCAATGGCTACCCCAATTTTCACAACCATACGGGGACTACATGCGAGCACACACAGGCTTTACCCAGACTCTGAATTTGTTCATGCGTGATAAGAGCTCCAGCTTTTCGAAGAGAGTTTACGAGACCGGAGAGCAAAGACTGCGCTCTTTGCTGATGGAACCCGTTCAGCGACTTCCTCGATACAGTCTTCTGATCGACACCATGACTAGTAACCTGCCGTTGGTTCATCCTGCTGTGCGAATCTTGTTGAAAGCACGAGACATCGTTAAGGATATCTGTGCGCTGGAGAACAATTCACCGACAAGCCACGCTCAGAGCCTCCAACGCCTGAAGGAGCTTGTCAACGGATGGCCCGCCAAACCCCTACCGGAAGGTCGGCTGATCACGGCGGTCGACTTCAACGAGATCACCTCTCCCTACCATCTGAACACACGGTCGGCTAGTCATAGTGGGGGAATTATGCTTCTTTATAGGAACTGCTTGGTTCTGTTGGCGAAACCGGCCGAAAGCCGGACCACGGCCCGTGGTGTGCTGGCTGATATCGACAACGCGGCATCACCAACCAGTGATATGTCCATGTCTCTACCTCAATCAGAGCTCCAAGTTGTGAAGGTGCTGGACTTCCACAATGTGCGTTGTATGCAATCTTCATGCGGCCGGGTTCTGTTTATTGTGCCAACTTCAGTCAAGTCCACAACGGCTGAAATTAACGTTGGAGTGGATCTGCTTGCGTTGGAATTGGCTACAACCTATGAAGGGAGGGCCAGTCGATTGATCGAAGAAATTTCCAAAGCGAGGATTGAAGGTCGGTTTCCGGAAAGCGAAAGAGAGGGAGCCAAATGGACATTACGAAGTCCTCCCACCGGCGCTGCGAGCAGTGTGGGAATACTGGCTTGTGTATGTGAGGACGGCGAGACTGCCGCGCTCAGCCAGGGTCATTCATCCCCAATCCGCGTCGTTTTTGATACGCCCAAGGTGACATGTGGGCAGATATTGAAAAGTTCCAATCTTGAGGTCATCATATCAATATCACCCCCAACCGGAGACCAATACAGATTAGAAATTGATTCCGTGGTTGGATCTGGATCTACAGACTTGATTACGGTGGATTCCTTCATTCCCACACTTTCGAGACGCCGTAAGTCACCTCCACAAAAGATTGTCCATTTGCCACTAACATGAAGTCACAAAGTTCAATACTTGCTCTCGCCTCTGCAAAGCCCCCGAAACCCAGCATTGACTAATACGCTGGTTCATTCCAATTTCGAAACTCTCCGATATATTGCCAGCAGTCTCGTGACGCAGGTCAAGTCTTCACGAGGCTTCCGGCCACCCTCGCCAACCAAACTGATCTCAAATCTGTTAGGAGGCAGTCGTGATAATGTCCCCACTCTCAGAGGGCCAGGCTCGGCCACACTAGCTGGCGAATTTCCCAAAATGCTTCCGACAAGAGGCACTTTGTCAAGGTCGAATACTTTGCCGTCAGCGTTTCCCGGGAAGGACAAAGATAAGGACAGGGAGAAGGAGAAAGACAGAGACAAAGAGGAAACTGGAAATAAGATATCGGTTGTTGGGGCATCAGCCTCCAAAGGACCTGACACCCAATTTGGATTGCTGGAACAAACGTTTGCAGCGTATGTGCTCTCTCTGCAGTCTCGAAGTGGGAATATCCTGGGCCGAATGCTTCGGGTTAGGGACCATGTTGATCGGGCGCCTGTCAATGAGCTCTACAACATTTTGCTGGAAGATCCAAGCAGGATTCAGGCTGCGGCTGAAGTACCTGTTGATACGCTCTTTGTCGCGTTTGAGACGTTTTTGACAAACGCTTGGAGACGAAGCATGGGACCCATCTTGAGCTCTTCTTCTCTGAAGTGGATCCAGAGCCAATTTGACACCATGTTCCCACGAGATTTTGATGAGCAGTTCCGGAAGTTTCTCATAGACATGAGCCCGCAGAATAGACGAGCGCTAGCCGCGATCATTCGACTACTTGCGGAGCTGCTTGATGCATCTGGCAACGATGGGGACCGCGGTGCTTTGACGATGGCATTTGCCGAGGTGCTCACGGAAGACGGAGATCCCAGCCATCACGTCTCTCTTTTAGATCGACTGGTTGAAGACTTCGATAGCCTCTTTGAAGAGTTCGTTCCCGGCGGCAGCTCCGTGGAAGGAACACTGACCGGTGATACCAAGAAGTCTCACGCCAGCGCTGGGTCGGTCGGTTCTAATTCTTCCTCTTTCCGAAAGCGCTTTGGCTTTGGTATGCACAAGGATTCCTCGAGAAACGAAGGGGAAGGCAAAGTCGCAGCAATTCTCCGGACCCTGAGCAAAAAGCAAAGTCCAGCCGGCTCGGAGCCCAACACGCCCAAGGGCAGTTTGATTCGTTCGAAATCCACCGACGTGGACCCTCGCTTGGGATTCCTTCGTCCTACGTCCCGCGAGCGACCTATATCCCGTGATCGGCCGTATGGATTTGCATCCGAGGAGCAAATCTCACGGCCCGGCACCGGCTACGACAAGCCGCCTTCTCTGTCCTCCTTCAGAGGATTCTCCGAGGATAGTCTACCAAGGATACGCAGAAAACGGAGGAGCTCTCTTTCTGACTTACGACCAACTACAGCATCCTCGGATGCCTCCAGTATCTCTCCAAAACAACAGCTCCGGCCAACTACCCCCTCCAGCCGCCCTCGCGGCGAGGTGGTAACGCCAACCAAACAAACCAGGCCCCAGAGCAGTTACATACCAACGTCGCCTATGCGTGCGCAATCGCCACTACGTGGTAAATCACCAATGCGCTCCAAGCCACCAGCCAGCACCGGTTCACCCACCCGACTGGGTTCACCCATCCGGCGTCTGTCTCCACCCCGCCCTTCTACCCCGAGTAGAAAAGAGAACGTTGATCCGAGGACGGCACATACGGACCGTACAACCAAGTTCAGGCGTGATGCATCGGTATCGCCAGCCGACGAGTCACGAAGACGATCTAACGCCTCGAGCATTCCCCAACGAACTCTGGGCCTTCGAGAGCGGCCAACCACCAATGTTTCCGATATCAAGCGGCCACAATCTGCGTCTTCCTCGAAACCACAGAAACCGCGGATGCAAAGCCCGCAGAAGGTTTGTTTGCTTGTCTTTGCTCCAATAACTATTATACTGACATTGCGGTAGTTGCGCGATCGCGTTCAATTGGAAAAGAAGACCCAAGTTTCTGATCAACGGGGCCTCAAAGACGAGCTTGCGGCGCTTGGTCATGAATTACGCTCTTTGAAACTCACACCACCAAGGCAGTCCAACCCAATGAACCTCGATTTTGATTTCGACCGCGCGGACACTAGTCCAGCTTCTGCCACAGCCTCATCCCTTGAAGCTCGCATGCGCAATCTGGAAGCTCGATTTGAGGCCCTTACCGGGGAATATAGTGAACGCACGTCCGCTATCGAAAGAGACTTGGAATCGTCCTTGGTTCTCAGCGAGAAGCGCGTGAAGAAGTTGGACGAGCTTTATCGCGAGGCGAGCGCCGAGAATGAGGCTCTCTACGATCGGTTCAATACCGAGCTCAGTAAAATCGCAAAAGATGTCCGATCGGGACATGCCGAAGACGCCTTGAAGTCGCAACTGGCGAGTGCCCTGGATGAGATCGGCCGAGTCAAGAAAGAGAATTTCCGCCTGAAACGAGAAGTCGGAGGCCTCCGAGCCCAGTCAGCTGCCGTTGCACTGCTCAAGGCGAGCGAGCAACCACAAAAGCTACAACATTAAGGGCTTGCCCCATCCATTCCTTCCGTTCCTTTCCCTCGTCTCACCCAATACCTGACTCCTGTCACATTCAACTTTTCTTTGACTCTGTATTTCCACACATGATCCTCCTCACAACTTCGTCCACTCATTCATTTGCATACATATCCACAAGCCTTTCTTGTATCCATTCCTATTTCTTGTCACTTTTCCAACTGGTCAATCCACACACATATCCATCGATTACGCATGCATAGCTCAGGAGATCAAGTTTCTAACAGGGCTTGCTTTTGTTCATTGTCTTGTTTGTCTAGGAGTTGTCATGTACACTAAGCGTCGGTATTTCCACCAACTGGCCAGCCCATAAGGCGCAGCGCCTCAATATCAATCATTTTGTACATCCACTGCCACTTCAACTTGAACCTCCAACCAACATGTAGCAACTCCACCTCACTAGGCGAAGCATACTCAGCCGCATGTCCAGTTAACCGATACTCCAAAGTCGGCAACGCCAACAGCTCCCTAACCTTCAAATCCAACGGCTTTCCAGGCCTCGTATTCAACCCCTCCCTCACAATAACAGGCAACGTAAACCGCAACTGCGAAGGCGCCTCCGCCGAAAACAAAGCCTGAACATGCTCAATACTCCCAGCCAGCCGCTCCCCGCCTTTCGTCTTCACACCCCGCCGCGAATTAACCGTATCCCTACGTACCCGCTCCATATCCAATTTATGGAACGGCCGAATCGTAACGGGAAGAGGTAAAAACCGACTGAGTTCACTGACGTCCCGACCAGGCTCGCTAGGAACAAGACGCAAACGCAGCCAGTACCTATTATCCCACAGGAACCAGGAAGTGAAACTGCCATTCGGCGAGACGTCTACATGCGTGACAGGATCGCGGTCTCGCATGAAGCGCTGGCGGGATAGGAACCAGATGTTTTCGTCTGTGCGAGGTTCTTGTTTTCCTGTGTCGTTTGCGAGATGTTGGAATAGAACGCCTGCTTGTGTGAATGCGAGTTTGCGCGGAGTGTCGCTGGTTGGGGCTGTAGAGTCTGGATCTGGGAAGATGTTTGGAACTAGGGTTTCGTAGCTGCGGAGGGAGACGTGGTTGTCTGGGAATGGGGAGACTAGTTCTGTGATGCGGCGGAGGACTAGGGATTGGAGTTGGCGGGATTGGAGGGGTGAGAGGGATGCGAGGGATGGGTCTAGTGAGGCGGGGGTTTGGGGGAGGAATTGGATGGTTGCTGAGCCTGATTTTGGGTTGAAGTTTAGCAGGCGACATTGGGTGGATAGGAGGGTGTTGGAGAGGTCGATTGTTCTTTTGTATAGGGTTTGGCTGGAGCGGATTAGGGAGAGTATGGAGGGGGAGTCTAGGGCTTTGGGGAGGGAATTTGAGGATCGGAGGCTGCGGATTGCGTTGCGGGGTGTGAGGGTTGGGTCGAAGTTTGTTGGGTCGGAGACGTAGGGGATTTGGTTTTTCTCGCAGGTTTCGATGAGACTTGCTTTTGTGAAGGAGAGGAGGGGGCGGCAGATGAAGATGCCTGGGCTTGCGATTTTGATATCGGAGGAGAGGTTGGAGGTGGGTGAATTGGATTCTTTGGGGGTTGTGTTGGAGAATGTGAGGAACCCGTGGTTCCGATCGTTGAATCGCACCCTGGTTTGAGGGATTGTCGCTGGGTTTGTGCGGATTGAGGTTGTTGACCAGCTCTCGGAGACGCCGAAGATACCATGGCACTCGGGAATCCGCGCGACTTCGGGAATACCACCAAGCCCTAGGCCACTTGCGCCAGCGGAAAGTCGCCAGATGGTTGTTTCGACGTTGTCATCTTGGTGGTGGCCCAGGAGCAATGTTTCAAGTTTCAATGTATGACAGGCTACGCCGAGGGCTTGGAAGCGGAGTCGACGAGCATGTGTCTCAAAAGCTGTTGGCAGAGTGCTCGACGCTCCTGGCTTTGATGAATGGTTTTTCTTTGGATTTATTCCAGTCCAGTCCAATGTAAGGATCTGGGTTTTGATATCTGCTTCGAATGTTAGATCATCTTTGGATTTAACACTCCAGTGAAGCTCGTACCCATGTCACGAAGCCAGCTAGCAACCTTTTGGGCCTCAAGAGTGCTTTCCGGACGTGCACGGTGATCTACAACCAGTGCAGTGACAGATATGGCACCAGCAATGTCTGAAGAGCGTTCCAATTGCTTGCATAAGTATGCCAGAGCCATGGAGTCGGCGCCGCCACTGACAGCGATTCCTGTCGAGGTGCGTTAGCTATGTTCCAATATGAAAGAAACGACGGTCTCTGAGAGACCAAGTACCAATAACTCACCAAAACTCCGTGGAAGTCCCAGGAGGTCATTATCGTCGTTTTCCTGGGTATATTTGGTGATGCCGTACTTGACACGAGCACGTCGCGATCCAGACCATGCTTGCTGGAAGCAACGCTGGAATAGAAATGGAGAGATGGATATGTTACCCGTCATCTCTACTCAGACTACTCTCCCTAGATTGGAGAATAGGACCTGAATTAAAGACTATCATGGACCTTGGATGTTCATGGACAGGAGATACTCAGGGTTGATATGATCGGGCTCGGTGAATTGTATTTCCGCTGTAGACAGAGGTTTTGTGGCCGTCACGACATTTGAGGAACGTTGATCCTTCTTGTATTTGCTTCCTTTTCTCCCATCCATCAAAAAGCCTCATGGGTTTAGTATATAACTTATAATATCCTATAAAGGAGGTGATAAAAGATGAGGATTGGTATTTGCACATTTGTGAAACTAATATAATTCTGTTCAACACTGAAACTGGTACATACGACCATAGGGTGTGGAAAACAGGGCTTCCCGTCCGCTCAGCCGTACTTAAGCCCATTATAGTACGCGGCCAATTCTCAATGCGCCCTGAGCTCTAAAATGGCGTCGGATTTGATCTTAGGGTGAGTGTGGGTGATATGGGTGAGAAGTTTGGAGACTGGGGTGATAGAGGTGAGAACGGGGTGAGAGCGGGTGAGAATAGGGCGAGGATTCTCACCCAGATCACCCACTCTCCCACTTTCACTTGAGTCCGGGCCATAAATATGAGCCCCAGGGCGCATGTCTGGTCTGCTGTTCTTATTCTCTTGACACTTGGCCATTCGAAAGAAGATGCTCCCAAAGGACTTCCAAAAGAAATTTGACGAAAGAATCGCACGTGCCGCGTCACGTGGTTTCACCCGCGAATATCAGAATGAGCGGGAACACGAAGACAACTCCATATGCCTCAAACAGCTCGCTCCGGCAACTCTGGAGAAATATGAGGATACAGCAATAAATTGGGCATTGTAAGTTATGCTATCGACAGGTATAGGTCGTGACACTCATTTCAGCAGATGGAGACTTTCCCGTAAAGAAACGCCCAATGCCAATTTTTCCAAAAATGAACCTGATCCCACCCCACAGCTTCTGAAATCTTTTGCTGAAGACTACATTGCAACAAGAAAAAATCTACCCTCGCAGAAGTCTGCGTGTCAGAATTTCATTAACTTCACTTCGAGATGGGAGCGAGAGACTTATCGATCTCTACCGAAGCACGTCAAGGATGATGTTCTGAACGTAAGTCTACCTGGATCTCCTAGGCATTATTTCTTCTAACAAGTTGAAGTACATTAGGCAGGATCTGACAGTCAAATATCAACTACCCACGAAGCCACGAGAGCGCTTCATGGTCACAGCAAAGGACATCGACTACCTTCTTCGCGGCCTTTTCGGCGATGATTGGCACGATTACAAGCACGAGAGAGCACGTGTACAAACGGGGAGTGCTCTTGCACTATTTGCTGGCTCGGGTGCTAGGGCAGGTGCTGTGGTGGAGTCAAGCGCTTATCGTCATTCTAATGAATGTCTATATTATAGGGTTTGTTTTTACCTTATGTCCCCCCTCTTCCCGCCCTAGTGACCGGTCAAGCTAATAAGAGATCGACAGCATCTTACTTCCAATATAAAATGCAGCACTAATGGTCAATTAAAACGCTGGGTGACGATTGATCCTGAGTTTTTGAAAGGATGGCGCAACCGTGACGATAAAGACTTGTGAGTCTGCAGATAAGCCGCAAAGAAGTTTGAATGCTGATTCGAAGGATGAAAGACCAAAGAACTGGTTCAGAGAACATCCAATTCTCGGAATGAGCTTTGTTTTTTGGGTGATAGTGCATGGTGTAGCTGACTGCGCTTTCAAGGGGCTCAGTACGGTGACCGACGTGCTCGCCGTGAGACCTCCGAAGGGGAGAGAATCATATACGCTTGAATGGAACAAGAATAAAAAGGATCTTCCTTTCTTTAGGATGGTAACTCCGGAAGGACCCCAGCAAAATAAAGCATTGTCCTTCTCCTCTATGCGCTACAACTTTGCGAGTCTGGCTCAGCGCGAATGCTTCAAGGACCGACTGCGCGTACACGGAATCCGTGCTGGTGTTGCAAACTGCATTGACCGTGAGTCATTTTGAGTCTTCTTACAGAATCCACGCTGATCTCATTTAGCCAAGGCGTCAGAAGCGACCCGTGGCCAGGCTCTTGACCATCAAAGCCATGATACGTATATTAAATACCAATCTGTGCTCAAGTCTTTGGATATTCAGGCTTTATTCTATGACTTGGAACCTGATTATGAGTGTCGGAACATGGAGCAGAGCATGGCTCACCACAGAGATCCTAATGCTCCCCAGAGATTGGACGCGGCTGCTATCACAGCATTTGAAGAGAGAGATGAGATCAAGGCCATGAACCAGAGAATTGCTTCTCTGACTTCAGAGATTGCTGGGAAGCCCCAGCTCCATGAGCAACTTGCTGTTGAACGCGCACAGCTCTACAGCAGAAAAGCTAAATGCCTAGAAGCTTGGAAGAAGGAATTCATACAAGATTGGTGGCATTCTGCATACGACGAATATATCTCCGGAAACGAATTCACGGAACGCGACAGAACCTCTTTATTCAACATATATAAGAAGTATCTACCAGAACGCGCTCGTCTCAGAGAATCCCTTTTCACGGAAACCTCATTGGATAGCGTTATCGGCCAACAATGCCTAGAGGATATGGTTGCGCTTTGCACATCCACGGAACGCGTCGTTTACTATCCCGGACTTTTACCTGAGGAAAATCGATGTCCAATATGTTCCAAGCTTATGTCACAGTACGTATTCTCTGTCGCTTGTTGTAGGTCCCAGGACTAACCAAAGTAGAATACCATTTCAAGGGAGGGCAAAACATATCTTGCAGTGTCGAAGACGATCCCTAGGTGGCCCACAATACCAGCAACGCTATAGGAATGAGAAGCGCGCCCACAGGCGCGTTCAGCGGGATTTTGTGCAGTTCTGCTATCTTTGTGCGGAAATGTACTGTGATGAGCAAGCCTGGATTAGCCACTGCCAAAGCCACCTTGATAAACTTCACCCTCGATGTGGCATGTTGACATTCCGTTATACGCTTGTTGCCCCTGGCTTTTGTCCATTTTGCCTGGGAGATGAAGACAAGAAACCGGACGAGAGATTTCAACAGTGGCTGGCTAAGGCAACGCTTCTGAATCACATTGACAAACATCTGGACGCTTTGAGAACTTCAACAATCTGCTTCTGTCCACATCCTTGTTGCCAGAGAAAGGACTATACGGACGTTACGAATCTTCGTCGCCACTTCTTTGACGCACACTCCATTGAAGAACCGCGGTCTAACTGCGTGAGTCGAAAAAGAAAATGGCAGGCGGAACCGGAACTTTTCTCTGGAGACCATGCTCAGGCTCACCCTGAGATCTCAGATATACAAGTGATTCCCGCTTTTGAGAACCCCCACAAGAAGGGTAAAGCAGCCAGTTTCGAAGAGGGTGTGTATGACAGAGGAACTCATGGGGCAGTTCACACATTGTGACGAAAACCAGGCACGGCATGAAGTGGACGCAGGCAGTAGAGCAGTATTAGTAGAAACATAGATAGCCTTTTCTCTTGAATGAATCTTTTGTCTTATGGTGAATGCTCAACATGTCCTATACCAACAGGCAATACTACTCCATGAATAAATATAATAAGCGCCAATCGTCCAATATATTCTCATTTGGGAAATACCTTCTGCAGAAGGCAGGCAGTTTCTGGAGCCGTCATTGCACAGCTCAATCATCATAATTTGAGTTATTCACTCGCCTCGACGATGAAAGACCCCTCCGGCTTGAAGCTCAGTTTGCCGTCGAGGAATAGTTTCCATGGGTCTAGATATATATGGAGGCCCGGTTTCTCGTTGATATTGAACACACGGAAGATAAGATAAACATCCGAAGCAGTCCCGTCTTCCCCTTCAAGGCTCCAGGACCGAGACTGTGATGATTAGCCATCTCATGCTTCTCAGAATCTATTGACATACTCACGAGATTTTGTTGATTGTAACTCATATAAAAAGGCTCATTGCATGTTCCAGTTGTGGATTTTACCTCAAGGTGGAAAGTCATGTTGCTGTCTGCCCATCGATCCGAATATGGAACTCCTCGATCACGAAGAAATTCCGAGAATTCCTTTCCCATGCCACGTAAAGTGAAATCAGAGTAGCAAGATTCCGAGTCGGTGAAGGCAGGAAGACCCCTCTTTGATCGCATCTTGCTAGTCCAGCAATCGTCACTAAAAATATTGGGAAAGTTCGAACAGAGGAACTCATATGTCTTCATTTGATTAGCCTTTTCCTTGCAGGTCAATGTACTGAGAACTTACAAATAGCTCTCCCAAGTATCCAGTTTCTTGGTCCTCTTTCCAGGTTGATTCACTTCTGGGACTGGCAAGCACCGGCACAGCATGACAGTATAGTGGTGGTTGGTAGGAATGCCTTTCGACTCTGTCCTCACTACCTAACAGAGGAAGGGCTGATCGCATATCTCTCATGTTCCAAACTCTTTGACCAGGCTCAGGCCGGAGGGAACGTGCCAGAAGAGGGCTTTTAGGCTGATGATGGTCTGATGCTTCTTCGGAAAGAGGATATTCCATCTCGCCTGGGTGGTCTATGTTGATTTGTGTCATATCAAATAAACCCGCGGCATTAGCCACTGACAGTCTTGACTGGCTAATTCTGCTGTTCTCTCTCCGCCTCATTTGATCAAATGTTTCAACAGCCACTTTGGTCTGATTGTATGAAACCTCATCGGAAACATGAACTGTCTCTGAAGTATCCAGGGTGTGGTATCCGCCTATCTCAGAGTGATGAGCTGAGTCCTGATCTTCGTGCAGCTCCGAGTGAAAGCCATGCTGTTCCAGAGTAAGTCCGATGCGATGCTCGCTTTGAGTGACCAGGATAATCATAACTAGCTGTTTCCTCTCATCCTCAATTCCCAAAACGTCTGAAAGACGACCCGCAAGAGCTGAATATGGCAAATCACCAGATTCAAGGTCTGAGATCTTGATAAAGAACTCAAACCGCGTATCAGACTCCCGCATAACGAGGTCTCCATCGTCCGATTCCCCTGTGATGTCGTCTATTTGTCGTATCAGCGTAATTTTTGTCACAGCATAGACCTTAAGATCCTTAAGCTTCAGCATCGATGGGTTACTCTTCGTATCTCCAAGCAAACTAGAGCGATTTGAAAAAGTCAGACAGGACAGTAGGTAATAACAAATGGCGCAAATTATACTCACCGCTCCATGAAAGTCAGCTTTTGAATAAGCTTCTCTGTTAGAAGCCCGTGAAAAGCGGCGTCACCTTCATGCATAGCGATTTCATCCACACTGGCTGACAAAGTGCACTCATCTAGCCCAAGCCTGGTCAACAAAGGCCTGATTCGTTGGAATTCGCATATTGCGAAATCAAGAAGGGGGACTTTGGTTTGGAATGCTTGACGAAGGCTGGGCCTATCCGCGATGTACCAAAGGTCAAAGAAGGCGACGAACCAAGTCTGCTTTTGTCCATCTATGACTTGAAAAACCGGAAACACGACACATGTTTCCAGCTGCGAGATCGACTCGGTGTTCAAATCATTTCCTTGGTGTAGATAGTCGCTCAGCCAGAACATAAGATCCCTAACTTGCGGAATATCAGCCGCATCTGGCCGAAGTCTAGCCAATTCATGGACTATGTCTACGGCGGTAGCATCACGGAGGCCCAGAACCCCTTTGAACAACGAAGAGCAATCCGGGTAGCGGGTTGAGATAGAAATGGCAGATCGCAGGCATTGAGGTGCTCTCCAGAAGCACTCCGCCACCTTCAGCCATCGGGGTGTCGGTCGAGCCACGAAGATCAACGGCAGAAGAGAAAATCGTGTTTTGCAATCCCTTTAAAACATTAGCTTCCGGCGCAACTTTGAAGCAATTCAAGAATTACCTGAGGGTGCCATTGTCATTTGGCAACCGTTGTTTTATCTGCCTGTATATATCGTGTGCATCATTCGCCTTGAGAATTTCACCTTGAATGCACTCCAAGTACTGGAGGTAAAGTTCTAGGCTCAGATCCATTGTAATACCAAGTAATGATAAATTAGCCCACAGGCTATTGTCGGGGTCTGAAACATCGAGAAAAGGCAGAATATCCCGGCATCTACCCATTTGGGTCATATGAGCTTTTGGAAGAAATGTATTTCCAATGGCCGTAAGTTTGCCGTTCGAGCAGCGTATCCGCAGATTGCGTTTTACTACTTGAACCGCTTTTTCACGTACTCTCTGATTCTGGTACCCAGATGGAAAGTAATGTGACCAATTGTCTCTGAGGAGTATCAGGCATTGCATGGGAGTATGCTCCATAAGACGAAAGAATTCATGAGTCACAATGACAAGTGAGCCTTCCTGGAATAGCCGTGGAAGGCATGCGACCCGTAAAACACGTTGCAGCCATCTAGTCCAGTTCTCAAACGAATCTGTATGGAGTTCTAGATAGAGAGGATTGATCAAAGATACCAGATCCTTGCACGCGGCAAAGTCGCTTATCCGGACGGAATTCGGAAGTTCCATGTATAAAGCTCTGCCTCTTGCGCATCTCCCTTCAGCAGTTGCCAACCAGAACTGATCGGAAAGCTCCACTGGAAACAGTTCTCTTGCGCGGAACATATAAGATGCATGAGATGCCAGATCCCTTGTGGTGCAGTGCCAGGAGGCTTGCTTGTGCGTTTCCAGAATCATCTCGCAAACTCTTTGAAAACTAAGAGTTTGGACACCTAGGTCCTGGTACAATTGCCGCCTTTTGGGATCCTGAGAAGCGGTTTGATCGACTAGTAGCACGTCTATGCCGCCTGGAACAAAGACGTTGGTATCGGTGCTCGCGAAAAAAATGTTCCCCTCAGAGGGAGTGACCCATGAGCCGTCTTGAAGAGGAATAATAGGGCAAAAGCTTAATTCTCGTTGGAGACCACCCCTTCTTTGAAGAACAGCGTTGGCCACCTTAGAATGCCACGTATTAGGCATGCGCCGGAAGATAACACTTTGGTCCCGTGCAAAGTTTTTGAGATCACTCAGGAATAAAGAGGACGTAAGGGGCTTTACGCCCAAGATGGACAATTCATGTACATTGTAGTGAATTGACAAGTGCTGATACTGCTGTTGTCCATCCTCCAAGAGGTACTCGCCTTCATCATCCGTAAACTCAGAAGGCAAATACCAGAGCTCGTGGGGTCTTCTAAAGGACCTCCCTCTAGTCTCCAAGATACGTTCGTTTTTCAGTCTTTTAAGTATCTGGCTGCGAACAGAGTCAACCAAGGTGTTTCCGACGAGAGAAGAAAAACACCGCAGATAAGCAGGCCATTTGTATTTCAGTTCTGTTTTGTTGAAACGATGAACTGCCTGAACAAATGCTTGTACGACTCCATCAAGTAAAGCTCGGTTCCAGAGCGGTCTTTCATCGATATCTTCGCGATTGGCGGTCAGAAGAAAGTCTCCTTGAATGAGGAACTAGACCCAAGTGATATTAGTATGTCGGTCAAGAATTCCGAATTCAGAGCTTACCGAGAAGCCGTATTTCCGGATGGGAAGAAAATTATAAGCAAAACAGTCTTTAACCAAAGGCGTGTCTACAGGAGACAAGGGAAAAGCGACAGCAACTTCGCTTTCATGGATACCAGGACGTTTAGGGTCATCAGGCAAATCTTTGACCTCTGTTCGCTCAATCGTGTAAAGTTTAAACGAGATACCATCCGCCGAGATATCATCAATACGGACAATTTCACCGGCCAGGCCTGGGAAGGAATCTCGGATAAAGAAGCGATTACCGCCAAAGGCCGGCTCCAATTCGATTCTCTCCAGGCGTCGAAGGAACAGCAGAACTGAACCTTCAAGGTTGCAGAGGTCGGTCTCCACGCTCAAAACATCGTTCGACTCGGGTATGTGAAACAAAAACTGTGTTAATCCTTCCTGGAAATGCTGACTCGGGAAGTCCTCCCAGATTGGGGTGATCATTCCAAGTCGACCGCTCCTCACGAATTTGAAAGAGTATGAAGCCGAGGACACGCATATAGTATCTGCGAGTTTAAATCCTGATTTGAAGCCGATACCTTTTTCGCCGATGTAGCCTGAAGCCTTTCTGGACGCACTTTTTGTACTCTGACCAATACTACATATGGCTCGTACGTCATCTGGAGTAAAACCAAGTTCGTTGCAGCTCACAAGGAGAAGATTGGTCATGAGATTGAACGTAATTGTCGGAGAATCTGCCGCATATTTATTATCGTCCGCATTTTGGATAAGTTCAAGGAGAAAATGAGTAGGTTTGGTGTAGAGGTCATCGGCTAAACTGGTGAGATTGACGAACATTAAACGCTTTGACTCTCACAATCAAGGGATTATACCAACATAGCCAATGCGTTATCCAGAGTCTGGGCAACGAAGTCAAAGTCAGAATTCCCAACTCCTCTCTCACGACGCAACTGCTCGATATGCTTGCTTGCCTCCATTGTCGGGACCAAAGCAGTTCAAAGTCAGTGGAAACGAGAGGTCCTGACACGTCGCCCGCACCACTCTTAGCGTCCACAATTTAAGCACTCACGTGAACGAACCCACCTGGATGCTATTCGTCGCGGAAAGCGGCTATTTATCCCCGGCACTAACTTCTTTTAGTGATCAAATTAGACCCGTGAGGTACAGTATGTAATTACAAAAGTACTCTACGTTGCGTGTGGGGCCGCCTTGACAAGAGACCAGAAAACTCGCGGTGTGTATATTATTAAGGTACGGTCCGAGACTGAGGGCGCTCAACAGCCTACCACCTTCCTGAATGGTTCCAGGAAAGCGGATGGTTTCTTGCTTTCTCATATGGTCCAAAGTCCCCACAATCCCACCAACTGAATACTTCGCAATTCCAGTAATATCCTCCACTCGCAAAGTTGCAATGAATGATAGTTACAACACGTGTATGACATAACCGGCTGCACCGTTTGGCTATAGGGAGGCTCTGTTTGAGTAAATGTGTGAGGGGGCCATCATTTGCCTCTCAAGCGAAGTTGTAAGTGATCGGGTAGTTCTAATAATGCCGAAGCCCAATTGATTACATTGGCCTCTAACCGAATTCGTGCTTCTTCTCTTGGTAGATTTTCGATTGAAATCTCGTCGCACTTGCAGCCAAGATCGATAAACCTTTCGTGACATCATATCACGCAGTATCTTCCTCTCCTCATCAGTCCACGTGAGGTAAGATCCTCGCTTTGGCCGCACTGGTTTTTTCAGACCCGGTCTCTTACCCGGATTTCACTTCGTAGTGTCACATTGTAAACAGCTAGATCTCTCGTGAGGCCCGCGTTCATTCCCCGCAGGAAAGTACTCCTCATCCGAGAAGTGCTCGGGTTCCTGCGATGAAGTAATTCTAGGCGGTTGAGCATTCGATTCTGTTGAGCTCATTTCTTCAGGCCATTTATGGATTTCCTGCCCCAGCAACAGCATGAGGGATTCGATATGTTCCGTGGCTGTAATCATCCGTTAGGGACGTCGAGGATGAGCTGGTGCCGTACTTACTTCTTAGTGATTCTTCATATAAAGAAATCAGGTCCGTGGCCAGATGACTCCTAGCAACTTGTTCTGTCTCCACGTCTAAGGCATCCGGCCGAGAACGGAGCAGCTTCGAAACAATACCCGAACAAATCAGATCACGATCTGCTTCTGGCATCCGTACCGCAATAGTACCGATGCGACAAGAATATATTCCAGGTGTGGCCGTGTGAGTAAACCTTTCCACGGGAATTTCTTCTCTTACCAAATCTAACCAGTTCACCCTATCGGCGTGCCGTTCTCCACGTTCATTTGCCCCGTCCACGCATGGAAATGGGCTACTGAATAATTCGCAGACCTTAGACTCAAGTTTGTTGCTGAAGAGAGAAAGGCCAAGATGCTTTGCAATGCTTCCGTTGGCCTCTAGGACTTCGCGGTATACTTCAAGTGCACGAACAAGAGGGTGTAAGTAGTCGAGTAAAGATTTGGAGGGACTCAATTTGCCTCTTGGCATCTGCAAATGAAAGTCCACCTGGAAATCATGGTTCTGATCGCAAACGCGAATGCCATCTGGAGATTTGAGGAGTTCGGATTTTGTCAGTTCAAGAACTCTCCGCATGTTCTAAGTGCTTCAGACTGTCGACTCCCATCAGCTGTCCCAGGCCGTGGTCGAGGACGGTTTTCAGAAGAACTTTCTTTCGTGAGCATCCCAAGTGCTGCAGCTTTTTGCGAGGCTTTGATTCTTTTGCTCTGCCGAGATTACGATACTGTCTATGAAACCTATTGGCTGGCGATTCTGACCTATATCCTGGAATACGTGGATGAAACGGATATTTTCGATGGAAAAGATTTGGGAGAAGAATACATGAAATTCTATTATGCTCTCAAAGGCGCTGAGCCCGCGATGTATTTGCTTCTGGATGAGCTTCGCTCTGACCTGACCTCAAAGGGTCACCTCCCAAAAGGCAACAGTTGATAGTCATACACCGACAGTTTTAAAATCATGGAATGACGCCATCGATGGCCTGATACTCAATAACCAACATGATGTGCCGGACCCGACTGGTAAAACTCCACTTTGGCATGTTGCAAATTACGGATATGCGGACTGCGTGCGGAAGTTAGGTGCGGCTGGAGTGGTTATTGATCGGCAAGATCGTTTTGGACGAACTGCCCTTTTCCGAGCGGTAGTAGGAGGACATACGGAAGCTGTCAGAGTTCTTCTCGAATGCAATGCTAACCCTGATATCTGGAAAGAAAATGAGTTGTCGCCAATCTATGAAGCTGTTATGAATGGGCATGAAGAAGTTGTTGAACTACTTCTATCTCGTCATCCAAAGATCAAAATCCCCTTGAGTGGCCTCACATCTATTTGGTCGGCGGTCAGAGACCAGCAAATGAAGGATTTGCTGGTGCAATATGGAGTGACTCGGCAAACAGCCTAGAAAAGGCTTCATGCGGTTCGTCCTGAAGGTATCGGTGAATATTCAAGTATGTATCGAGGCCTTGCTTCTGACTCCGTAGATTCATGCCTGCTAAGAATGTAAGATGGCAAACAAACGCAAATATAGCAATTCCAATATGTCTTATTGATGGAACTCTTCTTATCACTCTGTTACTGCTATAAACCATGGTAGGGGTGTTTGAGACCCCCGCCACTTTGAGGTCAACGACTATCTCCCACCCGCTTCTCACGGGGCTAGTGTGGTAGCCTTCGACGGCTAGATCTTCGTAGATCTTCGTGGAATACTCTCCATACACGGAGGTTAGCGGGCTAGTTATTGGAATGTAGGTTCCCGGTACGAGCACTTCGCCTGCGACTTGAAACTCTCCTGAAGCTATGCTATCAGGTCCAGTCCCAACAGATAGGAGGGAAAAGAGCCTACCTTAATTTAAACCCGGGCTTCTCCAGTAAAGGCGTCACCATAGAATGACTAGCTTCATCCACACATCTGGAAAGATTATTTTGCTCTTGCTCCGTTGCAGTTGTTTCGGATAGCCATTTCGACAACTTTAACAAGGCGTCTGGGTTGATCGATAGGCATGGTGAAGTCCGCCTACACGGAATCCGAGAGAATGTGGAACGACTTCTTATGCTCTAAGTCAGAGCCCTGGAAAACTAAGCACCTGTACTAGGACCAAACTCACTTTATCACGACGAAATTGGGAAGGGATGATGGACAACAGCGACAGTTTGGATGGCGGGGTAATCGTGGACCTTGTTTGATGCCCAAAACTAGCGACCGCTACAGAACTTGCCTCAGTGCCTCAGGCCCTCAGGCAACTATAGGTCTCCGATATCACGTGGACGGCAGATGATGACGGGCAAGCCAAGGCGGAGCGGAGCGTTGAGCGAGGGACATACCAGGAGAATCGGCTTGATCCATTTATTGCGGCAACCCCGCGCGAGAGAAGAATTTGCCTCGAAATAAGATATTTTACCCGAATTTATCTGAACACCTTATAAAATATACCTTCGTTGAATCTCAGATATTCCCGGACTCCTAGTATGGCCATAGATTCCTGAACAGCTCCTTTTCTTCTTCATCCTTCGCCAGCCCAATGAAGGTATCTTTGAACTTGCGACTATTCTCACGGGCCAGATCGTAGTCTTCAGGATCAACCATCCCATCCACAGGGAGTACAGCTTGCTCTCGGAACAATAACAACATACGCCCGACCCCATTGATGTTTTCCTCTTCCTTGGACTGGAGCTCGATATCCTCGCTGCTGAAATCGATCGGGCAAGGGGTGTTTGGGAAAAACTCGCTCCAGTGAGCTGTAATGTTCATGAGTGCTTCGCGGAGGAAGAAAAGGTCTCGGTTTTCCCACACTCCGGTCACGAGCCAAACAGGTTTCCGGAGGATAGAGGTTGCCGGTTGCTGGAGCACAGCCCAATGAAGAGGCGCTCGCTTATACACCTGCGCCTCGTAGTATTTGTGAATGGTTTCGCTTTCCAAATCGTCATCAACCTGCTTCTGTTCGTCTTTACTCAAGCTCTCAAACTCCTCTGGTCGTCCAGGGACGACCCAGCCTTCCCGAACAGGCCCAGGATGTCTACACATTCTGGGAACGCCAGATTGATAAAACAACGGAGCAACGCACGCTGATTGCCAGTCCACGATGCGGGTGATCCGACAAGTATCTGGATCAACGAAAATGTTATCCAGGTGAAGGTCCGGATGCCAAAGAACGTTGGCAGAGGACGGTTTATCGCTTGGCTGGGGGACAAGATAGGAGGAGACGTTCATATATTTCTCCAAGAGTGAGATACCATCTTCGGGAACTTCTTCGTTCTGGTTCGGCCGGTAATAGTTCTGTCGGGGAACAGCATGCGTCTTGATCCACATCATTTCATTGTGGCCGATCGCACGGGTGTATTCCAACGCATGTTTCCCTACGCAAGAAAGAGGAAATATTAGAAACAACGGAAGGGGAATTCGATGGTCCACCTACTTACAAGGGCCACGATCCAAATTCATGTTCCTCCTAGTTCCACTCCACAGTTCGTTCGTGGTCAACGGCCCAATGGAAAATCGTTCGAGGACGTCGGATCCACCACTCTGTGTATGAATGTCTTCTGCTTCCCCGACAAGTGAGCGCAAGTCTTCTTTGAAATAGATGCAACCGTGCTTGTCAAAGGTAATGGTGGTCAACTTCTTCTCTATGTCAACCACTTGAGTTATTAGTTGTAGCTTCAGCTGCCGAGGCCACCGATTCCACACAGAACCCAGTCGGACACCAGGGGCCTTCTCCTCAATGATATATTCGGCCTCGACTAAATTGTTCGCCGCATCGGAAGACCAAGACAACACCCGAGGAATGGGAATATCGAATACATCACGAAGCTATCCATTTTAGTGTCGTGATACCGGCTAAATGACACCGAACATCTTACCAGCTCACGCGTGGCGACCTCAGAAGCAACCGAAAAATGTGCAGGTCCGGCGTTGGGATTTGGGAGTTTCGCGAAGACTTCTGACCCATTATCCATTTTCAAGATGAAGGCTTTATTATGCAGGCCTTCCACGCACTTGGTAATTCTGGTGCCTTGAATGAAGTTAGCAGTTAAATCTCGCTGGTCTCGATAGAACCGGAACATACAATACTGGGCCCCATCGCAGACATCAATGGCGATGTCGAGAAGTTGTTGTAAGTTGAATTTCAAATAGCGCTTTTCAAGTTCGCTTTCTTCGTTAGATCTGAATTTAAGCCTGAATAAGCCGCTGTCCAAAGATGACGAACCAATTTGCTTACAGCCATCGATGTCTGGTGTATCGATACAAGTCTTCCTCAGGGATTCTTTGTTCTATGGGAACAACATCAGTTACTCGGCATGCTTAATCCATGAGATGATACCTGAAAATCTCACCTGGGCCATGCTGTCTTTCTAGGTAAAACTCAGGGTTGCGACCAGTTCTCTGAAGTCCATCTGGTCGGAAATGTGAAAAGAATCTCATGTTCTGGAAAAAGTAGGGACCACGAGGCTTCCCATGTACTTTTCGGTTACCGACCTCCCAAAGACTCCTGGGGAATCGAATCATCGTCCTCGAGGATGACAGGTGTCGTTGGTAGGGCGAGGGACCGTCAGCCTCAGGGAGGTCCTCTTCCGGAAAAATATAGTTCCGTTGCATAGTGGGGTCTTTGGATTTTGCACCAATAAGTTAATGTACTTCCTTATGTTGGCTTCGCTAGCTAGCTTCAACTTTCCTTACGACAGGTCACGTCTGTTGTATAAAGTCCAAAAGCCTATCATTTCAGACTTTTATTCCATCTTATACCATTTCAACACAAAACAGGAAATACGGTTTCTGAGGGGCATCGGAGAGCTCCAATAGGGGTTTGCACGTAAATCGAACAGTCTCGCTTATCGTCTTTCTGCTACTGTTTGACGCAGGGGATAATGGATCAAGTAGATTTGACTAGGCCATATCAATTTCACGTATGAAGCAACTTCATTTCAGTTCGTCGTTTTCCGCCCCTCTCACTCCTTGTTACCTTGCGCGCAAAACCAGCGCAATTTCTAATGCATATCAGAATTGGTCTTCCTTGAAAAGTGATTATTAGCCGACGAGCTTCACCCATTGATTTAGATGAAACGAACTGTTGTCATCATGACGGGGAACCTGACTATTTGCGCGAATTCTCGATTTTTGAAATGAAATCGTCGACGTCGAAGGAGGTACGGTCAAATGGTATCTCAGTGATGTTCTTGTGCGTTCCCTTGTGACCACCACCCTTGTTTCCGGATTTTATATAATCTTTGACAGCGTTGTCCTTGGCCTGTGCATTGGCCTGGACTTTAGCAACAGCCTTGTTTGGGTCCTTTGAATCTTGATGAACATCTATGCGTAGATCAACCGTTTTAACAGCATTGCTGCGGGTGGTCAAATTGTCTGGTAGAATTTTCGTGATCTTGTCGACATTGTTTCGGACGGCTTGAGAAAGCTCACTAAGGACAGTCTTCCAAGGCATATCGTATATCAGGAATGGTTGATTCGAATTTATCGCCGCAAATAAATTGAAGGATCTGGGTCATAATATTACCATGGGAAGCTAGGACGTCGAGGAGACTTATACCTTAAGAAATGAAGGGATGTAGTACTGCTTCATCGCTGACAAGGATTAGTTTGGTTTCTAAAAAAGACTTTCCCGGCAGCAGGCCATCAATTCTGAATACCAGTAAGCGCTTAACAACCTGAACAGCTCGGCATCAGTGCGACCTAGAATGGGCATCTTGCCAGGAGTGAGCCGCATTTCGTGGGCGATTCGCCGATATCTGGAGATCGCCTGTGCTTCTATTAACGTTGGCGCTTACATGTTGGTTAACACCTTTTGGCTCAATAACACTTCGCAAATAGGCGCCCGGTTAAAGGTTGAGCCGGGAAACAAAGGAATAAAGATAACTAGTCATCATCGTGTATGGAACGTTAGTTATGTTTCGAACAACAGGCAACATCAGGATTCAGGACGTTGGTGTCCACGTGATGATAGATGTGTCTAGGCGCAGCAGCACTTAGCCCAAGGCAACATTGAAGTCAGCCTCGCCGCTAATGAAGCCAATCCTGGGCTGAAATTTGACCATATGTACAGGTTCCAAGAGATCGCAGTTTCAAGCTGATTGACGTGAATCAATATTCGTGCCCTTCGGCCCCACGGGCGACACCGAATAAATGCAGTGTATTTAGGTCACATTATCCACTACTTTGGTCCCAGGTGACATTGAAGTCAGCCTCGTTGTTGGCTTAGCCAATCCTGGGTTGGAATTCGACGGTAGATGCAAGTGCCAAGAGACCACAGTTTCAGCTGGATCGAGGTGAACCAATAACGCTGCATCTGAGCCCCGGTGAGAGAGGGTCAGTGCGGGGGTCGCGCGACGGAGGGTGAGAATCACCCGCTCTCACCCAGCTTCTCACCCTGTCTTGCGCACTCACCCTATCTCACCCTGGTCGCGCGACCGTAAAGCGGCGCTCACCCACTTCTCACCCGGGCGGCACCCACCCGACTATCTGCTGCACATAAGCCACACGCCGGTGAGTTAGTAGTTGGGTGGGTGACCACCAGCGAATCCTCACTGTTGTATGTCTTCGTTTTTTTTTGGACTTGAACTAAAGTGAGTCCTACTCCTGGGTCATGATGAAGGGTTTATTTATTTGCCATAGAGGCTAGAGCTGCATTGTCGTGATGTTCCTAAACCCCATGGCCAATACCATCTGAGATGCTCATGGCCACGCCCACCCCAAGCTGGTCACGCCCGTGGCGAACGTCTGGGAATAACAGGCCCACGACCGTCCCGTCCTTAAGCAGCACAAAAGATCCCGAGCCCCTTCCCTCCACGAATGCACCGCACCATTGGGACCACTGGGCACTGATCATTCATCATTCATTCTTCATTCGATGGGAAATCATGTCCACAGCATGGCCGTCGATGTCATAACGGGGCTTATCGGCCCAGTTGCAGACCGGCTGACAGCCATTGAACCAACAACCTTCCTTTGTTGACACGCCAGGGTCGCAATATAGCAAAAGCAATTCTCTCATGGTCACCATCGGAGATCCTGTTGGTAATTGGTATAGACATTGGACGCCAGAATCACTGGGGAGCAATCCACGACAATTTGGAAGCATTTACTCCTCAAACCCGAGTAGGTCGAGAACAAACTGTGCCACCCCTGATGCTTGAAGCCCTCTAGGATCATCAATATGAGAAATTTGGCTGTATCTCGATACAATACCTCTCTACAACGAGTTCCAGACTAGTTACAACCTCTAGCATTAGAAGAGCCATTATCGCCAACGATTGGTCAAAAAAGGCTACACGGCAACGTGCTAGGGAGCAAAATGCGTATATCTGCATAATCGGACTGCAAATCGTACCACCTCGTATGTTGAGAGGGGCTAGTGGCTACTGGCACCACGTAGCACGGGCCCTTTAATTACTTCCAGCATAACATTTCCCCATGCAACAGCCCAAACCAAGCCTGTTCATCCTCGACAAATTCCCTCCATCCCTTGGAAATTCTCTCTAATTCCTCCTTTGTCGCATACCCTTCCTCGACAGCTGTCTTCGCCAAGCCCGAAGACCGCACCCTTTCCCCCATCGATCCACCCCAATACTGTCTCTCTTCCGGAGTACTGAAGCACCAGGACCCGGTGCTCTTTCTGATATTCGCCAGATCAAATCCAGCCCCTTCCGCCCAGACATGGATATACCGTCCAGGATGCGGATTCCCGCCTTTCGCCTTTCCCATCCGTTGAGTAATTTCGAGCCAGTTGTCGATCCCGACATTCTCTGGATACCAGATCATAGACGCGGATTCCCTTGCTGCGACAATTCCACCACGTTTCACAATACGCCTCATCTCGCATAACGCTTTGACAGGATCGATAATATGTTGCAGCACCTGATGCACATGAACAATATCGAAGGTATTATCCGGGAACTCGAGGGCGTGGATATCACCAAGCCGGAAATCGACGTTAGTCACGCCTTGCGACGCGGCCAGGTGTCGAGCCTGGTCGAGCGGATCAGGGACATTTTCGATCCCTATGACATGACCATGGTTTGCACGGCGGGCGAAATCAACACTGATTGAGCCGGGACCACACCCGATGTCTAGGATTTGGACGTCGGTGTTATGTGCGGTAGGAGGTAGTTGGCGGAATTGGACGCTGTGCGCCAACTGTGGGTTTTGAGGACAGAAGTGGAGTGGTCGGTTATGTAGACAGCCATCTCTTTAAGACTCTTTTTTTTCTCGTATTCAGTTTGGCTTGATCGAGCTTGTGATTGTGTAGTTTGTAAAATTCAATCAAGGTTGAATTTAATGCAGTTTATAAGTTTATATGCACGCGAAAGTCCGTAAGACAACTAGGTAAGATCGGAATTCCGAATCTGACTTCCATGGAAGGTGACTTCACCACTCCGCCGGATTGGACTTTCAATGGAAGTCGTTTGGCTTTATATATTCTACTTTGACCAGCGTGGAATTACAAATCTTCACCAACCCTCAATGGCTCCCCGTTACATACCCAAGCTAGGTACCGCTCCCAACGTCCCTCGCGACGCTAAAGAGACCTATAACACTCTTAAACGTGGTGGTGTTGTCATTATTCCAACCGATGTCGGCTACGCACTCTTGACTAGCACACAGGCTGGAATTCAGCGGATATTCTCAGCCAAAGACCGTCGGGAAGGCCACAACATAGGCATCATCGGGACATACAAACAACACCGTGAAATCCATGTGCTCTCCGAGGCCAAGTTTGAGATGACACGGGTCCTGACAGAAGATATGGCGATGATTGTCGGGATCATTGCGAAATACGATACCGAAAATCTTCACCCGCGTTTGGCAACCCTCGATCTCGCTACGCTAGCCCAGGTCACCAAGGGTGATACGGTCAGTATCGCAGTTCCCGAAGGCCCATTTCTACGGGAACTTGGTCGCCTTTGCGATGAGGACCCCGAGGGCATGTTAACGTTCGGAACTTCGGCCAATCTGACCGGCCAGGGACAACGATTCCGGATTGAAGATATTGAGCTGAGGGTGATTGACGCGGTAGACTTGGTGGTGGACTACGGTCTACAGAAATGGCAGGCGTACAGGCGTGGTGGCGTGAATTTCGATGCAGAGAACATGAAGGTTCTACGGAAGGGAGCCGGGTACGAGGTCTTTCGCGACCGAATGCTAAGATGGTTCCCTGATCTACTGAAGGATGCCGGTGTAAGCATCGAGGAGGATCCTGATTTCCAGACTAGCGAGCCCGGAGTTCGCGCGAACTAAATTGATCTCTTCCGCTAAATGGTCATCCATGTACATAATGTAAGGGAGATTGGAGAAGGATGAACCACTACGCTCTTGACGGATCTCAGACAAATAGTGTTGATTCTGATGAACTACCAAACTATCGAACTTCATGGGAGTTGAAATACGGTCCAATACCTACCCATGAAAATATCAATGACTCAGGGGTTACTAGAGGGGGTCCAGATACAGCAAGAATACGCGTACAACTGTAAATCAAAGAGGGATTTACAGATCTCATCGGCATCCAGCCACAGTTGTATCTGGCCAGTCAATACCTACAATGCGGCAATGCCAATATCCATTTTCCTGGCAAGATTTAACTACCTCCCATCCCGCTCACCGCTGACTGATATTGACGCCAGAACCAGGGCGGTGGACCGCATGTGGGTCGCTTGTGGTAGTTCGGAATTCCATGCTCGATCTCGGAGTTCCATGAGGCACTGGCGGGCACGCGGGGTACCAACCTACCCGACCAAGGTCCAACCCCATCTATCTTTTCTCATTATCCCAAGGGTTTCCGCGAATATTAATGGCATCGCAAATCTAAAGTCGACGATGACAAACAGAAAGCAGCCTCAGCCGCGCAAAAAAGCTTGCCAGGGTTGTACGACCGCCAAGGTTCGGTGCGACCTTGAGAAGCCGAGCTGCTCGCGGTGCCGAGCACGTGGTAAGCAGTGTCGGTATTGTTGGGGCTCGGTCTGCTCGGATGGTCTGGATCTAGGTGATCCCGCGACGTTGGGTAACAGAAGCTCCCTTGATGAGAGCCTCAGCTTTCAGCCAATCCTTACGGGGGGTTCTACTGCCACTGCAGAATTTCTAAGCCCCATCTCTGGCCAGGCATCCGAGATACTACCTATTGGTCCTGAGCCTGAAGCAACGCCCACAGTGGATACTGGCTTGGACTTTAACAATATTGATCTTATGCCAATGACCGACGCAGAAGAGATCCGAGATCGCTGGTTGCGCACTTACCTATTTTCTGCCACGGGAGAGGCCACGGGAGAGGTGCCTAAGCTGTTCAGCCTCTTCACTGTCCAATTTGTTACCTGCGTGCTGCGTTCATATCCCGGTCGTCTCATTGAGAATCATGACTTTCCACCGTTTATTCATCCACTGCAACTCAGCAATAAACCGATGCCTGGAACGATGGCCAATTGTATTTCTCTGGTGCGCATGTGGATGAACAGAGCCGCCGGAAGCGAGGGGATGATATTAAGTACCGTCAAACAGGAGATGGAGACAATATCACGTGGGGTATATTATGTTCTCTGTTGTTTTATTCTCCCTTCGAAAATGTGTTACTGACCAAAGAGTAGGATGCGATAGGTGATCTCGAAATTCTATGCGCTTTCCAGGCGTATCTCATCTATTTAATTACAGCCTACTTCTTCCCGATCGGTAATACGTCTCTAGTCGATGAGTCGAGTTTGATAACCATACAAAACTTGGCCTTTCGCACCGCAAAGGCAGGTTTTACCTGCAAAGCGGAGCTGTCACACATGGCCCCAACTTGGGAATCCTGGATTATTGCCTCGTCCAAGCGCCGCACTTTACTCGCGATGTATCTCTTCACGAATGTGTACAATTTCGACAAGGGTATCCCGAATTTTCTATCCAAAGAGTTGGGCAGTACACTCGCTCCAGAGAGCAAGGTTATGTGGGAGGCATCTGACCGGCTTTCTTGGACAAAGGAGTACAATCGCTACCTTTCAAAGTGGGAAGATGGACTGCTGCAGCTTTCGGAGCTATGGCAGTCGCCGGAGACGGGCTCGGAGGCAAAAAGAAAGCGCATTGAGCGATGGTTGCAAGCGACAGATGAATTTGGAATGATGCTCTTCGCGGTTTGCGCACATATTCATGGGTGTTAGCCATCCTGAGGGCGTTGGAGACAGAAATGTATGTCCTATACTTTGTACATCCGAAGTTTATGCTGGTGAAGTTGATAAGCTATCAGGATCCGGTTAATAAACTGTATGGTATAAGAAAAACGACTTTGGGGATCTTAGTTCGCCCAAGCGTAGTCGTGAAGTAAGGCCTTATCCATCGGGCCCGAATATCGTCGCCTCAGAGGTGGTGGTCAAGTCAATTTCTCAGAAGTGAAGCTCGTTCTTTTTGGGATCCCTCTGAGATTGCCCCTGGGACTGCTGGATCGGCGGACACCAGATGGTGTTGTCAACATGCGACTTACTAGGAGCATCGGCATCCGACAGAGAAAGTGGCGTTTGTATTGCTGCTGAAGCAGAGAGTGAACTGTAAAGTAATGCACGTCGAGATAATCAAAGCGCCCGAGTTCTGCTCCTAAGCCTGCGTCTGGGCGCATAGGTGTTAGGTTGCGCCAATGCTGAAGCCGTCGTGTTATAGACGCAGTTTCGGACTGTCAATCTACACCGCGAGCATCCGGAATTTTTTTAGACTGCACCGGGCTCTGGCCTCCGCGCAGCTGCTGCACGCTTTCTTGCGCGAAGGACGAGGTTTCTCTCTGGGCATGGTTGGCGTGGCCATGCTCGAGGTATCGCACCGTCAATATGTTATTCACCTGATGAGTATGTGCGGACGGTTCTCGGTAGATATCCTAACTCCATGGACTCCAATCGTCACGGAGCGCCTTCATCCTAGCGCCACCAAATCGGGTGCACGCTCGGAACTCCGACATGACTCCGACGATCGGACATATGATATCGAACGTAAATTGAACGGATACTGTGTAGATTCGGGGGGATGGATATACCTTCGTGGTTCTGGACGTAGTACTATGATTTGCAGTACTAGGCTATGATAGTTCTTGTAACGTTATCGAAAATTTAACTGTCCAAATCATTGTTTGGCGGCTTGGCCCTAGGCGATCTGAGCAGCGTGCCTCTATGCCATCTTAGAAAGGTGCTTTGTGCGGAATTCCGGCATCCCTATGAAGCGGCAACCTGCTCGGAGTAGCCACTGGCTACTGTACGCTCTGTCCAGAAGTATTTAATGAGATCGACGCACTCAGAGAGAGCGAGTATAGTAAACTTCGCCATGGAGAGTCTGAACATTTTGGTCCGTGACAGCCTATTCGGTCGGCTGCTCAACTATGCGTCGAAGGACCGCTTCTTCTCCTATAATGGATCTAAAACCCTTAAAGATGAAGACTTCCCAAGCCCAGACCCCCAGGGCTGGATCATAGTAGGCTTCGTTGGCCCTGATGATCCAGATATCCCTCGAAACTGGCCCACGCCGTCAAGGACGGTCGCTGGACTCAATGTATTGCTCTTGAATTTCAGTTTCTATGCAGCATCGGCACTCTTTACGCCAAGTATCTTGGGTATCGAAGAAGCATTCGGGGCTACCACCGCTGAGGGCACACTGGGGCTTTCGCTCTTTGTTATTGCATACGGAATTGGGCCTCTTATTGTATGTCTGCACTTCAAGTAGACCACAGGTACAAGGAATGTACTAATCATGCATGTTTCCAGCTTTCTCCTCTGTCAAACCTGTCAACCATCGGGCGTTCGCCGGTATATGTGCTTAGCTGCCTTGCTTTCTGCTTGCTCAACATCGGAATGGCTCTGGCAAAAAACGTACAAACTGTTCTGGTACTACGCTTTTTGGGGGGCTTCATCGGAAGCACGCCCATCAGCGTCGGTGGCGCCTCGCTCATGGAAATATACAGGCCATCTGAGATTCCCTACGCAATTGCGTTGTACGCAGTTAGCGGAGTTTGCGGGCCTATTCTGGGACCGGTATGTCAGTCTACATGCATCTAGTCATCCACGGCTTTTACTAATTTTGACAAAACAGATCCTTGGAACCCTTGTAATGTTCGTCACCGGTTTTGTGAATTGCTGAATATTATCTGACATGAATAATTATCGTACAGAAAGCGTTGGAAAACCTGGAGAGCAACGCTCTGGCTCCTTTCCGGCATCACTGCCTTCACGACCATATCTACTTTCTTCTTTCTACCTGAGACGCTGTCCTCGAATATCCTTCTACGACGAGCAAAGCGCCTTCGCGAGCAGACGGGCAATCCTGCGTACCATACTGAAGCTGAAATCCAATCACCGAGCGAATATCTTGCTCTACGCATTGTTAAGGACATGGGCAACGATATCAAGCTTGCCTGTCTGGACCCAGTCATTCTATTTGTCAACGTGCACACAATGCTAGTTTACGGTGTCCTGTACCTTTGGTTTGAGTTCTTCCCGTTCGGTAAGTTAAGCTTTCCTTGAAGCGTTTTGCGGACGTTATACAGTATACTAACAGAGGGATCGTATAGTCTTTAACGGCATTTATCATTTCACCGCAATTCAGCAAGGCCGTGAGCTTTCCTGAGCTGACTTTGTACGAAGACTGGCTACTAACATTTCTCTCCAGTTGCCTTCTTCGGTATCCTCGTTGGAGCATCGATTTCGGTCGTTGCATACGTTCTGTGGTTATACTTTTCCTACCAGCCACGAGTGGCAAATGCAAATATCGTTGTCGAGCCAGAGGCTCGCCTAGTTCCTGGACAAATAGGGGCTGTTTGCATTCCAATTTCCCTGTTCATCTTTGCATGGACATCCCGAGCAAGGTAAGCTAGCCTACTAGCCACTTAAGTTAATTGATTCGAGGATTTTAACCCGCTGCCAACAGCGTACACTTTATCGTTCCGATTATCGGAACAGCATTCTTTGCACCGGGCTTCTACCTCACCTTTCAATCCGTCCTCAATTACCTAGGCGAATCCTATCCGCGCTATGCGGCAAGCGTATTTGCCGGTAACACTTTCTTCCGAAGTTCGTTTGGAGGGGCGCTCCCACTAGCTGCACCACGCATGCTAAATGCACTTGGAATCGGATGGGCCTCGAGCATACTGGGGTTCATCTCCGTTGCTATGGTATCCTTACCTTTTATTTTACAACGAGTAAGTTTGCTGCTAGGACTGCGTTCTGTTGTGTTCAATTAGGTATAAAATTATTTGCTAATTTGTATAATAAAGTACGGCAAGAGACTGCGTTCTTGGAGCCGATTTGCGAACTAAGCAGTAAGCAAGACATCTCAAGGCCTGTCTCCATATTGGCTATACTGGCTTCACACTAGAGGTCATGATGTCAACTGCTGGCTGGAGGCTCGCCAGTTGACGGAAACCTGGCTAAAAACGCGTCTGGATCTTGGCACCCACGAGTGGATACAGTCAACTGGACAGAATATCTTTGTTGATATTTTTCTTACCAAAGTACTCTACACCTGTCCTGTTCACTTTTTCTATATATACAACACTGACAGGTACATGCTTTACGTGTTACTTGGGTGATTCATGTCTCACCGGGCCTACGGCCCGGTAAAAACCCTGGACTTCGTAGGTACACAGTACTCCCGGCTACCCCGTACACTTCAGCTCTCTCAATGTCTTGTTAGACTTCCGTCTCAAATGTTAAGAGCCAATTCTTGATGAAAAAGAGTGCTGCGAGGTATTACTAAGCAGCGAATTCCAAATTAGCGCACCCGAAATTCAATTATTTTCGGATACTCGATATACTCGATAAAATGTGCCCACCCCTACCGTTCGTTATGATCTGCTGCCGGGTGACCGGGTCCATTCCCTACGGAACGTTAGGAGATTCAAGCAGCTTCCGCCTTCCTGAGTACAGGCTTATGCATCACCTACGCACAGCTACTCCTAACCAAGTTAGATCTCATCTAGGCGTACGCACTCATACAATCGCGAAGCCCGGGGTTGCCAAGCGGGCGAGCCAGAAGGCAACCCCTTGGATAATTGCGGATTCTAGCGCGCAAATGTCGAAGATGTCAACAAGCCGGTTTCAGAGCTACGCATCAGATACCAATCTCTTATAGGATTTACGCGTGTCACGGCCAATAGGAAAACAAGGCTGAAATTCCTGTGCTCTAACTGAAGTAACCAAACTGGGAAGAAATGACAAGAGAAAAAAAACAGGAGGAAGAAAGAGATAAAGCGCAGTACAGCCAGTCCCTCCCGACATCTTGTAGTCCCTCCCTCGCAGTCCCAGTTCCATGTTCCATCACCAAGCACACTCGCTCCCAACAAGTCACAAGCCTTGTTCCAGACCTCCAAGCCTTGCCATGCGTCACATCGACTGCCTCCTTGACGTCTGATCAGCGAAGGAGCAGGCTCACATAAGAGGGGAAGAAGCCGCAAATGCCTAGCACCTAGGGAGTACGGACGCCGAATCAAACTACCGCCAGAACGGAGAAGAATCCAACACATCCTCCGGCTTTCCGACCCTCCACGCTCCTCGGCCTTGTCTGTGCCGCAGAAGGGAACTTGAGTAGAGCACTACTCGACACAAACTCCGGGATCACACTGGCCGCCTCCCAAGTTGAAGCCGTTTGAGACCTGGACTCTGAATCCACCTCCCGACATTTCGGATGTCTCACAGTTCACAGCATCGTATTGTTGAGCGTCCGAAGCCATGTCATTCACAACGTCAATCAGGTCTGACTTGGAAATGCAGCCTCCGGTGTTCGCACCCAAATAAGCGGTGTACGCGAACAACCAGAGACAAGCACCGCTGTCATTTTCGTCGGCACAGAAGATGCCACAGCCATAGAAGTTGCCCGAACCCTGGGTGTCTGATTTGGAAGTATAACAGCCATCGTAGTCTGGGGCATTGACACAGAACTGATCGTGTGAGTTGATATTGAGGTTATCCAATATCTGCGAGAAACCATCCTGGCTAACTCCATCGGAAGCCTCGCAGGTACAGATTTTGGTGGCGGCAGAAGGAAGGGCGAGGAGACCTGCCAGAAGAAGAGAGACTGTCTTCGGAGACCACATCGCAGCCACAAAAGGTAAAGCAAAGGGCTGTAGATTGGAGATTTGGGTCTCGATATGGTTTGCAAGGAGCAGAGAGAAGACTGATAGATGTAGAGGACTGACGGAAGATCAGTACTACCCTTTATATAGCAGATGAGATGACCGGTTTAGCGATTTGAGGACGGAAGCGATTGTAACAGTAAGATCCTGAGGGTTCTGATTGTTGGGCATTTTCCGAATGGGTCAAACGTTCGCTTCCTTCCTCAATCATTGCCAGGCCAAACTTGGTATTCGCCAGCCAAGTTGCCAAGCACAGTGGGACCCCCTTAAGCTTCCGCCAAGAGGGACGCTCTGAGCTTGGTCCAAGTTGTGACTTCCCTACCTAAGTTGTGGTCCTGACTTGAACAACTTATTATCACTTCCAAACCTAACTCTACTTGCACGATGCACTGTTATTATGCTTGTAGAATGTAGATTGTAATCTGGACATTTGTCCACGCTGTTATCTATTAGGGGTTTGAGTATATACTGTAGTGAAACTAGGCTATTTGAGTACACAATACGCAATACACAGCGACATGGCCTTCTCTCGGACCACTTGCCCCATGCAAACATTAAGCTTCTACGGCTAAACGCCTTCCGGAAGTGAGCAATGCACAATGCTTTCCATTGCTTGGCAAACTACACAAGCGTAGGGTTGCTCTCAAGTGCTCTATTCTTACACCAGCCATCTCGTCATTTGGCCCCAGGGCCCCCGGCCATACCCCGAATTAGTGGCTGATAAGCTAGCCGGATCTTGTCCGAAAGCCCCGCTGTTGGGGGATCTACATCGCTTAGCCTCTGAAGGAAAATGATAATTACCCGTCGGCCCTACCCGTCATGGGTACGGTGTACCCGCGCTTCTCAAGTCGCCCCGTAATACATGAGGCAGGAGGCTTTCCTAAATCCTAAGTAGTGAAGCCTGCGCTTGAATGTTTTGCCGAAAGTCGCTCCAGAGGAAAAGGGGATGATGGACCACGTCGGAGTAAGCTCCGGGATAACGGTTTCTCGATGATCCAGAATTCCAGATCAGGGAAGGGAGTCGTGGACCAGTAATAGCTGTGAGCTATCTGGCTGCCGTACTGTGTAGTTCTTTTGTAAAAGACTCACGTTCTCGTAAATCTCGAGGGCTGGGAAATCACGTGCCTATTCACAAATGGCATTGATATCAAAGCAATTTATCTTTTGGCTTTGAGTCTATCTCATCTCATCTGGCAGGTAGAAAGCCTATGAAGAGAACCTATGAAGAGAACCATGGCCTGCAATCCGATTGCTGAGTATTTGGCACTTTTTCGCCTTTGAGTTGCCTTACCGGGTAATTCCATTTAACTTGCGGCTTGGATGACCAAAGATCTGAGCCCATTTTAGCATAACTCAAATCTTTGATCGAAAGGGCATCTATTCCAAATCATATAATAAAGGACAATCTGGGCGTCTCGATTGGCCACGTGGGACTGCTATAGGTATCGCAGGACAAAAAGACAACAATCGGATAGACGAGCAGGGGCGCGTAGACACCCACTGGCTAGAAAGAGACAAAAAAAGTCGGATTTGATTTACACTTGGTTGTGAAAAGACCTAAAACGGAAGTGAAATGGCACTCCGTCGCGAATGCTTGTCGAGAACGAAGAAAGAAAGCAAAGTGTACAACATACAGCAGAGTGAAGAAGCGGGAGATCCAAAGAGAAAACTTGGAAAATGGCCAAAATGAGGGGGAAAAACATCCAAGCAAACACAAATAATATGCCCCATTTACTCTACAAATGGCCCTACCCGCCTTTCTTCTCTCTATTCCTCATCCATGTCCAGGTCGATAGCATCAGGGTTGGCCGCAGGAACAACTGGTTCTTGGCCTGCAGGTGGAGGGCGGTTACCACCTTCCGGACCACTGCTGGCAGCCACGAAGCCCACTGGGGCACGGGCTTGACGTTCGAGTTCTGCCATGGCATCTGCGCGCTGTCGGGACTCGTCGTCTTCGCCTTCTTCGCCGGTCGACGGTTGCTGTTGGCTCCTGGCAATGGCTTGTGATGCAATGAAGTTGACATCGGTACTGTAGATTGGAATGTTAGCAAGGTGTTTGATTCGGAATATAGCGGCTAGTATCACATACTTGTATTGTGCTTGGACACTCCTCTTGATGCGGATCATCTCGGTGAAAGTATCTTCGTTTCCGTGCGAGGATTCGAATGATTCCCACTTTGCCCAGAATGGGGCGTTCGTCCGAGGATCGCAGAACTGAGATGCATGACCGTAGATTGCACGAGCACGGTCGATCTCGCCAAGTCTTCGCTCCATCTCGGCGAATTTGAGGCACATTTCCTTGGCCTCATTGTCAGGCAAAGCGGCGATGGCACGCTCGTAGATCGGTCTTGTGGATGTGAGACCGAAGTTGGAAGCAGACTTGGTGATGTAGAATTCGAACATCTCGAAACGGTCCTCGTCGGACACTGCCCGCGTGGCACGCTCGTAAATCCGCATCGCGTGTCGTGCGAGGCCGCGCTCTTCTTCCAGGTTGCCATACATCAGATAGAGAGGTTTGGCAAATTTGGGGGGACACTCTTCCAAGGCTTGCTCGAACAGATCTCGGAGTCGCTCAATACCTATCTGCCGGTCGACGGCCTTTGTCAAATACAAGTTCCAAAGCTCGAAAGCAACTGGGTACGTGAAGAGATCCAAGCCCCGTTCGTATACCTTGAAAGATTCTTCGAAGTATTTGTTCTCTTCCAAGAGGTTGGCGTAGTTGACGACAGTTTGGGGTGTGGCGATGCGAAGCTCGAAGATCCTCTCGTATACCTTTTTGGTCTCTTCCAGAGACGAGACACTCTCGACAAGATCGACATAGAAACTCCATAGCTTCCAGCTCTTGTGGATTCTCTGCTGCGGAGACAGTGTTTCATCAAAGTAATCCACGGTCGATTTCTTAGGTGCCTGTGTCGCCTTGGCCATGATGCTGACTGCCTTGTCAAAGTTCTCGGCACGGAGCTCCATCTCGGCCCATTCGCACCACGTCTCTGCCAATTCTGATACTGACTTGAAAGGAACTTTGACAGCCTTATCGAAAATGACTCTTGCGGTATCCAGATCTCCGCCGTTCTCATAGAGCTTGGCATAATTCACCCAAAGCTCAGAGAACTTTCCATGTGCTTTCTTTGGAGCAATGGCAGCAATAGCATCTGTGTATGTTTGCACTGCCTCTTGCTTGTTGTCACCCCAGAGTGCCACCCTCTTCTCCCATTCGATGACGTTATGAGGGTTCTGTCGGAGGAGTACATCATTCACCAGGAATGGTCTACGGTCCATGAGCTGCTCAAAGCGCAGCATGCGGAGGTCAAGATCAAAGTCAGCTTCTTCGTCGGCTTTGCCCTTCTCAGAACGAGCGGCTGCGCTTTCCATCAGATTGCCAATGATAGATTCTTCGAACTCAACGTACGAGTCGAAAATTAGGGTGAAATCACGGACTGTCATGACCGTAGTGATACCCTCCTCGAAAACATCCCGGGCTTTCTCGAAGTTACCCTTGGTGATCCAGTAGGTGGCCAAGCCGGCCCACAGCTTGCCCCTCTGGTCTGCAAAGCGCGCAATACCACTCCGGAGAATAGCGTCGACATCGATTCCGACTTGAGGGCCGGTCTTGATCTTTTTAGCCTTGGAGACCAGAAGATCAACCATCTCTGACCATAACTGGAATGGACTTTTGCCATTTTTCGACTTGAACCGTGCGTCGTCAAGAATGTCCATGAACTTCTTGACAGCTTCCGTATATTCACCCATTTCAACAAGAAGCTCGATGTAGTCCTCTATGTTCTCAGGGTGGATTTGCATATAGCGAGAAAAGATCTTGACGGCGGTTTGTCCAGAAGCAGATCGAGCAAATGGTTTGTAAAGCTTCCAGATTCGGTTGTGCTGGGTGACCGGAAGAGCGCGTAGAGCAGAGTCGAATGTTCGCCGAGTCTGGGTGATCAGAGGCTGCTGAAGCAAGAAGGAGAGGTACATTTCCCAGATGCGCGGCATCTTGTTGAGGAGAATCAAAGCTCGTTCGAAGAGTGCATTTACTTTTTGGTACTCGGCGCGATATACCATTGGGTTGCGACCTTTCAAGTGTTTCGTCCGGAACTCCAGATACTAGGACAGTCAGTAAAGCAGAATATTTGGGGTCGCAAAAGATAGTACATACCATCTTCCAGAGCTTGTATGAGCGTGGTAGCTGCTTACAGGCACGCTCCATGACCTAGCGAAAGACACAATATTAGTTATAGCTCCTCGCGATCAATATCTAGCTGATAGGGACGTACAAATGCTTGCTCATAGAGGGTACCATTTTGCTGCTTGAATTCGATGTAGGCAAGCCATGGCTTGACGCTGCTTGTGTCGCGAAGCAAATCTTGTTCGTATATGATATCCTGATCGGTCTAAATTCACAATGCAAGTTAGCTTCGAGTCCAAAGAGTCCATTGAGCCCAAACTCACAATCAGGTAGAGGTCCGGCCGGGAAGCAGATGATGGATCCATCTCTGCGTGCTGCCGGTGTGATCTCGGGGGCAAAATCGTCCCTGGCATTGCGCCACTCAGTTGAGCGAAATCCAATTACGAGATTCAACGTGGCCGCATAAAGGAAAATCGCATAGACAGGAAGCTGTTGGCGTGCGCGTCTAAAGCCAAACCCGTAAACGGATGAGGTTCCCACATTGATTACAGTCACATGACCTCTCTGTATCAGGCGGGCGGTGGAGCTTTATCGGCGTCATATCGTGGCCGCATTACTCCAACTGAATAACAGAGGCTCTGCTCTTATCTGTGATCTGCTGCAGCTATGTCGGGCGCCGTTGTGAGTTGCTACTGGAGGATGCTTTAGCAATTGTATCTGACCTCTGTGCAGGGCCGAGAGGCAGTATTCCCGACTCGCCAGTCATTGGGCTTGATGAAGAACAAGCTGAAGGGGGCGGAGATCGGTCATACTTTACTAAAGAGAAAGAGTGAAGCTTTAACAAAGTACGGTTCTTTTGTCTTCCTTGATTTCTACACTATATACTGACTTAATATCTCATTCAGACGTTTCCGAGGTATGCTGTACCGGCACATTCCCGTTCCCCGCCTTATCGAACGCGCTAATCATACCCAACAGACATCACACGCCGCATCGATGAAGCCAAACAAAAGATGGGACGGGTCATGCAGATTGCAGCTTTCTCCCTGGCCGAAGTGAGCTACGCCGTGGGTGGAGATATCGGCTACCAGATCCAGGAGTCTGCCAAGCAGGCTCGTTTCCGCGTGCGAGCCAAGCAGGAGAACGTGTCCGGTGTTCTGTTACCGACATTCGAGAGCTACACACAAGACGGCGTCAATGACTTTGGTTTGACAGGTCTAGGAAAGGGAGGACAACAGATTCAACGCTGCCGGGAGACATATGCACGGGCAGTGGAGACATTGGTGGAACTGGCTAGCTTACAGGTATGCATGATATGTATGCATTGGAGTAGGGTAATGCTCACCATCTGTGCAGACTGCCTTCTTGATTCTGGATGAAGTGATCAAGGTTGTCAACCGGAGAGGTAAGTCATGCTCCCGTATACCATGCCTTTGAGCCAGCAGCTAACTTATTTGATACAGTGAACGCAATGTACGATGAAAATGCCCGAACCTTTCCCTAGTTCTGCATACTAACACTACCACTAGTGAGCACGTTATCATTCCCCGCACTGAGAACACTATCAAATGTTTGTAACATCTACCTTGAGTACCCCTGGGCCAAACTAACCATTCTCAAGACATCAACTCCGAACTCGATGAGCTGGACCGAGAGGAATTCTACCGCTTAAAGAAGGTCTCCGGCAAGAAGCAGAGAGACGTTGCTGCTGCGGACGCTGAAATTCTGGCAGCCCGGCAAAAGGCAGCAGAAGAGCAAGCAGCACACCCAGAGGCCGTTGAAAAGGAAGAGAAAGAGACGAAGGATGTTCTGGGTGAAGATGAAGACAACGATGTTATCTTCTAGACTGCTATTTGTTCCACATTGATACTCTATTCCTCGTTGGCATCCTCATTGTCTGATTGACATGTACTACTGTGTCTACTCGTTCTAGCCCTTTTGACTCATTTCATTTACCTTGGAATATATTAAACTTCATGTGATACGCAACCTTGATACATTGCAAAAGCAAGGGAACAGTGATAAATCTCTCCGTATTTCTAAAACACACACTGGAGATGAGACCTTACCAAACGCCAGAAAGAAGAAAACGAGACCGGGATATTTTGTAGCAAGACACCACTCCACAACTACTGTCGCTGGTAGGTAACACGGATGGCCTTGCCTTGGGCGCCCATGGACATACCCGACGTAGCCTCCTTGGCACTGATTGCCCCAGCCTCGCTCTGGTACTCGACGAATGCGATCCCCTTGCGCCCAGGCACTATTCTGACTTCCTGGAATCCTTCGAACCGGTTGAACACAGCAGTGAGACTCTCCTCGGTAGCATCGTCGGGCAGTTCCCGCAAGAACAGGATCTTGTTGGGCGGTAGGTACTCGTCCGGAATGACGGCGGCGGGAGTGCCCGTGGTAGGCTTGAGACCGGCACCTTTGGTGGTTTTGGCTGGACGTGCGGGTTCTGCAGCGACAGCGGGACGCTTGAGTTTTTTCTGCGCTTCGAGGGCCTCCTGGGCTTGTTTCCGTTCTGTAGAACAATCGTAGTTAGCATGGGCCCGCGTCCTCGCTGATATTGCGCCATATGGGATCCGTTCATCGTACCCTTCTCCGCTAGACGTCGGCGCTTGTGAGCCTCGAGCTCCTCACTACCACCTTCCCGTTGGACTGTCGCGTCGCTTGGTGTCTTCGCATAGGCCAGCACCATGGGCTTGTCGAAGAGATCGAAGCCGTTGATCTCGTCGATTGCGCGGGTAGCGGACTCGACATTGTCGAAGACAATAAAGGCCTGGCCCTTGGCCTTCAGGTTCGTCTTCGCGACGACCTCGATAATGTTTCCATACTCTGAGAAAATCTCCTCCAGGGCGGATTTTAACTGATCAACTTTAATCCGTTCGTCTAAATTCTTGACCTGATGCAGAAGGAAACTGTCAGTACGTGAGCGGTATTGCGAAAGCGCGGTGCTGATATGATAGAGGGGGAGGGACCGGCGCACATAGACTCTGCGAAGGGCTGTTAGCATGGGAATTGATGAGCGATAAGGATATATATAGTACTCACGTCGCATTAGGGGGAATAGGAGGTGCAGATACGGCTGCCATGGTTGCGACTGTTGTAGCTCCAAGAAGGCGGCGAGGTTGAGCTTCTGATTGCTCCGAGCGGGAGAGATGGAGATGGGGTCGAATATTAGGTTATGTAACCTAAAGTACTGGCTCTAATCATAGAACAGCATCATTGGTCTAGTGGTAGAATTCGTCGTTGCCATCGACGAGGCCCGTGTTCGATTCACGGATGATGCACATTTCTTTTTATTTTTTATTTTTAGTACTCGTTCTCCCCGTTCTCTTCTTTGTTCTCTGCGTCCCCCCCACTTTTCATGCATCTTTTTTTTACATATGTCTTATTTATACACAGAAAATCGGAGTTTGACCGAACGAGATCGTGCCCCAGATTGCCCAATAGGGTAATTACAAGGATGTCGGAACGAAGCAAAAGCTAAGACATCTGAGCTTCGGCGTCTTAACCAATCACTCTGAATACATTTCCGGCAAATGTCTAAGCGGGGACTCACTAGACTCACCCCCCGCAATGATCATCCATCGAACTACCTGATCCATCATTTGTACTGCGTATAACAAAGCAAAGTGTATGAACCGCGTATTCCCCAAGGGGTCAATTCGTTAACTACCCACCTCCCAGACATGCGTCAAAGAGCACTAGACTCCATAACCCCTCGCAGTAACCGGGAAAAATCGCAATGTAAAGTGCGATGTCGGCAGTCTGCTTACTGTACTTGTCTGAGTTGTAAGTATAAAAAGGTATTCCCAAGGTAAGACAGTCAAGGCAAAGTTCCCCCCAGGCGCCTTTCTTTCCCTCAAATCCCCCAGAAACGAGATGCGTCTCACATCCTTACTACCCCTCGCAGCCCTAGCGAGCCTGTCTACAGCTCAGTCCAAAGGCTGTGGAAGAGCCCTCCCTTGCAGCTTCCCAGAGGCAGGAACAAGCCACAACCTTACCCTTCCGGGCACAGACCGTCGATACAGACTATACATCCCAGCCAACTATGACAAGAACAAGCCGACGCCACTGTACTTCTCCTTCCACGGTGCCACGCGTGACATGTTAGAGGAAGAGGCCCTTTCTCAGTTCTCGAACCCACAGTTCAATCCCAACGGTATTGCCGTCTACCCAGATAGCACGAACGGATACTGGCTTTCCAACCCAAATGCAGACCTGTCACGGCCCAACGACCTCGACTTCACCAATGACCTCCTCGACCACATGGAAGAGAATCTCTGCATCGACAAGAGCAGGGTATACTCAGCTGGCAAGTCGAATGGTGGTGGGTTCACATCCGTCATTGCCTGCAATGCCACCGTGGGAAGCCGGTTCGCGGCCTTTGCTTCCGTCAGCGGCGCCTACTATGATACAGACGAGACAGAAGGCATTGGGCCCTGTGAGCCTGCTGAGCGTGAGGAGGGTTATCCATTCTTGGAGTTCCATGGCACGGCGGATACTACGGCGCCTATCGATGGCAACACGGAGAAAAATGCGAAACTGCCCGTGATTGATTTTCTGCACGGTTGGGCGGCTCGCAATGGGTGTGGTGATAATGCTAGGTGGGCTAGGAACGAGACTGTCTTTGTGAAGCCACTTGTTAAACATGCTTCTTGGGACTGTGATGGGAAAAAGGAGATTGTTCAGCATTATCGGGAGAGTGAGAATGGTCATTGCTGGCCGAGTACTGTCGGCAATGATGACTATCCTGAACATGCTGATCAGTGTCCGTTGGGAAAGTCTCCTTACAATGCGACTGAATATATCTTTGAGTTCTTTGCGGGTTACCGCTTGAACTTGTGAAGTGGTTCTGTGGCCGCTCAGACTTCACTTCAAGGCATTTGGGGACCCAGGATCGGCTGGGATAACGGATCATTTGCACGATTGTACAGTCCGCGAGACTCTCATGACATACATACCTAGTAGCATAGACTTCACATATGGATAGAGAATGAATACTTACATTTTTACTTAGCAATGTGCAGAAAGTGTCCCGTCCCTCATGTATTCCAACCCAGTATAGCTAGCGCCTAGCGGGTTGTTCATCTTAGAAAGTAAGATCTATGTGACTATTATCTGTGTAATCTTTCTAGCTCTCCAGAGAAAGAGCAGCTTTTATACTATCCACCTGGGGCTTCAGTTGCTTAGCCGGCGCGGACCAATCTTCGTACTTGGCAATCTTAGAGTCTGTCAATACAAACAGATACTCTGCAGCACTTGATCGAACCTACATGAACGATTGATCAGTACCTAGCTCCAAAATGAAAACGTAATTGAATGAACATACCCTTGGGAAAGGATGCAAAAGCAGCCCAGTCAGCTTCTTCAAAACACCTTCCCGCAGCGTGTCAATTCTCGCCAATGCAGCATAAACTTTGACTGCAGCTTCCAATCGAGCGATATTTGCCGATCTAAAATGTGCCTTTTGAACTAGCGTAAACAGTTTCCGGAAACTTGGAAGAAGTCAGTGAATGATCTAGGTAGACAGAGAAGGAAAAGTCGCATACCTTGCATCCGAGCCGTCGGGAATGACAGCGACATAGCTGTCAATTATGAACGCAACGAGCTCAACGGCGGGAATGGCAAACCGGTCATCTTGAAGATTATCACCTAGTATGGTAGCAAGGTCTTGCAAAAAGATCATCAATATCTCCTGACGTTGGGATTGGTCTTGAGAGTTAAGGAACTGGATTAGGGCTGATCGACATGCTCGGACGAGACCCTCAGCTCCCGAGATAGCGGATGTAGCAAGACCTTGTAATAAGGGAAGACGAAGCCAGTCCACGTTCTGCAGGGTGAGCAGCTGAGCAAAATACTCCTGTGAGGAAACATGACTGAAGTGCTCGAATTTTCTGGTTTTGTTAGCCATTGGATTTGAGTGATTTATACTGGTTCGATCTTGAATACCTTTCAAGTGGAGGCAGATCCCGTGATGCTTCCCAGAAGCCCTGTAGAGAAATCCATGCTTGTAACCTAACCTTGTCAAGCTTTTCGCATGCAAGACGGCAAAGACACCCGACTAAATCTTGAATGAGCGAAGAGCGTGGCGTTGAACTTGCTTCTCGGTGCAGCAAGACGCCGACTGCTTGGATCGCCTCAACTCGGATGAGGGATCCAACATCGCCTCGTCTGTCGGTGGTGTAGTCATTCAGGAAGTCGAGGAAGTTACTCGCGACTTTATCAGTAGTAGCTGGGAATTTGTTAGTCCCTTCACAAGGTCAGCCTGGACATGAGAGATATGCCACATACCCATGTGCGGCAAGACATTGGTAGCCAAGCATTTCACAGCAGCAACTCGTTTCTCGATAAGCTCTTCCTTCCCTGTATAACGGAGGATTTCAGTCACTATATCATCTTGGAGGTCGCTTTGTGCCCCAAGTCGCTCGAATACCGTTCCAAGTGCAACAATTTGACCACGACCTGTCGGCAATCTCCATGATGCGCGAAGATGAGAGAACCATGTGCGCACCATTTCCTCCTGTTTCGATGACGATAGCAGGGGAAATAGCTGCCATAAGGCCGTTGAGGACGTTTCAATAGAAATATCATCGCTTCTAGAAACACAAAGAGACAGTATCTGCAGTGCTCGGTTCAGCGATGCTTCCGCAGGTTGGGACAATCCTGTCGTGACAGTAGACCGAGATAGTGAGGAGATCAAACAGGACGATGCCTCTGCCGTCAATTCCGGGCGTGAAGTCTGGAAGGTCAGGTCATCATCGCTAGGAGCTGATGGAGAACCGAAAATCTCCCAGATGCTGGCAACCTGAGAAACGACAGCTCTGGCTTCTGGGGTATCTCTTGTGTCTGCTGATTCTTCCCACTGAGAAGTAAAAGCATCAACTGTAGCAGCAATGGCCAACAGACAGCCATGTCGTGATTCCACATCATTCCGAGATATATGAGAGAACATTTGCAGCAAGAGATCCAAAACCAGCTTCATGGTCTTTGATAATTCCTGCGTGCTCAAGATCCCAATAGATTTAGCCGCATGTCTTCTAGACTCGGCATCTAGAGAACCAATACCCCTCCAACCCATCAAAGCGCTCAGAAGCGGACTCCAGTATATCTGATCCAGCGAGGCCGTAGCTTTAGCGACATCAATCAGTGCACGAGAACGCCGAGCAACCGCATGATAATCCACAACCTGCACGAGAGGAATACCCTGCGCAATGGTATTTGGGTGGCGACCAATCAACTCCTGCAAAGCAGCAGAAGACCCGCGTCGGATGTTGCCAGAGGGATCGATACAGGCTGCACAGACAAGTTCCACGGCCAGCTTCTGCAGGACGTCGACCTCTCGCTGACCAGTTGGCGATGCTATGACCTGGGATTGTAGTGCCAGGAGTTCTGGTGTTGTATACTTTCGAGACATGGCCCAGATACCGAAGCATGCCGCATCCCGCACACCAGTTCCTACAGAACTACCAGTAGAAGATCTTTGCTCGAAGCCCAGACCAGATACAAGTGACTGGAGAATCTCATGCAGTTGGCGGATAGGGGGTGCCCGGCGGAACAGCAAATGGGACAGTGTCAGAATCAGCCCTTGCCATCGCTGGGCATCAACGGCACTGAGATTTCGCTTGAGAGAGTGTGTACCGATCCTTCTTGCCTGAGAGGGCGTTATGAGAGAGCCATCCTCTTTTTCGAAGAGGATATTCTCTCCCAATGAGTCAATGACCGCCTCAATGACCTCAGTCGCCATTTCTGGGTGCAACTTCAAAGTGATGATGCTGAGCGCTTTGCTAGCCGCAAATCGCACGGGTGTATCTTTGTCGGCCAGGGAGACCAAGAAATGATCTATGGCATCTTCCAAGATGGTCGATAACTGGTCATCCGTGATGCGACCGTCCCCTCGTTCGTTCACAGATAAGGACATGACTGTGATGTTGCGAAGGATCTTGATAGCTATCTTTCTGGCCAACGCAGATGACTGAATTGTAGCAGACACCGAAGACTGCCCTTCGCATACCTTGATAGTTTCGTGGAGGACATCACTGATCGAGGAGGCAAAGTCCTCTACTTGACCCGATGCACTCAAGCGAGCAATGAATGTGAGGACCCCAATGCAAGCATAGACAGAGGGCGATTCAACGTTCCCTGCCGGCTGAAAAATAGCGAAAGCCCATTGCATCAGACCTTTGAGCATGCCGAGAGCTTGCATATCTCCGCGCAAAGCCAATCGCGCCAGGAGCGCAGTCGCTGCCTCTCGTTCTTTGCCCGGTGCACCGACGTAATGCAACGACAAGGAAAGTATTGATCTCGCAAGCATAGGAGTGTCAGACGATAGCCAATCCAACCCTTGCAAGTTGTCATAGGGCACTGGGATATTATCTGATGATAACGAGGACAAGTCGAATGGAGCAAGCAAAAGATGTGAAAGCCACACCAGCATCACATAGCGTTCTTCCCAAATCAGTCGCTGGTGCTCAGATTCTACCGAATCCCCGGGATCGGACGACCGGACCGCATCCCATTCGATGAAAGCTCTCAGCATCGAATCAAGATATTTCGGCTCATTGTTTAAGAACCTGCTGATGACCTTGACGCCGCGGACTTTGCAAAAAGTGTACAGCAACCTGCAGATAGCTCTTGGCAGAGAATAAACTTCTCCTCCTTGGGAGGACTTGGGTGGGACCGAGCCATACTGGGTGCGATGCTTGAGCAGGTATGCAAGAAAGGCGTCCACTAAAGGAGGGAGCACTTTTTGCAAATGTGGATCCAACAGCTGAGGCCACTCTTGGAAAGGTTCAAGCTACATAATCATCAGCAGATGCATATAGGAGAAATGGCAAGAAAGAACTATTCGGTCAGGTCTTACAAGGCTGACGAGCTTCTCTGTCTTGGTGACCTGCGCCCATTTGCGTGGGGTACGGAGGGGAGTCCCATTATGGGATCTCCACAACAGCAATGGCAGCTTTGCAGAAAACTCAGTCACCAAATCCCCAGAGGCTCGTTGGAGCTTCACATCTCGATCATCGGCGGCATCCATGGTGGAGTCCTGCGTGATGCTGTGCGTGAAGAGTGCAGCGTTGGGAATAGCGTCAACAGCGGGACCGGTCATGTGACGTTCAAGTATAGAAGTTTACTACTTTGTGCACCAGTGGAAGAACTTCTCGGCAGATCTGTATATTAACGAAAGGAGGATAATTCATTTCGCTGCTATGTCTGAAGTGATACGCTAAGTCGTAGATATTTTAACAATGTCGCGGCTCCGTAGATCACATCCGCTCTACGGCTTCTCGAGATGCCTTCGCCCAGTCCACCATTTTCCAGAAGTAAAAGCCCTCGATGGTCACAATAATCGATTGACCAATCATAATGCCACACCACAACCCGAAAATGCTCCAGTCCAAGCCAAACGCAAATGCAATACCCAAGGGCAATCCCACGAGGTAGTAGATCGAGAGCTGAACATAACTCCCGATATCCGGTCGCCCCACAGCTCGCAGCAGACTATTGAGGGAGGTAGCCAGAGCATCCGGTATCTGAATAATAGCATTCAGAGGAAGCAAAACGAAGATCAAGTGCCAGACCTCGCCGATATCAGTGAATAGACCAGGAATCACTCCACGAAGAGCAAGGATCACAAGCATATTTGTCAAGCCAACACCAAGAGCACCAAGAAGCATGACCCTAGTTGCCGTCGCCGCACGCTGGAGGAAGCCCGCACCCAGCAGATAGGCGATGTGCGTACCGCCAGCGACAGCGATCGAAAACGAAATCTGGAATGCGAAATCCGCAAGTGTCGACATGGCAGCTTGGGCTGCCAGTTCGGTTGCACCCAGACGCGAGGAGATGATCGTCATAGCCTCCCATGCAAGGACCTCCGCTTCGATCATCAGACAGCTTGGGATGGCAAGCCGCAACATCGGACCCCAACCACGCCACATTTCAGCAGAGATAGGGTGCCAGCATTCAGAGCCTTTGATGAAGATGACATGAAGAGCCAGCAAGACCGGTAACAAAGTATTTGCGATCGCGACGGCGATGGGCGCACCAATGAAACCCCATTGCAGTTTCTAAAGGAAAGCATATCAGCGACTGAGTAGTTGGGAGGGTTCGATGCAGCAGGACATACCCAGACAAATAACCAACCCATGAAGATATTCAATGTAGAGCAGATCAACAGAACCACCAAACTAACACCGAACATTCCCTGCGCCTGGAAGAACCGCTTTCCAGACTCGAAGCAAGCATAGCCGGGAGCTCCTGCAATGGCAATTTTCAGATACAAGCCTGCGAGCCGGGCAGTCTCGTGTGATTCAGACGGTAAAAGGAGCAAGAAAGTCCGGTCTGCGTTATACCATATGACGCCAATTGGAATTGTGAGGATGAGCATGAAAAGCGTCAGGCGCTGAACATGAAGCCCGACCAGAGTCAGCTTCCCTGAGCCATGTGCTTGAGGACATAAAGTATCTAGACATGTCGCTAGACCCTGGAAGACGAAATATCCCGTGATTTGGGCAGTCATGTTGGCCAAGCTTACGGCTCCGATTTCATTTTTCCCCAGATGGCCCACCATGAAGATGCTAGAACCGGTCAATGCATGTTGAAGCAAGAGTGCTACCATGAGCGGAGCAGAGTATCGTGAAATTATCGCCAGTTCTTGTCGCCATCCTGTCTTTTTGGAACTAATTGCGGCTTCTGGGTCGATGTTGCGTAGCAAAGGCGAGGATTCTGTAGCTTCATGGTCGGAAATCATCGTGGACGAACTTTTCTGGTGAGCTCGCTGGGATTAAAAAGCACACTGTATTCTTCTTCAGACTTGAGTTCATGGAACTACAAGCGGTATTCCTATTCCTCCTAATAACCAGAATGCGAGATTTTCTACGATTAAAAACAGCGGGCGTAGCGGGCCCCTGGACAAGTGATTGATCGCCGAAGTGCATAGAAGTGGAGATTTGGTCGGCAAATCAGTCCTCGCATCGATCACGACACTTTCAATGACAACAATTGCTTGAGATGTACCTGAGCTCCACTGTCGTACAACAATGAACAGTACCATAACTACTCCAGGTTTATATTATTTGCAAGGCAAGCTTGAGATGAGTTCAGATGCCGTACCTGAAAGCCCAGGCAAGATCATGAGCACTTGGTCTCAGGTACCTAAACAGGCATGCCGCATATAGATCCCTAGGTTCGTGACACGGACCTATGACGTAGATCGCAGCCCGACCTCTTAGGTACTACATGTCTTGGACTACCACGGTGGCGATCAAAGATCGGGGTCGTGGTCATCCATAGCTTTGGTAGATTCATCAAGGATTGGTGCCACAAACGGATGGTTGTAAGCCATGGCCAGCTTTATCATCGTTCTTTGGATATGCTTGATGACGATCGCAACACCCAGGGTGGACCAAATATCACTGTCAGAGCTCATAAAATCAACTTGACCGAGGAACCTGACTCCCGGCGATTTACAATGTGGTTGGGGATTCGTATCCAAGCCGATGATAACAAGGCCAGGTCCATAGACGACGATTCCGATCAATACCGGCCAGAATCCCTTATTATCATGGAATGCACCGAGTTGGCTCCTCCATTTCTCCGCTAACTTCGCTAATGCTGCAGCGACGTGGTCGATGGCGGCCTTTGGCGTTTCGTATTCCTTCTTGCAATAGATGATGTGCACCGGGGTTGTGTTCGGGTGGGCTCTGATACGTGCATCCCTCATTGCCCAGGTCAGGTATCTCCGAATTGTCCTCACAATGCACTCATAAGGAGATATCTTCAGGATATTACAGCAGTCTTTCACCCTGCCGCAAATTTCCAAAAGATCTCGGAAGGCAATGATCGCGTCGAACTCCGTACCTTTGTCGGTTTCGAGCACGAAGTGCGTCTCCGTGAGCCTGGGGTCTCTGTCTTCCCCTGAGAAGAATACGGCATCTGCAACTGTAGGAAAATCTAACTGCCAATGTTTATAGATAGTTGGCATGGTACCACGAGTAAGAAGTTGATGAGCGGTGCGCTGTTCATCCGGAGACAGGTCATCGTTCTTGGTAAGTTTCCCAATTTGAAGTAGACGTTGTTCCCGCTCGCGAGCAAATTTCTTATTTCGAGCCCGCCTTTGTGCCTTTATTGTATCCTTTTCTTCGTCTGATGAACCAGACTGGTCTTCCCCGTTGGGAAAGTCGGCCCCTCCTAGGTGAGGAATGCTATCGGAAAGTTTTCTCGTTCTCTGCTTAGCTTTGGTGGTCTTTGGCTGAGCGTAATAATCATCATCTTTGGCCGAACTCCTCTTCCCTCGCTTCGCCCGTGGCAAGGAAGAAGGTTCACTGTCGTCGATGCCATCGCTGCTATAACTTCCAGCATTGTATTCAGTAGTAGTTGAGTCGCATTCTGATTCCCCAGTCTCACTTGGGCCGATATCATTAGATCGTTTGCGTTTGTTTCTGGGGCGCCCTCGCACAGAATTACTGACTTGGTTGGCCATGTACTGATCTTCCGTGTCCATATCGTCCGGTATGGAGGCCTGCGTATGCGGAGAGTTCACCTGGTGCATATGTTAGCAAGATATCAACCCGGGAGGAATGCATGAGTGAGTGAGACTGAATTGGAGTGTTATGAGGGGCCACATTTATGGATACAAACTCCTTACCTCGCTTTGATCCTCATAGAGAATGGGGGTTGTGGTCATCGTGTGCAACGATGAGACGGTTACTGAGTCTTCAGACTAATCGAGGGTGGGAGGATTGTCGATTCAACGAACTGCGAGCTCCAGTCGTGGCTGGACCGGAGTTGCAGGAGAGGGGAAGCTGGGAATATTAAGGGGATCTGGATTGTGGAGTGTGATGAAGATTTTGAAAGTCTAAGGTGATCTGATATGAGTCTAATTCTCACAGGGGCTTTGGATCTCAGGGTCGTTGTCCTAGATCTCTCGGAAGCAAGACAGGAGGTGGAAATCAGATTCGTGGTCCAGGGGAAATCAAATGTGATGATTGACTTTAACGTTTCGTTGCACTCTGTTGATAAGTGAACCAACAGAGCGGGCGACCTGTGTTAGCCATTCTTTTGACAGTGTGAGGACTCAATGTCTGGAGTATTCTTTCATTCTTTGTGCTTGGAACTTTTGTTGCGGATGAGGTTGCTTTGTTTCTCGAGGGCACTTTCTCTTGGAAGCACTTGAAAGACGCTTTTCTCGATTTTGCATGTTGAAGACAGAGCTTGGCTTGATCTATTTCTGGAACAAAGACAAGAGGCTGAGGAAGTGGCATAAACAGGAGAAAGTGCTAAGGGTCGTGAGAAAAGGAAAGAACTGGGCAAATATAACCGAAATGACGTACCTGCTGCGTATGGCTGGTTCAAACCGAGGAAGTCACACAAGATGTAGGAATCTACTTGGGAAGGAACGGGGTTAGGGCAATCGTCTCAGAGGGAAGGTGCGACTCCGAACTGTGTATAGACAATCGTATCTGATATCCCTCTGCTACAATACTACATGGATGGTCTCACAAGATGAACAACTATAGAGAAATATGATAAGATTATAGTTCGTATTTGTATCTCCTTCTCTCCATACCACGAACCGCTAAAGAATACCGGACGTAAAACGCGCAAACCCGAAAAGGATCTACGCTTGTCTTCATAGATGTTCAAACTTCGTCATTTCTCATCAAGAAAACTTCATAGAACAGCCATGTGGCAGTCCATCCTCCTCCTCTCCATTTTTTTTGGGTCACCGTTTGCCGGACATAGACCAGAGTCGTGATGCCGACCAGTCGGAAGAGAACTTGAACAGAAATAAAGGCGGAAGAAAATAGAGCAAAGCAATTTAGATGAACTCAAGCAGAAATCGAGAAAGCAAAAGCAACCTGGAGGGTTCATTAACCATGGTATTCGGCAAACGAAGCATGTCAGTGAAGAGGTCCTGCGTCCACACCGGCACTTGAACGGAACTGCAATTGGGTATGTTGGAGCAATTGAAAAGCAAACGGTGCTGGAAAGGGCGGGAGATGGGCGGCGCCGCGAAGAGACCGGACATGTCGGCATTAAGCGCTCATTAACCGAAATTGACATCCCCGTCGACGCAAGAGAGGGGTCCAATCAAGTAATAAATACCCCGATCACACATTGTGAGATCAAGCAAAGTCAGCAGTGTAGGAGAATCCACGGAACTCTTCCTGCATAGCTTGCGAAAGGACTGAAAAACAAAGATTAGTCAGTAAACCTCCAGCAGATAAAGACTAGAAAGAGAGAAAGAGCTTACCAGACTGTACAGGCGTCAGAACTGGAGTCACGCTGGTGAACTCCGAATCGAAGTTGCTGGTATCGGTAGGACTGCTAATGGTGGGAATGAATGGCGGGGGCACCCGCTTGTGGTAGATGTCATCCCAGTTGATGTTGCGGAAGAAGGCATGAGACATAACTTCCTGGGCATCGGTGGGGCCAGAGCCCAGACGCAACTCGGGCTCGCGAGTCAACAGCTTCTGGAGAATTGACACGGAGTCGCGAGGCATGTGGATCGGGTAGAGAGGCTCGTCGGCAAGAATGGCATCGTAGATTTCATCCTCGTCTTCACCGCGGAACGGAGACTGTTGCAGAAGCATCTGATAGATGAGGACACCGAACGCCCACCAATCCACAGCCCGGCCATATTTCTTATCCAGCAGAATCTATAAAGAGCGTCAGTTCCCTGATTTCGTCCGGAAAAGATATTTGTTTTACTTACTTCTGGGCCCATGAATTCAGGAGTACCACAGAAAGTGCTGGTTGTACCACCATACCACATGTTTTCCTTGCAGAGACCATAATCAGCAATTTTGATGTGACCATCCAGGGTCAGCAAGATGTTATCGAGCTTCAAGTCACGATAGATAACACCGTTCTCGTGGAAGTACTTGAGCGCCAAGCAGACTTCGGCGGCGTAGAATCTAGAGCGCTGGCTTTAGTATATCGTTCCCAAATATAAAGGTAAGACCAAAATGTGACTTACTGTGCTCTCTTGAGGCCGAATTGGCCGCGTTGAATGTGCAGCATGAGATCACCACCACTGATGTACTCCATGACAAAGTAGACACGAGTCTCGGTTTGGAAACAAGCATGCAAGTTAAGGAGGAACGGATGACGTTCCTTATTGGCGATCAGGAACACACGCTTCTCAGACTTGGTGCTTTCCACTTCGTCGTTCTCGATAATGAATTCCTTCTTCAATACCTTGATGGCATACAGCTTGCGGGTGCTCTTTGTTTCAGCCAACATAACCTTTCCGAAGTTACCCTTTCCAAGAACAGCAAGGAAATTGAAGTGATCCAATCCAATGCGGGTCTTTGCCTGCGATCCGACGTCCTCCTTGACCGGGGCTGCAACTTGTTGCTGAGGCACCTGCTGCATGGCCTGTTGGGGCGGTGCCATCGGATACTGAGAAGGTTGCACCTTCTGCATAGCCTGGGGTGGAGGTTGCTGGGGGAAATTGGCGTAGGCGGACGGGTCATAATGGGCGTGTTGAGGTGCCTGTGCTTGCGTAACAGGACGACCCATTTCAGCTGCAACTTGATTAATACAACGGACTTTTCTCAAATCGATAGTCAGGAAATTCCATACATTGTGGGCTGCGTAGTCCGGTAGCTGCTGCAGCTGCTGCAGCTGCGGCGGATGCCCCAGTGGGCGACTTCGGTGGCAGTTGTTGGCGCTGTGCAGCCTGTGCAGAGATTGGCGACTGTGGAGTCATGAACGAATTAGTGGCTGCGCTTACCGCTTCGGCGGAGGGTTGTCTAGGAACAGCCCCGTAGGGGCCCTCCATTGGTTTCTGGGGGTAGGAGAGAGCAGCGTTGTCTTGAGCGGGCTGCGGCGGGCCACCTGCTCGGAGGGTACGGTTGCTGAGGCCGGAACTAACAGAAGCAGACTTGTTGTGATTCTTGGTGCGAATCAACGTCTCGAGAATTTGATTTGCGGCTTCCATCGTCATTCCACAGAAATCGGGTACAAGGTGAGTGCACTGAGCGTGACAAGTGAGACTACATTCTTTAGAGATATGAAGGTCAGCATATGATAGACGAAGGCTGCGATGTCAGTGCTATGCCTACCAGAGCAACGCTTGGCATTTTTGCGTCCAAAGGGAAGCAGGTAGCCACAGTGGCAACACCAGTTCGCGGAGATGTTGGAAAAGCCCTCGAAACGGTGGGGAATGCGGTGGTTGATTTTCTCTTCGTCCGGGTCGGTCTCGTAATTGGCTTTGCTGATACACTTGGTGACAACCTTGGAGTAGCACTTCTTGTGACAGGTGTATTTGCAATCCGCACATTGCATTCCCGCGGCATACTTGAGGAATTCTCCGCACAGCGCACAGCGCATAATGTTGTAGAATTGCTGTGTAACGAACTTGTGGCCCTGCTTCTCGTGTACTTCTTCCTTCTTCTGGCGCACGGCACCTTGACGGTTGAGACCAATGTCGAAGGGACGGCGATCCTTCAGTTGTTTGGCTATACCAAGTCAGCAAAATGCACTTCTTGCATTTCATCATATTGGAAGATTCAAGCTTACCGAAGCTCATTTGAAGTTGTACGCGACCAACCGGCTCCAGCGCAAACCAGGAATCAATCATCACACTCGGAGGAGCATTTGAACTCTCCCCACCATGATGCCCATGTCCACCGTGGCTCGAGGTACCCGGCCGGCCTCCAGAGCTGGCACCATGTGAAGAACCCACGGGAGGTCCATGGGTATCATGTCGAGAGGCGCCGCCATCGGCCATCTTATCGGCGGACACCCAGCCAGATGCATTGAGCTCGGTCTCAATCTTCTTTCGGCGCATCTCCTCTGCGATATCGGAAATGCGCACCCAAAGCATACCGATTGGGGTTGGGCGATCTCCCGACTTGTCGTAAACAGTCAGTTCGATCTCGTTTGCCTTATCGATATCCATGGAGAAGCCTTCGTCCAGCCATTTGTCATTTCGGGTAGCCTTGGTTCTCGCTTTGATCGTGTCTTCCACCTTGACAACCACGTAAGTCTCTGGGCCGCGGGAAAATCGAGAACTGGCCGCATGGTCCACATCTTTAACCGCATGGATGCGCATCGTCAACAGACCAGTCAGCGGCTTGCGCATGTTCGGGCTGCTGAGACTCTCGTCTGCACTCTAGTCAGTAACCGAATGGAATCATGACACATGCAGCAAGGTGGGCAGGATGTTCATACCGTCTGGAGCATCGGACGACTCAATATCAACGTGAAGATCCTCATATCGCTTCAGCGCCTGCTTCAAAAGCTGGATCTTTTGGTTGCTCTCGATGCGACGGTTCTCGGCATCGGCGCGGCTCTTCCGGTCTCCCTCATCCTGGTACAAGCGGACCATCTTCTCAATGCCGGCTTTATATTGCATCTCCACACTCAGCTTGAACTCGAGTTGAGACAGCATAAGCTGAATCTTCGGTCCGAGATACGGCGTATCGTACTTAATCAGATCTGAGGTATAGCCAATAACATTAGCATTGCGACCGATTTAACCGCGGCACACTATCTCGCGACGAGCAGGATAGGAGTGATAGCAGGTACGTACCTAGCTTTGTGTAGTTGGGCCTCGCTTTCGGGATCGGAGCATAAGGTCGGGGATCGGTAAAAGGAGCACCTGAAGGCATCGAGCCAGTACCACCCTGGGGGTATTGAGCATCACCATATTCGCCTTGTTCGTGGTCTTTCGGCGGGGGCGCCGGGCCTCCACGCTGACCGGGTGAACCACCTCCCTGGTTCATTTGACGAATTTGCAGTTCTCTCATTTTCTCCTCCAGGTAAGCGATATTCTTGCGGCCATCGCGGATGTTGGCATCAACTCTCTGTTGCACGAGGGGGTTGTCGGTCGACTGCCGCATATTACTGGCAGCGGTGATGAGGGCCTTCTCCCGCTCGATCTTGCGGAAGACCGAGGCGATTAGCTCGTCCCCATCCATGATGGCAGGTTTGAGGACAAAGAGCACGGCTGGCTCAAAATTTAAGGGTGCGCTTGCGCCAGGTCAAGGTGGGTTGTTGGTGGGAGAGGATTCGCGGGGCTGTTGTTGACAAGGGGGGGCGCAACGGGCGCGGGTAATGCCACTTCGGAAAATGTGAGACAGACCACAATGACTGACCACTTTTGTTTTACGGACGAAATTGGGGATGAAGATCAGAAAGAAGGTAGAAAGAGACCGAGAGGGTTGAATTACTAGAATTACAAGAGACTTAAGGAAAAACAAACAGCGTCAAGTTCTCACATTAATTAGATGGATTAGATCATCCGGGAGAAATTGGTAGGGCGGGATCTTAAGAGCCCAGCCAGATCGGATTATGACCACGCACTTCGATAAGAACGTGGCGAAATGAATGTATCGCATCAACACGTGAAGTATGTCCGAGGTCTTGTCATGAATGTGTAAGTCTTTAATCTCTTCGCATTTCTTTTTAACCCTTCAGACTAAGACACTAGGTCAGTACGGATAAAACAGTTCAGGCAGAGCCATGTCCAGACGACTCAGCAACTCTTACTCCCGTCTATGATTCTTTCCCACTGTTAACGGGAAATCGGAACGATCGACAGCTCTGGAGCAGTCCGGAACGATCACCTTGGCACGGGTTGGTCTCAAGTGCCAATATGTATATCAAAAACTGTCACCGCTCTCTTTAGATCGGGCATAGATCGTGCCACCAATCGCCCCCTTACTGCATACATCGAGATAACATAGAGGGGCAATGGACGAAACAGGTGGTTGCCTTTTTCTCATTCTTCGGTACCGCATGACTTGTTCATCTTAGAATACTTTCTGCCCGAGAGACTGAGACTGGTGATGTCACTTGACTCACTATCTAGTTACCTACCGTGTAATTTTAAACCAATAGGCATGTCAAGAAACCTCGGGCAAAGGTACTACAATCAGGTCAAAGCAGGCCTAGTCAATGGAATTGAGCATTGATCCAACGAGTACCATGCCCTACGTTGTACCTATCATGCAGACTAGGCCCGAGATGCACATGGGAGCAAGTCAGATCCCTGTTCAGTCAGACATCCCAACTAGACTGAGAAATCTTCTTCCTCCGGACTTCCATGAGTTAATTACCGACCACTTGGTTGAACCTGCAAAAAGTGCTATCCAGGTCCGCAGAAGCTTAGAGAGACGCTCAGCTGGCACGGGGATTCGCGTTGACGGTTGCGACTTCATACTGCTAGTACTACTCCGTACTCAAAGATGGTAGACAACATCGAACCCGGGACGTGTCTCAGTTACACTTAGTTCACAGACTCACAAGTCACAGTAACAAATATACTTCTATGAGGATCAAATCAAATCAAAATATATGTATTTGACCAGTCTGTAGGTCCCGTCTCTCCTCCAGTCACTGTGTCCCTCTAGTACTCTTCGTTGTAGTTCATCACCGCCTCCGGATCCCCTCTTTCTGCCGTGCCCTGTCCAATCACCGTTCCGTGTACCGTACCTCGCTCTCCCCTTCACCAATCAGCGTCCCATATCCCGATGGAATTTCCTTCCACAAACCACCAACTTCTTTGCAATTGACCGTATTTGCTCCCTTCAACCGCTAAACACATCATATCATATACCACGCATAATCCACCAACAATGGGACCGCCTCGCCGAAAGATGCTGGCCACAGCAGAGGAGACCTTGACCCCACCAGACGAGCTATCCAACACCCAGCAGATCGTGCGAGCAATCAAAGCCACCGGAAACAACATCTACTTGGTCGAAAAGACGGATAAGAAGCAAATGCTGGTCGAATTGCCCGCACGATTCCGCTCAACTATCTGGATCAAGCGCAGCTCCTACGTCGTGATTGACACCAAGGGTCAAGAGGAGCGGGACAATAAAATTGAAGGGGAGATTGTCAATGTTGTCAGAGATGAGAAGGCTTGGAGGAAGGCTCCTTTCTGGTAATGTTCTGTCGAAGGAGACTGGCCACGAACTTATTCGCTAATTGGTGGTTTTTCTCGCAGGCCTAAGGAGTTCGTGAAACAGCAAGTCGTCTTGGTTGGCTCCGATGACGAAGAGGAAGAGTCTCGTGTTGGACAGATGCCTTCATCGGATGAATCTGACTGAGTGATTACGTTCTCAAGGGACCAAGCGCTTGGTCAACGGCAGCCACTACGGTATACAGGGATTGAAGGCCGTGAGCAGTGATTCGGGGCGTATGAACGCCTCAGTATGAATTAGGGTATCTCTCATTTTCGGACAGTCGGACGATTGCTGCCCTTTTCTTCCTCCTTGTCTACTTCGCTCGACCCGGTGAACAACACGCCAAAAACCTGGACCGCAAGCGACAACACCACCATCGCCGAGCTTCCGTCTGTGCTGGGGAACACGTTCCAAGCCCACTCTTGCAGCGCCCATACGGCGTAGATAAAGACTGGGTGAAGGTCTGCGCGCCACAGCAGGAAGGGGGTGGCCCATGCGAGGTATGCAAAGAACTGATAATGCAAGGACCTGGCGCATAGCAGGCCGATGGCTAGTGAGCTCAATATCACTGTCATAATGAAGGATCTCGAGAGAGCGACTGTCTTCTGTTGCCTCTGGATAGTGTCCTTGACAAACTGGACAGCATTCTTCCCTGAAGGTTTCACCCAATTTATGAAGAAGATAGCCAACAGCGAAATATGAAGCACTAGCAGAGCCACAGAGAACTCCCTCGAGATAAATGCTTCCTCGCCTACAAACCGCCAATTCACTGTCCATTTGAACAAGAATTGGCGGGATAGCTCAAACGCCCGAGAGAGGTACCCCGTAGCATTAGTCTGAAGAAAGGGAACAGCAAGCAGGACCTGTAATTTCCCTCATTAGCCAACTTGCCCTGCAGAACCCGGGACAACAGGAAGAAGCCCTACCTGAATAAGAACAGCCATAGCCCCGAGAGAAATACTCCGGGCCAGCCCCAACCCAAGAAGCGTAACAACAGCAATAGCCGGTACAAGCAGCACAAGAGTCATTTTGATCGCAACACCAAAAGACCACACCGCAATGCCCGCGGTCCACTTCCTCTTCAAACACAGATAAATAGCAACCCACATAGCAAAAACCGCAACGCCATCATTGAACATCCGCAAAACGAATATACTATGCAACCGCTTGGACAGCACAAGAAGCGGGAACAGGTATGGCGGTGCCCCTGTCTGTCTGTAGCAGGCGACTACCACAGCCAGTGTAGCCAGGTATAGTAGGGCGAAAAGCGCCTGGCCAAGGAGGATATCACGGCCGCCATCGGTGATGTGGTAGAGCAGGGTGTAGATGTATACGTGGGCGGCGGGGTAGACGAGCGGACCGGTTGAGCCTTTGATTTGGGTGTAGTCGCGTTCGCCGGAGATGTATAGAGATACTTGTTGCATGTATGTTGACCAGTCAATCTCGGTGTCTGGTTGTTTGTGGTTAGTTGGGTTCGGTGTTCGGTTTTCTCTGTTCGCGACGGAATTGCGCGTCTTACAGGCTATTTTCCAGATGATGAGGGCGCAGAAGAGAGCGTCGCTGAGAATGAGGAGTGGTCCGATCCATTTTGTGTGTTTTGGATTGGTGAGCACGTCGTAGACGAGGCTCTTGGCTTTCAATGCCATGGCGAGATATGGTTGACGGAGGAATGTTACAAGGTGGCCGGAGCTCCGCCTACTGGTCTACTGGGTAGCGTACTTCAATTGGCGTGCAAGTGGTATATATTCAATTTGATCTAGACAGTTCTTTTGGTGATTCTAATCTTCATATAGAAGTGGTATTTGTTTTATACATCTCGTGATCTCACTGTACATAGAGAAATACAAAGGGTCTAGCTCGCATCGAGACCTCGACCATATTCTTCCTTCTTACAACCTCTCCACCCAACTCTCTCAAAAATCCGTGGTATCATTAAAAAGCCGAACAAAATGCAACAAAAACCGGAGACTGTCGACAACGCATTATCGGTCTCCTTCCGGAACGGCGCTGGGCTGGGGCTGAGAATTCGCTTGGATGTTGCGGAACCCTAAAAGCTCCCCTAATACACCCTTGGGTTTGGGAACAGGGCATTCTCGATTGATGTGCGCGAGTTTCTCTGCTTCCTCCTCCATTTGAAGGAAGGTTGTGACCTCCTCGTCCACAACGGGCGTGGGTTGACCCGGCTGGCTGCCGTCTGGGCCCGCTTCAAGCTCCTTTCGTCGTCGACGACGGATCCGTGGTACTTGTTGGCCGTCGGCTGTCATGGTCATTTCTGAATCGGCGAAGGTGCGTCGTGGGGAGGGACAGGGGAAGACATGGGGCATGCCGACAACCAGGAGAGATGCGAGGAGGGTGCCGGCGAATAGACCGGTTGTGGACCGCGACCGAGGGTGTAGATGTGGTGGCATTGTGTATGCAGTAGAATTGGACGAGTGGTAGTGGTTCAATTGGAGGATTCAATTGGAATGAGGTGGGCGTGGTCCACTGTTTCTGGTAATTTTTCTCAGGCCATCGGAGGTCTGCGGAGTCGACTTGGGTGGTGGTGATAGTCGCAATTGGATGGAGTAGATGGAAGGATCAGCCGGAGAGAGATTCAATTGAGTAATGAGCGATTGACCACGGAATTTAACGAGGGTATGAACCTCCTTGAAAGGTGGAGGGGGATTGAAGAAGAGTGGAGAGAATATCCGCGTAGACCGAGACCATCTAAATCTTATCTGGCTCCCGCGTGATTGGATGTTCCGCTCTCCAAGTCTCTGCTACGCGCATCGCCATGGCTTCACAACGATGAGACTCTTTCTTGTTTACAGAGACCCGAGCCATCTGAATTCTCTTGGGGCTTTCTCGACTTAAATACCCAGCCGTCCTTCTCCCTCTTTCTACAAAATGAGTGACCTAGACCGGTATGACCCCCTCATTCCTCCTATAGCTCATAGCTCCCATAGCTCCCCATCGTCCCCCGTGACACTAACAGTATCTGTCTGACAGGGCGATTGAGCAGCTGCGGGCCTGTCGCCTGATCCCGGAAAGCCAAGTCCGCGAACTGTGCTACAAGGCGCGCGAGCTCTTAATCGAGGAAGGGAACGTTGTGTCCGTCGACGCACCCGTCACCATCTGCGGCGATATCCACGGCCAGTTCCACGATTTGATGGAACTCTTCCGCGTCGGCGGCGACGTCCCCGATACAAATTACTTATTCATGGGCGATTTCGTCGACCGTGGCTTCTACTCCCTCGAATCCTTCCTCCTTCTCCTCTGTCTGAAAGTCCGCTACCCCGATCGCATCACCCTGATCCGCGGCAACCACGAGTCCCGTCAAATCACAACAGTATATGGCTTCTACGACGAGTGTATTCGCAAGTACGGCAGCGCCAACGTATGGCGGTACTGTTGCGAAGTATTCGACTACCTGGCTCTGGGCGCGATCGTGCTCGGCGCGAGCTCAGAGTTGGAACCCACCAACACGGGTCCAGCCAACGTTCCGATCGAAGATAGCGAGCTAGAAACAGAAGTCCTTGACTCCAGCGGTCATGTCACGATGAGCACTTACCGCCCACGACGGCGTGCATTCTCCAACGCATCCACAGATTCCCGAAACATCTCCCCGCCACGGGATATCGCTGCCGCCCCGGGCCAGACTGGCGTACCCTCACGAACCGGTGCACCAGGGACAGGCGCCAGCGGTGACGGAAACGGCAGCGCCGCGAACAGTCGCACCGGAGCGGTCCTCTGTGTACACGGTGGACTATCACCGCTCATCGACTCTGTCGATAAGATCCGACTGATCGACCGCAAACAAGAAGTGCCGCACGAAGGCGCCATGTGCGATCTGCTCTGGTCAGACCCTGATGAGATCGAAGGTTGGGGACTAAGTCCCCGTGGGGCTGGGTTCCTGTTTGGCGGCGATATTGTCAAGCAGTTCAACCATCTAAACGGCTTGTCTCTTGTTGCGCGTGCCCACCAGCTTGTGATGGAGGGATACAAGGAGATGTTTGATGGTGGCATTGTCACTGTCTGGTCTGCTCCCAATTACTGTTACCGTTGCGGTAATGTTGCCGCCATCTTGGAGCTGGGCGAGGACGCCAGTGGCGGTGGTACTGTCGCTCGTAGCAATGGTGAATATGGCCGGAGCAATGGAATCATGTCGGACAGTAGGGTTGTCAGTCCTGGAAGAAGGTACCGTGTCTTTGAGGCTGCGGCGCAGGATACAAGGGGCATGCCTGCGAAGAAGCCTGTTGCTGATTATTTCTTGGTAAGTCCTTTGCTCTGTTTCACTGATCTTGATTTACTAATGTTGTCTAGTGATACCATCCAATGCAATCCTTTATTTCTTTCTTCCCTTCTTCCTCTTCCATATGACCCTATCGAAAGTAGCATTTTGCGCCTTGGTGTTGGTAAATGAAGACTAATGACCATCTATGACGAATTTGTTTTTGAATGCTCTATGATTCTCATCTCCTTTATAAATCGATCATATCAATCTCCAACATACAAGCCCAAATATGTAGATGGCACCAACAACGCCGAGACCTGACAGAACCCCGAAAGTGGTATCAAATAACTCACAAGAATACATGGTCGCGTAAGTCAGAATAAAGTAACAAGTACTAAATCATGTGCATCATTCCCATCTATCGGCATACCCAGGAGTATCATTAGGGTCGAAGGGGGACCCAGTCGACATTTCCGCCTGGGCTCGAGGCTGTTCAGCACCAGAGGTAGAGGGACGAGCAACAGACAGAAGACCACCATTATTGTACTGGATAAGGGGAGGCTGATCTTGAGAAGGGGCATTCCAAGCACCATTCCACTGATCCAACCCGATTCCATACGCAGATGCATTTCTAGACCACCAGTCTTGACTCTCTCCGACCAGGTTCTCCGTGCCGTCGTATCCCGACACGGGCGACTCAATGGGTGTTGTCGTTGTATTTGGAGGCGGGTTTTGAGCTCCGGTAGTGTCGTACCATGGGCTCGGCCGGGGCGAAGAGGATGCAGCGAGATGAGGGAACTGGTACGCCACTTGTGGACGTAGGTATGTTGGTTCCGGGGGAGCGAAGTCGGGCCGTTGATGTGGATGCACTCGCATGGAGGAGGGGGCATTGGCATGGTGGGAGGGGCGAATTGAGGGCCCATCGGGGTGCCAGCCATTGGGATGGGATATGCGGGGTGGGGTTCGTGTGGCAATGGAGGTGCGGATGGATGGAATCGATTTGGGGTTGTGGGTTGGTGGAGCATGGTTGCGATGGGGGAGTCGTCGGAGGTTGAGGGGGAGGTGGCTTGATCCCAAGAGCCCCAGGAGCCCCATTTCGAATGGGTTCGTTCGAGGATGGAGGTGGCTTCGGGTGGTAATTCTATCTGCCATTTGTTGGCAGATATGTCGAGGATGCGAAGGGTACGTCGGGCGCAGAGCCAGCCTTCTGCCATTTCTTCGAGATTCTTGAGGCCGTGAACCACGTCTCTCTGGGCGTTTTTGTCGGGTAGATTGAGGATGTGGATAGTGCATGCAGTATGTGCAATATAGACGGCTATGTTGCAGATCTGCTTTAGTCCGTAGCCTCGTTTGTAGACGCGTAGAAGCTTGGAAACCGTCGCGGCGGCCTGGGTGCAAATCTTGCGAGGTGAGACGTGGGAAGGTAGCGGAGTGTTGGCCTTCGTGTACTTCAAGAAAGGTCGATATAAGTGAATTATCTGGAGTTGATACAGCATACTGTGGCAGGTGTTAGCTGATATACCACTACGTTCCCATCTCGGCGTCACTTACTGCATGACAAGCACTTGGGGTAACTGTCCTTCTTTTGCCACCAGCTCCTTGGGCAGATTGTTTTTCCACGCCTCAAGCCGGGTGTGAACATCACTTAACTTCTTTAGCTCCGACTGTTTGGACGGTGACTTTTCCAGCTCGGTTGGATGATAGAAGAAGACGATCACGTCACTACTGATCTCACCCAATTTGCAGATTTGAAGGGCAATAGCCCGGGTTCGTGACGGTTGCGTGTTTTCATGACCAACCCCAGCATCTGTGTAAGGTGACCATAACTCTGTTTCCTCTTGTGGGAAAACATCAAACTTGGGCACATTGGCGTTGGTCAAGGTCAACTGGGGCTGACGACCGAGGTAATTTGACCAGCATCTGTTGAATGTCAGTGGTGCACTGAGACGTACATTCTATCAAGACTTACTTGTCAATCAGATAGCAGCCCCAGAAAGTGACCCGCCGAGCATCGATTTCTTCATCGCTAAGATTGTGTACCCCGAGGTTTGCGGCGTCAAGGTTCAATCCCAAATCGAAGGCCATGCGGAAACTGAGTCCACTATAGACCCAACCTTTCCCTTCACGACCACACCCCGCCTCTCGGACAGACATGAGTGCAAATGCCTGGACTGTACAAAGCTTTGCATTCTCATGTTCATCGTTTTCCAATGTGAGCCGCTTTGCCTCCTTGAAAAAGTGGTTCCCTGCCGTGGCTATGTCCTGGGGGTTTTCGAAGGCGCCTTGCCAAGAGCTAAAATGACAACCCAAGGCTAGCATAGCATTGACGAGTAACGCCGAGCAGTACGAACTGGAGATACCGCGGATGTAATCCCGATAGAACAGATTCTTAGATAGGATGGTGAAGAACGGATAGTGCCATGTGAAGTACATAGTCATCAGATGGCTGATTAGAGAGTCGTCATCTGTGACTTGGGTCCAGCGGCTCACGGCGTGTGGTTGGTTCTCAGTGCCGAGAGCGAGCCGATTCGAGATGGAGGAAGACTCCAACTCACAGTCCGGCGGCAAGAAGATGAGATTGGAAGTACCTCCAATGAATTTTCGAGACCCATCGAGCATTAGCTCACTCATTTTACCGGCCAGTTCTGATTCGAACTGATCGATCTCGGCGGCATTCTCATTATTTGCTGACTCCTTTGTCACTTGATCCGCAGACATGAACCCTTTCTCCTGGGCAATTGAAGCTGCTACATCTTCGAGATCATCGCAAGCGCGTATCTGACGCACTAGGTCAAAAGCGTCCGCTTCCTCATAGTTCAGTATTGCTTGGATCAACGTCTGCAAAGTGGTGTTTCGGGTCCGCGTTGTATCTGTATCTTTCTTGTAGACACCTTTACGGCGGTGATCCGAGTTTGGATCATACACACCTATCACGGTTAGTCGTGATGCTCATGAATGTCTCTCAACGGATATACCGATACATACATGGTGTATGGTATACTGAGGAGCAAGCTGCACAGCTTGGCAGATTTCCATCACACTGCAGGCATATAATCTCAGCAAAGTGCCCTATTAGGATCAGAACATAAGCCTCGAACCTTTGACTTTCTTTTGCGACAGGCAACACAGGCTGTGCTGATGCATCGTCTTTTGGACGGTTGAGAACCTTTGTCACTCATGATGCTGAATTGTTTGATGCGTGCGGCTTAAGATGTAACTATGATAGTTTCTGTGCAAGCTCTCTGTGCATATCTAGTGTCGTTTTTGGTCGGTGACTGGGCCAAACCTCGACATGGCATGTCCATCTTTTGAAGTACGAAGCTCATTAGTAGAACATGGCGACTTTCCAGAGAACACACACGGTGGCTGTCGACAAGGTCAGTATATGAATCCGCTCAAGACGATCGAGGGCAATTAGCCAGGCGCCAAGATTGGCTGCAGCAGGCAAATAACAACGCACCAGCCAGGGTTTGCACGATCTAGACAGGCCCGATAGCAATTGTAGGGATCATTTACCCCACGATTACAAGGACCCGCAGTGGAGGCGATATGACAAGCCTGGAGCAGGAGTTCACAGGATTGAGGATTACCGATGTCCTGAAAACGATTGGATGTAGGCGCAACAAAGCTGCAAGGCAAAATGTGGTTATCGGCGGCCTCTGGATGGCTGTCATCAAGGGTCAAGTGATGTCCATTTTCGATAAGCGGCTGACTCATCTCTTCACGTGGCGGGGCCCCGATTTTGATCTGGCGCTAGACCGGATTCGATGACAGGTGACAGCCTCAGATGTATATCCATCCGGGACCATCCCTAATAGAACCGAGATCAGACATAATTCACAGGAATGTAGATGATGGGGCCGTAGTATATTACATTGAAAATGAAAGCTTTTATGGATGTTACCACAACAACCAGTTCAGCCATAGCGAGAGACTGCCCCGGGACGAGAAGCTTCGTTCAAGAGCTTTAGGATTTGATCCTTCGACTGATAGGCGCTTGGTGCTCAGGATGTTATTGTTCTACATATCAATTCACACCCCATAAGCCATCTGATCATCGCCGCTTCTGCATGTATTTCGTGTTTGTGGTCATGCCGCGGGCCCAGATGGCAGTTTGGCGCTCACATCATCCATTCTAATAGGAAATAGGAATTCTGAGAGACGCGGCCAATAGGTGTACATCCATAATCTGCTGAAATGTTCCGGTGCACTGGGAAAAATCCCGCATGGATATGAGAATGTCAAGCCATAATGAAGTGAATCAGACCTACCGGAAAAGTCGGGTTTGGCTCGGGGGAAACTGGAGTTCAGAACTGCAGTCGGTTTGGGAGGAATTTCAGTAGCTTTTCTCTTAGATCTGACATTGCTAAAGACAACTGCTCATTCTGAGATTGGGTTTCTTGTTACTAGTTAGTTAGGTGATGGTCGAGCGCATTTAATTGGTGTCTGATATCCATGGGCCATGGCCTTCGGGGCGTTCAAGTGTGAATTGCAGAATATTGGACCATACCCAGATCTGTTAAACCTATGCTCATGCTATTTTCAGGGGTAGACCTGAAGCACCAGAAGATAACAGACAATTAGTAGATCTGGGCGAAGCCGTGCTTGGGATGCGGCCCTCAGTTACTATTCCGGATCTCGCCCGCCAAAGGATCCAAGTCCGAGTGGATTGCGGAGTTAGGTTACATAGATTGACTGTAATATATACACATACTGATAGGTACTGTGTAAAAAGAAAACAAAACAACTGAAGTAGGCATCATGTATGACTGCCTAATCTCCCATGTATCAAACAAAGACGCTGGCGCTGGATAAATACACGTGTTCACCGCATTATCCTCGAATAAGGCGGTCTACTAGCCAACCGGCTGCTTTTTGGACTTTGTGATTTTTGTGCGGAGATGGACACATAACAAGGCGGGTCAACTTCGCCCCTCTTTGTGTTCTGAGGCAGTATGTTATGTTTCCATTGACTTGTAATGGTATCATACTACATGTAACTAAGGCAGGGGCATTTAATTGAAACCTTGAAAGTAACAAGATTGACAGGGCACACATACAGCCAAAGTACTAGTAGTATGCAACATAAAACTGGCAGCCACACCCCTAGCCATAGCAAGTCCGGATCGGGAAATAAATAAATAGGGGCTTCAAGCCTTCACCGCACTTACTCTCGCTTAAGGTGTTCCACCTACCGTCTTGTCTCTTCAACTTGACTTTTTCGGACTGCGCCACCCGCCTCTTTTTAATTTAAATTATTCTAAATAATATTTTGTTTGTGTATGGACTTTTGAGCCCCTTCGGAGTTCCTGTCAATCTGCCGAACACAGATTATGCTTATCTTTACTTTTCTTCGGTGAAATATAAGCACAATTTGATAATTTTGATTCCTCAGCCAAGCAAAATTGACCGAAAATCAACCCCTGAATTGGATCCTCTTTTTCAGCCTACTGTTCCGGCCTGATTCTGGGGTGGAAAGATGGTGCATCTGCCGGCACCGCACTAAGATCAACCTTAAAGGGCCCACCCCAGTATTCAACATTTTTGTGATGTGTGAACTGGTCAACATGAGTGTTGCTATACATGTTTTGTGAGTCATCTCGTACTGTAGAATACACAATAGATCTATACAAAATCGAAGTATGCCTTTGAGGTCAACAATTACCGGGTTGACAATATTATCTAGATAATTATAGAAAAATCATCTTTTCATCCACAGTGTTCCGGACTCCACCGGCGGAATGTTCCATGAGTAATGAAAATTGTAACCAAAATTACCACTTCCCGTGACAATCACCGGATTCCGGAAGACGGCATTGTCCCCACAGCCAATCAATGGCATTATAACAAGAGTTACCGTTACCACCATTTACCTGCCCAATACGGGCTTATCTACGGAGTACATATCTGAGATCATCACTTTCTCCCCCATTATCTATCTCTCTCTCTCGTACTCTTTTCTGAATCCCATTCCATATCTCTTCCACGTTACTTTCCCGGTGCTCTCACACCCTTCTCTCTCTCATCTTCAACCTCTCGATCTGTCACCCTTCAAAGTTCCTCCCTTATCGCCTGCCCTCGTGACCTTATCGAGCCGTGTGCGCCCCTGCATACCCTTGTCTCACGGCTTATCCGCTTCCCTTGTACCTCTTTGGGCCAACGTATCCGAACTTCAGATTGGCTCTTGGTCCTCTCCCGTCTGATTTCTTAGGCGGGAGATTCTCGCTATTGACCATTCCTTTCATCCATGTATCTCGCACAGAAACTCGACCAGAGCGCTTCATCCGGTCAAGGCCTCGCCAGTAGTGATCGTGTGATGAAACACTACACAACATGATGGTCCCTAGAGCCTTTCTCTTCAGCTCAGCACCACCACAGAAACCCTTCCATCCTCCGGGGATAGATACGCTCACTACATCGGATCTTCATCTCCCCGCAACTATGGCCGAGGCTCCCGGACCGATCACCACTATCCCGGTGGTGATTCCTCCAAAGCGTGGCTCGCGTACCACAACAGCACGTCGAGAAAATCGTTCTCGTACTCCATCTCGGACTCCATCGAAACCTTCCAAACCCTCCGAGACCTCTCGTGGCTCCTCTTCCATTTCGGCAAACGATCGCCATATACCTACGTCATTCACCTCCATGTTAGACGCCACGGCCATCCCAGTCCCTCGACGGAATTGGAGCTCACGTAGACCTCGGAAGCTTCCCCGTGGAACTTCCGCCGAGGATTTCAAGCGCATGTTGCAAGAAGAGCTCAGGTCGAAAGAAGACCACTTCTTAGATGGGACCGTCTACTCCCCCTTGACATTCTCCTCAGCCCACCGGATGACCAGAATGAGAAACTACTGGCTGACAACGATTCCGAACTTGCGTTCCCACCATCAGTGAGATCAACGTCAAGCGAGTCAATGCCGTCGTTAGACCATGGCCTAGCTTCGCCGTCCAGTTTTCCCTCGCCGCCGACTCCCCCCGGCAACAGAAGTCCACCAGAGAGGCGACAGCCTCGATACTCGCATTGCGAGGAGTGTGCCTTGGATCATCCTCTTCTCGAAACTGAAGTTGATAATTCTGACTTCACGGCGAAAGATGATGAACCTGTCATCGTCGTCGCTACAGTATCACCAAAACGATCCGCATCATTTGGGCGCCTTGGCTCTACTTTCAAGTCGAACCTCACGGCATCCTTGCGGGCTATCAAATCGGCTGCTCAATCCGTATCGACATTTGCCACACCATCTGTTCAACCGGAGGATTTCCTTACTCGATCTCTCTTCACTATCACCCCAGAGATGACCGATGATCGCCGGCCTCTACCAATGCAAGAGGCGCCTTCTCCAGAACTACGGCGTTATTTGAACCCGAGCCCGATGAACCCTGCTCCTATGTCACCGGCTGAGATGTACGTCTATCACGACCATCCCCACGACACGCCACAGCCATCCGGGACTTGCCCCGTTTCGATCCAAATGCAGACATACCGCCGGGCTAGCAGCCGCGGAAACCGACGCAACAATTTCCACATCGCAAGCACGGAACAAAAATACGTGACTTTCGACCCCGAAATCCCGCCCATGTCGCGCCAGCGCGAAGTGCGCGAGAACAGCGACTTCTTACGCGTGGTCGTTCTCGAAATGAACATGCGTCGTAGCGGCAAACTCCGCGAAGACATTCCTCCCCGCGCTCGCATCTGGTTGCCAGCACGCAAAACCACCTATCGCCTGGCGGGACAATACGAGGACGACGACAACAACACAGTTCCATCTCGCTGGATCGGCATTTCCGCCTGATAGGATTAATGTCGCACGAGAAACCCCGAACCCCCATCTTAGCGCAGAGCGCAAGAAGGGCACGATACATATTCTTTCCCCTGGCCTTGTTGCCATCACGTACATACATGTTTTGCATCTTTTCTTCTGCTTTTCGTCTTCGATTACCCTCTACCACAGCGCGGCGTTGGTGTTGGATGGTGCATGACTGGAACACATCTTTCCTCCCTTTTATTACATACCCCCATGTCTAGCTTGATAGTCTACGTCTCTGTTTTCTACGAGCCTGTTTTCCTTTGGATAATTTCGATCACCACTCAAGGCTATCTAATTGAACGAATTCCAAGGTTACGAATCAAAGTACGCTTCAAATTTTTACATCGTAATTGTAATTGTAATTCAAGGTCATACAAATATCTCCGAAGCTCTAGATAGCTTCGTAGATACTGTGTACATGTACACCTTAGGTACCTACTCCGTATGGTTCGCCCTTTCCTACCCTTTCCGCTCTGATCTGTTATCATTCTGCAGCCTATCAAAACAGATCGTCCCGGCTTGATCAACCTCGGTCCAAGACACCTATTCCATAAGGTAAGACTTATCGGTCTTCATTTTCATACGGCTATGTGCAGACGCCAGACTCCAAAAAGGCAATGTCGCAGACATCGCTAGCCAGAACATTCCTCTCGATTCCGATCTATCTCCCAAGTTCTGCGATTTCTCCGAGGCCTCTCTATTTCCATTAGATTACGACATGCTATCTGTGGACGATAATGGCTACACGACTCAAATTGATGTTGGCCTTCTTGCAGCAGTTATGTATGAAGTCACGACCGGCAACAAGTGTGAAATCGACCTCTACAGGAATAACTCTCCTACCGATGGCCGAGCGTACTGGCCAGAAAGGAAATTTTCTACCAAGTACACAAGGTGTCTGGCTTGGTTGCATCGTTGAAAATTGCTGGAATGGCAACTTTCGCAGCGCCCACGAGCTTTTGCAGGCCTTGGAATCCGTCGATTCACCATCTCCAATCGCTCGATCAAAATCTACTCGCTTCCTCGCCTCGATCAAGGATTCTGTCACAGAGCGGCCGATTACGGCAATAATTGGTATACTGAGCTTGGCCATATGTGGTCTGATCGTCGGCAGAAGGAAGTTCGGGGGATAATTCTTGTTCTTCTAGTTGATAATGAAGCCGTTGATTAGGTGGTTCTGCGGCTTCTGCGACTTACATGACTGCTGAGCACTTGATAAGGGCGCTTCAGTCACACATATACTCGGGATCTTTCAAGCAATGGTAACAATAGGTACATCTCTTCAATCAACTGGATCAAGGAGTATAAGGATAAAAAGTTCACGCTCCTTCATCAGCTTTAACTGCATAAACAACAGTTTTCCTGGTACCAACTTAGGGTTTTTTTAACGATAATAAAAAAACACCAAATTTCCGCTAAGGTATAAACACCGAACGCCATATAATCCAGCCCTCCGCTATCATCGCGGAGCCGGGAATCCTGCCAATAAATTCCTGTCAGAACCCGCAAAAGACCAAGCATATCCAAGTAAGGAAGATACTTACGCTCCTCATCCAATATCGTCCCATTCTTCCAACATTCCTCCACCCACTCCACACTAACCAAATGAGGCATCTTATTCCCGGGCTTCTCAACCAGTGAGCTCCGAAGAGAAGAGAGATCCGCCGAAGACAACGTCCCGGGATCAATTATTACATGCGTGATGCCCGCGGTTTTCAGGGATGTCGCGCTCGCGGCACCTGCAAAGCGGGCCGTGTTGTGAGCGAGGGAGAGGCGTTGATCTTCTTTTCTTAGTTCGCGGGTTGCTGGTTTCTTTTGTGGGGTGGTGTTTGCATAGAAGAGGAAGGTGAGGCCGCGGAAAAGCCAGCCACATGGCGCCGTGTAACCGGCGTTGACTTTTTCTTGCATGTCGATTTCGGTTCTTTCGAAGGTTTTTGCGTCGATTGTGTAGTCGTCTTGTGTTTGGTCCATTTGTTTGAAGATCTGGAGGGTGTAATGTCTGTTAGTAAGTTTGTGGCTTTTCGGCGCTGTCTATTGCTAGTAGGGGGTTCGTACCTCTCTGAGCTCATCGATGTTTGTGTCGCGGGCGTAGCTGTCGTTGAATTTGTCGACGTTTGCTGCGACTTCTTCTTCTTTGTCTTCTGTCATGAAGAACATATGTCTTTGAGAAGTGAGGGTTAGGTCTGTTGTTTCGTTTGACGGTTTGAAACTTACTTGGGTTCGAACGGGAGAAGAAGATCGGGTAGGCCTGTGTCTATTACATTTTGCTTGACGCAGTCAAGAAGCCAAGATGGCCGAATGATGCTTTGCTGTCCGTTCTTCTGTAATGAGGCCACTTTGACCGTCCCTGCTAAACGTTAGCCTATGGCCGGTATAGACGAGTAAAATGAAGCTCACTCCGTTCCGCAATACAAAGCGTATCCGCCGCTGCTGTGTTAGTTTGGTAGATTTTGCCCCCGTTGGCCTTTACAAGTTGTTCTAGCTCCGGTTTTGTCTTCTTTTCGGGGACGTGACACTCGGTCATTATGACTGTCTGGACGTCAGTGGGGTACACAATAACGGAAGAACATGACCAAACCACATACAGAAGTTAAGCTCATCAAAAATATGCCCAGAAGGCCCGCTGTACTTGACATCAACGTCTCCATCGTAGCCGGCAACCGCGAGTGGTTTCTTAGTGGTCCTCTTGACTCGCTTCTTGCGAGACTTATCAAGAGAGAACTCCTTCTCTCGATGCTCTTGCTCTGCATTAGACTTAAGATCAAGAAATTCTTGAACCGACAGCGCAGTCTTCCAGTCCTTGTCCTTGCGCAATTTCTTGAACCGAGGAAAGCGCAACGTCAATCCCATGCGGAATTGGTCACTGATTGCAACAGATGCAGCTTTCACACACAGAACAAGCGAGTCCGAGGGTTTGATCCACATATCGGGACGCTCATACTGGGCGTCTCCGCCAGCAAGTTCGATGAAGGCGGTTGGTGGCCTTTTGGCATCCCACTCCTTCCACTTGCCTTCCGTATGATGTCGGATTTCCTGATAATCAGCCGCAGTATACCCGCCACCAACCTTACAAAAGGACCAAAATCTCATGGATTCTGCTCCTTGTTTGTCGTTGTCGCTGCGAAGTCCACAGAGGAAACTGGACAGCGCACCTCCTCGGTGTCCAGAGCCGTAGTATCCACCAATGATAACAACGTCAAGGGACTCTCCAAATTCGGTCATGTATTCTGGTTTAACTTTCATCCAGTCATCGTGGCGCTCGTTCAGGCGATAGGGAGAGCGTGGGTTTTTCAACACAAGACCTTCAGAAGCCTCGGCAACAACTTTTCGCAAAGCTGTTTCAACTTCTGCCGCAGTGGTGGCTTCTTCGTAGGGGTGGATTTCGAATCGGCGATGGACAGGCCGGACAGTCTTCTTCAGGGCATTGCGTCGATCACGGAGTGTGTACTTTGTCAGATCTCGTCCGTTCAAATGTAAAATATCGAACACGCGGAACAACGGTCGAGGAACATTGGAGTGAGGATTGCGCTGTTCCGCCAGCGCGGCAGTCTTAAGTGTACCAAATGGAACAATGGCGTCTTGTTCAGGATCCCAAGTGATCATCTCACCATCGAGAATAATGCTCTGCACTCCGTCTATGAAAGCATCTTTCAGATATCTCGTTAAAGCACCGTTTTCATCGTTGACACCATTCCCATAGAGATAGGTGTATTCTTTCGCTTTGCGCGACCAAAAGCCGAATTTCCGGCCACCGCTAGTGGACTCGTCGGGCACCATGTGAAGTTGCATACGCTCACCGTCGAGCTTCTCCTCGATCCAAAACACGTTATCATCTTCTGTTGGCTTCATACGAGCAATTACCTTTTCGAAGGAGTGCATCTGGAATTGAGCCAGCTGGGGCTGGAAGCATTGCATCAACGCAACACCGCGTTCCTCTCCTTCAAGTCTGATGTTGGGATCATGAAGTTCCCAGCACACACGCCGCAAGCTACTGGAGATGCTATACAGGCTCTCAGCATCGGGATGCCAGACATCAAATAGCGTCCGCTCAGTAGCACCAATCTTCATCTGTCGAAGGATGACGCGAATGAGCCATAGAAGCTCTTCCGGATTCATACGCCGGTAGAACTCTGTCATTATTGGCAGTTGCTCATCCTCCTTGGATGCAGCAGATAGCTTATCCAGCTTCTCGTTGACTTCGTCGATGGTCATGTCGCCCGGCTCGATCCGCATAGGCCGCTTCGAGAGAACGTCAAAGCACCTCCCGGCAAAATCACCGGCCATGCGCGCTCCAGCACCCTGACCAGGCAGTTTCCAGTTCAGAAGATTATGGCCATCTTCTGATTCTTTATTGATCTTCATAATCTTGACGAGCATCTTTCCTATGCCCTTCTCCTTGAGGCCATACATTGGCCGATCACGATCTTTATCGGGAAGAATTAGTCGAAGGGCAGGGTAAATATCGTCGCCGACTTCCTTTCGCCATCGCGAGATGAAGCGCTCAATTACATCGCGCCGACGCTCCAATGGATTGAGATGGGCAGCACTTTTGCCATGGGGGCCGACTTTTCGACGGGCTGGAGCGGCGGTTGCGCGATCCTTCTTTATTTCACTTAAAGGGTTGAATAGGTCAAGGTACAGGTTGTGAAAGGGCCATGTTGAACCTCGATTGTGAGGTCTGTTGGGGTATCTGCCAACCGCTATGAGTGATTTGGCTCATATCAGTGTATGAGCGAGGGACTTACTTTTGGTCCAGATCCTCCTCGGTCTCTGGCTTGCGATGATCCTGCGCCAGGAGCTCGTCGGCATCCATTCTTGTTGAATAGTCAAAAGAGTGAAGTCCAACGTTGCGTTACCCCATATGTTTTTCTAGGCTGCACTGCTGATAAGATAAGTCATGGCCGATAAGATAAGTGGTAACCCGTCGCAGGCGGGGTCGACTCGCGTACGCGTTTTGGAGACATTGCAGCGAGATATTGAAATTTAAAGGCGGAAAATTACTATAAAGCACTAGATAGTAGATACGACTTTGCCAGTCATCTCAGCATCTGAAGGCGTACCTGGTGAAAATGGGGGAGTTGGTAACGGGCTCCCGGAATCTGCATAGTGAGCTCTGTTCAGTATCCAGAGTCTCAGACTATGCTAGCGAGCTATCCGATTAGGTTTAGAGCGTCAAGATTTCAGCAGAATTTTGGATCATGTGACACATATAGTCTGAGGAAACTGAGGTAAACTTCTCCGAGGAAGAATCTTAGGAGGGTAATGAGGAAGGCATCAATCATGGTGGAGATGGTGATACCACCTCATCTTCTCCTAAATGAGATAACCCCGTCATGAGTATCGTGACTACAGTTCAGCTCACCATCTAGCCCCTGGACACATAGAACCTCAAGGGCTTTGGATTTTGCTACCGGACCCTATGCAGTATGTAGTTTCAAAAGATTAGTCCCATCCAGCGTGTATAAATCTAGGCAATTGCTCGAATGAAAGCTGTGAAGAAGTGGATATGACATTGAACGTGTGCCTGAACAGAGTAGCGAGCATCCGATTCGCTAGGGTATATGGAACATATCGTTCTTGGTTGCTGTAGACCATGTACCCATCCTTCCAACATCGACTTATACATGCTCAGCATCATGCCGGTGACCCTGTTGCGCAGACGAGTGATGCGAACTCAAATGCGCAAGCCGAGTCAGTATAGCCACAGACTTCTTCGATATACTCCACGCCGTCAAACCGGACAGTATCTCACACCCAACCCGCAGGACCCCTTCGGGACCTTCAGGTCCACAAATATCACCAACTCCAGTAATATTCCCTCTCATAGAGTGGCCCTCCCGAACAAAAAGCTGCACAAGCTCATCATCACATGGCCGGTCAAGATGCACAAAACGTGGTTCACGCAGAGGCTCCGAGCGCGCCTGAGCATGCGGATCCGACTCATGAGACGTAAGGGCATGGCAAGATCCGTACGCCCACAGCGTCAAAATAGCAATGAAAGCGGCGACGGGTTCATGAAAAGCGTTCGTCGAGTAGCGGCGGATATGCCAGAGGGTTACGCCGGCGTGGACGATTGATAGACGGGCTTTGTATTGGTCGTGCTTCATCCAGCGCCAGATGTACTGCCACTCGAGGGACTGGTGTCGTTTGCTCCAGCTTAGGTTTTCTGTTGCCAGGGCGGTCGCGAGGGAGCGTATCTCACGAAAAGGAGTGAGCAGGAATAGTCGGGCGGCGTGGAGGTGGAGGACGGTTGGGTGCTCGAGCCCGGCGGCTTTCGCTACCGTGCTGTTGGCGGTCCAGTGAAGGATGTCAAGGCAGTCGCATGCGCTGTTGCGCCATTTAGAGTACGATGGGATGCCCGGGAGCCATACTGAGCCTGTGGGAATGGCGGTCTCGCGTGATTGCTTCTTTGCTGTCGGGGTCCAGGAGGATAGTGGTCGGCGGAAGTAGTCGCCCACTTCCCACATTCGGTGATAGAGAGCGTGGATGAGTAGGATATGGCTGAACTCGCCTATTCCGGGAACCACGCTCTTCTCAATGTACAAAATGTGAACTGCGTCGAGTAAGGATTCGTTGACTGTCAATGTTAGTGCTTGCTGGGACTTTTTGGTAACGAAAAAACTACCAGATGACTCCTCCCACAATGGTAACCATGCCTCTGCGGAAGGCGCTTGCCATAATTTCTCATGAGCGGGCAGTGCAGCTTGTCCGTCGTCTAGGACTAGCAGCGGTCGGTCATCGAAGGAGTATGCAAGTGTGCAATCCACGAGCTATTATGGTCAGTAGGAATGTCGGATTCCTTCCTCAGTTGAGCTTACCCATATGCAGTAGCCAGTGCGTCTCCTGACCTCATCTCGAATCCAAGACATCCAGGCTTCTTTTGGTGACGGCCCATTGAAGTTTGGCCTTAGTGGTGCCAATAATCGGGAAGTCTTCAGAAGTCCCACTAAGTCACCAAAAGCGCTCAAACCCGAGGTCCTTCCTTCCTCGCTTTTGCCATGAAGAAGCCCAATGCAATTGAATAACATAGCTTGCATTAGCTCAATAGAAGCATCTCCAGGTTGCTTGTTTGCTTTCTGAGGCCGGAATATGGTTAGTTGGAAAGGAACAACGGTGACGGGCGTGAAAAGAATTCTCACCTCAGCATAGATGCCTCGTCGAATGAATTCGTGAAAAGCAACTGTACATTGTTCCATGTCGGAGATGGCGGATACGTGGCAGCCAAGTGCTATTATTGACAAAGCCAGAAGCCAATGGCATGTATTTGGATCGAATGTAGGAAGGTGTAGAACCGGATAAACAGGTTGAAAAGAATCGAAGAAAAAGACGATGAACTGGTTGCATTCATGGACAGTAGGGAACTTCTCGGACTTGAACGTCTCAAAGAACGGATTTGGTTTGCAACATAGGTGAATGAATTGCCGATGGATCTTGTCGTACGTGGAGGCCTCAATTCGTCGGGGAAAGCGGGCTGCACCTTCCGATATCTGATTTGTTCGAATTTCATGAATGCCGGGGAAGTTGAAACAGCGGTCGAGGTCTTCGGCAAACAGCTGCCTGTCAACATCGACGGGGTCTACAGATGAGGGGGACCAATGTGCAAGTCTCTTTCTGTACTTTGGGAGTCTGGACCTAGCACCATCAACGTAGTAGTCCGCGGACCGCTTAGCTGAACCCACTGATTCGTCATAAGGAGAAGGCTCGCTTCCAGCGCGAGCAGGCTGGCCGGGGCTTTCAATATCGTTTCCTCGAGAAACATGCAAAGACGGCGTCCGGGAGGCTATTCCTGGATGCAATGGACTGGTTGGCCCAGCGCTGATCGCCGACGGTTGCCACACTGGCCGAGAGAAATAGGTACCCGGGCTGAAAGACTGGTTGTATTGAGATGGGACGCTAATAGAACGTGGTGCCTGGCTACTGGAAGTACCAGAAAGTAACTCGCCAGGGAGCCAATTGACCGTAGATAACATGGACTGGTCGAAAAATGCGGGATCAAACTCTAACGACATCTCTGGGTTTGTTGCCATGGGTATTGCGAGATCACTTGCTGAGTTGGCCAGTCCCGGCTTGGGGTTCCTCAGTTCAGGGTCCAAATTGTTGGATGAATCGACCGAGAATTCTCCGGAAGCGTTGGACTTCGAGTTATCGCAAGCCTGGCTAATATCTCCTGGGTAAGCATCCGGTGGCAGTTGTGCTGCTGCAGACAGCCCTTGTGTCTCATTTGTGAGATATAAACGAGGGTTTGAGGCATCTGCGATGAAAGGTGCGTCCTGTGGGGATTGCTGATTGTGGCCACTGCCGGTGGTGGATGCTACTTTCAGCGAAGTTTTAGATGATGGCTCCACCCCGCCAGGGTTGCCTATTGAGAACTTGTTCTGGTGGGATGGTTTCTTCGAATCGTGATGTAGGGGGTTGAGGTTGTCGTCCTGTGCCTCAGCTTCCTGCATGGCCTTTGCCTTAGACCGCCGTTGCGTAGGATATTGACACTCGAGCGAGCGAGCATCACATCGTCCGCACGGCACGCCGCCACTACATCGGACTCTCGCTGTAGCGCAACTAAAGCATGCACGGAATGTTTTGACCGTGATCCGATGGGTGCGACCCTTGCCCCCTTCGCTCCCTGGCGCATGGTGACTAAGTTCATGTCGATGGAGAGTATCCCTATAACTGGTCAGCGTGTGATGTTGATATTCCGGGTTAGGTATGAAGGCGCATACGTTCTTGAGAAATGGCGACCACATTGCGCACATTCAAACGGCTTTTCCTTTGTATGACTCCGTAGATGTCGTTTCAGATGCTCTGGCCGCCGGAAAGTACTGCTACACAATGAGCACCGAATGTGGCCGTTACTCAATTCCTCCCGGTCTGCATTCTGATCAACTGTATCTTGGAGAACTTTAGTGCCGAGCTCCCAACATGAAGGTCTTACTCACCTTGGGCATTATCTTTGCCCGAGAGCATCTCCAAATATCAGAGAAGCAGTACTTCCCTAAGCTGTTATGCAAGTCACATTGCAGATGCAGAGGGGAAGCAGAAATAGAGGAGTGGAGGTGACGGGCTTTTTAGTTAAACGCGAAACGGCTCGGGTTCGGTTAAATAAAGTCCGGGGTGAGCCAGTCTCCATGAATTCCATGATGTAACCGCGTAGTTAAGCTTGGATTTTTAATGTATGGAAAAGACATTAACCTCCTCCTGGTATTTTCATTTCAACTTTCAATATCCTAACATTCAATATTGTATCATTGTGTACGAGGTAAGTACGAGTTGGCGCGTAGAGAAAACGTGTCGGTCGCGACCGTCGCGTGCACGGGCATCTGCCTAAGCATCTCTCCCCTAAACATCACAACAGAAGCGCATGATCATCGTGGATCATCCTGATTATCCTAGTCCTTGTGTGTGACTGTCGAGTCTGTGAAATAGACCGGGGATATCGATTCCATGAATGGCGAGGCCGCTAAATCCGCGAACCAGCGGTTGGCGCCTGTCTCCCGGAATGACGCTCTACAAGGGGCCACGCTCGCCTTTCAAAATTCCCGAGATTCAGCGCCCGGTGTGAAGAGCAATTCTGCGACTACTGCAGCCGCAATGGCAAGCGATCGCCAACCGCTCGGTCGCCAGCGGACTGGATCCGACGTCGGGCCAGAAGTGGGCTCCGTAAAAGATAAGATCGGGAGACTGACAGCTCGGCCACTGTCGCCCACCAATGCACCAAATGTCCGGGGTCGAAGCTCGGCCTCGGCTCTATCCGTGGCCCTCTCGTCGGCCCCAGAGGTTGCGGCACGGCTCGCTGCATCAAGATCTCCTGCGCGAGAAATCGTAGCCCCCTCATCATCGACAGCCAGACTTGGCGCAGTACGAAGTGCAAGTCGGGCACCACCCCCACCAGAAAAGCGACAGCTACCGTCCCCTGCTCCGGTCCGCCCGACTCAGGGGAGATATAGTCCCTTGGACCGCATGCTGCAAGAGCATGAATTTGCATCTGATTCAAATCTGCCTACATTCGGGCGCTCTCCATCCCAACATTCCCGCGCAACTACAGAGAATCACGATAGTCGAGCACCAAGCCTTCACCCCACCGTGGGGTCTCGGCAGTCTTCTGTGCCACCAGATCAATCGAAACCAAGGCTCCCTCCACGAGCGCCTCCATCACGCGGCTCTAGCAGAACCAGTGGACCCGTTGGGACACCTCTGCGATCATCCTCCAGGGCGATATCTATAGCAGGCCAGTCCATCCGATCCAATGGAACCAGTACCTCCAACCTCACAGATGACTCCACCGGCATGAGTGAGGAAGCCCTGTCCAATGCCATTGTTGCCTCATCCCTGGCCTCAGCACGAGCATCCCCCTCGATCAAAGTTCCCCCACCGCTGCCTCCCCAGCGACGGCGGGCACGGTCCATCTTACATCTTGCTCACTCGCCCAAGAGTGATCTATCTCGGACGCCAAGCCCGCCGAAGGGTATGCCGCACACACTCCGCGGCATGCCGAAAGAACACGATGCCGATCATCGAAAACGCCGAAACCCTCTAAACAAACACCCTCATAAGCACAACGAGGGCAATCGCAAGCACTGGCGGCGCGAAGTTACCGAGAAGGAACGCAAACGATATGAAGGCGTGTGGGCCTCGAATAAAGGGCTTCTCATCCCTTTCGGCATTCAAAATGAAAGAACCTTAAAATGGCCCTCGAATGCTTCGGATATGGTCCTTAACCTAGTGGTGCGGGAGATCTGGTCCCGCAGCCGGCTGCCGGAAGTTGTCCTGCAGCAAGTGTGGGATCTAGTGGACCACCAAAATATTGGGCTCTTGTCGCGTGAGGAATTCGTGGTTGGAATGTGGTTGATCGACCAGACGTTGTCGGGACATAAGCTCCCCGTGAAGGTCCCCGACAGTGTCTGGGAGAGTGTGAGGCATGTCGCGGGGATTAAGCTCCCCCTCGCAGAAAAGGCCAAGGGCCCCAAGGCCCACAAGTAGATCAGTATTTCCGATTCGGGTTATGCACATCATCCCTATCGATCTGTACGTACTACTGTACTGTCTATTGTACATGCAAAGTTGCAAACGGTCTTACAATCCAATAAGATCCATAGTTAGTATACCGCCAGTCGCTTGACGAACCCTTTGAAGTTTGGGGGATCCACAGGGCCAGGTATTTGATATTTGATATCACATTTCTTTTTCCTTTTTCGACTTTGACCGAAGTCTGTTTGGCTCTAGGGCTGGAGCCTGGAGAGGCTGAAGAGTATCTGCCCATGATCGACGATCCACAGATCATATTGGGAGCACGGAGTACGGAGACTCGGCTTCATGATCACCTACAGGGGTGTACACCGTGTGGGACGTGGGTAATCTTATCCCATCGGCACTTGAATTAGCGTGCGAGCGTGTGGACCCACGTGATCGTGTTCCAGACCGTAATATTACATTCCCTGGTTGCCACCGAGGCTTAATTAGAGTGGGTAAACCATGGTATCGGTATGTTCACATCTGAAATTATTCAATTAACTTATCGACCGAATTCCTTTCGTCCTTTCCCAAGATCCGAGAAATCGGCTATATATGAGTTCATATGAGTTCAACCTAATCTCCCTCTTTCAATTATACCTCCGACGATCAATGCGCCCAAATGCGCCCATTTTGACAAATCTCCAATTCGGGGAGGATCTTTGTTTCGGTGCCAAAAAGCAAATCCCGAACGTCCCCACGGCTCGGGATTTGGGAAGATCAAGCAATCAAATATCCCATCTCTATATCAACTACTCTTTCTTTCTAATGAATGTGAAGAATGCACCTCAACTAGGCGATCTGATCCGAAAGACAAGAGGTGTCCCGATGTGGTTTTGTAGATAATTGTGGAGGTTCTTCTACTGTCGTGTGATTCGCCATGACCGATACTCTCCACGACTCGACGGCGCCTCGGCCGGTTCGCAAGAAGTTTGCCAAACCGCCAGTCAAAGTAGCCTGTCTGCCCTGGTGAGCAAATCCCGTGGAGAGACAATATTAAAGACCTCTCCACTAATCGGTTATTCCAGCCGGGCGTCGAGAACGCGATGTGGCGGCCAGATGCCATGTGCAAACGTATGTACTTTTCCATCTTATGAGTGCCGATTTGTCGACCACATCGGGGTCTGATGATTATGCATGCATCTGACTGATGGTTTTCATGCTTAGTGTGTCAACAAAAACAGAGAGTGTACTTATTTGCCTAGCAAACGAGGCGGGCCACGCAAAAAGAAGGAGAAGTCCTCGTTGTCCCCAGAGGAAGAACCGAGCCACGATGACGCTCAATATGTGGGTGTGCCTTCACCTTCGGAATTTGAAGAAGGTAAGTTCTTGCAATTATATCAGCAAACAATATATACTTAACTAGGAAACCATAGCACCGGGGATGTTCAGTCAAATCGATGAACTGTCCGTGCCTGGCGCAGGTCTGAGACATCTCGAGTTCCAGTCTGACGTTCCATCGATGTTTGAGGGCTTCTTCACTGGTGACGGGGGCCAGTCGCATATGCGAGTGCCCCCTACGCCGCCCTCCCTCAACAGCGCTCAGTCTTTCGTGAGGACCTACGGAAGTGAAGCGGAAATGTACGTCATTTGTTGTACATGAATGTGATCTATACGTTGCTAATATCCCCAGTTTGAACGCCTACTATGATTTTATTCATTACTACTTTCCCATTCTTCCGCCGCGGGCAGCACCACCATGCCGTGATCGGCCCTTGGACCGTCCAGTCCCATGTTCAAACAACTCTGAGCCGACGATGATGTACCGGCCTCGTTCACCTCTAAGTCTTGCGATTTCCGCAATCTTGGCTCTGGTTCCACATCCAAATGATATGGACCCGTCCTCGCCAGCGTTTGTAATGCAGCGCAGAGCATACGCACATAGTTTCGCTCAACTTGCCAATACAACTATCGAAGCAGAGTGCGATCTTGACATGTCGTCGAATGACCCTGGCCAGGCATTATCCTCCTCACGTCCTTTCATCGGCCGGGAAAGGTTCCACCCCCAAACTCCGGTGGACCTTGAGAGCCTCCTGGCTCTCTTGGTACTCTCGGTTTATGAGTACGCCCAGCGTGGTAATTTGCTCAAGATGCGATATCGTGCCGGTCAGGCTCTTGCCATTGCTTTGGACAAGGGTCTCCATGCCCAAATGGGCGATGATGAGTATTCGGAGGCTCGACGAAGAGCTTGGTGGATGACGGTATGATCACCTCCCATTCGATTGGAATATAATGGTCTAACTTTTTTTAGTATTACTGCGTGATTCAAGGCTCTATTGTTAGCACAACGGTAAGCATCGTTCAAGTATGTTGTTCTGAAGAGGAATGAGTCTAACATGCCAGTAGATGCCTGCCATCGTGATCAACGACCCTCAATTCACAACTCCGTATCCTACATTTTCATCAGACACCGAGGTTTGCACCCAAATCCTTGTGGATGATTTCCATTTACTTACAACTGTTCAGGGTTGGTCGATCTTAATACAAGCGCAGCAAGTACTTGTATCGGCGACTCAATTCATCGGCGACCTAACCAAGTGCCTTGCATCTCAATCGGGCATGTACTATATGTTCGAGAGAATGCAACAACTGGATGCCTGGACGAACTCTGTCATTGCGCAAGTCGAATTGCTTCCCCTTGTGCCGCCGACACATGGCTTTGGTGACCACGATGAAACGATCACAGCACAAAGCATACGTGCAATATCCCGAATCAAACTATCCAGGTCAGCGCTCCTCCCATTCCCACATATAGACCCATGTATTAACACCATCCCCAGCGCACAAATCAAAACGCACCGCTTCCGAGCCTTCTCCGACATCCCAATCTTCATCAAGAGACACTGCGACCTAACAGCAGCAACCCAAGCCGCCGCCAACCCAAACATCTCCCCCAAACCCTCAGGAATCCACAACATATCCTGCTCCTGCACAACCCTAACATCCTTCGAGCGAGCCCCCTCATCAGACTACATGACCCCATCCGACTCATCCACCTCCTCCGAAATCCCCCCAGATCCCTACACCCCGCAGTACTCGCAATACTCCTTTGCCTCCGGCTTCCCCTACAGCAGCCAGCAATCCGCCAAAATCTGCCTCCAGGCCGCCCTCGTCATCTCCCGCATGTTCCACAGCCTGCCGGTCCCACAGCCCCTGACGCATTCACCACCCGACCCGGCCCGTCCTTTACCTCGGACCATGCCCTCCTTTGCCTGCTGTCTGATGCAGAGTAGCTACGCTCTTTTCATGATCTACTACAAGGCGCGTGTGGCGAAACAGCTCTCACCCGATTCGGAGAACGAACGGGGGAGGGATGCGACTGGGCAGCTGATCGAGGAGTTGCGGCAGGGGTTGGAGAGAATTATCGGTACGGTGTCGAATTATTCGCAGGCTTTTGAGGCTTTGGATGGGATGAGAGGTTCGTTTCCTTCGTTTCGTGATATGCGGGGTTCTCTTGCTAATGATCTGATAGATGAAATCGAAGGTGCATATAAAACGGCGTTCCCGACTGCATTGGTATAGGCGTTTTCCCGTTTCTGTATTTGCGCTTTTCTCTGCCTTCTAGTTCTGGGACTTGGACATGGATATACAAGTATGTTTCACGGCCAGTGGCTTCTTTCCATATCGATTGATTCAGGGCGTTTCTTGGCATATTCGGGGGTATTTTTGAAGAATGATCTGCTTCTGGGTGGACGAATTCATACGTATACGAATGATAACTCCGATATAACATTGATCAAAGCCTACTAGCAAACCATACATGTACGTAGCACTAGTAGAGAGAACGTGTATTTCTAACCAAAAGGATTCGCTAATAACAAATCGTAACAAGCAAGATGCTCTATATTTTGGCCAAAGAACCTAGAGCTTGGATCGAATACCCTCAAGCCGGAACTTGACATCTTTCAGGGCTTTACTGGTAGGCTTCCAGTCGTCAAACTGGCGGAGCAATTGTATAGTCTCGTCGTACATCTCCCGTCGCACATGTTCTTCTTCCAAGAGACCGCGCATAGCGAAGGGGAGAATATAAGGATTTGGCGTGGTGGAGCTGCTGGCTCGCTTGATGCTGAGCGAGGAGTCTGGAACGGAAGATGTCTCCAGTGCGAATTGAATGGCCATACTGGGAAAGTGTGTTAGTGTTGGAAATAGAAGAGGTGTTCGCGTTTTACATACGCATACACGGCTTCGTCGTCGTATAGCCGGGAATGTCCTTCTCCTGAGTATAGACTCCCGGCGAGCGGGGTGCTGAGTTCGCGGATTAGACCATGATCGGATATACCGAGGTTACGGAGCTTGAGGGCGAAGCCGACTAAGTGAGAGAGGCTGTAGTCTAGTATTAGCGTTGTTGATCAGGTGGAGAAACGGAAGGTATGTGCTTACAAGCTTGGGGCATGCACCCGGCCGTCCACGAAGACGGCGCGGTAGACGTAGGGGTGAGTGATTGGCGAAAAAAGCGAGGACTATAGGCGAATTAGCGACGTGGTTTATACTTGAATGGTGTAGATATGAACGCACCTCCAATGAAACGAGTTGATCGTCAATACTTCCGATATAAGAAATGCGAACACCGAAATCAAGAGCACATTTGAGACCAGCTTCGTACTCTTTCGAGACCTTGCTGAAAGGCAATGCGAAGTCGAACAGCTCTCCAGCCGAGCCACTGATCCACCGAGAGCGATAATCCGCGAATGGGCCAAGGTTCACACCTGCCATGGCGCAGATTCCAACTCTCTTACCGTCAAGACAGCCGAACTGAATAAGCTTGGCGACGAGCATAATTCCTACTGGCACGCCTTGACTGTGACATGCGATCATTATGAAATCTGCTTTGCGGATCTCCTCCATCCAGTTCAAAAGCAGCTTCCACAGGAGGTCCACTCGCTCCGTGATCCGGCCTTCGCCTTCCAATGCGATCTTCTCAATTTCGCAGGAGTAACCATGGCCTTCGGTGTACTTCCGAACTGCCTCAGCTGCCATATTGGAGAAGCGGATGGACGTCCCGGTAGGCTGCCCGATGATGTTTCGAATGAACGGAGCTGGGAAATACCCGTGCACTCCAATAGCCAAGGCGCGTCTGACACGTACTGCTTCTCTGACCCTGCTGACATGTCTGGTTTCTGGTCCCTTTCCGTAATGCAGGATTCGACCAAGGCTCTGCAGAATCGAAGGCGATGCCTCGAATGGGTACGTTTCTTCGAAACTTGGTAGTACTTGATTGGGAAGGATTTTCTGTAATTGTTTTGGAGGGGTGAAATCGGCTGGTCGGGGCTCAGTGGGTGGTGTGGTTGTTGACGTGTCTTCAAGGTTGGCCTTGTTGTCTTTGGGCGGCTTGACTGTCACGCTGCCTTTCTGGGTTATCTTCACATTTGGGTCTGTATTTGGCTCAGCCGGTGTAGCTTTCGACTGGGCATTGGGTTCCACTGATGCCTCGATAGCTTCGCCTTGCTGCGGTCCATCTGATGGTTCAGCTTTGGCCGATTCCTTAGACCAGAATGACCAGCCAGATGATCTCGTGGTTCCGACTGGGGTCTGTGATCCACTTGTCGGTTTCTTTGCATCATCTGGGGGATCTGGGGGAGCCATGTCTGCGCTGGAAGACTCGGTAGGACTATCCTTCGTTGAAGGAGCGGCCGTAGATGGTGTAGATTCTTCTTGCTTGCTCCGTATAGGCATACCATACCACATCTGAAGCCACGATCGCTTTTGGGCGGTGGAGGTAGGTTCGTCAGTATCGTTGCTCTGGTCTGTCACTGGTTCTGGTTCCTCTCCCCGTGTCGTGGAGTCTTTTACGGGAGGTCCAGCTCCCTGCTCTATACTTTGGTCTTCGGACGACGGATGTTCCGCAGCTTCCGTAGATTCAGTGGCATTCGAATTCGCGGCACCTTCAGGTGTAGCTGATGGTCCATATAACCATGAAAGCCAACCAGGGGATTGGCCGGTGCCCTTGGTAGATGGGGTATTCTCGGCGTCGGGCGTGGTCTTCTGCTCCTTGGCCGGTTCCTCTAATGGCTTGGAATCACTCTCGCCAAGTGTTTCTTTATCGGATGTTGCCGATTCGGCAGCCGTGGGTTCCCCAGACTCTTCGGCAGCAGTTGAAGACGAACCGTCTGATGCAACGTTGACTCGGGTTGTGGTAGCGTTAGCAGGCAGAGACCTGGTCGACGCGCCCGCTTTTCGTGTGAGTTGAATGGAAGGGTGTCGGTTCTTTGTGGGGTTGTCAAGAAGGGAAGTGGATGAGCTAGTGATGTTCGATGCTACATTTCTGGCGGCTGATATGCTCTCACGGGCAACCTCGGTAACTGGTGCTGCCTTGGAGACTCTCGCAACAGAGGACCAGGATCCGGGGTACCAGTTCTATAAAGTGAACAGCGAACAATCAGTAGATGGAAAACATAAGGCCTGTCTCAGCTTGAGAGACCAAAGGCTTACAGTGTTGCGCCCCCGTGACTGGGAGTCTGAGCTGTCTCCGCCGTCACTGTTCAGTGGAGCCGGCGAGTCCCCGCCGGAGGGGCTGGTCTTCAATCTCTTGCCAGATCCCGTGGGCGTCATGGAGGTAAGTCTGAAAACATCAGGTCTAGAACTAAAATCAAATGAAGTAACAAAGCATCTACAAAGCGCCACAGATGACGGGGGGTGCCTGATATCACGTCACATGTCTGGCACTGATAAGTGGCCTCAGGCAACAAACTGGGGAACTGGGCCAAAGGCGGTGAAAGAGAAGTATTGCAACTTTTTTTTCTCGGATCCTCTTCGATAGAAAAAGTTATACATCTCGTTCTTTTTCCGCAGTCATTTCAACAGGATTTTCTGGTCCATTAAGACCAGTTTTCTGTCAAAATGGCGATTCAGAAAAAGGTATGGTCCAATTGTTTCGGCTTAATTTACTTCAGACACTGACTATCTGCAGCATGGAAAAGGTCGTTTGGATAAATGGTATCGGCTTGCCAAAGAGAAAGGTTACAGAGCCCGTGCTGCCTTCAAGTTGATTCAATTGAACCAAAAGTATGGATTCTTGGAGAAGAGCAGAGTCTGTATTGATCTTTGCGCTGCGCCTGGTGTAAGTGTGGCACTACCTCGATCAAGTTTCCTGTCTAATCATTGAGCAGTCATGGTGCCAAGTCGCTGCAGAGTACATGCCAGCGCAGAGTTTGATTATTGGTGTCGATCTCTCGCCTATCAAGCCCATCCCCCGAGCTATTACTTTCCAGAGCGATATCACAACGGATAAATGTCGCGCAACAATTCGATCCCACATCAAGCACTGGAAAGCCGATGTCGTGCTTCACGACGGTGCCCCCAACGTTGGTGCCGCTTGGGTGCAGGATGCTTTCTCACAGGCAGAACTTGTTTTGGAGTCCCTGAGACTGGCTACTGATTTCTTGGGCGAGGGCGGCGTCTTCGTGACAAAGGTTTTCCGGTCCAAAGACTACAATCCTCTGCTGTGGGTTTTCAAGCAGCTGTTCAATTCCGTCGAAGCAACCAAGCCTCCTTCGTCCCGAAACGTTTCCGCTGAGATTTTCGTCGTCTGCCGTGGATACAAGGCGCCCAAGCGCATTGACCCGAAGTTCCTCGACCCGAAGTACGTCTTCGCCGAACTTTCCGCTCCCACTCCCAATTATGAAGCGAAGGTCTTCAACCCAGAAGTGAAGAAGCGCAAACGTGAAGGTTATGAAGAAGGAGATTACACTCAACACAAAGAGCTTCCGGTGACGGAATTCATCAATACCACGGATCCCATCTCCATTTTGGGTGGCTACAACAAACTTAGCTTCCAGCAACCGCCCGGGGGAGATCTAGCATTATCCACGCTGGACCGTTTGGAGGAAACGACAGACGAGATCCGAACTTGTTGTGAGGATTTGAAAGTCCTGGGAAAGAAGGAGTTCCGTAACTTGCTCAGATGGCGCATCAAATGTCGCGAGAAGTTCGGACTCGTCATTAAGAAGAAGCCTACACAAGAAGGCGAGACAGAAGAAGTCGCTGAAGTGGCTCCTATGGACGAAGAGCTGCAGCTTCAGGAAGACTTGATTCGGTTGCGGGAGCAGCAAACCACCAAAGGCAAGAAGGAAAGACGCAAGCAAAATGAGAAGAAGCGCAAAGATATCATTCGAATGCAGATGAACATGACCACGCCCATGGATATTGGTATGGAGCAGCTTGGCATGGGAGGCGACGATACTACGTTCAGTCTCAGACGCGTCGACCGCGAGAATGCCAGAGACGCAGTCGTCAATGCTCGCGATCTCCCGGCTGAAAGCGAGAGCGAGGAAGAAGTCGACTCTGGCAGCGAAGAAAGCGATGACGAGGAGGATCGCCTTGAAAGAGAACTTGACGCTATGTACGAGCAGTACACCGGCCGCAAGGAAGACAAAGATTCCAAATTGCGTGCCAAGAAGACACGCAAGCAATATGAGGCCGACGCATGGGAGGGCTTCTCTGACAAAGAGAAAGCCGATAGTGACGACGAAGAGGAGGAGGCAGATTCAGACGAGGAATCCACCCCTGCAGTTAAAGCACTTCCTGAGAAGCTTTCAAACAATGCTTCTCTGTTCTTTGATCAAGACATTTTCGAAGGTTTAGACGGCGAAGACGAGGAAGAAGTGGAAGAGGAGCAGGAAGTGGAAGAGGAGCAAGATGACGAAAGCGATAACATCTTTGCAATGGATGAAGATGAGGAGGACCCCGAAGAGGAGGCACCCGCGCCCAAGCAAAAGAGCAAGAAGGAGGCAAAGAAGGACGCGAAGCAGGACGCAAAGAAGAACGCCACGAAGGAGTCTGAGTGGGTCGACGACTCCGATGACAGCGAACAAGAAGACTTCACCGCAGATCCCCGCAAAGCGAATGGCCAGCTAGGTAGGTTGCGGTTGACACTCAAGATTAATCATTTCGTGACTAACGCATCCTTGCTCTACAGACATCGATATCATCACTGCAGAAGCTATGGCTCTTGCGCACTCAATGGCTACTGGAGAGAAGAAGAAGGGCGATATCGTTGACGATGGCTTCAACCGATTTGCCTTCCGCGACGTTGACGGCCTCCCTGAATGGTTCATCGACGACGAGGGCAAACACAGCAACCCTGTTCGACCCACCACCAAGGCTGCTGCGCTCGCCATCAGAGAGAAGATGCGTGCCATCAACGCACGACCCATCAAAAAGGTTATGGAAGCCAAGGGACGCAAGAAGTACAAGGCGGCCCAAAGACTGGAGAAGCTGCGCAAGAAGTCTGCACTTCTGGCTGAAGATGACGCACTCAGTGAGCGTGATAAGGCCGGTGCCATCGCAAGATTGATGAGCAGAGCCACCAAGAAGAAGCCCAAGCAGGAAGTCAAGCTCGTCGTCGCCAAGGGCCCCAACCGTGGTATCTCTGGTCGTCCCAAGGGTGTCAAGGGCAAGTACAAGATTGTCGACGCTCGTATGAAGAAGGATGTTCGCGCAGAGAAGAGACTGGCAAAGAAGAAGGCCGGAAAGAAATAGACGGGGTGTTTATAGTTCAATCGGACAATTTACATAGCAAAAGTCATCATGATACCCCAGGGTTCGTTCACAAGTGGGGGTCTCCTAGAATATATTCAGATTCAATAGCGAATGTTTTGCATTTCCATCTAATGTCTTCACTATGTCGAGAAAGTGTATCCAGTAGATTTTCCATACTCGACCCATAAATGAGGCTGCAGGGTAACACGCTAAAGCGCCAAGAAACGGGACATCGCGTGGTTTCCCCGAGTGGCGCCTTAATCGATAAGCCGGTCTCTTTCTTTTTGCTTTTCTTTCTCCCCTCTCGTCTTAACTCGCATTATACACTTATCCCATATATCATTTGGCCCTTTCCATTGCATACTTGCATAGTTATCTTCATTTGGCATTCCTTTTGTCTATATCTCTTACAAACGCATCCACATGGGCTTTTTTGACCATCTCCAGAAAGGAGGGGCCGGATCCTTCTCTCTACAACCAAAGAAGGCGCAAATCCGCAAAGTCGTGCAGACTCGACCTGCAGCACCTACAAGATCGGTGACACAAACCCCGGACTCTCGATCGTCTCGAGTCCAGTCCTCGACGGAACGGAGCCGGAAGACGCAGACGGTGAAATCTCGATCGGTCTCCAGTGACCTGGAAGCACGCTCAGCGAAACGACTCAGCACCTCTTCGCGCATTCGAAAAAGACCCACACCAGAACAAAGACTCTCCAGCGACGATGATGCAAGCGATAGCGAAGCCTCCTTCGAAATCCACAAACGTGCGAGGACCAGTGTCAGCGCTGAACCGGACCCGGAGCGGCGTCTGCGCTCGGTGAAAGCATTTTCGGAGGAGGCAGCTCGCCCATTCAAAATGATACATGCCGCTGATATCACCTCGGGCCCAAACGCCGGCAAGTTCAAGCCAGCGTTCGGTGCGGCGGGCAAGCCGAAACAAATCCTTCTGCAATATCCGAGTGCTTCGCAGCAGGAGAGGTATGGTCCTTCATTGGTTCAATCATGAGGTTTTGGGAAAATGAGATGCTAATTTATTGCTTCGCTAGATACGACTCCGTGGTTCCCCGAGAGAATGACGAATTTCGACCTATCGACGACATCGTTCAGGTCATCGAAACGGTCTCCGACAACTATATCCCTAATGAGGCCGCGGACGAGTTCAATAATGAGACAACCGGAATCAAGCGTCGGTTACGCCGGGCTTTGGCTGTCGCATCCGAGTCACAATTCCGGGAAGCTGTCGATGATTATAACAAGGCTATCCAGCGGCTGCGAACCAATGGCAGTCTCGCGAAGCATTTGGATACAACCCAGGGTCTCGGTCTACCTTGGGTGGAAAGGATTCTCACGCAAATATACGCACGCACGGTGTCACCTCGAGTCGAGTCCCTTCGGCAGTACGAGAATGGCACGGACAATGTCTACGGAGAACTTCTTCCCCGCTTCATCAGCACGATCTTCAAGGAAACCAAGCTCAAATCGGGTCAGGTTTTCGTTGATCTTGGCTCGGGTGTGGGCAATGTCGTTCTTCAGGCGGCACTCGAAATTGGCTGTGAGAGCTGGGGTTGCGAAATGATGGCAAACGCATGTGATTTGGCAGATCTACAGCAATCAGAGTTCAAGGCCCGATGCCGGCTTTGGGGCATCATGCCAGGCAAGACTCACCTTGTTCGAGGTGACTTCCTCGAGCAAGAGAGTATAATCAGCGTCTTGAAACGGGCCGATGTGGTGCTCATCAACAACCAGGCGTTTACGCCTCAGTTAAACAATGAGCTGATCAACCACTTCTTGGATATGAAAGAAGGGTGCAAAATCGTCTCTCTCAAGTCATTCGTTCCTGCTGGTCATAAAATTCAGTCCCGCAACCTGAACTCCCCGATCAACCTTCTTCAGGTCCAGCAGAAGAATTATTGGTCGAACCACGTGAGCTGGACCGACGTTGGCGGTACATATTTCATTGCCACTAAAGACAGCTCTCGGCTGAAAGCCTTCATCGATAGCACCTCCTAGTGCTTGATGATTCCCTTGGCTTTTTACTTTGGTATGGCACGTACATTGTTCGTTTTTGGCGTTGTTGCACATAACCCTTCTCTGTTTTTGGATATACTCTTCTGAGCTTTTGTATGATACCATTCCTGACAATCTGACCTGTATAAAATGGGATGATCCTTTCCACAAGATTCAACCTTGGAATCAAGTTTCTTATTCCGACTGGAAGGTTCCACCGCTCTGTATAACTATTGGGACTAGGTATCTAGGAGAATTTCGATGCTTGATTCATTGCCTCAGCTTCTTGTCCCATTCTGGCCATCCAACGATCAACCAGGTCTTGGTTCTCTTTCTGAAGTCGAGCGGACCGTTCTTCGGCCATATTGAGTTGGAGGTTTAGTGTAGCCAACTCATCTTGGAAATCCTACAGAAAGAGAAACGCACGTCAGCCAATTACTCTCCTTCGCATCGGTGTAATTGGAGACTTCTGTGTTGATATCAAACGAGCCTACCTCTAGCAGTTTAGCCTTCCCTTTGAGCTCCGCGTCTCGATCCCTTAGTCGCAGCTTAAGCTGCGCCCTTTCGGTTTCCAAGCTGTTGATCCGCCGAGTCTCTTGTATACTCGTCTTGCGAAGCTTCTCAGCCTCTGCGTTTACCCGATTCAGTTGATCTTGCAGTTCCGAGCGAGACCGTTGTGCCTTGGACAAGTCTGCGCGAGTAGCATTGAGGATATCGGTCGGAGTAGGACCTGGCTCATTTGACCGTTGCCTTCCAGCTGATACTAGCGGAGATGGTATGGTAGGGAAAGCTTCACTCTCTGCCGGTGCAGGGCTGTCGTTGTTTGCTGCTGTTGTTAGCTTGCTGGTGCGATCTGCAAGCCGCGCATCTAGATACGATAGAATGATGTCAGTCGTAATCAGTCAACAAAGAGCGCATATAGACGGACAGGCATCGTAGAGAGCGGAATTCGCCTTCTCTCGTGAGTCTCGGACTGTCAGGGCAGCCAAGTACTCCTCCCTCCAGTGGGCCATAAGCCTTCCCAAACAAATGGGAATGTAGGCGGAATTATGATGGGGGGTGGGTGGAGATGAGTTGGGGGGGGGAGATGTTGCTAATCGTTATCAATTGCCCACCGCTAACTCCACCGCCCGGGCCTCATGCATCATCAAATCCGGCTGCGACCCAACCCCAACTCTCCAACTGACTTGCCTTGACTTGTTCTACACTTTGACGGAGTTTGATCATAGCTATTTCTTGATTTGAAATACTTTGCTCATTTCGCTGATATCTACACTCGGTCATTTGGCCGATCCTCAAATCATGGCTTCAAGGAAGAAGGTCCTCCTCAAGGTACGATCTCCGCACCTGCTCCGTCTGACGGACAGCAAATCCTTCAAAAGAATCGCTCTTGCTAACTGGCATACTGGGTGCTTAGGTTATTATTCTTGGTGACAGTGGCGTGGGAAAGACCAGTTTGATGAACCAATATGTCCGTTCAACCTCAAACCCCAAACCTATTGCTCTGCGGCCGACCGTGATCGGTTATGAATTTCTATAACTAACCTGCGATGTTTCGTGCCGAATAGGTCAATAAGAAATTCAGCGGAAGCTACAAGGCCACGATCGGAGCTGATTTCCTCACGAAGGAAGTTCTCGTCGACGACCGACTGGTGACAATGCAGGTAAGGCTCGGAGATCAGGGCGCAAGCGTGATGAGGGGCAACGACCGACTGACAGGTGATAGATCTGGGATACCGCTGGCCAAGAAAGATTCCAGTCATTGGGAGTCGCTTTCTATCGCGGCGCCGACTGCTGCGTTCTAGTCTACGATGTCAACAACTCCAAGAGTTTTGAGGCGCTTGACAGCTGGCGGGATGAGTTCTTGATCCAGGCAAGCCCGAGAGATCCGGAAAGTTTCCCATTTGTGAGTGGCGCTTCCCACATTCCTCGACCTTGTCTCGTGCGCAGCAGACGAGAATGATGAATTGGTCCGTGCTGATAGTCATGTGCAGGTTGTCATCGGTAACAAGATCGATGTTGAGGAGAACAAGCGAATGATCTCCTCAAAACGAGCCATGACCTTCTGCCAGTCAAAGGGTAACATCCCTTATTTCGAGACTAGTGCCAAGGAAGCGGTCAACGTCGAGCAGGCATTTGAAGGTGAGTCAAAATTTACCCAGCTACTTTGTTATCGCCCACCGTTCTCTTGCTGATTTACATATAGTCATTGCGCGGAGTGCACTTGCACAGGAAGAGGCCGAGGAATTCAGCGGTGAATTCAGTGACCCGATCAACATCCATTTGGACAATGACCGCGATGGATGTGCCTGTTGATATACCCTTCCTATATTCTTCCCATTCTCATTCTGTTACAGCGACGTATTTCCTTTTGTTTTCGTCTTACTGCTGTCATTTGGTCGGTCTTCTGCTCTAAGTCTGTAGAGAAGACCATGGACTTTCGGTTTTTGGTCAATCTTGCGGTTTCCCGTGTTTCTTGTACACAGTAGATGTCTTGATCCTAATTGGAGTTTAGCTGAGAGACAAATAACCCATCTTTTTGAGCTGGAAGCAGTAACAATTACATTTTCTTGACTACACAGTATGGTAGAGGTGTCCAGATACCTTCGGCTGTACCCGACCCTGCCCTGAAGAGAACTTCTCAAAATGCCTTGCAAAAAAATAAAAACATGAAAGGTCAATATATTTTACCAATTACCATTTTACTATCAAAAGATGTTAAGATGGTCAAGATGTCTGCATAAATCATGTAATGCAACATAAGCATTGCGACACGTGCACGTAACAGGGGCAGTCCCAAATCGGGGACATTTTTCCCCACCCGGAAACCCTTATCTCACTCATGCTTGGCATCTTTTCTCGACTCCCTCAGGTCTGCTGTCTGCACGTGTTCGACCATCTCATCTGACACTCATTTTCTCGTATACGGTCGGTCCACAGCTCGTTGTGCGTCCGATGCTCGCAGCTCGACTCATCCCCCCGTCCAACTCGGCATCTCCCGACGCAAAAACGTAGCGATCACGACATCGGCGACACGTTACACTCTCTGAGCAGGATCTCACCCTTTAACACGTCGCGCAGCAGATATATCCCTTCACACACGATCTATCTTTTAAAATGACCACGGTCACAGAGGGACCTGGGGCGAAACCCCTGGGCATGGCTCGCCGGACACTGGGAATTACCCTGCTACTGGTAGTGGTTGTGCTGTGGACGACCTCGAATTTCCTCGGAAGTGTATGCGCGCCCTCTTTCTCAAGCAGAGATAACGAATGAATTGCGAAACAAATGTTTCGTTACAAAGACTTGGCTAATCACATATCGACTGCGACTCAGACTATCTTCGCCGACAAGACCTATGCGCACCCCTTCTTTGTGACTTACACAAATACCTCGATGTTCACCATGCCTCTCTTTTTCATTATCGGTCGTCGGACATGGAACCTGTGGCGCGCCCGGAAATTCTCCCAGATAACTTCTCTGCGGAGTCTGTTGAATCATTTGGACTCGCATGATCCCAAGGCTGAAGAGGAGAGCATGTTGCATAGCGGATCCGACGAAGAGGGTGGGCGCTTTGGGCAGCCGAGCACAAAGGCGCCAAGCGGAAAATTGGGGCTGAAAGCTACTGCTAAGCTTAGTGTTCAGTTCTGTCTTCTTTGGGTAAGCATAAGCCATGAGGTTTTGATATATGATCAGCTTGCTAACATCTCATAGTTTACCGCTAATTACTTCGCCATGGGATGTCTTCAATTTACGTCGGTTGGAAGCACGACCATCCTCACATCCACCAGCGGTAGGAATTACCCGATCTCAATGCATCAGAAACACTGGTAACTGACCTTTCATAGGTATTTGGACATTGGTTTTCGGTGCCCTGATCCGCGTTGAGAAATTTACCATGCGCAAATTCATGGGTGTGATGGCTTCTCTAATTGGCATCATCCTAATTTCGCGCGTAGACCTCTCAAAGCCAGACACAGGCGAGACCCCCGATGGTAATGAGGGATCTTTCCCACACAAATCCACCGGGGAAATTGCTCTTGGCGACGCCATGGCTGCCTTCAGCGCCATCATGTACGGTCTGTACACCGTCGTGATGAAGAAGCAAGTGGGCGATGAGTCCCGCGTCAACATGCCACTGTTCTTCGGGCTGGTAGGCTTCTTCAACGTCGTTCTTCTGTGGCCTGGTTTCTTCATCTTCCACTGGACAGGATTGGAACCCTTCTCTTTGCCAGAGACAAGCCGAGTATGGACAATTATTTTGGTATGCTTCGAATCACCCTCTCCTCTCTATCTTTTCTACTTGGCTAATCTCAAACCATCAGTCTAATGCATTCGCCTCGTTCGTCTCTGACATTGCTTGGGCTTACGCGATGCTTCTTACCACCCCTCTTGTCGTGACCGTAGGTCTTAGTATGACCATCCCGCTCTCCCTAATTGGCCAGATGGTCCTGCAGTCGGAATACGCCAGTCCCTTGTACTGGGTCGGAGCGGCTATCGTGTTCTTGTCTTTCTTGGTTGTGAACCACGAGAGCAAAATCCAGAATGAGGTTCCCACTATTCCTGGAGCAGGCGGGTCCTTCTCGGGTGAATATAACAGCATTCCTGTGGAGGAAGAGGAAATGCGTTAGTCTGAACCTCTGTGCGGGTTTTCTTGCTGCTTTCTTTAAACGTCATACGGTCATAGTAGCGCGGGCGTGTCCATTTTGTATATTATTTCGTTTCGGGTTATCTTCATTGCTATTACTAGATTTAGATGGTATCGGATGAGCTGTGGTTTGTGAGGTTTCTGGGTTTCCTGTGCTAGGTACCTAACACGTACAAGTAGTTCGAAGATCCCTGAGGTTTCTATTGCTAGGTAAAAGAGAGCCAATCTGACTGGATGTCCCGATATTATGTATTATGCATTAGTCCGGCTGCTCAAAGAGGTAAATGTATGATACATAATGGCCAACATGGACATAGAAACGAAAGAAAATTGACAGCAGACTGAAGATTGTCCTGGTAGCGAGAGCGGAGGATGCACCAGAATGCATCGCCTTGGTAAATGAGATAAGAGACAAGGGAATTGAAGAATCGTGGTGGTAACAGGCTGGCTTGATGATAGAAAGAAGAAAAAAACTCCCCTGCGCCCATGATATGTGCACAAAGGTATGAACGCCAATCAGTTCCTTGAAGACTCCGAAGCTCATCACGAGACGAGTAGTCGAAATGGTATCGCCAACCTGGGTATATTGAAAGAAAGGAAATAGAAGTGAAAAAGAGAGTAGCTGAGGAATAGAGAAGATGAAGAGAGTGCGGGAAGGGAGGGTAAAGTACAAGCTCATATATCGAGCTATGCGGAAGTGCTCATAGGAGGGTCCAGTTTCCGGCGCGCAGCAAGAATGCTTTTCAATGAGCCCAGCCAGCGCGCGAGGGACTCTTCATCTGGGGCACACAGTCGATACGTCTTTTCCTCGGCGATGATCTGCATGCAGAACGTCTTCGACTTTGAAAGAGGGTCCACTTCTGCGGCATCGAAGACTTGAGACATTGGGATGATCTTGATCGCAGAGTACTCCGCTTCGTCCTTGTAGAAGGCCAGACTTTTCGGTCGAAGCACTACCCAGAGTCGTTTCCATTGGCGCACGGTCCCTTGTATGCGCAGCCCCTGCAGGTACCCCTGACAGACGACCCGCTCCGGGTCACGCAGGATGCCCAGGTCTGGTTGTTTGGGTGTTTCTCGGGGTAGATGTGCTGATGGACGGGCGGCCTCGGGTGCCGAAAGGGAAAGCGACTGGATGGACGGCATAGATCGTAGTCGTATGTTGCGTGCTGGCGCAGGTCCATCAGAGAATTCTGAATATGAAGCGATTTCGTTGCCCGAGTAATCTTGGATGTAAGGGAGAGTGCTTTTACTGCGGGGAGACAGTGGGTAGCGTGGCTCGGGCGAGCTGGCGCGGCCAGCAAGGTCGAAATCGGAGTGATCGGTTGTCTCGTCAACGAGTTGTTTGTGGATAGCGGGGAGATTATGCCTGTTGGTCAAGGCTAGGAAAGCCTGCTCGTCCTCGTTGCCGGGGGTTTCGGCTCGAATGCGGACTATCCAGTCTTCGGCTTCGCGTTCAGTCGGGGCTTCGAACCGGTAGTTTGTCGAGGGGGTAAAGACTCCGAAAACATGCTGCCGAGTCGATCGCGGAGACCTAACGGGCGTAACGGCGGTCACTTCAGACAGGGAGATAGAGACTCGGAGGCGGGTGGTTTCCTCATCCTTGTACACGGAAAGGAGGTTTGGTCGGAGTACGAGGTAGGCGAGTTTCCATGAGGCGCGAAAGACATGTTTGTGCTTGACTCTGCGCCAGACTCTCCCTGTCTTCAGAACCCGATCGAATGCGAAGCTTCCATTTTCGTTCACTGGCGAAAATGGACCCAAATTTGGACTGTTACGCGGCGGCGGGCGGGACTGGAATGAGGGGCCAGGTTCCGGGAGTTTGATAATGGGGGGTATCCCCTCAGGGAATGGGGGCCGAGCGAGTGTTGTATTCATGTTGAGTGTAGAAGGAAAGAAGTGTGGAATCCCGAGAAAAGGGGGAACCCTAAGGACTTCTCCATGAAGTGAGAGGTTCAAGAGAAATTGTCATGTGGAGTGATGCCCCGGTGATGGGGGATGACGGGATCATCTTGGCCGAGAACCTAGCCTTTTGAACTCTCTGGACGTCCAAGTTAGGATCTACAACGTGCATGGTATATTCAAGGGTCATATTAGATATTGATGTAGCTCTACCTAGGCAACGATTATGATCTATCAGAGCAGTGAGAGCTCGATTTACCTATTTACCTATGATCTTATACAAATGCCAAACAAAGAGTGTACACGTAACAGCGTTCGCTGTATCTGCGACTTGTCCGCAGCATGTGTGTACTTCGAGTTACTGCGCACGAGGTCAACTTTATACGAGATCAAGTGCTGTGTACAGGTGAGATGCACAATCAAAGGCACAGAGGGGAGAGAGAGGTGTACGCGTACTCTGAACAATACGAGAAACGGGCGGATACTTGGGTCCAGACCACCTGGAATGTCTACTCTGTACATACGCAGTACTAGCAGACTTTCATTCAAAGTAAAATTTCTAAAAATTGTTCTAATTTGGAACGAAAATCGTAATTGAAAACGCAATACCGTATTGGAAAAGACAATGAATGGCGCCATGGACGTGTATCCGGTACCTGCATAGATGCCCTTATTAGGGATCAGCCAATATGTACCAGGTACCAGTTATAGACTTACCCAAGGCATTGCATAACTGTTACACCAGGACATTGTACTGTGTAGTTATCCGTACTGTTGTGTTTTGCCAGATTATAGTCAGATTCCCTTCAAACTCGTCCCTTCTCGCAACTCTAGGACCTAACGGCTTGAGAAGGCTTGGAGTCTTGGACCCTTGATCGCCATGGCCCATGCGCTTAGTCAAGAGTGCACTTAAGTCCTGGTATTCAGCTATACAGAGACAGGCAGGACTTGCTAACTAGGTTGCCCGAGAGAAGTTAGGTAACCCGGTTTGGTCTAACCTACTGGGCCATGAATGCTAAGGGAGAAGCTGTAAAGAAACTATGGCCATTGACATAGGGCGGATTGATGGTGGATCAAGTGGGCAAGGAACAAAAGCCCACATGGAGTATGCTCTCAGGTGTTACCGTGTTGGAGTACGCAGTATAACTTTCTAGATCTGCCGGGATCAAGATAACTAGTGCAAACAAAGGACAAATACACGAACACAAGCATATTAGGTCTAGCAGATGGAATTAAAATCGACCACACAGAAGCTTGGCTTAGAGACTAACCCACTGCGTAACTACCGTACCAACGAAGATCATCTGGACCCCCGTAGGCCTCGCCAAGCGCCAATCAGAGACCCTGCAATAAGGGAAAAAATGGACGCGAAGCGAGATAGAAAACATCAACTTCATAGTTGTTCTCATATTCCAGGGGAAATGGACAGTATAACATGTTAGAAGATTATGAGAAGCGATAGACAGGCAAAGAATACAATAGGACACTTCCCTCCGAGGCAGTATGCATAAGCAAAGAGAAAAGATTACCGTCTAATACCATACAATACCTGTGATAACGCCACCACACAGCAGACAGGGGTAAAATAACCGTCTCAGGGTGACACTGAGAGGCCACCGGACTTCCGCCAAGACCAGGGAGGCGCAAGCAGCCCATCCCATCTTCCAATTCTCCTTCTCTCAATCATCTCCTGTTCATGTTCCCGACCCTTTCCCTGTGTACCTTGTTGTTCACAGTCGTCTGCGTTGCTCCCGACACTCTCCCCATCTATCTACCGTGGGACTGAGAAAGTTGGGGGAGGAAAGGAGGCATTCCTCCGGCCATTCGTTTTGCTGTCATTTTCTCCGTTTCCATTCATTGAGATCTTTCGACTTTCAGATCTCCTTGTGATCCCATACGATCCCATAATTTTGGCAGTGTGTGCTCACCCTATTGCTCCGCCCAAGACGCATCTTCTCTGTGTTATCACACCTCCGACACAATTTCTCCGCTACCTCCCTAACAAACCCGTGCTGTCGCCTGGGCCGGACAGCTGATCGCTACCATCATCCGTGGGGTCTCGCGACAACCGCACCCATGAGCTTCATTCAACGCATTACGAAACGGTTGCCTAGTGCACCGAGTCTCCCGTTGGAGGATGCTCCCCACGAGAAAGGCCGCCTTCATCCTAGATTCGCCTTTTTCCGACGGAGGATCCGCCTAAAGGGCAACTCATCTATTTCTATACCCCTGGGTCTTGTTTTACTATTTCCATGTCTTGTAATTGTCCTTATTCTGCTCCTTTTCGTCCGACATCCTTCCTCTTCCGGAGGGATCCTAATTCCGGCGGGCACTCCGCCTTCTATTCGGTTCGTCTCGCTCATCAATCCGTGGTCATGTGCGCAGCAGCTAACCTCTCGCGTCTGATATAGCAAAATCAGCGAAAAGTATGACAAAGTTTTCGCTACTGGTTGTATGCCCATCGAGCAGGAACAGATCGACAAGGCTCCCCGCGCCAATGCCGCTTTCGTTGTCCTTGCTAGAAATAAGGAACTAGAGGGTGTGGTTCAGTCGCTCAAGTCGATTGAAAGACACTTCAACCGGTGGTGGCACTACCCCTATGTCTTCCTCAACGACGGTGATTTCGATGAGCAGTTCATCGCAACGGTGAAGAATTACACCAGCGCACCCGTTGAATTTGGCAAGATTGATAACACGATGTGGGGCTTCCCCGATTGGGTTGACCACGAAGTCGCCAAGGAGGGCATCAGGAAGCAGGGTGATGCCGCCATCATGTACGGTGGAATGGAGAGTTACCACCACATGTGCCGTTTCTACTCTGGGTGAGTTTCTGATGGCAGACTTGTCTGTTTTGGACCATGAAGCTAACTCAACAAAAGGCACTTTTACAAGCACCCTCTGCTGATGAAATACGAATGGTACTGGCGTTTGGAGCCCGAGATCAAGTACTTCTGCGATATTACCTAGTAAGAGCTCCGCCGCCATTTGCTCCTGACCAACGTACTGACTCGATTGCTCCTAGTGATCCATTTATCAAGATGGCCGAGGCAAACAAGACTTACGGTTTCACCATTGCAGTGAAGGAACTTCGCGAGACGGTCCCGAACATCTTCCGTTATGCGGCTGCTTACAAGCGCAAGAACAACCTCAAATCCAAGGGTCTTTGGGAGATGTTCCTAGAGCAGCCCCCGAAACCTGAGACGCCTCCGGAGGAGAAGAAGCAAGATAAACTGCCTGATGAAATTCTGCAAACCGATCCCGGTGACAACCATCTGAAAGATGTTGACCCGGAGGCCATGGAAGGCGAGAGCTACAACATGTGTCATTTCTGGAGTAACTTCGAAATTGCGCGTCTGGATTGGTTCCGCAGCAAGGAATACGAAGACTTCTTCACTATGATGGACAGGAGTGGTGGATTCTGGAATGAGCGGGTATGTAATATGATGCATCTTTGACGTTTGCCTGGATTTTTACTGACTTTACCAGTGGGGCGATGCTCCTATCCACTCTCTTGCCGCTGGTGCTCTCCTCGGACCTGGTGATATCCACTACTTCCGTGACTTTGGCTATCGCCACACTACCATCCAGCATTGTCCCGCCAACGCCCCAGCTCGCCAACTCACTCGTATCCCTTACCTCGAAAAGACTACCGAGGACGAGAAGAAGCGAATTGAGGAGGATGACTATTGGGCGAACCCTGACCCAGTCAAGGAGAACGGTGTCGGTTGCCGATGCCGCTGCGACACTGACATTGTCGATGTCGAGGGCAAGCAAGGCAGTTGTCTCAATGAATGGGTTGATGTGGCTGGCGGCTGGGCTTCGCCATAGATGACGATGCTGATGGCGTAGTGCTCAGTGTTGGACACATCCACATGCGTCTCCTCTTCCCCTTTCTTATGATTTGGCTGAGAGCACCATTGGGGTTCTCACCTGGGGCCTGCATGTTATGTCGGTCATGGGGCTTCTTTCTGGGCGGCGTTCAATGGATTTGACGTTTTTTATCGGACGATTGTATCACTATATCCACCATCACCGTTGACACATGCGTCTATGTTGTGCTACTGGTAATGGCTGTTGTGATTCGCGTCTTGGTTGTATTCGGAAGAAAACGTGCGCATCTACGGCAGTGGAACCTCCGTACCTTTTGGGATCTCGGAGGCACCTCAAATGGCCATCCATCGCAGTGTCCCCAGCAACTTATAGCCAATTGTTCCTCCTGCCTCCTTGGGAGTTGGTTACATCGCCATATCCTCCATTCTACCAAGAGCACTGCTCCATTTTGGTGGTAAAAGACCGAGGCTCGGAGGAATGCTCAAAGCGCCTCCCGCCCTCATCCTCGGCATGTCACCTCGTCTTTTACTTATCTTCGCATCAGCCACCTCCCCAGCTGCTGTTTTCCCTTCCCATCCCCGTGTGCGCAGGTTTTGTGGTTGTCATTCACGCACACATTCATGAAATGTACATACCTTTCCCCTTCCCCTCTCATCTTTGAACCATTGGCATACAGCCATAGGTTGTTTTTTTTCGCATTGCCCCCTGACCCTCGCAAATACCAGATCGAGCATGGTTGTCTATAGAGTATGGAATAATTACCAGGTGAATTACGTGAAGAATGATATCAGTATAATGCACGTTCAGATTTTCCTTATCGCCTGGATATAAAAGCTTCCGCAATTGTAGCCGCCATGCATTCATCCTAATCTAGTCCGTCATGCTCAGCCTACGACCTCGGGAGACACCCGCAGTTGGGGTCCACGCACCTACGCGTTTCGACGCCTACATGTGTCCTTTCTCGCCACTACCTAGAGAGACATAACCCGTTGTATCATGTTTGATCATTGCCCCTCAAGGTGGACCGAATTCAAAATCAGGCATATTCACATATTCCGAGTCTAACATCCAAGCCCTACGCCGTCGAGCTGGAAGCACGCTGCGATAGGACATGACATGGACATGTGACCCAGACCAATGTCCCGCCTTGGAAAGCTTCGATTGGGCCATCATTCATTTCGAAGGATGATGGGACGTGCGGTGTAAGGATGTTGAAGCGTTCTTGGAGATCGTGATATGGAACCAGCAAAGGATTTCCAGGTCATTGGTGGGGTTCGGCTCTGCATTAAAGGTAGGATCTTGAGAAACGTGTGCATAAACTGTCTTTGGAGACATTATTATTCAGGTATAGAAGAAAAGCGATGAACTGGGGATCTGTCCAGCAGGTGTACCGTGTGTATGTCGTACGCAGTAGAGCGTAGAAGTCCACCTAGGCAGGGGACTGGCGATCAAGTGGGGCAGGGTGGAGCTGCCCAAGTATAAAAATCCCCAACTCTGGGGAAATATGAAGACGGTGATTTACTGTACAGTCTATAGTAGCTGAGAGAGGTATCACGTATAGAGGTATAATGGGAGGTAGTTGATCTATCTTAGTTTCACTTATCTCTCACCAGCGGGAAACAAAGGAACTTACAGCCAGGCACATGCCTCAAAGTATGCCCAAGTACTGTGTACAGCAATCAAAGCATTCTCCACCATATAAACTAACATGTACCAAGTACAACCCCGCCATTACTGTCACTCGGATCATCCATTCTTATCGCAACACAACACTGCACCCCCCCCCCCCCTCATCGTGTTTCAGTTCTCTAACTTCTCTTTTACGTCTCTTCATCCTCATCATATACTTTCATCAACGTCACTTTTTCACCTTCCTCTGTCAAACATATGCTTATCTCCTTACATCCTTCCCTGACTCAGAGCGCACCTGACTTCCTAACATCCGGCAACTCCCCCCGCAGACCCACCTGCTTATCGCTCTATTTGGGCTTTGGGCTTTCTGAGTCGTCTGCCTAGGACTCTCATCCAGTATCTACCCCACCCCCTCTTCCTTGTTAGATCTCTCTGTGTCTAACTTTGCTTCTTGTTTTCTGACTTCGTTATTCCCCCGCTTGGGTTATACCTAAGCTCCTCTCCCCGCCCTGTTCCCGCCGCACCCCGTGTGCTCCATGAAGTTCACTTCCACAATATGACTGACACTTCAGAGTCGCCTCGCCGGCGGCTCCTCAGTACCCAGACTGCTTCTAGTCTACAATATCCAACCCTTCCACCGCTGACAGCTTCCGTCGAGGAGTGGTTATCCCGTTCACGACCGACCAATATGACGTCAGATCAACTTTCCGACCATGCACCAAAGACCTTGAGTGACAGCTGGGCTACCCTGAGCGTGTCTGATATACGCTCAGAGGATGGCAGTCACTCCGGACAGACCGATACATGCTCGCTGATCGACCACACCAACGCCGACGACGTTGCCAGCCTCGATGAAAACTACAGCAGCGATGCCGAGGCACAAGACGAGGGCAATGAAGAGGACGATGGTATAGATGGGGATGAAGTGCAATGCACTGAATCAGCTTCTCAAGAGCTGCCTGCAATGTTTGCTGCCAGAGGAGCCGCGATCGATGACAGCACCACTACCACCAAGCCCTCTTTCCCCCATCCCAGTGATTCGATCGAGTTTGTGGAGCCCGAGAAATGGCCCGAGATCGAAAGGGTGGAACTCAAGCATACTATCCGTATCTTTGAAGGTGCTGCGGCTTCAGAGCTGAAGAGTCGTTTGCCATATAATTCAACCGACTCCATCCTGATGGCCACTCTTCAGCAGACCATGACGAAGCAGAGCCTGGACCTCACCAAACCTTTCCGCGTGCTCTACGTCGGACATCCAGAGTTCCGGAACATCATTCTCGACAAGATCGGCGATGTTCTGGTGTCAAGCTCATGTGCTGATTCGGAGACTAGCTCGGCTGAATCTTCCCGATATCATGTCGTTCCGACCTCATTTGGCGCCGGGGCCGTTCCCAACTTTGCAGAGCTTCTGCCAATACATGTCCAGCTTGTGGTTGACGAATGTCTGGAGGCCACGGCTGATCCTCACGCCGACCGGCCCAACGCAATCAAGCTGCATTTCAAGAATCGTCCTGTGTGCACTTCAGCCTGGAACGGATCTTGCTACCAGGTTACGTCTGCAGCAGATTGGACTCTCCCAGACGTAGCAATTATATTTATCTCTGCGGGTAATAACGCAGCAGCTGTCAAGACCCAGCGTCTCACACACGCCTTCCTGGAACGCCACGGGGTCCCGGCAATGGTTATCTCTGAGGAGCCACTATGGAGGATGGCTGGCGAGATGGTCCCTCTCAATCATAATAGCCTGCATACATGCTTGGAGTCCCGCCATCCAATTTCCGGGGAAACTGCTGTCCTTCGGCGGTATCCCATTGATTTGAATACTTTCGAGAGCATTACGCCCGGCCAGTTGAATCGGAACCTGGCTTTGCTCGTCGGGTTGTACCCAAAGAAGTCTCTCAAAGTCACCGCCGAGGCTCCCAAGCCTATCCAAGGGAACATCTTTGCGGATATGGATTTGGAAAAGTATCCAGTGAACTGGCTCCCGCCTTCCTATGCCACTCGGTTCCGAGAACTGGCCCCGACACTGCGTACGGCCACATTGAGCCTCGTCATGGTGATGGCCATGTTCATTGGGTTCTCCGCTCTTAAGGTTCTCTCCATGTTCCTAGTACAGTACTTTGCTGGATCAGCTCTCTCCAATGCATCCTTAATGGTACCGCAGGTCTCTCCCACCTCCGGCCTGACTGTGGATCGAGTGATACAGACCTCGGTTTCGACACAGCCATCATCCTCCTCAGTCCGACTGCCGCACGTACCCTCTTTGGGAGATTTGATTCCTGGGGAGGCTCCGTTGCAAACTATTTCGACTGCGAAATGCCCAGGGAAGAACCACCAATTCGAGGTTCAGGTTATTGGAGACTGCCACGTTATCATTAAGCCTCCTAAGTTTGCATCATCAAAGAAACAGCCACAGTTCGATGTGAGCGTTTCCAGAGATAATACCGAGCTCCCCTATGAGCTTTCTCAGCTGTTCGATGGTGTCTACACATTAAAGCTGAACCGCGAGGATGCTTACGGGTTGGTCGACTTGACAATCACAACCTTGTCAAAACGCCCAGTGAGCGGGACCATAACTGTTGACTTCGGAACACCGTGGCTGAAGATTGCCAACTGGAAACGTGCAGCACAGGGCATCACCGCGCAATTTACCAAGGACCTCCACATCGCCCAGACTGGCCTGACTGAGGCGTATGGCCGCTTATCCACCGACCTACAGGTGATCGTGGGAGATGTGGTGAAGAAAGCTCACTTCCTGCGCCGCGATGCTGAAGGCTTGAAATTGAATCCACGTGACGTCGTTTTGTCAAGATCGAAGCAGATTTCAGAAGTCTTCACTCGCAACACCATTCAACGATTCCGATCTGTGTCTTCGGTGCTGCAAACACGGTCTAGTCGTGTGAATGAGGAGGCCAAGGGACTGCTTCACGATGCGTGGAGCCGCCTTGAGAAGTCTGCAGCAAAGCTTGATCTTCGCAGCATGATGGATCGAGTCCGCAATGCCAGGAAATGCGAAGCTCTCGATCGTGCTCAGTCGCGTGCGCGACATATTATAGGCCTCCGATGAGTCCGATCCCGCAAATCCGGAGATTGCTGAACCTAGACCATTCACGGATGAACTGCTTCGATGACTCTTTATTTGCTTTTTCTCTTCCTCTTTCTCTCTCTTAATTATTTGGCTGCGTATTGGGTTTTGTGACTTTTGTCTATGGCGATTAGGTCGGTGGGGGGCAAAGAAACTGCCTGGGAATGGGGTTCGAAATGTGTTCAGGCGCAATGGTATCTTTATTTACACCATAATCCCAGTTTGCTTTTGCAATATATGAAAAGTAGCTGCTAGGATAGAATACTCACTGAGTCTCACTCTTTCATTACCTATGATTTTCTTTTGTCTACAAAACATTCATCGCCCATTGGCAGACGCGGGCGGTGGCGAATTCTGCCGGACATGGACCCAAAGTAGGTATTAATTTTTCCCCCCCTCGTCGCCGCTCCTCCTGATCAACAAACACTCCCCATCTCTTCGAAAATTCCACTCTTATCCCCCCGTGGAAATCTACTCTCTTTCCTTTGAACCTTTTCGAAACCGACCTTCTTACACCCCGTCATCATGTCTGACGTTGCCGAGACCAAGCCCGACCCCGCCATCGCTGCTCCCGAGCAGACTAAACCCGAGACCACCACCGGCGAGGGCGAGAAGTCTACCACCGAGGCCGTTGCTGAGACTGCCACTGAGACTGCTGAAAAGGCCGCCGACACCGCCAAGGATGCCGCCGTGAAGACCTCTGACACCATGTTCTCCATGTTTGGTGGCGGCCCCAAGAAGGAGAAGAAAGAGGAGGAGGAGCCCACCGATGAGCCCTCCGGCTCTTCTAAGGCCCAGAAGGCCGACGACGAGGTGAGTTGGATACATCCAATGCTGGTGATCTGGTGGGTTGCTGGACGCGTACACATGATGGAAGCGGGGTCTTTGCCCCTTTCTCCAGGTAGTGGGGTCGTCGCAACCAAGCCACATTATGCCGGGTCCATGTTGAAATTGTATCTCGACGCATGCTAATCACGATATCTTCATGCAGGATGAGGTTGAGGAGTCCGCTGACGTCCACTTCGAGCCCGTCATTCGCTTGACTGAGAAGGTGGAGACCAAGACCAACGAAGAGCTTGAGGAGCAGACCTTCAAGATGCGCGCCAAGCTGTTCAAGTTCGACCGTGATTCCAAGGAGTGGAAGGAGCGTGGTACTGGTGATGTCCGTTTGTTGAAGCACAAGGAGAACCACAAGACCCGCCTTGTCATGCGCCGCGACAAGACCCTCAAGGTCTGCGCCAACCACTACAGTGAGTTTGCCGTCCTATTATCCCAGGAGGACCCAATGCTAATGCTTTTTCACCAGTCGTTCCCGACATGAAGCTCAGCGCCAACGTCGGCAGTGACCGCAGCTGGGTCTGGAACGCCGCCGCCGATGTCTCCGAGGGTGAGCCCGAGGCTCAGACCCTGGCCATCCGTTTTGCCAACAGCGATAGTGAGTGTTATCATCCAGGTCTCACATGAGCTTTGACTAACTATGATTTCAGACGCCAACGCCTTCCGCGATGCTTTCGAGACTGCCCAGCAGGAGAACGAGAAGCTCTTCAACGCTGAGGAGTAAATCACGCCCCACCTTCTGACTTGATACTCTTCGAGGATGAGTTGCACGACCAGATCCTTTAGGTCCAATCGTCCGGAAGCTTACTCTTGAAAATTCACCCCAATTTCGCACCCCTCTCCCTCCACATCGTTTTACCATCCTCCCCCCCATCCCATCCCATTCCCACCCCATCCCCCACGACGCGAGCGAGGAAGCAGTTACGAAGATGCTTCCCGCATAGCTATCGCGAGCCATGCAGTTTACGAAATGGAGGGCAGTTTCCCTTACATGGGTGGTTCGCAGTTTGGAAGTAGATAGACATCTCCCCACGAATATACACCTGCACATCACCCCATACCCTGAATATATCCGAAAGGTCCATAAAAGTAACGGTTGCTGAGTATGCCCCAAGCTATTTGTAGTGAACGCAACCAATACAAAGATTCCCTTTCAGAATGTAAAACATGTCAATGCATAGTGTTCCAGCTCATGAGGAGTTACAGGTGGCTTCATGGATCTCACATCTCTAAATGTTTGACACGTTTCTATGAAAGAGTCAGGACCTAGGCGAAGTCGCTGTTCCTTCCGATTCCACAGTCCAGCCTAACAATCTGTACACAGTAGATGCAGTCAAATAAGTATCACAGCGTCGAATTAGAGATCAGAGAAATCATAGCATTAGGTAGTAAGATTGAATAACTTCCAGCTAAACAAGTGTAGAAAGCACATGGACCAACCAGCCCTGGGAGAACTCTCAGTTCAGAGCTTATTCACCGCTTCAGCTTCACCACTTCTACCGTAAACGAAGTTACGAACTTCCAATAACTTCACACAATCCTCAGATCCACACTCCAAGTGGTGCCCGTGACCCCCCTCATTCCCCATCTCCGCGCAAACTTGTCGCCGAACCTCACACGTCACGTAGACCTGCGCACTTAACCGACCTAACTCCGCTTCTCTCAACCAATCCTCCAACACTTTACTTTCTACAACTTACTTCAGCGAATCTTTGAATTCGCTAATCATTCATCATGCCTGACGTGAGTCCTCTACTGTCCTCCGCCGAAGCAACAAAGGTCTCGGTCCTGTCGTCTACAGCTTCGCCGCTGTAGATGGGCCAACTCTGGCCTATTTCGCGTTGAGCTTCAAAACTCCTGTATTGATCACATGGCTAATACTCCTCCCTTGAAACAGGTCAAGCGTACCATCCAGGTCATCACCCGGCAACACATCATGTATGCGCGTTCCCCTCCCCTCTCTACATTTCTCGCGCGAACCCGGAGCCCTGCAAGCGCGAATGCTACCAGCACACCCCCCTATAAAGCCCTTACAACGTGTTCCTCCTATCCGTCTTATATCACATAGGTCCTCGGGGGTGCTGCAGCGCACATGGACCGAGGAGCGCGAAGCTCAGCACAATTGCTCGAACCCTCCCCCCTCCCCCCACCTCGGGTTCTCTATTTGAACACACCAGACTACATTGGAATATATTGGCTGACTTGAGGCTTCTTTTTTTTATAGCGACAAACAGTCGGAAATGGAAGGTTTCCCGCAGCGATCCTGGCACATGGAGATATGGCTCGTTAGCGAAAGACCCAGTGACAAGGGCACCTTGATTCCCGCCAACGTTTTCAACAAGGTCACGTTCAATCTGCACCCCAGTTTCGGTGCCCGCGCCACTCAGGGTACGTATTCGTCTTTTTCTTCCCCCTTGCCTCCCCGTTTCTGTCGTCGCGTGGTGGTTTGTTAAGAATTGTGGAGGACACGTGAGCTTGAGATCACCGTATACTGACTAGACCTTAGTATTCAAGCAGCCGCCGTTCCGGATCCAGGAGGAGGGATGGGGTGAATTCGAGATGACTATTGATCTCACGGCGGATAAGACGTACACCCTTCACCATGATCTCAACTTCCTCAAGGAAGAATACGAGACAAAGCATGTTATCGTGAGTTTCTTTCTGTGGAGTATAAGTGGGATATGTCCTGACTATGGGTTTAGACTTTCAAGAATCCTAAGCCTGCTTTGCTCGCTCTGCTGCGCGAGTCTGGCCCTGTTCCCGGTGACGAGAACGGTGCTCCTAAGGCCAAGCGTCCCACTGCTGGCGATGAAAGCGCCAAGAAGAAGAAGCGCTCTGACAAGAATGTGAGTCTTTCCCTGGTATATTGGTATATTGGTAAATGAATATCGACTGATACGTACTAGGTGGACATGGACAAGCTTGCCGATGGGCTACAGAAGCTGAACGAGGATGACCTCCTGCAGATTGTGCAGATGGTCCAGGACCATAAGGCGCCAGATTCGTACACAAAGAATGATGTTGAACGTAAGTCTCTGCCTTTTGCCTTTCAGTATCTCAACCCCCATCTATATTTCGGCGCTGACAATCTTCTTATAGTTGGAGAATTCCACGTCGACTTGTACACCCTACCAGATACCCTGGTAAAGATGCTTTGGGACTTCACCGCCGAGCGCGTCGTCCTCTAGCTTCAACGAGGAGGAAAAACAGCGGGGTTTGTTTTGTTTTTCGTTTCTCAGTTTTGATGGCTCGTTTCCTTTGCTCCGCTGCTTCCATACCTCGTTTGCATCATACGATATACGTCTGGGTGTTTCTTTTCTTATCCTTTTAAATACTTGTCTTCTGATACGGGGGAGTTAACGGACCATCGGAAATAGGATGGGTCTTTTCTTTTTATTTCTATCGTTGTGTTTGCCCTGAAGTACTTTAGTTGGTTCAGGCTGTTTTTGTGGTCAGTCGTTTTTGACTGTGTTGTTCGGAAGGACTGTAGGTAGTGTCTATGCAGGAGTACTGATGAGATTGACATGGTCCTTGGAGTCGGTCGAGATGGGTATAGTCTGAATATAAGACATACTTATGAGAATTGCTTTGCATGCTATGGCTAGAACTTGGATGTCATGCTCTATCTACGCAATTGCCTTGTATACGGGAAACTAGACAGTCCACGAAGCCTAAGAGTAACAGTAGGTACCGATTGAAGAAATTAACAACAGCATGGGATATCTCGAGTAAACCAACATCAAGGCGCCGGCCGGACTGGTGGAAATAGTAGGGAAATAATCAGAGAGAAAAAGAGACACATGGTGACCAGACCATTAACCAAGCAACTCCCTACCTGGGCCATACCCCCTACCCCCATATCTAGTGAACAACGCCGTAGGAGAATCCAGTGATTTGCGATCAAGACCCAGTGTTCGGAATTGACATTCCGATAGATGGTAAGGAGATATGTCGGGAATATGTTTGAAAAGAGAAAAGGACATAGAAAAAGAAAGGAAAGAAGGAGAGAGCGTGGCCATGTAGAGGAGATTTCGAAACCAAGACGCCTTGCTAGCCAGTAATATTGGCTGGAAGAAACAAATAAGGGATATCATAGCACACGGTGCCTGGTAGTAAGTTAGTATATGCTTCATCGAATAAAGTACGGACAATACGCACATCTTCAACAAATCCTCCAAACTATCCGCACTGCAACTGCGTCCACGCGGGATATTGCGCAGAATATCAACGACAGTAGCGAAGACCTCACCACCCCGATACGCCAGTAAAGCAGGCGCCTGGATATGATCCATCTCGGCGATATCGCGATGCATCTTGACAAACCGCACAATCGGTTGTCTGCGGGCGATAGTAACGAGACATTCCTCGACAATGGCGCTGTCGTCGGACTATATCAACAGTCAGTCAGCTAACTGCAATCAAACCCAAAACCAAGAAAACAAAAACCAAAAACCAAAAACATACCTCATGATCATAAATACAAACAACAACCACCGTATCCGAAGTAACCTTCTCAATAGCATCCAAATAGCCCACCGCATCAACAGTCTCCACAGTCCCGTACCTTCGTCCCCTCGGACTAGGCCGTCTATTATTCCTCCCCTGCAACTCCTGCATCCTCGACATGCGCCACTTCCTCATAAACCGGGATTCATCATCATCCTCGGACGCAGAAGACTGTTCGCCGGAATCCTGCGGCTTCGAGCCATACGAGCCGGAGCCATTCGAGTTCGAGTCCAGACCCGCGACTGAGAGCAGGGTGCGACGGAAGGAGCGTTTGCGTGCGCGCTCGAAGGCTTGTGCGTCGGCGATTACGCCTTTGGGGCCCGTGTTGGCTTCGTAGATGGTGTTGGGGATGTGGTAGGTTGGCGCCCGCGCGGAGACCATGTTGTCGGAGTCTTCGTCGGAGGAGTCGGCTTTGTTGTCGGCTGTGTCGGAGTGGTGGGGGGAAGAGGAGGAGGAGCGGTCGTAGTTTAGGTCTTCGGGGTGGGTGGTGAGGGTTTGTTTGCTGTTTACCAGCTGGTTGAATTCTTCTTGGGCTGGGGTTGACATTGTGGGAGAGGAAGAAAATATGAATGAAGAATGGGATAAAGAAAGAATGCAAGAAAAGGGGTTTGGACTGGGATGAGGGTTGAGTATGAGATTGGAGAGATCTGGGGAGCACGTTTCGGGTGGAGTCGGTATGCAGTCAGAGTCTTGTTCGAGGTTTGCCCCTGAAAGTTGAAACGAGGCTGAGGTTTGGGAAGAGATCGGCGCTAGGCCCCCCCTTTTGTTTACATCGTTTGACTACGGAGTACTCCGTACACAGTACACAGTCATTTGTCTTATTACACAGTATGGTGTACAAGTATATTCTTATGGATACTGAAAGAATAGAATAAAAGAGTGAAGTATAAAGTAGGAAGACAGAAATCAACCAGTTCATGGCTATACTTAGCATTCTCGTGTTTCACCCCCAAACATCCTCGACATCTTAAATTCCTCGATCCCGGGCATTCTAACGGAATCGAGCCTTTAACCCTGCCCCGATCATTGCCCAAGCCGGCGATCAAACATCGATCAAACACCGATTCCACACCGCTCCAGGATCTGTCCTGTCCAAGAGACAACACACCCATGTCTAGAGCCTGGTCTAGACCTTACAAACCAAACCCTCGACACGAAATACTCGACTGTCTTTGTTTCTCATCCCCTTGGTCTCCAAGTACTCCGTATCTGCATAAGCATTGCCCCGTGTCGGGCATCACGGAGATCCTCGGCCTCCACAGGGCACAAATTAACTCACACCTTATTCCACAGCTCACAGGTGCAATTAAACGTTACCCTATTATATTAGAGTAGCGGGGACCAACGCCGAAGTCAGAAACGCATGTTATAACAACAGATAACAAAGACCAAGGACCTTACATCGACGATATCCCCGTCTAGCAAGAGCTTTCCGCAAAGTCGCCTCACTAACATTAAGCCCCAATTCCTTGATAACCTGCGAATAAGGCATTTCACGTCTTTCTGCCGAGGACGAGATGAACTCAATTATCTCATCTAGCTTCTCTTCGGATATCTTCCGGGCCCGGCCATTACGTGGTGTAGGGCTATCGGCCGCACAGGCTAATTGGACCTGGAGGCTGGCGCTGTGTGACACCTAATGTGCGTGAAATGTCGGCATAAGTACAGCCCTGGACCCCTGGTTGCGTAGGGCGCCCGCTATTAGACGTTGGTCGCACGTCGTCTGGTGCCGAGGTGTTTTGGGTAGTTGGACTTGGGTGGTTTCGGAGGACTGGGAGGGTGCCATAGGTCTATTGATTGTACGCAGGAGAGATGGGGAGGTTGTACACTGGCTATTCAGTGACTTTGGAGTACCGCGGTACGGAGTATTTAAGTTAACTGGGAGTGTAAATAGAAGCTTGGAAGTTTCAGGAAGGTATGACATCGCCAGGTATGAGACTAGTCTGAATGGGGGGGTCATGTGCTAGGGGATGAAGTCACCGAGCTTCGCAGGACTGATTCCAGAGTTCAGAATGGACATCGTTGGCCTGATAGATGGGTGATGAGATAGCCCAGTCGGGTTGGGCCTGCGTGGCAGACTATGGCCCACTGGCACTGAGTGTACGGAGTAGCTGCGAGAAGGGATCCAAGGGTTGTACGCGTGTACGATCACCTACGATATCCCCTGTTAATGACTCATGGCTACATGTACGTGTACTGACTACTACGCAGTAGACTGCCCACCGAATTCACGACTTGGAAGCTCTAGTTACTTGTGCTGAACCGAATTCAAGATTGTATGCATGCCTGTTCTGATGCTCTGCAGAACGTCTCTACTGCCATTGATCTCCACGCGGAGTCGGAAAACAGAATAGAAAAGATCACAATTGGAAATTGAAGCTGCTCGAACCGTAACAAAATCCGACACCAAAGAATCCCAGAACAAGAGATTCCAACGCAAAGGCAGTAAGTACAACAGATTCTTTCTTTAGGAGAGAGTCAAGAACAAATAAGAAGATTGGAGAGAAGAAGAGGAACTGGGTGGACATGGTCATAAGGTAACGCAAAGGTTAAATCAGCGATAAAAGAGAATTCCTAACCAAAATCCGGCGAGATCGTGCCTTTGCCAAGAAAATACATGCTGAGACCGATGCGGAGGCAACCCAGATGAAGAGGTAAACTGAAGGGGGGATAAAAAAAATCAAGAAAAGCAGGGAAGCAGGGGAAAGGACGTTATCAAGAAGTCAAAAGGGGGGGAAGAATTAAAGGACCAGAGACGAGGGTGACGGCAAAGGCACCAGATGGATGGACTCCTTCTGCACAGTCACTGTACCACCATCAACCCCAATGGCTATTGCGCTCTCGTCGGGTCCAAACAAGTGTCATCGCTATCGTTTGTTCGCCGGGACAACCTCCCATAGCGCTCACCTCCACCTCCGTCACCTTCCGTATCGCATGCGACGGCCGAGGTCCGCCGCGAGTGTATTATCGTGGGATCCCAAGAGGTACCCCAGTAATTGATTATTATCGTACAATGGCGGAGATTCGAACCGTCGAACCTAAAACATTTGAAGAAGAGCATTGCAGAATGATCGACACGGGGTATCTTGCGTTTCGTTTTTGTTGTTGGATTACCAGGCCCAGACCTTGAGCTGTACGGGAGAAGATCGGTTAGTAGATGCGTACCAAAGAATCTTCCTGGAGAAACGTACCAAAGAATCCCAAGATCCAGTGCAAAGACTGATGCCATCGTTGCTGACACCCAGACAGCTGACACGGTTCTCGTGGCCGCTCAACGATCCAACCTTGTCTCCCCGCAGAACGTCCCATACCTGAAGTTGGATTAGTGTGATTCCCCACGTCGGGGTAAGATCGAGACGTACCTTGCACTCGAAATCATCATAACCTGCGAATAGTAATCGGCCCGACACTGAGAACGCAACGGAGGTGATACCGCATAGAACTTGATCATTCTGTCGAAAGAGTGTCAGTTTTCATTCATAAAATACAAATCTCGTAGATCATAAGTACCTGATAGGCGTTGAGCTCGCGGTCGGCACGGATATCGAACAGACGGCAGGAAGTGTCGTCGGAACCAGTACCGAAGGCGTTGCCATCGGGGAAGAACTGAACGGCATTGATGTCGGACTCGTGGCCGGCGAAGGTCTGAACGGACTTGCCGGTACGGATATCCCACAACTTGGCGAAAGCGTCGCATGCACCGGAAACGAAGATGTTCTGGTTGGTCGGGTTGATGCTGATCGACATCACGTCGCCGAGGTGGTCGGCAAACTCGGTAACCTTGGTTCCAGACTCGATATCCCACAGCATACAAGTCATATCGCCGGACGAGGTAATGATGCGGCGGTCGTTGATGAAGCGACAGCAGGAGAGATATCCCGAGTGTCCGGAGAGCTCGCGCGCGACACGGGTCGGGCCTTCGCGCGATGACAAGTTGTAGATTGAGCAAATGTTATCGAGACCACCACAGGCGACGTAGTTTCCACTCGGGGCATAGGCACAGGTCATGACCCAGGATGAGCGCAAGGGAATCGCATGAACCTTGTTTGTGGTGTAAGCATCCCAGATGATGAGCTTTCCGTCCTGCGAAGCCGAAACAAGATGACGTCGATCGGTCGACCAGTGCATAGCATAAATCTTAGCGAGATGACCCTTCAGCGTACGTCGGGGCTTCATTCCAATTCGTGGTAGGGAGTCGGTCTGGTTCTGCGCGACTTGACGGACTGGACGGGAGGACAAAAGTCAGCATGGTGAAAGACGCAATGGTATGGGTGCAGCTGCATTGACAGTTGCTTCCAAAGCCAAGACCTCAAAACATAAACAATGGATGGGGGAGTCGCACGGGAGGTATCGGCCAGCTCATCCTTTCTGCGCTTAATCTTGTCTTTCAAACCCTCAGCTTCGCGCCTGGCAGCGGTGATCTTGGCCTGCATTTGTTCGCCGCTCGTCTCGGCCATTTTGTCGGAAGGTACCCCGGAGGTAAAACAATGGAAGTGTCAAAAGAAATGTAGAGGGGGGTTATGAAGGGTAGGGAGGGGGCTGAATGGGAGATGTGGAGCGAAGAAGCAGGGGAGAATGGAAAGGCGGGATCGGGAGTTGAAGCGCCTCAGGCTCAGATCATAATAGTCAAGTTAAGAAAGAAAGAAAAAGGTGAGCGAGGAGACTCTGTAGGGGGAAAAAGAGAAGCCAACAAGAGCAAGAGGAACTGGATTAGAGAGCAGGAGGAACAGGGGGTGAAGGCCGAGCGAGAGAGAGTCAGGCTGTCAGCCAATTACTAGTGGTAATCTGACCAGAATGGGAAGGTACCTAGACTACCCGCCAATTACTGAGGGGACAGAAGTACCTACATGTACATATATGTGTGTATCCAAAATCGTGCTTTTTCTATTCAATAAAATAACCAAAGCGAATGCACTTTGGTTGATTGAACATGTACTAGTTTTAGCTAACTAGATGACTCCAATCCTTCAGGTTCTATGTACCCTTTCTTTGTTTTTCCCCATCCCCCAGAGGTGGAGTCGACCACTTTCTGTATGTGCAATACGCAATACAATACCAAATACGTTAATACACGCACATTGTCTTAATTTGCCCCGGGTACCTGGGGCCGGTTTGTTGATATTTGAACTAGCTGACGTACATATATGCCTTTACATTGGCATCTAAGAAGTGGCTATACTTGGAGGTACGTACGTGTCTCAACTACGGAGTAGTATCTAGAGATATTGTCGTCACCTTACTCTAGAGAACCCCCTTTGATCTCAGGAGTCTGGGAAATTGTGGCGCTGGGGATCGGCTCGGTGCTAGGACCACTAGAGCCAGACTGAAGACAGGCAAGAAATCCACTTTCGGAGATCAATAACAGCGGCACTTAAATACTACCGTCTCCCTGAATTATCGAATTAACCGCCCCGCGGCTCTGCAGTAGAGATTATCTGGCGGCTCTCTGACATATCAAGTGCTCAGACTCCCTTGCGTCCCCTTATTACTTCGGCACTGAGGTGGTCTTGTCAAGCTGAGGGAGATTGGATGTGGCGCACGTCCATTCGGGTATCATGCCTTTCTTTCGGGCCAATTTCTGACATATAAACATACTATGATACGTATGTTCTGCACATGTACAAATGTGCTTGTGCTGCTAATACTGATCTCCTCTGAGTCCTCTTGACTACACGGAAGTCTATACATCGTGTACTCCGTACTCCGTGCACTTCGTACAGTACCACTACCGGCCCAAGCTTTTACCGCACCTGAACCAGCCACCATGGACAGCGTCCAGTGCACGGCCCTGTGGCTGACCATTGTCTTACCTAGTTGAAGCCATAGATTGCATCTCCGCTATTCTGGATGCGGTTGATTCAATTCACTCTACAATACTCTGTACAGGAGAGAACTCACATCATCACATGTACAATGGCGTCACTCCACCTGAGCCATACATATTCCCCGTCAGCCCTCAACCCTACCCCCGGGGTATTGGATATCCCTCGGCGTCAGCACCCGTTCCGGCGGGTCTAGCCGTTGTAACGTTGTAAGTGCATTTCAATTTAAATGAAAGATTCGACACGATGTGCAGGGATTTTCTCTGGGCTCGCCCAACACTCCGGGATCCGTCTCCACTACACAGTACAGAACATATCGATTGTGTCTGTCTGCGCCCCCCTTTTTTTTCTATGGAGCCGAAATCTTGGGCTTACTCATGCGTATTTATCGTCGAGACCTCGGGACGATCATTATTTGGGATTCTCTGGCCAGACTTCCGGAGAATCGGCTCAATCTGCTTGGTTGACCGCTTGGCAGTGATTCATATGAAACGGACGTTAGAAGAACAGAGGCAGGAGGATTTAATCCTTGGTTGTCGTATCCTTCAGGGCTTGATATTGCTGACAGTCTCCACTAATCAGAGACAGCTCGAAGGTCCGCCAAGGTCTCCACTCGGGATCTTCAAAATGGCGCCGTCTGTCATGCAGACTATCATCTTCGGAGATTTGCAGATGACATTCCTTACTCCGTACATATCAAAGATGGCAAAGCCCAAGTCAGCAGCTAAGCCAAGATGGCGGGATCCCGAACTTCCTCTCTTGGTAGTAATCCATTGGTCTCAAAGCCATGATTACCTGCCGGCCTGGCATGGATTGGTCTGTACGTACAGTCATGATCCAAACCCTCGTCTAGAAGGGGGGGTCCATCTCAGCTCGGGCCTGCAAGGCACCCACCGATACCGAGATTGATTGAGAGATTGACTTCTACAATGTAGATTGTGCGAGTCACAGCGTATGTTGGGTCGGAGTCTGGGACTGACCTCGCTGCCACTTTGTCCATCATACTCCAACACGCGCATGCTAACCCCTATTCCCAGCAACTTGAACCATAAGCAGGAAATCCCAAAAGAAGCATACACATCCGTGTACGAGACGCCCCAGTATCTGTGTCACCGTTTTCACGCCCTCGGTTTCAGGGATGCGGGAGCTCCAGCGCAACTCCTCCAGAGTTGGTTATAGTTTGCGCCATATCACGGAATAGACGCAAAAGCCTGCTCTGAATCTTCCAAGATTCCGATTCGAGAACATGTTGCAGCTTTATCTCAGAAATCATTCTGAACCTACCATAGAGCCCTCTGATGACGACTAGTTTTAGTTTCGCGGTACATACATGTGACACTTTGCAGGTATGTCGAGTTCTTGGCTGTTCTTGATGGTTCTCGGAGAGGTACGATGCATGTCAATAGCACGTGCGTCATGCATTCCATATATGTATGCTGTAGATCGTCTCCTGAGCAAATGGCGTGGGCTCGTCAGCTATTTAATGGGGTGCTTTTGTCGGTGGATGTTAGAAGACATTTTACAAATGACTTTATACCCTGGAGAATGCTTTGTTTTCCAGGAGAGAGAGATGGAGAGCCTGCTTTGGTAACTATTGATATTTACACTTACCTCTTGAGGTCCGTTCCATTTTGTAGCAGAGATGCTGAGGTAGCCCTGCCACTCTAGTCCGCAATTTTGTTGTATACGACGTTAGTATGAAGAGGGCAGGAACCAGCGACGATATCTTGCCTGTCATCTTTGATTGTGAGCAAGATGGCCAGGGTAATTGCCTATAGCATATCAGGTGAGCTTCGCTAGCGCTGAGTTATCTTTTGTATTGTTAGCTACCTTCGTAGTGCATGCTACTAGTACCTCTTTGTTGTTTCGCGTTCCCGTAGGGGGGCTCGAAACCCATCGATATGGACTGAGAACTAGTTAGCCGTTGGATGACCGATCCTCATTTGCCAATGAGATGTGGCATCAAACATTGGTCATAATAGTCTGGGGCAGTAGTGCGGGGTTTGAGAAGTGAATAATTGAGGCTCGACTGATGATCTCGGGGATGGGCTTGCTATTCCTCCCCTGGCCTGGCCGATGCCGAGTGCCGCTCTCCTCTGTGGTCTGTGGGTTTTCATAGTTCTGCCCAGATGAAACGAGCAACTTGAAACGATCTAGAAAATCAGGCGCAGGATAGGCTTCCCGGCAGTTCGCAGATGTTCTCGATGTTCTAATCTTAGTCCGTCCGTGCACTGTTGCAGGCGCGTGTGAACCCTGTCAAGATGTGATAGAGCCCTTGCCGGCCCCTTGGGGGCCAATGCCATTTGTTATGGCGTATTGGCTGTTGATTGTTTGTTGCTAAGATTAACTTGCTCAAAATAAACTAGATACCTGGTCTAGGGCTGACGAAACGGCGTCTGGCAGTGTGATGCTGGACTCCGCTCACAATGTGAGGTGTAGCCAACAGGGGTCGAAAAGTCCAGGCCAGACGGAAGATTTTCAATTTGATGTTGTTTCACGGGCCATTTCTTCTCTTCCAATTGGTTTCCCAGAGGTACATTTGTATAGGGAGTGCCGGAGTATAGCATACTTGGGAGAGAAGATGAGAGGAAAGGTGGACAAGCTAGACCATTCACGTCAACATTCTCATTGTAGAGCTCTGTCTTCAACCTCGAGACCCGGTTCTTTGACATGTGGACGTCGACAAAATCTAGATGTAACACAACTCATTTCAAATGTTGATCCATCACACTCGGTATAAGGCATCTACAGTTGTAGGGATAACAACCGAATGGCTTCTTTCCCCCCTCCCCCCTCAGTGGGGAATTTAGATCGAGCTTCTTCCAGTCAGGACAAAAGGCCGAAGCTATTCAAATAGTTCATCGGAATCATTGGTGGATTCATGTGATGGTCATTGCTTGAGATCTACAGCCTCCGCTCGTGGCACTGGTGCCGTCCGGCATAGTCAATCACGCATAAGTTTGATAGTTTGGTAACGATCGTCTTCAACATGCAGAGCATAATTATCCCGAATGATCAAGGATCCTGTGACAAGGACATACAATTATGCCAGCTGGTATGTGAAGAGAAGTAATTTTCATTGTCCCAGGTGGCAACTCCCGAGGCCGGTACCCAATGTAACGGAGGGGAGGAGATTCGGAGGTCAAGGACAACATACAGATGGAGTGAGAGAAATATGAACAAATTGCGAGGGAAACATGAGATGCCTATAACTACGTAAGATCGAAAGAAAAAAGAATATCCCCAACTAAAGATAGATGAAGGAAACAGAAAGGCCCAGGTAATTCTCAAGTGGCGCAAATACCCATGCGGACCTGCGGTAATATTAAGGAGGCACCTGACGCTCTCCGCTTTTGCCTTCGCAAAAGGCCTTGGGAAACCTCTTCCTCACCTTCCCCTCCATCGACAACCACATCATTATCGAAATCTGCTAAGCATTCATCCCCTCATATATTGCATTTGATCTCCCTGTCGTCCCTCGTTTTCATTCCTTCAACTCAAGCGCTTCTGGACTGACCGCTTGGGTCTTGGTCAATCTCCCTTTCCGCCCCTTCTGGTTGGGAGTCATCGAAAACATCCTTCGACTTCGATTTCAATCTCGATTCGCCCGATGTCTTTGGATTGATTCATCTCAGCGCGAACTTCCGCATCAGTCGCAGTGAACATCATCTCATCTGATCTGGTTAGGGGCTGAAATCAACCCACCCCGAATTTCCGTCAAAAGGTCCTCACCCTTTTCGCATCTCGTTCATTTCCGAATGTTATCTGGTCTCCCTCGATCATCCTCCGCATCATCCGCATAATCTTTCGTCACTTCGTCACATTTTCGCTCCCGTTCACTCATCATGCGGGAAGTCAACTTCAGCATTCCCAATGTGAACAAGGCTTCGGTCAACATCACCACTACCCTCTACGACCGTCGTGCTCTTGATTGCACATCAACACTACCGCTCATAAACTCCCTCAACCATCTTGCATACCTCACAACTTCGTCCGCTCGCATTCGAGATATCCTCACTGTCGATGGCGGCATCGAGCGATTGGTATGCATCCTCAAAGAGGGCCGGAGCAAAGACTTGATGGAAATGTGGAAATGGAGTCTCGCCTTTCAATGTGTCGTCAATATCGGTGTGCGAGGTTCTGAGGGTGTGCGGACCAGAGTGGTGGAGGCCGACATGGTCCCCGTCATTGCCACAATCCTGAACAACTACATCAAAGTGGTGGACAAGGTGCGATCGCGCAACGACCCCGATTCCGAGAAGCAGCCTGCCTGCAAGCAATCGAGGCCCAGCAGCAGTCGTGAACCCTCCACTCGCTCGACCCCTATGGATACCGATGCCCTGACCGAGTCACACCCCCAAGTCGATTTACATCAATCTCGCCGACAAGCCCCCCCGCCGAGTATCGAAATTCCCCGACCATTCTATCAGGACAGCCAGCCCGTCGATTCCGATGCCATGGACATTACATCCCCTCCTCGTGCGCCGATGACATCGCCCCCGGAACGAAGTGCTTTTGGCCAGGAATCCAGCGGTCACCGGCTAAATGACGGGCGGTTCCCACGCGCTAGCAATCGTCTGCGTTCAATGCGACCTCTTGCCACAGCAGTACCTTCAATGGACACTGCCGATGGATTTGGACTGCGTCCTGTCCGTGATACTGAGCGTCTTCCTAGCATGCTTCCCGGTTTGCAGACCGGAATTGTCTCGCAGCCCGATTCCCCGACTACTCCGAGTGGCCCCCTCCACTCACAACCCCGGACCCTCCCCCAAACGATTGCCGCCCGCCAACGCCCTTTGATCCGCCAGCAACAGTCGGCGTCCGGTGAATCAGATGATGCCAATGGCGAAGATTCGACCATGGGAGAGGATAGCGCGATGGGACAGCCCGCTGAAGCCATCGTTGGAATTCCGAACCACCGAATGGAACTTGATGGTGCCGACGAACGAACACCGACGATGCTTGACAATGTCTCTACCGCGCATGGGCTGACCGTCACGGATCCTTCTGAGGAGGGCGGCCCGGAGGTGGAGACGTTCAATATCACACATCGATCAATCGTCGACGGTAGCATCAACAATAACGGCAACGCACAGGCCAACGGCGGACTGGGCTTATCTCCTACACAAGCCACCAACAACCCTAATTCTCCTACTCTCGCCCCCAGTCCATACGCCCTGTACCTCCGTGACCGAAACGCTCCCGCTGCCCAGGGAGTATTGACAACTATGCCTCGTGACGAGGATGTTCTGATGTCCCTCCAGCTCCTGGCATATGTCTCTAAATACTGCAACCTCCGCTCATACTTCCAGTCATCTCATCTTGTTCCCAAGTTGAAGATCGACCGTGAACTCCACCTTCTGGATGAGAACGCCGATGCCTCTCTACCAGTCGAGATGTGTGAGGAGGAGGATGAGTACTTGCTTCCCGACGATGTCAACATCTTCCCCTTGGTGGAGAAGTTCACTGTTCGCCATCACTCTAAGGACATGCAATATTGGGCATGCGTGGTCATGCGTAACCTCTGCCGCAAAGACGAGGCAAGGGGCGGTATCCGCCAGTGTGCATACTACAAGTGTGGCAAGTGGGAGGAGTTCCAACGTCAGTTTGCCAAGTGCCGACGTTGCCGCCGCACCAAATACTGCAGCAAAGATTGCCAGAAATCCGCGTGGGTATACCACCGGCACTGGTGCCACACGACCCCTTGATACGACCGATGACCCCCGAGGAGTTTCATTCTTTGATTTCCATGCATACCGGCTCGCATAGCGTCATATCCGTCTCGCGTCTCCTTCCATTATGTTTCAAGGTTCCCTCGCGCATGGCATCTCAAAATCTGGTGGCGTTCCCCATTTCGACCCGAAGATACCTTTTACATGTCTAGTCATTTTTTATATCTTTTTGATTCCCTCGCACCGTTTTGCCTTCATCTTGGTCCAGTGACCTGGGCCCTTCATTTGCGAGCCATCTCTATTTCATTGCTCATATCCACATTTGACCATCACTCATGACTGTACATCTCATTCTCACATCCTGACCGGGGGCAGATTCCCTTCGCCTTCGTTTTCAAGGCTTATCGCGTTTATTTCTTCTCTATCTCTCTATTTCTTTTCATATCTAGCTAATTCTGCTATAACGAGTTTCCTATGTCAGCAGGTGGGCAGCTATACTGGCAATCTTGGCAGTGTCATGACCATCTGAAGCATTAGATTCTAATGCATATCCGATCTTTTGATTCCGATTTATCTTTGGAGGCTCTCGTTCTGGTTCATGCACTTTATTACAACGGCACAGGCGTTGATAATTCATTCCAATTTACGACTTCACACCAACGCCTTGTAGGCTAGTAATGCCGTCTGTAATGCTGCCTGGTCCATATCTCTACCTCCCCTACTCATCCTTCTCAAATGCATACGTAGCCCCCAACCTCGCCATAAGATGCCCATGCGCCGTCAAAGCCCTCTTCCCCTCCTCCAAATCCCCCGCCCCACCCCCAAATCCAACCCTCCCACCATCCACCCTCTTCCCCTTCCGATGCGCCGCAACAACCGCACTGGGGACAGGCACCAACTCCGTCTCATCAACCGGATGACAAAAGTAAACAATAGTATACCGATCCCGCGGAGTCAGGCTCTGCCGCTCCGCAGCTGGAAACACAACCCGATGCACAGTCGACTTGAGCAGCCCATCCGTCCAGTAACTAAGCAAATCCCCGATGTTGACGAGGATTGGCGGGAAGGGATATTGGCCTTCGCTTGTGCCGATGCCGTCGCCGATGCCGGTGCCGTCACCGGTGCCAGGCACGATGGGAACAGGCGCCCAGGTTCCATCTGTGTTTTTGATTTCAAGTCCTGGTTGGCCGGGACGCTGGAAGAGGAGGGTTATGCTGCCGTAGTCTGAGTGAGCGCCGGCTCGGACGTCGGTTTCGTGGTTGTAGGTTGCTGTTGCGGTGGAGGTTATGGAGGGGTAGTAGAGGTAGCGCAGGATGCTGCCTGTTTGGCCGGTTTTGGGGTCGTGGCGGGTTGTGAAGAAGGTTGGGTCGATCTATACCAGTGTTGGTATGGATTTTTATCCAATTGTACTAGAGATGGACGGAATGGTTGAGATGGGTGGAATGGTATGGTATACGTACCTCTAAACCTAGGGCTAGGAGGGTTAGGACCCGGTTGCAGGTTTTGTTGCAGAGTTCGGCGAAGCTGTTGATTTCTGCTTCGTGGGGAGATAAGGAGGGGGGTAGGGGTTGCTGGGCTTTTCCGTCTTTGAAGTCGCCAAAGTTCATGGCTCTGATTTGGGGTTAGCTTTGGTTTGAACTGGAGATATGAAGAATGGTTGCTTTACTCTTTGAAGTCGCCGGTCTATCACGATGTTAGTGTCAATTCCTTCCTAGGATGGAAGGGTAAAGCTATGAACATACTCGCTGGTGTTCTGGGTCGAGGGTTTCTGTATGCATGCCTGACCAGCCACGGTTCTATAGTACTATTAGGTTGGACTCTTGTTGAGTGCGTTCGATCTGTTACGAACATTTGGCTGGATCCGACATGTCTCCTTCTCCTCTGGCGGAGATGCGAAGAACTTCTTTGACTATAAGACCGTTAGATATTGCTGTATCGATGAAGAAGCAAGTCAAGGGCCTACCAATCCAAATGCATGGTCCACGTCCTCGACTGTGAAATCGGTCCCTTTGCTGTTGACGTACAAGAAGCCATACTTGGCAGCGGCTTCCAGCATGGCCTTCCCCACGGCCGGGTCGTGGGGGTTGGAGATGTCAATGACAGGGAGCTCAATAGGTGTGGTTTCTGTCATGTTGGATTATAGGTACCTATCTTGTGCTCTAATAGGGGGATATGTGGTATGTGGTATGTGGTGGTAGGAGGTCGAGATGGAGAATATATAGTGAAGAGATACTGAAGAGCTTTCGGACCAGAAGCTATATCTCATCCATAAGGTTAGTGGGCCTATCGCATATCTCCGACATAACCAATCCAATAGACTTACTGGCTCTCAGTTCTCTCTGAGCTTCGGCGAGATCCGAGTGAGGTGAATCTTCAGGTGGAACCCCGCGATATGTCACCCCCGCTTATTCTTTAGCCTCAAGCTGTAGGGTTTTTTGCCCTCTGTCATGTATACAGTCCAGGTACTTCATAATATAGGGCTATAAATTCTTTCTATTTTGTATGTACGGAGTACGGAGTACTGCCCGTGGAGAAGCTAATAGAGCAATGACTTCATAATCTGTATCGAGAATACCTTTAGAAGCTGAACAGTGATCAGAGATCAGATAAACTTGATATGCTAAGAACAAGCCAGAATGATGCAGTCAAAAGCATCAGCAAACAATTAAAGGCTGTGAGTTGTAAGGCAAAAAAACATAACTAAGGGCCAACTCTTTAACTCCGCCTTTCCAGACCCCCTCATGTTCTGGCCTTCTCTCCCATTCCAAGATCACAACAATCTCAGCTCCACTTCATCGATTTCCAAACGCCGAGCTTTTGATCTGCTCCTGTAACATTTGATAATATCTCTTGTTCAACCCTTCGGGCATTGACGCCCGGCGTTGCCGTGCTTTCAACCCATAGCTCCAGAACCATGCCGAGTGCGCAACCCTACCTTGAGCTCCGCCCTGCAATCACAGCTAATTTGAGATCCGATTAGTTCGCCCTCTCGATGAATGGGCCGTTGGCCGCACCCAGTCCCTGCCACTCTCCGCGTTGAAAGGCGCCGTCATCGGTATCGACGCATCGCACTACATCCACCAACACCTCGTCAATCAGTCAACCCGAGAGGCCCTTCTCGGCGCACTAGGCGGATTCCCGTTCGCCCTGAGAGCCAACATCGAGAAGGAATTGCAGACTTTCAAGAACCTCGGCGTCGCCTGCATCTTCGTCTTCAATGGTTTGACATTCGGCAAGAGGGAGCAGCGCGCCCAACCCGCCGCGTCGCGCTCGTTCCAACAAGCCTGGGACCTTTATGACCAGCAACAGGCAGACCAGGTCGTGGATGCTTTCAGCAGTGCCGGTATGATTACAGACCCAGTTTTCTACGTCACCCCGATGACAGACTCCTCTGGAAGCACATACTATTATTGGACCCAGCAAGACGACCCGATTGCTGACAGTTGGGTATTATCAGGCACCCCGCCCCCGGAGACACTCTTCAGATTCCTGCAACGGATCTTGTTCCAAAACGGAGTTGAATTCATCGTAGCACCATACAGCGCTGTGGCTGAGGTAAGTGGCTCCCGGATGACCACGCGGATCAGTGCTAATAAATTCCTCTGTGAAGCTCTCTTACCTTGCCCGCGGTAATAATCCTGTGGTCGATGCTGTTTTTGGCCCCTCCGAAGCTCTTTTATTCGACCTCGATAAGCTGGTGACCCGTATCGACACCGAGCCCGCGCAATTCTTCTGGATCACAAAACAAACCTGTCAGGAGGAGTTGGGACGCCTCTCAAATGAACAATTCTTGGAATTTTGCTTGTTGCTGGGTTCTCCATTCCTGCGCGCTCTCCCGCTTTTCGACAATCCGGCCTTCCCAGGGAAAGGCCCCACCGTTCGTGATGCGTTGCCGATGTTCAACGCAGCGGGGCGCAGTGCCTTGACACTGTGTGCTCAATATGAAGAGGACCGCCGTATGCAGGAACTCCAGTACGCAGACTTGTACAAGCGCGCGTATATGATCGTGAAGCACCATGTCTACCTTGACATCGAGGGTCGTGTTGGCCCCATGGACCCAGAGAATACCTCGTCAGATATGCATGAGCTTATCGGACAGCGCCTACCAGAGGAGCTGTACTTCTATATCTCGAAAGGCATTATTGGCGCCGATGTACCGAACTTCCTTACCACGGGTGAAGTTCGCCTCTCGCTACCGCTTGGCACCGAAGACACAGAGATCTATCGCCAGCTCGTGGGTGATATTCTGACGCCCATTCGCACTCAGTCCATTTGTCTTTTGGCAAACTCACTTCACCGTTTCTACCAAACGAAAGTGATCAAGATCCGTCCTTGGTTCGATGAGAACTCGGACAGTCGATTCGTCGAACTAAAGAACCTTCCGTCCGTCAAAGAGACCATTGTGCGTTGGAGAATTCATGGGGAAAATCTCCCCGAGAGTGTCAAGAAGATCCAAGCGCCTCGTGGATCCTTCAAATTTGCCGTTCAGAGCTTGAACGACCCTGAGTTTGCGTCTAAGTCGTTTGCTAATAGAGAGACACCTGTAAGTCGTCTACCTACATGAAACATGATTTTCATAACTGACTCCTTCGGAAGGCCCTGTCATCACAGGATGATATATTGTCCAATGTTATGTGGCGATTCCTGCAACTGCGTGGATACGCGGACGAGAAGCACCAGCTCACTTCGTGGGGCCAGTGTTTAGTGCAGGCATTCTCAGCGGTCGATACTGCAGACAACCTTGAGGAGTCAATCTTCATTGCCATCGAGATGATCCGCCTGGGTCTTCTCAACACAAAGCAGTGGTTCTCACATGTGTCCGGAGGTCCTATGCGAGGATCGGACAACGACAAGTCTTTCAACATGCTCATCTCCCGCCTTGCATGTGTGGCCAAGTTGCAGCACAAGAGCATTGGTTACTCCGGGCCCCTGAGCCGTCAACTTCTTTGCTACCGGTCTTTGATTTCTGAGGTTCGCTCTACATTAAGGAACCTGATCGAGGTGGTACTGGCGAGTATGCTCCTCAGTTCAGACGCCGATCGGGACCGTAATGACTGGACTGAGATGGGTATCAAGTATGTCCCTTTGTTGCTATCTATGTTTCTATGTGTTTCTAACTCATCTTCCCAGGCTTCCGTTTATTGACGATAATGATTGTGGGCTTGGAATTGCGGTCCGAACCTACCTTGACGACCTTCCTCTACAGGCAAATCCCACCTCGCCCGAGGCTCGTTCCGATGTGAAGGCGAAGGGCAAGGAATGGTTCCAGCACAGCGAAAGCTTTACTGGAAACCTGGATTTGGCTTTCAAGCTTTGGGATGCGGTTCGTATAACCTGTATCTAGGTGTCGATCAAAAGCTAATACTTTCATATAGGTCTACGCAGGTACACAGGGTGCTGGTAAGGAGTTCAAGGAGGCCAAGTTTTGGGATGAGGCGAACAAGTGGTTGGCAGAGAGACGATGATCTGGGCAAGCTTTGCCGATGATACCAATCGATTTAGGGATTCAGGCTTAGCAAGCATAAATTCTTGTGAGGTTTTATATCGATAACTGATCTTGCTCGAGATGCGATGTTGGAATTCTCCAGTGTATTACTAACTACCAGTACCTGGCCCTGGAGGACGGAGAAAAAGAAAGACCAAAATAACAAGCCACGATAATTCGAATACCCAGTTAGTTCAGATAATGGGAAGTATTATTGACCTATGTTCGCATTGTACTCCGTACACAGTAACTAGATGCCAAAGCACGGTGTAGTGGCGATGATCTGCAGAGTGGACCAAGTGGCCTTTTCGGCTTTGTTTGTAATCGCCCCGAATCCTGGAGCTTTAACTCCGTCATCCATCCTTCCTCTTGGATTGTTACATATTTTCTCACACATCCAAACACCTATACAAAATGGCACGTCTGAGCTTCCTGCTCCTCGGTGCCCTCTCAGCCCTCAGCGGCGTCGCCACTGCCGGCTCCGTAGTAAAAGACCTACTCCCCACCAACTTCGACGAAGTCGTCCTCTCCGGCAAGCCCGCACTGGTTGAATTCTTCGCTCCCTGGTGCGGCCACTGCAAGACCCTGGCCCCGATCTACGAAGAGCTCGCCCAGACCTTCGCCTACGCCGAAGACAAGGTCACCATCGCCAAGGTCGACGCCGACGAGAACCGCTCGCTCGGCAAGCGTTTCGGGATCCAGGGATTCCCTACGGTCAAATGGTTCGATGGAAAGAGCGATAAGCCTGAAGAGTACAAGGGTGGTCGTGATCTCGAGAGCTTGTCTGCTTTCATTACTGAGAAGACTGGTATCAAGCCCCGGGGCGCGCAGAAGGAGATTAGCCACGTTGAGATGCTGAATGATGCTACTTTCCCGACAACCGTTGGTGGCGATAAGGATGTGTTGGTTGCTTTCACTGCGCCGTGGTGTGGCCGTAAGTTTTTTTCCCTTCTGATTCTTCAATTGGTTCTTTCTTGGAGTGTGCGTACTAACTCCTGTTATTCAGACTGCAAGACCCTCGCCCCTACCTGGGAAACCCTCGCCAAGGACTTCGCCCTCGAGCCCAACGTCGTGATCGCCAAGGTCGACGCCGAAGCCGAGAACGCCCGTGCCCTGGCCAAGGCCCAGGGCGTCACCGGATACCCTACCATCAAGTTCTTCCCCAAGGGCTCGACCGAGCCCGAGGCTTACTCCGGCGCCCGCTCTGAGGAGGCCCTGCTCAAGTTCGTCAACGAGAAGGCCGGTACACACCGTGCTGTTGGTGGTGGTCTTGACGCCGTGGCGGGAACTATCGCCGCGCTGGACGAGATCGTTGCCGAGCACGTTGCTACCAAGAAATTCGATACCCTCGTCACGGAGGTTAAGAAGGCCGCTAAGGGCTTGCAGGACAAGTATACTGAGTATTATGTCAAGGCTGCTGAGAAGCTGAGCAAGAATGAGGAGTATGCTGCTAAGGAGCTTACTCGTCTTCAGAAGGTGCTGGCTAAGGGTGGCTCTGCTCCGGAGAAGCTGGATGATATCCTTTCTCGCAGCAACATTCTCCGTCGCTTTGTTGGGCAGGAGAAGCATGATGAACTTTAAGTGCTGTTTCTTTTTGTTTTCCCCTCTGGTGGTTATTAGCTGGAGGCTGGCAGATGTATTGAACTTGTCTATGAAAATACTGGCTTGATGCCCTTTACTGTACGAATTGAGAATTGAGCAGCCCGGTGCATTTTATGCGATACCTATATACATTAGACCCGCGCAGATGAATAAGAGAATAAGAGGTCTCTGTACGAGTATCCTTGTTCGATTGTAGGGTATCTATGAAGTCGTAAAGCATAAGCATAAAAAGCAGCTACAGGCCAGTGTACATCCACAGCCGTTCGAAGCACACTCCCAGAAAGCAGCACGCATATCATGAGTATGTGATGGGCTATCGACATGAATATTCAATAGGACCAAGGTGTCCTATAATGCAGCGCTATTGCTTTCCCAGCAAAACGCCATGCGGTAAACAAAATAAAAGAATGCTCAGATACGAAAACAAGTCGAGTAGAGGCAATTGGCGTCTTCAGCTGGACGGGGTTGGGGTAGCAGACCCCGAAGACGTAGTCAACGATGCCTCTAGCTCGTCGAGACGCTTGGTCATTTCATCCACTGCGCCGAAACATAAGTTAGTCCGCAATTTGCAAGTATGAGAGTATGGTGAGGTAGAAACGCACGCTTTCCGAACATTTCTGTAGATACAGAATCAAATTTGCTTTGAAGCTCGTTGAGCAGATCGTCTACGGCTGCGGCGAGCTGGCCTTGAGCATCGGAATTCTGTGAGGTATGTAGTTAGCATGAGGGACAGGCGCTTTGGATTGTTGTAAGTGCTATTCACCGGCTGTGAGAGGAAGGATTCACCTTCTGGCTGTGGAGAGAGCTTCTCTGGAGAAGAGAGTTTGGAGTCGTCAGCCATTTTGAGAAATATGTACTAGCTGTACAGACTGTACTGTGTAACTACAGAGTCGAGTTGAGGCAGTTGACGCGGCGATACTAAGGCAGGTCTCGATAAGGGTGCGGATCATCTGTATTTCCGAGGAGCTTCTATTCTGGGTCTAGCGGGCTCTTATCGGTGGAGCTAACCAGATGAGGATTGGCGCAATTTCAAAAAAATCCCGTGGATTCTCAGATGCGGGTTTGATACTGAGTCGTTTTCATCTTTTCAATTCCCCTTTCAGACTACACAAAATACCATTTTCTTTCTGTGTTCCAACGGAAAGACACAATGGTTAAGCGCAGCAAACTCCTTTTGGCTCTCGACGCCCACAAGGGCCGGGATTACGAGGCCGAAAAGCAGAAGAAAATGATCAAGGCCGCGGAAAAGAAGAAGGGTGTCAAGAAGGGCACTGCTGCTCCCGAGCACAAGATCGTTGAGAAGGAGAAGGAAGAAGAAAAGGCTGCCAGCTCTGACGAAGAAGAGGAAGAGAAAGAGGCCGAGGACGAGGAGATGGAAGATGAAGAGGAAGAAGAAGAAGAAGAAGAAGAAGATATCCCACTCTCCGACCTCGAAGACGACGAGCGCGAGGATGTCATCCCCCACCAACGCCTGACCATCAACAACTCCGCCGCCATCACCTCCGCCCTCAAGCGCATCTCCTTCATCGGCCCCCAGACCTCATTCTCAGAGCACAACTCGCTAGTCTCGAAAGAGCCCATCGAGGTCGAAGACGTCCATGACGACCTCAACCGTGAATTGGCCTTCTACAAGGTCTGTCAGGCCGCTGCTACCCAGGCCCGTGGCCTGCTCAAGAAGGAGGGCATCCCCTTCACGCGGCCGGGCGATTACTTCGCTGAGATGGTCAAGAACGATGAGCACATGGGCTTGATTAAGAAGAAGCTTTATGAGGAGGCTGCTGCCAAGAAGGCTTCTGCTGAGGCGCGTCGCCAGCGCGATCTGAAGAAGTTCGGAAAGCAGGTGCAGAACGCCAAGTTGCAGCAGAGACACAAGGAGAAGCGTGAGATGTTGGACAAGATCAACACGTTGAAGAAGAGTATGTTTTCTTTCCATGTTTCTGTATTTTCTTTCTTTTAGATTTGCGCAATTACTAACTCAATAACAGAGCGCAAGGCTGACAGCTCCGCCCCTACCGACGACGCCAACGACATGTTCGACGTTGCCATTGAGGAGGCTTCCCAGCCCGAGAAGCGCTCCCGTGATGGACCCCGTAACTCCAAGCGCCAGAAGAAGGACGACAAGTTCGGATTCGGAGGCAAGAAGCGCCATGCCAAGAGCGGTGACGCTGCTTCCAGCGGTGATCTGAGCAAGTTCTCCGCTAAGAAGATGAAGGGTGGTGCGAAGCGTCCTGGCAAGAGCAAGAGAGTCCATGCCAAGGGACGTGCCTAGTTGAAGGGGTTTGTCTTGCATTTGTTGCATCATGTAATTATTTTTTCTCGCTTGGGTCTGGATAACCAAAAATGGCAGTTTCGATTTCTTATATACCTTTGGTGCTGGTTTGTACATTGCGCTTGGGATAGGGTGTGAGCTCTGCAACGCAGACGAAGGCGTCGAGTGACAGACTACGCGCATGTAAATGTGCAGATAATTGATCCTCGAATGTACTTTAGCTTTTCAGAGTGATACAGCATGTACAAAGTCAACTTTTGGCGAGTATTTCATTTCCATTCCCAGTTTATATGAGTACAAGTGAGGAATATAAGTACAAAATCTATATAGCCTTGCCCAACATGCTCCAGCTATTGTTTATCAGCTTGCTTTTTCGCCCATTCCGTCAATAGTCTCTCCACTTTAGGGCCCCAGACCTCCTCGCCGCCTTCAAGATCCTTATATTCCAGGATATTATCAGGCTGGAGATCATACTCACCTTGACGAGTGCGCACCAGTTCGCTCATCAAAGCACAGCTCCCAACAGCCTTGCCAAGGTCGTGTGCCAGAGAACGAACGTAAAATCCAGACGTGACGGTCATCTTAATCTTCACGGCAGGAGGCTGAGGCTTCGGCTCATCCGCAGACTCAACAGGAACTTCCTCAGTGGCAGGTTCGGGAGCAACAGGCTCCGGTGCAGATGCAGATGCAGCAGGCACAGCTTCAGTCTCAGATACCTTCAGCTTTTTAGCATCGACACTATCCTCCTTCACCTCCTCCTCGGCTGGCGGCGACAATTTCCGCTTGGTAGAAGCATTCACATCTCCCTCAATCTCACCTTCAGCCGCAGGCTCAGTCTCGGCAGACAAGCCCGCTTCCTGATCAAGCAACTTCTCCGCAATAACCTTCTCCTCCCCCGTCATCTCCGTCTCCGGCCACTTATACTCATGCGTACCAGGCTCAAACCACTCCACAACCTCAACCTCCAGCGCCTCAACAGGCCGATGTTTAATCTCAATGGGCGGCATTTTACCCTCCCTCGCATACTCATACAACTTCTTCCCATTAATCCTCAACGCCGAGAAAATAGGCGGCTTCTGCATAATCTTTCCACGGAACTGTTCCAGCGCCTTCTCGACTGCCTCGCGCGTCACATGTTCATACGGTGCGCGCCGCACGATCTTGCCCAGTCGGTCGTAGGTATCTGTTTCAGCGCCGAAGGTGATGATGGCTTCGTAGGATTTGGTGCAGGAGAGGAAATCTTGTAGGACTTTTGTGCCCTTGCCGATTCCGGTTATCAGCACGCCTGTTGCGAGTGGGTCGAGGGTTCCGCCGTGGCCGATTTTGACTTCGATGCGTTTTTCGCGTCGGCGGCGTTGTTGCCGTTGGTGTTTGTTTTGTTGGTCGCGTTGGGCGCGGGCGTCGGCGAGCCAGGGGGCGAAGGATTTAGAGGGGTTGAAGTGTTTTTGGAGGTCGCGGAGGACGTCCGCGGAGGTTATGCCTTGCGGCTTGTGGACGGCTGGTGGTTGGGGTTAGTGGTGAGGTTTTGGGGGGAGGGATTGGTTGGACTCACCCATTACGCCTTCGAGGATGTTTTCGCCGGACATGATTTTGCGGAAGGCTTGCCACGGGGTTCGACTTAGGCGTGGTCGGAATGGCATTTGAAAGGTGGTGGTTGTTCGTAGAGAAAAATGTGGTTTTGGTGAAGATCCGGCCTTGGCATCATGGCATGTCAGTCGACTTTAGGGCGCCTCTTAACTACACTCATCCATCCATGTATGTTTATTCTCTCCCTCTACTATTCGCTGATCGGGCATCTTTTACGTTGACATCTCGCCTAAATTCTTTATATGGGGTCTTCAGATATATCTCCGGCTCGGTGTGAATGCAACTAATGTGGATGTTTGTAAACTACCAACATCAAGTCGAGAACTCGACGAGATATGCATGGATTCTTATGGATACACGATCACTTCGAAAGTGCCAAATCCACGACGACAGCACGGTGATCCGAGCATAACACACCGTCATCAAACTGGTTACCCAGCGCTGCATAACCAACGACTTTCAGTTTCTGCCCTTGGGTCCCGGCAGGTCTCACCAGAACATAGTCAATACGCGAGGCCGGCTCCTTGTCATGCCCAAACCCAGTCCAAGTGATGTAATTACCATATCGTCTCGAACCGTCAACTTCTTTATATGTATCAAGCAAGCTCTTCGTCAACTCTTGGTAAGCTTCCTGGTTCTCCTCGCTGTTGAAATCTCCAGCCAAGAAAGTGCCCGAGATGAGCTTTGCGAACTTGTTCTGGCTGTATTCCGATATCTTGCCTGCGATGATACGTGCAGCTTCAAGTCTCGAGCGGGACCCTTGATCATCCAGATGGGTGTTCATGGCAAGGACCGTGTTCCCACTTGCTCGGTGGGTGAAGACGCCAATGGTGACAATGCGGATGGAGGATGCGTCCCAGCTTTTGGAGGGTATATCGGGTGTCTTGGATAGCCACACAGTTTCCCAGTGTTTCAGTTCCCAAAATGACGGTCGGTAGAAGATCGGTGAGTACTCCCCAGCCTCGTGGCCATCGTCTCTGCCGACCCCGATATACTCCCATTCCGGTGTTTTGGCATCCGCGTCCTGGTTCAGCCCAGCTAGAACATCCCCGAGTTGATTGTGGAGAACCTCTTGTAAACAGATGAAGCTCTCTCCGCAATGACGAGTCTCGTATTCCAATTCATTCACTAGCAACTGTTTGCGCTCGGCCCAGGGTCGTTCGCCTTGGAAAGGGGATGAGGTGGCATATCGGATGTTGTGTGTCAAGACCCGGATAGGGGTAGTTTCAGACAGCATTTTGGAGTACACAAACAAGGTAAAAGTATCAGACTGACAATGTCGGAGGTAGTTACATAGCTCCTAGTTATGTTGTACACAGTACCTCGTGAGGGGAACCCTGGCCTGAGGCCAACGCAGACCCACCTTCAATCAGATGAAAGAACAACTTTTGACCAGATTCTTTGCGAGTACCTGCAGTCTGTATGGTATTAGGACTCTTGTAAGACCTACAGTATGCGCATGCATGTTTGAAGCTTTGTACGATAAAGAGCCGATTCGTAGACCTTTCTAGCATGAAAGCTTGCCCCAAATGTTATGTACACTGTGTACGCAGTATGTTTCAAGGCGCTCGAAGCTCAACGCAAATCAGAGCAACCGGGAGTGAGGAGCTCAGGAGACCAATGCAGAGCAGTCTCTCTTCATCTGTATCTATTTGATCCAGGTAGAAGTCTCTGTACAATGGAGGATTCTCTCGACCTCGGAAGTTCTGGTCCATACCGTATTACGTAACCGGCCGTTCACGTGAATCACGTGACCATATGGAAAATTGGTCCACGGAGGTCGTCGATTGGGCTTAATCCGAAAGGTGAGGGGAAAAAGAGGTTCAGTATCTCCATTAAATGATGTAGCGTAGTCCATAATGCCTGAATAGGTTGTTGTGTATAGAAGGCGGTGGCGAGCTTCTTTAACTATGCGGGTGCGGACACATGTAACGGCGTCGACTGTCACTTTCTCCTTTGTCTCTTTCACCATCGCTCCAGGATAAAAGTAGCTCAATCGCCACAGCTCCACCAGCTACGTTTAAGCTTATTTCCTTGAAGACGTCGTCGACATTGTCGACATTGTCGACATTGACTAAAAGTCAGCTGACTTGGTCCATTCGTTCCGGAGCATTCTGCGTGGAAGTCACCGCGGGTCCAAACGACCTAAGCATCGGCGCGCGCTCTCGCCCTTTTCGGTTTTGGTACGTGAACTCCCTTCCTATTCGCTTTCCCCCATCTATCATCTTTATAATCCTGTGTCGCTTCATTTGTCTCTCGCCTTTTCTTGATGATTGGTCGCGTACGGGACATGCGCCCATTGCGACGTCCACCTACGTCCCCCTACGCCCACCCATTTCACCAACGCATATCCAATAACGCGATGGGGAACAATGCTGGACATTGTACCCAATGGCTACTATAGAACGACTTGCTAATTATACCATGATCGTGTGAACAGGTACCGTCCCATAATGCTACGGTAACCATCTGAACCTATCCCTGTCGCGTTGAGAGTCACTCCAAGCTTCCGAATCATACAAGTGGCCCCGGACGTTCGTTTCGCATTACATCAGACCATCAAAACATGCAATCTCCAGAAGTAACGGGTGACTCGCTGCCCTCCGAGCAGTCATTCGGAGACATTCAGTCGGGTGCCCAGGACAGCTCCGGCGCGCCGAACCAGGGGGAGCAAAGTACACAGAGCATCGATTTGGGCACAACCCAGCCAACAAACGGCCACACACCAGATACAATCACAGAGGGCAAACAGAACGCGAGGGCTATGCTGGCTGCTTCCGGAGTATCGACCTCATCGGAACACGGCAGTGAGGGATCCAATGGCACACCTCACTCGGCTAGCGGAACTGGCACTGGAACAAAACGATCTCGTGATGGCTCTGCTGTTCAATCCACCGAGGCCAGCGGGTCATTGCCCGTCCGCGCCCGCGAAACGCCGCTAGATAAGATCCTCCTAGAGCAGTACGTTGATCGCGAATTCCAGCACTCGGCCGCCGCTGCTTGGAAAAATCCGACTCAGGAGTTACAACGGGACAAGCGAGCGGAGCGCGACTATTACTTGGCAGTACGGCGTGAGACTCAGTTAAACCCAGCTGCTTTGTACGGGGTGGGCTACGAGGGTTTCGGAAATCCTCGTACGGACCTTCGCAATCAACACCCTCAAGTTCTCTACCCAACACACCGCCCTCGGCCTGGAAACAGGAAGGCGCGAGAATTGCGCGTCTCGCGGCGTGATGCGAAGCTTCAAAGCGAACAGATAGAGGATCTGGTCCCCATCCGGTTGGATATTGACTGGGAAAAGGTCAAGATCCGCGATACTTTCACGTGGAATCTTCATGATCGTGTGGTGTCTCCCGATATATTCGCAGAGAAGCTGGTGGAAGACCTGGGCCTCGCGCTGGAGAGCTCAGGCCCTCTGACGCGGATGATCTCCCAAAGCGTTCAGGAGCAGATCATAGATTATTACCCGCATTGCCACATACACGAAGACCCCCTTGACCCTCAGTTACCCTACACCGCATACAAAAACGACGAGATGCGCATCTCGGTGAAACTCAACATCACCATCGGTCAACACACCCTCATCGACCAGTTCGAGTGGGATATCAACGACCCCAACAATTCTCCCGAAGACTTCGCCTTATGCATGACAAACGATCTGTCTCTCTCTGGTGAATTCACCACCGCCATCGCCCATTCCATCCGCGAGCAAGCACAACTCTTCACCAAATCTCTGTACATTGTCGCGCATCCATTCGACGGCCGTCCAATCGAGGATCCAGACCTCCATACCTCCTTCCTTCCAACCCCTGTGGCCTCCGCCTTCCGGCCATATCAATCCGCTAAAGAGCATACACCTTATCTTTACGAACTAAATGAGGCCGATCTCGAACGTACCGAAATCTCAATATCGCGAGAGCAACGTCGCCAGAAACGGTCAATCAACCGTCGCGGTGGCCCTGCTTTGCCAGATCTTAAGGATCGCCAGCGTACAATTCGTACCATGATCGTCTCATCTGTGATACCCAACTCGGTCGGCTCCATGGAAGAAAGCAACGTGATCAAGCGTACCGGTTCTAGTCGCCGTCGTGGCATGACTACCCGGGGGGATGATGAATCAGACGAGTTTGATAGCGACGACTCCTCTGTCGGCTCCCCTGCTATTGGTCCCAACCTTGCACAAGGTACGGCTCGTACCAGGGGCATGAGAGGGGCGGCATCTGCCGCTCACGCCGCTCTCCGTGCCAGTCTGGGACAATCTGCGACACCAGAACCCGTGTACCACGAGCCTCGGGTATCAGCTCGAAGACAGCAATACCGAGAGGAGAGCTATGACGAATCCGAGAAGTTGATAGTCCGACTTCGGATTCCTCGAGAGAAACTGGTCGATTTGAGGAGCGGTAGACGCATTGCCTCCGCCCAACCCAGCCTAGGACAGGCATCCCGAGCCATGGCACCCCCATCCGACAAACAAACCCGCATTCATCCTCCCCCTCGACCCCAACAAACTGGAGCTGTAGATGCACCAAACCCCCCGCAGCCCGGCGTCCCTGGAGTACGTTTCTAGATTGTTAACCCTAACATTCTTCCGTGGATTCATGACTGACCTGTACGTGCAGCCCCCGCCACCCAACTGGCTTGCAGCTGGTCTTGCCAAACTGAAGCAATCCCACCCAAATGATTCATTCGAAGGCGTCATGCGCTATTCCGCCGTCGACACAGAAACCCTAGCCCCCGTCGCCAATCCAAACAACCTCCAAGACGGCCAAAACATCAAATACCAATATCTCCCACGTATCCGCTGCCACGATTGCCCCGGAAAGCTCTACACCCCCGGCCCGGGCATGACGGTCGACAACTTCGAAGTCCACCTCCGCAACCGACAGCACAAGGAACGTGTCGAGGAGCGTCTCCGTACAGGCGGCGATGCCGGAAGTGCAAGTGCCAGCCCAGCCCCCGGAGCCGGAACTTCCACGCACTCAAGCCCAGCTCTCGGGACTACTGGGGCTCCTGGTGCCTCGCCTTTGCCCGCCACCGCACCCGGACCCCAGCCATAGTCAAAATTTCTGTTCATGAAGTGATGACAACGGCGTCCTGTGTGCTTGCACTCCTGTAACTCTTTTTTTTCAGATCGCTTATTATTCTTCCTGTTACACATTCGATCGATGTATCCTCTCTCCCAGCTTTCAATTTCAGAATCCTTCCACATTTCCATTCTGTGCCGTTGTAAATGGTTTAGTATTCCCGGACAGGGGCTGAAGCGATGCGCCGTTTCATTCTCGGTGCGATGGTTCCTGCATCGTGTTTCTGTTTTTCTTGCTTTGTATGTGTAATAGCAGTTTGAGTGTGGACTTCTAGTACATATTACTTTATTTCTATGGGAATGTCTCAAATCTCGTTGGCCTAATGAATCTAGGTATTCTAGCATATCCTAACGATATCGAGTCTGTAGTGCACATGAAGATCCAAGGACTACCAGGCTACATACTATGTAGTTAGGTATTTCTACCAGACCTCCACGACACTTTCCTTTCTTTCGGTTGCTGCTTTAAAGGATGAGTCGGGTCGGGTGATATGCTCCAGTCTGAGGAAACTGCGGGATCAATACGCAACTAGTTAGACTGCAACAGGTTAATTGAACTTTGATTGCTTGATTGATTGATAGGTACCTAGTCAATACCAAACAGCACAAGTCCAATATTGACAGCTACAGGACGCTTAAGAGGACAGTTAGAGAAACTACGTGACCATACAAAAATCAAAAGACAATTCACCTCTTTTACGGCTCAAAGCAAGAATTTCAATAGACATTCGTGTCGGATCACACAGATTCGACGTAAACAGAGAAAGATAAAGCAAATGGGGGTATATCTCGGACCATCATTGAAACTGCATGGAAACAGGGGACACAATGGATGGGGATATGAATGGACAAGGGAATGGAGAAATCATAGTAGGGATAACATGGGAATCACGATATGGTAAAGATATGAATATCGAATATCGAATATCAGAGAATGGTCCGGTAATTGTCACGTTCTCATGAGTAAATGATCATTTGATTGGGTGGTTCGCTCATACGAGACGAGCTACGGGAAAGGAAACACGATAGCAGAGCTATCCACGGCGGGAGGAGCGTCGGGAAGGGAGGCTGGTTGTCGCTGGCTTCTTGGCCTCGGGCTTCTTCGTCTCGGCCTTTGGGGTAGTCTTTGGAATGGCAACCTGGAAATTGCGCTTCTTAGCAGGAGGCGGCGTGAGCTCCTTTTCGCTTTGATTTGACTCTCCATCCTGCTCATCATCATCACCCTCTTCCTGTTCTTCTTCGTTCTCGTTCTCTTCCTCCACATCTGCGACATCGCCTTGTGCTTCAGTTTGCTCCCACTCGGCCATCTCCATGTCAGCATCATCACTGTCATTGTCTATATAGCTGACTTCCTGCTTGGCGGTGCCTCGGACACTGCGCCTGCGAGATGACGCCGGCGTGGCTTCCGCTTCTCCAGCACCTCCATCCGAAGACCAGCCGTCATCGTTCGTGGATTTACGCTTTGGCTTGACAGCGCCGACGGATGTGGACTTGCGGGCTGGACGGGAAGACTTCTCCTTGCGTGGCTTCTTCGCTGCGGCGGGTTTGCCGTTAGTCTCGAGGGAGGGCTTTCGCTTCTTGCTTGACCCGCTCTGCGAAGCGTGTGTGGAGCTACTCCTTGGCTTCATTGCGTTTCGGACGACGCGGTCCAGCAGGTCATCCAGTTCATCGGGGAGGAAGTTTTTGTCGGCGACGTCTTGAGCTTCGCGGTGGCTGCTCATGGAGTTGAAGAGGGAGCTGGGAACGCCCATCTTTCCTGGGTAGGTTTGCAAGATGTTGGTTGCACCAGCTGCACCGCCGAACTTGTGTTGTTGAGAGTAGATGTCTGCGAAACGGCGAATGGTTGCTTGCGCCAGGTCAGACAGAGTGTGGAGGCGGGTGGAGATCTCGTCGGTTTTGGTGATGCCGTCGCGGAATTGCTTGACGCGCTGTGCGACATGGTAGATCAATGACATGTTGTGTTCATTGGCAATTGCGGAAAGGTAGAAAAGTATGTATTGGGAGAAATCGGTCAGGTCGCCCAGTTTTGTTGCCTCGTCCAAATCCTCGGACGGGTAATCAGGGTGGTAAGCAAGCAAAGATAGAAGACGTGAGAAGATCAGCTCCATGACCATGGTCTGTTCTGTGCGTTTTCCACTGGCCTGCGCCTGTTGGGCGAAATATGCCGCTCGGGACCGTAGCCATGTGAGTGTGCTCTCCTTCAGGCTGTGAACAGGCTCGAAGGCAAGTAGACAAGGTACGATGTACCATCGGTGGCTGAGATGTGACCTTTGCACAAGCTTCTTCTTCAGATGGTTGACGAATCCACTCCGCACCTGCAGAATTGGATCTTGGGCAACCAAAGCGATTTTGTTGAAATCAGCTGGCGTCAACAGACCGTCACAGACAGTGCTGGAAGCACAGAGCTTAAGCAAGGACTTAGCAGCGAGGAGACGAAGGCGCGGCTTCTGGCTGGCAGGAGTATCTTTCTTCTTGGAGATCTCGCCTTCCCCAACCACTAGTTTGTTCAATGTTTCATAAACGGGCTGTGCATGGGCACGGAAGTCAGCCTCGTCATCGGCTCCGTCCTTAGCCCGAAGGCGGTTAACTATGATTTTCAATGCCCATTCTTTGGCCTTTGTCTCGTCGTCCACGGTCTCCGACCAAGTGTATTCAGAGTCTGGTTCGGGGTTGCGATTGGTGAGCAGGATTTCATTGATGGCAATCGAAATGATAGCATCGCTTTCGTCATCTGCTTGTCTCGGCGCGAGAAGGTTTAATTGGGACAATGAAGCCAGGCGAGTGAGGAACCGATTAGACCCGAATTTCCAGTCCTTAACGCAGCTGCGCACTAGATCTTTTGCATACATCTCTTTCCGCTCAGCTGTGGCCATGAGAATCGACACAGCATGTTTAGCAGCATGTGGCGATGAGCTGTAAAGGGCGTAATTGGATAGAGCCTGGTAGAACTTGCGCTCTTTGGGGAGCTTAGCAGGGAGCTTCTTAGCAAAACCAGCACACGCCTTCAAAATGTCTTCAGCACCGGTGTCTTCGGTCGAAGAGGCCTTGGGGGCTTGAGCCTCGAGATCTTTGCACATCTCTTGAACCTGTGCCTCCAGGACCTCCGGGTTCTGAGATGATATTTGCTTCAACATCTCCTGAGCAGCATTAGCCAACCCGTTCTCATCTGTGCGAGACAGGCTCATAATCGCGGGAATGTGGCTCCGGTTGAAGATCAAAGAACCACAGCGGTAGACAAGTGGTGTCAATGTCTCCAGAAGGGGAGAGTTGTTTGCAGTCTGAATACGTCGCTGAAGTTCCTTCGTGGCCTTAACAACGGTGCGGTAATCACTGACAGCAGCCATGGTGAAGCGAACTAGCTGATAGCTTCGTCGATCGTGCACCTTGGCGAACTTCCACAGATCTGCCGATGCGCGCGCGGCATCTGGGAATGTTTTTGATAGTGAGTCAATGATCTTGGACAGTTTCGTCTTGACCTGTTCCTCGTCTTTGTCAACAACGCCACCATTGTACTTTTCACAAGCCTCCAGATAGAGCGTCACGGCCGACCTCATTGACAGTTGACGAGCCAGCATAACGAAGAAGACTCGTCTAGCCTTTTCATCCAGCCCTCGGAGTAAGGTGAGAATCCGGCGGACACGGATCTTCTCGACATCCGTCTCTTGCTCCGGCTCAGACACTTGGCTCTCCTTCTGCTTTTGTGATTGACTCGAGCCGCCCCGAGAAAGCTTTGGCTTGATGGGGGGATAAGAGAGCGGCAGAAGTGTCTCAAACAGAACACGATCAATAAGAACATGGATCTCTTGGTCATTGGTGTAGAAAGCATCGAATATTTTAGAAGGCGCGTCTTTGAGAAGGGACACAACGGGCTCGGTATTTTGCTCGATGTCACCGGCGGCGACTGCCCACACACGAGCTAAGATCTTCATGGCATGTTCACGTACTTGAGGCTTGCGATCCTTCACTCGCTCGGCAAGAATACCAAGGACGGAGTCGGGTGATGAACATCCACCGTCTAAACATAGCTTGTGGATAATTTGAGACAACCCAAACTGCCCAACAGTATCCACTGCAGCCACACGGACCTTCTCATCAACGTCGCGGAGCATCGAGGCCAGGTGTCGGACAAGACTGTGTTCTTCGTTCTCGTGTAGGCCTGAGCCTCCGGCTGAAGTTAGAAGGATTCGTCCAACAACGGTGACCCAAGCAGCACGGACTGATGGAGTCTTGTCAAGACGACGGCTGAGGAAAGCCTCATAGGCGGAATTGTGCACTTGGGAGAAAGGTTTGGGGGACACCGGAGTCAACAAAACATTTGGCTGGGGAATCGTCTTGTCGTAGTCCACTAGCGACACTGGTGGGTATGTCGTTGGGTCCATGGGAGGAGGGGGTGGGGGGCCAGCAACACCGATCCCGGCTGCAAGATCTCCGATAGTCTGGGTAGCCAGCAAGCGCAATGCGACTGATTCTGCAGACAATTCTGCTTCGATCTGCGGAACGACGTTCTGTAGGACCTCTGGACAAGCACGCCAAAGCTCTCGGATCAAACGATGCGCCTTGCTCAACTCTTTGATATCTTCACCCTCCTCATCGGAGTCATCGAGATTGGGTTTCCGGTTATGCTTCCCATTCGTTTGGCCGGCCGGCACAGACGCATCGATGATGACATTGTTGAAGTACTGGCTGATGTGACTAGTCATTCGTTCCGGACATGCCTGGCAGATAGTCTTGGCCATGTTGTAGGCAGCCGGGTAGTCTTTCAAAAGAAGTGTGTCCTGCTTAGCGTCGAGCGGCGCATCTGGTCGCTTGCCTTTCTTGTTTATGTCGATCACTCGCGGATCGACTCGGAGAAATTGGGCGACGATGATGTCCACCACCTCGGGCGCCAGAACGAGCGATTCATCGATCACGGTGACGAGTACTCGAGTCATGTCGAACTCGACATTCTTAGCAACCTCCTCGCCGGTGGATGCTTTGGAAGACCCCGAAATGATGTCGAAACAGTTTGTGAACAATGGGATGATGAGAGAATCGGGGTGATCAAGGTCGACCATCAAAACCACACTCTTCACCTCGGCGAGGGATCCCAGGACGTAGATATGCTGTGCATTGTATGCGTTGGATGGATCGGCCAGCGCGGGGATGATTGAGGACACGATGCATGTGAAAATATCCTAAATTCGTCTGTCAGCCCATGGTTCAATCTTATAGATCTATTATGTATCCCAGGTATCTTCAATATCCGTACCTTTAGCTGATTGCGCGTAAAAGGCGCGTCCGGTGCACACAGTCGCAAGACGTCCACAATGCAGCATGTAGCCCACGCTCGGACACCCTTATCCTTATGGGCAAGCAGGTTCCCACTGGCGAGTTCCTGAGAGACCTTCCGGAGCGATTCCTTATCGATTTCCTCCTGGTCGAGTTTGCGAAGTTCCTGCGCGAGAGTTTGGAGACGTTCGAGGAGATCCGCGATGGGGATGGCGGAGCGCCCCACGCGCCACGAGAGCGGTTGGTTGAAGGACAAGCTGCAAAGCCCCGAGTCTTCTTCCACCTCGGGAGGACCTGGGCGGGAGCGCGAAGGCATCGTGGATGGTCGCAGTTCTCACATGGACCGAGAAGGTGGAGAGTTCAAACGCGGGAGTTTGGGTGGGGATTGACCGCCCAGGACGCGTCGCACGGGACCGCGTCCTGCCCTACAAAGTCGGTGCTACAGATGTCATACGTTTCAGCCGAGTTTTGTGAGAAACGAGAGATATTTAAGTGGCAGATCTTTTGAAATGATTTCAATGATATGGTATTCAGCAGTAAGTACTCGCTCACGACTACTCGGGATATAATTCCTACTTCTTGCGCTGACTTCTTTCAAAACGATAGCATCCGTGGAGTGTCTTTGGACTTTGAGATGGGTCACGGTCCGTAGCCAAACGTGAAACCCCAAACAGTTTCTAGAAGCATAATACTGCAAGTACATTTCTTTATTCTTAGTATATGAAACACTTCCCGACATATATAATACACTGAATGGGAATGTGACCCAAACTGCTCTGGAAGACTCAGTCATTGTGACAGGCCCACCGTTTTCGATAGCTAAGTCTCCTGCATGATGATTGAATAGGCCTTCTTCTCCCAAAGCCGACTCTTGACTTCCAATATTGCGAAGATAATTTCCTTGGTAAACTTGTGCTTCAACACTCCGTCGTTTGGGCGCTGAACTGGCCCAAGTTGAACTGGGCTGAGAATTTCACGCAGTTCAGAACCCACTCCAAGTCGCATGGAAACATGTGAAGCAACTAAGAAAGCAGTGTATAGCTGCAGCATTTGGAACCACTCCGTCCTCTGCGTCTGGCAGCAAGTGGAGAGGCTGGTCAAATCGGGCCGTCAATATAACATGATCCTCAAAAGGATCATATAGATACCCCACACAACATCTTCTTCGAGACCCGGCATGCCTTGCGGGCCTTTGTCTCTATAACGCGTCCAACCATAAGGAGGAGCCACCGAGGCTCAACCGGCTTGGACGAGCAGGCAGAGATGGAGGAAGACGCTATTGATTCCTCGTACGTTGGCGCACGCCCACAAAACGGAAACAGAGCACGTGCTCCGCAGAAAGGTGATTTTACCCAATCCCCTTAAACGCAATCGGCTTATTTGGCACAATGGGCACCTGGAGGGATCTCGCCAACGCCGCATCGATCAATGTCATAACACATCCAGAATCCAAACAGACTGTGATAGCTGAGTGAGGGTCCTGGATTGCGACCAGAGCGGATGCGTACTTCCAGGACCGAAATGCTAGTGGTAAATCTCGATCATGGCCTTTCCTGTCAGATTCAACAATTGGAACATTAGCCTGCGTCTGGGCGAAATTTGCCACCGTTTCTTGATCTGGGGCGGCCGCCGCTGAGACCTTGCAGTCAAGTAGATGCTGATGGAGCTTATTGTTGGAAGTAAAACCTTCGCCACAACGTAAACAAGTCGTAATCCAATCTGCCGGCACACAGGTTTGAGCAACGGTCTCAGTGGTTTCAATGGCCTCCGGGTCTTCAGCAACGTCATCGGACTGAGTGTGCTGTGAATCGGAGAACTGAGCCATGTATGCATCACATTCTGCATGATATCTGTTCCATTCCTCGTTCACTTCTTCCTCAGGTATATCCGCGCAGTATGCGTGTTGAGTAGCCAGCTTCCGTGGTTGGTATTGTACTGGCGGTCCCGTATATCCTTTTGGCGGCCAGGCCTCCATCTGGTGGACTTCGAGTATCCTGTGAAGAGTGATATCAGCACCTATTTACATTCATTTGAAGAGAGCTGCATATTACCAATTCTAGGTTGGTACGACCTGAGACAGTGCCTCTGAGATACGACATGATCACGGGAGGAACCTATCCAGTCCAAGGCCAGGGCCTCTTCGTAGTAGAACTGCATTGTCGCCATCATGCCATGTTCTTGGTTGTAGCCTTCGGTAGTTGTTGGAAGGCTTTGAGGGTGTCGATGTGTGAGTGGATGGTACATCGGCGATGTTGGTCAAAGGATATTAACTTTATATTGAGGGACGGTAGGTATACTCGAGATGGATTGGAAGTAGGTATATAGGTGTGAGGAAAGGATGATGAAAGATGGAGATAGATGAAGAAGTAAGAGAAAGGAGAGGAAGAAATGAATGCAGCAGGCTCAATATATGGACCATTGAGCAGACCTCCGATCCCTCCGTTTACCAAAACGCAGGTGCGATCCCGCGTACCTTCCCTATGGGTGACCATTCAAACCTAGATTCACCACCACGACCGAAGCGCTGTCGGAGACGGTGCAAACAACGTCAAAAGTATAGAAATGAGTACCATGTAACATGTTGCATGGAATGCTGCAATGCATCTACGGCCCCACGGTACAGGAACTTCCATTTGTAGGACCATTTCTCCAATACAGTGAGAAGCACAACCATCTGACTTACGCAGATGATAACTTAGTGTTTTGTCTGGACCATGAACATGCATGCAATCTTAAGCGAAGACCTACGATATGAAATACTCTACTTGAAACCCGATAAACATGAAGATTCTCCACCTGTATTGGCTATTATGGCACATTGTATGTGGGCAAAAACAGGAAGAAAGAATTCGAAAACCCTATGAAGCCCAGCATCAGGCCCGCATTTCCACCCAAACATCTATGTATAAGCGGAATCCGAGCGTGAAAACCAAGGCATGGCTAAAGCCAAGGGGCAAAACTAAGTCATATCACCTCGAAGCAAAGAAGCGTTTAATCGTAGAGGCTGTCATCATTGCCGGCTTCGCCGAAGGTATCATTCTCTTGCACCTCGCCTGATGACGGGAAGCGGAAGAAGCTGCCACCTCCAGTGTTCTTCAAGCTCTGGGCGAAGGCTTCGTAGCGGCGAATCTCGACGTCGCTGACGGAGCGGCGGGCAGACTTCATAGCCTCCTCGAAGTGAGCACGGGTAAGCTCAGGTACGGGGTCCTCGAAGTCCTCTTCCTCGTCCTCCATCTTGATGTCTTCACCGGCAGCCTCACGCTCCTTTTGGCGGTCGATGTCGTGGGAGATGGCCTGCTTGATGGCCAGCTTGACCGCACGCTGTGTCACGAAGCCAAGATCGGCACCGGAGAAACCGTGGGTCTTGCTTGCAATGAAGGCAATGTCGACGTCGCCGGCGACAGGAGTCTTGCGAAGCTGGGCCTTGAGGATACCCTCACGGGAAGCCTGGTCAGGCAGGGGAACGTAGACCAGAGTGTCAAGACGACCGGGACGGACCAGGGCGGCGTCAAGCTGCTCGGGACGGTTGGTAGCACCAATGACAAAGACATTCTTCTTGGAGGTCATACCGTCCATTTCTGTTGGGTTGTTAGTGTTATACAAAGAGTAAGAATCAGTTAGGGCGAAAACTTACCAGTAAGGAGCTGGTTGACAACACGGTCGGAGGCACCACCGGCATCACCGACGGATCCACCACGAGACTTGGCGATGGAATCCAGTTCATCAAGGAAGACAACGCAAGGAGCGGCAGCGCGGGCCTTGTCGAAGATGTCACGGATGTTGCTCTCTGACTCACCGAACCACATGCTCAGCAGCTCAGGGCCCTTGACGGAGATGAAGTTGGCGGCGCACTCGTTGGCAACAGCCTTGGCCAACATGGTCTTACCAGTACCAGGAGGACCGTAGAACAGCACACCACGAGAAGGCGAGAGACCGAACTTCTGGAACATCTCGGGGTGATCGACGGGGTATTGGACACTCTCGATAAGCTCGCGCTTGACCTCCTCGAGGCCACCAATGTCGTCCCAACGGACGTTGGGAACCTCGACCACAGCAACCTCGCGGAGGGCGGACGGGTTGGAGACACCCAGGGCGTAACGGAAGTTCTCCATGGTGACACCGAGAGCCTCGAGAACCTCAGCATCGATGGTATCTTCATCGAGATCAATGAGATCCATCTTCTCACGAATCTGTTGCATAGCAGCCTCGGAGCAAAGCGAGGCAAGATCAGAGCCGACATAACCGTGGGTCTCAGCGGCAATAGTCTCAAGGTCGACATCCTCACCAAGCTTCATGTTCTTGGTGTGGATCTGCATGATCTCGAGACGACCAGTTGGGTCGGGAATACCAATGTCGACCTCACGATCGAAACGACCGAAACGACGGAGGGCGGGATCAATGGAGTTGGGGCGGTTGGTAGCAGCCATGACCACAACGTTGGAACGAGCCTTCATACCGTCCATGAGAGTGAGCAGCTGGGAAACAACACGGCGCTCGACCTCGCCGTTGGTCTTCTCACGCTTGGGGGCGATGGAATCAATCTCATCAATGAAGATAATGGCGGGAGAGTTCTTCTCAGCTTCCTCAAAGGCCTTGCGCAGGTTCGACTCGGATTCACCAGCCATCTTTGACATGATCTCGGGACCGTTGATCAGGAAGAAGAAAGCACCAGTCTCGTTGGCAACGGCACGAGCCATCAGGGTCTTACCAGTACCGGGAGGACCGTACATGAGAATGCCACGAGGCGGCTTGATACCAATAGACTTGAATAGCTGGGGATGACGAAGGGGCAGTTCGACCAATTCACGGATCTGAGCCATCTGCTTGCGACACCCACCAATGTCATCGTAACCAACTTCGTTGAGGTTGCCCTCCTCATCCTCTCGTTGGATGGGCTCACCCTCGCAGTGAATAATTGTGTCCTGGGCAACAATGCCGTACTCAGGAGGGTCGACCTCCACAACCTTAAATTCGATTTGTCGCATACCACCTCGTACTGTGAAGAGATCACCCTGGCGGACTGGTCGGTAGGCCTCGCGGAAGTAGGGCGCAAGATAGACATCGAAAAGAGAGCCAGTCAGACCCTCAATGGTGTCGGCGATGGGAAGAACAGCAATGCGCTTGGCCTAGGTCGCGAATATATAATTAGCCAATGAATCGACGGAAAGGTGCTGGGAGCTGTTCCACTTACATATTTGATATCAGGGCACGGGTGTACAGTGATCATGTCGCCGTGCTTGACACGAAGGTTGTGACGCACAACACGGTTGATGCGGGCGCTTCCGTCATCGAGATCGTCATCGGCCAGGACGATCAGCACGGTGTCCTTACGCTTCTTGCCCTTCACAAGAACTGTGTCGCCACGGAACAGCTGGAGAGTCTCCATGGTGTTGTTCGAGAGGGCGATCACCGAGTTATCATCGTTGACGGCATCGGTCACACTGCATGAAAACTGTCAGCTGGTCTCTATCGAAGCAGATATCTCTTATCAGTTACTGACATCAAGGAGTTGGGCTTCTTCTTCTTTTTCAAGATAGCGGTGGAGGTATCAAGCTCCTACATTTCTCGTCAGTTCCGTGGTAATACCTAAGCTGTTCTGCAACCTGTTCTTACCTCCTTCTTCTCGGCGCCCGAGGCGTCCCTGGAGTCCGGTTAGCATGGCTAAGAAGTAAGTGGAATCCAAGACAACGTACCGGAGGTTGACCCTCTTCTTGTCGTGTGTGTGATCCGGTTCGGAAGACATGGTCGCTTTATCTGAGGTCGTGACGTGGATGGAAGCAAGCTTGAATGAACAAAGGTGTCCAGATGCCTAGAAACAGGCGGATTGAGGCCCGGGTTTGAAACAGAGCAATGAGTGAGTATATGTAGGTTAGGAGCAAGCCGACGGATCAGAAACAAGGAGTGAATCTGACGACGGTGGAGATGGAGATGGGTAACAGGAATGATGATGTTGAGCTTCCAACCTTAGCCCTGGAGCAAAGTGATGATGACTTAAGCTCGGCGCTTATGTCATGCGTTGTCCGCCACAACGAAGCGAATGGAACTCAGTCGATGTGGAGCCTTAGTGCCTGGGGCGACGGAAACGACGACCTCCATGCCATGTATTGCCCAGTGATCTATGTAACTACGCAATACGGAGTAGTTTTCATTTATGTGTGGTTTGTTCAGATCACATATTCATTAATATAGGCAACTAGCAAGCAACTCTTTCAGGTTTCATCCTCCCGAGGTCCACTCTATCCTCATAATCACAGTACGTAGTCAGTATCTATCCGACCTTTCAACAGTTCAGCAGAGTTAGACGAAGGTTTCTATCACGTTAACTAGTACAAATCAATGTAATCGAATTGTAGAGATGTAGAGAATGAAGCCTATACAGGTGAATACTGCATGGGCACGCTTCCGAGCTGCATAGGTCAGCCAAAGTTAACGCAAGTCCTTTTCGAGCATCTTCATCTCGGCCGATCTCAAGATGTGTGTGTCTCTTGGTTCAATTCCGATGAATGGCAGATCCCCCGAGTTCTGGTTGTACCATATGTAGCTATAGGTGAATGATGAACCATTGATCTAGCGGCTTGTATTGACCAAGACCCTTGTCGTCGGCGTTCATAGACGTCGTCGCCATTCATAGACGGTCGTCGCCGTTCATGACGGTTGAGTCGACGATGACGATAATGGCCCCGCCGACATTTTTGCCGCATTGGTGTGAACGCCCTGCTGCGGCCAGGTGTTGTAAGTTCTTCTCAAGCTCACTCTAGCTCTGGCACGTAAACGCAACCTTCAAAGAACATACCTCGAAACACTCACCCTCGTTATCCCATCCCATGGGCATCATGGAATCCAATTCAAGCCTCCCCGACGATTTCACGCAAGCCCTTACCAACACACTCACGGAGAAAGAGATCGATGATCTCCTCGATCAGCACGGCACCTCCCCCTGCTTCGTCACTGGTCAGCTTATGCTGCCAACAGCCCTCAAGTATTACCTCAATATCGACCAGAATGTCAACATCTCGAAGCGCATGGTACAAGCAACTCTGTTCGGTCATAAGCTCTTTGTAAGAGACGATGAACATGCGCCCATCCTGTGTCAATCCTCCGCTGTCAATCAGGCCATCGGCATGTTGGTTTTCGGTTTGACCAACGATCAACAAAAGGCATTGTATGACTTCGAGCGTGGTACGCAGCAGCTTTCGAGTGTACAAGTACAAATTAATCAAAGGGAGCAGGACACTGATGTGAATGTCAAGCGAATGATCCAAGCAAACGTTCTCACTTCAGATGCTGCCACATCGGAGGGATCCCTCAATGAACTCGTGACTCCCATGTGGAATCCATCTGATTTTATCAGAAGCCAGCGTTATGGTCACATGGTGAGCTCACAGGAATTTGCAGCTTTGTCAACAGTGGGGCAACCACTCCCACTGCAAGGTTCCTCAGAAGTGACAGAAGCTTCTCCTCCTCCCGTCATTTCTTCCTTCCCGCACCCATCGAGCCAGAGCAGTTCAACTGCTCTGGATCACTCGACTGGGAATGCAACCGAGCCAGACCTTCAAGAGACGGCGGAAGCTTCTCCCCCTTCCGCCCTTTCGTCTCTTCCTCGCCCCTCGAGCCTGGACATTTCAACTGCTTCAGATGACTCCAACGTGGGAGGTCCGTTGGGCCGTGTCCAGGCACGTGTCGAGATGCCGCAAGATGCCTCGGCGAGGCGTGACAACCAGCCGGCCGATAACCAGCCGCGAAACTCCTGGCATCGACAGGAGAATCGAGAAGCTAGATGGCGCCGAGGTCCACACCGAGTCATCCGCCTTGGTCAAGCTTTTCTCCGACGCCTATCTCGTAGGGCTCGGGTGCGGCAAGCCTCACCTCGCAGTGGGCGTGAAGTGAGAGTAATCTCACTTTCGAGATCTGAAACCCTCACAGGTGAGGGAGATCTGAGCGGATCGACCCTCATTGGGGGCGTCACTCCTCTGAGCGGATCGACCCTCATTGGGGACGTCACTCCTCTGAGCGGATCGACCCTCATCGGGGGCGTTACTCCCGACTCTGGCTCTTCGTGAGTCAGAGTCGGAATGTGTTAGAGTCAAGTGTCGAGTAGGTGGGTGGGGAACAATCAATAATCACCGTGGCTTCCATGGCACCCATGTGTACGTGTTCGTCTCTGTTCTGCGCGCCACTTACAAGACAAGCCGCGAGGCGGCGAGACCGCGGGTCCTTCGACAAAAACACTCATTGAGAACGAAGTGGACGATCTCCGTCGCCTAGCCAGGGATTCACCCTTGAGCACCTACCGGCGTCAGTTGCTCAACCCGGCAAACATGTTTGAAGCGGTCATCGCCACCGAATGCACAACCTAGCCACCGAAGCCGTTCAGTCCCACCGAATCTGCCACGCCCACCGATTCGCCATCCTTGGACCCCGATCAGCCACCAGCCAAGCCACTGGCGCCTTCCAAGCTTGGGTCCTACTTTCACAACAATCATACTGGGCCGTTCAACAAAGCCGGGCGGTTGCCGACTTGGCAGATCATGTTCGAAAACAAGTCCATCGGCCGGCTGCTTATGTATGGAGTACACATCGACGATCCCGCCTCTGTCTCCTATACTCAACTCGGTCTTGTGAGACGTGAGCGAATATAACGATATCCAGATCAAGCGCTCGCTTGATTGATCGTCTCTATTGACACGACTCTCATCCCTCTCGGGCCAAGGGCCAATAGACGGCCCTGAGCTCTGGCGGCCTGGACTTGAGCGACTCACTTGACCCAGACACATGACGCAAGCATACGGCGGCCTTGCCCTGATCTCTACTCAGAGCGGGGGGTGTGAGGAGGCCATTGTTGGAGGCAGACATACCCCGTCGACTTGAAGACTGCAGTAGGTGTCATCAATAGTTGTGCTAGCTCGGAAAGGCCAACAATGCTTGCGAGTCTCCTTGTCCCATCTCCTTCGTCAGAACCCCACTGTACCACGCGGTCTTTGGGTTTTGTGGAGTAGTCTGAGGCCTACAGAACATCCTCCTCTTGTACCTAAGCTTTCGGAAGGTTAAAGGACAGAACGACACGGGAATGTTGCCGCAGAGAGTAGCGAGGTTGGAGGAGTTGGTACAGGGAAGGGAGACAGAATACATCCGAATGACCCGTCCCCCCGCCCAAACAGATGCGAGTCAAGTCTTCAGGTGTTTTCCGTTTATAGAATCAAGCATTTTGTTGCCAATATTGAAAGATATTACTGTGTACTTCAATTTATGTCCAAATGCACGGAGTACTTGCAAGATTTTGTACTCGTTGCCGTTGGTCGGCATGGCATCCATCAATTACCTCCGCTGCAAGGAGCTTCTGTGCCAGCTCTCTGCGCAATAAGCGCATGGCAAGGATGACCGATGCATCTTACGCTTATGCAGAGAGAAAATAGACCGTAGACGTGGGATTTAGGCGATTGAATGAGGTTCATGAAGCAAATGAGGACGTTGGTAGACATTGTGAGATGCGCGGCACGTGAGACTCGCGAGTGGGTACTCCGCATGTGACAAGCACGGATAGTGCCTATGAATGAACTAATCCCCTGATGCTATTCCAGCAGAGACCATAACACCATGAACAATAATCAATATGTATATCGTAATAAAATAGTATGGCATAAGCAAATAGTATTAAACAGGATAGAAACAGCTGTGAACGCGGAGATGCCCGAATATCTAAGAGACCCTAGAGACGGCGGGCGGCGGGGGTAGCGCCGGAGATTAGATCGCCCTTGGAACTTCGAACCTTAAGTTCCGAGCCTCGGTAGCTTCCGTTCGCGCGCTTCTTCTAACGTCCCTTTTATTTTCCTCGCCCAAAGGTTCCCTATACACATCATACACTATGTCAGACCTTGGGAAGCCCCCAGGAGCATCTGCCGATGCAGAGAAAGTTCCCAGAGGGAGCGCATGCCCAAAGCAACAACTGTTAACCGCCCTAAAAACAACTGATGTCACAATCCGCCGCCTAAATCTGTAAGCACCACCCCTTGAGGCCATGACATACTCGCCATGAGCGCAGCAATAGACACCGGTAAAGGATGTTGCTAATAATCTCGGCAGCTTACTATCCGAGGCAAACGGACAAGAGCGCGCACTAGCGACCATCCAATATGTCGCCTCAATGCTGCACCACCTGACAGCTTCAGCCCCCTGGATAGCATTTCAGGCACGGATGGGTATTCTCGCGCGACTAAGAGGTGGTACATCGATCAAAAGCCCCACTACCGCGTCATCGGCTTCAAAATTCAAGGCCCTTTCCTCACTTGCGTCGGAGACGAGATATACCTTGCGGCTGTTCGGGTTGCTCCCGTTATGGATTTGGGGGGCTGAAACGCTCAAATCCCCACCGGCTGACCCCGTTCTGCATGCCCTGACTGTTCTGCAGGTCATCTCGAACGTGTTCTACCAGGTCCTCGAGAACGTGGCGTACCTTTCTGCCAAGGGGATTGTCTCGAAGCGGTTCGTGGACAAATACGGAGGGCGCGCCAAGTTGGATATCTGGAGTACCCGTGGATGGTTTGGACATATTTTCTTCCAGTTCTTCGTGCTCTGGCGCCAGCGTGTGCTGCGTAAACGGCGACTGGCTGCGCAGCGTGTGGCTGCTGGCACGGTTGAGAACAAGGAAACCAAAGCTGAGGACAGCGAGGCTACGCGCTTGGAGGTCCGGGCTTGGAAGAAGAGTCTGGTCAATAATACCTTCTGGGCTCCCTTGTGTTTGCACTGGTGTGTTGAGGAAGGCCTCGGTATTCCCGATAGCATGGTCGGGCTTATCAGCTTCGGTGCTGGGGCTTGGAGTTTGCACGACTTGTGGGCTGCTACTTCAACGGTTAAAGCATAGACTTTGGGTGCTCATTGTTCACATTCTTTTGACCCCTTTGTTTTTCTTGTACAAATTTGATCTTATTGGCCATAGTGGACTGATACAGACAAACCAACCGCCCTATCTTCTTCGGGTTCACCCCGACAAAACAACCACGCAGGCATTAGCGGTATTTGACTAGTGAGATAGGGTCAATGTATGGAGCTGTAGGCACAGGCTCCGGTGTAGTACTGGCTTTCGCAGGCGCACAGCCTCAGCAGATCTTCGGCCGGCTTGGAATCCTCACACTGTGTACAGATGGGAACTACAATGCTTGCATCGCGACGCAGACAACGGCAACGACAGCCATCAAGACCATAATCGTCTCCTTCATCGTAGCCTGTGCCTCCAGCAAGACTGAGCAACAGCCTGCAGGGTCATTGTGAGGAATTGGAGAGCCAGTTGCTTATGATGAGTAAATCCACAAACAAAGATAGACATTGGAAACGTTCTGGAGGTTTCAATGATTATGATGGTATTATTCATGGATTAACGACATTCAAGAGTTGGCAGATATTACATAGTAGCTGTGACAAGGAAGCATTTTCGAAAAAGGGTTTCCGATTACCTATTCTAATGACAACAAGACTGGAGAAAGGAAGAAAGAAGAAGAAAAGGAAAATAACATAGAGAAGAAAAGAAAACCAACCATGAGCGTCTCCTCAGATGGCCTGCTCTGCTCTCCCTGAGTCCCTCCTCTGGTCCACGTCCCAGTCCATGTGAACTGACGTGCGCAGTTTGTCGAGCTTCTCTTGACAGCTTGGGCAAGTGAGCGTGAACAGAGGCATCCGAGTCTTACAGGCCTCGCACATGGGATCCATGGCAGAATTCCTTCTTCCAGACGCCAGGGTGGCGGCACTTAGTGTGAAGCTTGAAGCTACTCCTCTGACAGGTCAGGACGCGTGTTCACCTCATACTTGCACTTGAGGCAAGCCTTCTGAAGGCTCCAGGCGGGTGTTTTGTCCGAATTCGGGATCACAAATCTGTTGCGTTGGACCCCAATCGGTTTCAGAATTGATTCCATGTCACCATGTCATTCTCCACACCAATTTCGTCGTTTTCCCACCGGATCAACATGCCAATCTTTCGCACATGAAACTTGCTCCGTACGGAAGCCACTTTCTTCAGCGCTGCTTCAAGGTCAAGAAGCTTTCTGGCACGCCCCCTTCCACTTGACTATTCATCACAGTCCACCAGGAGATTGGGAAGTGGAAGTCGGAGGGGTGGATGAGGGCTCGTTGAGACAACGTAGCCGGTGTTGAGATTCTTCCTCGCTTGTGAGGGAGTGCTTCATGGCAATGGATGTTAGAAATGCCATAAGCGCGGCATTTATAGTTTGTTCATCCAGCGGCTTCCTCGACCCCGTCGTTGTCGTACTCGACGCTATGGTTGTAACGATCCGATATTGCTCATGGGCTGCGATATCGAATATGCCGCTCCCCCAGGCGTCGGGGTTCAACTGCTGGGGATCGTACTTGGGAATCTGGCTCCCACTTTCAACTTGTTCCAGGTATTTAGCAAATGGCTCAAACTTTCCCAGCCATCGCCTCGCGGTTTTGAAACGGCCATTCAAGCCAAACTTGCTTCGCATCTCGGCGTCCAGTTGCTCTTCGAAGGACCATAATACCCGTAACAAAAGATACTCCTCCTCGCTGATATTAGAGCCCGAGCCCCATTGGTCTCGTTGGTTGGGATGTATTGTGTTTCCGGACAGACTGACTGCATTTGCCCACGATTCCGTTGTCTTTGGGACTTCGGTAAAGATCGGAGGCATCTTGTATGATTGGAAAGACAATAAGTGGAAAAAGCGTCACAAGAGCGGGTACAATGGTGCTTCCTCCCACTGTACCACCCCGGTGGTTTTGATTCTTGTTTCGGTCGGTGGATCGATTCTGCGGGAGCAGGACCAGATCTCAGGAGTGAGAATTTCCACTTCACTTTCACTGTAAGGTAATGCTTGCCCCTGCGAATTGAAGGTGGGGAGAGAACAGTCCTTCCATCTGGGACAGTGACTAGGTCAAGAGGCATCGAGTTCTCCGGACTCTCCGGTAGCTCCACAACCTATATATTCAACATGTCTCTATTCATACCAGTCGATATTAGTGTCGGAAAACCTTCTGTTGGCATTCTGTATTCTACTCACCTTCATGTTTGTCAGGGTAGAGGACATCCACCAGTTCCTCGTTGCCTCTTGAGTATGTTGGGCTGAAACGGACGATGCGGGGGAGGTCGGTTCTAGGTTCGGGTGGCACTGTGCCAAGAGGCTATCAATGTTGAGGTGGCATAGATAGGACCATCTCAGCTTACGAAGAAAACCTTCTGGCTTGGCACTTCGTAAGTAGGTTCAAGGTAGGTGGGCGAGGGCCAGTGGAGACATCGAGGCGTGATCTTGATGGCCCATCCCATCAACAGATCATCCTGGAATCCACTTCGAGCATAGCAGCTGGCAGTCGGCCGGCTCCTTGTCACGCCTCGCCGAGTCATCTCCGAGTGCGCGTATGACTCTATAATATCTGGGATCGTCCCAGAGCCACTGGAAGCCAGGGCCGCATGTTGCTCCTCCACTGACGCATGGTTGCGAAAGGGTCGAAACGAAGGTCCCGCATATTCTGGTCATGAGGCGGGACCGAGTGGAACAGGGTCGTTTGCTGGCCCATGATGGAGTATAGAGTCGAAAAGGGCTGAAGCAGAGCCATCGTATGCTTGCGTCATGTGTCGGGGTCGAGTCCAGGCCCCAAATGGACAAGGTGAACAAGGCCGTTCCATTATTGGCCCTTGACCAGAGAGGGATGAGTGGTGTGTCGATAGTCGATGGAGAGGACCGTTGACGAGGAGCTCTCTACCCACGCATGTTTTGGTTGTGAGTTGCTGATCAGGTCATCGAAGAGGGGAGAAGAGAGTGTGGAAGGCCACAGGTTTTCCCTTGACCTTGAAATAGTATAGATTCGAGAAAGGTAGAGATAGGAGAGGCGTAATCTTTGGATATGTGGAGGAGAGAAGAGTTGGAAGACGAGAGAGGGTCGAACCAGCAGGTATTTATAGGTGAGAGACAAGGAACCCAAATAGTAGCACATAGCAAACCTGGTTCACCATGTGACATGAAATATGACTTGGTACTGGTCTCATCACGAGTGCTGATTCACATGACAACTGCGATTCGCATAGACTGATCAATGGTACAGTGCGTATTACTGGGGATAATACCTCACAGCATAACGACCAAAGGTAGATACATGGAACACCTACTGTGTCGTTGGCCTCGCGAAGATCCACCCAACACGGTCATCCTAGGTTCCAACGACCGATGTATGCGATCAGCCTATACGGCAGAAGCTCTTATGGTGACCGAAGAAATATCATTACCTTCAAAGATCTGGCTGTCGACATACCAGCTGTTCCAAATACAGACGCATTGTATTGCGTAGAGTGAGAATATCCAATAGGATGCTGGGCATATTTCAAAAGTTTGAGAGTGTATGCTCGATCCTCATTCATATAACTTGAATTCCCCACAATAAAGAGGTTTGGCGTTACTATGTCACGTCAACGGGCATACGAAGAGAGTCTAGAGAGTAAAGACTCTAGACATCAGTATGATCGATTCTTTGCTAGGCGAGTAGGCATATTGGCATGATTCCATCAAGCCCCGGGAAAATTGCGCCTTTGCCGTGATGGCTGAGATATGGAATCGGTCTTCTGTATTCAATTGGTTATCTTCCAGATGTCTCGTCTCCGGCTGCCGCTGCAGTTTGCGAGTCCCGTGACCTGCGAAGAAAGAAGCATCGCAGCAACGAACAATCAAATATTCACTTGACACTTCCATAGTGACCTTGACCCAAGTAGATCCTAATCTAAATGAAATGAGAACGTTGAGGTAAAAGGAAAATCCAAAATGAAATTAAAAACGGTGTCGGGGGTTTCCGATGAGCTCCGCCGATGGAGAATGGATCTCGCCGGTCCATCTGCCGACTCGCCCATCGCTCTTATATCCGTTGTCCCCAGTTACTGCTATTTTCTTAACCGATGGATTCATTTTCATGGGTTGACTTATTCCTACTGTCCAATATTTGAATATCAAAATTTCCAACCCCCAGAGATATTGTAAACAAAAAGATGTGAGTAATCGTTGCCTCGGCTGTTAATCTCCCCCAGATCTAGCCCAGCCACCCTCGGGCCCCCAACTTCATAAACAAACAAGGGAACTTCCCCCCCCCGGTCTCCTCACCCCCATCGTTTTCCCACTCCACTTCCGACCTTATCATCATATTAATCCATTGTTCGTCAGTTGGTTCGGAGATATCTTCTTGAACCCCGATCCAACCCCTTCCTTCAACCCCATATTCCTACCAACACAATGTCCGTCAAATTCCAAGAAGAAACGGTTCGCACTGCCGTCACGGCCGCGGGCGGCAAGTCCGAAGACCTCGCACACCGTGTCGGTGAGCGATTGACCGGCGGAAGGACAGCGGCCGGATATCTCCAGGTATGCAGCGGCGCTCCCCCGTATCCAATAATAAGAAAATTAAGAAAGGCGGCAACTAATCCGGGGAATGGATCGTCAGGCCTACCTCCTCCAGCTCCAGAAGAACCCGCTGCGCACGAAGATGCTCACCTCCGGTGTGCTCTCCGGCCTGCAGGAACTGTTGGCTTCATGGATCGCTCACGATGTCGGCAAGCACGGCCACTACTTCAGCTCGCGCATCCCCAAGATGTCGCTGTACGGCATGTTCATCAGCGCGCCCCTCGGCCACGTCCTCATCGGCATTCTCCAGAAGATCTTCGCCGGCCGCACATCTCTGAAGGCTAAGATCTTGCAGATTCTCGTCAGCAATTTGATTGTACGTGTTGTCGACATTACCCCCGTGTGTCGTGCGAAATCGCTAATTTCCATCTTTCTCCGCAGGTCTCCCCCATCCAGAACAGTGTTTATCTCAGCTCTATGGCCGTTATCGCTGGTGCGCGCACCATCCACCAGGTCCGCGCTACCGTTAAGGCTGGATTCATGCCCGTCATGAAGGTCAGCTGGGTCACTTCGCCCCTGGCTTTGGCTTTCGCTCAGAAGTTCCTGCCCGAACACACATGGGTGCCGTTCTTCAACATTATCGCGTTCTTCATCGGAACTTACGTCAACACCCACACCAAGAAGAAGCGTCTGGAAGCTCTCCGCAAGGTATGTGTATAATATTTCTGTGGAATCGCTGAGATTTGATTGCTAATGGCTTTGGCAGCGGTACGACCAGCGCCGCGACCCCGGCTACGAGAAGCGCGACTACCCTTAGATAGGATGAGTCCGCAGTTGATTGCAAACAAACCCGGGAAGATGCATCGTCTTTTGTCTATCGCCTCTTTCCCTGCTTGATTGCAGTAGATGATTAATCTTTTTTTCCTTTGTTCATTATTGTCTAGTGTTGATCTACCATGTACACACCCATCGTGTATTTTGACATGTCCCCAGATATCTTACCCCTGATGTTATTACTCAATATTATGATGAATGGCTTTATATCCATGGATGTCTGTTTGAGTCCGATTGCTGCTCTTGCATAACAGTGGCACATGTAATTTCCTCTCTGATATCAGGAACCAGTATCATTACACTCCGATTAGGTATCGACTACGTGCACTCCTAGATATCTAGACCAGATGAAATTGGAATAAACTAAATTCAATTGGGAAGAACTCCATGGCTACATGGCAGAGCGCATGTAGATACCTAAGAAAATCAAGTGGACAACCAGTCCACAAAGCCAGGCCGTGAGCCGGCCGACATGGAGTGAAAACACTCTCATATCAAAATAACCCGGAGGGAGTCCTTTACTCGACCTCCATATCCTGCTCCTGCCCCTTACCCATCTTCGGCTCGTGCCTTTCATCCTGAACCCAACCGACGAAGTCATCCAGGGCACCAGGCCAAGCACCATCAGGATTGTACCAGTGCATATCCTCATCCTCGAGAGTCTTGCGCATGAAGACCTCAACCTGCTCCCACAGGTCCTTGGTAACGGGCTTGCTGCCGAAATCTTCGAGGTACTGGATCCACCAGTCCAGCCACGGGGTAGTCTTGGTGTTCCAAGCCAGACCGCCGCGCTCAGCAGTGAAGAAGAGACGCCACTGCTCGACGGCGATGTCAAATTGCAGGTGACGCTGACCTTGCATGCGGGAGACCGTGAAGGCGTAACGGTAGACCTTCCGGAAGAGCTGGGGATCCTTAGGGATGCGGGTACGGACCTTCTTGACCCACTCCTGCATCAGGGGGATAGTGTCGCAGCTGTGTGGGTGTTAGTTTGTTAGCTCGGATTGAGAATGGATCTTTGAGCTGTAAGAGTTATCATACCCGGCATTGATCCATCCAAGCACAAAGCCATCACGGGTGATTTCGCCGATCGAGGGGCACTTGAGTTGCTCGGAGACGGCCAGACAGGCGACCTCGTCCAGCTCCACATTGATGTCACGTAGGAAGTCTATGGCGCGAGTGATACCGATGGTATCCGGACTCTCGACCGGGTCGTCTAAGGGTGGGTTAGTGATTCGGCGTAGAATAGACGTGTCAAAGACGTGTACATACCGCGGTAGCTTTCGAAAAGGATGGTAATTGGCGAGGTATACACATGTTGTGTGCTCTTGGCAGCGGCCAGGTAACTGTCAAGAGGCAAGGTCAGCCTATGCGTATCTCAAACATGCTTCATGTATGGGAACGACAAAGCGGGATGGATAAGTATGTGCAGTCATGGAAATGGGGTGACAGTACAGGTCTTCTTCCTCCCTCCGCACCTCCCGCGGCATTCGCGGGCCAGTGAACTTTATCCGCACCATGGTCACAGCAGATACAACATGATGAGATTTCAAACTGCAGTAAGGGTGATTGAAGGAGGCGGAGAGATGACGAGGAAGAAAATATGATGCTGGACCAGAAACCCGTCTCTTATACTGGTGCCGTCACAAACAACACGCTCACTCCGGAAGGAGTGAGCGCCATATGAAGGCCCGAGGAAAGATCGTGGGAATTTCAAACCAAAAGCAGCGGGTACTCACTCAACAATCGCTTGTTCCAACTTCCATCCACTTGCTTTAAGGAACTATACTCAATGTTAGACACGTGACCAGGCCAGAGCACCCCCATTCGAACGGACTGCAACACAACGCGATATGTCCGGAAACCGGTTCAAAGACATACCTTGGGGGCCACGGTGTCCTTGGTCCTGGTGACCTCAATGAATTCAGCAATTAGCTTCTTCTGGGCAGCTGTGTACGGCGCCATGGTGATGATGGTGGGGGTCGGCGATATTCTCAGACTGCTGTGAAGGGAAGAAGTACAGCAGCGAGGGTCGCCGAGCCACGAAGAGCTATATATTTGGTCGCACGTGACAAGGTCTCGTGCTGTGCTGGTCTTCGATTAATCTCGAAGATAGTCCAAGACTCCAGGATGAGGCTTCCTGAGATATCATCCCGCGTCTTTGCAGTTGCCCCAAATCCGAGATGATGGCATCCGCTGACTCATCATATCTCCGATGCCCGGTGGAGATCGTCGAGAACTAGTATCTACTATACCGACGATGTACAATTATTTGGTTGTTATCAACTGTCTGTCCCATGAAATACGATCCTGGGGACTAGATCGTTGATACCTACTCCATAGGAGGTTTCAGTGACACCCATGGTGGTGGCCCACGTACCCGCTGGAAGCACGGGCAATGATATACAACGACTAGTACCTACTGTGTAGGTATTTCGTACATGTACGGACACTTTTACAGTATAACTCGTATAACTAGACCAAGGACAGTTCTGGGAGACTCTAGATGTTATCAAGCGGTGTAATTTCATATGCTAACCATTACATAGATGTCGATCAATATTTGCCATGAATTCATGACATTAGAAGCAGAGAGCACAGCATCCGACGGTAGAAAGTACACCCAACTTTTTATAAGATCGAAGAGATCAAATGAAACTCCCAAACGCCGGGTTCGACTTGTTGTCATGTAATATTCGATGTCATGTCGAACGTTGCTTAGGTGGTGAACAATGTATCCTCCTATTATGAATGTCAGTAATGCAGGATGAAATATTGATAAACGTATAGAATAACCCACCTCTCTGAGATATTCTCCTGTATCGGCCTGTTGTCTTGGTTAGCGAATGCTTAGAATCCCGAGTCAATCCAACCTACCTGACGGTGAACGACAACACTTGTAGGCTCAAGGCGACGCATTTCACTTATTCCTCTGGCAGTGACACCGAATCCCAATGGGTTGTCGGATTCGTCCAAAATGATAACTCCACTGTTCACGGGGGCGTCTTCGGCGGACCACCGAGCGACATGGGCCTTGAGAACTGAACCACCATAGAGCAAAGGCTAGAAATTGTTAGTAAAATGCAGTGAATCCCGTTAGTATTGTAATGTCAAGCTTACCATAACTCCGTTTGACTTGATCCAGACCTGCGAGTAAGAGTACGTCAGCACCGCTTCTTGAGCTACGCCTGATATAGACCGACACATACCTTGTACCGAGCGTGCTGGGCCAACAGGTCCAAAGCTGTCAGGTTAAGACGGAACTTGCCAGTCTGCGGGAATATTAGCATTGGCAGCAAGAATGACAGCGGTTCAGAGCCCATACCTTTGTGAATTTGCCGACCATAGTACCCATAGACAAGAGCACATCGCGGGGGAATGAGACGCTCAGGTTGGCGAGATCCTTCTTAACGTAGTAGACACGGGATCCCTGCAGACGGAAAACACTCAAGGTTCCATCTTCGGCGGGGGTGATAAGAGTATTCAGACTGCGGCCGGTGTAGACAGCGAGCTTCGTGAAGAGCGTCCGCGTCTCTTCCTGGTAGAGTCATTGGGTTAGCCAGAGCATCAAAGTCGAGAAGCAGATATACGTACTTCTGTGAGAGATCTCATATTGTATAATATGAAGCTGAAGTGGTGACAATAAGGTACAGTAACAGCGATCTTGTCTTGTCAAAAAGTGAGGAGCCAAAAAAAAACCAAAGTCGGGCAATATCTTACCGCCTAGAAGCGGACCTGAAAATTATAGTGGTGGAACGGGCCACCAGAGCCAATGGGAGCGATGATTGTCTTTCCGCCTAGAATTTTCGGGACCGCCTTTTTACTCCAAGATATTTTTTGCTTTTCTCCGCGAAGGTCGTTTCGAACCCCCCGATATACAATTGCATAATGGCACGTGGCCCAGAAGTGAAGCGGAGACGATTGAGTCCTCCAGCGGATGTTGAAGACTCTTCTTCGCGCTCCAAGGGCGAAGAATGGGACGTCGAGCAAGACTACGAGCGCCGCCCGCGCAAACACACCAAGAAAGCCAGCGAGAGCGCACGACTGCCAATCAAGACCTCCGAAGGTTTTGTCCAGGCCCAAGATCAGGCTGAGGACCAGGCTGAGGATACCGACAGCTTCTTGGGCACCGATGATGACGAGGAGGATGGTTCTGAAGGTGAGGGTAAGGATGAGGACGGAGAAGAATCCGAGGAAGAAGCACCCAAGATCCCAGTGAAGGCACAAATCATACAGGCAAAGGAGGACTTGGCCAGGATCGCAACCTTGATCAACGAAGATCCCGAGGAGCACATCTCCTTGTTCAAGACAATGGCCGAGATGTCCTCGAAGAAAAACACACCCCTCACGGTCAAGAAATTGGCTCTGGCTGCACAGGCTGCTGTCTACAAGGATATCATCCCCGGATACCGCATTCGTCCATTGAGCGAGGAAGATCAGACCGCCAGAGTATCAAAAGAAGTGCGCAAGCTCCGAGACTTCGAACAGTCCCTCGTGGCTGGATATCGAAACTACGTTCTGAAGCTGGGTGCGCTCTCAAAGCCATCCAAAGCAGATGGCCCCACTGATCCCAGTCTGAAGAGTTTCGCAATTCAGATGGCTTGCACTATGCTCTTGGCCGTACCACACTTCAACTTCCGCAGCGAGCTTCTCAAGATCTTGGTCAACCGCCTAGCACGGAGACAGCTCGATGCCGACTATGTCAAGTGCCGTGAGACCTTGGAAGAGATTTTCGCAAAAGATAACGATGGAACCGTATCTCTCGAAGCTGTTCGTCTGCTTGCCAAGATGCTGAAGGCCAGAGACTTCCACATTCATCCCACTGTCTTGGACACATTCCTTCATCTCCGCCTACTCGGCGAGTTCCACCTCAAGGCTTCTCAAAACCGAGTGGATCGGGCAGAGGAAGAAGCACCCAAAGGCAAAAAGCCGAAGCAAAAGCGTGAATTCCGCACGAAACGAGAGCGCAAGGTCCAAAAAGAGCGCAAGGAAGTCGAGAAGGACATGAGTCAAGCCGAGGCAGTCGTCTCCCACGAACAAAGAGACAAGAACCAAGCCGAAACGCTAAAGCTCGTCTTCGGTCTCTATTTCCGCATCCTCAAGCTCCGCATTCCGCCCCTGATGGGTCCCGTGCTGGAAGGTCTAGCGAAATACGCCCACCTCATTAACCAAGACTTCTTCGGCGATCTCCTCGAAGCCCTAAAAGACCTCATCAACCACGCCGAGCGCGAAGAAATGGGCGAAGAAGGCGACCAAGAAGTCGTCAACGACGACGAAGATGACACCAACGTCACAACCGAATCCGCAGCCCGCGACGCCCGCCGCAGAACCCTCCTTTGCACGGTGACCGCCTTCGCCCTCCTCGAAGGCCAAGAAGCAAGCAAAGCCGCAGCAGGCCTCCACCTCGACCTCAACTTCTTCATCAAGCACCTCTACCGCTCCCTCTACTCCCTCTCCATGAACCCAGAAGTAGAGTACAACCCCGACACCTCCCTCCGCCTCCCCGACCCCAATGCCTCCACAGACGGAACCGATCTCGCCTCCACCCGCTCAAAGAACAAGGTCAACTTCCAGACGCCTATGGTTCTTCTGCTCCGCTGTCTGCAGCCAACTCTGCTATCCCGTGCACACGGTAACCCGCCCCCGAGCAGACTGGCTAGTTTCTCCAAGCGCCTTATGACGACTTCGCTTCAGTTGCCGGAGAAGTCGGCTCTTGCGACGCTGGCGCTTATGAATCAGGTTTCCAAACACCATGGTCGTCGTATCTCCTCACTTTGGCATACCGAGGAGCGGAAGGGTGACGGCGTCTTCAATGCTTTTGCCAACGATGTCGAGTCTACCAATGTCTTTGCTGGGTCGGTGTGGGAAGGTGAATTGTTGCGTCTGCACTACTGTCCGCAGGTCCGGGAGGCGGCGGTGGATATTGAAAAGATGATGATTGCGACTAAGTAAATACTGTGAATAATGTTATGTCCTTGCATGTACCTAGGTCTCTACGCAGCCTACTTTTGAAGTTATATTGGAGTCTGTACTCAGTAATCGAACATGTTCATTGGCAACATCGAAGCTACCTAATCATACAGGCAACTCATCGTTGCCGACCTCGAAAGCGAGAAACCACCATGATGCAGTCGAAGCCCCAATGAGCAACTCATACAAGATTTTTGAATTTCTCTTTTTTTGGGGGGTTTTCTGTTTTTCGATTTTTTTGTTTTTCGTTTCTTCCCTCCCCATCAATAAGCAAACTCAACCCCGAAGGGTCGAGACAAGAAAGAGGAGACCGTAACCGTAGAAACCACCCAAAAAGACATTCTGGGCCTTTTTATGCCATCGGGGTGGGAGAGCCCGAGGCAGCACCAGAAGAGACAACCCCCTGTGACAGGGTGGTTGCCGGAGCAACTCCAGGTTCACTCATTCGGAGTCATCGCCATCGGTGACGGGTTCCTCCGGGAACTCATTCGCCGGGACCTGGAGGGCCACTGAGAGACGGCCGATGGACCGGGACAGCCTCCCAACTCGGTCCTTCAGGAGCTGGTGCTCCCCCGCCATCAGGCTCAAGTCGATGGCGGCCGCATCCATGCGGCGGCTCATGCGATCGTTCTCTATGAGCAGCTCGTGCCGCTCACGGTCCCTGACAGCAAACACCTCTTCCACGTGGACGCGCAGCGCCTCGAAGCGCTGCTGGAACCACCTCACGTGCGAGACCAGCTCCCCTTCCTTCCACGAGGCGACGTCGGCGAGGTGACCTTGGAGGCAGTCGACCTCCTCTCTCACTCTCAGAGCGCCTTCGAGGCGGCCAACTCTGTCAATAGGGCGCCTCTGGGACTGGGAGTGCGCCTCCACAGTCTCCTCCAGAGCCTTCAGTCTCGAGGCGAGCTCCGCGAGGTCCACGCTGTCGCGGCGAGGGTTGAACTGATGGCGAGAGTCGGCAGGCGGTGAGACATCGCTGAGGTTGCGATCGCGGTGGGAGGCAGGGCTGGTGTTGATGGAGGCACGCGAATCACGGCGCGTGGTGTAGCGACGGAGACTGCCAGCTCCGTAAAAGGGAGGAGAGGAGGGGGTGGTGCGAGAAGCACGAGAGGTGGTGGCGGAGGCAGGTGAGTCCGGCAGCTGCTTATCCAAACCGCTGTCCATCTTGAAAGATGATGGAGGCGCAGATTGGGAACGTTGTGGACTTTGACGCAAAAGAGGGAAGTCAGTGCGAGAGCGAGACTGCCGAAGAGAGAGATCTGGTTGCAAAGTGAGAGATTGTTGAAAAGCAAGAGAGCAGTCTAGTTGTGGTGTGGGAGATCCCTGAGAATAAACAGAAGACGAAGAAGGGGACTAGCGAGAATAAATAGGGGGACTGGGAGGGGAACTATTCGGTGCAGGCGGCAAAACGTTTACGGAAGGAGCAGGCAGCGATGGGCTTGTGATAGTATCAAACACGTTGCGCTATTCATGGACCTGACGCTGGTCGCAGCCTTCGTTTTCAGTAAGAGGGGACAAGTCGGGGCAGACGGCAGAATGACCGAGGAAGGAACAACCAGCGATGAGCTTGTGATAGTATCAAACACGTTGCGCTATTCATGGACTTGACGCTGGTCGCAGCCTTCGTTTTCGGTAAGAGGGGGACATGTCGTTGCAGGCGGCCAAGTGGCTGGCGAAGGAACAGGCAGCGACGAGCTTCTGATAGTATCAAGCGCATTGCGCCGTTCATGGGCGTGACGCAGGACCCGACACAGGACCCGACGCCGGGCCTGACGCAGGACCTGACGCAGGACCTGATGCTGGTCCTGACGCTGGTTCTCACGCTGGCTCTCACGCTGGTCCTCACGCTGGTCCTCACGCTGATCCTCACGCTGGTCCTCACGCTGATCCTCACGCTGGCTCTCACGCTGGCTCTCACGCTGGCTCTCACGCTGGCTCTCACGCTGGTTCTCAAGCTGGTCCTCACGCTGGTCCTCACGCTGATCCTCACGCTGATCCTCACGCTGGCCCTGACGCTGGTTCTCACGCTGGTCCTCACGCTGGCCGCAGCTCTCGTTTTCGGTACCTATAACATCAAACGTTAGCGACCATCTCTTCAACGAACAACAACTAAAAGTCATTGCAGGCTCATGAGGCCATGATGATTGAGGATTGAATCCTATTAAGGATCAATATCAATATGTCTCTTTCATCACTCTTGAGGCTCAGTATGCCACCAAGTGAGGTTCATTTGTTCACGAGCCTGATCCTGCAGACCAAGGCCCAATCCCAAAGGATAAAGACCATTTCCACACAAGGAATGACATTCAGTTCGAAGAAGGATGTTCTTATTCTGATGACGAATGAAGAACACTTCCATAGAAAGAATCCTGGCATCAAGGAACAGGACCCAGGCACCACAGAGGTACTGCGTCCATTCCGTGGAACAGACACTGCTCTGGGGAGCCCAAGGCCCAATCCTTTTGAAGAACCAAGCCCAAGACATTCATCCCAATAGGAGATGACCACAGGTACTCGGAAAGTATCAAGACCCAAATCAAACTCCCATGGCGAAGCCTGAGACCGCAGAGAAGCCCAAAGGCCCCTGCAGACGACTCAAAATCATGGAGAGGTGGATGGATTACAACTTACCTTGCTCAGAATTATCCATCTTGTAATGAGAACGATGAAATCGATGGATGAGAGGCAACAGAAAGGTGATTGATGATGATGGGGAGAAGAAGAAGAAGAAGAAGAAGGAGACGCGTGTGAGTGGAAATAAGATGGGGGCGCGACACCCAACACTTGTCCCCGAACCAACCCAGCTCCCGGCATTATTATAACGGAAGTCACGGGTACCTTGCCATCGATTCATCGTGTCTTTTCTTGGTATCGAAGGCACGACCCTCGCCCTACCTATCACTAAACCACTATGAATCTCCCGCCGCCCATCTGTCCGCACTGGAATCTTCGCAGTTCACCCATTGTCGTTGTCCATGTCTTCCCTCCGTTGATACACCAGACTCCTTGCGCTAAGACGAAAAAGCAGGGGAGCCGGCATGCCTTATAGCAAGATGTCTATGTTTGCCCCCAAACACAGCTGCCTCTCTCCCCCATCATCATCAATCACCTTTCTTTTGTCTCTCATTCATCGGTCTAATCATTCTCATTGCAAGATGGATAATTCCAAGCAAGGTAAGTTGTAATCCATCCACCTCTCCATGATTTTGAGTCGTCTGCAGGGGCCTTTACAAGAGATTCATTCATGCAATGGAGAAGACAAAGCACCATGCGGATAGCTACATATAAACACTTAGATTGAAAGATTCATTATTCATAAGATCATGCCATTCAAGAACTACTACATACTGGGTGAGCAAGCCAACCTAATCCATCGAGGGCGGCGTCGATCCCAACATGAAGAGACGACAAAAGGAAATCATCAACCATAGATAAATCAAAACGAAGCAAGACGCAAATGAAATTCGTAAATAGAAACAGGAAAACACAAGCCAATGGTACAGGGGAATATGAAATAACTTGCTTGGGGGAGAACTGGGCCCTCAAGTCCGGGCTCGATGTCTATACTTCGGAAGGCGACGCACTTTTGCCAATGCCCACGCACACCGTTGATGCCAAGATCGGGGGCTCTGATAAGCACGTGGTTCGGATCATTGTTGATCAGTTCCGAAGTATCCGTTTCGATGCCACGTGAGCTCGGCTTATTGTTGATCTTATCCGAAGTATGAACGACACGGTCGACACCATATCGCAAGAATCGGAACCGTCAACACAGCGAGCCAAAACCAGTTGGTCCTGATCAATCAGTCAGTGAGTCAGCCCTCACTCCTCAGCGACATGTCTGTGCATCATCATTTTGAGGCTCTCATTCTCCACGAACAGCGTACCAAGGAAAAACAGACTGGCTGACACGAAAAAAGTGATGTTTCTTTCCCTATTTAGGGGCCTTGTTACGGCGGAAAGGTGAAAAGATGGCTCCAAAGAAATTGGCAAACACGGTGCGCAGGATTGCTTGAGCCAGTTGTCTGGTACACCATTTAGTGAAAAGTCGTAGGATGAGAATCCTCATCATTCTGCTTGGGCGCAACTGTCGTCGGCAGCAGGCTTGGAGTCTGATGCCTTGGCAACGGACTTGGTGGTTCCCTCGCTGGTTTCGGCGGGCTCGGCGGTGACAGCCTCCACGACAAGCTCAGGAGCAGCAACATCTTCAACAGTCTCAGCCACAGGCTCTTCAGCAACCTTCTCTTCGGTGACAGAAGTCTCAGCAACGGGCTCCTCAACAGTCTACTCGACAGCTTGCTCAGTCACCTCCTCCTTGGTGAATTCAGGCTGCTCAACGACTTCCTCGGCAGATTCAACGGCAATAGCCTTTCGACGGCCTCAACCACACCCTCAGCAGGAGCAGCAGCTTCTTCGGTGATGGTAGCAGCAACAGGCTCAGGTGCGGCAGTCTCTCCGGGAGCAGCTTCAGCGGCCTCGGAGACAGCGGGTAGTCGAGTACTTGGCAATTTCAGCCACAGGCTCCTCGACAGCTGGTTCCTCTGCGGTAACCTGTTCAGTGGTCTCCTGAATAGGTTCGGCCTCAGTAGGCTCGGCCTTTTCAGCAATGCTTTCCTCGGCGACGGCGAGGACGGGCTCCTCGGTGGCTTCAGCAGCAGGCTTAGCGGCAGCAGGCTCAGTGGAAGCAGCCTCGACGGACTCCGTAGCAGTCTCGACAGTCTGCTCAGGAACCGGCTCAGCAACGAGCCTCCTGGACTGACTCGGGACTCGATTCCTCGACGGCAGGCTGCTCAACAGTGGCTTCCTCAGCAGGTGCGGGAACGACTTCCTCTTTGGCCTCAACGACCTCCTCCGCACCGTGACCGCCTTCGCCCTCCTCGAAGGCCAAGAAGCAAGCAAAGCCGCAGCAGACCTCCACCTCGACTTCAAATTCTTCATCAAGCACCTCTACCGCTCCCTCTATTCACTCTCCATGAACCCAGAAGTAGGGTACAACCCCAACACTTCCCTCCGCCTCCCCGACCCCAATGCCTCCACAGACGGAACCGATCTCGCCTCCACCCGCTCAAAGAACAAGGTCAACTTCCAGACGCCTATGGCTCTTCTGCTCCGCTGTCCGCAGCCGACTCTGCTATCCCGTGCACACGGTGACCCGCCTCCGAGAAGACTGGCTAATGTCTCCAAGCGTCTTATGATGACTTCGCTTCAGTTGCCGGAGAAGTCGGCTCTTGCGACGCTGGCGCTTATGGATCACTAATCAGGTTTCGAAACACCATGGTCGTCGGATCTCTTCACTTTGGCATACCGAGGAGCGCAAGGGTGACGGTGTCTTCAATGCTTTTGCCATTGATGTCGAGTCTACCAATGTCTTTGCTGGGTAAGTGTGGGAAGGTGAATCGCTGCGTCTGCACTACTGTCCGCAGGTCCCCGAGGCCGCGGTGGATATTGAAAAGATGATGATTGCGACTAAGTAAATACTGTGAATAATGTTATGTCCTTACATGTACCTAGGACGCTACGCAGCCTACTTTCGAAGTTATATTGGAATCAGTAATCGAACATGTTCATTGGCATTGAGGCTACCTAATCATACAACACCTAATCGTACAACAAGCAACTCATCGCTGCCGACCTCGAAAGCGAGGAAACCCCATGATGCAGTCGAAGCCCCAACGAGCAACTCATACAAGATTTTTGATTTTTTTTTCTTCGGGGTTTTCTGTTTTTCGATTTTTTTTGTTTTTCGTTTTCTTCCCTCCCCACCAATAAGCAAACTCAACCCCGAAGGGTCGAGACAAGAAAGAGGAAACCGTAGAGACCACCGAAAAAGACATTCTGGGCCTTTTTATGCCATCGGGGTGGGAGAGCCCGAGGCAGCACCAGAAGAGACACCCCCTGTGACAGGGGGGTGCCGGAGCAGCTCCAGGTTCACTGGTCGGCGAACGAGTTCCCTGACAAACTCGTCGCCGGGCCCTGGAGGGCCAAGAACAGACGGGCGAGGGACCGGGACAGCGTCCCAACTCGGTCCTCAAGGAGCTGGTGCTCCCTCCTCACCAGGCGCACGTCGATGGCGGCCGCGTCCACGCGGCGGCTCATGCGCTCGTTCGCCATGAGCAGCTCGTGCCGCTCATGGTCCCAGACGGCAAACACCTCTTCCACGTGGATGCGCAGCGCCTCGAAGCGCTGCTGGAACCACCTCACGTGCGAGGCCAGCTCCTCTTCCTTCCACGCGGCGACGTCGGCGAGGCGACCACGGAGGCAGTCCATCTCCACTCTCAGGGCGCCTTCGAGGCGGCCAACTCTCTCGAACTCGAGCCTCTGGGACCGGGAGGCCGCCTCCACAGTCTCCTCCAGAGCCTTCAGTCTCGAGGCGAGGTCCGCAAGGTCCACGTTGTCGCGGCGAGGGGTGGACTGATGCTGCGAGTCGGCAGGCGGTGGGACATCGCTGAGGTTGCGATCGCGGTGGGAGGCAGAGTTGGAGATGTAGGGGGCGCGCGGATCAGGGTGCGTGGGTTCTTGTCCGAGACTGTCCTCTCGGTGGGAGGCAGGGCTGATATTGAGGGAGGCACGCGAATCACGGCGCGTGGTGTAGCGACGGAGACTGCCAGCTCCGTAAAAAGGAGGAGAGGAGGGGGTGGTGCGAGAAGCACGAGGGGTGGTGGCCGAGGTAGGTGAGTCCGGCAGCTGCTTATCCAAACCGCTGTCCATCTTGAAAGGTGATGGAGGCGCAGATTGGGAACGTTGTGGACTTTCACGCAAATGAGGGAAGTCAGTGCGAGAGCGAGACCGCCGAAGAGAGAGATCTGGTTGGGAAGCGAGAGATTGCTGAAAAGCAAGAGAGAGATCTGGTTGGGGGGTGGGAGATTCCTGAGAATAAACAGAAGACGAAGAAGGAGACCAGCGAGAATAAATAGGGGGACTGGGAGGAGATCTATTCGGTGCAGGCGGCAAAATGTTTGAGGCAGGAGCAGGCGGCGATGGGCTTGTGATAGTATCAAACACGTCGCGCTGTTCATGGACCTGACGCTGGTCGCAGCCTTCGTTCTCGGTAGGAGGGGGGCAAGTTGGGGCAGGCGGCAGAATGGTCGAGGAAGGAACAGCCGGCGATGAGCTTCTGATAGTATCAAACGCGTTGCGCTGTTCGTTGACCTGACGCTGGTTACTGCCCTCGCATTCGGTAAGCGGCGGAGAAGTCGTTGCAGGCGTGGCTGAGGAAGCAACAGGGATCGACGAGCTTCTGAACGCATTGCGCCGTTCATGGGCATGACGCAGGACCTGACACAGGACATGACGCCGGACCGCACGCAGGACCTGACGCAGCTTCTGACGCTGATTCTGACGCTGGTCCTGTTGTTGGTCCTGTTGCGGGTCGCAGCCCTCGTTTTCGATAACTATAGCATCAAACGTTAGCGACCATCCCTTCAACGAACAACACCTGAAAGCCATTGCATGTCCATGAGTCCATGATGATTGATGATTGAATCCTATTAAGGATCAATGTGTCTCTTTCATCTCTCTTGAGGCTCAGTATGCGCCCAAATGAGGTTCATTCGTTCACGAGCCTGATCCTGCAGGTCAAGGCCCAATCCCAAAGGATAAAGACCATTTCCACACAGTGAATGGCATTCAGTCTGAAGAAGGAGGTTCTTATTCTGATGACGAATGAAGAACACTTCCATAGAAAGAATCCTGGCATCAAGAACAGGACCCAGGCACCACAGACGTACTGCGTCCATTCCATGGAACAGACACTGCTCTGGGGAGCTCAAGACCCAATCCTTTTGAAGAACCAAGCCCAAGACATTCATCCCAATAGGAGATAACCACAGGTACTCGAAAAGTATCAAGACCCAAATCAAACTCCCATGGCGAAGCCTGAGACCGCAGAGAAGCCCAAAGGCCCCTGCAGACGACTCAAAATCATGGAGAGATGGATGGATTACAACTTACCTTGCTCAAAATTATCCATCTTGTAATGAGAATGATAAAATCGATGAACAAGGAGCAAAAGAAAGGTGATTGATGATGATGGGGGAGAAGAAGAAGAAGAAGCTGACGCGTGTGAGTGGAAATAAGATGGGGGGCGCGACACCAACACTTACCCCCGAACCAACCCAGCTCCCGGCATGATTAGAACGGAAGCCACGGGTACTTGCCATCGTTCCATCGGGTCTTTTCTTGATATCGAAGGCACGACCCTCACCCTACCTATCACTAAACCACTGTGAATCTCCCGCCGCCCATCTGTCCGCCCAGGAATCTTCGCAGTTCACCCATTGTCGTAGTCCATGTCTTCCCTCCGTCGATCTACCAGACCCCTTGCGCTCTAGAAAGGCGAAAAGGCAGGGGAACTGGCATGCCTTTATAGCAAGATGTCTATGATTGCCCCCAGCAAGACCGTCCTCTACAAAGGATTCATTCATGCAATGGAGAAGACAAAGCACCATGCGGATACCTGCATATAGACACTTAGATTGAAAGATTCATTATTCATAAGATCATGCCATTGAAGAACTACTACATACTGGGCGAGCAAGCCAACCTAATCGATCCGAGGGCAGCATCGACCCCAACATGAAGAGATGACAAAAGGAAATCATTAACCATAGATAAATCAAAACGAAGCAAGGCGCAAATGAGATTCGTAAATAGAAACAGGAAACACAAGCCAATAGTACAGGGGAATATGAAATAACTTGCTTGGGGGAGAGATGGGCCCTCAAGTCCGGCCTCGATGTCTATACTTCGGAAGGCGACGCACTTTTGCCAATGCCCACGCACAACGTTGATGCCAAGAGCTGGGGCTTTGATACGCACGTGCTTCGGATCATTGTTGATCAGTTCCGAAGTGTCCGTTTCGACGCCACGTGAGCTCGGATTATTGTTGATCTTATCCGAAGTATGAACGACACCATATCGCAAGAATCGGAACCGTCAACACAGCGAGCCAAAACCAGCTGCTGGTCCTGATCAATCAGTCAGTGAGTCAGCCCTCAGCGAGCCCATGTCCGTGCATCATCAGTTTGAGGCTCTCATTCTCCACGAACAGCGTACCAAGGAAAAACAGACTGGCTGACACGAAAAAAGTGATGTTTCTTTCCCTATTTGGGGGCCTTGTTACGGCGGAAAGGTGAAAAGATGGCTCCAAAGAAATTGACAAACACGGTGCGCAGGATTGCTTTGAGCCAGTTGTCTGTTGCACCATTTAGAGAAACAGCTGTAACTGACCGATTCTGACTCGTAGGACGAGAATCCTCATCATTCTGCTTGGGCGCAAGGCTATTGTCGGCAGCAGGCTTGGTGTCTGATGCCTTGGCAGCGGACTCGGTGGTTCCCTCGGTGGTTCCCTCGCTGGTTTCGGTGGGTTTGGTGGGCTCGACGGCCTCGACCGACGGTTGCTGGCTGGATGCGGCCAGCTGGTCTGTGGATGGCTGGTTCAGCTTGCTGAGCAGAGCTTCGCGATCCCCTGCAAGCGCTGCAAGAACAGGATCAGTTTCGATCGACATGACAGATTGCTGGTTGGAGAGATAGAACGGTGCTGGCTTACCGTCTGCGGGCTGGGATTCTGCTGTGGAGACTTCGGGCTGGGCCTCGGCCTTGAGATCCTTCTGATCTTTCGAGTATTCGGCTGCAGTCTCAGAATCCTGGTGAGCAGCAACGGCAGCCACGCCGGCACCGGCGAGCACGGTGGCTGCAGCGGCAGCGGCGCCGGCCTCGACAAGCTCGGCACTGCCGCCATCTTCTTTGGCAGAAGCATCATGAGAAGGTGCAGCAGCAGTCTCTTCCTGTTGGGTCTCTGGCTCAACCTCCTTGTTGGCGGACTCCCCTACTGGGATGACCGCTTCAACGGGCTCTTGAGCCTTCACTGGCTCCGCAGCGACAGGTGCCTCGACAGCGACAGGTGCATCGACAGCGACAGGTGCCTCGACAGCAGCTTCCTCAACAACAGGCTCCTCCACAACCGGCGCCGCCTCAGGAGTCTGTTCGACGACAGGCGCAACCGTAGCCTCGACAGCCTCAACAACGGCAACTGGCTCATCAGCGACCTTCTCTTCGGCAGCGGCAGGCTCAGCAGCAGCGGGCTCAGGAGCAGCAACATCCTCAACAGTCTCGACTACAGGCTCTTCAGCCACCTTCTTTTCGGTGACAGATGGCTCAGCTGTGGGCTCAGCGACAGGATCGACGGTCTCAGGAACAACAGCAGTCTCAACAGCCTCAGCCATAACGATAGGCTCCTCGGCCACCTTTTCTTCAGCAGATGGCACTTCCTGAGACACGGGCTCTTCGACGGCAACAGGAGTCTCTTCGACGGCTGGTTCAGCAACTGCTTCAATTTCAGGCTGCTTCTCCTCAGCCTTCTCGACAGGCTCGTCAGCTGCAACAGCGGGAGTCTCGGTGGAAGCCTCAACAGGCTCCTCAGCAACAATCTCCTTGGCAGAAGTCTCTTCAGCGACGGGGGCGGGGGCGACCTCCGCAGCCGGCTCTGGGACAGAAGTCTCAGCAACGGGCTCCTCAACAGTCTTCTCAACGACAGGCTCCTCGACGACTTGCTCAGTCACCTCCTCCTCCTTGGTGGCTTCAGGCTTCTCGACGGCTTGCTCAGTCACTTCCTCCCCCTTGGTGGCCTCAGGCTTCTCAACAACTTCCTCGGCAGATTCAACGGGGATAGCCTTCTCGACGGCCTCAACCACAGCCGCAGCAGGAGCAGCTTCAGCGGCCTCAGAGACAACAGGTGCCTCCTCAGCAGTCGAGTCCTTGGCAATTTCAGCCACAGGCTCCTCAACCACGGGTTCCTCTGCGGTAACCTGTTCGGTGGTCTCCTGGACAGGTTCGGTCTCAGTAGACTCGGTCTTTTCAGCGACAGTTTCCTCGGCGACGGCGGGGACAGACTCAGTGGCAGCAGGCTCGGTGACAGCAGGCTCGGTGACAGCAGGCTCGGTGACAGCAGGCTCGGTGACAGCAGGCTCGGTGACAGCAGCCTCAGTGGCAGCAGCCTCAACGGACTCCGTAGCAGCTTCGACAGTCTGCTCAGCGACCGGCTCGGCAGCTTCAGCCTCCTTGACTGGCTCGGAAATCGATTCCTCGGTGGCAGGCTGCTCAGCAGGGGCTTCCACAGCGGGTGCGGGAACGACTTCCTCCTTGGCCTCAACGACCTCCTCGGCAGTTGGCTCGGCGGTAGCGGCTTCAGTGACAGGCTCCTCGGGAACAGCTGCGGTGGTGTCGGCGCTGTTCTCGGGTTCGGCCTCCACAGCAGGCTCCTCGACTGCCTTCTCGGTCACTGGCTCCTTGGTGGGCTCGGCCACTTCTTCGGTGGGCTTGGATTCCTCCAGGGCGGCATCGGTGGCGGGGGCCTCCTTGACAACAGGCTCAGGCGCGGTTTCTGCGACAGCCGAAGGCTCCTCGACGGCCGGGGTTTGCTCGACGACAACCGCTGCGGCGCTTGCGGGAACAATCTCGGCAGGCTTGGAATCCTCCAGGGCGGCTTCGGTGGCGGTGACCTCCTCGACAACAGGCTCAGTCTTGGACTCTGCGACGGCCGGAGTCTCCTCGACAACAGGCTCTGCGGCGACTTCGGGGACACCTTCGACGGCCTTTTCTTCCGAGGCAGATTTCTCCTCAGTGGCAGGCTCAGCGGTCTCCTCAGCCTTGCTTTCTTCGGCCGCGGCAGACTCCTCGACGGCAGGCTCAGGCGCCGTTTCTGCGACAGCCGAAGGCTCCTCAACGGCCGGGGTTTGCTCGACGACAGCCGCTGCGGCGCTTGCGGGAACAATCTCGGCGGGCTTGGACTCCTCCAGGGCGGCTTCGGTAGCGGGGGCCTCCTCGACGGCTGGCTCAGCCTTGGACTCCTCGACGGCCGGGGTCTCCTCGACAACAGGCTCTGCGGCGACTTCGGGGATAGCTTTGGCTGGCTCAGTCTTGGACTCCTCGACGGTCGGAGTCTCCTCGACAACAGGCTCTGAGGCGACCTCGGGGACAGCTTCGACGGCCTTTTCTTCTGAGGCAGACTTCTCCTCAGTGACAGGCTCAGCGGTCTCCTCAGCCTTGCTTTCTTCAACCGCGGCAGTCTCCTCGACGATAGGCTCTGCGACGGTTTCAGAAACGGCCTCGGTGGGCTTTGATTCCTCCACTGCGGCTTCGAGTGCTGGGGTCTCTTCAACTGCAGGCTCCGCAGCAGGCTCAGGAGCCGCCTCAACGACCTTTTCGACGGCAGGCTGCTCTTCAGCGGCCTTGGAGTCCTCGGCAGCAACCTCAGCAGCAGGAGTCTCCTGGGTGACAGGAACAGCCTCTACAGTCTGGGGCTCCTCGGGTGCGGGAGTCTCCTTGACGGGCTTGTCCGCGGTAGTCGACTCAGCAGCCTCCTCTGGCTTGGGCTCTTCAGCAGCGAGAGTCTGTAAGGTGGTAGGGTCAGAAACGAGTTCGGAAATGGGCTCGACGGGCTTGTCTTCGGTGGTTTCACTCACCTCCTCAGCCTTGGGCTCTTCAGCAGCGGGAGTCTGTTCGATGGTAGGCTCGGCGACAGCCTCGGGGGTGACCTCGACGGGCTTGTCTTCGGTGGTGGACTCAGTCACCTCCTCGGGCTTGGATTCTTCAACAACCGGCTCTGCAGCAGGTTCAGGCGCGACATCTTCGGTCTTGGATCCTTCTTTGACTGGCTCAGCCACCTCCTCGACCTTGGTCTCCTCGGCAATTGGCTCCGCGGCAGCTTCAGGGACGGTCTCCTCCGCTTTGGTTTCTTCAACAGGCTCTGCGATAGTTTCCGGTACCGGTTCGGCAGACTTTGATTCTTCCGTAACCGGCTCGGTGTTCTCAACAGTCTCAGATACTTCAGCAGCCGGTTCAGCTGCAGACTTCTCCTCAGCCAATGCCTCGGCAGCCTCCTTGGGAGTTTCCACCACAGGTTCCTCCACCGGCTCTGTCGATTTAGTTTCAGGAACCACCTCCTCCACCTTCTCAGCTTCCACAGCAGCCACAGAGCTGATACTCTCCTGGCGCTTCTGTTGCTTCTTCTGCTTCTTCTTGGCCTTCTTCTTTTCGGCCGCAGTCATGGGGACTTCGGGTTTGGATGGTTCCTGTGCGGCGGGATCGACCAGTGTAGCTGTCGATTCACTCATGTCGCTCGGCAGCGCATTGCTATCGGGAATGATGGGTTCTTGAACGGCGGCCATAGTTGTTTAGGGTCGTCAGATTCGTAATGTCGTAAATGGGAATGATTCGCGAGGGTATTTTAGGTATGAGTTTTTTAGGCTTTTTTTTGCACAATCTGACCAGCAAAGATTAACGCTAGATTATCGTGTACAAGAAAACACAAGCTCACAGAGCAAAGGATGAGGATTATTGTGAGTATTGGGGGGAAAGGCAGAAAAGAGGCAAAAAGAAAAAACTGAACTTCGGGCCCCAAATGAGTACAACGGCACAGCTTGCCAGAAGTGGGGGGAAGAGGGTTGGCATAGTGACCGAATTTTGCTAATTCTGCTATTTTCTTACCTTTCTGCTACTATTTGCGACAATCCTCCACACCTTACCACTTTTATCTCACTTTAACGCCTAATGCTCCGTACTTTGGGCTTTCAGCCGATCTCATAAACATGCGGTGAAGCTATCGCCGAGGTACTTCATTGTTTGGGCGATCCGCTTTTTTTCTTTTCCCTTTTTCTTCTCTTTCTTTTGATTCATGAACATGTGTGACTGTCATACACTTACCCCTCTATGTCTCTGGTCCTTTACTGTGTACAGTCACACCAGAATCTCCCTCAGAAACAGTTCAGCTGCAAATGTACGAAAAAAGAAACCCAAAGCCAAGACCCAATTCCCAATTCCTGGCCAATCAACGTCCACCAAAAAATGGCGAGCTCCTGAACCCACCTGTCAGGTGAATCCTGACTCATTATTATCTTGCAGTGATCAAAACAAAACTTCATGAACAGGGGTGGAGTGGTTTTTACCCAAATCCAATCTTCGCATCAGCCCATCTACTACCCAATACGGAGTACACATGATAACAGGATCCGAGACTAAGCCGAGAGAGTGCTTCATTATTGACCAAAACAATGAAGCTCGTGCCACTCCCACACTAGTCTCCCTAAGCTTGGACCCTCAGAGCTCGCCGGTCTATCCGTATTCCCAAGCCATTGCGAGCTGCAGTTTATCTGCACGAGATAGCTTCTGCAGTTCTCAAAGTGAAAGAGTCGACTATTTGCATAGACTGCATCCAATTATGTCTTCTTCTCTTCTTGCCAGGTTGGAAAAGCAGTAGACGCTTGGGCCTTGGCGGTGTAGTCGGCTTTCCGGCGGAGCGGAATCACCGTCCCAAGGTTCTGAGGGCTGTGTACATATTGTCAGGTCAGAACTTTATTAGCCGTTGCATGGGAGGATCCTAGATGCTCACCGTCATTTGCATGCTGTAGGTAATGCGGATACTACCTGCCGAGATAATGTGCTTGCATTAGTAGTGGTCTGGAAACCCTATTGGATCCAAGATAAGAAGCAGAAATAATTACACACTTGGAAATATTCCAATTCTCAGCAGTTCTCCCGCCGGGTGGTGAGACGTGATTGATTTGCTAAATGGATTTCCCAATCTAGTACTCCAATATCAGGGTGGATAATCTATCAACACCTAATCTATAAGCACAGTTGGAATATCTGGTCGTAGGACACCCGTACTGGTATCCCGCTCCGAGGTGAGCTTAACAAAGATCTACACGTGTCACCAGCCCTCATTTTGCCAATCTGCATCCCCGCCACGCGGGGTCAGGGAATGCGGGGCAAGATATCCGCACAGCTGACCCGGTCCCTTGCTTCAGATCCCCACGCCACAGGATATGCATTTATCCAAAGCTACGTACCCTGTGCTTATGCTGCTTACTTTCACTGCACTTCGGACCTTCCTGGGGTTTCTTGCACCGAAGGGTTGGAGATAATAACTTCGGAGTCTCGGAAGGTTATTGCACTCGGCTTCGGGCATTCTTGATCAAATCACAATTAATCCGTATACAATACACTGCAGAGTACAGGTGGACAATGATTAAGAAACTCCAGATCTATAGAATGAGTTCATGTCACCCATGGGACCTGCGCGGGTATAGATCTGACCCGTGGTTCAATGACCTACTTTACTTCAATCTCAATCTCCGATACTCAACGATAGATACGTGGTATTGCTCTGCACATACCACTAACAAACCAAGAGATACAAGTGTGCTATGGAAGTGAAAGCAGTTCGTCGGAATGTCGAATTAGTTGAGGCCGAGAAACCAACACCCGTATATCGAGCTGTGCCAGGGCTTCAATGTATGAAGATGCTGTCCAAGAGGTGGCCTCTAGGGAGGATGTTTCGATCGCATGTAATATGTATCAATTTCCAGAGGATACCAATGATGCTGCGTACAAAACTAGAATGGAATATCTGGTGCCATAGTGGGTCTACCCTTCAGCCCTACGGGGCTTCTAAATTTAGCCTGCCGGTTCTGACTTTTCTCCCAATCAACGCCAATTAAATGGTCCTGAGTTCGAGTCACCTTCATAGTCCCCGTATTGCAGATGGGTTCTCAAGATTTCACTACATACTGCTCGTTAAAGGAGAAACCGGTTGTTATAGTAAGCTCACGAGATCAAACCCCCCTAATATGCCACAGGCTGGTGCTAGAATCTCCGCTTTATAGTCGACTTGACCCCTTCCCTTGCAATAATTGCGTCCATGACCGGCTCGGCAATCAATATTTTTCCGGCCCACCCAAGATCGAAGGAACACGTTTCTACTCGTGCGACGTATAGAGTCATCCTCGATACGCTGAAACGTCTTGCCTCTGCTAAATGGGACGCTGCGATGGGTCTAACAGCTTGGTAATGCTATATAGCACCCAATCTTCTTGCAGCCATGGAATGAGGAAGGGACCTCACAAAGCTAGGCTCACCTTCTTTCTCTCCACATTTCGGTCTAGCTTTGTTGTCCTTTCCTGCATAATAATCAGTGGCCAGTGCCGCTGTCAAACTCCACCGACGCCCTCATCTTCTTGATGAGTGTTCTCATGATCACATTCAAGACTATTGAGACTGGAATCTACTGCACCATCTGCGTCTCCCTAGCAGCCCTCCTATTCTGACTCGCCAACCCCCGAGGCAGATTCCTTGGTTGCGGCCAGCTCTACTCAGTCGTGGCGATGAAGTTGGAGTCCTAAAAGCGGACCTCAACGAATAACTACCGCTACAGTACAATCTGTCTGCCGTAACGAAGAGGTCTATTCTGCTGAGGCGAATGAAGACTTTCGTTACGGCACACAGATCAGCAGAATAGACCTCTTCGTTACGGCACACAGATTGTACTGTAGCGGTAGATATTCGTTGATCGCGAGTCAGCGAATTCCAAGCAGCCCTGTTTGCCAGTTCCCGAAACTCCGCGGAGTCGGTATGGCCAGGGTCAGTATCAACCTCAGACTCATCTGAGTGATTAAGCTGGACATCTCCCATCTGGGACGAGTCCCAAACCTCTTCCTCAGTAAAAGGTTCGTCATCTGGTGCAAAAGCCTTTGACTCGACAAGGCTCTGTATGGTCACGCATGATCCAATACAGCTCTGCACCGGGGCGGCATCGGACACCAGAGGGTTCCGAAGTGGCAATAACAAGTCTTCTCCCCGGGCGTCCCCAAGGTCTGACGTTGTCTGCCTGGAAAGAGCATCTGCAGAGTTGGTTTTCCCTTGGCGATGCTTTATGACAAAATGAAAAGGGGTTAGATACATGTTATAGCGAGTTTCACTATGCTTCCAGGTGTCCAGACAAGAACAAGACCAAGGGAAAGAGAAAGCCAACAAAAAGGACACCGCTATTCAAGGGGCCAAGTCAAAGAACAAAGCGGAAAAAGAGGACGAGTTGGAGTAACCCCTACACCTTCACAACTGCTTACAATGCTTTCTCCCAAGCTTGACGTTTGCACCTGGTACTGTACTTACGGCGTTAGCCTTCACAAATCACCCATGCTACTCAAGAATCCCCGGCATGCGATCCGCGAAGCCGAGTGTCACAAGCAGTAACTGCTCCTCAACGCGACGACACAACATCTACGAAGTCAATCCCGCGCTTCAAGCCTCAAGTCCCAACCCGCTGGACTTTATGTGTATATATCTATCGCTGTGCTAGGAACGCGGACAAGCGTCGGGTATATGTAGCCGCCTCGGCTGTCCCAGCACGAGACATCGCAACCCGACGCGAACCGATACTGCGTAACCGCATCCTGCGCCTTATTCGAGATGATTATGGGATGTCACAATGACTGCGTGGCTCGTGCCAGAAGAAAGGCGGGGGTGTCGGGTAATCGATGACCGTATCGAATCTGGCGCTTGTTTCGTCCGCCAACCTGCTAGGCTGCTAACAATGCAGCAAATCCCCGGAGCCTCATACCACGCGTGGGAGATACTCCGCTAGACAGGCCAGTGGATACTGCGGCTTGAATGCCGTGATTTTGGCGTGAGGACCGGTGGTCACACGCCCCCTGGATGCGGATACCATATCTGTCCATCGTCATGCCCTCGGTAGCTGGGCGGATCTTCAGGCGCAGCGAACGGCGCTTCGGGGCATGACTCTGGGCGCCAAGTGCGTAATGCGATTCGATGGGGAGCGGAATTGGAGTGGAATCGACGGTATCTAGTGAGTTCACAGGTAAGCTGGTGCAGTGCGTCTGTGATCGAGTGGATGTCGGCGCTTAGAGTGGCTTGTCTTTGCGCGTGTTCTGCCGAGGGCGTGACAGTCGTTCGAGAATGAGAGAATCTCACTACGAGCAAATTTGACCGGGGTACGGAGTTCTTTATGTTTCATTTCGAGAGTGGATATCCAATTCAAGGGGAACGGGGGCTACGTCCACTAACTTAAGCTACGGATACCGCGAGGCCATTAGCTGTACGGTCGTACAGCAATTTGAGGCTATTCCATTTCCAATGCGGCCAACTGACCTCTTCCCATGACCTCACGGCTGGTCAATGATGAGTCGATGAGTCGATGGGTCGATGGCTGAGGATTACCATACGTGTATTTCATGGTATTACCCGATTACACCCGAGGCCGGAACCCCTGACCTCGATACTAGACAACATCCATAATAATGCTCGCTTCAAGAGCTGTTTTGATCTCAATTGCTCAATTGCTCTGCTCAGTTGCAATTGTATCTCCTTGCACAGTATCGAACCCCAGCCTCCCCAGATAACTGTACAGGTAGCTCCAGCAAAGGAGAACGCGTAACGGGTGCACCCTGGATCGAGCTTGTGTGGGTCCTGCCAAGCAGCGATCAGCCAAAATGACCAAATCGCGAATTTTCCCCGAGCGTGAAGAGCCTCTTCGTTCGCCTATTCGGGATGCTCACTGTGTGTGAATTTTTTTCCTGCTGGAGGTAGGTCTATATAAAGGAGTGTAGCCCCCGGGGAAACTGAAAGACATTCTTTAATATTCCAGCTGAATGTCCTTCACACTGGGACCCGGAAAAGGCCAGTTGTTTGGCAGTGATAGTCGGGATCTGGCGGGTCGGAAATCCAGTTTAAGTGGATCGGTGAAAGCAAGGACACGACAACCCGGTTTTTTGTTTTAGTCTCCTTTCCCTCTTTGAATTTTATTCCGTCTGTTCGCTTAGGCAGTTCCAGACGTTTTTACCCCTGCAAAAAAAAAGTATAAGATCGCACATCTTCTGCAGCCTCAATGCATAGATTCTGCCTCCCCTCGGCACAGCAAACACACCCCCGGGGTACCGGATCCGTATTGAATTACGTATTTCTCTCAATGTGATCACTCGGTGAGGTGGATTCCCGAGGGACGAAAGGGGGAGATTATATCCACCCGTTCCACATTATCTGCCTCCTTTCAACCGGTGGTTGCCCAGTAACTCCGTTGTTGGTGGACCTGGAATCCGAGTCGGGCCGGTTTGGGGAACGCCGGGAACGAATTCAGAAATTTGGTGGAACCGAGGGGATTATGATTGGATAGTAGAAGCTTAGCTGTGGATCGATCCACAGAATTGGAACATGCTTAAGATCCACGGCAAGGGCAGAATTGGGAATTATTCGGTTTTATTTTCCTTGACTGACTATTTGCAATCGTCTTTGACTTCATCCCTTCACTGTTATGGTCAGCTCTCATCATGCATGTAACTTGCAATTAGTATCAAATAAGTAACTGTCCATCTACGCGCGTGTAAGTGAAAGGTCATTTCCCATGCAGGGGAGATAGACCCATCAATCCAAAAATGATCCCAGTGGACCCAGTTGGAACAATACCCGAGTGAACCCGACAGGTAGCAATACGCGGTAAAGAAAAAAAAAAGAATTGAGAAAAAAAACATCGAATACCATCCCAAAACCACCTTCCCCTAGCATTCCTCATATGATTTGCGAATCAAATACCCCCGAGTCCACCTAAACACGCACAACCTAGGGCTATTTTACCTTACACATACACACTAAGACCGACCTAGCAGGACCGGACGGGCGAAAATTTGGCCGTAGAGTATTTATGTCCTAGGGCGGCCGTCTCCCGTAGTTTCCCAGCTTTTTCTCCCTGAAAAGTCCATCTCTCTCCTCTTTCCTTCTTTCTCCTCTCTTCCCATTCCACCGTATAATCCATAACCATCAATCACAATGGCCGCCACTCGTGTCTTCACCTCCCGCATGGCCTCCGTCATGGCCCAGACCTCCAAGGTCGCCCGCCCTGCTGCCCGCTTCCAGCTCAACGCTGCCACCAAGCGCACCTTCACCCAGAAGGCCCCCGTCGCTACCATCGGTGCCCCCAAGCGCATCCAGTCGCCCACCCTCCTCCAGGCTAAGGCCTTCCAGACTGCCGCTCGCCGCCAGTACTCCTCCGAGGTCGCCTCCGCCATGGTCGAGGTCTCCAAGAACATTGGTATGGGTTCCGCCGCCATCGGTCTCGGTGGTGCCGGTATCGGTATCGGTCTCGTCTTCGCCGCTCTCCTCATGAGTGTCTCCCGCAACCCTGCCCTCCGTGGCCAGCTCTTCTCCTACGCCATTCTTGGCTTTGCCTTCGTCGAGGCCATGGGTCTCTTCGATCTCATGGTTGCCATGATGTGCAAGTACGTCTAAATTATCAACGACTCGGGTTTTGCGGATTCTTGAGAAAATTGTCATTTCAAAATATGTGATTTTGGGGGTTTTTTGAGAATCTCTTCTTATCCGCCGGGGAGGGTATTTGGTCGTGATGTATTACCATGTACTACTTTCAGCGTCATCTACAACACTTTTTCTTTCTGTACATATAGAGTCCTATATGGCCCATCGACCATCCAACCTATCAAAGAGCCAAACCAAAACTCTGTGTGTTGCGTCTAGAGGCTGTATATCTTTTCCTTCGGAGTAGATTCTTTCACCTTCTGTTCCTTTTCCTGGAACGAACGGCGATTGCACGTATAGAGCTCCCAGCTTCGAAAGCTCAGATCTCTCACGTAGACAACAGCTACCGACACACCACCTGGGGTATTAGCTCTATCCAACCTAAAAAAACAACAACAAACAACTCCTTCATCTCAATTAACCCCATTCCACTAGCGGATGTCCTAGTTACGGGTCCATCCTCATTCAGCAAAACGATCCGCTCTCCCACAAGCACCTACGCCACAACACCCATCCATTGGCCTACACTAAACGGTGAGGAGTAAACTACAGACGGTTCCCAGTCGATCGAGCTACAGAAATGGCCCATCACGGCTCTGGTTGGACCCCAATTGAGCTGGAGACCCTCGATGCAAAATTTCTTAGCTCCCGGACCTCGGGAACGGCCTTCCCGCATGACTCAGCCGGTGATGTCACCCGTTGCAGACTGCGTCGTTACGAGGGTTCTGCATGCAGTATGCAGGGCGAGAAGCAGGACATGTTGCATTGAGTTTGGGTGTTTTGTTAATTCTGTACCTGAATATTAGGTTTGAAGAGTGGTGGGAGAAGATCAGGGTTCGAACTTCACGTTGAAGTCCCCTGGGGCTTGGACTGGGGTATCTGTGAACTCGGTCTAGCCGTTTACAGTTAGCGATATCAGATTGAAGTACATCTACTCCGTAGCTCGGGGAAATATACGATCTTATTGCAATCTTACTCCGTATACCTAGGTGTATATATGGATTTGAACTAATAGCATATCTGTATATGTGTGATTGGTTATGGTGGTATGTTTATGGTCGGCTATAAAGTTGAACTACTGAATTGGGATATATAGATCTTCTCCAGGTGAAGCCCGCTCTGGTTCAATATATATCGAGGATATACTTTGTCGGGAGCGACGGACGGGATTCGAAATGATTTACTTTCCTTTCAATACAATAAGCATTGTTAACAAATAGCAATTATGCAATAAATAAAGATGCGATAGCCGAATGATCCATGAATCCTATGATTCATGGCCTATATGCATGGCAAAGAGCTCACTGATGCCGAAGGACATGCGCGTGACAAACGGATCTGACGCGACTGATCGCGTCGATACCCATCTCATTCAAGATAAAAGCGCAAGTGCATCAAGGAATCATATGCTTCATACTGTAGAAAAAATATAAACACGATCAACAAGCAAATTCATCAGAAACTCAAAAACTCGACTCCGGACATGCCATAACCGCTCGGAAAACGCAGAAAGGGAAAAGGTATCACCAAAAGTCCAAACTTCAACAAGAAAGAACCCCAAGGAATCAAACCAAAAAAAACCCAGCTAAAAAATCTCCAAATCCTCAAACTCAACCACCAACCCATCCGCCGGACCCATAGCCGAAGGCCCAAGCCTCATCCCACGCATAGCATCCCACAAAGGTTCCCCCCTCCCCAACCCCGTCGGCCGACTCGCATAAACCCCAACATGCACGAACTTATCCTCAACCCCATAAAAAAACCAGGTAACCTCCCGCAACTTTTTCCACGTACTCCCCACCGCCGCCGGCGAAACCGCATACGGCGACGCCGTCGGCACCTGATACCAAATCCACAGTGCATCCCCAACACGCTCGAGCTTAATCCGCAGCGAATGGACCACCATCCCCGGCCCAGGCCCCGTCTGTCCCTGCGCCAACGGCGACAAACACCAGTCTGCGCCGTCGGCAGTTGCGCTGACGGACGAGGCGTTCACGGTGCCGGATGAGAACTCCATGCCTGCTTTCACCCATTTGCAGGGAGGACGTGGGGTCCTGGAGCGGAGGGACGTTGTTTCGCTGAGGGTGTGAGGGGCGGCACCGGCGAAGATTACTAGGCCGCCTTGGTCCCATTCTTGTTCCCAGTCTGCGCTCACGGTTACTTCGGCTACGACGAAGGGGTGGCGGAGGGTGGTGAAGACTATGGGGGCTGTTGTTATTTCGCCGTTTGGTGGTTTGCGCCAGAGGTCGGTGTTTGGGCCGGCTTTTAGGGTGAAGTATTCCATGTATTGGGGGAGTTCGAAGGTTGGGGGGAGGTTGAGGGTTGTGAATGTTGAGCTGTCTGGAGGCATTTTGTGTTTTTTTTTTTTTTTAGATTTCCGCGGATTGAAACCAAGAATTGAGGATGAAGAGTAGGAATAAGGTAATTGTCGGGGTGATAATGGGGTTGCTCGAAAATAGTAATACCCCGGACGAGGTACAGCAATTAATACTGCGAGATGCTCGGCAAGATGGGTTCACAGCGTTTGCGACAAACTTTAAGCAAGCCCCGATACAGGTAAGCAATGAAGATAATGCAATATGCAGACGCAAATCCCAGAAAATTGCAATTGTTGGGGATATGATGCAGTCGAGAACCGGGGATCTGCGGAGACGCCGAATGCGGGTTGCGCGGTGCGCCAGACTGGAAATGAGCAAAATGAACCGGAAAGAAGAGAAAAGACTGGAGATTATAAAAGTAGAAGAAGTGAAATGGATTTATCTGAAAAACAAGCAAAGTATTTATGTGATAGTTGGTACAAGCCTAGTGAAACCCAACGGACGATCATCTCAGGTCCTGGGACAAGCGCATGTCGAAAGGCAGATGGCAGAACTAGAGCCCTGTAGACCTGAATCAAGCTCTTAGGCCGCAGCGAGGCGCTAGAGTCGTGTTCTTTGTGGTCCTCCCTTTGAAGTGCCTCCCCAGAAGCCGTGCTTGCCTTCGGCGACAGATGGCGGGCCAGTTTCCAAGTGGCGGGTCAGTCACCATGCATCTGCGGAGGATCCCATCACGATGTGACGGGGGCATCTGAGAGGAGAATCAAAGGTGCCCAAAAAAGGACTCAAAGCAGAGTAAAATAAAATGAAAACAAGGAACGCGATTTTTCGGTCAATTGACAGTTGTCCGGGGTGAGTAAGGATGCGGTGAGCTAGTTCGCGACGATGACTCGGGCATATCCACTTCTTTGTGATATTGGGGACCCGGGTTCACCATTCGTGTTAGTACAAAGTATACACTTCATTATCGAGGATCGATCGGAACAATGCAGGAGGGTATGGACTGGGTGGAACTCAGATTCGGCGCGAATTGAGAAATATCTAGGATCTTCCCTGGTCGGTGGTTTGACAGCTTCGACAAATAGCTGTTTCGTTTCTTTTTCCTTCGTCCTTTGCAAGTCGGTTATAGACATACATAGTAAGCTCAGCCACGCGACTGTCCTCCCTAATTAGTGTGTTTCTGCACAAGGCTGAAGAGGGTAATGGTAAGGGTTCATGGGGATCCCGCTGGAGTTGATAGATCTGACTTTTAGGTCGGGATCAATCAGCTGATCTGTTCCAAGCCTTATTGTAGAGGTCAGATGACTGAACACTCTTGAATCTCAGCCTCAGAATCTGCTTAAGAACAGTCCTCAGTCCCCTCAGGTTCGTTAAACTCTTCGTATTTTCCCTCTGCACATCTCCAAGACCAAGGCAGATCAGCTGATTTCTTTTTTTAGACCGCCAAGCAATTAACTAGCCTGTGATCGGCGATTTCTCGCTTCTTGCCTTTGTCCTCGATGCGTTGGCAATCTCGGGCACATCTCGTTTAATTGGGTTCTGACACCGTAAATTTCTCCATAACACGAGTCAACTACAAAGTAATTGCATTTCATGCTATATCCCATCCCAAATTCCCGAGTACAGAGTGCACAAGTCGTCAAAGACCAAGGCTCAAGCAGCCCCTTCCACCCCCCAACGCCTGCCCAACGCCTACCGCGCCCACCATGCGCCCCGTTTACCACATGCACCGAGGGCCGAGGCGGGGTCCAGGCCCTTGAAGGGGCGAAATCCAAGCTCTAAAAGGGGCTAATCCACGAGGCTAAGGAACTAAACAGACCCGAATGACTCGTATTTCGTGCCTTTTTTCCTTGGTGGTGAATGTCTTTTTTCCTTGGTATTGACTCCGGTCCAATCATGCCCGTCCATCGCATCCGGGGTCTCGTATTCGCAGACCCTTGAGGCTCAAGCTAAACGGGTCTAATTTGCTTCAGCCTCCCTGGTTTGTTTACTTAAAGGGCTTGGCCGCGTAGAGAAGATGTCGCGAAACTAATGACTATTTTGCACATCTTGCAATCCCCAACAAACCCTAACAGATTGCATTGAAGATGGCACCTCGACGCGGAGGAGGAAGTTACTGGGGCGGCTATGGAGACTACAACCCCTGGAGCGAGACAATTTTACTGTCTGTGAAACGTAGCGGGCGCTACTATGGTGATAACTACGAGGAGCTCTTCTATGCACAATTTGCCTTCGACCTCCTCTGTCTCATCGCATTTGCTGTCTTCCTCATCTGGGCCTCCCGATTCCGCAGCCAGGGTCTCCCCTTGCCGTCCATAATTTCTGCGCTTGTGTGCTTCATCCTGTGAGTTACAACACGCCTAGCATGAAACCATGCAATGTGCTGACGGGCGCGCATGATTAGTTACGAAATCTTGGTCGTCATCTACGAAGGCCTAGTGGTCGCCGAGACATTGGTGACCTATTACTATCTGATCATTTCGATGCTCTGGGAGTTATTCGTCGTTGTTGCGATTGCTATCACATTTCACATCTTTTGGTCTTTCATCCACAGATTCCTGGCCCGTCTCTCAGACTCTGGTAGACCAAGCTCGGCAGTGGCCGCCGTGCACTGGATCTTCTTCAGTATTATCTTTGTGGTCGGTCTTGCCGAGTTTGCCCTCACTGTCGTTACTTATGTCTACATGGTGAACCCGGGAGCTGGTGATATCTACAGTATGGCAAACGCTGGCGCGCGACTGGGTGCTGCATTGAAAATCATCTATTGGTTGATGTCCATGGAGATCCTCGCCTGGCTGGCCTTTATTTTTGTCAAGTCCGGTCGTTTGATGTCGAAGGTGAGTCTTTCACTAAACCAGTCCTTCTATCCAAAGCCCAGCTAACCTAATGTTCAGACACCTGTCATTACACTCATCGCTGGCGCCGTCAGCTGGTTCGCCGTCTGCTTCGGCTGGGCCGTTGTCCAAATCCACTACACCCTCCTAGTCAACCCTGCTCCCACCTACCTGTCCTTCGCCCAATCAGTCATCCAGCTCATCTTCTGGATCGGCACGTTCACGGGCATCCTTCTTTGCTGCGGAAAGTGGAGGACACTCGGCGACGCACATGAGAAGCACTCTGTTCCCCAGGGCCCGGTCTCCCAGTATCCCAGCCAGTATCCTCACCAGGACCAAGCTCAGTATCCTGCGCCATATCCCGAGGGACAGTACGCTCCAGCCCCGCAACCATATGCCACAGCTCCGTACCAGGATTACTCGGCGCAGTCGGCTCAGCAGCAGATCCCTTCACCTCGCTGAAGGGTCCGAGGTGTTGGAGTGTGTTGAAGGTAACTTATAGCGTATTGTTCAGATGTTCTTGACGCGATTACCCATTTCTTATGTTTGTATGTTGATATCCGAGGAATGTCGCGAGTGGCTTATGATACCTGTTGCATAGCATATAATATTTTACTCTGTATAAACTCTTTACTGGCACTATATGTACCTTAAACAAATAAGTAGCCCAACAACGGGGAGCAAGAGAAAGGAAACAACCCGCCAAACCAGTCTTGGCATCGAAAGCAGGCGGTGGCGCAAAACCGCTGCCCGCATAACATCATCTCTATTCCAGTCGTCTTCTACCACTTCCCACGACCAGAAAACAGAAACCAAAGACCCAAAAATGGTCTGCTCAAAATGCCAAAAGAAGATAAAAGCCACCGAGCTCGCCACACCAGGCGTCAAGCGCAAAAACGACATCTATTACGGCTCGCCATCTAGTTCTGGAAGCGCCGACAAGGGGAAAACCAAGTCGACGCTAGGCGCAACGGGTATTGGAAAGGTATGTGCTGCAATGTAATCGAACTTACGTGTACTGTGTAGTAAGTATAGATTTAGATGGGATGGTCACTGACATTGCGCCAGAGCAAACTCCTCAGCGCGAAAGCGAAGAATCCTTATGCTGCTTATGCTTCGGCTTGTGAGAATTGTAAGGTGAAGACGGAGGTGGGGAAGAAGTTTTGTCAGCGGTGTGCTTATCAGAGGAATGGTATGTTCTTTGTCTTCTTCTTTCCTTTGTGTTTATGAGGTTGGTGATGCTAATGTCTATTCTAGCTTGCGCGATGTGTGGCAAGAATCTCTCTGGCAAGTCGTCCAAGGACCAGCCTATTGTCCAAGGGCAGAAGTTCAACATGGCATGATATACATGAGGTTTAGGGCTGGATGGGGTTGGTTTCTTATTTCCTTGGGTTTAACATGCACTGTATAGCGTTACTTGGGCGTTGGCTATACCGGAATCGAACATTAGCTTCAACAATGACATTGAATGAATTGATTGACAGTACAGGAAGATTCTAGTTATACATGGCATGCGCAAGAGTATATGCAGTGCGTCACCGATAGTGCGCTTTCGTATCGGAACAGGTATGCCTTTTCGTCTCCATCCGAAGAGAGCCTCGCATATCGCCCTCCTCTTCTCACGAGCTCCAGCTTCTCAGTTGCCCCCGGTATCAACCCTTTACCGGTCAGCCAGCATATTCTTGATGTTGCTGTAGTATTGCGTGTTCAGATATTGAGCAAGCTCCTCCTTGGCGAGCCACTTGAAGTCCTTCAAGTTCTGGGTGTTGAGGGAGAGATCGGCCTGGCCGGCCATCATCCGGGACTTCAGGAAGAAGACCTTGCTGCCGGGGGTGTCGGCGGACTTCTTGGGAGGGTTGTAAGAGTGCCATCCAACGGGGTGGAAGCCGACCATCCAGGTGTTCATGTTGACTCCGGCGGATTGGGCAAGGGTGCGTTCGGCGGCCTATCAAATAAAAACCAGATTAGAATACTTGGCTAAATGCATAATCCGAGACAAGAAACTAGTACTAACCGTGCGAAGAGTCTCGCCCGACTCCACCGGCGAGCTGGGGAACTTCCAGTGTCCCTCCTTAGACTGAACAAGGAGGTAAAGCGTACGAGAAAGCAAACGGTCGAGGCTCTTCTGATCGTTCTTCTTGTCTGCCTCCGTGATTCGCGGGAACGGCCGAGGAATCTCCTCCTTCTTGCTCGTATCCTGGGAAGTCGCATTGGCAGTGGACTCGGCGTCGCGCACGAGGGCTTCGAGCTGGTGCTCGGGCTCGGACTCAGGCGCACCGAGCAGGAGCTCGTCGTTCCACGCATCGCTGTCGTACGCGTTGTACTTTCCGATATCACGTGCGGCAGTCCGACGCTCCTGGATCTTCTTTTTCCAGTCTTCGTCGGCGGGTGTGCCACGCTTGAAGTAGAAATATTTCGTAAAGGGGAGAGCCAGACGCTCATTCAGACGCTTCTGGTAGAAAAAGAACGCTTTCTCGAAGGGCTCGAGTTCGCGGGTGATTTGCGGAGGACGGGAGAGGACTACGCCGGCGTTGATCGTGTACGCTGGCTTCACGGCGGGATCGGCAGATGTCGATGCAGAGGTTGCTTCGGTTGCTGGTGCGGCGCTGGCATAGCTGCGGCGGCCGAGGGTTTCTTGACAGCTTCGGCAGACGCTGGAGTCGATTATTGATGGCCCTGTCCGCGCGGTGTTAGTATTGGGACGAAGGGAGCTGGGGAAAAAAGGGCTCAATTGGACATACGCAGTAGCGAGGCCACGCGCCGTGCACCATTGGATCCTGAGGACATCTTCAAGGGTGGGAGATTGATAATATGTGGCTGATCGGTGGTCCCTTGAACTCCCCGAGAAAAAGATCCAAACGGGTCACGTTGTCGCCAGGCCCAATCGGGTTAGTCCAATCTCGGCCACTTTAAATAGCGAAAATTTGACTTTCTCCGTTTTATCTTCTTCCAAGCACTTCTTATCATCACTGCGTCCAGTTTTCTACGACCGGTTGATCATTTAATGGTGCTCAGAGTGAGCTCCTCGCGGCCAATTTTCGCTAGCGGTACCTTCTTTATAAATCAAGGCGTACTGTTAGATAGCTGCCGCGAACATCCTACGTATTACTTAGTGGTTATGCTTCAATCGAAACATCTCATGATATTTGCTCCGTACATTCCTGCTTTCATTTCCTATCTTTTTTTGGTGTTTAAGTACTTTGCGGTGTTCTGTCGGGATCGGAGATTGACGAAGTCTTCGTTTGTGCTGCGTACGTCAAAGCGCCAGCAGCAAATCTTCTTCCACGGGCACCTCTCCCAGTTTCACAATTCGCTCCTGTGTGCCAAACACACGCAGTTTATTCCCGTAGACACCCCAGAAGCTATCCCCTTGACGTGGTAGAAGAATGCCCCAATTGACCAGGAAAGTCATGAGCTCGGAGCCATCTGCCAGGGACGTTCCAGATTCAGCAATGTCATCTGCTGGGATCGGCGGAAGCAATTCACTCTCAGTGCCAAACAACTCATTCTCAATGTCAAACAACTCATCCTCAGTGTCAAACAACTCATTCTCAGTGTCAAACAATTCATTCTCAGTGTCAAAGAAGTCGTTAAATTCCGATCTGGAAGTAGCATTACCGGGAGTTGCCATAACACTGGCAGCCAGACTGGGTGCTGTTGTCTCTCCTGGCGAGTCTTTTGCGAAGATCCCTGATCCACCGCCACGTATGATCCCTGCGAGCTTGATGAATACCATTGCTGTGAGCAGGCTGTCATAACCTGCTTCGTGCGCGCTTTTCTGGAAATGGTATTTGCTGAAGCGAGGGTCGATCTCTGGAAGACGGTTAGTTGTGCTCACTGCTCGTCAATGATATAAGTCGGTACATACCAATCTTGGGGTTCTCCATTCCCGCCAACCTCGTGTTCAGCTCCTCGAGTGAAGAGTTAGGATTAAGGGAACCGCAGTCATGAGTAGCAAGATACTTGGTATCAGCTAGCACGGGGAATAGCTCGTGGATGACGGTCTGGAACTCGGCGAGAGTATCCGGCAACGGACCGATGAAAGATCTGTAGAAGAACAACAGATCACAAAACATATTGTGGCCGATCAGAACCGGTCTGTTTTCTTTGAGCCGTCTCTTCACTTTGTCTGCCAATTGCTTGCACTCAAGAGCTCGCTCTTCGATCGTCAGAGCTGGTTCTCTGGTCACCAGAGGCTGGAATGCCTCCGGTTCTAGTTCTTCCAGGTTTCCGCCGACGAGTGCCTCTGCGATCCACCGAAATCCAATATGCTTTCGAATGCGTTCCATTTTGGTATGCAATCTCCCTTCGAAGAGAAGCTTATCGTAGTCCAAATCTCGCATTTGAATCTGAACGAATGTCGACATGTTCCGCGTCGTCAAAGTGGGATATTCCTCGTTGATGAGTTGGTGAACAAGCGATTTTTGCATTCTCGTTAAGTGGACGGGCGAGTCAGGCATAAGTCCCACGGCCTGGGGCGGCGGGATATTAAGATATTCCTCGCGTAAGTCGCGTTCCTGCTAATGTCAATTCATTCGCCCAGCTCGATATTTGATCTCATCTCTTACCTCGCCCTGTGCCAGCCAATCATTGACCTGCTCCCGAACATCTTCAAGGAATGCCAAAGTTTCCGGCTCATCCTTTTTGACGTCTAGACACTCAGTAGGGAGCCGCACCTGGCTTCTTTCTGTAGCTCTCTTGATAGCCAGAACCTCTTCTTCCCGAGACAGATACCGGACGCCGTACTTGCACATATGGTCAATGCTGAAGTTGTTCGCAAGTAAGAATTCTATTGCTATCCTGAAGTGTTAGTGGGATCCTTGATATCTGACTTCAGGGGACATACAGCGGCTCCCCATGGTCCAGTCCCGATTTAAGTCCATCTCACGGTGGGTGATTGGACTCAGGTTGATGTTATAGGGCTTCAGTGTGTAGGTCGCTGCAGATAGTTAGCGACACATCCTGTCGATCAGGGCTAATACTTGCCTTTCTCCTTGTCTTCATGGCAAGTGGTCAGTCCAACCTGGAGGATCTGGTACCGTTCTGCTACTTCCTTTGTCTGCACATAACGCTGTTCGATTGTCTGGGTTTTGAGGCGAGGCCCACTTGGCGCAAAGGCCACGCCGGAAAGCTCGTAATCCACAGAGACAAAGCAGCTATTGGAGATGTCATCGAGGATGGAGGGAAGACACTCCGTAAATGTCAGAGCTGTGACGTCCATCTTTGTTGGATTATGAAGTAGCCTGAACGAAGAAGCTAATCGACGCCTGGCGTTGTCGATTTTCGTGGGTTGCTGACCGATGTTGAGAGATGAAAAGTGCAAGTGCCTCGAACCAAGATCAGAGATATCAGATACCTCAGTCCGATGTGCAATTTGTCGAAAGGTCAGATGGAACTGATAGAAAGTCGAGAGCTTGAACGCTTATATAGTAGGTGGGTCGATCTGCTTATGTGTCAAAACATGTCCCGTGAACTCGCGTGATGAGACGAGTCCCGTGAAGTCGTGTGATAAGAAGCAAAGTGCGAGGAAGAAGAGAAGGAGCGGACTGGGCAATGGTTCGTTGATCGTTCTATCCTCATCAGTCCCAAATGGCTAACTAGCTTCAGGAGTCACTATTCAAGTTTGACTCCAGGTATCACGCAAACGCCCGCACTAATATTACCTAACCCTTACTTCTATTTTCCAGATGCATATTGAAGCCTTGTTCATGAGCTTCCATTAACAAAGATGAATCAAATAATAGCTAGTTACGAATCCTCCCACAATCTCAAATCTGCTGGCATTGTGAATTGTGGTTGAGCCGAGCTTCCAGCTACCCCAAATTGAGAGTGGAGACATGTGGCTGTAGCTATGGACATGACTGGGAAAGCAACGCCCCAGTGACCTTGTGTATATGCGCAATAGAGAGATGCTACATGTATGCAATTCCTCGATGCCCGTTCCCAACGGTTTCCTACTTTCAGATCGTAGAGAAGCTGGAGGTTGTACCTCGTTGGTCCAGCTCGTGACTTCGGTCGGCGCCGGGCGGCCTACCGTGGTCAATTGCTAAGATGTGTAAATGCCCTTGCAGTCCTTTGAATTACTGTAGACTTCTTCCACCCATCTCCATCATTAGGGCTTCGCGTATTGACTGAGACTGTTAGGGTGGAGTACGTGGAGGTTGAGATTCAACCTCACAGGCCAATCCCGTGACCGACCCCGGACTTGGATGAGCCGAGGGAAAACGACAGCCGATCAGCAGCCCCGACACGCTTCACTCTCATGCACTCTCACGATTTCCCTCTTGTAATTACTCCTTTTATTATTTCTTCAAGACCCTCAGTATTTCTTTTGGATATCCTGGCCTCACAATGGCCAACGGAGCTATGTCGTCTCGCTCTCACACCCGCTCACCGTCCTCAACCACCCCCACAAAGTTGTGCTCCAAGACATACAAGAAAGCCTCTCAACTTTACCTCACACGACGGCTCCCCGAAGCTCTAAGAAGTCTTCAGCCGATTATTACGCCTTCAAAACCACAGGAGGATCAGCACACAAATGGCGATAATTCATCGCCAATTGCGCCGATCGCCACAGCCGCTGGCACGTGGAGGATCAAGGTGTGGAACCTCTACATCACACTCCTCAGCGCAATAGTCGACCTCGGTGCAGAGGAGGGAAATAAACAATTTGGTCAAAAGGAATGGAAATCAATTGCCTCGCAAGTGAGAGAAGGTGGAATTTGGGAGACTGTGGTCGAGGTCGGGTACCAGGGCCACGAGGGTTCGGTGGATGCCGAAGTCGTCTACAACCTGTCAGTATTTGACTTACACCTTGGGATTCCAACTATGTACTAACAGCGTTGTAACAGTGCTACCCTACTTCTAACTCACTCCTCTTCCCAATCCCTTAACCAACAGCGCCTTGAGACTTACCTCTCCTCCTATGGACAACCCAGTTTCGATCTTACGGATCGTTTCCAGGAGACGTCAGACGAGTATCAGCCACGTCCGATTCGTTCGGGAGGTGGCACCGACACACCCAAGGATCTGACCGCCAGAGTGAAGATTATCGAGCTCTTTACTCTGCACGTCCTCCCCCGCAATGGTGAATGGGAATACTCCACCGAGTTCATCAACCTAAGCGAAGTTCTGGATGAAGAGCGCAAGGACCTCTTCCTTCAAACCCTCGAGGGTTTGAGAGAAGAGAAGGAACGGGGCGAGATGCGCGCAGCCGAATTACAGCGGGCTAAGGACGAAGAGCTCGAAAGGCAACTAGAGGAAGAGCGCCGCGAAGCAGAAGAAGCGGCGGCCGCCGCCGCCCGACCACAGCCCAATGGCCACAAGCGCAATACGAGCGAGGTTGACTATGGAATTGAGAAGAGCCGGCCGCATGGTTCACCCAAGAGCAAAGGTCCCAAAGCAACGGACAAGACGCCGAATGGCAAGTCTCGGACCTCGCTTTCATCATCCAGCTCCAAAAATGTCAAGAAACAGGATAAAGCTGAACCCCGCGGTCGTCAATCGCGGGCCGTGGCCACTGGACTGCGCAACCTCATGCGCCATATCGTTCAGGCTGTGTCGGGGAATCCCATGTCAATAGTGCGCACCTTGCTCTTTGTAATTGGTATCCTGATGGCGATGAGCCGGCAGGGTGTGCGCGATCGTGTTCGACGGATTACGGACGGTGCGTGGCAGAAGATCAAAGCCACCGCCGGGATGGGTGTCAAAGTGAGCTATATTTGAGATATAAGCTTACTTTGACTCCGTGCAAGTTGCATAGGTGTCATGTATATTCTTCTTGACGAGGTTGGCTTCCCGGACCTCGAGGGGCCACCTTTGATACGTATTTCCTTTGTTATTTCTCTTCATTGTGTATTGTATGCATACATACCAATTACCACCAGGAGTGGTTGCATTACTCTCATCCAAATCACTTCGTGTCTCGAGGACCTGCTTGGCTGTAAAGACCTTTCATATTGTCAGGGCTCAGTGGCCCGTGGGGCTTGTAGGGAAATGTTCTGCCTCTTAGGTATATTGAGTTCTACGTCGACGATATCTGCCGTTTTGCTTTTGTATTTGGAAGGGATTGGGAGAAGTTGACTTAAACTTGGAAGGTTGGGACGTTCCAAGGTTCGTCCGAAATGTACCACGAACGGTTACTACGTTATTCCATTGGAGACTCGGGCAGGGAAGCTGAAGGTCCAGAGACCTCGAATTCGATCGATTTATGTATAGTAAGATGGCAATCAACCAGTGATATTATAATGTACATCTAAAATGGGTATCAAGCAGCCGTAACCTCATGACGTCCAGCGTGATCTCCACGCGGACCCTCAACCATACCAACTTCAACATCATCGTGCGTCCCACTATCTGAATTCTCCTTTTCGTTGACCCTGGCATGCCACCTCCGAAACAGCTGAACAAAGAAATGTGCCACGCAAATCTGCTCCGTGGTATAAAGTAGTACCGGCACCGACGTCTTGGCCTTCGTGAAGAGATCAACCGGCTGCCACATTGCGTAAAGTAGTGGAATACCGAGTGCAGTGCTCTTTGCTGGCCCGCAGAAGCACACTGCAATGGTCTCTTCCGGCGACATGCGTCTAAATATGGGTTTTGACCAGCCGCGAGAGCTGAATATCCACGGTGGTCTTGCGCAGAAGAAACACACCGCCGTCAAAGTGATGTAAAGTAAGATATTAAAGAGAACCACAAATACCACGCTCTGGGTGGAAAGGGTCTGGAGTGCCCCGGTTGCGAAGCAGGAAGAAAACGTAGTCCTGACATGCCAGTCAGAACAACAACAAGACCAAGCAGGTATATCATACCCGGAGAGAGCGCGTCTACTCACCAGATCAACAACAACATACAGACACTAGCCAGCTTCGGCAGCTTAGTCTTCTCCAAGACCCGGGCAGTGCGATCCGGCCAAGTCCACCTCACAAGTTGCCCAACAAAAAGCGGCAGTAGCACACTCAGCCCCAGCTGCTGAAACACCTCCTTATACATACTCCCCAAGCTCCCACCCCCATACCGCCAGGGCTCAAACTCGCCCGTCCTCGGTATCAACGACACAGTCCACGCCGCCGTAACGAACGGACCAAGAATATTAGCCAGCAAAACTTCCACCAAAGCAGCCGCATCGTCGCCCCCCGCAGCCCTTGTCATAACGACGTTCGACGCAATCGTCGTCGGAATACAAGCTGTAAATATATACCCCGCCAGCACGGCGCGGTCAATCTTCCCACCGGCATCGGCAGCAAGGATAATATGCACGACGGCCAGGACCAGCGCTGGAATAAAAAGGAATGAGATCGTCTGCACGATCAGGTGTAATCGCCAGTTCAGGAACTGCGATAATAGTTTCTGGCGAGGGATGCTTAGCCCTGAGATAAGAAAGATTATCGCTATCACCCCGTAGAGGATGCTGTACTCGGAGCGGATTGTGCCGCCGTGTTTGGCCACGTTCGGGAAGAAGTATGCCAGCACGCAGACGATGCCGATCCCGATTAGGAGCCATTGGTGTAGGATTAGGGTTGCGGCCCGTTGAAGGACTTGCTGCCACCGTGGCTGGGCGGGCTCGGGGGCTGCTGCGTTCATTTTGGGTTGGTCTAGGGACTGAGATGTGGGGGCTGTGGGATATCCCGTGCGATTGTGGTCCCAACTCCCTTGGTGTATGTACATCGATGTTTGTTTATCCAGGGGAACATAAAGTGTTACAATGTGGTTGGAGATTGCGCTATCGCGGGATCGGATTTGATCCGATACTTCGGACTTGATAGCGGAAAGGGTGGTCGTCCATACTTGTCTGACAGCTACTTGTATACAACATACATAGTTAGTACCTGGGTACCACTGCCCAGAAATATGAAGAAGACGTGAACAGGCTGTATACGGCAACTTTTTGCATATCAGATTAGGCCCAAGTCCAGAACGGGATCCCCGACATCGGGTAGCCGAGCCCGAGATTATCAGTCGGGTCGACTGACTTGGCAGTGACCCCGGATGTTAACCATGGCAAATGCACGTGAAGGTACTTTGATTCCAGCGATATTGTAGGCTGTCTCAATACAATCTTCATCTTCGCAGTACTAGTTACATTGTACAGGCAGAGTTCTGAATAATTTGGTTCCGTGGATGTTCCATGGTTTCGGTCATGTGGTAGAATGTTCAACCGGCTACGTCATCACTTGTAAAGACTGCGACGCGATGTACTGCATGCAATAACTACTAACAACCTTCAAATAAGAAACCCCGGATCAAAAAGATCAATAACCAAGCCTCTTCCAAGCCCTATGTACAACGTTGGAATACTTTAATTGACCATCTGACTCAGAAAGTCCCATGACCATCTGGTAAATGAACCTCGGCTGAGGGGAGCTTTCGCGCTCGTCCGAGATCACCCGCGAAATCGCCAGCGGAGTTCGCTAGTTTTCCCCGACTGAAGTCCGAAGTATTCAATGTGGGAGGCTCCGGGGTAATTTAGCTTGGGACTGTCAGAGTTTCGGGGGTAGGATGGTTTTTATTGTTAGTGTAGGTTGGAAAGTCATAGAAGACAGTCAATTACGCTTTCGGACATGATATATACTCTAATTTCAAGATAAAGTACTGGATCACAAGCTTGCAAAAACTATGACGACAGTTGCAGAATACACAGTAGACAAATGTAGGCATGTGAAGTCAGATCACTGGAGATCTGGGGTGAATTCCGCAACTGGATAGGGAGCCGCCCTTCTTCCCGAAGGCCTCGGGATGTGTCTTGGGCATTTCCACTCTGAATCGGAACTCCTAGGGAAGAATATTAAATAAAGAGTATCCTCGGCGATTCTTCGATCTGATAACTTTTTTTTATCTCTCTTCTTCTTCTTCTCTTTTCCCTTGTTTGTGCGAGGAACTCCTGTATACTGCGTAGACTTCCGCTCGTCCAGCTTCCTCCGCTTCCCCGTCATAGCTCCCCACAAACCTCCGCCACTTCGCCCCGTGATTCACATAACCCGAACTTCGGCCTTTTCCTGAAGAAATCGAAGATCTCTTCTTTTTGATCCCAAGACATCCCCTTCAGCCCAATTGCAGGTTGTTACTTCGAAATCGTATACTTGCTCCTACTCCGGAATTGTATACTTACTCCGCACCGGCTTCTCTCGCGACACTCGGAACATCTGCGCAATTCGCATATTCGAGTCACCTCTTGAAGGTTTCAGATCCGAAGTCTTCGCCAACAAAAGTGCACATTCTCCGCATATATACGAACACATATTGAAAAAATGTCCGCAAAGACTGCCGACACCAAGCGCACATCGCCCGCGGTCAACCTGATCGGTAGAGTAGATCCCGCCTTTTGGAATTGGGTACAGCTATTAACTCTGAATTAGCTGGTGGTGGTGCTGGTATGATGGAGGCCCTCGTGTGCCACCCCCTGGACACAATCAAGGTCCGCATGCAGCTTTCAAGGAGGGCTACAGCGCCTGGTGTGAGTTGGAGAAAGTTCCTTTGACAATTGGAGTCATCGCTGACCACAATGGCTCATTCAGGTTAAGCCCCGCGGTTTCATCGCCACTGGTGCTCAGATCGTGCAGAAGGAGACCGCTTTGGGTCTGTACAAGGGTCTCGGTGCTGTGCTGGGTGGTATCATTCCCAAGATGGCTATCCGTTTCACCTCATATGAAGCATACAAGGGCTGGCTCGCCGATAAGGAGACAGGCGTCATCAGCAGCAAGGGCACCTTCCTGGGTACGTGAATTCCGCGAGTGACGAACGATACCAAACAGAAGATTAACGTTCCCCACAGCTGGTCTCGCCGCCGGTGTTACCGAAGCCGTGGCCATCGTCAACCCCATGGAAGTCGTGAAGATCCGTCTGCAAGCGCAGCACCACAGTCTCGCAGACCCCCTGGACGCCCCCAAGTACCGTAGTGCCCCTCACGCACTCTTCACCGTGATTAAAGAGGAAGGCTTCAGCGTCCTGTACCGCGGTGTCTCCCTGACCGCTCTCCGACAAGGAACCAACCAGGCCGCCAACTTCACCGCATACACTGAGCTGAAGGCCGCTCTCCAGCGCTGGCAACCCGAGCACAGCAACAGCCAGCTGCCCGCCTACCAGACCACCGTGATCGGCCTGATCTCCGGTGCCGTCGGTCCCTTCTCCAACGCCCCCATCGACACCATCAAGACCCGTCTCCAGAAGACCCGTGCCGAACCCGGCCAATCCGCTGTCTCCCGTATCATGGTTATCGCCAAGGACATGTTCAAGACTGAGGGTGCTCGCGCTTTCTACAAGGGTATCACTCCCCGTGTGATGCGTGTCGCTCCCGGTCAGGCTGTCACTTTCACTGTGTACGAGTTCCTCAAGGGCAAGCTGGAAGCCTCTAACTGGGCTTTCGTTGGTGGCAAGTACGATGAGTAAACTTGCTCAAAATGTGGTGTTTTTGGAGAGCATTGTGATACCTGACCCAGCATGGTGGGCGTTGCGTTCCCTCTGTTTCGCGCATTGGACTGTTCAACTGCAGACCAGTGGGAACGCCTTTTTTTGTATATATTGTTTGCTTTGTATACCACTTTGTCTGGTGCGCTTTGAGTTGAATAGAGAAGTTCAAAAGCTTAAAAATCCCTAAGAGCCAGCCGAGTCTTTAGAATCTGCCCGGGGTGATGGTAGATGTAGGAGTCAGTAAGCTTGAGAAGATTAGGTATTTCTGTGAAGATGATATATGTTCTGAATAATTGCAGTGCTGAGGTGGTTGAACAATCTGAAAATACAGTACGGACACTACGGAGTAGAGCCAGAAACTAAACGCTGACCGGCCATCGGCCCCTCAATTCACCGCTCCCCCTCTCCCATAAACAACAAACTACCAACCCCAGCTGCATCCCAAAGCGCGGCATCATGCAGTCAGGAATTACAGGTAAGTGACTCGCATCAACTTCAAGCACAAAATCTCAAATGCAATCCCACTAACAAACCACCCAGTCTCCGCGGAGCTGCAAGATGCCTTCAGCCGCTTCAACTCCGACCCCTCATCCTTCTGCCTGCCAGTGACCATCACAGCCGAGACCCTAACACCGCTGTCCCCCATCTCCTTCCAAGGCAGCCCTTCACCAGACGCCTTCGTCTCTGCCCTCCCCCAGCTTTCCTCGGTCCTCCAGCCGAAAACCCCAATCTACCTCCTTCTCCGACGCCCGACGTCCGCATCGACTGCACTCATCGCCTTGACCTACATCCCGTCCAATGCACCAGTGCGAGCGAAGACACTCTTTGCCTCGACTCGGTCGACTCTGACTCGTGAGCTTGGCACGGAGAAGTTCGCTTCTACTGTCTTTGCTACGGAGGAAGAGGAGATTCTGGACCGGGAGGCGTGGCGCGAGCGTGATGGCGAGGGACCCAATGCTATCTCTCGTGAAGATATGATGGGCGAGAAGGAGAGGGAGCTGGAGGCTGTTCGGAGGGCTGAGGCCGAGGCGCGGAATGGTACGCCTTCCAGGGATATTGGTATTGGGGGTACGTTTGGACCTGGTACTGGCTCCGGTATGAGAGTTTCTCTGCCAGTCGATGAGGCGGCTAAGACTGCCTTGAAAGATTTACAGGATAGTGGGTTGGTTCAGTTGGTAAGTTATTCCCTGGTTCATGGTTGTATTCAGTCCAGCCTCTAGAGGTCATTGGAAGAGATGGGCAATAAGATGAATCTGTGAAATTGGCTAACTTCAAAAAAAGACGGTTGATGTTCGCACCGAGAAAATTGTCCTGGCCGACTCCCAGTCTGGAGTCGAGCCGAACTCTGTCGCCACACACATTTCCTCCTCTTCGCCGCGGTATTCCTTCTACCACTACCCCGGATCTGATGTTGTGATCTTCGTGTACACCTGTCCCAGCGGGGCGTCGATCAAGGAGCGAATGCTGCATGCCAGCTCGCGGAGGAACGCCATCACCGTTGCCGAACAAGAAGGACTGAAGATTGAGAAAAAGGTACGCATGTCACAGTTGTAGATGAAGTCTGTTGAGACTCCTTGTCGAATGCTCACACATCGCAGATTGAGGCCTCTGGCCCTGACGAAATCACCGGAGATCGCCTGCAAGAGGAAGTCACACCAGCACGAGACCAGGGTCCTGCCCGTGGCTTCGCCAGGCCTCGCCGCCCCGGCCGGTAAACTCGCCACCGTATAGATAGGCACCAAATAAACGTATACGGGAGTGGGCGCAAATCGCCCACCCACACAATGCTTCACAGGCGCTCGTATTTGTAGAGCTTGTAGACTCAAATTGTCGTGGCGAGGCAGAAGATCGTAAAACTGCCGGTAGCGTCCTTGGCCCCCTCCACGCAGACACACCAAGGCGCAATCTATGATCATTGATTCCTGAAACTTTTCTTCTGATAGAACAGATCTGTCCTCGAACTTCCCAAATTTATAATCTTGGGACATCCATCGCGGTCTTTCTCTAGGCGCGTGCATTCAAAGCAGTAGAATGCATCACTGATACCCTCACCGCCGCAGACAACACACTTGTTCTGATAGTTGCCGAAGGAGCACTCGTCGCAAATGCGGACTAGGGTCGTGGGGCGCACGTAGGAATCGCACACGGGGCATTTTCCGTCGCATTTGTCACACAGACGGCCGATGGAGATGCCGGGTTGCTTGCGGCACATGACGAGATCGGGGTGGTGGCGAGACATGATGAGGAGGATGCGACGAGGTTGTAGACAGTTCAGGCCGCAGGATGTGGAGTGAGGGTTGCTTGGGATCAAGCTGGAGATTGGGACGAGGGGAAATTTGAGAGGAGGGAGATTGAGGAAGAAGACGCCCTGCCTAAAGACTAGGTGGTCCGTGCACGTGATCCTAAGCACGACGGTGTCGACTTCGGTTTGATGCCTCCAACTCGGTGACCTCGACCAGATCTATGTTTCAAACGCCCTTGCGATTTTCTTGCTTTCCTTTTTCTTTGCTGTCAGCGCTCCTTGACTAGCCACGATGTCTGATGGGTATGAGTTGTCCCGTCCCGTGCAAACTACGCGCAAGCGTCCAGATTGAGCGCTCTAACTAACCTCCGAAATTCTTGTATTAGTCCTGAGACACTCGCTTCTGCGGTAGCTGTACCTGATCAAGATACCGAGCCACAATCTCCCGAGTTGACTGCGAAGAGAAGACAGTCTTCAATCGCTGAATATGATGCCAAGCGCCGGCGACTCAGCTCTCAGGGTGATATCTCTCCGCAGTCCCAGCGTGGTCGCCCCTCGTCACCTGGGGCTATAGCAAATGAGCCCGCCGGGCCAAGGCCTGTGCGACCCCGTGGAGCTGGAAGGGAGGAAGATCGGAAGCGGGGCCAGCGATTATTCGGTGGGTTACTGGGTACTCTTTCGCAGAGTTCGAGTACCGCAGCTCAAAGACGGCGTGCGGATATTGAGAAGAAGCAGCAGGAGAAGCTGAAGACGCAGGATGTGCAGTACGATGAGTTAAGGAAACGGCGGAAGGAGTTACGTGAAGAGGTCAGGAGGAGAGAGAAGCCATTGTATGAGCGAGAGGCGGTACGTTATGTTCCCTAGACCACGTGGACAGGTCTGTTTGCTTACACGTGTTGACCAGATGCAAACCCGGCACTCCAATATGCTTGCTATAGCACACTTCCTTAAGACACGGACAGAGCCGGTCCTGGTGAGTACTGTTTTCCTATGCATACGCAGTGTCCACAGGCTTATTCACCTCATGCAGTATTACAAACCATGGCAATCGAGACCTGGCGATGAATCAATCATACAGCAGCAAATCGAGGAAGCAAAGGCGACTATTGCACGTGAAGTTGCTGAGTTTGAAGCCCGATACCCCCCAGAGGCCTTTGCACCGGAGCAACCCACACTGGCTGAACCACAACAGCAACCAAACGAGGAAAAGACGCAAGAGCCCAAAGCAGACACACAATCAGATGGCCAGCAAGTCCCGCCACCGGCTCCAGAGCCCGAGGTAACTCCGACAGACACAGGTTCTAAGGAAACAGCTGAAGGTGCTCCGGACACGGTGGGTGTAGATGCTAATGACCAGAAGCCCATTCCACCTACCACGGATGAAACCACTAACGTGGAGGAAGTTGCCACTCAAGACCAGACCGATCCCCACCGAGATGATGACGGAGGCGAGGTGCTTGAGGACAATGAGGATACTGTGATTTATTAGATTGGTCGACAATCTTTCTATGTCAATTATGAAGTGGTGGAATGACTCTGACTATGACACCAAGGACAAATACCCGGAAGCCTTGATTTGTTTTGATTGCTACGGAGAGTTGGTTGTATTGCTTCTGATATCTAAAGCTTATTTTGAAAGCACTTTATGGGGCAACATGTATGATATCCATGAAATACACTTGACCACCAATTGTAGCATCTATGGATGCTCCGTGATCTGCCTAGCGAAGAAACAGAACCTTCTTTCCTGGTATGTTTCATGCACTCGAGCACCTGTGGTGTGAGTACTCTGGTACTGAGTGTAGCAGTAAATTTTTGATAGATGCAGATCTACTTCCCGGGCATGCATGGCATATTTTTGCAAGGACCTGCTTTGTTTCCTACCACTGTCAATCTGTCATTAAGAACAGCTCTAAGCCCCTACAGAGCTTAGTACTTGGTCATCCGTTGTTCTTCGACTTTTGTGGAGACGCATTCTCGGAGTCGGCAATGCTCAAGCAAATGCAATCAATCTTGGGCAAGCTCATGAAGAATAGGGGTGTCCTTTGATTATCCTACGATGTATGTACGAAGTAGTAAGTAAGTACTACATAGTTACATAGTACATCGTCGTTAGGGTTTACAGCGCTAGCGGCTTGGCGCCCCACCTCCGAGATGCCGAGGCAGACTGGTGAGGGGACTCGGGATGTTCTCTCCGCATCTGTGAATTGCATTCCATGGCTTTCATGATTACGGCATAATTTATTCTGTTGATTCGTGTCAGTCGGAGCTTATATCTCCGTTGATTAAGTTCTCATGCTTACCTGCTGTATTTAACAGCTATATACTTGACTATACTTGAAACTTGGATCTGCAAACCTGCATCTCCAGTTCTCCACACACAAGCGCGCTTTTCATCCGAAGCATCAGCTCAAACCAACTCGTTATGCCTGTCGATAAGATCCGTGTGTCGGGTGACCCCCGCATTGAGTATAAGACCGCCACGCTGAATGGCCGTAACTACTGTGAGCTACCCACAATGCACGAAAATGCTGGAATCGCAAGCGTTCCGATGTAGAACGAACATGAACTAACAATGTGCAGCTTACATTCTCAGCCAGCCAAAATCCGGCCAGTACAAAACTACTGTCATCCTTGTAAGCAGCTAATCCACCAAAAAGGAACACCCACTGACACATTCCATAGATCCATGGCTTCCCCGACCTTTCAATGGGCTGGCGCTACCAAATCCCCATGCTCGTCGACATGGGCCTACGAGTTGTAGCCCCAGACTGTCTCGGATACGGACGAACAGTGCGTATCACCCCTGCATCATCTGCATACCATGACTCCAAACTAACAATTAAACCAAGGACGCGCCCGATGACTACACCCAGTACTCCCACAAAAGCTGCGCAGCAGATATCAAAGCCCTAGCAAGCCACCTAGGCGAGAAACAGATTATCCTAGGCGGACACGACTGGCAAGAACAACCCCAATCGAATCTCTGTTCTCGGAATCCATGCTAACACGCAACAGGGGCGCGGGACTCGCTTACCGCGTCGCTCTCTGGCACCCAGAGCTCGTCAGTCACCTGTTCACTGTCTGTGTGCCCTATGCGGCGCCCACGACAAAGGACGTCTCGCTGGAGGACATGGTTCGCACCGTGACGCCGCACTTTGCTTACCAGCTGCAGTTCAAGAGCGGGGATTTGGAGAAGGTTATTCGGTCTAAGGAGGAGATTAGCCAGTTCCTGCTTGCGCTGTATGGGGGTCGGACGGAGCAGGGGAAGTTTGGGTTTGATGCGACCAAGGGTGTGGATGTTGATAAGATTGGGGCATTGAAGATTTCGAGGTTGTTGAGTGAGGAGGTAGGTCGGCTTTGTAATTCCATTTAATCTGGTACGAGGGGATTATGCTGACGTTCTACAGGAATTGGAGTTCTACTCAAATGAGTTCGCCAGGAGCGGTGTTCATGGACCGCGTATGCATTCTACATCCGCTGGTTGTTGGCTGTGATTGTGCTAATTCATGTTATAGTTAACTGGTACCGCACTCGGAAGGTGAACTACAAGGATGAACTTGAGATCCTCGACAGGAAGATTCAGGTTCCTACGTTGTTTATCCAGGCTTTGAGGGATCAGGCTTTGCCGCCTCATTTGGGCAAGTCTATGGCGAAGCAGCTCCCGCGTTTGACTCTGAAGCAGGTCGATACCTCGCACTGGGCTCTGTGGGAAAAGCCTGATGAAGTCAATGCTATTCTCGCGACTTGGTTGAAAGACCATGTTTTCGCTGATGGAAGGGCGGGTAAGCTTTGAGTGGAAGGGTAGTAGGTAGGCATGTTTGCACATTGCAGAGTGATGATTGATTAATCATTGCGAAAATACGTAAACTATCGTCAAAGCATAAGAAGTGCACCTTTTACCCGTCACATATAAGGAGTTGCCCAAGTCAGCGTAGAAGCCTTGCCTGGCCTCACACCATAACCAATGACTCTGTTCAGTACTGGAAAATCTTGGTCTCGATATTGCAGCCAACCTTGTCCAGGCGATCCACAAAGTCCTGACCCAGCGTAGCCGGGGTAACAATGCCACCACGCGAGACCTTCTTGATCTTCTCCTCCTCGCTGAGAATAACCATAGCAGCCTCAGCCAGTAAAAGTCCAGTGAATGGATACATGCCGCCATGGTAGGTAATTTTACCGAAGACGCGTTGCGGCGGAGTACTGTCCGAAGTGGCGATGGCATGGTACTCGAGACGGTCATTTACCGAGTCCTCTCTACGCGGGCCAGCGCCAGGCGCAAAGATGAGCTTGCGAACCAGCCAGCGTACAGGCGGTAGCGCAAGCAGAGAGAGTCCAACCAAGAAGCCGATGTGGACGGCGACACCGATGAGAACGTTGCGGACGGACAGGAACTGGCGGAAGAAGAAGTTCTGTCCGTACAGCTCGGGCATTAGGCTGCTGCTACGGTGCACGACGGTGATGTCGGCGATTGCGCTTGGGGAGGTTGTCACGGTTCCTAGGTCGCGGATTGAGCGAGCACCAAGCAGCTTCTCCAGGATTGATTCGCCGGGAATGTTCTTCGGTGGGGGAGATGCTGCCAAGGTGAAGGGCTGCATCGACTTCGAGAGCTCGGACATTGGGAGCCAGTCGAAGATGGACAGAATCGTGCTCAAAGTGCCGCCGCTGGGGCCGGAGGATCTGGTTGAATGGGTCAGATATGTGTTTCTTTTGTGGATGGGTGTGACAAACTTCATTTCCTTGATGGTGCTGTTGATTTGGCGGGTCGGAGCTGAGAGATCCTCGCGGACACGCTTGACCAGAGACCAGGCCAGGATATCGGCAGGAGCGCTCTCGACGCCAGTCGAAGGGATCATCTTCCTGAAGTCAGTATAGTCATATATTGGAGGTTGCAGTGGAACGAACAATAGCTCCATTTGCCTTGGCGGTTTCATGGTACTTGTCAATAATCAATTTGATCCAGGGTGTTTCTCCAGTGCTGTGACGATTAGCCAGTGTTCGAATGATGCACAAAATAAATAAATGCAATGACTCACGCATCCACATAGTGAGTGCCATTGGAAGCGCATGCCTCCACGACCGGAGTCGAGTAGAGGTGGTACGGACCCACACAGTTGATAACCAGCCGTGTCTTCTGGGCAAGCTCGTTGAGCTCGGTAGAGTTGAGTTGGACGACCAGGACATCTATGACCACAGCAGTAAGCGCCGAGCTTGCAAGTTGTGAGATCTAGAAAAGAGCGCGGAATTGTGTACCTGGGTCAGCACGATCGGGGTTCAGAGCCTTCAGCTCCTGCGCGATAGGCTCCATCTTCTGCGCGGAGCGGCCTGCGATAGCCCATTTCAGACTGGTAGGGAGGTTCTGCACAATGTGCTCTGCGCAGAATCTGCCAGTGTAGCCAGTCGGGCCTAGCAAGACCAGGTCATACTGTCGGTTGGAAGTCATGGTGCTTGGTTCTGGAATGGTGGACTGTTGGGGTCTATGATGTAGCTTTGCTGGAAAGGGCTCGGCGGATCACAAGCTTCTCGGCACGCTTGAGAACACAAGGAATCTGGAGCGGAGGTGAGTAGGCGAGGGAGACTTATTGCGCAAGCGTGAAGATTACGTAGGACTAAAAGCAACACAGGTCACACAATATGATTCGGACTACGGAGTACTGATTCGATCTTGGAAGTGTTTATCATTCTTGTCTTGGGCGTATCACGTGACCGGATAGATCAATTGGCCCGAGTCGCCCGACTGAGTAAAATACGGCGGTCTCGAACACAATTAGGCCGAGTTGGAGAGTAAATTAGGGGACTTCATATGACAGTTGAGGGGTAGTCTGGGGTACTTTATTCTCACAGAAATGAAAGCCTGAATTTGAGGGCACCGATAAAAATCAAGCATCGAAGCGAAAATTAACCAGCACCGTCATCGTCCCATTTTACTCCGTACATCGCTTTGGGTGGACCTTGTGGACCGTCGAAGCCACACAGGACACGAAGCCACAAAAGTAAGCATTTTGAAACCTGAGGCCACCAAGATCCATCATGACATAAGCCCACTAACTCAAAAAGGTCAGGTGATCGCACCAAGCCAAGAGCCCTAAGCGAGAATCCACAGCACAACCCGCCCTCATTCAAAGCGTCTTTTTTGATCTCCTGTTGAATACCCATCTTCACCCTCTACACCAGCCAAGATGACGAAGCGCACCAAGAGTATGTTTCCCCTCAAAGACACTCAACAGCGAAACAAATTTTTCACCGATGCTAACTGTTTCCCACAGAGGTCGGCATCACCGGTAAATATGGTACCAGGTATGGCATTCGCCCAATTCGCGCCCACACGACTGTGATATCCTCGATCGAGACACACGACCTATAGCGAACACATTTACAACACGACACGGATTCTAATCATGCTTTACCAACAGATACGGTGCCTCCCTGCGTAAGCAGGTGAAGAAGATGGAAGTCACCCAGCACGCCCGTTACGTCTGCACCTTCTGCGGAAAGAACACCGTCAAGCGCAAGGCTGTCGGTATCTGGGAGTGCAAGGGCTGCAACAAGACCGTTGCCGGTGGTGCTTACACCGTTTCGTAAGTCGACACCAACCACGAAAGCGGCGTTGTGACTTGATTCGGAGTCGAACTCGAACGGCGCACAAAGTCGCAACACACCATCCAGAAGATTTACTGACCATTCGCTCACTATAGCACCCCCGCTGCCGCTGCCACCCGCTCCACCATCCGTCGTCTGCGTGAGATCGCCGAGGTCTAAATGGGAGGATTGTGTGGTTTTTCATTTCTCTTTACGGTTACGTCCGAATACCAAAAAATGAATGAATAAATTCGGGAATACAATTTCTTGTGCATCCGCATCGCTTCGAGTATATCGTATATCGCTCTGACTGGTCTCGAACTTCGCTTCGGTCGCTATCTGCAGGACAGACAATTTTGCCAGTCAATCCAGAATCCTCGCGAATTTGTTTCTGTTCTGCGACTGTGTGAGTCACCATATAGATGGGCTGTCGACGTATGGTCTTTTATGGTTCCTCGGGCGTGAGACAGTCACGTAGACTCGACGCCATATGAGCGGATCTCAATCCGGATGTCACCTGGCACTGGCACATTGCACTGTCTTGAATATACCCTGCGTGCTTAGACCGAGTGTGCTCCGAATGATATCTGCTTTTGTACTTTTTATGTGCACCTGGACATTTGCACCAGGTGTCTGGGTCTGCTCTTGAGTCTTGACTCACCTGATCCTTTCGTCATCGCCAGTTGATTTTTAGCCTGTGATCATGATGATTAAGGTGAGGACAAGGCTGAAGACGCTGATTCGGGTTTCAGCTGAATGGTGGGCGCCTAAAGTAGTTATCTTCGATTGTAGACTGGCCACCTTGCCATTCAGTGACTTTGTGTGCGGATCTCTGTTTGCGTGGTACAGGGACCCTGTTGGATGGTTGCGAACATGATCTCGATTGTCAAAGAAGTCACATGGCCCATGACCCAGCCTCAAAGATATTCGATAGCCTTTCATAGTAAAGGAGTCATAGTAATTAGTAAAAGCGAATAACAAAATATATATCTTTTCACAATATTGAACAGCAAAAACCGTTATCGTGAATGGTCGGTCGCTCCTTCCGCCTGATCCAGGGCATCATTCGCCTCCATCGTTCCTACCTACTTTGCGTTAGTCCGGCAATCCGGCCCACCTTCAAAAGGCCGCTCCCCACACCTTCTTCTCTTCTACATCGCTTGAAAGTTGCTCTTCATGGACATCGCGTTTTCATATTATTCCTTTGTCCATGTCAGATACTTGTATTGTCTGTTTAGGCGACCTTGGTGAAGGGGCGGGTGATCCTCTTGAGCCTGTGAGCATTGACCAAAAGGATGGCAATGTCACTGGGCTCGAGGACTCCCAGATCGCTCAGTTACTTCCCTGTGGTCATGTCTTACACAATATTTGCTTAAAGCCATGGGTTGAACGCGCAAATAGTTGTCCAATATGTCGTCGCAGCTTCAATATGGTGGAGTTGAGCGACCAAGTCGGAGGTACGAGGCTTCCCCCTTCTTTGAATATGACAAGTTCCTCTCTTGAGTACACGTACTAAGTGTGATAATATAGGAACCGTTATTTCGTCCTATGCTGTTGAAGACCGAACACAAGTGGCAGACCTTGACCCGTCTATGATTATTGAATATGCGGAGGATGACTTGGCCGACTTCCAGCCATGTACAATTTGCGGACAGGATGATAACGAGGATGTCCTCCTCCTATGCGATGGATGTGAAGCACCGTCTCACACTTACTGTCTAGGCTTGGATGGGATTCCCGCGGGGGAATGGTACTGTCAACAATGCGAGTCGCAACGTGCTCTGAGGCCGGCGTCTGAGGTATCAGCGCGCCCCCGCGCCCATCCCGGGCGCCCGAGCAGCGCAGTCGTCGAACTCGGGCCCAACGGAGGCAGCTCCAGGCTCGAAACCAGATGAACTCTCAACACTGGGCCCGAGTATGGCAGTCTGTCTGGGATCATTTGAATATCGATCTCGATTTTCCGTTTGATGACGATCGATCTGTTGAACGTATGCTGCAACAACGCCGTCGCGAAGAGGCAAACCAGCGCGAATTCCAAGCATGGCAACGTCGATTTGAAATAGCCGAACGACAAGGCGGAGGCAACCGGTTCCGCGACAGCGCATCACTGTTCGACCTTGACCATGCCCGACCATCGCGACCTCGGGCTCCTAGAGCTCCAACACCCGCGCCCGAGTCCCTGGAGGAGATGCGGGCTTGGAACGCATTTGAAAGGGCTCGGGAAATTGAGAACAACCCAAGCGCAGCCAGAAAGCGCAAAGAGCCTACCATGTCGCCGTCTCCCGAGCCCACCGAGCCAGAGCGCAAGCTGAAGCGACCTCGAACAAGACGGCCACAGGAGCTCGCGGCTCTGGCACAGCAGACCCAAACCGGTGAATCATCCAAAACTGGGAGCTCCAGTGCTCGGCTGAATGGCGACAACTCCGCTGGACCAAGCTTCTTGTCATCGCTCTTAAAGGAGGTTGAGGACGCACCGAGTCTTACCAATTCATACGGACCTTCGGCTTCAACGTCTGTCGCTCCTACCGACCGCCCATCTCCCGGTCCATCCTCTCCATCAATCTCGCCCTCCTCGTCTCGTTACTCCTCCCCTCTCCTCTCGGCGGCCACACCGCCACCTTTCTCGCGGAGCCGCCCCATCTCTCCACTTCAGCTGTCCTCCCCCGCTGAACCAACATCACCTCCCTTCTCCCCCGAAATATCCTCTTCCGGTAGCCCAACGGCGGTTGGCGCGGAAAAGGACCCATCGCAGCGCCATCCCAACCGCTCACGCTCCCGCATCCCGCAACGCGCACTGCATCTTGGGACTTCTCGATCGCCCGAGTCATCTCCCACTCGAGCTGGACCATCCCTAGCCCTCAAAGCCGAGATTCAGAAAATGGTGGGCACTGCATTGAAACCGCATTTGAAGAAAAGGATCATCTCGAAGGAGCAATATACCAATATCAACCGGTGTATCTCTCGCATGCTATACGAGCGGGTCGGCGACAAAGAGACTCTTGAGCCAGACGAGCGCACCAATATTGACACAGAGGCCAAATGCGAAGTGCAGAACACAATAGAAGCACTGAGGAGAGAGGGCAAAGATAAGCAGAAACAGCGCATGGTGGCGACCGACACCGACGGCGATATTTAACGACAATACCTTGAAGTAACTTGCATTTACTGGCGTTTCTTTTCATCTGAGCGAATTGTACCTGGTGGATTGGAATGGAATGTATTACTGGTGTATTCTCTTTTCTTCTCTTCTCTTGTCTTTTTTTTCTTCTTTTTTTTCCAGCGACACGCCTCTGCGAGATTCAATCGCCCTTTCGTGGGAGACTCTGGGAGACTTTGAATTCGTCTTGGGTTAGTTTACTCTTTGTGATCCACGTATTGTCTGAGTACCATCTTGCTTAACAAGGAATTTTGGCCCCCGTTTGGCTCACCTCTCCCCATTTGCGATCCGAATCGTCTTTCAATCATCTCTGTTCATTTAAAGCGACACTGTGATACCCGCGGACAGAGGAAACAGACCTTCCGATGTTGGAGATATGCATCATACCAGTTGAGCTTTGGCTACCAGTATAAAGGATCGAGGGTTCTAATCAATCTTCTAGTCCACGAGTGGTTGATCCAGTCTCCAAGACATACACCCAGGTAGGCACTATCACTGCTAACAACACATCCGTAGCCTGTTCCATATACGCAGCCGACCATGGCATCTGTGAGAATTGCTTGTTCCTTAACAGCTGACTAGGGAGACATCGGCAATCCACTCCAGTTGCTGTCAGTACCTGGCGCCCAATAAGCCTTGCTTTATGCTAGCAGCTGGGTTCCAGGTTGACGCATATTCGTGTCTGGTATTCCGGACTGGATATATGTTCTTCAGATTGCCGCGAGGATTGCAGGGGGATAGGCAGCCTCAGTCCATAGTATCATGAACCAGAATATCAAATCATCCGCAGTACGCTCCCTGAAAAGGAACGTCATCAATGCGGCAAACCTCCATCTCCCATCATCGACCAGAGATCGAAGAGGGTATGTCCAACATTTCATCCACCCGGGAAATTTGTCATATTGATCCACAATCGAGAATGCTTCAAGAACCTTTACACATCGAAGCTCATCATCGGAATGATCTGTAATTGTTTTGATTCTGAGTTGGTGGTTGAGGGGAAAAGAGATGAAGGGAAAGAAAAGAGTCTTCTCGGCCAAACTAAGCATTGACACTTGCACTCTTGGTCATTCCAATCCCCACTGCAGCTGTTGTCCCCGCATCAACTGGCAAGATAACACCCGTCATCCACCGCGCATGAGGTCCAGCTAGAAATACCACAGCTCCAGCACAGTCCCACCCATTCCCCTCCGTTCCCAGCAAGCTCCGTTTCCGACGAGCCTCACGAGCCTCATCACTCATCCCTTTCCCATACATCATAGGCGTATACAGCATCTACAATAGTCAGCTCTGATCTCTCGCAACAACGAATAATTGATCATGAACATACCCCTGGACAAACACAATTAACCCGAATCCCATCAGGCGCGTGATGTGCCGCCATAGCCCTTGTCATGTTCACAATAGCACCCTTAGCAGTCGGATACAGCAGATGAGGCGTACCACCCTTCAACCCAGCCACACTCCCCATATTGACAATGCTGCCCTTAATCTCGCCCTCATTCTGGGACATCACCGGAATCGCATACTTGGCCATTATCACCATACTGGCAACATTGACCTCCATACTCTTGGCCCACTCCACCATATCAACCTCGACAGCAGTGCCAGCTGCGCCTCCGATGCCGACATTGTTGATCAGGATATCCAGTCGTCCGAACTTTACAAGTACGCATTCTGCTGCCATTTCGCAGTCTGCTTCTGACGTGACGTCTGCACGAAGTGCGAATGCTCGTCCGCGGCCGGGTTTTGAGTTGATCATCTCCACGGTCTTGTTGGCCCATTCTAGGTTGAGGTCGAGGCAGAGTACGTCGCAGCCATCGTCGGCGAGGAGGATGGAAATGGCGCGGCCGTTGCCGATGCCTTCTCCGAGGCAGCCTGCTCCGGTTACGATTGCTGCTTTCCCTGATAAGGAGCGGGAAGGGGGTTCTGATGGGATTGTTGGTTCCATTGTTGAAGGTTTTGGGGTTGGGTTGAGGAGTTTGCGTGAGTTTACCCGTGTCAATGATACATATAAAGTTAATGATATACAGATGTCTTGTCTACACTTAAAGTCTCTCTAACTGTCATTTCTGACGTACCTAACTGGAGTTACTCCAATGTTTCAAGTGGGGTTGTCGGATGGATAAATACAGCCCGTAAAGCAACGCATAGCCGAGCCGAGGTGGGATGAGTGGGGTAGTGTCAGTTAATAGTCTCAGCTTATGCTTATGGATGTTGTACGATGTCAGCCTATGCCCAGGTAGAGACCTATTGCATTCAACATATCTCCTTCTACATCATAAACCCGGAATAAACCTACATCACAAGAATAAACATGGCCGACTTCTCTGCGTACACCGGACCCAGCGCCGAATGGCTGGCCCTCGAGGCAACCCTGCCTGCAGTCCCCGACGATCTTACGGCGGAACAAATCAAATCATTCATGAACAAGACTCGCGAGGAGTCCGCCGCGCGGGATATGATCGACCTAGGTCTGAGTTCCGCGGTGCAGATGCACGATCACACGGTCATAGGCCGCGACGGCACGGCCCTAGAAGTACGCACCTACCGCCCTGCAGGTGTCCCCATCTCCGAGCGCCTGCCTGTCTACGTCCATCTGCACGGTGGCGGTTTTCTGTTTGGCACGCTGAGCTCTGAAGATGCGACTTGTTCGCTCATTGTAACCTCGCGCGTCCAGCAGGGTACTCCCGTTGTAGTCCTCAATCTAAACTACAGACACACGCCCGAACACGGCTATCCCGCTGCTTGGCATGATGTCGAAGATACCTTCGTCTGGCTGCACGAACATATCGCTGAGATCGGCGGTCTCAGCGATCGGGTTGTCGTTGGCGGCATTTCGGCTGGTGCGTGGCTGACGGCGTCGTTGGTGTTGACGCAGCTGCGTGGTGAGGATGAGCGCTTGAGTGCTCTTCCTAAGATTGCAGGACAGGTGCTCATGATTCCCTGTCTTGTGGTGTCTGAACACTATGCGCCCAGAATGGAGATGCTTAAGAGTCCTGAGTTGTCAAGTTATGTGCAGTGTGCTGAAGCGCCGATCTTGCCGATGAGTCGCATGAAGCTGTTCAGCGACCTGCTTCTTGCGAATAACAAGGACGCCATTAACGATCGTAAGATAAGTCCTGGTAATGCCACCGCGGAAGAGATCAAGCAGCTGCCTCCTACTACGTTTGGCATTGCGGGAAATGACCCTCTAAGAGATGAGGGATTGTTCTTTGCGCAAGAGCTTGCTGCGAATGGGTGAGTTTGCCTTTTCTGAGTTGGGGGTTCCAGAGCTGACTTCCTCGATAGTGTTCCTACGGACGTCCATGTTTTCCCTGGCGTGCCCCATGGGTTCAGAAGATACGGGGATAAACTTTCCGAGTCCAAGAGATGGGACGAGGTGATGAGCAATGGCATTTCATGGGCGCTGTCAAACCCTGCGCCTGCTCCATTCGCGATCAAGGCAGAGTAGGCAAATAAGGCAATAGCCTTGGAACTTGGTGAAGATCGATCCGTTGTACATAGTCTTGAGATCTGCACTCTGAGTATAGATCAGGACCTAGCAAGTAGCAACCATTGCCATGATATGGAAGCCAACCCTGGTAAATGTCGATATCAGCTTGATAATATGTTATAATATCATAATACGATCAAAGTGACCTGGATCATTAGTCTCTGAGAATGATTGAATAGAATATCAAAAGAAGAGCAATACTCTGTACTCTGTAGAAGAGTAAGAGGCAAAGACAGCGAATCCCGATTCACCGCTCGAGACCGGACCCACAATGCCGATTGTCCGATCTGGCCGTCGCGAGTCAGCCCTGCTCGGATATTCTCCTAACTACGTATATCTTTGATTGTTTCCTCAGCTTCAATTGCCTTGCATGCACTTCTGTCCACTACATGCAATGTAATTCTAATAGGCCTTCGATCCCGCATTGAAATAAAGGGCGGGCCCCTCCGACAACCACTTTGCGCCAACCAGCGACACTTCATTTCTCCGGGGAAAACCAGAGCTTCTGTACGAAAGAGCCGCCCGCGCTTTTCTCTCTTGCTCAAGTGTTGCCCGCAAAACCCTTATTCCCGCCCTCCACAATGCCCTCATCCGCCTCCACCAACGGAGCCACCCCCACCCCCGACGCTCTCGAATCCGACCTCCTTGTCAAGCTATCCGCCAGCTGCGCCCTCGAAGATCTACAAGAAAACCTCCTCAGCTCCCTCCACCGTCTAGGCTGGACAGAAAAGATCACCACCCTCGCCACAGAACTCCTCCGCGCCGGCCGCTGTGAGACCTTCGACGACGTGATGGCAGCAGTACTCGCCTCAGCAGAGGGCCGGAGTCACCCCGCGTTAGAGGTCAGGTCAAACGGCCAGGCCAACGGGACAACCAACGGCACGAAAAAGGGCAAGGACCAGCCCTACGACCCGCTCAAATACATCAAAGAAGTCAATGTCTGTATACCGGAGTCGGTCGTCGACGAGGGTGTACGCGGACTAAAGGATATTATACGAGAAGTGGCGGATCTGGAAGGTGACAGTGCGCCCAATGGCGACAAGAAGTAATGACGGTCACTAAGGGTTTGGGGGAGCAGCATTTGTTTCAAAATGCGATCATGCATGGCGGGTTTCTTTTCTACGGAGTACAGATTGGTTCGGGCCGGCTGCGGCATCGGATTTCATGGGTTTACATACGATGGTCGGCGCTTTTGCATTTGGATAGACCATCATTCGAGGATGAATATCACCTTTCGATGTACTTTTCTATTCTCCGTGCCGTAGGCATTGTTTCTTCCATATACACTTGAACATGTAGGTTCTCTAGATCGCTTGGGAGGGAAAAAGCATTGACAGCAGAGGGTGTTCACAAAGAGGTAAGCAGTGCTTATGAACAATCCCTACTCCTGTTAGGCAGATGTTGATTAGCAATCTGTGATGGCCGTTGGAGGAGACTTGTAGTCAAGTTAGAGAAATAAACTTGGTTCAGTTTCGCCCTTACTGGAGGTGTAGGGCATCATTTTGATGAAGGCGGGGCAAGTTGACAAGTCTTCAACAGTAGGGAGATATTGAGCCAAGAACATGTCTATCATGAACGGATAAATACCTGATGACTGATGAACATTTACACGAGAAGCAAAGAAGAATCAGTTATGGTTAGTTATACTCCGGTAGCTCTGAGGTCTTGAGGGCTTGGATTGACCAGTCCAGACCCTGTCACGTGTTCCCCATTCTCATTCGACCATCTTCTTTGCCTGATCTCGATCTTCAAGTCTCAGTTTAGTCTCGGACATCAATTTGTTTTGGCCTCAAAGAACATCTGCTCATTGTTCGTATTGACGAGTCGCCTTTCTCTCCCAACGCCTCTATCTCGCCGCCCTGAACCGCCAACCTTCCCCGCTTTGCTCAGCTTGTTGATTGCCGCGTCTTCCATCTCAGCGCCCCTCCTCAAAGAGGAGTATTGAGAAAACACTTGGCCACAACACGAGGAACCAAACATAAAGCAGTCGCCTCGATAATTTCCCAATCCGCACATGTTCGCCTTAAAGACTTCGACTCCCGACGTACTCTCTTTCTGCCTGCGCTTTGTAAGATAGAGCATTCGGCGCATTACCGCTGATTCTGCCTTTACGTGAACCCCAGCACACTCAGTCTGGCGGTGGTGTCTGCATACCTCTCATACCTTTCATCACCACATTCGGTGGATATCGCCTTGTCGCCGAACAGCCCCCCGCCATCATGTCTCTCCACACCTCCTATCACGCCGACTCCGACGCGGATGATGAGTACGAACGCAGTGTCATTACCTCGCCGCACCTTAATATCGACTCTGAGTGCTCTCCCACAGACTCCGACATTCAGTCGGCAGAACATACTCCGACCAAATTCGGACACCCGATGGATGGTCCTCGTTCCCCGCGAACCCTCATTACAGAATGGGGAGTGGAAGAATGCAAGGAATTTCTGACGTCACTTGGCTTGCTTCAATATCATGGCGCATTTCGAGGTTAGCGACTTCGCTAGGATATTCAGTTCGTGAACTTTACTGACGTGAGCCTACCGCGCAGAAAATGCGATTGTCGGCGAAGCCCTAGTTGCTTTGAAGCATGAGGAGCTGAAGGAAATGGGCATCAACAGTGTGGGACATCGATTGACAATTTTGAAGAGCGTTTATGAAATCAAAGTCAAGCAGATGGTCCCTCTCGATGCAGACCATTATATTCCCCTTTGTATGTCGCCAGACCCCCACCATTCGAGCATGATATCTAACCCATGCTTGCAGCTGCGGACCAGAGTATGAATGAGACCGCATCACAACAGGACCTCGCGTGTTTGATCAAATCGATCCAGGTTCGAGACGAGAAACTCATGTTGATTGAGACCGAGCTGCGGCGGATCACAGATGATTATCGGCGATTGCGCGAAGAAATCTTGCCAGTTATCAAAATCGCAAAAGATCGCTCACATCCATTACCACCTCCTTCTTCAGGCGGGCAACCTTCAGACAACTGGCATGATAGCACAGCCACTCTTACAAATTCCCAGCCCATCATAAGTGAACAATCATCGTCATCCAAGATTGCGCGAGCTTTCTCCAAGCGCATTCACCCCAGCGGCCCGACCCCCAAGAACAACTCGCCAACCCACATCCCACCGATGGGCTATGAACGGGGATCTCACCACGACACCCTGAACCCGTCAGCTGCCGCTATGGCCGCTTCGTCCCATCTGACAGCCTCAATGAACGGAGGATCACAACTATCACCTGGCATACCCTCACCAACGTCGCCTCATCTGCACCACGCCCATCCTCAGACACTCAATTCACGATCATATTCTCAAGCACCATCCAGTGGGAACCGCAACACGGCCTATGATTATCCCGAACAAACACCGACTGCACATTCCCGAGACCGACTCACTCCAAGCCAGCTACCATCATCCCGCGCCGAGACACCATCCACGGCATCACGTCTTGACCCTCGACCCGACAGGACCGACTCACGGACTGGAGGTGGCGGGAGCGGAGGCGGTGAAAATCCAAATAGTGTGGAAATCTTCAAGTCGTTCCGAGTCTCGTGGGAAGATCCCTGCTACAAGGTTCTGCCGGCTGCCCTCAAGAAATACAACATTAACTCTGACTGGAAGAATTACGCTCTTTACATCGTGTATGGAGACCAAGAGCGATGCCTGGAATTGCAGGAGAAGCCTCTTCTCCTGTTCAAGCAGCTAGAAAAGGAAGGGCGAAAGCCAATGTTCATGTTGCGGAAAATTCACATGGACAACCCGAGTGGCACCCCCGGGCCTACCGCATCAGCACCCAACAGCGCTGGCTTCGATAGCGGCCGGCAAGGACAGATCAACCTGCCGGGTGGTGTGCTGTGATTCTCTTCGAGGTTACCCTTTCTCTTTTGATGCATTTGTGTCTATGGCTTGAGATACCCGGTGACTCTGGACTCACCTGTTGCATTTTATGTTTTAGGCTCTTTTGAGCCTGTTGATGGGTTTGTTGGTGTTTTGGTGTGTCGGATACATTCGTGGATGACATTGGCGTCTTCTTTGAGGTTGGCGACTGCAGACTCGTCAACCATGCAGCATTATGCAGCCTTCTCTTCTTTTTTTTTTCACAACACGTTTTTCTTTGGCATATGACTTTGGTCTATTGCTTTTAGTACAGTACATACTGAGCTTGTATCTATATGAGATTCCCTTTGACCATTCAACTCCTTGAGTTGCAATTTCAAGTCTATTCTTCCAGGGGAATTTCTCCAACAGACTAGGTATGATAAACGACAGCCGCGCCGCAACCTAGCAATGGACTAAGAAATAGGTAATAGAATGACCAAGGACTGCCGCTGTATGTGTGGCTGTCCTCGCTTATGTTTCCAGTTCCAGTTTCTAGGTTTATATTGTCTCTAGAGAGTAGATATGCGGTAAATATTTCATTGATCAGGCCACCAGTGACGCTATATTCAATATTCATATTCGTCTATGAAAAAAGGTATGTAACGGCCTCCCCACAGCTAACGCCAATAGGACAACCCGAAAGAAGCCCTAGCATCAGCTATAACGTGTTGTATAAGAAGGATCGTCTGTCACTCTCCAGGGCCGGGAACGGAAGAAAACCCATGAAGGCCGAAGCCATCGGATAAGCCTCAGCAAGCCACAAAGTGGAGCCCCGATAGTTGATAGAAAAGAAAAAAAAAGAAAAAAGAGTCAAAAGGGGCGGGCGAGTCGGCTGTATTTATGCTGGGTTTTTTGGGCGCTAGAGCTGATTTGGATGCGGGCAATTGGATTTTCCGGGTGAAGCGAGTAGGGTTGGATTTTTTTTTTTGTTTTTTTTGGTTGCGATGATCAAATGTCGTATGGTTGGGAAATAGAAGGGTCGTTTGGATTTTATACAGTGTAGGATTGTATAGGGCTATTTAGGTGCTATCTCCGTACTGTGTAGTTAAATAGTTCCTTCAATGTAAGGCGTTGATTCCACCCTAAGATGTTAGATGTACCTCGCTTATCGTATGTCGATCTCCATCTTATCACCACGTGCCGTCGTGTCAGGAACGCGTTAACTTTCTTGGCCATCAACTTCAATGCTGCTAGCCCCGACGACTCGAGAGAATTGACTCTAATGGGTGTGGATCGTGTCATTCAGGACTCCGATGAGGATGAACCCTTTGAGGGGGATGAGCTTCCCCCTCTGTTGCTCCCCTCCAACCCTCTGAGCCCGCACTCGAGCAACACCATGATATCCCCGCCGAACAGATGACCCACTATGCAATGCCTGCTCCGGATGAGAGCATGTTTCCACAATTGAGTGTCAATTTCGATGAATTCCTCCAGTCCCAAGAAAGGAGCCATACAACGGCTACTTCATCGCAGCAGTGGCGTGAGGAGAGATGGATTCCCTCGACGAGTGAGGGCGGGAGTGGATCAGTTGGTACGTCGCCATGGAATAGCTTGAACAAAACAAGACAAAGAAGATAGAAAGCTTAGATTCACATACTAAAGGTAATCCAGGTGCTATGATGACGGAGATTGGACTCGCTCAGAGAAGACTTCTAGACGATGAACCTTCAAGTGGCCCACAACTTCAATCTACAGCTGCGCTGTACACGACAGACCCTATTCAGTCTGCACCGATCCCCACAGTGCCAAGCTCTCATTCCTATCCATATAGCGGAGAGGAGAGAACTGGCTCCTCATATCCTGGAGCCCCCAATGGAACTCACTCCGAGACAAATCAATCTCCATTGCTCCCCAGGCAGGGTATCTACGACTTGACTCCCCCTGATACCAATAACTCAATGGCTCCACCCCCGAGAAGTAGTCTCCAACAATCATCCGAGCTATTCATGGAACAACAAAGCACACTCGCAAACCAACCCCTGGATGATTATCCCCAGCCCAGACCTCAACAGCCGGACCCATCTTCTCCACATGACACCGAACCTCTCTCATCCATCATCACACTACGATACAGCGGCGTCAAAGCCGACACCACCGCTGCCAGTCTCGTCTCTCCACAATACTCCCAATCAAGCGCACCCGACGAGCTCGCTCTACCGGCCATCCTACCAGCCATCGACGCGCCAGCCGCAAAGAAAAAGCGCCCAAGATCCAAGCAACAGTCTGTACCAGACAGCGATGAAGATGACGAGCTAGCCAACTCCCGAGACCACGAGTTCAAACCCCCTGGCGCAAACGGTACGGCCGATCCATCCGATACAGAAGAGATAACCGAGAACAACACCCCGGTCTCGAGTGGAACCCCGGATGAAACTGACGAAGAAAACACAGAAGCAGCGCCCAAGACTAAGACTACAAAGACAAAACCCCAGGACCCGAAAAAGAATAAAGCAAAGAAAGCGAAGACTACATCTACTCCTAACACAGCCGCTGACGAAGACGACGTTATCTGGCTCAATACCAAACCTCGCGATACGCAGGCCTCCAGCGAAAAGGCCACTCCTCAGCCTGAAACACCCGAGACACGAGACCGGGAACCAATCCCTCTGATATCGGAGAATGCACCTAATACATCCAAAGCCTCAACTCCCGAAGAAAAGCAACAACCCGCAAATCAGGAAAAACCAGCCCCGAAAAAACGCAGCCGCAAGCGAAAACAACCAATTGAGACCGACACCGAGACTCCAGAGATAGAAACACCCGAACCGACCAAACCCCCGGAACCTAAAGTCCCGGCCAAATTAGCCGTTGTCATCGATAACAGTCCCAAGTCTGTGCCAACGAATATCTGTGATGAGACTGGTATGCAAGAACAACAAGGACAACAGCAGGCCGAGTCAGCTACGGCTCCTCCTGTTATTCCTGCTGCAACTGAAACGATGGCTCCGCAGACGCCATCGAAACCAGACGCTAAGGCTGTCAATACACCGCAAGGTGCAGGCAAGGGTCCGGATAAGCATAGTCCCATCTCGGCGAGGAGTGCTGTGCCGTATCGTGTGGGATTGAGTAAGAGGGCGAGGATTGCGCCGCTGCTTAAGATGGTGCGGAAGTAGGGTTCTTTACTTTATGGATTTCCTTGTGGTGTTTCTTTTTCTCTTTTGTGGTTGGGTTGGGTTGTTGCGTTTGTGTTATTATTATACCCCTCGGGAGAATGCTCTCGGCGTGCTGTTTTTTTTGTGTCTTCGCTGTTGGAATCTGCATCGCTTATGGCTGCATGCTATACTCTTGCATCTACAGGGAGTGAGAGGCTGGGTTATTTCTTAATATCCTACCCAGGCGTGAGGCCAATTTATCATGAGATTTCCTCAGCTAGTCTGAATATCAAAACGATTACTCAGAGTAACGGTTCCAAGAATACTTGACTACAAGGCTAGCAATGATCACCGACCATCGATGTATAGCCAACGACAAACTTGCATACTGTATTCCATTGTGCTGCTTGTCCATCCCGTACCATCCATGAGCTACCTATTCATACCACGTCTGGTTAGAGCCTCAAACGAATGTAGTGACCGAGCCACGGCCTATAAATAAGTACAAAGTCGATAACACTCAAGTCACCTAATCAACCATGGCAATGCAAACCCAAGATCCATCATCCATACAGCAACATAGCAACAAGTAAAGCAAGCAACAACGACGTGGCAGCTGCAGTACCAATATTCCGGTACCCAGGATCCGCATCTGACTTGTGACCCTTCTTGGGCCCCACTTTGGGATTCCACGCATCCCCATTGAAAGGAGCCTCCATGGAGCAGTAACCGGCATCCTTTTGACAGCCATGTCCACAATGACGTGTGGTGTTGCCGCAAGAGTTGGTGCTGTCACAACAGAACCCAAATCTGGAGCCAAGGCAGGTATAGTTCTTACCACAAGAACCGTCCCAAGAGATTGGCTTCTTAGGATCTGCCGAGGAATGCTTCTTCGGCTTCTTTTTGTGAGAAGGCATTCGGGTGTCCTTGCGGTACCATAGTGCCCTGGGATCCCGGAGGCAGTCACCGACAGTAGTTGTTCGATAGCCCTGATCATGGATTGCCTTGAGCATGTGCTCAGTGAGGTTGTGGACAGTCTGCTCATGGGCATCATGAGCAATGACGAGCCATGATTTGGTGCGCGGATCGCTACCAAAGAGCTGTCGATCAAAGTTGTCCTTCGACCGCTGGATCAGGTCCGGGCTATCGTACTTGTAGTCGCCTGTGTCGATATCGTAGAGAATGATGTGATACCCCAGCTTTCCCAGCTCTTTCCCGCATTGTGAGTCAGGGCTACAGCTGGAATAAGGTGGCCGCATGTAAGTAGGGAAGTATCCGAGGATATTGCGCAGAGCCGCTTCGTTCTTTCCAATTTGTTCAGCACGTTGCGAGGGGGTAATCAAGCTGAGGTCTTCATGTGACCATGTGTGACTGGCGATTTGGTGGCCGCTTGAGTCCATCCGTTCGATGAGGGAAGCCCAGGGCAGACTGAGGTCATCGATGGCACCCTTTCCATTGTTGATACCAGTAATGAAGAAAGTGGCCTTTGCATCGTACTTGTCGAGCAGATCAAGCAGGTCGCCAGTGTAGCGGGTTGGGCCATCGTCGAATGTCAATGCAACAGTTCCAGGGACAGCGCAGGAACGAATCTCACGAGGGCCATACGGGACTTCACCAAGGTGTGGACGGGGAATATCCTTGGTCGGTGGTCCTAAAGGTGTTTTGTGGGCATCACATCTGCCGTAGTCGATCTTGCAGTCCGGAGAGCGACAATGCGCCTTGGATGTGCCACAGAACCCTATCGTGGGAACGATGTTAGTAGATAGCTCAGTAGGCTGGGACCTGCATACATACCAGCACCAGAGCAGCATGTACCCACAGGGCATTTGCCGAGCTTCGGACCACAGCGGTAGTCGGCGTTGTTGGGCGCATCACGATTGCCCAGACGGGACACCGTCACGGACACGTTTCCTGTTGGAGATATTTCAACGGAGACTGTATTTTCAACTGAAACTGTATACACAGGGGCATCATGGGCCCTGGCAAACACAGAGCTCGCCAATGTGGCTATGAGCAAAAGGGATATCGAACGACCACGCATTTCGAAGATGATATAGGGCTATGCTATATTAAACTGGGTATGAAAGAGGTAAGGATTTGGGATAGTAAACGAGATGATACGAGGTGAGGGAAGAGAAGAAGAAGGGTAAGACCAGCCAACCCTCAGGACGAAGGGCAAATGAGGTAATTTCTACGAGAACCGGTTGGAAAGAGATAGGAGCACAGAGTAGGAAAGAGCGAGGATGCTTTTTGTTTACTCTCATAGAAAGGCAGGAGCACATATGAGGAAGCTGCAACTAGCATTTACATGTATGCACAGAAGCAAGCTGAGATGGCCGAAGCGCTTGTATTCAATATCAACGTGGGTATCGTTAAGTCCATGTTTGGCTCGCGGGCGTTAAGAGGTTGGTTCTTGAGCCCAGACATTTTTCTTCTTTTAGCAAATCACGGCCTCGGAGGCGAGTTCGCATCATCATAAGAAGGCTACATACAGCCGATCTCGATCAGATACAATGTCTCAGCCTCATTTGATCTCAGCGCCGTCGAATGGTGGTTGTGCATGGGCTGTCGACCAGACAACCATTAATTGCAGACTAACAGCAGCGGCAACTCAGTCCGCCTTTTCAATGTTATATTCTCCGACCGCCGAGAAGACAAACGGAGCAAGGGTATCCAGGTGCGGGCCAAACTTGGCCGGTGCAGTTCTGGCAATAGCGCCAATAGCGGCAATCAGGTGTCGTCGCTGCACCATGGAGATATCGGACGAGAGCGTATCCCTCAGAGTAGATACAAAGCTGTTGAGCTGGCTGTCGGAGAAGTGGAGCACAAGCGCAGAAATAGCTGTCAGTGCGCGCTTGGTGACAACGGTACCAGCTGTGTCGTTTTGGATGATGGCCATGACGGATGCTTGAAGAGCCGCGAGCTCTGATTCTTGAAGCAAGGGCCCGAAGCAGGTCACAACCTTGATGAGTACATCGATTGCATCACTGCTGAAGCCTCGAGATGGATCCTTCTCCATCATGCCCTTCACCACCGAGCCCCGCCTCCGTGAGGCTGAGGGTGTCGGGCCGGACAAGCGGGGAATCAGAATCTTCGATACTGCTGAGTAGGCGGTAATCGCATTCTGAGACGCGGGCTGGCCTGGCTGGGGGCGAGGGAGGGTGTCGACGATGACGCGTAAGGCGGTATTAGGCACAGAAGTGTCTATCGTCTGGGAGGCAGTCAAAGTCGCCAACTTCTCGAGGAGGGGCGTGAGGGATTCAAATGGTAGGCGCACAGCGAGCGGACCGAGACTGTTTTCATGGAAAGGAATTAGATCTCAGCGGAATTAATGGGGGATATAGCTCGGTACGGACCACTTGAGAGCTTGGTTTTGCACGTCGCCATGTTGATCATCCAAGGAGGAGAGAAGACCTTCTGCCAGTTTTGTTGATGTGGCGCGGTCATGGGTGAGGAAGGTAGATTGCGAGCCAGTCAGAATGTCATATAAATCGTTCAAGGACATGTATCTCAAGTCAGCATCGGGGTCACTGAGCTTGGCGAGCAGGCCGTGAATTGTTTGCTGAGTGACTTGGCGATCTGCCATATTGATGAATATGTGCCTGTGTACGGGGGAGGAAGACAGAAGATGAGTATGGTCAAAGTGGCATGTGAGGCAGGTGAAATCAACTTGGGGGAGAGAGCTTGCGGTGGGAGCTTCTGGATAGACGCCGCCGCGACGTGGGGTGTTGCCGCCTGAGGTGTCAATATATTGTGGCCTGAGGCATTAGATTCAATGCTTCACGAATGTCGTGTTGTCCCTCCGGATATCCTTCCAATGTAGACAGTAAGCTATGAAAACTTCTCAGAACCTTGATTTGTTCTATTCATTGCTTAGATGTACAGGCAGTCGAGTTGCATCGGGAAGGAAATATGATCTGATAAACATGGGCCAGACTGGGCTATGTACTCCGTAGGATCTACGAACTTAGTACGAAGTACATCAGATCGCACTTCAGCGCCAATTGTATTGACTCTAACCTTCTGAGTGGTATTTATGAAGTGTTATCCAAGAGTCTTCTACAAATGCTAGTGGCTAATACTGCGTACATGTACTCCGTACTCCGTTCATACTTCGTACCAGCCCCAGATCTCAAATCCCAGCCACAACATGACATCACGACGCACAGACCAGCTCGGGAACGGGCCAGGGGCCCAGGGCCCCGTCTTACACAGTAGACCAAACCGAGGAAGGACGGGGTGTTGGGACACTGTAACCTTTAATACTTCGTACCTCTGCTCAATTCACTTTCATTCTTCTCTCTCACCCCCTATCCACTGTAATTCCACCACCTAGCACATACATCATGGTATTTGCACGTCGTTCCATCTTCCGAGCTGCGACTGCAGCGCAGTCCTTCCGTGCTGCTCCAGTGACACGTCGATCTGCTCAGCTCCTTGGCCGCAGATTCAAGTCTACGGCCGGCAGCTATGAGCCAGGGCCTAAATCCAGTGACCTGCCTTGGTGAGTGTATGCTCTTGAGTCTTGCTTTCAACGAGAGTACCGTTTCTAATTGATGTGCTTGTAGGATGCTGGGCTCCGCTGCTATCACCGGTCCAATGATCTTTTATTTGTGGCCTTCTGGCTCTGAAGGACACCATGACTCCCCACGGGGAGGAGCACGGAGACGAACACAAGGATGAGCACAAGGAGGAAGCCGACAAGGTAGAGGAGACCTCCGAGGAGAAGCCCGCTGAGGACTCTTCGGAGAAGGGGGAAGAGAAGGAGGATAAAATGGAGGAATCCGAGTCCAAGGACGAAGACTCCAACAAGGAATCCAAAGACGATAAGAAGGATAAGGCTACGAAAGACGAGTCCAAGGATGAGAAGAAAGACGAGGCCACGAAAGAAGAGTCCAAGGATGAAAAGCCCAAGGACGATGAATCCAAGGAAGACAAGGCCGAGAAGAAAGACGAGCAATCAAAGGATGATGCTGGCAAGGGCAAGAACACCTAATAGGTTGGTGTGTCTGGTGTGACAGGTTTTGGCTTCGTTTGTCGTCTGCATTTCGCTTGAATTGCTGGAGGACTTCGAGGACTTCATTTCGACAATATAACCACCTAGTACAGCGGGAATGCAGAATATAACTTCCATACTTCAAGTAAAGCGTTCACCGGGCAGGCGGCTAATACGGCCGAACTGTGTATGTAAATCAGTTGTTGAGAAACCAAGGAGTAATTATCCGCTTGTAGAATGTCGTTTGATGCATTCACCATGGGATCAAGTGACTCACTTTTCCCTCCGTCTGCGGCTGCTCTCAGTGCTCTGCGGAGCCATCTTTCAGCTTCTACTTTTTGAAATGAATGTCAGTCCGAAAAGTGCACCCCACGACTCATGGATCGGGGCACATTTCATTTTGTCATAATTTTATTGATGGTTGACTGCCTGCCGATATTGATACCGACCCAGTTAATACACCATGTTTTTCGTGTAGTCCTATCCTGACCTGTACAAGTAATCCATCCACATCCCAAGAACTGACAATCCAAGAAGAAAATTACTTGATTCATTTGCTCGTTAAAAAACAAGCGCCGGCGCCCGCTCTTCTAAAGGGCTATCTAACTGGCACACCCGATGCACCCAACACAGACCCTCCAACAGATACATTAAACAGCATATCAACACATCCAGAGGATCACCTGGAGAAGAACCCATCCGATCCTAAAATATAACTATAACACGTTCAGGCTTTGATGCCGTAGTCATCAACCATCAACTGAGACGAACGGAATGTTCGATTTATGCCTTTTTGCTGCGAGTCCGAGGACCGCGCTGCTCAGCGACAGGTTCGCCGTTGACCAGGACCTGTGGGGCCTGGTTCTCCTTGCCAAGCTGGTCAGCCCCAGTAGTAATGCCCTTGGTCTCATCGACAGCCTCCAGCTCTTCATCCTCGTCTTCGTCCTCGCTGCGCTCGTCCTTGGTGACTCGGGTGAAGATGTAGTTGGACAGAATTCGCAGAATCAGGAAGAGCCAGAAGAGGTTGACGGCCTGCAGACTGGCAAGCAGTGCGAAGGTGATGTACTGACTGATCCAGCACTTATACTGCTGAGTCTCCCAATTCAGCTCGAAGGGTCCAACAGTCCGGAACTCCGTCAGAACAGCCCAAAGGATCTTAAGGTTCAGCACATGGCGCAGATAAATCCACCATCCTACAAACATGGCGAAGTAAGGCGCAGTGATATATGCATCCAGGTAGTTGAGCGTCTTCGAGGTCGCCAGGAAGAAGTCCGAGATATCATGCGTGATGTACACCGCCAACCCCATGTACGTGAAGTGGAAACGGTAGCTCAGCGCAATGAGAGCCAACGTGATAATGTGATGTCCGACCAGCTCCTTGAAGTCCTTGCGGGGCTTCTCCAATTGCAAGAGCAGCACAATCGCCTGCTGGGCCCAGTAACTCGCTTCGAGGAGGTAGTACGCCTTGAAGACGCCCTCGTGCTCGCGGTGCGGGAAGCCCTCGAACATCGCGGTCGTGTTGAAGTACCAGATACTCGACCGCTTCATCACGTACAGACCGAACGGCCCGAAGACTCCGAAGTAGATCGCCGTGTACACCTGCTCCATGAATCGTGCTGTCTTGCCCTTCCCGCGGATGCCGCACCAAACCGCGAACGGCCGGATCATCTGCTGCATGACGAATTCGCGCGTGAACGACAGCACAACGGTGTAGAACGCCACGAACGCAATATCCTTCTTGCCCTTGCCGTACATAATGGGCCCACCGGGTGTCTTCGGGGGTTGGGGGTACGACAGGAAGATGGCGCTGTACATGGGGTTCGCGGGTGTGGGGTTAATAGCGTACAGTCCGATGAGGAACAGCAGGATGAGAAGCGGCAGGAGCCATGTGTATCGCAGACATGTATCTGCGAATCGGTGGAGGAGGGAACGGGCTCGACGCCGTTTGGGCGGTGCCTTGCTGGCCTGTTTCTGTGCATCGAATTGCTGCGAGAGGAACATTGTTAGTGGTTTGCGCGTCGACGGGGTTTCGTTCCGCGTACCTTAATACCAGGCGATGTGGGCTCGATCGGGCTCACTTCATTCATTGTGGACATCGCTGGCGCACTGGTGTCGCCTCGGATGTCCACACCCAAGGCTGAGCTTCCCCGCGGGCGGACCATGACTGGACTGTTTTTCGTACCCGAGGTATGTGGTGAAGGAAGTCTGAGCTCACGTGCGATGAGATGAGAAAGGGGGAAAGTCGATGAACATCAAAGCATCATCGGAACGATCGGAGGATCTGAGAAGATCTTTTTTCTTTTTTCTTTTTTCCAGGGGCTAACTCCACTTCAACTCGCCCAGCTTGTAGCTCCGGGGAGTTCTTGGCATTTCCTCTGACGCTTTCGGGACACAGTCACACATCCAACCAGGTCACAAAATTTATAGTACGGAGTACACAGTACAATAATGTACGGAGTATCCAGTTCAAATCTGGCTGGGTTTGGAATTGAACTAGGTCAGAGTACGTCTCTTCCATTGTGACCGCACTAGAGTCGCCTAGGTGAACATGCCTGACAGGCATATTGGGATCTTACTCGAAACGAAAAGTGAAGAGAATTGAGCAGAGCTAATCTTGTTGATTAGACTGGATTGACGGGAATATATGCGATCTCAAACAGTATTACATGACCTCGTATCAACACGGTACAACACAGTTGACCATGCTAGGACCCAAACAGAGACAAAAGGGAAAACAAGAAAGAAACAACAGGCAATGGTGTACAGAGACCCTCTATACAAATAACACCCTATGCCTTAACAGCCTCGGTGTAGGAAGCAGCACGCTTCTCACCGGCCATCTTCTCCCCGATAACTTCAACGTCACCAGACTCGGCAGCGGCAGTGCGCTTGGTGGAAGTGGAGGTCTTCCAGGCAGGGGTACCGATGTAAGGAATACCGTTGGGGTCCTCGAAGATCTGCTCGGTTTCCTCTAGAGTCTTACCGGCGGTCTCGGGGAACAGGAAGAAGACGTGGACGAGCATGGCGGCCAGGAAAACACCGAAAATGATGTAAGTCTGGTAGCGTATGTTGGCGAAGGCAGTGGGCACAAACAGACCAAGCGCCGTGTTGAACGCCCAGTTGAACGAAGTTGCCAAGGCGACGGCCTTACCACGCACCCGCAGAGGGTACAGCTCAGGAGGGTAAACCCATGAAACGGGTCCCCAAGTCGGGGCGTACGAGGCGACGAACAGGTAGGTGCATGCAATGAGGCCCTTAGCGGGGGCACCGCTCAGACGCATCGATTGCTCGGCCACACCGTCGATGCCACCGGGCACCACCACTCCGTACTTGCCCATGATACCGGCGTTGGCGAACATCCAGATCATCATGAGGGTGGCGCCGATCAGGAGAGTAGGACGACGGCCCCATCGATCCACCCAGATCAGCGCGGGGACGGTCATGATGACGTTGATAATGTACTGAATGGAGGAAGCGAGGAGAGTAGCATCGCCCTCGTAGCCGGCCATGTTGAAGACGTAGGTGATGTAGTACATCATGACGTTCATACCGGTCAGCTGGGACCAAATCTGAGTCCAGATACCGATCATGGTGCGGTTGATCATGTTGGGCTTGAGCAGCTCGAGATAGGTGACGTCCTTATTCTGGCGCTCGAACTCGCACATGTCGCGGATCTCTTGCATCTCGGCGACGACGAACGGACTGTTGCGGTCGCCTTTGCTGTGGACCAGAGCAAGCACGGACTGGCACTCCTCCCAGCGGTCCTTGCGGGCCAACCAACGGGGAGACTCGGGGAGAATCATCATTCCAAGGAAGAGGAGAACGGCGGGGACCATCTGAACACCCCAGGGGATGCGGAAGACCGACTCGCTGTAGTTTTGGGAAGTGGCATTGTTTCCTTCTCCGATGAAAGAGCAACCGAAGGAGATGCTGTGATACAAGTCAGTCACTGGGTCTTTCACAAGTTGGATCCACAGATGTATCACATACTAGTACATGATGAGAATACCCCAGGTGATGGCCCACTGCTGGGAACCAACGAGACGACCGCGCTTGGAAGGAGGCGCAATCTCAGAGATATAGACGGGAACCTGAGCGGACTCGATTCCGACACTCAAACCGTTGATGATACGCCCGGCAATAAGCATGCCCATGTTCTGGGAAGCACAGATAATAACGGAGCCAATGACCCTAATTGACAGGAACCGTCAGCCACAACTGTCCAATATCCATCCCGCCAATGTCCATGGCAACCACTTACCAGATGACACAACCAACCATAATCGCATACTTGCGACCAAGACGATCCGAAACAAAACCGGAGATCAAAGCACCGAGCCAAGAACCAGCGGGCATAGCAGCCGTAACACCACCCTGAGACAGGGAGTCGAGACCACTGCAGTGAAGGTCATCGTTGAAAGGGGGACCAGAAGGTCCGTGGTTGAAATAACACTTATACGCCGGCGTGCCGATGATAGCTGACATCGACGAGATGTCGAAACCAAACAGCGCACCGCCAATGACGGCCACCGCCGTGATGACATAGATATTGCCTACAACAAACATGGTGACTGTTGACCCCAGGCCAGGGGAGGTAGGTGTAAAAAAGGAAGAAATCACGGAGACAAGAAGATCGAACCGCCGCAACGGGCGAGGACACTCTCCCTATTAAATAGATCGCATGCTTTCGCGGAGAAAATTCTTCGCGGCATCTTGGATTCGGAGGGGGCCGAATAGAAATTCACGACTAAAGGACAATCCACTCGCATAGATTGCATTCCTCTGTTTCTATCCTGTATACCCCACTCACATCCCGCGCTAAACATGGTCCGGGGCAGACAAATTACTGTACGGAGTAAATCCTGTACAAAATGCCCCAGATATAATACGCAGACTGGCTCGAGATGGGAACAGAGCTGCGCCAAGACTCCGCTTGCAACCCCAAGTAAATTGGCGGGCGCTGATTGGTGGTTATCTACACCCGCCTATCCACCCGTTCTTCGCTGATTGGTGGACCCCCCGGGATGGCTTATGGGATCCGGGGAATCGGCCACGAGGACGACACCTGAACCTGGTCAAGCGCGTTCTTGGGGCCCCCGAACCCGGCCTGAAGCCGTGTTCGGGTTCTGTGAGATGGCCGGCTGATTGCCCTTGCAATCGGGACGGAAGTGGCGTTTCTGGGCAAAAGCAAGCGTCGTCATTCTGCTGATTTTGATCTGAGTAGAGGTAAAAAGTCGATGTACTCCGTACACCGTAGGAATAGAGTCAGTACTCTGGAGAAAAATGTGGTCCCGTAAATCAAAAAGGGGTCAATGTGCAGTTACCGGGCATAATCCCCATACAACCCACAAAAATTTCCTGGAGACACTCAATCATGTTTCAATGGACCAAATTCCTTGTCTAGAAACAGGTCCCAGGTCTCGGCAACACATGGGCCGAAACCCTCATCCCTCATGGCATGAAACAAAGGAACCTTGGAAAGAAACAGGTATTTTTACCGTATTTCCGACTAACACTCTGGAAGTTGCAATTAGCCGGAGTGTCCACATCGCGGAGAAGGGAAGCGAATGAAACGAAATCTCTTCAACCCACCCAGCCCTCAATACTAGTCCGGGGCCCCGAGTACGGCCATTTTACCTGAACGGGACCGCATTGACGGCTTCTTGGCTCTGCAGTGGTTGACGTACGCCGATGTGGACTCGGCTTGCACTCGGCTCCAAGACGGCGGTGATTTTTTCCCCTTTTTAGATTGATCTTGTCCATTTTCCGGAACTTGAAAATGCCATATTGACTGCGTCGCTGAAAGTTTAATTTCTTCGGGCGTTCTTGTGCTGTCAGTGGCTGTTTACTTAGTGTGGGTCGACAGTCTACGTGCTTTGCGAGACATTCTATCCATGCTTTACGATTGATCTCGAACGTAGGTACTTGGTGTGTCTTAGAAACGCGTATTCAATATCATGTTCAGCTGTCGAATGTAACCTTGATTCCCCGCGTATTATAGATGCGGAGTACTGGGGCAAGACCCGTTGCACTCGAGAGTCGAGACTCATTGCCCCAGACAATTCTCGAGCTCTCCTCTTTCCAGGTTGTGACCTGACGCTTAGCGCGGATGATCTCTCACACGTTCGTCGGAGTAACATTTTAACCATTGCACCCTTGCTGTTCGATCAAGCCACTGACATCGGCGGGAAGCCGTTCTCTTCTTCGCCCCCTTGCTCTTGCACAGACCAGGGGAAATCTGGTGAATTTGTATGGCGGAAATAGACGATCTAGTTATGAGGCATTTGTGTCATCGGAATCTAGGCTGAGAGTTTTTTTCTTAGTGTGATATGCAAAATGGGGATTCGAATATGGAATCGTGAATTCAACTCAACGATAATCGTCTCCAAGAATGGGGAACTAGGTACATTCATTCGTACACCAGGCAATGAGAAAGTACAACAACCAGAACTTCAGAAGCACAGTTTATTGTGTACTGTGTAGATTGGATTTTTTTCATTGGCCGAGTGCTATCGTCCTTAGCTTTCAACCTCGGGCACCCGAGCCGCAGCTATCATGCACGAATCACGCCTTCTAACAATTTCTGTCCAGCCAGCCTCAACCACAACCGATGGGAGATTTGCACCATCCCAAGGTTTCATCAGAAGGTCCAGCTCCTTGGTGCTTGTGGCAAAGGGCGAACATGGGGGCTTGACTGTCGTGCCGACTTCCGCATCGATCCAAGTCGCGTTCCTTTGCTGTTATAGTACCATTCCGTCGGTTTTCTGGCACGTTTGACCCGAAAGACAATGGTGATATGGGGATTGCTGACTGCGAATCCCACCCGGCATCGGGAGACCTCGAGCGGAATGGAGATACAGCCATGACGACAAGTCGAAGAGCTCGACTGAGGGAAGGAGCCCCGTCTCAGTGAGACCATGATTTCAACCTTCTCCCCTCAGGGTCAGCAAGTCATCACGACTATACACAGTTCGGCTGTATTAGCCGCCTGGTGGACGCTTTTCTTGAAGTATGGAAGTTATATTCTGCATTCCCGCTGTACTGGTTATACCTATTGTCGAAACGAAGTCCTCGAACCTACCTAGTCCTCCAGCAATTCAAAATGTAAACGACAAACGAAGCCAAAACCCGTCACACCAGACACACCAACCTATTAGGTTCCCATCCATCTGCCGTAGTTTGCGGTCAATCGCTGATTTGGAGTATGCGCATTAAGCCTGGGCAGCGGGCATATTTGAATGTCTTTCCGAACACCCTACTCCGTACTCTTCGCTATCAACAGGAAGAACCGTGGTTGAGATGTCTCGGACGTCCAGTCACCGTGAGTCGACCGCTACTACTGACCCCCCTTTGAAGCCATGTCTGGGATGAACGTTGAGTCTATTGCTTTTGGCAGCGTTGTCAACCCAGCTGATAATGGCAGGTCTCAGATTGTGGTGCCACTCTCTAACCAGGTCCAGTTTGCTTTTTGCTGACCTATTAGACGTACTCTTGCTACATGGATATCTCTGCGCAGGCTCATAGAAAAAAGTGAGAATAACGAGAAGATATTCCCAAATGCTACGTAACTCTTACCAGTATAGTTTCTGGCATAAGATGGGCGTATGCGGCAGAGCAATTAGGGCTATTCCCCACAATGCATTTAGAGAGATATGCACACTTTGCCAAGGCAAGCCTTGAACTATGAACCGAAAGCGCCCAGCACAGCCTACCGAACAAGCTCCCACTCAGCAACATAAGCCCAAGCCATCCCAACCCGACCAACCTTCTCCCGAAACTCCTGAGCCGTAACACCGTCCGCATCCTTCCGATCTCCGAAGCTAGTCAACACAGCCAACTGCAATTTCTGACCAGGCGCACCTAGCATCCGCGCACTAGGAACATCCACATACCAGAACTCGCCACCTCCCGCGGGACCCGAGCCTGGCACATGAGTGAAAGGAAGTCTGTCATCCTCACGTCCGTCCACACCATGAACCATAAGTAGGAATAAGCCGGCTTGCATGTGACTATGGCGAGCGAGTGTCCAATGCGGACAGAGGAGGCCGAATTGGAAGCGTATTGGGCCTGGCGTGCTAATGGAAATGTGGAGGCCTTGTGGGTAGAAGGTTTTGCGGCCGATGGTGCGCTTGTCCGCGTCGCTGTAGACCTTGAGAGACTCGACGCCGTTTGGTCGTTCTGGGTCGGTGAGGATGTATTCTTCCCATGTGAGGTCGGGACGTCCATCCTCGCGGAAGAAATGGCGTTTGTTTTCTGGGAAGTGTTTTAGGCCGAATTCTTCGTTTGAGATTGAGAACATCGCTGGTTCGAAGCGTTGCTTGTAGGGCTGTCCGGCGCCCTCGATTGCTCCGGCGCCCCAACAGGCATCGATGAGCTTCCAGCGGCCACCGTCAATCTTGACGGCGTTCCAGGCGTGGTTGCCGTTGTATGGGGGCACGGGAGCTCCGGGGGAAAGAGCGGTGTGTCCAAAGCCCTTGCCGTGGCCGCCTACTACTATTGCCTCTAGGCCTGCGTGGGTGGCTAACGCGGCGAATAATCCTGCGTAGCCTTCGCAGACTGCTAATCCACTTGCCAATGTGCTGGCCGGCGTGGATGGCTTGACACAGTTGTTAAAGAAGGCATGGGTATCGTAGAAGATGTTGTGATGCAACCAAGTAAATATCGCGCGAGCCTTGTCTGTCAAGGATGGGAAGGGTGCCGTCAGCTCATTTGCTAACCATGTCATATCCTGGGTGGGAAGCGATGCACGAGGATATCGGGCAGCATGATTGTCAGGCCCTGAGAAGTCCCGACAAACCAAACATTCTGTGTCTGATGTAAGGGCTGGAGGGCTCGGGGAGACCGTCGATCCATTCAATCGGGGCTTTGTGGCCAAGATTTTAGATAAGTCTGGACGAGAGCTGTGTGGGATAGGAGGCGGCGTCCCTTTAGCGGTAGTGCTGCTCGGCCTAGGTGGAATGCTTGGGCTTTTGTTGCCAAATCCAAGTTGTCTAGGATCTTTCACCGGCGTAGTAGATGGTGGTGGAGGTAGGGTTCTACGAATCGGTAGACTGGGACGGGAGTCATCAGTAATATTATTTGTTTCTGCAGGGACTGCTGATCGCGGGCGTTGTGGTAGTCGAGGCACCGGGTGCTCTAGTTCTGTCTCCCCGCGTGGAGGCTGAGTAGGGCGAGGAGGTTGACTTGGCCGTGCAGGCTGACTTGGAGGAGAAGGAACAGGCGGCTTGGCCCCCGGCAGGGATATTTTAGAGGTCAATTTGGATGACAGGCTCCCAAAACTCCTCTTACTACTAATTGTAGGCCGCGGGGGTGGTTCCAAGCTAACCTGCTCCTTAGGTCGCTTTGGAGGAAGTTCAGGCAGTTTTGCCTCTCCCCATGCGGGCGCCTTGATGCGGTTGTTCCCAACGGAGTTCACCGAGGTCGTTGATGCCCCTCGCCCCGCGGACGTCGCTGTCGACGTTGTTGAATACGACGCATCGGACGTAGTCGACTCAAAGGAGGGCCTGCGATCTTGATTCGACGGGACACGCGGTGGGAGTGCAGGGCGAGCTGGTGTCGGGGGAGCCAAGCGATCTGATTTTCGTGTGGGCAATGGCGGAGGGGCTTTCGGCTTTGGTTTCACTTCAGGTCGCAGTGTTTCCATAGGAGGCGGTCGCAGGACCGGCCTTTGGGTTCTGTCATCTGCGGGTTCATTTCCGATAGCTGATCTATCTGCCACAGAGCCGACTGCGTCGTATGAGGGAGGGTTGTTGGCTGACGCGCTCCGCTCGGGGGACGGGCGGAAGATTGGCGGTTCAGGGCCTCCCGGTGGGCGGGCCTGTTGCGACTGGTTCAGGGCGGCGATCCGTTGCTGGATAGAGCTCATCTGAGGCTCTTCAGTCATGGCGCATGCCAGAGCTTCTACTCCGTATATAGAGGAGAAGTCAAGAAGATGTTTAGAGTCGTTTACGGGTGTTTGGAAATAGACTTGGGTTTCACTCAAGTACTCCGTACCTTGCTCTCGGTGGCTTGGCGGGGGCGAATGTAAGCTAATCGTACTGTGGAATATCCCCTAAAATCATTGCAAAGGGTTTTGGTTGCTGGCACTTCAATTCAGCTGCAGAGGCAAAAATATGGAAAGAGCCTGGTGAATTGAAGAAAAGCCGGTGAACTGAGGAATTACCGTGTAAAACAAGTTGGAGGCTCAAGTAGGTACTGTGTAAAGAGGGGGTCTCAGCCTTATTAGGCTGTCTACCAATTGGATGGGGTCTACCGTCTAGTTCTATATTTGGAATCAACATCTACCCCGATCGAGTATAAAGATTGCAATTGCACATCATTGAGGGTTTGTATTTCAAGAACGTCCTTCATGTGGACTCCCAAACGCCCCAGGCCGGTGAAGCCCCTCGTCTGGAACCATGGACAGAGAAAAAGAAAAGAGACTAGGTACGTTCAGAGAATGAAGAAAATGAACAGGGAGAAGGGAAGCAGTTAAAAATACCAGGCATCATGCCTCTCTCCTACAGAGGAGGCGGCAGTGATAGAGATAGAGACATAAGAAAGGTCAAGTACATCGTTGGTGAAAAGAAAAGAAGAAAAAAGTCACAAAGGGGTAGAGCCGTGAGGGTAGAGGGCCAGCGTCGATCATCAACAGCGTCACTTCGTCCCAATGTACATCATCGTCAGGGAAACCGCGTAGTTAGACGTTCTTGTAGAGGAGCAGAGGCTCGCCGATATTCTCAATCTCCGGGATGGTACACTTCAAGTCGAATGCCTTGGCTAGAACAATTTTGAAGATCTGTGGTAGGTTAGTACGTGACTCAAGTCAAACCCTGTGGGAAACAGGCTGTCGGGTGTAAGCTTACCTTTTGCACATTGATGCTGTGGCTGGTGCTGCTGAAGATCAAGCTAGCCTTCATCGCCTTGGCAAATCGCTTGGCCTGCAAAATGGTTAGTTCATGCAAAAGCATAGACAATGATCATGATATACCTGAATAGAGATTTCCTCTTGGTCTTCGCGTGGGAAGTTCACAAAGTGGTCGTACTTGGTACCCACCAGGAAGGGAATGGCTGTCTTATTGAAGCCACGTCCCTGGCGATACCATTCCTTAATTGAGTTCAGGGTACTCTTGCGAGTGAGATCGAACATAAACAGAATTGCAACCGCATCATTGCAGACAAGCGGCAGCATATTAACGAACTCGCGTTGGCCACCAAGATCCCAGATTGAAAAGGTGATTTCAGTGTTGCGAATCGAGATTGTCTTCTCCATAAAATTGACACCTGAGTATATCGTTAGCTGGCCGGTTCCATTGAACAGGCAGAATTGCAACTCACCCAGAGTCTGGATGTAGTCCTCATCCCAGCTACCCTCAACGTATTTGACCATAAGACTCGTTTTTCCAATTTGCGCATCTCCCACCATGCCAACCTTTATTACGACACTGTTCTTGTTGCCCTGAGTGGGTTGGCGCTGACTAGTGTCAGGTTGCTGCAACTGGGAAATACCGGGGCGTTCCGGGCTATTAGACAGTCCAGAGCCTGGTCTGGAGTTCGGCACAGGAGGGGGGCGGTGACTAAGAAGAGGAGACGAGTTCTGGCGGGACTGATCGGTATCATGGGCAGCATATTCGGGGGCAGACTGGTGGAAATCAGTCGATCGGGAGTGGTAATGCGCCTTGGAGTCGCTATTGTAGCCAGTGTTGATAGCAGCACGGCTGCTGGTTTGTTCGGAAGCCGGCTCCTCAACATTGACCATGGCAGGCGCAGGCTGCTCGGACGGGATCTCCTGTTCCGGGGCGTGTCCCTCCTCAGACACCTGTTGCATTTGGTCCTCTGGAGCAACCTGCTCAGGCTCGAGAGCAGCAGGAGCAGCAGGGGCAGCGGGTATTTCAGTGACCGGGGCGATCGGAGCCTCCGACGTTGACTGGGAGAAATCCATGATGTTTTGTGATTGGTGACTGGGTGGAGTCGAAAGGTGCAATCTGCTAAACAAGGCACAGTTGTCAGCATAGAGCGCGTTGGCTGGATGAGACTCAGGGGCATCTACCAATATTACGTGCTGAGATCCCAGCGCAATCTAGCAAGATTGCATGTGAGTATGTTTCAAGGGAGTGGGTTAAGAAATTGAAGCAGCCGAAAGCTGTGTTGATCTCGGGAGACCAAGCAGGGTTGTCCCTGAGTGAGCGGATAAACAAGACGGATTGGGCGAAGGAAGTCAGCAAAAGCAAACAAATTCAAGGAAATCGGCTGGAAATGAATGGCAATTAGTATCTCGAAGCAAAGCGCATATAAATAAGACTGTCTGGGATACATTCAGCTCGAGGCGGGCAACTGTGATCTGACGCTAGACCGCGATAGTTTTAGCGCCGCTCCCTCGTTGTTGCCAAAATTTAAGTACACAGCACAACAGCTGACAACCACTTGGACATCAGACACTCAACGCCAGATAACGAACCCATACTATGTTTACTACTCAGATCATTCGAGTATTTGCTGAATACTGATCCCAACATGTTTTACCCAGACCCACCGGCCTCTAATTATCGGCCCTCGCGCTGGAAACGAGATCAGGAAACACACGTATCGACGCCGGAGCACTCCTCAACTGAGAGTAGCAGCAAAGAGGAGGAATTACAATCGCGAACTGCTGCAGCAACGTCGCGCAGCCGATCGAGTAGTAAAAGCGAATCAAGCAGGGGAAGCGAAAAAGAAGCGAGCTGACCGGGACGAAAAACATATGACTCTAAATGATAGGCAATCCACGCGATCATACTGCACTATTGCCTGCATCCATGGCATAGTCAATCGACGCCCTCTAGACAAGGCATGCCCCAACTGGAAACTCCACGGTGGTGAGAGACACACTATAAAACCACGAGAGTTCACACGCCAGCTTAATCGCCAACTTGCCCGAGATCGAGTACTCGGTTTCGAACAGCTCCTTTATCTGTGGTCGGACAGGATATCTTATTGAAGCTACCCTTCTTTCGCACGGATATACTGTTCTTATCAAAGCAACGACCGCGGAAAAGCGGCCACGCCTTAAAGTGGAAGCAGCCAATTATCGCCACCTCAGGAATCTGCAGGGACAAATTATTCCTACCTACCTTGGGATATTTAACCCACGGGTTTCATATTGGTACCATGGCCAGCGGATGGGGCAGATGATGATTCTCAGCTATTCGGGGAGGAGACTCCAGTTCGTTCTCAATGATGAGAACAGGGATTTCTTCCACCAGGAGCGCGAGAAAGCCTTGGACGTGTTCCGTTCGCATGGGGTGGTCCACCGCGATAGTGACTGGCGCAACATGTTGTGGGATGACCGAGGTTGCCGTCTAATGGTCATTGGCTTGGAAGACCTGGGAACCGTTAAAGCACCCTCGCGCCCTTGAGTCAACGTCTGGAAGTGCACGGCATGGTCATCTCGTGCAGATGAGCAAAGCAAGTACCACTGCCAGTATCTGTTCCTATCCCCAGACTACAAGCAGTCTTAGCGGAAATTGTTGAAACCTGCCCGAGGAGTCTCGAACAAGTCTAATCTTCCCCGACGCTTATACGTCTTCCAACCTACTGTAGAATAAGGAGTAGTTGCGAGTGTGCGCATATTCCACACCAGTCTTAGCATTTATATTCCCGTTGTTTCAATGGATGTTGATGTGGTTCTCGAAGATCCATGCAACTGTGCCATTACATCCTGAGAACGCGAGATCATGCCAGTTCGCAACCATGATCACGTGTAGTATATAGCCGGCAACAATTGATAGCCTCCCAGATGGCCTATCGGGGTTGGCTTACCAGTTACCACAATGATCCTGTTCCTATGCGACAGCCATCCTTGCTCAAGCGAAGGAGAAGAAAAAGGGCGGGAGAGGCGAGATCGGGTCAGTTATGCTGGAGCAAAGCGAAGGGAGGCTTGTATTAAGGCGCTAAACCCAAAGTGGTAAACCTAACCAGATCTGGCCACTGGCCCGCAGTTAACAGAAAAAAAAGTTCTTATCGCACACCCCTCTTCGGCCCTGACATTCTTAATCAACACTCTTTACGCGTTTCAAGATGTCTAAGAGAAGTGCCGAAGCGGATGAGCAGGTCGCTCTAAAGGCTGGCGACCGGCCAATCGCAAATGCCCCAATGGACGAGGCGGGGGAGTTTGAAGACGAGTTCGAGGATGAGTTCGAGAGTGAAGATGAGATCCTCGAGGCCGGAGTGGACGGTCGCCCAGATGCTGAGCGCGAGGAAGAAGAGAGGGGTGCGTTTATCTCGACATTTGGATCTAATTGGGATCTGTAAACTGGTCAAAACGGCTGGACTGACCTATTTCATTTCTTTAGAAGCTATGGAGGTGGACAAGGAGACTTTCATTCCTGGACGGACCAAATTGGCACCCGGAGAGACACTATCGCCCGATCCCTCAACCTACGATATGCTTCACACACTCAGCACACCTTGGCCATGCCTTTCCTTCGACATTGTGCGCGATTCGCTCGGTGACAACCGCAAGACCTTCCCCGCCACGGTCTACGCTGTCACTGGCACACAAGCCGAGGGCTCGAGAACCAAAGACAATGAACTGATGGTGATTAAAATGAGTGGCTTAAGCAGAATGGAGAAGGAAGGCGAGGAATCCGACAGCGACTCGGACGACGACGACATGGGCGAGCCCATTCTCGAGCACAAGTCGATCTCGCTTGGCTCAACGACAAACCGCATTCGCACCCACCAGACACCTTCCCAGTCAGGCGATTACTCCAAGCCCCCGCAAACCCTTACCGCAACCTGGCTCGAGAACTCGCAAGTCGTTATCCACGATGTCACAGCCCACCTTTGCAGCTTCGATGTGCCCGGAACCATCCTTCCCCCTTCGGCGTCCAAGCCCCTTTCCACTTTGCGCATGCACAAGACCGAAGGTTACGCTTTGGACTGGTCTCCCCTCCAGCCTCTCGGAAAGCTGTTGACCGGCGACAACGACGGATTGATCTACGTCACCACTCGTACTGAAGGCGGCGGCTGGGTCACTGATACCCGGCCGTTCACAGGCCATGCCTCTTCGATTGAGGAACTGCAATGGTCTCCCAACGAGCGCAATGTGTTTGCTTCTGCTAGCAGTGACGGTAGCGTTAAGGTGTGGGATGTGCGATCTAAGTCGCGCAAGCCCGCGGTGGACGTTCAAGTCTCTAACACTGACGTGAACGTCATGAGCTGGTCCAAGCAGACCGCTCACCTTTTGGCTACCGGTGCCGATGATGGACAGTGGGCGGTCTGGGATCTGCGTCACTGGAAACCTAATGCGGCTGCTCCTTCTTCCCAGATCAAATCTACCCCAGTTGCATCATTCGACTTCCACAAGGAGCCAATTACCAGTATCGAGTGGCACCCTTCAGACGACAGTGTGGTGGCCGTTGGCTGCGCGGACAACACTGTCACTCTTTGGGATCTTGCTGTCGAGCTGGACGATGAAGAGAGCCGCCAGGCTAACATGGCAGATATCCCTTCGCAATTGCTGTTTGTGCATTATATGGAGTCTGTCAAGGAGCTGCACTGGCAAGCACAGATGCCTGGTACGCTCATGGCGACCGGCAGCAGTGGATTCAGGTATGTTGTAGTCGTGAGGGTGAATTATGAATTCGAAACTAACCGGGCTCGTTCTGTAGTGTTTTCAAGACGATCAGTGTCTAGACGAAATGTATCTACGCTCCGACCGACTTGGGAATTTCATGTGCCATGTCTTGCTCATATACCATTCGAATTCTGTGGATTTCTTTTCCAATATCATTATGCCCGGAGTTGGACCTTTTCTTGAGATGGGTAAGGTGGTTAAAAAGTTTCTGTCTCATATTTGGCTCAGTACATACATGTAGGCATCTATTTGGCGCACTAGAGTCGCAACGATCAAATACTCCATTGCAAGCTTGCCCTAATATCACTTTCCCAAAGAACTCAATAGACATTGACACCATATATCCAAGTCACCAAAGATATCACAGCGGAACTAAATCCATCATTCCGCCTCAACCTCGGCGATCAACACAGCCGATGTATCGAAAGGAGGGGAGGGGCAATTCATCTGCAATGCAGAACATTCCTTAGCATCAACGGCCATTACACACGCACTAACTTCCACGCAATTACCTGAACTCCAGCAGACAAGACAAGAAAACCATAAACGCCAAACCCAGTGCTGGCTCTCGCAGGGATCATCTGCACCTAAGCAAAGCCACAGCGTCCACATGATGGACCGTGCCATAGCCGCCTACCCATTAATGCCTCCACTCAGGCTACGTGACGTGACCTGCCAAAAATACTGTGTACGTGTATCTCGCCATGTCTGCCAGTTACCCTGGACCAAGTTCGGGTGTGACTGGGCCAGTCAGTTGCAATGATCCTGCCCTGGTGGCGGGTTTGTGGCGAGTGTGATCGTGATATCTTGCAGGCTTTGTTGTATGGAATGGTCGATCATAGTACTACGAGACATGGCCTACGTTGTGATAGTCCTGGACATACAGTATCCTGGACATACAGTATGTCGATCATGTGGAAGATCGACCTTGGCTGTGCATGATGGCGATGTTTTCTTCTTTACTCGATATTGCATTGGCGCCTCGCCCGCAATGCGAAGTGACCCATAAGTTAACGCTGCTACAGATCGATATGTCCAAGTCCCTGTCATATGTTGACGATTGTGGCGTGATTGACGCTCTAGGTATGACATGCATGGATTTGAATGGCGACTTGAGCGCATTATGTTCTCAATGTTAGACAAGAGTGTTGTGCTTGTGTTGCTCGGCTCGAGACATCGGAGTTTAGACAGGGGTATGGTGTATACCTACGTCTATGTCTTGGGGCAGTGGCTATCCCCATAAACTCCGGTAGAAGACAAAGAAACTGGCATGCATATTTCCTACTACTGTGTACAAACCTTCCATCGATCTACCCGGCCAAGTCTGCTCCTATCCAATCCGTTCACTTTGCAACTAAATTTACCGCTAATGCATCTCCCAGGTCAATCACATCAGATATAACCGCTCTCGCGTTTTCAGAACAGCCTATTCTTCGGACTTGCGGCATCGGCTTGTCTCCGGTGGAATTAGTATAAATCATAGTGTTAATCAATTTGTCATTGCTCTTATCGGGGGATGTCACGATTTCTTGTAGTTCTTGCTATCGCGACAAGCAGTATGTACTTTGTATGCCAGAGTGTACAATAACTTTACAGGGGTGTAGGGTGAACCTTACAAATCTACTCCAATTTCTCGATTGTAACTATCATACAACAGTGTTTATCTTACATCTCGATGGATCCTGGGTCCAGACCCCTACACAGACTATATATAACATCTTCAGGAGCTTAGCGCTGGAATAAAAACCTCATTGCCACAGCTACCTCTATTTCACAAATGAAATGCTCTGGAGTCTGTTCCCAGAAACATTGCGCATCGACGTAGGTCCGAACGCGCACGCACTGCCTCGCAATTACCCACTCTAAACTTTGATCGTCCAGGGACTCGACCCTCCAGTGAGAATGCGAGTTTGGCCGCCACGTTGGACTTGGTTGAATGTACGGAGTCAGTTGGAGAATCTTATTCCTGCATAAGATAGTTGCATCCGATGTAGTATTCCTTCTATGCGGGATTTAGCGTCTATGCACGAAATAGAAATGTCGGAATTAGTTATGAGCATAAACTACCATAGATTCAGCATTGGGAGTCGATGATGATTGGGATAATTTTAAGAGTCATGTCGACATCGGATCAGCCCACCTCGTGTTTATCACCCCAAAATATCAAGCCACACGGCCGAGAACTGCACCGAATCAAGCGACGAGATTAGTCGCCGCATTTTCTGGGCTGGGTCCGCTGGGAGCTCCACGGCTATCTTCCGCTATATCCACTGCTGTATTCTGTTCTATCGTTTCAAATTGCTTTCTCATTGGCTTGATCCTGCCACAACGAAACAATTGAGACCCTTGATTCAAGTCAGTCGGCATAGCTTCATGTCAATTGCCGCTATTAGAGCCCGGTCTTCACGTTGTCCTGGCGCTGATAATCTGTGGCGTGGGCCGTGGTGCTGTCACTCTATGCACGTCCTTAGCTGCTCCATCTGGCATAGGGTAGCAGCAGTTAGCTTGTCGGTACCTTTTTTGATTAACAACAACAATTCCACCTGGATTCAAGTGGCTAAATCCCCAAGTACTCGCGATGTACACAGACGTATACTGTAGACGGTAAACCGTTGACCATACAGTAGATCGAGGCGAACTCGCCATCGATCCATGTAGCGACTCACTGCAGGTATCCATACAATGACGCACAAGGCAAGGCAAATCTCAGCCTCAAGCATTGCACAGAGGCGCAAAAGGTGGAATGACTGAAATCATCCAATATCCTCTATCGGACAAGCTACTCTGAACGGAATCCTCCGTCCTTTGGCCGCACTTAGCGTTGGCATCGTCAAATCTCAACAAGCCTATGACGGCACCTTCTTCGAACCCGTTGGCTGTTCTTCACAAAAGATGCTAGAATAACTTGCTGGGATTGATATGGACGGAAGAATGAAATTGAAAGGCGCGGCCAAAAGTCCGATCAGGGGGTGTGGGCTCCGCCTCTTCCCGCGTTGATGCCATCGTGCAGCACTGGCCACTAGTACTTGGTCTCCCGTGACACGCAGGGCTAGCTAGGTGGACATTTCGGAGAATTTATGGAGACAGCAATCATTACAAAGTACATATGTTTACCGCTAGACATTTATCTGAGTCGGTGTTTCAGCCGTTGTAATTTACTATTTCTGTTAGTACAGGGTGCTGTTCATGCGACATACGTCGAATATCCTACATAAAGACCGACAGCGATCATCCGCGAAGCGCGGTTACTCAATAACGTTCACTGGACTCGAGGCTCGATGACCGACTAGCGCGGATTCAAGGATGTCCCTGTCGACTCACTTTCAACCGCTCCGGGTCATGCCGTCACATATTCGTTAGTGGCATTGGTTTATCTGCCCCTGACAGCTGACTTATTGGTGTGTTTCCGAATTCATGGTAAAGCGGTTACTATTGCCTCTTCCATGTTTGGACCTGCATCTGAGAGATGATCGTAGTGGAGATAAGCCGAGCTTCAAGCTGTTCCTTGGACTAGGTGGTGGTTATGAACGGCCTCTTCCGCTGCGTAACATCCAGTCGGCCATGTTCAACATCATGAGCTGTATTTGGAGTTGGAGGAGTGTTGTACAGTGCTTCAGATCCCCAGCTAAGGCATGCACGGCGAAAATCAGAAACAAATTGACCTGATTCCTTCAAAGGGTCAGGGTAGAGCTATCGGACTGATCAGATCATCAGATATTACTTCACGAGGTCTCTACATGGCAGCTATCTTGATGTGGCTAAGTCCCTTTCCATCTATATGCATGGACGCAAGCATATTGGCAATGGGTCGGATGTCCTCTGCCGATATTTTCAAGGGGAAAGTCAAAGCTTTAGTCGCAGCTTATTACCCCTACACCTGTGGGAAATCGCCGAATTCCGCCGGTCCGCACTAATTAGGTAGGCCGATCAACCCAACAAACATCGACACAGCTTGAGCACAGCTCCCTGCGTCGGAGCTGGGATTGGTGGCTGACAGTCTCATCATTTCATTTGTCGCTCGGCCACCCTTGACTCATGTTCGGGTCACCTGCAGCTTTCTTAGACTCGCTCTAATGTACTAGTTTGACTAGTGCATTGTCAAGTCCGGGGATTCTGCAAACGAGATGTCCGTGCGACCCTTATGTGAGGCCTTCAACACCCCGAGATGACGAGGTTTGGGAACATGGCAGACACTGAAAAGACCTACAATGAATCGCGGATGCATCCCAAGACAGTGCGGCCAGTCCTCTTTGTCTGCATTGAAACACTCAACGAGGGATTGGATCAACAAGAAGACAATTGAACAGTGCGCATGTCAGCATTGAAACACCAGATCGTCATCATAACCCCAGATCCGACACCGATCCGACGATGGGTCGGCGGGACGCTCAATCTCCATAGGATATTTCATCTTCGCCTCGTTTGTGCGACTCAAACTCAAAATGGCGTGGGGTAACGTGCGCAGTGAGCCCATACATCGACGGGAGTGGAAATTCTAGAAAACGCTCAAGGGGCAGATTCCGGGGAAAGCAAACCAAAGTCTGGGGGAGCCAAGACAAAGGGAAATCAAGAGCAAAAAATAGAAAAAGATACCAGAACAACCTCACCCCGAGGCCATGTGCAATAAGGAGGGCATCGCTTGCCGGTACATCCAATTGAACAACAGCCGCAGGTTACGTGTTGTTACGGATTTATATACTGGACTGTTACTGGGGTAATTGGGAAATCCCCCACACGAACCCATTTTTGACTTGGCCTCCCCCACAAAAATGGCGCATGGCCTCGCTTTTTGCGGATCCTTTGCTTAATCATGGCCCCAGCCCCACGGTGGATTCGGATTTCCTCCTGGGGTGACATCAAAGGGGGATGGATTGTTGTGGATCCTAAGGACAAATATGAGTCTTTTAAGCCAGTGACGATTCAATGAAAGAACAAGTTAACTAATCACAAGAGTCAAACAATATCAAAATCCCAAGACGATCTTACCTGAAACCAAATGGGTCTTGTCACGAGGTCTTGCCACAGCCATATCTTACGTTAAATTACATTACCCAGGTACATGTATGAGGGTATTATTCCCCCATTGTAACTCTCGGGCCCACTCCGAGACCTTCCAGAGCATCTTAGTAGCGTATCCCGTATTTGTTGATTGGAACAATAATAGCTAGAGGAATCTCGTTGCTATTTTCCCGTATCCTATACCACAATACTCCAATCATAAGCGCATAAGTTCGAATCCCCGAATTGCTAAATTCCATTTTTGAAACGCAAGAATCTCCTAAAATCAGGCAATTGCATTCCATACAGTGTCAGGCTATATGCGTCGATGTAACTGACAGATAAGACTGGGTCCAACTCATTAAGAACACGATACTAGCGGACTCTGGCGTTACGCCGCTAACCCGAAGAAAGCAAGTGCGTGGAAATCAGCCAATGATGCTCGTCGATAAACCCAGAGCCAGGAACTGGTGGGCATCTAGTCGACCGTGCGTGTCTGTAAGAGTTGGCCTACGCCGCATTTGGTATCACCTTGGATAATCGTGAGAGCACCATTGGCCTAGAAGGTCAGCCCGTGTTCTCTGGACCCACTTGCTCTGCTGGTATTGGTACCGTCTGATGTCCATCTGCTGTCCGTCTGCTGTGCGGATGTCTGGGCCTCACTCGCCCTGAGTGGCCGTTGCCTTGTATGTACCTTCGGTGTACCTTTACACTCGGACCCCTTTATCTCCGGTACTTCCCCAGTACTTCTGGCACTAGGCCGGTCCGCTCGATACCCGCCACTACTGCCACTGCCACGGTATGTAAGTACCCATGCGCCCAGGTACCCTCGCTCTGTACGGAGTAGAAACGGAACTCTGGATACTCCAACGTCGGAGGCAATTTCGAACTTCCCAACTACTTCTCTTCTCTCCCATCCATATTCTACCTTCCATCATTTTGCTCTTCTACCAGTGTCGCTGTGGTTGCTTATCGACAATTGCCTATCTGCTCTCCGTCGGTTATCTCCGGCTTATCCACTCCAACGCTCCCCGAGTTGAGGTCAATTGCCCCCCAATGGACGCGCGAGTTTAAAGCAAACAAAGTCACTACTCTACCTCGCAGAGTCTGATGTGAGTAACTCGACTGAAATAATATATCCGAGCGACATCTCTGTGAGACTGGTTTGCTGATGTATTCCGTCCCAACAGACGTCCAAACACACGCCTCCATTACCCCATACCGGTTACAGGTCCTCATAACCTGTCATTCGATCGAATCCCCATTCAACCCAATTCGCAGACTCACAGTGATATACTTCGATAAACCGACTGTAGATTTGTCTCTCTCATTGGTGGGTTCCGATCATTCATCTCATGGCACGGTTCATGATAGCATGCCACGGTACCCTGGGTCGCTGTGGCAGCGCCCTCTACGCATCATACGAGAGACATGCTGACTTGATGTCATTTGGCTAAACAGTCGTTGATGCGCGACACATTGTACAAAACTTGAAGCCCACAACATCGCGCAGACGCGATCCTCAAATCATCTCACGATTGACGCACCCTCTCCTGCTTAGCAATTCCCCCGCTCGTCGCAACCGACAGCGTCCCCGACACCAGTGGTTAGGATGCTATCGGATGGTATGGTCGGACAAAATCACGATCATAAAGTGGGCGACCTAGCCAGTATCAACGAAATCCCCGGAAACATGCCTGGTGAGTACGGCTGATGCAATCCCCCGTGTGCAATTCTTACCCATCGTTTCGCAGCTCCCAAAGACTCGAAGAAGCAGACCGACCTGAACGGTCAAACAGGGGTCAATGGCAATATTCCGCCCCCTAAGACAGACAAGCCTCGCCCCCACGTCTGCACCACCTGCGGTCGTTCATTTGCGCGACTGGAGCACCTAAAGCGCCATGAGCGCTCTCACACCAAGGAAAAACCATTCGAGTGCCCAGACTGCGCACGATGCTTTGCTCGACGCGATTTGCTCCTGCGACACCAGCAGAAGCTACACATGACCACCACGCCGTCTTCTCGACCGAGAAATAGTCGCCGTGAGAGCACGGGTGCTGCCCCCAGTGCCAACCGAGTACGCAAGAACTCCGTTGCTAACAACTCGTCGTCTTCTTCTTCTATGCGCCCGAGGGCCAACACTATTAGCCACGTTGATGGGGCTTTGGGTATTCCCGGCGCCGGTAATCCGTCGTCGGCGCCCACCCATTCCGGTCACTCATATCATGCTAGCCTTAGTTCTTCAGTTGGCACAGCCCTGGACTATAGAGGTTTCGGCTCTGGAAACAATTCTCTGAATGGTCTTCCGAAGATTGAGACTTCCGGGCTGCACATGGACATGTCTGGAGGACTTCGGACTGCTCCAGTGTATGGAAGCTATGATACGGGCATCGACGGCATGCTCATGGGTCACGGTAGTACCATCAACCCAGCACAATTACATTTTGCAGGATCTCCACAAGGCTTCGGCGATTCGCCCTCGTCTCCCTTCGGTCACTACCCCAACGGACTTCCGTCATCTGCGGATCCCATGATGGACGAAGATATGAACTTCGACTGGATGAACGGGTTCGATTCGGGCATGGGGATGGGCAACGGCAACGACTCGGTTGTTGACGAGTCCTCGCCCTCGGCGATGAGCACTGGTAGCCAGAGCGGAATCAGCGAGGCCATGCTGGACGGCCCGAACCGCATTCCCATCTCCAATGGTTGGCACAACCCGTTCCCTTCGCACCACCAGGCCAATCAGTTCGCGATTGATTTTTCACCGACGACTTTGAATGATCTGGGGATTCCCCCGGAAACCGTGTCGCCCAAGTCTCTAATGGCCCAGAATCCGTTTGCTGAGACGTATGCCACGCCTCCCTCTATGACTTCAGTCGGCCAGCCCATCATGGGAGGACATTCGCAGAGTATGTTTTCATCCTCTCTGGCCACAAACGGAGAATCTCCTAATCCTCTCAACGTTCCTTTCACGAATAGTGCCCTTCGAAATGAACATGCCGTCTCAACGGATACATTTACAGACTCCACACGACAGGCTCTATTAGCCGGCATGTCGGGCTCCACTGGCTTCGATCATCGCAGATATTCTCAGCCCGCAAGTGGACTTCTAAATAGTCGCGAACTGTTCCGCTCGACTGGCTTCAACAGCTCCGGTCAACTACCCAGCACCTCGGACTTGCAGCGATACATCTCGTCCTACGTCTCCTTTTTCCACCCGCATATCCCGTTCCTCCATATCCCGACCCTCAATTTCCAAGCTCCCGAGTTCACCAACAATCTGCGCACGCCGAGCGGGCATCTCAACCTCAGCTCCACCGGCGTCGCTGGAGGCGGTGGCTGTTTGATTCTCTCCATGGCCGCCATCGGTGCTTTGTACGAATCAGCTTCCGCTGCCTCCAAGGACCTTTTCGAAGCCGCAAAAAAGATGATACAATTATATCTTGAAGAGCGACGGAAGGCGGACATGTCTGCTGCTCTCAATCGTCCATCTCCCTCTCTCAATCGTCCATCTCCCCCTCGCGATAACTCTGTTCACAACACCCCGCTTTGGCTAGTACAAGCGATGCTTTTAAATGTGATATACGGCCATGCCTGTGGCGACAAGACCTCTGCAGACATCGCTAGCACGCACTGTGCTGCTTTGGTCAGCCTAGCACGTGCAGCCGAATTGACACATCACTTGGATCCCAAGCATCTGCCACAAGATCATCTCACTGCTGGAGTTGACGGAAACGATTCTCCTGGTGACTCGGAGAACTGGACGTCCTCGTCATTTACTCAACCGAAAGAGCGCCAAGATTGGCTGAACTGGAAGGTCGTAGAAGAGCGAAAACGTACACTCTACGCTATCTTTGTTGTCTCCAGTTTCCTCGTTTCGGCCTACAACCACGCACCCGCTCTCACAAACTCGGAAATTCGCCTTGATCTCCCCTGCGAAGAAGACGTGTGGGCGGCCGAATCCCCCCAAGCGTGGAAAAGGATGGGCGGCCAAATGGCTTCGAAGAAGACTTTGTCGTTTTCGGCTGCTTTGACCTCTCTCTTGACTGCCGGCCAACGAGAACAGAGCCAATCGGCAAACCTGTTCTACAACGCAAATGACTTGGCAAATTCCGAGAACCGGCCTAGTACGTTTGGCTGCTTGGTACTCATTTACTCTCTGCATAATTATATCTGGGAAACCCGCCAAAGACACATGGGTCGACAATGGACAACCCAGGAGACTGATGCCATGCAATCACATATCGAGCCCGCTCTACGGGCGTGGCAAGCAGCATGGGCTAGCAACCCCGTCCACAGCCTTGAGCGACCGAATCCGTTCGGCGCTGGGCCGTTGTCTGCAGACAGTATCCCGCTTCTGGACTTGGCATACGTCCGTTTGTTTGTCAACTTAGGCCGAAGCAAAGAGGCTTTCTGGCAACGAGATTGGAATGGCATGGCGGATGAGCTAGCGCGAGGCACCGAGACTTTCCAACAGCAAGGCAATGACATGAACGACGTTGTAGACCCGTCACTCACAGGCCACATTGATACTAGACGAGATTCCATCGCCGACCTAGGAGTCTCGGACCTAGCAATCTCCAAGACGCCGACGCAGGAAGAGCCGATGCAGACCCTGTCCAATATCTACAAGTCTAGCCAATCCAAACGTGAAAGGCATCTGCGGAAAGCAGCATTCTACGCAGCGGACTCCATCTCGATGTCTGACCGTCTTGGTAACACGTTTATCGAGTTCACGTCACGGGAATTGCCCATCCAGTGCGCAATGTGCCTATTCGATTGCGCACAGGTGCTAGCAGAATGGATCACAACCGTTCAAGAACGTGTGGGTACCTATCTGGGTGTCTTGGGTCGCGACGACGCGGACTTGACTCAAGTACCGGGAGTCATGCTCTTAGAAGACGAAGATTGCAAGCTCGTGGACAAAATCAAGGAGATCCTGGGCAGTATCGAATCAAAGATGCAGCGCCAGGTCCAGAACAACAATTCCGCGTCCGCGCTGAGTATCATGCAACGGCTACCCAGTGTCGTGGAAGGAGGTTACGGATGTAAAATATTGATTGCGACAGCCAGCATCCTGGAAAGAGCTGCTGTCTGGCCAGGTAAGATCTGCCACTCTCCTTACTCCCTTGGGAACATCTAACATCTCTCGCAGTGACGAAATTGATGGCCCGCTCGCTCGAAGCCCAAGCTATGCGAATGAAGGAGCGTACCGAGCACTCCGTTATGATGACCACTTAATGACCACCCCACATTACCTCGTTTGAATGCCTCAATGTTTGATATCTATTTACCCCATGTCTCCATCTCTGCGTTTTCATTCGCCTGCCCGTGTATCATGAATAAACAATCCAATGCAACATCCTACCCCCATCACATCCCCATTGAAGTTCACGTATATCTGCACAATAACCACAATCCCCCGTCTGGCTCTACACGTAGTGCTCATGATACCCTTGCCCCTATCCCCTGTGACTTTTGATTCTGTCCCAGAGACGAACATGCGAATGTCTTCATGTCTTGCTGTCTTGCTGTCCTCCCTGCTTGCTAGCATCTGCGTCTGCGTCTCACACCGGTGGGACGATGGAGACTGCAGTGAGGGTTACCTGCTTCTTTACCATTGTTAAATTGCTGGTTTCGGTGTCGTTGGAATCTCATTCTTGCGCCTATGCAGCGTGCATTCGGACTAGGTTATACTTCTTGTGAATATGATTTACCTTTCTTGATCAGGGTTGGTCGTATAGTAGGATATTCATGGGTCTACTTGTTCTCAAGTTGCCGTAGCTAGCATCTAGTAAGGCTCAGAGGCTGTGACATACTAGGGAAGTTTTGATCTATCTCGAATCATCACATTCTTCTCACTTGAAGTCATCGCCCTCCAAAGGGCTCTCCTCGGACACATGATGACATAATATTTCCCCACCGTCCCCGCCGGGGTTGCTGGGGCATCGAACGCGTTAAGTGGTTTTTCGCGTTGGGCAGGCAGAACACCCCATCTCCGGCAGACACATCTGCCTCACAGCCTCGATCGCACATGGACATCCAATCCCCATTCTAGAAATGAAACAAACCCCCAAAAGACCGTCCAAAGCCCCTCCATCGCAGCTCCCGACTGCCGCGGCCTCACCAAACAACTAAGAAAGCTCCGCCAAGCTCGAACCTCACCCCCAATGCCCTATCCGCGGCCCGTCTCCCCGGTCTCACTTGAAACATGCGCACCCTCCACATCCGAGATAGATACAGATGACCTGCTGGCCTCCGACGACGAGCTAGACGACACCGCCCGCGCTGCGAAGCGCCAGCGGGTTGAGAACTTGGCGCAGTCTTATCTGCAGGGAAAACCGCTGCTTATCCTCTCTGCCTCGCTGAGAGGACCGTTTAATGAGGGATGGGTGAATCCCTGGAAGAAGGATAGGACACGGGGAACTACTTCGAGCTCCGGTCCTCGGGCTAATGTGCCTGAGCGGGTGGTTCAGGAAACCGATTTGCGGACGAGATATCGAGAGAGGTTGTCGGTCAGTAACGGCTGTCCAGAGGTTCCCGCATCGTCTTTCGAATCCGCTGGGATTTCAGTAAACGCCGGGAACCGTTCTTCACCGTCTAAACCGTCGCGGAGGCCGTCCAGGAAATCCACCCCGCGGCCGGTGCATAATCGACCAGATGAGTCGTCGCGACAGTCTCCAGCAAAATTGAATGAACCACGGTCGTCAGAGGTTGATGAGCAGTCAATCATACCGCCTAGGACAGCGGACTGGCTGAAGAAAGATCGGAAGTTGATGAACTTCACCAAGTTTGAACCGCCCAGCTCACCGACGACATCCGTTGCTTCTCGTCTTTCGGATAAAGCTCGTCGACCTGCGCCACGTTTGGTCCATGTGCAGGTTCCGCAGACACCGGGATCTCCTATGAAATCATGTCCTGTCAAAACAATTGCTTCGATGACGGCTCGGAATTCTAATACGGATTCCAACGGCCATCCTTCTTCTCAATCTCGTTCGTCTACATCTAAGGCGCTGAGCGCTCCTATCACATCACCACGTAAGCGATCTCGGCATGACCATATGCCGCAAGAAGTGTCCTTTAGAATTGTCAATTCTTCGTCACAGTTGCCGAGGTTTGAATATCGGAGGTGCGTCAGCGAGCATTCTGGTCAGCAGGAACATACTTCTTCTTTGCACGATGAAAGTATTTTACAGGAAGAGACGATTTTGGAGCCAGGGAGTCCCCTGCGGGGAATTTCTACGGTCAATCCTGCACCTGCTGGTCCCGGTCCTGTAGAACCTCCGGCATTGGATCCGGTGGAGCATGGACCTTCTGCCCCCGAAGAAATAGCAGTTCCCGAGGTACCTCCTGTGGAGGAAGTTACAGGACACAACACTGTGTCGAAAGAAACTAGGGTTGCAGATGAGGATGGTGTTGCAAAGGAAGTTGTTGCAGAGGAAGCTGTTGCAGAGGAAGCTGTTGCAGAGGAAGCTGTCGCCCAGAAAGAGGTCGTAGAGGAAGCAGCTGCGCAAGAGAATGCGGAAGAGAATGCAGACGGAAATGCGCCAGACGAAGCGAACACTTCGACATATCAAAATACCGAATACTCTGGAACAAACGAACAGACCACAACCGAGCAAAACACATGTGAACAGTTCCCCTCGGCTCAGCAAGTACCAGCACCCTTGGGTGTGTCAGATCGAATAACATCACTTCATTCGACAGCTTTGCCCAAAGGGCATTCTGAACAAGACTCAAATACAAGTCCTGATACCCAGCTCTCCACCCAGGCTGCTCTTCTGCATGCCCAGAAGTCTTTCCAAGACGACCTGGATAGCCCGGAATACTACACCCACCGAACACCGGATCAAGACCGAGCCGTGCGTTCACCGAATGGTTCGACTCACTCGACGAAGGTCACTCCATTCTATCGCATGGACGAGACACTTGAACGTGGTTTGGACAGGAGCACGAAATCCGCCAACAAGAACAAGATGCAGGCAATGAGCACGCAATTTATGCTCGATGCGGCTACACCTTTCAATTTCACCACCGAAGAAGCTGGCCGAAGCTCGAAACCTATAAACAGACACATGACGCAAGCGATGAACACACAATTTATGCTCGATGCAGCTACTCCCTACACTTTCAGCACAGAGAAGAAACAGCGTCCTTCCAGACCAGGCTCGGGGTCGCCCACAACGAGTTCTAAGAGAAGAAAGAAGCACAGCTTTGCCAGTCCGGATCTTTCGATTAGAAGTCAATCAATAAATGGGGACAATGATGACCAAACTGCCGATTCTCAGTCTAGCGAAGACGAAGCAAGCCCACGACCAGCCGCTCAGCAGCCGGATGATCCACCCACGCATCCATCCGTCCCAGAGACCGCTGCGTCTTTGCCTCTCACACTGGGCGAATCAATGCCAACCACTGGGGAGGATGGACAAGGTGTCCCCCAAGGAATGGAAAGCTTTAATCTTAGCGAGGCTATTGCAGATGCTGGAAGTTGGCTGCAGCAGAGTTTTGATTTGAACTACAGTGGTCGGACGAGCGTCAACCATAGGCCTGTCAATACTGCTGATTCCCGTGCTCCTTTGATGGATCTTTCGCAATAATGAGAGACTCTGACGTTGTGATGACTTTCTTTATCTATATCTTGTTCTTTTGCTGTCATCTTCATTGTTTCGGCTTGGGAGCGAAGGCGTTCTGGGGTAGCATACAGTGTTTGAGCATTATTTGTGTACATTTTCTTTTCGGAATACATACTTTGCTGTCTTGGTCATATGATCACAGTGCAGTCATATCTGTTGACATGGGATGTCTTTGTGTTCAGAGTATCTCCTTGTGCCATACCTATGAGCAGAGCGTTTTTGCTACGTAGTACTACCTGTCTTTTGCTGTAGTCTTGCACGGCTTTCTCTATTGATGCCTTCATCATCCTATCGTGCTTAGGAATAGTTAGCCTGTTAGGATTTGGGGAAATGGGAATCTGTGAACAGTCCACATTCTTTCATAAATACAAGTGCCTTAGTGCCTGCAATTGTGATAAAAGCATACATTGAATGGGTCTTCCCCAAATCACATGGATCGACGTCAGGAACCAAGTGGCCCGAGCGCCAGCGGGGAGAGCTCCGAACCTCGTCGCTTCACAGCCGCATATCTCAGTCAGTGGAGAGCTGAGATGGCGCTGACATCAGTAAGATACTAATCCTTCTACATGGTGAATTTCAACTGACAGCAATAGTGGAAAGCATTCAACTTCATCGACGTGTCGCCGGTGAAGCTACCAGAGGAGAGCTCCCACATATTCAATGTAAGGCCCCGGCATCCCCGTCCAGCGCATGCCGCATCTAATAACGATCTCTAGAGTGACCTCTCGAGTATTTGTACCGGCTCTGCGAACCTCTTCGTCGGCACTATCGATGGCTTCGTCCACATCGTCTCCTCGGCCTTCCGCGTCGTGCGATCGTTCAAAGCTCACGACACCGGTTCCATTACACATATGCGACAGATCAATGATACCGCTCTGCTAGTCACCGTTTCAGAAGATCTCTCCAACGAGCCAGTTTTGAAGGTCTGGGCGCTGGATACAGAGAAGAAAGATGGTGGCCCGAAGTGTCTGTCAACAGTCTCCGTGCAGAATGCCAGAAGACAATTTCCAGTGCGTGCAAACTCGGAGCGGGAACAAACGGAAGCCATACTTACAATACTGTAGATATCTGCTTTCACGGCCGTCGACGACCTCTCGCAGGTCGCAGTCGGGTTCGCAAACGGCTCCGTGACGATCATCCGAGGCGATCTGATTCACGACCGGGGTGCACGACAACGCATAGTATTCGAGTCCGAAGAACCCATCACCGGCCTTGAGACGCAGACCGCTGCCGTCACAACCCTTTACATCGCAACCACGAGTCGTATCCTGACATTGGTTATCGCTGGGCGGGGCCAGGGCCAGCCCGCGCGCGTGCTGGAGGATACGGGCTGCGGCCTGGGTTGCATGACTCTCGACAGAGAAAGTGGCGATGTTTTGATTGCCCGCGAGGAAGCGGTCTTCACATATGGCCCGCGCGGTCGCGGCGCAAGCTATGCATTTGAGGGCCCGAAGACGTCCATTGATGCTTTCCGCGATTATGTGGCGCTCGTTTGTCCACCTAAGGCTGGGACTGGCAAGTCGGATCCGCTGAGGAAGTATACTGCTAGTCCGGCTGAAGATATCTTTGGCACGACGACTTTTACTCTGCTCGATACCGATCTTAAGTTCATTGCGCACAGCGAGGCGCTGGTGTCACCCATGAGACGGATTTTCATGGAATGGGGGGATCTGTTTCTTCTCACTACGGAAGGAAAGGTAGGTGAACTTGTTTCATCATATTGTATGTGTCTTCTAACGCTCCTTAGATCTTCCGTTATCGCGAAAAGTCTCTCCAGCAAAAGCTTGAGATTCTGTACGAGCGCAATCTCTATATCCTTGCTATCAATCTTGCACAAAAGATTGGAATCGATCCGCTACAACAGAATGCTATCTACCGCAAGTATGGTGACTTCTTGTACCAGCGAGGCGACTATGATACAGCTATGCAGCAGTATCTCCGGGCTATTGACAATACTGAACCGTCTCAAGTTATTCGCAAGGTCAGTGGCATCCTTGTTCACGGGCATCATCTTGCTGACTGATGTTATAGTACTTGGACACCCAACGTATTCATAATCTGATCGAGTATCTTGAAGAATTACACGATCATGGCCGTGCCACGGTTGACCACACAACACTTCTTCTGAACTGCTACGCAAAGCTCAAAGACACAAGCAAGCTGGACTCATTTATCAAGGCTCCTGGTGAGCTGAAGTTCGATCTGGAGACTGCTATTGCTATGTGCCGACAAGGCGGGTACTACGAGCAAGCAGCCTATCTCGCAACGAAACACGGCGAGAATGACATGGTCGTTGATATTCTTATCGAAGATTCTAAGAAATACGCTGAGGCAGTGGAATACATCTGGAGATTGGATCCTGAAGTGGTATGTGTCCATCGCCTTCTCTGCAGGAAACAAGCTAATGCCTGACAGGCCTATCACAATCTCATGAAATATGCTCGAGTCTTGCTGACACATTGCCCTGAGCGGACTTCGGAGCTGTTCAAGGTCTACTATTCTGGCCAGTACCGGCCACGCACGGAAGTAGAACAGCCAGCAGAACAGCTAACACAGACGACCAGCACAGTACAAAGTCTTGCCGCACTTCTTCCACTGCGGTATATGAAAGTTGGTGCCAGCACACAGCCACGGGTCGAAGCTGCTGAGACGGAAACAAATGAGGAGGATGATAAAGATTCTTCGCCAGATTACGATATTCCGAAACCACGAACAGCATTCTCCGCATTTGTGGACCATCCAAAGGAATTCATAGATTTCCTCGAAACTTTGGTGCAGAAGCCGGACTTGAAGAAGGATGCCAAAATTGATCTCTTCACAACATTGTTTGAGATGTACTTGGACACAGCAAAGGGGAAAAAAGATGCAAGCGAGAGACAGGAATGGGAAACGAAAGCGAAGAAACTAATCGAAGGGAAAGATGTGAGCATTTCAACTCTCTATTCGCGATATTCTATATCTAATCCACACAGATCCCCATCTCCACATCCAACGTGCTCCTTCTCTCCGACCTCTCAAACTTCCGAGAAGGATCCACCCTCGTCCGCGAGCAAGAAGGTCTCCGCCTCGATATCTTCCGCTCCTTCACCTCCGCAAAAGACACGCAAGGAGCCATCAAAGCCCTACGGCGGTACGGACCCGACGAGCCCCAACTCTACATCGACGCATTGACCTACTTCGCCTCAAGCCCTCAAATCCTGGACGAAGCAGGCGACGAGCTAGACGCAGTCCTCCAACGCATCAACCAAGACGGCCTTCTCTCCCCACTGCAAGTAATCCAAGCACTCAGCAACAACGCAGTTGTAACGATGGGCCGGGTAAAGAAATACCTCAGCGATAACATCGACCGCGAGCGCAAAGACATCACAACCGTACGTACCCTCCCCCATGGTCAATCACCACCACAATTCCCAAAAAAAAAGGAAATAAAAACTAACATCCACAGAACCGCCGCTTAATATCAAGCTACAAATCCGAAACAGAAACCAAACAACAAGAACTAAACACCCTATCAACTCAACCCGTCGTCTTCCAATCCCGTCGCTGCCAATCCTGCGGCGGAACCCTAGACCTACCCACCGTCCACTTCCTCTGCAAACACTCCTTCCACGAGCGCTGTCTGAATAACCTCGAGGACGACGCTCAGTGTCCTGTCTGTGCGCCGACGAACGCCACTCTGCGCGCTATCAGGCAGAGACAGGTTGAGTCGGCGGATCAGCATGATTTGTTTAAGGGGGAGTTGGCGCGTTCGAGGGATCGGTTTGGGGTTGTTAGTGAGTTCTTTGGGAGGGGGATTATGAGGTCGCAGAGTACGATGGAGTAGGAGTAGGAATAGGAACAGTTGTGTTGACCCTTTTTCGTTTGTTGTTGTATATGGAGAGGATTGTTTTGATACCTTAGTTGATAGATCATTCCATGGATGGAAGTTATTTCCCTGAACAAGCAAAGACTGTGAAGCCCTAGGTAAATAGTAGATAGGTGTAAACCAATTGCGGCAGTGTTTTGTACATTTCCTTCCTACCTAGTACGTTCATATTCTTCAGATGAGTTCAGGAAAGGAAGCCTAACATTCAAGAAAGGTATGCAATGAATTTATGTCGCTCCACTCTAGGAATAACAGCAGCGCGTCGATGGGAAACAAAAAGGAGAAACAAAGGAATCCTATCGACACGAGAAACAGCAAGTCGATCAATGATCAAGCAAGGCCATTATATGCTAGAGCAACAGGATTATGCACAACGGAAACGAAGAAGATACATGGATATAATCGACGCAAAGGGGTGTTCGAGTCATGTGGGAAAGGATGTAGGTAGAAGGTACATTGTCCTGTGATACAATATACACAAAAGCAATGGGTGAAGTTCGTCAATGACTATTAGGAACAAGGGTACAGCTTAGATGTCACGACCCTTCTCGCCGCCCCAGGAAACGCGTGGAATGTGTCTGAAGGCCGATTGGGAGGCTGAGCCGGCTCCAGATCCAGATCCAGATCCAGATGCCGAGGGAGAGGACTGGGGTTCGTTCGGCTGCGACTTGTTCGTAGGCTCGCCGGACTTGTTGTCGTTGTTGCCCTCCTCATCCGACTCTTCCTCGATGGCATCCTCATCGGAATCGGAGTCATCACCATCAACGCCCAGCGCTGCCAGACGGCGGCGACGCTCAGCAGGAGTCTCGCCTGTGTCGTCGTCGTCCTGGCGCGGGGGCACAGTCATACCAGCCGCCTGGCGGAGACGTGAGGGCGGGATACGCTCTGTGCCGTCGTCCTCGGAGTCGCGGCGGGCACGGTCCCGGGTACGGGGTGGTGCAGGGCTGAGGTTGTTGCGACGCTCTTGGGCGGCGCTGCTGCCACGGGAGAACTTCGCCAGGGAGGCAGCGACATTGGGGCCGTCGTGACGGTCGTCGGTGTCATCCTCGCTCGCTTCGGTGTCGGTGAAGGACTCGGACTCGAGCTCCTGCGCCTCTTCTTCGGGGATGGCGTCAGGGCCGGTAGTGGCAGCCACGGCTGCGGCTGAAAGGCGGCGCTCTTGTTTTTCCTCGGCTTTTTCTTCCTGCTTAGCTTCGTATTGGGCCATTTCTTGGACAGCGGTGGGTGCATCAGTTTGCTGCACGACATCCCGGCGAGCCTTGGCATCCAGACCCTTGATCTGCTCGAAGAATTCTTGCTTGTTCATGCGTCTACCCTTGTGGCCGATACCGTGGGAGCTCACATCACGGTCTTCGGCTAAGGTGAAGCGAAGACCGTCGTCGGCGGTCATGTCGTCACCTCTCCTCCTCTCCTGGGCAGCCTGAGACGATTCGCCTTCTTCCTCCATGCCGAACCAGGTACCCATGCGGGTCAAACCACGGCGAACAGGTGCTTGGCCAGGAGCAGTGGGCTCCTTCTGAGCTTTGTCGCCCTTCTCGGCCTTCTTGTTACCGGGTAGAGTATACTTCTTGATCACCTCACCATCCTCATCCTCGACAATAATGGTATTGCCGAACTGGTAGGCATGAGCGGAGCGAGGTTTGGGCTTTGCAGACCCAGCTTTCGGAGGCTTCTCTGTCTTAGGCTTCTCTGGCTTCTCAACCTGCTCAGCGGCGCGTTCCTTTCCGAGTCCAGTCCACTGGTTCCACTTCTTGAGAGCCTTTCCGTAAGTTGTTTGAGCCTTCTCCTCAACATGGCGCTCATGCTCCTCTCCCTCGGTTTTCTTGTGGGGTTGACTCTCAGATGCCGCAAATTCACCGGACTTATCATTTTCCAGGCGTTTGCGTTGCTCTTCAATGTCATGGACTTTCTCTTCAGGCGACAGATTAGAGGTATCCTCAGTCTTGAGAACATTACCCTCTTCATCTTCGATGACCATGTGGTGACCCTCTTGGTAAGCTTCGATCTCAGGCTCGCGACCGAAACGGTCCCGCTCGGCATAAGGCGGAGAAGCTCCGCGCTCGACCTGGTCGCGTTCTTCAAGCTCTTTCTTCTCTTCGTCAGTCCGGCCTTCCGCTTGTCTAGGGGCGGGCATGATGGCAGACTGGCTGATTGGGCCCCCTTCAGCGGAAGCGAGCTTGCGGCGACGTCTGCGCAAGGGCTTGCGACGAGTTTTCTCGATGTCTTGTTGCTCGGTCTCTCCCTCCTCATCACGCTGCCGACGAAGGAAGTTCCCAGGCATGCCGATGGGAGGCAATGTACCAGGAGGATACTCCACGCTCTTCTCATCGGAATCAGTATCCTCCGCCTTGCGGAAGGACATGGAGCCCTTGGCAATGGATTGCACACGAGGCAAACGGTTCATCCATGAAGGTCCTTCCTCGTTGGCTTGGGTGTAGGATAGGGTGATAGTCAAGGTGTTGATGCGTTTACCCAGGGTGAAGACTGCAATGGACGAACCATGTACCAGAATAGACGTGATGACCATGAAAGTTGTGATAGGCCAAATAAGTCTGACAACATAGAAATTGGAGGTTCCTGGCAGAGGAAGTTCGTTTTCAGGTAACGGTTGTGTGTTGTCTCTCTCCAATTCTGCTCGAGCGAGGATGGCAGCGAAGATTGCACCGACACCGATAGGACCGAAGTGCCCTGCAAATAAAGCTTCTCGCCAAGTTTTGATATCCGGTATAATGGGCTTCAGCATTAGCATGATGGGAATGCGTCGGAAGAAGAGAACCAATATTGCAATGACCACCAACCGCCAAGGAGTGATGCCAAGCTCGGGGGCGTTGAAGTCCTCCCAGGGGATGATGGATCCGAAGTAGACGAAGTATGCCAAGTTAAGCAGCAGATCGATAACGTTGGAGACGTGTGATTCCTCAGTCTTCTCCGTAAACCAACCATCGTTACTGAATCCGACACCACAGGCGAATCCAATCAGCAGGTCGTCCATGCCCAGTAAAGCACCGGAACCAGCGCAGAAGACAGCCAAGACGAAGTAGAACACCAAGAAACTCTCACGATCAATCAATCCCTTACGCTCAGCCAGTTTGATCGCATGGCGAGCAAGGTAGCCAATGGTGAAGCCAAAAATGGCACCCAAAATACACTCGTACAAGACAGTGATACAGAACCAGTTCAGCCACACCTCGCCGACATTCGGCCGATAATGATAGATATAGAAAGACAGGTAGATGAATGGGAAAGCCATACCATCGTTACACCCAGACTCTGCAGACAACAAGTCTCGCAAATGCTTGGGCACACGCTTGGCAAATTTTCCCTTACCAACGACGGACGATGCCAAGACAGGATCGGTGGCCGTTACGCAGGCGGCACAGACCAGAGACTCCAGCCAATTCAGGGGAGGCACCAACCACCAGATGAACACACTGGTCATCAGCCAACCCCAGGTCATGACGGGGAGCAGCAGCAACGTAACAGATTTCCAATGACGTTCCATGTAGGACTTGGGCAATTCGACACCGACGGCAAAACATTGCACGACCAGGACAATTCTAGAACACTCGAGTGTGATTTTGTCGATGTTGCCCCATTCGTGGGGATTGAATAAATTGGCCGCATGGGGTCCAAAGATGATGCCACAGATGGTGGCGACGGTCGCTTCACCGATATACAGCTTCTCCTTGACGAACAGGGAACACAGCATGAACAGGCCAGTGAACCCTCCTAGGATCATGTACGCCAGATGCGGCTTATCGATGTCCAGATGATCCCACGCCATGGCGAAGATGACAGCGATCTACCACCAATTTTGTATTATCCCAGACACTTTGTTGCTTCTTCTCTATTCGGTAGTGTAGAATGCCGCCAGGAGCTTCGTACCGCTGCGAGCGATTTATCGGATGATTTCCGCCCTCAAACTGCCTAAATCCGCGTAGCTCTTCATGCCTTGGTGATTGATGATCGGAGAGCCAAGGTGCCGAGCCCAGTAGGGCTGAGTGCAAGCAGGTCGAAGATTGACAGTGCAGCTTCTGTGGGGTGCGGACTGACTGGCCAAGGTCTTGGGGATGCGAGGGCTGGAGGCGACTGGACCAGAGGTTTGGAAAGAATGAATACGGGCTTGGCCTTGGGGAAGTCGGTTGGGTCGGGTCGGAGGGCGAGAGGGGGGAAGAGAGGGAAACGGAGATAGAAAAAATTGGCAAGATCTGGGAGTTTCGGCCAAAGTCTTGGTCGATCTTGGTCGATTCTTGGCCAAGCAGTAGAAGCGAGTGAACGCGTGCTTGGGGCAGGTTTGCCCAGAACGAGGTTGGCTTGGGGACGGCGGGATTCGTCAGCCGAGCCTTTCGAGACCCACTTCGGAAGCGGAAAATGTCTTGGCTGGGCGGAGGAAGAGTGCGCAACAGATTGAGATAGGAGTATTAATGGGCTTACATTCTATAGAGAGGCAATAATAGGGAGAAAGGGGAAGAATAGTGATTTTTGTCAATTAAAGTTCTACCTATGACATTTCTCATGAGAAATACTTGCACACTGCAGACACCGTAATTTTCCGGTCACGTATGGTAAGTCAGATCGTCAGCCCTGCCAGAGCGCCAAGAACTATATTAGGGATCATTGGTTGGCCAGTTCGGTCAGTGGCGTCGCTGGTCTACATAGTGGAGACTCAGGGCGTGCCCCGTTTTGATCCGTTCGTAACTTCGTGCCGGGGATGTCTGTGAACACTTCTATGCTGGAACTAGAAGGTTGAGTATATCGTTATGCTGGCAATGCGGTATGTGGCACTTGCAATCGCCTCCTTTTGCCATTATATGGCATACAATACATACCATATCACATCGGACATCGATTGGGAATCAATTGGGAACGGTGTACTCCGTAATACAGTCGTACAAGCAAAGAACCAGCCAAAAAAACTATTGCATATAAGACATTTCCAGACAAGTTGCAAACATTCAGGGGAATTCAACGCTGAAAACTCAACATCACGAAACATGCAGATTTGCGGGGAAATATGGCGAATAGAAAAGCAATCAAAATCCAACCGATAGGACGCGTGTTGTGCATCCCGCGCGTGCTGTAAAACGAGATTGGTAGGAGTGTCAAATCCACCGGTGAGTTGTTATGTACGACCTGGCTGACGAGGCCCAATGCTGCCCAGCTACACTCCAGTAGGCATCCCCTCAACCTCATCGCTCAAGCCACGCCAATTCTCTGCCTGCAGCTCAGAGTACTTGACACGCTCTTGACTCCAGTCTTGATGCAGACGGCTGATGTGATATTGACTCTGCTGGAAGTGAATGAGTTCGTCGCGGATGCATTCGGTGATGAAGACGCCCCGCGCGTGTTGTTGCACAATGGATTCTTTGTCCTAACAGATACATCAAAGTTAGTATTACAGGGGATACCGTTGAAGTAGGTAGGCAGTCTCACCTTGAAGATTGAATCCTCAACCTTCTCAATCTCCCCCGGCTTTACAGTACCAGCAGGCCGGGCGCGAAGGTCCTGCAGCTTCCGCTCATTGGTCTCAATGCGTCGTTCCAGCTGCGGGATGTTGTTTCGTGCATAACGGTCCCGCCGATCAAACATCTCACGTACACTGACCAAGCAATCCCGTTGTCGTTTGAGGTCTTCCAGAACACCCTCGGTCCATCCTCGGGCTTCATCCTCCAACAGACTTTGACTGGCAGAGAGGTGCCGAGCCGTAGCGGTGATACCTTCATTAAGGGCTGGGATGTCATTGGTATCCACTGCGTACGTGTCTTTGGTGACTTCCGTCAAAGATTGCAAAGCAAGAGAAAAACGGAGGTGATCAGCAGCCAACCCGTCGTTACGCTTGGCTAGTCGCTCCAGCAAAGTACAAAGATTAATATAAATTTCAGCAGAACGCTTGACACCGCTGCGAACTGTGTCGAAAGTATCATTCAGAGTTGCGGGCAGCGACTCCTCAAGATCCGGGGGAGGACACGACCAACAAATTCGTCCTGAACTGATATTGTGGCCTGCTTCCGCCACACGGAGAGTTCCTATTCTCAATCAGCGGCTGTATCAACCGGACTTCAAAGGGCCCAATTCAAAGCTTACCGTTGGTACCGTTAAAAACATAATCACGAGCTGCTCCTGGCCGAGGACGGGATGGCGGACGAGGGCATTGGTGAATCGAACGAGTCCGTGTCGGCGCTTGTCGAGGAAGGAAGATGAATCCGCTGAAAGGTGAGTGCCATTGACTTCAGAATTGTGAGTAAGCAAGTAGGTGTGCTCAACCTGCATTTACATACCTGAAACCCGCTTAGGGGGAAGAAGAGGCAACTGCCGGAAAGGAAATCGCTTTTGAAGGCAGTCCAACAGCCAGACAAAGTCGCTATAACGCCGTATAACCGTGCTGCCTCTACGGGCAGACTTCACTTCGTAGTTTCGGTGTTGAAACATGAACAATCCCTCTTTCTCCGGGAGCAACGTAACGGTAACAGTCTCCTCTACATGCGGATTGGTCGATCGACCGAAGTTAATGGACCGTCGCCGCGGTGCAATGATGGGAGGCTCATCCCCTGGAGGACCGAAACCACCTAATGCGGGAGGTACTGGGGCCTCAAAGCTCCGTTCGTTTGGGCCACCAAAATTATTATTCCCCCAGCCAGACCCAGAACTGCTGGGCGGCACAGGCTCGGTCCGGCCGTTAACATGCCCCTGTTGGCCCGCGTTGCTCGGTGTGGTATCTTCAACTGGCGCGGTAGACCAAGGGTCTGCCGTAGATCGCACACTGCCGAAGCCATTCAAGGCAGGTGGTTCAGCCACTATTGTCTCATGGTTGTGGCCTCGGTGTAATTGTGGACTTCCCCACGGGTCTGACTCCAATCCGACCAATGATTCCCGCCGTGGCTGTTCCGACCGTGTGGAGCCCGAGTTCGCCAAAGGAGGAGGAGGTTGGGAAGGGGGAGTAGCAGGTTGCTGATATAGTCGTTCAGAGTTCGCGTCGCTAGTCGTTCGTAGCCGGTCGAGATAGCCAGCTTTCGGTTGGGGTAATTCTAAGAAGTTTGCGTGAGCATATAATTCCAAATAAAAGGCAAACGAAAGCGCGAAGTCAACTCACTCTTACGACGGTCGTCCACAGCATCAAGAGATAGGTCCTCGCCTTCTTGTGCTAGGCCGACCAGCGCCAATAGCACATTGAATTCTCCACGACCCAGTCCACTAAAGCTCTCATGATCCCCAGAAGAAACCAGATTCAGGACCTTGCTTTGGTCTGTTGCAGTCAGCCCACTGCTCGAAAGAATCTCCCGAACGGAGGTCAACCCAATGCCGGAGCCGACCCTATCCCCGCTGTTCAAAATCAAATCGTACGCGTCGATATAGCTCTCAGGCACATCAGCAGTAGGAAGCAAGGTGCGAACCAGATCGCGACGGGCTGTTCTTTTCGCTGTGTTATTTTGGATGTTCCAAGGAGGGCCGTTCTCGTCGCCGTCGTCATCAGCGAACAGCGACGAGCCGCCCGTAGCCGGTTCGTCGGCAAACAGCGAGGACTTGCTTCTATGGGCAGAGTCACCCATCGAGGGATCCTCTGGGGATGTGCCGAATAAAGACATCTGGAAGCCGATACCGGGGTGATGTTTGCGCCGGAGGAGCTGTCGGGGTCAGGTGCGGAGGTGTTGGCAATGACGATGTTGACGATCAAGCGGAGCTCCGAGGGGGGCTGGTCGCACGAATAAACACGCACCTCCCTCTACCACGAGATGATACAGACTCGTCAGCTTCGAGAAGGCAAAAAAAGAGAGAATCAGACGTAAGTGAAAAGTAGAGCTTGACCGACAATTCTCAAGGAGATGAAGCGTCAACGGCCTGGAGATAACGGGCCCGATGTTACTGGTACCTCGCCCAACTGGGTTAGCCGGCCCCAAGAGGGTTGTATCAGCTACATGGATCTACAAGTCGCACTCTTTTATCTCATTCTCGTAAATACTCTGTGTATTGAAAGGTTCTTGTTTAGTCAAATAAATTGTTGGCAATGGAAGCACTGTCAACGTAGTCAACATATTCATGAGCGCCATTAGGTAGGTCCAAGGATGCGAACCTACCAAATCTAATTCAACGGGCGCCTGATTCGTTTTATCCCACTTGTGGATGGTGGAATGCGAAGATTATCCGAATGTTTAAATCGATGGAATCTCGTTCATTCGAACCTGAACTTTCATGGCAAGTAAAAACATGGATGGAGACTACCTGACGATATGATTTCGCACAGAATGTCGATATGCACCTAAGATAGTACTTAGTACTACAGTACTACTACAGCGTATCTATCCATTGGAGGGATCTGCATCCCTTATCGACCTCACTTTCTCCATGGTGGCTCTCTGACATTAGAGCCCGTCTAGGCAGGTATTATCTTCTCGGACTGGCCATCTTGTAACCTGATACAAGCTTGAAAACAGCTGTATCCAAGACCCGATTACAGAGAGAAAGTTCGTTGCATCCACCGTAAAGTCCTTTGAAAAGGTCGACAAAATCTATTGTTCTCTGTTGTATCCACCTAAAGGATCTCCAACAGGAGCCGGATTGACCAAGGCCACCAAGCTCATGAGTGAACTGGCGAATCAATCATGGGACGCCGAATGGGAGCAAACCGTGAAGCTCGTTGATTCAGCCTCTCGCTACCTATGCATTTACTTGGAGTACCTATTTTTGGTAACGATCCGGATGTCAGCCGCCAGGCGCACCCGCGGCCTGACCTAGCAGACCATCCTGGACAAGCATGGGGCGGACATGCTACTGTGTATATGGGCGCCGATGCTATATTTAAGGTTGCTGGGCAAATGCACCGGCTCCACTGTGGCTCAGCGGCCGTTTGAATGCATCCGCCACTGAGCTACAAATGAGAAGACCCTCCAGCTGGAATCGGGACTGACACTATGTTGCATCAGCGGGCTGTAGCGACTCGTGAGTGCTCACACAATTGAGGGAGCTGTCCACAGCCCCAGTTGAAGTAGTCATGAACCATCAACCGCAGTTTCCAATGAGAGGGTGGCAAGAGCTGAATATAGAGGACAATACTCATGTGTAGGAGGGCATATTACTCATTTATGTAGCCTCGGGACAACGCTTTTGTTTGGCCCCTGCTCTGGTCCTGCGCCAAACCCGCATACGAAAGAGCCAATAGTGACACCATCACTCATGAGGCTTGAAGTAGCTCAATGTGAGTCCTCTACATGCAGCGTGCATTGGTCTCAGACATTGTACGTTTTATTGGACGGATGATAGGATAGCTCGAGTGCTAATTTCTCTCGCGTAATTCTATAATTGTTTTACGGGCTAGACATCCTGGGTTTCACCCTGTTACTCTCTTCGACGCCAACTCTAGTGTCGCTAGCCTATTGCTTTCTACGGGACCCTCGATCTTGCCACTACCGGGCCACTACCGTTGCGGGAAAAGAGCATCGGTGGCTTCCTGCCGCGCGCTGCTTCCGTCTCCGCGTCTGGCCGTGGGCCTGCGTATAGTACAGGTGTGTGATATAATACAATGTATTGAATGAGGAATAAAGCATAATACAAAAAGCTCGATATTCGATGGCCCCACTTTCATCCCCTAGAGCGTAGTCTGTCCCCCCCCGGCCAGGAACCCTTCAGTAAATGGCTGACCCAGTGGATGGTATATTATCGCAAGCACTATGACATTCATTTTCGTGGCATTTACTGTTGCTCTTTATGCTGAAGACTCGGCCGCATTGAGCATAGGGCAGTGGAAAGGCTCTACGAGCTGAGGGGAAATGATGAGTTGAGGGAAGCCAACGAGTTGAAGGGGGGCCAACGAAAACAAATGACAAGTGCCGCCGATCAGTACATATATTCAGAATGAAACATGGATTTGTGGGATGTATGAGTATCTAAACCCGTGATAATAGGTGCGCTGACGATTTTATATCGCATCAGGCGGGGGCTATGATGGCCGCTGGGTATCTATACGCTCACTCCAGTTCACCCAGCCTTTGCTCGATTCTACCCTTCCATCTGACTCAGAGGTCCGCAGCACCCATGCGAATGTCCGTCAAAGTCGAGGTTCCTCGAGTGCCAGAAAGGGGTAAGTCTGAAGCCGCCATTGAACGTTGTGTTGTCCAGATGACTGCATCGGAAATGTGAGGACTTACATTTGTTCATGTAGCAATTGCCCGCTCGAGCTCTACGGCAACGGAAATCAACTCTGATGCCCCCGAGAAAAGTGATGGGCATCACAGCAAACCGGCTAACTGGAAACGCGAGTTGTCAAACCAGACAACGACAGGTGGTGAACGGTGGACAATTCGACTCCGCGGGTACCAGGACTGGATTCACTCTTGGACGAAGAGCGCCACGCAAGGTCCGTACGTACTGCCAAGCTACCCACTGACAGATTGCTGGGCCTGGAATTGGACTCTATCACGACCTCAAGCAGACAGTCCCGATGTCGTTGCCGATACCCTATCGCAAAGAGCTCTGGCATATTTCAGCGCATTCCTTCCGATGAGTTTGTCTATGAAGCTTCTGGGCAATCCCCCGAGGCGATTAAATCGTTCCGATGGCAGTACCATGCTCTCAGTTGGAGATTGTTTAGCTGGTGTATCAAAAAACACGACAGGATGGACTGGCTAAATAAAGTGCAACAGGTGAGGTCGTAGTTACTCTTTCAGTTTTGGTCCAGCTCTGACGTTTTATAGAGCATGCAGAGAATAGCGGTCGATCCGTTTATTGTTGACACGATTGAAAGCACCTTCCTTTGCGTGAAAAAGGGACGCTACTCCGAGCCGAAGCTGGAGCAGTTATCTCGCCTCATCATCCAGCCACTGCAGGCAGGTCTCCGTCGGCCGACATCGGTAAATGATGTACAGCTGGGGATACTGGGTCTTCGGTTCCAAAGACAGCTGACGGAGACCGCGAGTATAAAGAGCTCAAAGGGCTTTTTTGAACCAGCTGCTGGCGACACTAAGCATATCTAGGCAGGCAGGCGGTAGAAGATATTGATCCGGATCCCATTCCTTTCAGCTCTATAGGACTGCGCACCACTGCTGATAACTGCTACTCGGTCAAAGTCAAACGCTCAAAGGGCTTCATTCAGTCATGTCATATTGTATCTAACGAGTCTTTCAAAAGTAGAACACTAGGAGCGATCAGCCGTCACTAGTCCAGGGTAACTCTTCTTACTTTCCCCTGTGCTGTTTCTGTAACTGTTGGATCTTTTCTCTTTGCGTTGCTAGGGCTTGTTGAAACTCGCGCTGCTGTTCCTCCATCTCCCTCTCCAGTCTTTCAATCTCCTGCTCCTGGGGTGACTTCGCCTGGGCGCTTATAGTACTTGGATGGGGAGACTGGAGAATGAATTTTAAAGCCTGTAGCCTAGCGCTTGGAGCGGCCACGTCACACGGTCATTGGTCACATGGGCTTTTCTATTGGCCATTCAATATTCAGAAGGTGCCACAAGGTTTCAAGTTCTGTTTCCACATTGGCCGTGCGGAATCAGTAGGGATGCGGTGTGTTTCTCGTGTGATCATCTATGTATAACAGCCTCAAGCTAATGCACAGAGCATCACATCGGTTCGGTGCGGAAGACCATTCCTGGTCCGATACTCTCGGGCCAATTTTTATTATTATATTCTTACTCTGAATAGGCGGCTGGCCGCCTCGCCCCTGTGGGCAAGCAGTCCCTCCTCGGTTCGAATCCAGCTTTTAATGTACATCGTACGGGGCGCATGCGCCTCCGCCCGCAACTCCCATCGTTAACCTCCATCCACTGGTCGGGCCAATTATGGAGACTTTTGTAATGCGACTCTGAATAGTTCTTCCGAGTAGACCTTTGCTGGTAAAGAAACAACACACGACCCGAGGCCCTGAACACATCCAATTTCGCTGTGTTGAACCGCTCAGGGCCTGTGAACAGTCCCAAATGACAGTTCCCCGCTTTAAATCCCTCCTGCTTGACACAGCAACCTGCATGCGTGCCCAGCCCAGAATGGAAATTACTCTAGGCCGTATACATCCAACATTTGCCTAGGGAGTGGATATAAAAGGGCCTTAAAGGTCGCACGAATTGATAAACAACATCCTTTCGTGCCCTCTGTTTCGACTATAAATTTTAAACAGCCGAAGCTCGTGAGTTGCTTCTGAAACAGGCTACAGACCAATGCTGACTGAAACAAGTCGCCTACCATGTGTCATACGGTAGTTACGACGACTATATATGCCTGCGGATGCAGGGAAGTTAGACGAGTACTACAAACATACCCGATAACCGGTGAAACGTAAATCCGCATCTTTATCCAAACCATAACAGTCAGCTAGGCTCTGCAATTGATCTTCTGAGAGTACACCATCGAGGACGCAACCTAGAGATCCTGTTAGGCACCAACAGGTGGACAACATATAACAGATAACATACCAAACTTATTCTCACGGTACTCCCTCCATTTTCTGATCCGATCTCTCAATGATTCCGTTGATCTCGAACGCAATTGGACATCATGAGCATGGCGAACACCGTTTGTATCAATAGAATTGAGGCTTTCTAGCATCTCTGAAGTGCGGCTATAGTGCCCGAGACAAGCGTTTCGAATGATCAAATCAAGGCTTGGATGATCGGTTCGTATTTTGGGCAGAACCAATCTGCCGTGATTGTCAACAGACAGCTCAGGCTTGGCTCCATGCTCCATCTGAAAAATAAGCGACCCCATTGCAAACATATCTGTTGCCTCAGATAGAGTCGGCGAGGGACCGTTAATTGGAAGTGGAAGATCCGGGAAAACGGGATTTGGCTGACCAAGAGGGCTGGCAGCGCTAAAATCGCAAAGAATGGCATGGTCGTGTTCATCAAAGAGAACATTGTCAATCCGTACATCTGCATGGGCTATACCAAGGCTGTGGATATGACAAAGTGCGTCGGTAAGATCACGGTACCAGCAAATCCGATGACGCTGAGCGGGAATTTTATCCTCAGGTAACGAGTGATATCTGCGGAGATAAATTCCCTCGGGTTGATCAGCATCAACGGCTTCTATAACGTGAGGGTGTGGCCATCGTCGAAGCAGTCGTAGTACAGTTCGTTCGTTCTGTAACAAGTTGGACTGAAAGAGGGTATCTGAGGCGTAGTGCCATCGATCGCTGTCAGGGGCACTATTCCCAGGTCGCTCAAACAACCAAGACGTCTTGAGAACCGTCTGGTCATCAACTTCGTAGACTTGAGCGGAAGCTCCAACTCCGATTATTTCCAAGTCACGTTGAGGGTGCAGCCGTACGGTGTATGTGTCGCAGTTCGATGCTGAGGCGACATCAACCGGATCATTAGCCTCAAGATCGTCGGGCTTTTCAGATTTAGACGGATGATATCCGATAAATGGCGGGATTATATGAGACAAGAAATGCGCAATAACCGAGATAACCAACGTATCGCAATGCAGCCAGTGCTGCCGAGTAAAATCGCCTGAGATACGACAACATCCTGGAGGTGCTCTGAAAGAGTAAAGTCTGAACCAGGAATTTTGGATTTCGATCGTTCCTTAAATGTATCCTGTCTGGTGATACAGTATGCTAAGGATCAGCTACTGTCGTCATTTCAACTTTCAAGGGGTTTCGAAACAAGGGTGAGTCACGTGCAATGAGATATTCTAACTGAAGCCCGTCGAAAACTGCTTAGTAAATCATAGTGCGTACCAATCGGATATCAACAAGTCTGAATTTCTATGAAGCCCCTAGCTGGCAATTTGTATGGGCATAACAATGACTAACTAATCTAAGTGGGATATGGTATCTCCGTTCTCCGGTCTCCACTGCTGCTGTTGTTCCGACACATCCCCTCAGCGGTTAGCGAGTGTTGAATATCTTCGCCAATGTTATATTCAATCGAGCTGAGCGCTGATTCCTCGCAGCAGGTCTCTCTTTTCTCTCGGCTACACCTCAATCAGATGGTGTACACCCGTAGAGCAGACACTGAAGAGTCCTTCGTCAATACAGTGAATACACTCGCTGGATATGCAATAGTTAACTAATGCGCAGATCACAGGAACTTTCCATAATCCATACCTAGGACCATAACGTAAATACTGTAGTTGAGATACATGTCAGTTCATTTAGGGTCGCACTTATCATGTGATGGGCTCAGGGCTGTGACTGTGAGAAGCAAGTCCCCGTTATCTGATAAGAAATCGTCGGAAGCGCATCCCGATTTCCGACATACAGTACTGAAGCAGCTTCCCTGTACCCCGCCCCCGCAGGGCCCGCACCGTCATAGATATCGGAAGGCTGCCCCGGAAGCACAAACCAACTTCACATTCACTCTTTATATATTATCTTCGGCCTCCCAATCCGGAATGCCTCCAGCTTCTAGCCAGGGGAAACTGAAGAAGTGCCAGAAGGCGTGAGTCAGAACCCCAGCAAATTGCCTCTAGGTAGGATGCCCACTTACGCCATGTAAAAACAGCTGTGAGCGATGTCGGTCAATGAAGGTCAAGTGCTCGGGCATAAGCCCTTGCACAAGATGTGCTCGAAGGAACAAGCCCTGCCACTTTCCAGTTGAGGAACTTCGGATATCAGTGTCAGAACGGTAAGTAGCTTGCAATTTGACTTCACGTGATGTGCTGATGCTGATGGATGTTAGGTACTTGCGAGAGCTAGAGGGGCAGATATCCAGAAGCGAAAATTCACGGCGACGTGGGTCAGTAGCGCCTCTTGGTCACAGTGTCCAAGACGGCACACTGCCGGGAGATGAGGATGCTGATATTCCTCTAACTCCTCAAGAATCGAGTATACCGCGAGACACTCCAGCTCATACTGGATGGCGCTCAATGCAGAATGGTAAGGAATATGCGTTTTTCGAGTGCGTAGGTTTGTTGTTAATTCAGATTTTGTTCTAGGGACAGGGCAATCCCTGCATACCCCGGAGACTCCCCGGAGAAGGGATGAGATTGATAAAGAAGTCGAACAAGACACTCATAGATCGAGATTTTCTCGAAATCCTCTTGTTGATGAGGACCCATCCTTTGCACAAACTCCAGATGGCAGGTTATGTAAGTGACTCCCACATGGAGTCATTCCCTCTCTCATTGCTGATGATGATACCATAGGGTACATGGGACCAAGTTCATCATGGTCCTTTTGTCGTCGTGTCCTTGCCCTGATAGGAAGGAAATTGCCAGAATCAAACTCTCTGCCAGATCCACTACATGTTGACGGTATGGCTTACAGGTTGACCTGGCGGCCATCTCCTCTGGATGAGGTACCTGATGTCACCAATCTGCCACCGTTGGATTATGCACTATTCTTGTTCAGAACTGTCCAGTACTACTTTGGTTGTCTTTCTTTCATGTTCGATGAACATGACTATTTACGAAACCTGCATGAGTTCTACCGTGACCCACCTGCCATAGCCGCTACCAAGAGATCTTGGTATTGTCAATATTTGCTTGTTCTTGCCTTCGGGAAAGCTTTTTTGACACAAAGAAGTCCATCTGGTACACCACCTGGTCATCAATACGCATCGCGGGCTATGGCTCTGTTGCCCAGTTTGTCAGGTGATGACAAAGACCCCTTGGGGGGTATACAGGCACTGAGCCTTGCAGCGGTGTATCTTCAATCAATCGATATGAGATGCGCGGCATTTCAACACGTGGGTGTATTCACCTTCCCCAGGGCCCTGACACTCGACTAATTAATTATGTGAACAGATTGGACAGGCCTTACGTGGTTGCATTCTCGAAGGGATACACAGACATGTACCAGAGGAGATGGGTGGACCAGATCTCTCCAAACGATGCAGAACTATCTTCTGGGTGGTTTACTTACTCGATAGAGAGTTCTCTGCTTTGGTTGGTGCGCCCAGCTCGATCAGAGATGATGATATTACAGTCAAATTGCCAGCAGAGATGGATAATTCAGTAGAACATGTCAACCTAACGTTGCATGTGCGACTTTCTCGGCTTATGGCCACCATTATGACGAGTAAGTCCCTGATACATTTGATGAAGCCCCGACAAGTTTGCTGAATGTCATCCAGCTGTTTACGGAGTTGGCAATTATTTCAACGACACACTTGTTCGAAGCACACAGTCTGTTATTTACAGCATGGCTGAACTTTCTCACGACCTGACCGAATTTCTAAATACTTATTTCCACGGACTGATCAGCCGTGCCTCTAAAATGGCCATTCGTCTAATGTTGGCACATCATCATGTGAGTTACCTCCGAAGTGTAGATTTCATGATGAACTGACAGAAGTAGTGCGTGGTACTTACGACGAGACCGCTCGTGATGTGCGCCCTCCACATGCATATTGAACATATCGAACGAACACAGAGACAGACGTCCCAAATAATAGGATTAGCTCCACCCGTTGCGTCGCTGTTACAGTGCTGTGCCGATTCAGCCCAGACTATTCTCCAGACCCTTCGTACCCTGGCAGATGATGACTTGATGGGTATGGTATCCTCATTAGTATACTTATTCACAGCACTGACTTGAGTCAACAGATGCATTTCTACCGTTTCAGATAGAAGCCGCATTCTCCGCTGGGTTTGTTCTGTACCTAATGCATTCAATCACCCCGTCACTGATATTGAGTGATACTTGGTGCGACAACCTGGAATGCGTGTTGGATAAACTTATTGCAAAGGGCAATTTAGCTGCCCCACTCCGAAAGCTTGAACTCAGGCAGCTGAAGGAATTACTCGCACCCTTGACGCCCACATTGGCTAATGACAGTCTGCCACCAGCTCCTCTGCAAGATGAGAACGAGATCGGCGAGCAATCCTATTCCTTTGACCAGGAGGAGTTTGAGTGGGACATGTTGGCATTGAAATCAACCGTCAGCCTTCCACCGCAAGAGCTGTGGGATCTGGCAGATCAATTGGATGTTGACGGGATTCTGCAGTCAGTCGGGGTATAGGTTCTAGGTAAGGTCTTGCAACTACTAGTACTACTATGTGGGCCTCGTTATGACTTATGACCAGTTATGAAGCCTATAGGCCAAATGACGAAATCCAAGTTTATGGAAGACTATTCTTCCAGATTTCTACAACGAGAGAATGCGGGAAGATGCCATCGTCGGGAAACAAACCGAATCTCGGAAGCTGCACCCGATTTCTCTCGATCGATGTAGACATCCCAGAAGAGCTTTCAGTTCATTCGAGATGTCAGTCATGATTACCTTGAATTCATTCTGTAAACGTCAATAGGTTTTATCTCCAGTCAATTATGGTTCGTGGCGGCAGTACTGTGTAGCCAGCCAGTTCATCAAACAGTGAGTACTCCAAATTTATGGTCTTATCAGGCAGTAGCCGCAGACTCGCAGTATAGATCTCGTCCTGATCAAGATGGCCAAGATGCAGAGTGAGACCAACCTATGGTTGTTCTCCCGTGATCAGTGGCTGATCACTATGTGTTGCATAATAATCTGGTTGTACAGTGTACTGCATAAGATGAAACTGATCCATCCGGTCCTGGTCTAGACTAGATCAAGCCAATCACATGACTCTGATCAAGTTTCCCCGTGGTGGAACTGAAGATCCAATCTGAACCAAGATCAAGTTTGTTTTTCTATACAATTATATACTTCGTTGATAGCCCATAATGTTCATCTCCTTCTTAATTATTGCTTGACAGTTGAAAAAAAGAAAGACAAACCTGTAGAAAGGAAGAATGTACCCCTCGTACATAAACAAGCCACCCCCTTTTTACCACGGGAATAAACATCAAACATCAAACGGTCAGAACACCCGATACAGCTAATTGGCTATCTCCGTAATCTCCCATCTTCATCTCCCTTCCCTCTTTGTCTTTGTTCTGTCTCTTTTCTAAACCCACACTGGAATTCCATTCCCCCCACACTCCCTTCGATCTACACTACCATTCATTCAGTGGACCCCCGTCACTCCTTCATCCCCGTCCAAACACCCAAACCCGAAAAACAAAAACACCACTCCTTACCACCCCCCAAACCAACACACAACCACGATCACAGCAAAATGACCACCCTCCTCACCCTCCTCCGCCGCGACTGCGATGGAGACGAAACAATGTCCAGCTGTACAAAACCCACCAGCTCGGCATTGACAATCGGCGTCCCAGCCGCTATATCAGGGGTGTAAGCACCGCACCCAGCCATCCATAAACAACCACCAAATACCAACGCAACGCAACCCCCCAACTAACGCACTCGGATTACAACAGTCTCCTCCTGACAGCAATTATCGTCCTCATAATACTCTACAAGAAACGCATGGCCCGTGACGACCGCGAAGATCTAGAAGATCGTCGTCGTGGCTCTGGGTTCTATGCGCGCTACGCGACGCAGCGTTTCGGTACTGAGGGTGTCCCGCCGCCGAATAGGAATGTGAATGCTTATCCGGCGGAGTCGCGACGGAGTTCGGGGGATTCGATATTTGATTTTAAGCAAGATCATGGGCCTTATCATCTTGCGCAGTTTAATAGTCCTGAGGTACCGAAGCCGGCTGTTACGAGTAGGGTTGTTGCTTAGGTGGTTGTGAGGTTGGGTTTGCTGTGAGCTTTGTGGAGGTTGGGGAGAGGTTGTGTTATTGTGCTGACTTGAGTTAGATGTTAGATTCCTGCAGGCAGGATTACTTTTCTTTCGAGCCTGTGGCACCTTCTTTATCTACTTTCCTTGGAGGGCTGGTTACTGTTCTATGTATTCTTATGACTTGTCATACATAGCGAATGTCATTCGTGGCTTTGTTACTTTTGAAGTATGCCATTTCTAGGGCTTGTGATCTATGTAGGACGGGACTCACGGGAGTAGATGTTGTAAATAGTACAAATGTGCATTTGGAATTGGCAGCTAGAACGTGCATCTTGAGATCGTTTTCATAAATAATACACTGGGTCACGGACAAGGCCTTTCACTCAGCATTTTCCATAACCTGCTCATCGGTAACATGGCCACTACTAGGCTCCGGGGATGTCTCACCCGTAGGCTGAACATGGAAGTACCCCATCTGGAACAAAACATTCTGCCATTCAGGCCCGGCCGTGTTTTGCACCTTGTAGTAGGGCGTATCGTTAGCGAACCACCGCTCCTTACGAGTGAAGGCTTTATTGCCTCCTTCAAGCGCCGCGCGACTGGCGCGAGTTGTACGTGCTCGCTTCTCGCCGCGCCCATTTTCCTGCGCTGTGAGCGCATACAGCTGCTCACGGTATTGCTGGAGACGTCCGTCGAAGGCCATGATGGCACGGATGTACGGGGCTAGGTCTTCGGTGATCGGTGCGAGGCCATTCTCGAATGAGGGGGCGTGGCGGGCAGTTGGTGTGGGGTTTGAGTAGTTTGCGCGCATTATGGGTTCGAAAATGCGCTGGTATTGAGGTAGAGTGGATGGAGGGGTTGGCGGAGGACTTGCGGAGGTGATGGCTTTGCTCAAGGCGCGGTTTGCGTACAAGTTTTCAAGGTCCTTCGTGCTTGAGGGACGGAAGGTCCGGTTGATCAAGGCATCAAAGGTACTGCCGACCGCTTCACTGAGGGAAGAATATTCGACTTGCAGAGGGGTGTGCAGCAGTGGGTAGCTGTCGAGGTAATTGAACTTATGGCTTTCTGGAAGCGGTGGTCCGGAGATATCAATGGCATCCTGTGCAATAATTAGCTGGTGTTTCTGCGGTTGTATTGATTGTCCACTCACATTGTTCATGTCGACGGACAAGTTAGGGCAAAGCATGTCGAGAGAGCTTCTCATATCATAATAATCCGCTTGGAGGGAGAGCATCTCCAGCTTGCTCGTCCTGGGAAGAAGTTGGAATTGGTCAGGTGGGAGTAATTCCATATCATTCTTCCCAGCCATAGCTTCAGACTCTTGCAAGCCAAGACCCCACGATTGAAAGCTGTTGCGGATGAGTTCTGTCTCTGCGTCCAAGGAACCCCGAGTGAGAAGCATATCACGGTTGAAATAGCCCATGTACCGCTCATAGGTGTTAAGGCTCAAGACCCGAAGTCGATTCCCATCTTGATCAACGTTTGACCCGGGCGGCCAGCTAGGAAGCAGCCAGTCTAGGCCTGCCTTTTCACTGCCAACACCCATCTGACACCAGAAGTTCAGATCCATCAGTGACTTCCGAAGATCCATTCCGGCGCCTTGATAAAGTCGGGTGACGGCCTCCCTCTTCAGCATATGCCCTTCATTCGCGGCAACCAGAAGCAAATAATCCACGCAGAAGTCTGGCGCGGGTTTTTGGTATCGTAGCATAGCATGAAGAGACATTTCCTGGGTAGGGATCAATCCTTCGTCGTTACATGTGATCACGATCGGTCGCCTTGACTGGCTGATGAGGGTCAAGACGCCAGTCCAAAATTGACGGTCTTCTTCAAAAAGAAGATCAGCTTCTTCGAGTAGGATCAGAGACTGCTTTTGCTCTCTAGGTCGTTTGGGCGCCGGTTCGGGGTGGGGACTTTGTTCGCCAGACGCAGAGACCGGCTTCCTGGCTTTTGTCGCCGGGGCTTTGAAGAAGCTCATCAGCTTGTTTTGTTTGGCGTCATCTTTGATGCTGTCTGTTGGACATTCGGATTCGTTGAGAAGATGAACAAGATGATTTTGCGTCATGTCTCCGACTCGCTCCAGCATATCTCGGGCACTTCGTCGACTTCCGGGGTTTATCTCAAAGACCTCGAAGTCAAGCTCCTTTGCAACGGCATAGACGGATGCGGTTTTACCGCAGCCAGCCGGACCACTGAGTAGGATTGCATTGGCCATTGGAATCCTTTCTGCTCCATGTGAAGCAGATGCCATATCACCCGATCTGACGACAGTCCTACGCGGTGTCGTAGTCACGCCCCCCGCTAATTCATCATCGGAACCCGACAGAGCATCCATCTCAGATAGCTCATCGTCGCTTGAAACAACAAAATCATCAAGTTTGTTTACCTTTCGCTTCTTCGCCCTTTTCTCGCGCTTCAATTTCGATTGTGTAGATTCTTTCGAGCCTTTGCCGGTGTCCACCGCGGTGATCTTGAGATTTCGTAGCCAATTTCGAAGCACTTGGGGTTCACGGCCAAGCTGGAGAACATCTTCAGCGGCTTGGGGGGCGTACTTGTGTGTCCAAAGCTGCTGTTCGTAAGTTGCAGAATCAAAAGCCGACACTGCAGTGAGTAGGGCCGACTGAAGTCTAGCGAGAGGCGGAGAGGAAGAGTCCCAAGAAAGTCGTCCGTTTGGTGAGGACCAGGACATCTGCCTTTCCATTGCCGTGTGCAGTACTTGGCTGCTGGCAACATTTCGCACGGGGTGTCGGAGGATAGCTGGACTGTTCGGGTCCTCCTTGGGTAGGCAGGCGATCCGCCTTGCCTCGGCTGTTCCGGCCAGAAGGACGTTTTCATCATCATGGATAGAAACGGCTGCAACCTTTGATTTCTTTTGGTCTTGAGTAGCATGCCAGGCACGATCATTGATACCTGCGGCCGCTTGAATGTCTCTCACGTGCATTAGATCTTGTGGCGGCCAAAGTGGATGAAGCAGTTCGGGAAACTTCGACGTACGACGGGGGAGTCCAGTAAAAGAGCTCCCCCAAGCTGCTACTACCCGCTTCCTGTCTGGAGCAGCCGAAGTGGCTTGGGTCGGAACTACGCTGGCTCCAGGGTCTGACGTTTCCAATTGACCATTTTTCGATGTAGCCCCGGACGTTTGTGTCGAACCTTTGTTGAAGAATGGGTGGGTCGGCTTCTGGGGTTGTGGCTTTGTCTTGCGCGGCTGGGCCGATGTTATGGGAGCTGGGGGCTTATGGACTGCTTGCCCACTCAGGATGTCGTCAATCAACTTCCCAAGGTTTCGCTCCGTGCCAAGGTTATATTTCATTGTAACCAATTTGCGCTCCCCTTTTTTATGCCTCCGCCGCTTCCCCGTCGCTTTTCGGTTTGTCTCTGGAGGGGGACTGCTGCCAGTTGCGGAAAGGAAACCTCCCTTCGAATTCAATTTCAAGGTCTTTTGCTTCACTGAACTCCCGCCAGTTTTGCCCTCCGGTTTCTCATCCTCTGTCGATGGCTGGGCGCTATTTGTAGGATGTTGGATTTCCGCCGGCGGAGCCTGAGGTGGATGCGTAGGCAGATTGACGTCGGTCTCAAACGAGCCATCAACAGATGAAGGTGCAGATGGTGCTATGCCAAGCCATTCTGAGAGCCCTCTCTTGGAAGTACCGAGGGGCTCCGTTGTTTGGGGGTCGTCCGTCCTTCGCCTCTTTCTCCGGTCCCCGTTTGGGTCTTCCACAAGGTCCACAGAGCTCGCATTGCTTGATTCGGGGCCGTAGGTTCCGTGATTTTCTGAGGCGTGGAACTCCTGTTCATATGCAGGTCTCTCGTGAGGCTCGTTTGGTTCGGTATCCACCAAGATTGGATCATTAGAGGGCGTAGATTTCACTGCCACTCCAAATTCTATACAGGGTCAGTCACTGTGAGCATGGGGCTATAGGATATATTCTGACCTTGTCGAAAGAAGGGATGTATAACATGCTGTTCGTTGGTTCCCATAGCCATTGGTAGATTGGATGCAATGCGCCTGTGATGGCCAATCGATGACCTCCGAGGAGAGATCAGGGAGAAAGACAATATCTCAGATATACCATTGAGGTGGCAGACAAGTGATATTCGGTGTATAGCAGATTCGTGAGGGAAGAATCGTCGAGATCGCTCCCATATAGCTTCGAACACGTCCAACGCGAAAGGCCCGCGGCGCGTTAATGGCTTATGTCATGCTTCGCGGGCCTGCGCTAGCCTGATATGGCCTAAATGGTGGGTCTCCCGGCCCGACGTAATCCCGAAAATTTTTCAGATTTCCAATTTGGATGGGTCAAATCAAAAAGATCATACGCTTTGAAGGGCAGGAAATCAAGCAGTTTGTGATTTCCCTTTTCATTTCGTCATGGATTTGCAGTCTCCTTCTGTCCTGGCGCAATTGCCTCGCCCTCTTCACGCCTCTACCGGCAAGACATGGATCGGCGATGTCTTCAGTCTCGCCGATGCGAAAAAACGGAAGCGCTATGAAGTCGCAGTTGCTGTGGATGGTGAGGCTGTGAACATCTACAACGTATGTACCTCTTTTCTCACGGTTCTACTCTGTCTCGTCTATATTTAACATATATCTCTAGGTTCAAACACCAAAGCTCGTGACCTCCTACGCCGTCCCGCCACAATCTACTTTTTCCTGCCGCCCATGCTCAGTCCGCAGGAAGCTATCAAAGAAATCAACGGTCCGGAGACAGACTTATACTGCTGTCACTAAGCCTGAACATCAAATTAAATGCTTTGTGGAGGAGATTGGCAGCAACAGCTCAAGCGCCCCAGTCATTTCTTCCTCAGCTACCACCGTGACCGACTCGATTAGCCCAACGACTTTTGTCGGCATTGTTCCTTCTAGCACTGATGTTGATGGAGAGGCGGATCCATTCGATATCCTTGCAGTTCACGAAGACGGTCGTGTGCGCAGGCTGTCGTCAGATCTGAAGACCCAGCGATGGAGCATTCAGCACAGCGAGATCGCCAAGGTCTGCTCCACTCACAATGTTCAATCCAGCTTTTTGGTGGAATTTGATGATGCGAAGAAGGCTTTGTTCAAAAGACGGCAGGACTTGGCTTCGCTGGCATTGGGCGACCTGACCACTTCTGGAGTCAACGAGCCATCCATCTTGCTTCTGGTATCACAGCCGAAGAATGCTGGCCGAGTTTTACTCAAAGACATCATTGTTCAAATGTTCTCGGTCCCCGCGCATGCGAAGTCGGAGTCTCGCTTGGACGAAAGTCAGCGTCTGCACCATCTGCAAACGTTCCATATCCCGGATGTTAGCGGCCTGGAAACCACCAATAGCAATAATATGCAGTGGAGCTTCCATTCTGGCTCAGCAGGGCTGAATCTTTCTTTCGAGAAGGGTTTCATCAATGTTGATCTTTCTCAGTACTCCCCCTCCGTTACATCGCAGTTCGTCCTCGACGATGAGGAATTCTCATCGGTCATGCGCATTTCTCCACAAACCGTTATTGGAGCACAACAGTCTCTTGTGGCGGTCTACGATACCCAGTACAATTCCGTGCAGCGCAGCATTCCAGCCGGTGATCTCCTGTCCAGTACCGGATCGGCCCTAGAGACCCCGACAATTTTCATCAGCTACTTCGCCAAGCTTGGCATTGCTGTCGCAACCAAGGGAAATACTCTTATTGCGTTTGACTTGAGCTCTCTCCCCAGTGCGCCCAGCTCCTCGCTAAAGCGGACAAGAGATAGTTTGCTCATCGATGCCATCGGCAGGGGCATTGGCTCATCGGGCGCACAGTGGGATATTTCGTCGAAGAAGCACCGATCTGACAACATGGCCTCCCTTCGACTTTCGTCACCTGAGCAGGTTGAGAAATGGACTGATCTTACGAAAGCGATTGAGAAGGCGACCAAAGCAAAGAACGTTGACTTGTTCGATAATGCAGTTTTGACATACTTCAGCACCTCTGATGCCTCGACAATACTCCCAACCCGTGGACAATACGTCAATCCTGAAGCAATTCTCTTCTTGCTATCAAAGATCTTTGCCGTGGAGGCGTCCACCACGACTGACACAGTGTCGGCGTCTCCTTCATTCAAACTGCGCGTTGCAATGTGGCCCCCGACAACTTGCGACTGGCTCATCCGCTTGGGACATCTGTCCCTCGACAATGTTGAGATTGCGCTCCGCCGCGCGTCTAAGCCACGTATTCTGCAGTCATTCCCTACCGGGTCATTCATTCAGGCTCTCCTCGATTCAGACCCATCCCTGAAGCAGGTCAACCAAGTGCTTGAGGGTCCCACATTGATCTCTTCCGACGAATTGGCTTACGCGCTGAAGGCATTTTTGAACCAGGCGCGGTCTCACTCTGGTACCCTTGAAGAGACAGCGCGAGCAATCACAAGCGGTGTTCTTGCCACTCCTACGCAAGAGCTTGCAAAGCAACTGGGTGCTGAGACGGCGACTCTGAAGGATATCTTTGCCGGCTTGAACACTTCCCTCCGAAAAATACACTCGCAGCCTGCTTCAGTAGTGGTTCATTCCCTCCGCTCCAATCTCTCGCGGACGGAACTCATCTCTATGGTCCACCACCTCCGCCTTTCCCTGGCCACCGGAGGTTACACCTCTCGCTTCACCGAAAACCCCCCTACACCTATCACCCTCGACCAAATCACACCCTCCCTTTCTCTCAATGTCATCGTTGACCTCATCACTGCCTCTGTGGATGCCGTGGGCCCCTCCGGCTGGATCTCGGCCATCCCGGCATCGGGCGACTTCGAAGATTCCGACTCAGTCGCCGCTGCTAACCGTGAAATGGAATTGATCGCAGACATGAAATCCGAGGTTTCTGCCGCTCTCGCCGGAGTGGAAGAGGCCACTCATCTCAAGGGTGTCTTGCGTGAATATCTTCGTTTCGCAGACCAAGTTGCCACCTCCGCAACAAGCTCCGAGGATGCCCTGGCCAAGATTGATGCCGAAGCTTCCGCCCCGTCTCACCTCGTCCGTTACGAGAAGCTCAATGGTGCCGACTTGCTGGTGTTCACCCGGCCCGGTGAAGGAGAGGATGGCTACGATGGCGATGCCGGTGGCAAGATGCTGCCGCTGTCCCTCAAGGCTGCTTCTACTGATGTCTCCCGCACCAAGACCAAAAAGTCCACCGGTGAGGTCAAGAACCGCACCAGTCGTGAGATTGGATACTTGCGCCGCAAGGCTGTCGGCAAGTACTCCTTTGAGAGACTCATTGTCTGAGGTCTTGACTTCATTTCCTGTTATTTTACTGTAAATTCAATATGGAGACAATATCCTAGGAGTTAGAGGTGAATACAATATATCTTACCTAGGTTTGCCACGCAGTATCTCATTATTCCTTCCACCTAGGTATCTTTTCATGGTTGTATGGACCTGGTCTCCGGGCGATGTACTCCATTGACCCGACCCTTGCATATACCTAAAGTGCCCGTAGTACTCGATGATCAATGCCCGGAACCTTGCAGCTATATAATGGAACCTACCTAGTGTCCCTGGGACTGCCCGGCGTTGAAACTCTTTTCGATCATGTTGAACTTTTACTTGAGTCATGAACTCGAGTACATGAATGCTATCTATTCTTTGAACGGATATGCCTTGCACTTCAATGCCAATCTTCTTCATTTGGATACTGAGGTAAGATCGGCCAAGGAATAAGACTAAGTGGGACTAGCCAGCGCATTAGGCTTCAAAGGGGCTCAATAACTAGTGTTGGGGCAATTGAAGGTGTTAACCTAGGAAGATAGTATTGAGATAGATAGTAGAAACCAGGGTTAAGTACATAGTATGTAGTTGAGTAGATATAGCAGACATAGTAGAGATATACAAATGAGATCTCACCAAATAAAATCCCGATCTGGAGAAAGTAAACAAAGCTGACAACAAGTAAACAAGGAGCTTGAGTGGGGAATAGATTGGACACCGCATCTCCGCACTTCCCACCTCAAATTTGTTTCTTTTATTAGCCTCAATGCCTCTCGAGTCTTGTTATGTTGACCGACGCGTACCGGCATAACAAAGATGAGCAACCAACCATGGCTGGACAGTCTGTCAGACGATTGGCCCTCTCCAGCTTCACCCACCACTCCCATACCGCAACCAATCCTCCCCGACTCCCCCAAAATTACTAGTCAACAGGGTACCCCGAGTCGCATTCCTGTCCCTGCACGGCGTTCCTTAGAACAACAATCACCGGGAAGCAACAAGAAAGTTACCCGACCATGTCATTTTCATAGAAGAGAACCTCCCACTCCGAAGACTCCACGAACCCCCAAAACACGGAAACCACGATCGCCTGCTCCGGGTAAAACGACATATACTCCCAAGGCGAGCCCAAGAGTCAATTCTCGCCACAGCCCCAAGGTCACTCCGAAACCCACCCCAGGTGCGGCACGCAAGCAGCCCACTATGGATACGCGCTCCCCTCTACGATCGGTATCGAATGTCTCCAACACCTCCAACCAGTCTGAATTCGACGGTACGGTTCAGATCAAAGCGAGGAAGGACACAGAAACAAAGGAAGGGACGCCAGAATGGCGCAGGCGGTTGTTGCGCGGGGAAATCGCTGCTGGTGAGGCGCGGGATTTGTTCGCGCCGATGGGACTTGAGAGCGTGTTTAAGCCGCCGACACCAACTACTGGCGCAGAGCGTAAGGGCGTTTCTCCATTCACGAAGCAAGATGACCATTTATGGGATTTCGCCGACACACCTCCGCGACAGAGTAGCGATGGGAACAGTAGTCGCGACGATGAGCCCGAACGTGTCAACAAGGAGAACGAAAAGGAAGAGGAGGACCAATCGCCACAAGGGACCGTCAATCGCGCCCCATGGGACAATAATGGGGAACGGGACGCGCGTTGGGGTCAGGAAGGGTCATCACAAGTAGGGAACACGCAACTACGAACTGCCAGTGGGCTGGAGGATTTGCGCAACGAAGGACTCACACCCATCATCTTCTCTCGAAACAACACTGTGGATGGAAAGGCGACCCCGGAAGTTATCAAGTCTGCATTGAAACAGGTCACCGACAAGTTGGAAAGCCTTTCTATCGACAAGGACAGTCGCGCAGGTTCTCCAGCCAGCGATAGCTTCCTTTTCTACAATCACAGCGAACCTCGCCCAGACGCGTCTCCCCGAGATGACAGTTTGCTGGACGTGACAAGTCACTCTCTGCCACAAGATCTGTCTATGGGAACGGTGGAATTTAACAGCCGTAGAGGAAATCGCTCCTTCCCTCGTCGCTTCTCTCCTTCGCCCTTGCCTTCACATTTTTTGTCCCCCACAGTCCTCGCCAATTCTAAAATCCGAAGTTCCCCTCTCTTCAACCCCCCTAATAAGACAGCGTCACCCGGCCTACCGCGTCCCTCTTCGTCTCATGTCCGTCCATCTACGGCAGGAGCCGAGACCGAGGCCAAAATGCCGTCATCAGGGAGTCCCCTGAAGTTATTCGGTGACCACGACACATTTACCAATAACAGACTTCTTCGACGAATGAGCCAGTTCGAGGACGATTTTAGCGACGCGTCAGAAGGGGAAGAGCCCCCTTCGCCCTCGGAAGAAGCGCGAAGGAAAGGTGAAAACCGCGGCTTTTTGAACGCAAGACATGAACCGCTGCAGGAGATCTCGTCGAGGCGCAATGAACGCGTCGGATCTCGCAATGCTGCACATCGAATCAGCCAGTTTGGAGGTGGTGAATTGGACAAATTTGATTTCTCGGACAACAGCCCCTACGAACACAAATTGGTCTATGATGAGGCCGCGGGATTTGGCTCTCGACCATCTTCACGCAAGCGATCATCAACCCGGCAAAAATATCTTCGGGGCCCCTCTCAACAATTGTCTCATTACAGCCGATCAGCAAGTTCCGGTTTCACTCGGAAGCCATCGGCATGGATGCGCCAGGATTTCTTTGATGATGTGCGACATGGGAATCGGCCACACAATAAGGAAAACATGGCTCCTGATGTCAAGCGAGTACCGAAGGCCGCCGGCTTGGATCCTGTCCCCAAACGCCGTCGAACGATCATGAGAAACATCAGCGCCGAGCCCCATCACAATGCCGACGGCGTGTCCCCGCAGAAATTCGGCGACAGCATGTCGCTTTTGCAACGAAGTCTCATGCAACATGGTGTACAGATAGAGAATAGTGACTATCTCGCGCCGCCGGGCCATTCCCAATCCATGCAGCGACCTCGAACACCCACACCAAGTCAAATACGGACCGATGGGGAAAGTCATGTCGCACCGCGCAGGGACTTTTCAGAGTCCAATTTCGATAACACTGATTATTCCGATTCATTCTCCCTCGATGGTGATATTCCACTGGTGAAGATCACCGGCACCAGCGATACTTCGCGGAAAGGATCCATCACCACTCAGGATTATTTGAATGAAGCCACCAAGATCATGGATTTCATCAGATCAAAGGGAAGAGACGTCGGTGCCTTGACAAGTCTGCACGAATCTGACGTGGAAAGCGAGGAAGACTTCAGTTATGACGATGATTCTACCCGAGAAGCATTCTCTCGCCCTCCCAGTCGGGACGGGACCGACCTTCGCAAGTTAAGGGAGGTGAAGGAATTGAATCCGACTATTTTGAGCCATCTAAAAAAATATCAAGAGCAGGATGATCACGACGATCGCGAGATGTCTCTGCATGCCTCCCAGGGCCAGGATGAGGGTCAAACCGAACTCGGTGAACACAGGTCACAGAACATTCGAATTCAGGGGCCGCGAAAACGAAAAACCAGTGGGATGGCCGACGACACGGCGGAAAACATCGCCCATGATCTGATGACTATCAACACACAAATGTCTGGTTTCAGCGTTACTTCCGTGCCCACAGGCAGTTCGCAAGGCTCTCATGTGAAAGGCGTGCTGGCTTCTGATATTGTAGCCCATCTTATTCCAAGTGAAGTCAATGGCTTCAAGTATGATCGTTCGAAGAATCAGTGGGTGAAGGATGAGGTGGAAGAACAACAGGCGCCCGTCTCTGAACCTGCCGAGGAGGCTGATGACCCGTTCAGAGATATCCCGGATCTCAGTGTGGACGAGCTACAAGAGATGATGAGAGTCCATGGCCTCAGTTCTCCTACTAAGGCTGACGCCGAAGTCAAAGACCAAAACAAGGCCCGCAGTCCTTTGGCTACGAGAACATCCCTTAAGAGGCCCGATGGTCGACCCCACACGAGAAACGGGGAGCCTTCTGTCGGTACAAGCTCAGTTCAATCAAGGTTTACTCGCTTCACGGCGAGTGTTCCTAATCCTGGGACGAGAGCTACGTCATGGGACACCGACGAGGCAACGGGGAGGGAGCCGTCCGGACAGGAGAGACTCGAGGCTCAACACCCGGAGCCACTGTCTTCAAAAAATCCCAACTCCCAAGGGAAGCAAGCACGTGTCGCGACAGTCAACCTCTCGTCGCCGCTTGTTTCACGCTCCTCCTCCACGGAGGAATCTCATGATGCCCAGCCCAACCTGCAGCCGAATCACGCTCAACATGGGACTGTACCAGATGAGGGTAACACGCAGGCAGGCCTCGGAAGTGTCTCCACACGTCTCTCAGCACCCCCCACGGCACGTCAAACATCGGTTGGTGGACAGCCGTTCATCCGGCGTCCCATCTCAAGGATTGAAGAGAGGAACGAGGAGAATGGTGATGAACAAAGCCTCGTCCGCAGGAACGAGTCAGTTCAGGTTCAAGAGACGCCGGTAAGAACAGAAACCGGGCAATCACTGATGCCTCCCCAGAGCGCCGGGCTCGACACGAGCTACAGCTTTCATCTCAGTCCACTTGCGGACTTTACCGTCAACCAAGGCGACCAGCCACTGAACCTTGAAATGAGCTACGTGGCTCAGCGCACAAACCCGTCTTCTTTGCGACAAGTGCATGGGACATTCGCATTGGCGGTTGAAGCTTTGATTAAGCATATCACTGATGTGGAGCCATATGAGCCTTATTGGGAGCATGTTCGCCGCTTAGTGTTGCGCCAGAAGGGGCTCATCACACTACACAAGCTGAACGAATTCTGCCCTCGATTAGAAGAGCTGGATGTTTCGGATAACGAGATCGGCCAATTGAGTGGCATTCCCTCCACCCTGAGGACTCTCAAAATTCCCAGAAACTGCCTTTCCAATCTTACTCCCTGGGGTCACATGGTGAATCTGCAGTATCTGGACGTTTCAGGAAACGATATTGAGACATTGGACGGCTTCTCAAGCTTGATCCATCTCCGCGAGTTGAAGGCGAATGACAACCGGATCCGCAACATTGATGGGATCCTCGATCTCAATGGCCTGCTTAGCCTGAAGCTGAGCAACAACTCTGTCACTGCAGTAGACTTTGAGGGGTCCGAATTGACCCGTCTTCGTGACCTCGACTTGAGCCACAACTGTCTGACATCTGTTCGGAACGTTGAATGGCTTCCGTCACTTGCCACTCTGGATCTCAGCGCCAACCACATCACCCAGTTCGACTCTCCTGCTTCTCTTATCAGCTTACGCGCTCTCAAGCTCTCCGAAAATCGCTTGAATGCTTTGGATGCACGAGCCTTCCCGTCTATCAGCCTTCTCTATCTTGATGAGAACCATCTTTCTACCGTGACTGGCCTTGAGAATTGTCACAATCTCGAGGTGCTATCTCTCCGAGAGCAGACGCCGTGTACAGAAGACGACCATGAGTTCAGGGTGGATATTGATTTGGGAGTCGTCAAGGATGTTCGCAAAGTCTTTTTGTCATCGAACAGACTTTCTGCCCAGACTGTTTCTCCCTCTGCTCCACTCCTGCGACTCCAACTTCTTGATCTCGCTGCCTGCGCACTGAAGGGCCTCCCGGGCGATTTTGCGATGAGCTTCCCGAATGTCAAGGTCCTGAACTTGAACTTCAACTCTATTGATGGGGTTGAGCCACTGGTCGGAATGAACTGCCTCGCTAGACTGATGATCGCTGGCAACCGTCTCTCAAGGATGAGAAGGGTTTGTCAGATTCTCAGTCGTTTAGGCAGAACTGGAAAAGGAACCGCATGTTCCTTGAGAAAGCTGGATCTTCGTGGAAACCCATTGACGGTTGGTTTCTACCCCCAGCGGTGACTGGGAGTGGAAATGCCGATCGCAAGAAGTTGAAGTACCAAGACAAAGCCATCGTCCGGCACCAGAAAAATTACCAGGATCTCTCTGACGCCCTAGCTGAGCTCGGAAACGACGAGCAGATCTCCCATCGCGCCGCAATGGGGGATGATCCCAAGGCAGACAGAGAAACCGAAATCAACGACCCGTTCACTCTCCCACTCGCAGACCAGCAAGCCGATGTGAAGTATCTCAGGAACCTCGACCAAGCCACACGGCTCCGCCGTAGAGTCCTGGAGCTCTTGCTTTACGCCGGCACAAGCGGCTCCCTCCATACATTTGATGGCTTGGCTCTTCGACCAGTGCTTGGCGATGAGCGTTCGGACATGAACAAAGCCTGGGAGAGACTGGAACATCTCGGCGTACTGCGAAGGAGGGCGATTCAAAATTAAGCGCTGTTATTTGTTATTATTTGAGTTTCCTTTCATCATGCGAGGAGCGTGATTCGAGCATTGTCGGAAGCGTGTATGGAGTTTTGTGAGTCCTTGAGTGGATTTGGCTACTCTTGGGCTTTGGTTTACACAGCGTAGCGCATTATTGGAGTTTGGTATACAATCAAGAGTGGCATTACGGATACTTACTGGCTCCTTGCCTATTCTGGGCTTTTCAGGTTCTTTTGCTTGTATTTGTATTCAATATCATCTAGGTTCAGGTGTCTAATGTGACCTTCGTTGCCCGCGTAATAGTTAGATGCGGACCGGGAGTAATGGGGAAGACCAACCCATTGCACGTGAGAGCTCTCCTCTTCGTAACCGGACACTTAACACGGATGATCTCTCACACGCTTGTCGGTGGAATAATCTAGGTAGTATCTGCGTGTTAGTTGCTCGATTAAGACCATGACATGGGCGAGAAACCGTTCTCTTCGCCTCATTGCTCTTGCACAGATCAGGATCTGGTAAATTTGTATGGCAGATATAGATGCTAAGACGGTATCTGAGACGTTTGTGTCGCAATCTACTCTGTAGGCTGAGAGTCTTAGTGTGATACGCGGAATGGGGATTTGAATATGGGATCGTGAATTCAACTGAACGAAAATTATCTCCAAGAATGAGGAGCAGGACTGTAGGACTATGTACATTCACCCGGACACCAGGCAGCGAGAAAGTCAACATGTTCAAGGCAAGTGAGCACAGCTTATATCATGGAAGTCTCCAGGGCCGATCCTTACAGGCCCCTGAGCCGCAGCTACCATGCACCAGCCACGCCTCGCAACAATCCTTTTTCTGGCACGTTGCCACGTTTACGAAGACAACGGAGAGTCGGACGGGAAGGGAGAATAGTTAATGCTAGACGCCTCATCTTTGAAGATATCGCCCCCGGTGCTGTCGTTTTCTCCGACTCCCACCCGGCACCGGGGGCGGTATCTACCAAGGAATCTCAGACAAGCAGATGCGGAGTCAGTTCCGTGGTGAAGCCATCTACATCGCCGAAACCGACGTTCACTTCCCCCAGCTCTCCGTCGGAGATACCCTGAAGTTCGCTGCTATGGCTCGCGCTCCCCGCAACCGTTTGGCGGGGGTCTCCGCGACCAGTACGCGGAGCACATGCGTGATGTCGTCATGGCTATGCTGGGTTGTCTCGCTGAGAGCTCCTTCCCTCGCCAAAACGCCAAGCCCCTGATAGCCGCATTTCGGTGCCGCTGGATGCGATGCTTACGCGCTTCCGCTCACCACCAGAAACTCCACGGACAAAATCGTTGCCCACCTGCGTGTTCATGGTGTGGGTCAGACCATTTCCAATTTCCCCTCGTTAAGGTCAACACCAGCACGACCCGGATCGACCCCCCAATCGTCTTTTTCCCACTCCACACTCTCCACGTGCTATAATATGGAGGAGAGTCGATGGGAGGAAAGTATGGGAACAAAGAAGCGACGAAAGTGGACTCTTGGAGCCTATGAGCCACTTAACGGCTCAAGAGGTACGCCACAACTCCATAATCTCCTGGGCTGTGACGTGAAGTCAACATCGGTTGCCGCTATTGACACGGTCGTCTTCCATGCTTCTCGATGGTTCGAAGTCCGCATGGGCGGTCCTCGCATCAAGACCGAGCCAGGATCTAATGGCTTGTTAGATGGCCAACCTGGACTGCCGCAGATGACCACACCCAGGCCCCCGCATAGTACTGCGGAATTGACTGGCGTACAGATAGCACATCGCTTAACCCTCAATCGGCCCGCGACCGTGCTGCAAATGCTCTCCACCAGAAGTACGGCGCCGCCGCTGCGAACTCGGTGCACCATGCGCGGGTAGCTTGGTTCTTGCTTTATCTGTGGTATCTGTCCGTGTGCATTCGGATGCATCTGCGGATATCCTTGTCCACCTTGAGCCTGCGCTTGCATGGACAGACCGATGGGGCAGACGACGCCATTGTCCCTTCCCGAACTATCGAGACCAGAGTCATCACAACCACAGTCCGCGGCCGTGTCGTCAACCATTTCAGAGTCACCCTCGAGGCCGAGTCTTGAGTCTTCCAAGCCATCCAATTCGTGGTTTTCTTAGATCTGACTCTCGGTTCATGGTTGGAGCTTGGGCGCCAGATTCGACGAAGCCAGATGTTCCATCTCCATGCTAGGCGTACCCGCCGAGCACGAGACACTATCCCAAATTGCCGAAGCAGTCGACGATAGGGCAGCCCCAGACACGCTAGGTCCCAAGACTGATGGATGTGGTGGTAACACCAGCCATGGTAAGCCGCCAAGTCACAGTGGAATATATACCGACAGATGTAATTCTCATCGTCAGACGCATCGGTTTCATTTTCGCTGTAAGAATCTTCGCCGTGAGAATCTTCGCCGTCAGGTATGCGACAGGCTTCTTGGGCCTCTTGAGGGGTGCCGTGTTCGATTTCCCGCTAAGAAATGCCTCCTCAAGTCGATGACCTCTGCAGCGATGAGACGGAGTCGAAAGGAGTCACGTCATCACGGGGATGTCGACGCAAGATTGGAGGATTGGGAGGATTTCAGATTCCCGACCTCCCCGATCTGCCGAGCCCGAGACATTATCCGAAGACGACTGAGCAGTCAACGGCGCGGCGGCGACAACTCCCAGGTACGGGCCGATCATCTGCAACTCGATGCGTTTCTATGGAGAGCGAAGGGGTCAGCGGTCTGATCACACAGTTTGCCTTGCATGTGGGTTGAATGGGGGCAGACGTACCTACATCGCGGATGAGTGTGGAGCTTTTTGCCAATCTGCTGCATTATTTTATTCTGACCACCACTGGGTCATGAAGAGTCGCGCCGCCAGGGTAGCTCATGGCGTCCTCCGACTGGGTTTTGCGCGGCTCGCCGTTTCAAGGACTCGGATGGAGCGAGGCCCGTATTAAACCCTCCCGTGGGCGGGATTGAAAAGCCCTTGGGACAAGACACATTTCGTGGCTGGAAGAGCTCATCAGCTCTTCCTGTGTCACGGTGACGCCAAGTGAGGCGTTCAGATGAAAGTCACGGTCGTCATCCTAGACGTCGAGTTACTAAAAACCGACAAAAGGCAAGGTGCAAATAGGAGCACCTGGGAAGTCTGGTGGACTTACTCTTCTCCGGCCTTGGGCCGCGTCCCTGCAGTTTGTTTCATGGTTAAATGATGCGTCCTTCGAACAGAATGCATGGGGGCAGTCATTACCAATTGCCTTTGCCACCTCCGTCTGTCTTTGTCTTGCGAGGGTCGGCATTAGTTGGGCCTGTCTTGCCGAAGTATGATGTGACCATCAAGTTGAACAGTGTGCCTATCTTCGTTTCGTGGCGACAGGTCATCACAGGTGATGACTCGCTCGGGCAAGGGGTCTAAGTGCCGCAGAAGTCTCTCCTCGGCTCTGTCGTCGAGGAGATACCGAATCTTGGCCAACCAGGTCTCCTCATCCTGTGCAGCCATATGGGGCATCGATCACAGTGCGGAGGTCATCGACTCGACGGCGGATCAACAGTGGTCATCGGACGTCCTAGGGAGCAAAAGAAGTAAGCGATGAGATCACGTAAGTGGATTGACATCCTTGTTGGACGAGTGGCCGTCACAGCGGCGGCGTCACTTACTCCTCAAACGCGTGCTTAGAGCAGGCACCTTGACACCCCTCACTGCCGTGGATGAGCTACCGATGAGGTCTGTGCGTGGTGTCCCTCGAATTCTGACTGCTAGCGACACACGGGCTATGACTAGCTTGGGCATGGCTTCCCCACGTCAAGAATATTGAGTCGTCGACGGGGCCCCCCAGCAGCCTGACGAACAAACCGCCGAAACCCCTCAGCTTCTGTTGCGTGTAATGACAAACCGAAAGGATGCGTGTCATGACAAATCCAAAGGACGCGACAGTGAGCTCAAGGCAGGACTTGAGACTATTGGGTAGGAGTAAGTATCGAGATCCGACTGATGGAGTTGCATCCTTGTCAGACGATTGGGCATTACTTACTGCACGGAAGCTTGTTTCAATCCCTGAAGTCTTTCCCACCGAGCCCCAAGTGGTCGGCGTTGTCAATCACCTCGATGTCCGCGTCGTCTGCAGTCGTCAGTATCAGCTTTCGTGATGGAGATAGTTGGCGGACAGGGAGTGATGAGTTTGAAAGAGATGGAATGAGTGAAAAAAGATGGAAGGATTCTGACCAAGAGAGACGAGGGGTTGAGGGCCCCTCGAGGCAGCTGAGGGAAGTACCCGCTTGGGGCCCTTGATTTGGTACTCGGCCGTCATGAGGCGCCTCATCAATCGATTCCGCTCATCAGACCAATTAGGAACCTCGTGGTGGCAGGTGTATTGATTGGTCTGAGGATGAAGGTTGACGGGGGGATGGATCGAGAAAGGGGAAGATATAGTGAGAGGGATGGAGGGCACGACTAGCACGTGAAAAATACGAGACCAGCAAATTGCCAGAGCAACCATGTGAAGCATTGAATATGACAGCCTTGGAACAACATACGCGCTTCCTATCTTGGACATGAACGGACCGCTTAAGGCGAGCGCATTGGAGGTTTGTGGCACATTCTTCTGTGAGGCTCCGTTGCATGTCACACTTGACGACGACATCATATGCATGGCGAATGCATCAAACGACACTCTACATGCTGCAGGGGTCAATGGCTCGTATAATTTCTCGTTGGTACCTCGACAACAGATTTACATACACGGTTCGGGCATATTAGTCGCCCGGTGGACGCTTTACTTGAAGTAAGTCATATCCTATTCCTGCATTCCCACCGTATTGGTTATAGGTATTGTCAAAACGAAGTCCTCGAAATACGACAGTAATTCAAGCGAAATGCAAGCGGAATGCAAACGACAAACGAATCCAAACCTGTCACACCAACCTCTTTCATATCCATCTGCCGTAATCTGTCGTCAGTTGCTGTTTCAGCGAAGTATGCATTACACCTGGGCAGCATACTGTATATTTGAATGTCTTTTCGAGCATTTTGGCCGGCTCTTCGTTATCAACGGGAAAGACCGTACAGTGGGCTTCCTTGTAAGTCAGTTTTCGTCTTATAATTCGTCAGACTTTGGGCCTCATTCTACGTTCAAGGTGAACGCGTCCATATTCCATCCCTCCTAGGCCAACTCCTGAGTCCTGTCTATCAAGGCGGGATAATCACCCTATTTGGCAGGTGGGTAGCTAATAAGCCTTACCTTGCGCATTATGGGGGTTTCCGGCAGGAGCATGATTTACTGGATGGTACGTGGTGTTGTCATTGTTCTGGTGAAACAGTAGTAGACACTAGACTAGGTAACTATTGAAGAGGGGAACGATCAAGGCTGTGTGCTCTGAGGCACACGGGTCGATTCCGCAGGTACCACTCAGCATAGCCATCAGACTAGAAGGAGCAACGATGTTAGGCGCTTGCGCACAAGCAGTTTAAATAGGAGATGTGTAGGAATGTGAGCTTTCTACGGCTATGCTACTATTCAAGTCGCCGACTCTCGCATTCTACAATATCCTCTCTTGGATGTAGGTGCGGAAGATGTCCAGCCCTCAATTTTTGATTCTATAATATCTAAGCAACTCGACTGGTACATTGAATAAACTTGTCCCGCGATCACCAGTGCAGCCTACTGCACAGCATGATATAAATATCGTCCGGTTCACGAAGTTAGCTGGGGAGGCAGGATCTCATGGCAAAGGAGTGAGTCCAATCTCCGTTATGACCTCTCGGAAGAAGGAATGTCAAATTCAAGCCGATCGCTGCCCTTGGAGCCTGAGGCAATTGCGCCGTTAAGAAGGTCGTCCTTAGTGAGACAAATGGGCCGTTTGAACGGCCCATGAACCGGGAAAATTTGGTTGCTCCAGATCATGTATGCACTGCCTGTATAATTTCGTCCCCAGAGTTCGTGGCTTCGCCGGGAAAAAGTCATAAGAAGAACCTTACGCGCCCCCACTCCTTCCAGCCAATGTTTCGCATCTTCAACAAGACTGAAGACTTAAATATGTCTTGCAGCCAACCTCAATAACGACACTTGGTTCCTGTGAACTGGGAGTCTGGGACTTCCGAAGTAAGAGATGTGTCGAAGCAGGGTCGCTCCTTGCCAGGACAAGCTCACGTGATCGGACTTGCTCCTGTGCGCGGAACGGCGCTTGTATGTTCCGGAGAAGACAAGTGGAAGAAAATCTCCATATCTGTTACGTCCCTCTACCCACGAGTGCCTCACAGAGGACTTGGACCTGGATTCTGCCAAGTCACGTGGCGGTCAGGCTTGACCGGCCACGTGACCCGGCTTGGGCTCTCCACAACAGAGACTTAGACTCCTTAGCGATTAGTCTGAATACAGGAATACCCCTTAGGATTTCTTCACTCTAGTTCTAAACCCCTCATTTGGACCCGCCAGTACGCCGGTCCTAACAATATCCAGATAACTAGCTTCCACAGACAATGACACAAGACAAGCTCATCCGCACCATATCCTCCAAGACACTAGATACACTACTACTAGACTTCAACAAGATGAAGGCATCGGGTTGTTTTCGATCACCGGTGTATGGAGGGTTGCTGGCTGTTACGGGGTCCTCCCCTGGGACCCCTCACATCTCACGACAGCGTTATCTCTCATGGCTCGGACTCTGGATGAGCATTCATCATTGAACCTCGTAAGATCATTTCATTGGGCTCCACAGGTCATTGAGGACTTGGACCCCGGATGATCTTGGATGGGATCATCGGGCTTCCGTCATCTTGGACTTGGACCCCGCATTGTCTTGTTTGATCTTGGATGACCTTGCATGGCTTTGGATAGGGCTCGGCACGAATACCTATTTGTCATATTTTGAGCCCTTCACATTCGCATTCGTGAATCACAGACAAGACGAATATCGGCATTCGTTGAGCCAATATTCGCGTGAATATTCGCGACGAATATTGTGGGTCTCGCCAAGACCATTTCCATCCCTGGCATTCGCAACAACCCTCAATGGGCAGCCTCCACGCAAAAACAACAAGCCGAAGGCTGCCTATGCGGGGACGGACACGAGTGGAAGTCTATCTTATTTTTGCGTGAAGGCTACCCATTGAGGGTTGTTGCAAATGCCAGGGATGGTCATCCTCCAGACGTCTGTAGTCCGAGACGACTCGATGAAAGTCTATCTTGTTCTTGCTCTTTATCGTTGGTCCCGTCGAATCTTCCGTCGAAGCCTCGGAATCCCAGGCCTAGCCTTGACATAAGCTGATGGCTAACCTCTGACCTAGTGTCAAGTGAAGTGCCTGTGTGACGAGGGGTACCTTGATTAGCACGAAGGGTAGTAAGAGACAGCGGATTGTTTGCCGCTGTACGAGTATGGGCTGACCAGAATGAAGGTTCCGTCTAGTGGGATCGCCTGCAGAATAAGGAGTGGAGTCATAGGTAATATATAGGGACCACCACATAGCCAGGCATCGTACATGCTGTCCCATTTGGATACTTATTCACCCTCGCGGGGGTTTGCTGCGGGCTATAAAGTAAGAGCCCGCTTAGTGTCTTCAACGCAGGCCTAATCTCTTTCATCCTAACGAACTCGGTACATAGCAGGATAAGACTTTGCAAACGCATACTGTGTTTAGTAGATATATGTGAAGGGCTGGAGCAAAACTTGTCCTTGAATGCAATTTCACTAAGCCAGATACAATCTACCAATTGAAGAAACATGAACATAAAAACAGGAACGCGGTACAAGTAGAGTCGTAGGGCACGTGCATACACGTGACCTCATCAGGCCCTGGCCAGCTGGCCTGTTACAACTTACAATATAATTCTTCCCTCCTATACCACGGAAGGTTTTCCTGCATGTTTTTGAACCGATGGCCCAGGTGCTACAGAGCAAATATGAAATATTTGACAACTTCACAATTGAGCCTGTCTGCCGCCTTGCTTTTTCGCCCATTGCATGATAAGGACCGCAACATGATCGATCTGCTGCTGAGTATTATCCGCATGCAGCACAATCCGAACGCGATCCATCTTGTCGGGGACAATAGGGTAATGCACGGTATTCACCCAGTACTTGGCCTGCTCCAAGTACTTTGCCAGGTCGTCTGCGAGGTCATACCGAGGAACCACAGGTACTATTGGAGACTGGAATGGCCCCAGATTCCAAGTATGTTCAGTTGGGAGATAGATAGTGCCCTTTCTTTTGATCTGCGGCCAGTCTGGATGCGATGTCAACTGGTGGTAGAAGCGGTACACATTGCTTTGAAGACGTTTTCGACGCTGCTTACTGTTAGTAGACGCCGATTCTAGAGTGGAACTCATACTCACATCTTCGCCTTCTTTACTGCCTACGATGTCGTATCCTGCTCGCACCGCAGCCGCACTCACGAAACTCGGTGCTGTACTGAAGATTACCCCTCGGGCATAGTTGAGGAGGGTGAATTTAATGGTTTCGTTGCACAAAAGAGCAGCTATGCCTGTCAGAAATACACCTGATCACGGTAGAAAGTCAGTCACTCACCCCCCGTGGACCCTAGCGCCTTGCCACATGTTTGAAGTCGAATAGGAAACTGCTCCTCCAATCCGTAGTGAGACACAAACCCGGAACCATTTGGTCCCACGATCCCATTGGAATGCGCCTCGTCGATGGAAAATATAAAGTTCTTCCGGGGAAGTGTCTTGTGCGCCACCTCAAGCAGCTCGACAACGGGAGCTGAGTCCCCGTCCATGCTGTAGAAGGACTCGAGAGCGATGAATACTACCTGACTTCCCTCTGCTATTCCCGAGTTCTCGGTTCGAATCTTCTCAAGACACGATCCAAAGGCCTGGCAATCGTTGTGTTTGAAAGACAGAGTGGTCGCCCGACCCCGGCGCATCCCATCGTGGATGCTTGCATGCACATACTCATCGTGCAGAATGAAGTCACCGGGCTGGGGGATCGTCGACCAGAGAGCCACGTTAGCGTCGAATCCCGAATTGAAGAACATGGCTGTTTCGGCACGGTGGAACTTGGCTATGTCCCGTTCGAGATCAAGCAGGTACTGCTTTGTACCATCCAAAATGCGCGATGATGTACTTCCGACGGTAAACGCAGGATGAGTCTTGATCTCATTCATGAAAGCCTTAGTTAAAGCCCCGGAGGTCGATAAATCTAGTGAATCATTGGAGCTGAAATCAATCAAGTCGTCTAGCTTGGCCGGAGAAGGGGGAACCATCAGGCGGCCTTTCTCGCGCCGGCGGGCCAAGGTCTGTTCGAGCTTGTGGCAAAGAGTATCGATTCCAGAATTCATTTTGAATAAGGGTTAGACAATGGCGATGATTATTGCGTTGTTCAACTGGCTCCGTCTCTGTACAGCTCTTTCAAATGCCAGTCAAGGACTGATTATATAGATTCCGTTATGTGGCGCAGTCGACCACACTCTCTTTCTGGAATCCTTTTCCGGTTCGCTGAGATTGGCTCTGTATGCGATACAACACCCCCATGCCCATGACGATTTCTGACTGATTAGTACCTGTTTGCGGGATGTATGCTCAATCCCTTGACATCACCATTCACATCATAAGCCGTTACCTTCGCGCACTAGGTACTCAGTATGTGCTGGTGCATGTGCATGAATTCCAAAAGCGAGCCCTCTCGGCCCATGCGCCGTCGGAGATTTGAGGTGTGCCGAGTCTTGGCCTCCGCAGTATACCCATGCAGCTGCCTTATTTAGTCATATGGTGGGTTACACAGGAGAGAGTTTTCGGTATTTCTACTGCAAAGTGTATAAGAAAATGCCCACATGTGAGAGGTGGCAACAATCATTTACTCGGCATACGTATTGGGGCGCGAACGTATTGGAAAGCTGGATGCAAGCGCCTCCAAAAGCGAACCCTATCGGCTCATGCGCCGAAGTTTGAGATCTATATACGTCGTGATGTGCATACGGAGAAGCCCGCAGAAGAGCTCACCCGTCATTAAACCGTGCAATTGGCTGGAATACTCGTCATAAGATGAAATTGACTTCGATTGAACAGGTATAGAGTTAGGCCATCGTTGCCTCCGAGACCTTGTAGCAAATTAGTGACTCAGAAACCCAGTGATGCCGCAAAAAGCTGCATGTTTCCTTTACTTCATGCCATTGTCTTTGACAGCTAATTATCACTTCCTTGTTTTGGGGAAGGGGGAACGACCTAGGTCTCAAGTTCATTGCATCATACCGGGCATGTAGGTATCAGGTCTTGAAGTAGTACTCCGTCATAGGTCTCCAAAAGTATTCCGACTGTATATATTTCCAAATGGAACGCATACCTCACGGCGCCATCATCCATTACCCACCTATCTTACTATACTTGTCTTCAATCGATCCTATACAACCATCATGGAACGCAGTGTATATTCTCAAGCTCAACAAACTCCGGACGCTCCTGCTGTTGTAGCGGACAATATCACGCTCACTTATAGCGAGCTTGTATCCGAGGCGATCCAACTTGCGGAGTTGCTGAATGCGGAGGGTATCAAATCCCCGGAAGAGCCCGTAGGGATTCTCCTCGGTTCAGGACTTGGACAAGTTGTCGCGCAACTTGCAGTCCGTTTGGTTGGGGCCACTTGTGTGCCCATTGAGCCTACTCTTCCGGAGCTTCGCATCTTGGACATGTTCAATCAGGTCTACGTGCGCTACCTCATTACGGAAAAAGATGGGCCTGTCAATATCCCCGACTTTCACACCGTGCACATGCCGCCTATGGGACAGAAGGCAGACGCGGCACTACCAGCCTGGGAGTTTCGCCCGGAGACAGGCCGCAGCCATATCCTTTTCACATCTGGCTCAACGGGCAAACCCAAGCCGGTGCAGATTCGCGCTGAGAATATCCTCCACCTGGCCACGAGCACGCCAATCACCCCTCTACGCACTAGTGATCGCGTGGCCGAGTTCAACAATCCCGGCTTTGATCTGAGTCTGTTTGAGATATGGGCTACTCTCCTCTCTGGGGCTACGATTGTTGCTGTCCCTCGACGCATTGCAACTGACCCAGGAGCCATCACCTCGTATCTGCAAGAGCACCAAGTGTCGGTGATCTTCATTACGGCGGCGCTCTTCCGGATCGTTGTCTCGGCCTGCCCCTCGGCGTTCAGCACCCTGCGTCATGTCCTGATGGGTGGCGACGTCGCCAACCCGGAGGCGATTCGTAGTGTGTTCGAACACGGTCCTCCCCAGCACTTATGGAACACATACGGTCCAACGGAGTGTACAACTCTCACAACAATGCATGAGGTTACTCGTGCAGACACTGACTCGGAGCGGATCCCCATCGGCCGTCCTGTCGGAGACATGGAGACCATTCTGATTGATGAAGACCAACGGCCCGTCATGGAACCGGGCCAGCCGGGCGAGGTCCACATCGCTGGTCCCCAGCAGGCCGCCGGCTACCTCGGCCGGCCTGCCGAGACCGAGGAGCATTTTGTGGAGATTCCTCGGCCGGGCCGCGACAGCGAGAACGCCGACGCAGTGCGAGTTTATCGCACGGGAGATAGAGCCGAGTGGAGAGCCGACTCCAACGTCTTGGACTTTCTCGGACGCACTGACTCCCAAGTCAAGCATGGAGGCTTCCGTGTCGAACTGGGCGAGATTGAACGTGCCCTAGAGAGCCACCCACGAGTGGAGACGGCGGTTGTCGCTCGACAACCGCCGTTGACGGTCGATGGTACGCATGCACTAGTTGCGTTTGTCGTTAGTGGCGATGAGAGTGTGGATTGTCATGCTCTCATCCAGTTCGCACGAGAGCGTCTCCCGTCGTACATGATCCCCGACGCCATCGAGGTCATGAAGGAGCTTCCTCTCACTCCGAATGGCAAATTCGATAAAGTCACACTTGTGCAGCGCCGGATGGACGCTCTTCAGGAACAGAACCCCGATGATGATGCCCCCTCGCGCCAGTCCAACGGCGACGCACAAGACAAACATGCGATTCTCCGTGATCTCTGGATGGACATACTGCATCTGCCTGAAATCCATGAAAACGACGACTTCTTCGCCCTCGGCGGCACATCCATGCAGGCCGCCGAGCTCATAGCCCGCATCCAGAACCGCTTGGACGTTCTCATATCCATGGAGGAACTATATCGGCACTCGCGATTCGACGACCTTGTTCGTCGGGTCCAACCTGCCGACCCTCTCACCCACGGCAACGCCCCCGACGACACCCACATCTGGATGCAAGACGTCGACCTCGTCAACGACATCGCCTGGATCCCTGACTGGCAGAGCCCCGACGAGGGCCGTGTCTTCCTCACAGGCGGCACTGGCTTTGTCGGTGCGCATCTCCTCCACCGGCTCCTGCACAAGCCCACTGTCCAGCAAGTCGCCTGTCTTGCCCGAGCTCAGGACTCTGAGTCTGCCGCCGCGCGCGTGCGTCAAGCCCTCGAGAAATACGACCTCTGGCCAGCCTCCGAACACCTTACCCAGAAGCTCCTCATCCTCCCAGGCGACCTGACCGACCCGCACCTCGGCCTCGGCCGCAAGCAATTCGCCTGGCTCGCCGACTGGGCGTCCGTGATCTTCCACTTCGGCGCGAAGGTCAACTTCTGCGAGTCGTACCGCGAGCACCGCGCCCCTAACATAGTCGGCACCCGTAACATCCTCAGTCTCGCCGCCACCGGCCGCCGCAAGCCGCTCCACTACATCTCCAGCGTCGATGCCTGGGGCCCCACCGGCGCCATCCTGGGCACGCGCGAGCTCCACGAAGACGGACCTCTCCAGCCGCACATCCAGGGCCTCCGCTACGATCTTGGCTACGCCCAGTCGCAGTGGACCGCCGAGGCGATGGTTCGGCGGCTGCGCGACGAGCATCCGCACCACCTCCCCGTCGCCATCTACCGCCCGGGCTTCATCATCGGCGACGCAGTTACCGGCGCCAGCAACCCGAACGATTTTTTCACCCGCCTCGTCGTCGGCTGCATCGAGATGGGCACCTTCCCGCGCCTCACCCAGTGCCTCGAGTATGTCACCATCGACTATGTCGTCGACACCATTCTGTATATCGCGGGTGATAACGCGCGCCTCGGCCGGTCGTATCATCTTGTCCCCCCGGATCCGAAGGCGTCCGTGACGGTCGAGGGCACGTGCAACGTGCTCAATGAGGCCGGGTATAAGGTGCGCATGGTTGACTACGAGGACTGGGCGGCGCAGGCGATGCGCGAGCAACGCGGTCCGGACTCTGCGCTGGCACCGTTAATGCCCATGGTGCAGGAACGCGTGCTGGGCCGCCTCACTCGCTGGGAGGCCAGCCAGTACACACCGTGGTACCGGGCGGACAATACCATTGCTGCGCTGAAGGAGCGACCCGACCTTGTGTGTCGGCCGCTGGATTCGAGTATGCTGCGGCGGTTTATTCAGTTTTGGAATCGGAAGGGGTTCTATAAGGTGCCTGATGGCGGGTCTGGTATTTAGCTGCAATCTGTTGGTAATATTAGTGCTCTCTGGCTTTAAATCCTACCTTCTTGAAGCATACATAATACCTAGCGGATGTAGAGAACCGTAGATACGGTGCAACCCAGCATGAAAGCTCACTCGTACTCTTGCGGAAGATAGGTATATTTGCATCAATCTGTGGATGATAATCGTGGAGCATCTTAGGAAGACGCGTGTTAGCCTGTTAGGCGAGCTTCGCGCCAACTGGTAAGCTTGCCGCCAACTGGCATCATCATATCCCTACGATTCACGAATTGCCCCAATAATCCCACTGCGACGCGTGTCACGTCTGACATGGTGTTTAAAGTGTGTGTTCAGTATTGTAGCGCGTGTTGCGAGTCTTAAACCAGTCATGGTAATTGCTTAATCTCTCTCACAAGTCCGGTACTGGGGCGGCTTGGCTTCAACAAGCCCCGCAGTTGCCGTTGGCGGCACTGTTGACGCGAGGGCTTGGCTTCGCGGGTCGGTCCGGGGCAGCCCCACTGTAGGTTTAGATTGAAGGAACGATCTTGGACCTTAAGGGATGAGATGTTCTTAATGCGGATGAATTGAGCTAGATCTATTCTTCTTTCTTGGAATTGCGGGAGGTTTGCGGGTGTTTATTTTGGCTGGGAGGGATAAGAGGTCAGAGGACATCCAATATGTTGGATCCGAAACCGATGTCGGGGCTAAGGTCTTTCCAGACATATCCTCGTAGACACCGAGCCAGAGGAAGAAAGTGGACAGGAACAGCCCCGGAGTACTGGACCCAAATATGTAATTCTTGAGGTTGGACAAAACCCCTTAGGGTGGAAGGGAGGAAGAACCTCTGGTGGGACTTTCTTATGCGCTGAATCAAGGAAATTCGTCAGTTGACAGCTCGTTCTGGAAAAGTTGCCACATTAATTGAAAGAAAAAGGTATATAAGATACTGTAAGACAAGATTCGAAGAATCAAACATTCTCAACCTTGAAGTCCACAGTTTTGTAAATCCTTCCATTGTCCCTTTCACCAAGTATCTCCTCCTCACTATCTGTATTCCGAGGATAGGTTGCTGCGTTACTCAGGTTGGACCCGATAACGGTTGTATTGGATTGTTGCTGACGCCCGAAGGTCGTCCTCTTACTGCTCTTGAAACTGGAACACTTTCCAGTGCCGTACTCAGGAGCTGACTCGAGAGCGTACGATCGCCCCATGCCGTTGTTGCGGTATGATGTTATGGTTGTCGCGAAACTCTTGAACAGAGGGCTAAACGTTGGGATGCATGTAATTATTGCCTAAGTAAAAAGTGAAAGTTAGGAAAGATGTTAGAGACAGTGGAAGAATGAAGAAGGGGTCACATACGCCGAGGCTGACTTCAACGATAGACCACAGAATGAGTCCTTCACTATCCGTGATATTCTTGAGGTTCTTGACGCTGAAGATCCGAATTATTTGGATGATGGTGACGAAGAATCCGAGTGCGAACATTCCTATCAAGACACATTTCTGTTTCCGATGAAGTTGGAGTTTCCAGAGAACCGGCAGGGGGAGTATGATGATTGCGACATCAAAGCCAAGGTTGGTTCCTGGTTATGGTTAGTTACCGACGTAGGATGGGAAAGACTTGGTAGCTCATAGAATTACCTGCAATGGCTGTTCAGACAGTCAGTATCTCTGTTGTGTAATCCGGATAACAAGACATACCATAATAGAATGACACCGTGTCGATGCATTTCCCGCTCACAGTGATATCCCATTGTTTTGGGATCTATATCCCGTCAACACAGGTTCGATCATGCCAACCGTTTGCTTGAGGCAGATACTTACAGGCTTGCAGGCGAGCGACATAATCAAGGTGAATATCACCTGTGTAGTGGCGCAAACGGCGATGGCAATGAGAATAGTGACTCTGTATGATTTCACGAATCCTCCAATGCGATAATAAGATGTAAGCAAGGCAAGCTTGAATGCGAGAAGATTGAGGGTATAAACAGGACCGCCGGCATATTGTATCTATAATCAGTTAGAGACAGTTGAGATGGTTACCTGCCATCTATAGACGAAAGACACACCTTGCTGAAGGCAATAGTATTCTCCTCGGGAAAATAAGCCTGGCTCAGTCCCATTCCCCATCGAGTTTCTACTCTTGTTAGATACCTCTCACTTGCAGTATCAGCATATTGAACACACTCACGAGCAATAGTAAGTCCCGCATATATAGCAGTCAACAAGACACTGATCAACACAGCATAATCATCCACCCACGGAGCCCGTTTTGTCCTCAATCGCACATAAAAGCGTAGACATACTGCCATCAACGCAAGAACCGGAAACACCACACACATCACAATGGCACGACCGATTCTGCTATGAGGGTCAGAGCCGTGGAGGTTATGCACCCACGCCATGATGAAGCAGTTGGCGTGGTCGAAGCCAACATCGAGGGTAGCAGAGTCATGGTCCCTCATTTAACACAGAACAGGACTGAGTTATAGCTGTAGATCATGAGCAGTCCACTTGCCTAATTCGGTTACGTTCACAATACCATCAAGGATATTGATCCTGCGCAGATCTGCAATCATTACTCTATTGTCCATGATAGAGAAAACGCCCAGGGTGAAGATTTTCATGCCATGGACGTGCGAGGTCCTTAGTAGCGTAACCCCAGAGCGAACGATCTGCATGGAAGGTCTGCTGGAAGCGTGGTAGGTACCAAATTTGCATGTGGCTGTTTTGACTTGTAACGCTAAATTCTATGGGCTATGCCGATCTCTGGCGGGGTGTGATTCGCTGGATAATAAAACTGCTGCGAGCATATGGTCGGGCGTTGGGGTTGCAGGATAGAGTGGGGGCAGGATTCTGCATAAAATTGATAATGGAAGAGTTCGTCCCTGGCAAAACTGCATTGGGTGACATTGATGTCGATCGTTGCTGCAAGAGGGAATTGGTGTTGGAAGAAGGTAAAGAAACTAGTTGGAAACTATTGTCAAGATCAACCAGGGGTTCATGAAGAATAAGAATCCCTGATAGGTATCTCGGTTGGTGTGCATCGGGATTGGCCTTACGGTTGCAAACCAATAGTGAATCTCCAAGTCATCAGATAGAATGAAAATCTATTCAAGTGGCGAAACAGACAGAAATTTTGCAAGAGAAACCGGCTGTCCGTCTATATACAAAGAGTTGAAGAAAATGGCTATCTCCTAGTTCTACAAATCGCCTCCAAATCCACATCTCGAGGCATTTCGGTCGACACGACAGAGTCGACCGTCCGCATGCTCCTTCCAAGCATCGGAACCAACTGCAGTCACGGCATAGAAGATATCGTTGGAATCATACTTCCTCTTGATGGCGTCCAGTTTCTGGTAGTTCGCACCGTAGAAGTACTTTTTGTAATTCGGTTGATGGAAGTCGGCCTGAAATGATTAGCATGGATATCAGAAATTGAGTGTCATAGGCAGGCAATAGAACCTACCTCATTCATGTATACTCCGGAGCCAGGAGCGACCGCTGTCAGCTTGGGGATATAATCGTTCGTCATCTTCTTCTGCGCTGACAGCATTTCCTCTTCTGCGTTCCACTTCCAAGGAGTGCTGAGTGTCACCGAGATCAATGTATCGCGCCACGCAGGGAGAACTGAATTCTTCACATTTCCAATCACCTTCTGCGACACATTGAGTCCCACCCCGATGAAGGTAGCCCCATCCTCCGTAATCTGGCGAAGTGCAGCATTCAAACGATCGTTGCTGTTCTGCACGGCTGTGCGGGGAATAAGCCAGCCACCGTATTGAGCCTCGCCAACACCAATCTCCTGTTGCATGGTGTTGAATTCCTGGAGATAGCTGGAGAACTGCTCAGAGTACGTCGTAGGCTTGATACCCAGTTCTTTCAGGTCCTTAATAAACGGCTCAATCAAGGAGAGCAGCTTTGCCTCGGGGATATCGGGTCCAGTCAATGGCGTGATAGCAAAACTCGTATTGGTGAACATCCAAATCGCCATCGCACCCGCGTCAACAATAGCCGGCAAGTGTGTGTTGAAACGCCCAACAGCCTTGTAGAAAGTATCCTGAGAAATTTGATCGTTGGTGAAGGTCAAGTTGAAGCCTGACACAGGGGTGGCCGGGTGTGCCTTGGAAGTCATTGATAGAACAACACCATATGTGCCGCCACCTCCGCCGCTCAGCGCCCAGTATAAATCAGAGTACTCATTATCACGGGTTGCCGTGACAATTTTACCTTTTCCGTCGACTACCTTCCACTCCAAGACCTGGTCCGACCCAAGTCCGTACCGCGAAGAGAGCGCCGAATGACCGCCGCCCTGGCTGTAACCACCAGCCAGGCCCACGGTAGGGCATTCGCCGCCAACGACCTGGACATCGCCTTTTTCTGCAGCCTCGTACGCCTCAAAGCCCTGCACACCTGCACCCATGGTAATTGCCTTGCCGGTGTAATAAGCGTCCTTGTAGTCATGGATGCTAATGTCCTTGAGATGATGTGTCCATATACCGAGGGCGCCAGCACCGGTAGACTTCCCGTTGTAGTCATGACCTGTGTTACGCACAACTACACGAATGTCGTGTTTTGTCGCAAACTTGATTGTCTTTGATACATGATCGGCGGTCGTCACATTGACGGCGTAGGCAACATAATTACCCAGAGTGCAGGGCTTCGAAACTGGGTGGTATGGGTCGCAAGTCCCATTGGTAAAGAACCCGGCCATGATAGATGAAGATGACTTATAGCTATCGTTTGTTTAGTCCCACAACTTCCCGATACACAGTCAGAAAAGGACTTACTGCTCTTCCGGCTTTTCCCAGCCATCCCGCAGAATCGTACACTGAGCAGCATCATAGTTGGGCTCATGGCATGGCGTAGCCAGTGGAACTGTCTTCACCAATTGTCCACCGATTGACTCGTTGAACTTGGTCCAAACAGCTTCGGAGGGCCAACAGTCATCGCCGGGGAAGCAACGACAGGAGGTGGAAGCCTGGGCGGCCACCACTAACAAGGAGGTGAGGAGAGCAAACATTGTTGAGTCGGATTACTCTCGACTCGGAGAATAGCCGCACTATGTATAAGTTTCCGAGACTGTCCCTGAGCGATGTACATCTCCAGTGGCCCCCATAATTACGGACCCGCTTAACGGTGATTTGCTATCCCTTGCGCCGATCTTCTGCCCCCAAATACGTGAGTGGTATTTTACCGAGATGGCAGATGGTTATGATTACACGTACACAGTAGTTTGAGCTTTGAGGCATGTACTGTAACATGGCAATCTCTCCTACATGCGGTAACGACGGGGAGAGGTGTCTGTAACTAGTAGCTGTAAGCTCAGAAGCTGACTTGCTGGTACCTTACCTGAGTGCCCTCAGGCCTTATCACATGATTCAATATTCTGCCAGATTTGTGGCGCGCTAAACCTAATTAGTAGATTGCTTAAAAGGCGGCGTCAACGTCGGATGCTCCGGCGCGCTCCGCCGCTCGCGACGATCGCCCGCGCGCTCAATAAATCTACACTCCCTGGGCGGCCCTGGCCAGGTAACTCCTGGTTACGGCTGCCTCATCCTCCACAATTTTTGTCCCGGCGGCGAGTACGCTATGGTTGCAGTGGCTTGGCCACAATTCGGACCTCCCGCCTGAGCTCTCGGCGATTGCGGGGAGATGGAGACGCCTGTGCGGCATAAGATTGGAGGAATTCGCCCAGGTGAAGGACCTGGAGAATGTGGCAGACGTTCCGAACACCTTCTTTTGGTACCACCCACGGATCGGAACGACAGAGAGGAATAAAATTGGGGCCCGACGATGGGGATCGAAGGCGTCGGGCCCCCGCCTTCGATCCACAATGTTATTCCTGTCCGGGGTCTATGTTCGCTCTTGAGCTACTGCTTGGTCATAGATATCATCTGAATTTGGGTCTTCACTGATAAACTGTATATGATAAAACACAGTCTGACACCCCAGTACCAGTCAACTACCAAATGGAAGGCAAATCCCCACCGGAGAGCCGTGACAGTCTTTCGTTGCTAAATTGGAAACACTCCGGTAGGCCCGTCTCATCCCACGTCTTACCAAGTACCAGTTGGGCGACAGCCGGTGCACATGTGAATATCCGCGCCATACCTATTGTACATCAGTATTAACATCATCTGGCTGTAGTCAAGCGGAGGAAAAACATACCATGTCCGTTGAAACCCGCACAAATATACTGCCCCGGGAGCGAGTCAATCGCTCCGACAAATGGCACAGAGTCGGTAGTCATGGCAATTATTCCAGTCCAGACATGGTCCAGCCCTTCACCGTGCGCAGCAGTGTGGGATCCATATTCGGGAAACATCTCACCGAAGCTCTGTAGAGCATCCTGGGCAATCTCTTCATTGTATCGCGAATCGTCCGTGGAAAGGATACTTTTAATTGTCTCGGGACTCATTCTCGGATTGGATCGCGATACGCCTAACACCAACGTGCCATCTCCTTTGCGTTGAATCAGGGAGTAGAAATGGTGAAGACTATAGCGGAGCGAGAAGGTCTTCTGCAGGGCTTTTTCCCCCGAGAAAGCGGGTACGGGAATTAGACTGTGGGCTTGTGCACGGTTTGGTCGGATGCAGGCGTCTAGCTGAGGCAGTAACAAGGCTGCATGAGCATTGGTGCAATGGATAATCTTTTCCGCTGCTATGGTTCCCCGAGGTGTATGCACATCCCATCGTCCGGGAGATGCAGCATTTGCTTCAATCTTCGTGGCAGGACAGAAGGTGAATAGCTTTGCGCCCTTGGATATCACCGTCTGCAGAAGAAATTGTGCAAGCTTTGCTGGATGGCTCGATCCTGCCGGCCATTCGTAGGCTGCCACAGCCCTCGGGACTCTAGTTACCTGCTGTGCTTGTTCACCCTCGTAGAATTTGACGTGTGATGCGTCACCTCCTGCTTTCTTGAACGCTGCCAGGCTCTCTGCCTCGTAAGTAGCAAATTCAGGGGTCATGCAAACATCAAAGGTTGTCGTCAGGTTAAAGTCGCATTCCACATTATGCCTTTTCACAAATTCGTCGACTTTTTGTAGGACTCGTCGCTCATCTTTGATGATTTTCAATGCCTGTTCGTCTCCGTGAATCTTTCTATAAGCACTGAATCCTCTGAATGCATCTATTCCCAACGTCAGATATCGTGACTTCTATAGCGACCGGGAGATTCGCCGACCTGGTCGCACATGTCCGGCATTCCTTGAGCTTGCGCCACTCGCAGCCTCGCGTGCCTCCAAAATAACAATCTCCTCGGGTTTCGCTCCTCCTTCAAGTAACTGGAAAGCAGTCAAGCCACCAGAAATTCCAGATCCCACAATCACATATTTCGATTCCGATGGGACTTCCGCGTCGATATTGGCACTCAAATGCGGATAGGCGCGCGTTGTTCGCTGCCAATAGCTCAAACAGGGGTTCGGGTTGGGCAAGCTTCTGCTAGACCCCGTGGGAATTAACATGTTGGACATCTGACAGTATGCAAAACCCAAGGCTTAGCGTATATATAGCTCGAGCCGTCGATACCTTCGTTCTGACCTTCTTGTTTGGGGTTCTGGTGCGGGGAAGCTCAGGATCTCCTATCTCGGACTCCCGCCATTCCACAAGAACTGTCCACCGGGCCTCCACCCCCACGGACTGGGAGCGAAGACTAACGTCTCTTTACCCAAGTGGAGTCTGGCTGAATGCCAAGCTGTCGTGCCACCCAAGGAGGCTCTTCCCTCATATCTTAGGTTGATTAGGACTGTCCCTGATCTCTCTGGGGTTACCCCAAGATCGGCATAGCTACTGGTGCCCACAGAATTCCCACCTATCACACGCTCATCGCAGAAGCAAATACGAGTCGGATCATGTCCGAGATCTGTATCTTGGTACTTTTCCTATCTGCGAGGGGTCATAGACATGCACGGGCTTATCATCGCTGCAGCTCGTATATAACCGGCTCTCCTTGCTCTTCTTTACGCTCATCAAAACAATGGTGTCGTTCAAAATATTCCGCCGCAATGCAGCGGCAAACTCCGATTTTCGATCCCCGGATGAGAAGGCCCTAGTGCGACGTCTGGACATTTTCTTGATGACCTTTGGCTGTCTTTCACAGGGTGCGGGCTGCACCCCCTTCACAGCTGAAGAGTGAACACTAATTTCCAGTCAGTGATCAAATATCTCGATCAACAGAATATCAACAATGCCTATGTCTCTGGCATGAAGGAAGATTTGCACTTGGTCGGGAATGAGCTTAATTTGTTAGTCGATGCATTTCCACTTCGCCAACTGGCCAATAGGTAACTGATGTTTCCAGATTCACAACCTATTTCAACGTCGCATATTGTATAATGCTCATCCCCTCACAAATCATCCTCACCTATGTGCGACCAAGTTATTGGCTCCCTGGGTTGGAGATCTGCTGGGGTGTTCTGACCGGGTTGATCGCAATGGCAACTCACGCAAAACAGGTATATGTCCTCCGCGTATTCCTCGGTCTATGCGAGAGTAGCGCATGGCCAGGCATGATGACCCTATTCAGTACGTATCCCGAAAAACCACTCACAGATCCACCAAACTAAACCAATCATCTAGTGTACTGGTACACGCCAACAGAGCTAGCCAAACGCATGGGCTTCTACCATTCCTGCCAAGCAGTCGGTCAGATGATGTCCGGCGCAATGCAAGCGGCAATTACAAAGACGCTGCACGGCCACGCCGGCCTAGAGGGCTGGCGCTGGCTATTCATAATCAACGCAATCATCACTGTAATCTGGGGCTTCGCCGGCTTCATCATGCTCCCCGATCTGCCCGACCGACCTAACCCGCGCGCATTCTGGTTCAAGAAAGTGCACGGCGAGCTTGCACTGGAGCGTCTTGCGCGCAATGGACGTGCAGAGCCAAAGAAGATGACAATCGCTGGTATCAAGCGCACTTTCTCTGGATGGGTTGTGTATTTCATTTCGATCTTGTATATCGCGACCGTCCTAGGGACGTATGGGTACTGCTATTTCGGGCTTTTCTTGAAGGCGCTGACGAATCCTGACGGGAGTCCCAGATGGACTGTCTCGGATGTCAACGCTATTCCTATCGGGGGCTCTGCGATTAACGTTGTCTTTGTCTGGATCTGGGCTCTGCTATCGGATTACTTTGAGACGCGCTGGTTGCTCATTGTTGCCCAGGCGGTTATTGGGATTATTCCGTGCATTATCATGAGTATCTGGACGAGACATCCAGCATCGGTTGCGTTGTCCGCTGCTTACGCTTCATACTTCATCTCATATATCGCTCTTGGGACGGCGCCGCTGATCTTTGCCTGGCTATCCGATCTCATTCCGCAGGACCCAGAGGCTCGGTCACTCACTGTCGGTGTGGCTGTCGCCGGGTATTATGCCATTTCTGCCTGGTCGCAGGTCCTCGTCTGGCCTGCTTCGCAAGCTCCGTTCTATAAGTACGGATGGCAGTCTGCTTTGGCTTTGTTGGTTCTTGTGATTATCATGACATGCATCCTGAGATATGTCGATGTAAGGTACCTTCTACCGAAGCGCGAGGAGTTCCGCGAGGTGCTGGAGGATGATATCATCGCCAGCAAGGCTGCTGCGTCGGCGTCGGCAGTATCTGGTAATCAGACCGATGCCCACAAACGGCAAGATGGGAGCTCGAAAGCCTCGGTTAAAGTGAATGTGGATGAGGTTTGATGGAATTGTTAGTCAAGTTTAGATATATTAGTAGGTTTCACGTATACCCATGCACTATCCATACTTCGAAGTCCAAAGCAATCAGCTGCACTAGATAAATTATATCATTCCATGTACCCGTTGCCGGAAGGCTAGGTTGCCCGTTGGCTTAGGGCTTGCCAGTTGACGGGAACGCCCCTGAACCTCGGCATCCACCTACCTATATGTTACGAGCCAAGTCTTGGTGGAAAGAGTGCTGTCATTCAGAAAACCAAAGGTGAGGAGAGAAAGAGAAACAAAGAAAGCAACTATCTGAGATGAGCCTTTAACTTTTGCTCATCAGGTAGGTACGTGCCTCAGGCACGAACAAACAATCACCTCCTCGATCACATGACCCTTGAGGTTGGCATTCCCTGTAAGCTTCCTCTTGATTCCAGTCATCCAGGATTTGTAGCGGATGTCGATGCCGTCGCTGAGCATGGGCGCGTCGGGCAGACGCGTTGTCTTCTTTGCCGCCTCCATAATCGGTGCGCGGGTTTGGAGATAAAGAACTTGACGGCCATCTCAAGGTACTGTACACATGTCCTGTTCACGTTTTGTATATAGGCAACACTTACAGGTACGCGCTTGACGTGTTCCAGGTTACTTGGGTGAAGGTATCTCTCGTTGGGCCACAGGCCCCGGGTTGTGTAAATTAGATGGAAATAAATGCAGGATTATGTATAACCTTAGAATAACCAAATGGCCAGATCCAGTAGATGTCAGAGTCAGAAGAATTAACAATCATATCCACGTCTCAACATCAACTTCCGTCTCCCATTCACACCATCCCACCACCCGGTCTATAGAGATAGTCTAGTAGTAGAGAGGGTTCTCAGGGTCAGTGAAATCGAAGATCACAACAGAGTGAGGCTTAGCACCACCGCGGTTGGCGAACTCTCTATCGAAGTCAATGGTCCGGTTGAATGAGAGGCTGCCATCATCGTTCAGGTCAACATAGAGCGCCTTGAAGTCAGCCGGGGTGTTGATGAGGCCGATTTCGCCCGTCTGAACGAAGTAGTCCGTGACGACAACGTGCTTTTGATCAGGCGTGACCTTGATGTAGTGAGGCCCGATAGTAGGTTGGTCCTCATCAGGATCATCAAGCCGCTTGATGTTGTCGAGGTCGCTAATGTCCAGGGCGGCAATGTGGTTGGCTGTGGTGAGGGTGGCGTAGAAGTACTTCCCGTCCTGGGTGATGTCGGAGCTGTAGGAAGTGCTGTTAGCGACTGGACCTTTTCGGTAGTGTAACTTATGTAGGAACCTATGCTACTTACTAGATAGCGGTTGTGTCACGAGCCTTGGGACCGAGGTCATAGAGCTCCTTTATCACACCCTGCTTGCCGTTCTCGTCCTTGCGCAGAGGGTAGATAACCCAGAGTTGGCCAAGATGAACTGCAGTCGCGATGGCGGCGGCTTCGGGGTGTCCAGGGATGAACTTGACGTCTTGGATACCACCACCCTATCTCAAGTTAGAACATGTATAGCGGCCTCGCATCAGAGTTGCACTCACGTTGGGAATAGTCAGAGTGCTGAGGATAGTCCTGGAATCCAAATCCCACAGACGCAGAGTGTCGGCACGACGAATCCCAAGAGAGGGCTTCAGAATGGAAAGGGGCTCGACGAAGTCGGAAGTCAGAATGATCTTCTTGTCCCAGTCAATGGTCAGCCCGTGAGGATTAAACTGCTCCCCGAGAATATTAAGCAGACCATCCACATCTTCGGGCCATTCGTGAATGATGTTGAAGTCCTTGTCGGTCTCAATGAGACGACCGGGAGAGGTACCGACGGCAGAGCCCATGTAAGTGATGAAGAATCCGCCATCGGGCTTTGCGCGGACCTCGTCTGCAATGGATGCAAGCAGACCGCGGTTACTCTTCAAGAACTTGGGGCGGTAAGGGTCGGAGGTATCAAAGTAGAATCCAGTATCCTGTTGCCAGTTGGAATGTTAGATGTGCCCTTGCTATGCTTTATGGAAGGTTTCATACCTGAGTTTTCAAGAGGGAGAGCAAACCACCACCCCAAATGGTCTTTCCATCAAGCGAGGGTCCAAGGTGATGGGGGTCATTACCACTGGTTGGTACGTCTGTGATCTCAATGAGGGTACCAAATGTGTCCTAGACGCAGATTAGCATATGAAACTGAAACACAGGAGCTCTGCATGAGGTTGTAGATAGAGGCTTGTGGATGTAAAAGTGACTCACATCATCTAAACTGTAGGTAGCAAGGAAATCTACTTATCATCAGCATCAACCTGTCTCCTGGCAATTCGTAGATCCTTACCCTTGTGAGCCTTGTCACCCGCACCAGTCCAGAAGTATCCAACCTTCTTTGGCTTAATGTCGCTCGGAGAAAAGGGAGGACTCTCCTTTGCTGGTGTAGGAACCTGCAAGATAGGCAGAGGAGGGACGACGTCATACAGAAGCTCGGTCACTCCAGGGATACTGGGAATGAGAGGAGGCAAAGAGAGGCACTCCCCGAGCACGACCAGAGACGCAATGGAAGCAATAGAGTATCTCATCTTGGTGAGAAAGATTGAGAACGATTGCGTTGGCTGGACGAGCACATTTGCGGGAAATTTCAAGAGCTTATATACCCCAGTACGCCTTCATCTCGATTCAGATCAAGCACATCGTGCTCCCCATTTTTCTGGTAGGATATCTCGACACCAAGAACACATAGCACGCAACGATCTTGCATTCTGACTTGGTGTCATATCTGGACTTCCTAATGGGAAAATTGATCTGCAAGATGACGAATCCATAAAAGAACGAGGTGGAAAGCCAGATGGTTTCCGAGTCGGAAGTGCTGATCATGCACGATTTGACCCCGTATCCAAGATTCTCATCGCAAAGTCAGGCCGCCTTAAAGTGATCCTAATGTTGAGGAGATGTCGTGATCATGGTTAATGCAGAGTCCCGGCAGCTATCACAAGTTCGTGGGATCAATAGCTCGAAACTCAAATTGCGCCTCGAGGAAGAGCCAATTCCAATGCTTAGCTTTGCTATGTCTATTAGCGCTACTGCAATGCGGACGAACGCTGTCGGTAGACCTCTGCAGGGTGGGCCGTTGTCCATTGTAAGCATAGGAACGAAGAAGGCATCACTGAAGGGGTGAGTTGAGGGATCAGAAGATGTCGGGGTTGAAGCCAACAAGCTGTTCTAGGCGCTTTGTACTATGGTGCCACTCGATATACCTCTCAACACATGGACCTAGGTAAAGGTCAGAATTTACCTCTTCACACGGTACCAGAGGTCAATAGCCCAGGGCTATCATGAGACCAAATCCCCGGAGAACTACAACGTACTGTACAATACACACCTGGAAAGGCCACCAAATTTCCGCAGGCAAAGCGCCCCGTTGTCGTGATGATCGTTAAATTGCCCGTAGCTAGGACAAGGGAACCGACACTTACCGAATTAGGAAAGGCTCGAGTCAAGCCTCCAATTGTGGATTCCTACAGGTCAAATCCTACAATCACAGCCCGGGACTCATCTCCAGGGGTCAAAGCGAAGCTTACTTCGGGAATTCACTGCAGTCCTGCCAACAAAGCCGTGACAACAGAGGAACGATCTGCGGACGCCAAGAAGCCAAGAAGCCAAGACATGTAGGATCTACTTACTCATCCAAGGTGCCGATGAGGTGATTCAGGAACATCCCGAGGTCATTGTTCCCTCCTCTCTCAAACCCGGAGTTGTTGTGAACAGACATAGCATACTGTCATACCTGTCAGGTCCCTCGATCTGCACCTCAACTTCCTACATGGGGGACAATGAGCACAGACGAACCATCGATTTCGACATGATGCCAAGAATGTTGTTATACCCTCTTCTCTTTATTGTGTCTGTCTTATCACGTCCAAGCACCTGTCGATCGAGAGCCACTTCATTTACAAGGTCATCCGCGAGAGGCGAACTGGAGAAATGGACCTAAATTGCATCATCCCCGGGTCAGCCATTATTGACTTTACACTTTCTGCTAAAGCGATGAACCTGTTGGCGTTCTTCTCTGTTTTCATTGAGATCAGCATGGCAGAGCCCTGAGGGCCGGGACATTGCAGCTCGCGACTAGTTGCATTCTCGGGTCGATTTCGCTGTCGTGATTACCAAGAAGCATAGGTAGATGGTTTCCAAAAATCATATATAATCTGGACGACTCCGAGCTCGGCTGATATCACGTCGGTCGAGTTTCCTCCTTGTGTACATTCTTCTGCTTCTTTCACGGTCATGAAGTCCCAAGGCCTCGCACTTTTCGGCCTGTTTGCCTTTGCCATGGCAATCCCTCAGGCGAAAAGGCATGAGGAGTCGCCTGACCAGCCGATTAGCGGTGAAAAGGGCGCCCCAATTCTAGGTAAGCACATTGCTACCAGCGTGCTTAACAGATGCTTACAGATATCCTCGTATAGGCGGCACCAACAGGGAAATCGATCTTCAGGTCCCAAACCAGTTCCGCACCCCCAGTACCGATAATGGCTATGTGCCTAATGTCAAGTGGAGCTTCTCTCAGTCTCAGACTCGGTTGTTCCCAGGTGGTTGGTCTCGTGAGCAGGTTATCGAGGATCTACCCCAGAGCCACGACATTGCAGGTGCCCAGCAGCACCTGAGCAAGGGTGCTATTCGTGAGCTACATTGGCACCGTGTGGTAAGTAGCTTGCTCTCTACTCTCTTTATACTCACTTATATCCTCAAGACTTACTGAGGTTTATACAGGCCGAGTGGGGATTCGTCTACAATGGATCCCTTCTCCTCACCGGTGTTGATGAGAACGGTGCTTTCCAAACCGACGTCCTTGAGACTGGTGATATCTGGTACTTCCCCAAGGGAGTAGCTCACAACGTCCAGGGCTTGGATGATGAGAATGAGTATCTCCTCGCCTTCGACGACGGTGACTTCGAGAAGCGCGGGTATGTGCCAAACTTTCCCTGTCAGCCCATGTATAACCCACCAGGCCATACCAAATAAGACCCCCTTGGAAGTGGCTTGGTGAGGCGATACTTGTATCGACACTTCCTCGTGATGGTTTAGCGTACCATTTACTGACTAAAGCAGCACCACCTTTATGGTCGACGATTGGATCACCCACACCCCCAGGGACGTACTCGCAAAAAACTTCGGTCTCGACGCCAGTGTCTTCGACACCGTTCCCTCCAAGTTCCCTTACATTCTCAACGGTACCGTCAGCAAGGACCTTGACGATGCTCCCAAGGGTACTCTGCGAGGCGAGAATTCCTATATCTACCACACTTACAAACACCCCTCCGAGCCTGTCCCCGGTCACGGAGGAACTTTCCGCAAGGTCGATTCTACCAACTTCCCCATTGCCAAGACTCTCGCTGCAGCCATTGTGGAACTGGAGCCTAAGGGTCTCCGCGAGCTCCACTGGCACCCTAATGTAAGTTCACGATGTAAGTACAAAGGATGATGGCGCTAACCATAACCTAGGCTGAGGAGTGGCTCTACTTCCACCAAGGTGAAGCCCGTGCCACTGTGTTCACTGGCGACTCCAAGGCTCGCACATTCGATTTCCGTGCTGGTGACACAGCTGCGTTCCCAGATAATAGCGGTAAGTAGACTTCTCCAAAGGGTAAATCTTGTTCTCGCGCAAACACTGATGTGTATTCAGGCCACTACATTGAAAACACCTCCGAGACAGAGAAGCTTGTCTGGATCGAGATTTACAAAAGTGAACGTGTGGCCGATATCTCCTTGGCTCAGTGGCTAGCGCTGTCTCCCGCTGACACTGTTGCTAACACCTTGAAGATTGACATTGATGTTGTCAAGCAGCTCAAGAAAGAGAAACAGATTCTGGTTCCGGGAAAGAGATAGGTTGACAATGATGCTACAAGGATTACTGAGTTTGCCTTATAGACTCAGTTGGATCCATTCTTATATAGTATGTAGATAGTTTAACCTCGCTTAATCCCTTCAATCAGATCAATCCATCAGATTCTGGCAGTTAATTTGATCAGTTATTGACACTTATTGTCATCAAGTAGTCGATTCAGTCAATTGTTATTGCCTCAGTGTCTGTTCATTCACCCGCCTCCCCAGGAAGGCGGTGACATTGGCATCCCACCCACCTCCTGCCTCTTTCAGCGTGCTGAATCGGCTTTGTTGTGTTTCGGCATGCTCAAAGTAGGCACTCTGATTGGCTGAGACATGCTCGCCTAATCTCCCTCTATCCAATTAGGGCTAGCGCCAAATGTCATGGGATTAGCGCCAGCACCCAATTTCTGCCAGGCGGTCAAGAGTCAAACTCCCAGACGCGTCGACGCGAAACGAGGGTTTGACGCCCTACGAAGTCGAATTGCGACTCGCACCACCCGACTACCTACTATCTACCTCACAAACATTGAGGACCTGGAGGAACTAGTTGTACTTTTTCCGGTATACCTAGATCTACTACTTTTTCAACAAAATATTGACAACACCAAAGACGTTCCAGTAAATCATGCATGTGTCCGAAACCCCCATAATGCGCAAGGTAAGGTTTATCAGCTACCGACCTGCCAAAACAGGGTGAGTGTCTGGCCAAGCTGTTCGGAAAGACATACAAGGATGCTGCCCAGGCGTAATGCAAATACGTCTTTGAAACAGCGACTGACCGCAACTTACGCCAGATGGATGGGAAATAGGTTGATGTGACGGATGGTTTGACTTCGTTTGCCGTTTGCATGAATTGCTGTCGTATTTCGAGGACTTCGTTTTGACAATACCTATAGCCAATACGGTGGGAATGCAGGATATGACTTACTTCAAGTAAAGCGTCCACCGGGCGACTAATATGGCCGAAGTGTGTATATAAACCTGTTGTCGAGGTACCAACAAGTAATCATACGAGCCATTGGCCCCTGCAGCATGTAGAATGTCGTTTGATGCATTCACCATGCCTATGATGTCGTCGTCAAGTGTGACGTGCAACGGAGCCTCACAAAACAATGTGCCACAGCCCTCCAATGCGCTCGCCTTAAGCGGTCCGTTCATGTCCAAGATAGGAAGCGCGTATGTTGTTCCAAGGCTCTCATATTCAGTGTTCCACATGATTGCTCTGCCGATTAGCTGGTCTCGTATTTTTCACGTGGTTAAGTCGTGCCCTCCATCCCTCTCACTATATCTTCCCCTTTCACGATCCATCCCCCCATCAACCTTCATCCTCAGACCAATCAATACACCTGCCACCACGAGGTTCCTAATCGGTCTGATGAGCGGAATCGATTGATGAGGCGCCTCATGACGGCCGAGTGCCAAATCAAGGGCCCCAAGCGGGTACTTCCCTCGGCTGCCTCGAGGGGGCCTCAACCCCTCGTCTCTCTGGTAAGGATCCCGCCTTCTTTTTCCATCCCATCTCTCTTCCTCTCATTTCATCTCTTTTCAGATGACCAAAGCTGATACCGACGACTGCAGACGACGCGGGCACTTAGGAGCCAATGCGTTCGGGCGTGATACGCGGGACTCACTTGATGGTCTGTCTCGCCGAGGACCAGCGAGTTCCTCGCGCCAACTCCTTTAGCACCACTGTCATTCCACCGAACAGATCGCTCTGCTGCCTTATCCCCGCCCCCAATCCCTCAAGGCAGCCATCGTTCCCTTTCAGACGAGCCGCGAGGAACGGAGCTCCCCCTTCGAGGTGCAACGTCTTGCCCATGAGCACCGTTGCTTCAAGGTCGCATCGATGGCAACATGTCAGACAGTCACCATGTCGGACGTCCTCTGGAGCAGCCCCGAGCCCTTCAACCGGGATACGAAGCAGATTGAGATCCTTGTGGGACGAGTGCCCATCACTTACTGCTCAAATGCTTGCTTAGAGCAGACACACTAGCGCCACTCATTGTCGTCGACGAGCTTCCCACTCACTCCCGAGGTCTCTGTGCGAGGTATCCATCGCACCCTGACGGCTCGTGATACCCAGGGAATGCTTATCTGTGGAACGGCGTCCCCACATCAAGAACGTTGGGTCGTCCACATGGCCCCCCAGCCACGTCATGAGCAAACCGCCGAAACCCAGCAGCTTCTGTTGAGGGTAATGACAGGTCCGAAGGATGCGGCAGTGAGCTCATGGCAGGACTCGACACTACCGGCCTCGCTCCATCCGAGTACTCCGAACGGCAATTGGAGTTCTCGGAATGGCCAACCGCACTCCCGCGCAAAATCACGTCGGAGAACTTCATCAGCTACACTCATCTGATGTAGGTACGTCTGCCCCCATTCAACCCAGATGCAAATCAAAATGTGTGATCAGCCGACTGACCCCTTCGCTCTTCATAAGAATGCATCCAGTCGCAGTTTCTCGGTCTGTAATTCGGACCGAGAGGTGTTCTGTCCATGTCCTGCGGCGAAGTTGCGCAGAACCTAACAGTTTCAACGCGATCCTGCTATAAATACGGCAAGGTCGTATACTCCGAAGAGGTGGTAAGTACCATATCCTCGTCTGAACCAGAGGGAAGTGCCCGAGCTGATCAATCACTCATAGTGCTCCCAGGACAGTCTCCCGTAGGCTTTTCTCGCACCGATAGCGCTTGGGAGAGCAACGCATCAAAATCGTCGCCGATTGTGCCACCTCCCCTCCCCTAAGAAACGACTCCACGGAGGTTTCATCCAGTGCCGCCCCATCAGCCCCTGTTGCCGTCGAACGTCCCTACGATCCCAGCGACCCAGACCCCAACGATAACGGCCCCGGCAGTCTCGGCTCCCGACCCGAGTCCCCGCCTATCAGAGATAGATGAGATAGAATGCTCATCTCTGCCACGCCGACGCAACTTATCCATTCCTTAGTCGCGGTCGAAGATGGAGAGGGAGAGGCACCGAAGAAGAAGGCTCACTCCATTCCGGGACCGATGCCGGTGATGGGAGTGGTCGCTGCCCTACCCTTGACTGCTCAGCCATCCCCACATACTGAGCAACTCTGACCATACGAAACTCGGTGGAGAGCCTCAATCACCGCCCTATGACACAAACGGATGTGGACAATCCGGGCGTGAGATACGTAGTCTCGGATAGTGTCCGCGGGCTTGGCAGATTGTGCAGCGCAAGGCGGCGAGAAACAGAGACCCGCCCCATCCTGCCGGACGGTGTCCCGCACGCATACGTCGTCTCCGATGGACCGATCCCGTAGAAGCGTATATGTCCCCTCTGCCTGAAGGTAAGAAGGGCGACGACCCATGCTTCGAGAGTTCTTCGGGAACCAAGGCGATCACCTCTTCCTAATCTGGTACGCGGTCCCTCCCTGGTTGGGGGACAACCCGGATACTGGTGCGAAGCTGCACACTCGGCCTCAACCCACGTCGGTGATGGGAGCTGTCGCCACCGCACCTATTGACTGCCCAGTCGTCTTCCGATAATGTCTCGGGCTCGGCAGATGGTGGAGGTCTGCAATCTGGATTCGTCAAACCATGCGTCGACATCGCCGTGATGACGTGACTCCTTTCGACCCGGTCTCATCGCTCTGTGCCCAGTGCATCATGGCTGAGGAGGCCGACATGGCTGAGAAGGCCGCCATGGCTGAGAAGGCCGCCATGGCTGAGAAGGCCGTCATGGCTGAGAAGGCCGCCATGGCTGAGAAGGCCGTCATGGCTGAGAAGGCCGCCATGGCTGAGAAGACCGTCATGGCTGAGAAGGCCCTCATGGCTGAGAAGGCCGCCATGGCTGAGAAGGCCGCCATGGCTGAGAAGGCCCTCATGGCTGAGAAGGCCGCCATGGCTGAGAAGACCGCCATGGCTGAGAAGGCCCTCATGGCTGAGAAGGCCGTCGAGTCCACGATACCTCGCCTATCCGAGGATGGCACAGCTAACACCAAGGCTGCGCTCAATTACCACATTCGTCTATGGTTGACGATTGCCAAAGAGCACGACAAGGTCCCGTCTCACGTTGCGGAATTTGCCTTCCGTATCCTCGTCCACTTGGTGGCATGCCAATGCCAGGTCGTTAACGACGAAGAAAAGGCATGGTTGAATATTGGAGGCATTCATTGAGGTCTACCGGCGCGCATACCGCATTAGGTCTGTAGACAAGATAGTTGAGCATGTTCGAACCGAATGCTTGGGCGGCCCGTCGCTGATCTGCACCATGCTGATCAATGCAAACACAAACCGTCGGGCAGGGGGCCTCCGCTCCCTCCACTGGCACTAGGTGCCACAGATCATTGCGATTTTCTCGTTCGTGAACTGGAAGGGACATCGACTTGAGGAGGCATCTCTTAGCGGAAAGTCGAACACGGAACCACTCAAGATGCCCAAGGGGCCAAGAAGCCTGTCCCTTACTGGTGAGGTGACGTGTGTGGGGCTGCCCTACCGTCGACTGCTTAGGCAATTTGGGGATAGTGTCTCGTGCTCGGCGGGTACGTCCCTGGCAGATGGCTCCGAGCACATAAGTTTTCTGGTCAATGAGGGCATTCTTCTACCACGTCAGGGGGATAGCGTCTGGGATGTCTACGGGAATACACTGCGTGTTTTTGGCACGCAGGAGAGAATTGTGAAACTGGGGGAGGTGCCCATGAAAGAGGAAGATCAATACCATCGAGAAGTATGGAAGACGACCCAAAGGAGAGCAGCAGCCGATGTTGACTTCACGTCACAGCCAAGGACATTATGGGAATTGTGGCGTATCTGTCGAGCCGCATGTTCATTCCGTAAACTTTCGTCGGTTCTTTGTTCCCATCCTCTCCTCGCATCATCTCCACTATATTGGAGCACCACCCGGAGTTCATAAATCCCACGCTGGTTGAGGCGCTGAAGAAGAACATGCGTGGAGAGTGTGGAGTGGGAAAAAGGAGATTGGGGGGGTCGACCCGGGTCGTGCTTGTGTTGACCCTAACGAGGGGAAGTTGGAAATGGTTGCCTCGCTGAGAGCTCCTTCCCTCGACAAAGCGCCAACCCCTTGATGGCCGCAGGCCTATATCGTTCGATGCTGCTGAGTTCTCCCTTGCAATCAACGCCTTTCCTCATTTCTTTGCTAGCAGCCCTCGCTTTCACCATGCCTTCCGGTTCCGGGTGGGAGTCAAAGTCAACCGACGATATCACTCGCATCCTAACTCTCTGTTGTCTTCGTTAAACGTGGCAACGTGCCAGAAATAACGGCTTGTTCCGAGGCTCGGCTGGTGCATGGGAGCTGCGGCTCAGGTGCCTGGGTGTAAGCAAGGGGCAGTAGGATCGGCCTGAAGACTTCCATGATATAAGCTGTGCTCACTTGCCTTGAGCATGTTGACTTTCTCGCTGCCTGGTGTATGGATAAATTTACATAGACCTACAGTCCTACTCCTCGTTCTTGGAGATAATTATCGTTCAGATGAATTCACGATATCCATATTCAAATCCCCATTCCGCGTATCACACTAATATAAAAGACTCTCAGCCGACGGAGTACATTATGACACAAATGTCTCATCCATCGTCTTAGCATTTATATCCGGCATATAAATTCAGCAGATTCCTGGTCTTTGCAAGAGCAAGTGGGCGAACCTACATAACGGTTTCTTGCCCATGTCAGTGGCTTGGTCGAACAGCAAGGTAGCAGAGACTAGATTAATCCTTCAACAAACGTGTGAGAAACCATCCGTGCTAAGTGCTAGATCAGTGGATCACGAAGATGAGAGATCTAGAATTGTCTGGGCACGCTCGGGCAATGACTCTCACGTGCAATGGATTATGGGTTAATGGGTTGGTCTTGTCCCATTACTCTGCATCCATTCTACACGGGGAGTGAAGATTATATTAGACAGCTAAACAGGTCACGAAGTCGGGTCAATTCATACCTCCCACAGTCTACTGTAGTGGCCGAGGTGTCGTTGCTCGATCTTTTAGGTTAAGCAGCCCACTGAGATCGATATTCCCATCAATATTGCGGATCCGGTTGTCATTCGCCTTCAACTCGCGGGGATGGATCAAGATTCAGAAGCCGTTCAATGTCTCAGTATCCTTTTCTAAAGCGTACTTCTCACAATGGGCAATTCGTGAATCGTAGTCTCGTATGGATAGGGCCATGCCAGTTGGCGGGAAGCCCACCTACCACGGGTCTGCTTAAGTAGATATTGACAACTTAACAGATGATTTTCCTCGATATCTTATTGGAAAAGGAACCGTACACATGTAAATGGTTTCGTGATAAGAAGGAGATGCTCCTCATACTGAGTTTGAATTGAACATACTGGTAAGTGGAGCAGTAGTCGTTGAATAGCCGCTTGGACTGCCCGTCATCCTCGTGGCACTCGGCCCTCACAATGCAGTCTAATTTGTGACACTCCTACACATCTCCTATTTGACTGCTTGTGCTCAAGCGCCCAACCTCTTTGCTCCCTCTGGTCTGATGGCGATGCTGAGTGGTACCTGCTGAATCGGCCCGTGTGCCTCAAGAGCACACAGCATTGATCATTCCCCTCTTCAATAGTTACCTAGTCTACGGAGTAATGTCTACTACTTTTTCACCAGAATATTGACAACACCAAGTACCATCCAGTAAACCATGCTCCTGCCCGAAACACCCATAATGCGGAAGGTAAGGATTATCAGCTACCCGTCTGCCGGACAGGGTGATTATCCCGCCTTGATAGACAGGAGTTGACCTAGGAGGGTTGGAATATGGACGCAATCGCGTTGAACGAATATTGAGGCGCAAAGTCTGACGAATTATAAGACGAAGACTGACTTACAAGGAAGCCCACTGTACGGTCTTTCCTGTTGATGACGAAGAGCCGGCCAAAATGGTCAAAAACACATTCAAGTATACAGTACGCTGCCCAGGTGCAATGCATACTTCGTTGAAACAGCGATTGACGACAGGTTACGGCAGATGGATATAAAAGAGGTTGGTGTGACAGGTTTGGATTCGTTTGTCGTTTGCATCCCGCCTGCATTTCGCTTGAATTGCTGTCGTATTTCGAGGACTTCGTTTTGACAATACCTATAACCAATACAGTGGGAATGCAGGATATGACTTACTTCAAATAAAGCGTCCACCAGGCGACTAATACGGCCGAACTGTGTATAGAAATCCGTTGTCGAGGTACCAACGAGTAATTATACGAGCCATTGGCCCCTGCAGCATGTACCTAGAATGTTGTTTGATGCGTTCACCATGGATATGATGTCGTCGTCAAGTGTGACGTGCAACGGAGCCTCACAGCACAATGTGCCACAACCCTCCAATGCGCTCGCCTTAAGCGGCCCGTTCATGTCCAAGATAGGAAGGGCGTATGTTGTTCCAAGGCTGTCATATTCAGTGCTCCACATGGTTGCTCTGGGGATTTGCTGGTCTCGTATTTTTCACGTGTTTGTCGTGCCCTCCATCCCTCTCACTATATCTTCCCCTTTCTCGATCCATCCCCCCATCAACCTTCAACATGCTCAAGGCAAGTGAGCACAGCTTATATCATGTAAGTTTCCAGGGCCGATCCTACTGACCCTCGCTTACACCCAGGAACCTGAGCCGCAGCTACCACGCACCAGCCACGCCTCGCGACAATCCTTTTTCTGGCACGTTGCCACGCTTGACGAAGACAGCGGAGAGTCGGATGGAAAGGAAGATCGCTGTCGTTATCTCCGACTCCCACCCGGCACCGGGGGCGGTATCTTCAAAGATGAGGCGTCTAGCATCAACTACCAAGGAATCTCAGACAAGCAGATGCGGAGTCAGTTCCGTGGTGAAGCCATCGACACCGCCGAAACCGACGTGCACTTCCCCCAGCTTTCCGTCGGAGATACCCTGAACTTCGCTGCTATGGCTCGCGCTCCCCGCAACCGTTTGCCGGGGGTCTCTCGCGACCAGTACGCGGAGCACATGCGTGATGTCGTCATGGCTATGCTGGGTTGTCTCGCTGAGAGGTCCTTCCCTCGCCAAAATGCCAAGCCCCTGATAGCCGCATTTCGGTGCCGCTGGATGGTGCCTCGGGGATGCTCACCCGTTTGCGCTCACCACCAGAAACTCCACGGACAAAATCGTTACCAACCCGGGTGTCCATGGTGTGGGTCGGACCCAGCATAGCGATGACGACATCCGCATGTGCTCCGCGTACTGGTCGCGAGAGACCCCCGGCAAACGGTTGCGGGGAGCGCGAGCCATAGCAGCGAACTTCAGGGTATCTCCGACGGAAAGCTGGGGGAAGTGCACGTCTGTTTCGGCGGTGTAGATGGCTTCACCACGGAACTGACTCCGCATCTGCTTGTCTGAGATTCCTTGGTAGATACCGCCCCCGGTGCCGGGTGGGAGTCGGAGATAACGACAGCGTTCTCCCTTCCCATCCGACTCTCCGTTGTCTTCGTCAAACGTGGCAACGTCCCAGAAAAAGGATTCTTGCGAGGCGTGGCTGGTGCATGGTAGCTGCGGCTCAGGTGCCTGGGTGTAAGCGAGGGGCAGTAGGATCGGCCTGAAGACTTCCATGATATAAGCTGTGCTCACTTTCCTTGAGCATGTTGACTTCCTCGCTGCCTGGTGTATATGAATGTACATAGTCCTACAGTCCTGCTCCTCATTCTTGGAGATAATTCCATTTCGTTCAGTTGAATTCACGATCCCATATTCAAAGCCCCATTCCGCGTATGAACACTAAGATAGAAGACTCTCAGCCTACGGAGTAGATTGCGACACAAACGTCTCAATTACCGTCTTAGCATCTATATCTGCCATACCAATTTACCAGATTCCTGATCTGTGCAAGAGCAATGGGGCGAAGAGGACGGTTTCTCGCCCACGTCATGGTCTTGATAGAACAACTAACGCGCAGAGACTACCTAGATTATTCCGTCGACAAGCGTGTGAGAGATCATCCGTGCTAAGTGTCCGGTTACGAAGAGGAGCTCTCACAGTAGTAGAAATGTGTGGGGCAATGAGTCTCACGTGCAATGGGTTGGTCTTGTCCCATTAGGTCATCCATATTACGCGGGGAATGAAGGTTATGTTAGACAGCTGAACATGATATTGATGGATTTCTACCCGTAAAACTTACTCGTCGCTGTGGGCAATTCGTGAATGGTAGCCTCGTAGCAATAGAGCCACGCCAGTTTGCCAGTTGGCGCGAGACTTGCCAGTTGACGGGAAGCTCGCTTACAACGGGTCTGCTTATGTGGATACTGACAACTTAACACATGGTTTCCCTTGATAGCTATCTTATTTAGAAAGGTACTATGTCTCGATGAGTCGCTGGGCCGCAGGACCTGGGTTGGTCTTGTACAGTTGTACTTGTAGATCTTGAAGAGTAAACGGGGATTGGTGGAGCCAGGATGTGAACGGGATGGGATGGTTGGTGCTTGACATATCATGTTGTCAACTTGTAGGGCGATGGAAAGCAAAGCTCGGCAGCAAAGCTTGCCAGCTAATAACTTGCCAAACAGGGCGAATATCCACCCTTGATAGACGAGGAGTCGGGCTAGGAGATTTGGAATATACTCACAATCGTGCAGAACGAAGAATGAGCCGCGGAACTAGACGACAAAGAATCCCACTATATGGCAAGAGGCGGCCAAAGTGTCCGGAAAGACATTCAAGTATGCTGAATGCGAATGCTTTGTTAAAACAGCGATTGAGCGCAAATTACGGCAGATGGATGGGAAACAGGCTGGTGTGACAGGTTTTGGCTTCGTTTGCCGCTTGCATTTCGCTTGCATTTCGCTTGAATTACTGTCATAATTCGAGGTCTTCGTTTTGACAATACCTATAACCAACACGGCGGGAATGCAGGAAACGACTTACTTCAGGTAAAGCGTCCACCAGGCGACTAATACGGCCGAAATGTGTATATAAATCTGTTGTCGAGGTACCAACGAGTAATTATACGAGCCATTCCATGGCCCCTGCAGCATGTAGAATGTCGTTTGATGCATCCACCATGGATATGATGTCGTCGTCAAGTGTAACCTGCAAGGGAGCCTCACAGAACAATGTGCCACAACCCTCCAATGCGCTCGCCTTAAGCGGTCCGTTCATGTCCAAGATAGGAAGCGCGTATGTTGTTCCAAGGCTGTCATATTCAGTGCTCCACATGATTGCTCTGGCGATTTGCTGGTCTCGTATTTTTCACGTGGTTAAGTCGTGCCCTCCATCCCTCTCACTATATCTTCCCCTTTCTCGATCCATCCCCCCATCAACCTTCATCCTCAAACCAATGAAGATACCTGCCACCACGAGGTTTCTAATTGATTGGAGGAGCGGAACCGATTGATGAGGCACCTACTCATGACGTCCGGGTAGCAAATCAAGGGCCCCAAGCGAGTACTTCCCTCGGCTGCCTCGAGGGGGCCTCAACCCCTCGCCTCTCTTGGTAAGAATCCTTTCATCTTTTTCCACTCCTTTCAATCTCTTTCAAACTCATCACTCCCAGTCCGCCAACCATCTCCATGACGAAAGCTGATACTGACGACTGCAGACGACGCGGACATCGAGGTGATTGACAACGGCGACCACTTGGGGCTCGGTGGGAAAGACTTCAGGGATTGAAACAAGCTTCCGTGCAGTAAGTAATGCGCAATCGTCTGACAAGGATCCAACTCCATCAGTCGGATCTCGATACTTACTCCTACCCAATAGTGTCGAGTCCTGCCATGAGCTCACTGTCGCATCTTTTGGATTCGTCATGACACGCAACAGAAGCTGAGTGGTTTCCTCGGTTTGCTCATCAGGCGGCTGGGGGCCCCGTCGACGACCCAATGTTCTTGACGTGGGGGAGCCATGCCCAAGCTATTCATAGCCCGTGTGTCGTAGCTCATCCACGGCAGTGAGGGGTGTCAAGTTGCCTGTTCTAAGCACGCATTTGAGGAGTAAGTAACGCCGCCGCTGTGACGGCCACTCGTCTAAAAAGGATCTCAATCCACTTATGTGATCTCATCGCTTACTTCTTTTGCTCCCTAGGACGTCCTATGACCACTGTTGGTCCGCCGTCGAGTCGATGACCTCCGCACTGTGATCGATGCCCCATATGGCTGCACAGGATGAGGAGACCTGGTTGGCCGAGATTCGGTCTCTCCTCGATGACAGAGCCGATGAGAGAGTTCTGCGGCACTTAGACCCCTTTCCCGAGCGAGTCATCACCTGTGATGACCTGTCGCCACGAAACAAGGATAGGCACCCTGTTCAACTCGATGGTCACATCACGCGGCCCAAGGCCGGAGAAGAGTAAGTCCACCAGACTTCCCAGGTGCTCCTATTTGCACCTTGCCTTTGGTCGGTTTGTAGTGACCCAACGTCTAGGATTGACGTGACTTTCATCTGAAGGCCTCACTTGGCGTCACCGTGACACAGGAAGAGCTGATGAGCTCTTCCTGGGTATACCAACGACCCATAATGCGTCCGCAACTTACGCATATTCCACGACCCAATAGCCGGGGACAACCCTCAACCGCTCACCCCGAACCAGGCACTTACCGCCTTCTACCAGCTCAGTATACGCGACTACGGCCCCTGGTGCAAGATGGCCAACGGCGAGAGCTGCAACATCCCCCTAGATGCCGTCATCGGCCGTTGCTACGAGCTTCTCGGCGCAGAACTGATGTTCGGCACGCGCAGTCTAGACTACGATGTCTCCGGCGTCATGGAGAGCCGTCACTACTCCGCGCAGGCCGACGCTCGCATCCCAGCGGACGAAACATGGTTCCGGGGCGATTGTCGATTTGAAACACTTCCAGCCACCAAATGGGTCTCGTCCCAAGGTCCCGATGGAGCTCCCTTCAAAGAATACTTCTCCGCGACGGGCCGTAAGCGAAGCAGAGAATGGCCACAACGGTCTTCCTTCTATTCGCGCCGCTCGTCCTAAGGATGACGACCCGGATGTCAACCAGCGGTTAAACCAGGCTATCCGCGATACTCAGGCACGTGTTGCGGCAGCGCTTTTCAATCCCGCCCACGGGAGGGTTTAATACGGGCCTCGCTCCATCCCAGTCCTCGAAACGGCGAGCCGCGCAAAACCCAGTCGGAGGACGCCATGAGCTACCCTGGTGGTGCGGCTCTTCATGAGCCAGTGGTGGTCAGAATAAAATAACGGAGCAGATTGGCAAAAAGCTCCACACTCATCGGCGATGTAGGTACGTCTGCCCCCATTCAACCCACATGCAAGGCACACTGTGTGATCAGACCACTGACCCATTCGCTCTCCATAGAAACGCATCGAGTTGCAGATGCTCGGCCTGTAACTGGGAGTTGTCGCCGCCGCGCCGTTGACTGCGTAGTCGCCTTCGGATAATGTCTCGGGCTCGGCAGATCGGGGAGGTCGGGAATCTGAAATCCTCCCAATCCTCCAATCTTGCGTCGACATCGCCGTGATGACGTGACTCCTTTCGACCCCGTCTCATCGCTGCAGGGGTCATCGACTTGAGGAGGCATTTCCTAGCGGAAAATCGAACACGGCACCCCTCAAGAGGCCCAAGAAGCCTGTCCCATACCTGACGGCGAAGAGTCTCACGGCGAAGATTCTTACAGCGAATATGAAACCGATGCGTCTGACGATGAGAATTACATGTGTCGGTATATATTCCACTGTGACTTGGCGGCTTACCCTAGCTGGTGTTACCAACAACATCTGTCTTGGGACCAACGTGTGTGGGGCTGCCCTATCGTCGACTGCTCCGGGAATTTGGGATAGTGTCTCATGCTCGGCGGGTACGCCTGGCATGGCGATGGAACATCTGGCTTCGTCGAATCTGGCGCCCAAGCTCCAACCATGAACCGAGAGTCAGATCTGAGAAAGTCGGCCGCGGACGGTGGTTGTGATCACACTGGTCTGAATAGTTCGGGAAGGGACAATGTCCTCGTCTGTATCATCAGTCTGTCTAGGGCCCAGATGCAAGCGCAGGCTCAAGGTGGACAGACCGATGGGGCATCCGAATGCACACGGCCAGATACCGCAGATCAAACAAGAACCAAGCTACCCGCACATGGTGCACCGAGTTCGCAGTGGCGGCGCTGTACTTCTGGTGGAGAGCATTTGTAGCACGGTCGCGGAACGATTGCGGGCTAAGCCCATGCAAGGCCCCGGGGGCATGGGTGTGGTCATTTGCGGCAGTGCAGGTTGGCTATCTACAACGCCATCAGGTCCTGGCTCGGTCTTGATGCGAGGACCGCCCATGCGGACTCCTGACAATCGAGACGCATGGAAGACGACCGGTGTTGATTCAACGTCGGAAGCGAGGAAATCATGGCATTGTGGCGCACACACCTCTTGGGCCGCTAGGTGGCTCATAGGTTCCATGAGTCAACTTTCGTCGCGTCTTTGTTCCCATACTCTCCTCCCATCGATTCTCCCCCATATTATAGCACCGCCTGGAGTCGATAAATCCCATGCTGGTTGAGGAGCACCATTGATTCGACGGATACCTTCCTCGCAAGTGTTAGCAGCTTCTACAAGGACGCCTGGCGCGGACGAAGCCGGAAGCAACAAGTGAACATGCGTGGAGAGTGTGGAGTGGGAAAAGGGAGATTGGGAGGTCGACCCGGGTCGTGATTGTGTTGACCCTAACGAGGGGAAGTTGGAAATGGTTGCCTCGCTGAAAGCTCCTTCCCCTGACAAAACGCCAAGCACTTGAGCCGCATTTCGGTGCCACTGGATGGTGCCCCCGGTGCCGGGTGGAAGTCGGAGAAAATGGCAGCGATCTTCCTTCCCATCCGACTCTCCGTTGTCTTCGTCAAACGTGGCAACGTGCCAATGTGTGGTGAAACCAACCGACCAAGCTTCGGAGGCACATCGCCGTTCTCTTCCCTATTATTGAGTCTCCTCCGAACTCAAGGTCCTCCGAGGCACTCTCTTCCTCACCGGAATCAACCTCCTCATTTTCATCATCGTCCACTGCCTCAATGTCATCATATTCACTGTTCTTCCGCGATACGGATGCAACGAACCGCAAAACCAGAGCCATCTTCCGAACAGAAGATGGCTCAGTAGGCTCGGCCAGCGGGGGGTCACAACATGTTTTGCGATCTGCTGTTCTTCTACAGATCTTTCATTTCCCCATTCCGCAGAGTCACACCAAGAGAAGAGATTTCCAGCCTGGATGATAACAGAAATGCCTCATAAATCGTCTTTCTCCGCCATACAGATTCACAACATTCCAAGTCTACAAAAGACCGGAGCAGGCGAGGAAGAAAATGGCTTCTCACCCATGTCAGTGGCTTGATCCAACAAGAAGGGCGCAAAGGTTATAACCCTCCTTCGACCTAACGTGTGAGGGATCATCCACGCTAAGTGTCAGGTCTCGAAGGGGAGGAGAGCTCTAATTGTCTGGGGTAATGAGTCTCAGGTCCATGCAACCGAAGAAACCGACCATGCTAGCAAGTGGCAGTCCATCAAAGTGGTCTTGCCCCATTACTCCACATCTATATTACGCGGGGAATGAAAGTTACATTAGACAGCTGAATATGATATTGAATACATTTTCTCTATTTGACACACCAAGGTGTATTTACATTCCAGGTCAATCGTAAAACATTGGTAGAATCGTAGAATGTCTCGCAAGGCACGTAGACTGTCGACCCACAGTAGTTTCAGTAGTTAAGGGAACAGCCATTGACAGCACAAAAACGCAAGAACCTGGACTTTCCATCGAAAGCGTGACGCAGTCAAGATGGCATTGTCAAGTTCCGGAAAATGAACAAACCCAAAATTAGGAAGGGGAAAGAACCACCGCTGTCTTGAAAGAGCCGAGTCCAAACCGAGTCCACAGCGTACGCCAACCACTGCGAAGCTAAGAAGCCGTCAGTGCGGTCCCGGGCTAGTATTGAGGGCTTGGGGGGCTGGTTGAAGAGATTTCGTTTCATTCGTTTCCCTTCTCCGTGGACGGCTTCGATGTTGGCTTCATCCAGTGGGCCAGTTCTGGCAATGTTTCCGGGATATCCATATCGCTGAGGTTTATGCGAATACAAATTCCCAGGATCCTGTCTTCATGCTGCATGATGCCCACTTGAAAGATCCGAGGATATCACCTGAAAACGGGCCCGAATTCAACTGGCCAGTTGGCTAGGCTGCTCTGTGGGTCTGCTATGTCACCGCGACCATACCTTGTTCGAAGTTTCGATGTCGCTGTGTTTCGGTCTTTCCAGGATCAGATCATGCTCGCTCAGCCATGGCTCTGCTGGGCAACACTCAAAGGCTTAAGACGAGGAATCTCAAGGCACATATTCATAGCGCCGCCAATTCTCCTCAACCCACCACTTAGTCACATGAGCAGCATCATTAATCCACTGAACAGCTTCTTCACCATGCTCTCGTGAAACCATCTCCATCAAATTGAGAAGGTTGAAATCTTGCAGTGCATCCACCTCGTGGGGGTCGATCTCGACATTTGAGAATCGCCATTCGACATCAGAGATGAGTGGGATAATCAGCCGGTAGGGCTTTGCCGCCGACCGCATGGCAAGCCATGTACCTCCGGTGTTCATGACGGAGAACTGCCAGTCTTGCTTCCCGTCCTTTTCGGGAATTGCGGGCCGGATCATTGATTGGCCTTCGTACAAGGGGAGTAGATCTTTTACGACTTTTTTTGCTTGATCGTCGAGGGATCCGGATTCGGAAAGAAGGTCGAGGATTGTTGGGAGAATTTGCTTTGACGAGACTCGAGAATTGATCTCGATAGTTGGTAGTTGGGGGTGGGCGAATACTAGCGGAACATGGAAGCTGGCGACGTGGGGATTGTCGTAGGGGGTAACACCACTGTTTTCGGGGAGAGAGATTCCACTGTTAATGCTGTTAGCTTGATTCGGTAATAAGTTTGGGATATAACACTTACTGGTCGCCGACCATCACGACCAAAGTCTCATTGGCGACGCCTGTTTCCTCAAGGACATTCAACAACTCAGCGAGCCACTTGTCCGCTACGCCGAGAGTGTTGAGATAGCGGTTCACCTTCTTGTTCTTTCCCCAAGGGCCGTGGCTGATCATTTCCTCGTACTCCTGATGGGGTGTGTCCCAAGGGTGATGGGTGATTCCAGTCAAATGTGAGATGAACAATCGTTCCTTCTTTTCCTCTGCCGCTTCAATGGCCCTGCGGTAATAACCGCTAAGCTCCCTCTCCGGGTATCCCCAGAAGTTATACTTATCTGGCATAGGGCCACCTGCTTTCTCTAGATCACGAGTGATGTTGAGGTCAGTCACGACATCCTGGAAGCCCAAAGCCGGTGTTAGAAGGTTCTGGTTGTCGTAATCGTCGGTGATGGACTGCATCCACATCGTGCGCCATGGCCAAGAAGTGTAATTGTGCTTCTCCGTAGCCTTTTCAGTCTGGTTGAACTGGGCGTTGAGAGCCTCCAGAACGTGTGGTAGGCATGGTTGGTAGATATGGTGCAGGTATTCTCGGTTGAAATCCACCACCAATGGATCAATGCCGCATACCGTCGCCAGGATACTTTTCAGTGTGAATGTATCCGCCGTATAGGCGTTGGTTGCATGAAATCCACCATAGGGTTGTACAGTCTTGTTTCCATTGAACCCAGAAGAAGTACCAGTGAGTCTCTCTGCAGTCGGTGTCAAATTGGCCAGCCTGTCTTCAACCTCAGCGGGGAGTTTGCCATTGTGGAAAGACTTCTGGATCATATCGCCAAACCAAGATTCCTTCCGGAGCGGGAAAACATCTGCTCGGGTGCTCTCTAGTTTCAAGAGCAACACATGCTTGATGTTGACGCTACCACCCTGAAGGGATTTGCGGAGCGATTCAAGGACTTCATTCTCAAGATTAGAGATATGCAGAGGGTCGTGTGCTGGGTCATAATGCACTCGAGCGGTGTGGTTCGCATCCTCGTACCAGTCAGTGAACCCAGCCAATTTCTCTTGCGGCAGCCAGTCAAACACAGGCGGTGCAGCGAGGGCTGTGTGATTCCCCAACCAACTGTAGTCTCCTGACAGCTTCGGGAGACGAACGGATGTTTGAGTTTGAGGTTGACTCTTGTCAAACGGCGTGATAATCACTGTCGCGGATAAAAAGTTGTATGAAGCATTGGTTGGGCGGAGGCACCGCAAGATCACCACAAAGGCAGTGCACCCGAATACCAAAGCCTGCAGCCAGATAGAACGCCGCGTTTCCTGTGGTATCTGCCCTGGTTCTTTGGCTATTAAACTCGAGTCAGACGCAGTCCGGTCCTCCTCCCAGTCTTCTGGAGCAACTTGCTCATAGCTTTTCAAAATGGGAGACTGTTTTTCCCTGCGCCAGGCCTTTGGCAGGACGCTCTTAAGAACCCCCACAATTCCCTTGATGAAGTTGAACAAGTGGGGTGTCGAAAACCAGGCGGCGCCGATGAAGAGAATCTCAACGATGAATAAACCAGTCAAGCCCGTCAGCAGCGTCTTGACTGCAGCCTTGTCACCGTGGAAGTTATGCGCTTGTCGCCAATGGATCTCCGCTCCAGTTGCGACGTAGAAGGATATGTTGGCGGCCGATAACCCGGATATTCCCAAACTATGCAAAAGCCCTGATCAGCAATAGCCCCCTCAATCTCGGAATCTCCATCATCATAGTTCATACCTAGCAGGGATGACCACCAAAGCGGCTATGGCACGCAACCATCGGCTCTCAAAATTGGCACACAGGGCAAACGTGATCAGAATACACAGCACATCTTGCAAAAAGAACGTCGGACCCCAGATCAACAACTGCGGGACGGGTAATGACTTGAGATGCGAGTAAATGTGGAGGATTTTTGCACAGATCACTGCGATGAATAGCAGAGAGAAGCAATATTTGCGCGATGCTGGCCAACAGTGATCAAGCCAGAAGCTCGGAGAAAGAGCTTTGCGCAATTGCTCGCGCGACACTTTAAACTCAAACCCCATTTTTAGTCCGTGTCGATCCCAAGCATGGCACTTGGGTGTATAAACGAGGGTATACACAACAAGAAGAGAACAGATCGAAGCCGAGGAATTTTTATTGAAGACACAACTTAAAAGGAGAGTAAGCTCACCATTGCGCCTTTCCCCATTTGCTTTTTGTACTCCGTACCAAGTCCGAATTATATTTGCTTTAAAGATTTCAGGATCCCATGGTCTAGACACTCCACGCTTACCCCTTTTAGGGTTACTGTATGTGATCTGGACCAATGGAATTACGTTCCATCTGGAGCCTAAAAATATGCTTCAGCTGAATGGGTTAGGCAGGCACAAACAAGAAAAGGGGTCCTTGGACCCCTTTGAGCTTGAACTGGGCTTATTTCCCCTCCGACCTCCGGGTTTGCATTGTTTTTCTGTTTACTTTTCCTTCTCACCAGCAAACACAGACACGAGATACAAGACTCTCCTAAAAGCATTGCTGGGCAGATTTGTTCGTCACAAAATGTCGGATCACCGTCACTTCTAATGACTGGTCAACCTAGGCACTGCCTACCTCGTATAACAAGATCCCAGTGGATGTGGATGCCATAGCATATTCTACATGAGTCGGGTCCAATAACCCACCGACACAAGTTTGGGCCTAGTAACTCTCCGTAGAGGGGGCCGCCAAGCCCTATGGCTTCGATTGCGGGATTTCAATTTGGTGGCGTTGCGGGTTTGGGTGCCCGCAGATTTATTTACTGTGGTCTACAGAGATCGTGTGCCTATTCCACAGTATGTCCGATCCGTCTTTGCATTTTCATTTTCTTTAACAAAAGGGTTTTCATGCCGGACCGGCGCTAGTGAGTAGCCGGACTTTGAGGCGTTTTGCGGCTCTGATGAAATTTCCAAATTCGCGTATTTCAGCCCCCTTCTGATGATTTGATCATAACCTGCATGCAACGGTCCGTAGATTGTGTCATGTACGTGTTGAATTACCTAAAAGGTACTTGGGACAAGGAATAGCTAAGACATTAGAAGAAGGATCATCAACCTTATGTATGTCGCAGGTTGCTAAAGTCCGAGGGACCAATAACCACGTGGAAGCCATCTTTACGGGGATTCAGACACGACACTGCCCCTGCTCTTGTCGGTCTCTTGTCCTGGTGGATATCAGCGGATTTAGGCACCAGTACGGAGTACATGACCTGCGCATGGAGATTGGAGAATGCGCATAACTTTGACTCTTCAAATGAACTCTACACAGTAGACCCACAGTCGGCTAGTGGGTCTAAACAACCGACCGAGGCTTGGCTGACTGCCCATGTATCGTGATTCGAAAGGTAATTGCTGGGCTGCGGGGAAGACAATGTAACTGTGCATTTAAGCTCAAGCTATGAAGTTTAAAGGTAGGCGCAGAAATAAGAATATCTTTCATCTACGATGAGGTCGATAAACTATACGTTTCGCAACAATGAGTCGTTACCGTTTCAAATGTTGAGCTAAGATTGGAAACCACAAAGGCGATCTCAAAGCTCCACCTGCAGTTCCAAGTTCGTCAACTGAGGCGAGAAGGTCCGCCGAACCCACTCCATGTATGTCTTCCACTTGTGATGATCTCCAGATGCTTCCGCACTGGGAAACGCCTTGCTCAGCTCTCTGGTAACCTTCAAGACGCCAAGAGATGCTTCCTGGGCCTTTTCCAGCTCTTGCTTGACAGCATTCTCCTTTGGCTTGAAGGAAAGAACGGAGGTGTAATGTTCCGACAACGCGTCTAGCTGTCGCTCGGTGTCCTCGGGTGCGATCTTAATCAATTTTGACGTCATGAGGTTGCTGATTGCACGGATGTCCTGCTCGTCATCGATCCCGGCAACGATGCGGTCAAATAGTTCGGCCATATGGGCGCGGGAGAACGATGTGTCGAGTGAGGCGTAGAGCGTTTCGTAGGCACTCTGTGAAGAAGACGTCAGTGGAGATGATCGATATGAGGTGTAAAAGAATACCGACCTTTCGGAGGTCGAGTCCATCATCGACTTTGTGTTTGAATGGACCCATTTGCACCTCTCGGATGAGCTCTGGTTTGATCTTGGTATCACCAAGCACGGCGGGCAGCAGTTCATCAAGATGGGGAAGCAGGAGTTCGATCTTGTTGTGGATAGCAGAGTTGAGTGTCGTCAATGCAAGACGGTGGTTGCCCAAATCACTGTCGCTGAGCATGTTCGTCAGGAGGGGAACCATTAACGGTCGCAAAACATCATTGTAAGCAGCACTTGAATCAGCAAGCGTGTAGCGGAACGCCGAAATAACCACGCCGCGGACAGCCGGATCAGAATTGGTCAGATACTCCTGTAACCAGGGCGTTAGTAGTTAGAAACAAGAAGAACGAGCAGGACTTACTTGGAAATGAGGGATGTAAGCAACAGGGTCAAGCAATGCCAAGCGACCCACACATTCAGCCCCGACAGCCCGATTGTCTTCCTCCTCGGCGACGACAAGCAATGCATGCCACAATTTGTGAGCGGATGGTGCAAGATCGGGCCGCACAACTTCGGGATGCTGGAGTAACTCTCGGACCGAATGAAGGAGCAGATAGCTTTGGGGATTGGATTTTTGTAAACCATTCAGGATTACCGGAACATAGGCTTTCACGTCGCCCGCCGCTGCATTGCCGAGCGCAGTGGCAGCAGCCAGGCGCACATGATCTGATTGCGATTCGAAATGAGGGATAAAAATGTCGGACGCCAACGAGCAGTCTGCGCCCATCCGCAGGCCGATTTCACCTAGGATGGCAAGAGCAAGACATTTCCGGCTATCATCCTGGGCAGTCTTCAATTCTGTTGAAAAGTCTTCCATCGTGACTCCGAGATTCGGCCCACCATGGACAAGAAGTGTACCGACGGCCCTGCCCACGACTGACGAGTCCCCTGTAATTCCCACGTCGCGGAGAAGATTTTGCATCAAGCTAGCACCCGCACCTTCCTCGCCAATGACTTTGACCAACAACAGCAATGCCTTGAGGACAGTTCCGACAAGCGGCTTGGTGACGATCGAGCAGATAGCGGATATCAACGCGCTATTCACCATGAAGTCTGCATTGCCGGGGACCAGTTTGGCGATAATGATCAACGTAGGTGTAAGGGTATGGAAATCTGCTGCAGAAAGAAGAGGCAATGCAGCGTTTTCCAACGCCGTAATCGTCTCGGGAGTAAGGTGTGATCTGACGTTGTAGTTCATGGAAAGACTACGGAGAGTCTCCAGGCACGCACCCCTTAAGGCACGATCAGACTTCCGCAAGTTCGCCCCTAGACTAAGGGCAACATTGTTGGCCCAATCACTAGAAACATCCTGCTTGCGCTTTGCTAGAACAACAACATCATCGATGGCACGAACAGCGGACAAACGAGTTGTCTCGTTCTTCGCCCGGTCCACCAAGACAGCTAGACCATTAGATCTCTTGTCGGATGAGATAAACTCTAGACCCTGCTCCCCTGATGTGCGCGCGAGAATGACACCGAAGACATGAATGGCCCGTTGACGGACTTCGAGGACGGCGGTCGTATCCGTGATTCGATCGTGAACAACATCGTACAGCTTCTGCAACTGCAGCGAGACATCGGATGCATTAGCATTCACGCGTGGGGGTGTAATGGCTTTGGCCATTTGATCCACTGCGCCTAAAGCCTCACTGCTGACTTTGTAGTTGCGATCGTTGACGGCTCCAACAACCCCAGGCACAAGCGCAATCAAGAATGGCAAAAGAGCATCGGACAGATGAGTCTCAGCTATAACCGCAATGAGGCCCAGAGTTTCAATCTGGAGGGTTCCTGCACTGACTGCAGCGCCGGTGTGAGCAGCGGTGCTCCCAGAAAGAGATGAGGTCTTGAGGGCATCTGCAATAAGGTATTCGATTTGCTGAAGATGGTCCGCAAGACCACCATAGCGAACCAAAGAAAGACTTTTGAGGAGAATGATTGTGGCTTGTTTGAGGGGAATTGACGCCTGCTTCCACACTTTCACGAGGCTTTGGACGATCAAAGGCACGGAGCGGGCCAAATCAGCCTGAGAGCCAGACTTTGGCGACGATGGGACAGCAGGAGAATCCATAGCCGGCGAGGCTCCAGCACTAGGCTCGAAGTCAATCATTGACGCATCGCTATCTTGGCGTCTACGCTTGCGGGAATTCTTTGACCCACCCACAGTCTCCAGGAAATCGTTCGATGTGATGATCATCGAGCCCTCGCTGACTTTGCGAACAAGTGCTGTCAATGTCGACACCACTTCCAGCTTCACACTTTCTTCTCTTTCTCTGCTGATCCGGGAGATCAGAGCTGGGGCGATCTGTTGGAACAGGGCTGAAGCGTCCAAAGCACGGCCACGCCCGCAAGTAGAGATGACAGTGTAGAGAAGCTTGGCAGCACACCGTCGTACCTTCCAGCTCACATCATCAATGTCACTGTAGCCACCTTCTTCTTCAAATTCGCCGAACTCGTCGTCTTCCAGCTCGGGCTCCGATGTGGCATCGTCATCGCTCCCATCGTCCTGTGTGCCTCCCATTTCCTCATCATCCTCCACCTCAGCAACGTTTGGGTCATATTTCAAGAATCGAAGAGCCGATCGAGTGGTGTTCGTCAGGTACGGTTGCATCTGTTTGTTACAGGAGCTGATCAACGCTTCGAGCGTGACCAAGGCGGTTTCGCGGAGCTCATCCACTTGGGGATCATGGTCCTCGTCATCCGAGTATGTGGACATTGTGGCGATGGTGAAACCACGAGAAGGATAAATTGAAAGACTGTCAGAAAAGGTGCGGTGAACGCGAAGAGAGACACGTGCTTGGAACGTATTGAAGTCGCCGTCACAGGTTGTAGGCAAGCTAACCCCGCGCTAATCCCGATCTAGCAATACGGTCACGTGAGGGACCTCTACTGCAAAAAATCGAAAAGATCGAGCGATGGTTGAGCTTGAGCACGTTGTCTTGAGGCCAGAAGTGCTTGAAGACCACCTTGTTTTCGTGCTTTGGCCCTCTTTTTGCTGTTTTGGTTTTCGCCTGATTTGGGATCCGTTGGCGTTGGCGTAGATCCTTTCACATCAGCCCCTACAGGCGTCGACCCTCGAGTTGATGTAACGGTAGCTGCTCTAGAAGACTTGGTGACAGGAATCCTTGAGCTCTTTCGAGAAGGGAGCACAGTTCTTTTGCGACAACGTAGACACTTATACACTGTAGCACCCGAAGATCCAGATGCTGAAAGCTTGCTTGGTTTTGGTTTGATCTCAGTGACTTTACACCTCTGGGACTCTCTAGTACTACCACAGGATCCGCAGTAATTTTTCTTTTGATGGGCATTTAGCGATTTCGACTCCTCAAGAAGAAGGCGGGTGTGCACCCCTCGTAGATATGCGGATGTTGAGGAACCGACGGGGACGGTGGAAGCAGCCTGGGTGAGGAAGGAATGGCCCTCGATCTGAGACATTTTCCAGAGAGAGAGGAGGAGCAGAGAAGTGAGAGAGAAATTGAGCAAATAAACAATAAAGTAGAACAAAGAAGTTAGAACAAAGTAGGAGCACAATGGGGAACAAAGAAGTCAATCGACTCCGTTTGCTATTCAGAGAATTTGCCGCGCGGGAGCTTAAATTCACCCGCTCCACCAGCCGCTTCTTTCCATCTACATCTCTCTTCGCTTCATAGTTCTTCACCCACCACTTCTGTCATTTCTTGATTACATCTTTCCCATTCAAGTCTTCTTCTTCTTGGGTCTTTCCCTAATTCCTTGCTTAGCGGCACCTGCCTACCACATTGGAGGCTCTTTTTCGTCGCTACTTGCTATCAAGAAGAATTCACACGGAACAGTGCACCCTCGTCAGTTACGATGACTTCTGTGCGTATTGCCGTCGAAGGCTGCGTAAGTACTTTCATGTTACTGCAATACACTACCCCACAATCCCATTCCATGTGATATCTCCATTTCACAAAAGGGTACTGATACCTATATTTCTGATATAGGGCCATGGTAGCCTCGACGCTATCTATGAGAATGTAGCCAACAAGGCCAAACAGAAGGGATGGGAGACTGTTGACTTGGTCATCATCGGTGGAGACTTCCAGGTGTGCTTTTATCATGTCCCATTTCGGACGAACTTAACATTCACTAATACGTCCAGGCCCTCCGCAATTCTTATGATGCGACTTGTCTATCTGTCCCGGATAAGTACAAGCAGATTGGTGACTTCCATCAATACTACAGTGGTTGCCGGGTTGCTCCGTACCTGACCATTTTCATTGGGGGTAACCATGAAGCCAGCAACTATTTGTTTGAACTTCACTACGGTGGCTGGGTGGCGCCCAACATCTACTACCTCGGCGCAGCCAACACCATTCGCTTTGGCCCTTTGCGCATCTCGGGAATGTCAGGGATCTGGAAAGGCTATGACTACCGGAAGCCGCACTACGAGCGGTTGCCGTACAACAGAGACGACGTCTCTTCCATCTACCATATCAGAGAGGTGGATGTGCGCAAGCTGCTACAGATTCGCACCCAAGTCGACATCGGTCTGTCACATGATTGGCCCAAGGGCATCGAGAGGCACGGCGACTTTGAGAAATTGTTCCGCAAGAAGCAGGGCTTCCGAGCTGATTCGGATTCTGGAAGACTCGGGAGTGTTGCCGCACGCGAGGTCCTAGATTACCTGCGTCCCAAGCACTGGTTTTCGGCTCATCTCCACGTCCGATTTGCCGCAGAGGTGCACCACGGTCCGTACCCTGCCGAGATGACCACTTTCCAGCCCGGCGAGGCTAAGGTCAATGCCACCATCCCAGAGACAGGTCCTGCCACCGTTGTTCCACGAAGTAATATTGACAAGCGCGCTCTAGCTGGTCATCGTCTACTTGGATCCGCGGTGGGGGATGAAAAGTCCCGCATTGCGGCCTGGCAGGGCTTCGGCGCAATCGCTCGGGAGAGGGAGCTGGCCGATGGCAAAGCGTTCATGGCGGCTTTCAAGGCTAGAACGGCGTCGGATCCTCCCCGAGACATCAAGTTCGAGGAGACTGCCAGGATCGGGCGAGGACCGGTCCAGAGGTTCATACGTGGTGCCGATGGAGCGCGCGTGAAAGAAGCCCCGGTTGAGGGTGACGAAATTGACAACGATGAGAAACTCGGACAGGGAAACACCCCTGTGGTTACACCCAACGCTCATGGATCTTCCGAAAAGGGAATGGAGCTCCCTTCCGACAAGAAAGTGGTCGAAGCTGGCATCGAGCCTGTCGCCGGTGGTAACAGCAAGGGTGGACCTGTTTGCAACGCGGACCAAGTTGATATTGTGTCCAGCCCCAGCAGCTCTACCAGCACAAATGCGCCTGCTGAGAAGGATACTGCGTCGGTCTTCAAGACAACCAAGGACGTCACGGAGAACGTCAGCAATGCTGACAAAATCAGCCTGGCAACCAGCCCTGAGAGTGCCACGAGTCTGAACTCTCCTCCTGCTCGAAAGGCTCTTCCGAAAGCCGACATTTCCCGCGAATGGGAAAAGGACCGCGGCCAGAATGATTGGTGGGCAGCAGGTGAGGATGAGTTGGTTGGTACGCTGCAGAAAGAACTCCCGACCACTCTTGAGAAACCACCTACACCCGCCCATGTCACCAAGACTCTTCCGACTCCTGCCGACATCACCAACACGGTGACTGAATTCCTCACTTTGGACAAACCGCATAGTCGCGATCCCTTTGTCGAGCTCCTGGAGATCGAGCCCATCTCCAAGCAGAATGGTGATGTAGCACAGCGCCCTTTCAAACTGGAGTACGATGCCGAATGGCTCGCCATCACTCGCATCTTTGCCGACGAACTACGTCTTGGAGGAAACCCGAACGACTCTGTCCCCCGACACCAGGGCTACGAGCACTACCAGGAGAGGCTCGCTCAAGAAGAGCAATGGGTGAAAGAGAACATTGTTGAGAAGGGACGCTTGAAGATTCCTGAGAACTTCGTGGTGACTGCCCCAGTGCACGATGTTTCTGTTCCGATTGGTACTCTCGAGCAACCTCGTGAGTATCCGAATCCGCAGACCGCAGCGTTCTGTGAGCTACTTAATATTGAGAACGTCTTCGGAATTACCGATGAAGAGGTCCAGGCTCGTATGGCAGCCGGGCCGCCTCATCGCGAGCAATTCGGCGGTCTTCGCCGGGGTGGCCGTGGCGGTCGTGGCGGTCGAGGTGGTCGAGGTGGTCGTGGTGGTCGAGGCGGTCGCGGTCGTGGTCGCGCTGCGGCTGGACCCCGTTGCTAGGGTTTTGATTTGAGCAACATATTTTACGCAATTGTTTTGGGAATTCAAATTTAGGATTGGCACGAGGCGGCGTCCCGTGACCGGAAAGGACTGGCGTCCACAGAGCGAAATTGAATCAAGCATGGATTTACTAGATACCCGGCTTTTCAATTGCAAAGATGCCAAGTTAACGGTTCCTCTCCCGGGGTCTAAAGACCCCAGTCGCTACGATGAATACCTACCTAGGAACCAATAGTTAGTTAGTTAGTACTTAACTAGTTAACTAACTAGTAGACGAGGAGAGAGGGTAGTTAGATAATGCTCGTAAATGGTTGGAACTGAGAGTTGTACCTCCCTGTCATATCAAATTGGCGATCTGCAGATATCACCAGCAAATCAGCGTCCTGATTCGCCTGGTCCACCAGCATCATTGGTCTAGTGGTAGAATTCGTCGTTGCCATCGACGAGGCCCGTGTTCGATTCACGGATGATGCACATTTCTTTTTATATTTTTTTCGGTTGGACTGGCTGCTTTTTATTCATTCTCTATGATTGTTTTATCTTGAATTGTCACAGATGTCGTCTGGTGCCGGTGCTTTCTCAAATACAAATCCCCTGCATCCACAGCCCGGTAGGTAAGGTAGGTAATTGAAGCTATATATTCCATGAGACCGGCAGTGGGAGGCACCTATGTACCGGATTTCCTCTGCCACGTCTTGGCGTTTCCCGTTCCGTTTTAGTGCTCAGACCTTGCCGCTTTTTGCTCACTGAGCAGATCTGAGCACGCCTCTGAGCGGTCTGATCTGCTCACTGATCCGCCTCTGAGCGCCCTGACTCGCTCACTGAGCAAAACCTGAGCGTCGGCGTGAGTAGCTTACAAAGCGACCTCAGTAAAATGCACTACGCTAGCCTGATTCACGTGCAATATTACCTCACTAAATAACCCCCATTGTCCCATCAAGAAAACATTGGCATCATCAATATGACTATTCATCCTGGTAATCTCACTGCAATCAATTGCGCCACAACGGAGCCTGCTACTTACTCAACCAATCAGTGTTATATTCTCATACTACGTGCTCCTGGGAACATTCTTTCTAGTACCCCCATAATCTCCTAACAGGGCCGTGCAGAATAATGATGCTGGGGCAATTGGATGGATCTGCTCGGATACTTACTTCTATATCGGGCCCATACCCGCTGGTGACAACACTTACGGGATTTAAACGGCAAAAACCCCTCTAGCACCAATAAGCTTCTGCCTCTATAGGCAATCGTATCCTTTTGTGAGGTCCGAACTTCCAGCTCCTAGGAGCCTGCCAGACCGGCGATAGTTCTGAGGCGTGTAATCGAATTGGTTGACTATTCCAGATTCGTCCATAACTAACCAGGTTCCTAGGAACTCAGGCCGCTTACGACCTCTCAAGACATCTGCCCAACGTGTCAGGAAAGGGGCGTTCTTTCAAACTGTTTATAAATTGAGTACTCCGTCGCCCTCTCTTGAATAAAAGAAAACAATCGTCGCATGCTTTTTATCGCGAATTTATTAGACGCCACGCTCCGGTAACACAGTAAGTTTTCTCTCAGATCTCTGTCTTTGAGAATCGCCAACTAAGCCTGATCCTAGCCTGTTTAAAATGGCCGAACCAACAAACACTGGCACATCCGCTGCAGAATTCGCAAAAGCGGCACAGTGCAGTATCTGTGCCCTTGTGGAAATCATCGAAGCAGCTGAGTATAGGACCGAAGCTGTCAAAGAGCTTTTTCATCTACTCTCGTCCATCAACAAAGCAATGGAGAGGTTTGTGTCAACTTTTGACAAGTCGAACTCTTGCAAGCTCAGTCATGAAGTCCAGCTTCACCTTCAAATGGCGACCCGGACAACCCAACATGCCTGCGCAAGATTCCAGGAGGTATTCACAGAATGGACAAGTCATTTCATCAAAGACTCTCTGCGCGACTCAGATTGGAATCTGTTCGGTGCCTTCGTGGACATACAATCGCGCATTCTTAGCGGGAGGCTACGACAACTGAAAGATACCATGAATATGGCGATGGAAATCTCCGCATTGTATGTCAAGTTTCTGCTCTTGCAACTATCAGCTTACTGAGTTCGTCAACAGGGTTTCCTTTCCCGCTTCGAGATACATCTCCGATGAGGAGTGGAACTCCATACTGAAGAAAGAGAATACCTTGCTTTCAGCGATTATCAAGACGAACGAAAGCCAACAAACACATCAGCGCAAAGAAAGGGCGGCTGAACGTATCGCTTGCGAAATCAAAGGATCTGGCATAGCAATGCAACGAGACCGAAAAATATTTGATGGATTGTTAGCCGAGTTTAGCCGGCTACGATGGAGCCAAATAACTAAGGCCGGACAGGAAGGTCAGCTTCAGAATGCTGTCGGAGCTTTGCCCGGTGAGATCCAATGGTCCTACGAAAGCGCCGTTATTAGTATTGAAGGGATCACAGTAGCTAGGTTTTATGGGTCATACAATGACAGCGATGCTCTGTCCGCTCCTATGGTTCGTGCTGATGATGTCCCAGAGACCGCTCACTGAGCAAGGCGGTTTTACCAATGTAGGCTAGCTGGTTCATTATGAACGTCATTGTTCTGCTCGGAAAAGTCCGACCATCGACCCTGTGAAACATCTGTTCCAAGCAGGGTCCTGTCAAGGAAATATTTTTGGAAGAGCCGGTTTCATCGCTTTTGTTCACCTCAACATGCCCTCTTTCTCACACTCACTAAGACTTCTCAGTCCACCTTGAGATGATCGAACTGGTCCGATATTCAAGGTACAGACATTCTAGGGCAAAGTCAGGCCTACTTGAGATATTAGATCGAACAATCGACCGGCTAATCGGTAATGTTTTGCTTCTGTTACGGGGAGAGTAATTTAACCATACACTATGTAAAGATATTTACGGACCGTGTATTATTTCCAGCACAGCCACACTTTATTTCGAGGAGCCACAGCTCCGGAAAGCTTGAATAGGGGCCCGGTAAGGCAAAAACGTGCGTCTTTCCGTCATGAAACCTTGTACTGATCGTTTCAATGGTCACTTGATTCTTAATCTATCGCCTTGGTTCCTCAATTCCATTTAACCACTGGTTCTCAATTAATCACTCGCCCCTCAATTTCAAAGGTCGTCCCAAGCCATCGCTCAGTTCAAATTAATCGCTAGTCCCCAGGCCATCATTTCCCCATGTTTGAATGAGTGAAGATTAATCTGGGCCATTTTGTTCGATCGTTGGCTTCCGGTGTTTGCATTATTCCACTCAACGAAGTGTTCCAGCATCCATTACCCCAGACTTAATATTGTTACATGTACATTTGCTGATGGCCATTGATTATCCATCAAAAAAATGGATGAGTTTAGATAATAGTCAATCGGGGGAAGATCTGTACCGAATCTGGATAGGGGAGAGGTGGATTGAGGGAGAGTGATGGATTGAGGGAGAGTGATGGATTGAGGGAGAGTGATGGATTGAGGGAGAGTGATGAATTGAGGGAGAGTGATGGGTATATGGATTGACAGTCTCCAGTGTTTCCATCTCGATGCTTTCCAGCGCGTCTGCGAGCTGATACAATGGCCACCGGTGATATCTTCTGCATTTGTTGATCTGAGCTGTCCTCCTGCGAAGGGAATTGGTTACAGTACTGGTAGGGTGTGCACGTCTGTCCACATCTTCCCAGCTCGTCTCCAGAGCCGGTGTTGCACCGTGGCGATGTGAGCCTCCGGTTCCGCTACACTAGTCGCAACTGTGAGAAATGTTTCACAATTGCTTGCGCTCCTGCCCTCTGCACTCTGTTGATCGGCCCGATGTTTTTATTCTTGAAAGCGTGCATCCAGACATTGGAGGCATAGTCTACCACTGGGCGCCAACGTCGACGTGAATAGCTGCCGCGCTGTTGCGGGGAATAGACCCCGAAGCCGCAAAGCTCCATCGCCGCCTCGAGTCCCTTGGACGCTGCCTCACGATGTGTTCCTTGTATTTGAGTCTCGTATTCATGATGACGCTAAGAACCTTGACATGGTCTCTGGGTTCAACGGTCTCTCCCTTCATAGTGAATGGCTCCGAGTCCGACTTGTGGACCTTGGGGGCGAAGTATATAATGGCGGTTTCTTTCTCTGCCGGAAAGGTCGCGAGGTGTACAGTACCGACCGCTATGAAATATAGAGGGGCTCTTTCAGACACTGATCACATGACACTCCATTCCAAATATGAATAGCGGAAACCATCCGTTTTGTAGCTAAACAGGTGTTGAATACTAGACTTTTTGAAATACCACTATGGAAGATACAGGGGCCTGAAATCAAAAACTGAAAAGTTCGATGCAATCCTAACAAGACATAGTCTTCTTTGACCAGGCAACCTGTCAACAAGTCTCTCATCTACATCTTGCAATTTCTTCCCTGCAGCGAGCCTAGTACTCTGGAAGTCCATTCAGAGACAAGTTGATATAATCTAACCGTGTTCTGGATCTTACTAGACAACAATCCTCACTGGCTACACTGGCTAACACCTTCCAATTCGACTTGCTTAGGCTTTCCCTTCAGAAGATGTCTATCATGCTCAATTGCCTTTGCAGTGACGATTCCTATCCAATCATTCGGCAAGTTTTGGAAATAGACTAAGCATCGACATAATCAGGCCTTGCTATTTTCATTTGCGGCGTTGGTATTTTGTCCAGGGTACTTTCCAAGTGAAAGATAAATTGCTCGCACCTTTAATCATGTTAAGATGGTCTTCGGCGACTGTTGGGTTGCTTGTCCCCACTTTCGGCACTTCGAGCTTGTTGGCCTCCTCAAGCCGGCCCTGGCTCCGATATGTGGACGCTAGGGTGGCCATACTCGTCAGCGTGTCGGGATGGTTTTCACCGAGCTTTGTCTTGCGTGTCTCCATCACCTGCATCAGTAGCTTCTCAGCGTCGTTCCACCGGCCCTGCTTTGAAAGGGTCACCGCCAGGTTGCCCATACTCGTCAGGGTGTCAGAGTGGTCCTTGCCGAGCTTTGTCTTGCGAGTCTCCATCACCCACATCAGGAGCTTCTCGGCGTCGTTCCACCGGCCCTGCTTTGAAAGGGTCACCGCCAGGTTGTCCATACTCGTCAGGGTGTCAGAGTGATCCTCGCCGAGCTTTGTCTTGCGAGTCTCCATAACTTGCATCTCAAGCTTCTCGGCCTCCTCCCGCCTGCCCTGCTCTCGATACATCGATGCTACGACGGCCATACTCTTCAGGGTGTTAGGGTGGTCCTCGCCGACTGTCGACTTGTGAGTCTCCATTACCTGCACCTCGAGCTTCTCAGCCTCAGTCCACCGGCCCAGGCTCCGGTATATCGACGCAAGGTTGCCTATACTCGTGAGAGTGTCAGGATGATTCTCGCCGAGCATCGTCTTGCGAGTCTCCGTCATCTGCACAAGGAGCTTCTCAGCCTCCTCTAACCGGCCCCGGCGCTGGTACGTCCACGCAAGATTGCCCATACTCGACAGTGTACACGGATGGTCCTCGCCGAGCGTCGTCCTGCGAGACTCCATCACCTGCATCTGAAGCATCTCAGTCTCAGCCCACTGGACCTTTTTCCTACATATTGATGCGATATTCGCCATACACATCAGGGTATCGGGATGCTCCTTGCCCAATTTCGCCCTGCAAGCTTCTATTACCTGCGAGAAGAGCTTCTCGGCCTCAGGCCCGGGACCTGCTCGCGCTCCATCAACGTTACGGCCCCGCAGTCCGCATTTCGCCCACCGAAATCTCTTTTTCATCCGCGCAATCATGGACTGACATCTACGCGCCGCGAAAAAGGGCCGAGTTTATCAAGTCCCCTTTCTACGATGGCGGCAACTTTGCGGATAAGGCGCATAGTATCGTCTCGGAGCGAGACCCGGTCAAGCATGCGCAGATGAGGAAGTTTTTGGCGAGAGCGTTTAGTGAGCAGAGCCTGAGAGAACAGGAGGGAATCATTGATGGCGTTATCCAGAGATGGGTGGATAGGGTTGGAGAGGTCAGCAAAGCGGAGGGAACGGTTGATTTGACGAGGTGGTTCAATTTGATGACCTTCGGTAGAGTTGCTACATACTTTGCACCTGGGTCAGATGAAGGGTTTGGCTGACCGTCGAATTGGCAGATATCATTGGATTACTGGCGTTTGGGAGGGATTTTGGGGGAGTAGAAAGTGGTATGTCTGAATCTCAGGTTGAACGCCTGAAATTTATGACTAATTTTGATCCAGGCAAGACTCACTTCTGGATTTCCGATGTCCTGGGTAGCATGTCACAGGCCAGTCTTTCCGATACTCTGGCACGCTTCCCTTGGGCTGGTAAGATCTACATGCTCCTCCGACCAGGCTGGCTGAAGAGTCTTATGGCCGCATCGCAGCGTCACCAATCCTACACGATGAAAGTGACCACGCAGTAAGGCCGCGCCCACACTCGGGGTTTTATGTGCTCATGTTCTGGCGACTACCCCAGGCGAATATACGAAAAGACTGATCGCAAGGACTTCATGTCTTATCTCCTATCCGACCGCGAAGAAGAAGCAATCTCTGATGTCCAACTCGCAGCCCATGCGTCTGACTTTGTGATCGCCGGCTCCGAAACAACCGCCACAACCCTGGCCGTCTGTATTCACCACCTATTGCTCACCCCATCCATCCTCCAGAACCTCACCAAGGAAATCCTCTCGAAGTTCTCCACATATTCCGAAATTACGGCTTCCTCGAGCGCACGGCTGAAATATCTCCACGCCGTGAGCCTCGAAGCGTTGCGTATTTTCGCTCCCCTCCCGTTGGGACTACCGCGGGTCGTGCCCAGGGGGGCGGAGTAGTTGATGGATGGCCTGTGCCGCAGGGCTATATTGTGAGCACGAATCCGTACGCGGCGAGTATGCTTGCAGAAAACTTGAGCAACCCGGAGTCATTTATTCCAGAGCGATGGCTTGGAGAGAATGGGGGTGACATTCTTGAAGCCACCAGGCCATTTAGAATTGGGAATAGAAGCTGCCTGGGGCGCAGTTTGGCATGGCTGGAACTGAACTTGACATTGAGTCGGTTGCTATTCAGATACGAGATTGAGGCGGTCAGATGTGTGAATTGGGACAAGGAGAGCCGGATGCATCTGTTGTGGAAGAAGCCTGAGTTAAAGGTCAGGTTGACGCCGCGGAGGATGAGGCAGGATAGCTAGTATTTCAAATGGTAATCGAGACAGAAGGCACTTCGTAGCATCAAGCATAGGGGCTACTTAGAGATGCCAACGAAATGGCATTTGGTCTATCAATTTCCTCCTCACATCAACGGTTAGATTTTATGAGAAAGGCCTACGTGTAAACTGGCATCTCTTTTAGAATCCGACATAATGTGAACGCCCAGGCATGTAGTAAGGTGAAAATGAAGGGAAAGAAGAAAATCTAGCTGTGTGAGGTAAAGGAGGTAAAGGCAATAACTCTTTTTTGGGTGCAGTTGGAGCATAGATGTATATCTCCCCCCTCAGTTCAATCTATCGGCGAGCCGCTATTCTCTCGTATTCAATGCACACTGTCCAGTCTACCTGTCTCGTTAGCAGTACTGGACTTGACAGCGTATGTTCGTCGGTACTGCTCATCAATATGCTCCAAATAATACACTCCGTCTCCGATGCTGGCTAGATCACCTCTTGGGGTGAAGTTCGCCACGCCGTATCCAGCTTCGCGCATTTTACATGCCTAGTTAGCGAGCGTCAGTCGATATCAAGAAAGAATTATCACAGGAGGTGATTGCGACAAAGAGAAAAGGAGGACCATACTTGTTCATACCCCTGCGGACTCGCCACGCGCCTCGCCTTCAGTCTTGCAAAAAGGTCAATGTTGTCGATAATACTGCTCACGTCGCCCACAACCTGTAGTGTGAAAAGAGTACTGGCAATGCCGCTGCCATAGCTGAACATGCCAATGGTCTTACCCTGCAGCGCGTCGGAACCAACATGGGATAGAACGCTGATCAAAGAGCAATACAGGCTCGCAGTGTACATATTTCCACACATGCTTGGTGCACGGATGCAAGACTCGACACGGGATATGAAACGCTGTTTGCTAAGTTCAAGGAACGTCTTTTCCAACTCCTTGGACTTGAGGGACTCTTCGTAGGACAGATCTCGAAGGGGCTGGGGCAGGCTGGCAAATTCCGCGCTCGACTTGTCATTCAAAAAATCGTTGTAGAGCAGCCGCCCGTATGACTTGCTGACTAGCTTACAGTTGGGTGTGTGGAAGGCCATGAAGTCAAAGACGTTGATCAGGCTCTGCCGCTCTCTAGCCAGAATAGCAACAGCCTCTGGATAACTTGTTTTGGCGCTATTGGCGAGGCGCGCGGCGTTCTTACGCAGCTCTGCGTAGCAGCCATCAAGCGCGGACATGTAGCATGAAATAGAGAGATGGCCGTTGACCACGGGATATTCCGATTTCATGTGAGCTTGCATCAGCAAGCTCTCACTACAGCTACCCAATCTTACTACCCTCCCTGTCACCCTTACCCACCAGGATCTTGCCCCTTTCAATTACCTTATCGACGACCCTACGGGTCGGGTCCAGGCTGTACTAGATTGGGATGGTGCTCCATATCTCCCAGTTGGGTCGAATTTCCATTTTATGGATAGCGTTTTCGGGTTCATGACCCCAAGAGGTTGGCAAGACACAGAAGACCGACAGGAACTAGAAACAGCGTTTTATGATCGGGTTCTAGCTAATCTTGCTGCGCAAGGGTTTGAAGGAATAACAAAAGAGCAACTAGAGTCTCAAAAGGCGATTGGGATGTTACTGTATGGTGTGGAGCGACTTCTCAAGTTCAAAGACGAACGAGCCGAGCACTATCTAGATGGATATCTTCGAGGTTTACAGTATCTTTCATAAATGGATTCTTATTGTCGTATTATATCAGTGCTTGACGGGACATTGGTGCGTTGAAGCTTCAGAGCATGCTTAACCGAAAGGCTACAATTAAGGGCCATTCAGAAAAGTAACGAGGAATGGCCGCGCCGATCTCGCACAAAATCAAGTTACTGAGGTTTCGGTGTGGTAGTATGTGCTTAATTTCATACTTCTGCAGATATAGCGAGACGAATACCCAGGGGGCATCATCGCAAAAGATGTGCTTAAACAAGCGAGGGGGTGAGAATAGAGGATATTCTCAAGGATTTGCAAAACTAAGGCTCTTCTTCGGCAGCATCTACCAGCGGCATAACCTTGCCTACATGCTCCGTATAGGGCTTTGAGTCCTGAAACACTTTGTGGTTGCCAGAGTTCATAGGGGCACAGACATTATTCTCTTTGCACTCAACAACCCCATTTCATTGACATGGAAGCTCCATCCAGTGATGACAGGTTCGCTCGTCTCAATATTTTGTTCGGAGATGAGGCGAAGAGGAACGCTGATGGTGCCACGTCCACTAGGATGTGTGAACTCGATGAAATCTTCTCTGTCGGAAGGGTTCGGAATGATTGAGATTCGTTTCTCTAAATTGTGAGCTTTGAGAAACTCAGCGAGATCTGAAGCGAAAGCTGGATCGAGCTGAGTTGCCCTGCCGCTAGCATCGTACTCAAATGCCTGGAACCGTCCATCTTGGTTCATGAACCACGAGTTGGGCGTAATCTTGTCCATGTCAATGCTCGAAAACGCCTTTGGGACGCAAATATCAGATTCGGGCGATTGAAGCTCGTGAAACATCACAGTTCCGTCTTCGAGAGTGTCATGACGATGGAGCAGCCCGGCTCCTAGCTTGATATGCATGCTGTGCCTGACAAATATGTCCGCGATCGCTTTCAAGGTCGCCTTGTCCACCTCCTTCTCCTGTTCTTCGAAGGACTTGATTGCATTGAAAGAGAGGGCACTCAAGACGGTACTCTCCACTGCAACCGTCAATTTATTAATAGGTCTCACTGTTTTATTATAGGTGTTAGCGATTACTGCTTGCAGGACGGCGGTAAATCTAGTGGATGTGTCTCTATACACAGCGACGAGGGTAGGGCAGAAATGATGTTTGAGTGATGTTGAGCAGAATATGCGATACCTTTTTGTGACGTGGAGATATGAGAAATCCCTCAACAAGCGGGGATGATCAGTTTGTTTTTGATGAAATTCGCGCTGGGTAGCTAGCCTATGCCAGGAGAGAAAAGAGAAAAGCGAAATGGAGGGAGTTTTAGTATTTATCTAAGAAACGGCCGGTTGATCCTTGCCATCAGTATTGCTCGGTCTGCGGTGGGCCAACGGGGAGCCCTGTGATCATGGGTGTGCTGAAGATAAGAGGAAAACGGGAGCAAGTCTAAAATTGCAGCTAATTACAGTGGCTAACAATCCAGCTTGGGGGCAGAGATCCCTTCCAGCTGAGAAGAAATTGAGCCGCAACCACCTATTCTTGGCCTGTCTGAACTTGGCTTCCTGGTGACGTGGCTTGCAGCGGCAGTTTCGCAATGACAAATACGCATGTGAGCACGGAGTGAGTCATTAACAAGAAGCCTGGCGGCTACATACTAACCATCATTGGCCTTAGAGCGGTCCAGCCACCAGCCACTCGTGAATATACAGCCTCTGTTTTTATCAAACCTCAAAAATGTGTGTGTTGTTGTACTTCAAAGTGCGGGGGCTTCATGTAACACCACATAAAGGGCTATACCAAATTTGGATATTTCGCCAAGCCAAATGGCGTCGGGCTGGAAGTATCTTTTTCTTTGGGTGTTTGGTTGCGAGTGGCAGACAAGGGCTGGGCTCCGTGATATATTTGATAGCAGTACTAGTTATAAAATTGGCAGGTTTGGTTGGATCTTCCATCATCCCCTTGACGGCACCACACGAAAATCTCAATAGGAAAATCAAGCAATTGGCTGGGAGAGCGATGTGAGTTAATACGGGTTGAATACGTCACGGGCGCGAAATGGAAGGCGAAGATTGGCTTCCCAGATTGTGGATCTGCTTTCATTGGCCAACGTTCCTCAGGGGCATCTCACATGATCACGGAACGTAGCTGGAAGGTTTTCTGGTCGCTACCCAAGGCCAGTTTCAGCTCTGTCCTGGTATCTCACTTGAATGTGTGTCTCCCCTCTCTTTCCCCCATAACTCTTTACGCCCCTCTTCGCGGTACTTGTGAAATGGACTTTGATAATATCGCGAAAGAGCAGTCAGATCGAGTTTTTCAGGTGTGGATACAGAATCTACTCAGAAATTCACCAGAGGATTTGGCAGGCAAGCTTGCTTCCCAGCATTATCCTGGCGCGCCTGTAACGGCTTCCCGGCTTTCAAATGGCGCTTTTAATATCTGCTACCGAGTCACTTACGAAAATGGCCATCGCGTCCTGGTTCGCTTTACAGCCCTTGGTCGAGTCATCGCTCGCAATGAAAAAGTTGAGGATGAGGTCTCAATAATGAATTATGTTGCTCAGCACACCACGATTCCCGTTCCAAAGGTCTTAGGACATGGCAAATGTGTGGTTGGCCCGTACATTGTGATGTCTTTTATCGAAGGAAAAACGTTGAGCGAGTACCTCAGGGATTCGTCGCAGGTGACAGTCACATTGAGTTCAAAGATCCCGATATCTATCTTGAGGAGAGCTTATTTCAGCATGGCTGAAATGCTGCTAGAGCTGTCGAAACCTGGATTTCCGTACATCGGAGCTATCAGACAGGACGATTCAGGTGTTTGGACTGTACCAAAGCGTCCACTCACTTTCAACATGAATCGGCTTGCTCAATTCTCCAATATTCCACACAGTATCTTCGGTCGACGGCATTTCAGCAACGCAGCAGATTATTTTGAGGAGCTTGCTCAGCAGCATTTTTATCATCTTGAATTTCAACGTAATGATGCAATTTCAGACAGAGCCGACTGCCGGAAGAAATACATCGCACGCTGTCTTTTCCGCAAGCTTTCACGTGAGATATCAAGAGCTCATTGCAGTGGCCCTTTCCGACTCTATTGCGATGACCTTCACCCTGATAATGTCCTTGTTGATGCATCAAAGCTTGTTGTCTCTGGGGTGGTCGATTGGGAGTTTACTTATGCTGCTCCTGTTGAATTTACATATGCTGCTCCTTGGTGGCTCTTACTGGAGCGCCCCGAGGACTGGGATCTCGATCTCGAACAATTTTTGGTGCGCTTTATGCCGAGGTTTCGTATTTTTCTTGACGAACTTCAGGATTGCGAGGCAAGAAAAATCAAGGATGGATCCTTGTCAGAATCTCAGCGTCTATCGACTGTCATGGAGAGCTCATTGGAAACTGGACTATTTTGGATTTGCCTTGCTTCACGGCATAGCTCCATGTTTGATGAGATCTATTGGAAGTTCATCGATCCGCGGTTTTTTGGTACTTTTACAACGATTGATGATCGATTATGTCTTCTGAACGCAGAAGAGCGTGTAAACATCGACGCCTTCGTTGAGAAGAAAATGGAGCAGGCAAGTGAGGGCAATTTGGTTTCTAATTACAGCATTGATGAACTGGTTGATCTATAAATGTCACTAGCAGATATACTTATGTCGTGAGGTACTGGAAAGCCAAAACGAATGGTTATGTTGGATGTATGTAAAGACAGTATGGCATACATAGAGCGAGTGGTGCGCTTTGAAATCTTATGGTCCTGTTGACCTATCTTCCGCCTTTTGGCTTTCGAGCTCGAAGACTGGCTTCTGTCGCCTTAGTCATGAGCTCCTTCTCGGTGGGGGAGAGGTTCTGGATGGCATCTTGTGTCTTCAGAGCCTCGCTGAGAGCCGCCTTCAACTCTGCACCTTGTTCAGCAGATGGAACATCACCCTTCCTCACCCCTATCTGAATTTCACCTGATGAAACCCTTTTGACAAATTCAGGAGCTTCATCAGATGGAACATGTTTTTCGTAATAGCTGAGGATGGATGCGAAACTATCCCGAGCCTTCTGAGATCCAGAGTTATTGTCCTGGCCGCCCATTGCGTTGGAACTATAGCTGTTGAAGAGTTAGCCTTCGAGATACCATAGTTGAAATGGAACTTACAGGAAGCCCGGTTGGTAGGTCTTGTGGCCTTGATGGTAGCAGTTGGTTTCTCAATCACTCAAGGAATGTGATTTTTGGTTAATTAGGCACTTCGATGCGCAAAGTCAAATTGTCCAAACACACATGGAGTGGTTTGGGGGTAGATCTTCCGGTTTAAGTACTTAAGAGTTGCAAATGATCGACCTGAGATTGGTCTTCCCCATGCCGAGATAATGGACAATTCTACACAGTGAATGGACTAGCGGCTACATTGCGAATAGAGTTCGGGAATTTGCCGCTGAGTGATATTACATCTGGGCGCTAACCCGAGTAGGAAGGGGGAATATTTCAAGGTGTCACCTCGGCGATTCGCCTCATCCTGTTAGTGGATACTAAATATGGCGACTAGCATGTAGAGGCAGCAAGGAATACTGGTCTGAGGCACAGATAGCAGAGGAGAAAGTTCACGTGACCAGACGAGTAATCCGAGTTGAAGTAGTATTAGCAGCAAATATTTGACAGTAGTACTAGTTACGAAGTGAAAGGTTTTAGATCTTCCGTCATACCATTGTTGGCACTAAAGGAAAGCAATGGCTAGTCTTCAAGGTAACGTCAGAGGTATTCGTGGGAGAGGAGGGCACACTCAGACTGGCTTTCGTAAATTTACTCGCAAGTTGCCCACGATTCTTTCTGAGTTTATACAGTCGGTGTATTTCTCGATCGGACAGTACTAGAACTTAGTCAGTACGCAATGTCTTGGAAGTACGGTAACTGAAGCGGTCGTGAAGGCGGTTCCTGCGTACATCCGAGCCATCCTCGTCGTTGATTTTGATCTTGGTAAGCTTTTGGTAGTACCCGCGGAGGTTTTTCCAGTCCGTATTCAACGAGCTAGCTTTGTTGATGCGTTTTAACCGCCGAGCTTCCTTGCCGCGCTCGAGTTTGAGACACCAGCCTAGGAACCGATACATGTCATTGTTCGATGCCTGGCGTAGCGCCTCCTCAGGCTCTCGCCATTTTTGCTCATTTGGCTTGTTTATCCGTTGGCTGGCACAGTATCTGCCCTTACATTAGTAGTTAGAAACAAGGTGGATCTCTGCAATTGCTGACCGTTTCCATCGCCCCTCAATCCGCTCTCGTCGTTCAATCGTACCAGGGGCCTTGTCGAAATCCTCCGGAATCTCAGATGGATCAACTCCATCATCATCTAGTGGATCATCGTAGAATTCCCTCAAGTCACCAGAGAGCCCTGGCTCCAAGGGAGAGCAGTTCTCATCCGACCGGAGACGTTTTCGTGAGCTCGGAGCATCATCGAGCTCCGTCAGATCCGTCTCATAAGTAGCATCGCCCTGCTCGTCTGAGTCGCTAGTAGTGGTTGTAGTTGTATCGTCCTCGGCACAGTCGCTTCCCAGCTTTCTATTCCGTCGGGGCCGAGAGCGCTTCATCGTTGGGATCGGGGGAAGACAAGGGAGGGCGAAGGTGCGGAGGAAGCGCAAGGGCTTGAGGCCACAAAACCACGACACGGGCGGCCGGCCGGCAGCACACTAAAAGATGAACGTTTATGAGGAGACAATATCAATGTCAGGGGAGCAGGAAAGGCGGAAGAAAGAAGAGCAGAAGAACGAAGAATATGAGGGAAAGGGACCCTGGTAGGCTCGGGGGGATACACTCGCGATCGAGGGAGCGAGAAGGGTGGAAGAACGAAGAATATAAAGGAAACGGGCCACGGTAGGCAGGTTTGCACCATTGTGACTTGGCCTGTGGCCTGGCCCGTTTAATGGGGTGCAGTGAGGCCATTTTTGGCGCCCTCGCAGGGCGTCAAGAGGAGGGGACCTTTTGACGGAGACAACTGAATTGCTGGGGTGCCCGCGAGTGGGTCTGTCTAGTGCGTGGTGGTAGCCGGACGGGGACGTGTTGGAAGATCAGGGTCACGTGTTACCAAATGACGGCCAAAAAAGGCGTCGACTGCCGCCGAAAGTGGCAGCCATTTGGTAAACCCAAATTGTATAGGAGTAATTTATTGTGTCAAGTCAGCGAGTTATATGTCCATTTTGGGTGACTTTATGCAATAGTGGGCATAGTGGGCATGCCCGCGATGGGCATGCCCGTGGGCCGTGGGCGTTATGGACGGGCACTCGAAAATCCAAATAGCCCACCGCCCGCCGTGGACGGGCGATATCGCAGTCTAGTCTTAAATATCGATAGCTTTATAAGAAACTACTTTATTATAGGACTACTAATTATCGTCGATTTTAGGCTAGGGTTGATAGATAAGTATTACTTTGCTAAGGAAATATAGTACGTAAAGGGGAAATACAGTCCTCGATAGATATTAGGGGTGAATAATACCTTTAACGGTACTATTAAGGAGCCTATTAATAAGCTTCTAGGTCGAAAGGCGAAGCGCTATATAGTTGTGAAGCGGTACAAAGATACGTATTTATTCGAGGCTAATCTATAGGAGGATAAGGCTCCTTTCTATATAACTATACCCAGTCTAGTACCTACTGAAGTGGCTACTTTAGTAGGTGTAGAGTCAGTGGACGTAGAGCCGGTGCGAGTAGAGCCGGTGGGGCGGAGGCGGGCTAGGTCTCCAGCTGCTACACCTCGGCGGAGCCAGCGACAGCGGAGACGGAGGATTTAATCCCTAGTAGTCGGGGCTTTATATTAATTAGAATTAAGAACTGATAACAATTTGATAAACCACCTTCAAAAATGGAGATATATACATTTGTACGGGGGAAGAAGGCTTCATTTTCATCTATGGAGGCTGGTAAACCATCTCAAAAATCGGAGACGCATGCATTTGTATGGGAGAAAAAGGCTTTATTTTGCAGAATCGAGAGCAGCTGACAGAATAATAGTACCTTGCTTATTAAGGCAATTGTAATAGTAATTCAGGTATTTCTATTTTTCTGCTGGTTTTAATTAAGGCTCTCAGGCCCAAAACAGGCATTCAGGCATCAAGAAATGCGGGAAAAAGGGTTTGACCCATGGCGTCTATACCGCTGCGTAACTACCCTTAGGGTCGTAAGGGTCACCCGCGGGTCACTGCCAGGTCTAAGTTTAAGTATGCCAATACTGAAATGATTGTCTAATATCGTTATGCTGAACTGTCCGAGAACACTGCGGCGAGAACTGAATAAGGGGGACAGTTTATTGAGGGAGTTTCTCCGTACTAGAGCCAAGTGGAAGAGGTGGTAGTTCTGACAAGGTACATAATCTTGGAAGCACACCTGGGCGTGGTCATTCACTCCCACCGCTACCGCCAAGAACAAAAACAATGAGAGAAGGCCTCGACCTCCCCGAATTCGGGTACCTCCCATTCGACCATTTCGTCGTAGTAAGCGGCCCCCGTTCCTCTAAACACATCCGCGAGAGCAAGTCCATGCTAAGCTCTCTATTTGCCCAGGCAAACTGGGACACGAGATCCCCGCTCTCCAAAAACGAGCAAAAAAAAATCCTTGTTGAGAAATGGATCGCGCTAGGAAAATATGGGCGAAACGTATCTATCTACCCACCAGCCCATTCATTCAATGATCACCACCCACTGACCAAACTCCCAGGACTGGGCCCTCGCCATGTTCGATGACCCAATCATCGATCATGTTCCAGAGCGGGTGCCGCAAGACCTCCTCTCAGAGGAAGACCGCGCAATCAGCAGCCTGCTCTCGACAGTCCTATGGATCCGGACCTGGTTCGGCGATCCTACAGATAAAACAAGCCAAGAAGCCGCAGACACGGCGTATGTCCGACTCCGGAAGGAAGTCCTACAGCAGGGCCGCGAGAATAACCACGTTTTCTGCATCCCCGAGGAGTTCGTCTTCGAGGATCGGGAGGAACTAACAGCAGATGCCCAGCGGGACCAGGATGTGATTGACGGCGTTGCGACAGGCCGTCCGTGTTCCGTACCGGGTTATCTACTTGCGGCGCTGATGCACTGCCCTGAGCTGTTTGAGGGGATGTCGGATGGCGACTGGCGGCATTTTGAGGGGGAGGAGCGGGCTGAGGAGCTGGCGGAGAGTGATCGGACACAGAAGGCGCTGGTTCTTGTTGCAGATCGGAAGGCCTGTGAGGAGGGTTGGGTGCTGGCCCTGGCGGTGAATCACCGGGGGGAGATCCTTCCGGTTAGGGTGCGTGAGCGGTAGCGGGCCACGGAGGCGGCGCAGATTGCGGTGAATTGGTTTGAGGGCGAGCCTTTGTCGGAGATTGGAGATGATGAGGATGAAGACGTGGAGTTTTACCTGGGGGAAGGGAATGGGTGGGAGTAGCCATGAGTAGTAAATTTATAGAAGATCATATATCAACCTGCTCTATTGTACATAAGCAACAGAAATCTGGCCACTTAGTGATGATGGGCGCGGTGTCTTCGGTGCTTCCCGATACTCCGAGGCGTCAGAGTTGGCTCTGCATCGTCAGATGGAACAAATATTTCATGCACGGGTTCATCCTCCGCAATCTCGATGCCTGCGTGGACGGATTGTTAGCAGCATGGACAGAAAGGGGGCTCCTTCAGGGATGACTCACGCTTGATATTGAATATCTCCTCTTGGATCGGCTTCTCGCCTCGCTTGATCTTGGCCTGGGCGACCGTATTGTCGAATACCACTGTGCACCTGGAGACGCTGTCAGACAAACAAAAGGATCCAAACAAAGAAACCATAACACTTACTGAACCGTGTTCACATAAAGACCTCCCGCAGAGTGCCAAAACGGGTGATCATGTGTGCCAGTAGTCCGACATAGGGCATTCTTGGTGATGGAGTACTTCGCGTTGCCCAGCGTGTTCACGGCGCCAATGACTTCAGCCATATCGCTCTTGTCGCCGCCATCGGCGAGGTTGTGGTTGAAGACCTCATACCTGGAGCCGGTGACGGTGGTGTCGGAATCGGAGTTAAAGAGAAGATAAGTGAACTTCTTCCCATGCGCGCGGCCATAATTCCACGCCGTGTCGCGGTTCGCGGTGCTCCCCAAGCCCAAGACGCCGCGCGAGGCCCAGTCGGCCCCCCATGACTTGTCGGCCGTTTTGGTCTCGCCGTTCGTGGCGGTCCAGGTCACCTCCTGCACCATGGTATTGAGGATACCGTTGAACCACCCTTGCATATTTTGCTGCTAACCCGGCACACACGTCCGACTGTTCTTATTCGGATTCCCGCCTTCTTCCATCGCGTTCCAGGGGAACTCGTCACAGCTGAGCCAGTTGTTATTACCGTTGGCGCCGATGGGAGTACCAGTCAACGCGGAGAGCACCCTTGAATTGTCCACACATTCGTCCTTCCACGATTTGTCCTTTTCCTGTTCCACACCATTCTCATCGACGTACTTGTACTTGTGCTTGGACTTGGCACCGCACACCCACTGTCGATTGGTGTCTGGGGCACCCTGTTTGTTCATATGGAATGTTGCTGTGAAGGGTCCCGTACCCAGACCCTCGTCTGTGAAGAACTTTAATACATTATGGCAAATACCGTGGATTTCTCTGTCTTGCACCCGGTGGTCCGGGAAGTACTTGCAGTTGTACATCACGGCAGGGATGGAGCCAATGCAGCTCTGACTGGAGTCGACGTCCATCGGGTCGCCGTCATCATCGTCGGCACGTCGGGTCAGGCTCGGCGGCTTGGGCTTCCATTCGCAGGTATCACCGTCACACCCGCCGTTCTCGCACTGACCCCCGTCATTGCAGGTGAAGAAGCCCTTGTTAAGACCAAACGCGGCAACCTCCTCGGGAGTCTTGCGCTTCTGTAGGGAACGAGGGGCCAAGAGACCAGTCGGTGTATCCCAGCCATCGTCCACGAACTCGGTGGCGTTGTAGATTGGGATAAACCGCTCTGCACCGAGAAGGTCGGGCTCGAGGGTGCTGCGCTTGGTTTTTGAGGTGGAACCATGGTGTTCCCAGAGAATCTTCTCTTTCCCTTTTCCGCTCCAGAGAGTTTTCGCTGGAAAGTCTTAGCCCCAACGCAGAGATGGACTCGGAGGAATCTGTAACTTACGCTTCAATGCATACTCGCCAAGCCATTTGAAGCTACAGTCACAAATGTCAGTTCTGACAAGGGCATCGAGGATCAATAAATTCCTCAAATCTGGGAGTTGTTGGATCCGAACTGCATGGTGAACTTGAACGAGAAAAGCAAGAAGCAACCGGGCTGCTTCTGCTGCTTTTAGTTGACTCGTTACTGAAGCTTGAATTGAAGAACTGCTCCGAATGTTCCTCGACGAACGAGTGCAATGTGGGAACGGGCAGGGTTGTGTTTTCTGGCAATTGATAGTCATGTTCAAGTCGCGGAGGTGGGTAGCGGTAAAAGCGGAGCTTTTTCGGAAGCTGCTCATGTTGCTTCATGAAATAATATTGCGCTTCTGCCTTACTGGGACGCTTTCTTTTTCTCGGAGGCTTTGGATTTGACCAAATAGCTTTGTTCAGTTTGTGGGAGTCATGCAAATGATGTCGAAGGTCACGCTCATCAGCAAAAGCTTGGCCACATCCACAAACTGGCTCCGCTCCAGACTCCTCGTTTTCAGGCATATGCTTTTCTTCAATGTGTTGCTTCAGATTGCCACTTTTCAACCACTGATGTAATTGGTCTTCTGCTTCGAGGCCTATGTTCCACAAGCAAAAGGGGCAGTAGCCAGGCCGGATCACTGTGTTTCGGTATACAATCACTTCGCAATGCTGTGTCCTCCATGACTGAATATGAGAAGAGCAGTGATCTCGCCATTGACTTGATTGGAACCATTCCATGCACTCGTAACAGAATTTCAACTCCGGTTCTGAGATTTTAAGATCTAGAGCCATCTCACGTCGAACACAGTTGTGAATATGAGCACTTCTGTCAGACTTTTTCATACTAGGAAAATCAGCATTTATTTCAGCATTATATTTTAGGGCCACTCACCATTTGATTTCCTTGAGACAATCTCTAGCAGGGCAGCGATCTTGGATGGGGCTTTCCAGTGGAAGATAAGCAACGTCGAAATCGCGTTCACAATAGGTTTTTAGGTCGTCCACGAAAAGGAGCATTTCATCGAACGAGAGCTCCCTATCAGAAGACATGAGAGTTGAAATGTGGGCAAGTTCGGGCATAAGTAAGGATTGAGCCCGCGTGGAAACGTCGTTTTCACTTATTACCAGCTCTGCTTTGCCCCTATTGAGAATCCTCTGGTCTCGTTTCTCTCGTACCCAGCGGTTCTGGTATTCCTTTAGACTTGCAAGGTGGAGTCGAATCAAGGTTTTTCTGTAGTTCAGCTTCTCGGCAGCTGTAACCCTTTTGTCGCTGTTTGATGCTTCAAGCTGCTTGATTCGACGTCTGATATCGACCACTTCTGGCATCTGCAGGATACTCGCCTCAATTCCAGCCGGCAGTTCCCCTGGAAGTCCACGCTCATAAAACCTCTCAAAGCCTTGGAAGTACTCGATATGACTCGACTGCTCTTCTTCTCCGAGAACGGCTGAGACTGTGTCAATCGAAGAGCAGTGTAACAGATACTCTTTGGGATATGTCCCTGCGTCTTTATGGCCATATATTTTAGATACCAAGGCAGAACCATGTTTTCCTGTACTGAAGTCAGCAAATTTGTTTCGTTTAGCGGTTTGTGGGCTTTGAGTGTCCTCACCTTCAACCACGCTTCCGAGATACTTTCGAATTATATGAACGGTAAGACTCTTGTTGTATCCAGCGGTCGTAAATATTCCTCTCAGTAATTCGCAAAACCGTTCTTTGTGGAGTGGAACATCTTGCGGGCCATCAGCTGTGACATTTCTGAGAACAGGCTTTTCTAGAAACTCCTCCTTCCAGCGTAATTCAATGTGTTCTCCGCTTGAAAGATCAAACCTGGCAAAGTCTTCAACCGTTTCAATGCCATACAAGGCACCGTGCTGGAGGGCAATAGCTAAGAGAATATAACCCGAAGCGAATTGTGGTCTCTTGGTGTCACGGATACCGATTCCGAACCTAAAAATACGTCTACGAGTAAGCCCTCAATCCAAATCAACCCTCTCAAGGTAGTATAGATTGCTTACACTGTATAGTCTGGATTTCGGTTCCCTTTGAGCCACACTTTGTTAATTTTCCATTCAACTTTCCAAGGTGCCGTAGAAGATGGAAAGAGGACTAGATCGATGTGCTTGTTTGGAAAATTAGCCGCGCACAACCCCAGAATCGTAGCTTCCTACCTTATATCTTAGGCCTCTCTGGTCTCTGTCCTCATGGGCCGGTATGAATGCTCCAATCCTTGCTCCGGTGAAGAGGTATAATTGAAGCGCTAACGTCATGATAGCCTTGAGCAACCCGGGCATAAAAATGCGATGATCCGCTTGCCACATAGAGGATATCATTCGGAGAAAGTCCTTCTTCGTAAAGCTGTGATCAGGATCCTCGACGTTCTCAACCATTTCTTCATTTTCTGTCAACGTTCTCTTTATCCACTATGTCGCAATTAGTTTGGCTTTTATGGCCGAACAGAGAAAGTAAAAGCCAAACAAGAGCTTACACTGGATATCTCTTTCCGGTCTTCCAACACGATCTTGATTTGCAGTTTCTCTTCAAATCCACCAAACAGCCTTTCTGCGCAATTGAGAACCGATGTCATCACTGGCCGTCCATTTTTACTTTTTTTCCCACGCGCTAAATGACTGTACCACCGAAGGAATTCTTTGATGGTTTTATGATCTGGAATCGCACAGCCTGGCCCCATTGTGTAACCCTTGATCCCATACTGTTCAACGAACCTGCAGCAGTCAGTAACTCATTCTCCGGGTGTTCTTCATGTACAAGTGCATGTCAACTCACTTCATCCAAAGATTAACCGCTCCGCTGTACATCCTCTTGGTCTTGGGTACTCTTTTATCTTTGTCTCGGATGGAGTCCTCATCTGCATGAGCGCCAAAAACATAGCCGCTCTTTTGCAGTTGTTTGTCGCGCTTTTCCTTGGCGATCTCATCTTGTTGAGCAAAGTAATCTTTTCTACCCATGGCCAGCTTAATCTCACACGCAATGCAAAAGAGAAAGGTGGTAACCTGAGAGGATGAGGTAGAAAATAGAGAAACCTATCTTGGAAGATTGAAGCAGGGGAATAAATCCAATTTATAGTTCAGTAATATGATATTACTCTTACCCGAGCCTATTGTTCTCCGGCATCTCCTTGTGACAGATGGACTCTGTGCCTTCCAGTTTGCGTCATCTTGCTTAAGTGCGCTATTTTTGAGAGCAGAATCAAATTGGAAGATCACGCACCTCCAGAAATACGAGCATGATGAAAATTGAGGGCCATCAAAAAGTGGTCGCAAAGTAGATAGATAGTATTGTGGGGCAAGGTGCTTATTTGGGCATAGTCTGAGCGTAGACTGAGTGCTCAATAGATGCCTCTGAGCAGTCTCTGAGTAATCAGAGAGCGATCAGTGAGCATCCAATCGGACTCACTGAGCGTTCATTGGAGATCACTAATTTATCACGTGACTGGCCTGAGCGGCTCAGTGAGTCTGAGCCCGGACTGAAATCTACTCAGTGAGCCTGACTCTGGGCGACCTCATAAAAGCGGCGGCAGCTAAGATAGGAAAGCCCCACCCGGCAGAGGAAATCAAGTACGTATAGCTACCTAGGTACGGAACAGCTAGGTACCTACCTAACTATGGGATGATTAAGGGTTAAGGTTAGGTACCTACGAGATCTCCATTCTGCTTAGCTAATACATGTACGGAATTGAAGTTATTCATGAGAGATGTTGTATATTGCATCGTACAGGCCGCTGAGCTTTCACCTTTAATCGCCTGAGCAGCTCGTTTCGTGCCAGCTTAGATTTTGGCATGCAACGAACGCTGCGCAGTAACTTGCCTCCTAATTCCATATCCGACGTATCTTGTATCTTTCGAAAGTATGAACAAACTGGGGGCGAAAGGCCGGGCTCCTTCCGTGAAGATAGAAGGGTTGGGGATGTTCGAATCCCCCGCCGAGCGCTATCCGAGTGGCTACCCAGTAGATCGTAGCTTCATTCGATCTCCTCGATGCGTGGACGCCCAGTCTCTCTCCCTGACATGGGGTTGACATTCAGGCCAGCGAGTCGTCCGTCCAGTCCAAATCGCGTATCAAAGGCCTCTTGGTTGTCTTGAGCACCGATGCCCATCATCAACGACTTGTCCGCCCAAGCCTCCAGGCTTTCAACCAAGGTGCGCAGATGTCCACGAGCGAGAACATCCTCCTCACGAGCCTCGACATATTCCAGGGTACTCAGAATGGCCGGGATGTTGCCGATAGTTGATTGTGCGTTGTTGCTGGAGTCCTGGGGCGTCGCAAATTTGGAAGAAGAGTCACTCAGAAGCGAGAAGCCGAATCCAATGTCCTGGCCTCCGCGCTTCTCTCGCGCTGCTTCGAGGGCTTTTAGAATGTCGAGGATGAGAATGGCACTTGCGCGACGGAGAATGGCACTCTCGGGTTCTCCTTCGAGGGTGAGAGTCGCAAGCGCCAGGTCAACGGCTGATGAAACAATTGCGCGACCGAGACCCAGTATGTTGGTCTGAATAGCAGACCCGAGGATGGACATAGCGGATGCGCGCACGCGGAGGTCGTCAGGAGCATCGTCTGCGGCACCGGCAGCCCACGCAGCAACCACATTTGTGGCGAACGCTGTTTGCTCTGGGGATTCTTCGTCGGAATCAAGTTCCGTAAGATCGAGTTCGGAGGCAGCTTGCGCTATGCCAGATGTGATGGTCCAGCCGTCCGGCAACTCAGGCTCTTTGGCCTTGCGCTGCTCGCGTTCCTTCTCGCGTTTCTCCTTTGCAAGTTGTGCCTTGCGTGATTCCTGTGTCTTCTTCTTGATACCACGACGTCCGGCGACGGCAACAATCGTCTCGCCAAGGACTTTGGCTGTCTCGCCAACTAGTGCGTCGCCCAAGTCTTGGACTGTGCGCAGTATTGATTCGCCAATCCGGAGTCTTTCGTCCAACCCTCTTCGCTCACTGCGGTCCGCGTATTCCTCTACCAGGGTTTTGACCACAGTGCGTGGGTGGCGCGATGCCAGGGTACCGACTATCTTGATTGCACCGAGATAGACGAATTCCTCATTACCAGCCGACCCGGATGTGTCAGTGATGAGGGATAGCATAAGCGTCAGAGTTGATCCCACATCAATCACGGGCGACGAATTCGTGATAAGCTTTGAAATCATGGAAAGGCCTTCTGCCTGTACGGGTGGTAGATGGGAGTTTAGATGTGACAGCGCTTTGCGATGCGTGTCAAGGTCGATGACATTGCTTGAAGGGACTGCCTTGACTGCGGTTTGATCGGCTGTTGCAAGGTGGATTTCCAGTAACATCGACGACGTCGTAGCCGGTTTGGAGAGGGAGGAGGGAAGAAGAGGGACTAGCTTATCAAGACTCTCTTTAAGTGACCAGAGAAGCGGTTGAATATCAGCTGTTGGGGAGAACTCGACAGATGCAAGAAGCGTAGATAGCAAGCTGAAGGCAGTTGAGAGTGACTCTGACGAGTCATTATTTGCCCCATCCTCTTCTTTATTCTCGGTCTCCACAATATCGGCCAAAGATGACAGCGATACCTTGCCCTTTGATCTGCCTTGTGAAGCTGTCGCTTGGGCGCTGAGTCTATGTAGATCCCCATCAACGACCTGCTTGATGAGTTCCAGGACTCGAAGCGGACGTCGAGTAAGTGTGTCCTTAAATTTATCCAGGAGCTTCTCGGCAATCTTAGCACTGACAAGCTTCCGGATGATATCGTCACTTTCACCACCAGTCTCCCCGCCCACAGAGCCTTGGGGCTGCACTAGCCAATTCTGGCTGACATGAAGGAAGATGTCACTGGTTCTCTCCTCACTACTTGGATCCGAGTCAAGGAGAGATACAAACAGCTCTGCTCGTCCTGAAAGTGAATCGATAAGTTGCAATAGGTTCGAATGCGCGTTCTTCGTTTCGTTTCGCTTTTGCAAAACAAGTCCACCGTCTGAGCCTTTGCCGTACGTCCAAGTTGAGCCTCCATCCCAAAGTAGGTTATCGACCAGCTTTTTCAGAGGCTGGTCCCCAACGGAGATGCCAAAAAATGTCTGGAGCAGAGGCAACACCCTCTCATGGAATGAGGTCTGTTCCTCCTCCCGTGAGTAACAGACGAGGCCCCATAGCGGAAGAAGAATAGGATAAATTAGTCGTTTCACAAGGCCTGGATTGGGATGCTGCAGTGTCAGACATCTGAGTCTGTGTATGGCCAGTTCTATGGTGGCGCTATCTACCAAGACATCGGACGTAGCATCTTGCTCCGTGGTGTGAGGCATAGTGCCTTGGTTGTCAGTGAAACGTCCCATCCACCTCCTTGAGTTAGCATCCAAGGCCGCGGTAAGCGCATGGAATATCGGCTCCATGAATATAGAGTGGCCGATAGTAGTGGGAGCGCCATAAATCTTCTTCCCTAGAATCCCATTGCCCACAACGTACGATGCTGTCTTCTGAAAATCTGGATCATTGCCGTCTATCAAGGCCAGTAGTTGGGGGGCAATTGTCTCAAAGTAGACAGTTGGAGTCACGTCTGATGGGACAGCCGCGAGAAGCCGCGAAATGTGCATGATGGCTTGAACAGTCAAACGAGGTCCATTTGATTTGTCCTGCGCTTCTTGGCCTAGCGAAGGAGCGAACTGCGACGCAAGGAACATGATGGTTTGCACTACTCCACCAGGTCGTAGCGGTACGTGAGAAAGCTGGCTGGAAATTGCCGACTTAAACCACTTTGTAGTGTCCGCACCGAGGAAGGCAGATAGGGTTGGCAGCAATACCGTCGTTGGGGTGCTATTTTCCGTCAGCGTCTACCGGCGTGCATTAGGCAAAGGATTGGGGACGTACTCCCCAACAAGCTTGGCCACGGCCTTTTGATAGAAACTTCGGTCAGATGAGCCCGTGAGGTCTGGGTTGAAAGCTAGATCAACTGTGCCACTTATTATATCGCTCAGAATACGACCGCGTACGACCGGTTGGATGCTTGGTCGCGGATCGGCAAGAATGTCTATCAAAACATGGACGATGCGGCGCAAAAGAGGCTGGTTGTGGGGTACGCTGCTAGCAACTACTGGAGCCTGCTTTGCAACGACTCCCGCTGGCAAGACTGAGATCACCCGCTGCTGTAAGGGGATTGAGACCCCAGATGACAGGGAAGGATAAATCCCTTCCAGGGAAATGAGGTCCAGCAGTGCATGTAGCATACGGCGGCGCTTGGCATCTTCCATAGGTGAGTCGTCACCCGCCTCGAGCGGTTGATAAGACACACTTTGGTCATCGGGCACAACCAATGATTCATGGAGGCTGAGCAGGATATCCAAGGCCTTCCCGATGACTGTCGGCCTCACAGCATCATCATCTCCTGAAATCTGGCTGAGAGTTCGTAGTAACGATTCTCCTTTGCTCTTTCGTAAATTCTCTTACGGGTAGTTAGCATCTGTTTCATAGATCAGAATAGATATTTCCGAGATGCATACCTCGATCGAGGACTGGGGCCAGAAACTCATCGGCGTTAGCAAACGCTTCGTGGGTGTGCTGTGGACCTGTCATCATTCATGTTGAATTCATGCTAATGCTGGTCTTCGTTGTATGCGAAGCGCTGAGTTCTAAAAAGTAAATGAATTATCACGATCAATTACGATCTTGGCGTTTTGTCAGGCTTGGCCATGCCATTACGTAACTGAGCAAGCAGCTAGAAGTCACGTGGTGGTCGCGCCTGCCTCGGGCCCTCGTGACTTGGCGCGCAGCGCGTTTTCCCCATCTTGCTATCGCGTCCCCCAGTGAAGTTGTTCTTGTCAACAACACTGTCCACTCCACCCATCGCTCGTCGAACGCCATTCGGGAGACTACTCGGACCGCCGCTTACAGGCTCTTGGCCATCTCGAATTTTTGCTTGTCAACACGTCATTCATCGGACCCATTCTCTGTTCATATGCGCTGGAGTTCCACCATTACTTTTTCTTGAGTGGGGAGCCCGCAAGTCTCTTGCCTTTCAAGGCACACATGTACAGATCAACCCTCTTTGTTCTTCAATTCCTTTCTGCTGCCTTTTGGCAACTGTGATATATGATTCATCATCCCCAATGAATCGGATCGTCACAGGGCAGGAAATATTGAAGCCAAGCCCTAAGCCCTTCTCGGTTCAATGTCCCACAGACATAGCCTCACGATTGCGCATGCCGGATCATACAATTAGCTGATCAGACTGTGGCGGTTTGAAGAGTGAAAGGAGATCTGATTTCGCCAGAGCCTTTCGGCATAAAAGACGGTTTACTATGCGTTATCCGAATGGAGACCGCGTCAGTTTACCTATGCTGGACACTGTATGCCGGTCTCGAATGGATGGTCGCTCTATGCCTCGGACCAGCTCACCGAGAAGAGAACGCGGGTGAAACTTGTCGGGTACTTCATTATCGGATGTCACCTTTAGGAGCAACCATGACAGCGCGACCAGATGGCGACTGAACGCGACTCGCAAGGCCGGATATCCTAGGACCATCAAATTGTTTTGGTTCAGAGTTCTGACGCCTAGAACACAGCCATATCCTTACACACAGTCATGGTGTCAGCATATTCGAAGGATCCACTCGTCGGAATCAACATTCCTCTCCCTGAAAATAGCCCAGGTATTTTTACAGTTGATGTTGAAGCGAGGTTCTTCGGATGTGATGCCCTATGGCTCTTCAATGTTGGTCTTCGGAGCACATTGAAGATTGCGGTTGGCTGTCTCGTTCCGGATGGCACATGATCTCCCCAAGCAATTCGATGTTTTTCGGACTTGCCTGCCGTTGTTCTCTCCTCCCTTCTGTTAGCATCAACTGCCTGCTCCTGCGCATGTTTCCAATTCCAAGGTCCCTGGGATCATGCCCCTGTGTTCCACCTTCTGGGGTTCTGTTCTTCCTATGCCTCCCAGGCGGCTAGGCACCTCGTATCACGGCACCCGCCACAGATTCGACTTCACTAGAAGGTCCAGACCGATCGTGTTAACCATCTCTTTGCAAAGTAGATTGCAAATAGATTGATGGACGCCGACCTCAGCAATGACTCACCATCATTGTTCCTTGCCTCGGCAAGAAGGAAGCGTTTTTTTCCGGATGTTTTTTGTGCGCTTCACATCATGCCCTCCTGCGAGACCTCCGGGTCAACCGGGAGAGGAAACAAAAACAAGTCTCAAAGGGTACTGTACCACACACAAGGGACTCGGTTTCTTTCCTCAGGCAACAGGATATGTGAAACGATAGCGACTTGACAGAGACTGCGGAGATGGATGTTCGTTAAGCGATTCGGTTAAGATCACCACGACTCGGCCAAGTTCGCCTAGTCTTTTGAACGGTGTGTGGGCTGTGTGGGTGTGTGGGCTACGTTCACTGGCTGCCATCTGGTACCGGGCCTTCCTCAACTCCTCTTGTGCCTGCATTTGACGCTTGTCCAGCTATTTTTCAATTGGCCGCAATTTTTCTGGTGAGAGATCCGCGCGCTTTCTATCGTTCGAACGTTTTGTCTATCAGTTCATGCCCAGTGGACACGGTGGCGGTATCCTTGGTTGTTCAAACGTATGTGCATCCACAGTGGGTGTTGCGGGACCTCTCTCGAGTGAGGCTCAAAGCTTTGGCTTGTCCGCAAGACTCATCTGCTGCTATGCGTTCCGGCCAGGACTCGCTGTCGTTGTCGGATTGGAGTGAACTGAAAAGCGACGAACAAGGGATTGGGTAATCTCTGCGCTGATAAGGAATTATTGCATTGTCATTGAGAATTGGACATTGGGTCAATGGCGGTACTTTACAGAGGGGCAGAAGGCTTCTGGCCGGGTGACAGCCATTGAACTGCCGTTTCTGCTACTTCGGTGGTGGAAGCGGCCCCCCTTTTTTTATAAGTGCCCCTCCCTCAATACTGAAATGGAAATCTATGCTAACTACCTTGGCAGATGCTAGCGCCCGAATGGAGATACTCTCAGAGTTGACCAGGTCAAGTGAGGGGGATTATGAATGAATCATTTTCAGCACAATTTCCATTCTATTGTTTAATTCACGCATGGTAATCCACGGCGTTGGACATTTGTTGTTTCCACGATATAGATCTGCCATGTCGATCGCGACGTCAGAAATAAAGTTAGCGGCCATCTGGCACTATTACCTCACCCGAAAAGTTTGTCAGCTGCCCCTCGGTGGGTCACCCCGCGCAGAATAGGAAGGAATGTTCCCGTGGCTCAGAGTAACTTTTTTTTTTCGGTGTTAAGGATTTTTTTGTCCCAGCATAACTGCATTCATTCACAACTTCTTCATTTCCAGTTCCCATCGCTTTCGATTATCGGAGATCTTCATACCCTCTCTTTTACATCCTAGAGCTTCGTCACAAATCGATTCCACATTATGGTCAACAAGGCCGATAACGACGCGCTTGAGGCGCAATTCGAATCTCAATTCCAGAAGCCCGGTGATCTTGTCGAGCGTGATGATGATACCGGTGCCATGTCTATCGAGAGTCTCTGCATGAACTGCCACGAGCAAGGGTTCGTTCCCAGTACTCATTTTTGGGGGTTTCAGACTTTACTAACGTTTCATCACTTCACACAGAATCACCCGCCTGCTCTTGCTCCGTGTCCCCTACTTCAGAGACATCATTCTGGAGAGCTTCGAATGCGAACACTGTCATCTCAAGAACAACTCGATTAAGTCGGCCGGCCAGATCCAGGAGCGCGGAACCGTCTACACTTTGAAGGTCGAGAATGAGCAAGACATGCAGGTATGGACACCGAACTACCGCTTGGTCTGAAACTCGCTGACCACACTTGGAATATAGCGCCAAGTCATCCGTAGCGATGTTTCCAGCTTCAAGCTGACCACTCCACTCGGCAACGAGATCGAGGTTCCAAAAGGAACTGGTCAGCTTACTAACGTGGAAGGCAGTAAGTGAAGCTCCATCCCATGAGAGCCCTTTTATAATCGGAATTGGGTAACAAGAAGCTGACCTCATACTTTATAGTGGTCCAATTGATCCACGAAACCCTCTCCAGCGAGCAAGAACTTCGCAAAGACCAAGCTCCCGAACTTTACACTGCCCTCGAGCCTATCATCGCCAGCCTGAAGAATATTCTAGATCGCCAGGACGCTTTCCCCTTCTCTATCTCCCTCGATGACCTCACTGGAAACTCATGGATTGCACCTAGCAGCAATGATCGTGGCAACAAGTACACGCGCCGTGAATACCCGCGTACCCACCAACAGAACGAGGAATTGGGCATTGCCGCCGACGCGGAAGCTGTGAACAACGAGGACACAGCGTTCGGCGAACCAGAGGATCTCGACATCGTTGATGGCCAGGTCTACACCATTCCTGCCGAGTGTCCCGGTTGTTCAAGGGAGGCCGAGGTTAACATTAAGAAGGTCAACATTCCGTACTTCAAGGAAGTCCTGCTGTTTGGCACGAACTGTGGAAACTGTGGTTACAAGTCCTCTGCTATTAAGACCGGTGGTGAGGTCCCTGATAAGGGCAAGCGCATCACCCTCCAGGTCCAGAACGAGGTGGATCTCTCCCGCGACATTCTTAAGAGCGATACCGCTGGGCTGATCAGTCCTGAGTTGGATTTGGACGTCCAGCCTGGAACTCTCGGTGGTCGTTTCACTACCGTTGAAGGATTGCTAGGTTAGTTTCTCGTTTCCCTTTGTTGGGTCCGACCTAGGCACAGAATCAGCTGACAATTTTCTATAGTTGAGATCAGAGATCAATTGAGTGGTGCTATCTTCGATGTTGATGACTCCGCGAACGCCGGAGGTGACGGCATGGAGCACTCTGACAAGGATAAGTGGCAGCGATTTTTCAATCGTCTCAACCAAGCTATCAACGGCGAGCTCAAGTTCACCATTACATTGCAAGACCCGATGGCCTCCAGTTACGTCCAGGACCTTTGCAGCCCGGCTGTCGATCCCCAAATTATCATTGAGGAGTATACCCGCTCTGCGGAGGAGGAAGATGATTTGGGTCTGACCGACATGAAGACTGAAGGTTACGAGCAGGATGCCGAGAAAGCCAAGGATGCTCCTAAGGAATAAGCAAACACTTGCGCGTTATATCCGGCAATTGTTTCTCTGATGATTTATATGCATTTCATGAGTTTTTGCGAATTTTCACTTGGTGGCGTCCGTGATATGTACTTTTTACTGCTGTGGTCATTTAGATACCCGGTCCCATAGGGCACATAGGGAGAAAACTATACAATGTTGCTTCATGTGCCATTATACTGCCTTTCTGTCATCGTAGAGCTGCGGTTTCTGTGGACATTTGACATGGGGTACGAGGAAAGCAAACCGTCTGCAGAACAATAAGGAAGGGAAAGGGTATGGGTAACAAACAAAGCAACATCACACATACCTAAATCAAACACGATGGCCGCAAATGGAAGCACCGCTATCTGATGTGGTCTATCATGCATAGTTGTATTCTCATGGTTGAGAGTTTTCAATATCTAACAGGACTCAGGAGGGACCAAACCGACCCAACAGGAAGGACCGATCAGTCTATAGTATTTGTGGAATTATACTCCAGGTAAGCAAATTGCCACCGAAGTAACAGGAACTTTTGTTCCTACTACTATGCACGGGCGGGGCTTTACTGTGTATGTTTGGGGTCCCCTTTGACCAAAGCATAAGGGAAACGATGAGAGACTATGACTTCCTGATCGGGACTAGCACTATATACCGAGATCAGGCCCACTTTTTATGGTTCTGACCATTCGATCCATTCAACACGTAGCCCACCATCTGGGAGAAACTAAAAATCCGAATACTGAGAGAGAGAGAGAGAGAGAGAGAGAGAGAGATATTCATTTGCCCGATGTACGGTTGTAGCTCGCTCTAAATAAGCTGCTATGCGGAATTGCTGTCAGGCCTACCTGTCCACGGATAGGTAGGTAGCCCATACCATGGAGGTAGTAGGTACCCCACAATGCTACCTGTAGTAGTCCATATCCACAATGGTCGATCAAGAACCACACTTTAGCTTATATGATAAAGCAACCAACTCGGGCTCATCTTCCCCAAGTCCAGTGCTACTTGGACATCCTTCAGCCAACGAGTTACCGGAACAGAATATCCTAGCTCGGAGCAATGGCGGTCGTATACCGGAGAAGAGTTCAAGCGAGAACGACTGTCGTCCACCTCAGACTTGTCAATGATCGCAGCGATGAGTACCTAGCCAAGATAATATCATTTAGTAACTATCAAAAGCTCTGCTTTCCACTCACTTTCAATGCTTTGGGTGTGTTGCACTTCCACGCTTTAAATATATCTTTTGCAATGTTGAGAGCCTTAGTGTGTTGGGAGCTTGGAGGCGCTGTGTCGGGATAGGCATTGAGGATGACCGCATTGATGTTATTGAGGTTGAAGTGGCACAATACGTGCCATTTCACCATCCTATCGTAGCGCTGTCTCGCCGGCAGTTCACTCTCCTCGTATCCGGCCGATTGCTTCGATGGTATACGGCGGTTATATGCCCTCCGTTGTCTGGTGGGATTTGTGCTTGGTGCACTTTTCGGTTGATTGACAGGCTGAACCGGCGGGATATCGACAAGGAGAGGGTCCATACCTTCTGGTACCGATCGGATTGGTCTGGTCACGCGATTTCTCGGGCCACGGTGGCCTAGGACCATGTGGTTTATTGTGGTCTGCTCACTGTATCTTGCGCTCGAGATTACCTACTTGTGAGAATTGCAGTCCGATGTACTGCATAAGATCTTTATCTCTATTTCTTGAGGTATGACTTCATCTACTTCGGGAATATAGTATTGAATCATATTCTTTTGATTGCCTTCAATGCCTCGATGTAAGTTTGGCGAGCGCTGCTTTGTATTGCTTTGGACTCTCGAAGAGACCGATTCAGCGCGTTGGAACTTGCAGAACCTTCGTGCTGAATCGGGATTTGCACCGAAGGTGCCAACCAACCTGCACGATTGATTTGATGTCCGCAATGGCTGCCGAGGAGGCCACATATGTGCGGCGTCACCTGAAGCTTCTGGTATGGTGAATTGGGTATAGCCAACACAGACGCGCTTTAAGGCAGCCAGGGTCGGAGGGCGTGGATGTCATTCCGGGTTGAGCTTCGGTGGGATCAAGGTTGAGAATTGTGCCCATCCCGAGCGTGGCTTCCCGGGCGTGATTCAAGATAATGGAGCTCCCATGAAGATATTGGAGTGACCAGATGCTCACTTGGCAAATGGATTGGCGTGGATAGTAACATTCTTGATCTTGAATGGTTCGAACTCATCGCCCTCCTTAGGTTGAGAAACCTTCCCCTTCTTGTCAACCTTCACATTCGCCTTCTCCAGCTTTGTGAGGACATCACCACCTTCATCCTGGGCCGTCAAGTTCAACACCTTTCCAAACACAGTACTAGCACCATCAAGATGTGGCGCCGCCGCAAACGTAATAAAGAACTGACTGCCGTTGATCGTCGCACCCGTTGCGCCCTGCGATCCCGGTGCGGTCCTGTCCTTCGCCGGGCGAGATGCCATGGACAAAATGCCTCGCGCATTGTGTCGCAGTGATGGGAGGTGGATTTCTTGGTTCATGGCCGCGGGGTGGTAGATCGATGTGCCGCCTTTCGGGATCTCGAAGTTGAGCATTGGTTTCGTAGATGTGTCTCGCGCGACGGGGCCGAGGGAGATGTCTCCACCCTGGACCATGAACCCAGGGATAAGACGGTGGAAAGGGGTGTCGTTATATGCGCCGCATGCGCAAAGGGCGAGGAAGTTCTCTGCGGTTTGGGGTACTGCTTCGCAGAAAAGCTCGACCTTGAGGTCGCCTTGGGTGGTATGTAACTGGTGAGGACATTAGAATTTGAACATGGAAGAGCTGCATAGACGCTGTAGCTCCCTTAGAATCGTAACTTACCGTGACAGACATATTTGAGGGTGTTATTCAAGGTGATGATGTTGTAACAACCGAGACCAGCTATGGCATCGAAAGGCCACCCCGATTATCGTGCTGAGTCATCATTCTTATCGCATCGCCGGCAGGTGCAGATGTTTGGATGCCAGTCCTTCCCCTTCAATGCATGTGCAATTGGCCAATTCGAAGTCCAGACACATAAAAGGGCCCAGGAAACTTATTTCTCGATTTTCCAATCGTCAATCTTAGCACAGCGCGAGCACTGCCATATCCTACCTCGCCCCTTCGTCAGCTCCAACCAACTTGATCGCCAACATCTCAAAGCAATGAACAATCGGCCTGTGGAACAGGCATTGAGCACGTTGGTGCCAACCCATGCCAATGATCTCCCGCAAGAACTCCTGAGCTATGCAATGTCCCTAGTCGCACAGTCCCGAAGCTTCTCAAGCAGTCTGAAACCCGAGGAGGAAATCGCTCGACCATATGCCTGTGCGGAAATCGCCTGCAAAAGGTATGCCATGAGCCCGACCTATGGCTATTGCTATACTAGCGTAGTATACTGATTACCTGTGTGTATCATATATAGGTTGTCAAGAAGTCTCAAACTGCCTCCACTGCTCGGACGTCCGCCATGTCCTCCGCGCATATACAAAAAGCTTTATGCATACCTTGACCGGTCTCTTACAGCGAGCTCTGCCAATATCAAACGTTCAGCGAGTGTGTCAGTCCCTGGAACACCCTCGCGCGCCCGTTCAACACAGACTACACCGTCGAAGAGTCCCGCGACTAGGGGCACCCCATCCAAGGCAGTCGCACCAACCCCGAGAGGGCTACAAAACACGCCCTCGAGATCAACACCTTTAAAGCGAAGCATGAGCACCGCCAATCTGCTCGACAGTCCCTCCAAAACGGCAAGGAAGGCTTCAACCACTCGGGCCCCGAATGTTCAAGAATCAACAATCATTCCAGATGCTCCGGCTTGGGTCATGACAGCCATCCGGACAGTGTGTAAGATCCTTTCAACGCCTGCTCCGCGCACAAATACCTGGTCCAGGCCTCCGATTTCGCGTACTTTGCCTCCGCACATCTTTTCCGGCGTCTCGTCTGTGCTCTATATTACGTCGAGCATGTCCAACGACGAGAAGGGATGGGACCGGGAGAGCCTTGATTTCCTGGAGCCTATCGTAAGTATCGATGGCTCCGACAAGGACGATGATTTTAAAGAACTTGTCTACGCTCTGGTTGTGGCAGTATATTTCCTTGTGCTCGCCCGCCGGCGTAACCCCGGGCCGGATGAAGAAGCAGATATTGATGCGCAGAAGATGGAAAAGAAGACCTATATTGAAATGCGCCAGACGGCATTGAATAGCCTTGGATTGAAGAATGACCGGAGGCATCGCGATGATGTTGATCAATGGATCAGTCTCATCATGAAGCACAGCTGGGCCGATGGTCAAGAATGGTTTGAGAACATCCCGTATGCCGGACATCTCTTTGGTGAAGACGAAGAAGGCAGGTCGTACCAAGATATGGATGAGGAGGACGCAGTACTTAGGGGTGTTAAGCTCCCCAAACGTTTTGCAGCTGGAGGTGGCACTCGTACCTCTCAGTCCGATCAAGCTCCGCGGGGCGGCCTTTTGCCTGGCCTGGGGACAATGATGCAGGATCGGGTTGACTGGCTGAGTGACGATCGTCGAGAGGATTATGTAGAGTGGAAAGCGGGTATCATGGCTCGCATTGAAGGTGCAGCTGCATGATCGCTGTCACATAGTGATTGTTCAAGGAGAGGCGCAGATCGCTTTAATTGATACCCTAGGAATTGGACCAAATGCAACTCATACTCATTGAGCATATGCTATCTTGGCTTCGTCTATTATGTTCTAAATGTATGTTCCTAGGTTGCTCCCAGAGCAACCATAATCTCCCCGGTCACCAATGCAGCAACCCGAAATCCATGCGCCGTCAATGAAACTAGAACCTATGAATTTCCATCAATACCAAATGCTCCTCGTCCGATGATGAGGGATAGATTCGTTCTTCTCCGCCTCCAAAGTCTTCATCGTGTCGTACAAGAAGAAGTCGATGAGGATTGCATTGATGCCACATGCCTTTCGCGGTTTCTCTGCAATCGCCAGTCCGTTTTCCGAAACTTCGGTTTCCCCGTTCTCGTTGTCGTCTGAGACACCCTTAGTAGGGGCCTTTTTGCCGTTCATTTTGACTTCAGGGTGTCGTCTTTCAATCTCCCTCTTGATCAATTCAACACACCAGATACTGACTCCACGAAGCTCGATTTCCCAATCCGACCCTGGCTCAATGGGCTTCAGGCTGCGGATGTGGTGGTCCAGTTTGGGCGCGTATCGAAGACAGTTCAGCTGATGCAGCATCTGCGGGATGCGGTAGTCTAGACTTCAGGATTAGAGCGGACTCCGGGGAAGAATGGGAACATAGGAAAGCCATACCTGCGAACATGGTGATCTTGTCAATATCGTGGAATTCGCCAAAGTCTTCACCATTGAAACACGCCCATATATCGGCAACTAGGATCTGAGCACGTTTGTAGAGTCGGACTCTTTTGCCGTGGAAGATCGCTTCATCGCGGAAGCAGGCAAAGTGCTCTGTCACTAGATTGACCAGTCCTGCAGCAGAGAGGTTGGCACTATCAATGCAATTCGCAAAGCTTCCGCCGAATTCCTTATCGTTGGTTAGTATTGTCGCAGAGAGCACGTGGCAGGGGAAATACCTCGCAAAGGACTTCGCCTGCTTCGCGTAGGCATTGCACTCGTTCTTTAAACATAGGGATTTCTTCGTCCGTTGCAGATCGGAGTACATGTTTCAGTAACTCCTCCGTGCACTTCTCTTCGTCCACCCAGAAGTCGGGCGTTGTGATAGGAATACCTGAGATGTTCTGTTAATTGCCATGTCGAAAACGGCGTTCCAAGCATAGACTGACCCTCGTCAAGCGCTCTTTGTAACGCAGCAACCAGACTCCAATAGCCAGTCCAGACTTTGCCACGATACTCAATACAGAAACGCTTCGGCTGCTCTTCCTCCGCAGACCAGAAACTGAAGTTCAACAAGTCCATGGTGAAGATGAAATCCACTGTACTTTCATCCTTGGTTTTTGGGTGCAACTCGTGCTCTGACCAGGTATGTGTGGAGTATTCTTTCTTCTGCATCATCCGCCATATGGTCTCGGCCGCCTCTTTGGTGAATTCGCGGCTGACAGCAATATCAATGGCATTGTCAAAGACATACTGCGCACCCTCCAGCACTCTCGTCTCCGGCGGGGCATCAATTGGTTTTGCGCCCAGTCCGAAATGCTGGCGCAAAAGCTCTACCAGCTCAGGGTCTGCTTCATCGTCGGAGTTTGCCTCAACTTGGCCATTTTTCTGGGCTGGAATTGGGTCCAATGATGGCATGGTGTTTTATTTGCCTTTTGGACTTGATTGAAAGACAGATTGATGGTAAATTATTGGGAATCAGGGGTATCTCCTTTGTTATCACCTGGGAGATTCTGCGGTGAGAAGGGCAATATCGGCAATTGTCCCACCACAACTTGGATGTCTGATTCTCCTGAGACACTCTCAGAGACAGGCAGCAATTTTGAGATTGTACTCGAACACGACAACCTCCTCAACTCTTGTGTGTTCTTCTCGCCACTCTGAAAATTCAACCCGATGGCCTCTCGATAGAATCACGGGTTAGGTAAGCAGGTACGACGGTCGATAAGCCCTCTGATTGGACACTTTCAGCTTCCATCGCATTACGACCTGCTCGACAGATGTATCAGAAACTACAGCGAACAGTCGAAATCTGAGGTCTCTATGTGCTCGGAGCCTCGGCCGAACGAGGTTGCGGCGAGTCATCCCGGCATCCGCAAGAAGTGCCGAGCTCCCGCCGTCAAATCGACGCCAGCCTTAGATCAAGTGCCGGACCGCCGTAGACTACTCGAAGTCCATCACTCTGAGCTTATGCTAATACAGGCGACAGCTCAAAAGACAGCTTAAATGGGGAAAGACTCACTCGCTAGTGAGATTCTTTAACTCATACAAGGTAGTCTATCAATACACTATGGTTGCACAAGGTTAGGGATTGAAGCAGGCTGATCCTGCATTCGATGTACAGGTAGAACTGTACCTGAATCACAGATAACTATGATTTGTTGCTCTAGAGGTTCAATTGTCAGTCCTATCTATCAAGAATTCTGTTGGCGATCAAAGATGAGGAACAGTGAAGTACTGCACGTAGGTTGCCGCATAGAATGCACCGGCAATCGTATGTAACAAGGAAAGGATGTCGACAGTGGAGTCAATTGCAAAGAAATGGTTATCTTAGCATAGAATAAATAGAAGAAAGAGTTGAGAGAGCGAAGTGGGTGTTCCTTGCGGTCCACCTAAATAATTGAGGCTCCCCAGCAAGTGCCGTCATCGCCAATCGCCAATCCCCACGGCCACTGTTTCCGGTTCACTTCTCTTCCTTCCACTTTACTCTCTTTTACCCTTATCCCACCCTTTGTCTTTATCCCATTTTTACGCGCCTACGATATCTTTGAGATCATACACAATTGAGATCATACACAGCACCACACCTGATCGCGATCATTATCTACTGCCCGCCATGCGGGATAGCTCTCTCAAGCGCTCCCTCGGAGCGGACCTCACCCGGTCTCTCAAAGAGGTACGAACAACCATGTGGGCGTGAAGCCCTGGCATACGCGTGCTAGCTTGCAACTGTTTCCTAACAGCTCTCTCATCACGTATAGTCACGCGTACTTCTTGTCGGCGCAGGCGGCATCGGCTGCGAGCTACTGAAAAACCTCGTCCTCACCGGGTTCGGCGACATCCACATCATCGATCTCGATACAATTGACCTGAGCAATCTCAATCGCCAGTTCCTCTTTCGACACGAACACATCAAAAAATCCAAGGCTTTGGTATGTCCATCCGATTGTCCTGCGCGGTTGCGCCGCTCCCTTGGGCGCGCATTTAGCTTGTCTGAACGGGCCGGCAATATTGCATGCAGAATACTGAGACGTCAATGCTTTTGTCTAGGTTGCCAAAGAGGTTGCGCAAAGGTTCCGAGCTGATGCGAAGCTCGAGGCTTATCATGCGAACATCATGGATCCCCAGTTCGACGTCCCTTGGTTCGAGTCCTTCAAGGTTGTGTTCAATGCGCTAGACAACATTGCCGCGAGACGCCATGTGAACAGGATGTGTCTTGCGGCCAATGTTCCCTTGATCGAGAGCGGAACTACGGGTTTCAATGGCCAGGTGCAGGTTATTAAAAAGGTAAGCCTCTCGCGCGATGCTACTTATTGCAGCTTTGGCCATTGCTAATGCGCCTTCGATTAGTCGGAAACCGCGTGTTATGATTGTACCCCCAAACCAACTCCCAAGTCGTTCGCCATTTGTACGATCCGCAGCACTCCCAGTCAGCCGATTCATTGCATTGTGTGGGCGAAGAGTTTCCTGTTACCGTAAGATGGATATCTCATTCTTTACGATTTCAGTGCTTACTATCGATCAGCGAACTTTTTGGGAATAGCGAAGAAGCGGCACCTGAGATGGACACCACGACAGACGCGGACAATGGTTGGTTATATCACATTGGTAGCTTGATGCATAACTGACATCCAGCTAGCCGAGGAGATCGAGGAATTGCGGAAAGAAGCGCTTGAGTTCAAAGAGCTGCGAAAATCGATCGATACTGAGGAAGCTTACCTCAAGATTTACGATAAAGTCTTCCGAAAGGACATCGAACGCTTACAAGGTATGAAGGATATGTGGAAGACACGGACGCCACCACAGCTCCTTGATTTTGCGCAAATGGAAGAGCAATCTACATCGATTCCTCCGACCATCTCTACAGAAGATCAAAAAGTGTGGACATTGGCGGAAAATCTCACAGTCTTCAGAGACAGGTAGGAACAGCTTGTCCTTCACGATGTATGCCAATTTTCTGACCGGTCTTAGCTTGAAACGCCTCAGCCGTCGCTTTAGGGATCTCCAAGCAAACAACCCTACGGACGAAGCCCCCGTGCTCACATTTGATAAGGATGATGTGGACACTTTGGACTTTGTTGCCGCAGCAGCTAATCTTCGGGCTGCTATTTTCCATCTCGAACTCAAGTCTAAATTTGACGTCAAAGGTATGTACAAGGTTTCTTATTTCTCACTCCAGGACGCTCGTTGTTGACAATCCTTTTACAGAGATGGCGGGTAATATCATTCCTGCCATTGCGACCACCAATGCTATGACAGCTGCGCTTTGTGTACTTCAGTCGTTCAAGGTGTTCCAAAACGACTTAGCGCATGCCAAAACGGTAAGACTTCTTCAGTGGGATTGCTATCGCGGTCAAGACTGACAATTGATTTTGAAGGTGTTCCTGGAGAGATCTGGTGCTCGTGCAATCAACTCAGACTCATTGAACCTCCCAAATCCCAGTTGCCCTGTTTGCTCCCCCGTATTGGCTCGGGTAGAGATTGATCCCGAAACAGCAACCCTTGGACACCTCGTTGAAGACATTCTGCAGGGACAGCTAGGTTATGGAGAGAATACTAGCGTCACAACAGACACCGGTCTAGTGATATATGAAATCGATTTTGACGACAATCTAAACAAGAAGTTGTCTCATTTCGGCATCAAAGGCAATAGCTTCATCACGGTCAGGGATGATAATGACCCAGAAGCAAATGAGCCAGACCCTCGGGTCGACCTTAATGTGATGATCATTGAAAGGTGGGTGTCATTCTTTGAACTGTTCTAGACACATTGACTGATTCTTGAATCGCAGAAGTGAGCCACCCTCCACGGACTCGAAGCCCGCAAAGCTGCAGAGTGTGGTCGAAATCCCTCTCAAGCCTAAGAAGCCGACGCCCGATGCTACAGCAACGACAGATGGCGCAACTGCGACTGGAAAGCGCAAGCGTGAGGGCTCGAGCCCTGGTCCGGAGCCAGGTAGCACCCATGATACCAAACGACTTGCTAGTGCTTCCGTTCCTGCCTCAAGTGGTATTGATGCCACCGTTATCGATGATGAGGAAGGCGGGAAGCGCAAGCATGAGGGTTCAAATGAACCCATCCCTGACTCGAGTGGCATGGCAGCCATCGTTATCGATGATGAAGATGGTGCTATTATGATCGAAGATTGAGTGCTTTAGGCATACTTGGCTTCATCTGCCACTCCGAGCTCTCATTCACATACCTTCACTGTACCGGCGGCGTATTTAGATATCATTTGCTTTCTCTGTGCCCTCGAACCCTTTTGTATTATATGGCATAAAGGCGAATTTGCTTTTGGTCAAGGCACTCTGCGGAAATCACAGCTCGGCGAACACGCTTCGAGTATTGGCTGGACAATGCGATCATAGGATTTCGTCAATCGCAAGCTGGCGCTCTACATTGTTATAGATTAGAACTGCACAAGATAGGTGTCATTTAGAAAGCTTCCGTACTGGTCAGGTCCTTGTTGTTGTTCCGGAACGATAGGTTCTGTACAAATACACTTCCTCGTTGACTATTGGCTCATTTCAAGCACACAATCAAACGGCACTCAGCCCACCATCGAGATTCAGCACACAGTTATTAGCATATTCATTCTGTGCCAAGAAGACAGCTGCATCGGCAATCTCACGGGGGTCTCCAAATCGATGCAGAGGAATCAGATCCTTCAGTCTGGTTATCTCTCCTGGTGTGAAATCTTATACAACTGTCAGCCACACCCAACAAGAAAAAAAGACGAGAGATCCAACATACCTGCAATCATGGGCGTCTCAATATATCCCGGCACAATGGCGTTTGAACGAATGACAATGTCCTTCATTGAAGCCGATGCCTCAACAGCCAATGACCGCGTCAGACCCAGAAGCCCAGCTTTTGACGCAGCGTATGGAACCGCCCCGGTTCCTCCCTTGAGCGCAAGCAAAGAAGAGACATTAATAATGCATTTCGAGTGGGGCTTGGTCCCCGCAGCTTGAGTTCGATTGCGCATGCGGCTGCGGACAGAGGCACGCAGTAACGCCCGTGAAGTGAGCATTGCGCCTTCGAGATTCGTGCGTAGGATCATAGAGATATCTGCCAGCTCGGACCGTGGTAGGATATTTGAGATAGAGATCCCTGCTGCGTTGACAAGGATGTCTATGTTTGACTATATATTTGTTAGATAGAGTATATGTTCTGGGATAAAGGAGTAGCTGACCATTTCCTTCTCGAGTTCACGCATCCATGGCCCGGCATTTGAGACGTCGCCGACGAGGAGACGGATCTTGCCTTCATTGTCTTGCTGGCTGTCTTCTTCTGGTGTGCGGGTCGCTATTGCACTGGTGCTGTCGTCGCTGCCTGGTAGCGTGCCTGTCAGAGACTCGAGTTTTGTGGCTGCTTCCTCTAGGCGGGCTTGTGATCGGCCGACGAGGGTTATGGTCGAAGCTCCTTCTTGTAGAAATCTTTCGGCAATGGCGAAGCCGATGCCGGATGTACCGCCGGTTATCATGCAGTTTCGGCCGGCGAGTCGGTTCCCAGGCTGAAATGAAATGCCATTGTCGCCTTTATTTGGTTGGGATGAGAATGATCGCAATGTATATGTCAGAGAAGCATTGTTTGATACTTGCTGGCCGCTGATGTAGCGTATATCCCATATATTAGATGGTCTTGATAAGGCACAAGGCAGCGATGGAGTCACTCGCCAGCGAGTTAGAGGAGCTCTTAGGCTTCCCGCACTTCTCGCCATGTCGACTTGTCTTCGAGTTTAAGTCACGAGCTCAAGTCACGATACCGGCAGAACTACGGAGTAAGTCTGGGTGACGATGAAAAGGACACGGTTGTGCGTGGTCTTTGGGTCACCAAACCGTGGTGTTTTCACGCGCGCGTGTCCGTGCTTTCCACTATCCCTAGTTAGGCATAGTGTCAGATTTTACTGCATACACCGAACTATACCAACTCAAGAATATGAGCATGGCGCGTACATCAGGAGTCGGCGATAAAGAGGGCCAGTTTTTCCCTCTTTGTTTCTCTACTCTGGATCCAAGTCTCTTATCGAAAACATTTTTACTCTAGACTTAACTTATCGGTTTTTTCGTTTTCCTATTATACCACCGAAACGTTCGATGAAGCGCATAGGTGATTTCGATTAGAATAATTTTGTTCATCAATCGGATGCGCTAGTTAATAGTGCATTTACTGATGCTATAAAGAGACATCTAAATCGGAGAAGGGAACATTTTAAGAGGTACTTGTGCCCCATATTCCCTCTGAACGCTTAGTCCCTTATTAACCCATTATTATAGGTTTGTGACGCAGTTTAAGCTACCGGATTACGAATACTGGCTTAAAAATGTTACACTGAGGCTGATTGAGGGATCTCTTCGATGGTATCTTGATATATATAAAGTGAAGTATCAATCGGGGTTTTTGGTCTTTGCTCGATTTTGGAGAATGTACTAGCGTGAGGAGATGAGTCGTAAATTTCCTTACGAAATAGGGCGCAATATAACGATGGTAAGTCAACCCTTAGACTAAGATAAGCGAATTCTTACCTAAGAAGCTGGTTTACACAACCCTCACGGATGAATACGAGCTTAATATAGGTGCGAAAGCCCAGCCATTAGTCAATATTGACGACCTGTTATTCACGGTATATCATCTCCTAGCTTTCAGCAATCTGTCTTTTCCTATATTCCGATATCTATTTCAACTGAACACCCTAAGGAAAATGATGACTTCGATATCCGTCCGGCCCGGCACCCTCGTGGAGTCTTTAGGGTATATAAGACATAACGATACACTAAAATATAAAGATATCGAGCTATATATAGTGAAAGATCCTAAAGATCTAAAGGGCTAGGTCCTACTTATAAGGGTTAAGCATAGACTCAATAAAGGCAGAAGGAACAAAGGTGTCCCGTAAGTCTCAACCCTGATAATTATAGCCTTGCCACTGATTTACGGAAGACCTGTCTTTACCTATACTGAAAGGAATGATAATCTCGGTCTTTGTGTCATTTAAGACATACTAATGTATGCCTACCTTAACGATGCCTTTGCTAGCGACTATATTAAGGAGCCTCGAGATATTTAGCGCCTTACGGATGTGCTAGACCACCGCCTTAGTACCCCTATTCATTTTAAGGAGAGCGTTAAAGATATACCAGTTTTTAGACGTGCGGTGAAAAGCCTCGAAGGAACGTAGGTGATATACCCGATACTTGCCTTTCAATACAGCATGGTATAGGAGTACGAGAAAGACGCTAGCAAAGCGGCAGGATTCAGAGAAGGGGGATCTCTCTATAAATATCGAAAGGGTGCTGCCGTAAACTTGAGTATGACTTACTGGTTCTTATGAAGAAGGAGAAGTCCGAACTGACTTCCGCCTATAGGGCACCTCGACGAGTATTCACGTAACATAATCATAGGTCATCGGAAAGGCGGTACTTTTGCCTACTACGTCTCTGTTAGGGATAACACTCAATCTGCTTTATGGAAACCCCGGCGCGCGATGCTTTACTCAAACTGTCTAGTAACGTAAGCTTGATACGGGATGCCTCTATACCGCAAGCTCTTACCGATAGCTAGAAACACGGTCTCGAGAAGAACCTAGAGCTTGCTAAACTTAAGCAAGCAAGGAAGGCTCTTCGAGAGGAGCTTATTGTAGATTTTCACTAACTGCAAAAGGCAAAAGGGTCTACGCGCCACGATAAATATCGAAAGCTTTAGGGTCGGGTTAGAGCAGTGCGAAAAAGACTCTACGACGATACTAAAAAGACTATGTATGACGAATTATTCGGGAATATTAGGAATCAAATCATTGAACAAAATCACCGGGGCAAGCTAGTTAAATTTAAACTAGAAACCTCCTATATACAACTAGAAAGAAGAGTTCTTACTGAACTTGAGTTTAAGAACAGGGATATAGACTCTACCGATGATACAGAATTAGTGGAGGACCGTATTAAATCATTAGAACTACGCCTTAGACTGTATAAGCTTAATGTACCTAAGTCATTGAAAAAGCGAATATAGTTCAGTGATTCTATACAAGAATCTAAGGAGAGCTTCACCGACTCTACTGAGAGTAGTACTAGTCTTAAGTGTCTAGTGTGCTTGGGACGCTCTAATATCGATCCGAGAGTGCGGAGGTACTTATTCTGCCGAAAAGACGCGCTATAGCGACATTTCAGGACCCATAGGTTACCAGAGACCTTTCTAAGGGGCCGCGTATGTGATTACCCTGGATGTGACTTTGTGTTATTTTCGCTTCCAAAGTATATGCTTTACTAGAAGAAGAATCACAATATTTTTCTTTAGAACAGCTGAGATTTCATTAACCGATGACGCTAAAAGGGTTAATCCGCATGGCCGATTACTAGCCCCACCTTCCTAATACGAAAGGGATACCTTATCCCCTGCGTTTCACCAATGCGGAATTGGATGGGTTCTTTGAACAGGAACACTATGGTTTGACCTGAATAAAGTTGTGAATCACTGGTAAGAGAGCAGATCGGAGTCGTTAGTGAAGATGGTTAGATTAACAAGGATCTTTTTGAAGAGGCTATTCGGAAGTCTGCCGAGCTCGAGATCTCTCTCATAGCTAATGCGGAGGGTGACAAGGAGGATATTGATCTCCTGAGGAAGGGATGGCCATTTAGAGATCGCGAAGAGATTAACTCTAATAAGGTAGCAGACGGCAAACGGGCTTCCAGAAATGGCCGCAAGTGCGGCCGTTTTAGGCCGTCGATTTGCCAAATTTCCTGCCACGCACTTCTATCTTTGACCACGGCCACGCGATCTCCGCTTGGCGCAGCAACAAGCACCCCTCAGTTTTCTAGCGTTCCCTGAGGGTGTTGCGCCTGCATCTTTGGTATCCACACTTGGTACTCAGGCTGCGGTTTTCGTTCAGGAGTAAGGTCAACGCTGCGTCCTTCTTTCCTCCCAGGAGCCTTTTTCACCATGGCACTGAAACGCTGCGCTCAATGGAAGCCTCATATATGGGCCCTTCCCTGGTGTCTTCTCGGACTTTTGATGTTTGACACTCATTCAAAAGAGTTTGCCCAACTTCTTTTTCCTTCCCTGGCTCTCTTTTGCTCTTTTTTTTTTTTTGCTAAGAGCAATTATCCCCAACTCCTCACTGGACGATTCCTCGTTACCACAGCATGGCTCGTTCACGGCGAAAGGCCAACTCACCTCCGTATGAAGATGAACATCTCAGCTCCGACAGCTCCGACGATAGCGGCGATAGTCAATATGATACGGATCTCACAGAGCCTGATTGCGAAGACGATCAGCTGAAGGATGCAGGTGATGTCGCGCAGCTCTTTGCAGACAACGAGCATTTGCCAGAATACTATCTGCAGCAACTTGAGCAGTTTGACGAGTCCGTTTACACCCAAGAGGATTACAGCAAAGGCACTGTGTCTCTCCTTGACCAAGTTGAAACGAGATGGAATCAGTGCGTCACACTTCTTCGTTAGGAATCCTAGCACCCTCCGTCTTTCACTCCTAGTATTTGTACACACTATGACTAACTAAAAGCCGTCTCAGGTTCTGTGCATGTATTCGAAAAGATCCTCAGCAAGAATTCTTGAAGTTATCCGTTGGCATTTTGTATACCTTTCTGGATTGGGCTTTGAATCAGCGACGAGGGAAGAATGGAAGACGACTACCTGGAATCAAGCGAAAGAGCTCGCTGGAAACTTTCTGGAAGGTTTTTCGACTTGTTTTTGAAAGAGCCACATCTGGCAAGATTGAAAATCGCATGAATCGACAGATGCGCCGGGTAAGAATCCCTCCTTTGCCGAATCACGGCAAAGCCGCTTTAAACCGTATAATTGGTACTAACCAATCTTCTAGGTCATCCGAAAGTTATCCCGAAATCATAAGTTATCCTGCAAGGGCCGTGAAAAGTCCACCATGTACGTGGAGGACTTGACAATGGTCGTCGAGACCGCGATCAGTACCACAAAAAAGAAATTTGGACATGGGAGGCATCGTATCGAGCTCTGCCTCTTCTTGCAACTTGCTGGCCTCACTGCCAATCGTCCTCAGGCCATATTGAATTTGATGTACCGTCATATTCGAGTCAGCCTGCTCCGAGATCCGCAAGGTGGCCCACATAGAATCGTGATTGAGTTCACCTTCGAGTTCACAAAAGGATTCCTTGGCACGAAAGATGAGTGAGTGATTATATTAGGAACTTACTATGGTCTTCAGGATAATTAACAAGCACGCAGAAACACCTATATTCTTCCTGAGATAATTTTTGACCCATCGCTTGTTCTCAGCCCACATGTCTCTTTACTAGGCTTGCTCTTCGGGGATCGTGCTTTCAAACGGGTCGAGGGACAGGAGGTTTTGTTCTCCGCAGATCAGCTCCCTCGTCTAAATATTCCGGAAGATTGTAATGAACTTCCATTACTCCTCGATCCGGCTTTAGACGATGTTCCAGTATTCCGGCAAACAGAACGGTCGTTGCAAGGAATGAGTATCTCCCCCGACAAGCCTCTACCATACTCTACGCTGCTCCCGTAGGTCAAAACAATTGGAGTCATCACTGGGTTTCGACAAGTTGCTCGCCCTTACAGCTTGCGATATGGCGCTGCCAAAGCGTTGGATAATAGCGGTAAATGATTTTGCATATATATATCGTGCGCAATCACGACTTGCTAATCATGGTTTCTTTTGTTTTAGGTTCCGTGAGCGACTCTCTTCGTAATCTGATTATGCACCATGCCGATACTCGCACCTTTCTGAAGTACTATCTTGATAGGAGGATTGATAAAAACCTACCTGCCTTAATTCGCGGTCTCAAGCCAGATGAGGATATCATGCACGCAGCCTGCCGAATGAGCAGGACCATCGACCCAAACCGGCCGCAAGACCTGACGACTGTGCAATCGTCCTCGGTCAATCAAAGGCCGGAAGTTCTAGCACTGGTCCAGCGCCGTGACGAGCTACGTCAACAACTAGGCCGACCCCTGTCGCGGCATCGAGGCACTGTCAAATACGACGCTTATAGAAAGCTGAATCAAGAAATCAACGGCGCGAGAGAACGGGCCAGAAATGCCTTGCTGTCACAGCTTCAGGAGAAATACGACCAAGAGCAACCTATGCTGGAAGTTCAACGACAGCTGTCCGAGGCTACGCTTGAAAAAGCGGTCAAAACAAAACTGCAAAGATCAGAGGAGCTTCCTCCACCTCAAAAGCGTCTGATCGAATGCCTATTGAGTCTGCCACCGCCAACTTTGGATCAAGAGATGCGTCGGCGGACTGAAGCAATCGATGCGGTCGCTGTTTATTGTCAATTTGAGGAAGGGGAAACGTGCCGTCTGCCGCGCAACAAACGTTTTGAGACTGACGTGGTCGAGCTAGATGGTCCTGGCAATCACCCCTCAGAAGATGAAGCGACCGAGAGCAAGTCTCAACCAGATTCTCCTCTTGAGGCTGCTTTCCGATCTATCATGAAGGATCACCGACCTCTGTTTTGCTTTATTTGTCTAGGACAAAAAGAACTGGATATGAAGAAGCGTGTGCAGCAATTTGCATCGCATGGTGATGTTTCGAAGCATATCAAGCGAAAGCATCTTCAAAACATTGCAGCTGGCACCGTAATCTCGTGCAATATATGTGATCAAAAGTTTGATAAAGTTATGCACTTTCAGCGCCATGCAATCGATTCTCACTCGACTGTGACGGGGTCAGTGGCCTTCAATCATCAATGAATGACTTTTTCCCTTGGCTTTGTATGAACCAAAATCGGATCTAGTGTCTACGTCATATGCAAGGATAATCAAACGGCTATAGCTGTAAACGAGGACGACGCAATTAGATACTGTAATATCAAGCATGAGGAATAAAACATGTAAGCAAATAATCCTTGATCTCTGTTCGTCACTTGTTCAACAGTCGCCAATAATACTGATGGTGAAACCCCGCAGGCGAACACCAAAATCATGTTCGAAGCCAGATTATCAAGGCTTTGGCGATTTTCCTTCTAAAAAAGAGGCACCGTTTGGTCGATCAGTGTTCTGAGCGATAGATTTCCGTCTAGAGCGGGTCGATGACCTCCTGGGGACGACGAAGCTAGTTGACATTTGACTAGCTTCATACACTGCTTCCATACACAGCTTCTGTGTGCTCCTCAACTGGACAATTTGAGTCAAAGGATCACGATCGCCGTCCTTGACTAGAGAGATACAGGGGAAAACGGTGAGAATGTTCGCGTCTCGAACAACTTGATCCTGCCTATTTGGGATCGCATTATCCCCGGGGAAGCGGAAGGGCTCCCAATCGTCATCCTCGAAATCGACTAAATCGAATGCTGTTTCATATCTCAACTGAGCTCGCTGGATTGGGAGCCAAAATTCAGCAGCTCTTTGTACAATTTTCCCAATACTTATGCGGATCGCATCATGCTGGGTCTCTGAGAGCAATGCCCACAAATATGACGACATATTGCGGATCACCGTCTGTATCCTTGCCCGGAGAAAACTTTCTTCGGCGCTTTGATCTATTGAGAGAAGAACACGTCGGCAGAAACTTTCCTTCTCGGTATCATTCTCGGCGAGGTGACTGAGGATTCCGTGGATCTCTGAATCTTCCGGTAAAATGTAACTTGGCCGGAAGATATGTTTGCAAATCTCTCTTGACAGGATAGCCAGAGTCATAGCTAGACGCATTCCTTTAGCTCCGAGGGAGTTTGAGGATACTAGAGGGACATGTTGGGCAAATTTAGCATTTTCGACTCGGAGCTTGTCCCAGATCGATTTGTCCTTAAGATTGAACGAATGAGTGGATCTGTCGTGAAGCGGGTTTACATATACACATACCTTTAAAACTTTCTCATCAAGATCCTCCCTCAAAATGGTGAATATCTCGCTTAAAGCAAAGCTCCACAGACCTGAAAAGTCCCTCGATCTGAGCGAGATGTATTAGCGTAAGAACGTTGCTAAATGCCCAGCATAACTTGCATTGAATTTTCATCAAGCTCCAATTGCTGAACAGTGAAGCTTTCGAGGTCACTGTCCCTGGTAATTTTTCGAATGCATGCATTTGTTTTCCTATTAAACTAACATCTGCACGTCGTTGAGCCTTACTCTGCACTTGATGCGGTCGTGGTCTATCTGTTGACAAGATGCGTGACAGGCTGTGCACAACTACATTGAATACTCCGTCTCGAGGTTAGCAATATTTCAGCGCCGTGACGGTGTCGATTCAGACCCTGCAAACATTTAAGAATATTTGGATAAACCAAGTATCGCCTGGTCACCGCTTAAAATTAGACGCGCCTTTATCAGAAACCTTCATGTTATGTTGATTTGGCGTAGGCGGGTGTGATGCAATCGGTAATATCGTGATGGTGTTTTAAATAAACAATGGCAAGCGTGGCGTTTCAATTCAGCCTATGATGGACGTATAAGTAAACGGCCCAAGAATAAAATCAAGACTTTCTTTGATGTAGAATATGTACATTGAACCCCTGATATCTTGGGACGCTCTCTGGACAGACAGTGAAATGAGAATAAGGTACTCTTGCTTGCAGTTTACACGTAATGAAAGCAGTGGGAAGATGTACTACCGATAATTGAGCACGCTATTTCCAAACCACCCGGAACTGAGGTCAGAAATCTTATGGGGAATGGGAAACATGTCGCTCGAAGATCAAAGATAGCTATGCTATCATCGACTCCATCCCCGTCGCCGCCGGCGCGAGATTGTCAATCCACAACTAACGCCATTCTCCGGAAACGGAAAATTGTTCCGCCGAAGTCATGATCTGCTGACATAAGCCAACTATATCAAGCCGATTTGAGATGGTCCCATCAGCTTTGTTTCCTCATCCAACAAGTAACCTCATCCAAGTCGCTCACACATCATTTAGCAGGCCTTAAGGAAGTCAAGCAAGCCGAAATGACAAAATTCTCTTCAATTGCAGAAAATCTGCCCGATGAGTCGGTGCGGGAGATGAACTTTCTCGACTCTTCCTTCTTCAAAGAGCCCAGCAAAAGCCTTCCGACACCAGCACAGGTGAGGGCTTTGTCGACAGACATCCACGCGAACCCACAACCGCTGCCTGTTATCTTTGAAGAGTGCGAAGTCTTCGTCAAATTTGGCCCATATGTCACGGTCGCAGAAGCGCAGTGCCTTTGGATGATCAAACGGACCTTTGGTAACGAAATTCCGGTCCCCGAAATTTTTGGGTGGCGAGTAGACGAGGAGAACTATGTATTCCTCTATATGGAGCTTATTCAAGGACAGACGCTGCAGGATGGCTGGAATGAGCTCGATAGCCAGGACAAAAGCTCGCTCTGCGATGAGCTATGTAAAATAGTCAACCGTCTGCGCCGACTTGAACAAGATCCTTCCGATCAGTATATTGGTACGTCCCGGTCAAACTGGGAAGGATAGTATTTACATCTAATCGAATCTTTCCAGGTTCCCTAAGGCACCAACAACTTCTGGATTATGTTTTCCAGTCATACCCGAAAGCCGGGCCTTTCTTGACCGTCAAGGATTTTAACGACTGGTTTTCCTACTTACCACAATCATGGCTTCCTGCTTCGAAGAAATACAACGACCCCTACAGGTCTTTGTTACCGGACGATGGAGTCATTAAATTTACCCATGGCGACCTCCACCGAGGGAACTTCATTATCTCTTCCAGCAAACCAGCTCGGATCATTGCTATCGTTGACTGGGCACAAGCGGGATGGTATCCAGACTACTGGGAGTACTGTAAGGCACTTTACACTTGTTGGTACGAGGACGAATGGCGACGGGACTGGGTCGACAACTTTCTAAGCCCACGCTTGCGAGAATTTGAGGTCTTCGCAGAGTACACAATGGCAATGGGCTCCGTATGAACCACTTTTACCTGGGAGTGAATGCTGCTCATTGAAGGAGGAGTAAGCGTACTTGGCAGAAATTACAAAGCGGCAGAAAAAACCAGGTGTAACAGCTATAGAAGGTAAATCTCTTAGTGGGACCCTCTGCAGTGAAACTGAATAAGCCGAGTAGTTTAGCGAGATAAAATGTATTGACCAGCTATGACCGTAGATAATAAAGGACATGTAACAAAAGAATGTATGTGCTAAGCTGCATTTAACTTCTTCGCCACAGGGCGTCTTCCGTCAACTGCATGTATTTAAAGCCAACTCAGGATGAAGTCAACGTCTCCCGGCGGGCTGAAGACCGATTCCATGGCTTGGGGGATCACGTTTAGATTGAACAATCTGAATTGCTTCCGCTGCAATGAGACCTCTGGAGACTAAATGGCGGACGAACTCCATGGTCGGTCTCGTGGAGCAATTCGACCTTGACCGGTTCATGGACGAGTCACTTGCTTTCGCAGATCAACGCTTGCAGAGCACTGAGTCTACGCCCGCAAGCATCAATTACACTGGTCGGCGTATGTGACTTGCGAAACGCCTCTTCAGATTTCATGGTCTCGATTCTGTCACGAAAGGCTGAGATCCGGAATCATATGCTCTCTCCCTCGCCAGAGAAGTTGTGGCTCGTCCAGTCGCCTCCAGAGAGTTTGTTCCGCTTTGAGCTCGTCGTCATATCTCTCCATAGCACTTTCCAATCCATCATACCACTCTGGCCGATCTATCTGACCGTAATGTGCCTTAGTATACTCCCAATATTCTGGGTACCAGCCGCCAAATTGCCAATCAACGATCGCAGAGACCTTCCCATTGTCCACCATGATATTCCGAGGGGCAATATCTGCGTGGGTGAAGCAGCTTCGATAGCGACGGGAGTGGCATTTGGTGACCTCTGGCCCGATTACTTCGTTGCAGTCCTCAATCGGAACGTTCGCTCGAAGGTATGAGTGGAACCCTTTATGACTCGTAAACGGCCCAAAAGTATAAGATCCAACTCGGTGATCCAGGGCCTCGTTGAAGCTTGCCGATGCAACTATCCCTTCTCGCGGAGGTTCTAGTTTCCGAAGTTGACGGATGTAGCCCGCAACCTCGGTGATGATGTATTTCTTCTGGTCTTGCGACAGATGACCGCGATACCATGCTGCCTCGAGGCTCATTCCACGGACATATTCCATTTCAATATAGATACCATCATCGTAATAGTGGGCGTTGATTACTTTAGGCACAGGAACTGATGTGTGCTCAGCGACGTATTTCAAGGCCGCTAGCTCCGCCGTGGCACAAGGCCCTTTGATCATTCTGCTAGGGCTGACTCGGACTCCATGCGGTCCGACTGCTCCAAAGAGTTTCTTGCCAATCCATAGTCGAAGTGGAAGAATACCACAACTTTTGTGGTGTTTTCTCTTATTAGCCATGGCTCGCTTGGTTCGGCGGATGAGTCGTATTAACAGTTGATCAATGTTGTCGCGTATGGTTGATGGAGTGACAAGTGGCGGAGGAAGGTGGAACGAAGAGAGCCGATCAGGACCACCACATTCGCGGATATTGGTATAGCGCTCGAGCTTATCGCTACGGTGGCCCCAGGGCCAAGCTAGCTATTTCTTTAGTCCGACCGATTCCACTGTACACAGTATTAGAATGTGTATGGTTTCGGCTAGTCCAATAGGTATCCCATCTCATTACCTGAAACACTGTACTCTCAGAGAAGCGCTCTATCCAGGGCGCACGATGGGTGGTCTAGATCTAGATCCTTGGGCGTATAAGGGCGAGTAGATGACGACGGCAATATTTCAACCAAAGAGGAGAGCAGCGCCGTCCGGCTTGGGGTTACGGGATCGCTTCGGAAACAAGAAACATGTGGTTCAGCGGCGGCTCAGGTGGGAGGAAAATGCAGGACGAGGAAGACAATGATTGAGCGACGATGGGTCACAGTCGGGGCGGTAGGGGCATGGCGGTCAGTTGGTCCTTTTTAGGGTTAGCGCGGTCCGTGAGATCGCGTCAGGGAATGTTCAGCATTAACGTGTTTTATTAACAAATACTTATACTCATTCAGACAATAAGAACGGAGCATAACAATGATTTTCAGTTGATGTCGGTTGTCACACCACGAACATAAACAAAGTGATGAAATTGATTTTGAGCGCGTCTGTACCCGCCAGCCCCCTAGGCGGTAATATTGAATAGATGCCCTGCTAGCGCAATACGATCTATCAAATCGTCAATAAGTCGAATTCTGATTGGTGTGTCCTTCTAAAGACCCCTGTAAGCGTGTTTTTCCCGCTGGATTCATGAAAAGTTGTTGATCTTTTCTGGCTGGTCGGATAAGTTGCGGATCCGACCGTTTCGACTTTTTATCTTCCATTGTGTACGCAGTGTATTGTGGCGAAAGTATTGGGGGCCGGAGTCCCTGAAAGCTATACAGAATACACCTGCATAACAATGCTAGCAACCATGTTTCGGAAATCTTCAGTTTGCTTGGGTAATCAATTTTGCAATAAGGATTCTTTGCTTTCCGCGGCGGCTATTGAGATCACTTGATTGGTACAAATTGTGATCTACTTTGTATTCTCAATATTGTTAAAGGCAATGGATTAATGGATCAAGGAGCCTGACGGCTTCGAGCAGATCCCCCAATTCCTAGAGACTTGATACGCTTAAAGTCGAGGAAAGGTTGTTAGAGGACCTTGATGTGGAGAGTATTTGATGGTTATATGTGGGGAAGGCGCCTACAGAGAACCACGGACTGGTCTTGACGGGGCTTCAAATATGTTTAAAAATAGTGACACGCTGTATCTAGCCATGAAAGGACAACTATAGCTACTGTCGATGGTGACGTCTCAATAATATGAGAAGCAAGACGGTCCATCATGGTCCGACAGGCAGCAGAGTCCTTCGCGCTGACCATGAAAACGCGTGAGTCATCACCCGATTGATTTCCTTGAGGTGTTGCGTGTCCATTCAAGTGATAAATCTCTGCTGGAGTTGGCGCAGACTCCAAGATGACGTGGGCGTTCGTTCCACCGTAACCAAAGTTGTTGATTGAAGCGCGAAGGATCTTGTCTTCCGGCCATGGCTTTAACTGTGTCGGCACCTCCAAATGGCCCGCATCATGGTCAATGCTTGGGTTCGGAGTCTCATAGTTGAGGTTCGGTGGGATCGACGCTGTTTTTAACGCAAATATAGTCTTGATGAGGGCTGCAAGACCACTGACAGGCTCGGTGTGGCCAACATTTGTCTTCACAGAGCCAACCGATACCTTGTCATCCCCTTGGCGAGACTTTCCAAAGGTTCTCGCAATTGCTTCGGCCTCAACGGGATCTCCAGCTGCTGTGCCGGTCATGTGAGCCTCCACGTAGCCAGTTTGAGAGATATCAAGCCCTGCACGACGGTAGCATTGCTCAATCAGTTTGACCTGGGCGTCGGCAGATGGGGAGGTAATTGTGGTCGTCTTCCCGTCTTGGTTGACTCCGCTGTCCTTGATGACGGCATGAATTTGGTCACCAGCGAGCAGCGCGGCATCCAGAGGTTTGAGGATAACTGCCGCTACACCCTCACCACGGCCGTAGCCGGCAGCACGATTGTCCCAGGCGAAGCATTTGCCTTTGGAACCAATGGCACTATCAAGATATTCTGTCAGTCATGTTCTGAAGGAATAGATGTATACAATCCTGCAAACTCGTACTTACCCAATAGTGGATGCCGAAATGAAAGCATCTTGACTAAGGAGTGTACTAGAAGCACCGACAATTGAGATGTCACTCTCCCCAGTGCGAATGCTTTGGCACGCTTGGTGGACTGCCACCATACCCGCCGAACAACCTGTGTCGATGGACAGACTTGGTCCTTGCAAATCAAAGAAGTGCGAGACACGATTGGACAGCATTGCGGTACCTGTACCGGCGAGGAAGGAGCGGGTCAAACACTCGGCATCTTTGGTTTCGATTTCATGGTAATCTTTGTTGAATGTTCCGGTATAGACCGATGTATTGGTGCCAGCGAGCTTATCCAGAGGGATACCAGCTAAGCGGGTCAGCTTCTGCGACAATTCTTGACAGAAGCACAAGGGACAGGAGCTTACCATCTTCTGTTGCTTCGTAGACAGTTTCGAGCAACAATCTCGCTTAAGGGTCAAGACCCTGTCTCTCGAAGTCAGCTTCTTCGACGTTCGGGGCATAAATAGGGCCCCACTTACATGGGCAACATCTGATGCCAAATTGAAGAAGGCGGCATCAAAACAAGCGATATCATCGTCCAGAAAGTAGCCACCAATAACGTGGCTCTGCAAATATGTCAGCCCTCATTCTAGTTGACCCAGCTAAGTACAAAGTGACACTTCCTGCTTTGCGGGCATGCCATAGGAGAGGAAACATATTCTGCCAGCCTTTGCATTATCAGGATGATACAACGACTTCACATCAAAGCGCGAATCTGGGATGAGAGACCAGCCATCCTTTCCATTCGCGCAGAGTTCCCACAGCTGGTGAGGATTCCTGACGTTTCCACTGAAGCGGCAAGCCATGCCAACAATGGCAATGGGGATTGAGGGGCCCGTGGAATTGCCGTTGGAGGGTTCCTGTTGCTGTGGCATTGTGCTGCAATTCATGGTGGCTCCGTTAGTTGTGGGAGAGTCTCCGTTGGTTCTGGTAGATTCTTCGTTGCCTGGTTGAGGCATGTCGGTGTTGGGAATTGGAGACATGTTCAATAGTTTAAAAAAATGTGTAGTTCACTGCTTGTTCACTTTGGAATCTAGGAAGTCCCGGGTTTCAAGGTTTGGCAAGACTCGAGTAGAGACCCGAGCAGTCAATAACACATTATATATGCGTTGAAGACTAGTTAATATATACCTAGGCACACTAGTGATAATTTTACGATTTGGGGGCGATTCTTAGAACCATCATCCCATCCCGATTCGTTCCCAGGTTTGTCCAAGCCTTCCAAGGTTATCATCCCGCGGTCTTCGCTCGTATTATTCAGTGTTCATCCACGGATGGGGGAGACTCCTCCGTTAGCACTGGGCGTTGACCTCCCGAGGTCCCAATGCGGATGGTGTGTTTCATGGCTTCGGATTTCCCAACGAGGAAACATCCGAGATCCAACATGCCACAGCCCATCCAACAGCGTTTTTCAAGCGTTGAGCAGTAATAAGTCTACTACGATTGGAGAATGCCAGCAAATCGTACAAATGTAAGTTCAGATATTCAAACTCCACGAGCCCTAGCATCTATTACATTTTCTTACTTCCAAGGTTTCCCACACTGTGCGGGACCTACTAGAAATAAAATGGATATACTATCATTGAACCATCTACCGTCGATTGGAATCGGCCTTCTCGCATTCATACTATACTATGGTTTCAAGCGAGCATATCCAAGCCCATATCCAGGCATTCCATACAATGCTGCCTCGGCAAGAAGGTTCTGGGGAGACTCGACAGGCCTGCTCGAAGATATCAAAATAACCCAGGACCCAGCGAAATACATCTTCCAGCAGAGCAGAAATCTGAACTCGCCCGTGATTCAGATGTTTCTCGCTCCCTTTTCAAACCCTACAGTCATCATTGACGACGTTCGCGAGGTCAAAGATATTCTCAGCAACCGCACGCACGAATTCGATCGCGCTCCCAGAACACAAGATGCCTATCGCTCTCTTCTTCCGCATTGCAGTCTGGTTAAATTGACGGGACCTGAATTCAAAAACCAGAGACGCTTTTGGGAGGGCGTTACCGGCACGCCTTTCCTACGACGCGTCGCTGAGCCCAAGATGTACCGGTGCGCCCTGGGCCTAATCGACTTACTCAGAGCTCAGGCCAAAATGGCCGGTGGACGACCATTTTACTGCTTCGACGACTTTGATGTAGCAGCGTTCGAGCTAATATGGGAACTGGTATTCGGAACCAATGTTGACGGCATCAAAAGTGCACGCAACAAGGTTCTCAGCGCAACCTCAGACACGGTCCAACCCCCATCAATCGACTCGGCGGCTCAGATTCCCGTCATTCAGAAGCCTGATATGTGCGAGGCCGTGTCGTTCTTTATAAGCACGGTGGCAAAGTCGCTGCAGTCAGTCTCCCAGAAGTGGTCCCTTTGGTATCTCAGACAGCAACCCGTCTACAAGTGGAAATTAGCTTTCAAGGAAAGTACCGTTGACGGGCTTATCGAAGGTACCCGTGCAAAGCTAGCAGGCCTCTCCGAGGACCAACTGATGGAGGTTGAAGAGACCTCTGCTGTGGTCACTGGTGTACGGCGTCAGCTCTTGGCCCAGATACGTCAGGGACAGCCCGTCAACGTCCCATTTCCGGCATTAGTTCAAGCTGAGATTCATGATGAGCTGTTCATGATTCTCGTTGCTGTAAGGACAGGGCTCAGTTTTCAAATCACCCAATTGTTAGGCAGATAGCTGATGCTTAGGAAATCACAGGGACACGAGACAAAGGCTGTGCTCCTCTCCTGGGCTGTAAAGTTTCTGATCGCCAATCCCGAGAAGCAGGAGAAGCTACGAAAGGCCCTTGTGGATGCTTTGCCTAAAAGCTCGAATGGGGAGCAGCCTTCGTCGAAAGCTATCATGAGCACGTCGATCCCGTATCTAGAAGCATACATGGAGGAATCCATGCGCGCGGCGAACACGTCTCCTCGTCTGGTTCGGAGAACTACCACTGATACTCAGGTACTCGGATACCCAATCCCAAAGGGCGTCACTGTACTTCTCAACCCTTATATCGGTACACAACCCCTCGATATCCCCGAGCATATGAGATCCGAGACTTCCCGAAGTTCCAAGGGTAACTTCGAATCATACTGGGATGTCAACGGCATGGATGAATTTCACCCAGAGCGGTGGCTTGTAGAAGACGGTTCCTTTAACCCTCGTGAATTTCCACGTCTGGGTTTCTCTGCTGGCCCGCGGATGTGCTATGGTATGTGGACTCTACTATCATCCTCACAGTTGAATTTTCGTTCGGAAGCTCCATAAGTAGGACAGGAACCTTGGCTGACACCGATGCGTGAATCTAGGCAGAAATCTCGCTTTGATGGAATTCCGCCTAAACCTCGTGCTCCTGGTCTTGAACTTCAAGTTCGAGCCTCTTCCGAAAGGCTTGGATAGCATGGAATCTCAACAGCGACTTTTCCGAATGCCACGGCAGTGCTACGTCAGGCTCAGCCCTCTTTGAACTCGGACTGGCTTTCTCAGGGGTAGCTCAATTTTGACACTCAAAGAGACAATCTCAATAGAACACCCACAAGCTCCTTCGTTGCTTTGGTGTTTCGCGGTGGATTTTTATGTTTGAGGTACCAAGCCAAATGTTAGATATACATGAAGTCAGACGCCGTTACATCGTGGCTACTACCAATGTGAAATGATTTCAAAGGCAGAAATAGCTACCAGCTCTTCATTTATCGTAATACAGGCGGTGCTTCCACTTGGGTAATAGTCTCTATAGTTACCCACACGAAAGCCTGCATTTGGATTCATGAATCTTGGTAGCAGTTTATTTTCAAGGTTGTATAACCATGTATTCTACCCGTGGACCGCGGCGAGCCCTTGGAGAGCACCACCCTACCCGTGGACTCACTTCACTTCATCACCAATTCATCAGTGTTGAAATACGATGATACTGAGGAAGCATATACGTCAAGACCGCTGAGGTGTCTAAGTCTGATCTCTCTCTCATTGAGGGAGACCCTATATAAATGAGAGAAATCTCTTAATGATCTAAACTCATGATGGAAGGATCTGCGCTGATAGACCCATGCCTGATATATCTGGTATAAACCGTCTATTCATGCATGGATCTCAACAATCAGATCCATCACTTTTACATCCCTCATGTCATCAATTCCTCCAGCGTTGACACTCACACAATGTATAGTGAAACTCCCGCTTCCGTCAAAAGCACAGGCAGTGATGCTAGCCAGGAAAATGCTTGGGAAGGTGAACCCGCTACGATCAGTCTTCACGACCTCGCGACCAAAATTCTGACTAACCTTGGAACTCAACCATCGGGCCCTCTGATAACCTGGAAGGGGTTTCCTGTTAAGTCCATTGCGACGACGACTCCAACATGTCAATTGCGGACAGAAAGGCCAAAATATATTTTCGATTCCGACGGGTTTGGGGCCTCAGTATTGACTATACGAAAAAGGCTGATCTTCCGAGCTTTTAATGAGCTATAGAACATGGGCTGGGCGATCAATCAAACCGATGAGGACTCATTCCAAGGTTCGTCACTGCTCCACACAGAACGACCGATCGAGAGAAAAGACGTAAAGCCATCAAGCATAGTAAATACGGCTGGCCTACGTTCGAAAGCATCCAAGGAGGCAACGATACGACTTTGCGAATGGAGCTCTCTACACGGATGGACGGTGCTCAATTCAAATTCCTGCCTGACATCAGCAGAATCACCCAATCCATTGATGATCGTCCGGAATCCGAAAGAACCGTCTCGACCATTGACCTGCCTAGCCGGAACTTGATGGAGACATGCATTTTTCATTCGTATTACATGTTCTGCTCTTCCAGGGATGAACCGGCGGAGGAAAGGTGTTAGCCACAGAAATCCATCAAGTTCTTCCCGTCAAGTGGGGATGAGCCAACCGGCGATCTTTTGTATTTTGTCGATGTTTGATCGATGGTCGAATCCCAGCTACACTGCCCTCGATCCGACAGCAGTCAATGATGTCTCGAAAATAAGTACCCTACAAAATGCGACTTTGTTGTGCCAGTCAGAATTGGTAAAAATATAAACTATGCTGAATATACTAGTAGTAACACATCCTGTACAGGTTCAAAGAATGAGGGAGCCTGCGACTTTCTCACTTCGCCGCCTTAACCTTGGGCAAAAGCATCTCTTTTTGGACGTCAAGGATCGACTTTCCTGAGTACTTGTCCCTAGTGACCGCGTGTCTTTCTCTCCTAGATGCCAATATCTCCTCTCGCCAAATCCACCCCAGTGCCACAGTTACCACAGGGCTTGCAAGTGCGCCAGAAAGAAAGCCTATTGTGAGTATTTTCGCCCAACTTTGTTTGGCCATTCCGGCGCTCTTGATGTCATGGATCAAGAGACCGACCCAGAAGAGACTCGCGAGGAGGGTCCCATGCCGGTTCAAGTCGGACAAATTTCCAACTGCGTCGGGCAAGAGAGCAGACGAAAAAGTGTCCAAGAGTGCGCTCCACCGCGTAGCTATGAAACTCGCTGCAGATACGCTACTGAGAACACATAAACACCATCGGATGTAAGGGAGATCCCGCAGCTGGTTACCCATCGTGTCCTCGTCCATGCTGACCTTGCTCATCCCAGTCTTGACTGTTATCCACTGCGTGATCGCAATCAAAGCCTGTGGCTGGAGCATCCAACGCCAGTGCCACAACGCCGTATCGACCTTTGTAATGTAGCCGCTCAGGGTGAGGAAGACCGGTGCACCCATGAAGAGCACTACTGAGGGCAATATCAACTTGGTGTAGGCCACATTGGTGAGTCTTCCATCAGTTGCCGCGAATCTCTCGATGCCCGAGAACAAAAAATGCAGGAAATAGTAACAAGGAGTAACAACCCCTGGTCCAAACCTAAGACCAAGGAGCCAGAAGATGGTTGGAAACTGGGCGAACGTCATCGCATTGGCACGACGGTTCGACTCAATGAGCCATATGGCATAGATGACACTCTCCTCAGCAAGAGGGCGTAGACTTTGAAGCACTTGCGCTCGTTCACCGAGCTCCGTGAGTTGACTTGGCTGCAGGAATCGGCGTATAGAACCATCCACACCGCCAATGGGCGTCATCGTCGCCACCCAAAAAGAGAGAACGAGCAATGGCAACGCAAGGGCCATACGTTTCAGCAATCGTTCGTGTTTGCCGACACCTTGGGTTGGGTTGAAGGGACAAGAGCCTTCGAAAGACTGGGCTGGTACTGGTAGATACTCAATGATCTCAGCGCCGATGAGCGTAGCGGTGACCAATTTCAGAAACGACTCGCTGGCATTTGGCACAACATAGTTCATGACAAAAGAGGCCATGCGACCATCCAGCGCCTGCAATCGGCAAACCATCGCCGCTTCTTTCACCGTCGCGTTCACTGGAGCCTGGCGCTTCTCCTGCCACTTGCGCAACGCTGACTCGATTTTCTGAGAGGTGATCGGCGCCTCATTATGGAGTCTTTGGAGTTGATTTGCCAGCGCAGCAGCAGACTCAATTGCATTGTTCCCAGCTTGGCCAGTATTAGGGGTCATCTTATGGGAGTTATCCCCAACAGTCGCTATACGTCCCCAGCTCCACATGTCAAACAGGGCCTCCTCCAATGGCACCAGCGTGTAGGTCACACGCTTTTCCCATATGTCTCCCAGGGTCACAGTCTCGGTGATAGGTCGCCAGGCATTTTTGTGCGCGAGCTTTTCCGCATCTGCTTGAGAGTATCGTGGGAAGTCTTCGGCATCTGTATAATAGACCTTGTCCAACTTCTCATGGTAAAACCAGAACACCCGTCCATGTTTTCCAGTGATCACGAGCATGGACCTGCCGTTGTCAAAAACGGTGTCGACTGTTCCCTCGATGAGGCTATCTACGGGGTCAGATATGCCGAAAAGACAGTTGAATTCAGCACTCATTACTGGAGAAAGAATTAATCGCAGTTCTTCAGCCGCAGCCTTGCGTACTTACTCGTCTGCTTCAGCGTTCGGAAGTGGTCTGGATCCTCCTCGCTGGCAAGGCGACACATCTCGCTCCGAGTCGATGCTTTGCTATTGACACCATCACAACCAACGACCACGTCCCCATGGTAGGAAGAACCGTCTTGACAATGCACAATGACGCCAGAATCCGTTTGGTCGATCCGCGACACGGTCTTGTTGGGCAGCATGTTGTCTTTCAATCCAATTGAGTCCATTAACGCCTTGAGAGCGCGTTGGCGGTCCAGAGAGCATGATCCATAGCCAAACCTAGAATTCATTTAATGAAATTGCTTCAAAACTAACTAGACATCTAATTATCACATACCTGGTTTTCAAGATCGGGAAAGTGAGCGCCGGTGGCATGACAAGTTTACCATCGCTGCGATGGACTTTGGACATTTTGCTTGGTGCTGTTTCATTCATGATCGCTTTGGCTGCTCCTAGCTGATCCAGGATACGCATTGCGGCGGCATTCAGTCCAATAGATGCTCCGACTTGGGGGTCAAATCGACCTCGGGCCTCTAGCAACACAAAATCAACATTTGCTTTTTCCAATGCACTTGCAAGCGTCAGGCCCACCAGGCCCCCGCCAACAATTATTACCCGCATTGATGTGGTGAGGTACGGGTTTGGCAATCTAAGAATTCAATCGGGGAGTAATGTACTCCGTAGTAGCCGCCGAATAAATGCGAGATCAGATGTGGTGGGTGGGGGCAATAAATTCAGAATATAGATAGGTACGAAGCTTCTTTGTCGCCATCAACGAGACTAGCTGTTACTTAACTTATTTACGCTGTTATCTACGTGTTAACGAACGCGTACAGGGTCTAGAGGCCGCGGCCTGAAAGGAAGAATCAGCCGTTGGGTGACTGCCCGATTCGGTAAGTTCGGAGACATCCTTGCAATACAACAGCCTTACACACGCTACTGTACATTCCCGCATCTTTTCCTTGTCGCTTCCACTCACCCCAAACAAATAAAAAAAAACAACGCGTCGACAGGGGCACTCAGAGGCACTCAGAATTGTAAACAAAAGGCAGTCGCACACTCCAACAATCCTTTCGCTTCATCCTCACTTCATTCCTGGCCAACTTGACCAACATAAGAAAAACTACAGCCACTGCCAGTGTCACTGCCCTCTTCGATGATTGCTGGACTGCTCCACCATGCCGAGCCGCGACCTTGGAGACCAGCAAGCGCCTGTCCAGGCAGGCCAAGACGCCACACCCGCCAGCCCTCCCGTGAACTCAGTCGGTTCAGCGCCGGCTGATGCAGACGAAAAGCCGGAAGATGATGATCCGTTCAAGCATCTACCAGAGCACGAGAGGCTGATCCTCAAGAGACAGTTGGATCTGCCCGCCACCAAGGTCAATTACATGAATTTGTATCGTTATGCGACACGGAATGACAAGATCGTCCTGGTCCTTGCCTCGACTGCCGCAATCATCGGTGGTGCACTTATGCCCATGATGGCTGTCCTGTTTGGAGGTCTTGCAGGCACCTTCCGCAGCTTCCTGTTGGGCGACATCTCGGACAACCAATTCACTAGCGAGCTTGCTAGATTCTCTTTGTACTTTCTCTACCTCGCTATTGGCGAGTTTGTCATGGTTTACATGGCCACGGTCGGTTTCGTGTACGCCGGTGAACATATCACAGCAAAGATCAGAGAGCGGTTCTTGGCCGCCATTCTGAGGCAGAATATTGCCTTCTTCGACGAGCTTGGCGCGGGTGAGATCACCACACGCATTACAGCAGACACCAATCTTGTCCAGGAAGGTATCTCAGAGAAAGTGGGATTGACCTTGACAGCCATCGCCACCTTTGTGGCCGCTTTCGTGATCGGTTTCGTCAGATACTGGAAGCTGACGCTGATTCTGTGTTCCACTGTAGTCGCTATCGTTGTCACATTGGGCTTCGTGGGCACGTTCGTCGCTAAGCTCAGCAAGAAATACCTCGGTCATTTTGCTGAAGGCGGAACTGTTGCGGAAGAGGTCATCAGCTCGATCCGAAACGCGGCTGCGTTCAATACTCAAGAGAAGCTGGCTCGACGATACGATGGGTATCTCGTTGAAGCAGAGAAGTCCGGATTCAAGCTCAAGTCCACCACCAGCTCAATGATTGGCTTTCTCTTTCTGTAAGTACAGCGAGTGGCACAACGTCTCACCTTCCAAATGGCGGTCTCTTGAATTACCTCAAACAGCCCAGTGTTCTGACATTGTCTCTTTTTAGGTACATCTACCTCAATTATGGACTGTCTTTCTGGATGGGCTCCCGCTTCCTGGTGGATGGGTCCGTTGGGCTAGCGCAGATCCTCACCATTCAAATGGCCATCATGATGGGTGCCTTTGCCCTCGGGAATATTACACCGAATGTCCAAGCCATCACCACAGCGGTCGCCGCAGCCAACAAGATCTACGCAACCATTGATCGAGTCTCTCCTCTCGACCCTATATCGACCGAGGGGCAGAAGCTGGAGAAACTTCAGGGAGATGTGGAACTCAAGAACATCAGACATATATACCCTTCCCGCCCCGAAGTTGTTGTGATGGACGACGTGAGCTTGCTGATCCCGGCGGGCAAGTCTACTGCGCTTGTTGGGGCTTCAGGCTCTGGGAAAAGCACTATCATCGGGCTGGTTGAGCGTTTCTACGATCCTGTCGGTGGATCCGTACACATCGACGGCCATGATACCAAAGACCTGAATCTACGCTGGTTGCGACAACAAATTTCATTGGTTAGCCAAGAGCCTACCTTATTCGCTACTACGATATTTGGCAATATTAAGCACGGATTGATCGGAACACCGCACGAGCATGAGTCCGAAAAAGCAATTACTGAGCTGGTCGAACGCGCTGCTCGAATGGCAAACGTGAGTAGACCAGATGCTATGATACCCTACCTTAAACACACCCTCTTTACCCGTACCATATCCAATCCGAAGTTCTAACTTTGTTGCTTTTCAGGCCCACGACTTCATCACCTCCCTTCCCGAAGGCTACGAAACCGACATTGGCGAACGAGGGTTCCTTCTCTCAGGAGGTCAGAAACAACGCATTGCCATTGCCAGAGCCATGGTTAGCGATCCTAAGATCCTGCTACTTGACGAAGCAACATCCGCACTCGACACAAAGAGCGAGGGAGTTGTTCAAGCCGCACTCGACAAAGCTGCCCAGGGACGAACCACCGTGATCATTGCTCACCGACTGTCCACTATCAAGAATGCGGACAACATTGTGGTTATGTCCCACGGACGTATTGTCGAACAGGGTACCCACGATGAACTCCTCCAGAAGAAAGCGGCTTACTACAACTTGGCCGAGGCTCAGCGAATCGCGACGAAGCAAGAGTCTAGAAACCAAGATGATGATCACATTCTGCCCGAAACCGATTATGATTTACCGCGAGCCGAATTCCATGAGAAGCGCCACAGCTCAGGGAAATTGGATCAAAGGGAAGAACCTGAGGACCCTGAGGCGGACAAGGCACGATCAGTCAAATCGCGAACGGCACTTGCGAAAAAGGGACAAGAGGGCATTGCCGACAACTATACCTTGTTCCAGCTGATACATTTTGTCGCTGGTTTGAACAAACAGGAATGGAAATATATGATCTTTGGAGTTTTCCTCGCCATCATTTGCGGTGGAGGTAATCCAACACAAGCTGTCTTCTTCTCCAAGTGCATCACAGCCCTTTCGCTCCCTCTTTCAGAGAGCTCTGAAATACGGCGACAAGCCAACTTCTGGTCGCTGATGTATTTGATGCTCGCCTTTGTGCAACTGCTCGCTCTCATCTCTCAGGGTATTGCGTTCTCTTACTGCGCAGAGCGACTTACCCATCGAGTTCGCGACCGAGCATTCCGATATATCCTCCGACAAGACATTGCTTACTTCGACAAACGTTCCGCGGGTGCTCTCACTTCCTTCCTGTCCACTGAGACCTCTCAACTGGCTGGGCTGTCTGGCATTACTCTGATGACCATTCTTTTGCTGGTCACTACCTTGGTTGCCTCTTGCGCCATTGGTCTGGCCGTAGGGTGGAAGCTTAGTCTGGTTTGCATGTCCACCATCCCCCTTCTTCTCGCTTGTGGGTACTTCCGTTTGGCTATGCTGGTCCGACTCGAGAGGGAGAAAAAGAAAGCCTACGAAGATTCTGCAAGCTATGCCTGCGAGGCCACATCAGCCATCCGAACCGTGGCTTCCTTGACCCGCGAGGGTGACATTTGCAGTCACTATCACGAACAGCTTCTGTCGCAAGGCCGCAGCCTAGTGTGGTCGGTCCTTAAGTCGTCCATCCTCTACGCGGCATCTCAATCACTTCAATTCCTCTGCATGGCTCTCGGCTTTTGGTATGGAGGTACCTTGTTCGGTAGACACGAATATACCATGTGAGTAGACGACAATCCCACGAACAGAGGTCATATTAGTTCTAACCCTTCAATTCAGGTTCCAATTCTTCCTGTGTTTCAGCACCGTCATTTTCGGGGCGCAGTCTGCAGGGACTATCTTCAGCTTCGCACCGGATATTGCCAAAGCTAGTCACGCTGCTACTAGTGTCAAGGCTCTCTTCGACCGGACGCCGGAAATTGATAGCTGGAGCCATGACGGCGATAAGGTCCAGAGTATAGAAGGCCATGTCGAGTTCAGGGACGTACACTTCAGGTACCCGACGCGACCAAACCAGCCTGTTCTGCGAGGTCTCAATCTCCAGGTCAAGCCCGGGCAGTACGTTGCGTTCGTTGGAGCTAGTGGGTGTGGCAAGTCCACTGCAATTGCGCTCTTGGAGAGATTCTACGATCCAGCCCTCGGCGGTGTCTACGTCGACGGCAAGGAAATCTCGTCATTCAACATCAACAATTACCGCTCCCATCTCGCACTTGTCAGCCAAGAGCCAACGCTGTACCAAGGTACCATCCGCGAGAATATCATGCTGGGTACGGACCAAGATGACGTTTCGGAAGACGAAATGGTGGTATGCTGCAAGAACGCAAACATCTACGATTTCATCATCAGTCTGCCAAGCGGTTTCGATACTCTCGTTGGTAGTAAGGGCAGTATGCTTTCAGGTGGCCAGAAGCAACGTCTTGCAATTGCTAGAGCCTTACTCCGCAAGCCCAGAATTCTTTTGCTGGATGAGGCCACTTCTGCTCTCGATTCCGAGTCTGAAAAGCTCGTGCAAGCTGCTCTGGATACTGCAGCTAAAGGCCGCACGACGATCGCCGTGGCGCATCGTCTCAGTACGGTGCAAAAGGCAGACATGATTTATGTCTTCAATCAAGGTCGCATCATCGAGGGTGGAACTCATTCTGAGCTGATGCAGAAGCGGTCGGCATATTTTGAGCTTGTCGGCTTGCAGAATTTGGGCGAAATGTAAATCTTCCACTTTGGGAACCCCGAATCTTTGACGGTTCTAAGAAAATGTCCTGTCGGATAGTGACTATCTTCTTGAAGTTTTTTTCTTCTTCTTCTTCTTCTTCTTCTTCTTCTGCTTCTTCTTCTTCTTCTTCTTTCTTCTCTTTTTCTTTTCTTCTTCTTCTTTCTCTTTCTTTTTTCTTCTTCTTTCTCTTCTTTTTTCGGTGCCTGATGACCATGGACTATGGTCATCCTGTGAATTTACATTCTTTGATCATTTCTCTTCTCTATCCCTAGATAGTAATACATCTATTATCCTTTGTCTGTTATTAGTCCATACAGTCATATTCGAAATTAGTTTTAACTCCACACTCTCGCGACTTCATTGCCGAACCCTAGCTCGAGACACGCTACGCTGTATTCAGTATAGCCGTCGATCCCCTATTTCCAACGGGATATTATAGAGCATGTCGTGCGACTAAAGGGCTCAAGATGCAGTACGAGTCAAGACTTACCAGCTTTGCTATGCCGCTAAGCCATAGCGATGACCCGACTACATCAGCCAGTGATAGTCAGACCCAATCGGCACTTAATAATTCTGTTCTAGTCTGCCTTAGTTGCGGACCGGTTGGAATTTGTGCTATTGCGACTGCCCTCTCAAAGGGAATCAAGACCGTATTTGCGGTCGATAGCGTTGAAGGCCGTCTAGAAGAAGCCGAGCATTTAGGTGCTCTTCCACTTATGCTAAGCAGAGATAAAGTGCAAGCCCGAATTATAGCCACTACGCAGGGCCGAGGCGCAGATGCCGTGATTAAAGTTACTAGAAACCAAGCTACTATAAAGTCTGCATTTAACCTACTACGCCCTTATGGAGTGCTATCTTTAGTAGGATTCTACCAGGATGAACTTCCTTTCACTAGGCTGGATTGTTACCAAAAGAACATTACGTGGGTATAAAGCCGCTTTCTACTTTGATATTACTAATTGGAACTTCTAGTATGAGCTTCGGACGGGTTCCTATTCGAACTGTTTTTGGAGGTACCTTAGAATGCCTAAAGAATAACCAGAACAAGCTTCATAAGTATGTCACCCATGAGTTTGACTTAGCAAATGCTACAGAGGGCTAGGAATCTTTGAGCAGCATAAGGCGCGAAAGGTTGTTCTTAAGGTCTCTAAATAGACCTATAAACCCATCAGAAATGCATATATTGTCGCTCGGAAAGTATACGTGCGACGATTGATTAGATAGAAGCTAAAGCAACACAAATAAATATTTTTCACATAGTGCGGCACTTATTCATTCTTTATGCCGACTACCAAGATAGATAAGAGTCGGGGGTCTTAGTATGTTATATGCAAAGAGGGTTGGGATTATTATATAAGTCTCAAGCGACCAAAAAGGGAGTGCGACTACTCGTTACCAGTATTAAACCTCTTAGACTGCGTTAACACAAATCCTCGCTACTGGAATCCCCGCTGAGACCATCGTCGACGTCCTCATCCTCCAAGAGCTTTTGCATTCCCGAATTGTTTGCGATTCCATCGCCCCCTAGAAGCATCGTCAATCCCACCCAGTTTCCGGCCTTATCCGCAGCTTATAGAGCTATGCCAAATTCACCACATTCGGCATCGACATTGGCGCCCCAATTTAACAGCACTCTCGCACGGCACTAATGGCAATTGCTCGAGCAAGATGCCTTGTATTCGGCCATGACGCGGCCATTAGCGGCGTGACAAAACGTTCACTATAGGCATTAACATCTGAGCGTTTTGAAGAGAATCGGGGCGGATTTCTAGGGTGAAACGGCCGGCTTTACCGTCTAAAAGTTGTTTAACAATCTTGATATTTCCTCTGAAGCTAGCAGTCTCTAGCGCGTTAGAGAACTGCTTTTGTGTGGCAAGTTGAATTCCACCGTCAATCAAAGCCTTAGCGACATGATCGTGGCTATTTGCTAGAGCTGCATGGAGCGGACTAGAATATTCACCCTTCACTAGAGAGTAAGAGGCACCGTGATTAAGCAAAATTTGCACGATTTCTTTATGGCCACCAAACGATACTGCTTCGAGTGCACCTCCGTACTGATACCTAGATGCATCTACAGCAGCTCCTAGATGTAGTAGTTTCCGAACTACTTCAATATAGCCCTAGCGAGCAGCTAAGTAGAGGCCTAAAGTGTTATATCTGTTTTTTTGATTCACATCAAGTGCTTCAATGACATCCGGAGATTCAAGTGCCTCGATCAGGCCGAAACAACAGATGACAAACAAAGCTGACGGTGGCGAGGCGAAGCAAGTTTCGAGCTTTCTCTCGAGTGAATTACTCTAACTATGTCTCTCCTCAATTGACCGTGCCTCGAGACTTGCCAACCAATCTTCAAAATGTTCCTCTTCAATGAGCAATTTGATGATTGATATCTTCAGCGTGGATCTATAAGATGAACCGCTGAGCCTCTCCACGTGAGCAGGCCAGTGGCGAGTAGCATAATTCAAAAGGCTAGCCCCGTTGTAGTCACCGCATAGATACGTGCCTAAGCATCTTTATGCAATAGTCTAACTAGACTCGTAAATAGAATAGCCACTAGAAGTCTCAAGGAATCTGTGATAATCTGTTAGGTTTGCACCTACACCTATTCAGCTTAGTAAGTTGTAAACTCTTACTCTCGGAGCGATAAGTGAGCTAAACGAAACGTGTTAGTAACGTTGTCTATTACAATTAGATTGCAGCAGTAGTCGACGATTGACTTTAGTAAGATGTCGGACGATGATCTTAAGGGTCTATTAACGGCAGCTAGGAACTCTAAAACTGAGAGATTTCTTTCCGCGTATAGTAGCCATTAAAGACTTTCCATCGCGACCCTTCTGGGAGTTTCACCTATAGAATGAATTCGCTTGTAGATAACCTCATACGATTTGCTAAGCATTGGAGGAAGAGAGGCCAAGACTTCGTGAATACTGTCAATATCCTTGATACGTTCGGTATCTCCGATAATTTCGAGTTGGAGAGTAACCCAGAGGAACCTATGTTTGTTAGTAGCTGAATTCTTTTCAACGCAGCCATGCGTTCAGCTCTACTCACATTCCTTGTGCTTCGGTCACGAGTGCCTCTTCTATCTCCTTCTCAAGCCGCCGCAGCGTCTCTATCGACTCATTGTGCATAGTGGACCATTTTCTCACGAAGTGTTTAAGCTGAAACTTAACAAATTGCTTGATATCCTTATCATTCGCTTGAGGGGTTATCTGTAAGCCTTCTCCAGTCCTAAAGTAAACCGCAATGTCTTCTTCATAACGGCTTGACACGAAAGTCTTAACAATATCTCGACACCGCTGTCGAATTTCCCCAAGAGCTCCCAGAAGTATTTCTCGCTGCTGGGCGCTACACTTATCTAAACCATCGATTATAATTGTGAACGGAGTCGTTCGACCAATCTCACAGATGAGTTCAACGCAATCTTTCGCCGTTAGCGATTCTGGTCTTTCTCCGGCGTGGGTCGCTTCTTCTCGTCGTGTTTGATAGGCCTTAACTGCTGGACGTCTTATAAGAGTATCCCCTTTTATAAGAGAAAGTTGCTTGGCTAGTGATCGGAGTATATCACGAGGGTCGCTGCGTTCAGGTTCTGCGGGGTTTCGCGAGCAGAAGAAATGGGTGATTGGCCCTGGTTTAGATGCACCGCTACTATGCCAATATAGATATTGAATCATAGTCGCACTTGCTCTATTAGTGACACTAGAAGGCATATCTGAATTTCTTTCGCGCAGCAAAATTACGCAAGTTTGGTCTTTCCACAACCCGCTGCGTATTCTATTAGCTCAAAACCCGTGATCTTTTACTTCGAAGTGAAACTAACGTATCCCGTATAGCCAAAAGGTCTCGGAGCTACTCGAGTCCCTCTAGCTCCTAAAGCGTGGATCCCTTAGTAGCCACTCGCCCGAACTAGGCAGGATCGAGGTTAGTGTCGCTTTGTAGTATTGCTGTACAGAGACAGTAGAAAGCCATCGCAAGAGCTCGCCTCTCTCGTTTTCTGACCATAATCAGTCCAATTAACTCATTTCGTGTGCTAGCATTATTACCTTTTAGCGCGCCATGAAGGTCTGATACTTCATCTGCGATTCTAACCAGAGGCTTCCCAAGATCTAGAAATGCTTCATCCAGTCTCTTTTGCAAGACTCCAATATCATTGGCAGTAGATGTTATTATAACGAGTATAGTCGAAGCGTCGCCAAGTACTCTCTCCGCCCCTAGCAGAAATTCAGCAAAGTAAGAAACAGTGGGCCCTGATTAACTTACTCTCGCTATCGACGAGCCCTTTCAGAACAAACACCCTCTATTCCGCAGCCTCCATCTCTTTTACTGATTCTTGTAGAGACTGCCGGGAGATCAAGTCCAAGAAACGCTCTAAATTACCACCATCAACACACGAACCCGTTGGTCGTCCCCGTTCCAAATCAACTTACTCATGCGTGAGCCATCATAATGCTTCTAAGCCTTACAAAGAAATTGCAGCACGACAGAATAGAGCTTTACCATCTCCTCTTCTAAGCTCATCTTCGCATCCGTTGTAGCCCTCCCATGTCGGAGGAGTAGGGCCTCAAGAATCCCACATCGGGCAATCAATCGCGTCGCCTTTTCCAGCCCCTCGACAATGGCGCTAAAAACTTCAAACCCATTAAAGCTCAACTACAGCAAGAATTGCACGCCCGCCTATGGCAATGCCGTATAAATAGGATCAAATTGGACCGCGACATCAACCATTTCTATGAATTTTCTCACGCACGCCGCAATCTTGGCACATACATCGCGGATGACAAGTTCCTTTCCACCGATGCTGATTGTCGTCCATCTATCACGTTTGCATCGATCGCGCTGCTTTTCGAGCGCTAGGCGGATTTCGTTTAGGATTGCTATTGCGTCTAGCGGTGGGCTGTCTGTGACCTTGAAGATTTGCCGGTCCTTTTCTAGGAGTGACAATAAGGCGAGCTACTAAAGTGAGGGGCTAGGACCTTATAGAGGGCTTTTGGCTATATCTGGTAAAGGGCTTCTTTTCCATTTTCTATCTCGGATTGCCATTTAATGATCACTAAGAGCTTGATTCATTTTATTGATCTAAGTTGATATGATTGATATAATTGTCAATCATAGTCTCCCGTTAGTGGAAACAGAATCGCTCTAAATATCGTCGATTCGTAGTGCAGCTCAAAGTCATGCTAACAGCCCCCGCTAAATGGGGGTCAAGTTAGGCTACTGAAAATGAGGCTGAGTTAGATGAGCCACTATGCATGATTCGTCATATGAGATAGGCAATCGGGGGCGATTAGGCAGAAGGTGCTAAGATGGCCGATGGATCTGCAGCGATCAGGGGCTTTCAATCAGCTAAACAGTTGTTTTGATTTAAGAGCATCCCGGGCATATTATGTTGAGATTAGACTTCCGCAAAGCCCAACCCAACCCCCAAGCCCATGGGGGTTGGGCTTTGGGCCCCCCCAAAACCCAATTTCAGGCATAACCACAGTCTTGGCTTTCATAAACCTGATGATTAATGCCTGTTTTTTACGCATGTTCCAGTCTGTAAGCCCATACCTCGGGCCGACGATTTACCATGCCTAATCTGGGGGTTCAACTCCCCCAAGAATCAAGATATCAAGATTCAACGGCGGCGACCTGATAATCAAGGTCATGGATAAAAGCAGCTACACTAGGCACTACAGTTTACTAAGATTACCCAAAAAAAACTCCAATTTCACCAAGTTTTCGTAGTATTCAGGCACTTAGAGGATTACCAAGTGTCAATATGCAGGTATATATATCTCATCTAAACAGTAGTAGGTACAAGTTTCTGTTGAACTATCATCTTAAGGGTTAAATCTATCAGCATTGAATCTTATACCAAAAGATAGCCGATCTCTTACTCTCGACGTCTGTTTCACAGAACCGTGGTATTCTAGCTATTCCGGAGGTGAGGAGGTTTGAGGATATCTCATGAGCCATAGGGTGAAATGTTTTAGGCGAACAAATTGTAAAATGGGCGGGGCGATGGGTTATCTATGGGCTTCCTTGGGCTTTGGATGGGCCGAATCCGCTGAATATGCATTATCTAGCCAATGAGATGCTAGTATTACGGCCTTTCGTTTCAATATCGACTGGCACTATGGAGTATGATCCTCTGTTTACATCTTCTGTTTGCCTGCCGCGTCGACAGTTCTCTCACCAAGAAGATAGGTCAGTTCTTCCTCGCTGACCCTGATTCCCCTAAAGCTATTACCCTAAAGCTATTCATTCAACTCTGAATCTATTGACCGTTACTGATCATGTCGCAAAGCCAGGAGTTTGGATCCTCTCAGTTAAATCTATTCGACTCTGAGCCAGACGACTTGTCTTTTACTACGTCTTCCATTTGCCCAGCTACCCCGTCTACCTCTCGGCAGGTTGACAGCGTCTTGTCTCGGCAGGTTGACAACTTTCCGTTAGTTCAGCCGCCGTCTGTTCCTTCGTCTGTCGCCCCCAGATCCTCTTGAACGCTTCCAACGTGTCGGTCCTGGCAGAGGCCAGTATTTCCTTTACGACACGATGCTCCACAACGATTGGGTCGACTGGTGGCTGCAGACTGACTAAGGATCTCAGAGCAAGATCAACTGGGACTCGCAGCATAGCCGGGCGAAGATCTGGAAGGAATTTGACCAAGTCGCGCACTCTGTTCATGGTACCGCAAAGGTCATGTGTAAGAACTGCTCTACAATTCTTGAGCACCCTTACGCTACTAGGAAGGAGAGGGCCGGACAAGGTGAGAGCTCGAGGAAGGATAGTCGTCATGGTACGACAACGATGATTCGCCATGTCAATACTTCTTCCTGTCAAAGGGCTGCAAGTGGACGCCGGCAAAGAGATAGAATGATGAGGTTTCTTCAAACGGTATGTAAAGACATATCATCCTTTAAGAATCAACACTACTAACTAGTATTTGAACTAGGGCGATACGACCAAAGCACCTTTCTCGCAAGAGGCATGGGATAATGAAATCCTACGATTCATCACAATCAACCGGCTTCCGTTTAATCTCGTCGAGAATCCAACCTTCCGTCGCCTTATTTCGAGAGCCCAATCCGCCCCAAGCCCTTCGAACATTCCTTCCGCTGATACAGTTCGACGTCGGCTATCTGCTCGTGTCAAAGATCGACAACAAGATACACTCAGGATGCTTCCAGAGCATGCGAAGATGTCGGTTGCATTAGACTGTTGGACATCTCCATTTGGACACGCATTTATGGCTATCACTGGCCATTTCATCGACGCCGACTGGGTCTACCGCGAGGTGCTGCTCGGCTTCAAACCCCTTCATGGGACGCATTCGGGTACAAACCTAAGTTCTGTGCTTATGAAGACGCTCACTGAGTACGGTATTAAGCACCGAGTCTTTGGATTGACCACTGATAACGCATCAAATAACAAGACTCTGATTGATACTCTTCAACAGTCTTTGCCTAATGATATCAATATTATCCGAATCCCCTGTCTTGCCCATGTGATTCAATTGAGTTTGAACCAACTGCTTGATCGTTTAAAAGCAGTCCCACTGAATGATGCCACTGAGATATGGACAGACAGTCAATTCACCCTTGTAAAGGTAAACGCAACATCTAAGAAGCAAGATATCTCACATACCTTGAAAAAGGTACGGTATCTTGCTCTTTATATCCGCGGGAGCTCTCAGCGTCGGGACTCCTTCATTGCTATCCAACCCCCAGGGCAAGGGCTTATGCCGATCCAGGATGTCAGAACTCGATGGAATTCAACGTTTCTGATGCTACGCCGGGCAAAGAGACTCCGCGTCTTCATCATGAAGTACTGTGATCAGTTTAATTGCAAAGACTTCGCACTTGATGATGATCAATGGCGCCAAATTGACTACCTTCTATATCTCACTAAGCCGTTCTTTGATTTTACCCTTGCCCTTTCAAAGAGCCGAGAGGTGACATCGCATCTTGTCTTTCTGATCTACAATCGGCTATTTGAGCATCTTGAGAAATCAATAACACAGCTACGGCGAAAGAGGGTCCTTTGGAAACAGCAGATGCTCAGCTCTCTCGAAGCTAGCCATGCTAAATTACGTGACTACTACAAAGAGACTGATAAAATGCGCGGGCATATCTATGCGGTTTGTACGATGCTATCGCCAGATAGTAGATTCCAGTTCTTTCTTTCTGATGACTGGGCGGATGCTAAAGAACTCCGTGATCAGTATCGAGTGGCCTTCCGAGATGCCCTCACTCCAATCCAGGAACGTCTTACTAGAGCCCAAGGCCCACAAGGGCCTTCCTCTGGATCGGCACCAAGATCACTGCTTCGTAAGCTGGCTCGAAATGTAATTGAAAGGAGACAAAAAATTGAAATTTCAAGATTTCGTAATGAGTTGGCCAGTTTGGTTATTACACCATCACTAATTCCATCGGTTTCTATGAAGGATGACGGTACCATAACAATGACTCATTTTCTGTTACCAGTGAATACGATATAGCCCTGCAGGGATTATGAGGGGAAGATCTAAAATTCGATCGGCGTGTTTCGAATTAGGGTTCGGGAGTGAAGTCGCAAGAGTGTGGAGTTAAAACTGATTTCGAATTTGACTGTATCATGATTCTAAGACGTCTTGTAGTCTAGTTCCTGCAGCCTTTCCCCTTGCGCTCTCACGATGGCTGTCGGGACTTTCCATTCTGGGTTATATCCGGCGTATACCGCCCTTGCGTTGTGAAATGGAACAACAGCAACCCCGTGAATGATCTATTACGGAGAACGAAGAACAATTAACCTGTCATAATTGTCACGATGCCTGGAAATTGGGAAAGGGAAGTGGTGCCCCACTATAAGTGTTTCCCTCGACATTTACTTCCTTCTCTTCTCTTTCCTTCCTATCTTTAGAATTTCAGACTGAATGCACTCTTTTCATCAAAGAATTGGCTCGTGTCACAATAATGATATCCTCAAATGACCTCTCTGGCTTTCTAATCCTCCACTGCACATTCAAAAATGTCCTGCTCGGTGGAATATTTTTATACCTCGTCTACGGAATCCTTCTCGGTATTTATCGCGTAACACTTCACCCGCTGGCCCAGTTCCCAGGCCCCAAGCTTGCAGCAGCGACATTTTGGTATGAGTTCTATTATGATCTTTTCCCACACAAATTGCGCTACCTGTGGAAGGTGGAGGAAATGCACAAGAAATATGGGCCAATCGTTCGCATCAACCCAATTCACTTACATATCAACGACCCCAACTACTTCGATGAAATCTATGCCGGGGGCAAGCGTAAGCGCAATCGAGATCCCTGGTACTACAGCTCTGAGTCAGATGGCCCTCTGGGATGGTCCGTTTTTCAGACTGTCGATCACGATGTCCACCGGATGCGAAGGTCCGCGCTCAATCGTTTCTTCAGCAAACGCTGTGTCCAAGAGCACCAGCAGATGATAATCGACAAGATTGAAATTCTGTGTGATCGCTTTGCAGAGGCTTGCCGCACAGGTGATGTTGTTTCTCTAACCTTCGCTTGCGGTGCGCTGACAATGGACGTTATCTCGGCCTACGCTTTTGGAGCGAAGACGGACAACTTGAAGCGCAAGGACTTTGGAGCGGAGTATCTCGTGGCATACAGCAAACTGAGTCAATTTGGCCCTGTCGGTCGACAGTTTCCTTGGCTTGCTAAGGCATGTCTTACGCTGATTCCGTCAAGCATCATGCATCGAATCAGCCCTTCCGCTGCCCTCATTCCAAGGAATCGACTTGTCTTCCGCGGTATGATTGAGGAATCTGTCCGTCAACAGGAAGAAGAGGAGAGAAGTAAACCTGAAGTTCTATTTGAAGCGGAGGAGTCTCAAAAGAATAAATCCATCTTCGAGGATATTCTACGGAGCAACCTTCCGCCCAGCGAGAAAGCACCCGCACGCTTAGCGGCAGAGGCCAATCTCTTGGTCATTGCAGGTACTGAGACTACTGCCAGGGCTCTTTCGGTTGTCCTCTTTCATATCTTGGACAATCCTCAGATCTTATTGCAGCTTAGGGAAGAACTGGCACCCCTCATACCCCATCCTGATTCACGGATGTCCATGGCTGCTCTCGAAGCCTTGAGATTTTTTGTGAGTCATTGAGAACAAATCAACATTTATCTACGTAAGATCAAAGCTAATCAAGTTGGCTCAAACAGCCGGCAGTAATCACGGAGGGAATCAGACTCTCTCATGTGGTTTCAAGCCGAATGCCTCGATATGCACCGGAGGAGACACTACGGTACGGCAAGTGGATTATACCCACGGGAGTAAGTGCACGTGCAAGGCTGGATCGACTTCTCATTGATTAACTCATGGGTATAGGCCCGTGTGATGCAATCTCATTATCTGCATCATATGAATCCCGACATCTTCCCGCATCCTTACACGTTCAACCCGGAACGCTGGCTTGACAATCCTGAGTTGAAACAAAATTATTTCATGGGCTTTGGCAGAGGATCTCGGATTTGCCTTGGTATCAAGTGAGGGTTCATCAGCTATCTCTTTTTTCCTCCGCCGTCTGACCATCTAGCAGCCTTGTATATACCGAACTTTATCTAACTATAGCCCGTCTCGTTACTCGGTTTGACATGAGTTTGCATGACACAATGAGGGAGCGAGACGTCGATGTAAAGCGTGATTGTATAATTGGGCTGCCGAGCCCTGAAGGGCAGGGAATCCGCGTGAGGATTACAAAAGATAAAGCAGCGAAAAGTTGAGCTCGGGTTATCTAGCAGATGTCCAATTTACCAGCAGTCCCGGCAGATTCTACTTGCACAAGAAGGTCTGGCTGAGATGTTCAGGCGTATACCTAGGTATTAATATTTGCTTAGCTCCTCTCCCCCTAAGCCACTAGTGACAATGCCTATGCATTTACTTAGAATCTGGAATGTCCGAATGTAGTAACATCCGACCTTCACTGACTTGAGCATTGCTTACCAACATGATTCTCAGCCACTGACTGTGCTTCGGATTTAAGCTTACCGATTTGAGACGTAAGAAAAAGAATCATGAACAAGGTATTTCAACTACCCTCAGAATTGTGTTGTGATCGCCATGGCTCCGACTCCAAAGATTACGCTTGACCCCCTCGACCACATAGCTGCTTGGAATATTCCACAGAGCGTGATCTACCTGAGTTTGAAGCAGGGTGTCACGGTACAGGATGCCTTTGGACGTCTACAAGAAGGTCTGCGTCGAACCTTCGCTGAAATACCTTGGCTGAATGGTCGCGTACACTGGCAGAGCGAGGATACCAGTGGGTGGCGTCCCGGCCAGTTGGAGATCCGTTTCGGGCCCCCTTCTTCCAAAGAACCACCACACCAACTGCATTTCAATGAGCTAGAAACTGATCTGGAACTCTCTGATCTCAGAGATCTGGGTTTTCCGTTGGACACATTCGAAGAGAAGGACTTGTTATGGACGACGCCATTCCAGCCCGATTTCGAGAAAGGGGCTGATGTCTTGACGGCCCAGGCCAACTTCTTGCCTGGGGGCTGTGCTCTGGCTCTCTCTGTCGCGAGCCCGGCCTCGGACGGCACCGCTATGCTCTCTGTGACAAAAGTTTGGGCTCACCATTGCAACGCTTTGATGGCAAAGCCAGGGACGGATAACAGTGTTCAACCCCACGGCGGCTCGGGCTCGGGGTTCGAACGGACAGCATTGAGAAATGCATGCAAAGAGGACAAGCGAGACACGGTTTCAAGTCATTTGGCAGCAGATATTTGTCGTCTCGTGGGCCTCGACTCCGAACACGCGTTTCTCGATATGACTTCCACCGCTCCCGACGCCTTTCCTGGTGTACCCAAAGCGATGAAGCCCAGGTTATTCTATATGCCGCAAGGAGCTTATACGGCCCTGCGCAAAGACTGCGTTGCTGAACTTGGTCCTACAGATGTTTCTGGAAACGACTTCATCTGTGCATTGATCTGGAGAAGTGTTGTCAGAGCTTGGATGGCAACTCAGGACGCGCAGCACAATACCGACGAGCTTCACGCAGCAATGTCAGAGGTCAGCATCCCCTTCGATGCGCGGCCGCAGCTCCATGATCTACTGCCAACCAGTTATTTTGGCAATGTCAACTTTGAAAACAGACTTGCACTTTCCCCCAGCCATATTGTGGCCAAGGATACGAGCATCCCTGAGCTCGCGAAAACAATACGGACACATGCGGCGGATTTTACAGATCACGACAGCCTGCTGGATGCGTACAGACTACTCGATTTGGTCTCAGACTATACAAGACTACCGCAACTGCGAGCAGCTCGCATGAAATCGCCTTCAGTGGGCATCCTGGCTCCAACAACGCTTCCATTCAATGAGACCTGCTTTGGAGCCCAGACATTTGGTGCTGGTGGTCGACCGGAAGCTTTTCGGCCGCTCATGGGAGATTGCAACAGTGGTTTCCGTACCTGTTTCGTCATACCTCGAAAGTCTTATGGCGGAATCGAGTTCGTCATGACTTTATCTGACAAAGAAGTGAATTTCCTCGACAAGGACGCGGAGTTTACGAAGTATAGTTTACGCATGGCTTGAAATTAGGTAACAGCAACTGAGGGAGAGAAATTGCAGTATATATCATAATTCACTGTTGAGCTTGCGAGCTTGAAAACATTTTTCAGACGATGGAAGTTCCCCAAGGGCATCGTCTGACTTGAAGATTGCCATTTCCATGACATAAAATTTCCGCCCTGTCTCCGTTCCCGAACACGAGATCAATCATCATACAAATCCGGTATCTGAATGCCTTCCTCGGCCATCGCCTTGATCGAAGGAACAATGGCATTCACGTCGGATATCTTAGAAGGTACGTCATGGCCACCATCGTGACTATGTACCCGCCGAATCGAAGCTGTGCACAGATCTCGTGCAACTGCCGACTGCTTTCCAATATAGGGTGAGTCGTTCTGCCCGGTCACATGGACTGTTGGTATTTTGATCCGGGCGTTCAACAAATCCGGATGTATCAAGCGCGGTACTTCCTCCGTCTTTTTGGTACCTAGGAAATCGACATTCGTGTTCGGCAAAATTAGTCCAACGCCCATTGACTGCATGGATAAGATCTGCTGCAGATACTGGGCAAGCGTTTGCTCAGACGGATCTTCCAGCTCTGTCATAAAGTCGTCATCGGGGAACTTGGACCGAAACACTGCATGATCGTCTGCTAGCCATCGACGCAGAAGCTGCTCGCAAAAGCTATCATCAGGCGAAACAACAAATATGGGCGAGAACATGACAGCAAAGCAGAATGGCGAAGAAGCCTGCTTTTTTTGCTGATCCAGCATATACGTTATCGCAAGGGCGGCACCCAGACTGAATCCAAACACGCCGTCGAAAGGACCGTGCTCTTTGATAAAATTATCCAAGTGGCTGAGAGCTTGACGCATCTCAACTGGAGTGAAGCCCGTTGCGTATGAATAGAAGGGTCTGGGGGCCCAAGCTGGGACACCTTTGATGTTTCAGCACTGGTTGGAGATGGAATGATAGATACTCGTACCTGGGCCTCTCCCGCAAGGTATTTCTCCATCTAGAAACTTGAACTGGTACTCTTTGCCCAATGCCCTAATAAAGGGTGCCAGTTGCTCCTTCAGCAGCGAGGATGACGAGCCAAGACCGTGGAGAGCAAGGATTCTCATTTTCGGCAGCCTTTCTATCACCGGCAGATTTGTGCTTAGAACTCTCTCTGCCTCGGTAGCATGGCGCGCACGTACATACCAATTATGTGTTATATTTTCCTTTGCTTACAAGGCGCCGCTGTCGGATCTTGCCACATTGAGATAACCCGACAAGCCTCCGATATGATTCGAATTATTAATATTCACAACTTTGTGGTCGGGATGCCGTGTCAACTTGAATTTCTTGTGAATGACCCCCAATCTCTATCCCCTTACTCCCTGGTTATACTCCCGGTCACCAGTCTCCAAACTGCATCGGCAGTGCAGGCGCAAACATGGCACTAATGATCACGAAGATCGTCGTGGGGTGGATTTGCGTGTATATTATCCGAAAACTCCTGTTTCCATCTGTCGCACATCTCCCCAAGGGTCTACCAATAATTGGCGCCAAAGAAGGCGACTGGTTCCCCTTTTTCAAGCGGCATGGCGCAACGCTCGCAATCTCCGAGGGAATATGTTAGAAGCCTACGCAAAGCACAAGGACCAGGCTGTAATTCTGCCCATTGCAGGACCCGGTGGTCAGATATTTGTGTTGCTTCCAGCGTCTGAAACCAAGTCAGTGACAGATCAGCCCAAAACTGTGCTCAGCTTGCGCGAGGTTATTGTACAAGGGCTTCTCTATGAGTACACTGTATCCGACAATATGCTCGTCTCACACCCAACACACACGAAGCTCATTACGACGACGTTAACCAACCAGGTCGGTAATCTCCTCCCTGGCTTGTCTAATGAGACCATTCGAGCCTTTGAGGAGCAATGGGGAACCGACACAGAGTCATTTCGTGACGTTACAATCTGGGATAGTATGGGTGCTATTGTGAGCAGAGCAACAAATTACGCCTTTGTTGGTCTCCCATACTGTCGTGACTCGGCGTTGCTTAATGCCGGTCTTGGCTTTGCGCGAGCGCTGCCATTCAGCCAGCTGTTGTTGAGCTTTACATGGAAGCCGCTACGTCCTTTAGCATCATTGTTGTTCACGCTTCCTTGTCGATATTACGAAAGACGGTTTACTCAAATGCTCATTCCAGAGATTGAAAATCGCCTTCACAACATTGAAAATCCTACATCCTCGCTGTCCGCTGGGAAAACCTCTGGTGAAGTGGAAAAGAAGAATGATTTTCTAGAATGGTGTATAGAGCAGGCCAGAGAAAGCGGCGACCCTCGCATGTGCCGGCCCAGGACCCTTGCTGGCCGTATACTTCTGATGAACCTGGTCTCTATCCACACATCCTCCTTGACCATCACGAACGTCATGCTGGATCTGGCGTCGTCTACACCTGAAGTCCTTGAGGAGCTACGAGCCGAGGTCGAACAAGTTTTGGATCAATGTGGAGGTCAATGGACGAAGCTGGCATTGAATGAGATGGAGAAGCTCGACTCGGTACTTCGCGAGAGTGCCCGTCTCAACACTTTGGTTGCCGTCGGGCTTCGTCGCAGAGTCGTAGCCAAGGAGGGATTCACTACGACACCTGGTGTCCATTTACCCTGCGGTAACTTCTGCGCTGTTCATAACCTTGGCGTTGTCCACGACCCCGATGTGTATGAGCAGCCAGATACCTTCAAGCCATTCCGCTTCGTTGGACTGCGCCGTGATGTCAACAGCGATGATCCCAACAAGGACCATGTAGATCGAGCACGCTTGACATTTGCCGCTACTGGATCTGACTACCTTGCTTTTGGCAACGGTCGTCAAGCCTGTCCCGGCCGATTCTTTGCGGCCGGTGAACTCAAACTAATGTTAGCGTACGCTTTGATGTACTACGACCTGGAGATTATGGACCCGAGACCCCGTGACAGATGGATTGGGATATTGCGCATTCCCTCCTCCAATGCCAAGCTACGAGTACGCCGCCGAAAGGGAATCATTGAGCCGTCCTTACGCAGCGACAACTTGGTCTGACCTGTTACATTTTATTCTTATGGTAGGGAGATCCTACCTTCCAAGGTTTTTTGTGTGATAAATAACTTCGCATTATGTATAATGGCACCCAAATACTCGTATTTAATTCCCTCCATCTGGCCATCCATACTTCGATTCGTGCGTCACAAATTGGAGTCCATCATACTGAAGCCATGCTTAGATCATAGTTTTTATTCGTTAAATCGAGTAAAAGAAAAGCTCTAGATGTCTTAAGCGATTATCATATTTCTTAGACTGGCTACTCCGAGAACCTGATTCAAAATTATTTTGTTAATTCAAGCGCTGGAAAGTGATGTATACCGTTTTAAGGCCCCCCTTGGAGATAAGGAAAGTCTCTTGAGATGGTGTCAAGCAGAGAAATAGCCGTAATTACTAGCGCTTATGATGGGTCCCCCTTTTAGTCTAGTGGTTTCAGGCGATAGATGGGATGTACTCCACCCCATTCCACCTTGGTTTGGGGGCTAAGATGAGGGTCTATATGTATCCTCAAGAAAACAAGCATCGGGATTTTGAAGATAGCCCCAATTGGGGTTGTGCCGAAGACTAGGGACTTACAAACGCGGCGATTGCTGTTTCAATCGAAATTAGGGCTTAGGATTAGGGCCTGGACGGCAATTACCGGTTTTGGAAGCTCCGATGCATCGCCGAGAAGCCACTGGCTCTATGCAAAGACATCTGAAGTCTAGCAGATTGTAGTGGAGAATGATATGATGCCTTATGCTTGAATTGTTTGTTCTCATTGCTCTTTTTATTGAAATGTGGAAGATAATCCTTTTTCTATTGAACAACACTCGGCAACCAGGGAACCGGAAACAAGAGCACTTATGCTCGCGCTTTCAAATATGTGTATAGAATATGACTATCCAACCGGATGGGCCAGTCTACCTCCTAGCTCTCAAGGAAGAACCTCGGTTAAGTCATCCATCTCCTCGGCAACCATCTGACTTGGGGAATGGCAAGGTGGCCCCGTATATCTGCAGCCGGGGGAGAGTAGAGACCAATCAATTTCTTGTCTTCTTCACTAAACGTGACGATCGCCTAGGCTTAAAAGGAACGCTATGGTCATGTAAGCGCTTGCGTTTGGCTGCTCTGGTTGCATAATATGGATGACAGGCATTTCTAGCAGCAAGATTGCTAGCTGAATCTTTTGGTTCCTAGGTGGCAGCCGAACAGACAGTAGAGAAGGGCTCAGGTCGATTACGAGAAACCACAGATGACTCCGGTGCTTTAGCGCTTTCATCTACGTTTTGCGGGGTTCCTGTTTGTATTTAGTTCTTGATGTTACTTTAAGGCTATCATAGAAGCTCACTTCTTATACCAAGAGTAGAATAATCCCTCGAGGCATTTAGAGCGGCGTCGCTGGTATTCAGCACATCGTGTGCACAATCAGTAGTTGGCAGACCGAAGAATTGGGGCTGTCCGGAGTTCTGGAACATTGGCGACCTGGTCAATGTGGGGTCAGAGATTCGATCGATGACCGCCTCCTCATTTGGTGGGTTAGGAAAGCTTTTATCAATAAGATTTTCCCAAAAATCCGGAGTAGCCAAAATCTCCGTGTCGCCATTAGAATGATATTCTAATGGCACGTGGTGGCTGTAATCGTTGTCAAAATTAATTATGATGGGATTAGAAGCCGAGCCCAAAGGAGCAGCATTATCGCTGACTACTATGGGATTGGCCTCTATGCCTGGTTCGGGAAAATCAACAAACTCCCGAACGACCAGTGTAGGCCAGTTCCAGGTGTCATTTGAAGAAGATGCTTCTCAGCGCAGAGTTAGCAAAATACCAACATTTCTAAGAAAAGTCTCATACCGATGCCTTCCGATGCCATTTCTTTTACCTCTGGGGAGTTTTTACCGCCTATATGACCCGAAAAGAATGACCAAGTTAGTGTCGGATTTTACAGGGCAGTGCTGAGAATTAATATGAATTGAATGATGAGTGTCTTATAACGGCTTAGGCAGCGGGCGAGATTCATGGCTTTATATCTTTCGCTCTAACAATCTACGCTGTGTGAAGTTCTGAGCTAGCTGGAATTAATTTGTTTAAATGAAACCAAATGCAAACACGCCTCGACCTCGTTTTGATCTCAGATGCAGAATTTCCGGCACGACGACATTCGATCGAGACGTGCCTACCAATCGTTTCAAATCCACTGTACAACACAAGGCGTATTTGAGGTAAGAGGAGCCACCCTCTCATCCTATATCCAATGGTCACTCTGAGAAGCACTGTTGCTATTTCTGGAGAACTACATCGTTGCGCATCCGCGTCGCAATCAGGTATGGTCCACGAAACCTATCGAGCTCTGTTTGCCAGTCGTTACATGACCCAGCAAAGAAGATAAGACGCGCTCAAGAGTCAGCCTAACACTGTTCCCGCATGAAAGAAACCTTGTTCGTTCGTTCGTCGACCCTATACGCTAGTCAACTTATCTCCATCCAAACAACGATGATTTCTGATCAGGATGAGGCATACTCGAAGGGTCAGCGGCTCGGGTGCTTAGATAACGAGGCCACATAAGTGGAGGATATGCGACGGCTGTACTCAAGCCGGTCACGTTCGAGGATCTTCAAGCTCAGAGAGCATTCCGAAGTCTCCAAATCGTCGTCGTAGGCCTGTAGAGCATCGAGGATGAACTACGACTGCAATCGCCTCGTACGCTCCTCCAGACTAGACACGTCCCGGGTGAGCGGGAATAACGGGCGAAGTAGTTCTATCGAACAAAAATGAAGTGACCAGTCTCATCCTTAGCTCTGATGGAATTAGCCGTCTCGGAGAAGACCGATAAGAGCGTGACAAATCAATTCTTATCATCTAGAGACCTAGGGCAGACTCGTAGCAACGTTATATAAGAGTGGTCATCTTTAAGTAGCGTCCGAATGCACCAGAAAATATGGAGACTCAACAACCAACGGTTTGGAACGAACCGGGGCTCGAATGCAGCTCGGCGCAGTCAACCAAGAGCAAAAAAGCCTCACCGACAGCACTTTGGGGAGCAGAGAGGAAGGAATGGGCGAGCAGACGGTCGGGAATCGCACACGGTCGACGGAGAAAAAGGGGGTGGCGGAGCCCGGCGATGCGGATCAATGGCAAAAATGCCTCACCATCAGCGCATGACCTGGGGAGAGGAAAAGGGGGAAGAGAAAGCAGAGAAAGTAACAAAACGTTGCAGCGGCGAGGGAGGGGACTTTATAGAAACACGCACGGGGATGGTTAAGGGCAGGAGCACGCTAAACCGAAATTGGCACGCTAAACCGTATTCCGTAATTCACCGTCACCGGAGACTACGGAGTAGAACCGGCTGCGTCACGGGCAGCTTCAGCACGGACCACCCAACAGTCCTTGAAAAGGCTCTTTCGCTCCACACCGGCCAACTTCCTACAACCACGCGAACACGCGTCCACAATGTCGGGACCGACCTCCGAATATGTGACTTTGGTCTCACGCGATGGATTCGAATTTATCATTCCCCGCAATGTAGCTTGTGTCTCAGGCACAATTCGGCGCATGCTGGACCCTTCCAGTATGTGGACTCAGGATTTGCTCCATGGGCTGTACTAACCACCTGCAGGCAAATTCTCCGAGGGTCTTACCGGCCGCTGTGTGCTGGATGAATTTCCGTACGTCACTCGCTTAGCTAGCGCGACTTTTGGTGGATTGTGCTAATATTTTTTCTTCGCTGTAGTGGAATGGTCCTCGAAAAAGTCTGCGAATACCTTTGCTATAATGATAAGCATAAGAACGATATCAACGTTCCAGACATGGATATCCCGCCTGAGCTGTGCTTAGAGCTCTTGATGGCTGCTGATTACCTGGACGTTTGAGTCATGGGTATCTGCGGGCTTTCGTTCCTGAGGTCTGACAACCTCATTAACCGAGAACTCAACGCAGTCCCGGCTCTCATTCTGCCTCCAATGATTCACGGCGCAACGATACATACACTGAACTTATACAACGATAACAATGATACCACACGGAGTTCCGGGTTATCTGACTGGCAAAGCCATGTCATGTTTATACGGGACGGGAATGTCTAATATTATGGAAATGCTTATCTTCTTCGCTGTTCCGACACTCTAGATATTCACGGGTAACCTCTTGTCCCATCTGAGCATATGCAATCGGTCAAATTCTCTATGGCCGAATTGTCTAAAGACGATGGTAGATCAAATTCCAATGGTTGCGCGCTTGCCAGACTCCCACTGGCGAAGGGCTCTGGACCGTAGGAGACATACCGATGTATGCGATACACGAGTAGTCTACTGGTTAACTAGTCACGATAATTAGTCGAGAGAGATGTACTACTTGATAACACGTTCGTGACGTCCCTATATTGACCCATCGGGCCCGAATCAAGCTTAATATCTTTCTTCCCCCCTATGTAGGTCGTATGAAAGAATCTTCTGCTTAATCCATACTGGAATGCAGTAGACCCCTTCAAAGATCTGGAAGCAGTTCGCCCTGGAGATTCAGAGGCCTGGGAAGGCCGCGGCCTCGGCGTCCGCTGAGTCAGCCGCCGCCCGGAATCAAGGCCGGCAAGTGCCCGTGCCCGCCATCGTGAAGCCCGCTCTTTCACCGTACCTCGTAATTTGCGGGATGCTGTTCACAGGAGCGTTGCTCACTGTGGTCTTCAATATTTTATTCCATCTATCTCCTCGTTGAACGTTGCATTTCAGCATTTGCCCGTTACCACGCTCCCCAGATGCACTGGTGGCCTCCCGCGATTGTATCTTCCCCGTATCACTGATAAGAACAAGCCGCGGATCTACCAGCTCAGCATGTCAGATGTCATGGGACTTTCAACACCCACCTCTAGTGCAACTCTCATACAGAAACTCAATACTACAACCCAATCGCTCGACTCTTCCTCCTCTTTCCCACAACTTCTGACATCCCCACTTCGTGTCTTTCAACACGCCGAGACCTTTGCCTTCCGAACAGTCCCCCAAACAATCGTCAGAGTAACCGGATTACAAGCCTTATCACGGAACATCTGGGGTGGTTTAACAGGTGGAGCCGGTGGTGCGGCTGCAACACATGCAGCAGATATGGCGGCGAATGAGCTCGCCGATGCGGCCGGCCAGGAGAGCGGCTACTATCTTGCCGAGTTCTTAGAAACTGTCAAGAAGCTCGGTGGACTCTTCAGTTACTTGACCAGTCTTTGGTCATTTGCCTGCCTAGTGGAGGTAAGATCCGGCGATCAACACTTATGCTTCCCACGCTAATCGATCCAGGCCCTCATCCTAAATCGAATCACTATCTATGCATCCACCCGACGACACCTCCGACTGGGCTGGGAAAGGCGCGCGGCTCTCCGATTGATTCCGATATTACTGTTCGCCTCCCAGATTCTTAGCTTGCTTCGTGGCATTCGCTGTCAGACATCGCCATCCTTTTCGAGTACGCGCTACGGACAACCTGGGAAGCAGCTTCCATTCGATTATGTCAGTAATGGGGGCATTCTTTACTCCCTGAGCTCGACTTTCCTAGGATGGGAATCTGAGGAGCGGTCGTGCAGTGCTGTCAAAATGGCGCGCGGCACCACCCCTGATATCCCATACGGTTCATTCTCTCTCTTGTGGCCGACGTTCTTGATCCTTTGCTTAAGCCACTTCGTCGAAACACTCTCATGTGCCTTACAGGGCAGGCCTGCGATGACCGAGACGGGAATGTCTATCTTTGAACACTCGATCGCCTTTGCGGAAGCCGAGTCGATGATCAGTAAATCCATCGGACTAGGCCTGTTTGGTCTTCCATCGAAAAACCCGCTCAGTACGCTTTCGGCTGACTCGGAGGAGGGCTCAACTTCGGTACTCCAACTCCTCACGCGCTCGCAGGTCTTGGAGCGCATGAATGTGACGCCAGAACTGCTACTTATTGCATTAATCTCGTGCTGCAACAGTTTGACTTCCCACTTGTTAGAGGTCTTCGGCAAGCAGAGCAGGTATCGGCTGTTCAATACCGCCTTCTGGGGTGGCTGCTTCATGGCAGCCATGTTATGGGGCCTAGAAGGCGGTCCGCCTATCAGCATCGAAACCGGCGTACTCAGGTTCCCGACCGTGTGCATCGTGGGATTCATCCCTCACATTTTCTTGCTAGGCGGCATCGTGATATGTTTGTCGATTTACGGCTTAGCACTCACGATAACCGCTGTTTCCTTACCTACAGAGGATCAACCCGTCTCGCTCTATGACCGATTCCTGATGGCCCATGAGAACATGCAGGGCTCCAACCAAATAAGGAGCATTCGCGTCAACAGGCATGAGGACTTTTATACGACATTGCTTCGAATCGGTTACGTCGCTTTAACTGCGGCAAGCGAGGCGGTCTTCTTGAATGAGGGCAAAGCTGTCGTTGCGCGTCAAATGACTTGGCTAGAAGAGGACCGGCTCACTGAAATTGAAGCTTCGAGGAAAAGGTCCTCGTCCTTTGGAGGCTGGGAGAGCGAATCACACAGTCGACCTATTGAGGCCATGGGTTTCTCAAGTTTCGACATCCCAGACCAAGCTGGCGACTGGCAAAGTGGCTACAGCCGTGAGAAGAAATTCGAGAAACCGAAGAACGGTTCTCGCGCCGTGCGCTCTCCAGCTGAGCTTGGGGGCGTTGGTGCAGTCAGAGTGTCTATCCGAATGTGGCATGTTCTCTCGTTCTTCCGCTCAATTTCCATGCTGGTCATTCGATGGATTGCATTCGGACTTTGCAGCGCTCTTGATCGACTGGGCATCAGTGCTCGCCCAATGTGGCTCAAACGCTTGGTTGGTCATCATCGACGGCTGTCTAGTACGAGTACGATAACCCCAGCACAGCCGTTGGACTTCTGGATCCTCGCGGACAACGGAGATCTTGTGCTCCCAGAGAACCATGACTTTGACGTCGAGTCCGAGATGAGAAAGCGAGCAAACGCCAATCGACCAGAATGGATGGGCCCGGATGAGAACCTGCTGGACGACAGACTGTACAGCTGGTGGAAAATCGGTGGTGCGTGGGGAAACCAAGATAACACCTCGGACTATCACCCATCAACCTCCGACGACTTCGACACCACCAGCGTCATTTCGATGTCTACCGATGCCTCAGGATCCGAATGGGAGGATTACCCAATCGAAGACGGCCGCCGGACTCCAACCCAGCTCGAACCATACGCAGACAGAGAAAGCACACCAGCCCAAGACCCTCTAATCGACATGAGCACACTCTCCCGCCTCCTCGATCCCCGCGACTCCGAAAGCAGAGAAGAAGCCAGGATCCTAGCCGCGCATCTGAAACCAGACGGCCCACAGATAATGACACGCAGTCGCTACCAGAAGCAACTCGAACGAGAGCGATCCCGAATCATCTTCTCGTCCCGCCTGCACCAGATAAACGTCCAGTCGGGGTCCGGGACCCGTAAACCCACCGCGGAAGAGGAATCCGAAATCCTCGAGAAGCTCATCCTCTCCCGTCGCGCTGAGACATCCGGTAGTGCCGGTCCTAATACTTGGGAATCTGGCGCTGAAGGTCTTGGCCCGAATGGTCCTCCTTGTGTTGTCTGTCAGACGAGTCCGCGGGCCATCATTACCTGGCCCTGTCGCTGTCTGTGCATTTGCGAGGACTGTCGCGTCAGTCTTGCTATGAACAATTTCGGGAGCTGTGTCACTTGTCGTCAGGATGTTGGTGGGTTTATGCGATTATGGGTTCCTTGAGTCATCATTTTGATGGCTGCGCTACTTTACTTGCTTTTTTGCGTCGTGTTGGTTTCCTTAGCTTCTTCTTTCTTCGCTGCTTGCCTTCCGGGTTTTCTTGTGTAGGTATTGAGCAGTTGTAACATACCCATTTTACATTGCCTGCTTGAAACGAGGACTGTATTCCAGCTATAGCTGGTGCAAGTGCTGTTTCGTATGGGCAATCCCTCTAGCTACTAGCTGTTACAAATTCACGAGACAATTCTACTTAGTCTTCAATAATGACTTCAATTTTTTCAGATATCTGTAATTCCCTTATGGCTTATGTCCATATATTGTCCAATTACATGTCCACCAATACCAGCTCCCTCTCACTGGCTATCACATACAAGAGGCCTATACTCAGCATCCCACATCTGAACCTCAATCCACTCCCTTAGCTCAGACTCAGCACTCGGAATCCCCTCGGCCTGAGCAAGTCCCTCCTCAACAGCACACTTAATCACAGCAACAGCAATATCCACACTAATCTCCCGCACATCCTGCACATCAGGAAGCAAAGGCTTAGTAGGATCTTTCAAAGCCGGTGACCGAGCCTTGAGCGCTTTAACAGCCGCAACCAGCATTTTCTTCGACAAGAGACGAGATTGCGAGAGCACTGCGCCGAGCCCGATACCCGGGAAACAAGTTGAGTTGTTACACTCTGCGATCTCATACTCCGTGCCGTTGTGCTTGACTGGTGGGAAGGGACTTCCTGTTGCAATGAGGGCTTTTCCGTCTGTCCATTTGTATAGATCTTCCGGCTTTGCCTCGTGGAGACGGGTTGGGTTGCTAAGAGGGAAGACGATTGGACGGTCGACGTTCTTGGCCATATCGCGGATGATGTCTTCGGTGAATGCACCGGGTTTCGTAGATGTTCCGATGAGAACGTGAGGATGGACCTTTTTGACGACGGAAAGGAGATCTCGTCCATCGGACCATTCGGTGTCGTCTCGTGCGAATGGCCGTTGGCCGTCAGTTAGTTGGTCACCTTGGGATTTCACGAGGAGACCGGGTTTGTCGATGCACCTGGACGCAATGATGTGTTAGTACTCCGTAAGGTTACATACACATTGGGGCATTGTGAATGCATACCATATCTGCTTAGACGCTTCTTCTTTTGACTTTTCTGTCTCGTTGGCGATGGTATCAGCAACTTGATCGGCAATTCCAGTACCGGCAGTTCCAGAGCCGAAGATTACTATTCGCACATCTTCCAGCTTGACTTGACTGACTTCTAGAGCAGCCAACATCGCGGCCAGTGTGACACACCCAGTTCCCTGGATATCATCATTGAAACACGGGATCTGTGATTGATATCTATTGAGTATTCTCCGTGCATTGCTGAGCCCGAAATCCTCGCTGTTATTGTTAGCTGCGTTTTATAAGAATGGAAGGCAATAAGGTGAATTCACATACAAGTGGATATAAGCCTTTGGGAACCGTTTGCGAGCAGCTTTCACAAATTTGTCCACAAATTCATCGTATTTCTCTCCTCTAACCCGGTGCTGTCGCAGGCCAAGGTAGAGTTCATCATTGAGTAACTTTTCGTTCTACAGACGTTGTCAGCGAGTATGGATCTCAGCGAGAGATGGTTCATCCTACATCTGTCCCGCAGTCCAACACAACAGGAAGCTGTCGTGAAGGATGGATGCCGGCACACAGCGTGGTGATGACCAGTTTGGCAACCGATATCAGAATAGCACCCACACCCTGGTCTCCGATGCCCAATATCTGCAGTTTCGGTGAGCCAGACCATTCGTCTAACAGGTATCCCCAGGGCGGGCTGAGCAAACAAACCTCTTCACCGTCACTGACGACAATATAATCAACATCCTGCCTTGACCCAAACGCAGAAAGATACTCTTCAACCCGATCCTGGTCATTAATATTCAAGAAACACCCCTCTGGCCTCCTGAACAAGCGGGAGTAATTCTGAATCGCATCACCCTCAGTCGGAGTGTATATTATACTAAACATCTCCTTGAGATGCGTTTGCACGAGCTAGTATCCTGTAAGTAACTGCGCATTGCTAGTATCTTGTCACGGATGTCAAACCTTGTAGTAGAGTACTTCATTCTGGGTTTTCATACTGGCTAGAAAGGTATTCTTGGCTAGATTGTCATCTCTGCTTTGGTACTGCTGGTAAGCGCGTTCCACTTGTTCATCCAGTGTCTGGATGTTTGGTGGAAGGAGGCTATGGAGGTTGAACTTTGTTCGCTCGTGTTCTGGGAAGGCGGAGCCTTTGTTGAATTGGGATGATTCGAGGAGGGAGGATCCCTACTTGATGTGAGGATGTGATTCTTTTCGTTTTTCCGTTTCTATGGAAATTTTCAAGACGATCTTGCTCACCTTGTATGGACAGATCAACGGCCCCGCTGCGGCGCGGGGAAGGGAACTGAACTTTTTTGACGAGTCTGACATTATGTAGAATGGGGCTAGTTATGAGGTTTTGATGTAGATTTTAGGGAGTAGAGAAGCTTTGAGATGAGAGAAAAGAGGTCAATCTTGGAATGAAGCACGAGGCAGTTTAGAGTGAGTGGGTCGGTTGATGTCATCCATGGATGGTGGCCCAACTTTATCCTTGGTAGCACCCGTGATACTTGAGGAGTTCGTCAGTCCCTTGTTCTTGCGAAGCATACAGTTTATATCATTTAATCCCATGGGCTAAGCTAAATCGATACATAAGATAATCCAGGATCGGAACAAAATCAGATTATAACCATCTGTTTCACCCGGAGATGAAACAAGACGTGCATTGTATTAATTGTCAACTATACAGGGAGGGTCCTATTGCCGCGCCCCATCCGACCAACCTGACTAGCAAAGAAGAAAATACACCCTGCCAGCGCGGGCCGATCCGAAAGATCGACAGCAGCCTCAGATTAGGTATAGGTATATTTACAGGACGTAGGCGGCAGCGGCGGCGAAAGCAGCAACACCGGCCAAGTTACCCTTGACGTTGGAAGCAGCGCCAGTGTAGCTGGGCGAGGCGGAAGACTGGGTGGCAGAGCCGGTCTTGGTCACGAGAGGGGTGGAGGTGACGACACCGGAGGAGGAGGCAGTGGGGACGGGAGTGCCAGTGGTGATGACAGTGTCGGTGGGCTCAGGGACGGGGGTGCTGGTCTCAACGGCAGTGGTGGTCTCGACAGCGGTAGTGGTCTCGACAGCAGTGGTAGTCTCGACGGCAGTGGTGGTCTCAACGGCGGTGGTGGTCTTCTCAGACTCGATGGGAGGGATCGAGATGGGGTGGCCGGCAGACTTGCACTGGTCGGTGACGGCGTTGGAGACGGCTGGCGGTGTGTTAATTGGAAGTTCTGTGGCTATAGGGAGTGGATAGGTGTATACATACCGACTTGGTCCTTGAACTCGCAAGCCTTCTCAACACAGGGGGTGATGCTGCTGACAAGCTCGGTCTTCTGGCAGTGGCACTCGAAGTCGAGGAGCTCGGAGCAGCCGTCGCTGGTCAGAGCGCTGACGAAGCAGTTCAGCTGAATTGGAGTGTTAGCACAGACATCTTAGAGATATAAGCATTGTCTAAGAACGTACCGAGCAAGGGGGAACATCGGGAAGCTGGGCGCTGGCGAGGCCGGCAGCAACGAGAGCAATCAGAGTGGTGGAGAACTTCATCTTGACAAGATTTGAATCTGAAAAAAAGATATTATTGGAAGGAAAAGACCGTTGAATATAAGTAGCGAATGCGGGATGAGTTGAAGGAGGAGGCCTGGACTTGGACGGGTGATGGCCTTCTTATAAGCTTTGCCAGTCCCATTGTATCCACCGTCCTCATGGCAGAGGGTCCCGGTGTCGCACCAAAGGTCCGCCTAGAGCCGTCACATGTCTCCGCATGCTTAATGGGAGGCAATCTTCCCAAAGTAGGGCCAAGGCCGCGGTTGACTCAAAACCGTAATTTCACGGATTGGGGCCCCAGACCCTCAGTATAGGTGGCCAAGGCTGAAGGCTGACGCCACTTTTTGATTTCCTGCAGCCAATTGAGCGTTCCGGCGAGAATGACTGGCTTCAATATGCGGGTTCTCGTACGGGGTACGTATTCCCGCATTGCCAAGTCGACGCTAGACCAGGTCCACGAGAGAAACTCCAGGCTAAGTTAGACGAGTGGCAACGTTGGTTCGTCATGCACCTCTCATTTCCCAGCTAGTCATACGGCCGATAAAGTCAATGGTATTAGCTTCTACTGAATCTTGATGTCAGGCTAGGCCTCCAAGGGTTCGAGGTACGGCGGGTACAGTACCCTCCATATAGGTTGCAGTACATGTAAGGTCGTGCAGCGTCTCCACTGACAAGCCTGTGTAAGTCCATGGCCACGAAGCCGGATTTCAGTGTTTTTGAGGCGTGGCATACGCAAGCCTGTACATCATCCAAGAAATTGATGCATGAGTGGTATTAGTGAGACCAATAATGGAATGGGGTGGCAAGCCAATCGAATAGAGCAAGGATAATGTGTTGTGTTGTATTGGAAGTTCCAGCCTCCAGGAAAATCCGAAAATCCGGGGAAGATGTCGGGACCGGCGGCAGGGGCCGAGGGAGTGTAGTATTTAGCTAGTCCACATTGGGTATTCGATCCGACGCTCTTTGCTCCAATTTGAATGAAATTAATAACTTGAATACATTTACATTTAAATTGTTGATGGAATGGAATGGAATATACGGAGTGTCGGCGGAGTGACCATCGTCGACTTTAATTCTATTGGGGTAACACAGCGTCATCCTGAGGTACCTCAACGACAAGAGATTTGAGGCCCAAATTCAGGAGAACTTGGTTAGGAACCCTGCGACCTGCGGAAATTGATAAAACATACATACTGCGTATACAGCGGACTTACTGCGTATGGTATACAACGTAGTAGGACTCGTGGTTGTACAATCAAGCCGCAGAGAGCGCGAAGCTGGAGGCCTGGTAAGATCGGATGACGGTCTCAAAGAAAACCCGCATTCAATGTTTCACTGGGATACACCGGGGTATTAAGGTCTTGCGATATGGCCCACGACAACCACAAACTAGCTGGAGTTGCAAGATGTGGATATCTTCCGAGCGTCGTGACTCGATCGTGAGATGCTGTACCTGCATACGATGATCGCCTCTCCCGGCTGCGAGGATAGTGTCAAACCCACGTCTTCCATCTTCATCTGGTGCTCAATTATGTGCAACCGCGGGGGAGGGGTAGCCGGGCGCGAGATGAGAGTGGGCTGGAAAGTAGTACTTTCTTCCCCATGTTTCCGCCGAGTGAGACATTGGGCGGGGGTGGGCCCATACATTGGCTGGACCAGAACCTTGCCCTTTTCCAAGGAACATATTGCCAAGTACGCTAAGTCCTCCCCGATGTGGGGTTATTCAAGAAGATCAGGGAAATCAGGAACGAGATGTAGCTGCCAGGTGAGACAATGATCCCAATAGGGTCGTCACCCAGCCCTGGGGTTGGCGAACGAAACTCTGTCCCCAGCCACTTACCGTGCACCTAAGAGAAATGGTGCGTACAGCCGGGGAAATATCTCGATTGGGCCTAGACTTCATCAGAGAAGTCAGCGAATTAGGAGGTCCGAAGCGATAGGCCCTGGTAGTGAGTGACCAACTCGGTGGATAATGAGAAAAATAATAACAATCGTGACTATTCCAGCCCAGTGGAGGTTATTCACTTGGTCCACCGACAAGACGATGTATGTAAAGATAAAGACGATCGATCCAAACAAAGCTGGGAAAGGAGCTAAAAAAAGCAAGTACAATCGCCAATATCGCGGGGGAGGGTCCGGATAGACCCATTGTCGCTCAAACGCGGACATTTGGAGATCTCTAACCGAGATGAGATGTCTTTGATGATCATATTGCCCCTGTCCGTATCTTGGTCTCCAATCCTGGTACTCCGTACTGTGTAAAGCATGGTTTTCTGAACCCTGCGATAAATATAGATAGTATTCGAGGCCATTGGGCGCTGAACTGTTTTAGCACAATCTCGAAATTTGCTTCTCGATGACAGTTAGAGATTGCGATCGGCAACGCCTCCGTGGGAAAAGTCAAGTACTCGATCGAATTGGGCGAATCTCTCGGATACAACGTTGTAGGGGTCCAGCAGTACTGCTGCTTTTCCGAACCCATCATTGCCCATGTTCAATTTCATGTCTGAGACAGGGTCATTGCGCATCATAACCTGGTCCCGGTCGCCTCACATGAAAAGTCGAGAAGAGTGGAAAGAGACGGGAAGTGCAGTACGAGTCATAAGTGCGATGCTGATTCGCACAGGCGAAGAAAAATTTTAAGTTGTTTAGCTGTTTCAGCTTGGATTGGGAAGGAGCATTGCACGTGCTCCATTCCAGCTCTTGCCAACAGCACATGATCTCGACATCTACAGGAGACACAAGCCATGGGAATATGGAATATCACTCATTCTTACAACCGGAAACCCGGGAAGGCCCATGTCATTCGTATCTCATCAATGCCCTTTATCTAACGCCAAATCCATGCAAAGCCTGTCAATGCCAATTCAACTACTCCCAAGGATAGAATCTTCATGAGAGCAGCTCATCAATATAGGCCCGCTCCTTCGTGTCCTTGCCTTTGAGGAGAACGGTCAAGACCTCAATGGGTGGGTTCAGCTTCAGCATGTTCGCCCGTCTCCAGCGCTTGACTCGAGCGATTCCAATGCAGGGCTAGAGAAAGTCCGAACGTTAGAGAAATTGTCTATACAACTTGGGTTCTGAGATAATGCCCGGACAACATACCCCGTATTGACTGGAAAGATCAAAGTGTCTAAGGATCTTCTCCTCCACATCCAAGTCTTCTTGGTGGACTGTTGAGTCGAATTAGCCGATAGTTCTATTGATCCGACCGATCACGAGGCCAACTTACCAGAGGGTGCTTTGCGCGCCTGTTCTTGAGCCTGCCAGTATCGCCAAACGTCCTTCTTGGTCAACTTCAGGGCCCGCTTATCTTCTTCGGATAAGGGCGCTTGATGTTCGACTGCAGCCTGCTCTCGGACTACGAGCTCTGCAACATGCGGCTTGGAAGGTTCGACAGGAGTGACAGACGCCTGTTGGGGCTCTGGAGTGCCCGTGGCAGACTTGTCGGATAGTGACGGAGCCGGTGAGTCGAGGGCCTTGGCGTTCCGAGAGGGTGCGGTGACTGGCTTGGTGACTCGAGTGCGGGATCCAAAGGAGAGCGTTGGCTGGGACCCAGCAGGGCGATTTCCTGTGCGTCGGGGAGGCATGTTGTAGTAGTTGTTAGTTGAAATTAAGAAGTGTGGATATTCTGGAAGAGGTGCAGGAAGAGGTGGAGAAGAGGCGATGTCATAGGTGATCCGTGGTTGCACTGGCAACCAAAAGCTTGCCCCAGCATTTCCTCTTCCATGGTTCAAATTGTATGATCGATGTTTACATTTCAATTTTGACGGCATGTCGAGATTCAACTAACTAATGTATTCCATGTTCTAATTGACTAGTTAGTAATCGTATTGTAGTTGGGATATATAGATCTATCCAGTCCGTTGCATGTGAGATGACGATGACCTATGCCATTGTGATCCATCGAGGCTCCACACACGAGCTTATTGTACTCCGCATATCTAGGCATACTCCGTGGTACATCTATGTAGGTAGTCACCTAGATTGGGCAGATCTGATAGATCTACCAGATCGATCCCTGTAAACGGCGGATCTGTGAAATACTGTATCGGGTTAGTTTTGCCTTTTTCCAGGGTTGGGTGTAGCACCCCATGCCTTCCACAATCTCATGTACACAGTATTCATTATTTTGACTCACCGTGTACCAAGCGGTCCACCAAGATCAATGCACGGGACCAGCTATGGGGTTGTTACTCAGCTAATAGGTGTAGAATCTTCTCTATGAAATATAATAAGATAAGACCGCCTCTTGTTCGGAAATCACGAAATTGAATGAAACAGCCACTGTACGATAACAAGTCCTTGTTTCGGGTTAAGACTATAAGTCCAAGCACCTCAGCACCTTAGAAAGCACTGCCAAATAGACACGCTTCTCTTCACAATAGCATGTAGGTATCTTCGCCAGGCCGGCTGAAAGCTGAGAGCCAGCTCAGGTCCCAGCAAGCCTCGGCGAACCAATGCTTCACAGGTCTTTGTCTCCTTCTTAGAGTCAATGAAGATGTCTTCTGCATTTGAGACCATATCCTTTGTCTTGCGTTTGAGATCATACGCTACCAAGGCCATTGTAGGATAGACATCGTACCAACAAGCAGAAATAAGACCGTCAAACACTTCGTTGCGGTTAAGTTCTGGAAACTCCATTTCCCCAAATCGGCGATCCCATTCCGAGGCGCCGAGGATAACGTCGTCATAGGGTTCATGACCATATACCATGAAGTATAGAAGTGTCCCGACGGCAAATTGTTCAGTTCTGGCGGAACAGAGACCGTATGTGCGTTGCAATGGTCCAGCAAGTATTGGTTTGGCCCGTGGAGGAAAGACACCTTCAAGCATTTGTCCAATGGTGGTGGCACGACCAAAATCTGTGAGCTTTAAGTTGAAGTTCCCATCAAGAAGACAGTTGCTTGCATGCAGATCATTGTGACAGAAGCCCATTTTCTCCACATACTCAAGAGCATAGGTGAGTTGTTGTATCCACCGAGCGATGAGAGCAGGATCCTCGTATTCCTTGACTCTGATAAGACGCCCAAGGCCACCATTTTTTACTGGCTCTCGCTCCTGGCGTTCATAGAAGCGAGGGGCAAGCGACTTATGCGTGCAATATGATAGGAAAAGATGGTCTGGAAGCATGAGAAAGCATTCGATGATATGCGGACATCGATCCTGGCGCTCATTAAGACGTTTGAAAAACGCGATCTCCTTGAGCAAAGGATGCCCCGTCGCCTTTTCTTTGGGGGCTCGGTCGGGACGAACAGTTTTCACGACAATAGTTGGAGTGATGTGGTAGATATAAGCGTCGAGTCCTCCGGCGACCCAGTTATGTTTCTCGAGAGCATCCGGGTAGTGGAAGCCCATGGCTAATCAAGACACGTGTAATCGTAGTATTAGCCGCGCAGAGTTCTGGAAAAGATGTACAGAAGTAATGGCTTTTAGGATGGGAAAATAGTTTGCTGCAGGTGTTATGACTTATGAGTCCTAAGCCCCCCTGAAATATTCTGATAACAACTGAAAACCGTTTACCCCTTTCAGTTGTAACGTTGTTTTCCAATTGACTGGATTTTATTGGGTCGCCTTACTTCTGCCCACTTTTGAATTTGCCTGAGGTTGTACAGTCTTAAAGTGCAGATAGCAGGAGGCTATAGTTTATACTCCGTAGAACGGGTCCGAACGATTAAGCCGCCGATCTGCCAAGCCTACGATAACTTGAGGATCTTCGGTTGAGGCTGAGACAGCAATGTAGAAAGGGCCAAATCCCCTCCTCACTTTCGTCAGTAGCGTTCAACGACTGCAATGCAATACATAGACACATAGGAAGGGAGCCATTTTTTGGCGTCGTTCTGGTGGCAGGTGGAATCTAAGGGGAAATGACTGTTGAAGGGGCATCACGGCAGATGATGACAAACGGCGCTAATGGTGGGCGGTGAAGCACCCAACCTCCAAAGTTACCGGGTGGAAAGATGGCCGTTTCTGGCACCAAAAGTGGTTCGTCATTTCCACAGGTCCTCATACATGTAGTCTATTGCCGTGGCAATCTCACTCTTCTACCAGAACACCAATACTAGACCTTTCCGACCTCTTATCTTCGAGTCTTCAACCTCTAGAGGCCCAAGCTCCCTCACAGTTAACGCGAAACACCCCGTCATACCCTATGACCTGTGAGAGAGGAACCCGCCCCACGCATATTCCCCACAACTCAACCACCTCCCTCCGCATGTCCATGGTACGACATACACGGTTGATTCGAGATGGCCGCCTTTGTGCGCGTTTCAGGCCCCGCAAATGGGAATTTTCTGATCGGATACCCGGGAATTTCTGCGACCATGGTAAGCGCCCTGCGTTACATGCGACGAGCCCCGATATGGCCCCCTGCTCACGCAGCTCCATTGACTGACCATCCAAGCCACGAATTGAAGGCAAAGTCGAAATCAGACCATGCGCCGGCATTACAGCTCCAGTCAACGTCTCGCTCGTTACCATCTCCCTCCACCGCCGCGAGACAATCCACCCTTCAGCCGATTCCCTCACAAAGAAGCGCCTAGCTCCACCACGAAAAGAGATTACGGATATCGTGGGCAAGGAGATGCTTCTGTTCCGATGCCCCGCTGGAAAGGAATACGAGGAAGTTATATCTATGGACTTGCCCTTCGTGCTCTTCATTCCATTCGGCCGCGGGGGTCGCGATGCCTCTCGCCGGGTTCCCCCAGCCAGTGTACAGCTCCCGAGTCGCACCGCCGAGACCTATTACGAGATGGTGGTCATGGTCCAACAAGGGCAGCAGCAGCAGCATAAATACACCTTCCCCGTCCCCATAGCGCGCTACGACACACTCTCCACATTCGGCATGTACAATCGCCCCGAGTCGGCGGAGCGCGTATCAGATCATCTGGTCACGTTAGCGATATCACTACCACGGTGGTCGTACGGTCCTCTTGATCCTGTCAGCGTCTACGTCAAGTTATCACCGAACGAGAGCTGGATGGGCAAGGCGCGTAAAGTGACCATCAACAAAATCACCATCGGAATCGACGAGGAAATAGTCTACAACCACGAGGGTGACGAGCCCCAGCGCAAAGTCAAAGTTCTGGCCAAGAAGACAGAGACCATAGGAGTTAAATTACCGCAATCGGGCTATTTGACTAACCTAGGCTTGGTATTCCCTGCCAAGGATCTGCGCGACTCAGAGGGAATCCTGCCGAGGAGTAGAGCAGCGTTTCCCACATATGGCGTGAGTGGCTTCACAACTACAGCAAGTCTATATAAAATCGAGTACTACCTCACAGTCCGGGTTCGTTCCTTCCCATATGAGCACTTTCCATTCTGGAAAACTTACATTCAACAGGCCCACTTAACTTCTGCACGAGATATTACCATACGACAACCAATCGTCGTCTGCCCTCTTGATCATGCCGGTTGCAAGGAAGAGATGGAAGCAATCGAGCAAGCGGCACGAGATGCAGCCCACGTCAATCCGGACAACCCTATGCTGCCTCTTCCAGCCATTGTACGACCGAATGACCACAACGCCCTCAGTCATATAGGCGCCGCTATTGTCGGTAACCAGAAAAAGCCCTTGATCGACTGAGATGCACAAATGACGTCGGTTTTGACCCTCAAGAACGACAATGAAAATATTAATAACATCCCATGTCTGGATATTGGAAATCCCTAACCGCCGGTTCGTTTGGATCATTGGGGTCTGGCGGCTGCCATTACCTTTGATGCTCCTGCGGGTGCAGAGACCAAGGACCCTCTGCAACCGCGCTATATCATGACCTGTCTTACGATTGCATACATCTGGAGTTTGTTGCATGGCGTCCCCTGGAAGCTGGCTGTTTATCTTTTGCCTCTGTGTGGAGCGGGTGGAGCGGGATGCCTGTTTGGATCGGGGAGTCCATTTGTTCAGTGTTGTGTCTAGCTTCACTTCTGTGACTATTCTGCCCTTACTGCGTGGACGGACTGACTTGTTCTGCCACTCTGGTGACTGTTTCATCTGCATCTTCGGTCTAATGACCGAGCTTTCCCAATGGCAGAACAAGTCCTACTCATTGTATGGATCTATGATTGATTCGTCCTTGTGGCTTTGGATTTGGACATTTGGAATACAAATCGCTTGAACGCGTGCTGTCTAATGACTAACATCGTCACCAGAAGATACATAGAGCAGCAATCAAAGCCATATCACCACCTATCCCGTATACTTCCACGCCTATTTTACATATCTTAAGTCTAGGATATTGATATAGTTAACCCCCCCCCCTTAAGATAATTATATTCCCCTTGGCTAGGTTGTGATACGGAATATTGATGGCTGTAACATAGCCATCAGCTCATAGATCTCGCTTGAATACATCAGATATGACCAGATATGAGTACACAAACGTTCATATCAACACCACATGCAATTCATAGGTTCCCTATATCCAAGAACCCCATGGCAAGGCTGAGCATATCGGCGTCGACCACCTGGGTTTTGCTCTGCTTTCGACTTTCATTGTCAATGTCCCGGAGACATTCTTTCAGCATTTCAAGTATAGTCTGGTATTGCCTGGAGGAAGGACCAAATGTCTTCAGGGCATTCTCAAGGCTGTTCGATATCTACTTTTGTTAGTTGACTTCTTCGCATTCCGCGATTTGGGGAGAGATTTACCTTGCGCAAGCTATCGTTGTAGTCCACAACACCTTGAGTGTTCTGTTCCATCAAGACAGCTTTGTTTTCATGATGATATTGAATTGCTCTCAGGTACTTTGGCTGTTCAGATCGGCGCATCGCAATTTGCATTTTGCCGGTATTATTAGTCAGTCTATATGGTATTGATACACAGCTAAAACCATTATAAATTACATGCTGTAGTTGCCGCGCTTCACAAGGCATGATCAAGCTGATCTTATAGAGTATAGACAGTCCTTTAGACTATCCAGTGGCTTGTTCTCTCTGACAACCACGTCATTCTTCTGAGCATTGAACAAAAATGGACAAGCTAGAGAGTCGTCCAGGAACATCGGGCCCCGGCGGGGCGGAATTAAGGTCTCCCCACCAATCAGAGCCGCTCAAACCCGCCCAGCTCACGACCTCGATATCCCGGAGTTTCCCCATTTCCCCACAGGAGCCCCCGCAATTTGGTCCCTTGGGGGTATACGGAGTATATCGCTGTCCTCTTGCCAAATATGTTGAGGATCTGCAATTAGGCACTTACTACAGTTCAACGGACCCGGATAAATCCATTTTATTGCTTGCTTGGGCCAGTTGAGCCCGGTTTTGCAGCGGAAATTTGGTGTAATTCACTCCGAGCCGTTGTCAACAAACGTGGGGGATGTAACCTTGCTCTCTCTGAGGTAGGCATATAAAGGTATGCTGCATACTTCAGTCCGCTCTGTGGAGTCCGTCAGCCCTTACAGAACCAATTGCTAAAATGGTTCACGCATTAGGGGGCATTGTGGCCACTGGCCTCGTGGCTCTACTGGCACATCCGCAGGCTGTCATGGCTAAGGGTTCTACCGGAAAGCGTAAGCAAAACATGATGTTTCTCTGGGTGCAAGACTAATCGCATCCTCTGCAGCAATTGTGGCAGATGGTACCTCATTTGCCCTCAATGGCAATAGTGTCTCATACCGGTTTCATATCGACAACACTACCGGTGATCTGCTAGGAGACCACTTCGGAGGCTCCGTCGGGGCTGATATCCCTCTTGAGTCTGTTCATGGCACCGCAGGTTGGGTTGGAGCCTCAGGACGTGTGCGCCGCGAGTTCCCAGACCAGGGACGAGGGGACTTCCGGCTCCCTGCGATTCGCATTCGCCAGTCAGAAGGCTATACCGTGTCAGAATTCCAGTACAAATCGCACGATATTATTGCAGGAAAACCCGCTCTGGCTGGTTTGCCGGCGACAATGGGCTCAGAAGATGATGTTAGTACCCTGGTCGTTCATCTGTATGACAAGTACAGCGATGTTGCTGCCGACCTCTCATACTCGATTTTCCCTGAGCACGATGCCATTGTGCGTAGCGTGAATGTTACGAATAATGGAAAGGCCAATATCACAATTGAGTCTCTGGCAAGTCTGAGTGTGGACCTGCCCCTTGGAGATATGGACATGATCAGTCTCCGCGGTGATTGGGCAAGGGAGGCTCATCGAGAGAGGAGAAAGGTCGAATACGGCATCCAAGGCTTTGGAAGTGCTACTGGTTACTCGTCTGCGCTCCACAATCCGTTCTTGGCTTTGGTGGATTCCACCACCACCGAGAGCCATGGAGAGGCTTGGGGATTTTCTCTTGTGTACACCGGATCATTCTCTGTGGACGTCGAGAAGGGCTCACAGGGCTTCACGCGCGCTCTCCTTGGATTCAACCCTAGCCAGCTCTCTTGGACTCTGCCCCCCGGAGAGACTCTGACCTCCCCTGAGTGTGTGTCGGTATACTCCCAAGATGGTATTGGTGGCATGTCCCGCGCATTGCATCGCCTGTACCGCAACCATCTCACCAAGAGCAAGTTTGCCAAGAGTGACCGTCCTCCTCTGCTCAACAGCTGGGAAGGACTGGGCTTCAACCTCAACGAGAGCAACATCTACAATCTGGCCAAGGAGTCCGCCGAGATTGGTGCCAAGCTTTTTGTTCTGGATGATGGCTGGTTTGGCAAGGAATATCCCCGTACTTCCGATACGGAGGGACTTGGCGACTGGGTACCGAATCCAGACCGATTCCCAGATGGTCTGGAGCCCTTCGTGAAGAAGATCACTGACTTGAAAGTCGCAAACTCATCAGAGAAACTGCGCTTTGGTATTTGGGTCGAGCCGGAAATGGTCAATCCCAAGTCGACTCTGTATGACGAACATCCCGACTGGGCTTTGCATGCAGGATCCTACCCTCGCACCGAGGTCCGCAACCAGCTTGTGCTGAACCTTGCCCTTCCCGAAGTTCAGGACTACATCATCAAGGCTGTCTCCGACATTCTCGAGAGCGCGGATATCACCTACGTCAAGTGGGATAACAACAGAGGCATGCACGAGGTGACTTCCCCAGCCACCCACCACGCCTACATGCTCGGTATGTACCGTGTCTTCGATACGTTGACCAGCAAGTTCCCCGATGTCCTCTGGGAGGGCTGTGCCTCGGGCGGAGGCCGTTTCGACCCAGGTGTACTGCAGTACTTCCCGCAGATCTGGACATCAGATGACACGGATGCCGTCCAGCGCATCTCCATCCAGATGGGTACCTCTCTTGCCTACCCGGCCAGTGCGATGGGCGCCCATCTGTCCGCCGTGCCAAACCAGCAGACGGGCCGTACAGTTCCTGTGTCTTTCCGCGGCCATGTTGCGATGATGGGCGGAGGCTTTGGTCTGGAACTTGATCCGGCTGAAATGCCAGAGGATGATAAGGCCGCTTTGCCAGGACTCATTGCGCTCGCGGAGAAGGTGAGCCCGCTTGTGCTCAATGGTGATATGTGGCGGTTGAATCTTCCGGAGGAATCGAACTGGCCCGCGGTTTTGTTTATCTCCGAGGATGGTCAGCAGGCTGCGTTGTTCGTCTACCACGTCGTTCCCAATATCAACTTCGCCTACCCGCGCATCAGATTGCAGGGTCTGGATGCGCAGGCCTCGTACAAGGTCGATGGTGATGCGGTCTACACTGGCGCAACCTTGATGAACCTTGGTCTGCAGTTCCCCTTGGAGGGTGAATTTGCCAGTCAGGTGGTGATGTTGGAGAAGCAATGATTGGATGTGAGTGGGACTTTGCTCCCTATTGATTCCCTCTTCAGGGCACTTTTTTCCTACTTTTTTGCAGCCTAGTTAGATACAACATTTGCGATCTAGTAGATCTAGTATTAGGTAATTTATACCGGAATTGTTTATTTCCCAATCTTGGAAGGTTCCTATGTTCTCGTAAAAATTCCCTCCAAGGCTGTCTGGGGAGAGCACATGACAGAATACGAGCGACTTCTTCCTGGTTGCTCTCCATATTCTTTTTCTTCTTCTTCTTCTTCTTCTTCTTCACCTGTCCACGCTATGCTCTCCCTCCACTTCCCTCTTCGCACGCTCTCCATCCTCTTCTCCTTTCGTCTTTTCGCATCCCATCCACACTATGCTCTCATCCAAATGAACTAGCTTTATGCAGCCACCATCGGCTGCAGCAGAGACCACTCAAGATGTGCTAAGGCCTATGTGTCAAAGCCTTTATGTGTATACAACGCACCCGTTCTACATGCTCCGACGCATCTGAGCAGCGGCTTCCCAATCCATGGATACTGTCATATGACTCACCTGGGCATTTGTGTGGACTTGACAGATACAACCTCCTACGCCAAACAGACAAGCCTATGCCGCCAACCTAGTTGTGTGGAACCAACCTAGGTAAAACCCCGATACTGAAAACGCAGCAAATTTATATAACAGATGGCTCCTTCGCATGGGCCATACCAGGACCTGCCAGAAGCTTGCGTCAGGGGTCAGGACGAGGACACTCTACCACTGAGGTCTCTCAGATTGCCGCGAGATGGGATAATAGTGTCCAGTGAGTACCTTCATACGGGAATCGGAACTTAGTTAACCCACCCTTAGGAACAGTCTCCATGGAGTCATTGGGATCACCAAGACCAATTCAGAGAGAATTCGCCCCCTGGTCAGGTGGTCAATCTAGCCTGTAATTCACAACAGGTATGTGGAATCTACTAATTTCAGCATATCCGACATGTCTAACAAAGTATGGACATCAGATCGGAACCATCACTCGTACCTACGATGATACGATCCTATGGAAAGCGGGCCACTTCGCTACCCAAGCTGTTTCTCGCACGATCTATCGTTGGTCACAGATTCTCAGCGGCGACCAGAGATGGAAGCGATTCACCTCCTCGACACTGGCGACTAGATTGATGATATCCCAGTCGCCAGTAATAGGTGGCCTGGGTCTTTCTCTACTGTGGCGCGTCTGCAGCAGCAGACAATGACCGTCGAAGGGATCCACGATAGGGACCGAACGCAGCTCACAGCCGGGGGAACTAGAACCGGGCACCGACGTGTCCTGCCGCTTCCAGACGCTGAGGACGAGGCATCACCAAACGCGGCCGCAGTAATCCTTCTCCAACAGTGTCCCAACTGCCACCTTGCGCACTCCCACCTTGAGTGGATACTGAACTGGGTGCACTTCATATGCCAGTTCGACACTACGAAGTTCACTGTCTTTACAGATGGCGCTCGACCGAACAGCAAGTATAGTCTGATGGGGTAGATATGAAGACCTGATATCAGGAAGCCAGTCTTTGGCCACACTCAACGTCCAGACGGGCGACACCAAGATAAGGAGCGGCAAGAGTGTGTCGAGACGCACGCTCTAGGGAGCATGGATGGAACAGACTGTATCGGACCGGTGACCGTGAATGCCTGAACAACGACGGAACTCTCATTCATGAGGGGAAAAGCTCAATCGGCACTCTATGAGGGCACGCAATATGTGTGGGGCAAAGAATGGCTGATGCCAGATGTCTCATTCTATGGAGGACTGATCACGATGGGGACCCTATGAGTGGGTTTTCCGGAGCTGTGCTTTGTCACACCGAAATCTGGGACTTTCCCTGCCCCCTAGAGGCGGCCTGAGCTGAACAGAATACGGAGCACGATGCGGTCAAACAGGGAGAAGGAAACACGTCAAGTTTCCACTGACTGGGCACTGGTTGCAATCAATCCTTCGCGCCTTCAAACCCAGCAGCACGGGGATTGCGTTTCTGGTAATATGGTAAGTTATCACGTCTATTCTTGTGTTTTGCTGCATAGCTAAGATGTGACTGTTTCCAGCCTTTCCCTTATGGAAACAACATTCAGTTTTCTGGAGCGTTCGACCGGCCAATCACAGAACCTTTCTTCAGCCTTGAGCTCCAAAAGTCCGACCGCTCTAGTCAAATCACATTCGGGACCTGCAGTGAGCTAGAATGTGTTATGTTCACCCAGGTCCGAGGCGACGACGGGCAGATTGCGATTGTTCCCACATGAGAACACAAGATTGCCAGCAATCGAAAGGGGTGATTTTGCAGAGAAGGGAGACTCAGGGTCGTGGCCCTCGTGGATGTTCAACCTCCAAGGTGAACTTGTCGGAATGTTGAGAGCTGGCGACGAAGCTTACGGCACTGGGACAATGACGCTTATATTTCACCACAGCACTTCCATGGGATGGTTAACAAAAACGGGATCCAGGACGAAAGTGGATGGCTTCCTTGAACATTAGCATTTAGCTTGGCGGCTACCTATTATTCAATCCAGTGGATATTATTCCATCCACGAGACCGAACTGGCAACCTAACTCTAGGACAATGGAACCATGGAGGTACAGCCCGGTACCGGGCTGTGGTTATATAAAGCAGTCAATGCATCGCTAATCGTCTCGCACCTCAAGTTCATGTAGGTATGTCATCCACGTAGCCAAGAACAAAGGCTTTACCCACACATATCGTACGAGCAGTAGTTAACTACTGCGTAATTAACTAACTAGTACAACATAAACATAAAATCGGAGATCGGGAAACCTTCCCATGGAAAACCGGCGAGTCATGGGAAGGGCGTCCAGTCCTAGAAGGCACGCTAACCCAAAGTGGCATAAAGACGAGTGTCTGTGGGGTAAAAATGGGTCCCAGGGCCAATCCATGGATGATGGCAAGGATTCACTTTCCTGATAAGAATTTAAAGTGAGAGCCTCTGAACCCTATCGAGCTACTGCATACATACTCATGTGATCGGCTCAACGGGCAACCCCGCCCGATATCATCCCGACATAAGTTCCCCGAGCGAGACCGGAATTGACATTATTGGAGATACAGAATTAGATCGTAATCGCTGGATAAGCTGTTACTCCACTCGAAGCAATTGGATCCATATATAACCTTGGAAGTTCCCTATATCTGTTTTATTGTCGATCATTCTCTCAATTCACCCAAGGACCAAGGTTTAATCAGGAGCGGGACGGTTAAGCATCAGTAGTCGCATTGACTCGTTTCACACATGGCGTCAAACAACCCCTCATATCTCATCATCGGCGCTGGTGTCTTTGGAGTCTCGACTGCCTATCATCTCATTCAGAAGTATCCCAATGCATCGGTGACTCTGGTGGATCGAGACGCATATGACGCCGACTCCCGTGTAGCCGCATCATGGGATTGGAATAAGGTCGTTCGCGCCGACTACGACGACAAGGTCTACTGCAAACTGGCTCTTGAAGCCCAGGACATTTTCAAGTCAGACCCTCTATGGAAGCCCTATTTCCACCAGACTGGCGTCTATTGGAATTGCCGCAGCGACTACGCGCAGAACGTCATCAGCCACCACAAAGAGCTTGGCCGCAATGACGATATCATCGCTCTACCTGTCGCCAAGGCGCGGAAGCTCTACGGCGGAATCTTCGATAATGCTGATTACACCGGAGTCAAGGAGGTCCTCATCAACAGGGCCAGTGGCTGGGCTGCCGCCGGAGATGCTTTGACAGCAGTTACCAAAAGATGTGTGGAACTGGGCGCCAAATACGTGGTTGCTGAAGTTGCAAGTTTGGAATTCGATGGTCGCGGCTCCTGCACTGGTGTTCAGACAAAGTCTGGAGAGAGATTGTCAGCCACGCATGTTGTCGTCGCTGCGGGCTCTTTCACTCCCACACTGCTAGAGTGGAGCGCTGCGAAGAGCGGCAACCCTGGCCTCAAAGCTGGAGAGCGGATTCTGGCTGCTGGCATTACGACAGGAATGGCACAGCTCAATGAGGAGCAGCTCAAGAAGTATAAAGACATGCCTGTGGGCTTCCAGGGGTATACACCCGAGGAGGGTATGTTGTTTTCCATGTAGATTTTGCAGAAAGGCGCTAATCGTCAACAGGTAAACCCTTCATTGGTAGCCTGCCACCTACCAAGGACGGAGAGATGAAGTGGTGGGGATCGAAGATCTTCACAAATACTCGAGAGGTTCTGCCCGGTCGTTATATCTCTTCTCCCCCACCGACACACGACTACAACCAGTGGAAAGTTCCTGGGCCTCTCAAGCAAGACATTGTGGAGTCAAGAAATCTGTGGTACGGACCCGAAAGTGCGACTTGGGAGATGAAGAAACACCGTATTTGCTGGTAAGTGCTCCTCAAACATCTAAGATTCGAGAATGAAGATCTGACATTCACAAAGGGACGCATTCACCACCACCTCCGATTTCATCATTTCTCCACACTCCGCCTCCAAGGGATTGTATGTTGCCTCCTGTGGCTCGTTCCACGGCTACAAATTCTTCCCAGTGCTTGGGAAATACATCGTCCAGATGATGGAGGACGAGTTGGCGCCCGAATTGGTGGAGAGATGGGCATGGGATCGACAGCGACCTGATTCATCTCAAAATGTCGAATACCCGAACGCTGAGATGAGGCATCTGCTGGAACCTACAGCGAAGCTATAGGGCAAGTTGAGAGCGAACCCAAGCTGGATTTGGGGTACAACTTCATAGATGGGGGACGCTGGATATACGCTTTTCTTCTTCTTGCATGTGATTTCAGCCAGCACAGACATAATTTCACCAATCATATGCATGGTAGCCAGTATGAGTCGGGCTTCGGCATATTTCATTTCAATGTATCACTGCCAACTGGAGAGACACCCTCGCCCGTTGATTATCCGTTGATTATCCGTTGATTATCCGTGTAATTCGACTGCTTCAGACACACATCGTCCAACACATCGTCCAACACATCGTCCAAGACGATGAACAGATGCGGTCTGCAATGTACCTGGTTCGATGGCAGCCGTAATTGGTTTTGCGAGTGTGCTTTTCTGGCTTTCATGATGAGTGTTGAGGTTCAAAGCTTGGCTTGGCGCTGGGAGATGGAAATCAAACGCTCGGACGGAAACCCTCTTATCGATAAGCGCATCTTTTTCCGTTGACTCTCCGCAACGAAATCCCAGTTTCTAGTCTTAGACAAGGAAGTATTCATCATGGCCGACGCAGATGAGGACGTGATTCAAACTCCCTCTGCGACTGCTGTCCCACCGCCAGAGGTTGACCTGTCCGACGAGACACAGGACTTCCGCTTCCTGAATCACCTCAATTTGTACGAGGTCTTGTCCGACATGACGACCACAATCTTCAATCGCTTACCTCTGATATATCTATAGCTTCGCCGAATCATCCCCCAATATCCCTCGCCGCGGCGAAAAAGATTTCGAACCAAACCCGACAGAACACCAAGCCGATGTGCTCTCCGCTTCGCGAGGGGCCATGCACAATGCGCTCTCATACCCCCGCCTCCACGCCCCCAAAACACGCATCGTAGCTTTCTACGCGCCCAATGGGTATACGCCTCCAGCCGATCGGGCGACACCGAAAGCCGGCGGGGAGGGCGCAAATCCCAACCCCACGAAACCCGCGCCAAAGCCTACCAGGGTTTCGCCCGATGCCTGTGTCTACGTGCCGAATCCAAAAGGACAGTTCTTCAAATCCATGGGCCAAGCAGATCCCACGAGCCGTGTCTGGCTGTTGCCCGAGGAAGCCCTGTATCTTATCGAGAGAGGCAGTCTGGATATCAGATGGCCCAGCCCGTCCGGGTCTACGGGCTCTGAAGAAGACCTCTCCATTCCCATGAGCTTGCAAGCTGCATATGCATGCTTCATCGGCCACGGCGGTCTGACACTGGAGCGGTACTCTGTTTATACTGGTCTTAAGCGTTTGGGTTATACGCTCATTCGAGCTCCCGGATGGAGCGATGATATCGAGCCGCAGGAGTCGGATACACCAGATATTAATGAACCGGCACCCAGACTAGTTGGACCTGGTCTAGCTGGCATTTTCTCGTCATTGTTCAAATGGATCCATGACCCTTACTCAACGGCTTCTACGGCCACTGGACCTATCATTGGCACTGGTATCCACCGCCATTACAGTGAGTTACTATTCGATCTCGCCCAAATGGGCTATTTCTTTTCTAACACTATGTATCAGTGGATGTATACCGCAAACTCGCCATAATCCCCTGGTACGACCCAGTCACCGCACCCGAACGTCACCCCTCAGATACCACCCCACCCTTCCGCGTCGTCTTCCACGTCTACAAACCCTCAACCCCCTTCAAAAAGTCCGCACCCCCACCTCCAGAGTTTCGCATCGCGGTCGTAAGTACACGCGACCAGACTACCATGCCTACGCTGATGCAGCTCGGCTCCTTACTCGAAAGCACCCCGCTGGATCCCCCGCGCGGGGAAAAGATGGATCGCATGATGTACATGAGATTGCGGCATGGATACCGCAATGTTATTATGGCGGTCGTTGACCAGGGCGTTGTTAGTTATCTGCGAGTTGCGGATTCTGCCTTCGGGAAGGAGAAGCTCTTTGAGAGTAAGGCTGTGCAGGGTCATAAGCGGAACCGGAACCAGAAGTCCAGGAAGCGTTGAGGGAATTCGTTGGATCATTTCTTACACGATAACAGTGTTCTGAACAGTTGCTTGCGAAAGTGAATTCCCTGTCATTTGGGAACTCGCGCGGGGTTGAGTCTCCATAAGGCCTGGTATATGCGCCTTCTGTCTCTGCTCCGTGATGGATCATACTGAGGGCTGAAAAGCTCCAATGGCGTCTTGGGCGCTCTTCCTCCTTTCTTCCAATGAGGGTTGCACCGGTCAGTATACCTCGACAGCGCAGCCGTCACAACATTTGGGCCTGGTTGTTCAAAACATTCCTACGAGGATGCTTCAGCTTTCTCGCCGAAAGGACACCTCATGTCCAACGGTCCACACATATCATATCCGGACCAAGCTCATGTCAATGAGACAGCAAAACCAAATAGCTTACGTTTCCTACGCTTGAATGCAGATCTATAAAAGCACAAAACGGAATCATAAATCATAAAATGCTTCGAATACCGTTTCCAGAAATTCAAAGGACACCTAGACGCTGTAGTACTCGCATTGCAAGGTCCATAGCAAAGTCCCTCACAGCCTATACATCTGACTCCTGCTCCGGGCCCCATCAAAAACACAAGTATTATCCAGCGGACCATACTGTCTAGTCAACACCTTCAAAGCCTCCTGCGCAACCAGACCCCCCGTCAACGAAGAAACATTATGCAACTCGCCCCCCTCAGCCCTCCTCAGCTCCTTAGTCGCCCGGGCGATCTGCGCCCGCGCTTCTGGCCCAACAGCAGCCCCGTCTGCGCCCGTCAGCAGCGCGAGAATGCGTTCCGTGTGGCTATTCCACAGTCCATCGTCATCCACAGAGCGCTCCTCTTCCAGGCTGCTAGTCTGGATCTCGTCGACGACGGAGTCCAGAATCTGCATGGCGACGAAGATCGGGATCAGGGAGTCGGGCGTGTTGAGCTCGTTGCGGATGGTGTTTAGCGTTGACGCGTCGCTGTCGATGCTTATCTGGGGGATTTCGCGGCCTCGCACGACCTTGATGTGTGCGGCATTCTTGCAGAAGACTTCGATTTCGCGGTCTGGGATTGCGGATTGGCGGTTGAGCTGGGTCTCGAGCTGGCGGACTGTGGCTGTCACTTCGGATAGGTCTTTTCGCGCTTTGGCTTTGTAGATGTTTTGTATGGAGACGTAGTCTGCGGATTGGGCTTTCATGTCTGGGAGGGAGCCTGGGAGAGGGAGGACGCCGTGGGTGGCGTGGAAGGTTTTGATGGCTGACGCGATGAGCCAGAAATTTTGCGATGATGCGGTCAGCTGTTGGCATTCGTTCATCTCGAAGATCTCGCGAATTGAGCTGCGGAGACTGAATGGTGTGATTGTCTTCAGTACAGCAGCGACTGCTTCGTCGAAGTTCTCTTCCCCGCCTTCTGGGTTGGAGGTTCGTGCCTGGGACCGCACGAATTCGCGGAATTCGGTCTTCTCTTTGTAGTTGCTTGGGGCATTGCCCTGGTGAGAATGCTTCCATTGCTCTAGGAAGTGCAGCAGGAGAAGAAGATAAGGCACATGGCCATGCTCGTGGTCATCCATGGTTTCTAGGTTCTCTAATTTCGCTGCGGCGGCAACTAGCTCGGGCCACGGGCTTAGCAGACGCAGGTCCTGGGTTGACTCTGGATCCGGGTGTGTCTCGACAATGGGAAATTCAGCCGGCAATTGCACGGAGAAGGTGGAGAAAAACCCGACTGAATGCAGGTACAGCACGGGGATACCAAGTTGCTTTGCCTCCTGGGTCAGAGGAGCCAGTGTTGAACGTCTAATTGGACCAGAGATGATGACCAGCTTATGCTGAGGCAAGAATTGAGGGTCTGAGAGGAGATCCTCGACGCGCTGTTTTGGATTAGACTTTACCTCCTTATATGAGACTCGGAGAACCATACCTTAGCGTAGTAATGTCCCTGCACATCTGGATTCAATTCTTTGAGTAAACGGCAGGTTTCCTCGGCACGGGATTTGCCCAAGGAATCTTCTTCTAAGAAGAAATTCACGCCCAGATCGGATTCGGTAACCACTGCTGGGTCCACGATGGTGAAACCACCAATTCCAGGCAGTACAAGGTTCTTGAGGGTTTCAACGCCCGCAACACCTGAGACACCGGTGTTGTGCTGACCGAGGGGGCCATCGGAGTTCACCAGCAATACGCGGGAATCCTCAAGCGCTTGTTGACCAGTTGCCGCCCACAGACGGAGTTGACGATCATATTTGCGCTCCTTGGAGGTTGGCCCTGTCAGGGCGGCGGGGAAAGCATCCGTCATGGTGGATATCAAGTAGTGGAAGCTGATGGAGCTTTGCTTTTTTTAGGCGAAGCTCAAACCATTACCAGACTGTTTGTTAGAATAGTTCCCGTGTTGTTTATGCTATTGCTATGCAATTGTGTGAGTTATTGATTGAGGGAGCTGTGGTCGACCTGTTGATGCGCGACTGCTTTTAGTAAGCGCTCGTTGCCTAATTTACAAGGCTGCAAGAGGCTTAATGCCTTGAATTCCGAGTCCTCGTCTTCACCTCTGGGATTTTACCAGCCACTAACTTCCTTCTAGCATACAGAACTAAGAATTCCTAGGATCTCATGGCAATGGACGCCAATGGCCCAATACTTTTCCGCCAATCAACAGGGTCCCACCCATACTACTTTATATGTCTACTTCACGACTCTCCACAAGCTTATGAGGAAGGCGTCCATTGTGGCAGTGGTCACGGGCAGGACGCATTTCCTGAAGTTGACGAACGTGATCGATGCCCATCGATCAGGTGGGGAGTCATATGTGAAGTGTTCATCGGTCGATCACCCCGCGACTCGCCACAACACCCTTATACAGCGGCGCTTTACCCGACTGCCGTCCGTCCCCCAGCGCCTACAACCCTGGTGGCCAGAGCCACAGGGGATCTCTTCCATAAGAAGCTTACGGTGACATCGCCTTACGGCTCCGTCAACCATCTCCCCTCATTCTCACCATCCTGAAGCAGCAGACGCTGCCCGAAGACGTTGGCGACCTGGCCCACCAACCGTCCACCTGCTGGTTCTTTCAGCGTCATGAGAACATTGTAGCCAATGAATTCGGCGGTCATGGTGATTGTGAGCTTGTGTTTTGCAGCTAAACAAGCATCGATCGGAGGTTACCATCGCATCCGAGCGTAAGCCAAGCATCCCGTACCGTTTCATACGTGATACCCAGCGCTGGGATCACAATGGAATAGCATCTGTCTCATCTCTCCAGTGAGGAACTCGATATCGAATCTGCATAACATCTAGGATATGAATGAAGATGAAACAAGATCCACATGGGATCAACATCATTCGGGTTCAGTCTTACACCAAAGAACAATATTAAGACACTTAACATTGTTCATCATGCATCAAAGGAAGATCTGAAAGAAGAGAACCCCCACTGATCCTCAAGTACCTGGCCGATCCCCAAATTTATACCATCCATTACCGCACGCTCATCACATCGATTCCACCTCATCTTTGCACCTTGGATACCCCTGAGATCGACTAGAAGAATCAGAATGAAATTCACCGTTGCCACCCTCATCTTTGCTATCCTCGCCCATGCCTCGCCTCGGGATGAGATCCCCTCCTGCGCAGTTCCTTGTATAGACACTGTCGTGACGGAGCAGACCAGCTGTGTCACAGACGATTTCAATTGTATTTGCGCTTCCCAGGCGGCGGTTGCGAAAGCCGGTAGACGCTGCGTCATGGACAAGTGTGGTCTCAAAACCGCTATGAGTATGACAGACTTCTATGCAGGCAATGCTGAAGCTAACTGATTCTACAGACGAAGTTCTGCCAGTTGTTAATAAGATTTGTCATGAGCATGGCTTTTAATCGGGACTGTTTGGCTAGAATGGCTGCTGGTTTAGATCCTTATTGTACCAGTTTAAAGATACATAGCTGTACCTTGATTAGACATATCTAAGAGGACTATATAACTACCAGTCAAACTGTCAATAACCGCTTAAACATTCAGCCGTTGGTATGTCACCTCCCATGGGATGTCATGGCTCACCTTGATGGCGCTCAAATTAGAAGCCAAACTCCACCACTACCCTGACGTTAGGACATTTCATTTTATTATCCTATTCTATTAACTAATACCTACTTAATTGTCCAACATACCCATAAGTACCCGAGCTCCATATGATCCAAACCCGGCTAATCTCCCCTCGATTTCTCACCGGGAGATTCTCCCCCACATTCTTAACCCTCAAAGTTCCCAGACTCCAACCCACCATGTCCACCATGTCCGCCTCCGCCGTCGAAGAAGCCAAGCGCGCCGCCGCAAAGGTCGCCGTCGAGAACCACTACCCCAAGAATGCCCAGTGGGTCGGCATCGGCAGCGGTACGACAATCGTCTACGTCGTCGAAGCCATCAAGGCCCTCGGCGTCGACATCTCCGCTACCAAGTTCATCCCCACGGGTTACCAGTCCAAGCAGGTGATCATCAATGCGGGATTCACGGCTGTGGAATTCGATGCTATCCCGCCCGGCACTGTTCTGGACGTGGCTTTCGATGGCGCGGACGAGGTCGATGAGGATCTGAACTGCATCAAGGGTGGTGGTGCCTGCTTGTTCCAGGAGAAGATCGTCGCTACACAAGCGAAGGAATTCATCTGTGTTGCTGGTGAGTTTGGAATTGACCCTTGATTCTCAATTCGTTTCGGTCTGTTTCGGGTTGACGGAAGTTCTGTCGCAAATGTTTTTCTTCTTTGCCATTGGACTTTTTGCGATCACAACTTAATCTGACCGATCGCATTTTAGATCACCGCAAACTCCAGCCCCGTCTCCTCACCAACTGGAAAGCCATCCCCGTCGAAGTTGCTCCCATCGCTGCCCACCGCGTTATCACCAAGCTCAAGGAACTCGGCAGCGTCAACCCCGTCATCCGCCCGTCCGCCAGCGTGAAGGAAGGTCCTCTCAAGACCGATCAGGACTTCTTCATCATCGATGCTCCTTTCAAGCCCTTGCTGATCAAGGCCGATCTCGAGGCTGGCCATGACGGTAACGGTAAGGACGGTGTGTGGGCTGTTGAGACATTGGCTAGCAAAATCAAGGCCATCTCCGGTGTGCTTGACGTTGGTATCTTCCGGGGCTTGACTGGTCCCCAGGCTACTGCTGCTGGTGGTGTTGGTGGTGAACGGCCTGTTGCGGCTTACTTCGGTATGGCTGATGGCACGGTTGCTGTTCGCAAGGCTGAGTAGATATATGGGATGGGAGTTTTGAGTTGTGATTTTTGGAGGATATGAGACTACGTAAATTAACATAGACGATACCAAGATTTGATTGTTTATCCTTGGAAAATTACGAATGAACTGGTGAATGCTTGCATTGTGATTTTATAAGATTTGGACTGTGGTATCAACATTGGACAGACGCTTCATTTCAAGTGAATCATGAGAAAGAACAGGGACTTGTTGGGACCTACTTGGCAGCCTTGCCCTTGGCCTCGGTCTCGCCCAATTTCCGTACAAAAATCTTGACGGTCCCTTCGGGGACCTCGTCATGGCCGTCTTCAAACCCAGGGCTGACTGCCACTGCCATATGGCTACCGTCGGCACTGAAGGCAAGGGCTGAAATACTATTGTGATAGTTCGGGTACTGACGGAAACGGCGCTTGTGGATTCCATCCCACATGGAAACAACGCCATCACCACCTCCGGACGCAAAAGTGCCGAAGATAGGGTGGAAAGTCAATGCGTTGACCGGGTAGACGACGTCGACGCCGTCTTCGCCAGTCTGACGGTGACATTTGAAGGCATACTTGCGTTCCTGCGACTCAGGCGACGGGTCGAACCACTCGACAGCGATACGACCCTCAATGCTGGAGGTGGCATACCCAGCGTCGTCAGGCATGCAGGCCACGCAGCGAGTCATGAACTTCAGACTACTCTCACGGCGCTGCCAGGGCTCAACTTCGACGCGGTTGCCGTCTGGGGCTGTGCCGTCTGATTGTGCAGTGAGAAGGGCGAGGGCCTTGAGGTCGTAGATGTGCAGTGCGCGAGACGCCATTGCGACCACCAACTTGGTGGCGGTAGCAGACATGGAGAATGGTTTCGAGGGGAGAGGTACTATGATGGGCAGGGAGTCGGGGTTTGCACCGGCATCTAGCATGTGAACGTGCAGTGTTGAGTCCCATGAGGCGGAGATGACGATATTGTGCTCACGGCTGTAAATAACATGGCGGACACCGGCTTCGTGGCTGCTAAGCACGGTCTGTTCGGAGGTATACAGATCAATCCTAAATAGAGTAATGTTAGGATCATGTGTTCAATTCAACCATGGCCCTGATGGCCCAAGGACTCAATGGAGGGAGATAACTCACTTTCGTACGTCCCAATCCAGTCCAGCTGTGTAGATCACGTTCTCATTTTCGCCGAAGCAGACATCCAGGACAGGGGCACGGTGCTCGAACTTTTGAAGCAGCTTGCCTTCACCAATTTTTCCGTTCTCATCCTGCAATTCATAAAGGTACACATTCTTGTCCCAAGACGATACGACGATCCGCGTGGAGTTGGGCTCGGGGGAGAACTTCAGTGCTGAGATAGCATCGGAGGGCGGGGATGCCAGCTCAGTGAATTGATCTATAAGAATGAATCAGATGGTCATGTAAAATACAATAACGCGCAAAGCGGAGGGAGCACTTACGAGCCATTTTGGGGAGCTGTGCGGAGTTGTAGGCGATCAAGTCGCAAGCTCCCCGTCGCCCTTGCCTTTTTTGCCATCGTCACCGCCCTGTGATTCCCCGCGCAACGATAAGAAAAAAAGCTGCTTGACATCATTTCTCAACACAAACACTTGCTCCTCACATTTCCTCGAAACTGCCAACATGCCCTTCGCACAACTGGTGATAGGCCCACCGGGCGCCGGCAAGTCTACATACTGCAACGGCATGCATCAGTTCCTCGGCGCAATCGGCCGGAAATGCTCTGTGATCAATCTTGACCCCGCCAACGACGCGACGTCGTACCCTTGTGCGCTGGACGTACGCGACTTGGTCACTTTAGAGGACATTATGGAAGAAGACAAGTTGGGTCCGAATGGTGGTGTGCTCTATGCGCTCGAGGAGCTCGAAGCCAACTTCGACTGGCTGGAGAACGGGCTGAAGGAGCTTGGTGGTAAGTCTGACAGCCACACTCACTCTGGCTTCGCTTTTACTGACATGTTCTGTGGCTGTCTAGAGGACTACCTTCTTTTTGACTGCCCCGGGCAAGTCGAGCTGTTCACACACCACTCCTCATTAAGAAACATATTCTTCAAGCTCCAGAAGATGGGCATCAGGGTGAGTGACAAATGTATCAGTCAAATGAGATCCAACTAACCAGTATCCTATTCAACAGCTCATCGTAATCCATCTCGTCGATTCTTACACCCTGACCCTTCCCTCTATGTACATCTCCGCCCTCCTCCTCTCCCTCCGCGCCATGCTCCAACTAGACCTCCCACACCTAAATGTCCTCACCAAAATCGATAACCTCGCCAACTACGCCCCGCTCCCCTTCAACCTAGACTTCTACACCGAAGTCCAAGACCTGTCATACCTGCTCCCAGAACTGGAAAACGAGTCCTCGCGATTCTCACATGAGAAGTTCGGGGCGCTGAACCAGACAATCATCGATCTGGTCGAGGAGTTCGGACTCGTTGGCTTTGAGACGCTGGCCGTCGAAGACAAGAAGAGCATGATGAGTCTATTACATTCCATCGACCGTGCCTCTGGATACGCCTTTGGGCCTGCCGAAGGCGCCAATGACAGTGTCTGGCAGGTCGCCGTTCGAGAGGGTATGGGGACCATGGACGTGCGAGACGTGCAGGAGCGCTGGCTCGATGCCAAGGACGAATACGACGAACAGGAGGAGCAGGATCTGGAAGAGGAGGTTCGTCTACGCAACCAGGCGAGTCAGATCGAGACCACGGGTGCAGCCGACAGCCCGGAGGACGAGGATGATGGGCACGATTTCGACGAGGAATTAGATAAATGGAAGCGGGAGATGCCAGACAGCGGTGTGCGCGTCTATCGCAAGTCCTAATCCTCCAATGAAACCTATATCAAACTCTTATAATCAATGTACAATAGCCAAATAAATCATGCATAACTCTAGCGCACCGAAACCTTGGGGGTATCTCATTCATAAACATACATTTAACACACAGCCTCCTCCCGACTCCATCTCAATCATCCATCCCCTCATCCTCACTCACATCCATAACAGAATCAACAACAGCGATTTCCCCACCAGCAAGTCCCCCAAGAACCCCCCTCTCCTCTGCCTCCTTAACCCTTACAATCTCCCTCCTCGCCCGTCGAATAGCCTCCTCCTCCGCCTTGCGCATAGTCCCAGAAACTCTTAAAACGCGAAATACACACCCGCGTTCACGACCCGTCCCCGCGCGCTTCTGTCCCGGTTCCGGCACGCCGGACATGTAAGTAAGCGCAGACCAGACGAGGCGGAAAGCAGCGCGGGGACATCGGATTATTGCTGTTGATGTTGCGGGCGAAAGGTATTTTACTTGTTTATAAGAATTAGTGATTTGCTCGTTAAGGATGGGTTAGAGTCAGCATACTTGTTATACCACTGGCTGAGGCACCACCTAGCTTGCCGATTCCCCAGTCACCGTATAGTTCGGCGACGGACTCGCGGATCATCTTGGCCAGGAAGCCCGGTGTCAGGGTGTCGGAGGTTGGGGAGTGGATTGCTAGTTGGGGGTTGGGGGGTTTGGAGGTTGGTGTTGAGGGCCAGGTTGATGGGTCTGGGTAGAGGATGTCGATGAGGAGGTAGCGGCTTTTGAGGCGGACCATTGTGTCGTTATGCGAAGGTGTGAGTAGCTAGGTTGTTGATAGTGTTTGGTGTGGCCCGGAATTGAGGTTTGAGGTAGATGCAAGGCGTCAGAGAAATGATAGAAGTATTGGGTATCTTCTTGGAAGGTTATAGAGGTGGATCAATACCAATTCACTGGGTAGAGGATGTAGGGCCCGGAAGTCTTGAAGCTGAGGTTGCAACTAAAAAGATTGCGACTGATAAGCGATAAGGATACCTCAGTTCCCTCAGCCTTGTCCTTTTATTTTCCCCTCTCAGGGGCCCCACTCACACGTCAAGTTTTAAGAGATTCCGCGATTTCTCGTACACCAACGCGATTATTGAAAATCAGGCTTCTACTTCTTCTGCATATTTCTGAGCTGAATCTATTGATACTAAATTTACATATATCCCTGCCAAAGTGGGTGAGAAATTTGTCCTTTTATTTTCTGCTGGAACCTCGTCAAGAAATGATTGCTCGCCCACCACAACGTCCATGAAGCATGTATTGCAGAGCCACTCCTGATTAGCAAAACCAACCTTATCGTGCCATCGTTGACTCCATACCTGCCTGAACACCATGCCAAATCGACGTCCACCAAAACGCAAGCCTCCTCGCAGACCTCCCAACCCACGAAAGATGAACGAGATCATCATCAACCACTTGAAAGATTGGGCCGCTGAGACTGCTCCAATCTTTTATAAAGACGCGGTGTTCATACCTAATCGCTCGTGCATCCTGACAGATGAAGACTGTGCCTTTTTTGCGGCATATATCCAAAATGCCACCCCTATGGAGCGTGAAGCTCTCCAGGCAACGGATCTCCGGACGACGTTGGAAACATGGGGTTTCCCGGATGAGATTTCAGAGGGTCTTGTGACTGTCTTGAAGAATGCATATAAGACAGCGTTGAAAGAAAGTACTCCAAAAAAGAGGAAGAAGCGTGTGTACTAGTCAAATGAGCGAACGCAGCAACCTCACATGGTCTTCTGCACCCACGCCAGAAAGCACCAGTCAATCAACTCCCTCCCAGACTATCCCAGTTCTCCGTGGGTTGATATCTCGCCTTGGTCTGAGCATGCTGAGGTAAATTGGAGTCCCTCTATGACAACACGTGAACTTGCAAGGTCTCAACTATCCTATTGATATCGATGAATACAGTAAAATATATCATGCGGCAATGGCACGTTCATTATTCCAAAGAGATCTAGTCATCTACTGTAAACGAATTAAATCAGATCCGTAGCCGGGTTGCACCTTTTTTCGGTGTCGACCCGTCAACTTGGTCATTCCACATGGATGCAGCACATCGATAAACATAACTGCTCAGAAAACATAAGAAAATAAAAACCAAGGGATGAACCATCCAAACTCCACCGTCTTGAATGGACGGACTATATGCCAGCGGACGGCGCTGCAAAACATCACAAACAAAATCACAGGTTGACCTCAACACGGCCCTCGGCACCGCCCTTCTGCAAGGTGGGGAGGAGGTAGGTAATGTCGTCCCAAGGGTGACGGTAGAGACCGGTGCGCAGGCGCTTCTGGTCGAGGTAGTGGGCAATGAGACCGATGGAGCGGCCAAGCACGAAGAGTCCGTTGAGGACACCCATGCGCATGTAGTCCTCGCACTCCTCGGGGGAGAAGGCACCGCAGTTGCGGAGGAGGTCAACGAAGCAGACAGCGACACAGCCGTCGACGTTGAGAATCAGGTTGTCCTTCTTGGAGGTGGTGACGGTCTCGACAGCGATAGCGTAGTCGAGCATCTTGGTGCTGGGGAAGTGCTTCTTGACGAACTCCTTGACGAGCTCGACGCGGAGATCGGGGTTGTTGCGGGACTTGACCTTGTGGCCGATACCGGGGATCAGCTTGTTCTCCTTACGCATGGTGTCCACGAAGTCACGGGGGCTCAGCCCCTTGTCGAAAGCCTTGGTGAACTCCTCAGCGGCGCCGTCCAGGGCACCACCGAAACGAGAACCGATGGTCAGCAGACCGGAAACGAGAGCACTGATAAGATCCTTGCCAGCACGGGTAGTGATGATGGTGTTCATGGCACCAGAGACAGCAGGACCGTGATCGGCAGTCAGCATCAGAACCATCTCGAGGAACTTGCTGGCGTAGGGAGGCAGGCGGCGGCGGAACCAAAGGAGAGACATGACACCACCAATACCGATATCCTCTCTGAAGACATCGGAGATAGGCATACCGGCGTAGAGCAGCTCCTGGCCACGGTCGTCGGAGATGGTGGAGATGAAGGCAGCGGGCTTACGGACAAGACCGAGCTCCTGAGCCCAGGAGTAGTCAATGGGGATCTTGGGCACAACGGGCTCGGGAGCGGGGGTGATGGAACCCTTCTGGACTTCGGCGTCGTAGACCTTCTTGAGGATCTGGGGGAGGTCCTCGAAGGTGTCGGGGACGTGGATGCCAGCCTCGCGCATGGCCTTGTTCTTAGTAACGGCAGTTTCGAGGTCGGAATTGGCGGAGGCACCGGCATGGCCGAACTGGACCTCGGTCTTGAACAAGCTGGCGCAAGTTCCAATAGCCCAGGCGACAATGGGCTTGGTGATGGTGCCGTTCTTGACGGCCTCAATCACACGGTACTCTTCAACACCACCGACCTCACCGAGCAGCACAAGGATCTTGCACTCAGGCTCAGCCTGGTAACGGAGCAAGTGATCGATGAAAGTGGTACCGGGGTAACGATCACCACCGATAGCAACACCCTCGTACACACCGTCGGTGTTCTGGGAGATGATGTTGTTCAATTCGTTGGACATACCACCGGACTTGGAGACGTAGCCGACGGAACCCTTGCGGTACAGCTTGGAGGCGACGATGTTGTCCATCATACCACCAGTGTTACCGATCTTGAACGCACCGGGCTTGATACCACCGACAGTGGCAGGGCCAATAATGGTGATGCCCTTCTCCTTGGCCGTGACCATAATCTCACGAGCACGCTTTGGTAGCCGTTAGCACTTTATCGAGATGACTTGGGCAATAGTGAGAACATACACGCTCGGGGACACCCTCGGCAATAATGGCAATAGAGCGGATCTGGGGGCACTCCATCAACTGCATGGTGGAGCTGTAGACGGAGCGGGAAGAGGCGAAGTTGACAACGGTGTCAACGTCGGGGTGCTTGGCCATAGCCTTCTCAACATCCTGGTAGACAGGGAGAAGGGTCTCGCTAGTACCCCAGTACATCTTGCTGACGAATTGACCGCCGAAGGTGTAGATGATACCCGCTACGGAAGGAGTCGAGCGCTTGCAGATGAAATCGAAGTCAAGCATGCCCTGTACGGCTCGGGGTTGCATACCACTGCTCTTGTTAGCTTGTAACAAAGACCACAGGATCGAAGCTATGACTTACTACACGAAGCATCGTGTCTTGTTGTGGAAGAGGCTGTGTTGGAGGGGAGAGATGACACGGCTGGGAGGAGCGAAGCGAGTGATGTTATCGTTGGCAGACTGCACGCCATTGCTGGCGGAGAGGGAGGCGGAGGGCATGATGAATCTGAATTCGTAATTAGCATGCAAGTTGGATTTCGAGCCAATTGTCCAATGTCCTAGGCAATTGTAAAGAAGGCCGTTGGAGGGGTGGATAGGCGGAGAAGCAATGGGCAAGGAAAAGAAAAAAGAACTTTACTCACTTTATGTGTAAACAAGCCGCTCAAGGGGAGGAATGATTAGGAGAAGGAGAAAAAGGAGGTGAGATAGAAAGGAGAAGATGAGAAGGGGGCAAAAGAAGCAGCTGTTGAGAAAAATCCGCGGGGTCAGTTGTACTCGGAGTACTCGCAGATACACCGTACAGCTCGTCCCAGACAGGATCCGCACAGCTCAACACTTGGCAGTCCGCAAAGTACCGGGTACTGACGATACTGTACCCACCCAGTGCATGATACCGAGGGCCATATTGGGGCGTTATGGGGTATTTATTTGGGACAAATATGCCATTGAGGGTTGAAATATCGATATTTGAGGTCTCTATATTGCTTCGAAGTAGATACTACAGCTATTACCATAGATATTCAATATACAATGCCCATTACAAAGTACAATCTCAGTCTGTAAAAAAAATGTATAGATCGTAATAATGTTTCGGCGGTCTGCCAAACTCAACAGATCCCGCACATCATCCGAGGTACCAGGGGCTAGAAAGTACCTCAATTCAGGTACAATTCAGAGTGTATCTCCAAGTACCGGATACCTTGGTGGGGAAATCCCAACGAAGGACCACCCCACCTTTTGACTTTTGATCTATTCTGGTCATGTCCCTCAACAGGTGGGACCTGCCGAGTTGTACGCTGTAATATCCAGAACAACTTTTTTTTGTGTACGCGGTACACTCCATACCCTTTCCCACCTTTTCCCCTTCTCTCTCTTACCTTCCAGCTCAAATCAATCCCTTCTTGTCTTTCTTCTCTCCTCCCATCTCTCCTTAATTCCTCACTCACACATCATGTCCGCCAAATCTATCCTCGAGGCCGACGGCAAGGCCATCCTCAACTACCACCTCACTCGCGCCCAGGTCATTAAGCCTACCCCTCTTCCTCCCTCCACAACACACAACCCTCCTGCTCGTCTTGCCTCCCTTCACTTCCCCGATGATAAGGCTGTTAAGGATGTCCTCGACCAGGCTGAGGTCTCCTTCCCTTGGCTCCTGACCCCCGGTGCCAAGTTCGTTGCCAAACCCGATCAATTGATCAAGCGTCGTGGTAAGAGTGGTCTGCTCGCCTTGAACAAGACCTGGGCTGAGGCCCGGGAATGGATTGAGGCTCGCGCCACCAAGGATGTCCAGGTTGAGACTGTCACCGGTGTCCTCCGTCAGTTCCTGGTTGAGCCTTTCGTGCCTCACCCCCAAGAGACCGAATACTACATTAACATCAACTCCGTCCGTGAGGTAAGATTTCCCCGCAATTTGCGTTCAATCGTAGGAGAAGAACGAAAACTGACATCTCAATCATAGGGTGACTGGATCCTCTTCACCCACGAGGGTGGTGTTGATGTTGGTGATGTCGATGCTAAGGCTGAGAAGCTGTTGATCCCCGTCAACCTCAAGCAATACCCCTCCAATGAGGAAATTGCCGCGACCCTGTTGAGCAAGGTCCCCAAGGGCGTTCACAATGTCCTGGTTGACTTCATCTCCCGCCTCTACGCCGTCTACGTCGACTGCCAGTTCACCTACCTCGAGATCAACCCCCTGGTTGTCATCCCCAACGCTGACGCCACCTCTGCCGATGTCCACTTCCTGGATTTGGCCGCCAAGCTTGACCAGACTGCTGAGTTTGAGTGCGGTACCAAGTGGGCTATTGCCCGCAGCCCTGCTGCCCTCGGTTCCCCTATCGCCGCCTCCAACGATGGCAAGGTTAACATCGACGCCGGCCCGCCGATGGAGTTCCCCGCCCCCTTCGGTCGCGAACTGTCAAAGGAGGAGAAGTTCATCTCCGACATGGACGCCAAGACCGGTGCTTCCCTCAAGCTGACCGTCCTCAACGCCAACGGCCGTGTGTGGACTCTTGTCGCCGGTGGTGGTGCTTCCGTCGTCTACGCCGATGCCATTGCCTCCGCTGGTTTCGTTAGCGAGCTCGCTAACTACGGAGAGTACTCTGGTGCTCCCACCGAGACCCAGACTTTCAACTACGCCCGTACCGTCCTCGACCTGATGTTGCGTGCCCCTACCCACCCCGAGGGCAAGGTCCTCTTCATTGGTGGTGGTATTGCCAACTTCACCAACGTTGCCAGCACCTTCAAGGGTGTCATCCGTGCCATCCGCGAGGTCGCCCCCGTTCTCAACGAGCACAAGGTCCAGATCTGGGTCCGCCGTGCTGGTCCCAACTACCAGGAGGGCCTCAAGAACATCAAGTCTGTCGGTATCGAACTCGGCCTGGACATGCACGTCTACGGTCCTGAGATGCACGTCAGTGGCATCGTTCCTCTTGCTCTCCAGGGCAAGAAGAGCGACGTCAAGGAATTCGGCGCATAAACAGTTTAATTCTTCTTTGATGTTTGTCCTTTTTGCAGCGTGTGTCCGTTGCATCTGTTTTTGTGGTATAATGCATGGCATGATATGACTTGTTTTTTGCGGGATTCCGGGGAGGGTCTACTACCGTGGATGTCACCCCGGCGTCTGTCCTGTTTTGCTGAGGGTATGGCGTTACTTCCCGCCCGGACGAAAAGACCCGGTCCTTGGTGCCGACGTACATGGTTCTCCGTTGATTAGATTTCATTTTCATATGTTCACTACCGGGGGATTTAGATCGTGTGATGTCCCGTCGGATAATATCAATGTTACGAGGCATTTATTGTCACAATCTTGCATTCGTAAACCCAGATAGATCACATACACTAGACAGTACATACATGCAGACAGCACGATCTACAATTACACTAGGCTACGCGTACGCACATTGCGCAAGTGGTAGCCTCGAGAAATGCACAATAACCCCTTTGCAGTATCCAAAATTACGTATGTAAATAATACATACCAATACGGTTGGTAATTTTGGTTTAAGCTTAAATCTCAGGGACAGTTAAACAAGCTCCAGTTCTCCACACAAGCTCAGCTACACCCCGGATTTTCTCAGGGATTCTAGAACTCCCAGCGTCCAGGTACAGGGGAAAAGAAGGGACCGTGCTTGAGTTGGGCCTCAAACCGAGGTGGGAGAGTGACTTCCGCTGCCCCGAGATTAGGGCCTAGATAAGCGTCGGACGAACGGGGGGTTTCCGTGGTCATGTGCATCTATACATCGAGGACTAGGAGGATGTATCTAGTTGCTTGTTTAGGACTGGGAAGGTGGCTTAAGGGTTTACTACAGTACATCATATGCTTCAACGTTGTTTCGGCAAGAGTGTTGGTTGGGTACGGAGTACATGCATGTACATCGTACTAACTATATCACCGAGTCATGTGAGGGTCACTTCTGGATCCATAGGTATTGAATGCCACTTGTAGATAGACAGGGTTAGGTAGGTCAGACTTCTGTATGTTGCACCGCAGTCGAATACAAATCTGAGTTATTGTCTACAGGTTCCATGTATCGCAATCTGTTCCGAGACCCAAACATACCAAATTCCACAAGCTTGAGCAGAAAACATTCACGGCCTTGTGAGGCAAACCACCCTTTTCTGCTAACCCCGAGTATCCATATCCCAATAAAGGAACAATCAAGTCCCAAAACGCTGCGTCATAGCGTCGACAGGCGGGAACTCAGATGATCCAGTCGGTGCCCGAGATATATTTGGTAACCTAGTACGGTGTTGTGGAGCAGGCTTTGCAACTTTGCCTCCAGCTGGTCGTAAGGAAATTAGCCAATGCTAGGTTCTCACAAGCTTGAGTCCGATACTTACCGTTCCGTCCATTCCAGTTTGGCCGAGCAGGGGGCGGCATTGCGGCTTCACCAGGTGTATTTGTCTTCGCTCTTTTGGAACTGCCAGTGCCGCTTCTCTGGTGCCGATGAAGCTGTTCAACTCCATCTGTGTTCACAGGGAATGTGGGAGTCTTTGGGTGCCGTGTTGCTGATGCGGGTTTCGCTGAGATATCAGAGAGAGGGACTGGCACAGAGGGAGGGGCGTGAAGCGATGAGAGAGCTTGGGAGACGGTGTCTGAGGCTGCGGTCTGCATTCGGGATCGCATCGCCCGGGCTTTGAGAAGGTTATATAGGTTTGTCATTTGGGCGAGTTTATTGTGCTTATCGCGGTATAGATCGTTGAGTTCTTGATTCTTCCGTTGGAGGTCTTCTTGCGCTGATTGCATGTCTGGAGCTGTGTTTAGTCGAATTCGAGGACCTGACTGGTTGGACCGACCTGTCAACTTGTTTTGTAGTGCCGTTATCTCTGTGTTGGCGTTGTGGATGACCTTGTCCATCTGCGTGCTCAAGTTGGCGTACTTCTCTGTAAGGCTCTTCGCTCGGTACTCCTGGTAGAAGCTCCTCCAGTGTCAGCCTTAGGTAGTCTAATCAAGGATTCGAGACATACATCTCTTGTGTGCTTTGATATGCCCAAAACCCAAGTGCCCGACCGGCACATTCCATGATTGTGTTTGGATCCAGCCCGCTCAACACACTTGTTTTGTAGTCCTCTGTTGGGTTCAAGATCGTCGATACAGCGTCATCTGGGTTCAAAAGTACCGTTTGACAAGCAGGGCAGCGCCGACTGCTGGTAGTCGGATGGCAGAGGCCGAGGCTCTCTGCGCAAGCATGGCAGAAGATGTGTCTGATTCCATCAATAATCGACTCAAGAGTCAAGCTAGTCAAGGAAACAGAAACTTACGAGCAGGTGGTCACAACTGCTGTTTCTTTCAACTCCGCCCGACACTTGAGAGAATTGCACCGTAGAGAAAAGTCCATGGTGTCATTGGCGAAGGGAGTTTGAGGCGGGATAAAAGTAACGTGGCAGTGGAGAGCACGAGACTTGGTTGCCCTGACCAGGTGATATCCGGTGCTACAGATAAGGCAACAATCGTGCAGGTGTGGAAAAATAAGAAAGATTTTCCAGTATGTCTATTATCTTGTTATTTTCGTTGCATCCATATAGAGCTAGAAAAAGAATGTATTCCCTTGAGCATCACGCCTTGTGGAAGTCATCTTCTCCTCAAATTCCTTTCCAGGCTCATACTCGTGCCAGAGACTAGCCGGGTATATGTGCTTATTTTTCTCATACCACCGTCGATCTACGACCTTGGTATCTGAGAAATCTTTGTCGGCACCCTCCAGTTGATCGTCACTTTGTTCTTCATTCGGACTGGTGACTGGGGGTTTAGTGGAGTAATCGAAAAGGAGACCGCCAGCACGGGAGAAGCTGGGTATCTGATTGGCGATGAAGTAGTAGAATTCATAATGCTGTGACAATGTTAGTGAATATCACCCAAGCATACCATAATGAGAAACATACGTGAGGGACAATGATATCACCCTTGACAAGCATCAAGTCATCAACGCTGACGCGAGCCCACTCTCGTCTGTTGTCTTTCTTTGCGCTTGATGCGCCATTGGCACCTCGAACGCCCATCTCTGCACCAACCTTGCGACATCGATCCAGGAACAACCAGACATGATCACCCTTCTTCACTTTGACTGCGCCAGCCGGTATACTCGTGCCATCGTAAAAGACGAACGGAATGAGAATTTCGGTATTCTTTACAGCCTCTTGCATGGCCAAGAATTCCTTGCGGAGGTTGTCGCGAGCCAGCGCTTCAGCTTCCAGTGATGCCTTTGTTAAAGCCTTGGGTGGAGGGGGTGCACTCGGGTTTGCCTTCATGCGTCGCGCAGCGCTTTCCTCGCCGGGTGTTTTTGAACCTGATCGTGAAACGCTCGAATCGCGTGCTGTTGCCTCTTCCGTCTCGTCTTGATCGTCGCCGAAAGAGAGCTTACTCTTAGCCAGAGCCTTCTTCTTCTTTTTCTTCGGGGGAGTGTCACTCCGGGGAGACGCTGACCTGTTGCGCCGCGGTCAGCTCATGGTTGGAGGTCGAGAAACAGCTCTTGACTTACCCGTCAGTCGTGTCACCTGCAGAGGGGGTTGCGCTTTTTGAATTACCGGATGCGAGTCGGCCGAGGGTTTTGTCATGCGCTTCGCGCTCCTTCTGCTCGAGAACCTCTGCGCGTCGCTTGCGAAAGTCCGAGAGATGAACGAGACCGACTGTCTGCTCTTTGAGCATCTCCTCCGCCGAGACGCTCTGGCCGGCGAAGGACCGCGGAGTGGAGGCATTGCTATCTTCCTCTTCTGCCATATCGAATTGGCAGCTTGATCGCTGGATATGGTCACAGTGTTCAGATAATCGAAGTGTTTGAATCCAGATCGGTGACGTCCTGTTTCTATCACGTGATCTTCATGTTCAGTGCTCACTGCTCGGAGCTCCTCTCCTGGGCTTCGCTGCAAACAAGGCAAACTCGCTCCCATGCGCGCAACCTTCGATCTCAGTCCTGTTTGATACAACGTTCTACAGCCTTCCCCGCGGAATTGGACATCCAGACATGATGGACGACGAAGATGATGATTTCTATGATCCGGTTGATGCGGTACCGCCAACCCAACCGCAGCTTAATACACAAAATGAAGCCGCAGGTCAACCGCAGGACAGCAATCACATGGATGAGGATGGGGTAGAGGAGGAAGAAGAAGAAGATGATGATGTACGCTCAATCCTCACCCAGTTGTCTCTCTCCAGCTTGCTAATTTTATTATCAGGATGACTTCAATATCATCACAGAGGCGCCAGCTGATGGCGTACCTCCCGAAGCGTGAGTGAGCTTCCATGTTCAAACCTGCGCTCATGCTGAACTTTCCTAGCTCCCATCCGCGCCCTGCAACCCTGCGACAGGACTCACAACGGCCACCCTCGGTCGACTCATCAGGCGTAGCACGGTCTGCGACACCAGCTGCAACTCCGCGGTACGAGACCGCAACCCCAGTGCCCGGCCACCCAGCTGCATCAAAACCCCCCTCCGAAAAGCCAGGCTCTGCCTATCCTGCAATCCACAGCTCAACAATTGACGTCAATGCAAATCCTATTCACCCCATGACCGGGAAGCCTATTATGTCCACCGACATGGACGCAGACTTCCCAGCCGACGACAAGCCCTGGCGTCGACCTGGCTCAGATCTCTCTGACTACTTCAACTACGGTTTTGACGAGTTCACATGGGCAGGATACTGTATCAAACAGCAGGGAGTTCGACAGGAAGTCGGCGCTCAGAAGCGACAGATGGACGATATGCAGGCCTTCATGGGTATGGGAATGCCTCCGATGCCTGGTGCACCGGTCCCTCCTGCTCCTGCCAGTGCTGCGCCGCCAATGGCTGGCATGCCTGGTATGCCGGATATGAACTCCGATATGATGCAGGGTATGCTGGCGAGCATGATGTCCCAGGGCTTGGATCCATCTGCCATGGACCCCATGGCTTTCATGCAGCACGCGCAGTCGATGATGCCCGGCGGTGGCCAGCAGGGTCAGCCTGGTTTTGGTGGACAGCCACAAGGCCAGGGATTCAATCAAGGTGGTCAGGGTCAAATGGGCTATGGTGGATATGATCAACGTGGAGGTGGTTACGGAGGCCGAGGGCGCGGGCGCAGATGGTAGTTCGATATGGTGCTCTACATCTTTTCACATCCCGATAACTTGAGTTCAGGACTGCCCTTCTGGTAATGGATTTACGGCGTTTTATGTATACAAAGGAACTGGCAATGGCAATTAACAGGTTACATTTTGAAGCTTCCGACACTGCACAAGTAAGCTCCAGCTCGGGAAAACAAGAGTAACCGGCGCTGCCAGTAATACCAACCAGTAGGAGCGGTCAAGTCTAATATTCTGACATGAAAAAGCACAATAGCATAATTTATCTCCAACAATTAATCCCGAGGCAAAGGTCAGTAGGCAAATCCAACAGCCACTTTGTACGGGAGAAGCTCATGGTTCGGTCTTGGCATTCTGGAAATTTCTCCAGTCTCGACCTTCAAATCCCCGGACGAGTTCCATCTTCTTCCCTTCCCCATCCCATCCTCAACTCACGATCTCCCCAGGAAATCTCATACACCCTCACAATGGTACGTGGTATATCCTGATAGCTTCATCAAACACAAATACCCTCCTTTCCCAACATCCGGAGAGCTACCAGCTCTCCACGCCCCGTGTTTTTCTTCCATCCCTCAAGCCGATCCCGGGTACCCGAAAACCAGCGCAATGCGCGCGAGTTTAATCCAACCCGTTCGCCATTTGTTTAGCTCGGAATTGTCTTGCTAATTTGTATTCCTTCTACAGTCTGTTCTCCGCAACATCAAGTCCCTCGCTCCCCTCCTGGACCGCGTCCTGGTCCAGCGCATCAAGCCTGAGGCCAAGACTGCCTCCGGTATCTTCCTCCCCGAGGCTGCTGTTAAGGAGCAGAACGAGGCTCAGGTCCTCGCTGTTGGCCCCGGTCTTCTTGACCGTGACGGCAAGCGTATCCCCATGGGTGTCGCTGCCGGTGACAAGGTCCTGATCCCCCAGGTATGTATTTCACAATCTTTTGATCCTGTCCGCTCCGCGGATGCAATTTGTAGAACTATATGCTAACAGTGTCGGTTCAGTTCGGTGGTAACGCCATCAAGGTCGGCGAGGAGGAGTACACCCTCTTCCGGGATCACGAGTACGTTTCCTTCCCTCTTTCAGTTCAAGAGAACATCACTGACAAACCCACTAGCATCCTGGCCAAGATCAAGGAGTAAACAAGTCACGAGACCATATAATCTCTCGACTTTTGTTTCGCCGCCCATCCAACTCCCTCTGTCATGTTGACTCAATGTTCCCTTTCGCTGTAAAATCGCGACATGGGATATTGGAAGAGACATGACTTGTATAATATTGACGCGACGTCACGAGCTTGACCCTTCTCAATGATCTCAAGAACACCGATCAAGAAAAACGAAAAATCTAGCGAATCGGGATGCTGGCTGGGTGATATTAGACATTTGGATGTTCTGTATTAGCTGGCTATGGCACCCGGATTTTGGCCTGTTCTATTTTGCATGAGTTTTTGAAGCGCTGGATTGGCCTTGGGTCTTGCATGTCTTTGTCCACTGTACTTTTAAATCACACTGCGGCTTGCCTTCTCTCCTGTGCGTTAAGCTAGGGTAGGTAGTAATTGCAGCTCTGACCATCTCCTCTCTCTGTTAGCAACTATGTTCACTGTTTACACATGTTGTAGGCGTCCCATGAAGCAGTTTGAAGTAAGTCAAAGATCGGCGGCTATTTATGGTCTGTAGAACTGTAGATCTGGAGACTGGAACTGATTACCTCGAACCATCAACGATTTTACCGAGGTCACTGTATCGTAGCATATTTCCTCGCCGGATGCGTCTTTCCTATGTTAGCTGCCGCCGCTTGTACGAAGGTGCTCAGTCTCAGCAGTGACTCCAGGATGAGTGCTTGAGGATGTGTCCAGGCACCGCCGCCGAGAGCTCTATCCCTTGTAGGTACTCCGTAGAGTCTGGATCATATTGTGAATATGATATTGTTTACTGTACCATGGGCAGATGAACTACTATTCATCAGTGATATACAGTTGCAGGCAATTCATTAGGTTCTGCTTCAAACGGATGGCTGAGGCCGAGTCCACTGTTACTTAGGACCACCTGAGAACTCACAGAACTGGCCTCCCGTCTGCCCGGAGTCCCGGACTCTCAACCTCCTCTGCTTGCTAAGAGTTTGGCAAGCGGAGGCCACCAGTAGCCCCTTAAACGTCAAACCAAATGGTTCAAAAACAAAAACATACAACAGTGAGGATTCGCTGGTGGTCACCCACCCAACTACTAACTCACCGGCGTGTGGCTTAAGTACAGTCAATAGTCGGGTGGGTGTCGCCTGGGTGAGAAATAGGTGAGCGCCGCTTTACGGTCGCGCGACCAGGGGTGAGAAGGGTGAGTGTGCTATAGACAGGGTGAGAATCGGGGTGACAAGCGGGTGAGAATCACCCTTAGCGTGACCACCGCACTGACCCTTATACTAGTGACACGAAGCGTGATATGATTGGATTACAAGTTCAACCTGAAACGTTTCGATCCTTGGCATCTGCACACAGCCCCAAAAGAGATAGTACTACTACTCCGTACAGTAGTACTACACAGTATGTCTTCAGTTCAATTCGTTGTTGTGGCTTTGTCGCCCTGTATACTCGCTAGTTACAGCCCTTTTACCTCAGTTACCTCAGCCGGTCCCCTTCGAAAGGCGGTGGGCATGGCAATCCACCGCCTGCCACTTCAAGAGATTATTACTCAGCCTTTTTATTTAGGTACCTCAGCATGCTCAGACTAAACATGATTCGCTGGCCATGTGGGGTCACATGATACACCTACGGGCTAGCCGTTTTGGTTTGAGCTGACCCCAACTTGGTTAGGTAGATCATGTGAGCATGAGCCAGCGAATCAGGTTCCGTCTGAGCATGCTGAGGTAACCTTTTTATATGCGAGCAAGCCATCCGATTAGGTTTAGCGTGTCAAAAGTTCGGCAGAATTCTGGATCATGTGACGCAAATCATGTGATGCATATAGTCTGAGAAAACTGAGGTAAGGGAGGTCAGCATGCTCAGAGGCTGATACCTGCCTATCTTATCAACACGTGATACCAACTCATCGTCCACTTTTCTGCGACATAAACAACGTATCTCCTAGAGTTATGGACACCTCTCATGGCAACTGAAATTACTCCACCGGGGAGTTTTCTTGAGTCTCCTTTAACACCGCCGCTTACCAAAGAGAAGTCGAAAACCACTCAGCGCGTGCTAAACTACTTCAAGCTCCATCGTGCAGGCCATAGCCCACAGTTTTGGTGGCGGCACCGGCTCGCTTTAGACGTGCTCCTAGGCGCGTATGCGTGTGATAGGTCGTGCTTTGCTTTCCACTAGGGGCCGAAATTGGAGCAGGGGCTCCCGTGTTTCGTACATCAATCCTCGGCGTCATTACGAGGCACCACATATGCAGGAGCGATACTTCATGAGATGGAGCGCTTAAAGCCCTCCAGAAAAAGGCTCAGTCAAATGCCATTAAAGAGAACCGTGCACGAGTAAGATAACATATAAGGCTATGGAATTCCTCAGCCAAAACAAGCATGACACAGACACCCCCGCCATTCCAGGTTCTAGGATTTCTATCTCTCTACTATCTCGGGTGGCATCATAACAAGCCAAGGCTATCCCTTGGATTTTCGAACGGTCCACGTTCTTGTCTATCTGGCCTGACCCCAAATTTATCATCAAATATATCCCCGAAGGAAGGTAGGCATTTTCCCCTTGCATTTTGCCTCAATTGCTCATTGGACTGACTATCCCTTTTAGCCAATCATTCCCCCTCCCTCACCATCTACTCCCACCCATCTTCATCCTCGATAACGAAGACCGCGAAGGATGTCGACGAACTCGGGTTTACGAGGCCAATGTGATGTTTGTAGTCATTCGAACAACGAACATGGTACAGCACCGTGTCCGGCCAAGGGTTGCAGTAACAGGTGGAAACGCTGTCAAATCACTGGTGGTTGTTTCAAACTGTCTAACAATTGGACATATCGAATGTGCTATGGGTGCCAAGACCATCCTGCAGTCAAAGGCGATCTCGATTTTGGCGGCAAACAGAGAGATGTAACTCGAAAGCAGAAACAGGATTACAAAGACACAGCCAAGGCCGGTGGTGATACCTCTAGCGGTGAAATCACTGGCAGCAGTCCTTACTTGGGAGGCAGCAGTCCCTGACATAGAATTCTATTGCTCTCTATTTGGCGCATGCCATTCTTACACCACAAATGATATTCTTTGACCGTGTCTCTCAATGTATTTGTTGGTTTGAAGAAATTAATTCCGTGGTGCACCCAGTGTACGGAGGAGTACGAATGGCCAATTTTCCCATGAATGCTTGGCCCCACTTGTATGCATTGATTGGCAGAAATCGTATCGTCAAAGTTCGTAATTCTACTTTATTACGCGCCAGCTCACCGCCTTTACGACCTTTCATCCTGAGCTCCTTTCCGTTCAATTATTTCTGGTCTTTTCGTTAATTCTCACATCAAGAAAGGAAAATGGAAGAACTAGAATCCCAAAGCCAGCATAACCACCGTATTGAATACCACGGCCTAGAGCAGTCAGACTCTACAACAGATTCTCAGAGCGGGGATGATGAAGCCTGGTGTCCTGGTGACGGTATCTGTCCGACAGAAACTCAGCTTCAATCATGTTATCAAGCCAGTCTAGACTCCTGGAGTCAAGCAGTATTGAGTCATGACGGAGCGAGTAAGTCGCTAGATATTCATTTGAAGGCTTTCCTCGGTCTGCTGGACAATGTCCCCCCTTTTTTCTACAAACCGCCCAAGAACATTGACTTAACAGGTGGAACGAAGTTCCCGCTTGTCTTAAAATCATCATTGCATCTTCAGACGACTGGTCACCCCAGTTGTAGCCAACAATGGAAGCCCATTGATTATCTCCAATGTCTTGGTTTTCCGCTGCCCACAGTCTATAAAACCAACGTCGAACAACCAGTATGCAGTGTCACGCTTGCAACACAGGATTTACGACCCGCATATCTCACAAGCATTGTCTTGGCTTGGTCATATGTTTTGTCTTCTCGCTGGGTTGAAATACTGCAGTCTGGTGGCAAGGATTGTGCCCTATTCCATGATAGTGGCGATTCGACAATCGAAAACTTTTGGGAGGTCATCACACAAGGTCGTTGGCTAGCTCGGGTGAAGAGCGGAGGGGCCAGCTCATACTCGCCCTGGATGCTACGAGACAAAGACGAAAGTCATAATAAACGGTACCGAAGCCAGCACTGTGTTCAATTGGATTTTGCTGATATGGTGCACCAACAGCTACGAATGGGTCCCATCATTACCGAATTCATCAGTTGCATTCAATATCCTGCTGAATTTCTGCATTTCGGATGGTCTCGAAAGAGAAATGCTGGTTGGATTTGCTTCCGTCTTACTACTTCCATCACGGAATGTACCCAGCCCAAAACTATCTCCACCTGCGATTATTTCTCGGCCCCCAACCCCCTTTCCAACACATCTTACCATATTCCATGATATCTTCCGAACAATTGATAAATGGATAACCTTGAGTGCTACCCAAGATGCCCTTGACTCGTTGCTATGCAGTGCCTTTTTTGATCCAACCATACCATGCAACTTGGTTGGATCTGCATCCTCTGGTATCAAAGAGGCTATCAGTTCAGACGCCAAACTAGATCACCAGAAGCTGCTGGATGCGATTTCCTGGAAGAAACCACACTTGAGCCTCTTATGGTATTCTCTCGTGGTTCATGATCAGGCATCACCAATCTTAAATATGTCACTCAAACGATTACCTCCTATCTGCCTCGTTGCTGCCATTTGGACAAATACAATCCAGACATTTCTACAAGTGATCTACCACTCCGAATCTACAACCGAAACAGGTATTTCCCGAGCGGAGGAGTTCCAGATGTCTTTCTATTGCCGACCAGAAGCATCGGTGCCTTGGGTCGCCGCTCCCCCTTTCGGGTTTACTACAAAGAGAAACCTCAGTCTTGAGATTCTCGCCCATGTTGACCACAAGCACTTGCCTGTATCATGGGCGAACTTTTGGGTTCTACGTTCAGGCGAAAAGATTCGGGCGAGCAAACAACATGAGTATGAATATCGTGTTTTTCAGACGCAATCGTTTGACACGCTTGGGTTTAATCATCTGAGGTGAGTTGAATTTACATGAGCTGTTATTACTCTATATTAACATACAAGTCTGGAATTCAAATGGTGCAAGGATGCCGACGAGCAATCTCGGAGCGCAACATCTCATCTTTTTAATTGGCATAGACATCACGATGATGGTCTTTGGCTTGATGATGGAACTTCGAAAATTGAAGACATTAGGCAACTACAGCACCATCCTTGGATCATTGATCCTTTCCACAATGCTGACCGGCATGATCCTCCAAATGAAGACAATCCATGTAGCCCAGATTTGGGTCATATCTTGGATTGGAACTCCGAAGTTCGAAAACATTGCCACACAGATCTTCAATCCGGACGTTGATGCTGTTTCCATAGTATTCAGCTCAGTGGGGCGCTGGAAGGCTAATCCCGTTATGATCATGTACTTGACGGAAACCTCGCGAAACAGGCGACTGGAATTTGACACCTTGGAGTGGATCCTGTCAACTGGACAGAATATTTTTGTTGATATCTTTTTACGAAGGTACTCTACACCTGTTCTGTTCATTTTTTCTATATACTGTGTAGATAAAACTTACAGGTACATGCTTTACGTGTTACTTGAGTGATCCATGTTTCATCCGGGCCGCAGGCCCGGCAATATCTTGTTCACCGTATGTAAAAGCGTCATACCTTAGTCCATTTCAGTCTCTCCCTGCAATAGCAGGTCTTCCACTTCTTTTCGCAAGCTCATCAAGTTTGTCGAGCCAAGCAGCTTCCTTGGCCCAGGAAATAATTTCCCGGCGGCATTTTGGAAGATCTCTTGTGCTGCAACCCCTTTGGCCAGGGCTTCTGAATATCGACCAATAAATACACAGTATATCCATAATAAGCATGACCGCCCTGCTAATGGAGGTCAAGACAAGGTCAAAGTCACACTTTTCACTCAGACGACGAGAGGGTTACACGCCTATGTGGCGGTAGTTCTCTGTAGACACAGCCCATCAGACTACCTTGCAAGCCGGTCGACCTTCGTCACATTTGGCTTTCCTTGCTCGACGTTGATCGCATGCCTAAGTAGTCCAATATTAACGACTGCCACTCTTCGTGGTTTTGCCCATGCTTCATGACTTACTTGTACTGCGCAAGCTCGCAGTGTCCTGGGTGCCGCGTTCTGATAAGAACTTGGATCATATGGAGGACAGTTGACGAACAGCATCGATTGGGCGGCAGCCATGAAGTGAGCGAGGGGGAACCAGCCAGCGGGGCTTTACTATAGGTACATGGCAATTGGATATTGCTTTTTCCGGGTAACGAGCCATGCCGGGTTGAAAAAAGTATTGTTTGGATGGTGGATTATTGAGAGTCGTGGACGAGGTTCTCGGAGATGAGCATGCTCAGACAAGGTCTGAATGCGGATTTCAATTATACTGAAACAGACGAACCGTCAAGTGATAGGTAGAACTAGATATTGAGCTACGTTTCAAGCGAATGTCTCCTTTAATATATTTGATCAGATGAAAGGATGATATGTGATACAATGCAAACATTTCCTCCCTATATCCATTGTGGCCTGAATGTTGCCACCGCTTCCCTTGTACCAGCATGATTTCGAATGTTTTCATAACTGAACCATCCAGTCGTTACCTTCCCTCCAGACAGAACCTCAACCAGCAGGTTTGCTCTATCTAGACGATTTTCTTTGTAGTGGATAGACAGAACCTTTTCGACCTTTCCCTTCGGCACTCCGTCGGCTGGTTTATGCGGCAGACCATAGTTATTGCCCAGGGTTAAAACCCGATCCCGATTGAATCCTGTGACCGATTGCCTCTGTGCTCCTGGAGCCTTGCAGATGACCAGATCGGACTGTGTACGCGGATAGACCATGCTCGGTTCAGGTCCGGTTCTCTCACTATAAGGGGAGATGGACTGTTCAGTGGGATAATCGGTAGTCTGGTTCTGAGTTGTTAGCTTTTGTCTACCAAAGGAAAATTTTTGGCATACCTTCAAAACCCCAAAACACGCGAGTAGTAGCCCGATCATGTTAGATTTCGGTCCAGCACCTTTTGTAGAAATGGGAGTCGTGAGGTCGTTGGTGGATAAAATAGGTATGGATCTAAAGCTCATCCGCTGGATTAGGAACACACGATATATATGTTGGAATAACTATCACAATCAAATTCTATTCTATACCTATTTAGGTAGTCACCCTGTCCATATGTAACCAAGCCTTGTGATGCGTCCAAAGATAAGGCATTAAAACTCCAAATCATCAGCGCTAGCATCAAAACAGTACCATAACTTCGTTCGTGTACAAGATCCTTCACGTAGACGTGTGTATCATTTTCGAGACAGTTCCAATCCAGACGTGGCCCTGGAATATTCTGCGTTTGTTCTAGATCCTCGTCTATTGCTCGCTCTATTCCAGACGCCCAGTATGCCTGCAGGCAGTTTGCTAGAAGCATGGAACGATGCTGAGCGGCAAGCCCTCGAAGAACAATGGCATCAGAAACCACATCATTGAGACCTTTTCTTTTTATGTCTTCCATAACTGGAAGCCCATTGGGAGAAAGCCATACCCATAGCCATAACTCGTGAAATACCATTATTCGCGGACGAACGACACTAGTCGGATAAACTCAGCTGTAAAGATTCTGCTAATAAAAACCAGAGTCTGGATGAAGGAGTAAACTCGTGCTTTGAGTGTCAGTGTAGCTGAAAGAGGCTTGAGACCTCGCTACTCGTGCTTTCCTGTCTGAAATGATGGGCAACATACCAATAACAGGCTGTTAAGCAAATCGGGCGTCCGACAATACTTGCGTACGCGTGTTTTGATAGTCAAGCAAGGATGGGCAGATGTCTGCCCAGGCAGACATCTGCCCATCCTTGTTGCATTGGTCGCTTCACCGCCCCTTACCTCAGCATGCTCAGACGGAACATGATTCGCTGGGTTATGCTCACATGACCTGTCTAACCGAGTTCGGTTCAGCTCAGAAGTTCCATATTGGTCAGTCTCCCCTTGTGGGGATCGTCAAGAATTCGCCCGATGTTGGGAGAGTCCTGTCATATTGAGTGTCGAAAACGAATCAAACTAATGTTTGGCATTTGCTCTGGGACTAAGTTCTTTAGGAGGCTCGGCTACCGTGCATAGCGCGTTTCCCGACGTAGTGAGAGAGGGCGACGGATATATAAAAGAAAGCAGCTTCATCCGCTTCATGAATCTTTCATTGGTATAGATTCACAACAACTTTTTGTCATCGATTTTACATCCTTCTCAACCTATCAGTTGACTTTTCCGGTATTCTAGTCTCAGTCATTAGTCGAACAATATGACCCTGAAACAAACTTCCTCTGACTGTCACCAAATGTCGACGCCACCAGATAGCCCAACGAAGGGGTTGGCTTCATCTCAAGCTACCGTGAAGCATCTGAAGCATCTCTTTGATGTGCTTTCAAAGGTGCTGCCTGACCTTACCAACCGAGGACCTACAAACACTCATGTCTTTCAAGAGCATCACCAACCAGGCCCGGGCATGGTTCAACTGAAGCAGTTGCTGGTGAAGCTAATCGACGATGGATACTCTTCATTTGGGCACTTCGTGGCAACTAAGCCCGCTCAGTTCTATTTGGCCGACAATCAACTGGGAGAGGACGCTCAGGCGAAAAATGCTAGGTAGGTTCTATGCGTCACTTGAGACTTTCACCATGCTAAGCTGAGCTTTATAGACGTGGCTTGTACGATACAACAGGCGTCAAGAAGCCGGATGTTCAGTCTCCTCCGTCAAAATGATGTTGGGAATACAGAATAGGCTGGTATTCAAGCTCGATTGAGGTCCTATTGGTGGCAGCATAAGCTCCTCTAATTCCGGAATGAAAACTTCGCTTGTATTATACACATTTTGTACACTGGCTCTGGACTGAAAACAACCATTGTCCATTAATTACTATATCGCTGTACGATTGATCTTCCATAATATCTACTACCGTTACAACTACTTCAATTGACAGAAGGCGAGTAAGGTTGAGGTTGAACCATGCGGACAGAATGAGTCAAATGATAGTACCTACAGATCTGGTACCTTCCACAACTAGCATCTTGTAGGGGCTAAGCTGAACTTCTAATTAGTGTGGACCTTACCGTCATAGATGACGGGAGGATGTCAATGCGGTGTTATATGAGTGCCCGCTCGAAGCTCTCCCACCCCTGTCATTCCAAGGCATCATTAAATGTGTGCATGAACTGCCCTCTATCATGTCGAGAGTATCGGATAATTTAGATGAGTTGATTGCGAAATTGACGAGATGGGTCCTGGGTCGATGACAGGACGAGAGTTACACCCACTCTATATAAGTCAATGATGGTGTTGAATGACCAGCGAAAAAGGCATCCCTCAATCAGACCATAAACCTGATATGCAGGACCTTCCCGCTTACAAGGATCCTTGTCCCAAATTCTGGGAGATAAGCCTAGAAAGAAAGGTTCGGTAACACCCGTTGAAGGATAGACCATCTTTCGAGCAGTCAAATGGCTTGCCGTATACGTTTATCTTGATCTAGATGTCTGGGGTACTCATCTCGGACACAAATTGACTCAGGTGGAAGGGGTTGGTTGAATGGTGAATTTGGATCAGTACATGGGAGATTGACCAGTATCGGCCCAGAAGCTGCGCCATAGGTGCTCAGTCTCCCCTTGCGGGGAGTCAAGAGTTCCCTGTATATTGAGGGTATTCCTCGTACATACAGACAGGGAGGGTTCTATCAGATTGTCTGCGGAGAACGAATAAAACGAATGCTTGCTCTGGAACTCAGTTCTTTAGGAGGCTCAGCTTCCGTGCATAGAAATGACACCTGTTGATCATCCCCCGTGCTTTGAGTGTCGGGATGCTGACGAGTCTGGCTAAGAATGTAATCTTTCGATGGCTCCTTTCTCATACCTCTAATAAGAAAATACCATTATGGTGGCTTGCTGGATCTGGCGAAGGTCACCAGTGTGCCCAGTTCTATGTAAAGTCAAGAACGGTCCATTATCATGCATCATAGAATCGCTAGTCAGGTATGTTTAAGCACACACTGTAGGAAGACTCAACACACGCGCAGACGTCTCACGTCTCTTCGCTCTGCTCAACATAGTTGTCTTTGGTATCGTGGTAGTTGTGAGATTGGCCGGAGTTCCAAGGTAGAGCAGTGAAAGTCAATGATCAACGCCCGCTCGATATACGAGCGATTTATGAGACCTCTTTCTGCATGTATAGCCATAAGAAGTGCAGATTCGACTGGCATCCAGTCGACCTGACAGTGCATACCCACCAAGTCAACTAACAGAGTCTGTCCATACATCAGCGGGCCATCATGTGCAGACAGCAGTTGAGCTGCACAGGAGCCTATTCCTGCTTTCCGCCGCCGCGGCGCGATAAACACGTCTTGTATTACCAGAAATCGGTTCAAGGGCCCGCGGTCGCTTCAACCATTTCACGTCCTCTAGGTCAATGATAACCATGAAGCCACTTAGTTCATCCCACAACGTATTGCGCCATCCGCTGTTGTTGTGGACAAGTCCGTGCGATCGGAGCACGGCCAGAGCTTTCTTGCGCTCCTTGTCGAAGAAACAGGAATTATCGTCATTAACCACACGCTGAAGCCGGATTCCAGACCAGCCCAGGATCATCATTTGCGCCATTAATTCGCCGTGGTACTAATATGTGACCCGCGGTTTGAGGGCCCCAAGACAGACGGGAATCTGCTGACCCCTGCAAGCTTCGGAGGTGGCGGCAATTGTCCACTTCGGTCTGAAGGACACGCTGCTTCTCTGCCGTAGTAGCCTTGATTGCTTTCACGAGATAGCCCGTCCGGCCACATATGTGCAGTGGTTCAAATCCCTCGTTGCGATTCCGTACGAGCTGACAGTGTAGCCGGCGCGTGAACTCTTGCGGGCCCATCGGATGTCTCTGATCACTAGAATGTTGCAAGTGATCTTAGAAATTGGGGCACCTTTTATCTAGAGGCTCTCGGTCGATTATACCTCGTATGCAGGCCATAGTGCGGTAGGATCGTGTAGGCTGTCTGTGCTTTCGAGAGTCCCGGCCTGATTGTGTCCTCTCGCGTCCGCCAGTCGGTTGATGCTTTTTACCTTGGCCACGGCTCGAGCGACTGCGCACGGCTGCCGTGGTATAAGGTGGTAGAAGGTGAAGGCGATTCCTCATCACAGCCGCTGCCAATACCACATTTTCTGTTTCATCCGAACCCTCTACGTGTAGGACCGGTAAATTACGAGAGAGCCGCCTCTAGACGACAAGGGGTGTCGGTCTCTGGACTAGAGCGACGTGGAACCTCCTCTAGACGAGGGGTGTTGTCGGTCTCATCTATGTATAAGAGAGGAATTGTCGTGTAATCGTGTATTAATGGCCCTCCGACCATGATTGGTAAGAGGGATGTCGAACGTCGATGGCCCATCATCGTATTAAGCTTGATCACCATTTTGACCTAAAGAATAGTCAATAGTGTGCCCATTATAAGATTTGGCGGCAAAGACAGCGTAGAAGGAATGGTTTGCTGTATAGATGCCCAAACTGGAGCCATGTAAAGTTAACGAGGAGCTCCGGCCAGGGTAGGAATTCGAGTCATGTGATTTCCCCCCGATACCTTACCTCGAAACAAAGGTCAGTGCCCCTCCGTTACCCCCCCAAACTGCACCACCAGATCGTCCCACGTCCATGTGACAACGTTACGATCGAAGTGTTCACTTAGCACCCTTTTTGTTACTTGAACTACCTTAAATTTTCTCCCTCAAGACAAATTCTCGCCTCCATTGCCTTCATTGGCCCACTTGGACATAAGCACGACAAACCTCCTCGAACCCGAAGAAACCTATCCCGAAACAGGCTGAAATGAGTGGGCAGTACACTTCGTTCGAACTGTCCTCTGCTGCCGAGCGCGTACGAAAACAAATAAAGGGAATGTTACCGGGAACATGCGCTGAAGGTTCGGACGAAGAGCAGCCAGAGAAAGCTCAAAAGCTTCCAAACAAGATCAAAGGCGGCGTGATGTATGGAGGACATATTCTCTTGAAGAGGGTATTAGAGCTGGTCAAGGAAATGGGTTCAACAAATATTGGAAAGGTAAATGGAGCCGTCATCCGCTTAATTGCCTAGCTCACCCGGAACGACAGGATTGGAGATGGACTGTGGCCCATTTCTATGAGGCTACGGAGATTCTAAACGATTCTTTCCAAATGTATCTCATCCCATTATCACCCAATTCGACATCCGAAATAGTAGAGGAAGGACACGCCGCGTTCATCAGGAATAAGCCTATACTTAACGCTGGCGCTAGTGTCATTATTTTTACACCTCCTCTCTAATTCGAACATTTTCCGAGTAAATATCCGCAAGTAGTCCACGGCATATTGTGTTGTTCATTCACTGGCTAACTTCAATGAGAAATTCTAGGACGATCAGGACAAGTCAAATATGGGTTTATCAAAGCCAATCGCGAAACCTGTTACCTATGAAGGCATTTTTTTTTCGTTGAAGAGTTACACATGATTCTTGTTACGTCCCTCTACCAAAGAGAGTGCCTCACAGTCACAGAGGACTTGGACCTGCACTCTATCAAGCCACGTGACCCTGCTTGGGCTCTTCACAGCAGAGACTGTCCGTAGGACTTGGACCGCTTAGCGATTAGTCTGAATACAGAAGCACCCCTTAATATTTCTTCACTCTAGTTTCAAACCTCTCATTTGGACCCGTCAATACGCCGGTCTTAAAAAATCTTCCGCTATCGGCTCTACGCCAATACACAGTACTCAACGCTCCGCACGTGAGCCCATGTGCAAAAACTACAGGAAGGCGCGGAGGGTGAAGCATAAATAAGGATTCATCTCCGTGGTAGATAGATAGACAGACACAAAATACAATTCCTCTTGGTTGGAGAACAAGTTCACGTGCTGTTTGATATACCTTCTAGTGTTATCATCCAGCATTTTTGACCTTCTTTGTATATCTTGCTACCTATATTATTGGTAATCTTCAGAGGCTCAGTTCCTCGAATGTAAAAACTCGTCAACCCCCCTCGGGTGAGGAGTGTTTTCCGCCCAGATTGAGTGTTCGAGATTAACCTTCATTTGAATGGAAGTCAAATATACATCGAATATTTACAGTATCAGAGGCTGACTGTACTCCTACAAGTCATCCATGTTCTGAGGCACGAACTGCGCCAGTAAGGAAGATGTGTCCTGCGATAAATCGAAATCCTCCAAGGCCATCGGCAAGCCAAGTTGCGCGGCATTGAAAATGTTGTGGGGTACAATGTCCGAACTGATGGGGAGTAGAGCATGGTCAGGTTGCTGTGAATCAAACGTGTCCTGCGATAAATCGAAATCCTCCAAGGTCATCGGCAAGCCAAGTTGCGCGGCATTGAAAATGTTGTGGGGTACAATGTCCGGACTGATGGGGAGTAAAGCATGGTCAGGTTGCTGTGAATCAAACGTGTCCTGCGATAAATTGAAATTCTCCAAGGTCATCGGCAAGCCAAGTTGCGCGGCATTGAAAATGTTGTGGGGTACAATGTCCGAACTGATGGGAAGTACAGCATGGTCAGGTTGCTGTGAATCAAAAGTGTCCTGCGATAAATCGAAATTCTCCAAGGTCATCGGCAAGCCAAGTTGCGCGGCATTAAAAATGTTGTGGGGCATCAAACGAAACTTGACCGGGAGTAAAGCAGGGTCAGGTCGCTGCGAACGGAGCATGCTGTCGTCCACTGTATTTTCCTCTAGCTCCAGTGTAGAATTGCCGTGCCCTTGGTCGGCAAGAGCATAATTTGGTGCATTGGCGCTAGGAATTTCCAGGGAATCGCTGTGTTGGCGACCATCAGAGCTTCGTATCCTGGCTGCTTGAGCAGTTGTCTCCGGAAAAATAAGGTGCGAATGGCTCAAAACTCTTTGCGGCAAACACTCATTCGGCTGCGCCCGATCCCGATTTGGTTGCGATCCCCCCTGCTGGCATGAATCCCAATTGGACGCAGCATCTTCGGGGGCTTTATCAGTGTCCTTTTTGTTGCATGTGTCGAAATTGACAGTGGAGATATGAGAATGCTGGGATGATTCGTTATCAACCCATGTTATTGATTCCTGGTATGGTGCAGATGAATGTCTTACGCCAAAGTTAGGATACCTCTCGTCATAATAGTAAGACACAATAGATTTCCAGGATTGCAAGAGGAAGTCTCGAATACTAAATTGTGGAAGGGTTTCAAGGTAGCCGTTGATGGCCTCAAATTCTGTCTCGTGCCAATTATTGACCTCGAACCTAGTCACAGTCAGAATTGCCAACAGAAAGTCCCGAAAGACTCACGGTTTTGTGGGAGCTTGCGACAAGGACAATATCATTTCGACGTAGTCCAGCTGATCCCATTTCCATCCCCACAACGAATAGGAAGAGATCCTTTTTTTCCGTTCTTTATGGGCACTCTGGTCAAGATCTGGCCAAAAACGCTGACACAAAGCACGAAGTGAAGAGGTAAGAAGTAGGTGGTTGCGAATTGTAAAGCCGGTTGGTCTGCCTTTTGTTGGTCGAGTTCTCTCTCTTTTTCTCATCATAGTATTTGCTCGATGACATTTTTCTTGTTCTGCAACGACTTGTCTAGACAATATCACCAGCAAGCATTTGCGTCTAGCCGGGTCAACTTCTCGCATTCTTTCCAAGTCATCAAAAGAGCGCAAGAAAAGGTCACCCTCTGGTGTTTTTCCGTGCCAGAATAGACAAGGCTTCGCAGTCCATAGCAGCGAGCACACCTTTAAGGCTTTGAGTGCGTCTTCACTTACTTCCCATCGTCTCGTGAGTGAAACAAGCCGATCCACTTGGACTCTGGATAACCCATCCCCATTTTGCGATTTGAATCTAGAGAAAAAGTCGCGGCGCCGAGACGAGGAAGTATCATGGCCGTTTTTCTTTCTAAGCTTTTTCACAAAAACTTCGTGGAGTGAGTTTATCCAGTCGGGTGATTCCAAAACTTTTCTCAATTGATCACCGATTTCCTGATCAACGAGCAGTCAACACCGATACATCATTCAGCCAGCGCGGCACTAACCTGATCCCCGGCCTCGCGGACAAGCCTCTCGAGCCTCTCCAGGGTGGTGTGCACTTGCTCATCATACTGTTTGTTCTAAATCAATTTTGATATCCAATTGACTTTATGAGAAGGTATTGTTACCTTGTTGTCCTTATTCATTATTGGTGGGGGGGGATAGGTAACTTCGAAAGATGGCGTGAAAGGGAAGCTACAGCGTGAATGCACACGTGGTGGATTCTAGAGAAGCCAAGGGAAACCAATCCGAGATCAATGGATGAACGGATTGAAGAGAGAGGAAGACATAAAGCGGAGGCGAGGACACAATGTATGCCTCGCTTACGCCATACGCTAAGCCGTCTCTAGTCCGCAACCCGGAAAGACAATGGGGACATCTCTCATAGGAAGAACGAGCTGCAGATGCACGCCCCCTTGTCGGATTGATCGAGATCTACCAAAAGTCCGCTCAACCCAAGGCACCCAATGGCAGGCTACCAATTATACTGACTACAGCATCGCCTCAATTATCTGCAGGGGGCGGGCGCGTAGCACCCACGGAGAAGACTACACGTTAAACCAGATTTCTCAGACAAACCCTTCAAGTCGTATTTGACAACCTAGGGCAAATCTCTTCTTCAAGCACTCAGGATTTTTTGCTGCCAGCGCAACCTCAACTTCGATCAACGGAACCGTTCAGTTCAACTCAAGAGAGAATCAGCAAGCGAGACAGTATTTCGTCGCTAGGAACTTCTGATTCATCTTGGTACTTCTGTCCCCAGACTCGGAAACCAGAGGCGGGATAAAAAGCTTCTTCGCTGACTCCTTTCTGGTTCTTCTTTCTTTCCTCCTTCATTGTTGTTCTTCTAGTTGAATGCACTCTTTATTACGGAAGACTTGGGGCACTTAGCCTGTAACACTGTGTAGACTGTAGAATAGAATGTGTTAGCTGTTCGCCCCAGATAGTGAATAGAGAGCGTCCGCATCCGTGGTGACGCGGTGTCGACAAATCAGAGATCGTACAGCCTCTCACAGAGGTGATACTTTTGCGAACCTGCATAAGTTGATAATCCGCACAACTTTTTCCTCGTGACTACCCCTCCTCAAGTCAACTCCTTCCTCTACTTATTGAGAACGCTGCTATCTTCCCTCCTTCCTTCCTTTCTCTCTTTATTTCGTTCACTCTTCCATGTAACCAATTACTTTCCACTCTTCGAATTACCGAATCATGTCTGCAGCTGCTGTCGTCTCCCAGCTACGAGGAAGAAGAAGAAGAGGGCATGGTAAAGGAGTTATATGGCTACTACGGTAAGAGACCGGATGCGGCGGATTGGAAGTCATGATTTTATTCGTCCATTGAGTCTCCCCGGTCTAGGTTCTGGAGACTGTAGAAATCTATTAGACAAAATTTACCTGAAACACACTCGGACGTGGGTCGCGATCTGGAACAAGCAGAAGAGAATATAGTGGTTTGCTTATGGGCACATAACTATGTCTGCTGACTGATGGCGCTGCACGGCAACTCACGCATTGCTCCTGCCATTTTCCCTTATATCCTAGCCTTTCATTGACCAGGGCAGAAACGAACGTCAATAAACTTTTCAGCCCTGTTGGGCGCCCCGTAGGATCTCTTTCATCCTATCATATATCCCATGAACTGCACGAGGAGGCACAACGTGCACTACATATCGATTAATGGCAACCATGGGGTGACAGTCGAGCCGCGACTACAACTTCGGCACAGGCACTTGTGGCCTCATATGAAGAGAAATTGAATCCTGCTGGAAATTGAATTACATGGAAGCAATGACAAAACACACAAAGATCGGACGGTCGCCAATAACAGGATTATTCACATGTTACAGCCTCTACAATGACTTCATCGGGATATTCTTTCGAGCTCTTCCGCGCCCACAATGGAAACCGGAGCGGAGAGCGACTGACAATACCAAGATTATTCACATGTTACAGCCTCTACAATGCCTCCACCGGAATATTCTTTCGAGTTCTGTGCGGATACAGATTCCCCCATTCGATAAACCCTTTTTACTATACACGGATGGCTCCAAGGAATTCGGGTTCGGCGTGGCTCTACACCAGGTTGACGATGCGTCGATGCCTTCACACTTGTTGTTATTCAGGTTGTATCACTCTACCCTTACAGGTCTGGTCTTTATGGCGCCCTACACCCTTATGGTGGGCGGTACGCCGGTCACTGCGGCCAGTGACATTTTTTTCGGAGGGGGCATCTGTCACGTGAGCAGGCCTGTAACCCCACCTTCCTGTTTTCCCCTCCGGTAGCTAGCCTTAGACAATACATCACAGTTTACACGTCTTCCCCTTACACCCTCACCAGGACAGATCCCGTGTGGTATGGTTAGCGCAAAATATCAACCAATAGACTGATGAGAATAGTATCCACTACTACATGATTGGCCTATATTACCCCACTAGCTAACAGGCCAGCACCTGGCAATATTTCATTAGCTGCTATTGGTCTACTAGCTACAATTAATGAATATATTTCTCGTTTAGCTCCGTTTAATTTACACTATTTATGCGTTACTGTTACATTACCGTGATTAGCCAATAGGAACGTGATATTCCAATGCGCTAGTAATTGCGGGATCTGTCCTGGTATTGACGGCGAAGGGGAGTGTCTACTCTCAGGTCTGTCCGGGTGAGGGGTTAGGCAGAAGATCATGTGATTTTTTTCGGGCATTCTTGATACGACGTGACAGCCCCGCCTTCTCCCTCACTCTGTCTGATCATAATCAGTGACCTTTTCGAACGACAGCCATACGGTTTGCATTAGCCTCATGCATTGTGAAGCTTTTTATCACTGACTTCGAAGACCTTCAGACAGCCGTTGTGAATATCACCGATGGCGGCCAAACCTTTGTGGGATAATGCCAAGAACATCATGTTAGAGATGAGGGACCTCATCCAGCGTGGAAACACAGAGCGCGTGAAAGAGAGTCGATTTGGGTGGCAATATCGACTTCTGGATCAGTGTAAAGCGATAAAAGCCGACATGGAAAGCCAAGGTTATAGAGTACGTCATCTCTCAACGATTAACGATTTCCCGAGTGCAATCTAACGAGTCGATCTAGGTCCACGATTGCACCGTTTTTCACTTTGCTTTGGCCGCGAGGATCGAAAACCCTACGAAGCGACTCTTGCTTGTTCCAATCAAAGGGATTGCGAGTTTGACACCAACAGAATCTCTTTCGCCGAACTCATACTGGGATATCAAAGATGCTGATCGAGTTCTCACACCAGATGAAATCAGCGGTGCGGATATCATGATAATTACGCTTGATGGAGGCGAAGGACAGGAAGGCTAAACGAGCGAAGCCTTGACGATATTGGAGGTACCACATGTACAACAATCAGGATAGGAACAAAGTGAAAGTGCATACGAGGCTTGACTTCTGCATATTTGGTTGATCGCTCAGCATGCGGGAAGAATAGTTGGCAGTATTCAAGACCCGACACATTCGGCTTCTGCACGGACGGTATAGCTTCGAGCATCTGGGGGCATGCTCGGATGATCAGATAGATTGAAGACATTGGGAACTGGACGATCTTGGGGGTGTTGGGTATACGAAATGAGGTTGGGGTAGTCCAATGTATTGAAGATATTGGGATCTTGGGGAGCTTGCATATCTGCAATGAGGCTGGGGTAGTCCAGTGGATTGAAGACATAGGAAAATGGGGGAGCTTGCATATCTGCAATGAGGCTGGGGAAGTCCAGTGGATTGAAGACATAGGGAAATGGGTGGTCTAGAATGGCCTGTGTACTCAAAAGATTGGGATACTTAAGGGAATTGAAAACATCCATAGGTTCAATGTTTGACTCGCTCATATTACTGAATTGCTGGCTTCGACGGATGATTGAAATGTCTCTGCTCTCAAGATTTGCATTGGCAGCTGCTTCTCCGTCGCTGAGCCCCGAGGTCTCATGGCCATCAAGACGCCCATGAGCATTTTGATTTCCATGTGTCGGACCCTGTTGCGTCAAATGAAGCTGATGGTCAAGATCTGGAGCTCTGGACACACTCCGCGATCGAGAGGCAGGTAGCTGGTCGATGCATCGTGACGGTGGATGTGTCTCCATAGTTGTGTCATCGTCAGCCTGAAATGACTGTTGGATAATGTCATTCGACTCCGAAATTCTATCTCCCATAGACTCAGCTGTGTGACCATTTGACGGCTCGTCGTGACTTGCGGGACTTGTCGTTGGCAGAACTGGATCCGAATTTCGCAGCAACTGATTGCTTAGCAACTGCACATGTCCTGTCCGCTGGGGTTTCTGTCCTTCACAGGTAGGCCGCCAGCTGACCTGAAACTCCTGCCCCGTCATGTCTGATGATGGAGGGGAGATGTTAGCGGGTAATGCTCTGGTACAGAAGGCTGCCCCATTAAAACGCTCTTGAGCCGATTCGGGACTTTCCGAAGAAGATTGCTGCCCTGTCGAAGCTTGCTCCCTTTCTAAACTTTGTTCTTTTTGGCACTCCATATCTCCATCCCCTGGACTTCGTGACAAAGCTTCATCTGGGTCTGGAGGCGAGTAGTGTGGATGACTCAAAGACGACTGCTGGGGTTCCTGTTCTGTTGCAATGCAACCGGAATGGCCTTCTAAATCCGGTGTTAGAGACATCTGTCGGCGTGGGTGGGATATGTATACGCACTGTCACAAGTAGGCTGCAATTCCAGGAGACTCAACAATTGCATCCCTGCCTGTTTTCCAACCCACAAACTGATCGAGATATCCCCATTGTCATCCCGAGGAACCATGGCCGTCACGCATCCGGTTCTAGGGTCGCCTGCCCGTCGTTCTGTGATCCACAGACGACTAGTTTGGATGGCTTCTTGGATGATTGTCCCCAATACATATATACGATTTGTTGGCGCATTTGAGAACATAAATTGAACATCTGATGATGCGTTGTTAAGATAGCGCCTGTTTAATAGAGACTTGGAACTTACGCCTTCCGCTTGCCATTGCTTGCGATTGTTCTCGTTCGCCGTTGTTCTGTATTTCAGGTAACTGGCCCAAGTTTCGCTGTGGGAATCTCGGATCTGCAAATGTCAGTTTCATTCATACTACCGTCAAGAGTAGCATACCGTTCCTAGAGTAAAGACCCTCACTGGAAGCCAGTGACCGTAGTATTGGGTGGCCAAATTCTCCAGAGAGCCCCTTGACCCTCGCAAGGAGAGCAGAACGATTGGTCTGACTCATGTGTGCAATCTTCGCTTGGCCCAAAGCAATAGCACATAACATAACGAGAGCAGGACCAGCGCCATCATTAATCTCAAGCAAATCCTGTAAGAACAACTTGTATCTGTTACGTTTGGTAGATTCTTGCACCTCGTGCAGAATTTTGATAGCGTGTTTTACGTGTTTAGACTGGTTGCTGTCGATTCGGCCAAGCGTTCTGAGGCGCCTGTTGCAATCTCTGAGGCTCAGCAGAGCCTCAGGCTCATTGACCGGCTTCTGGCATCGGACACGTCGCGACATCTTAATATTAGCTTTGTGAACTCGATTGTGAACGCTGGTATAAACGGCGGTGGACGGCAGTGTGGATGGCAGCGCGGAGTGAGTTGGGATGGCAATGTGGATGGCAATGTGGATGGCAATGTGGATGGCAATGTGGATAGCAATGTGGATGGCAATATGGATGGCAATATGGGGATGGCAATATGGATGGTGAAATGGATGGTGAAATGGATGGTGAAATGGATGGTGAAATGGATGGCAATATGGATGGGAATATGGATGGCAATATGGATGGTAATATGGATGGTGAAATGGATGGTGAATGGATGGCAATATGGATGGGAATATGGATGGCAATATGGATGGCAATATGGATGGCAATGTGGATGGTAATGTGGATGGTAATATGGATGGTGAAATGGATGGTGAAATGGATGGCAGTGTGGCGGGTGGAGCGGCAACACGACAGGTGCAGCGCAGTGAATGCGCAGTGGCGCACACAGAAAAGTGGGTCGAACGAGAGCACTGGGTGGAGGGAGCAAGAGTGCGCCCACTGCGGAGATGACTCGAGCATACATACGTATTAATAGTACACAGTATTTAATTTTGATGCCAGTGGGGCGGCTCACGGACTCTTCTAGTCATTGGACCAGGAGTGCCGATCTCACCAAAGCCAGCAGGCACAAAAGGCGGCCCGGCAAGCAACCGCTATGCAATCGCTATGCAAATAATGCTCACGAAGTCACCACGACTTCTACACAGTAGGCGTGGTGGTGATCATCTGTGCAAGGAGCATTTCCTCACTGCGTCAGAGAATGAATAAGCATCCTTTGCCAGGCCATTTATTTACCTCGGTTACCTCAGCCGGCCCCCTGCAAAAGGCGGTGGACTTCGCTATCCACCGCCTGTCCCCCTAGTGTCCCCTTCTGTCCCCTTCTGTCCCGTCTGTCCCCGTCTGTCCCTCAGGTTTGGTCTGAGCATGCTGAGATAAAGGACCTATATATGCGAAGAAGCTAGAGATTAGGTTTAGCGCGCCAAAAATCTGGCAGAATTTTTGGATCATGTGATATAGTCTGAGGTAAGTTGGTAACTGAAGTAAGAGACCATTTTACATCTACCGAGCACGACCACTTGGATCATAAAAAAGAAGGAGTGGCCATGGATGCCTTAGACACGATAGACGATAGTCTGATAGACGGATAAAATAGGTCGGACGGACGCATTGAAATAAACACATGCAATGCTTCTTTGATGGTCACTCAATCAGGCTCAATTCAATACAAGCGAAAAGTCGAAGTCTGAAGGTGCCGTTTCACACATTATTTTCTTGTATCGACCCTGGAGTATTCTCTTCACTTCACTGTCATAGGGCCGCCCTAAGAACATAATCAAGCCCTGCGATGCTTCAGAAGATGAAGCGTCGAAATGCCAAGTCATCAGGGCCAGCATCAGAACAGTACCATAACTGAGGTGTTGTAGAAGATCCTCCACGTAGACGTGTAAGTCATGTCGGAGAGAGGTGTTCTCGTACGGACTTGGTTGCTGGGATCTTCTGCTTCTCAAAGTCCTGCAAGCGTCTAGCAGCATCCTAGCATCCTGGCTGAGGGTCTCCGTGGGTGTCCATTGTAAGAGTGACGGAGATTGGATTCTCAAAGATAGAATTGCCTTCAAAGCAACTTTTGCTGGTTCATGCAATAATTGGACGTGAATCGGGGTAGACTTGGGAGGTGAGCATACCATCGTCACCAGCGAGAGGTACAGATACTCACCATGGCTATCTCTTTGGGTCAATGGCAAGACTACGTTGACGGAAACCTTGGACAATAAGGAAAATATCCTTTATAACCTCCTGTTCATGTTCAAAACCTCCCCTCTCATATGTGCAGTCTGCACCTATTTGGCAAATTAGCCTCATGGTTTGCTTTTTTTCTCTTCCGCTTCGGTTGCTTCTACCAAATTACCTGCAGGCATTTTGGGCGTCTGAAATAGAGAGAGCAATAGACGAGACACCGCTTCCTTGAGCCAGTCCCTCTCATATGCATCAGTCGTATTTACCGATACGTCCAACGCCAACAAAACTGTGGGTGTTACCGAACCCTTCCTTTTCAGGCCGAATCTCCTAGAGTCCGGAACAAGGATACTTGTTAGCGGGAAGGACCAGCATATCTGACTAGGGTCTGATTGAGGGGTGCCCTTTCCCCTAGTCATTCAACAATATGATTGACTTATATAAAGGGGGTGTATCTCTCGTCCGGTCAAGACAGGACTCAGGACCCATCTTGGGTATCTTTTACCTATTTCCAAGCAAATCACCTGGCTTATCCGATACTCTACACCCGTACCATAAATCTCGGTCGTCCACACGCTGCACCATGGACGACCCTAACTCAGAGGGGATCTCCTGCGAGGTATTATCCACAGCCCATGATCTATCAGAAGCAGACATAGGAGAGCGCCCTATTATGGTCGAGATTATGGAATTTTGGAATATGCAGCTGCAGATTCCTACAGCCCAAGGTGATCTTCCATTTATCGCCGGCGGAGAAGGACAAATGGTTCAGATGACCATCCACGGCAACGCATTGAGGTGTTCAGATGACAACAAAGAATGGCTACCTGGGGTATTCCACACCTCTTGTGTGTTGCAGGCAATCATGCAGAACCCGCGGATTGGCGGTGTCTGGATTATCCGGTGAGTGTTCCCATCATTCGAGCATCGTTTCCATAATAACAGAAAATAGTTGCAAGGGAGTGCCACAATATCTGTTAGTGTCTCACCAATAGCCGGCAAGACACATCTAACATATTAGAAGATTTAGTTTGCGCGCAGCTCCCAATATAGAAACTGGAGAATTTCAGTCACCGAAAACTGACTGGGAGACGGTCTCAGACATCGCTCGTCGGCACATACTTGGGAAAGAGTCCAACAACAACTGCAACGACCACGTGGTTGATATATACCAAAAACAACTGAGATACCTGGATTGGAGATTAAGAGCGAGATCAGAAGCAGCGATCTCGCAGAATGAACATGTTCAAGATACACCTGATAGTGCGGCAACTACAAGTCTTTCGACACGGAAACCTACTGCCATCAGGCCACGAGCAGAAGGCATGAAAGGAGGAAGGAGGAAGGAGTGGATGTAGTGGATGGATTGATATATGTACATGATAGGTTCTTGACTTGATGGATATGCTCAAGTGTCACGCAACCTTTTGCTCTTCAACTGGTGGCTGCAACTCCACATCAGCCTTCCGGGTGACATAATTGCAACGCCGACTGCTACACATACCGAGGAACAGCATGCATGTTTGAAGAATCCTTTGTAGCGCGCTCAATGACAATCCATCCTCGAGTTCTTTTTCCGTTCGTGCGGTCTTGCCCGATACCGGAAATTCCACAGTGATCCAGGACACGGGTTTTGGCATGAGTAATCAATGCGCTCACGTGTGTAAAACGCCGGAAACACTCAACACATACAAAATCTACCTGAGGTTCTGAACTTTTGATGCTGCAGTCTAAGCTTTAGTTTGTTCAAGTCTAGTAGTAACTAAGTAGTGTCTTGGAAGATATGGTGTGCAGGAGTTCTGTGTCATTGTGTGTTGGACTACTGGATGGCAGGGTGGATGGCAGGGTGGATGGCAGGGTGGATGGTAGGGTGGATGGCAGGGTGGATGGCAGGGTGGATGGCAGGGTGGATGGCAGGGTGGATGGCAGGGTGGATGGCAGGGTGGATGGCAGGGTGGATGGCAGAGTGAATGGCAGGGTGGATGGCAGTGTACAGTATCTGGATATTGAGATTTTCTTCCACTTGTCTTCTCCGATACATAGTTACTGTGTACTAGTGCCGTTCGGCCCCCGAAAACAAGTCCTATCACATGGCGTGTCTTGGCAAGGAGCGACCTTGCATCAACAAAGTGTCTCATCGGGACATTTATGCTGGTGCACGTTTTCAATGGTTATCAATATTCAATATCTGGATAGTCTGCGAGTGTCTTATCACAAGTAAACCTGGTATTTTGACATCCCCTGATAGCAACATCGTGGGATCAATTTCCTTGAATGGGTACACGTCCGATTCAATCAACGAAATATGGTGCAGCATGCAAGTTTGGCAGACTAGGATCCCTAAGGGATCCCCAGGAAGTACTAATAGTATATTGTCTAATCTAGGCCTAGCCATAGTCCTAGCTCGCGGCATTTCTGCGGACCTGCAATAGATAGATCGAAGGAGGAGCAGACTTCTGCCGTGTTGTTCCTTCAAGACTAGTCCCGAAGGTGAATTCGCATTGAAGCGCAGGAAATGTGTGGCTTCTCACTCGCCATTGTTCGGTATGATTATTCTCGAAACTTCAGAGAGTCGTGTCTGCTGCTAAAGTATAATAAGCGGGGTAGATACTACTGGAGAAGCTTCTTTATACGCATTTGTAAAATGGTACAAGATTTTATCTAAAACTGTTCAGCTTCATGATATTGTTTACCGTGATCTTGTCAACCTTGTCATGATCTGCCTGTCTATCTCCCTGCGAACGGTCCTTCCAACCTGGATAAGATCCATTTTCTTGAGCAATGATGACACTTCTTTTTGGGGCGGGGACGAAGAACTATGTACCTACGAGAATTCGAGAGAAGTCATCCCGGACATTACGAGCACACATGCGTCCACTGGAGCCGTCGTATATGGACTGGATAATCCCAAGTCTACACGCGACTTCAAAAATCCAAAGCAAATAGAGGCGAAGTCGCGCTCTGGCCAATTTGCTGGTGAGTGGTCTTCCAGAATCTGATGGCCGATACTGTCTCCTTACTCGCATGTTCTCGGTAAACAGGGCTCGAAGAACAATATTCACACTCAAGGGGTACCTCACATTCGGAAATACTGGTTCTTCCCACTATACCTCCACAGGTCCATCTTCCTATCCGAGGGGAGACCGTTGAATTGGACGCGAGGGGTATTGGTTCCCACAATGGCAAAATCATCTTCTGAGAAAGACCCAATTGCCATGGCGCCAGAAAGGGTTCAAAAAATTCAGCATCGAGTAAGACCCCACCAAACCGAGCTCTGCTTTCCAACTTCCTCATCTGACAGCATTTCCATAGCCAGGGATTTTGAATATCGCTCTGTTGGTCGAGGTAAAAGGGTCTCCGCATTTCGGGGCGATGATGTACAATCATAACAGAGAGAGAGAGAAATTCATTTGCCCGATATAGCTCGCTCACCATTCCATTCCTCGCCTGTTAAGCCCACGGTTTTGTGCTTTCCAGAGCCATTGCAGTTCGATGACAGTCTGGATGTACTAGTACCCTCATTCAGGATTCTGGAGGATTCGGCCTGAAAAGGAAGGGTTTGGTAACACCCATTGCCTATCGGCTGAAGAGCCCTGCCCGGATGTTGCAATTCTGTGAAGGGGCACCAGCTGGATCCCTGTACTCCTCGTAGTCGTGTATACAGACAGGAATAGATCTATCATATTGACTGTTGAGAACGAATCAGCCGAATGCTTGCTCTGGAACTCAGTTCTAGCTTCTGATATATAAATACCTCAAGGCTAACTTTTATAATCCTCCTTGTGACCTAGCTGGTATAGTTCAAGGTTACTTGTGATCTGGTTTAGTCTTACCTTGTGTACGCTCTACTGCCTTCTATTACTTCATAATCGCGCCACCTAGGCAGGGTATACATATCCGCGAGCTCTATCTTTATCTAAGCTAATTTGGCTTCCTCAATAGAGATAAATCCTTGCATAGACTGAAAAGCGAAGAGGCGAGCTATGATTTGTCCTAAAGGGATAATGTCCAATCCTAGGTAGGCTCTATGCTTGGGCCATTTCGGACTAAGCTAATCTGAGACTTACAGCCGTGGCGCGTACGATACGACAGGCATGAAAAGGCCGGTGGTTCCGCTTCCACCGCCAAAGTGATACCGAGGACTCAAGCTTGGTTGAGGTCCTACTACGTCATATCTTGGATTGGAACTCCGAAGTGCGAAAACATTGCCACACAGACCTTCAATCCGGACTTCGATTCTGTTTTTATAATATTCAAGCTCAGTGGGGCGCTGGAAGGCTGATCCGTTATGATCATGTACATACAATAACGAAATGCAGAAAGTTGAAGAACCTTACTTCTATTGCGCATGCGCTTGCCACAATGGATGGAGGCCATTGGGCTACAAGCATCTATTTGGAAATGGCGGCGGAATCGAGTGAAACTCTCTCAGAGCAGTTCGGTCAAGAGAGTCGAGTTGAGTCGATGTATGTCTAGGAGCAGGCATTTACCGTAGTCTTTCGATGGCTCTTTACTCACACCTCTAATAAGAAAAAAACACCATTACCTACGTTGCTGGATCAGGCGAAGGTCACCAGCGTGCCCAGTTCTATGTAAAATCAAGAACGGTACATTATCATGCATCATGGAATCGCTAACCAGGAGAATTAAGCACAGACTATAGGAAGACTCAACGCGCGCGCAGACGTTTCACGTCTCTTCGCTCTGCTCGACATAGTTGTCCGTAGTGTCGTGGTGGTTGTGAGGTTGGCCGGAGCTCGAAGGTAGAGCAGTGAAAGTCAATGATCAACGCCCGCTCGATATACAAGCGATTCATGAGACCTCCGTCCGCATGTATAGCCATAAGAAGTGCAGATTTGATGGCGTCCACTCCTTGACCCGACAGTGCATACCCAACAAGTCAACTAACAGAGTCTGTCCATACACCAGTGGACCATTATGTGCAGACAGCAGTTGAGCTGGACGGGAGCCTTTTCCTGCTTTTCTCCGCCCCGGCGCGATGAACACGACTTGTGTTCCCAGAAATCGGTTCAAGGGCCCGCGGCCGCTTCAACCATTTCACATCCTCCAAGTCAATGATAACCATGCGGCCACTTAGTTCATCCCACAGCGTATTGCGCCATTCGATGTCGTTGTGGACAACTCCGTGTGATCGGAGCACGGCCAGAGCTTTCTTGCGCTCCTTGTCGAAGAAACCGGAATTATCGTCATTAACCACACGCTGAAGCCGGATTCCAGACCAGCTCAGGATCATCATCTGCGCCATTAATTCGCCGTGGTACCAATATGTGACCCGCGGTTTAAAGGCCCCAAGACAGACGGGAATCTGCTGACCCTGCAAGCTTCGGAGGTGGCGGTAATTATCCACTTCGGTTTGAAGGACACGCTGCTTCTCTGCCGTAGTAGCCTTGATGACCACAGTGTATCCGTGAGATAACATGGTCGCTTTCACGAGATAGCCCGTCCGGCCACAGACGTGCAGTGGTTCAAATCCCTCATTGCGATTCCGTACGAGCTGACGGTGTAGCCTGCGCGTGAACTCTTGCGGGCCCATCGAATGTCTCTGATCACTAGAATGTTGCAAGTGATCTTGGAGGTTGGGGCACCCCTTATCTAGAGGTTCCCGGTTGATTATACCTCGGATGCAGGCCATAGTGCAGTAGGGTCGTGTAGTCTGTCTGTGCTTTCGAGAGTCCCGGCCTGATTGTGTCCTCCCGCGTCCGCCAGTCGGTTGATGCTTTTTGCCTTGGTCACGACTCGAGCGACTGCGCACGGCTGCCGTGGTAGAAGGTGAAGGCGATTCCTCATCACTGCCGCTGCCTTCACTCGACGAACGTTTTGGAGTGGATAACTCTGGTTGACAGCGCGCTCGAGAGCGTGTGTTGTGGGTTTTCGGATATGGTTTCCACTTCGAGGGCAAATAATTGGAGGCCGGCGGCTCTCTGCGAACCGTTTCGGGAATATCTCGCAAGACATCCAAATATTCTATCTCCCAAGTCGAAAGGTTCCTTGCTGTATCGTGCCACTCTTGAAGTGGAGCATCGGCGGCGAGTGCTTGGAGAGTGAATGCAAGCACCTGACCTATTGCGGTCCGGTGCAGACGGCGCTCATCCTCTGCCTGCACGTCTTGATTCGGGACGCACAAGAAATATTGGACAACTGTGGGATCCGTCGGAATATGGAGGAAAACAAAGGCCTCCCCAGTGCAGATGTACCCGTATTGAACACCACTGTCAATCATGTATGAGAAGACCTGAGTGATCACAGCAGCGACAAGTCGCGTGGCATGAAACTCAAACGAGTCGCCTTCCTGATTAATAACATCTCGGGCCAGGTCTATCTCATGTAGACCCGCCACTAATTCGGGAATGGTCACTTTGTGCGGCGCTTTGAACTCCACCGCATACACAGGTTTTTGTAGCTCGTTGGCCACAGTGTGCACGCAAAACTGATCGGCGCGTCGATTGCGTCTTCGTGAAGTACCAGCCCTCGTCTGTCTCTGTGTGGCACCCTTCCCCGTTCCCCTGCCTCTTCCATGCCTGGTATTCGCTAGGCGTTGGGGCGTCCGCACGTCCTGGAGGTTCATTTGCTCCAGGCTATTCTCCAGCGACATTTCCGATGGGTTTGCGCGGTCGTAGAAGATGACTCGGCCCTGGATTTGAAACTCGTCTCGAAGTTCATCGTCTCGCAGCGCCTCAATAATCATTTCAACAAAGTTATCCACCGTGTCTCGTTCAAAATTTCGAAGGGACGCTTCTGAGTAAATCGGCTTGTTCCTAATATTCCTAACGACATAATCGATTTGATCATCAGAAGGGAAGAGGGGGCGCGAGGTAAAGGCAGCCGTGCGGTCGAATTTCCTCCATACTTGCTCTTGGAGTTGGGGGAAGTCAAGCCAAGGGACTATGCGCTTGGGGTAAAGTCGATTGGCTGGGTTGGTCGCGTCGCCCTGGGTCGTCAGAGTCGCATCCGTCTCGACTTGGATCGCTTGCGACAGGGAGTGGTGACAGCGATCGAGAAGGCGAAACAGTGTGTTTGGTTGCAGTCGCAACTCTGCCTCTTCTCGCGCCCGTCTCTCTTCCTGAAGCTGACGCCGAAGATCGGCAACTGTTTCTTCCATCCCTTGTATAAGCACTATTCAACTGATAATTGAATGATGTAGATTGAGAATCGACACGGTGTTCAGGTCCCGTCGCCTAGCGCGAGGAGTGGCACGGCCACGGCACGGGATATATGCGCGTCTGGATTGTTTACAGCTTACTCACCCCGAGACGACGATGCCTCAGGCATCGAAGTCCGATCACATGGCGCGTCTTGGCAAGGAGCGACCTTGCTTCAACAAAGTGTCTCATCGGGAAATCTATACTGGTGCACGTTTTCAATGGTCATCATTATCAATATCCGGATACAGTACTATCATATCCCGTCGCTCCATATCCCGAGTGAAGGGAACATAATGCATTTGATGATGTTAAGACTTGCCTCCATCAACTAGTACCTATCGGAGCTAAGTCAAACTCGCTAACTAGTCTGGGCTTCATCGACATAGACGAGGATGCCCATGCAGTAAAACGCACCGCGGTAAAATTTCTAACCAAGAATGAACTGTCCAGAGCTGACAATTTGTAGGGACAATACTACTACCAGAAACAAGTACTCCTCCGGCCTCATTTTGGGCGACAGTCCTCATCAAGGCTTTTGTTGTCACCCCATCCCTTGTAACACCCGTCTGATCTCGATGGCTTTCTAGCCCGGGCGTGGTGTCCTCTACCACGGAGGCGGGTCTTGTAGATCTGTCCCGATGGAATTCGCGGTCGCTTTGGTGTCCTCATCGCTGCTTGACTGTCCGCGAAGATGACAGCTCCATTCTTCGCCTGCTCAACCCATGGTTCTGTGCTTTCCAGTGCCATCCTTCCCCAGGATGTAATTGCGATGTACGAACTTGGCCTACCGGTGGAGTACAGCTTCCCACTAACACGCCCCCAATTATGAGCGCCAGTTCAATGACTCGAAGCTCTGCGGCATATACGGTGGAAGTATCAGAATCTCCCATCTGGCTGTGCATGTCTATCATCAAGGTCCACGACCACTGCCGCTCCCGGAAGGAAATTTTGGAAAGTGGGTTGAAAGTGGAACTTGAAGCTGAGATACACAGATGAGAATGAATACTTTTAGCTTTAACGACGAGTGGGTTTAAAAACGCTCACGCGGTATCCCATTCTGGGCTCTAGCGTTTGGTGCTAATGGTTAGAGCGAAAAGAATGAAGAAGCTTGCGATCATCTAGGAAATAGCCTGAATTTGGCAATCTGTAAGCTCAAATGATAAATAAAGCGAAACCCTAACAACGCGTAAGGCGGAATACGATCATGAGAAAGACAGCGAACTTGAGTCTCGGTACCCTAATGCGGCAAATCACGAAACAAAAGCAGAACCACAGAGCAGACAACTTTCCGGGCTATTCGAGACCGGCTCATAGCAGGACCACAAAATAGGTGCTTATCATGCTGTGCTTCCACGGCGGTTGGTTTGGTATCGACGTGTCTTGCGTGGCTCTCTGCCAGCTGAGACGGTGCGGATGACGTCGCTATCTTCATCGGTAATGTCAAAGGGGGTTGTTGTCCTTCTGCTGCGTGGATCCGAGTAACGAGTAGGCTCGCTACGGTGCCTGGGGTTTTGGCTGCGTGGGTTCGAGTAGCGAGCAGGTTCGCTAAGGTATCTTCTGTCGCGGGTTTGTCTCGACTGCGTAGAGACATCGTTCTCTTCATCGCTACTGGCCACAATGTGGTTCCTTCTGCTGCGTGAACTCGAGTAGCGAGCAGGTCCGCTACGGTATCTTCTGTTGCGAGTCGCTATCGGCTGAGTTGAGCCGTCGCTTTCGGGATCAATATCATCGTCTTCGATATCATACAACAAATGCTTCTTGCGGTAGGCAGTCTCTAGTTCTTCAGCCTTTTGATAAATTACCCTATCGCCGTCCAAAGTTGAGCCGTTTGTGATACGGCGAATGAAGGATCGCCCTTCCAGGGTATAAATGCCGTCTTTCCATTTGACAAGAATCCGAGTTTGTGGATAGGTTATGCCTTTAGCGGGCAGGAGTAAGTCAAGAGGATAAACCCCCTGCTCATCGTCACCTTCGACCTTCCAACCGATACCAATGAAGTCTTCTACATCTCTTCGCTTGTATTTCCAAAATTCTTCACGAAGCCCGTTCCTGACCCCGGCCACTTTAGCGGTTCCGCGAGTCATGGTCAAGACGCGCTCTACCCGACTTGGGTTGTAACTCTCATGTGACCCAGCACGAATGCGATAGATCGGTGTGGATTTACTTCCGTAGCGCACGAAGATCTGGGAGCCAGTACCTTTGGGCCACCAATACAATACTTTGGCCGAGTCCAATTGGCGTTGCTGTTTTAAGGTCCTCGCTTCTAATGCATCAAGCCCTGTGGGCTTATCACTACCAATCTCAATGTCTGATTCGGTACTAGATTCGTCACTAGACTCGTGACCGGCTGGGAGTTGATCGTGGTCCGAGTCAGACTGGATGTCGCCACTATCAGAAGTGGAGCTGGTATCTTCCTCAATCCTGGGATTTGGTGTCTTGATCTGTTGCTCGGCCCACGCTTCACTGATATTCCAAGTCTTGGGAAGATAATGTCGTTTGTTGAAGATTCTTATAAGTCTATGGGTCTCATTGAAAGCCTCCCAAAACTCTTCTGGGGAGAGACTTTCGGCTGACTTCTTTGCTGCTTGCTGCCAGGCGTGGCATAGGGTATTGTAGCCAGTCTCGGGAATAGTACCAGTATCAAGGTCGATGACAGAATGCTCGCTGTTGGCCCCTCGAATGTGTTGATTTAGCTTTTGAAAGAATTCTTGACATTCTTGGTACATAGGGGTGCTGGATGTGAAGAACTCCTCAACCATTCTTTCCGACTGTTTCGCTGTTTCCCTTCGAATGACGTTCTTGACCCAGCGGCTCAGTGGCTCTAATTTGTGTTCAATGGGGGCAGATTGATCAGAAGCATCGCTGAGTTCGAGATCCGTTTCGCCATTTGATTCGTAATCAGTCGCATTTGTGGCAAAGTCACCTTCGCGGGTTGGACTTCTAGCAAATCTCGCCCTTCGTTCAGGAGCTTTGCCATTCGTATCTCGACTAGCTTTTGGCCTCAGTTCTTGTGCTCTCGAGGAATCACTTTGTTGGGATTCGTGTTCGGAGCCCACTTCCGTAGGTGCAGGTGTTTGGATATCACGGGCGTTTCTCTGGGCCTTCTGAGCCTTCTTTTTCTCTCTCGACTTCTTAGACATGGTCAATAAATCGTTCTTTTTTTCTGAACAGAGTTTATACCGTTCAGTTCGAAGAAAGCGTACTAGATTTATACGAGTTTTGATGCCGCGGCGGTGGATATACACACCTGTGCGAGGCTGCGGGTTTCATGCACAATGCTATGCCTGAAAGCTTTGCTGCAGGCCAGGAACTATGCTGCAGGCCAGGAACTATGCTGCAGGCCAATAACTATGCTGCAGGCCAGGAACTATGCTGCAGGCCAGGAACTATGCTGCAGGCCAGGAACTATGCTGCAGGCCAGGAACTATGCTGCAGGCCAGGAACTATGCTGCAGGCCAGGAACTATGTTGCAGGCCAGGAACTATGATACAGTACGTTGCGAAACCGGTGCAACCGTGTCCACTCTTCGAGTGATTCTCTAGGCCCAGCGCCAAGAGACACTAAAATACATTAGGAATAGATCCGGAACATCAATATTCCTGTATCACCCTCGATACTAATATTTACTTTCAATACAAACGGTGCCTTGTTTCATCACTGTATTGGCCAACTAAGGTACTAGATTTATTTATGGCAATGCAGACATGTCAAACACATTAACTATGGATTGCCTCCAGGATCTAGCGACCTGACATTTCCCCCCGCCGCTCCTAAGTCCAAGTGATGGGCCGAGGGTCTTGATTGGCGCCAGACCTTGCAAAATAATTTCTTACATTACTTGCGTACTGTACCTGCAAATTACTCATGATCCCGCTTATCATAATAATCAGCCTACTAGCTACAGCTCTCTCTGCTTGACGCTGTTTACCGATATGGCGGAAGCTAACACAATCATGTTAATAGACCGACTACATTAAGGGCTAGGCGAGAAGGTAAGGCATAACACCTGGCAACTTAATATCTGCCATTTCTTGTTCTGCAAGGATCGTCTTTCACCAGTCGCCTTCTAGAATCTTATATGCATCATCAATTGCGTTGGACTCCTCTGCTTCATCGTCCGTGTCCCAATAATCGTCTTCGAACTGCCAATTTTCTTCCTCGCTCGAGGGATACCAATCCTCATTGGATAATGGGTCCAAGTGGCTTGAATGGTCCAGGTCCGACCCAGATAGTTCGTCTCTGTCGCTTGAGTCAGGGAGCATACTGCGCAAAGCACTTTCAAGTGTTGACATATCAAACGTCGATTTGACTCGACTTCTGCGCAAGAAGCGATCGTTATGCTCCCTGAATGCCGGTAGTATCTCGTCCTCGTACCAATGATCATTTTCAACAAGGACGTCCCAGTCCCAGTGTGCTACAACCTCATCGGGCGTAACCTCCCAAAGACAAAGATACTCATCTTTGTAATAAGAACAAGCCCTCCCATATGGGTCTTGCACTTCATAATGTTTCAATTCTGATTCCATTTCGACCATTGGTAGACCGTAGGCGATACGAACGTTTGGATTTATAGCCGTAAGTGTTCTAGGGAAGCTTGGCCCCTTCCGCCTGGACAGAAACCTTAATAAACCCGATGCAGACGCAGAAAATGATATGAATGGTGTCGGCTCCCATCTTCGATAGTCGGCGTGTTTGGCTAGGTATTCTTTTCGGCTTTCTTGTGAGCCCAACCGCTCCCTAGGCAAACGAGCCTGCATTCTTCCTGATTGATCTGTGTGACTGCCAGAGAATTTGTCCCACACCCGAAGGAGGGGACCAGAGCACTGGGGGATTCGGCCCCTGAGTGTTTAGAAAGACCTCTTTCCTCAAGAAAAGGGTGGGTACACTGCAAAAGCTCCATTGCACAAGCTTTGTCGAAGCTGATGTTCTGCATTGGATTCCTGAAGTACGATTTCTTTCTCGACCAAAAGCGGGATCAAATTATTCGTTTGTGATCAATGATGAAGAATTGCTGACGGATTCTTGCCTACGAAAGTTGACCCCGCATTATCATCACATGTCAGAAATTGGATGACATAATAGTAGGTTCGGCTCGTTTTTGTGGAGGCTGGCATACAATTAACCAGCATTATGGTGGGGCATGGATGTGTGAGGTGTGTTGTAACATTACAAGTAAATACACCCTAGCTTGACGGCAGGTACTCTACGTAAGGAACATTACAATACCCATTGGCAGTGGTGTTGCGGAAAAACTACTAATAAGTACTAGCGTGAACTGGTAATCAAGACTAGAAAAATAATAGAAGAGTGTAGGTGGTTGCACCAGTTTCGGGACGGACTGTAATTGGCTAAGCTACAAAACAAATCAACCATGCGGTGTTCACAGTCGGATTTGGGTTATCGTATCATGGAATTAGGGTTATGTGCAACGGCATCGCATTTGTTGTCATTTCGAGGGCAAATATCGCAGCTAGGTAATATTCCAGTCCAAGGATCGGATACGTATAGTCTATATGTTTGCATTAAAAGAGGATGGGAAGTAAAGGTAGACACTGAGTATGAGTGGTTCCATTCAAGAGACCTTTGCGGTGGGAAGCCTTGGAATTTGGGTACCTAGGACCTATGTTTGCTAGTGTGGCGACTACCGTCTTATAAAGGAAAGTATTTGCTACACGTAGTAGACACCCATCTCCATTGATGATGATGATGATGATGATGATGATGATGTATCCATTTTCCCGATGTAGCTTGCTCTATGTATATGTTGCTATGCGGGATTACTGTCAGGCCTGCCGACAGCTCTACTGGAAGAGAGTGGTTGCCAGCCCACTGAGCGACTGTTCGGTAGTCGCTTTGCGCATTTCCGATCAGTCGCCGTAGAATGGAAAGATACAGTGGCTCAGGGGAGGAGTGACTGTACTAGGTATAGCCTGTTTCAAAAGAGGGTTCGTAGGTAATAAATCCCTGTGTGCAGTGGTGAAGATGAATTCGACCCATCCCGTACAGGTCACCAGTGTAACTTTGAAGTATAGACATGTAATAGCAATGAAACATGAAGCCGTGAGAAAAGCCCGCATTCACTCGTTCTCAGATGCGGTGTCTTGTAAAAATGCCATCATTTGTCCTAGCACATTCGAACACTGGAAACATTTGGTCTGATACCACTCGGCAACAGCCATCCAGTTCAAGATATCTTGCTGGTGAAGATTTATGGTAGCCTGTGCTTCCCGAATCATTGTATTTTTGTCTTTGATCTCGGCCTCAGCTTGTGTTGCAGCCTCCTCGTAACGAGATGCTTTATCTTCGGATGCCCTTAGTTTCTCCACGAGACTGAGGTTTTCAGCTCGCATATGGGCAACAGTATCAAGCTCCGTCTGGTCTTTCTTGCACTATAAATTCCCATGAGCTTGCTAATTTCCTTTGAGGGGCCACTCCAATTACTTTTGTAGGAATTGCATGAAATTTGTGGCCCACCTCGCGGTGAAGCAGCATATAGCCCCCTAACGAGTGTTTACTCATATGCTTCTGAAAGAGATGCTCGATAGATGGATCTTCTACCTGCCATGCATAGGGACATTCGTTATCTGTCTTCAATCGAACCTCCGCGGGGTCTACTATAATTTGAAGTCTCTCAACTAATCGGAGTTGTTAGTAAGTCAGGTTTCAAAGTCTCTGAAACTTACATATATGATCAGCGAGTTGCTTTCGGCAAAGTGATCGCCAAGAAGCACGCTTCTTATTACCCAAAAGCTGAATTTGTCCGTCCATCTCGGTCAAAATCAGAGGTCAATGGTGAGCGTCCCAGCCGTTTTATATATTGCGACCTACTTCATGTGCGACCTAATTCCAGTGTCGCAGTATTACCTATCTATATCTATCTTGAGACTTTCGCAATATCGCAGTGAAATTCACCGTAAATTTTCCATTAAATTGGATGATGTGAAAGTGAGAGCCACAGCGGAATGTGTATCTGATAGAATCTAGAGAAGCCAAGGGAAATCAAACCAAAATGAATGAATAGAGTTGATTGAGGACTCGAAAACGACCCATCGGGAACGAGACACTGTGTGTCTCGCTTACCGAGTGGGGAAAAACTCAACATGCGCTAAGGCATATCTTGGCTAGTGTATATACATGCCATGACCCACTATTCTCGACAGATGTTCATATACAATCTCCTGTAAGTAAAAGACAATCTTGCAATCCAATATTCCCAGAGCAGACAAAGGATTCTGACAAAGCTTTCAGTTCTGAGTCGTCACCCGTGTTCCATGTTTCATGGTACAATTGATTCTTGTCTTTGAAATATGCATGCAGTACTCTCCCGTCTTGGGCTTTCAAGAATTTTTTCAAATTCAGGCTTACAAGCCAACACTTTGCTAATTCAAGCCGCCGCAGTGAAGGTAAAGGGACATGGGACATGAAATCCAATAAACCCGGACTGTCAATCAGCGTCAAGCTCTCGACATCTGCTAAAGCACATGTGGCGACTTCCAGCATACTGTCATCCACAGTGGTCAGCTTGGAATGCATTCCATCAATCTCGATATACTTCAAGATTATTCCTGCAGCCTGAGCTGCAGCAATGCCCCTGAGTATTGTCTCAAGGTGAGTGAGAAGGGATTCCCCAACAAATACGCGATTGGAGAACCAAAGAAGTTGATCTTCCTTTGCTCCATGAAATGAGAGTCTGATAGTATTGAGGTTTGATAGATGCCGAAGTGATTCCTCAAACACTTTGACATCAGTCCGGTCTTCCAGGAGTAAACTCTGAGCTCTTGCAAGACCTCTGAAATAGACAAAGATTGCCTTATAGGAAAATTGCTTTCCTCGGAGCTCCCACCGGAAATCCTCCTGATCTCTGGTATATTCCTGTGGTGTATAAATACAGGCAGAAAAATAGTCCCAATACTGGATTACTGGAAAGATGAGTAAGGAGCTGGATCAAGAGCTTTAGAGGCACATACACGGATCGACCAACTCTGATGCATCATAATGGAGTACTTTCACGCATTGTGCCAGAGATGAAATTGCTAGTCCCTCTAGCTTTATCATCCCTTGTTCTGAGAACTCGACTTTGAATGTATGGAAAATATCAGAGATGCTGATCGATCGGCAACCTTTATTCACGAGAGAAAAAGATTTCAGGGAGCAGTAATCGAGATTGACAACAATCAATCTCAATAACTCGAAGGGCAGATCTGCGAAAATTCCCATTTTGCCTCAAAGCTAGTAGAGACTTGATAGAACTGACCGAAGAGCGCAAAGGAAGCTTTTACCTGACTTGGGGCGAAAATAAGTATTGTATCAATTTCTGCAATTCATCAATCTTCTGTGTAGCTGAGATTCCGTAGGAAAACAATGTGGGTACAATGCTGATCACGTAAAACGTTGCGACACTGTTCCTGATAGTTATGTACCCCAGCCCAGCTGCTACTTGCGACACTGTTCCTGATAGTTATGTACCCCAGTCCGGCTGCTAGAGATCTACCAACTCTCGTGCTACTTTGGACAATTTATACTCGCTCGATATAGTCTATTGCATCATCATGTCCAAGTCACTCACTCACTCTATTGATCAACTAGAGTTGATTTTGTATTTCTTGTAAATAACCCAGCCTAACCTGCTGCTATTGGCACCTTTCGGGCCTGGAAAGCGTGTAGGACGGTTTTTAGGGCTATGGGTGTCACCTGAGAAAGAGGTTTCTGCTTGAATATACCGCCTACTATGAGAATATGTCAAGTTCCGCCCGCAGGTTTCGCCGTATAGAGAGTCCGACAGGGGCCTCTCGGTTTGATTCAATTATTAAAACATCTGCCTCTAGTTAGTTATCTACAGCCAAATCCTGGCAAACCCCCTGGATATGTCTATCTATCCAATTGTGAATTGGTCAGCCCAGGGACACACCGAAGTAGTGCTGCTACAATGTTACCAGCTGTTCGGTGTTCATTGGCTGCTGATCCTTGTTGCTGCGGCCCCATCCCAACCGCGACACTGTGTCAGAATCGCCGTATGACTCATAGAGTAGGGTTCCAATTGTAGTGGGCGTACGGCGGCCGTGGGTGCATCTCAGGAAATTTGAAAATTTGACCGCCTAACCTACCGCCCTTGCCTAATCTGATTTAGTGTCTAGGGATACCCCAAACTTCTCTCTCGCATTGAACCTTGCTCCCTCATTTACCTCATCGCCGTATCCTCATCGCCGTATCCTCATCGCCGTATCCTCATCTCTGTATCCTCGTCTCTGTATCCTCATCTCTGTATCCTCGTCTCTGTATCCTCGTCTCTGTATCCTCATCTCTGTATCCTCGTCTCTGTATCCTCGTCTCTGTATCCTCGTCTCTGTATCCTTCATCTCTGTATCCTTCATCTCTATATCCTTCATCTCTATATCCTTCATCTCTATATCGCTCATTGCCGTATCCCTCATTGCCGTATCCCTCATCGTCGTATACCCTGTCCAGAATGAGGCCTGAAATCCCCCTTAATCCCTATCGCCAGCAAATTACTGATGTTGTCCTCCTCGGAAAGACAGGCGAAGATATCTCTACCGTGCTGTTTGATGTTCATGGACGTGAGGTCACCGGCCGCACGATCAATACTCGCCTCCAGGAATGGGGGCGTAGCTGTCCTACTGGAACCCCTGACGCGCTGGCCATCGAATGAAACGCTATTTCTTTTCCTACCATATATTGACTGAAGGGTCAAGACGCGGTGCCTTCGCATCCGAAGCAATATGGTGCTATCAGACTCTTTTTGGGTCGAGTCGAGACTTTTACTTAGGCTACCAGTGATCGAAGAAAAAGTACTACGTAGAAAAACTACTACTTAAACAAACTCGGAATAACTGAAACTGAGGAGCCTGACGCAGCACGCAAAATCCATTTTTAATAGCTCAGCTCCTGGTGGAAGGTGCATCCGTGATGATTTCGACGTGCGATTCTTCCGACGAACAAACAGAAGACCTAAATAGCCCACCTTGACCTGTGTTGCCTTTGGGGAGTCGTTGAGACAACTGGTCTAGAGTAGCCTGAAGGTCATGCACAGTCTGCTCACGCACATGGAGTAGAGTCTGAAGACAATTGATCAACTCTCGTTGACGTTGGTTCTCTAGCAAAAAAGGCTCCATTGTCCCCTTGTCACCGACACATCCAGGCCTCTGCTTGTCTTGGTTCAACCGCTGTAACAATGAATCAATAGCTGGATACAACTCATTGAGACGAGACTCGAGACCCCGCACTTTGTCCCTTTCCAAGTGAAGACTTTGAGTCAATGCTTGACAAGTTTCTGTCGCATGACGTAATGACACCTCGAGCTGCGATTTTTGATGCTGAATCCCGGAAAGCGAGTTTTCACAATAGATATGTAATTTCTGATATGCGACGGAATCGCTGTTGATTCTAGACTCCAAGCACCCTTGGTAATGCTTTGACTGCTGTTCTTGGCGCAACAGCTTCTCTATCAAGAGAAAGACGTCGTCGTCATATCTTGCGGTGTTCGCGTGACACTGATTTTGAAGTGCAATCAGTATATGTCAATTACAGCGCATTGAAGTAGGCTTCCTTACTCGAAGAATAGTAGCTGCAGATGGCGGCGCTACCTCGGGACTTTGATATTGGGCTTCGGAAGACATATCGTGAATAATTTGTTCAGAACTTCTCATTCAATAAAGACTTGAAGGGTCGTTTCTTTTATTAGTTAGTAACGCTATCGATACACAGCTAATCGTCGAGAATACTGCTTACTTTATTGACAACAGCCAGTGTCGCAGGACTTAGTCAGTGTCGCAATCTGTTTCCAGTGTCGCAAGTCGTTTTCGGTGTCGCGGAGAGATTTGCGCACGGAGCCTTGCCAGACTCCGGTGCTCCAAGGATCAATACGACTGTACGAGGACATAGATACAGGTATCCATACGGAAAACAACGGAACGAACGATATTGTCCCTTATAGTGTCATCCAGCTAGCTGTAAATTATTTCCTTCTTTTCCGCTATGAAGAGAAAGTGATAGTTTGGTTGTTATCCTTGTATCTGATACCAAATGCGTGCTGTTCTGCATTTCTGCGATATTTTTGTTTTTGTCTGTAGATCCCAACTCTGACACTCGCCTGTCACTGGATGGAACAATTTGGCGAATTTAATAACCCAGCCAGGTACAGAGTGGGAAATCCGGGCGGGTATTGTATCCGATGCTCTGACAAACACTCCGACGCTCAGTTTTGTGTCTTAAGTGGCGTTATATTGTCACCCCTGCTTGCGTCATGGGGTGATAACGGACATCTTTATAATATTTGCGTGCTTTTAGAAGCCGAGTTGTCTTCCTCTGTAAGCCTCCTTCAATCTCTCCAAAGTTTCAGTACCAACTTCAAGGTAGACACTTCTTATCTACTCTCCTGATTGAATTTTCATAAATTACAATGAGTCGTGGCCAACGTCTTGATCCCATATACGAGGAAATCACACCCGCGGACCATCAAATTTTATGCCTTGGAGGCACATCGTCCAACCTCGAGAGACTGCAGTCTCGGTTGCAAGGAGCAAAGCGGAAATCGCCAGACTCCAGAATCCAGCTGGAAGAAACTGCGTATGAGATGAGCTATCTCAAGGCCGAGCTTCAGTGGCATAAAGAGACCAAACAGATACTCTTGCAGTTCCAAGAAAGCGTGTTTGATATCTTTGGCTCCCTGGAAGATGCCCTCGCCCGAGCAACCGCGCGCCTGCACGAGTCGGAACGTCAATATCTGATGCTTTGGGAATCCAATTCTAAATGCGGAACTGGGGGTTTCTTCTGAATTATCAAATGTGTCAGGACACCAGTTGTGTGACGATCCAGTGGCTGTAAACAGATTCGAGCGCGGGTTTGGACTTGTCATATCATTGGGCAACTTGTTGATGTCTGATGGCTGTTGAGTCCTGTCTCCAGGGGCGGGATAAAAGGCTTCTTCGCTGACTCTTTTCTTGTTCTTCCTTCCTTCTTTCTTCATAGTTGTTATTCTACTTAAATGGACTCTTCCTTACGGAAGACTTGGCCGGTAACAGTTTGGATATTGAAAGGCATTTGGGCTATGGAATTTACCAGTTGTTGTGTTGTTACTGTGTTGCTATAGTTGTTATAGTTGGGCATCTTTTAATCCCCTTTAGAAAATAGCAACGCATATTATAGAATTTGCAACGTCATAAGCTCGTTATATGGCTCGCTCTCGCTCATGGTAGTGACTCGCCAAGTCACCAAACTCCTGCATCACCATCTGTTCCCGCCTTATAACCTCCAGTAGATAATCATTGACAGTTTGGAATTTCGTCTCCAAACCTTCTGTCTGCCGAGACAAATTTTCCACATTTTGTGTCAATTTGTCCATACGACGCTCCATAGTTCCCAGAGAGCGCTCCATACTGCCAACACAGCGCTCCTCAAGATCGTCGAAGCGGCTGTTGAGGCGATCAACCTTGTTATCCAGCATTCGTGAAAGGTCACCAAATTCCTTTATCGTACTCGTTAATTTCCCCACGGTGATAGATAACTCTTTATCCGTATGCGAGATGGTCCCATGCTCCCCGGGGTCGTACAGATTGATTGAAGATGAGGATGGCAACACATCAGCCTGGCTGCTAGTCTGTCAGCTCTAGTTAAGACCTATAAGGGGGTGAGGATACCTCATTCCAGAGTCGTATCCACGGTATAGCCCTGTCATCGACCGGCCCTTGGACGAGTCCAGGCATGTCTCGGACTCAAAATCAACGTTCTCCATGAGCGCATTCTGCTGCTGAACTGATCCACTCAATTCGGTCTGTGGGTAGGTGTCTGCATGTGGGAGTAACATGCGTTCATGGGTGGCCAGACAGAGGAACGGATCATCGATCTCCCACAGATTATCTGGAACATTGAGTCCCAGAGACGCTTCAGGGCCATTATTGTTGCCGTAATCTGGCATATTGTAGGTCAAGGAAGCAGAATAATAATCAATGTCGGATTCCTGAGACGGCTCTTATATCTTGCTTTTAAGCGCGAGTGTTCCAATGCTGGGGATGGGGCAACCAACTGTTGGTTTATGAGAGCTTTGTATTGGTTATAGCACCCTGATATCGCTATCCTCATTTGAATTAGCCGCATGGACTCAGCGGAGGCGAGAACCGCCCTTGACAAAAGTACGCAGTTCTGGATCTATAAAAGTGGGCCAAGGTGAGAGCGGGGTGAGAACGGAGTGAGAACGGAGTGAGAACGAGCTGAGAACGGGCTGAGGACCGTGCTGTTGGAATAGTCGCCGCAAATGTGGACGATATTATCACCCTAGTCATGAAATACGCCTCATGTATAAATACTTCGCACCGTGAGGCAGAAGGAGAAGCATCATTCTCCTTCCATTTTACTTTCGTCATGCAGAATTCGATAGATATTGGCTGGCTTGATGTTGGCACCCGTGAAGATTCAAAGTTTGCAATCCAAGACCATGGCCGGCTGCGACGTGTGATCTCCGAGTTGGAGGACCAAGATAACCAATATCCATCATTATGTGTATTCCTCGGTGGGAAAACCAAGAATTACGCTCTTCAGCAGCTCTACCCTCTGAATAATATAAGGAGGCATGAATCCGAGGCTCCAATAAAGCTGCGATACGATGTCGCTTCTTTGCAGAGCCCCCAGCCATTTTTGTTGGCTGATGGTGATATCCCGAACACCGACAAATTCTATGCTGCGAAGAGACTTGATGCCGGTGTTGGGCATCCCGTTTCTTGGAACAACCATTCTGCGGCCAAAATCCTACTAGTGCTGTGGTCACGGTTGATATTTGTCTTCACGGATGTAGTTTGTATATTCATCGACGACAATGCATGTCTTGAAAAAGTCGTACGCTTTCTCGTCAGCTGTTTGCAGCTTCGTTCTGCGTCGTCCTTTCCAAGCCAAAATTTACCCCGAGCGATATTTATTTATGGTCCATTGGTGACCAAAGAAGAGAGGGGAATACCTGATATAGAATTACTCTACCGGAAAGTACAAGAAAGCGGGTATAATGATCTATCGGGGTTGTTCTCCAGCTCTATATCTTTAGACCTGCAGTATCATCTCTCTGATACGACAAGATTCCAACGAATCAAAGCATCGATCACAGAGCAGGTCGACGCCATTTCCTCCATTCGACAAGAAAATCAAGCTCGGCTGAATGGGACGCACTTGATGGCATTATTCCAATCAGCGATTTATCACACCTTAGAGGATATATCTCATCCGTTCGATTTTGTGAAAGCTACAAGGAAGGATCGCCCTGTTAGTCCATGCGCAGAGCCACATTTGGCGCATTATCTTGAGATTGGCCACCGCGCCAATCTCTCTCTCTCCGCATTGGCCCCCACAATTTCGTCTGCTCTTTTTATGGACCACTATGTGCCCGAAATGCTTGGTGAGTGGGTCCTGCTTCAACGTTCCATAGGCTGAGGCTGATATTGGATAGCCATAAACCCCCGCATGGTATTTGGAATTTTGTATCGGTCTGCTGTTAATACAGCCTATTACATTTCCAAGGAACTATGGCCCGGTGTGTGTCCCGCAAGAGAAACTGATCTAGTTGAGCTTCATTTTTTGCTCTTATATAAACGATTCTCGGAGAACGCAGTCTCCTCAATAAATTTACGCAAAGAACAACTCAAGTCCTTGAGTGGTCAGGTGGCTCGCTTGAAAAGCAGTCGTATCTGTCTGGTCTGCCTTCTACGTTCCGCACAACATGTTCTAGCATGTGGACATACAGTCTGTGACCGCTGTGCTCAGATTCTCGGAAGCCCTACTTCCGGGCTGGAATATCAGTTCACAATCAAAGGCTGTCTGTATTGTCTCTATCAGAGGCCGTTAGTGGTGGATGTTCTACCGCCAACTATGAGCCCCACAATTCTTGCTATCGATGGTGGTGGAGTTAGGGGGGTTATTCCGTTAGAGTTTCTCCTACTGGTGCAGGAACACCTGCGCCCGTGCGCGATACAAGGTGTGATCGATCTCGCACTCGGCACAAGTTCCGGTAAGTCAGGTACCTTAAAACGTAAGTTCCAGTCAGGAAATCTACTGAAGGGTATTGTAGGTGGACTTATCGCCCTAGGTTTATTCGCAATGGCCTGGGATGTAACGGACTGCTCGGAGCAATTCAATACCTTGGCATGTCGCATTTTCCGTGAAAGACGCCAAATATTTGGTTTTACATCTGTCTTTGGAAACATGGCTAAATGGGTTCAATGGCTCTTACATGACAGCTGCTACGATTCGCGGGTCTTCGATGCTGCCCTGAAAAATGCGTTTGGGGAGCATCGTCGTATTTTTGGTGCCTCTCGAGAAGATCCACCGGGACCACGACGCTCCGGCCCGAAGGTCGGAGTGGTAACCACGAGCATTTCCAGGGACACAGGTGCTTTTGTGATGGGGAACTTCAACGCGTCTCATGACTCAGGAGACGAAAACGGCAAGTTCAAGTCTCAATTTGGCCCACGTTCCTACTAATGCGTTTAGACTTCCAAATCATACGTCCAAATGATACAAGAAACGAACCAGCTGTGTGGAAAATGTGAGCTTGAGCTTGGCATGCACCCCAATTTCCATAGTCAGAGCTAATTGAAATCTAGGGGAAGAGCGACCGCCGCGGCCCCATTGTAAGTCGACCATTCCTTATCTTGTAGTAGTGGAGTTGACTCTTCGATCACAAGTTATTTTACCCCTGTGGATCTGCAGGGAATCGGTTCCTTTCAGGACGGTGGACTAAAGTACAATTTCGCGGGAGAGATTGCACATCAAGTCTCGCGCCAAATCTGGCCCACAGCCATGGGATCTCCAAGGATGCTGTCACTGGGCACCGGAAAAGCGCAGTCAAGAGACCAGACTCCTCATTTCCGTCACGTCTTTTGTGACAGTTTCATACGCCGGGGATTTGATGCATGGATGTCTACCATGGAGACAGATAGCGATTGGAAGAAATGGAGGGGTCGTCTGAATGATTCGGTCAAAAGTGACAGTCATCGCTTGGACGTGCCTCTCGGAAATGCGCCTCACACCATTGATGCTGTCGAGGCCATGGAGGAATATCGCAATCTTGTCATCCTCCAAACCGGTAGTGCACGGATGGCACGGGATGCGGCAACCACCCTGCTCATCTCTAGATTATTCTTTGTCGTCGGCTCATTGCCAGAAAATACCGCGACACCATTCTGGTGTCGCGGGTCAGTGCGCTGTAAAGGGCCGGCTCGGCTGGTGATCTTAGCTTTGGAAAATCTTTACCCTGATGGGCTTGAGTATGTCTCAGATGGTGGATTGATCGACAGGTTTGGGGGTCTGGACAGTCTCTGCGCCTCATGTGGACGCTACAGCCAGTCCATTTCTTTCTTGACTAGCCACCTGGAATACACGGTGAATATATATTTACAGAGCAGCTCGAAAACGCGCTGGAGAATTGGCGGGTTTCCGGAGAGTGTGGCATCGTTTGTTGCAGCGCAAGGCCTGCGGTCTGCTTTTGGTCGAGACGACCATGGGTATCCTTGCCGCCAACCTTGCCAGAGCTGTGACATGATTGGAAGTCCCGTCAGGGGTAGGAGACGCAAGCGCGAACCAAGATCCTCCGGCGATGTCTACCCACGGAAACGCGTACTCGTCTAAACATGTGTCGCGCATTGCCATGATAATGATGGAACTCGGATATAAATATGAGACCCTTCTTGTCCCTGTGAGAAATTTCACTTGAATCACTTCTTCTAAATTCTCTCATCATATGAAGCTATGGGTGGGCCTGATCCTAAGAGGAACTCCCGACTCCAATTTAACAGGCGATCCCGTACATTGAAAGCCAAAGCTCACGAGCTTGCAAAACTCTGTTATGCGGATGTATATCTAGTCATCAACCATCCGCGAGGATCGTTTGTCTATGACTCAGTCAGCGATAAAGTGTGGCCCCCTAATGATGATAAGCTGGTGAGTCAGACAGTACCCAAAATGGGGTCATGAAACTGAGACACTGGTAGGAACCCAAGTACCCTAATATGGAACGATCGGATTTCGACAAAATGGAAAGCCTGTCGGAAAGCTCAGAGGGTCGCTTGTTCCGTCTCGCTCGGTACTTCGCTGCCAGGTCTGAGCATTTTCGATCATTGGAGGATCTCTTTAAGGATATGGATCTGACCAATAATGTTATTGCGGATGATGGAAGAGGCGTTGGAGATCGTGTCTCGTAAGCATGGTTTTTGATGTGACGAGAACAGATCGGTTATCTCGAACTAGAGATTTACAGTACAGTAAAACCCCGCTATACCGGATCAATTTTGGGAATGGAATTTATTCGGTATACCGGGCGATCCGTTAAGTCGGATACCATATACTTTTAAGTACAAAAGTAGGCACGAATATCCCCCTGGCGGCTGTTCTCAATAATAGAGCCCTGGAGCGTCATACTCAACCTATTTAGGTTGCGAATTTGCTCGATATCACCTTCTTCCTGCTACTCGCGGTACAGCCTTAGACCCTCTAAACACTCAAGGGCATGAGCCGCTGTTATATATATCCCGTGGTTCGTAGTTCGAAAGCCCAGGACTTCTCGGATCCACTGCATCGTAGCGGGTGCTGAGACTGAGCTAGTTAGCTCGCCGTGTGGTGTACGGCTTGTACATATTTGTCTTCAAACCAGCGCTTCATCTCGAGGTTCGATGCGGTAGGAAAGTTGCTCGGCGAGCCCGAAGGGCTTGCTTCTGCTCAATTGAAATTACTGTATGGCGAGGCATATTGTCGGAGGAAGATACAAGGTAGAAAATATTGATGCTATGAGTGGAAAGCAGTGTACTATGCTTGTATTGGATGAAAGTGGACAAGGAGAGGAGAGAAAGGAGAGAGAGAGCTAACTACTTGGTCTGTTGATTGCTGTGGTTGCCCAGGTAATGCAGCCCGACACCCAAATTGAGGGGTAGCTAGAGGTGCGCACGGGCCCCGCACGGGCCACAATTTACTCGGTATAGCGGACTTAGTATGGGAGGGTGGAAAAAAATTAACGAATTCCGGAAAAGCGAGGAAGTTCGTTATTTGTATGGGAAATCAATTTTGGGAATTGATTTTATCCGTTACGGCGAGGAATCCGGTATGCCGGGGTACGGTATAGCGGGGTTTTACTGTATTCCTAATCATGGAGAATGTATGCAGTTTCCACTATATATTGGTAGGAGAGAACGGTAGATGCGTAAAACTCGAATTGAGCTTTTCCTATATTTTCCCCTGGACTGAGTAATTGTCTGCGAGGAATTGTCAAGTTAACATTTTTCGTACTACATTAATACTTCATTAAAAGAAGGGGGCGACAAAAGAGCGAAGACAAAGACCCCATAGACAATGCAATGGAAGAAGGAGGGTGGCGCCCATTAGGAGTGCAGTGCCAGGTCCACTGTACTCCCTTGATCCAAGCGGGCACACGAGCGGCAGCCGATAAGGATGAGCGGCTAGAACGCAGGGGCTACGGGGATGTTATGTGATGAGATGTGATTCTAGTCCCTGACTCCCTACGGCCAGGAGTGGGGACGACACTAATTTTGTTTTTGTATCATTTCTTTTGCTATGTGACGACATCAATTTCCCGAATTATGGTAGTTGGCCTACCAAGGTTGCTGCCACCCTCAATTTCAACGAGATAAGAATCGTGGCAACGTTCTATTCTCCAAAGGCCATCTTGCAGTTTGCGAACTTAAGTATATCACAACCCCAGTAAAAATGAAGCTTTTTGGGAGCATGCTATTGGTACGGTGACCGAGAGGATCGTAGGCGTGTCGCTCTTACTGGCGACTGGCAGAATCGGATCTTGAGTAATGCTGCGACACTGCTTTCGTCTTGAATAATGCTGCGACACTGCTTTCGGGTTATCTTGGTGAATGGGGGTCTGCCAGGGCCCAGCAGGTTTCATCCAACGTGTCGGCGAGGAATGAGGAAATAGGGCATGACCGGCCAATAGAATGGTCATGTCCAGATTTCTTTTTTGCCCTAAAAAGGATGATCCTCACCCACAGCCAAAAGCACAACGAAAGAAGTTTGTGGAGCGCAACACCCACTATCTATTTATGAATCGGACCATAAAGGATCCGACGCGGAAATCACAGCATGGAGTCAAGCGCCAAACGAGATACTATTCTACCAAATAGATTGTGGCCAAATAGAGGAGATGCCAATGCAAAAAAGTCCGACTTCAATACAAGAGACGACGATGTGAATGAGGTCACTGGGGGAGAAGCAAGCTCGCCGAAAAAGCAGAAAAGTCATGTACACCTAATGGGCGTTCCCCTCAAACCATGCGAAAAGACCGCATCTCCTCCTCCTCCCAACAAAAGGTCACTTGACAAGTATCACAAATCATACAACATTGACCAGGCTGGAACAGGGGTAATAGCCTTGAAAGACACTGAGAATCTCCCCATTTGTCTGATAAAGGACCGTGACGCTGGAAAACTGCTATCCATTCGAGGCCTGCAATTCGCTAGTCACAGAAACATTCTATCCTTGATTGATCACTTCCGATCGGGAGATACACTTCATTTGGTCTATGAGTATGAGCATTTGGCAATCAGTCTTGGTTGTGTTGCAGGAAATGTCCAGTTCAGCGACGCGGACATAGCGACAGTCTGCAGAGAGATCTTGGAAGGGCTTAAATTCATTCACTCGGCCTTGGGGACTTCATATGGCTTGTTGGATTTCAGCAATGTCCTTCTTACTTGGCAAGGCGAAGTCAAGCTTGGTACGTCTTGTCCGCTCAATTTGAACTTCACTAATTCACGAGAAGCAAATATTGGCGAAAGCTTATTGCAAAATTCTTCCTACAATACGATTCAAAAGGATATCCAAGATGTTGGGTCAATTGTTGTGTCCCTAAGCGACCGGTCCGCCGCACTTCTTGGCTCAAGCCTTGACCTTAATACATCACTTATTTCAAGGCTGGCCCATTCATTTGTGCAGAGAACTAAAGAAAATACAACCGCCGAGCAACTGATCAAAGTCAGTACCTCTAGCTTTTTCACTTCTTCATGCCTTCCCTGATTTTATGAAAAGGACGAATTTCTGCATCTTGCCAACCCTGGGGGGGCCTGGAGTTTGAAGCGACACTATTTCAGGACCCTGCCCTTGGGCATTCGCATCGGAACCAAGGCTAAATAGGACCATAATCGAGACCCCGGAAGCTCCGCAGACAAGCAATACAAAGCTTGACAGTGTGCATTTCCTACGTAGCTCCTCTTTTCACGCCAGACTGCAGTACTTGGTGTCGCCACCTATACTCTTTCCATAGTTCTTTGACCCTAATACCGGGAGGCGCTAGTCCAGATTAACGTACTCCGTACCTGTGCACAATTTTGCAGCTATGCTAAGTTGGTTTGGCATGGCCCCAGGAAATGGCCCATCCTTGAGAACCCCAAGGACTCTCTGACTCCGACTGATACATAATGAACATGGGCGAGAATAATGCAATGATCCGTGTTTCTTCATTAGAAAGACTATCTAGTACAGTGATATTATTAGATTCCTCTTGGAATGGCTTAGTTCATCTTGGCACCAGAGAACAAGGTGACACCGAATTCCGGAAGTGCTGTGAATCAATCAATCAATGTTCTACTAAGAGAGAGAGAGAGAGATTCTCATTTGCCCGATGTAGCTCGCTCTAAGTATAAGGTGCTATGCGGGGTTGCTATCAGGCCTGCCGGCAGCTGGAGAGTGCGGGCGCCAGGCTCCAGCCCACTGGAGGACTGTTGGAAACTCGCTTTGCGCATTTCCGACCAGTCGCCCTCAGAATAGAAAAATATGGACTATAACAAAAGAAATGAACAAAAACAGAAAAATGAGTGTCGTCCCCACTTCTGGCCGTAGGGACCAGAATCACATCTCACCACGTATGTAACATCCTCGTATCCCCTTCGTTCCAGCCGCTCATCCTTGTCGGCTGCCGCTCGTGTGCCCGCTTGGATCAAGGGAGTACAGCGGACCTGGCACTGCACTCTTAAATGGCGCCATCCTTCTTCCTCTTCTCCAATCGCACTGCACTAAGGTATTCTACCTTCTTCCTCGCCCAGCGCCGCGGGATCGACTGTCTGGAACTGGCCCAGTAGACCGGTCTTGACCATAAATTTGGCCACAGTCGTGCGGGCCTCCGGCCTTGTCAGGAGCTCATCTCGATGCAGAGTGATTCCCTTGTCGGAGAGAGCGCGTCTCATCCAGTCTCGCTCGTCTTGGTGCAGGGGACATTCCAGCAGGACGTGTGCAATCGCACCGCGCAGATTCGCGCCGGTTGATTCAATCAGTTCTGAGTTTTATCGGAATCGACGACGTGGCTTTGCGTGGCCCTGACCAGTACTCGAGCGTTTTCTTTGTCGGTATCTCGATCAGGCGTTTCGTCGGTCGACTGGTCGTTTCCTTTGCCTACAACATCTCCCACTCCAGCTTCGCTTCACTACGTATTCACCTTTTCGCCGCGGCCGCAAGGCGTATCCCTCTGTTGAGAGGGTTTTGTGGCCCTTCCGGGCCCTGCGCTGCGTTTTTGGCATCTTGATCCGCGATCTCATTGCCAATGACCCCTTGGTGCGCAGGGATCCATCTCAGTTCTGTCCAGACCCCTTTGTCTGCAAACTGCCGGATCAGGTCGAGACATCCTGACAGATAGACCTGTCCTGATGGCATACGTGGTCGTTGCAGCACCCTCAGCGCTGCCTGACTGTCCGCGAAGATGACAATTCCATTCCTCGCCTGCTCAGCCCATGGTTCTGTGCTTTCCTGGGCCATTGTGAGTGCCACCTCAATGGCCCGGAGTTCCGCGGTATATACGGTAGACGTATCATCATCCCCCATTTGGCTGTGGGCATGTCGGTCTTCGAGATCCACGACCGCTGCCGCTCCAATCTTTCCATCAATTCCGCTCCCGTCAGTGTACATTATGAGGGGTCTCTTGTCTGGAATCGCAAGGGTCTGGTTATGGTGGTTGACTGCGGTTTCTATGTCCTCGATGATCACCTTTGGCGGTGTCTGCCATGGTGCTTGGATGGATGCCCTCCGACTCCCCCAGTTCTTCGACAGAGTACCCGGGGGAACCATGAGGCATCCGCCCGCCTTCCAGGCCTGCGCCTCCATTGGTGTCCACCCAGCCCATTCTCTCTCTTCGGCGGGTCGGCGTCGTAGCATCAGTGGTGGGACAGCGAATACTGGTCCTGTTCTAAGTCGCAGGGCCGTTTCCATCACCAATCGATTCATGTGAACAGAGATAAGCGGTAGGTGGAGTTCAATGTTTAGCGCCTCTGCTGCCGTCGTTGTGAAGGCTCCGCTGATCACGCACGCTGCCTGCTTCTGTATTGCCGCGAAGGGCTTATAGATTGTGCGAACCTTGAGCTTGTTGATTAGCATGGGTTGATACCACACGGACACCCCAAAGAGCATCTGGGGGATTAACACTGCTTGGTAGATCTTTCTCATCGCGCTTAGTGAGGCACCAAAGTTCTATCAATCTGTTGCAGCATGACTAGTATCATAATGGCTATGCAGGCGCTTCTTTACGGATGGAGCAAGAACCCATGTTCCGTAAGCCTGATCATGCCCCAGTGTAAAAAGTAAGGCTGGTTCTCAAAGAGTCGAAGCACCAGCCTATTACATGTAAGCGGAACATAAAACCCACAAAATGCAAGGGACAGTAGAGAAGCCATAGCCCTCAAGGCAATAGGGCCAGAAAGAGTGCGTGGATGCATGTACCATCTACCCTCCCCCCCCCCCCCCGCCAAATCTCCTCTCTTCCCGCATCCCGCGTTAGCCTCCTCCACGTCGAGCTCCTAGCCTGTTCCTGTGGCAAGATCAGACCCGTTCTCCGTCATCCTCACTCCAGCTTCGATTGCTGACTATCATTCCTTAATGCGCAGTGGGGGAGCTTGTATTCGAATAGCTGGGTGAGGCTCTTTCCGTTCTCAAGCGTGGTGGTGTGCCATGGTGAGTACCTAGCGTCTTCGGGACTCCGCTCCGTGACCTCAAGGTCATCTGATTCATCCCCGGCTCTTGTCCAGCATGTTGAAATCAAGTGCTGTGAACATGTCTCAAGCAGCCACCGTACGATCTAGGTCCTTTCTATAATTCTATTGGCCTGGAACGAGCGATTGGTGGTGTCGCCTGTATCAGATGTTGTGGTTCCACAAAGTCTATTGTGCGAGCCGTTTTATGTGCCGCAGAGTGTCTTAAGGATGGGAGCCCCCCCCCTTCTCCCCAGTCCGCGGGTGACAGTTTATTCTATTGTTTGACCAACGGAGCCATGGCAACTCGATCCTCTGTCCAATCCGACAATCACGCCAGCGGCTTGACTTACGAGCCCTTCGAATCCAGTTACGTACGGATGATCGTGGAAGCGGACGAAATTGCGTGGCAAGACAACATTCTTGCTAGTGCAGCTCACTGGATACTTCTTGCTGGATATCTGGTGGTTCCTGGGACGTTCACGTCTCTCCAAAAGTCCGACACTATCCACACTGGCCTCGCTCAAAATGAAGCTGGGGAGTGGATTTTAAACACTATTCAGAATCCTCCACTTCTCGCGACAGCATGTGTACTGTTTGTCTCGGGCTTGACGATCATGGGCTGGCTGTTCCGGGAATATCGAGGGAATTATATCTGGCTTATTAATCGTATTTTCATGTGAGTGACACGCATGAATGCTAGCCTGATAGGAGATCTTGCCTAACCTTGGTTAGTCCAACACTTCTTAATGCATTAGCTGGTTTTCTTACTACGATTGTTAGCCTATACACTGCCCATAATGGCGATTGGTCTATCATGGTACTTTTGACCGTGATTACATCTGGCCTGTCCGTTGCCTGCTCCCTCATTCTGTTGTATATTTATAAGTTTGGTAAAGTACAGAGGCTGAAACAGGAACACAAGCGGATGGTTCGCAACCGCGAACAGCCTCTCCATGTCTGAGAATTTACCCACTCATACGATATTATCGAGAATACTGGGTCATCATGTACTCCGTACATACGATAGTCTAGATATGCCTTAACTAGTTAGCGAATGTTGGGATTTTCCCCGCTCGGTAAGCGAGACGCACACAGTGTCTCGTTCCCGATGGGTCTCCTTCTGATCCTCAATCAGCCTGATATATTCATTTGGAGTGGTTCCCCTTGACTCCTAGGTCTAGATTCCATCACGTGTGCATCTCCACTGTAGCTCCCGCTCTCAAAGATATTATTCCAGGGGAATGGTCAGAAATGCATCAAGAAAAAGCCACGACATAAAAGTCCTTGTGTACCTTGCATTGAGATAGCAAGCCAGAGCGTGGGACAGTCAGGATTCATTCTATTAGTATACGAGAAAAAGTACAACGAAGGATCCACTTAAAAACGTGAAAGTCTATTCCCTATTCCGGCTGGATAGGCCCCGCTGCGTACCCCGCTGCCTGCCTTTCCATTCGTCGCTCTCTTTTTATCGCGTTATCATTGGCCTGCGCGAAACAACATACTCCCTTTGGGTTTAGCCTCGGCCATTGCATCTCCCTGGCTTGGTTTACCTGTTCACGCGTTGCTTCCATCTCAATTCTACAGCCTTTTCACCTGTTCACGCCTAATTCTACGACCTCTTGCCATGTCGAATCCTATCCCCCTCCAACACCACCGCGTGAGCGTTCCGCCGCCGATCTCAACGCCGGTCCGTCTACCAAACGCTGTAGCCGGTGCCATAACAAACGATCCCTGAGTACGTTTCTCGGCGACAGAAATGTCCAGCTTAAAACCTGCCATGGATGCCGTTATCCCCAGTCAACACGGGTCGAGAGCGAGGCCTCCGTGCGTGCAAATACTATTGATACTGCTAAAAAAAACTAGAACACCTTAGTGCAGTGCGATTGGAGAAGAAGAATAAGGATGGCGCCATTTAAGAGTGCAGTGCCAGGTCCGCTGTACTCCCTTGATCCAAGCGGGCACACGAGCGGCAGCCGACAAGGATGAGCGGCTGGAACGAAGGGGATACGGAGATGTTACGTGGCGAGATGTGATTCTGTCCCTACGGCCAGAAGTGGGGACGACACTCATTTTTCTTTTTTTGTTCATTTCTTTTGTTATAGTCTATATTTTTCTATTCTGGGGGCGACTGGTCGGAAATGCGCAAAGCGAGTTTCCAACAGTCATCCAGTGGGCTGGAGCCTGGCGCCCACACTTTCCAGCTGTCGGCAGGCCTGATAGCAAACCCGCATAGCAGCTTATACATACTTACAGCGAGCTACATCGGGCAAATGCATTTCTCTCTCTCTCTCTCTCATGGGTCAAAATCTTCATGCAACTTTCGCGCAGGCCAATGATAACCCGAGCCCTTCACTAACTGTACTACATGCAGACCGCATATCCGTCAAGTTCGGAGTTCCCCCACCAGCCCGTACCGGTACGTAGTCCTGCTTCAATTGTCGTAATCAGCTTCCTATGGCCCAATTTATCCTGGCGCGCCGCCGCCAGCCGTCTAGAAAAGAGGCAGTGAAAGCATGAATAAGCAGCGATACTAAAGGCTGTTCAATCTGGAAGACCAATATGAATGAGAGAGTAATCAATGAATGAATGAATGAATCTGACTATCTAGCATGAAGGGATTCAGGGGTTTGTGTACCAACAGCCCTGGGAGGAGAATTGATCCGACGAGGGTGGCGCACAAACGCCAAGAGCGCCAAAAGGGAACCCTCGTCCCTCTAACAGAAATGAAATGTCTGGCGAAACGTATGATGAAATTCACGATGGTCAATTCACGATGGTCAATTTGTCCGACTAACTAAAAACAACAAAGTCTGACTTTGACAATAGGTCGGGCTGTTCACACAACAATGACTAAGCATGCATGCTTAGTCCGCACGTCACATGTTTACTTGGATACAGATGGTATCATCCGGTTTCTTGACACCCTCTATACTGACAAAGTAGAATCCCATCCGATCTATCCCTCCGTTTCTTGTGGCAAAATGCCCCAATGCATAATTGTATCTAGATAATGTGGTATCAGATACCACGTCCGACTGTTCGATTGCACTTGCTGCAAGAATGCATGCTATAAGCTGTGAGCATGAGACCAAGGAATGTTGTGTAGGTGCCCAACCTCGAATAAGTAAGAAAACGATGCTGATCTAATATGCTCTACAAAATGAGTCGCATACTTCGACAGCCTAAACCCGATTTGCTGGGTGCTAGCTTGGTCTTCAGTCAGAGATACCTGTGAATCACTCAGTTGAAGCAACAGTAATCCAACTTTTTCGCGATCTAGCTCCATGGACCTGGGACCATCATCAACCATGCTATCCCCAATGTTTGCTAAATAATTAGTTTTGGTTTATGAATGAAAATCGTATAACTATGACACTTACCTATCTTAATTCCTCCATCGGAACATAGGATTATGTTGTCACAGTCGATACGGCCGTGGACTATCAGAAGCTCTTCATGGATATACTCAAGGCCTTTGAGAACGCTCCTGCAGATGCTGGCGAGATCAATCTCACTTAACTGGACGGCGGGTGTTGAGCCGACTTGCGAAAGACTGACAGCAAATCCATGGTAATTGTAAACCAAATAAGTGGCTTTGCTGTCGTAGAAAGCCTCTACAAGTCCCACTATATTTGTGTGGAGCGCAACTTGCAGTTTAGAGACGCTAGTATGCTTCTTGTCGGCGGTCTTTTTTTTGATCAAGACAGTTGAGTATCCAAAGTAGTTGCCAAGGCTTAGCCATCCGCAACCAGCCTGATCGACTTTCCAATTCATAGAATACTTCTGGGTGGGGTGTCCAGGGTGGGGTAAGCCATGTCTAACTGGGATGTCAATGCGTTGAGATCTTAGTAAAAAGTGCAATTGGGAAACTCACCTCTCAGAACTAAGCCCATGCCCATGACGATCGGGATCTCCACATTGGCGATTGGGTTTGTTGTCGGCGATAGCTGTTAGGGAATTATCATTCCAATCTTCAAGTTGACCCATCTCCCCCATGGTGGAATTGACTAATGTCAGCAATCTACTGATACCGAAGGCAACATACTTTATCATAAGTTCTATGCGGCAACGCTTGATTATTTCCTTGAAGCTCAAGCACATGAGGAAGTCGGCATTGGCTACCTTTCCTGTGTCGCAGATGACGTCCCTAGCCATGATCAGGATATTGACTGTCGGTTGTGATTGGGCCGCGGCAACAGTAAAGCTAGTCGTTCCCTGATATCGAGTCAATCCCCGGATACTGGACTAGTCGCGGACACGAAACCAGAGTCGCGGACACAAAACCAGAGTCGCGGACACGAAACCAGAGTCGCGGAAAGGAATTGCGTACACGAAGCACCTTCCTCTTTCGGCCCCCGCCGTCCGGTAGCCCCGCAAAACCCTAGGTAGACACCCAGCGACTTGGGTTGCAGAGATTTGATTATACACTCGAGCCAGTCATGCTAACAGAGGCCGCTTTGTTTCAATCATCCTTGACCGCCAGGAGACAAGTCTAATATGGAAGATAACGAAGACTATAAATATGCCCCCGGTGTCTGCCAAAGCGAAAGAAGAACTTTACATTCTTTTTTTTTTTTGGCACCAATGACTACTTTTGCTACCACTCATTTTCCGACTACACCTGAGGCAATCTACGGCACAGTCCTCGGTCTTACGGCTTTCTCATTCCTGTTATACCGTCTTACCTTTTGCACGTGCTCATTCTTATCAACCTCTACTTTCTTTTGCTCTCGTGTTCGACCGTTCCTATTGCGCCATGTGATTTATGCCAAGTCCTATTGGCGATTACTCGGATTTGGATGTACATCAAGGACCCATTTAATCTTCACAGTTGTTTATTTCGCCGGCACAGGCATCAGCAATGTTGTGCGGGTTCATTCTGTTCAAGATGCTGGTAAGAGAGCAGCGAAGCTCTCACTAATTAACTTGTTTCCAATGTTCTTGGGTGGTGGTTATGAGTTCGCTGCTCGCCTTCTTGGAGTTTCCCTCCACTCCTATGGATTCCTACATCGAACTTTTGCATTAGTAGCTCTCTTTGAGGCTTTAGCTCACGTTATAATCGTTGCTCGATCGAGGCTGATTTTATGGGCAAACCAGATGGAATTTCACGGTCTCCTGGTAAGCTTTCCCGGTTTTCCCAAACTGTGTTTGTATACTGAAATTCAGTCAAGACCGCTAGTATGTTCGTGGCTCTGATAATTTTGCCACTAGTCAAGAAAAGGGTCTACGAAGTATTTCTTGTAACCCACATTGGGTGTGCGGTGACGATGATCTACGCCATATGGCAGCATACCCGGTCAGCTGAAGGGAACTCTTGGGTATTTCCACTAGTGTTCACATGCACCCTCGTTATCACAGTGCTGTTACAGCTAATTCGCATCGTATATCGCAACGCGGTGGTGGGAAGGAGCCATGTCCGAATCAATTTACAACCATATGTGGGCGATGTCGTGCGAATGACACTTTCCTTGCCTAGACCATGGGTTGTGCGCGCCGGTCAACGCATCAACCTGGGCGTTCCTTCCGTGGGCATTTTTTATACTTTTCAATCGCACCCTTTTACAATCAGTTGGTGGGAGAATGATATCAAGGGCCGGGCGGTTTCAATCTCAGTCCTCCTTCGTCCCCGTTCCGGGTTCACAAAAAAACTCTTGGATCGTATTGAGCCAAACAGAGACTGCGGAGCTTGGATCGATGGCCCATTTGGCCCATCATCTGTTAATTGGAATTTAAATGGCAAGGTCGGCGACTATGGACATGCCTTTTTTATTGCCATCGGTATAGGAATCGCAGCTCAGTTACCATATATCAAAGAGCTCCTCGACGGCCATGAAAAGGCTCAAATATGCACGCAGAAGATTTCACTTGCCTGGCAGTTGGATAGGAATGGTGACTATGAGAGTGCACGAGACTTACTACAGTTCCTCGTCAGGCAAGATAATGGATACGTCAGTGTCCAATTCTATAATGATGGTACAATATGCTTACGCTGAGTAGATGCTTCATGTCTCAATTTATGATCCACTGCGTGCTCAGTCAGATGATGATATTCAACACATCGGTGAGAACGGGCTCATCGATGTACATAGCGGACGCGCCAACTGGGAAAGGCAGCTTGATAAAGAAATCGAAAGCCAAATGGGAAAAATGCTAGTACTTGGTAAGGCTTATTCTCACAATCTAATAAGGAATGGCCCACTCATCTCAAATCAGTATGTGCGCAGACCCAAACTCGGCATGATATCAGAAACTTGGTTAGGTCACGTGTAAATAAGAATGTTGAGTTGTTCGAACCTGAGTTTCAGCCTTGGGGTCAAACTGGAAGTCTGCGCACCTTTCTCAAGCCATGAGAGAAGAGATAGCAAAGGGGCATAAGGGGTTCTGCTCCCAGCCTGATAGAATAGTCGCATAGTTAACTAGGGTACAACTGTTAGTCCGCCAGGTGGGCTCACTGGTATCCCAGGATAACATTGAGTTGCCAGGGTTCCGATGTGCTATTGAAGAAGAGACACGCTAGGACAGAACAATGTAAATAACTAAATATTGCGGCGCCCTGTGAAAGCAATAGACCAATCCAAATAAACGGGAGGCGGTGGTAACAACCTATCGAGCATCTAATAACTAGTTAACCAACATCCAGGAAACATACGGGAGGAAAGAACGGAACACTTTAATTACAAAGGTGAAGCGATGAAATGCGTACTTCGCAGTTAGTCCCTACTCCCCGGTATATCCCTACTGCCCAGTTGGTCCTTACTGCCCAGTAAGCCCCTACTCCCCAGTTAACCCCTACTCCCCAGTATGTCCCTACTGTCCGGTTAGTCCTTACTGCCCAGTTGGTCCCTACTGCCCAGTCGGTCCTTACTGCCCAGTAAGCCCCTACTCCCCAGTTAACCCCTACTCCCCAGTATGTCCCTACTGTCCGGTTAGTCCTTACTGCCCAGTTGGTCCCTACTGCCCAGTCGGTCCTTACTGCCCAGTAAGCCCCTACTCCCCAGTTAACCCCTACTCCCCAGTATGTCCCTACTGTCCGGTTAGTCCTTACTGCCCAGTTGGTCCCTACTGCCCAGTAAGCCCCTACTCCCCAGTTAACCCCTACTCCCCAGTATGTCCCTACTGTCCGGTTAGTCCCTACTGCCCAGTTGGTCCCTACTGCCCAGTCGGTCCTTACTGCCCAGTAAGCCCCTACCTGCCCGGTAAGTCCCTACTGCCCAGTTGGTCCCTACTGCCCGGTTGGTCCCTACTGCCCAGTTAGTCCTTACTGCCCAGTAAGTCCCTACTGCCCAGTTAGTCCTTACTGCCCAGTAAGTCCCTACTGCCCAGTTGGTCCCTACTGCCCAGTCGGTCCTTACTGCCCAGTAAACCCCTACTCCCCAGTATGTCCCTACTGTCCGGTTAGTCCTTACTGCCCAGTTGGTCCCTACTGCCCAGTCGGTCCTTACTGCCCAGTAAGCCCCTACTCCCCAGTTAACCCCTACTCCCCAGTATGTCCCTACTGTCCGGTTAGTCCTTACTGCCCAGTTGGTCCCTACTCCCCAGCTCCCCGGTTGGTCCCTACTGCCCAGTTGGTCCTTACTGCCCAGTAAGCCCCTACCTGCCCGGTAAGTCCCTAATCCCCGGTAAGTCCCTACGCCCCGGTTAGTCCTTACTCCCAGATTGGTCCCTTCTCCCCAGTTGTTAATGGATACCAACCTCGTTTCTTGCAATAGTCGTCGGTATCAACTATCCAATATCACTCGGTCAGGTATTACATCACTTCTACTAATATGATAGATGGGTGTTTTGCAACATATCATACTATTGTAAAAGCTACTCAAAATTCATCGCTCTTCAATATCTCCTGACCTAGTTCGACTCCCGGTAAGAATAAGTCTGGCAGCCACTGGACCCGTTTATGTCATATCGCACATGAGGAAATCGGTGATAGTATCAACAGGGAAGCGATCATCAGTCGAAGGAGACCAGGGCATACTCTCATCTTGCTGTTCCTCAGGGACTTCAGTGTTATGGTCACCTGCGGGAAAACCCAGAAATGTCTGTGCGAGAAACTTTTTCAAGTCCTGTAGCACCTCTTCGCGAGCAGAAAGAGCCCCCTGAAGATAATCGTTCAGCTCTCGCTGATACCGGTTTTCTTCAAGAAGTCGTTCGATCTTTTGGCTATTCTGGAAATCATGATGGCTCGAGATCTCATTCAAAGAATGAAGCATTTCATCAATCGCTGGATACAACTCAATGAGACGAGCTTCAAGCTGGTTCGCTTTATTCTTTTGAAGGTTGAGGTTGTTGGACATGATCTGACAAGATTCCACCGCGAATCGCAAAGACGCCTCTTGCTGCGATCGTATATACTCCAAGGCGGTGACTTTCCTCTCAATCTGAAGGCAATAATCCCTCAGTTTTAGATATGTCGAAGAATCCACATCGATTTTAGACTCAAGGTGTCCGTGGTAGCGTCTGGATTCTTGCTCCTGGCGTAATAACTTGTTGATTAGAGAAAAACCGAATTCCTCATGATTGACCGTGGGGACATGTCCCTAGGAAACGGAAACAAGTCAATACTTCTCTGGTATATTATGTTTTACGCTTTCTTCAACCTCGTACGTACCTCAGCAGGGCTGTCCATGGATGGAGTTGCGCCACGTTCTGACATTTCTCTAACGAATAGAAAGGTGACTGGAACTCGCTTTGTCAATGTGGGAGTGCCTAATATCAGAGCATATAAAGGTTCAATGGCTTAAACACAAGGATCCGGGAACATGGGTTGCAGCGAAACGAATAAAAGACCCCGCTTTGACCAGGTATTACGGTAAATGTATGATCGTCTTTGAATTCTCGCGTTCGCCATTGTGCTTGCATTACCCTACCTGCGGCACTGGTTTTGGTAATCCTGTCCAAGTGCGAAACAAGGCACGGCAGCTACCTACTTCCTAACCGCATCTTTGACTTACTAACATAGTACGTATTTTTAGTAGTAGGAGTAGGTACTAGGAAGTAGGGACCGACATGGGATGGGGGGTGCAAAATGCGCCACACATCTAAGTGTCACAAATACATTTAGAAATATCACGGCCTCCCTTTCGAACAGATTTTCATGCCCCCTTTCCAACCTACACCAAGAAAAAAAGAAAAAAAGAAAATGGACACAAGCGAGAATAGTCTTGGTCACCGAACGAATACCCTCGCGCTTCAAAGACTGCGGTGTTATCAGGGATGCGCAATCATCAAGATACAGCATCTCGTATTTGAATCAAATAGTCTCTCAGGAACCCGAGAGATCGCTGATAAAAATGTGGAGAAACTTCTTAGAATGTTTGAAATCGAAGGCTGCGGCAATCTGGAACCTGAGCACAGAGTTTCTGCGACCATTGAACAGGAGGTTCTGACAAGAGCACTTGAAAAATCAAACGTCACCCGAGAAGCACTTCTGGATCCTACCATACAGCCATATCTCGTATTAGAAGGAGACGATCTCATGACATGTGTATATGGGAAACATCGTTTGAAAGCTGGCGAGAGATTCGGGGAATTTACATGGCTGGTTGATATCTATTTAGACAGTATGATATCTCAGCAGATGCTGCATTCTTTGAAGGCTAATTGGTATTAGATATCTCGGCTGATGCGCTCGTCCAATTGCGCGAGGAATCGACGGAAAGTATAAGCTTCACTGTCGGCGAAATATACCGATCCCTCAGGTCATACCAAATTGCACAAAATGCTGCCCTAGAGCAGAAATGGTGGGCTAGACTTGGTTCCGAAGACCGTCGGAAACAGATACGACGCTTGCAAAATGATGCTAGTCGGCGTGACATTCTGGACAAGTTGTTACCGTACGTTGGGCTATGGAAACCTTTGAGATCTTCCCAAATAACAAGGATGTTGGGACTTAAATGCCCAGATGTATGTTTAATACCCGCCTGTTTTATTCATAGCTAACCTCCTAGCTCTTGTATCATTACTTGTGCATGATAAAGGAATCATGGGCACAGTTATTTGGTTCTGGGTACGAGTGGCTTGTTGACTCGGATTCCGTGTACCATATTGAAGGGTTGATGCCTCAAATCTCTCTAGCAGACCGTAAACGCGTCACCCATCTCATGGATTCAAAGAAAATCTTTCCTCTTATTAGAATTGCTGAAGACAGGGAGGCCCTCAAGAGTCGACTTCTCCAAACGCCTGGGAGAATAATATCTCTCCATACGCTTATCCAAGATACACTTTTTATTGAACGGCCAGCAAGAGCGTTGCACTGTCTTTGCCCGCCAAAATTTAAAGGAAGCCTCAAAAAGGTCATGCTAAGTCAATGGAATCTCATCGGAGCTGGAGGATCCCTTGAAGTTCAGACTACAGAGCAGGATTTTGCAACAATGCAAGAAACTGAAAACTCGTTTGATGTATCCATGATACAACTTTGGCTTTTTGCCTGCAGGCATTTTGTCCACCAAGGAAGACAGTTGAGAACTATTGGACAAAATTCTGCATGGTCCACTGAGGATGTGAGCTTAAACAAGCTTGCTATATTGGGTTCGCGATTAGGCTTTAAGTCTGACCAGATTAGCCTGCTTCAAAACAGGGATCTGGGGCAACATATCGCACAAGGCTTTTTCAAATCTCTTTGCAGGGAGGATTTCTACAAATACGAAGATTATAAGGTGCAATCAATGTCCAACAGACTTCAGGGCTATCTGCAGAGCCCCCCTGGGTTTGTGGAGGAAGACGATGCTACAGCCCAATTCACGACAAACGATCCAGAACTGGAAGCGAGCCACCGATTTAACAGCCCCACGCGAGATGAGTATGATCGGCAACGAAGGAAAATTTTTGCAAGCCAAATGTTTGGTCCCGATCCACCACAATCGGAATATGTAACGTCGCTTGGTGTGATAAAAGATATTATCAGCTGCTTCTTTGGAAAATATCCATTTCACCAGCTTTGGAATGAACGTCAAGCTAACCTCCCACAAAGTCCCCGAGGGCTTGCCGAAGCCGCGCCCGAATCTGTCGAGGCAGATATGGATATTGAAGAAGAGCGTCCAGCAGTTCAACCTGTGTACTCGCGGCCTCCTGAAGAAGCCCCCCAGCCTTCTGCGAACTCAAGACCAGATGCGCTAGAAGAAGAAATCATGAGTGAGCCAGTAGAGATGGATCCCCACCCACCTGGAACTCCTGACCGTGAAATTTCACCATTCGCAGCCGGTCTTGAGGAAGCACCCCAACCTCTGACCTTGAGGCCTTCCGAAGAAGCCCCCCAGCCCTCTACGAACTCGGGACCAGATGCGCTGGAAGAAGAGTTCATCAGTGAGCCAGTAGGAATAGGTCTCCAGCCACCTGGGACTCCCGACCGTGATCTTCCACCATTGGCAGCCGGCTTTGAGGAAACATCTCAACCAATGGAAACGAGAACTTTCCTGACCATTCATCGGAAGATTCCTGAGATCCTTTCGACATGGTACAACTCGCAACAGGAAGTTATTGTTGTCTACCTGTTCGAGTCACGAATTTACTACAAATTCCTCTTAACTGGTGGATACACACTGCGAGCAACCTTGCAAGATCTTGCAAGGGACCATATTTTTGTGGTGTTGAATCTGTATGGGCTAGGAACACCGGATGTGAACATGGTTTATGAAGTAGCTTTGAAAGAACGCTTAATACTGGTCGGGAAACGAGACAATCCAAGTCATGGAAAACAGCTTGAAGGAACAATCTCATTGGATAAACTTCGAGATTACGTTTTGAACTATGATGTCCTCACAGGAAAGAGAAAGGCCGATACTACAGCCAATCGACCCGGGAAGCGTCGGAGATAGGACATCCGATGAGGAGTAATAGGACGGAATACTATATCTCGATCGATAAATTTGATGGTATGTTTTCGTTAAACAGCAGCAAGCCCAACTTAAGGCCCGAGAAATTTCTTCGGAGCTATCACACCGTTGAGCCCTACTGTCGGTATATATTCCACTGTGACTTGGCGGCTTCCCTTCTTGCGTGCCGCTCGGCGTTGTGACCGCCGAGGGCCGTTGTGTCACGTGCGGGATCCAGGGGTGTTTACCCCTAGGTCACCTTAGACCTAGACTAGACACATACATACATCATCAACAACCGAATACAATCCACACTTTGCTACTATAGCATACCTGTTCACTTTACTGTGTACACAGACCTAGCTGGTGAAACCAACACCTACCCTTTTAACGCGATATTGCGATTTGCGACTAGACCTAGGTTACTCGCTCATTGGTATGGTCCTAGACGTCATCCCGTAATCCTGCAAGTTAACTGATTACTGGTTGCGTGTTAGTCAAAATTCTTAATATTTCTCATGCAAAAAGAAATATTAAAGAATCGATTGGATTCAAAGAAAGGAGTAATGGCAGACTAGTTAGTCACCGAGGTGAATAAGCATATTTCATTCGGGACAAAGCTAGATATCCTCGCTGTCATCCTCATCATCCTTATACGGTCTGTTTCGCCAACATATCTCCCGCTAGTCGGTTTCTGCTTGCCGAACCATTCCATACAAAGATTTCGAGTGCCTCCCACTCGTGTTGCAAAGCGTGTTGCAAAGCGTGTCGCAAAGCGTGTCGCAAAGCGTGTCGCAAAGCGTGTCGCAAAGCGTGTCGCAAAGCGTGTCGCAAAGCGTGTCGCAAGGCACGCTGCAAAGCATGTCGCAAGATTGCAGGGTTATTGCCACGGCTTTTATCATAATGCATCTAGAGACTTGTGGACATTTAATTCGCAGGTCCGGCACACAAAATCGTGACTGTTCATCTTACCTTAAGTCCTGAAATACTACACGGTTTGTATCAAAGACGAAAAGATGACCTTCTCGACCTTCCTTCTTCTCGCTAGCCTCTATATATGCGCCGCCCTAGGTGGCACTCTCCAAGTCATCGATTATGACGGCCAATGCGTGATATGGTCTGATGATAACCATGGCTGTACGGGACACTCGGCACCTTTTGGTCTCCTTGATGGAGATAGCTGTTCAGGTGAGTGTTAATTCACAAATATACGACTGGCATTAACGAAGCCCTAGATATAAGCCAGGTTACGCATGGTACACGAAAGGACTACTCCAAATTACATGTGGATATTTGCGGCAAAATAGAAGGTCGGCCTGTTGCATGGATTGAGGTAAACCACAACGGAGTTATTCAAATTTCCAATCAAAATGGAGATGAGACAGGATGCATATTGGAGAACGGATTGAAGGTTGGTAGCTCATGTATTGCTCCCAACATACCTTCTTCGGCATCTTCTCCATCAACATCTTCTCCCCCCGCATCGCCTTCATCAAAATCATCTTCCTCGGAATCGACTTCTTCGGGAACGACTTCTTCGGGAACGACTTCTTCAGGAACGACTTCTTCAGGAACGACTTCTTCAGGAACGACTTCTTCAGGAACGACTTCTTCAGGAACGACTTCTTCAGGAACGACTTCTTCAGGGACGACTTCTTCAGGAACGACTTCTTCAGGAACGACTTCTTCAGGAACGACTTCTTCAGGAACGACTTCTTCAGGAACGACTTCTTCAGGAACGACTTCTTCGGAAACGACTTCTTCGGGAACGACTTCTTCAGGAACGACTTCTTCGGAAACGACTTCTTCGACATCTTCTCCATCACCCGCATCAGCATCGTCAAGTCAAATCTCTAGCTGCACAAGGCCCGAACTAGAAAATCATTAGGGACTGTACAATTCAATGAAGCCCTCCGACTATCATTCATGGTATCTCATCTCCCGCTCCTAGATCGAACGATCACTCTCTCTTTCTCTTCTTACTATACTTGCTGAGATAGAATTGCGTTACACGACCCCATGGTGACCAGATAAAAGTCAGATAGCATTTAAATCTCTTTGGGTATGGTTTTTCCTACCGGGTTTTCCATACCACTAGCGTGAATGCGAAAGAGACTTCCTTACGTTTTGCCGCTCTAAGAATATTACTTTGGGGCCTTATGACCTCGTTCGTAAACCCAGCTTATGATCGAATGTGTACGTGCTTGACTTTTTGTAGACCTGGTTGCGAAGACGTATAGGCGCCAGCTACGAAAATTCAACGGTGAGGAAGACGCCATCATCGTGGCCATGTACACGAACCGTCCCTGCTTTCCACGGACCAAAGTCTTCTGCTTCCTACCTCCCATTCTTGACCACAGACCTAGAGCTTGCTATGGAAATTAGATAAGGTGAAGAAAGATAAATCTTAATTGAAGTCTGTGACAAACTAATAGTTATGCTGTCAATCTAGAATCATTGAATTGTGCAAGAAATGTTCAGTAATGACGAATAGTCTGACGCATAGCAACTTCGTTTCTTGCAATAGTCCGTATCAACGAGACGATATCACCTGGTCAGTGTTCTGCACATAGTTGTCACCAACACGTATGAACTCCATAAAGAGATCATCTATAGAGCTCATATCCGGATCTTCAAAACTGGTTTGCGGAGTGGTGGAAATATAATCCTCTGGGCTCGGCAATATTTCATCACTCATGATCTCGAAAGTAGTTCCCACTGGCTCTGGCTGAAGCTGCCACTTCCTTTTTCGTTTAACACAATTTGAGCGCGGCTCTTCGATTGAATGTGCATCAAAGAAGTGTCGCCGGAGATGTAAGTTGTCAACATATTTCCTTTCTTCGCAACATGGATGAGGGCAGAACACTGCGGCTGAAGAGTCCGCTGAACCTAAGTGTTCGTCAATATGGTTCAAGAGAGTTGATTTTGTGACCCATTGTTGAAATCTCTCGTCGGGATTCTTGCTTTTGTCGCCTAAGCAGAATGGACAGAAACCAGGGGCAACAAGGGTGGAACGGAAGGTCAGGAGACCACATCGGGGCTTGAGCCCATCGAGATGGCATTTGCAATGATTCTTCCAGGATTTTTCGTCATGGAAAATTTCGGCGCAAAGATAGCAAAATTGAACAAAGCTGCGCTGTACGCGTCGATGGGCGCGCTTCTCGTTCCTGTAGCGCTGCTGGTACTGTGCACCATTTAAGGATTTTCTTCGACACTGTAGGATATGCTTAGCTCTCCCTTGTGGGGGAATGCTGTCCGTTTATCAGCCTTTTGATCCATAATGCCCTTCAGGTACACTCACTCTAGTATAGACTTCTCGCATATTGGACAACGCCCTCCCTCGGGGGCCATGCCGGGATAGTAAACGGTACGTTCGCTTGACGTGCAAATAGTGACCATGTCTTCCAGGCACTGTCGACCAACTTCACTATCTAGAGATGCCTTCTTCAAGAGATTCTCGCTGAGACGGGAGCGCTCTGGTAGATATTTCTTGTAGATGTCAAAAAGAGATGTTGAGTCGCGTTCGGAGAAGTCGTTCCCAGACACATACTCAGCGTATGAAGTATCCCACCAGCTTTTGATGAAATCCTTCTTCCAGGCTAGCAATCTTTTTGCTTTCTTGCTATAAAGACGAGCCCGTTCAAATTGGAGGTGGCTATTTTCTTCCAATCTTCCAGCAATCTCCTGGGTTATGTGGGCAATTCTCTGATTTATCTTCACAATTTCATCGTCAGTTTCGAACTGTGCGATCGTAGCTGCATTGAGATGGAGTGGTACGTTCGGATCTCGGTGATGAGACATGCTTTGTTCCATATCACGGCATTCGTAGTCAGGCTCTAAATCATAGAATAAGGCCTGTATATCTAGTGCCTTGAGTGAAGACTGATATTTCAAATAGGTGTCATGATTCTGGTGATCAAGAGCCTGCCCACGAGTAGCCTGAGAAGCCTTGGCTGAAATTCCTTAGTAATTTTGGGGTATGACGGCACAAATGTACTTACGGTCGATCTTGTTTGCAATGCCTCCTCGAATCCCATGTACACGCAACTGGTCTTTGAACCCGTCGCGCTGGGCCAAGCTGGTGAAGTTGTGCCGCAACGACGAGAAAGTCAATGCTTTCGATGATTTAGGTCCTCCAGAATCAACCATTCTGAAGAATGGGAGATTCTTTACGGTTTCGTCCCATTCTAGGGTCCATGACTCTCTTCCCTTAGGTGGCTTTGCGGCAAGAACCTCTGTTACAGTAGCAAGTCCCTTAAAGGCACCATCCGCCACCCCATGAACGATTACCCAGAAGACAAAACTCATTCCAAGAACTGGATGCTCTCTAAACCAATTCTTTGGCCTGATTCTCTATATTAGCCGTCTTCAATAGGATGATTTTAGCTCGTAAACTCACAAGGTAGTATCGTCGCGATAACGCCAGCCTTTTATGAATTCGGGATCAATTGTCACCCAGCGTATCAAGCATCCCCTTTCCTTGCTCCATTTGAGATGAAATGAAAGGTGCTGATAATAATTAGCCACTCCATATAATCAAAAATAATATAATCATCAAGATACAAACCCTATAATATAAGCATTCATTTGACTTGCGATAGGCACTTGATTCGACGATAGCGCCTGCTCTTGCACCCGAGCCAGCGAATAAAGAGAGAGAACTTCCCGTCTGCACGCGTACTCTCTCATGTACATAATCGTGAGAGTCATCCACAAACAGGTGTCGAAGCAGGTAATCTATGTCCTTTCCGTTGACCAGGAAGCGCTCTCTGGGCTTTGTAGGGAGCTTATGTTTCACTGTTAATTCGGTTCTAATGAACTATTGTTTTCTTTAATTAGCTGCGAGCTCTAAAAAAAGGATAGTGGTGGCCCCTTACGTTAAGAACATCATTCTTGACTTCCCTGGGAAGGGATCGAGAAGTTTCTCGCTCCCACTTTGACGTAAAGCTGGTGAAGTGACCACAAGCCGAAGTTTGAGACGGAACTCTTTTGCATGATTTGATGTAAAACTCTGCGAAAAGTTTCAGAAGCTCAGGAGTCGGAACAGGCAGGTTTGGAAAATCTGGGTCAGTGGACTCATTACGAGAAATCCTCCATCTGCTGATAATTAGGAAATAATATCGGTGAAATATTAGTCAAACATACAGAGCCCAATTGCTAACCGCATAGTCGTATTTCTCTAGCGTGGCAGGCGCTAGCTCAGGGTGGCAGATAGTATTACCCTCTTTTTCCTTCTCGTCTTGATATTCACGTGTGAAGCCACGTGATATTGCACGTGCAAGACGCTCCTGGAGTGCTTTCGGGATATTCTGTTCGGAGAACATATCTTGAGTGGTAAAGAGAATCAACGAAAATCATGGCAGAGTAAGAAACCGGCCTTAGGGCTGGTCTTAAGAATTGTTCTTGGAGCGGGCTTAGGATTCGAATGAGTTGGCCCCTATCACCCATACGGTGAGAATTGTCACCCGTTCTCACCCCGTTCTCACCTCTCTCACCCTAGTCTCAAAACTTCTCACCCATATCACCCGCACTCACCTTGGAGTGCCGCTTGGGTGCTAGAGGCAAATTGAGTATTGACTGTGCAGAATATGTGGCTTAAGTACGGCTGAGCGGACGGGAAGCCCTGTTTTCCACACCCTATGGTCGTATGTACTGAATATAGTGGTGGATAGAATCATATCTAACAAGGAATTGGATCAGCTGAAGGGGGGAGAGAGAGAATCCATTCGGCTTTTCGTAACTTAAGGTCACATGTAGCCTTCGCGCTAATTTGGATCAGCTGAAGTGTACGCACTAACCGGCCGTGGCCCGTGAGCACTCAATCGCATCACGTGATGAAAAACGACCACCTTCTACTCTGTAGCGGCGTAGTCTCATTCCCCTCTCAACAAAGGCTACATGTGACCTTAAGTTACGAAAAGCCGAATGGATTCTCTCTCTCTCTCTCAACAATTACACTAATACACGATGACGCAAACTTGGAAGGCACCGACCTCATCTATAACAGGGCGAGCCGCCGCCGCGCCGCGAGCGATATCATGATTAATGGGTTATTGTGTCATCCGGAACCCCTACCCAGACTGGAGAGCTTCCAGAGTCCAGACCCTGAAACAATCGATGCTGCACTTCTAGACCGTGACGATCATGTCTTTCCAGGTGGTGAGCAGACCCAAGAGAGATATCACCGGCATCGCAACATGTCCGGGCAGATTTCGTACTACAGATGTCTTGTGGAATGCTCCAATTCAGATGACAAACTGTAAAGTGAACGGCGGTTTTTGCCCCTCGTGCTCAATTCTCGGCCCTTCCCCTCGAAGACAGGCTAGAGTTCCTGTCCTAGCTGTTTGAGGGTGCTTTATCCCATTGTATATCTAGGTACACCTTTGAGCGCAAGACGCCACTGCCTCAAGATGCATCGCAAACCAGGATTCAGACATCACATACGACTGTGGCCAGCCAAGCCCAAATACCGAACGAGTTGACGCGCAACATGCCTCTTGTACGATAGGTAAAAGGTTTACCATGGTCTATTGATGAAGTATCTTTATTGGTGAAGCTCCGGGAAGAACATAATCTTGCTTGGACGGAGGTGACGAGTCTGTTCACACAGAAACTCCCGGAAGGGAGCACAGGGTATCTACCTACAGGTGTACTGGAGAACGACGCCCAAGAAACATCAGCTCTCTTTGGCGGGTTCGCGTACGGCTCTGCGTTCAGCGATTTATCCGCTAATGCTACTTCGAGTACGCAGGTGTATAGCGGGCAGGGTTCGGATGTAGTTTGTAATGGTATTGGTGCCTGAAATTCTCTGTGCTTTGAGTGTTTGGTCTTGCAATACTCAGCCTGCTTGGTCGATGCGTCGTTTGCCAAACAAACTCCCTGTCACCTCTTCCCACCCCGTCTGGCTTTTGACAGTGCATCCTCTTCCATCACCTTCCTCCTTTTGAACAATCTCTCATCTGGCATCTCGGATTCTTTCTTGCCATTTCTTTACATCTCTTCGGTGCTACGGCTTGCAACCACTTGACCTTTCCGTCGTCATCATGGATACCCACGACGTTTCCCATGTCCCAGAGTACCTTAGGTATCTTCAAGTACAGAAGCAGAACCTAACAAATGCGAAGGCTGTCAAGGGCCATCCAGCAATTCCCAAAAAGTCCAAAGATGAAATCTTGATGCAGTTCATGTCTCGACGGATGCAATTGATGAGAATGGAAACTCCTGCTAATCCGGTGAACCTCCAAGCTTCGTTCCTACCACATGCCTACCCTCCATGCGTTAGACCCTTCAGCGCGTTGAAGAAGGTCATGATCGACAGCCTGTGTCTTGAGACTCACCATCGGGGACGGTATCTCCTTCTGAGAACGGTCACTCCGACAGATACGCTGACCAGCGTGATGGCCATCGTAGAAGATGAAGTCGGGAGTGTTCTAATGCTGCTGCTCTACAACCAAGAGCAGGAGCTATCGGGCGCACAGAGCCTCAGGGAGGGTACAGTTCTTGTTGTAAAAGAACCCTATGTGAAAGTAATGGCAGACGGGGACTACGGGATTCGAGTCGACCATCTCTCGGATGTCTGGTTTATCCCTGAGTTTGACGACCTGGTTCCCTTATCCTGGAGGGAACGCGTCACGCAGGCTGATGAGAACGCCTCTACTTGGAAGGCGAAAGGGAATGAGCATTTTGACCGAGGCGATCATCGTTCGGCAATCCAATGGTAAGCTGAAAAATATTGCTGTGTCTAAGAGGGAATGCTAAAGATGACTTCAGCTATTCAAAGACTTTGGAAGCCCATCCCTCGCCAGAATTGCTGGTGATAGCGCAGCTCAACCGTGCTCTTTCCTGTTTGAAAAGCGACCGCTTTGATGCCGCGTTGAGAGATGTTGAAAGTGTCTTGCAAGTATCAGAGCTATCAGCAAAGGCTCTTTTCAGGAAGGCTCAGGCCCTGTATCAACTTCAAAGGTTCAAGGAATCATGCGAGACTCACGCAATACTTGCAGAGAAGTTTCCAGGCAACACCATGGCTGCCCATGAAAATGCACGAGCATCTGCTCGGCTTGTGGAGCAGGACAGCGGGAAATACGACTTCAGAAAAATGATACTGGAGGCCAATACGCTTCAGCCGCCGAGGCTTGACCACGCCACGTACATTGGTCCTGTAACTGTCAAGCAAACTCGATCTCATGGGAGAGGGCTCTTCACAGCGGAGGCAGTAAAGGCAGGCGACCTTCTGTTCTGCGAAAAGGCATTTGCTCACGCTTTCCACAAGGGAAATGCCTCGGGTCTCCGTCTGTTGCTGAATGTCGACATGGACAAAGCGACGATTGGTACTCAAGCAGAGCTTATTGAATTGATTGTTCAGAAGCTTTACAAAAATCCGTCCCTGCTGCCAGGCTTTGTCGATCATCATGGCAAATACAAATCAGTGGATGTCCTAGAAGTGGATTCTATTGCCGTCGTAGATACGTATGTCACTGCTTCCCCATCTTGGTATGAAAACTAATGCCTTCCAGCTTCCTCGTTGGGAGAATCGTTCTCCTAAACAGTTTCGGGTGCCCTCTTGTCTCCCGCGAGAGTCACATACGCAGCATGAAAGGGGATGATACGGCCAAAAAGGCCAATGAACAATTCCATTCTTGTGGTTTCTGGTCGATGGCGTCATACATTAACCACTCTTGCCTGAGCAATGCTCGTCGTTCCTTCATTGGAGACATGATGATCGTTCGTGCTTCTAGGGACCTGCCTCCTGAGACCGAAATTACCTTCTGGTACAAATCACCCATGAACGGTGATCCCACAGAACTACCCGTCGACCTACAGCACTGGGGCTTCAAGTGCGATTGCACATTATGCCAGGATATACGAAGTCTCAAGCCCAGTGTGCTATTAGACCGAAGTAGAATTTCGGCTGACCTTCAAAGATTATTCAAGAGACCCAAGATTAATTCGCGAAAGATTGAAGACACAATTTCCAGCCTCGCAGGCACATATTGCCGACCAGCTTCTGAAGTCCCTCGCCTTGCACTTTATTCATCATATCTGTCTCTTGCTGCGTTCTATGCTTCATCCGGAAACCTTAGAGAGGCTGTGAAATTTGGATTGATGAGTCTAGAGTCACTTGGCTTCGTTATCGAAGGTGGAAATATTCCTCATGTCTCAGATGCTCCACTAGTTGTCCAAACTTGGGGTCTGATGAATGATGGAGTCGTGGGATGCTGGATGATTCTGTGTTTTGCATATCGAGAGCTCGCTTCTCCTCTCGCGTCCCAAGCTGGGGGATATGCCAAACTCTCCTACCGAATCTGTGTTGGCGAAGATGGGACTTTTGATCAGACCTACGACAGACTATCGAACCGGGTGGATGGCCTTTTGACGACCGCAAAGTAGTCATGCCAGGCTAACTCAAAATGCGAGGTTGGTGTTAGTCCACAAGAAGAGAGAGACCATATCTCTGGGTTATTTCGCCAATTGAATAGCGTCAGACCGGAAATAATTGGTAATTTGAGCAGTCACGCATTAGTTAGCTTAAGCGGTGCTATTGTTTCCCAGCCAATGACCATGCCGACTGGCTAATATTTACTTCGATCCGCTGATAAAGCCGTAATTTCCCGACTCTTTTCAAGGAACTCGCAGGCAACCTTCCAACCTAATTGCCACAACTCCTTTCTCATCGGCCAAAGATGGGCCATGGGATCATATTATGGGGGAGGATAGCGATGATGGATAGCCATGTTCAACATCGGGCAATGATAGACAGTCCGAATTCTCACATCATAATTCATGTCCTCTTCGTCCTCCTGTCCTCTTCATCCCATCGTCATCATCCATCTCCTTACTGTGTAGATGCAAGTGATACGGTGCTCAAAGAGCGACAGCGGATGATCTCAATATTCAAAAATTGTGAATTTTTATGTAGGTTTGAATGGACGTAGACACGGGTGAAAGAAAACAGTTCCATTATATAGAAGCTATATAGAGTCAAGCTAGCAAATCGATACTCGCTGGGATGACTTAATAGCAGAATTCTTGACCTGGGAGAGTTGGTCCAGCATGAGAGAGACGAGACTGAAGAGAGGAGATTGTGGGAACAAAGAACCGACGAAAGTTTATGGAACGAACAGGCGACAGGGATGCCACAACTCCCTACCCAATGTTTCTGGAAGTGGTGTGAGTCAACATCAACATGTGCTCTTTCACTCGTCTTCCATGCTTCAGGTTTGGCGTTCCGTCGAGACCTGGATTGTTAGGCGATTATTTTCCCGATCTATCCAGATCAGAGTCAACATGCTTTGATGCCAGCCTTAATGAATGCTGACACTCCACGACCAGCCGAGCACGAGACACTATCCTCAAATTGCCTAAGCAATCGACGGTAGGGGAGTCCCACACATGTCGTCTCACCAGTATGGGAGACCGTCACTTCCACCGATGGAAATGGCCTCGAAAGGAGTCACGTCATCACGGCGTTGTCGAGGCATAATTTGACGAATCCAGACCTTCCCGAACTGCCGAGCCCAAGAGACGATCCGAAGACGTCTGCACGATGTTGACCCCCGCCAGGGATTGCATGGAAGCGAAGGAAGGTGTTCATGGCTTTGTTTCCGAACGAACATCTCCGCAACATAGTGCCGCCTGTTCCGCGCAGCCATCAACCAGATCCAGGACGGCGGTCAGCGTCGCCCGCCTATGGCCACTCTCTGTATATGGGAACCATCACGGAGATCCTTGCAAAGACCAACTTCATACAATAAAGGCCTGGCCCTAGCGACAACGTCGAATCCGTCACATGCGCTATCGACGACATCAGCGGCTGCAGCCTTTCGACAAGTCCATTCTGCTGGCAGACATAGGTTTCTACCGATGAGGCGGACGGATTGAGATATGCAAACCAATGAGGGACTCGATGACAGATCAAGAGACGTCGTACCGAAGAACCCCCCGAAGCATGGATCCGATGAACCAGGAGCTCCACGATCTGGCAAGCCCGCGGAGACTCTCCGAGACTATGCGAGGATTCCCGAGCAGTCAAGGGAGGGCAGCGACTACTTTTGACTCATGCGAAGAGTGACACGATGTGTCGTCTCCCTGTCTCCACCTCTTAGGTGTCACCGAAGATTGGCACTGACGCTCTGACATTCGCCGCTTTCAATCTCACAATGAGCTTTGACTCCTGCATGTGGACTGCAAGAACACGGTGAGCATCAAAGTGACCTGGGAGATAGTCGCTATCGACCCCAATTAGGAGCCCAGCGAACTGACAACTCCATTCTCTGCAGCCGATAGATTGAACTGCATAAACGCGCTGAGCGAGACTTCCCCAGGGAGCAAATCATGACACCATGAAATGACTAGGCTTGGGTATTTCATGCATGTCTACAATAACCATCCAAGATGTCCGATCTCGATCGGGAGTGGAGGCCGACCAAGATTCGTCCAATGAAGTTTTCCTTGGTCATGGAAAGTTCCCCATTCTCGTCTTTTTGGGTATGGGGAACGGGATTCTCACGCGATCGGTGTGATAGTGGAGAGGAGTACTCCGACTGGGTTTTGCGCGGCTCCATGCTTCATTGGCACCTTGTCCTTGGTTGTTGGAGGACGCGTGACACTGGGAGCGCATCGGCGCTCTCCGACAAGCATTCGACAACACGCACACTGTTCTTTATGTGAGGAGCAAGCTGACGCCCGGAACTCGGCTCATCTACTCGACGGCGGACCCACGGTGGTCATCGGACATCCTAGAGAGCAAGATAAGTAAGTGATGAGATCACATAAGTGGTTTGACACCCTTGTTGGACTTGGACTGTTACTTACAAAAGCTTGCATTGCGAGCAATCGCACCCTCCGACTTCCCCAGTTCACGACCGAGAAAATCGCAATCATATGTGGCACCTAGTGCCAGTGGAGAGAGTGGAGGTCCCCTGCCCGACAGTTTGGGTCTGCATTGATCAGCATGGTGCAGATCAGTGACAGGACGCCCAAGCATTCAGTTCTTACGTGCTCAACCATCTCGTCTACAGGCCTCATGCGGTGTGCGCACCGGTAGACCATCCATGGTGGGCAGATGTAGATGTGATACCTTCTAATCAATGAAGGCACATTTGTGAAACGGATCATGGCAGGACTCGACACTATTGGAAAGGAGTAAGTATTGGGACCCACAGGTGAACTTCATTCCTTGTCGGACGACTGCCGCTCACTTACAGCACAGAAGCTTGTTTTAATCCCTGAGGTTGTTCTCACCGACCATCAAGCGGTAGATTCTTGGCTTCCTTCTTGACGGCGTTGCTCGGAGTGCTTTTCTGCCTGTAAGCACTCCATGATAGCTGAGAAGGCCGACTCGACTTTTTCCTCGATCTTGAGATCTCTCAACACCTGACCGTCGAAGTATTTGACGCTGCGTGGAGTCTTGATGTCAGTTTCTTTGGACCCCGGATCCACCACTTTATAAACATTTGAGCCCCAGGTGTGAACGGCAGGGCTTTTCAGACTTCGCTGTTCTTGGACGAAGTCGGCTCAAAAGAGGAGCCGAGGAAGACCATAACTGTGGACTTCCTGCAATCCCATGGTCAAGTGGCTCAACTGAAAATCTCGATTGGGTTATTGCTCGAGATGATGGCGCCGCCATCGAGGCAGCCGTGAACCAACGGTGCTCATCAGCAAGATTCGAGGCTATCGTGAAGAAGGAGTAAGTATAGAGATCCCACGGATGGGCTTCGATCCTTGTCGGATTACTTACTGTAAAGAGCCTTCTGCCGATTCTCAAGGATCTCGCAGGCACTCGACCTCCATGGGGAAGGGTTTCAAACCGAGGCTGCGAACAACTGGGGCTCCGTCCCTTGTGGGCTGTTGGCGAGGAAACCATGGCTCTTCAGTCTCCATATCTTCTGCAGTCATCAGTATCAACATTCGTCATGGAAATGGTTTGCGGACTCGGTGTGATGCATTTAAAAAGAGATGGGAAGTGATTGAAGGGGTGGTGGGATGCTTACCGAGAGACGAGTGGTCGAGTCCCCCTCGACGAAGCCGAGGACAGGACCCGGTTGGAGCCCTTTTTTGTCTACTCAGACGTCGTCAGGTGCCTCATCAACCGAACCCACAGACCGGATCAATTAGGAACCTTCATGGTGGCAGGTATGTTGATGGGTCTGGGGAAGAAGGTTGATGAGGGATCGAGTGAGAAAGGGGAAGATGAAGTGAGAGAAGCACTTTATATGCCATCCTTGGAACGACTAAGCGATTGATCTTACCTAGACCCGCCGGGGATATGAACAGATTGTTTAAGGCGAGCGCATTGGAGGGTTGTGTCACATTCTGCTTTCGTGCGGCTGCGTTGCGGCTCGCTGTCTTGCGGCTCACAGTGCACGACGACATCATACTCTTTGGTCTTCAGATCTTGGACAAGGACCTACCGAGCTTGGTAGGTGGATAACTCGCCCGCTTCCTTTCCTTAATCGGTTCGTCTTCTCTCATTTTTACTCCGGCATATCTACTTACACGACACATGGGATTATGGAGTGTCCTGGGCTGACTGGTGGGTTTGCCAATCGATTGCACCAACTACAGAAGCCATGGAGTCGTTTTATTCAACCATCAGTTACGACAAAGTGAAATGTGCCCCGATGAGACGTGGGGTGCACCTTTCGTACTGACATTCATCTCAAAACCAAAGTAAAAGCTGAAAGATGGCTAGGCAGAGCACTCAGAGCAGCCGCAGACCGGAGAGGAAGATGAGTCGTTTGGGTCTCATCGTGAATGCATCAAACAACATGCTATGTGGGCCAATGGCTCGGATAATTACTGTTTGGTTCCTCGATAACTGATTCATATACACAGTCCGACCGTATTAGCCGCCTGATGGTCGCTTGGCTTGAAGTAAGTTATATCCTGCTTTCCGGCGTACTGGCTATAGGCGTTGTCAAAACGAAGTCCTCTAATTACGACAGTAACCCAAGCCAAATGCAAGCGAAACGCAAACGGCGAACGAAGCCAAAACCTGTCACGCCAGCCTGTTTCCCATCCATCTGCCGTATTTTGCGGTCAGTTGCTGTTGTTACAAAGCATTCGCATTCAGCATACTTGAATGTCTTTCCGGACACTTTGGCCGCCTCTTGCCGTATAGTGGGATTCTTTGTCGTCTAGTTCCGCCGCTCATTCTTCGTTCTGCACGATTGTGAGCATATTCCAAATCTCCTAGCCCGACTCCTCGTCTATCAAGGCTGGATATTCGCCCTGTTTGGCAAGTTATGAGCTGGCAGACTTTGCAGCGGAACTTTGCTTTTCATCCCTTTACAAGTTGACAACATGATACCTATATGTCAAGCACCAACCATCCCATCTCGTTCACATCCTGGCTCGGCCAATCCGATGATTCCGATCGCTTCATTTCCGTTTACTCTTCAAGATCTACAAGTACAAGACCAACCCAGGGCCTGCGGCCCAGCGACTCAGCGAGAGCTACTACCTTTCTAAATAAAATAGTTATCAAGGAAAATCATGTGTTAAGTTGGCAGTATCCACCTAAGCAGACCCGTGGTAGGCGAGCTTCCCGTCAACTGGCAAGCCTCGCGCCAACTGGCAAACTGGCGTGGCTCTATTGCTACGAGGCTACCATTCACGAATTGCCCACTGCGACAAGTAATTTCTAATGTTCAGCTGTCTAATGTAACATTCATTCCCAGGCCACGTAAGATGGATGACCTAATGGGACAAGACCAACCCATTGCACGTGAGACTCATTGCCCCAGACATTTCTACTAGAGCTCTCCTCTCCGTAATCTAACAGTTAGCACGGATGGTTTCTCACACATTTGTCGAAGGAATAATCCAGTCTCTGTCACCTTGCCGTTCGAACAAGCCACTGACATGGGCAAGAAACCGTTCTGTTCGCCCACTTGCTCTTGTATAGACCAGGAATCTGGTAAATTTAAATGGCGGATATAGATGCTCCGACGATGTATGAGGCATTTGGTCATAATGTACTCCGTAGGCTGAGAGTCTATTATCTTAGTATCATACGCGGAATGGGGGTTTGAATATAGATATCGTGAATTCAACTCAAGGATAATTATCTCCAAGAATCAGGAGTAAGACTGTAGGTCTATGTACATTCATCCATACACCAGGCGGCCAGAAAGTCAACACCTATGCTCAAGGCAAGTGAGCACAGCTTATATCATGGAAGTCTCCACGGCCGATACTACTGCCCCCCTCGCTTACACCCAGGCAACTGAGCCGCAGCTGCCATGCACCAGCCGCACCTCGAAACAAGTCGCTTTCTGGCACGTTGCCACGTTTGACGAAGACAACGGAGAGTCGGATACGATACAGGAATTTCCGCGGTTGACTCCGACTCCCACCCGGCACCGGGGGCACCATCTAGCGGCACCGAAATGCGGCTATGAAGGGCTTGGCGTTCTGTCAGGGGAAGGAGCTCTCAGCAAGGCAACCATTTCCAACTTCCCCTCGTTAGGGTCAACACAAGCACGACCCGGGTCGACCCCCCAATCTCCTTTTTGCCACTCCACACTCTCCACGCGGCACGCATGTTCTTCTCCACCTCCTCAACCAGCATGGGATTTATCGACGTGAAGTCAAGATCGGTTGCCGCTATTGACAACGTCGTCTTCCATGCTTCTCGAAGGTACGCAGTCCCGTTGAGACCTGACTTGGTGAGTGTGGGAAAGCCCATTGTCCCTTCCCGAACTATCCTGACCAGAGTCATCTTCCCGACCACAGTCCGCGACCGACTTTCTATCCGGCTCTCGGTTCACGGTTGGAGTTAGGGCGCCTGATTGGACGAAGACAAATATTCCAGCGCCATCGTAGGGGTACCCGCCTAGCACGAGGATCTATCCCCAAATTGTCGAAGCAGTCGACGGTAGGGCAGCCCCACGCACGTCACGTCACCTCACCAGTAGGGGGACAGGCTTCTTGGCCCCTTGGGCCTGTTGAGTGGTGCCGTGTTCGACTTTCCGCCAACAAATGCCTCCTCAAGTCGATGTCCCTTCCAGTTCACGAACGAGAAAATCGCAATGATCTGTGGCACCTCGTGGCTAGTGCCAGTGGAGGGAGCGGAGGCCCCCTGCCCGACGGTTTGGGTTTGCATTGATCAGCATGGTGCAGATCAGCGACGGGCCGCCCAAGCATTCAGTTCGAACATTCTCAACCATCTCGTCTACAGACCCAAGGCGGTATGCGCGCCGGTAGACCTCAATGAATGTCTCGCGCGGAGTACGGGAAGTCGTCAATGTTCCACCATGCCTTTTTTTCGTCGTTAACGACCTGGCATTGGGATGCCACCAGAGCGATGCGACAGGGTCTAAAGGCGTCACGTCATCACGGCGATGTCGACGCATGATTTGACGAATCCAGATTCCAGACCTCCACGATCTGCCGAGCCCGGGACATTATCGGAAGAGGACTGGGCAGTCAATAAGCCCGGTGATAACGGCTCCTATCACCGACGTGGGTTGAGGCCGTGTGTGCAGGTTCCCTCCACGCGAAATCATGACTACCTGGATCCGTCCCTTCAAGATGTCTTTGACTGAGCCGATCCTCTTGACACTTTCTCCACTGAAAATAAGGGCATCACTGAAACCACTCATGTTCATCCAGTCGCTCTCGCTCGTGTATAGCCAGTGGGGCTTTGAACACTTGAGAAAAGGGATTGGCGTTCATTCCAATTCTGGTCGGCTATGTGATCGCATGGGTGTCCTTTTTTCCTGCGACCAAGCGCAACATCCAAGAGCGCAGGGACAACCCGGAAAGTGAACGGGCTCAATACGAGTCCCGTCTGTGGTGGTTGCTCTACACAGCCCCCTGCCTCCCAATCGGGTTGATTGGATTTGCCTGGACTAGCTTGCCGCAGTGCCACTGGATTGGTACCATGATCTTTGCCGCCATGATTGGTATTGCCAATTATGCCATCTACATGGCCACCATTGACTACATGGTCCGTGCCTACGGACCGTACTCTGTTTCCGCCACTGGTGGTAATGGATGGGCGCGAGAGTGCAGCTTCGCCACATTATCTGGGTTGTCGTCCAACCAGGGAGGACTCCCATATCGGGGTGATCGTCTTGGTACCCGAAGAACTCTCGAAGCATGGATCCGATGACCCTGGAGTTCCCGCCCTTCTTACCCTCAGACAGAGGGGGCATATACGCTTCTACGGGCTCGGAGACGACGTATGCGGGCGGCACATCATCGGGCAGGATGAACCAGGTCGTTTGCGCTGCACAATCTGCCAAACTCGCAGAGACTATGCGAGACTATGAGGGGATGCCTGAGCAGTCAAGGGTAGGGCAGCGACCACTCCCATCACCGGCATCGGTCCCGGAATAGAATGAGCCTTTTTCAGAGTCTCTCCCTCTCCATCTTCGGCTGCGACCAAGGAACAGATCTGCAGCAAGTTTCGTCGGCGTGGCAAACACTCATTTATGGAAGAGGCATCGGCTACTGATGACAATAGCCGACAACAGTGGGATGCCCTGGGGAACCCGAGAGAACTGGGAGAGAGCGCTGGCGTGGGCGTGGGGCCCGGCGGGCGCAGAGGGTGCTTGCGAGACATAGCAGCATCGCGAGAGTATTTCTGCGCAACTTCGCAGAAGGGCGTGGACAGAACACCTCTCGGTCCGAATTACGGACCGAGCAACTGCGACGGGATGTATTTCTATGGACGGAAAAGGGGTCAGTCGGCTGATCACACATATTGCTCTGCATCTGGGTTGAATGGGGGCAGACGTACCTACATCAGATGAGTCTAGCACTCTAGCTGATGAAGTTCTCCGACGAGGGCTTCCGCGGGAGCGCGGTTGGCCATTCCGAGCACTCGAATTGCCGTTGGGTGTACTCGGATGGAGCGAGGCCAATCGTGTCGAGTCCTGCCATGAGCTCACTGTCACATCCTTCGGACCTGTCACAACTCGTAGCATAAGCTGCTGTGTTTTGCCGGTTTGCTCATGAGGCGACTGGGGACCCCGGTGACGACCCAATGTTCAGGGCGTGGGGAAGCCATGCCAAAGCTGGTCATGCCATGTGTCTCGCTAGCAGTGAGGGTGTCATCGCATCGCATGATGTCTCGAATCTCGCGCTCGGATTGTCCACATCCGCATGTCAGCGTCGCTCTCTGATGATTGAGTTGAACAGTGTGTTTACCTAGGCTTGGTGATAAAAGCTCATCACGAGTGATGAGCCTCTCAGGCAACTGTTGCAAGTGCCGGAGGAGTCTATCATCTGCGTTGTCGTCGAAGAGCACTCGAAGCCTCGCCATCCATTTGTCCGACTCAGTGACTGTATTGGGTGTCTGCATCTTCCATGCCTCTTCAGCCTTTTGAGCTGTCGTGAAATGGATGAGGATACGGAAGACACCTTCCGCAACGTGATACGGGACCTTGTCATGCTGAGGGATACCACGCACAGAGACCCCAGGAGTCAATGGGAAGCTCGTCGACGGCAATAAGGGGTGTCAAGGTGCCCGCTCTAAGCATGCATTTGAGCAGTAAGTGACGAGCACTCGCCGTTGGGGTCTTCCCACCGATCCCCAATCGGTGGCCGTTTCGTATCCCGGTTGGAGGGCTCGGGGCTGCTCGAGGTAACGTCCGGCATGGTGACTATCTGACATGTTGGCTCCGCCATCGATGCGACCCAACGGTGCTCATGGGCAAGACGTTGGATCTCGAAGGGGAGAATCCGTTCCTCGTGGCTCGCCGAAAAGGTAACGATGGCTCCTCGGTGTCCGCATCGTCTGCAGTCGTCAGTATCAGCTTTGGTCATCTGAAAAGAGATGAAATGGGAGGAAGAGAGATGGGACGGAAAAAGAAGGCGGGATCCTTACCAGAGTGACGAGGGGTTGACGCCCCCTCGAGGCAGCCAAGGAAAGTACTCGCTTGAAGCCCTTGATTTGGTACTCGGACTTCATGGGGCGCCTCATCAATCGATTCCGCCCATCAGACCAATTAGGAACCTCGTTGTGGCGGGTATATTGATTGGGCTGGGGGTGAAGGTTGATGGGGGATGGTGGGATTGAGAAAGGGGAAGATATAGTGAGAGGGAGGGAGGGCACCACAACGCACGGGAAAATTACGAGACGAGCAAACCGCAAGAGCAACCATGGGGGGGCACTGAATATGGCGGGACAGCCTTGCAATGACATAAGCGCTTGCTATTCTGGATATGAATGGATCGTTGCAGGCGAGCGCATTGGAGGGTTGTGGCACATTGTGCTGTGCGGCTCCGTTGCAGGTCACACTTCACCACTAAGCTTCCGGTTCGGGTCACACTTGACGACGACATCATATCCATTGGCCTTCGTTTCTCGGTTGGTCTTCTCCCATTTTCACTCCGGCATCTACCTACACGACACGTGGGATTATGGAGTGTCCTGGGTTGACTGATGGGTTTGCTAATCGATCAGACCAACTACAAGAGCCAAGGAATGGGTTTGGTCAACCATCAGTTATGACAAAGTGAAATGTGTACCGATGAGTCGTGGGGTGCGCTCTTCGTACTGACATTCATCTCAAACCCGAAGTAGAAGCTGAAAGATGGCCTGTCAGAGCACTGAGAACAGCCGCAGGCCGGCGGGGGAAATGAGTCGTTTGGTCCCATGGTGAATGTATCAAACGACATTCTACATGCTGCAGGGGCCAATGGCTCGTATAATTACTCCTTGGCTCCTCCCGTGGCAACTGATTTATATACACAGTTCGGCCGTACCTATTAGCCGCCTGTGGATGGAGGCTTTACTTGATGTAAGTCATATTCTGCTTTCCGGCGTACTGGCTATAGGTATTTTCAAAATGAAGTCGTTGAATTACTGTCGTAATTCAAGCGAAATGCAAGCGGCAAACGAAGCCAAATCCTGTCATACCAACCTGTTTCCCATCCATCTGCCGTAATTTGCGGTCGATCGGGCACTGTCTTGACGAAGTATTGCGTTACGCCTGGGCAGCATACTTGAATGTCTTTCCGAACACCTTGGCCGCCTCTCCGTTAAGAACAGGAAACCATATACAGTGGGCTTCCTTGTCAGTCTTCGTCTCGTAATTCGCCAGATTTTGCGTCTCATTCTTCGTTCTACATGATTGTGTGCTTACTCCAAATTGGCAATGTTCCGTTAGAAAAGTTTAAGTGGCAGACTAAGACCTAGGTACACAGGACTTAACATACGTTTCCCGGTAAACTGCAGTGCCTAGTGTAGCTGGTTCTATCTATGACCTTAAGTACTGAGGTGGGCAGCTCCTGGCGACAGCTGGCCAAGGTGTTCAGAAAGCCTGGAGACATTCAAGTACCGATGCTGCCCAGGTGTACCTATGCGGGTACTTTGTTGAAACAGCGATTGACCGCAAATACGGCAGCTGGACGGGAAACAGGTTTATGTGACAGGTTTTGGCTTCGTTTGCCGCTTGCATTTCGCTTGAATTACTGTCATAATTGGAGGACTTCGTTTTGACAATACCTATAACCAAAACGGCGGAAATGCACAATACGGCTGGAATGCAGGATATGACTTACTTCAAGTAAAGCGTCCACGAGGCGACTAATATGGCCGAACTGTGTATAACGAGTAATTATACGAGCCATTGGCTCCTGCAGCATGTAGAATGTTGTTTGATGCATTCACCATGCATATGATGTCGTCGTCAAGTGTGACCGGCAACGGAGCCTCACAGAACAATGTGCCACAACCCTGCGATGCGCTCGCCTTAAGCGGTCCGTCGATGTCCAAGATAGGAAGCGCGTATGTTGTTCCAAGGCTGTCATATTCAGTGCTCCACATGGTTGCTCTTGCGGCTTGCTGGTCTCGTATTTTTCACGTGCTTAGTCGTGCCCTCCGTCCCTCTCACTATATCTTCCCCTTTCTCAATCCCTCCATCCCCCATCAACCTTCATCACCAGCCCAATCAATATACCCGCCACAACGAGGTTTCTAATTGATCTGATGAGCGGAATCGATTGATGAGGCGCCCCATGAAGTCCGAGTACCAAATCAAGGGCTTCAAGCGAGTACTTCCCCCGGCTGCCTCGAGGGGGCCTCAACCCCTCGTCTCTCTGGTAAGGACCCCGCCATCTTTTTCCATTCCATCCAAATTTACCCCTTTCATCTCATTCCGCCTCTTTTCAGATGACAAAAGCTGATACTGACGACTGCAGACGATGCGGACACTGAGGAGCCATCGTTACCTTTCCGAGGAGCCACGAGAAAGGCATTCACCCCTTCGAGGTCCAACGTCTTGCCCATGAGCACCGTTGGTTCACTGTCACATCGATGGCGGAGTCAACAAATGTCGGATAATCATCATGTTGGACGTCATCTGGAGCGGCCCCGAGCCCTCCAACCGGGCTACGAAGCGAGTTGCATCCTCGTGGGACGAGTGCCCGTCACTTACTGCTCAAATGCTTGCTTAGAGCAGGCACCCTGATGCCTCTGATCGCCATCGACGAGCTTCCCATTGACTCCTGGGGTCTCTGTGCGTGGTATCCCTCAGCATGACAAGGTCCCGTATCACGTTGCGGAAGGTGTCTTCCGTATCCTCATCCATTTCACGACAGCTCAAAAGGCTGAAGAGGCATGGAAGATGCAGACACCCAATACAGTCACTGAGTCGGACAAATGGATGGCGAGGCTTCGAGTGCTCTTCGACGACAACGCAGATGATAGACTCCTCCGGCACTTGCAACAGTTGCCTGAGAGGCTCATCACTCGTGATGAGCTTTTATCACCAAGCCTAGGTAAACACACTGTTCAACTCAATCATCAGAGAGCGACGCTGACATGCGGATGTGGACAATCCGAGCGCGAGATTCGAGACATCATGCGATGCGATGACACCCTCACTGCTAGCGAGACACATGGCATGACCAGCTTTGGCATGGCTTCCCCACGCCCTGAACATTGGGTCGTCACCGGGGTCCCCAGTCGCCTCATGAGCAAACCGGCAAAACACAGCAGCTTATGCTACGAGTTGTGACAGGTCCGAAGGATGTGACAGTGAGCTCATGGCAGGACTCGACACGATTGGCCTCGCTCCATCCGAGTACACCCAACGGCAATTCGAGTGCTCGGAATGGCCAACCGCGCTCCCGCGGAAGCCCTCGTCGGAGAACTTCATCAGCTAGAGTGCTAGACTCATCTGATGTAGGTACGTCTGCCCCCATTCAACCCAGATGCAGAGCAATATGTGTGATCAGCCGACTGACCCCTTTTCCGTCCATAGAAATACATCCCGTCGCAGTTGCTCGGTCCGTAATTCGGACCGAGAGGTGTTCTGTCCACGCCCTTCTGCGAAGTTGCGCAGAAATACTCTCGCGATGCTGCTATGTCTCGCAAGCACCCTCTGCGCCCGCCGGGCCCCACGCCCACGCCAGCGCTCTCTCCCAGTTCTCTCGGGTTCCCCAGGGCATCCCACTGTTGTCGGCTATTGTCATCAGTAGCCGATGCCTCTTCCATAAATGAGTGTTTGCCACGCCGACGAAACTTGCTGCAGATCTGTTCCTTGGTCGCAGCCGAAGATGGAGAGGGAGAGACTCTGAAAAAGGCTCATTCTATTCCGGGACCGATGCCGGTGATGGGAGTGGTCGCTGCCCTACCCTTGACTGCTCAGGCATCCCCTCATAGTCTCGCATAGTCTCTGCGAGTTTGGCAGATTGTGCAGCGCAAACGACCTGGTTCATCCTGCCCGATGATGTGCCGCCCGCATACGTCGTCTCCGAGCCCGTAGAAGCGTATATGCCCCCTCTGTCTGAGGGTAAGAAGGGCGGGAACTCCAGGGTCATCGGATCCATGCTTCGAGAGTTCTTCGGGTACCAAGACGATCACCCCGATATGGGAGTCCTCCCTGGTTGGACGACAACCCAGATAATGTGGCGAAGCTGCACTCTCGCGCCCATCCATTACCACCAGTGGCGGAAACAGAGTACGGTCCGTAGGCACGGACCATGTAGTCAATGGTGGCCATGTAGATGGCATAATTGGCAATACCAATCATGGCGGCAAAGATCATGGTACCAATCCAGTGGCACTGCGGCAAGCTAGTCCAGGCAAATCCAATCAACCCGATTGGGAGGCAGGGGGCTGTGTAGAGCAACCACCACAGACGGGACTCGTATTGAGCCCGTTCACTTTCCGGGTTGTCCCTGCGCTCTTGGATGTTGCGCTTGGTCGCAGGAAAAAAGGACACCCATGCGATCACATAGCCGACCAGAATTGGAATGAACGCCAATCCCTTTTCTCAAGTGTTCAAAGCCCCACTGGCTATACACGAGCGAGAGCGACTGGATGAACATGAAAATAAGGGCATCACTGAAACCATTCAGTAGAGAAAGTGTCAAGACAATCGGCTCCGTCAAAAACATCTTGAAGGGACGGATCCAGGTAGTCATGATTTCGCGTGGATGGAACCTGCACACACGGCCTCAACCCACGTCGGTGATGGGAGCCGTTATCACCGGACTTATTGACTGCCCAGTCCTCTTCCGATAATGTCTCGGGCTCGGCAGATCGTGGAGGTCTGGAATCTGGATTCTTCAAATCATGCGTCGACATCGCCGTGATGACGTGACGCCTTCAGACCCTGTCTCATCGCTTTGGTGGCATCCCAATGCCAGGTCGTTAACGACGAAGAAAAGGCATGGTGGAACATTGACGACTTCCCGTACTCCGCGCGAGACATTCATTGAGGTCTACCGGCGCGCATACCTACACTGGCGCTGGAATATTTTTCTTCGTCCAATCTGGCGCCGTAACTCCAACCGTGAACCGAGAGCCGGATAGAAAGTCGGTCGCGGACTGTGGTCGGGAAGATGACTCTGGTCATGATAGTTCGGGAAGGGACGGACAATGGGCTTTCGGACTCACCAAGTCAGGTCTCAACGGGACTGCGTACCTTCGAGAAGCATGGAAGACGGCGTTGTCAATAGCGGCAACCGATCTTGACTTCACGTCGATAAATCCCATGCTGGTTGAGGAGGTGGAGAAGAACATGCGTGCCGCGTGGAGAGTGTGGAGTGGCAAAAAGGAGATTGGGGGGTCGACCCGGGTCGTGCTTGTGTTGACCCTAACGAGGGGAAGTTGGAAATGGTTGCCTTGCTGAGAGCTCCTTCCCCTGACAGAACGCCAAGCCCTTCATAGCCGCATTTCGGTGCCGCTAGATGGTGGCCCCGGTGCCGGGTGGGAGTCGGAGTCAACCGCGGAAATTCCTGTATCGTATCCGACTCTCCGTTGTCTTCGTCAAACGTGGCAACGTGCCAGAAAGCGGCTTGTTTCGAGGTGCGGCTGGTGCATGGCAGCTGCGGCTCAGTTGCCTGGGTGTAAGCGAGGGGCAGTAGGATCGGCCTGAAGATCTCCATGATCGAAGCCGTCCTGACTATGACCGCGAGATTTCAACTCTACTTTCATGAAGCCCACCTTGTTGCTCGCAGCGGAAATCGACCAAGAACCTAATCCTTGTGTTGACTTTCTCGCTGCCTGGTGTATGGATGAATGTACATAGACCTACAGTTTTACTCCTGGTTCTTGGAGATAATTATCCTTGAGTTGAATTCACGATATCTATATTCAAATCCCCATTCCGCGTATGACACTAAGATAATAGACTCTCAGCCTACGGAGTACATTATGACCAAATGCCTCATACATCGTCGGAGCATCTATATCCGCCATTTAAATTTACCAGATTCCTGGTCTATGCAAGAGCAAGTGGGCGAACAGAACGGTTTCTTGCCCCTGTCAGTGGCTTGCTCGAACAAGGTGGCAAAAACTAGATTATTCCTTCGACAAATGTGTGAGAAACCATCCGTGCGAACTGTTGGATCACGAAGAGGAGAGCTCTAGTAGAATGTCTGGGGCAATGAGTCTCACGTGCAATGGGTTGGTCTTGTCCCATTAGGTCATCCATCTTACGTGGCCTGGGAATGAATGTTACATTAGACAGCTGAACATTAGAAATTACTTGTCGCAGTGGGCAATTCGTGAATGGTAGCCTCGTAGCAATAGAGCCACGCCAGTTCGCCAGTTGGCGCGAGGCTTGCCAGTTGACGGGAAGCTCGCCTACCACGGGTCTGCTTAAGTGGATACTGATAACTTAACACATGATTTCCTTCGTAACTAACTTGTTGAGAAAGGTACTATCTGTCGCTGAGTCGCTGGGGCGCAGGCCCTCGGTTGGTCTTGTACTTGTAGATCTTGAACAGTAAACGGAAATGAAGCGATCGGATTGGCCGAGCCAGGATGTGAACGAGATGGGATGGTTGGTGCTTGACATATAGGTATCATGTTGTCAACTTGTAGGGGGATGGAAAGCAAAGCTTGGCAGCAAAGCTTGCCAGCTAATAAGTTGCCAAACAGGGCGAATATGCAGCCTTGATGGACGAGGAGTCGGGCTAGGAGATTTGGAATATGCTCACAATCGTGCAGAACGAAGAATGAGCGGCGGAACTAGACGACAAAGAATCCCACTATACGGCAAGAGGCGGCCAAAGTGTCCGGAAAGACATTCAAGTATGCTGAATGCGAATGCTTTGTTAAAACTTAAACAGCAATTGACCGCAAATTACGGCAGATGGATTGGCGTAGGGATGGGAAATAGGTCAGTATGACAGGTTTTGGCTTCGTTTGCCCTTTGTATTTCGCTTGTATTTGGCTTGAGTTACTGTCGTAATTTGAGGACTTCGTTTTGACAACGCCTATAGCCAGTACGCCGGAAAGCAGGATATAACTTACTTCAAGCCAAGCGACCATCAGGCGGCTAATACGGTCGGACTGTGTATATGAATCAGTTATCGAGGAACCAAACAGTAATTATCCGAGCCATTGGCCCATATAGCATGTTGTTTGATGCATTCACGATGAGACCCAAACGACTCATCTTCCTCTCCGGTCTGCGGCTGCTCTGAGTGCTCTGCTGAGCCGTCTTTCAGCTTCTACTTCAGTTTTGAGATGAATGCCAGTACGAAAAGTGCACCGCACGAGCCATCAGGACACATTTCACTTTGCCGTAAATGACGGTTGAATAAAACGACTCCGTGACTCTTGTAGTTCGTGCAATCGATTGGCAAACCCACCAGTCAACCCAGGACACTCTATAATCCCATGTGTCGTGTAGGTAGATATGCCGGAGTAAAAATGAGAGAAGACGAACCGATTGAGGAAAGGAAGCGGGTGAGTTATCCACCTACCTAGCTCGTTAGGCCCTTGTCCAAGATCTGAAGACCAAAGAGTATGATGTCGTCGTGAACTGTGAGCCGCAACACAGCGAGCCGCAACGCAGCCTCACGAAAGCAGAATGTGACACAACCCTCCAATGCGCTCGCCTTAAACAATCTGTTCATATCCCCGGCGGGTCTAGGTAAGATCAATCGCTTAGTCGTTCCAAGGATGGCATATAAAGTGCTTCTCTCACTTCATCTTCCCCTTTCTCACTCGATCCCTCATCAACCCTCTTCCCCAGGCCCATCCATATACCCGCGACAACGAGGTTTCCGATTGATCTGATAGGCGGAATCGATTGATGAGCCGCCTCATGACGTCCGAGTTGAAAATCAAGGGCTCCAAGTGCTTCCTTCCCTCGGCTGCCTCGCTGCCTCGAGGGGGACTGGACCCCCCGTCGCACTCCACCTGTAAGTATCCCGCTATATCTTTCCGTCCTTTTTCAATTCCTTTCACCTCTTTCCATCTCTTATGCATCACCCCAAATCTGCAGACTATCTCCATGACGAAAGGTGATACTGACGACTGTAGACAACACGGAGACTGAGCAGGCATCTCCTGCTGCCCAGCGATCCACGAGGGACGGAGCTGCAGTTGTTCGCAGCCTCGAAGATAGGCATCCCAAACCGTCCCCAATGGAGGTCGAGTGCCATCGAGATTGCATTGAAATCGACAGAAGGCTCTATAGCAAGTACCAGGCGCTCGTCCGACACGGCTGTCAATCCAGTTATGTGATCTCATTGCTTACTTCTTTGGCTCCCTAGCTCCCTAGGACATCCGATGACCACCGCTGGTCCACGGTCGAGTCGATGAACTTCGCCCGGTCATCGACGACCCAGATGGCTACACAGGCTCACACCACGCGGCCCAAGGCCGAAGAAGAGTAAGGCCCCCAGTCTTCCCAGGTGCTCCTATTCGCACCTTGCACTTCGGGCGGTTTTTAACAACTCAACATCTAGGCACAACGTGACCTTTATCCAGAGGCCTCACTTGCCGTCACCGTGAGACAGGAAGAGCTGATGAGTTCTTCCACCCACCCAATGTGTCTCGTCCTAACGGGGCCTCGCTCCACCTGAGTACTTGGAACAGGAATCCAAGTACTCCCCTCCGCCATTGGATGAAGCATGAAGAAAACCGGCCCATGGCCTAAACCATGAGCAACAACGCAATGATGGTGTTGCGCCCTTGCTTCTTCGCATACTCTGGGGTTCCTCTTTGCTTCGTGTGCAACGCCTAGTTGCATCCTCGCTCGGCTGTAGGGCACGGTCATTTTCCTCGTCCATTGAGGATAACACGTGTCCTCCGTGACATACGGTGGCGTGTGAGCATGCACCAAGGGAATTTGAACCTGCAGTTGCTTCGCTTCCAACATTCCTGTCGTGGTCTCTTGGTAAGATGGTGTTCTTTTCACGTACCATCGCGCCTTTGAGTGTACTGTGCTGTTGAACTGCATCATAGGCCTCGACTCTTGTCGGTCAGACCGCCAATCATGGGGTGGTCGCTGCCAGCCGCGTGGGATGGCGGTCGTCGCTGACTGTCTGACAGGGCCTCCGCTGATGGGGGTCCTCGCTGCCCTACCCTTAAAGCGAGGTATGTCTCCAGCAGAAAGAAATATTCCTCGGTCAAGTTGGTATAGCTAACAAGCCATTATCAACAGATGAATGCGGCTGTCGAAATTCTTCGTGACTCCAAGAGCCGGAGACGGCTTGATGCCCAATTGAATGGAAAGCGCAAGAGAGCTCGTGCTCCTGGTGAATTTTCGTCTTCCTGCAGCGGGCGGGCAAAGAGAGAGCGCCGCTCCGAGTGCCCCTCTGAGCGCCAATTTCAGGACCAATCTCAGGACCAATCTGAGCGCCCATGGACTAACTACTGGGGAAGCACCTTCTTCCCGCAAGAATCGTACATGCGCAGCCACGGGGCCGGGGCTGACCTTGGTGAAGAAGCTATCAAGGCTCAGGAAGAACTTCTCAAGGAGCAGATGCGTGATCGCATGAAGCGCAATATTATTCGCCTGATGGGGGGTAGCTGTGGCCCCGACTTTGACACTTTTCTTGATTGGGTCATAAACAATAGCATTGACGAGATGGAAATTGCTCAGTCATCTTCGCATAGTCTGGGATAGTCTCCGCGAGCTTGGCAGATTGTGGAGACGCCATCGACAAGCTGCCATAGGCGGGCGATGCTGTCCGCTGTCCTGGTTGATGGCTGCGCGAGCAGCCCGCACAGTGTTGCGGGGAATGGGATCGTGGCTTGGCAATCAAGCCATCAACGCCCAATTTCGCTTCAATTAAGCCCCTCGCCGGTGTCGATGTTCTCGTCACCCTATGTCCGTGGGTCTCGTCCGCGTACAATGGTTCTAACTTACCAAGTGCCACAGACGGACGAGGTTGTCCTTAGCCACTTCATCAAGTTGGCGGGACTTCGCTACACCCAGGCTTCTCTCCTCCACTAATGGGTGGGGGAGAGCCCGGATGACGTTGCGAGGTTGCACACTAGACTGCAACCTATGCCGGGGATGGCAGTGGTCCCATCGCGCGTGCGCAAGTCACACCTATTCCACGACCCGACAATCCTCGACCACTCACCCCCCACGTGGTGTTCGCCGCCTTCCGCCAGGTCAGTCTATGCGACTACGGCCCCTGGTACAAGATGGCCAACGGCGAGACTGCAACGTCACCCTAGACGGCGTCGCTGCCGCACCGTTGATTGCTCAGTCGTCTTCGGATAGTGTCTCGGGCTCGGTAGTGTTATGGTCGAAGGTGGCCCCGATGTCTCTACTGTCCGGAGGCCTCTGTCAGCGTCATCGACATCTGGGTTTCGGGGGGGTTCATTCGGGAACGAACCTGCGAAGATGTTGACCGCAAACGCGTGCTGCCTCTGTTCCTGTCTCATCGGTGGAAGTGATGCCCCCCCCCCCCAGACTGAGGAGACGACGTGTGTGGGGCTGCCCTACCGGGTTCAGCTTGTCGCCTTTACAAGCAAAAGGCATCGACTGCTTAGGCAATTTGGGGATGGCGTCTCGTGCTGGGCTGCTGCTATGACAATTGATCATCGCTCCCGCTGCTGCCACCAAGGGCAAGAAGCCCAAGGCGCAACAGCGGTTGAAGCTGTCTCTGAAGCTAGAAGTCCAGACTGAGGCCTCCAGCTCCAAGCATTAAGTCTTGTGAGAAGTCCCCGGCCCTGCAGGGCCCCATCTTCTCCCACCATCTCAGACGTGTGGTCCCCTAATCTTAGGATGCACAAGCACCTGGTGCACACTGAGATAATATGCAAGACGCGAAAAACCAACACTTCCCCGACGCGAAATGTGAGGATCGGTGCCAAATGGCAATTCCACACATAAAACGCTACATCTCATAGCTCCTGGAGTTGACGGATCTCTGATGTCTTGCATGTGTGGAGCACCCCCTGGAATCAAGGAGATTATAGACTGGCGGGGGTTCGTGAGAACGGATCAGGGAACTTGGAATGGTTGTCTGACTGAGACGGGCTTCTTCCCTCAGCCACACTCTTGGCATCATGGCCGTTTGGCCGTATTTTGGTACTGCTAGAAGGTGCTCCCGGACTATACCGGACCCCGGTGCCGGATGGCAGTCGTTGTCAACAAAGGACTCTCGGTTGGCCTAGTCAAACGTGGCAACGTGCCAGAAAACCGATTGTTTCAAGGCGTGCCGCGTGGCCGGTGCATGATATAGCTGCGGCTCAGGTGCCTGAGGTGTCAGTGAGGGCCAGTATGAGTCTGTATGACTCGGCCAGCGGTGATGGGGATTCCATCTAGATTGTGCTTTTGAAGTCCTTCATGCATTCCCATGTTGTTTTCTCGCTGCCTGTTGTACGAATGAATGTACATAGCGCTCTATTCTTGGAGATAATTATCGTTGAGTTGAATTCACGATTCCATATTCAAATTCCCATTTCGCAGAATCACACTAAGAGAAAAGGCTCTCAGCCTACGGAGTACAAATGCCTCATATGCCGTCTTATCATCTATATCCAACTACCATACTAGGTACTCACCAGCTTCCTGGTCTGTGCAAGAGCAAGACCGGGGGCGAAGAGAACGGTTACTCGCCGAAGACGGCTGAGCAAGGCAAGGAATTGTACAGCAACACACCAACATGTGCACCAGCCAATTCTCTATTGCAGCCTCGGTTGCATCTCCGTTCTGGCATACACCCTTGTCAGTGAAGAAACTGATCTCCCCATATCATCCATTCTCCTGATACCGAGTCATCGGAAGTCAGACTCCAAAAGGACCTCCGAGGGGTTCAAGTCTTGCAAGCTACGTTGCTGCGAATATTCAGAAGAAATATCAAAACCTTCAACAACTTTGTCGCTATTGTGGCAACTGTAGGAAAGGTCGCGAAATCCCGAAGAATAGCAGGGGAATAATACTACCTTCCATCCAGCGGCAGAACTGGGATAGAAGTTATGTACGGTGGTGGACTCAGGGATTGCAACATGGGATTTCATATTATCACGATGGGAGCGGTTATCATCCTTCCTGCTAGTACATCCGATAGCCAGTACTGATACAGGGCACTCTCTCCTCCACGATTTGTCCCAAGCTTTCGGTTCACGGAGTCGCAGCCTCGGACTGTGAGAACTACCATTATTGGTCAGATCAGAAAAGTGACAGAAAGTGTTGACTGGGGTAATGGCATAGACTTACGTCGGCCAAATATGGGCCAACCATGGCCTCATCTTATGGGGAGGGCAGATGATGGATTACTGTGGTTTGATTAGCTATGTCCAACAACAATGATAAACCGTCCGAATTCTCACATGATAATCCATGCTGTCCTCCTCATCAGCCTCGTACTCTTCGTCATCCTCGTACTCCCCGTCCTCATTGTCATCATACATTTCCTCATCAATTCCTTCCTCGGCGACATAGGGAAGCTGGTACTCGTTATGAGCAAAGAAGACAGAGTCAGTTTCGAGACTTTCGTACGGCAACTCCTGTGTTCCCGGCTCCAGAATGGAACTGTCAATTTGTCCGCCGTGACCAGCCGCTATGCCGACATTCTGGGAGGCTGAAGCGGTGTAGCCAGATACGTACACGGGGTTGCCAGATTGATCGTAATGGATGCCGCTTTGCTGGGACAGCTCCTCCGAGTTGTACAGCTCAAAGACGTCGCGAGAGAACTCCGGGACATTCGGGTTTTCCTCATCTTCGGAAGTGGATTGATCGACCTGATCCTCATCCACGTCGGTCTCCATATCGTCGGACTCCATGTCGTCGGTTTCCATATCGTCGGACTCCATGTCTTCGGTTTCCATGTCGTCGGACTCATTTGACGAGACAGACGGCGGGTAGTTGTTTTCGTAATCTCGAACCTGAGACGATGGGTGACCTGCGAGGAGCCTCTCTCCCTCAGCTGAGTTCAGTTCTGGCTCAGGAGCATCCTCTTCTAGGTCAACCTTGGGAAGGATGCCGCGCCAGATGTTCTTGTTCTGCACGTCGCTCTTTAGACAGGTGCTCAGCAGGTCCACCGCCTTGGGGTCTTTCGGGAGTTTTGAGTAATAGATATCGCTACAGAAGCGATACTCAAGTTCTCCCATGCGTTGTTCTGGGTTCTCAGGTCGGAGCCCCTGGCAGTGAGGGGGGAGAGCCGGGAGAGACGAGCTAATGTCGGACTCAAAGGTCTCATCCTCATAGGCGAGATGGGCATAGCTGTCAGAGTCCTCGGCGAGCTTGTAGTGCCTAGCGTACTCGAGAAGGGTATGGTTCTGAGAAGCCATAACTGTGGGAGATACGAGATAGATGAAGGCACGTGCAAGAAAATTTGATGAATGCGGGATAAACACGTGGAGATACGAAGGATGGTGAGATGAATGTAAAGGAAGATACGAAGAAGAAAGGCGGAGAGGGAGAGGAAGAAGTAGTTGATCACACAGTCCATGTATGTTTGTTTTGTTCTGTCTTTTCATGTTGGGAAGGAATAGGAAAGTGTGAGCTTCAAAGTCAAGGCAACTGCAACCAGGAAAGTAAACACAAGTGGACATCAAAAGGCAACGCAGGACACCTTACCAGCAGCACATGTTGCAATGAGAAAGAGAATGATATTTCGCTGATATGATATTATCGCTAATTGCTATGATAGAAATGATAGAAAGGAAAAGGACCATGAACCACAAATCTTGACTTCCGCGTGTCCTAATCATTGTAGTTGGACTGTCGAGAGCCATCCTTATTGACCGCCGGCAGTCCATACAAAGCATTCAACTCATCCTCCTGAGACTTCCCAGACTCCTCCAGCACAGGTTTCTCCGCTTGCACCGCAACACGCACAGCATGGCGACGATGCGGCGTAAAGCCATAAGAAGCACTGTGGTTGGTAGACCTATTATCCCACAACGCAACGTCATCCTCATTCCATGAGAAGCGGGCATGCATCTCCTGTGTAGTGGCAATTACCTCTGTGAGGAAGCTGATGATAGCATTGCTTTCCGCGGCCGGGATGCCGACGATCTTCGTCACGAAGCCCGGGTTGAAGAATAGTCCGTTCCAGCCTGTGACTGGGTTCGTGCGGATGAGAGGGTGCTCGGTGGTGACGGGTTCCCGGCGCACAGGGCGACCCAGGGCCCGGGAATCATTGGCTTGCATGTCGGCCGAGTGGAGGGCCGTTAGGCCCTTGAGATAGTTTTGCATGTGTGAGGAGAGGATGTCATAGGCGGCGTATTGTGAGGTCCAGAGGGTGTCGCCACCGCCGCCACGGGGTGGCCCGGTTAAAAGCTTGAGTGATGTGTATGATGGTGGTTGGATTTCGTAGGTCACGTCTGAGTGCCACAAGAAGCTGGGTTGGAAGAGAGCGCGGTTGTCGCTTGAATTGTCGCCAGTGTAGACGACGTGAACATCCTCGAGACCCTGCTTTCGAGGGACCGATGTAGTGGCGTGCTATGAGCCGTTAGTATGGATCTTCCATAAACCTGGTTCTGGTGAGATATCTTACCTTGTGCAGCTTGCCCCAGTATTGACCCAATTGGCGCTGAGCCTCGATATCAAAGTTCTTCTGGGAACGGAAGAAGACGACACCTCGGTATGCGATCAGCCGAGCGAGGTCATCCCGCTGTGCATCATCGAGCTTCGACAAATCAACGCCGTGGATTTCAGTTCCAATCTTAGGGTTGAGATCAAAAACTGCTGTGGCATCTCGCAACAGGTTCCGGAATTTGGGGTCCCCTCGCAATCCCTTGTCCTCGTAGGGGACCTCTTCAAGCGGGGGCCATTGAATGTTTGGGAAAGAGGGCAAAAAAATCTTCGTATGCGTAGTTGCCGTGTTTCGCGACCAAGGTCCGACCAGGCTGATATCCGAACTTATTGTCTCCAGGTACGATATCCTTTGCGACCACAGGTACTGTAGACTTGGTCACAGATGGTGCAACCGTAACCACGGGTTCTTCCAAAGATGGCGCCATGTCGATGAAGAATGAGATATTGAACAGATATGCAGGATATAATGTAATTAGATGCAAGTGATAAGATGCTCAAAGGACGACAGCAGATGATCTTGATATTCAGAAGTGTGAATGTTGAGTAGGTTTGTCTGAATGTTAAGTTTGAATGGACCTAGACATGAGGGAAGGAAAACAGTTTATATAGAAGCGATCTACACAGTATGGAGTCAAGTGTGCAAGCCTCGTTTGGATGCCTGAATAACGCAATTCTTGACCTGCTCGGAGTTGACGGGATGGCGCAATCTCCATGAATCATCGTAGGTGATTTCAGGCCAGCATCGAATCGCCAGTTCCAGGGGTGAAAATCGTAACTGAGACCCGCTTCTCCGTAGCTCTCCCCAGGATTTGAGGATGAGCACGCCATTTATCGCAGGAATTGCCATCTTGGTCGAATGAACTTCAGAGACTGGATGTTCAGCTGAATAGGTATTACCTCACCCTCACCGCTGGTTCAGCGATCTTCAAGTCAGGCATCCTGGACGCGTGTCTGATCTGTATGATTTTTCACTGTGCTATGTATGATCGACTGCAGCCTGGTGAGTGGTGGTTGAGATTAAGAAGGCGCCAAGGCGGCGATCACGCCAGAGTGGGGCCATCTCACGTTACCGGGCCTACTCGCGATAGTACATCTAAGATCTACCTTGTTTCATCTGTAAGCTCAGCCTACAACTCAGATTAGACGAATGAGAAGCTCAATTCCACTGATAAATTGTGGGATGTCATGTTCGCATGCTGAATATCAGCTTCCATAATAGTACAGATCAAACTCCTAGCTCCCAACTACCAGAGGTAAAGCCGCTGTTCTCAAGTAGACAGATCCTGCACCTGTTCCGACACATTGCTCAAACGAGTGGCAACGCCCATAATGCCAGTCTCCACATCTGTGAGGACCGCAGCAAGATCCGCCTTGGTAGAACGGGGTGCCCCCGCGCCGGCATCACGAGACTTGGAGCTCACAAAGTCGCTGATCTGGCGATTGAGATTGGCCTCAACACCATGAAGATGGTCCTCGATCTCCTTGAGGTTGCCGGTAAATTTCCCAAGAACTTCGTGCATCTCCTTGGTGCGGTGGGAGAAATAGTCCACCAGGTTGACGGGAACACCGTTGATATCTGTCGCAGATGAGTCGCCTTCCACGCCATCGGGAAGAGCCAGAGTGTTTTTGCGACTGGAGCGCATGGATCGCTCCGGAATTTGTTGATCTTGCACAGACCACCATCCGCCGCGGGCAGTCGTTTGGTATTGTAGGGGCAGCTTCAAGGTATCAATAGCGCGGAATGCAACTTGGGCCTCGGCCGCATCCCGTGTAACAAGGCTGCGCAGCCCATCAATGTCACTGGCATCGTTCTCGAGTGCATGCTGAATGGTCTCTAATTTGCCTTGCACAAATTCCACATCGTTGGGAATTGTAGCACCCTGCTGTTCAATGGTGGGAAGTAGATCCCCGACCTCGTGGCACATCTTCATTTGATTCAGAATGTGTTTGTCGATGGCCTCGATTTGGCTTCGAATCTCGTCGGCACAGCTTTCGAACTTCGTGGTAGGCAGCAGGTTGCTCACGTCGACTTTCACACCCGGAATCACTGTGCTGGTAGCTGTACTCTGTTGCAGCGTTGGTTGTGTGCTCGGGGCAGCTGCCGATTGGCCGAAGATACCAAGAGAAGGTTTTTGAGGCTGCTGTTGCTGTTGGGTTGTGTTCTGACCTCCACCGCTGTATATCGTTAGAATATGAGCCAGGAGATGAGACAAGTAAGAGTACTGCGATCACTCACAATAGACCCCCAGTAGCTCCTCCTGTTGATCCTCCACCAAGTCCGCCCCCGAGACCACCGCCCCCAAGGCCACCACCGAGACCCCCGAAGGCCGGCTTCGCTTGAGTTTGCGCCGTAGATGTGCCGCCGCCGAACAAAGAGCTACCGCCAGTTGTTCCCTGGGTAGTGCTGGTGCCAGCGCCAGCAGTTGCCCCACCGAACAGATTGCTTCCAGCAGGTTTTGTGGCTGGGGTAGTTGAGGAACCGAAAAGGCTGCTGCCAGTCTGTTGTTGACCTCCGAACATGCTGGGTGCGGTCGGTTGAGATTGTGGTGTGGTTCCAGCAGCCGATGCCGCTGGGGCGCCAAACAAGCTTCCTGCTGGCTTAGGTGTGGTTGAGTTTGCGGTGTTCCCGAAAAGACTACTCGTCGCGCCTGGAGTAGCTGTAGATGAGGTTGTGTTGCCGCCGCTGTTTATGAATGTCGCAGTTAGCTTATTTGCCCGAGGAAGATCGATGGGGTCTACCCAGTCTGTAGCCCGCGGAGAGCGGAAGACTGGAATAGAGAATGATGGAGCGAATCAGAGCCTGGGGTAAAGAAATGGGTCTGATAGGTGCAAACAAAGACGAAGACAGATGGGAAGGAGGCACCCACAACAAAGAATTTGTGGTCAGCGAAAGTCCGCCTGTGGCAGGCGCCGATGTCTTAGGAGTAAACATGGTTCGAGATGTGATGATATGTATTGATTGAAGGGGTGTAGAGCCTGTCAATGGGCTCCTTCAATAAGAACAAAGCTGCGCGATAATTGCGATTTGCGGAATGCGCGAAGCTCGTCGGGACTACGTTTATCCGATCCGGATTATCTTCATCAACCTACGGAGTAGATAACGAGTAAGGCTTTTGAATTCTTGCTTTACTTCGATGTTATTGTGAAAAAGAAAAGAAGAAGACTGAAGAGAGTCTGAGAGAGTCTGAGAGATCAGAGAAGTCATCTAGCTGACCTTTTCTGGGCGGGATCAGACAGAAGGCTTCATAAGGCTGCCTAAGGCAGAAACGGGAACAATCACTTTAAATCCTTCTATGACTGCGCTGCAGCCGCTGCTGATGCCGCTACTAGTACTCGAGGTCTATCTAATGCAATTGATTATCCTGGTATGATGGGGATGTCAGACTTGGTGACTACACAAGCCTCTTCTATCTACATCTTCCCACAAGTCTGAGTTGACACTTCCAATTCAATACCCCTCAAACCTGGTGCCATTCGAGAGTGAGAAAAATGGGCCAGTGATCTAATGGTTTTGTCTGGGACCTTCAACAAACATCTTTGTCTTTTCAGATATACTTATTACGCAGTATGGATGACGAGATCACTGGAGAAAAGACGCCAGTGTGCGTGGCATCAACACAAGTATCCAGTGCAAGGGAGTTATCCCTATGCCACACTTCAAGGCGCTCCTCGGCTGCCTCTTCACCGGCCCAAGCTCAAGTTGAAGCAACACCCCTTGACGGGCCAACCAGCCAAGATACGAACATCTGGTATTTTAAGAGCGCAGAATGGTAAGATCCCGTGGCAACAATGTCTGATCATGGCTTATTGACCTCAGAATCTACAGGACTCCAGATGGGACGACGTTGGTGACTGACTCGGCGGATCATTCCATCAGAACATGGATCCTGTAAGTCTGCACATCCCTGGAATTCATGATTCTCCTGCTCATAAAGTCAGACCACCGGATCTACTGGAGGACAAACCTATGCACAAACTATCCCCATACTCAACTCTCCGCTCGGCGGAGCCAACTTATGCCACCGCTATATATCCCTTTTATAACCTCCAGGATCCATCTACCACCCTCTTCCTCTCATCCGTCCGTGATCACCCGATTAGGCTATCGTCGGCTCTAGCTCCCGTATCGGTGGCAAGCTATTCTCTGGTGAATCCAATGACAGAAGCATTCATAACACCACATTCGATAATCTACCCATCTGCACTTGGCGGCACTCACTTCCTCACCGGCTCAGATAGCCTTATCTGTCTCTTCGATGTGTCCCGGACGGGTCTTTCAGGCCCTGTATCCTCGATGCCAACTATACCCAGCAAGCGCAAGCAGATAGTTGGTGGTGGTGTCGGTATGAAGGGTATTGTCTCTGCTCTCGCTTTGAATCCCAGCGGAGATGGGATTCTCGCCGCTGGCACTTTCACCAGACATGTCGGGCTCTACAGCTCCAATGGGTCCGGTGAGCTCCTTGGAACTTTCAGCATAGCCAAGACCCCTGCCAATCGTGATATTGGGGGCCGTGGTGTTACGCAGATTGTTTGGAGCCCCTGTGGAAGGTATCTGTACATCGCTGAGCGGAAGAGTGACGGCGTCTTGGTCTATGATGTTCGTGTCACGGGGCAATTGCTCGGACACTTGCGCGGACGCAAGGCATCTACCAATCAACGCATGAAAATCGATGTTGTCCCGTCTGGCCCTGATGGTGCCCATGAGATTTGGGCTGGCGGTACCGACGGGTTCATGAGGGTTTGGGAGAGTCCGGAGCACTGTGTAGGGGGCAAGGACCCTGATCGCGAGTTCAGGGTCCATGACGGTGAGTTTGTTGACATTACCAAAGGTGTCACAGCGCTAATATATGACAGATGCCGTGACAAGTGCAGTCTTCCACCCAATGGGAGGTGTAGTTGCAACTTGCTCTGGACAGCGACATTTCGATACGGATCAGGATTCCGATGAAGAGCTCCAAGATACCGACATCAGACCACCTGATAATTCTCTCAAGGTCTGGTCAATGCCGAATATCATATCAGAGACAGAGACAGATAATGACACAGAGCCCATGAGTTGATGCACAAAGCAATAATGAACAGAGCCTTGTCCACATTCATTCGTCAATGCATGAACGTAAATCGCTTTCTAGCGAGTCGATCCACCGGTCGTGTGTATTCTCTATCAACCTCCTAAAGAAAGCGCAATATGTACCCACGCTCCTTTTTCAAAAGTCAAAGTGGCCCATCAAGGTATCCGGATGCCATACTTCTCATACGGGAAGTCTTCCAAAGTAGAAAAGAGCTGACCAAAGCCATCACCAATCTTCCCGGGCATACCAGCACCCTGAACGCGCCAAGCCTGAAGTTCCTCTGCCTCCTTCTCAGCATCCGATTTCTCCTCCTCCTTATGCGAACCAGTGATCCCAGCAAGCACCTCTTCTTCCCGGCCCGCAAAGGCTTCAAGGAGACCCGGGTGGGGACACCAGACAACCTGCATGCCAGCACGGCGACCAGCCTCAACGCCTGGCACGGCATCCTCGAACACAAGACACTCCTCAGGCTTAATCTCTGTCTTTCCCTTGCTACGCAGGTCTGCGTTGATGGTCTCCAGCGCAAGCAAGTAGATATCCGGAAGAGGCTTGCCTCGCCCCTTACCGATACGGGGATCGTCACCGAGAACCTTGTTAGCTTCTGGGAATCGCGAGAATAGCTCAGTCAGATGGTCGGTCTTTAACTTGTAGTTGGCTCTGTGCGACGAGGTCGCTAGCGCAATGTACACGGGCTCATCGGTGGACTGCGTGGATACCAGATTGGACAGCAGAGCGGGCACACCGGCGAGAGGTTGGGACTTTGGGAAGTAGTGTCGTTGCAGTGCTGTGCGCTCCTCGTTCAGCTGCTCGTCACTGATGGGGAGCTGGGCAAAGTCGTGGAAGATTTTGCCGGCCTAAACGTGGTAAGAGTGTGTGACTACCCGGCGATAGATATAGTGTCACATACCTCTGGCGCGGGACGACCCTGCATTTGGGCCTTGATTGACCACGGCAGCAAGGGTCTGCCGTATTTCTGGAGGATCTCATTTGTGATCACGGTGTACAGATCCTCTGAGTCAATCAGCAAGCCGTCCATGTCGAAGAGACATGCTCGGATGCGGGGAAGGCTGTCGACATCGTCAATTAATTTTCAATTGCAGACGACACGCCGCTGTGTACTCACGCGGTATTGGAAGCCATTGCTGTTGAGTGTGTTTACCAGCGTCTGAGTGGGATGTTGACAAGCGTTTGATAAGACGCGGGGAAGAACGAAGAACCCTTATCAGTCCCGTGATTCCGCCCTTGGCAACGTCCGGTGTTCTCGCTCGACGAACTGCTTCGCAAAATGCGTGACTCATCTAAGACGCCCGAGCGCGACGGCAAAGATGCTCCCGTCGATGCCGATGACAGTGGCGATGAGGATGTTTTTCACGACGCACACTTCCCCGCAGAGGAAGAAGCCGTAAGTCCGCTTTGGAGACTTACGACCGGAGCCGCATACTGACTACAATGTTATCTTTGATAGAAGCTCCTAAAGGAAGCGCACGAAATCAAATCAGAAGCAAATGAGTTATTCATTGCAAAGGTCTATGACCAAGCGATATCCTGCTACGACCGAGCCCTCGCCTCCTGTCCGAACTACCTTGACTTCGATGTCGCCGTGATCCATAGCAATATCGCTGCTTGTCACTTGAAGTTGGAAGACTGGAAAGCTGCAGTAGAGTCTGCAACAATCTCCATCAATCGCTTAGACAAGCTTATTCCGCCGACGACGCAGGACAAAAACGATGAGTCGGAAGGCAAAGAATTACCGGGATCCGAGGGAAAGCACACAGACGAAGTGGTGGAGATATCTGGAGATGACGAAGACGCTGAATTAAAGGAACTGGAGCGATTGAAAGAGCAGGATGAACTGCGGAGCAAAGTCATGCGACTTCGAGGCAAGGTTCTCCTGCGACGCGCAAAAGCGAAGACGCAAATCGGTGGCTGGGGTAGCTTGCAAGGTGCTGCAGAGGACTACCAAGCTCTTGCTGCTATCGACAGTCTCCCCGCCGACGACAAAAAGGTCGTGCAGCGTGCGTTGCGGGAACTTCCCAAGCGGATCAACAAGGCACGGGAAAAAGAGATGGCTGATATGATGGGCAAGCTGAAGGATGTGAGTACTTTGTCACCCTGATGATCATTCTAGCATTGGAAAAGCGACGCTGACTTGAGACAGCTTGGAAATGGTATCCTGAGCCCATTTGGCCTGTCCACGGATAACTTCAAGTTTGTCCAAGACCCGAAGACGGGGGGTTATAACATGAACTTCCAGTCTTAATATTCTTTGATCGGTCAGATATATGGATTTCCTACTTCACATATGCATACTTGGCAGGAAGCCATGAAGGCGTTCTACTTCATATTCTTTAGCACATCACATCTTTTGCCGAATCCTGCCTTGAATCTTATCTAAGAATCTGGGTGTTATGCATGTATGCTTAGAACTGTAAACTTTCATATATTGCAACGCTCTTCCGAGTTTGATCAGCTTTACAGCTCCCCGACTACAAACAAGTTGCGCAGTAAATAAAGATGGACGTAGTACCTACTAGACCCTGTTATTCCTTATCGCCTGCCCTGACCCTTAGCTACTCCCGCACGGCCTGCAGTCTCTAGCCTAGATATACTACATGTAATCACTCTGAAACGAGGTGTGATGTTGGTCATGAGGCCTGTGTTTCGGATCGTAGTCATTGTATGAACCAACAGCCAGACGGGCTCTAGCCGTGATGGAAATATTCTTTCATCCTAAAGTGTACATCTTTAGTAGCTCCATACCTAAATCCCAAACATGTCTACAAAGATTTGGCTACTTGATACACAGAGAAGCTGCATTCCTTTGATCCCAGGCAAGACCAAAATCTAAGCGCCGCAGCCCAACTGAAACACACATCCCACTCGACCTTAAAACCCCATCTCTCCCCAACTCAACATTAACTTCCAAGCAAACACAACTCATCAATCATCACCATGGCCCTCAAAGTTTACACCACCGAGTCGATCGGCGCCCAGAGAAACCACATCGCCATCTACATTGAAACCGAGCCAAGTGAGAACAGAGGCTGGCTACACCACGTCACGGGAACCATCCTCAACGGCATGGATTATACTCCCAGACAAACCCCCGATCCAGAGATGCTCGCAGAATACGTGCCAGACTCCAAGAAGCTGATTGCGACTATTGAGGAGAGCGACTTGGACAGGTTCCGGGAGGAGTGCTGTATGGCTGTGCTGCCCCCTCGGGCTCAGGTCACGCTTAAGGGGACCAGACTGTATCCTGATACACCGCTCTATCGCTGTGGGGATTGGTTGAAGGATGTTCAGGATATGGCTTTCAGGAAGGGGATCCTTAAGCCTTTGTAATGGGTGGGTTGGGCCTTCCTTGGATATGCACTGATACTGATGTATTGGACAGTCTGTATCTGGCATCCATGCACGTATCTTCGGGGTATGAGACATGCTTCCAGTATTTTCAGGAGCCTCCAGATAGTCGACTACGCAATATGAGTACCTATGAGGCATTAACCTTTCAAGTCAAGCATGCAATTAAACGAAAGACCAAGCTGGAACATTTCAGGCATGGTAGTTGTCCTTCTCTTTCCTGTTCATTCCCCATAACTACCCCAAAGCCGTAGTACCCTGATAAACCCCCTTGTACCCCTCAACCTCTTCCGTCATCCGGTGAAAGACAAACTGCGCCAGCCGGGCAGAAGGATAAACTCGCAACCCAGCAAAATTAACCACCTGCATCAACGCCCCAACAGCGCCTTCATATCCACTATCCATCACACCGGCATGTAAAAGCACCCCAGACCTGAATAACGAGCTGCGCACAAAGATCTGGCCCATCGCATCTAGAGGGACGGAGACAGTCTCGTTGAACTCCACGAGGTAGGAGCCCTTCGCGAGATCCAAATATGGCTCTTTAGCCCCGTCGTGAGCTGTGAAGGGTATCTCTTCTGTTGCAGCGGTCTGTCGGTGCTGGTTATCCAAGTCGATTATGCTGGGTGAGGTCCATTTCAGAACGCGTTTTAAGGTGAGGTCTACCCCACACGGTTGGACTTGGAGTTTGGGGTGTTGCACGTTGCGGATGATGGAGGTGATGAGTGAGCGGCCGGGGAGGATCATGGTATTAGTGTCATAGCAATGCTGACTATATGTACTTCGTATGCACACAGTCCTGTGTCACAGTAGATGTATGGATAGTTGGAATGTTTACAGAGATCTGAAAGGGGGTAAGAAGCAAACAGAACAAACAAAGCTAACCAATGGCAGATCTATCTAAAGTTAGCTACGGTCTGTGTTGGTCTTGGAACTCCCAACCTCACTAAATATTCTCTTGACGAAATGATCGACCAATATCCCGGTAATCCCGGATTTAATGATTACCGCACTTTAATGTCAACCGAGGATACCGAAGAGCCGGAGCAAAGTCGATCGCTAATCAGAAAACAACGCGGCCATAAAATGGCGGGGCCCCACACCTCCAGGGGTTCATCGATTGCGTATGGAGCCTGGAATGCCGAGTTTGGCTTCCGGAGGTGTCGGTTGTATTCGACTTAACTCCGTACGCGTAACGCAGTTAGCTCTACTTAACGTTGCCGTCTGAACATAGAAGTGCTTCAGAAATGCTTTGAATCAAATTCCAGAGCAATTGCTTTGCTATCGCCGAGATGCCGACAGTCTACCGTTCTCCATATCCAGATTTGGATATCGAATCCGTGGATTTGGTCTCCTACCTCTTCTCCAATCCTCTTAATACACCCTTGGACAAACCTCTATACATCGATGCTATCACGGGGGAGCAGTATACCTTCGGGGATGTAGTGCGACGCACACGCTCTCTGTCTAATGGTCTCCGACAAAGTATAGGCGTCAAGCCCAATGATGTCATCTCGCTATTCAGCCCTAATACAATCGATTACCCCGTCGTATGCCATGCAATTGTGGGATCTAGGGCAATCGTTGCTCCGACCAGCGCAGCCCTGACCTACCGAGAGCTAAACGCTCAGCTCCAGACCAGCGGGGCAAGATTCATCGTCGTCCATTCGTCTTTGTTGGAGACAGCCCGGAAGGCGGCGAAGGGTACATCTATCGAAAAAGTCATCCAGATAGATGGCCAAACGCCAGTCAACAATCTACCCACCTGCAATTATCTCGCCAGCACGTTCGCACCGGCAGACTTCCTCGCCATCAACCCCTCCGAAGCACACCGTCAACCAGCGTTCATCTGCTTCTCATCTGGGACATCCGGCGCAGCCAAGGGCGTCGTCATAACACACCAGAACATCACCTCCAACCTCCAGCAATGGCGTACCCATATGCTAGACTCCGGACTTCCCCACCAGCGACCGAAAAGAGACTCCGCCATCGCATTCCTGCCCGTCAGCCACATCTACGGGCTGAACGTATTCCTCTGCCAATGTCTAATCTGGGGCACGACGGTAGTCGTCATGTCGAGATTCGACCTCGACCTCTACCTAAGCTGCATTGAGAAATATCGGCCCGACGAGCTGACCGTCGTTCCGCCCATTGCCCTGCTGCTCGTTAAGGACGAGCGCCTCGCCAAGTACGATCTCAGCAGTGTGCGCAGGATCGGATCCGCTGCCGCGCCGCTCACGCGTGAACTAGCTGCGGCTCTAGAAGCCAAGTTCATGGACATGTACAAGACCGAGGTCTTTGTTACACAGTCTTGGGGTCTGACGGAGACCTCGCCGGTGGTAACTTCCATTCCGAATGACCGTATGGATAAGCGGACGACGGGCGTAGGCTGTATTGTGCCGAATATGCAGCTTCGCTTCGTCGATCCGGAGACTATGAAGGATGCTGCCGTTCTGGCGGATGGATGCACGGAGGCTGCGGAGATCTGGGTTCGCGGTCCGAATGTGGTGATGGGGTACTACAACAATGAGAAAGCGACTGCGGAGTCATTCCACGTCGACGAGGAGGGGAAGAGGTGGTTCCGCACGGGAGATGTCGGGACGATCGATCGGGATGGTTATGTTACTATCCAGGATCGGATTAAGGAGATGATCAAATATAAGGGTATGCAGGTCATTCCTAGTGAGTTGGAGGGGAAGCTGGTGGACCACCCGGATGTGGAAGATGCTGCCGTCACTGGCGTGTGGGTGGATGACATGGCTACTGAGCTGCCGGTCGGCTTTGTGGTGTTGGCTCGCCAGGCCAGGGAACGGAATCTGAAGGTTGTTATTGCTGAGATCGACTCGTGGTTGAATGAGCGTGTTGCCAACCATAAGCGTCTGCGTGGAGGTATCCATGTTTTGTCGCAAATTCCTAAGTCGCCCAGTGGGAAAATTCTGCGCAGACAATTGAGGGACTCGCTGAAGAGTAAGACTAGGTCAAGACTGTGATTGGGTCTAGGGACAGCTATTTCATGTTAAATATTGCCATTACACAGATCTGAAGTGGCAATCACGTTCGATTCAGAAGTTGTACTTCTGCATGTAGTTGTGAAGCCATGCCATACCTTATTGCGTCCTGGCCCAAGTATACCATATGGTCTTTGAGTCTAGGTTCCTATCTACATAGAGGTATGAGCTGGATGTATCCGATGTCTACCTATGACTCCCCGTAGTTGATTGTTTGGAACCGGGACCCGCGGGCCCCGACCGGAGCATACTTCACCTCCGAGCACCTTTTACAGAAGTGTTAGATATTTTCATATTTTCAGGGAATTAACTTGTCTCGTCTTCAATGTCTTCAATGTCATCTTGTCCCTAGTCCATCACTCCAGCCTCTCTGCTTGGCATATCGTGACATTCCACTAGAACTCTATTTCACCAACCTCACCTCTACATCCAAGAGCACACCCATTCCCATCCAGACAGTACCAAACCCAACAGGCAATGGCATCATGCCATTCCCCCTTCTGGGCCTTCTCCAAACCCGACAAGCAAACAAGACCCAAATTCCTCACCATCAGATCCTCAAAATGGTTCATAATGTTCGTCGTCGCCTTCGCCGCCGGCACCGACATCTTCATGTACGGCCTGATCGTCCCAGTAACACCAACAGCCCTAAAAGAGCGCGTAGGCCTGCCGGACTCAAAACTGCAAAGCTGGACCTCCATCCTGCTAGCACTGTACTCAGCAGCTCTACTAGCCTCAGCCCCCGTTGTCGGGTACATCGCTGACCGAGCCGAGTCCCGTCGATGGCCTCTGCTGTTTGGACTGGTAGCGCTGGCTGCTGCGACGGCTTTGCTGTGCGTTGGCACGAATATCGCGCTTTGGATTACTGGAAGGGTTTTTCAGGGTGTTGCGGCTGCTATTGTTTGGACGGCTGGTCTAGCGTTGATGGTTGATACTGTCGGGAAAGAGGATCTGGGTCAGGCTATTGGGTATGTTGGTATGGCTATTAGTTTGGGCACGTTGGGTGGACCGTTGCTTGGTGGGGTTGTTTATCAGAGTGGTGGGTATTATGCTGTTTTTGGTCTTGCGTTTGGGCTTATTGGGATTGATATCTTGTTACGATTGTTGCTTATTGAGAAGAGACATGCTGTCCAATGGCTTGCGCTGGAAATGAAACCAGAGGAAACCGGAGAGGAAAATATACTAGGCGAGGAGGGCGTCGCAGTTCCCTCGTCTCTGGGCATTGAAGCTACAAACCAGACACCGCCATCTCCTCTCCCATCACGGGGTGCTTTCGCTCGACTCGCCATCTTACTGAGCTCTCCCCGCCTCGTCGTCGCAGTCTGGGGCTATTTCATCATCGCCCTCATCCTAACATCCTTCGACAGCGTCCTACCGCTCTTCGTCCACGAGACCTTCGGCTGGTCCCAAAGCGGCCAGGGCTTAATCTTCATCCCGCTCATGGTGCCGCACGGACTAGACCCCGTAACCGGCTGGATCATTGACAGATTCCCCAAGACCATCCGCTACTTCACCGCAGCTGCGTTTCTCGCTTCCGTGCCGGTAATGGTGCTCCTGCGTCTTGTCACGGAGAACTCGATGCAGCAGAAGATTCTTCTGTGTGCGCTACTCGCGCTGGTTGGGCTTTGCTTTGCTGTTGCTATGCCGCCGCTTGTCGCGGAGGTCTTCTTTGCTGTGCAGGAGAAGGAAGATGATGCCCCTGGGATCTTTGGGAGGGGTGGGGCTATGGCGCTGGCTTTTGGATTGTCGAATATGGGGTTCGCGGCTGGGAGTCTGATTGGGCCTTTTTTTGCAGGGTTCATTCGTCAGACTGCTGGTTGGGGGACGATGGGTTGGGGGCTTGGGTTGATTGCTGGTTCGACGGCCGTGCCTACGCTGTTGTTCTTGGGTGGGTGGATTTTGAGAAAGCCTGGAGTGGATGCGGTGCAAGTTAGGGACAGCACTGGCTGAGTTGCTACCGATATTCATGTAATGTATAAGCGTACATAGATCTTCTACGTCAATAATCCGCCTTTTCATCTGAACTATCGAAGAGTGATCTCTAGATGGACTCAACAGCACAATGGTGCTCCTCAAATGGCTGTGATTATACCGCAATTCTGGTCTAGATTGCGCATCTGTTGATTTGCTCGAGTGGCTACACTCTTGAAATTGCACATAACAGACGCCCTTGATACAGACCAGTTGACCCACGTACCACGACGTAGGTGTAGAAGGGATCAGTGTCAGATATTTTGGACGTCGAAGCAGCTATATCCCACCAACACACTACCTACTCTACTTCTTCCAGATTAACACTGGCTTAACAACACTCCCCTCCTTCAAGCTGTCAAGTGCCTTGCTGTAATCCTCGGCCTTTTGAGCAGTTAGCTAGCCATCCTTTAACTAGTACATCACCGATCTGCTACTCACATCAAAGTACTCCACAAATTTATCAATCGGGAATATCCCATCACGATACCACTGAATCATCTGCGGAATAGCCTAAATCCAGCATCAGTAAACAGCCCTAAGCAGCATGGACCTGCACATTGATACATACAACTCGAGGGTCAGAATCGCCCTCGATACAACCCAGAACAGCTCGACCACTCTGTTTGGAATGAAATTAGTATAGACCGTATATCATATTCGGAGAGGTATGGCATACACTGATATGAGTCGTGGCATGGATGTTCAACATGTAATCCATCGGTGGCACGCCTATCAAAACCGTTTTGCCGCGGGCATGAGTGGACTGTATACTCTGCTCGATAACGGCCGGGACACCGGTAGTATCGATGGCGATGGAAACACCGCCGGGTAGCAAGTCTCGGACGGCGAGGTCCAAGGTCGAGAAATCCGCGTCGCTGGTGTTGATCGTATGAGTTGCGCCGAGTGTCTTAGCTAGGTCTATGCGGGACTGGACGCGGTCTACTGCGATGATTGTCTTGCATTTTGCGATTTTTGCTGTCTTTATTCACTTGCTCATTAGCTTTACTTCCGAACTTCCGGTCATGATTGAATATTCTGGAAGGGGATTCAAATCTCACCATTAGTGCACCCATCCCAACAGCCCCCAATCCTGTGATCAGAACTACATCCTTCGGACCAGCCTGGGTTATATTCAGGATAGCACCTGAACCAGTCTGGAATCCACAGCCGAGCGGGGCAAACAGCTTCAGTTCACTGATATCCTTGATCAGATCCTTGGCGTTGACGACGCTGGCTTCCTTGACGGTGCTGTACTGGGCGAAGCTGGATTGGCCGAAGAATTGAGCCCAGATCTGTTCGTCGCCGGTCTTGGATTTCATCGTGCCTTGCTGGCCGAGGTAGTTCTTGGAGTTGAACGAGTCGCAGTATGATGGGTGGGAGGCTTCACATTGCTGGCAGGTGGAACAATAGTAGAATGACAATAGAATTGGATCTCCAACGGCTACTGACTTGACGTTCTTTCCTACAGCTTTGGCAACGCCGGCACCTGTGGAGGCGTTCTTAGCTTTCGTTCATTGCCCATTGGGAATCTTGTTCACATTGTTCATATTGAAACGATGGTAGGAAGCAGAGGACATACCTTCGTGTCCTACCACTTTGGGATAATCAATGCCCATAGTTCCGGCTGGGACTGACGAGAGCACAATGTCTGTATGGCAGATACCTGCAGCGTACATTTCGACTAGGATTTCGTCATCCCCAGGTGAAGCAACCTCGACTTGCTCAAACGACCAGTGAACCACGCCAGGTTGGGAAGGCTCCCGTGCCACGATTGCGTTGCCAGTCTCCATTCTTTCTGTTCTGTCTGTATGGACGAGGAATGCATCGAGAAGGGCTCTCTCGATCTCTTTGTACAGTTGACCCCGCACGCCACACCCTTGTGCCACCGTGCCGTGCCACGTTCAACCTCGGGCTGTGCCCTGCCAAGCAACTTTTGTACCAGGGATGTGCTCAACTAAGATGTAGAAAGTGTGTAGCGTGGGATAACACTGCAGATCTTGACGGTTGATCCCGAGGTCTTGGCTTGTCTATTGGAGTTTACTGCTTCTAGATAGTCCGTTCTCAGCCTCATAGGGCAACTTAGCTTGCTAGCTTGTTTCTGACTTTCATAGACCAACGATGTTTATGGATACATGGATAGTTTGCTTGCCTTGTTCTGTGCTGCTACTTGGTGGGAAGATGTAGACGGCATTGGCTCTTCGATCGTGGTCCGACCTACGGAGTCGGGTGAGTGTGTCACGAGATCTGATGGAAGAAATGAAATAGGCGGAAAGTGGGGTGAAATGTGCAATATCGAGCTGCTGCGATATAGGTTTTACATTCACAAGAGAACGGGGTGTCGCAGCGTCCGGACACCCTTGGGGTCATTGCCATTGACAGACCAGAACTTGAGCTGTCTTAAGGTAGCAATGGCGGCTCCGCTACCCACCCTACCTTGATTCGAAGCTCGAGAAAGTACATAAACAGCGTATGTATTCACTTTCGGCGCTCACAAGGGACTCAAAGACTTGCGAGCATACACTCGATCTTAACAGGAGCAGCCCGAAGCAAATCATTTAGTAGACACAGCATGGCAATCAGAAGCCGCCACCCTATTCTTACACTCTGGCCTGGGTCTTGCAAATGGTCTTTTATTTTCGTGATTGGTATCAACAAGTGGTCAGGAACCGAACCATACAGAATTAAGTAGGCGAGAGCCCTGTTCGATTGCAACCCCAATTCTCCTGCCAGTCCAATTGCCGTCTGAAGGACATAAAATGAGATCTATCAAAGGAAATAGTCGGGTGTGCGCCTCGATACCATGGGTTCTCCGGCTCGGGGGCAAGGGTCGAATTGTAGGCTGGTGACGTTAGTAAATATCCAGGCCCAAGCTTCATGTGCTCTGCTCGAGCTACTCACAATGTGTATTTCAAATGCTCGTCAATCTCCATAATGGCGGCTTGGTTGCCGCAGCGGTAACAGTAATTTGGTGCTGCAGTCTGGTCAGCGTTCCAATCTCTCTCCCAGCGCGACGAAAAGCCATACCTGAGAAAATAGTGACCACGTTTCGATCCTGTGACCAGTTATATCCTTCCATCACCAATTGATGCGCACGTGCCACCAGAGTCAAGCCGTTGTTGTGGTTGAAGGCTTCGGAGATATCCTGACCAAAGGTGTAACCAGCACCTCGGGGGAAATTCCCCATCCGCAGCGATCATCGGGATCACTCCAAAGCAAGTCGCACATAGGACCCTCATGGGGAACTTCTTGAATGCGATCGAGCGACCGGATGTTGTCAAGAGTGTCGATGGACGGGCTCAGTCCACCGTGGAGACAGAAGATCTGGTTTTCGATGAGAGCAGTGAGGGGAAGGTAATCGAAGAGGTCGGTGAAGTATTTCCACACGTTGGCATTGCCGTATTTGCGGAGACATTCGTCATAGAATCCGTACACCTGCGTGATCTGTCGGGATTCGTGATTTCCACGAAGGATGGTAATACGCTGCGGATAACGTATCTTCAAAGAAACCAGGAGAGTCACTGTCTCGACTGAGTAGTAGCCGCGGTCGACATAATCACCTATGAGGATAAGAAAATTAGGCTCGTTACTTCACAATGGGGTAATGCGACCGTCTCCTCACCCATGAAGAGGTAGTTTGTATCCGGGTTAGGACCGCCGATGCGGAACAGTTCCATTAAATCATGGAACTGTCCGTGTATATCACCGCAGACCGTCACTGGGCATTTCTGTTCGAGTACGTCAGTGGGTTGGGCGGCCACGACACCATCCCGACCGAGAAACAACGTACCACTGGCTGAACATTGGATTCCTCTTGCAATACCTCTCTTGCCTATAGGACACACAGATATGAGCAACTTTGATCGATCCGCATCGGTCTGTCGAAACAGGGGATACCTACCCGATCGCACAGCCGCCGCACGTCTTCCTCCGCTAATTGCTTGCAAGTCATCAAACTCTCGATCCAGCCGTCCAAAGTCGGTATGGACCCGGGGTCACTTGTAGGAGACAGGCGGTGTGGCTCGGGGGACCGCGCGGTATCGATTTCCATGTTGTTATCCATTGCGTCGGTGTGCTCAGCTGGCTGAAAAGGAGGGGCCAGCTGGGGAGGGGCGGTCTCGTAAGAAAACAACGGAATTCGTGGATGAGGGTTGGTAACGTGGGGGTCGAAAACTATGTGGGATAATTACGCTGCAGATGGCAATTCAATTTGAAAACAATGTCCCCAGAACGATTTCAAGGGATAAAGAGATGGGACTTGGGAACGCGAGGAAGGGAGAAGAGATGGGAGTTCGGGAAGGTCAAGTTGGGAGTGGTGAATGGATGCGCCACACTTCAGCCACACACCGCTTTCTCCAAGGCCTACGTAATTAACAAATACGCCATACAGGATGAGGTCAGGGGTTTACAATTGTTGGTGAATTGACGGAGATTTTGGAGGATTTGATCATTTGACTAGGGTTTATTGTCCTAGTCCTAGGAGCCTAGGAGGTAGACGCACGTTCACATGAACTATGTAGAGATTGGCGGTAACTGCTTGTCATTCAATATCCGTTCATTGGAGTTTAGATCACAGGACATCTGGACCTTCCTCTGTGTACGCGCTTTACTTTGTCATGCTCAATGTGCATGCCTCAATGCAGCCTCATTAGATTATGTCGCCGCCAAATCCACCTCCAAACCCACCAAAGCCTCCCCCACCTTGTCCATTATTACCAAACGGTCCTCGATTACGACCGACAGGTGGCTCACCAGGCCCTACAGGGTCATATCTTGCACCTGGGGGTGCACGGGGATCATATCCACCATTGCCAGAGCCTCTCCCGCCGAAGAGAGGGTCATCAACGGTAGGATGCATACCACCGCCGCCTGGACCAAAGCCAGGGCCCATAGTTCCACGGAAAGGATCATGGGGACCGAGGCCTGCTGGGTAAAGATCTCGCTCTCCAATGTTGTAGGGATTTCTGGCTCCCAGTCCTGCTGGACCTTCTCCTAGTCCCGATGGGCCTCCCCCAAGCCCTGGTGGGCCCCCTCTGAGCCCTCCTGGATATCTTCGCGGGGGCTGGTTGATCTCAAACTCATTTTCGAACCCGGGTGGGGCAAAGTCTGGTGGGTTGGAGCGTCGGGGGGCCGTGGCCAGGGGATCCACGAATGGATGAGGGTGAGCAGGCTCGGAGGAAGTATCACCCCGAAGAGGTTGCTGTTCTCTTCCCTCCTGCAGTCTTTCCCTAGATGGCGGGGATCTATCTTCATACCCCTCTTTGTACAAACCGGGTGCGAGTTTCTGGATAACGTTGATCCTGAACAGACCAACCAAGTCACTTAGGCGAGCAGCCGAAATGAAGACATCTCTTAGGGTAGTCGTGAGATTTTCTGAGGTTTTTAGAGGGATCGCAGAGGCGGAGATGTAGTCTTTGACGGGGAGGTCGAATGAGCTGGTCCTGTCATCGCCCAAGGCCAGTGCAAAGACTACTGCGTTGTTTCCCAGTCGACTCACTTTGACTAAGTATTGCATTGAAGACTGCGCGTGCGCGTATCGAAAGGAGAATGTATCGTTAGCGTTCCATTCTGCAGGGAGGGAAGGTGTTTCTGTAGATGTTTCTGGGGAAGTTAGCAAGATTTCACGGATTCGATTGATAATGGCACAAACCTAGGTTGTGGTCTTCGCCGAGGCCAACCAGTCTGAAGTCTATTGCTACCATGCATGCGTGGCCGATTAGGGCTACGGCCTCATATGGTGTTTTGAGACTCGGCTGTGAGTCGCCTGCTGGTTGGATAGCTCGCACTGCGAGGTCTAGGATATGATCCTGGCGAAGAACGTCTGCGCTAGCCATGTCGGACAATGGTATGGTACAATGGAAGGCTTAGATGTGGGGTATTCTGATGCAGTTCACCGAATATATGACAGACGAGGGTGGTAGGCAACTGTTAGATGATGCGGCTCGATAGAGGTGACCTCACCTGGGCTAGCTGCCTTGGGCTGTGGCGTCGGAACAAGGTTTCCCCGCTCTAGCTATCTGCCCCACTTGCCTTTTGTATTTTTGGCCAAGTGCTTTTGATAGTAGTATTACTGTGTACTCACTGCTTTTACATGGAAACACATGATACATCCCAGCCATTCGCTATCGTTGCTAAGTGCTAACCTCTCTCTCATAAATGGGCCGGTTTCTATGTAGTACAGAGAGGGACCTCTGCCTAACGAACTAGCGGTGTAAACTGACTCAGCGGAATATATAACCTAGGTATCATTGGAATTTGGAAGTGTCAGAAGCAAGAGATCAGACGAACGTAAACTCCCTGCTTAAATATAGGATATATGATAAGTACTCAAAATCTATGTACATGTATCTACAGCATGGACTTAGGGAAGCCCTTCATAGCCTGTCTTACACCCAGATCGGCCAGAATTTCCTCAGTTCCACCAAGAATGGCATCGAACTTGTATGTACGGTGGAACATCTCAATGACCTTGCCCATACCGGACTGCGTGAGGCCACGACCACCGAAGATGTTAGTAGCAAGGCTGGCGATCTCACCAGCCGATTTCGTAGCGTGAGACTTGAGCAGTCCAATAGGTCCACCCAAATTCTTGGCCTGCTCGGCATATGTCATGTTGCACATCTGGTAGGCGATGGATTCGAGCCAGGCTTGGTTGGACTCGGTGAGAGAAATCATGCGGGCGATCCTATTGACTGTTAGACGAGAAACATAGATGTGAATGGGTTTGGCGGAACTCACTTCTGACGGATAACTGGTTGTTCGATCAACTTCTTGCCGAAGACAATCCGCTGGTTGCACCACTTCAGGGTCTCTTCCACAACCATCATCGACATGCGGACGACGGCACCGACCATCATGAAGCGCTCGTGGTTGAAATTGCTCATGATGACGATGAAGCCCTTGTGCTCCTCGCCAAGGAGGTTCTCCACCGGAACCTTGACATTCTCGAACTGCACGAAAGCGGTGGCAGCAGCAGTTGAATAAGAAGTCTTGATTTGTTTGGTCTCAATGCCCTCGCCATTGGGGATCAAAAGCACTGTGAAGCCCTTCTCGGTACGGCAGCCAGTGACAAAGTAGTCGGCGAACATGGCGTTGGTGATCCATTTCCTAATATTGTTAGCGTAAAACTCAAACCATACTATATACAACAACTTACTTTGTTCCGTTAACGATATAGTGCTTTCCATCGGGAGTCTTAACAGCAGTGGTCTTCAGACCCGCGACATCACTACCAGCAAAGGCCTCGGTGATAGCCAGACACATCTTCTTCTGACCAGAGAGAACCTCGGCATTAACGCGCTCCTTCAGGACAGGATTGTTCAACCACTGCTGAACAGCAGTCAAACTGATAGCCATACCAGCCATGTTACCATCCTGGAAACCTCTGGCGTTGGCACGAACCAACTCCTGTGTGATAATCAGGTCGTGGAGGTAATCGAACTCCTTTCCATCGACAACACCTCCGAGCAAGGTCCGGCCATGCAGATGCTTTCCGGGGCCCAAGCGCATAGCGAGGACATTCGTCTCCGCCATACGGTTGATCAGCTCTTGGCTGATGTAGGTGCCATCTCTCTCCTTCTCTTGGGCTTCGGGCGTCACGTATTTATCCGTGAACTCCCGGATAGCCTTCTGCAGACGGCGGTGGGAGTCCTTGTAGTAGGGAGACTTGAACTGCGGGCGCAGCCAGAGGGGTTCCGCGTAGGGGACGGGGCTGAGAGCTCCAGCTTCGGGCTGGATGACCTCGGGTTTCTCGCCTTGGATGGTACCGATGCTGAGCTGGTCGCGGTATTTCTCCAGCACCTCCTGACGGTGCAGGTTGTAGAAGTCGGTTGTCGCGTCCTGGCCTGCAACCTGGGCGAGCACGACCCCACCGCCGGGGTGAGCGTCGACAAAATCGGTTAGGTCATAGACGCGGTGGTCGATGATGCACCAGAGGGAATCCTCGGTGTTGTGCTTAGCAACCTCCTCACGAGTAAAAGTTTTCGCCATTTCTGAGTATGTACACAGTACGGAGAAAGGAGAAGAGAAGGGGAATGCCAGTCCTACATTGTAAGTACCCCGGATTGTCAATTCGCCAATCACGCTGTTTCTGATTCAAACCATGGAATTCAGCCGAGGCCCGAGGGGTGTGAGTAAGCATGCCGGATTTCTTGATCACCACTCAGGTACTGTCCAACTGTGTAACATGAGAAAGACTCCTGGCAATTGGGTACAGCATCTGTATGGATATCTTCATCATATCATGGCCAAATTGTGAGTTGCTGAATTATAATCACGCGCATATCTACCATTGCAGCCCTTCACGATCCTGCCACACTCCACCGTCAACGGGTGATCGGCGTCCACATGTCAGCCGTAATGTCAGTTTCAATGAGACCGTAGAAAGAGTGCTAACATCCTGCGTATTCTCTAGTTACATGCGAACAAGTCTAACACCTCACAATTTACGGAAATAATTAATGGAATGGAGTTGATTTTGCATGTACATTTTGTCATAGTGTACTCCGTAAGACATGGTCTCATTAGTTATCTCCCCGATTTCCAGCCTTGGCATCTTTCATTGCTTCCTTGATCAACCACGCACAGACAGGCTGCGCATCGTTTCCGACCCGCCAACTGCCCAGCACGACTCCATGCTGCTCAAGCACCTCACTTGCACGATCCCACCGACGTCGCCATAGTTCCTCACGCTTGTTTGGAAGCGGTGCGGGCGGCACGCCTGGTTCGGTACTGACCCTTCCAAGGGATTGATTGGATGAAGAGCTTCTCAGCCCCGAGGACGATCCGGATAGATTGAGTCGGTCGGTTGCGTATTGGAATCCTTGGTATGCGGCCTGGGCAGCAGCAGCGGGGTACGATTGTATGCCACTGGCAGGAGCCGGAGCCGGAGCCGGAGCCGGAACCCGAGGAGGCGTGGCTGGTGCGCTGGAATTCGAACTGGCTGATGGTGACCCATTATTCGCACGACGTGGAGGGGGCGGGGGAGGTGTTGGCTTGACGCGAGCAGCTTGTGACTGATTCTGAGCCCCTGTAGACCCCTCATCAAGTCCTTTGAGCCACGAAGACGGTAGTCCGTTCGCCGATGACGCAGTGCTGCTCGAAGAGACTGACGGTGAAGGGTCTGCATCAATCAATGATTCTGTCTTGGGTGCAGAGCCCCGCTTGGGTGGCACTGGAGGAACTGGCTTGCGCTTGGGAGGCTCTTGTGGCGTCGGCTTGGTCTCAGTCTCCGATGCATTCGAAGGTGTAGCGGCCTGACGCAAAGGGGATTGGGAACTCTTGGCCAGATCGGCAGGCGTAGAAACCATGCGTAGCGCAGATGGTTTATTTGGTTTGGCCGGGCGCGGCCTGGGTGTCGCGGGATGGGTAAGCCCTGCTGGGGGTGGTTGGTCATCGATGATGAGTTCTGTGAGATCAATCAAGTCTTCAAGGTCGAGATCTCTGGGGTCTGGTTCGTGATTTGCGACGGGCACTGTTGATTCAACAGTGGTACCACTTCGAGGTGGTAGCGCCGGTCTGTTGTGAGCGGCATCTGGGAGGTCCACTATATTCGGCGAACTGCGACTGCGCTTAGAGGGATCGAGATGGCCGACAGATTTGTCGAAGAACTTGTGGTTCTCTGTCGTGGTAACATCGCGAATGAAGATACCTAGGATCCGGCCAGGGTTGGCCAATACAATCTCCGTGTAGACCTCCAGATCAGCTTCGCCACTGTCACCGACTAGGATGAACTTGCGTTCAGGGAAGTCTCGCAGGATCTGTTCCAATGCTCCACGCTTTCTCTCCGCGGTGGGCTCAAAGATTCCTTGGAGCATTCCCGAGTAACGTTTGAGATGGAAGGAGCCTGGAGGCAATCCCACCATCTTGAAGTAACGCTCAAGAAGGGGGTAAAGCTGCCAGGGAGCATTCGACACATAGTGGATTTGAACACCCTCCTTGGCTAGTTTCGTGTACCAGTCGCTGACACCTTCAACTGTAAGTTCATCCAACTCACGAATGAAGGTGTTCCGGAACATCTCTTTCGCTCCACCGGCAATAGCCGAGTGCTTCACTGTATCATCGATATCACTGATCAAACTGATCCCAACGGGATCAATAATCTCAATCGGCCTTGCGGCAGAGAGGTCCTCAGAGGCCAGCACCCGAATGTGGGTTGGCACAAATGGAAGTGTTGCGCGAAGGGAGAAATGACCCGATTCATCTGTCGCGACGTTCCGAGACTTGCTCTCATCATCGTTGAAGAAGAAAACAGTGACTGGCATGTTCCCGACAGGGTTTGTCAGGAAAGGACGAAGTCTTTCCATTAGGTGGGAATTCGCCACGGACAATTCATCTTTACTCAATGATGCAGGTAGTTGTTGTGTCCGGTCTTCTTTCGAGCCCTTCCATGCCGGGTCTCCTTCCTCCTCGGCGGTGGCGACCAATGTTTGTATCTCTTTGTCGATGATTTCGTCGTCGCCTTTCCCCGGAATCTTGTCGTCGCTATCATTTGTTGATCCGGTAGGTGCTGGAATCCCACTCAACTTCCTGGCCAGGGCGATCATCAATCGGTGCTTCCGGCTCATCGGTCCCCGACCAGGAGCGTAGATCCAGCCACGCACGTCGACAGCAACAACTGCATCCTCACTATCCGTTGCATCCCAAGCGGATGGAGAAAGCTGGCCATCGTCATCGTTCACACCCCGGTATTCATCGATAGTTTCAGATAACGAGTCACGTCGCGGACGTGTGCTAGCGTCGGCGCCCTTCTTTGGTGACAATTTTCTAGCATAGCTGGGAAATACCACCATCTCTTCGTCGCCGGACCGTGCAATCTCAACGTCTGGAAACGCACCGGGCGTATTGTAGTAATCCTCGTCGTGCTCATTCCTTTGCCCAGCCCATTGTGAGGTATAAGCCTGGCGCAGCTCATTTGCGGCTCTGAAATATTCATAGACCTTCTTTCGGCGGCTACCAGGGGCAGCGGCGCTATCGCCATTACCTGGGGCCCGTGTTGATGAGGGTCCAGACTGAGCCATTGGATCTGTAGATGTTTCTTTCCGTCCGCTGCGGGGCTCTCGAAGCAACTTGTGATGCCTTGTAGCGGGGCTATTACCGGCTACAGTGGATTTTCCCGGCCTTGACCGTTGTCGGGGACCGAGAAGATAAGAAAGAATATTTCCCCTGAATCTGGTATTGCGCGCAGCGATCCGCGCTTGTCGTTTAACGAGCGCTCGGTAGACCCGCGATTGGGCCCGGTGTCGAAGCGCGGGGAGCGTCTCGTGCCGGAGGCCCCAAAGACGGGAGTGGGCTCTTCTGATTGCGTGCCGACCGACGAGAAGATGCAATAGATATGAAAGTTTGCTGGGTCGTGGTTCGCGAGGAAAGGAAGGGAAAAGAGCGGGCGGGCGTCGAAAGAGTGAGGGCCTTGGCCGGAGGATTGGCCAACGGAAACGAGGTTTGGGCGCCAGGATCTCGTGCGTAAGAAAGAACGATGAGAACCAAGATATGAAGAGAGAGGACGAGATCGAGCGATGTCGATGTCGAAAGATGAAAGGGAAATAAGTTGATGCGCGGGGAAAGATCGACCATGACGATGATTATTCGGATCTGGGCTCACCGCGTTCGACGGGGGAACTTGTACGAGAACTTCACCATCTATTGTTTCTAACAAGCCTTTAAATGCTGCTAGCAATTGAAAGGTCTATTCCTATTGAAATGACGCTTATGTACGGTTTGAACTCATGAGAGATACAGTAGAGTAGATAATTTGACATTTCACTCTATAAAACCTGTTTGTTCTTGGTCTATGACCTTGAATTAACGACTTCTACTCTCCGAGGGCTAGAAGAGAGGAAACGAGGTAATCGTACAGACTGATATACAAGACAACCTGCCAATTAGGCACTATCCTCGGTGTAGTTCACTTTCTTCGCACGCGAACTACGCCGGGATAACGATGCTTCCGCTGTTGAAGCCTCTTCGGTTTCTTCAGGTTCTGGGGTGGACTCCACAACCGAAGCCTTGCGCTTCCGCCGAGACCTAGTGGTCGACGGTGGCGTACGTTTCGTGGCCTTGGCTCTCTTCTTGGGTTTTTCTAACTCAATCGGAATATCCTCGGAAACCTCTTCCGCGACATCTTCAGTCTTAGCTTTCTTAGCACCTTTCTTCGGACTTGGTGCGGCTTTAGGCTTGACAATCCTCTTGGCCGGTCGGAGCCATTCCTCCATGCCACGAGGCCAGTAGACTCTGCGGTCTGGTCCACCCATTCCGACTTCTTCTTCTGGGATTCGAGGCGGAGGTACTGAGCCTTCTAAATCCACGAAGCCATTCTTCTTGGTCTTTTTAGGTGTTTTGGGAGGCTGATTTTCATCGGCGCGCATGTAGGGTATGATTTCGTTCACGAGTTCGTAGCCGGGGAGTTTGAAGTTTCTCATCAACTCGAAAACGGCTTGTTCTTTGTCCTTGGCCTCAATCATCAGATCCATGGTAGGTGGACAGGGGGGTAATGTAGCAACGCGGTCACTGTGTTTGCGCCGTTGGCGCGGGGTGATGGCGGCTGCAGTTGGTTCGGAGTAATGCATCTTCTGGGTGATATTTTTCCGAGACCAGGTCGCCGCTATGCGATCGTACAGGGGAATGATATCCTCGGTGCCCTCGCGGAGCTCAGCGGCGTCAAACATGATGTTATGGTGGTGGTAGTCAAGAACAAGAGGGATATTGAGCTCTTCACAAATAGGCAGGAGGTCGTGGACAGTCCAGCTGACATCGTCGTTCTCCAAAACCAATCGATTCTTAATGTCCTGCGATAACATAGCGTAATTCTCGCGGAATCGATCCAGAGTGGCAGCCTTGTCACCAAACACTCCACCCATGTGAAGGATCATGACGGCATCGCGGTCTTGCTGTGGCGGTAATTTGAGTAGTTGCAGTAGCTCTGAGTGATACTCGAGATCGCGGACAGAGCTCTCGATAACCTCTTTCCTCGGTGAGCCAAACTGAGTGAACTGACCGGGGTGAACAGACACCCGATGTCCAAGTTCTGCAATGACTCGACCTGCATCGGCCAGCACCTCTGAGGCGAACGGCGCCAGCTTATAACCATATTCTTTGTGACTGGCAAATGGGAACATCTCACTGCTGAGCCGCATGAACTTGATGCCATATTTGTCGTTCCAGCGAATGATCTTAACCAAATCGCGTGCATTCGCCAAGCCTAGACCCTCGACAAACGCCTGTCCACGTCCAATATCAGCTGGTTGGTCGCGGTCCGGACGATTCTTGGTCGCGTGTGCGGGCTGGTCGGGGTCTGCAAGAGGGTGTCGATTTTCGAGTATAGAGGCAATGCGACACGTTCGAGAACAGAACACGGAGGGTGTAGAATAGCGAAGGTATGTATTGAGGCAGGCCTTTTCATGTCAGTACTCTGAATCACTGGCAGGGGATACACCACGTTGCGCAACTCACATATCCTAATCGCCCTTTCCAGGGAAGGGGAAGGTAGCTGCTATTCACCGGAGGTGGTCGTCCGAGGGCTTCTTTCAGCTCCTCGGCTTCGAGGGGGATGTCCTCGTCTGACTCCGGGTCCAATGCAACTTCAGCCTGACCAGCAGGCACGAGCACATCTTCATTGAGAATGTCCGCTGGACTCGGGTCCAATCCAGACGTTTCAGTCGCCACGGCCATGTCTTCTAAGTCCGAAGGGGTTCGTTCTCTGCCAGTATCTTGTGAGTATGCGCGGACTGGCGCAGATCTGGGCGAAGCAATTGGGCTATTTGTGGCACGCCTATGTGAAGAGCGCAGAAGTCTGGGAGCTGCATGATGAGCATGTATTTGAATTGGAGGAATCGATCGGATTCTCGCCACCGGGACGGATCGATCGGGGATTCTCAATGACGTGTGGCGACCCTGCGGGCCAGCTTCCAAGGAATGGACATGATGGAAAGACAGACCCTGCAGTAGCCGAGCAAAAGACCGCCGACACATTCAGCGGACTTTCGGGAGTCAAAGGAGTGTTGGGGTTTGGAGAAGAAGAAGTTCGCAAGGAGGCGCGGGATGTTCCATGACGCGCTAGTCGACGCGACACATCCGCAGTTCACCTCAGTCCATTACACTACGCAGGCGAGCCCTTCTCCCTACACATCGGTCATGATCAACCTTTGGTGCTCGCTGGACAGCTCCATGTGCTCGAGTCTACTAATTTAGCGGCAGCTGAGATCATTCTTGCCTTGCAGTCTCAAGGCATCATATGCACCGCTCTTCCGCGGTCACTCGTGTGCAGCAAGCTTATGAGGGATCTGCGTATTGATTCAGCTTGAATGAGTTTCGTAATATCATACAGGGGACGTGCCACGCTGATTGTAGGGTCCGCAGTGTCCAGAGTCGATGGAAACACCGGCTGGAGTATAAGCGACCTTCGCTTAGGTCTTCTTATCCCTTGACCTGGCAATAGGGAAGGATATTTAGCGCAGTATAGGACCTGCGCGGGAAGATGCCAGATGGTCTAAGATACGATGATACAATGAGTATTTGTGTGCTCAGCACATTTGTGTACTCGACTTCGACACAGAGACTTGGGCATACGACCGGTCTGTTTGCAAATCTCTTGACAGCTGAAGTCACTCTCAACATCTTCGACGGCCATGCTTATCCGCAGGCACTGCGGTGGCGTTGGAATCGCTATAGTCCACATGGGCACCTGCAGCCTGCTCAGATGGTCCGTTCTAAGATACATACGACGGTGGACAACGAGGGAGGTCAGATATCAGACGAACAGGTATAGCATCCTATGGCATATTATTCTCAACTATCGTGATACCTCGATCATCAATGAAATGTTACGAGAGACGGCGAAGGTGTAGATGTGGCATTGAACACCTTGTTGGGCGACATGTAGCAGTTCGAGTCTTAGGCAGCCATTCTGTCTCCAACTGGTCCTCAATAGAAACCTCGTTTCTCTCGATATAAGGTTGATTCTCCGACAACCTATTGTCTCGTCCTATTGACTGATCCTATTGTCTGATCTCTCTGTTCTGAGCTCTTTGTTCTGTTCTGTTTGCAAATTCTGTTCTCTTTGTTCTGTTCTTATTGTGGGATCTTATTGACTGACCTCTAGAACCCTCAATGGTTCTATTATCTCTCTTCTTCTAAACCCACCTTACTCTAACATCCTCACTCTTTTCTTTCTTGTCTTATCTTGTCTTGCTTCTTTTTCCTTTTTCTCCTCTTCTTCGTGTCTCCTACACAATGAGTGCACCAAGGATCTTCGACAACGAAGTCGATATAGACGAGCTTGTCCCAAAGCTGACTAGCAATGTCGACTGGAAGACCTGGAAGACCAAGCTTTTCCTGGCGCTCCGTGCCATCAACCCTATGTATGCGGAGCTGCTTACTGGCACATGCCCGAAACCTCAATATCCTGAGTTGCAGGATTGCTCTTTCGAGCATGTCAAATCCTCGCTGCTTGCCAATGATAATGACGAGATGCTCGACGACATCACCGACGACATTGTCGAGAAGAGCATCGAGGCGATCCACCACCACAACTCGCAGCTGAAAGCGCAACACCAGGCGGCCGATATCCACTGGGTCACTGCCAACAATCGGGCATTCGAACTGCTGCGCTCCACCCTCGGTTCTGACGCACTCACCATGGTGTCTGACTTCCCCGACCCCCACAGTGCTTACATCCAATTGAAGTTCTATTTCAAATACGAAACCAAAGGGCCTGGCTACAGCAAATGGGAGAAATTGCTCGACATGCCGTTCAAGACCGGCAATTCTCCGATCTTTGTGGAACGTTTCAAGACACTCCTCCGTCGCTACGCTCAGGTTTATCTTTATCGGAAATTGCCTCTCTCCAGAGAGTTTGAATTGTTCAAAATTGCCATCGCCCACAATCCTCAATGGCTCGAATTCTTTCGGAAAGTGAAGGTCAAGGACGAGAAGAACTTTATGCAAAAGGTCTACAACTCGTTTATTTGGTTGGACCTTCGGGAGCTCCGCAGGAAGCGCGCTGCAAAGAAGAAGGCTCGCGAGTCTGCCAGACCTATGCAGCTTGCTTTTCGACCTCGGATCTGAAGTTCATGTATGATCTTTGAATGGCGTTTTCTAGCACATGCATAGTCGGTACATTTTATGTGGTCTGGTGTTTTAATGACTTTACCTTGTGCTAGCACAGGACATCCAATGGTTCGATAGTCTCTTTACCAATTCAAGTAATTACATGGCTCTATCTCCTTTTGATAGATTTCTATTCAGTATGCATAGTACCAAGCCCACGCCTCAAGAGTAATGGTTGCGGGGAAGGTAGCCAACTGGCGAATGTAACCTCATGTGCTACATCTTGTATCTCGCCATGTAGCTACTCTATCAATGAGATGGAATATGCCCTGCAGCCCTTTCTATGCTATGTAAATCAGAACGCTTGATCTACTGCCATATTGAATGTCTAGATGTAGACCTCCAGAGTCCAGACAGTACCAGACTCCGGGATGCTCCACTCCAACTTCTCCACCCACATGAATCTCAAATGAAAATGGACATTATTCAGTAGAGGCTGTAGAGCGTAAACAAAAGAATACCCTAAAATAGTCATGTAGACTTGATGTAGTAGATGCTAGTCCAGTCACGTGGTGGTATTGTGTATGCCGTGTATGCCCGAGATCCACTTTGGTGTCCCAAGTAACCAACTGAGTGCAACTGAGTGCAACTGATTTGTTTTGTCAAGCAAAGACACCTCTCATAACACACACATGTCCCTGGAAACTTGAAATGGCCACATTGCAGAACTCCAAACAGCACCTTAAGAAGTACCTTGAACCCCTCCAGGTTGAGATCGAAACCTTGTACGATTTGTCATGTCGCCTGTCAGCCTCATATAAAAAGTTGGCGGCGGAATCGTCAGAGCACTTTATTCCATCGGCTATTACCTCCCTTCCAACGGGTTATGAAAAGGGACGCTACCTCGCTGTCTATGTCGGTCTGTCCTACCTCCGTGTAGCCTTTATCGACCTACTTGGCGACCAGCATGTCAAGGGACAGGCACGCGTACGCCGCACACTAGAAAAGGCATGGCCTATTGAAGAGCGTCTCCGCAAGGACCAGTCTATTGACCTCTTCACCTGGATTGGAGATTGTATCGCCGAAGTCGTGGCGGATAGACTGGCCAATCCGAATGAGGAGCGGATTGACCAAATAACGACAGGTATTTCCTTTTGTCTCCCTATAAAGTACACAACTATCCTCCCATCTGTTGGCTCTCTGGTTATCTTGTTTCAGCACTAATAAAGTGTAGACAAGATGCCCTTGACGAAGCAATCCTAATGCCAACAGGAAAAGGCTTCTCCCTTAGCTCAGACCTCAATCTCCGCCAGTCATTGTTGAATGGATATGCACGCCACACATATTCCTCCCATGGGGATGAAAATGATGCCGACATGCCTTCTAAACGCCGCAGACTGTTCTCATTGCCGAAGTTGAAAATCGCAGTCATGATCAATGATACAACAGCGACCCTTGCTTCCCTGGCGTACTCCATCCCTTCCCTCCCCAACACCCGCGTGGTCATGGGTCTGATCGTGGGCGCCGGATGCAATACCACAGTGCCTATGAAACTTGCCGAGTTGCATGCGTCCAAGACCAAAAGCATTCTCGAGAAACATCCCGGTGCGCGCGAGACTCTCATCTCCACCGAATGGACTGTTTCCACTGCGGCGGCGTCTTTCGATGAGCTCGGCATTCGCACGAAATGGGATCATCAGCTCGATGATAATTCCAAACGACCGGGGTTCCAGCCGATGGAATATATGGTCGGTGGTGGTTATACGGGAGAGCTTGTTCGCATCATCTGTTACGATTGGTTCCATGGGGTCTTAGGGGTGCAGCGCTCCGAGTTACCGCTCAAGTTGGTCGAGGAATATTCCATGACGACGGAGTACCTGTCGCTTGTCGTCGCGTCTTCTATGTCTGATGAGCGATTGGCCGGTGAATTGTCTAAGAGTCTTCCACCCCCTCCCGAGAGTAATTGGAAATGGTCGTCTGAGTCGGCCCGTGATCTTCGCGCCATTGCTTCCGCAGTGCAAGATCGAGCGGCTTCCCTGGTAGCGTCTGCCGTCGTTGGTCTTTTAGCCTGCACCGACGAAGTCCAATTGTGCAACAAAGCGCACACGGGACCAAGTGAGGTAGACAAGAGTGACGCTCAAGTCACAAACAATACGGACTCTGATGTAGTCTCATCGTCGACGCCTGGTTGGAATAGTGGGCCCGAGGAGCTGGCTGTGGCGTTTTCTGGTGGAGTCATTCAACACTACCCTCACTATAAAGAGAATGTACAGAGATATATCGATCGACTCTTGCTGCGAGCTGGTCCTCAGGCAGGGGGGAAGAGTGTCTTCTTGCGGGAGGCCAGTGACGGCGGGATCATTGGCACTGGTGTTCTGGCAGGGACTGTCTCTGGGGAAATCGGGAAGATCAAGGTTACCAAACGTGCGTCATGGCGAGAATGATATACATGCATAAACAAACAGAGCTAAATCCTCAAATCGCATCGATACAAACTGAATATGAATACCCCTACACCCATAATGGTCCCTCTGTTCTTCCATCCATCCACCCATACAGACAAGACAATCCTTGAAACCTTCCTGGAATGTCATTTTTGTATCAAAGCGAGGGTGTCGTGTCGGAGGAAGGAGGTACAGACACGTCTCAGCACCTTATAAATACCGGATCTCATGCTTTGCTGTCAGATGAACCAGGAGAAGGAGCATGATTTTGTACACAGTATTGACTGACAAAAGCAGAACACGGAATGCGGTAAGGCAGAGAGGAAGACTCGGGCATCTACAACGAATACATGAGACAGAAATGATAGATCGGCATAAAATAAACAAAGCCCTTGTTCTGAACAACCCTGATTGGTGTCCCTGGATCGGGCATGCAGGGGGGTGGGACAGGGGGGTTTTCTCCCAGGTGGGCCCTTAGATAGGGCTTATGAGGGGTTGAAGTCGAGCACCGAGCACTTAAACAGCAAGTATGCCACGGGTAGCCACGGTGTAAGAGGGATTATCGGCGTATATCAAACTGGTTACTGGGGCCCTTCCGAGACATTTCTGACTCTTCTTATAGTTTTCTGACATCATGCCAGAATACCTACACACTTGGCTTTTCGGAGATTAATGCAGCTGGGAATGAAGGAAAACATGGTGTAGTTTCCATTTTTTTTGTCCCTCAGTGCTTGCTTACTGCGTATTGTGTCTGCCATCCAATGCCCCGAGTGTTGGCGATAATTGTCGGGGTCGTATTGACATGTCGATATGGTATGGCTGAATAAGATATGCTGAGTGCATGTACAAAGATTGATCTGCGAATATCTACCTCCAGTCAACTATGTACAGCCTGGGAAGAAGAGGTGCTAAACACCTGCGGGATTTCACTACATTACCACATAAGCTGGAGAATCTCTGCTAGTTATTTGAGTACATTCTTCACGTTGCGGAGGGCCTCCGATCTGTCGTATGGGAAAAGAAACAACATGTGGGCATCTGCCATTCCTCTGCGGAGGTATGTGGAATGTTATGGAGTTCAGGTGTATTTATACTAACTGATAGCGACCAGAGGTTCAGTTCCCTTTACTCCTGAAAATATTAGCCACTGGTGGTTAAGTCTTTGGCACATTGAAGGATCTATATAAAAAAGAAACGCAAATACAGTATGTCATGCTCTGCTTCGTTCCTTCCTGGATATGCAGGTACCATATACCACATCAGACAAGACTGACAATCACCCAGAAACACAATTACAATCACATCCAATATCACAATGAAAGCCTTTATTCTTTCCGGTCTTCTGGCCGCCACTGTCTCTGCTCACATGCAATTGAGCAGTCCATACCCTATCCGCAGTCCCCTGAACAAGGACGCCAAGGGCGAGAAGGACTATTCTTATACCAACCCCCTCTCCAGCTCCGGCAGCGACTACCCATGCAAAGGCTACGCCAACGATGACTTCGAGGCCGTCGCGACGTGGGCGCCAGGCTCCTCACAGGAGATGCAACTGGAAGGCAGCGCCACCCACGACGGAGGTTCCTGTCAGCTGGCTCTGACCTACGATAAAGGCAAGACCTTCAAGGTCATCGAGTCAATCGAGGGCGACTGTCCCATCGCCAAGAAATACAAGTTCGAAGTCCCCTCCGACGCACCGGCCGGTGATGCCCTCTTCGCCTGGACCTGGTTCAACAAGGTTGGCAATCGTGAGATGTACATGAACTGCGCTATGGTCAGCATCGGTGGCTCCGGCAACCGGAATACCACTCAAAGCACCGAGGACAGGAAGGTCAAGATGGCACCCAAGCACAAGGTCGACGAAAAGCATGAGGCATCGTCTGATGAGAAGCAGCCCGCCCCCAAGGCCCATGATCATAAGGATACCAAGAAGACGAAGAACGCCAAGACCAGCTTCGATAGTCTGCCTGAACTATTCGTTGCCAACGTCAACCAGGCTGGAAAGTGTGTTACGATCGAGGGCCAGGCTGTCCACTTCCCCAAGCCAGGCCCTAACCTCGTCGGTAAGGCTGAGGGTAAGGGTTACAAGTGCTCGGGCAATGCTCCTTTTCTCGATAGCGACGGTGCCTCCAACTCGACCAACTCGACCAACTCAACCAACACCACCAACACTAGCAAGAAGATTTCTAAAGTCGCTCAGGCTTTCGGTACGGCCCCTGCTACCGCTGACACTCGCGTCCTCGTCGAGGCCTCGACCAACAACCCGTTCAGCGACTATGTCGGTCGGTTCCGCTGCCAGTCCGGTGAGCTGATCTGCTCGCCTGATGGGTCCTCCTTTGCCATGTGCACTCACGGCAAGCCTGTCTTCATGGGCCCTGTCGCTGCTGGTACTGTGTGCCGCTGGGGTACTATCGTTGCTGCCCACTAAACTGCTTCTTTCTCCTTCTCTTTTTCTTCCTTTTCTTTGCTCTTATTCCACCTTTTTCTCTTTCTTCGGTACGCACAGTGGATCTCGAAGGTATAGAAGTTCATGAGTCGTCGGATTTTGGAGGTTGCTTCCCCTTTAGCCCAGGTTGGGCGCTGTGTATTGGTTTTTCTTTCTTCCTATGACCTGTTAAGCGATGACCCAGTTGATGTCCCTATACCGTTGGTATTGGTCATGTCGACTCACCTAATGATGTATGTTAATTGCATTCTGATCCTAACCTATCATCTTTACAAATTTGAAATTCCGTACATCTCAGTAGAAATAATTCCCCGGTTTGGCAGGATAGCTTTGTGTCGTATATACCTACTTCTCACTGAGCTTAGGTTAGGATACGGGCAGACCGTAAAACTACTAATATCCAGATTATACCTACTGAGGTAGGTAGTGCACCCGCCGTCAGATATATATCACGCCCGGCTCTCAACCTACCTGGAAACAACCGGTTGGAAGCTGGCTTGACTACTAGTTACATTGACATAAATCAGTTTTTGTAAACAGTAATGTCATCAACTGTGATAAATGACATCAACCCATGTGCTCCCACAGGCGGACATATCGCCACATCGCGACGCATGCGGAAAGTGGAAGAGGTTGAATGCTGTTACACCAGGAACAGGAAATTCAGACTCAGACCTCTGACTACTATTAACTCTACTTGTGCGAGTTTAGTCACGTAGACGTCGTATAAGTCAATAATTAATATTATTTGAGACCAGCCAGTCCCGCAAAACCCTATGCTCGCCAGACAACCCCCCATTTTATACACAGTCTAATCACATAGCAGTTGGTATCCTGGCTCTCGAAAACATAAAAAGGGTTCATATAATCATCGATGCATCGAGCACCAGTTCATCTCCAGGCATCCAATAGAAACCTGGAGTCCCTCCTAATCACAGAACAGCAAGTCTCAATCCCTACACTGGAGAACTTAGATGTTACCAGTGTAGGCCGAGTTACCGTAGCCATAGCCACCGCCAGACGGGGCGACGGCAGGGGCACCGCTGGCAGTAGTGTTCTTGTTCTTGCCCCAGGATCCAAACCATCCCTTTTCGGACTTGGGCTCGGCGCCCATCTCGACGTCTTGAGGAGTCGGGTGGCCGGGGAGAGCGTCGGCGCCGCCGGAGGCTTCGGGGCTGTTCTTGTTACGGCGCCAGAAGGCTTTGCGGCTGCCGTAGGTGTAGCCGTTGTTGGGGGAGGGACCGAAACGCTTCTCGCGCTTGTGGTGACGGGCTAGGAGGACTTGGAAGAGGATGGAGGTCAGGTAGAAGAAGCTGGGTGATTTGTTAATTTCTTTTTTCTTTTTCTTTCCTTCTCTTTCCCGTGGGAGGGATAGAATGATGTTGCCGGGTTGAGGGATACTCACATTCCAATAATTGCCACGGCAAAAACAACCTTCTCGAGCCTGCAGGTCATTCTGAAACTCAGGCCCCTGGAGAAGGTGTCGTCTCTGGCATTACCCGTGCCTAGTGGTGTGTCCACGACGCCTCGGCACCGGCTGACACCGCTGCGGGTGAGAATGGCGATGGCGACCATCGCGCCGACGAAGCATACGTCAAGGAAGACACCCAGGAAGGCGAAGAAGGCCACGCCGCCCAGACAGCAGGTGAAGATGATGCCAAGCAAGCTATAGGCCGTTGCTGCACCTGCCAAGCCTGTAACGGCCTTGACCCATGTGGCGATATGTTGGCCGTGCCTGGAGAGAATAGCCAGGAAGTAGGAGAAGATGCCGAGAATAACGGCCGCATCGAGGAACTGCAGGACGCGCAGTCCCAGGTTGAAGAATCGGAGGACTACGCCGCCGACTCCCATTTTTGTATATAATGTGAAGCCTTTTCTTTTCTCTTTCTTTTTGGCTGTTTATATGTCGTGGCTGTAGATTTCGTGGGTTGTAGTAACGAGCGCGAGGTCCAGGGTGGAAAATGAATATATGAAGGAGACTCAGGCAACAGGATTTGGGCGAGTTATAAAGGAAAGGCAATTTTGATGATCAGTGGATGGCGTACGATTGTCCTCGTCGATCGAGGCTGAAAGCTCCCAGCTTAATGGCCAAATGCGTCTGCGCCACACTCTAATTGTTTGGCGGGCCCACATTCTGATGTAATTTCCACGGTCGATCGTTTCCACCTTACTGTGTCTGGTTAGTGGCTGAGAATTAGGGTTGTGTGATTCGACAATGCACCCCGCCACCGCATGTGAAGAAGAAAAATGGGAAAAAGAACGATGAAAAGTTTAAGTCACCCAGCCACACTTACCATTCTCGTGATCCTTACTTACACTTTGCGTGCAATTCTATTCTTGTAGACTGTTAACTTTCAGTACTTCCTATGGCTGCCTAGCTCCAGCCACATCCGGATTCTATTGTCAATCAATGGTGGTAGGTGGTGGCAGGGGTACTATTACTCCGTACTGGGAATAGATTTAGAGCTTCAATAGAATGGAACTAGAGGCTTAGACGTGGTTAAATGTGGCTGATATTCCCAAGCGTAACACTGAGCTGATTGCACAATACATCACCCCGGCCGACACCTTAGGGCTATCTATGTATTGAATGAGGAACATACTGTGTACTGTGTACGCAGTCGTTGCCCACAATGTACCCGCCACGTTCTGCCCAGGTGATGACGTCCGAACCCACCCGTTCTACCGGGTCTTGTGCGCCACCCTCCACCCGTGGGTCCGCGGTACGGCATTGACAGGTACGGGAAAGTAGTAAGGCAATTGGAAATTGCATGGAGACTGACATTGAATTCTCAATTCATAGCTACCGAATGAAGATACCGAGAGCGCCTTCATAAATCGTCATAGGACTGAAACTGGTGGTGCAAGCAGCCTTCGTAAGTCGAGCCTGGCTGAGATGAAGGTTGCGAGGTGGCAGGGTCTCGGGCTAGCTGGCATCGTTCAGATCATTTTGGAGGACATGCTGTTGGATGAAAATCATTCACGGGTGTCTGGATCGGTCTGAACAAGGGATCCGTGGGGAAGACGTTTCGCACCCCATAGGTCGGCAAAACAATATCAATACCGAGCAGCAGATGCTATGGTCTGTGAAAGACCGACATTTGAGAATCTCCTGGCAGTCACGTCAAAGGCTTGACCACAATATCAGGTAACAGCCTTATCGTGGGATTCGAGGCTCGGACATTGTTTGAGCAATGCACCCTTCTTGGGAACCTAGCGTTCTATCTTCACTTCTTGCTTCCGTGGTTTCGAGCTAACACAGTCCCCAGCAGTGTTCACGGCAGCCGAGGTTGCCAAAAAGTCTCACAAATCAGCGATCAGGACTCCTCCTGGCGTTCTTTTTCTTTTTCTTGCTCAACGAAAGCACGAAGAATGGAATCGAGTCCTTCATTGCGGCGAGCAAGCAGCATCACATCTGACAAGTTGACCGTAGATCGACCTGCATGTCTGCACTCGAAAGATCCGGTTAGTGTGAGTCTTGCTAGAAGGGATCACCCCCTAGATAAGTAGGAACAAGTCCCGACTCCAATTGCAGCAATAGTGCCAACTTACTTAGCAAAGGATTCGAGATCCTGGCTGATAGTTTCTGCGAAGCGTCAACACAATAGCAAAAAGGATAGAAAATATAGTCAGACATACCTATCTGGGCCCAGACCATCTCTGTCAATGCACCGATGAACTGCGGTGTGGCATTCACACCGAGCTTGATGGTCTCCTCATCTACGATTTTGCCGATAGACAGCCACAACGCGGATTTAAGGCGCTATAGAAAACGAAATTAGCAAGCCTCACCCAAATCAGACTCCCTCACTGACCTCTTCTAAACTAGCCTCTTCGGTCTGCTCCATGGTGATGGAAAACAGAAGACCACAACGTCTCACGCGTCTACTGCGTAAACCCAATGGAGAGCTGATTGGCCAACGACGCGTCCACGGAACAACGGCTAATCCGGCACAGACCACGCTAACCCAAACAGACAACTCTCATTTTGCGGGAGCGGCGGAATTGCGAAGAAGCGTAAAGCAAAGCAGATCCTGCCTTTGATCATTTTTTTTTTACTCCTCGAGTCTACCTTCAATTACTGCTGTCCTCTTCCACACACACACCCCCATTGACCCTACTTCACGAGAAGTGAGGAACCTCCGACCTCCTTCCTCATCAGCAATACCAAAAACATTCAAACATAAATTGGCGAATTGAACAACCTATCCACCATGTCAACGCCCAGTCCAGATCTCAGCGAAGCAGCCTCTGCCGCAGCCGAAGACTTCTTCGTCCAAATCTACGAATTCTTCGAGCTGATAATCACACGCTTCTTCAAAAATGGCTACGCCTCCATCGCGCAGATGAGCGGCAAACGCTGGACAAAAGTCATCGGCAGCGTGGTTTTCTACCTCATCATCCGGCCGTATATCGAGAAACTCTTCAAATGGATGCATGATCGCGACCGTCGCAAGGAGAAGGAAAAGCGCGACAAGGAGAGAGCGCAGTTCGGCAAGGTCAAGATGACGGCTAACTCGCTGCGGCCTGGTGCGGATGATAAGGGGAAGGTGCTTGGGGAGGTGGAGAACACGGATGATGAGTTGGAGGATGAGGAGGATATCATGGCGGCTGCTAGTGGGGTTCCGGAGTGGAATAAGATGGCGCGCAGGAGGCAGAAGAATTATATTAAGAGTGTTAAGAAGGATCAGCGCGCGGAGGATCTGAGTCGGGATCAGATTATGGAGTTGTTGGATTGGAGTGAGGATGAGGTTGTTGATGAGAAGACTAAGAAGGAGCTGTGATCGGTCTTGGGTGTGCATTGCATGGTTGGGGGTTGCATTCTTGTTCTTTGTACTTTGTACTTTTATTAATAGATTAATAGGACCTCGGTCTTTTGGCTCTGACTGGAAATAGTTGCTAGGTATGATTCCTGATCCCAAGTTGGGTCTCAACCGTTGCATGTCACGTATACACAGTACTTGAAAGTCATGAAGATTCTATGTGTAGTTGAACATGCATCCCAAACATTAGTTCAAGTCTTCATCCTAACCCGTAGAAACAATCCATCGCATCTTATAATCATGAGCAATTCGTAAAACGTCGCCGCAGAAATCAGTGCAGTCTCCGTAAGGCCTCGATCGTTGCCTTGACCTCCTCCACGTCGGAACCAATCTCCTGCACGATCTCCTCTTGCATGCTTGGCGAGCATTTCAAGAACTCTTCAATAAGCTCGCCGTCCACGAAACGGTACGGCGCATCAGAGGTGCGTACCATAGTCCTGAATCCGCGGAACTTGTTGAAGGGCAAGTTACCCAAGGACTCGACTTTCTCGGAGATAACGGCCTGCAGGGTCATTAGGAAGTCCTGGTGTTCGGGTCCGATAACAGCGAAGAGGTAGATGGAGCCCTCGACCTGGAAGTCAATTAGCATTGTCTCCAAGTCATGTAAATCAAGAGTCAAGGACTTACTGTTGCCATGAACGCCCGCGGTGTTACAGTCAAACTGGAAAGCTGGGGAATACTGATTGGTCGAATCCGATTGACCATCTCACCCAGCGATATCTCGCTGGTAGGGACGAGCCTGTGCTTGTCCTGCGCGGTGACGCCATTCATGTTCTGTGATAGAACGATGAGGTTACCCTCGGCGTCGCTCTGGAGGAACGTCTCGTCTCCAACGCAGGCAACCGCTGTGCTCCAGACGGTTTGGTAGTGACGGCCGACTTCGGTCAGCTTGGCCGGCTCGCCCGCTTGGCCTGGGGTATATTTAACAAGGCAGAGGCTCTTCATCAGATCTGCCACCGCGATCAGATTGTCGACGACTGTGACATCGACCGGCGCAGTGGAGGTCCGATATGCAGCGAGCTTCTCGAGCTTCATCGGCCCAACGTTGTTAGTTTTAATCTGGTATACGACCACCTGAATGTTGTCAGTAGAGTCTCTAAATATATGGTTGACTGATACTCACGGTCTTGACGAGTGCCGCAACAACACAACCGCCCATCATAGCTAGAGCACGACAGGCGCCCTTGACCGGCAGCTCGGCCACTTGGCTCAGCTTACGGCCGTGATCGACTTCCAGAATGAGGATCCGCCCGCGGATAGATTCCTCCCGCTCCTCGTCTGAGAATGCCGTGCCGACAATGAACCGGTCCTTCGTAATGTCTTTTCCATCCTCATCTTTCCCGGCAGGAAGCTCTGCGCGAACAACACTCTCCACGAGTTCGTCAGGTTTCAGTTCTAGCGCATCAAGGCGCCGGAACATGATCTCGTCAGCGAGGACAAATTGGCTCTTGATAACTTCCACGCCACCTTCGAGCTTGCGGTCTATCGTGCCGATCCCAAACGCCTTTTCAGACGGGGAGTAGGCAACACGACGGACAGTTGAACCCATCGGTAGCGTTTGGATTTGGGTTGTGCGCTCTTTATCAACCAGCGCGATCTTCAGCTCCTTCTCAGTCGCCACAGCGATGGAATCTGGAAACGCCTCTGTGTTCAAATGGCATATCCGTGATGGACCCTCGGAGTTCACTGCTGAGTAGATGATCCGCCCTTCGGAGCCGTATATCAAGCTAGGGTTCTCGCAAGTAGCGAAGACATTGTATAAGCCGTTGCCTTTGGGGAGCTTCTTGAATGTGGGTTGTTCGGAACCAAGAATCAACTTGTGCATCTTGCTTAGGGAATAGTCTTGTGTGTACAGCGAGAAGGTGATGACAGAACCATCAGCCATCGAGATGAAAAGGGTAGGTTCGGCGTCTGCGAGCACTTCAGCCACGAGAACTGACCGAGGGAAGCTCTCCCCCGTAGGACCGAGGGATTCTCTCCAAAGGACCAAAAAATCCTCAATAGTCACTATTGACACCTGTGCGGACTGAGGGAATCCGGCGATGAAGACGCCCGTTGGCGTTGAGGGAACAGTCAAGCCAGAAATTTGCTGGTCAGCGCCGAAGTCTTTATCTGCGATGAGGCGAGGATCGCCGCTGATATCAAATGACAGCACGACCTGCCCACTAACAACAAGGACGAGGTGCTCCTCGTTAGCTGATGCGGCAGTGATCAACTTCTGGCTCGGAGGTGCCCATTCAAAGGTTACCATTTCGCTTTCAGTATCAGCGACCAACACTTGTCGGTCTGTGACTTGAAGAATACGGTCACCCTGCAGTCTTGTAACCAGGAGAGTGCTTTCCGTGAGTGATAGTCCCAGGAAGTGATCCACTTCCTCAACTTCACCATCGGGGCTAAACTGGAACACGCGTGTTTCGTCAACAAATGTGACGATCAGTGTATCCAGGAAGTCGCTGCCGCTTCGAGTCTGCAATCCCCAGAGATCAGTGATGTGCTCCATCTCGCCCAACACACCTAGCTCCTCCATGCCGACACCACTGCGCACGCTGCGCAAAGTCCCATCGTCAAAGGCTCCAGAGCCCGTCACTACTCGAGCTTGTCCGGACGAAAACTCATGTGTCTGACTCTCATTCGTGCGGTTCCCAAGGTCCATGATAGTGAAGTCGAGGATAGGTGCGATGTTCGACAAGGTTTGAATGACCTCGAACGAGCTTCCATCAAGCCGCAGCACCTGTGAGTCGCCGTGATGCGAGCCGACAAACAACATGCCTCCGCCGAGGTAGACTAACACCGATGCACGAGCTGTCTTGCCCAAATACTCGAGCTTCCAGTCATCAATCCCGCCCTGGTTGTTCAAAATGAACGATAAAAAGAACAACCTCCCATAGTCGTCAGCCAACAGCCACCGCTGACTATCGACCTTCTCCCAGGCCACAAAGACCGTTGCCTCGTCCAGGTTCCGCGTGATCACATCATTTGCATTATCGTCGATATACTTGATAGACGTCTCCCCGAGCACGATCAGACCGCCCAGCGGTGCCGGAATGGGAATTAGATGCGATGAGCCGAGATCAAGCTCCTGTCCAAATTCACCCCCGTCCAGCTTCTGCACCTCCTTAAAAGTAGCATCCGCCAAAGTCCCCGCAGTGCCAGGTGTGAAATCCAACTCGCGAACCCGCAACCGCACCTTCTGCTGGTTATCCTCGTACAGCAATGCAAACCAGGGATTAGACTCTGAATGCAGAAACGCCGAATCCCGAACGAAAAGCTCATCAATCCGGGATGTGGTCGGCTTATCCAGTTCTCCCACCTGCAGCGGCAGATCAGCCTGGGCTCCGGCCGTCGACATCCGCCCTCGCTTCTTCGTCGGCTGCACAATCGGCACAACCACTATCACCCCCTCGTATACTTCCAGTGTCATGAACCGCCCCGTGGGGTCAATCAAACACCGCGGTGCGCATTGAGACTCCCGGGACGAGGGCTCGGAGATGTCGACGTAGCTGCGTGCGGTTTTGATCTGCTCTATCTTGCGGTCCCACGTTATTGTAAAGTAGTTGTATTGATCTGTGCCGACGAAGAGATGGTCTGTTGGCGAGTTCGCTGGGGCGGGTAGCCGCGCCAGCATGGTCACCCGCGCATACAGGGCGCGAGTCGCGGTGAGAACGATTCCATCGGGCGTGACTGTGTAGAACTCGAGATGGCTGGCTTTTCTAGTTGTTCGCAGGAGGAGTTAGTTATGATGCTCATTCATTGTTGGAGAGGTTTTCCCGTGGCCTCCGCGAGGGAATGTGACTCACGCTGCTACTAGGCACTCTTCTTCCGGGGCGAAGAAGTTGAGTTTGACTGCATGGCGGATGCTGCTCGCCCGGTGGATGGGCACGACGTAGGCCATCGTGATGGTTCAACTACCGCGGTATCTGACGCGGAGCTTGCGGAGCTGGAGCTTCGGTGCACCGCCCTGCGGGGATGGAATCTGCCGAGGATATGAATTTGGGATTGGGGTATCAGTGCTAGGCTGGTTTATGAATTGCGCATGTCAATGTCAGCTCATTTACACAGTAAGGATTTGCTCGGTCGGGGTGGGGATATGAGAGTCGAGGTTCCCGTGTAAATGACGTTTTTAAGTCCGCGCTTACAACCGAAAGCATCCAGACCCGGTCATTGGTGTTCTGATACTTGCAAAGGTTACTTACTATCATATAGTTATCATACACAGTAGGAACTACGATCCCTTCAGACTTAAGAGAGAAGTAATTTTGAATTCCTATAGATTCACAAGTCTAAGTCATACCACGCCCAGGTGGTGCTCCCCAATCCAAAGCTGAGAGCTCAACATGAGGCCAATGCTAACGATACATGCATAGGGAATAAAACAAAAATAGCGTCGATCATATTTAAGTATATGTCCGATCAGGCTAGGTGCAAGAGCAAGTGTTCATTAATCATGAAATCATGACCAGACATCCTCCTGGTAGCTGCCGCTGCTGCGCATGTGCTTGACCATCTCCTCGCCCTTCTCGGCGGGCAAGCCCCGCTGCTCGGCAATGATGTGGCCAAGCACCAGGTTGACCTCGCGTGCCATGTTGGCGGCATCACCGCAGACGTAGAAGTTGGCCTTCTGCTTCAGCAGCTCACTGACAAGTTCGGCGTTTTCCTTGAGACGGTGCTGGACGTAAACCTTCTGGGGTCCCTCGCGGGAGAAGGCAGTGATGATCTTCAGAGAATCGCCCATCTGATCTTGGTAGGTCTGAGATGATCATGTTAGCATGGTCCGGTCAGGAGAATGAAGAATTGATCTACGTACCTTGAACTCATCCTTGTAGATGTAATCCTCATCGCTCTTACGGCATCCAAAGAACAAAACCGTTGTGCCGACCTTCTCTCCCTTGGCAGCAAGAGCAGCGCGTTCCTGGATGAAACCACGGAAAGGTGCGACACCAGTGCCGGGACCAACCATGATGATGGGCTTGGACGGGTCGGAGGGTAGCTTGAAGTTGGAGTGGCGAATGTGAACAGGCACGTGGATACCATCGTACTTGTTGCGAGGTCCGGTGATCGCGTAAGTCAGGCCGTGGGGATCGGGAGAGGGGTCACCGTTCTGCTTCTGCTTGAGAGCCAGGAGGTAGTTGGTGGTGACACCCTTGACCATGTGCGAGGCACCGGGCAGACGAACAGACTCGACAACAGCAGTGATGCTGACCTTATCCTTTTGAACCTGAGACGACGAAGAGATGGAGTAGTACCGGGGCTGGAGCTTGTTGACACTCTCAATGAGAAGCGAGAAGGGAACGGCAGAGAATGGCTTGGAAGTGATGCTTTGGAGAGCCTGACCAATGTTGAAGCGCTGGTTGGTGATCTTCTCGTGGAAGTAATCCTTATCATTACCGAGGCGGATGATCTCAGCCTTGGTCTCCTCATCGGGAGCGAAGGCAGCGAGGGAGGAGACGAATTGACGAGAAACCGGAGCGCACACTTCCATGTAGTAACGGACAGCAGCGTCATAGGTAGTGGGAGTCGGGATGGGAACCTTGGCAGTCACATCGATACTCTTGACGTTGATCACAGAGTGGCGCTTGTCCTCAAGACCAAAGACCTGAAGGAAGCGATCAACCTCGACGCCAGCGTTGGTGGGCCAGATAGCGATGTGGTCACCAGTCTGGTAGCTGAGGTTGCTACCAGCGAGGCTAATTTCCATGTGCAGGCAGTTACGGTCCTTGACAGTGAACAGTTCGGAGGATTCGACAATGGGGGCAATGTACGGGTTGTGCGCGGAGTAGGGACCCTTAGCACGTCCCTCACGGTGGGCAGCAGTGGGTTCACCCAGGTAGACGGACTCATCCTCGGGGGTTTTCTCATCCTCCTCAACGACGGAGAAGACGGCTTCGTAGACAGCTTCACGTTCCTGGAGATCCATGGCCTCAGTCAAAGCAGCCCACATGGGCTCCTTCCAGGCCAGGAAATCCTCTTCCATAGTTCCAGCGCCATCATCACCCTCACCGGCAGTTCCAATGCGCTTTGCACCGAGTTTGGTCAAGGCAGTATCGACCTGGCGGACCATAGCGTTGTAGTGCTCATAAGTGTTGTTACCCAGACCGAATGCGACATACTTCAGAGAGGACAAGGGCTGGTCGTCGGCGGAGGCACCGCTCTCAAAGGCCACGTCGTCACCGGTGAAGAATTGGTAGAACTCAACGGCGTTGTCGGTGGGTTCACCCTCGCCGTAGGTAGCCAGCACAAAGAATGCGATCTTGTCCTCAGGGAATGTGTCCAGGTTGTCGTAATCGTAGTCCTCAATGTCGGCCACCATAGTCTTCAAGCCGAAACGCTGGTGACCTTCCTTAGCCAATCGAGAAGCATAATCTTCCGCAGTACCAGTCTGAGATCCGTAGAAAATCACACAGTTCTTGTTTGTCTCCTCCATCTTCTCCACGATGTTGCGTGTTTTGCCAGCTTTGGCGGCTCCGTTCAGGGTAGCCGGTGAGGAGGCATACGGGTCTTTTGCAACAGCCCAGTAGCTTCCCTTGGTGAAGTAGGCAACGCTACCCACCAAGAGAGCCACCAAGACGACCAAATCGAGTGTGTCCAGTTGCGCCATTACGGTGCGTGTGGTCGCGGAAGCAGGGGGTTGTGGGGAGGAGGGCGTCGCGAATTCCCGCCGGGGGGAGGTTTACTGTAAGTTCCGGGACTGAGAACGAGTATAACAATCGAGAAAGTAGGTCAAAATAGTCCCAATGATCCCCAGGGAAGACCTCTAAATGATAAGAGAAAAAGAGAAGAAGGCGACAGGTGGTCTGATCCACCCAATCCTGGCTCCCGGACTTTCTGTGGATCTTCACGGGCGAATCTTCGGCCTTCACCGCTGTCTGCTTACGTTGGACTTGCAGGCCTCGGTGACTCAAAGTGTAGGCATATAGACGGGGATAAATGAATAGAGGCAGAATTGAAGAAAGTTAAGAAGTTAAGAAGAAAGTATTGAAACAGAAAAGAAAAATCCCGGCCGAATCTCCCCAGGTCTTCCCCGGTAGTTGTTATATATGAGTCCCATGCGAATGTGGGGAATGACCGAGGGGAAGCACGCTCATCGGAAGGGAAATCGGCGCCTCTACCATGGGCACTATGTTTCTACGTTAGGCTCTCCCCCACGGCAATCCCGACATCTGTTCGCCTTGTCAAGTGTGAAATGGCGAGGCGGAGCTCGGGTAAGTTGAAAGGCGGCAAGTCGGGCGGGAGATAACATCTGAAGACTTCCCTGGCTCTCAATATGACTGGCTACCAGTTGAATTCGACTCCATTCTTCCATGGTGGCCGGAACTAAGCGATCATTGACAGCGCTTTCCTTTCTCTGGCTCCTGCCAGTGCGGAATACTTTCCGCCCTTTGCCGTCCTTTCCATTTCCCCATATTAACTGCTTGTTCTCTCCAGTCTCCATGGAATATGGCACCTCTCATGCATAGATCGAGCAGATCGAGCTAGAGGTCTCCCGATCGTGGCATCTTGCCTGTTTCAGCTCTCGGATCCCGGCTCTGTCATGACATGCGGGGAAGATCATCCAGGTCATAGTTATAACGTGCACATGCGCAGTCGATCATATTCGAACTCTCAAGTGAACGTGCTGCCGTGTTGCATCAGCCTCGGTACGCTTGGCCTTAGACTTTCTAATTGTTAGGAAGATGAGAATGTGAGAATGTGAGAATATATGTCCTGACTTATGTAGGCTGTCCTGTGACAGAAGGAAATACTGTGTTAGTACCTATGCCAAGGTTATGGCCATTCAAAGCTTCATTCCTTGGAAGGTTGTCTATGTTGCCATTTAAGGTTAACCCATGAATCAGGTGCCCGCTGCCCGTGAGCCTGTGATATATCGCCCCATATTATAGCAAAGGTCTCATATTGGTAACGGAAGCATATTCTCCTATACCTTCCCTAAGACCTTGGAAGTTACTCCGCATTATAGGTAACTGAGGGAGGTCTCAGCTGGAGGCATAGACCAGTGAGGACCAGAGCCTCTTCGTATGGCTACTCAGACACCATGAGGAGGGTTCCGGGTTCCATACGGGAACATCTAGACCTCACCATCAACCAAGATATTAAGCCTGGACCTGACCTCGAGGACTATGAAGTTCCAACCTAGTGGCTGAACAAATATCAATACTGCGACTTGTGCACATGCATCCAGGCACCATATCCACGCCGGGCTAGTCAGATACCTATACGACGCCAAACCTCATAACCGTCTCTCCCCGAGCCTCCATATGGGAGCAGCTTGTAGACATCTGTTTCAAAGAATAACCGGAGTCTCAGTTTACCACGCTCGGCACTTGGAACAGTTTTGATCGGTTTTGTGCCTTACATCGAAGCCGTGGTTCGTAGGTCGTTGTACGAGCTACCATGTCCTTTGTGTGAGAATAATCTTTACTCAAAAGAGGGTAAAGAGACGATTGAATCAGCGATAGGTTGTTCAAACACCTTTCTTTGCGTGGTAACTAAGAACAGAAGTAACTAAACAGAGAGAAGATCAACGACTCACCTATACCGTGAGGCTCTGAGGAGCCAAGACTCATCTTGGCAGCAGTGCCCAACCGGCCTGGAGGAAGTACTCAGTAGAAAGGAGGAAATTGAAACAGTTATGGATGTCGAGACCGTTGTAGAAATTGAGATATAGGCACTTCTAGGAATTCAAGAAGTCGACCAATATGAGGCTTAATAATTATGATTGATCCCTTTCTTTGGGACCCGTGCACCCGATAAAATCAACCAGCTCTCTCACCTCCATAGCCCAACACCCCCTTCGAGAATTGGCTATGTGCAGCTTACATCTTGCTTCTATCTTTGACACTGCTTGCAGGTCTTTCGAGCAATGAGGTACTGGTGAACTCCAACAGTAAGTCATTCTGAAACGCGCCCCTCAACCTTCCCTATCGGAGCAAACGGACTCGGTCTGACATTTAATCTCAAACCCCCAGTGGCTTCAAACCCTGCCAAAGTTGGCCCAGGCCAGCAAACAGCGCTGCCCCTCATCACCGACGACCTCAAGCCCACACCACATAACCTCGCATCCCCATCGGAACGCCGAGGGACCAGAACCGCCCAATCCACTCCTTTGCACAGTCGCGAATCTTCCGCCGTTCGAGGAAGAACAGTCGACCCCTCGACTCTCGCCCCTATTCAACCCCGACGCGGCCATTCCGGTTCCAAAAGCCCTGACGTGCCAGGCGTCCGCCCCCCGGGATATGAAGTGGGACTAGAAAGACGACCCTCCAACTCGTATGGTCATCATCGACAGACCTCTATCGTACACGGCGTGCAGCATTCGCGAAATACGAGCATGGCCGGTTCGACATCTTCCACAAGTCCATTGAGCCCCGAGCTTATTGCTTCCCTAGGTCGCGGGGCCTTTGACGAAGCGACCCTTCCTGCGAAAATCGACCCTGTCGATACACACTCTGGCTACTCGACACCATCCGGGCTATCCGCCGGCCATGGACTGCCGCCGACCCTGAGTACGATCCAGGACAATGACATGGAAACGAGGGATGTGAGCCCCGCCGCACTGCTTCACAAGCGAATGGGCTCTGGAGGAAAATCGAAGCGCGAGCGGTCACATAGTCGGTCACAGTCTAAGCACCACCCGGAGCTGAAGACTGTCGCGGAATTCGCATTGCATCATTTGTTCAACTCCTTTGTTGGTCAGGCGGACAGCAAGATCAACCAGGCCATCGCGAAGCTGGGGGAGTCCGAGTCTCCCGTGGAGGAGGTCTGTGGTCCCGGAGCAGATGCCACGTTCGATCAATTGATATCAGCTTTGGGACATATTGCGCGACAGAAGCCGAAGCCTTTGATCGATACTATAATGTACTGGCGTAAGGCCAAAGGAGATGCTGCCATCACGGCCAGACAGATGGCGAGTGAGCCAAGGCCGACGCCTGCGGCAACAGAGAATGGACCCCTCTTGCGCCGCAATACCGAACCGACACAATATGCAGATCCTGCTGCTGCTGCGGAACGGGCGCAGCAGTCTACGCCCTACCACGGTCGTCCTGAAGATGTTGTGCTGGTAGAGCGACGTGCAACGGTTTCGGTATACTTAGTCTGTCGAGTCTTGATTGAGATTTTCCATCAGAGTAGCCTGGCTTCAATCACATTGGAGATGGCAGACCGCCTGGAAGACATTGTGTTCGGCCAGGTGAAAACTTCTGATCCGGACCAGATCTCGGCGTCGCCTCTGCGGATGGCTAACTGGAGAATATATGGCCAGTTGCTGGGTATCATGAGTGAATCAAACTTCTCAGGCGTTGCTGGTCGTTACCTATCGGAACTCGAACGGTATCAGAATGAAGCCTATCAGAAGCCATCCCGCGACGGCGACTCAAAGGCGGAATTGTTGATTCTCTGCATGCGATATCTTCGTTTGCCTATGACCCCAGAAGGGTGGCCCAAGTCTTGCGATTTTATGCGGTCGTTGGCACGATTGTTTGTCAACGCCCATGGTCAGCGTATCAAACAAGCGTACTGTTATATTATTGAAAAGCTCCTTCTCCCTATTGCTGCTAATCCGAGCTGTGATCTTTCACTGCCGCGGTGGAAAGAATTCCTCGAGCTGGTTCAACCACGTCTAACCCAGCTTCTCACTAAGCCCCGTCACTGGACGTCTTCCTTCTCATTGAATGTCTTGTTGCTTTGCATATCCAACAAAGAGACTTTCTCTTCGCAATGGATGTCCATGATTTCCAGCTTACCTGCACGTCTGAAGGACCGCCCTACTCGGGCACCTGCTCTCCACGCCATCTGTCGTCTGGTCTGGACTTACTTCTTCCGCTTCTCCGACTCTCCTACAACCACGCTCCGCAAGGTTGAAGAAGTTGCCAAGATCGCCCTGCCAACCGGCCGGAAAACGTTCATGAGTGCGGAGCCCATCTTCGCAGATCCATTGATCCAGCTGATCCAGATAATTGGTTTCAAGCACCCGGATGTTTGCTTCCGCAACATCATTTTCCCTTTGATCAACTCTGATCTCTTCTTGTCTGGCAGAGAGCTAAAGATCGAACACATGGAGCCGGAGAAAATGGTCATCGGAATCCGCGCGTTCCTGGCGACGATGTCGGATCTGGAGACAAGTGACCAGTTGTGTCCCCCGATCCCAACTGGCTCTCTCCCGAACCCCTTCACTGACGTCTCTACCCCGGTGTATTTCCATCGGCCCCAGCTACTTAAAGAGTACAAAGCGCCTAGTGCGTCTGAAAAGCAAGATCCCACGTCATGGCAACCTGTCAATACTGCGAGACTAAGTGAGAATGTCAAGGAATATTATTTCCGATTTTGTGAAGTCCTCGGCAAGATCACTCTGCTCTGTGATAACACATTTGGTGGACAGGCGGTCCTGGACGAGAAGTTCGGTGGAAGTACGCCCAAAACTCCTATCTCGGAAGCTTTCAGTTTTGGTCGTCGTGGTGACGACCATGTCACGACACTGGACCAGAAGCAAGGATTTTATGACCTGCTTCATGTGGCAGTCCAAGCGCTCCCTCGCTGTCTCTCAGATCACATTCCATTCAACTCTCTCATCAATCTCCTCTGTACGGGAACTGCCCACGTCCAGTCAAACATTGCAACTTCCTCGGCCCTGTCTTTGAAGGCCATCGCGCGCCAGTTACATGCCCAGCAAGTTACCATCGGATTTGCTAGATTCATCTTCAACTTTGATGAGCGCTATTCCACCATGTCAGACGAAGGGATGCTTGGGCCGGGCCACATAGAATCTACTCTCAGGCTATACGTCGAATTACTTCAAATCTGGATTGATGAGATCAAACGGAAAACGAAAGGTGCGGCAGCTATGGATCCGCTGGAGAGATCCATCTCTGGTAATCGGGCTCTGCACCTCGATTTATCGAGCGTCCTTGCTCACGTGGAAGAGATTGAGTCGCATGGGCTCTTCTTCTTGTGCTCTCAGTCCAGACGTGTTCGCGCCTTTGCTATCACTGTTCTGCGGTTGATCACCGAGTTTGACAGCGCTCTTGGAAAAGAGAACACCAGAATCATCCGCATTCTTGAAGCTGATTCGCAGCAGATCTTGGATGTCAACGATGAACATCTGACTGTGGCGGAGCGGAGCCGGATTCAGAAGGGAAAGAGAAGAAGCGCCTCCCAAAATACTCTCATCGAATTGTGTAGCAGTGAAGTCTCCTATGATGCAACGTTGTGGGCTAAAGTGTTCCCCAACATCATCCGTGTCAGCTTTGAGACTTGTCCATTCGCTGTAACACTAGGACGTGAAATTGTATGTGCGCGTCTTGTCCAAATGCACAAGATCATCACGTCTCTAGCCGAGAGTGCAAGATTCCCGCAGTTTGCCCCGATGGATGGGTACCAGAACCGTCCTATCGGAAGACATAACGTCACATCTGAGATTTTCATCGAGCAATGGAAGCTTTACTTGGTCATGGCCTGTACTACTGTCACCAGTGTCGGAGCTCAATCGCAGAGTCAACTGGCCAATGCCCAGCATGCACGCAAAGCTTCCAAGGGAACCCAACAATCTCAAGACAAGATCAGCTCCGCCCGCAGCCTTTTCGCCTTTGTGATTCCGCTTCTTTCTGCCGAACGAGATTCCATTCGCAGTGCTATCGTTGCCGCTTTGGGATCCATTCACAAGAACCTCTACCGCACACTTCTTGAGTCGTTGCAGTATGCCGTTACTACTTGCAACGAAGAGGCGAAGATGCGAATCGGCAGCCACTATCGTACCCCTAGTAGCCCGCGTCGGAACAGGAAGACTGACCGTCTGCGTACTGAGGTTACTAATGTTTATAAACTCACCTCCCACTTCCTCAAGGAGCCCGAGGTTTACAATGACGATTGGATCGTCAACAACCTTGTCACTTATGCGAAGGATATCCGGATTTTTCTCAGCGATGCCGGAGTTCAGAATGACTGGGAATTCCAAGGCTTGCGGTTCCATTTCTGTGGATTGATGGAGGAGCTCTTTGAAGGCATCAATCGTGCCAAGGATCCTTCTCGCTGGATGCCGTTCGAGTCTCGAAAGTCTGCTTTCTCTCTCATGGAGGAGTGGTGTGGATACTCGCCTAATCAGACTCAGATATCTGAACGCGAAGAGAACATGAGAAAGTTCTGCATGGATCGAACACATGAGAGTGGTGAAATGAAGAACACCGCTGCTGCCATGGAAATCGAGAAAAAGAATTTGCGCGCAGCAGCCTTGAGCGCAATGGCTCATCTCTGTGCCGGTCCCATTAGCATCACCACCGACAGTGGCTCTATCCTCCAATTTGATGTCGCTCGCATGCTTTTATGGATTGAAATGATCTTTAACACCGTCGGTGACAAATGGCATGCCATCGGCCGCCGTGCTCTGAAGAATCTGATCATTCATAACCAGGAACACTCCTACTTGATGGAGCGATCAATTGAGATGTGCTATATTACTGAGCGGCCTAAGACCATTGAGAGCTACTTCGAAGTCGTTACTGAGGTGCTCTTCGAATATCCAGACTATCCCCTCGCCTTCTGGAGAGTTCTAGGGGCAGTCCTGGTAACACTTGGCAACGAAAAACGTGAAATCCGAATGAAGTCTGCCAAGCTTCTTCGAAAACTCGAAGAACGGCAGCAGAAGAACTCCAGGCTTCAAGACTTCGATATCAGTATCTCGGACAAGACTACTGCGGTGTACAAGCTTGCCCAGTTTGAAATTTCGAAAAGATTGGCCAGTCAGCATTCCGACTTGGCTTTTACGATCTTCTCGGAATTCTGCTTGCATTTCCGCAGTCTACGGCCCGATAATCAGCGGAATCTAGTTGCTGCCATCTTGCCATGGGTCCAAACAATTGAACTACAGGTTGATCCGAATGGCGGCCCAACAGCCAAATCCTACATGCTGCTCGCAAACCTCTTCGAGATAACCATTCGCTGTAGTACCATCCTACCTAACCAAGTGCAGGCACTGTGGCAGGCCTTGGCGACAGGCCCTCACGGGGGCAACGTGCAACTCGTGCTTGACTTCATCATTTGCATCTGTCTGGAACGCAAGGAGCAAAATTTCGTGGAGTATGCCAAACAAATGGTCGTCTTCCTCTCCGGAACCCCAGCAGGATCCAAGGTTATTGAGTTTTTCCTGTTGCAGATTGTTCCAAAGAACATGGTGCAAGAGCGCAAAGAACTCACTCCGCCTCCTCCTGATATCAAGAGTCTACCATATGTTGCAGATCTGGGGAATGTGCTCCCTATCGGGAACAAACAAGCTGGTCTATCTCTCGGACAGGTTGCGTTAATCTTCCTCGTTGATCTGATGGTCGCTCCCGTGACTCTCGCACTGGATGATGTTGTCAAGCTGATCCACATTGTTCTCATACTCTGGGACCATTATATGGTCACTGTGCAGGAGCAAGCTCGTGAAATGCTGGTACATCTCATTCATGAGCTGATAGCGGCCAAGCTGGAGGATGAGGCGCCCGCAGGCGCGAGACAATCAGTCGAGGACTTTGTGGAATCGATTCGCAACAGTGACCCCGCGGTCGTTTGGGAGTACGATGAGAACCATGGGAAAGATGAAGAGGCGGATGATCGCCGGGTGCCTACGTCTATGGCATCTGTCACCCGGGACGTCGTCAAGTTCTTTGATTTTGCCTATGAAGGTGTTGGTGATCTGTGGGCCAAGGAGGCATTGAATTGGGCTACCTCGTGCCCAGTACGACATCTAGCATGCCGCTCGTTCCAAATCTTTCGATGTATTTCTACATCGCTCGATTCACGCATGCTGGGTGATATGCTCGCTCGGCTCTCAAACACGATCTCAGATAAGGAAACGGATTATCAAACCTTTTCCTTGGAGATTCTTACGACGTTGAGGATCATCATCAGCGATTTGGAGCCACCTTCCCTCTTGGATTATCCGCAGCTATTCTGGACGACATGTGCGTGTCTGAATACAATCCACGAGACCGAGTTCATCGAGAGTATTGGGATGCTTGAGAACTATCTTGCTCGCGTTGATCTCGGTGATCCAGCTGTGGTGGCCACCCTGATCAACGGTCAACCACCCAATTGGGAGGGTGGATTCGATGGTCTCCAGGACCTCGTCTTCAAGGGGATGAAATCATCTCGGTCCTTTGATCGTACTCTGGATCTCCTTCACACTCTAAGTGGCCTTCCGAACAATGATCTCGTCGGAGAGGGAACTCGACAGCTGTTCACTGTGCTGGCTAACCTGCCTCACTTCCTCGATTGCTTCGACCACGGATTCAGTGATCCCAAACCCATCGCCCGGGCCAGCCTGCTCGCCCGTGTGGCTGAGAATGAGGGGTGTCCTCGCCTTGCAGCATCATTGTTTGGGTTTGCCAACCAGCAGTACAAGACCGCTGGTGTCTTCCTCGACCATATAATCACCGAGATCAAGTCGTACTACTTCCCCGAGCAAGACTTCCAATGTCTCATTTTCGTCATGGGACTTCTGACTAATACCACCGATTGGTTCCGTGTGAAGACTATGAGGATTCTCTGCGTCTTGATTCCGGAAGTGGACATGCGGCGCACTGAAGTCACCTGTCATGGCCCGGATCTGATCTCTCCCCTACTCCGCCTTCTGCAAACTGAACTGTGCGCTCAAGCCTTGGAGGTTTTGGATCACATCATGACCGTCTCCGGCAACCCAATGGAGCGTCAGCAGATTCGGATGAGCATAGCGTCGGCAGCCTCTTCTCGTGCCCTCCGCAAGGAGTATGAGCGAATCAAGAGTCTATACGGCATTCCCGAACCGTCTGGATGGTCGGTTCCCATGCCGGCAACTCAATCAAGCATTACGCGACACAACGTTCATGCCGTATTCTATACCTGCGGCAAGGCTGAAGACATGCACCAGGAGGATGTCCTGGCCCCCGGTGTCGCTTTCCACGTGGACGAGTACAGCGACTCGTTCTTCCCAATGAGGGCTGACACCATGAAATCTATTGACACGCAGATCGACGGCAATATGGGAGACATCGTGCAGAAGCTTGACAGCCTCGACGACTTCTTCGAGGAGACCGAAGCTACCACCCCCGTGATGAACTCTGTCGCTCCTCCGATGCTGCGAGGCTTTACCGGTAGCTACGTCGATACCAACGCTCATCTCTACGACCAGCAGACCGCGCCGATTCTCCGGAAATCGCTCGCTCGCACCGGTTCTACATCGTCCTTCCACAATGGTCTCGCAGAGTCTCGTCCGCCGAACTTCCGTTTCGACAGTCCGGCTGTGCACTCTCCAGTCACGGCGATACCTCCAAATACCGGGCAGATGTTACGACCCGGCTCCCATACCCGCTCTGTGACATCCCCTACCAACAACCTCTATGCCCACACTGCGTCACCTGCAACTAATGCTGCACTGTCCGCTGGATTCAGCGAGTCCGCCTTCCTATCCGACGATGAGCCCGACGAGGTGCATTCAGACCTCGAGGAACGACCGGTAACAAAGAAGATGATGCCGCCTCCAGCCATGGTCCGCAGTGCAACCGACGGTCCACAATCTCTGGAATCAATTCTCCGCAGTGGCATGCGCAGACTGACTGGCGGTGCCGCCAGCAGAGACAAGGAACGACAGCGGGACCTTATCCGTGCTCAGCATCGCGCCATGGTCCAGACAGCCAACTCACCGCGTGTCCCTAAGGTGCCTGAGGAGTATCTCTCTGGACCAACCAGTCACCCGGCTTCTCCGAGGTGAATACGCATAGTTCTGCCCCCACTATACCATTCTGCTTTACTGTTTTTTATAAATTCGCGTTGATTGTTCTCTTTTCAAGCTTGTCTGGGCATTTTTCGGGAGTTGGGATCACTTTGCACACATACCCTTTATAGCCATCTACTTTGCGAATGTGGGTATTCTCGTCTAGCGTTGATCTGTACCTCTGCATGCTGTACAGTATTCGGATATTGCTATCCTTCAAGTTCGGATGATTTTGATAAGGCTTTTTGTTCGAAATCAGAATTTCTTCACATATTTTCATACGTGCGTAGGTTCCATGTAGTTTAGTATCTTGTTCGCTCCCAGTGTTCAGTAGAATTGAAGCCACCCACCAAACCCGTGTATACAGATCATTGTACCCTACGATGTATGCATTTGTGTCATCTAGGCCGAGTCTTTTATCTTAGTGTGATATGCGAAATGGGGATTTGAATATGGAACCGTGAATTCAACTCGACGATATTTGCCCGTAGTTGGAGAATTGTCCAAGAATGAGGAGTAAGACTACCTACAGACCCCATACAGGCCCCAGTTGTGGATGGCAGAACGAGCGGCGCTTCTTGAGGTGATTGAATCGAAGAACGTCCCCGTCGCCACTCGCCGTGGGAAGGGCCTGCTTCTGCGCATTGATGTACGTACATTTCGTACAACAGGCAGCGAGAACGTACAACAACCAGAATATCAAAGCACAGTTAGATTGAATCTTCCCATGACTCCAGAGACCAAAGGCCGACTGTTTTGTCGGCCGATGAGGAAAGCAACCAGCGTGGGCACTGGCCGAGCCCTATTGCCCCTCGCTTGCAACCTCAGGCACCTGAGCCGCAGCTACCACGAACCACGCCTTGTAACAATCACATTACCGGCAAGTTCATGTCTCGCTTGCCATTTTGTTCGATGTCGATCACATCTCGGAGGCACCTCAGGAGTCTTAGGTGAGAGACTACCTACGAGCAAACGGTCGCGCAGAGAAGAATGGCATTCTTCTTTACGTTGATTTGACCCAAAAGACACGAATGGGGGGTGGGGGGGGAGAGTCGATGGCTGACTCCGACGCCCACCAATGCCCGAGGTGCATTGCCACATAAGTGGCAATCGAGATGCAGCCATCAAGACAAAAGTTTGGCGGAGGGAAGGAGCTCTCGGCGAGACCACCATTTCCAATTTCCCCTCGTTAAGGTCCATACGGGAATTCGCCTGAGAGTTGGCCCGCGAGTTGGCCCGCGAGTTGCCTCGGCTGCTGAGCGAGGGGCGGATGAGGTCCTGTTGGGCACGCCCTCGTTAAGGTCAACGAGGGTGCGACCCCCTCCGCCCCCCTCTCCCCGCGCCCCCCCATCGTCGTCCTCCTCCCTCCTCATGATTCGATTCATCGACTCCAGGTGGTGCTATGACAGCATCGGTCTGGCGTTGATCCTTACCAGAGCGACGAGGGGTTGAGGCCCCCTCGAGGCAGCCGAGGAAAGTACTCGCTTGAAGCCCTTGATTTGGTACTTGGACGTCATGAGGCGCCTCATCAATCGATTCCGCTCCTCGAATCAATAGGAACCTCGTTGTGGCGGGTAGGGATTTAGAGCTTACCCTCAGGCGGAGGGGCACGTATGCAACTCAGTGTCGGAGTGACATCTTGACGTGCAGGCATGAGTCGCATGACACCGGCCTGCAGGGGCTTGTCGGTATCGGCTTCACGATTTGCCAAGCCCGCGGAGACTCACTTGGCGAGGAGGTTTGCATCAAGGAAAACCTGTTCTTTCTGGTGGTAATGAGCACCCGAGACTAAGCGAAGATGCCTGAGCAGTCAAGGATAGGGCAGCGACCACTCCCATCACCGGCATGGGCCGAGGCCTAGTATGCAGCTCCCGCAACACGAATACGCACTCAAGATGCGAGCATTCGTCAACCCTCACACTGTTCTTTAGGTGAGCGATGATGGAAGATGGTGTTGTATGCAGTAAGCTGTGGTTGGAGTGTGGAAGAGAGTATGAACAACTAAATCCATACTTCGGTCGCGGAGAATAACCGGGTCCCCGAATGTTTTTTTGTCGATCGATGGAATGGAAGATTCGAAGGAATATGGAGAGGAAGCAAGACCTCGGCTCATCTACTCGACGGCGGACAAACGGTGGTCATATCTATTCATGACCGTAAACTTTTCTGCGAAGATACAGCGTGAACGATTGAGCTTTTCGCAAGCCTCGGCGCTATTGGGAAGAAGGAGTAAGTATTGAGACCCCACGGATGGACTTAGATCCTTGCCGGGCGAGAGCCTACTTACTATAGAGCCTTGGGCCGATTCTCAAGGCAATCTCAAAGACACTCGACCTCCATTGGAAAGTGTTCAGGGCCGCCTATCTTCGGAGGCTGCGAACAACTGCAGCTCCGTCCCTCGTGGATCACTGGGCAGCAGGAGATGCCTGCTCAGTCTCCGTGTTGTCTGCAGTCGTCAGTATCAACTTTCGTCATGGATATGGTCTGCAGATTTGGGGTGATGCATACGAGATGGAAAGAGGTGAAAGGAATTGAAAAAGGATGGAAAGATATAGCGGGATACTTACAGAGTGGAGTGAGACGAGGGGTCCAGTCCCCCTCGAGGCAGCGAGGCAGCCGAGGGAAGGACGCACTTGGAGCCCTTGATTTTCAACTCGGACGTCATGAGGCGGCTCATCAATTGATTCCGCCCATTAGGTCAATCGGAAACCTCGTTGTCGCGGGTATATTGATGGGTCCGAGGATGAAGGTTGGTGGGGGGTCGATTGAGAAAGGGGAAGATGAAAGGGGAAGATGAAGTGAGAAGAGCCCTTAATATAGCTCCTTGGAACGACTAAGCGCTTGTTATACCGGGGATATGAACGGATCGTTCAGGCGAGCGCATTGGAGGGTTGTGTCACATTCTGCTATCGTGAGGCTGAGTTGCGGCTCGCTGCGTTGCGGCTCGCACTTCACGACGACATCATGCCCTTTGGTCTTCAGATCTTGAACAAGGGCCCACCGAGCTAGGTAGGTGGATAACTCACCCGTTTCCTTTCCTGAATCGGTTGGTCTTCTCTCATTTTTACTCCGGCATATCTACCTACACGACACATGGGATTATGGAGTGTCCTGGGTTGACTGGTGGGTTTGCCAATCGATTGCACCAACTACAAGAGCCACGGAGTCGTTTTATTCAACCATCAGTTACGGCAAAGTGAAATGTGTCCTGATGGGTCGTGTGGTGCACTTCTCGTACTGACATCCATCTCAAAACCGACGTAGAAGCTGAAAGATGGCTCGGCAGAGCACTAAGAGCAGCCGCAGACCGGAGGGGGAAATGAGTCGTTTGGTCCCATGGTGAATGTATCAAACGACATTCTACATGCTGCAGGGGCCAATGGCTCGTATAATTACTCCTTAGCTCCTCCCGCGGCAACTGATTTATATACACAGTTCGGCCGTATTAGCCGCCTGTGGATGGACGCTTTACTTAAAGTAAGTCATATTCTGCTTCCCGGCGTACTGGCTATATGTATTGTCAAAATGAAGTAGTCGAATTACGAATGCAAGCGGCAAACGAAGCCAAATCCTGTCATACTAGCCTGTTTCCCATCCATCTGCCGTAATTTGCGGTCAATCGCTGTTTTAACAAAGCATTCGCATTCAGCATACTTGAATGTCTTTCCGGACACTTTAACCGCCTCTTGCCGTATAGTGAGATTCTTTGTCGTCTAGTTCCGCCGCTCATTCTTCGTTCTGCACGATTGTGAGCATATTCAAATCTCCTAGCCCGACTCATCGTCTATCAAGGCTGGATATTCGCCCTGTAGGCTGTTTGGTAAGCGATTAGCTGATAAGCTTTGCTTTGCGCAGTTTGAGGGCTTCAGCCTTCGGGCTTCGGGCAAGTTATGAACTTATGATTTACTGGAGGGTCTTTGATGATTTCAATGTTCCGTTAAAAAAGTAGTAGACTAGGTATACAGGAAGAGGTATAACTAGTTCGTCCTCAATAGTCAATAGTTGGGAGGTAGTAGGTAGTAGATCGTCGGGTGATGCGAGTCGCAATTCGACTTCGTAGCGCGTCAAACCCTCGTTCGCGATGACGCGTCGATAGACGCGGGCATTCCATGAGGAAGTTGAGCACGGATTGATGTATGGACTTGCATCGGGGTATCCATAATTGGACGCTATCTGTAGATCGCATGCTGCGCCTGCATAGTGACTTGGATCGGGTTTCTGGTCTATTCTTTTAATCCTTTGTGTGGATTGTACAGCCCTATGCCCAAGAAGGATCCCGTCTCATGAGTCATGATCTGTTGAGATCTACAATGTCAACGAGATCATGAAAGGCAGCAAGGCTGTACAGTGTTGAAGATGGTAGAAAGGGTTCTGGGCAGAGGTATCTACAGACATGGAAAGGGAAAAGCGTCCTGTGAGATAGTGAGAATTCAACACATTATCGGCCTGCCCTATCAACAGTCCAACGGAGATATTTGTGGGTCAACAACGTGATACAATTCGATCCCATTGGATAAGGCATGTTACTTAGCGTACACTAGTCTATATTGGGAGACCAACCAAATAACCTTAACGACCAACCTTAATGACCACCCGCAACTTTACCTCTCGGGATCTCTTCATGTGTTACACTTACAAACTAGCAGCTTGGACAGTATGGGTAGAGAAAGACACACGCATCAATTTGGAACAGACGGCCGGTTATTGCGTAGGCTACATGAGAAGGCCAAACTCTCCGAATCTCTGAATCTTGCTCTGATTCTTGCCCTTTTTCTGCAGCGTGTCCTCACGGTCCTGAATAATATCCGTAGAGCGCTTGATATCCTTGGAGAGGATACCGAAGCGCTCGTAAAACTGTTTCATGTTTTCCTTTGCGACAGCGACGAGGCGATGGGCTGCCTGGATCTCAGAAACCTCATCGTCCGTGAGGGTCTCGTGGCCTCCAGTGAACCAGAACTATCCAGACCAGAGTCATCTTCCCAACCACAGTCCGCGACCGACTTTCTATCCGGCTCTCGGTTCACGGTTGGAGTTAAAGCACCCGATTTGCCGAAGCCAAACATTTCAGCGCCATGGTAGGGGTACCAGCCGAGCACGAGGAACTATCCCCAAATTGCCTAAGCAGTCGACGGTAGAACAGCCCCACACACGTCACCTCACCAGTATAGGCTTCTTGGGCCTCTTGAGTGGTGCCGTGTTCGATTTTCCGCTAAGAAATGTCTCCTCAAGTCGATGTCCCTTCCAGTTCACGAACGAGAAAATCGCAATGATCTGTGGCACCTAGTGCGAGTGGAGGAAGCGGAGGCCCCCTGCCCGGCGGTTTGTGTTTGCCGCGGAAGAAGGCGAGAAGCAATGCATTGACAACGGAATGTTTGAGCAGCGTCATTGGACCTTGGTCCATTTCGACGGGGTGAGCTGCTATGACTGCCATCACAACCATGTCGAGAACAGCGTCGCCGAGGAACTCGAGGTGTTGGTAGGGTTTGCACTGATCAGCATGGTGCAGATCAGCGACGGGTCGCCCAAGCATTTGGTTCGAACATGCTCAGCCATTTCGTCTACAGACCTAACGCGGTATGCGCGCCGGTAGACTTCAATGAATGTCTCCCGCGGAGCACGGGAAGTGTCAATATTCAACCATGCTTTTTCTTCGTCGTTGAACGACCTGACATTGGGATGCCACCAGAGCCATGAGACAGGGTCGAAAGGAGTCACGTCATCACGGCGATGTCGAGGCATGGTTTGACGAATCCAGATTCCAGACCTCCACGATCTGCCGAGCCCGAGACATCATTGGAAGAGGACTGGGCAGTCAATAAGTCTGGTGAGAACAGCTCCCATCACCGGCGTGGGTTGAGGCCGTGTGTGCAGCTTCGCAACATTATCCGGGTTGTCGCCCAACCAGGGAGGAACTCCATAGCAGATTAGAAAGAGCTGATCGCCTTGGTTCCCGAAGAACTCTCGAAGCATGGTATGCCGAATTTTCGTGCGTTGGGATGGAGTCTACTACGGAACAAAAAGCAAGCGTTCGTCAAGGCAGTAGAAGCACTGTCTCCTCTTCCAAGAATAGCTCCGGATCGTCGCCCTTCCGACCCTCAGGCAGAGGGGGCATACACGCTTCTACGGGATCGGAGCCGACGTATGCGGGCGGGACACCCTCGCGCAGGATGAACCAGGTCTTTTGCGCTGCACAATCTGCCAAGCCCGCGGAGACTATCCGAGACTATGTGGGGATGCCTGAGCAGTCAAGGGTAGGGCAGCGACCACTTCCATCACTGGCATCGGTTCCGGAACAGAGTGAGCCTTTTTTTGTGTTTCTCCCTCTCCATCTTCGGCTGCAACCAAGGAACAGATTTGCAGCAAGTTTCGTCGGCGTGGCAGAGATGAACACTGTATCGGTGACGATTTCGATACGTTGAACTCCTCGGAAGATACGTGGAACTCTTCGGAGATACGACCTTGCCGTATTCATGGCAGCATCGCGAGACCATTTGTGCGCAACTTCGCAGAAGAGCATGGAAAGAACACCTCTCGGTTCGAATTACGGACCGAGCAACTGCGACGGGGTGCATTTCTATGGAGGGCAAAGGGGTCAGTCGGCTGATCACACATATTGCTTTGCATCTGGGTTGAAGGGGGGCAGACGTACCTACATCAGATGAGTGTAGGACTCTAGCTGATGAAGTTCCCCGACGGGGGTTTGCACGGGAGCACGGTTGGTCATTCCGAGCACTCGAATTGCCGTTGGGAGTACTCGGATGGAGCAAGGCCGATAGTGTCGAGTCCTGCCATGAGCTCACTGTCACATCCTTCGGACCTGTCATAACTCGTAGCATAAGCTGCTGTGTTTTGCCGGTTTGCTCATGAGGCGACTGGGGACCCCGGTGACGACCCAACGTTCAGGGCGTGGGGAAGCCATGCCAAAGCTGGTCATGCCATGTGTCTCGCTAGCAGTGAGGGTGTCATCGGATCGTATGATGTCTCGAATCTCGCGCTCGGATTGTCCACATCCGCCTGTGTTCACAAGAGGGTAAGGCTCTCTATCGAGTTTCGTATGGTCAGCGTCGCTCTCTGATGATTGAGTTGAACAGTGTGCTTACCTAGGCTTGGTGATAAAAGCTCATCACGAGTGATGAGCCTCTCGGGCAACTGTTGCAAGTGCCGGAGGAGTCTATCATCTGCGTTGTCGTCGAAGAGCACTCGAAGCCTCGCCATCCATTTGTCCGACTCAGTGACTGTATTGGGTGTCTGCATCTTCCATGCCTCTTCAGCCTTTTGGGCTGTCGTGAAATGGATGAGGATACGGAAGACACCTTCCGCAACGTGATACGGGACCTTGTCATGCTGAGGGATACCCCGCACAGAGACCTCAGGAGTCAATGAGTCAATGGGAAGCTCGTCGATGGCAATCAGAGGCACCAGGGTGCCTGCTCTAAGCAAGCATTTGAGCAGTAAGTGACGGGCACTCGTCCCACGAGGATGCAACTCGCTTCGTAGCCCGGTTGGAGGGCTCGGGGCCGCTCCAGATGACGTCCGACATGATGGCTCCGCCATCGATGTGACCGTGAACCAACGGTGCTCATGGGCAAGACGTTGAACCTCAAAGGGGTGAATGCCTTTCTCGTGGCTCGTCGGAAAGGTAAAGATGGCTCCTCAGTGTCCGCATCGTCTGCAGTCGTCAGTATCAGCTTTCGTCATCTGAAAAGAGGTGGAATGAGATGAAAGGGGTCAATTGGGATGGGATGGAAAAAGGATGGCGGGATCCTTACCAGAGAGACGAGGGGTTGAGGCCCCCTCGAGGCAGCCGAGGGAAGTACTCGCTTGAAGCCCTTGATTTGGTACTCGGACTTCATGAGGCGCCTCATCAATCGATTCCGCTCCTCAGATCAATTAGGAACCTCGTTGTGGCGGGTATATTGATTGGGCGGGGGATGAAGGTTGATGGGGGATGGAGGGATTGAGAATGGGGAATATATAGTGAGAGGGATGGAGGGCACGACTAAGCACGTGAAAAATACGAGACCAGCAAACCGCAAGAGCAACCATGTGGAGCACTGAATATGACAGCCTTGGAACAACATACGCGCTTCCTATCTTGGATATGAACGGACCGCTTAAGGCGAGCGCATTGCAGGGTTGTGGCACATTGTTCTGTGAGGCTCGGCTGCACGTCACACTTGACGACGACATCATATCCATGGTGAACGCATCAAACAACATTCTAGGTACATGCTGCAGGGGCCAATGGCTCGTATAATTACTCGTTGGTACCTGGACAACTGATTTATATACACAGTTCGGGCATATTAGCTGCCTGGTGGAGGCTTTACCGGAAGTAAATTATATTCTGCTTTGCCGCCGTATTGGTTATAGGTACTCAAAACGAAGTCATCGGGTTATGACAGTAATTGAAGCGAAATGCAAACGACAAACGAAGCCAAAACCTATCATATCAACCTATTTCCCATCCATCTGGCGTAAGTTGCGGTCAATCACTGGTTCCAACAAAGTATTCGCATTACGCCTTGGCAGCGTACTTGAGTGTCTTTCCGATCACCTTGGCCGGCTCTTCGTTATCAACAGGAAAAACCGTTCACTAGGCTTCCTTGTAAGTCTTCGGCTTGTAATTCGTCAGGTGTTGCGATTCATTCTTCAACACTATTGCGAGCATATCCCAAACCTCCTCGTCCGACTACCATCCATCAAGACGGGATAATTACCCTGTAGGTGGGTAGCTGATAAGCTTTGCCTTGCACATTATGGTGGTTTCGGGCAGGTGCATGATTTACTGGATGGTCTTTGGTGTTGTCAATGATCCATTGAAGCAGTAGTAGATCTAGGTAGTAGGTATACTGGAAAAGGCACAACTAGTTCGTCCAGGTCCTCAATGTTTGGGAGGTAGATAGTAGGTAGTCGGGTGGTGCGAGTCGCAATTCGACTTCGTAGGGCGTCAAACCCTCGTTTCGCGTCGACGCGTCTGGGAGTTTGACTCTTGACCGCCTGGCAGAAATGGGGTGCTGGCGCTAATCCCCTAGCATTTGACGCTAGCCCTAATTGGATAGAGAGTCATATGGTCAAGGTTTTGGTCAAGCTCGAAGGTCACATGACAAGCTGCGACCTCGCACGAAAGGGCTCATGGGACATGCAGTGGTGCGACTGCCTTAGCTTGCCGTCGGATGGCACATATGCGCTATTCAGGTAAGAAGAGGCAGAACATCAATCCAGGCACTGAGCACTCAGGTATCAATATTCCTATCTATCACTAACGTTGATCTGAGCTCCACGTCCTCGGCCCTCGTACGATGAACACCGTGAAAATACTCTATATTTCAGTTATAATTCAAGTCTGAAAGGCATATACATATGAATCAACGAAACAAATACGCAGGTGACAGTGCGAATATCCACAGTCTATGAACCCTTTATTTCTCAGCCTTACAGCCTCTTGAAGCAAAGCGATCATATCACATCCATTTAGCCCGAGGTAACGTGGAGAGGACCGTTACCATCATCAACAGGGCAACCATCACCATCAGACTCAAACTCAACGACACAGCTGGCATCCGTTCCAATCGAGATACCAATAAAAGTAGTATCCTCCTGTCCCTCGCCGGAGCCAAGGCTATTTCCATCGCCATCCTTGACCTCACAGCTCTCGGGGTGACCTCCGAAGTCAGACTTGCAGTGGAACTTGCGCGGGCTGTTCCAGCAGTCGCCCTCGATCGTGAACTCGCGGCCATCGCCGGTGTTGTAGCAGGGCGAGTGGTCGTCGGGGTAGGCCTGATCGTAGATGGCTTCGCCCTTGTCATTGATGATGGCAAAGCCGCTGTAGTGGCCGTTGGTGTTGCCGCCGGCGGGACCGGAGATGGTGGAGAAGTCGCCGCTGGACCAGACGACTCGGAGGTGCTCGGCTTGGGTAGCCGCTGCTGCCATTAGGCAGAGGAGAGTGGTGCGCAGGGAAGGCATGGTTGGGTTGTGTTTGTGATTTGATTTGGTGAGACTTAATAGAGGGAGTGGGAGGTCCTTGGATGGTTCTATTCGAGGTTGATATTCGGAGTCTCTTTTATATCTGCTTGATTGCATTGCGCCCCCAAATCAGACCCCGATACCTGCCAACATTTTCTTGACGATCTTCGGTAAGATTACGACACCGGATTGTGTATCTTGGCGTAGGAGTCATATCGTGGCTTGGTATCTTGTTGATCTTCGGTTCTGGATTGTACTAGTTTTATGCATGTTGTAGATCTTAGTTATGCTTCATAAGTCGGTACTACGTGGACCACTGGATCAATGAATCAGTGATGCGGTGAATTATTATTTGTTGGTTTTACACAGCAATTGCTTGTATGCGAAACGTCGAAGACTACGGCGATTACTGGGCAGAGGGCCTACTCTCGTGGAGGCTCCTGCTCGGTGTAATCTTGTGTAGTTATCGTTGTTGTTATTCCTAGGGGTTCAGGAGGAAGGCTGGGTAGTAGCCTTCCGCCTGACTGCTGACTAAGATATATCACGTGGTTATAGTACAAACAAGTCACCAGTTCCAACATTATTAGAAAAAATAGTTTACAACATGTCATGTGTATAAATTCTCCCTCTAATCCCAATAACCTACGATTTAGTACAGTACCTTCGAAGATATTGACACAGCTTACGTCGGTTCTACTGGATATACCAATGGAAATAGTCTTCCTGTTCCTCGCCGGAGCCGAGGCTTTTTTTCATCATCACCCTTGACCTCACAGTTCGCTGGTCCTTGAAGTGAGACTTGCACTTAAACTTGCGAGGGCTCGCTCAGCAGTCACCGTCGAGTCTTTATCAGGTTTAGCCTAATCGTAGACGGCCTCGCCGTTGTGATTAAAGATGCGAAGCCTCTGTAGTCGCCATTGACGGCACCGAGAAGGAGACGATAGAGCAATTCTTCGGCGTGAATCATCGCAGTCATGCTACTTGCTGGCTCAAGAAAGTTGAATACTATTCATTCATCGCTAGATCCACTGATCAACGTTGCCTTTACCAGATGAGGAAATGTAATAGCCACTCGCGATCGACGTCGAGGTAGCCTGCAATGGTCATAGGATCACCAGACAAGAAACGCCCTGAGGGAAAATGTCTCGATGGGCTTAAGCCATCCCCGCTAATAGATTCAGCCAGGACGGTCAATTTTCGATGATCTTCACCTGAAGATCAGTGTAAGCCTCAACAAGCACGGGGTACGGAACGGATCGCTGGTTCCTGGCGGTTAGTCTCCGCAGCACATGTGCATATGAACATGTGGAGCCTCGGCCGCTGGAACCTCCGTCCTCCAAAACAACGCTGCAATCCGATTAGACATATCGTTTGAAAGCAGGCAAAGCAGCACCATATTCACATTGCTCATTGTATCGTCGTCAGTAGCGGATCGACCCGTCACCCAACAGCCGCCTTCTGGCCCCCACTCCAGCGCCCCTGGTCCTCGGACTTGGCGACCGTGACGCAGTGACGCCCTCCAGCACGCCACCCGTTGGGGGCTGAAAGGCTGCATCAGGAAGCCCAGTCTTGGCTTGTGTCAAGTATATGGCTCCAATGTAAGTCAGGGTACGTTGTGTCATGTTTCTTGGCAGGCGAGATCTTGCTCAAATCCCTCCAGCTGATAGAGAAGAGGAAATTTCCAGAACATGGAAGGTTCGAGGCACGTGAAGGATTCTCCCTACAATTCATACATGAGCTCGGAGGGCGTGTAGGATGGAGAGTCTGGGGAATATGGCTAGTATCATCTTTTTTTTTCTCGGTATGCTCTACCTAGGGAGCGTGTCCCCAGTCTTAATCTTCCCGCGACTTAAGGAGATCAGCTCTTTGCCGCTTTGCGGATACGCCAGGACAGGATTTTTTACGGCTCGGTGGGACATGAATCACCCAAGTAACACGTAAAGCATGTACCTGTAACTGTTGTCTATATATAAAAGTGAACAAGTCTGGTGTAGAGTACCTTCGTAAATAAATATCAACCAAAATATTCTGTCCAGTTGACAGGATCCACTCTTGCCAAGTTCCACGCATGTGTAGCCGTAGGTTTCAGGTTCCGTCAACTGGCGAGCCTCCAGCCAACAGACGAGAATTGAGCCAACTGGCAAGGCTATTCCTAATCCTAGGTACGAATTGACCCCATAATCCCAGAGCGACAGCATGTATGTACAGCGAGGTAAATCTAGTTGATGAGAACATTATCATCAGCTCATAGCGACACATACCGCGTCTGACGTGGTCTTTAATTCTATGGCAAAAGGTATCAATTTCGTTCAGTCGGTTCACAAACTGCTTAATCTCATCGACCTCGAACTCAGTAGTAGCTAGGCAGTGCGGTCAATAGCTTTAAAAACATGACTGTTTGTTAACATATTTAATAACTTGCTGCACACCTCCACCTAGGTTGATGTGAGCCTCAAGCATCCGCGCCAGGTAGGGGAAATGAGGTACAACGCATTCATTACCGAAGTTATGGACAGACCAAGAGACCGAAGCAGCGCGCGGCAGAATCTGACTGGTTGAGAAGCATCACCATGCGAATGAAGCCGACAGTAACATCATGTAGGAAATGAACACAGAGGGTAAGCCACTGGTCGAGAGCCACCATCGTGCCAATGAAGCCAACACTATCACCATCATAAAGGCAATGACCACAGAGGGAGTTATGGCCAGACCGAGAAAAAAAGCAGCGCGCGGCTAGGTTGTCATGTGCGCGATGAACACAGAGGGGATCACGGCCACGCAAAGACACGGAAGCAGCGCGCGGCAGAGTGCCACTGGCCGAGAAGCACCACCTGAGACAGGAGACTAAGAGGACTAGGTCCCAGCAAATGTTGAGTGAGCATGACGTACCTAAGTGAACTGGTGGCCAACAGTGGGACGCTCTTTCCAGGCCTACTTAGCCTTCTTTCCGTTTATCCTTCTTCTCAGCCGACTTGTGACCACTATCGAACAGCACAGGGGTCCCTCTCTTAACTATGTGTCAGGAGGTGACTGATGATTTGAATTGGCTGTAGTATGGATTTAGATGGTTTGGACCTGGACAAGGAGGTGCACCTGTCACATCTGAGGCGCTTTCTTGATCGGTATCTCTAGTTAGGGCAAGCAGCTGTGTTCTAGGCAGCGATGGAAATGCTAGATTATATTCATGAATTAGGAAACAAACAATAACTTCCGAATTAAGCAGGACTATTGGTTGTCCCTGCCAATACGACATCATACATGATCATAGTACGTGATTACATCGTATTCATCAGGCACCGGTCCTGAATGAGTTGTTTGTGCGATGATGTCGTATAGCAGGCAACGATTCATACGAACCTATTCCGCGTAACCTATCCGCATTACCGTAACCGGTTCCCGCGTAACCATAGCTCAGTTTCTATATAAAGGCAGTCATTCCCACTTTCTTCTCCTCTTGCTTCTCCCCTTTCAAGCTCACTTCACGATGTGAAGCTCGCCAACCTATCCTTGTCGCCTTGTGCCCTATTCCTTCTACGTCCACCTTGTCAAGTTGTCTTGTACATGGTGACCTGCCTTGCACCCAGATGCCCTAGGTGACCCTCCAAACTACATCTACATAACCCCGGCAATTTCCAAGGTTCGTTCCGGGACCCACATAACACACCAATCAGGGCCCCGTGTGGAGTATACCCCACACGTGATGCGCTTCCCAAGGGTTGTCCCGGTCATCCCCGCATTTCAGCCCCGATGAGACCCAAAGTCCGTGGCAATAATCACCCTGGAGTCTCGGAAAGCCGCGGTCATTTGCTTTGCTCAGCATCATACAAATAGCCCTTCCCCCGGTTCAAGCCCCTTGGATCCAACATTGCTCTATCACCCTTGGATCCTGACATTGTTGAATGTTGACACCACGAACATTAACTAGTACCCGTGTCCTTCTTCACTCCTCAACACAAGAATTTGTCATTGGTGTCTGGTGACTTGGTCTGGCAGGTCTGCACTGGCACATTGAACTAGACAATGAGTCTCCGAACAGCTATGTGCCTCCCGCGGAGGGTGACTCGCCTCCATATGTCCGCGGCGGATATCCGACGATGGCCGTCTACCCGAGCTTTCTCCACGACTATGCACCGGGACGCAACGTGGGGTTTTGTTGGGTTGGGACAAATGGGTAAGTTTTGAATTCTGCAGGAAGGAGCAATGGCCTCGGCTATATCACACAATACATTGTGGAGTGGAGTGGAGTGGAGTGGAGTCTTTGTATTGCGTTTGCACTTGCTGACTGCCCCTGAAGGGTACAATATGGCCAAAAACCTGCGCGCCAAGATTCCCGCATCCGACACCTTGATCATCCGGGATGTAAACGAAGAGGCCATGAAACGGTTTGCCGCTGAGGCTCAGGAGGCCGCTCGAAGCAACAGTGCAGGCGCCCATGGAGGCCAAGTCGAGACTGCTGCAAGTGCGCGCGAGGTCGCCGAAAAGTCGGTACGTGGTTAGATGCGTGTCTGGCCCGGCTAGCGGCATCCCCGTGTGGACTATGTTCCATATGTCTGTGCTGTTCCGGGGTCTGACAACCAGTCTCGTATAGGTGGTGATGGTGACGAGCCTTCCGGAATCTCAACATGTCATCGATGTGTACCAATCCATCCTCAAAAATGGCCCGTTGCCCCAGCTCGAGCAGGAGCGTCTGTTTATTGATACATCAACCATTGACCCAGTTACATCCAAGGATATCGCGAATGCAATCCACACCACACAAACCGGCCACTTTGTGGACGCCCCCGTATCCGGGGGGTGGTTGGTGCCAGGGCAGGGACGTTGTCATTCATGTTTGGCGCTTCTTCGCAATCAAGCGAGCTGCTTGAGCGCATCCGCGGCGTTCTTGCTTTGATGGGCAAGAAGTTCTGGCATCTCGGTGAACCCGGTGCTGGTGTGTCCGGCAAACTGGCAAACAACTACATCTTGGCACTGAACAACATCGCTACTGCCGAGGCTATGAACTTGGGTGTCCGCTGGGGACTCGAGCCTAAGGCATTGGCGGACATGATCAACTCGTCTACCGGTCGGTGCTGGCCGTCTGAGGTCAACAACCCTGTTCCTGGTGTTGTTGAAACGTCACCCGCGTCTCGCGGCTATGAGGGCGGATTTGGGGTCAGCTTGATGCACAAGGATCTACGCCTGGCTCTTGCTGCCGCGGAACAATCTGACACTCCTCTTGTCCTCGGCACCCATGCTCGTGAAGTCTACAAAGCCGTGGAAGATGGACATCGCGGAAAGGATTTCTCGGTGGTCTATAAGTGGCTACAAGAGAAATCCCAATAAGTCCTACTTGCCCTGATCCAGACAAGACTTTCCGTTCCATCATCCCCTCATACCTTCACCCATATCTTGCCCTCCCTCCCCAGATAGAAGGCTCCAATGGCACATGCATATTGCATATATCAATATTCAATATGCCGACATGGCAGTCTAGTATGAAACTTTGGGATGTTCATACCATTCTTTGCGGAGAGTTAACCTTTGTCGCCTCTGTCCTGTCCTTTGCCCGTGGAGCAACAGCCCTAACAACGAGATGCATCAGCCCTACGCCACGGGTCTCTTAGCACGTGGCTTCCTTTGATGATAGAAGAACGATAACCACCGACATTACGCCACTGCCCGTGACTTGTATTCACTTATGCTCTTCCGAGCCTGGTTCACCCCAGCGATCCCCGTGACGTTCGTCTGGCTTCGTTCTTTTTTGCTCTTTCCTTCTTCGTCCCCTTCTCCTTCCTTTTCTTCTTCCTTTTCACCATCGTCCTTGCCTTCCTTTCGATCCCACTCTTCGTATCCACGGTCTAAGTATTCTCCACGACCCACTTTTCGTATGTTCCTTCCATTACTTCCTTCCCACTCTTTCGTCCCATCTACTCTGTTGTACTTCCCCTACTAGCACCTTCTCGTTCCCTTGTGTCTACGAATAGCCCTCATCATCATCTGCCTCCCTCATTCTCCCATCCCACCCTTCTCCACGATCCCTTTCTCAGGGCCTTGCCCTGCTCCAATTCATCCCATTGATCATATCCAGTTGACACTTCTGTCTTCCTGCTCTGGGCTCACGCTTATTCTCAGTTCACGCAACTTCCACACACCTTGAATCTCGAGGTTTCTACCAAAAGGGTAAGTTACGCACCCCATTCTCCTGCCATTGGGATTCCTTATTACTCTTTCATTTATTACTGTCTCTCACCGGTGGAAGAAGATCTTGCTAACATCTACTCGGGCCTGAAAGATGATTCCAAGTTCATCCCAACTAGCGAGCTCTGGCTCTCAGCCTAGACGCTACCACCAAAACGAACCTCGCACCCCGTATGGCTCCAGGTACCAACACCCCATCAATGGAAACCCCCTGGCTGTACTAGGGCAGGCCTGACTAATATGTACAGAGGGCTTACTATGCAAAGTCACCGCCCCAAGCCCAAGGGCACCACGCCCATTCAGATGAACTCTAGCTTGGATTGGTCGAATGCCAACCGTGCATACAACAGTCCATTTATCCTGGTTCCCAACTCGACCGTGTTCAACGGTGTTCCGACCGTACCGTCTTTTCTTCCCAACCCTGCTTTGGGCAAAGCCGATCAGACGGGACAATACTCATACCTCCCAGCTGGTGTTTGGCCTAGCCCCATGGTTACTGGTGCGTACTCATCATGGCCTTATATGGCCAATTACGACATGCAGTATGGGACAAAGCAGCCCGCATGGAATGTGCCTCACGACAACAAGGAAGCACATGGAGAGGATAACGCTCAAGTCCAGTATTATCCTTCGAATGTGGCCCATGGCATTGATGGCACTGCCATGTCTAATTACCCCTATGGAGGCATGGTTCCTCCACAGCTCGGCCAGATCCCCCTGCCTCTCCAAATGATGAAAACCCATAATGGATACGTCGTGCAAGATCTTGAGGCCTTGACCCAACAAGACCCTGCTATTCCACGCGCGGTGCCTGCCATGTGGACTAACCCGTCTGACCTGACGCTTGCTAAGTGTCTGGAAAATCGGGAGGGAATCACGAATGTTTACATCCGAGGATTCCTTCCGGAAACTACTGATGAGGTGCTGCATGCCTACGCAGCCCGTTTCGGAAAGATTGATCGCTGCAAAGCGATCGTTGATCTTGACACCGGTCTCTGCAAAGGGTATGAGTCCCCGACTCTTTTCCTTTCGATGATATCATTCTAATCCATGGCAGATTCGGCTTTGTGCAATACTTCAACTTTGAGTCCTGCGAAAATTGCATTCGAGGTTTTTTTTACCTCGGATACCAGGCTAGTTTCGCGCAGAAGTCGCGAAACTCCCGGTTGAAGGACCTGGAGGACAGGTCTTCTACCAACATCTACTGCACTAATATCCCAATCGATTGGACCGAAGCGGTATGTGATAACTACAACGTCAAAAGTCTCATTTTCTTGCAAGCTGACGAGGTTGACAGGATCTGCGGCGTCATTTCGAGCCGTGGCGAGTTGTGTCTGAGAAGATTAGCCGGGATGAAAAGACCGGTGTGAGCAAGGAAGTAGGATTTGCACGGTAATTGGCCCATTTATATGCATTGTGAGATTTTCCGGACTATCTAACCTTTATTCACAGTTTCGAGAGTCGTGAGGTTGCGGAAAAGATCCTCACGGAGTTCCACAATGTCACCAAGGGGGATGGCGTGAAGCTCCTTCTGCGCTTTGCCGACACCAAGGCCCAGAAGATTCTCAAGCAACAAAGCAACGAGCGTCGTGCTTACCGTGCCGGCGAGTATAACTACTCCGTGGAGGTCGTGCAGGGATCTACCCCATCCCCGGGGGTGAGACGTAGCTCCCATCTCACACCAAATTCACAAGTCACCTACACCTCTCCGGCTGGTGTGGATTCTGATTGGACTCCGGCAACGTCGATCTCTCCGTGGTACGTGTGCAAGTTCATATCACAGCCAAATCATGCTGACCGAGACCACAGCCAACCGCACATGAAGAATCCATCCAGCAGTGGACGGAGTAGCTCGTTGTCCCCGCATGGTTTCAATGCCCTTGAGAACACCCCACCCTACCGAACGCGAGCAATCTCGCTGGGCCGTCGTTCTTACACCGACCTCTCTGGTGGTTCTTCCAATACGGTAGTCCCAACTTCGCCCACTAGGGACTCTCGCAAGGAGAACATTCGAGCAGTATCCACCCCTCCCGGCTCGTCCCAACTGGGCTTCATTTCTCCTACTACCTCGTCCACCTAAACACAATGTGTTGGTGCTGCCGGTGAGGTACTCCGAGACATGTTATCCCCGCGGAGTCATATCGGCCAGCATGTCTTTGGCATGCTCCTTTTCTTTTATTCAAATTCAACATCTCCACCAAGCATCTGTTATCATTCGCAGAATGTACAACGATGTATGGCCCGGCCTTTTGACAAAGGCGGGACTTTACGATTCACGAAGGGTTATTCTACTGCCATTCATTTTCACGATATCATTATGACTTTCTTTCCCGCATCATTATGGAGATTTATGGACTTTTACGACGTTTAATGGGTTCTACGATATGCAATTTTATGGAGGATTAATGGGTTTTATGGAGGATGGCAGGAAATGCCTTGCAGTCTAATTTCTAATATCATTTTATTTCACGAGAAGCTACTCCCAAGGTCCATGTAGGTGTCTATGTTCAAGTTCCCAAGGTTGAGCACAACTGTGAGGTGCAAATAAATCTATCAGAAATGGTCGAGATACGAACCTCAACCTATACACAAGTAGCATAGTCCACGCTTATTCTCCAACTCAATTGCGCCCCAGTCTCTCCTCCACATCCTCAGTGAGCTGGTACGCAGGAAGATACTGTCCATCAGTCTTCGCAGCCCCACACCGCAATCTCGGATTAGGATGGGTATCGGATGTGCCCCCAAGACTGGTATACCCCTCATCATAGAGCGAACAATATCTTAAATCCAAATGCCGAATAAAGGCCCAAATCTCCGCATAATGCCAATCAATAACCGGATGCACACGCATAAAATCAGGCCACCCCCCATCCGTCCGGTCAAAGTGCGTCAACTGTGCACCATGCGGATCCGTCCGCCGCGTCCCAACGAATATCGCCCGCACCCCAGGATGCCGCGCCAAATAATCTTCAAAACTGGACCGCAGCGTCGACGCTGGCGGCGCAGTCGTATACTTCGTCAGGGAAAGATGATAAGCCTCCGCCGAGGTAACGACAAAGTCCTCTACCGCGTCAAACGGATCGGGCGGCAGCGCATAGATCGCCGGGATGACCGTTGCGGCCGCTATTTGCGCCTCGGCTTCTTGCTCTGCGGGGGAGGGCGGTGTATTGTTTGATTGGGAGTCATTGTGAGTGCGTCTCGGGTGTAATCCGGCCAGGAATAGGATTAGCAGCACGAGACAGTCCTTGCCGCCGTTGTAGGAGACGGATAGTTCAGAGAGCTTGTAGCGCTGCAGCGCGGTGTGCACTACGTCTAGTGAGATGCGGGTTTGGCGCTGCACCGAGGCTAGGAGGGAGTCTGGTGGGTGGGACTCGGATAGGAAGGCTTGCACGCGGGCGTGGATGCGGGCGATCACGATTGGGAGGGGGGGGATTCCGGAGGCGTCTTCTGGGTTGGCTGTTGTTTCATTTCGGCTTGCTGCGTCCGAGCTTGCTGCGTCCGAGGGGTGGGATGTTTGTGAAAGCGGTGGGAAAGGCCTTAGGTGGTCTTCTGGCTTTGGGGGCTGTGTTTTATTCAATGGCGTTGTTGGGGTGGGTTCGGTCATTTTGTTTGGTCTTTTGAAGAGGTTGACAGGAGTAGAGGCCCGAGGGAGGTTCGGGCGGGGTGCGGGACTGCGGGTGTTCTCCCACTCGGGTTTCGGGGAGACGATGGAGATCGACTTAATCCACTGCGGGGATCCGACACATGTGCTTTTCGAGTATCGGATTTGAATATATCAGTTTGTACAGCTTCAAGATTTACCCCTTAAGAAGTTGTTTTGGGAAACTTCCGGAACCCCCGCGTCCCCCGCAATTTCTCGGTGGAACTCGGTAGACTCTCGTGGATCAACAACTTGGTTGAGGTCTACTGTGGACTTGCTTGGTTCGTACGATCTACAATTCAGATCAATTGGCTAATAAATGCTTCATAACTGCGGTCATAGCAGTGTGTTACTCGTATGGTGTGCCAATAGCCCCCTAACGCCCATAACGCTCAGAGAGAAGAAGAACAGAAGGAAAACACGTGGGATCAGCCTAACACCTTCATCTTCTTCTTTTTCTTCTTCTCTTCGCCACCAGGCTTACGCCCCTTCTGGAACTCCCGCCAGCTACCAATCCGCTCTTCCCGGGTATCTTCCCACTTCTTGTCATTCTCGCGCTTGCGCTTGCGCGCCTCGAGCTCCTCCTCTTCCTTGCGCTGCTCACGGCCTTCTTCCTGTAGACGAGCCTTGAGCTGCCGTCGGCGACGCGCTTCTTCTTCCAGGAGAACTTGCACCGTCTTCTTCCGCCACTCGACCTTGAATTCCTCGGTCTTCAGCTCAGGCGAGTCGAGTGTGTACTTGTGCTCACGGATCAACAGCCGACGCGCGTCGGCGATACATTCATCTAGGTAGGTGCGTTGCTTCTCGTCGAGGAGGGCTGTCTGTGCTTTCTTGAGTCTGTCGAAGGCATCGGGCGCCGCGGTATTCTTGGTTTTATCGGGATGGATCAGGAGGGACTTCTTGCGGTACTGGACTTTGATGTCTTTCTCTGTCACACCGGGTTGGAGGTCCAGGACAGCGTAGCTGTAGCGAGTATCAGTATGTGTAGATATGTAAGGTTGAGGGCGCATGTATCGAGAATGGTGAACTTACGAGTCGAGGCTAAACGCTTTGCGAATGCGGTCGATCTCAGCATCCTGTGTCGCGTGTCAGTGAATGTACGAATGGATACTGTGGAAATTGAACGTACCTTGGCATACTCCGAGGCCTCGCGCTCCAGGGAGTCCAAAATATCTTTGTCGTCGTCCGACATGTTGCCGACGGATTCTTTTCGAGGTCGAGTTTCCTGCACGATCCGTTTGGTCTTCAACGTTGAGATAAGAGGTTTAAGGCCCGCGTTTATCAGTCGCTGAGTCAGCGCATTAGAATCGGGCAGCTCAGCTTCGTTAGATCTAGTACATGGCTTTTTGATATATGAGACATTCGGCTTTGTCTAGTGTATTGCCTTATACTACTTTGAGCTGACTTATCTATCTAAACATAAGAATTATCATATTCTGAACAGCGCTGGCCCAATTGAACGAGAAAAAGAGGATCAGGTACAGATAGAAAGCCCCCTCCCCACCGCCTTCCATACCGCCTTGCTCTTTCGTACTCAGAAAAAAAAAAGATGTTTTCACCGCCCGCTGCTTTCAAGAATCAACTCAAACCACATCATGGCACCACGGGCAGTCAAAGGAAAGCCAAAGGCTCACAAAGACACAGGAAGGGTTCTCAAGAGAAAACGTGGCGAGGACAACTTGGCCACACTCGTGAAACAGGTTGAGGACCTCGACCTCAAAACCCCCATCAAAAACTTCTCCGATCTCCCTCTCTCCGAACCGACAGCCAAAGGCCTCGCAGCCTCCCATTTCAAAACTCTTACCGAGATTCAATCGCGTGCTATCAGCTATGCATTCAAAGGACGCGACATCCTCGGCGCCGCCAAGACCGGTAGCGGAAAGACTCTGGCATTCATAGTGCCCATCCTTGAGAATCTTTATCGCAAAAAATGGACCGAGTTGGACGGTCTCGGTGCCCTCGTTCTCTCGCCCACTCGTGAACTCGCCATTCAGATCTTCGAAGTGCTTCGCAAAGTCGGACGATACCACAACTTCTCGGCTGGATTGGTCATTGGAGGAAAGAGTCTGCGTGAGGAACAAGATCGCCTGGGACGCATGCACATCTTGGTTTGCACACCTGGTCGCATGCTGCAGCACTTGGATCAGACTGCGATGTTTGAGACGAATAATTTGCAGATGCTGGTGCTAGACGAGGCCGATCGTATCATGGATATGGGTTTCCAAAAGACCGTGGATGCTATCATCGACCATCTTCCAAAACAGCGCCAGACGATGCTGTTCAGTGCCACGCAAACCAAGAAAGTTAGCGATTTGGCTCGTTTGAGTCTGCAGGAACCCGAGTATGTTTCGGTCCATGAAGCTGCCGCCTCCGCTACCCCCTCCACTCTCCAACAGCACTACACCATCACCCCGCTGCCGCAGAAGCTCGATACCCTCTGGAGTTTCATTCGCAGCAATCTCAAATCAAAAACTGTGGTCTTCTTGTCATCTGGCAAGCAAGTCCGCTACGTATACGAATCTTTACGACAATTGCAGCCCGGTATTTCCTTGCTCCACTTGCACGGCCGGCAGAAACAGGGAGGACGCCTGGACATCACCACCAAGTTCTCTCAGGCTCAGCATGCGGTGCTTTTCGCCACTGATGTTGTTGCGCGTGGTTTGGACTTCCCCGCTGTTGATTGGGTCATCCAAATGGATTGCCCCGAAGATGCTGATACCTACATTCATCGTGTCGGCCGAACGGCTCGTTACGAGCGTGTTGGTCGTGCTGTGCTATTCCTGGACCCCAGTGAGGAGAAGGGCTTCCTCAAGCAGCTCGAGAACAAGAAGGTGCCCATTGAGAAGATCAACATCAAATCGAATAAGCAGCAGAGTGTCAAGAACCAGCTGCAGAACATGTGTTTCAAAGACCCAGAGCTGAAATATCTGGGTCAGAAGGCTTTCATCTCCTACGTCAAGTCAATCTATGTGCAGAAGGACAAGGAGACCTTCAAGATCAAGGAGCTTCCATTGGAAGAGTATGCCGCCAGTCTGGGTCTGCCTGGTGCTCCGCGTATCAAGTTCATCAAGGGTGACGATGCCAAGCAGCGCAAGAACGAGTCCTGGAGAATGGCACACATGTCCGGTGACGACGACTCAGATGTAGAGAAGAAGAAGGACGAGAAGGAGGTGCGGACACGCTACGACCGCATGTTCGAGCGACGCAACCAGGGTGTATTGGCGGAGCACTACTCGAAGCTCATCAACGACGATGGCACAATGGTGGCCACTGGTGCCCTCAAGGAGCTCGACGACGAGGCCGACGAGGATGCCGACTTCCTCTCAGTCAAGCGCCGGTTCGTCGCAGGCGACACACAACTTGGCGCGGGCAGCGATACTTCCGACTCCGAGGAGTCTGCCGATGAGGCCAAACCCGCAGGCGCAAGAATGGTACACCTGGATGGCCAAGACCCGCTACTCATCGACTCGAAGCGACGCGAGAAGTTGCTCAAGTCGAAGAAGAAGCTCCTCAAGTTCAAGGGCAAGGGTACGAAACTGGTCTACGACGACGAAGGCAATGCCCACGAGGTCTACGAGATGGAAGACGAGGAGGCATTCAAGGCCCGCGGCGACGCCAACGCCCAGCGCCAGAAGTTCCTCGAGACCGAGACGGAGCGCACGCAGAAAGCCGATATCGAAGACAAGGAGGTTATGCGCGAGAAGCGTCGCGAGAAGAAGGAGAAGCGCAAGGCGCGCGAGCGTGCCGAGGCCGCTGCGGAGTTGGAGGAGGAGGACGGAGGTGCCTTCTCCCACCTCCCCCATGTGCCCTTCGAGATCCCCGGTTCCGACTCGGACTCTGCCGAGGAGCCCGAGGAGCCTCGTCCCAGCAAGAAGCAGCGTGTCTCGTTTGCCAAGGCGGACAGCGACGACGAGCCCACGACAGCCAAGCCTATCGAAACCCTGGGAGATCTGGAGGCTTTGGCCAGTGGATTGCTGGGTTAATGTATATGTCATGGTTGTCATGGGTTTGCAAGGGTTTCTCTGGCGTCTGTTTTTCTGAAAACTCTTTATCTGGCGAGGTTCAAAAGCATGTGCATTAGTGAATATGAAATGAAGCGAATAATATCAGTATATTATAACCTACTGTATAAGGTGGATGTCGTAAGTACGATATCTAAACAGTCTCAACCGACATAACCCTTAATCAATACCTAGCACCTAGATCCTTCACAACCACCACTAAAGAGAACCTCATGCCCGTGAATACGATACAGATGGAGAAACAATGAAGAAAGCTCTGTGTATACTATCCAGGGGCACGAAGAGGAGAGAGAGAGAGAGAGAGAGAGCAGACAAACTAGTAGCTGGGTTCTATCCTAAATGTGACGCCCCAGGCACCAAGGCATCCAACAGAACCTCTGCCGTCCTTCTTACCCGTAGCACCGCGAAAAAAGAGTAAAAAAGACACGCCCCATACCATACGTATGAAGATATTGATAGCCCGAAAATGAAAATCATCGAATCAACTAACTACTATCACAGTAACTAGTTAACTAGTTAGCTAACTAGATAGCTAACTACCTCGTCAATCAACTTATGGAGGCTAATTCCTGGATAGTCCGCGGTGGGCTCAGTGCATACGCAGGCATTGCACGTGACTCAAAAAACAGCGTGAACGCCAAAATCGGAAAGTCGTCTTTTGAGTTCAATTGTGGAGACATCCCGACTTTCCGTGACACATCGGTGCGTAAACTGACCAATAGATATTCCGGGTCCCCGCAATGGCCCATGTGGCGTCCACGCCTCATCAAAAGCTTCAATCACGCCATCGAGTAAAATAGGCTTTGATATCCGCCATGCTTCTTTTTTCTTCCATTGTTCTCTCCTTGTTCCCGACGAGATTCACTAGTGACTATCGGCAACCCGGATCGATATCTCCAGATATCCGGTGCTGCCGAGATTTAGTTCGGCGAGTCACGTGTGTGTCAAGGGGGTTAGGGCTTAGAACGGTTGTTATAGACGCGACTAGGTGAGTTATGATATTGGATGGACTATCTCTTGAAAAGACGGGTTTGGATCAAGTATGACACATACTAATACATTCACAGAGGTTATATTTTCTCATCATGGCTGACATTGAGAAACAATCGGCGACAGAGCCCTCCAAGGGCCCAGCCACGAGGGAAGATCTCATGACAAACCCCTTTGTCAATGCAGACAAGCTAGCTCGCCGCCTGTCCGGGAGACAGGTGCAGATGATTGCTATTGGCGGTACCATTGGTACTGGTCTGTTCCTCGGAACTGGCTCGTCACTCTCTCAGGGCGGACCTGCTTCGATGCTGATTGCATATGCGATCGTCGGTGCTATTGTCTTTATCACGATGCTGTGTCTCGGTGAGATGGCAGCGTTCATGCCTGTTGCTGGATCTTTCTGTACTTATGCTGGGTGGGTATCCTTTTTTATGTGTCCTGGAAACTCCTGATTTCATATATGGACTAAGGCTAACTTGTTCTTAGTCGCTTCGTGGATGATGCGCTTGGGTTCGCATTGACCTGGAACTACTGGTTTAATGATGCAGTCTCCACTGCTTCGGATATAATTGCATTGCAGCTCTTATTGAAGTATTGGACAGATAATTTCCCGGGTTGGGCGATTAGTTTGATCTTCTTGGTTGTTGTCCTTGCTTTGAACGTTATGTCTGTGAGAGTTTATGGCGAGGTATGCATAGAAAGACTCTGCATCGTTGCGCCTGAGCTAACTGTTTCTTTTAGATTGAATATTGGTTGAGTCTGCTGAAAGTGGTCACCATCATTGTGAGTTCTGTTTCTCACTGGTCACGCGCAACCGTAAGCTTATTCGTTTCCTAGATCTTCATCATTCTTGGTATCGCCGTGAACTGCGGCGGTAATACAGACCATGAATATATCGGCGGCAAAAACTGGCACATAGGCGATGCACCCTTCGTGGGTGGCATTGGCGGCTTCGCATCAGTGTTTGTCACGGCTTCATTCGCATAGTACGTATTCTCTATTCCACCATCGCGAAGTGAAACCCCACTCTAACTGCAAAATAGCGGCGGCACCGAATCCATCGCCATCACCGCCGGTGAAACCAAAAGTCCAGCCAAGACAATGCCTAAAGTCGTTCGCAACGTCTTCTGGCGTATCGTTTTGTTCTACCTTCTCTCAATCCTCATGATTGGTCTAAACGTCCCATACAACTACCCCGGCCTCTCCGACGGGGACACAAGAACCAGCCCTTTCACCATCGTCTTCCAGCAAGCCGGCTCCGCAGTAGCCGGCAGCTTCATCAACGCCGTCATTATGACCTCCGTCATCTCAGCCGCGAACCATGCCCTCTTCGCCGGATCCCGGCTGCTATTTACCCTTGCTGTGGATGGGTATGCGCCCAAATTCTTCGGCAACCTCAACCGATACCGCGTTCCGTGGATTGCTGTCCTTGCCACGTCCGTTATCAGCGGCCTCTGTTTCGGTGCCAGCTATATCGGAGCTGGAAAGCTGTGGTCTTGGCTGCAAAATATCGTCGGCGTCTCCAATCAGCTCTCGTGGATCTGTATCTGTCTTGCTTCGCTGCGGTTTCGAGCGGCCATCAAATCCCAAGGTATCGAGCATCTGCTTCCGTTCAAGAATTGGACTTATCCGTATGGTCCGATGTGTGCTGTTGGACTCAATGCCTTTCTGGTACTGGTCCAGGGATGGAAGTGCTTCAGTCCGCATTTCAAAGGGGTTGACTTTGTCTCGTATTATATTGAGATCCCTATCATGATCATCATGTTCTTGGCTTGGAAGTTGATCAAGAGGACTAGCTTTGTCAGGAAGTCCGGAATGGATTTGATCACCGATCGGTATGATCCTTCTCAGGAGGATGGGGCCGGTGGTGGTCTGGTTACGGAGAGGGCGACAGGGTTTTGGGCCAGAACTCAACAGTTCGGGCAGTGGTTGTTCTTCTGATTTTTGTTATCCTTTTGATACCACCCGCGCGATACCTATCCTGCTTTTGCCTGGTTGCCTGTTCTTGTACATATATTTTCCTAATTCATCTGTCATCTGATATCACAACCCTGGAAGTTGATAAGGCGATCTCGTTGGGGCCTCGGGATTGTCCAATATAGAAAGGTTACACCGTATACTGTGGTACCACGTAGCCGGCTCGTATGTCATTGTCGTCGACACAGTTATTGCGGAGCGTTAGCGGAGCAATATAGGGAAATAGCATTATAGCAGGGTCGCGGGTCACGTGATGGGGTTCTAGGTCTGGAAATCACAAAGTGTAGTGTTAGCGCGGTGTAGAACGGCAGAATCACATCCTGAGAATTCATCTTTCCATTCTTTACCTACACTCATCGAATTCATATTTCCTTGCCTTTCCTATAAGATGGAATTTGTCTAAGCTTACCACCTGGTTGTTTTGAAATTGACTGTAGTCTGTACGCCCGACCGAGTCCAGCCGATCCGGGGGGGACGGTTTTCTGACTTGGTACTACAGTATTTCGACTCTTATAAGATCCAACCCCCTGGCGTGAAATGGTCTCGCAAGCTCAGATCGTCGATCGCACGGCGAGCGTGCAGGACCGGATGGGACATGGAGCCACCTTACGGAAACGGAGCTACGACAACTCCACCGACGCTTCGGCTTCGGACATCCATCGGTGCGACGGCTGACCAGAATCCTACAACGCGCCGGGCACGAGGTAGACTCGAAGTATATCAAGTACCTCACGAAGTTTTGCCATCATTGCCAGATGAAAGGCAAATCACCCTCTCGCTTCAAGTTTACCTTGAAGGACGACTACGAGTTTAATTACTCGGTCATCATTGACGTTTTCTACCTCGAAGGAAAGCCTGTCGATCCAACAAGCATGAAGAGTGTCCCAAGCGTGGCGTGCGGCCATGTCTTTGAGGAACCTGGCAGCACCGAATGATGTGGCAGCATCGATGACCTGTAGGACAGGCTTTCCTTCGTAGTCGTCCTTCAAGGTAAACTTGAAGCGCCCTGGTGATTTGCCTTTCATCTGGCAATGATGGGAATTTCACGTCCACAGAATTCAGGCAGCTTGCATCGTCGATGTCCATCTAGGTCAAGGAGGCCCTGTGGAAGCTCACAACAGCGTGGGAAAAGTGGAACGACACCACGCACCGCTGCGCCGTGCATACGAAATTCTTCCCCGCATCGTGGACGATGTAATCCGGTGGTCCTTGATAGGCGTCGATCCATCCTCCCGCCTTTCAACATCACATCCTAAGAATTTATCTTTCCATTCTTTACCTACACTCATCGGATTCATATTTCCTTGCCTTTCCCATAAGAATTCGTCTATGCTCTTGACTAGGCCGGGTTCGTTTCCAGGCGGTGACTTTTTTTATAGTTTACCACCTGACTGCTTGATGTTGATAACACTCTGCACCCCGGCGTCTTCTTCGCGATGCGTGATGCGGATAGCCTTCGGGGACTACCTGGGCATGTGCCGCATGTCCAGCGCGAGAGGCAGACGACCCCGCTTACACCGTCTACCAGCCGAGTGTCTCGAACTCTGCCCTTCCGGCCTTCGGGGCGTCGTCCCCCGCACCCAGCAACGCCCGATCGAGTCCAGCCGATCCGGGGGAGACGGCCTGCCACTCGCACCCCTTCGCCGTCCTCAGGTTCCTCATCTCCGGAGGAGTCATCCTCGGCCCGTGTCGGCGTGTCCGTAGACGGTAGAAGCCAATTTGATCAAGTTCAGTCTGAGCCTTTGTTTAAGATTAAAATACGTAATCTGAATTACCTACGGACTAGTTAAGTAAGACTGGCGTTTGAAAAATTTGGATAAAGCTAACGCTTAGCAATTGAGGCTGGGGGTCCGGGGGGCGCTAAAGCCCCCTGGTATTTATGCACAGAATTCAGAATTCAGAAAAAAAATGAACTCCGATAGGGGGAATCGAACCCCCGGCTGCCGTGTGAGAGACGGCGATGTTAGCCACTACACCATATCGGAAGGTGACAGCGAATTACTATCTTAGGTTTAGTGTTGACCCCATAGGTTTAGCGCCCTTTGTCCTTTCCTCTGGATGTTGGTTTTACACTGCAATATTGCTTGTATGCGAAACGTCGAAGACTACGGCGATTACTGGGCAGAGGGCCTACTCTCGTGGAGGCTCCTGCTCGGTGTAATATGTGTAGTGTTCGTTGTTGTTATTCCTAAGAATGCCAGCGTCGTGGGATATCCCTTAGACGCGTGAACGAATGCTAGATCACATGACTCCTCCCCTGCTTGCTTGTTGCACCAGTTCCAACACTGGACCACAACATAAGATGTCGCGTAATCTAGCCTCCTCTTCATAACCTCACACCATGGTAGCTTCTCGATTATCAACTCGGTCAGCCCCCTTCTTTGTTTCAACAAAGCCTTTATCGTCAACCACTGTTCTGCCTTCAAAGCTTCACGTTCTGTATCTAAGTCGACATTCCTTTTCTCAGATGGCTACCACTTCGCATGAACCACTTCCGTTGGGGACATTGCTTAAGAGTGATTCCGGACAGATATACAAGATCGAAGAAATCCTCATTGATCGCAGAAAGCCCCTACTATGCGTATATCGTGCGCGGTAAGTGCTAATATCTAGCTCGCCCCCCCCCCCCACACCCTTTGGTATCGCTGCTAACTCATGTGGATGACGGAAAGTGAAAACGACAATAAGCTCAACTTTATTGCAAAGAACATGATATCAGGGGAGTTTGAGTATCAATTGAATTTGCAGAAAAAACTGGCATCCTCTCACAATATACGAACGGTAATCGATACTATTCGGGACCTTGATTTGTTTATCTACCCCTATCTTATGGGAGATTTACTTCGTCTTGGAGGCCACAGATCGCTGGATCGTGAATCAAGGATTCACATCCTCCGAACAGCTTTATAAGGGCTAGCTTATATGCATAGCCAAGGAGTCCTTCATAATGGAAAGTGGACACCTTTCAATACTAAGTCCCTGATAATACTAACTTCTCTATAGACATTAAACCTAACAATATCTTGGTTGACTATGATGAGAGTACAGAGGGCCAAATTATCATCAAAAATGTTCAAATATCAGATCTCGAGGACACAGTCCTTGTTCCCCCAGGCAAATGGCTAACAGGTCCCCTCTGTGGCAATGCTATGTGGAGGAGCCCTGAAAGCTGGAGTCGATCTCGTCAAAATCAAGCCTCTAATATATTTTCTTTCGGGATTGTTGTATGTCTTATTCTTATCGATTCTTACTAAAATATCTAATACTATCTTTAGAGATATATGTTATGCTCAATGAGATGGTATTTCGCGTAAGCGATTCCCAACTTACAGCGGTGGACTCTTGGCGCTACATTCTCCCAAGACATGTATCATTTTTTGGCGACGAACAAGGTCTCAATGGCCTCCTGGAGCATATCGGAAAAGACAATCCTTTTTATGAGCGCTTCATGTCCATTGCTAGCAATACCCCAAGACAACCTTTCGGTTCTCGGGAGTCTGTGGATCAAGATCTTAGGGATTTGTTGTGCAAAATGACGAGCTTGGACCCCATGAAAAGGATTACTGCAACGCAGGCACTTCAGCACCGTTGGTTCATGTCAAGTTCGGAACTCTCGCGGTGCAACCAGGAGCAAGCGCGCTTGAATGGTGTTCGAGATTTCTAGTTTCGAATGCTCCTATATTATGTTCGTTGTAGCTTTGGAAAGATGCCTATTGCGAAAAGAATCACCTCAGGCTCTTTGCGAAACCAAATATAAACCTTTGAATGCAAGCAGATTTCCCAGGTTTCTGTCAACATAGTTCGTTCTAACTGCGAAGCCTCCACACGCCTTCGCTTCCAGATAACGTGAAGGATCTTAGCGCTGAGGAAAAGACATAAGCTCTTGTGAAATATAGAATGGATGAAATTAATCTCTATCATACCGCTGCAACTGGCATACACAATGACAAGCTTTACAAGAGCCTTGAAAATGCGTCAATATCTGAAACCGGTTACCCCTGGGACGCAGGTCCCATCAAGCTGCGTGCGGCTTTGATTGCATCATTGGTCATGAGTTTTGGAATGCCATTATGTAGTTCACATTCATGTCCAGTGCCTTTTCCACAAGAGGAACGGGGGGAACGTATCCGAAGCTTTCTTTCCACGCCCAGAGAAGATTCCGGCATCCACTTGGAGGATGGCACTACACCTGAAGATTTTGAGAGAGCATTACGTAGGACTTTCGAAAATCGGCTGAACATGGTGCGTCAGTGTGAGGAACAAGAACGAGAGGTAAGTTGGCGAAATTGGCCTTTCAAAGACGACGAGGATCATTCTACTTGCCCACCTCTAAATCATTTAAATTTGGTGTTCGAACGTCTAGGCTTCATTGATATCATTTTCCAGCAGATTACGTGTTTTTATAGAGCTTAGGCGAGAATGATTATTACCTTGCATGGAGAAAGGGTAGTACTATCTGTATGAGCGGACCTTTCTGAACGATCTCTCTATTGGCCGCGCTGTGAAACTTTGGTTGCTGACGGCTCGGCGGTCTTGTGGGCGCAAACGCTTTGGGCCCCAATTTCACCAACATGATCGATTGGATCTGGACCAAAAAATAGAGCTTCGTTATTCGCTGCTAACTTGGGTGTTTGCTCAGGAACAGGGGTCTGACAGGGTTCCCCTCCCAGACCACAGCTGAGGTGCAGGAGTATAAAGCCTTGAACAATCCTCGGCGTTTTTCAATCTTTGTTGTCAAGTTCTTGCACCCATCTGAAAGTTCTTTAGTTAAAGCATATAGATCAAATAAACAACGGTATAATACTTCTGAAAGTTAAAATGGATTCCCTTCAACCGCTCCTTCGTCGATGAGACTTTGTTAGTCTTGACTGCTGGATCCGGCTGGCGGACAAATGCATTCCAGTCTCTAACCCGCTTTGGTCGCTTTGGGGAGCGCATTTCGATGGCGGTGGGCTTGAAGGGGAGGGGAAAGCTTGATTGAGATATAGGTAGAGGGGAGTGTACGATACTTAACCACTGCGAGCCAAAATGATGATAGTCATTTCCAGTGAAAGTCTAAGCAATCACCCATGATGAAGCCGCCGGGCTTGTAATAGATATGCAGCAAGATCGGGATAATCATGCGCTAAACCCAGTTGGATATATGGCACTAGTCCTAATGAGATCTATGAAAACGCCTATACGGAATCACCACGATTATCTCCCACAACACCACGCACAACCGTGGTCTTTCCGCTGTCCCCCTGGATTACACCATATCGGACGGTCATAATTTCTCTCGTATATTATGCCTTTTGGACTAATACCCACTGTTCGGGTTTAGCGTTTCTTAGGTTTCCCTCCACGCCGCCGTCACGGCGCCGTGCGTGGTTCTATAAAGTCAGTCCCCTTCCTGGAATACTCCCCCGGAACCACTGTGGCCCGGGGAAGGGTGCCTACGGCCCTACTCCGCGGGACCGCGAGAATAATACGCATGTCCAGCAATACTGCAGGTCCCGTTATACGATGGGAGCCCGGTGCAGGCCCTGCTAACCCACTGGGGGCCCGGGGGGCCTGGGGGCCTGACGCCGGTGGGCCCGACAACTTTTACTTTGGGGGAGTGGCGGCATGGGTTCGACTCCCTGTTTGCGGCGCTGGTGGCAGCACAACCTAACTACATACCGATTCCCTCCATAACTAGCCCCTTCAACTTCAGCCTTTCGCAGCTAGCTACAGCTCTAGCAGATTGGTCATGTGACCGACGTGCAACATTTTCTCTGGTTTCCCCCTTGCCCCCTCTGACGAACCAGTCGTCCATATCCCCAAGAACATCCATATTCCTTGAATTAAATACCATTAAACGGTTTCCGTGAATCCGTACTGATGAGTACCACTTCAAACTCAGACAACGAGGACCGGAACGAGAATGACATGATTCGCTTCCGTCGCAAGCAAGAAACCCAACTTCTCCGCGCCATACGCAAAAACAACATCGAAAAGGTCACCACACTCCTCACAAATGGAGTTTCCCCCGATGGCTTGTCAAAAAGACCGCCATTGAAACTCGCTGTCCAGCTAGGCAGGATCGAAATCATGAAACTCCTCTTCCAGCATAACGTCCAATCGCCAGCTCTGCTCGGACCTGATGAGGGGGATGATGACGAGTTGCTCACCGCAGCCTACAAGGGGAATTTGAAGGTTCTGAAGATGCTAATAGAGTACCGAAACCAACGTGGCTACAGGGGTCATGCAGCTAGTTATGATGATGACGAGCCAATCCATTGTGCCGCCGCTGGGGAGCACGTAGAATGTGTACAGTTGTTAGTCGAGACGGGTGCGAAGATTGATGCGGAAAATGCGAGCTGGATGACGCCGTTGCATTGTGCTGCTGGTCAGGTCAATGGGGTGGCTATGGTGAGGTTTTTGGTGGCGTCGGGGGCAGATGTTAACGCTCTGACTGAGATGGGTGAGACGGCCATATTCATCGCTGCTTCGAAGGGAAATGCTGCCGTCGTTAAAGAGCTATTGAGATCGTCGCCTGATTTGAGTCTACGAGATCATTATGGAGAAACGGTTCTACATGTGGCTGCGTACCATAGTCCTTTACAAACTGTCCAGATGCTGGTCGAGGCCGGTGCTGACATCCACACCCGGTCTACCAAAGAGGCCTCAGCTTCCGGTCCGCATCAGATGCTCATAGAGGCCCAGCCAGAAAATCTCGCCCGGCCCGAGGAGAAGAAAATCTCTCTTCTCCATCTAGCAGCTGAAGCAGGCAGAATCGACACATTCATCTGGGTGCTAGAGAACAGCACTCTCACCCTTAACGATGTTGATGCCCATAACTGCACCCCATTACACTATGCTACGCGCAGCAATCGATCCGAGATGGTCAAGTTCCTCCTAGAGCACGGGGCAAACATATCCGCGTCAATACCAGGAAACCATACACCCCTCCACCTTGCAGCTGCCTATTACTACCCCGAATGGCCCCTACCCACCGACAACGGACAAGACGATCCCAGTATAGTCTCCCAGCTCATCCACGCCGGCGCCGACGTCAGCGCCCCAGCAGACGCCCGGGTTCTGCATTGTATGTGGCCGTACCGAGAGCATATCCGCGAAGATCTGTACAACATCTCAGAGGAAGACTCTGGCCGATCTGGCATCGTCTACCCGCTCCACTGCGCCGTATACAGTGGTGCCATCCAAAAGGTAAAAGCCGTTTTAGCAGCAGGGGCGGATATCCACGCCCGAACCACTGAGGGAAAGACCGCACTGCATCTGGCTGCGGGGAAGTTCTTCCGGAACATGATCCGCCTCTTGATCCAGAACGGGGCGGATCCTGGACTAACGGATAACGGGGGGTACACTATGGTTCGTGACCTGGCATTGGCGGGACGTTGTGAGCCGGGGAGTGCCAGGGAATTTCTGTTTGCTGAGAATCTATACGAGTCTTCGATGGAAGTGGAGTTGGATGTTCCTGATGATAGCCCGGTGTGGTTTAACAATGACGACTGGGCTGAATAATGTGATCGATACTCATCCTCCTAGTGAAGATGAGCCCATCCGTAACCATGTAGAGTTAAACTTGAGACTTCGTGATAAGTACGGGTCCCCACTACAATATGCAGCAAGATCGGGACAACCATGCGCTAAACCCAGTTGGACATATAGCGCTAGTCCTAATTAGATCTATGAAAACGCCTACTCTAAAACCTGGATATGTCGATACATGCATTCACCGATATCTGGCTTTGACCGATGTTTTTGGGCCTGGAATTTGGTTTTCCCATATAAATAACGATGAATCCTGTGACGGTGGACAGGAACAAGTCATGTGAGCCAGTGGGCAAGCAGGAAGGGAAGGAGCAGGGATCGCGGGGAAGAGTCTATTTGATTGTTTACCTCCTGTTCTTCTTCTTCTTCTTTCTTTCTCCCAGACTTGTTACTTTGTATGCAGTACAGCATCGGATCGATCTCCTTCTTGTTTTCTTTTCCCTTTTTTTGCTTTTGACAGTAACAAATCCTAGCTACATCGATATATCGCCCCTGTCAACATTCTTCCCCTGCTAAGTCGTTATATCCTGAGTCCATCCGGCCAATAAGAATGCCGAGAAGTATCACCGGACTGGCTACACTGAAATCATATTCCCTAAGGTTGAGAAAACGTTGGATATGTTCATTCAAGGAATGCATGATGACCACGATGAGGTTGAAGAAACTCATAGTGAGTGTCTTTTAGTTCGTGCGATAGGTGGTTCTCAGCTGCTCAACTCAATATAGAGGCTTTTATCGAGAAGGGCATCCATCTTGGACTCCGCCTGGAATTTGCGATATTTTGTGAACTACACAAGGATGATCCCCGGGCTATTGAAAACCCCTATCTATTCGAGAAAGACTGGTTTTGGATGGGCCCAGAAAGCATCCTGATTGATACCCTAATCTCATTTTGGAGGGGAGTCGAGAAATGCATGGTGTCGAAACTATCATATGATGGAAAGGCATTCACGTGTGATGGAACATGGGTAGTCCGTGAAGGAGAAACTATGGATCAAGCAAAAGCGAGGGTGAACAACCGAGAGCGTGAGAGGCTAAGGGAGCAAGCGGAAAAGGAATACAAAGCAGAAAGGGAGCGGGAGAAAGAAGGGTTGGAGAAATTGTGCGAGGAGGATGGAAGGATGCCATATGGGCAGAACAAGACAGGCAGGAGATGCTGAAGCTATAAAGCGTAGGCAAATTGGAACCGACAAGTTTGAGACAGAAATAGTTACTAAAACTTACTATGAACCTACTGTAAGGATCGCATGGTTTCTATTGGATACTAGCTGGGCAGTAACATGGATATTTCACTACCGAGCCGCCACCACTACCGAGCCACCCCAACATAACCTAGCAATTTTAAATTATCTCAACCAAAGCTTCCAGGATCTGGTACCGTGGTACGCTTTTACTTGAATACTTCTGCTTCTTATTAATAGCGCGTAATTTCTTATTTTCTTTGGCGAGTAAATAGCTCCCCACTGTGGGGAATGTCATATACAATCTTATGTTTTGAATGAGCTAGGTTATGTGGGTATTCGGGTGTTACCTTATCGTTGTTAACAAGTGGCCGCACTGGGGGGCCGCCGGCTTCTAAAGTGGGGATCTCTTTCTTACTTTGCTCTTTGGCCCGACCTTGCTAGCAATAGTCTTGGTTACCACGGCTAGAGAGGAAGACATCTATTGAGGCCACAAGTCTCTGACGTATACACCATGTTTTCGGAAGACATTGGATCTCGTGTAGAAGTGAGTTGGTTTCGAAGCCTCGGAGATTATGCTGCACTCTACCTCCGTGGCCAAACGCCAAATCCTTTCCTCGATTGGAGGAAACCCAGGATCCGGGGTCATGGCGCGGGGTAGTGGCCGTCCGGGGTAGAACTCGCCGAGCCCATAGCGCGCGGATGAGATGACACCGAGACGTGTCCGACTCTGGGATTCGTCAGGTTCTTAAAAGATAATTATTTATTGGATCAAGCATCATGAACATCAAAATTCATGTTCGGAGGCCAGCGTTCAAAGACATTCTGAATGGCTTTGCTAAACATTCGTGGTACTCGATACCCCGAGTCAAGCACTAGCGCTTATCCTCTTCCAGCTCCTCGATTAAAATATACTCGCTCATTATGATAGGCTCGCCGCTCGACAGAGCTGAACCACTAGGGAATCACAGAAAAAACTAGCATGACTCGCAGTCTCGCACTAACTGAACAAGGATCCTGGACTCTCTCCTACAATCCAAAGCAGGAAATTCTCCGGCGAATGGAACGCCACATCTAGACGCAAACCACCACATCTAGTCACGAAATTGCCGCTTCAGCCTGAATCAGCCTGTTCAGGATACCCCGCAAAGGAACCATAACATTCCCTGTCGACTAGTATCTATCGGGACTAGTACCTGTCAGATTACTTCGCTCGACAAGATCCCACCAGAATCAAGTGACAATGCTACCCTAGTGCCCGGGAAAAATGACCCCCATGATTGGGAGATGTTGGGTTCAGGAGGTCAAGGTCCGGACCAAGCTTCACTCACTTGAGCTAAGATCGGCACCATCACGAGCGTGTCGTCGCAGGTATATAAAGATCTGAAACCCCCAGTCGTCCCTGCCCTCTCTTTCATTCACCCGTTTCTCTTAGAAATTGTCGACATGGATAGCGGCACCACAGAGAAGCAGACCTCAGCGTCGGAGGTCGAGGCGCAGCCCACCTCCATGGGTGGACCTATTCACGATGAGAAGGTCGACTACGACAGAGCGGGCGCCATTGAGGCCGAGGCGACCGAACATAATATGACTGTGCTCCAGGCTGTCAAGGCCTATCCCGCCGCCAGCTGGTGGGCATTCGTGATGTCATGCACCATTGTAAGCTCTTGTCCACGATAGGCAGATCATTTCTCTAACGTTGCGATAGATCATGGAGTCATACTGTGTTTTCTTAATGGGACAGTTCATAGCGACACCGAAATTTGCCGAAGACTTCGGTGTATACACCGCAAAAACAGATGAGTGGATTATCGAAGCTCAATGGCAGTCAGCATTCCAGTGTAGCGGGCCAATCGGTGCCTTCATCGGTGTATTCGTCGCAGGTCCCATTACCAGTTGGATTGGATATCGATGGGCAACCATTGGCGGTCTCATGTTCTTGAACGCCTTCATCTTCATCTTCTATTTTGGCAACAGCCAGGGGATGTTTTTTGCGTCCCAGATTCTGGAAGGCATCCCGTGGGGCATTTTTATCGCTAATGCACCCGCCTACTGTGCCGAAATTGTACCAATGAGATTGAGAGCTCCAGCGACGCAGATGTTGCAGATGTTCTGGGCAATTGGGTCGATTATAGTCGGCGGTATCACTTACCACTACCAATCCAAGAATGACTCGTCAGCGTACAGGTTCGTCCACTTCCATAGGTGCCATCGAGGAGCACTGTACTAACAGTCAATTCAGAGTTCCCATTGCACTCCAGTGGATGTTTCCTACTCCCCTCGCTATCCTACTCTTCATTGCGCCTGAATCGCCCTGGTGGCTCGTACGAAAGGGCCGGCTGGCTGAGGCAGAGAAGGCTATCAAACGCCTTGGACGCGCAAGTGCTACTGATAATCCCGCTGATGCAGTCGCAATGATGCGTCGCACGATTGAACTCGAGAAGACTGAGAAGAAGCCCAGTCTGGTTGAACTGTGGAAAGGTACCGATCTCTACCGCACATTGATCGTGTGCGGTGTGTACGCATCTCAGAATCTAACGGGCAATCTAATTGCCAACCAAGCGGTTTACTTTTTCAAACGTGAGTCGAGCCATTTCCTGCAACCTCATAGCAGACTAACACCAGCTCAGAGGCCGGCATGGCATCCAATACTGCATTTGCACTTGGTCTCATCACTTCTGCCCTCCAGTGGATCATGGTCATGCTCTCTTGGATCCTCACCACATACCTTGGCCGACGCACCATCTATGTCTATGGTCAATTGATCAACTGTACATTTTTGGTCGCGCTCGGTATTGCGGCTTCGGTTGGCGCCAGTACGGCGGCTAGCAATGCGCAGGCATCACTTGGCTTGATTGTATCCGTGCTGTTCTGCCTGGGACCCGCCCCTGCCTCATGGGTCATCATCGGCGAGACATCTTCCGTTCGCCTCAGACCACTGACAACCGGTGTTGGACGAGGTGCCTACTATGTGGTTAATATTCCTTGCATCTTCCTTTCCAGCTACATGCTCAACACTGATAAGTGGGACCTGGGCGGCAAGAGCGGCTACATCTGGGCTGGTACCGCCTTTATCTGCACCGCCATGTCTTGGTACTGGATCCCAGAGATGAAGAATAGATCCTTCCGTGAGATCGACATTCTGTTCCGGCGTCGTGTCCAGGCTCGGAAATGGAAGCGGACGGTCGTCGATATCCACGATGATGAGTAGATGGAAATTGCTGTTGGGAGAAGCCTGTGTGGTACTGCTTGTGTAGCAATAGGTGGTAGAGTTGAGTTCGTTCGTTACTAAATAGTGACAGATAATTATATTAACAATTCCCTAATTATTTTCAAGATAAGTTGAAGATGAGGATCATGGCGTAAAGTACTGCTTCCTCTACTCTTGTCTGCTACAGTACCAGGCTGGCTTTTCATATATCTGATTAAAGAGGCTAATACCACGTGATCCTGACAGAGCAGGGTAGCTGAGTCTGGTTTATGTATAGTTCCTCTAACCATCTTGTCGTCGACGACCCTCGGACCCATTGATTGGCAAGTCGATCGATCTCCACGATTCTTGGCCGCTCGGCGCTCGCCCGCTCCAGTTCGGCTCAATATCCAGTTCTCCACCCGCCCGAGCGGATCGGCCCCGCCCTTCCGGGTGAATTAACTTCTAGCTAACTACTACATAATCCAAGAGTAGTTACGCAATTACACTACAATATGGGGACGGAATAGGGGATTCACCAGGTCACCAGAAGACCCCTCGGGCATCTCAATAAACTTTACCATCCATTTTCCCGCACTGCACGCATTCTCTCTGATCCATTTCGAGGCCCGCATCACCAAACTCAGGTCATACATCAAACATCAACCTCACCGATCCGATCTCCGCACCGCCATGTCGGTGCCGAGTCCCAACGCCCGTCTCTTTGACCAAAAACGTAGGGCTTTCATCGACCGTTGCAACGACGTCGCCCTCTTCATCATGGGCAACGCAGACTTGACCATCTCTCAGCTCGCCAGCTTCATTGTGGAGCTCCGGGTCCATGTCACCGTCCTCTGGCTCGCCGGCAATGTGTTCCTCCGCGACTGCTACCCCGATGACCTGACACACTTCCCAACCTGGTTCATGGCAAACGTGATGTCTCGCCTAGGACGACTCCCCATGACCGAGTTGGCCTGGGGATGCTTCTACACCACCCGCGTCCTGGGCTGGCTGCCTTAGGTAGCGATATATCTAGGTCGACGATCGCCTCGATATTGCTGCTAAACTAACCGAGCGGTGTGGGCGACGCTGGAGCTTGGTCGAAAAATCCCAGATATTCGCTCCCCCTGCAGTGGATCCAACCAAGTCGGACGATGAGGATGACGACGCTCCTGAATCTGATGATGGCGGTCTTCAGGGACTCCAACTTCCTCATTTTAACCCCAGCGTCGCCCACACCGGTTAATTCCAGCAGCAATAGCAAAGCGATTGTCGATCTAGATATATCACTAACCTGCAGCCAGCCCAAGACGCGGTTGGTGTAGAAGCATCCCCAGGCCAACTCGGTCATGGGAAATTGCCCTGGGAGGGGGAGGACGTTGGGCATGAACCCGGCTGGGAAGTGTGTGAGGTCGCAGGGGTAGCAGTCGCGGAGGAGCCCATTTCCGGCGAGCCAGAGGACGGTGACATGGATCTGGAGCTCTACGATGAAGTCGGCGAGCTGGAAGACAGTCAAGGTTGCTCAAATCCCGATGCATAAAATGCGCGGGGAACCATACTGGGTGACTCCACCTGAGACAGCAATTAGGACCTCCAAGCGTGGCTTGAAATATCTCTTTGCGCATTCAGAATATGCGGCTAGCTACAGATATATGTGCTGACCGGGTTGGCATAGGGCCGCATAGCGTTTGGACCAAGGCACGTTGCCTGCTAGCATTGACTAGAATGCATAAAGCTGCAAAGCAGTTGGTCAGTGCAAAGTTTGATAAGCGGCATTCAAAAAGATCATGCAGTCATAAAGCTGCGAGGCAGCAAGGCAGCAAGCCTGTGAGATGGAGTGCAGTAGGTAGGGCTTGGATGACCGGGCTGGACTTACGTTGATCCGAAGTATGTACCTCACGAAAGCATAAGGAAGTCTAACGGCATCGCCGCATCGCATCCGGTTTCATCAGTGGGAATTTTACACGGACAGGGCCTGGACCTTGCAGTGTCAAAGATCAAGAATCGAAAGTGCGAAGAGTTGAAGATGAGAAGAGTTGCAGGTGGGAAGTTCAAATGGACTGTCTCAGCAGCAGCTATTTAAGTCAACATACTGCCCAGAGCGGTTGGCGGGCCGGAATTACCTTAGTCCGGGGGTCCCGGTCATTAAACTCGGGCCGAGCGCCCCCGGATCATTATCCCGCACCGGTATCTACCCACTCCAATGAGAGGGCGGTGGACTCACTAGACATCACTGAGGAAGCCCTGGTTGCGATGCTACGGTGATACCCATCCCTACTGCACACATCAGTTTGGCCGGGGCTTGCAGTTACCGAAGAGGCCTGAGCTCACTGCTTGTCGACGTAGTGTGGCGTCGCTGATGATCTACGAACGTAAGACAACACGACAACGACGTCAACGAGGACGACAACTACAGTGCCCAGACTAAACTTCAGTTACAAGGTGAGTCGGTGACAAGTTCAATGACTCGGAGCAAGCACAAGATGTGATTGGTTACCGCACCGATATTCCTACCAGATCCTAGCTTCGTTTCGGAACCACCGCTTGGGCCAGGCTTCATCATGAGTCGATAGGGCTTGCATTGACCCAAGTATACACCACAACGCATGAAGCACGTCAGGCTGCCACCCACGAGCAGTATTTCCGGGTTCACCAGGAGCTGGGACTGCGTACCTTCGATGGGTCCAACGAATTTCCAATGTAAGATAAGATGGCGACCAAAACGCCTATGGGGACGCCAGCCCTCCTAGGTTAGGCAGCCGAGGGAAGCCTCTTAACATAAGCGTTAACTAGCTTTGACCACATAATAGGTCGCCCACAGAGACTTGATAAACCGAAATTATCTCCGTATCATCTAGAGACATACCATAAAGCGACTCGATATCTCACTCAGTCATATGATATCTGTGATAGGAAGCTGCTTGAAATTCACAATTCAATTAAGTTTCTACAAAATATGGAACTACTAAGCCTAATTAGGACATGGTCACCTAGTTATTCAGGTGTTGTGACTGACTATTTAGCTTCCAACTTACCTACGCAGCTTCCCAGAATACTTCTCCTCATAAACCTCTTCTCCTCACATCTTTTCCTGTCAAACCCTCATCATTTCCCATTCACCTATCCTCCAAGCCAAACTACCATGCCGACAAGATTCGACATCAGACAAAAGGTATTCAACCTCATTTTCAAGGCTCAGCGGCGCAGCGCGATGAACTTGAGCAGGTGTTGACCATGACACAGGATTTCCTTGATGGCCGCCTGACACAAAACGAACTTCGAGAAAGTTTTTACTCACGAACGAAAACCCAGGAGCTGCCACCCGACCGAGTCTGATGGTTCGGCGTTGTCTGTTTTCTCATCGACTGCCGACTCAAGTCCGCGGGCGGTTTTTTCCGCACAGCCCTTCGAATCAGAATCGGAGTTCACCGTCTTTGTGCTGAAGCAGCTCGGAACGTGGTACCGCAAAGAGAGCAACTACATGGAATATCACTTCATTGAGGTACCCATTCCATGGGGACATTCAGTGTTCACTGCGATCGGCAATACCTTCAAAGCACGACATCGTCACCTCCCGCCAGCCTAACGCCGACCAAAAGATTCGCATACAGACAGAAGGCCACTGGGTGTTTGCACCAGTTGAGTACAGGAAGAAGCAATTTATCCTGGTCGGCAAACCAGAGTATGCAGTCTGGTATGGTGATGTCAATGATACAGCAGTAAACGTTGTTATTGTCCGAGCAAAGTCTCCACTTTCTGCCAGCGAAGGAATTCCCCAATGCCTTGCCTACATGTGTCAGTACCTCGTGATATAATGGATCTCGCTATCTATATTCTAACGGTTTTGAAGCCATGGTCCACCAACATAGACGACGGGAGAAGAAAAAGAATTGTACAGTGTACGGCGTGTCGGCGGACGCGCAAATCTTCCTCTTCCTCAAAATTGACGAAAAGTCAAGGGTTAGTTTACTATTATCCTAGCTAACCGCCTTCTTCTAATTCTCGAATAGTGGTCCATGACTGGCCTTGATGCTTTTACTGGCAACTTTGACCGTGTTCTTGGCATGCTTGTCTATCTTCTGCAGAAGGCGAGGGAGGCGTCACCCACACACTCAAAGGAGTCCTCCGCCCAGTCACACGTCAAGGGATTCGGGGATTCCAAGTGTTTGATCAAGTCATGGATCCAAGACAAAGCTCTCCGCTTTCGGTTGCGGCGAACAGCCCAACCACGTCGACAAGTCCCACAGATTCAATACCTTCGATTTAGTCCATCCCATCCTGAGCATTCTCAAATTCGACCACCTCCTCAGGATTATACAGGGGTACGTAACTGGACTACTTGTTGCCTCGCTCTTGGTCTTGCTTCTCGGATATTTTTGAAACTTGCCTGGGGATAGCTATCGAATGACAATGAAATCAAACAATGACGTGCGCAGTAAGGTTCTTACTAGTAGTTACCGCGATGCCACCTTCGAGAGATGATAGGTCAACGGTTGTTCATGGAAACCTACAATAGCCTAAGTTATATCATAATATTGATACCGTAATAACTCGGTTAAGGACTCGTACAAGTACCGAGTCGAATACATGCCTATTTCTGCTCTGGCTTGTCTCTCAATGTCCTACCTCAAGATGTACTGCGTATTTTCGCAATGGGTTTTGGCAGCTGGCGCCTACCAACTGTTGTGATATAGGATCACATGATTGAGGCCTTAGTGACCAGACATCCCTCTAGGTAGAAGACTACTCGTAGAACCTGAGCAGGCGTCCTGTCTGCTCCAAACTAAAAATATCTGTGACATCAGTCATTGGGTATTCACCAGTGTGCTCCAAAGCAACTTCACACCAAGTATCCTCGACCTCCTCGCTTGGTCCAAACTTCTCGAAGCCCTCCTCATTGCCCCAGGTCGCTGTCGCCATTTCCTTCCCGTCGAGATTCTGTCGAGTATACTGAAACAGGTGTTGATAGTTCACACGCTGGCGGTGCGAAAAGCCCAATTCCATGGATTCTAGTTTAGGCATGTGAAGGGCGGCCTTGCCAGCCGATATATAATATTGATTGAACAACTCGTCCACGAATTCGGTTCGGAATAGTCTGCGATCGCGGTCCTCTTCAGGAACCAAGTCCCATGGACCCGACATGTCATGGTAGGTGTCAAAATGATATTCATCAGCCTGGCGACGGGCCTCGGCGTCGACGTCAAGATGAGATATATGAGATGAATCAGAATCGGACTCCCAGAGGCCGTTGAACTGTTCAAACATCCATTTCCCACATGGCGTGACGGGTACGGAATCCAATTCCACAGACCGTAGATGTGGCCAAAAGGGAGGTTCGGGATTGTCATCATTCAACGGCCAGAAAAGTTCTTTTCCCAAGACACAATCACTCAGCGACATCCCTGCCAATTGTTGGGAAAATTCTCGTAAACGCGTGCTTAGAGGATCCGGGGTTCCCTCTGCCGTTAAAACCGCTGGAGGATATGTTTCATCTTGTGGGGTTGAATGGGTGAACCCAAGGGTCAACTGGCGTATAGAAAGAGGCAAAAACTGAATAGAGTCCGCAAATTCTATATGAATTATTAGTATATATCCGCTTATTATTCGAGCATCATGCTGGAATCCGTATGTGACATACCATTCCGTCGACGTTCTCTTAATTGGGGATCCCATTTGCAATTATCATCCAAGATGAGGCACAGATCGTGTAATCGAGGCAACTTCGCTGCGATGAAACAACTGGAGGCTGGCTCAACTTTCCTAAGACCCTTCGCCGCCAATATTTCGAGATCGATGATGACAGGTACAGCTCGGCATTGAACATTGACGGCTTCCTCGTTGAATTGGAGATACGATCTTTGATGTCGCATGTCCCAGACGTCATGAGTTAGGAGTGTTTCTGCCCACGGTGACAGCCGGCGCAGCTGTCTTACCTCGCGTTCCTGGGCGCTAAGATTGCGGGGGGAATACGCCTTAATCGAAAGACTTATGCCCATTTCGGTGTCCGGCGGCTCCGGCCATTCGGATAGAACATTGAATAGTGACTGAATCGAAGTGGTAAAGATTTTGCTGTTTCGCTGAATCTCTTCTTCATTTTCGAACTTTCTGCGAGCCTCAAAATCATACGACTCCAGCTCCACGATGAAGTGAATTGTCCTTATATAACTTCTTCTTTGGCTCCATGACTGGTCCCATGGAAATTGTTTGAACTCTGCTAGTCGCTTGTTGCTGTCGATTTTGATGCTTGAAAAGGTTTCCCTCTCGATAGCTGCCTGCCAGGCGCGGTTGATAGTGGCATATGGGACCAAATTGGGTTTCTGAGTGGGATATGGGGCCCCGTCAGGGGTCATGTCGGCGATCTCCTGGGCAATAATGAACTCCAACACCATGGAAATCAACTCCGGTGGTAGTGGAAAGCCCATGACTTCAAGATGTTGAAAGGCTAATGATGCAAGAAAATTCCATGTGGCTGATGTCCAGCGAAGAGGATAAGCCAAGACTCAAAACCCTTGGGTTCACCAGGACTCAGGAATCGCGGGTGGAGTTGGAAGAAATAAGCTCCAGGTATAGAGTGATATCTCCATGGACCATGACGCTTCTGCCTCTTAGTCTTCTGGTTCTCGATCGAAGAAATTAGAAAATTTGATCATTGAAGTGGACTGTGGGGAAGACTCCAAGCTCGGAGACCACGCTCATCCTATGCAGCACCTCGTCTTTCGCGAGGTGTGATACTGTGTTCATCCTTGTCACCCTGGCCAACACTACAAGGCAAATGCCTCCTATAATTCGTGGAAACCTTCACTTACGATCTGAGTTGGATGGCAACACGTTCGACCCTGTCTGTGAGCTTAAAGAGAGTGAAATGATATTTGACACGGGCGCCCACCGCACTATTATCGCCGAAGAATTTACCTATCCCTGCTGCAAGACAATCAAGGTCGAACGTCATTGCCACTGGCTACAGAAACTTCCCAAAAGATGTTAGCGATACTGTTAATTGATATTAGACAAACTCCCTGCCTGATTTAAAAGCGAGGGTAGACATAGGTCAAGGCGGCAGTGACACGCCGGTCGAGTCAGATGAATGAATAATGTTGTTCTTCACACTTGCTGCAAAGTCCCATCATAATGAACATAGCTTTCCACAACTAGGTCCCCCCAGAACTGTTCTTCGACCGTCTCCCCACGGGCCTCCAGAATTGCACGCGGGATTGACCGATATTGAAGTACTTCAATGCAAGCTTTCTGACCTAAGATGATGCCGGAACGCCCATTTGGAACAGCCTCCTTGTCGACAATCAAGGCAATACTATCCTGCTGGAACATGACATTCGAGAACTCAAAAAAGAAGCCAGCTTGAACTCGGGTCATATCGTGGTTTCGATACGGCTGGTGAACAGGATCCGACAAGTGTTTTCGAAATTCATCGGTAAGAACATCACTCGTGATGACTGTGATCGGCGCGCCGGTATCCCATAGAATTTGCACATGGCGCATTTCACAGCGTGGCATGTTGTTATCGTAGTCGATAGCAGACAGTACAACATTGCCTACAACAGCTGCGAGGGTTTTCTCACTCAGCAGAGGGCGAAGGTTGAGGGCGTAGGGGCTTCGCGGTTCGTAGTTGTCATCATCAACGAACCTCTTCTTGAGTAAGGCCTGTCGGTGTGGAGAGAGGGGGGTTGGCATACTTTCGTCGCTGAGCATTCCCGCAGTCCTTATCGGGCGACCCATTTCGAGCTGGGGTCCTTCGGAGTCTGTATTCTGATTCTGAACTGCCATTTCACGCAGTCTCTGACGGTAAACTGGATCTTTGTTTGGCAGCAAGATCCGATCAAGCAGGCCACTCACGGACTGTTGGGCTGCAGAAAGACTTTCCTCGAACGTAGCATGGTTGCTAGAGAGCGTGACGTGTAGGTGAGGATGACTATGTTTCAGACCATCTGCAACTGCACCGAGGACCACATCAGTAGGAAATTCCTGCCCTTGCTCCATTTTAGGTCTGCTGGTGCCTGGTAAATGCGGATTCGACAACTGACAACTGATGGAATTTGATATAACCCGCTGAAGTATGACGGATAACTCTGGTTTGGTGAAAGGGAAGTAAAGTAACTGGTGGGGCGAGCACTAGAAATACCGATTGTAACGTGGGCGAGCTCCGTCGACTCTTTCGATTCTTACGTCAGAATTCTCGGGTCCCGTAGACTCGATGTAGCAGCCAGATAGAATGACGAAGCTTCTGTTTTTGAATAACATATCAAACAATAAAAATGCTTGACACCGATCTGTCTTCGGCCGATCCTGGTTCGTTCGACCTCGGGAGGGCCCACTTCGCTCCACTTGATTCCAGGTACTACCAGATCCCCACTTACTGCGTACAGTGTACTGTAGACTCGTAGAGGAGCCGTTTCTAAACGCAGTTCATTGCATGAAGCATCTCTTTCAATGCTGACCATCCAGAATGCTCTGACTTAGGGCAACACCACGACCCCGGCAGCTCAAGAAACACGAGTGGAGGATAGTACATCGAGGATCCATGTTTTACTGCTTCCAGAATCTAGGTATCCTGTTGGGGGCCTAGGGCCCATTGTGCACATCCAGACTGTTCACAACTTTGACATACACAGTGCATAGGATGGCATGGTACCAGGTAGGCCCTAGTAGAATATAGCAATTGTGACCCGGCCTAATAACTCCTATGTGTTTAGAGAAGAAAATTTTGTTTCTTACATAACGCTCTTGAGCTCCAGTGCTGCATTTCAGATCAAGGAGTATTCCATCGCACTCTACTGAGTAGTTAACTGATTTTTGCTTGGAAAATGACCGCATTTCTATATTCCTCATGTAAGTTAAAATTGCCAAATTTTCAGTTCTCCGGTGCCATGGTCTAGTGGTATGACGACACATTGTGGTTTGTAATTATCTGTGTTAGCCCTGGTTCGATTCCGGGTGGCGCCATTTTCGTTTTTTTTTTCAGCACAGTACTCGTGTATACTAGCTACAATTACGCAGTCAGTACACAGTACTAGATAGACCACCATCTGTGAGGTGTCGAGTGTTACGGGTTGCTTGCTGTTGATGTTGGAGATGTTGGAAAGTACATGTACCTATGCTGTGATCGGCCTTCTATTTGCTTGCTTGACGACGCTCCCTTTCGACTCTCCTGCCTTTCCTTTTCTTATCTCGAACCTGTGAAACCAGTATGGACAGTACATGGTATCCTAGGTAATTTATTTACTGTGATAGCCAGAAGATCCAAGGAAATGTGAGCGCACTTTGCTTTACCTTCATAATGTCAATTTTAGTACAATATTTCAATCAATTGGTGCCATGGTCTAGTGGTATGACGACACATTGTGGTGAACAATGATCTGTGTTAGCCCTGGTTCGATTCCGGGTGGCGCCATTTATCCATTAATTTTTTTGAATTTTCTCTTACAGATCTAAACTCACTTTTTACAACAACTACCCGGCATAAAATAACTCCCCACCGCCTGTGTTATGCCGGGTAGATGAAGATACCGTTGACTGTTGAACCAATCGACCATACAGCTGCATCCCTAAATGCGATTATCAATAATAGGGTCATCTTCATCCGACAACCAACCGGATCCAAAACAGAGGGAAAGGAAAAGGAGGTTGCCTCGGACCCCTCGGTCTTCAAGCCTTATACAGTACGGACTACGGTTTGCGACAAGCAGGTTATTTGTGGTGCGGGCCCATGCGCTAAGATATGTCAAGTTGAGATGATTTACTGTGGTTTCTGCCAAGGGGTTTGAGCCTAGGAGAAGTACATTGTTCTGAAGTCGGCTCACTGTCAGCTTGAAAGCGAGCCCGAGGCGGGCATCCAACGACTTCATGCTCGCAACAAAAAAGAAGACACCTAAAAACGACTATGGTCCATGATGTAAATGGAGAGCTTCCATTGGAAGTCCCATTTGAGAACGATAGGTGAACAAAAGGCGGTTGCTAGACCCGGGACCTTCATACCCATTTAGCGAGCCACAATTTGGAATGAGGGGAAATGGAGATCTGCTTGGAATACATGATTATGAAGTTGCCTAATTGGCGCTATTTTTTAGACCGTCGGATTAGCGTCGGGGTTCCGATTTATTGAGAGGTTCTTGATATGCCTGCTTCCAAATTTCCGGGTTTTTACACTAGAAAATTCCCGTCGTAATCCCCAAACGGATAGGTTCCTCGTGGGCAAGATCCATGATTTCACCTTTGGAAAGGCTCCGTGATTTTGCTCGATACATGGTACTGGAGTATCCGGGTATTTGACGGCAGTTTCTAGTGGAGACCAATCAAGCGTACTGAGATACGCCGAGGTTGCATTATGCACGATTGCACGGAGGGCTGTTCACCAAAGCTTATCTGCATCAAGCTTCCAATTCCCACATTTTCAAGATATGAGATTAATTTCTATGTTATCATTTAACTAGTAATGGGTCGCCTGACCAAATGAACTAAGTCATTCGTTTTTCTCATGTAGCCAATCGTCCTTCCACATCTTGTCTCATGTTCCTATCGAGCATCCATAAATCGCTCAATGAAAAGCCCCACGTCAATTAATTTAATGCGCTTTGGGCACGGCCTGTTCGGGCAGGTCCGTTGATTGACCAGCCACTAGACGTACAAGCTTTGTACAAGCTTTGTACAGCGATACCAAGCTTTTTAAAGATGCCCATGTTGCTTGTTCCTACTTAGTCTCGTCGGCCGGCGCTACATTAGTTGACCAGCAAAGATTATTGGAGTAAAACTCGTACCAATTCAGTATTGATTTATCTCTCCATTGCGCATTTATCAATCCTGGCGATTTTAGTCGCACTGTGAATTCCCCACTGTCTCGTGCCTTCCTAGATATAAGAAGTGTGATTCTCGGTTCGCTCCTTCTCGCTTCTGATTTCTTTTTGGCCCATTCTCCGAATTATTCTGTCCCTCATATTCTGCCAATGTCTAGATATCCAGGTTCAGGTGACTCAACTGCTCCCACTGAGCAGATTGGTGGGAAAGCCGAGTTTCCCAGCAAGACGAATACAATGGCCCAAGCCAACTCATCCCCCGGTATCCGACAACGTGTTTGGGGCTTAGAAGCGCGTCTGGATCCATATGTGACTTTCGAAGAATACACATACTGGGCAAAGATTGAGCGGGAAATGGAGGATGAAGAACAACGTCGCTATACGCCTATCGAATCTGGCAGTGGTGTCATTGCATCAATTAAAGGTTTATTTTTCAAGAACGCCTTCAATGATTCAAAGGTTCACAACTCGCGCGCGTTGCAGGGCAACGAGGAATCTACCCAGTGGTCCGACAACAAGACAGGCGTGGCTGTCAACAACGATGAGAAATCCGTCAGTCCAACCCAACACTCTGATGTGTACGACCTGGATGCCGAATGGCGACAGGCCTCTCGAGCGCTACGCAATGCTAGCTGGGGAGCCATCTTCTACCTGATCACAACCGATATTTTGGGCTGGTCCCAAACTCCGTATGTATTTGCCAACACTGGTTACGGCCTCGGTGTCGGCATTTTCCTGCTCATGGGTATTGCTGCCTTTGCATCTGGAATAATGATTTGGCGGACCTTCCTTGGTCTCGACTCGTCCCGGTTCCCGGTTATGAGCTTTGGTGACCCATTCTTTCGTCTGTACGGTCCCAGAATGCGCCACTTCATCAATTTTATGCAATCTCTCCAGATGTTTTTGAGTGTCGCTGTCGTTCTTCTCGGTAACACTGGTATTATTGCCCAACTTGGTGGAAGCGCCAATCTCTGCTTTGTTGTTTGCGGTGTTATCTCCCTCGTCGTCGGCATGGCCAGCGGTTATATGCGATCCCTCAAGCACCTCGGCTGGTTCTGTAACTTCTCGGTGTGGATCAACATCACCACGTTCGTCATTATGTAAGTGCGAGCCCGGAAATACTAGTTACAGTTCTTCACGCTAACCCAGGGACAGTTGCGTCGCTGCGGCCAAGTACGGCCCCGATCCTACTGCCGCTGTTCAGAATGGCATTCTGCCTAAAGCATGGAAAGATGTAGCTACAATGGCGCCGGTCAAGACTTTTATTAGCACTCCGCCAGTAGAATATCAGCCTACTGACTCCAACCTGTTTGCCGCTCAATTCAACGGTATCAACAGCATGGTTTGTAAGTTGGAACTTTTTGAACTACACAAATCATCAAACAGAAATGCTGACGTCTATTTAGACGCCTACTCTGGGGCTGTACTGTTCGCCGCTTTCTTATCGGAGATGAAACGTCCTATGGACTTCTGGAAGGGTTTGCTCGTTGCGCAGACATTCATCACTGTTGTATACATCTTTTTCGGTGCTTTCGTAAATTCTTCCAAGCCTTCACCTATACACTAAGAGTGTACGCTGACAGCCATCCAGGTGTATAACTACTACGGCCAGTACAGCTATAGCAACGTCAATCAGTCTGTTAACCCAGAGAGACTCCAAGTTGTCGGAAATGTGCTCTCACTTTTGACCGGTTGGCTTGCCGTTTGTATGAATGAATCTCCCCCGACACAGACTGGAGATAATGATCGGCTGACAAATATTCTTAGTTCTTTACTTCAACGTTGGCATGAAGACTGTCTACCTTGAGATCGGCCAAGAAATCTGCGGCCTCCCACCTATCACAACAAAGAAGGGCAAATATCTTTGGTGGGGTCTCGGTCCCGTGTATTGGGTCATTGCTTTTGTGGTCTCCATGTCTGTTCCGCAGTTCAGTGCCTTCACCAATTTCGTAGGGGGATTGTTCAGTCTGAACTTCACCTACTCGCTTTCTGGAGTCATGTACCTAGCCTACAAGATTCAAGATGGCGCCAGACTTCCACACGAAGGATTTGATCCTGTCACTGGTGAGACCACACGTTTCGATGGCGGTATTCGAAGATGGACACGTGGATTTATCAAGACCTGGTATCTCAGCGTGCCCGTTCTCATATATACCCTTTGTGGTTTTGCTACATCGGGTATGGGTACTTGGGCTGCTGTCTCAGCTCTTGAATCAGCCTTCGGTCCTGGGGGCTCAGTTGAGAGCTCTTGGACTTGTGTCAACCCGTACTACACTGGGTGAGCCTTGAAAGGTATATTTGGTTTTTGTGGATTCCTCGTGGGGGCATCGCGCAGGTGCCCGTCTGGGCATGGGAAGTAATCCAAATGGCAAGCCTGGAGACATCAGCGTGTTCACTAGGTATTGATAAGACTGCAATGACATAGATACCTAGATATTTGCATGTATATGTCAACTTCAAACTTCAGGAACTGTACCTAGGTATGCGCTTTTCAACATGGACTGTTTTCAATGTCGTACCTTCCTCGCTACTTTCGTGTCATGTCATGTCTCGTCGAATATGTTCGAATGGATGGATTTCAGTGGAATTTCATCATCCGACTCGTTGTCCACATGAGAAACTGAAAGTTGAACCTAGTTTTTAGACAGCACTTCCGTGGGCGGCCGTAAAACTGGGTGTCCCATCCCATAGCTTTTGGAACTCCCGAGTGAGAGTCCACAGTGCGCGGAATTCTGGTTCCAGCTCGACTGCTAAAATTGGATGAAATCATCTTGAATAATGGCCGTAGTGTTGGTATGCATGCAGAGATTATACCGGTCGAGGTTTCGACAGTGCACCAGGTGCAGGCGTTTCCAAGTGTCCAAGCAACAATGAGGCCCTCTGCTATAGACTCAGAGCAAGAAAACTATCATCTTTGACGAATAAGATGTTCTCGTTGGCCGCAGCACCTCGGGCCGTCCCGCAACAGACCGCATTCAATTCAATTGCATTCTCTGCCTATTGATTTTATTCTTTTGTAACTGATTGTCGAATGTCGAGAATTGTGGATCATTCATGTATATACGCTAGTCTAGATTTGCCTTAGCGGATGTCGAGATTTTCCCACTTGGCAAGCGAGACACATAGTGTCTCGTTCCGGCTGAGTTTCCTTCTCCTTTGATCAACTCAAATCAACTCATTCATCTTTTATGATATTCATTACGATTGGTTCCCCTTGGCTCCTCTAGATTCCATCACATGTACTTCCATTGTAGCTCTTACTTCACAGCCGCGATATTGGCCAGAATTGATGCGCCATCCGCACAGAGATGGTTTTACCGAAGCTGCAAGAGTTGAAGTTGAAGGTCTTCGCAGCAAAGGCACGTTTGAAGAGGTGGATAGACCTAACGATGTGGGCAAGCAGATTTTGCCTCTTACTTGGATATTCACTACAAGTTTTGATGAGGACGGCTTTCTCATCAAATACAAGGCCAGGATTTGCGTGAGAGGTGACTTACAAGTTGTCTCCACAGAGGAGAAGTATGCCGCCACATTGGCTGTAAGAACCGCACGCATGATCATGGCCCTGGCTGCAGCTTTCGACTTGGACACGCTCCAACTGGATGCAGTCAACGCGTTTTTGAACAGCATACTCACTGACGAGGTTTATGTGAAGTCTCCAACAGCGCACGTTCGCGGTCTTGGGGAACATGCCTGGTGGCAACTCCACATAAACCTCGTCAGTGAGTATGCTGTTCAAAAACGCGTTGACTGCATCCAGTTGGAGCGTGTCCAAGTCGAAAGCTGCAGCCAGGGCCATGATCATGCGTGCGGTTCTTACAGCCAATGTGGCGGCATACTTCTCCTCCTGATTTACTATCATTCTCCTTGATCATAGATATTTTCGTCTCCTCTCTGTGATACTGGCACTCAAATATTATTGTGGGAAGGAACGGCCTCGCAAGAGCGCATGGCGCTGGTATCAAGGATGGACCAGGAAGGACTGAACTCCCTCGGGTCTCAAATGCAGCAACGGGCTTCATGGTCTCTCTTCTTTTCCCGAGCACCGTGTCGCAATACCTAGTTGCTGGACTCCTTGTCCTGGGTATGGTCAGTACGCTCGGAGTTCGCGACATCTCATGCATTTTCCCTGGCTCGTTCCGCGATTTGTCTGACCCGATCAGTGGTACGCATAGCGAAAAAGGCTGGATCCATTCCCCCGAATGAGCTCATAAACCAAAAGAAGGCAGGTCGAGAGACTGGCGTTGTCGGCCTGGGCGAGTGAGGAACTGAAAGAGAGTAAATACGGCGACTGGCCTCATCAGTGAAGTATTCCGCGCTACTTGCGGCGCCGGAGAACCGATGTCCGTGAACATTGCCACCATGCCCCGGGGCGGGGAACTGTCGCAGCTCATCATAGGTGGGAAACACGACATGGGTCTGGCCGCGTTGGCGTTGACTCAGGTGGAAGTCATTGACAGCTGAGCCACTCGCGCGGGTGATAGCGACAGACCCGAGATCCTTGGCGCGGAGCTGGTGCTCACTCAGTCCGTCAGAGTCGTTTCGGTCATTCTGGACTCCTGGAGCTAGGCGAGAGCCTGTGCCGAGCGGTACAGGCAGCAAAAAGCGAAGCAAAAGTTGGCGCCACCCGGAATCGAACCAGGGCTAACACAGAACATAAACACCACAATGTGTCGTCATACCACTAGACCATGGCACCGAAAGACTTGAATTGTTACGGGTAATAGATATCAAATGGAAGAGTTGCTCCCTTTACTTCTGCAATGATCACTGAATGAGTGGTGTGCACAGAGTATTAATATTCCGTACTTCGCTAAACACTATGGTCTCCAGACCGCTTTTGGGCCGGTCATGCTTTATCATTGGCTTGTTGTCCCCTTACCGCCTGGGTACCTCCTGTTCTGCCCGCCAAACCCATTGCCCGGCAACCATATGCTCATCCATCTTCTTCATCCATGTTGCTCAGATATGTAACAACATTATCCTCGCCTATCTGGATACTCCGTCGTTGTCCTGGATGTGGTGATGCGGTTATGAGTCGTTTGATGACCAAACATACTGATAACAGGATGGAATAGATGGGTGATAATATAGGTTGCCCATGTATATATTCCATGTTAACAGCCCGGACATGCGGAATGAATTATTTTATTTACCTACCTCTTCCCCCAATACGACCAAATGCAGGTGGTCGTACCTACCTAAGGTAGGCGCTCTCTGACATGACCAAATAGGCCTATGGTCGCCCCCATGGTACGGCACCTCCAAACACTGGGGTGGCGTGTCACACCAGGCAAACGTGGGAAAACAAGAGTGCCATTATAGTAAAAGATTATGTACACTCCCCACTGGAAGATGTACAATGCTAATCAGTAAGCATGGGTGCGAACCTAAAGAGCAATTAAAAGACAAATTGTAGGGCTCGCCTAGGGGTTTCCTGTGAAACATGCTATAGGGCCTATACAACCTGTTTACTCTCCCTTCTCCTCTTTTTTCGCGTTTCCAATGCAAGGTCTCGTTACTCCGCTACAGCTGTGGCCCAAGGTCACAGTCGCAGTCGCATTGGGATACAAGAGGAACCTAGCCTAGCGGAGTAGCGGAAAAAAAAAAGAAAGGAAATTGAATTGGCGCCACCCGGAATCGAACCAGGGCTAACACAGATCATTGTTTACCACAATGTGTCGTCATACCACTAGACCATGGCACCAGGAACTTGAAATTTATTCAATATTTAACTATATCATCCAGCATACATCTTTCTGATATTATGCATATGTCTCAGACATGCCATAACTATCCGTGCCTTTTAGCTTCCCACCCCTTTTCGGTGTGGAGTGTTTGTGCGCGAATCTATACGCACGGCGTAGTTGGTTCAAGGCATCAGACAACAAGGACGGAGAGAGACGGTAACCTTGAAGCTCAAAAGCCAAAAGATAAACAATGCACCGCTGCGATACTGAAGAAAGCATACACAATAATTGTGCTATCTATCATATGGGAGAGATAGTACAAAAAAAAAAGAATAGAAAATGGCGCCACCCGGAATCGAACCAGGGCTAACACAGATCATTGCAAACCACAATGTGTCGTCATACCACTAGACCATGGCACCGGAAGGGGTGAAAATCATTCAGATTCTGTCTACATCAATGTAGTATTCAGAACCCATCTTCGTGCACATATTCGTACTCCGTAACTACTTGCCCATAGAACATTGAATAGTTATCCATACATAAAGCATTGAGCCTACGTGTATGTCCTTTCTAGATGAGACTTTTTGAACAGGTTGTGTTAGTGTATGTGACGTGCCAGATCTTTGAAGAAAACAGTGCGTTTAAACTAGAACAAATCGTCACAGTGTACTGATCACTACGGAGTACAAAGATCCCCGTTCTTTTCCCGTTCTTTTCAAGAAGATACCACGTGGTTGCTCCATTCTCTCACGTGAAAGCATTTGCCCTACATAATATATATGATAGACTGGACGCTGGACGATCATGAATGGACCCTAGACTAGCTAGATCACTCCGTGAAGGACTTCCCTCGCCACATGCTCCGCCTCACATCTTCTGTGATAGTATTCCTCGCAATCATTAATCCACAGGGACAAAGACGTATGTCACCTTTCGCCTTCTAGACGTTGTTCACAATGGTCTCCGTCCCAGCTTCACTGTTCTGCATTCGTCGTGGTATCAATGCGCCTTTCCATGACCTCGCACCTCACAAGCACAGACTCCACAAGTTCCTCCGCTCGCCGTGCGATACTGCTACCGGTCGCGACTTTCTTGAATCAGGAAAAGTCTAGGAAAAGAATAAGCGAAAGGACACGATGGGAACTGTCACACTGACGCGGGAAAGGAGACACCTGAACAGCGTATCGTAGATGCGGAGGAGACTGACTCTTCTTCGGGCTCGGGAAATGAAACTATATTCTTTAAGAAGCAAAAACCGATGAGAAATGGAAAAGGGAGGAAAGGATAAATAGAACGAAATGCTTCGGGGTAATCTTTGCCCGGGGAGTACCTGGGCACGAGGTAGTTGCGACGCCACTTGACTCCAACAGTCCTGCGACTACCTACATCTTGAATACCCATGGGCCATAAATATCTGTATCTACGTATGGCACTTGTCTGTAACAGTGGGTTTGAGGACATGCAGGTGCGCAGCTAAGAGTCCAAGGACTTTTATCAATTCCATCTTGACATAACTCTACTTCCATATCTCCCGTATATCTCTACTGTGGTACTGTGTAAAAATGAGTCTCGATCTAGAACGTTCCATCCTAACCCCACCATAATGCCCTGCTTCCGGTGAATTCAGAACATACCTGAGGTCACTTCACCACCATGCGCGGGCCCCGGTGTAGGAATAGCCTCGAAATCAAATCGCATGTTCATCCTCTCTCTTTCGACTTCCGTCACGATCCTCGCGATACGATGCGTCCCTCGATCCCATGCCCCTAAAACCACACATGCCGCTGCCTTTCCGAGCTGGGTTCCCAGTATCTCTTGATACTCCCGGGTACCGTACTCCCAAGTATGACACACCGCTGAATCAATATAGTTAACAGGCCAGTCAAGATTGTGCCGTGGGTACAACACATCGCGCACCAAGGGCAGAGTCTGTTCGCTAGTAACATCCACATAATAAAGGTGCCTGAGAGTATTGACATCGTGGTCGTATGTATATTGAGCAAGAACAATATCGGACCAGTGCGGCCCCGTGTGCCTGGAGAGGCCCTCGGCAATGAAAACCCCTGGGCCGACAAAGTGACCGTACTGACTATACCCTCTGTAGCCTTCCTTGTCAACACCGAACAGATCAAGTTCGGTATATCGGTATTGTTCCGTGACTGGCAGTTGTAACCTTTTCAGATCTTCCCGAAGCACTTCGGATGGGCGAGAGAAGCGAGTCTCCCGACACGTGAATCCTCGGTTGTGGATTAAATCGGCCAACGTAACCTCCGACCGCTGCACTGGACATCCTGCCCGGGCTGGGTCGGCAATCCACTCTTGCCATACAGCACCTCTATTGCGGTAGGTCTGGACTAATTCGTCAGTTATCTCAGATCTCACTAACCCTTCCACCGACCACGGAGGGGGCTTACACTCGCTCGAATTGGGCGGGTTTTCATCATCTTCGGAGGGATACTGGGGGAGGAGACCATTGTTGGCGGACGAGAAGGATCCTGGGCTACTTCTTCCTCCGGACGACGCTTGTGCCCTCGTGGGGACTGCTCGGTCTCCATCTCATACTCCACATCTTCAGAGCTTCCCCGATCTGAATTACTCTTGGTATTCATTGTAATGTTGGCCTCGCGCAAATGATTTGATGTGTATATGGATAGGTAAGTCTGTCAAGTAAAGAAATGGGGCACCTACTGATTAAGTAGATCTTTCCAAGAGCTTATTTCAGTCAATTCCAATGCAAGAAGCAATGGGTGTCTTTCACAGAAACAGGACGACTAAGCAAGGTCACAAAAGAATGTGCCCAAAGAAGAACAAAGAGCATTCAGCCATTACCCCTATGGAGTTGGGGGGTCTGAAACACAGTAACGAGACAGTGTCATCACAATCTTAGAAGCAAACATCATGGTAGTATAGAACTAAGAATTATCACGAAACACAAAGTTATCCGCAACATTTGTTGGAATTTCAACACAAAATGAATATCAAACACCAGTAGTAGTATTGTGTTATGTTATGTCTCAAACATGTGTTATGATGCATAACACATGTTTGTCATATTATCGCGTTTTATTTTACTACTGTGAAACTTCCCCCTTGGGACTTAACAGTTAGGAAATAAGGTCGTTGCAACATAGTGTTTCAGACCCCCCGACTCCCTGCATGGCTAGGTACCAAGACGAGAATAACCCAACAGATAGCCCGGGAGCGTGTTCCCTGTAGAATGGTCCTATTGTTCTCAAGACCTTGTGAGCAAAACTGCAAGTAAAATTTTGCCTCCCAGCTCGCTCTAGATGTGCCAAAGTGAGTTTACGGCGGAAAATCCAATGCACGCGACGAACATCAAGAGTATGATACAAGTCGTTGATGTAGACCAAATGCGGCTTTGTGATTGAAACGAACAGCCTAAACAGACTAAACAACCACGGTGAACGCGGACGACAAGCATTCTATGTACTGGGGCAAAGACGTCGGCAACGAAGATTTTCTGATAAACGCGGCGGACGGATCTGCATGGTGCGCAGTTGACGCACTTTGACCGGACGGATGGGGGGTGACCTGATTTTATGCGTGTGCATCCGGTGATTGATCGGCATTATGCGGAGATTTGGGCCTTTATTCGGCATTTGGATTTAAGATATTGTTCGCTCTATGATGAGGGGTATACCAGTCTTGGGGGCACATCCGATACCCATCCTAATCCGAGATTGCGGTGTGGGGCTGCGAAGACTGATGGACAGTATCTTCCTGCGTACCAGCTCACTGAGGATGTGGAGGAGAGACTGGGGCGCAATTGAGTTGGAGAATAAGCGTGGACTATGCTACTTGTGTATAGGTTGAGGTTCGTATCTCGACCATTTCTGATAGATTTATTTGCACCTCACAGTTGTGCTCAACCTTGGGAACTTGAACATAGACACCTACATGGACCTTGGGAGTAGCTTCTCGTGAAATAAAATGATATTAGAAATTAGACTGCAAGGCATTTCCTGCCATCCTCCATAAAACCCATTAATCCTCCATAAAATTGCATATCGTAGAACCCATTAAACGTCGTAAAAGTCCATAAATCTCCATAATGATGCGGGAAAGAAAGTCATAATGATATCGTGAAAATGAATGGCAGTAGAATAACCCTTCGTGAATCGTAAAGTCCCGCCTTTGTCAAAAGGCCGGGCCATACATCGTTGTACATTCTGCGAATGATAACAGATGCTTGGTGGAGATGTTGAATTTGAATAAAAGAAAAGGAGCATGCCAAAGACATGCTGGCCGATATGACTCCGCGGGGATAACATGTCTCGGAGTACCTCACCGGCAGCACCAACACATTGTGTTTAGGTGGACGAGGTAGTAGGAGAAATGAAGCCCAGTTGGGACGAGCCGGGAGGGGTGGATACTGCTCGAATGTTCTCCTTGCGAGAGTCCCTAGTGGGCGAAGTTGGGACTACCGTATTGGAAGAACCACCAGAGAGGTCGGTGTAAGAACGACGGCCCAGCGAGATTGCTCGCGTTCGGTAGGGTGGGGTGTTCTCAAGGGCATTGAAACCATGCGGGGACAACGAGCTACTCCGTCCACTGCTGGATGGATTCTTCATGTGCGGTTGGCTGTGGTCTCGGTCAGCATGATTTGGCTGTGATATGAACTTGCACACGTACCACGGAGAGATCGACGTTGCCGGAGTCCAATCAGAATCCACACCAGCCGGAGAGGTGTAGGTGACTTGTGAATTTGGTGTGAGATGGGAGCTACGTCTCACCCCCGGGGATGGGGTAGATCCCTGCACGACCTCCACGGAGTAGTTATACTCGCCGGCACGGTAAGCACGACGCTCGTTGCTTTGTTGCTTGAGAATCTTCTGGGCCTTGGTGTCGGCAAAGCGCAGAAGGAGCTTCACGCCATCCCCCTTGGTGACATTGTGGAACTCCGTGAGGATCTTTTCCGCAACCTCACGACTCTCGAAACTGTGAATAAAGGTTAGATAGTCCGGAAAATCTCACAATGCATATAAATGGGCCAATTACCGTGCAAATCCTACTTCCTTGCTCACACCGGTCTTTTCATCCCGGCTAATCTTCTCAGACACAACTCGCCACGGCTCGAAATGACGCCGCAGATCCTGTCAACCTCGTCAGCTTGCAAGAAAATGAGACTTTTGACGTTGTAGTTATCACATACCGCTTCGGTCCAATCGATTGGGATATTAGTGCAGTAGATGTTGGTAGAAGACCTGTCCTCCAGGTCCTTCAACCGGGAGTTTCGCGACTTCTGCGCGAAACTAGCCTGGTATCCGAGGTAAAAAAAACCTCGAATGCAATTTTCGCAGGACTCAAAGTTGAAGTATTGCACAAAGCCGAATCTGCCATGGATTAGAATGATATCATCGAAAGGAAAAGAGTCGGGGACTCATACCCTTTGCAGAGACCGGTGTCAAGATCAACGATCGCTTTGCAGCGATCAATCTTTCCGAAACGGGCTGCGTAGGCATGCAGCACCTCATCAGTAGTTTCCGGAAGGAATCCTCGGATGTAAACATTCGTGATTCCCTCCCGATTTTCCAGACACTTAGCAAGCGTCAGGTCAGACGGGTTAGTCCACATGGCAGGCACCGCGCGTGGAATAGCAGGGTCTTGTTGGGTCAAGGCCTCAAGATCTTGCACGACGTATCCATTATGGGTTTTCATCATTTGGAGAGGCAGGGGGATCTGGCCGAGCTGTGGAGGAACCATGCCTCCATAGGGGTAATTAGACATGGCAGTGCCATCAATGCCATGGGCCACATTCGAAGGATAATACTGGACTTGAGCGTTATCCTCTCCATGTGCTTCCTTGTTGTCGTGAGGCACATTCCATGCGGGCTGCTTTGTCCCATACTGCATGTCGTAATTGGCCATATAAGGCCATGATGAGTACGCACCAGTAACCATGGGGCTAGGCCAAACACCAGCTGGGAGGTATGAGTATTGTCCCGTCTGATCGGCTTTGCCCAAAGCAGGGTTGGGAAGAAAAGACGGTACGGTCGGAACACCGTTGAACACGGTCGAGTTGGGAACCAGGATAAATGGACTGTTGTATGCACGGTTGGCATTCGACCAATCCAAGCTAGAGTTCATCTGAATGGGCGTGGTGCCCTTGGGCTTGGGGCGGTGACTTTGCATAGTAAGCCCTCTGTACATATTAGTCAGGCCTGCCCTAGTACAGCCAGGGGGTTTCCATTGATGGGGTGTTGGTACCTGGAGCCATACGGGGTGCGAGGTTCGTTTTGGTGGTAGCGTCTAGGCTGAGAGCCAGAGCTCGCTAGTTGGGATGAACTTGGAATCATCTTTCAGGCCCGAGTAGATGTTAGCAAGATCTTCTTCCACCGGTGAGAGACAGTAATAAATGAAAGAGTAATAAGGAATCCCAATGGCAGGAGAATGGGGTGCGTAACTTACCCTTTTGGTAGAAACCTCGAGATTCAAGGTGTGTGGAAGTTGCGTGAACTGAGAATAAGCGTGAGCCCAGAGCAGGAAGACAGAAGTGTCAACTGGATATGATCAATGGGATGAATTGGAGCAGGGCAAGGCCCTGAGAAAGGGATCGTGGAGAAGGGTGGGATGGGAGAATGAGGGAGGCAGATGATGATGAGGGCTATTCGTAGACACAAGGGAACGAGAAGGTGCTAGTAGGGGAAGTACAACAGAGTAGATGGGACGAAAGAGTGGGAAGGAAGTAATGGAAGGAACATACGAAAAGTGGGTCGTGGAGAATACTTAGACCGTGGATACGAAGAGTGGGATCGAAAGGAAGGCAAGGACGATGGTGAAAAGGAAGAAGAAAAGGAAGGAGAAGGGGACGAAGAAGGAAAGAGCAAAAAAGAACGAAGCCAGACGAACGTCACGGGGATCGCTGGGGTGAACCAGGCTCGGAAGAGCATAAGTGAATACAAGTCACGGGCAGTGGCGTAATGTCGGTGGTTATCGTTCTTCTATCATCAAAGGAAGCCACGTGCTAAGAGACCCGTGGCGTAGGGCTGATGCATCTCGTTGTTAGGGCTGTTGCTCCACGGGCAAAGGACAGGACAGAGGCGACAAAGGTTAACTCTCCGCAAAGAATGGTATGAACATCCCAAAGTTTCATACTAGACTGCCATGTCGGCATATTGAATATTGATATATGCAATATGCATGTGCCATTGGAGCCTTCTATCTGGGGAGGGAGGGCAAGATATGGGTGAAGGTATGAGGGGATGATGGAACGGAAAGTCTTGTCTGGATCAGGGCAAGTAGGACTTATTGGGATTTCTCTTGTAGCCACTTATAGACCACCGAGAAATCCTTTCCGCGATGTCCATCTTCCACGGCTTTGTAGACTTCACGAGCATGGGTGCCGAGGACAAGAGGAGTGTCAGATTGTTCCGCGGCAGCAAGAGCCAGGCGTAGATCCTTGTGCATCAAGCTGACCCCAAATCCGCCCTCATAGCCGCGAGACGCGGGTGACGTTTCAACAACACCAGGAACAGGGTTGTTGACCTCAGACGGCCAGCACCGACCGGTAGACGAGTTGATCATGTCCGCCAATGCCTTAGGCTCGAGTCCCCAGCGGACACCCAAGTTCATAGCCTCGGCAGTAGCG